AACCCTAACCCTAACCCTAACCCTAACCCTAACCCTAACCCTAACCCTAACCCTAACCCTAACCCTAGAATGGTCATGAACAACCTCAAAGTCTCTCGCTTTAGCCCTTCCATCAGCTGCGTAAGTACCTGATCAGGTAATTGCCCTCGCGCCGCCTTCCACTGGTCTTCCAATTCATCACCAACTGCCATCAGGTCTTCGTATGCCTTCTGTTGCTGACGGCTGACTTTAAACGGTGGCCTCTCGGCTGGATCTTCGAGGTCGAGGCAACGAAGAGTATAGACAATAAGCTGCTTAAGTGTGCTTGCGTACCTTCGCTTTGTCTCTTGCTTATGACGGAAATTGAATGGTTTCCGGCTGGCCGTATTCATATCATATCTTGCAACCTCGAATCTGGCGTTAAGAGGAACCTCTTGTCGGTAGATAAGCCCCTGGGCTTCCCAGATTAACTGATCAAGTACTTTGAAGACCATAAGATAGGTAAAATCATATGATTCATTTAACCCTTCCGGACTTAGATCTAAATCCAGAGAGATGAGCCTACGCAGAAAATCCTTCTTATCGGCAAAGCCCTGGAGATATGCTACACAGCCGAGCCGGTCGAGCCAAGGAGACGGTTGCATAAACTGATCTGGCTTCTCCATCATATTGGCATCCTTTTGGACAATCAAGGAGCGATTCTTGAAGAAGTCCTTAATGGCAACTTCCTGATCAGATACTTCCGCCGGTCTAGCTTCTAGGCTGACCTCAAAATACTTACAGCGAGGACCACTCAGGAATAACCGCTGGTAGTATACCTTAGCCCGGAAATATGGGCTTGACGTCGGTTTAGTTAGACCCTTAGCCGGTCTTCCTTTTTTAGTCTGCTCTGTAGAGATAGAGTGGGATTTTCGAAGGTGACGGTTTATCTCCTTAAGTTGAACGCAGATCTTATGACATGATGACTCAACTGTGCATTTATAACCATCAGAGCTTGCTGCGGGAAGGTCTGGAATAGCTAGACCTAGAGGAATTGGATATGGGAGCCTTTCTAGATCGTGTTGGTTGCGAATATGGTCGAACTGTTGTGCCCAACGGTATGCATATTCAATAGCCTCATCTCCCCTTAGAAGGCTGTGAGGAAACTGATGGAGATGACAACGAATGTTGCTCCCGTATTCTGCTTTATGGCAAGTCTTACAGATAAATACCTTAATAGATGGTATATAATTGAAATATTCCATTGTAATTAAGATAAGACTATATGATCAGATGGAATTGAATAGAGATCAGAGCTGCAGATAGCAATAACAATAACCCCAGTTTGTTTATTAACTTACCGGTAAACTCTAATCTACTTCTACAGCAATAAAAGCAATTCTCACACTTGAGGTTACTTGGGGTTAATCTTGCATTTAACCGAGCGGCTTGGGGTTATCCTTGTAATTTGATTGGTGCTTGGGGTAACTTGGGGTTATTCCTGCATCTTGATTGGTGCTTGGGGTAACTTGGGGTTATTTTTGCACTTAACTGAATGACTTGATTCTGTTTGCTGTAGAGTAGCTACTATACCTCCGGAAGCTGCAACTATCTGATTAATTAGTTCTCTATACTAGTCTAAAGTTTTAATCTGATCTTATATTGCGAATATAGTTTTCTATGTATTATAGGAACATGGGGTTATTCTTGCATCTAACTGAGTAACTTAGGGTTATTCTTGCAATTTGATTGGTGCTTAGGATAGCTTGGGGTTATTTTTGCACTTAACCGAATGACTTGATTCTATTTACTATAGAGCAGCTATTACATTTCCGAAAGGTGTAACTATCTAATCAATTAGTCTTTAAAGATAATCCAGAGTTTTAACCTAATCTGATATTAGGTATATAGTTTTTTAGAATACCTAGGAATATGGGGTTATTTTTGCATTTATCCAGCTGAACTTCATTTCAAGTATGTACCGGTGCTCGAGATAGATCTAAGCCCGATTTGGCTAAGACTCTGACATGGGACTACCACATCAAAAATCGGCTAAAACAAATAAAAGAATTAATTCCTCCGACTATAGAGATAATAATATAATTCTAAAAACCGGATGCATCTGATCAGCTAATTATCTAGCTCTTTACAATTTTTCCTAGTCATGCGACATCAGGAATGCTGTTTTCCGGAAAAGGTGAATAGATAGGCCTAGAAAAGGTGAATAGAGGGGTGAGCTGTTAGCGCCACGCTAAAGTGCCATATAAATAAAAGGTGAATAGGTCTATTCACCATTACAATAAGTGATAGGGTTAGAAGAAGAAGGCCCTAAGCTTAAAGAAAGAAAGATATCTATAAGAAGAGACTATTGCACTACGATAGTTATACTCTTTTATATCTTACTTAATATTATAATAATATAATATTAGCCTATAAGTATAAACCTAAATTTCCCTTTTTTTTTTCTTCCTTCTTTTTCCTCTTCTTTATTTCCTTTATCTATTCTTGCTTTTTATTAGCCGCATACTACCGCCGACTTAATAATAACTACTCTCGCCTACTCCTTATATTAGTACTACTATCCAGAATGCATTCTATTATCTTTGCCCTTTTCGCCATTGCTAGTCTTACCACCGCCAGGCCTACCATTTAAAAGCATGCTGAGTGCCCTGGTTCCGGGGACTACTATGTCTGCAGCACCAACGGCTTCCGTGGTTATTGCAGTTCCGACCCTTGCGGCAAGTCCTGGTGCCCCGACTTCAAGGACTGCACATGTGAGCCTATTAGCATTACTCCTCGCTGCAACACCCTAACCCCATCGATAACTACTCCTCGCTGCAACACCCCAACCCCGTCGATAACTACTCCTCGCTGCAATACCCCAACCCCGTTGATAACTACTCCCGGCTGCGATACTAGCACCTGCGTTCCTAAGAATGATTATTGCTCCTCTAGCACTGGTTACTTCTAGTCGTGTTCTAATGGGTTCCGGGGATACTATAAAAAGGACGCCTGCGCTTAGAAAACACCTGTCTGCCCCTTTAACTAAGACCGCTTATAAGCTTGGATATATATAAAGACTCGCTAGCAACTATTATATAGTATAAGAGAGATAGAACTTCGGAATAGACTTTAATACTATATAGTTATATAGTTTAATAGTATTAGATTTTAATATTCTTTTTTTAATAGCAGTTTTAGTCTAGTTAGTGCGATTTTTAAACCTATAGAGGTTCTTATTTATTTTTCTATAGATAGACTCTATCTAACTAATAAATTCACTTATTTATATAACTAGGAAGTTCTCTAAGTGCCGGCGAACTTTTTATTTATATTACTTATAATACTAGAGACTTACCTTTCTAATTAGACTTGGCGCTAGAGAGCTTCCTTTAATATCTAGAGATTTAATTTCTTGGTGAATTTAGTCTCTGAAGCCTCCTCTGCTGCATTATTTGGCATCTTGGGAACTTAGGGCGCAGGTAGCCTATGAAATCCCTCGACTAGTTTTACTAAACGAATCTGTATATCTGAGTTCACGCTCTCTCGTTCAAAGGGTATAGGGCCTGCCCCTTAAAAGCCTCTCTATACCTTTCTTGTCTACCATAGAGTCTTGAAATGCAGGGAAAGCAGTCCTCCCTAGTGATATGTTTTAAACCAGCCCTCATCTTCATAATCTTTAGTCCTACAACTACTTGAACGGGACAAAGCAACCGTTATCGAGTGGTTAGGATATGTAAGCTACGTGAGCAGGCATGAAATGGGTGAGTGTCTTATTGTCCTAGCGTTATAGCTTAGGGTCGGCCTTGTGCACTTTTGAGTCAGCGAGTAGTGGGTAAGCTACATATTCCAGGTCACTAAGTCACGGACGAAATTATATACATGCTAATAATGTATTCGGGAACGGCCTTCTCCTTGATGTCCGTCGGCTTGCGCGACTCAGCCGTTGTATCGCATCTGGAAGGGACCTGCAGTTGTATCGTTGACGCAGGGTAGTGGTTGAGAATTTGTAGGTGGTATCAGCACCATTTACATGCAATCGAGGGCTATTTTAGATGTCTTAAACGATAAAAATGATAGTGGCAACATTGTCTGAATGTGGAGTTCCCTCTGGTTGAAGGATTTGGGTTGAAGGAGAAGTGATCTAGAGTGGAAGATTGGCCGCTCGTTCATCACATAAATTGCATACTTTAAGCAATTTAACTGCCTAATAATATATATATTTTTAAAATCTTCTTTTATGCCTTTAATATCGCCCCCTGTGTTCCCGCTAAAGCGTCGAAAACTAAACTTTGGTTTATAAGGATCATTGTTATGGTGAGGTTCCACGTAGTTGAGATCAATTTGAATACCAAATCGAATTTGTGTACTCTTGTCTGCGAGGGGACAGTAGGTGATACATGGGGGCAGACTACTCACACTGTATCACCCACTTCTTTGTTCGACGTATAAAAGTGATCAGCACCGTACTCAGTGGGTCTATTTACCAGTTGACTTTTATCAGCTACTGGAATGCTCGAGTCTATAACATTCCCTTCCAGCCTCCAAGGGCCCATATTAACGCTCCTAAGTGCTATATGCAGCAACCAGAACTTGCCGTCCATTTCCTATGCAAGCTGCCGCAACTGCCCAGTGTGGGTTACCTAGTGCCGCCGACCTACCTTCATGCACCGCTCTAGAAGCAGACTTGTTAAGATAATACAGGGGCTGAGCGCGAAGACGAGTATTAACTTAATAAAACTGAAATTCTGGAGGCGGCCGGTTATGGCAATCTTGTGGGTATAACAAAATGTGCGCGCAGCATTATGCTCCGGTCCCAGGGGCAGGTCGTTAAGCGGCTTGTGGACTAGAAAGCCGCCGTATATCGCTGGGCTACTTAGGTCGATCTGGCCGAGGAATCGAATAATATAGGCTTGCAAGAGAGCAAGCCTAGTTTCGAACCAGAGGGTAGCCTCTTTCTGCCACTGATTAGGTGGAAGAGATGTGGAGATTATATCGCTATAAGTTTAGTCCTTTGCTAGAAGACCTAGCAATAAGTTATATCTAGTTAATTAAAACTATTCTTTTACTACTAAGTGTAGAATATTAACTTACCTACTGCCCTAAGACTTACCGGGCCTAGTGACGCAATATTGATAAGGCCCAGGAGTATTGCAATATGGTGAAGCATTATCCGCTGCTGGATATTGAGTTCCAGGTCCCCGGCTTCCCATAGCGCAGTAGAAGTGTCTGTAGTATTTGTATATTTCCCGGCTCTCGGATTGCATAGCTGTATCTGCTCTAGGCAAGCCAGAGTGTTAAAGTAGTTGTTTCCAAAGTATTGAATATCCTCGTCAATGTCCCTGTGGATGCTAGAGCCGTTCGCCCAGAACAGTGGATTATAAACTGGTTTAGGATAGGCTACAGAGTTCTGGCTGATGAGGCAAAGCGACAGGTCTGTGTATGCGCGGTTAAATGGCCATGCCCAGCCTTCGGACTTGAGTGCTCCAGGATAAAATCCACCCCTAGAAAATTAGTGTCTAGTAATGAGATAGGACGTTGGAATAAAGATGAAAGCAATAATCAGGACTTATGAAGTAGAATAACTATTCGTGGTCGATTTGTTACTTTAGAGGATAAGAGGAATAGAAGAACTTACGTTAAGTAACTTCTGGAGTTCAATTATAACTATACTATCTCCTATAGTGCTTGTAATAAGGTCGTCTGCATTCACAGGTGAGTATGTAACTTTCTTCCTGAAATTGACACGGTCTTTAGCCTGTGTATTAACTCTAAGGTGAGTATGTGAGTCCAGCATTCCCGAGTCTAAGGCCATGGCGATATTCAGCGATGACGTATTATTCGAGAGATATCTATTCTTCCCCTAGAACGGACATGGCTCCATTCTAACGGTGTATAGAAGCTTCTTAACCGAAAACCTTGAGCTGGCGGCCGACAAGATTTTAGTATCTGAGTAGAATTCCTTCGCATATAGCCGCGCGTCTATAGCATCGTCCGTTATGGCGTGGTGTTGAGATAAGGGATTCTGTGCCGTTTCTGTATATAAGGAATGCAACTTGGTCCAGTTGAATTCCTAGCTGCCGCATTCTTCGGGAATCGCTAGAACCCTAATGGCTTCTTCACTGCGAGTCGCCACACTGGAGGCGAAGATGCCAGCGAGGTTGGTGAGCACTGATAACAGTGCAGCCAGGCACATAAGCCGGACAAGTTATCTCTCCAGTAGAGATAGCCTCCCGCCTCAGGCACGAGATAAGGAGAAGGCGTCATTCATGGCCGAGAAAGCCGTAACGTTATTCCGCAATAGCGTCTGGATCTGGAGCTGGACTGGGTCGAATCGTGTCTTGTGGCCGATCCGGGACTGGTGAAGACCGTAAGCCATAATAGTCCATAAGCGCGATCCAGCTAGAGAGATTAGGAGGGTCATTGCGGAGATAAGATATGCCCCATAACGTATACGAATCGTCAGTATCAATTGACCAAGGCCATCCTCCGAATAGTCGCGCCAGAGACCCTCATACGGCACGAGTTGGACCATAGTGATTGGGGAGGGTGAAAAAAGAGAATAGGGCGTTTTGCTTGTGGTCGTAACTATCTGGCTTTGAAGGACGGCTCCGCCATCCAGGTAGATATAGGCCCACTATGCCTCCCTTAAGACTATTCCCCGTTTCCTGCCGAAGCGCGTTGACAAGCTGATGGTCAGTCATGTATATCGACTGTATCAGGCCGCTTACGGATCGTTGGGCGACATTGGGCCTTGGGAGCGCAGTTAGCTGTTAAAGGTGGTAGCCTCATAGACCAATCACCATGTGGGCGGTAGGGTTACACTCTAACACGGGCGGCACATTATCATTGCTATCAATAAGAGGCACGCTCGTCAGCGTGGCGCCACCCTGGCTGATATTGAGGATGTGGGCGATCAAGTTGACGACGAGCACTACGACACCCCGGACGATTTGGCTGCTTGTCATACCGGCCGGATAGCGACCGACTACGATGTCACTATTACCTTGTGAACTGACGCGCTGATATTCGACGTAAGTTACGGTGCTGATAGAACTTGAAAGTGGTGGAAATATGTGTTAGTGTGTCACTCTTCTCCGTACTAAAACGGGGAACGGCTACGATCGTGCCGCGGCGTGTTACATAGGTGAACTCAAAATATTCATAGACCCAAACTTTGATGTTTCGATAAAAGCTGTTACATGTATGATTCTACAAGCATATTCTCCGCATAGAACCGGAGAACAAAGCGAGACAGCATGTCATGGTCCACCTAGTTCTACACACACCAGGGTTGAAAGCCACTCCACTCAATCCCGGAGCTTAGATTTTGGCGCGTCGTGTGGCGCGAGTCAGTATTACGCAGAAAGACAATCCTTACAATCTTTACAATCTCTTAGTTGAGTGGAAATCGGCGCGGCTGTGAGCGTTGTGTCGCGAAATGGACGCGATTGCTGACGAAATTCTGGTCGTAGGTGGGGATTCTGTCGCCGCGATGCGTCGATCTTCGAGACCTGCGAAGCCGACGGCAAAATTGCAGGAGAAGCTGCAGGCGGTCGACAAGAAGACTGGTGCAGTAAGGAAGATGGGACCGCACCAACTGCGAGAAAGTGAGAATGAAACTGAGAATGGGCTGACCAAAAGGGCCGGAGAACTACAGATGATGGAAGGCGCGACGGACAACAACGCGCCGCTCATGCAGATCATGCTTCGAGCAATGCTCCAGGAGACGTCGACTCATTTGATATATGAACAGAAGAAGATGCTCGAGTCTTCAGTAGGTATGATGAGGCGCTTGTCGTGGAGCTCTCGGGAGCTCATCTGGCTGTCAATAGCGTAGAATAGCTCCTTGGAAACACGATGCTCTTCTTTAATGCCGAAAGATTTCTGCATAGATCCCGGTAAGGCATAATGGCATTAAAGCTTTGTGTACAGGTATGCCTTGATCAATGCAGTTGGCTAGTGACTAAGACCGCCTTCAACGAGTTTCCATGGCTTTCTTAGCTTCTTGTCAAGGGTAAGTGTCTCGATGGCTGTGTTTGTGAATGGATACACGTTTCACGCTGCAAATACTTCCTTGACACTGGAGTAGAATTGAGAGTAAAGAAGACCAGCAGCACGGCGTAAAGACCGCTTTCCAGTCTCGATGGTCAAACTCCCAGTAATCCCGAAGCATGCTAAATGGATAGAAGACCTGCTTTTGGATCCCTCGATCGTCAGTAGACCCATTCCTGACCTAAAAGGCATATGATTCTGAGCAACATCGCCGATAGAGCAGTGTTGAGACAGTGTGGCTATGGTGGTCCGATCTGCTGGTGGCTGGGATGTGGATAGTATGTAAGGAGCTGTGCTCCTCTCGGACACGTGTAACTTAGAACTAACAACAACACAATCAACCCGTTTTTGCTTTAACAATAAGGTATTCTCATTTACGAGTATCAAAATCACTCTTTACATCCCAGCAAGCATAGGACTCTCGCGATTGGGTGACTAGCTAGCTTATTATCTACATTATGTCCAAGGAAAGCTCGGTGCGTAATACATACAACTCACGGGGTTCGTCATCTTCGCTGTCCGAGCTGTCACTAACATGATCGTCTCCTCCCAATTGTAGTTGTTCGACCAAGTACAGTATATGCTGCATCATCTTCACCTCGTTGGATCCTAGACGTAAGTTGTACACTTCCTGACGTTGTAGTGGCGGGTACTGCAGAACGCGAAATACGAAGCTGATGAATCTCTTCCATATTGCCAAATATCTCTTGAAGCTTGTTATGAGCCAAAATCCGTGCGGCCAAAAAGCATCTTTCGCGAATAAGTTTAGCCAACAGCGAGAGATGTACGGCGTACGATCGAGTGTAGCTCTTGCCCTGTCGAACATCAAGTCTAGCCCGTGAAGGATGATCTGCAGCTGAGCCTCAGTTTCGGCAGAGCTCCACAAAGGGAACCCTTGCAATTTGCCAAGCAGATACGGTAGTTTCTACTTGGTTGTAAGGCTGGTTGCTTAGCCGTGGCGGCGATGATTTCGAGTGATCTGTTGCGGAACAGCTCGGCCCAGCGGGTGTGTTGGAGCCATGGGGTCGTCTCGCTCGTTCCAGCAACCGCGACACGATCAGTTTCAGTACTTTCGAATGGCCTTTTCATAATTTGAATATCCCAACTTCGAGATCGATACTTCCGGATGGCTTGAGAGGGTGATGGAAATGGAACTCTCCAACTGCTCAAAGCCTGTATCCCTGAACGTGTAGGCGGCCAGGATAAATACGTCGTACGCGCGTCGACGCGTTCAGGTCATTTAAATGGCTTGGAGTCGAAACTCTTCAATGGAAAAAAAGCAAAGTCGACCAATGAAATAGCGAGATCACCACTTTGGCTCAGACTTTGCTCGGAGCACATGTATTGAGAACCCTCTTTCAGGTGAAAGTGGGATGCGGGGTAGTTACAGGGATTGCCAGCCAATGGCATTGTAAAGATTCCACTTTCAGTGAAAGTGGGAGATTCGATAATGATGTAGTAGTAGCGCTACCGCGCGACCGCTGACGGCAGGACTTGCAGGCCTATGCATCCAATATCAACATCCCCAAGGTACTACACAATGACTTTCACAGCGTGATAAACAATTCACCGAATTGGACAGCGTCGTAACAGACGACTAGCCTTTTCGCTTAGCTGCCGGTGGCCCGTAGTCTGCATCCAACGCGTGGTACTTCCGCGCAACAGCATCCTCCTCCTTAGAATACTTTGCCTCGTCCTCGGATCTCAGCTCTTCCGCGGAACTGGACGACCATCTGCGCTTCCTTATTAGCCGTCGCCTTGATTTGACGCTGTCGTCTGGGCGGGTGGGTTCCTGTTCCTTCTGCCGCTGCTGGGCGTCTTGGGCGTATTGGGCAAGTCGGGACAACAGGATGTTGATCGTGGCGGCGGGCCAAGTCTCGGATAGTTCATCTGTAGCAAAGTCGCGGATGTCAATCGTTAGCGACTGGTCGGGATTCAAGGCGTCGCCATCGGATGAGCGGAACGGCTATCGACACATATTAGCGCGGTCCAAAAAACACCGGGTGATAGTAAGTTCACCAGCTCGTGGACGTCCTCAAACGTTTCCAAGTCGAGGCCATCTTCGGACTTGGTAAACTTGGGACGCCAGAGAGATACTGTGGATGGCTTGCCACGGTAGTTGAGATCGACACCAATCACAAGCTTGATGTCGCCGTTCGAGTAAAGAATGTAGTCTTGCGCAAGTCTCCTCAGATCTTTACCATCCTGAGAATACGATACCTCAACTACTATTCCAGGATACCTTGCCCCAGGGTAATGGAACTGAATATCTGGTTCACGCTTAATCGGGCCGTTCTCGTCATCCGTCTCTGCAAGGAAGACGCGGGAACCTAGGGCGCTTATGACTTTTTCGGCAAAGGGTTTTGCCTCGTCACTACGGTTGCTGGCAATCTTGTTCAATTCTTTACAGATCTCGTCTCTGAAATAGGTGGCGAAGTAGTCATGAGTTGGTGAAGGCATGCGAATCGTGAGACGGCTGCGCTTAGGTTCGTAGTCGAATCTTCTGAAGGTTTGCTCGATCTTTGTATAGAGTTTGCGGTACTGTTTCTGGTCGAGAGTGAAGTATGCGAATTCCGGAACGTCACGCGTCTCAGACAGAATTTTGTGTCGTTGAAGAGGGTCGGGGAGTGGGTGGTCACTATCGTCGCCGTCAACGATGTCGATGTCGATTTCCTTCACAGGGCATTCTGCTGTTGCCGGCGGGGATGGGGGGAGGAGAGGGCTTGACTTGTCGGGCGGAGTAGTACTGAGTATAGCCATAGTTGATGTGAATTAATGTTGATGTCAGATCTTCATCTTGGTTCATGGCTGATCTGGTCGTGACATGTTAGATTTTCGCCCGCGAATGTTGGTGTTGATTGTTGATGTTTGGTTTGCGCCGGAGCGCCATTTGTTCCGTCCCGAGATCCCCACCCCCACCTATCATATCTTATCATTTGCCATCTAAAGAGCAGGGATCGCCCACAATGAGTGGAGACTCTTCGTTTTTCTCGTAACTTGATTGGCTGGATTCTTCCAAGCAGGATCGAAAACCGACATCCTAAACCTACTCTCTTATAACTTATAACGCAGGGAGTAGAGTATTAGCCTGGGCGGACTCGTATTCTGTGATAAAACAAAAAGGGGTTGCCCCCAGAAGACTGTTGAGGCTTATACTTCAACATTCTGATGTTCTAACTCATGCAATAACAAGAAATTCCACACAGACATTGAAGGACAATTTAACAGATCTCCCTCCCTTTCGGCTTAGTTTTTTTTAGAATGATGCGCTAGGCTCAATATAAAATACAACAATTCGCTTCTGAAAATGGATGGATCTTGACCACGAAATTCATGATTGGCTGGAAGAGAGCTCCACATATCCAAAAACGGTCACATTTTAACCGCTAAATTCTGATTAGCTACAATGCTTGGGACCGACGACGAGGTCAGCAACTTCCAAGACAGATATACCAACAACAAGCTAGAAAGTCTTATAATAATATAAATAAGTTCAGTCCAAAGGCTATAATGTATGTATTTATACAATAGTGATAAGTTTTATACTATATTTAGTGTCCAGTCTGAGTGGGTAAAAAATCGATGTTGATTTTGGTCAGAAATAGGCCAGCTTGTGGGTGCGTAAGCAGTTTCTAGCTGGACAAATGAAGTACTTAGAAGTACCGCTGCTGCCTGAAAAAACGGGGCGCAAATCTGGAAACGTGGGGAGAAGCTGGCAGTGCGAGTCGTGAGTACTGTCGCTTACATCGATGGAGTAAGTACATCAGTAGGCCCGCTTTCAGTATGGACATGAGTGTACACAGTGCAATTGGCTACTTGTGCTCGGCGTGTGGGGCTCTGTTTTACAAACAAGAGTTATTGTAGGAGAGGAAGGTGCAAGTGCTCAATACTGTACAGACTTTGCCTTACCCGAAGTCATCAATAGTGTAGACTGCAATTTTGCTTCTGGCCGCCAACGAGTAAACAGCAGGTTGTTTTCGTCGAACTTGTTGCTGTATTGATACGCACGGACAGAAAGTATAGAATCTAGGGGTGATTTTTCGGAAGAACAACGGTAAAAATCAAGAGTAGTCTAGGTTGGCACGGACGAAAAGTGAATAATGCGACGCGTTGTTGTTCAGCATTGGTACAGTGTACTGACTCTCCAAATGAGTCTAATTACGTGTTTAAGTTTAATTAGAACAACGGCAGTTACGAATCACACGATTCCATAGGACTTATCACATGGTGCAGGTCCACAAGATATGACAAATCAGTCAGGGCATCGCAAGTGGATATTTTCAGGGCTACTGACTTTTAAACGAGCGTTCATTGGCTCATGAGCAAGCAGCAGGGGTATCGCGCATTTTAAACGATTTTTAATTCGTTGCTTTAAAGCAGCGTGGAGGGCACTCTTCGATGGCCACCTACCCTATATGCTCTTCAGGATCATCTTTTTTGCCCGTTCAGGTCGCCCCAGGCGGAAAAGTTATTATTTCGTCAGTTGAATCAATTTGTGAAAGTTCCTGCTACAGTATGGTGCTCTTTTTAGCTCGTATACCGCTACGGTTGGGAAATGTTGCGTTGAAATTTGTTTTTTTGCTCTTTTCAAGCGCAGAGGTCAGCCCTGACCCCGCCAGCCATTATGGATATCTACTGATTATTTATCAAACGAATAATCTCACGCATTTCTTTCAATTTGGTCAAGTTTTATGTAAACGAAGTTGTTGGTTTTTGATGGAGCTTTTTTTATTTTTCGTGGCGAAAGAGTGGCTGTAGATGGTAATGCTATTCATTTACAGTCTATTTCACACGGGTGTTCAATAATGTGGCGGGTTTCTCCGATGGCATCAGATAATCTTGATACCAACGGTGATACCAAAGTGATCACTAACCCAAACATCATTCAGTCCGACCTTGGTCTTGAGTCCTATTCCAAAGCGACCCAACCTTCCAGTAGTATCTTGACCTTCATCAACAGGAAATGTTTCGATGGGGCCCGTGTAGAGAAATTTATCCAGCCGGCTCCCATAGTCTTGATACGGTCTTCCCTTAGACTGATACCCCCATGTATTTCCAATAGCCCGGCCATACGTGAAATCTTTGTAAAAAGGCCGAAGGTTTGGTACGGCTGGGGCCGACACATCCTCCCAGACGTCCTTGAGGTCGATCTCAGGGTCTCGATGGTCATCGTATTCAGATGCAAGAGTCGAATTCATGTCACCCCCGACCAGCCCACCGTAGACTTCCCACCCTTGAACCAACTCACTTTTTAGCAGCGCTGATATTGTAGCGAGCTGGTAAAAACGGTACTCGTATCCGAGATCAAGGGATTCAAGGTGCGCCGTGCATAGCCGAAGCAGCCCTTTTGCTTCATTAGGACCATGGCCCTCTGATACGGGAAGGTGAACCACAAGGGCATCTCTCTCCGATTCAGAGACGAAGGGGACGCGAAAGCAATTTGATATCCGAAGGTCCCGCGGGATCATCATGAGCGTGAAGTGGCGGGTAGGCACGCTGCCAACATTCTCTTCAAGGACGTCGTTCCACTCCTCACGATAATAAAAGGGTGGCGGCTTGACGTCTGTGATAGAGAAGTTGCCTTGTGTCCACCTATCCTTAAGTATCACTCGCAGTGATTCTTGGCAGACTTCTTGGAACATCACCACGAGGTTGTGGGGCTCTTGCCCAAACAGTGTCCTAAGATGGCTAAGAGCGGCCGAAGCACGAGTTGCAGGCCCACGAGAAGTAAAGCATAGGTTCCAGGACGCAACTTTTAGTGAGTCTCCCCGCTTCAGTGTTTTGGTTTGATTGGTCAAAGCTCTCCAGCTTGACACCTGCGTGTCATGAACCCAGGGCGTGGATATTATGGGGGCTTGCTTGTCGTTCGTGAAACCGGCCATGGCCTCCCGATACATTTCTCTGAATTGGCTGAGTGGAATCTCATGGAGGCTGCGAGGATCTTTCCGACGTTGGAGTTCGCGAGTTACCCCGGCCAAAAGGTAGGAGACTTGTGATTCGTATCGACAAGGGTGGTGAGGTCCGATCGAGCTTGACTTCCAGCGACGATTCAACCCTCTCCGATGTTGAAATTGAAAAAATATTAAACTCCTTCCATTGTTACCAAGTTGACCGCCGTGAGGCGCAAGCAGGCGATGCATTTCGGGAGTACCGTAAGGCTCAACCTGAAGACTGGCAATGTTTACAAAGATCGACTCGAGTATGAGAATGATGGGCCCACTAGACACATGGTGTCAGAATCGAGGCCCCACCATGGTCCCAAGGTTCAAGACCAAGGGCCTGTATTGAAGGAGCCGGATAAGCCGACAGCTAAATTGGTACGTAATTAGGCAATAAGCCCTCATCAGGCAGATTAATTCAATACTCTTTTTAGCCCACACAGGCACCTTGACCCTACAGTTTGAGAACATGTTCGGACGCCCCCCAATGTATCGTCAGCTGAGTCATCGCACGAAGATTGACAATATCTGTCGCAGGGCAGACATGATCTTCACGGCCCAGGAAATAACTGCATTAGTAATCTAGCTGTATGCTTTATCTCTGCGGAATGGAATACCCCGCACAAGGGATAACTGAAGAACAATCAACAAATTTGCTGCTACTTATTACATTCACTTAACACTTTAAGCACGCTCAGTGCGACAAGATCGCATAATTTGCGAGTGGGAGGGTAGCCAACATTTACTACCTCAGGCCTCGACAGCTGATGATCCTTCTCAAAACCTTCACAGCTGTTCGAGCACTATTGCCATATTTATGCCTTCAATTTACCCGACAACCTAAAACAGAATGATCATTGGACGGCCCTTCCAACAAACCAACTACAAAGGTACCCGGCTGCCTCGTAGAAATCCCATACAAATCAAACTCGCGCTAAAATGACAGGGGGTAACCAGTGTGTCCACGGCAGCGAGGTAAACTCGTAGAAGGAAAAGCCGTAAAAGAAACAAAACGTAGATATTTAGGTAGAAAATCGTAACGGCATTAGGATTTGCCGGTTATCAGGATGAAAGGACCAGACTTATAGTACGTAAATCAAGTTGAAATTTGTCTTGAGTTGGATGGGATACAGTGAAGAGTGGGGGCACCCTTAGTAGCGATACATTTCTATTGATCCTGCCACTTTCACTGAAAGTGGACGTTTCGTATTGTCTGTCTTTGGCTGATAATCCGTGTTTACCTCGCATTCCACTTTCATGTGAAAGAGGGCGACCGGATGCCTAATCGCCTATCTATTTGTACCTCATTGCTCGTTGCTCCAACTGAATGGAATTTCCCCCGTTATATCTTATCCACACAATTACTGGATTAAATTAGAGAGATTCTTGCAGGGCATATTTGGATGCAGCACATGCTTATCATGTGTCATATCTTAGTGCTTAAGTAAAAATCTGCGATATGCTGACTTGGCCAACTGATTCAGCTATCACTATTCACCAAAGTCATGCTCATAATGACGCGACGAACCCCTTTGATTGGCTAGTCCGCATTTAAGGTTAGCTAGCCCAGGGCAACCCCGCTCCGAGGAATCAGTGACACAGAAGGCAAGAAGAGGTAGTCAAGAGCTAGATGGGAAGTCTGCTTGTTATGGGCCTCGCTGACAGATGGCCAATAGGTCACATGATGCCCTTTGCGGCCACCCTGCTGTCCAACAACTGTAGATATTGTAACTAGCTCACTGAAAGTTTTCTTTTACTTGACACTCGACCCTCCTGAACCCTGCCGATACCATATTATGTCCACAACAAATTGCGGTACAGTACCTTCGGATCCGGCAAGGGTCTCCTACCCTGCCTAAAATGGTACGGGCAATAGGGATGTAGGAATCTCGCTTCACCGGTTGTCGCCATTATGGATCGTATGAACAATCTGCTCACTTCTCGTTCTTCCCCAAAGACATGATTTTTATCCCAGCCTTTGCTCCTTTTTTGGTCCTCTTAGTTTTCGCTGTTGGCACCGTTTTCTTCTGCCCCTGCTTCGTGATAATTTGAGCTTAAGCCTTTTGTGATATAGGTGCCACTTGGCATTTCCACTTCTCATTCATTTTCTTCCTCTTGCTCTCCGTAATGCTTTGTTTATTACTTGTCACTGCCTTTTTGACCAACTGCTGCTTGTCCATAGAAGTGCCACCTTTGCATAATTTTTCAGAAGTTGGTCTTTCCCCTTTGTTGGTTATCGCATTCGATACCTTCCGCTTCTTCTTCTTTCTCTGCCGTCCTTTTTTTGCCATCACGTTCTTTTCATTAGTCATTGACTTGTCAGAGGGCTCTACAGCCTCTGCTCTATCCGACGTCATTGATAATGTAGACTGCAAGTTTGCTTCTGGCCGCTGTTGAGTATTTAGTTCGTAAGAGCTGGACTTGCGTCTATCTGTCTCGCACTCCATGAGTATTTACCTGAGTACTAGGTTTGAATATTTTTGTCTTGCGCCACTCTAATTCGATATCCGGAATTCCAAACGTCTTTGTCCAAAGCGACGAATTATCATACGGCCACAATTGATATACGAAATCGGTAGCTATCTTGATGGCCGGGTGAGCCGTGTCAATCCTCCCCACAGGCCGATTACCCATCCTACCCGTAATAATAGGCTCTTCATATAATTGATAAAACGTTTGTCCAGAAGGGTGAAAACGGAGGGGAGGTGGATGCGAGAGTACTGTCACTAGACCACCATGGGAAATAAACCATGCAAAAATGATAGAAGCGCCATGGATATATGTCGCAGAGTTTTGTTTGTGGGGACATGTTGGGTCATCAGGACACAAAAGCGGACCGAGAGCGGTTGTCAGTGTTTGAAATCCATGCGCATCGGCCCATTGCTGAGCCTGTTCACGCAACATGCCGCTCCATAGCACCTGACGGTTAGGGATGCAGGCTTTTTGGAACCTCGAGAAAATGTTGTCGGCCTCTTGATCTGTAAGCCACCGACGGATGAGCTGTCGAATTGCAACTGGAGCTTGGTTAGTGCCGAAATTCGCGCCACGAATTGGCATGAACGCTTTCAAGTGAACGAGGCTTTTAGTACAGCTCTGTACGATTTTCATTTCGTAGAATGTTTTGAAGTGGTTAGTTGGCCGCAAGGTTGCCTGAATGTGATATTCAATTTTAAGTATTTTAATGATGCGGTACTCGTCATGGTGAATCATAGATATCACCTTGCCGAGGGCCAGCTCACTTTGCGGCCCCAATGACGGTCCTTTTCTCACGCTTTTAGTGTAAGGGCCTTCCGGCATGCCGAGAGTACAACCAAGTGGCACACCAGACTATTTGCCCACTGGATTAGCCAATGCGGTAACCCGAGACCCCATGGCGTGGACATGTCGACTGTGTTCAACTGTGTTGTATCTGGCCACTTTTCGGATTATATCATGCAAGCTGGCTCTCAAGTTCGGGTCCATGGGATTGTTTAATATGTAGTTGAGTAACTCATCGAGTTTCTGAATCATCCATAGTTTGTGAACGCCTTCCACGATATCTCGCAGACAAGTTACAGTTTGGTGCTTGGTCCATGCTGTAATGAGCTTGGCAACTTCATTCGCCTTGTTCTCAAAGGCCGATGCTGGATTCGCCAAATCTCTTCGATATGAGATTTTCTTGCCGAGCTGTCAGAGAAGCTACCACTAGTCTTGAGTTTCAACAACCGACTTTTTTGACCTTTTGTTTGTTGCTTGGACGGAGATGAAGACTGTTAAGAATGCGTTCTGAACATACGGTCACAACAACACCAAAGGCACTCTCGACCGTACCAGCGTTTGCATCGGCTATTTCACAGTTAGCATATAAATTTTATCCATGATGCGGGCAAGAGGGTCGAAAAAGGCGGCACATTTTGGCCCATATATAAGGGTAGGAATCGAAGTGCCTTATTGATTAAGAAGACGAACCGTAGCGCTTTCTGGCTAAGAATACCTGAGTGGAGCCGAATTTGCGAGCTTTATCACAAACCCATGGAGCAAATCGAGGCGTTTATTGAGAATTGATCTTGGGTGTAGGGCTAAATTTAGACACCTACGACATCACTTGGCGGTAAACAGATATGTGTTACGCAGCCGAGCCGGTCAAGCCAAGGAGACGGTTGCGTAAACTGATCTGGCTGCTCCATCATATTGCCATCATTCTGGACGATCAACAAGCGATTAGTAAAGAAGTCCTTGATGGCAACTTCCTGATCAGATGGTTCCGCCAGTCTAGCTTCCGGATCAACCTCAAAATACTCGCTGCGAGGACCTTTTAGGAATAAGCGTTGATAGTATACTCCAGATCGGAAGTGCGGACTAGCAGTCGGTGCTTCCCTGCCCTTTGCTGGTCTGCCTTTCTTCCCAAAACAGCTCAGATCATGATGGATATCCCGCAAATGACGATGCAACTCCCGCGTTGAGGCACATATCTGATAGCAAGATGGTGTGAAAAGGCATCGAAAGCCATTTGATCGTGCTGGAGGAAGGTCAGGAATAGCTGGTCCCAGAGGAATCGGATATGGTAGCTTATAGAGGTCTCTTTGGTTTCGGATGTGGTTAAATTGCTGTGCCCAACGGTATGAATGCTCAATAATCTCGTCCCTTTTGGGGATATTGTGGGGGAACTGATGTAGATGATGGCGGATATTATTGCCATATTCTGCTTTATGGCAGGTCTTGCAGATAAAGACCTTGATCGATGGTACATAAGTGAAATAGTCCATTATAATAACTAGAGATCAGAGTTGCAGACAGTAACATCTATAACCCCAGTTTGTTTATCATCAATAGATAAAAGGTAAACTCTAATCTACTTCCATAGCAACAAAAGCAATTCTACTACTTGGGGTAACTTGGGGTCAGTCAATCTTGCATTTACCCCAAATGGCTTGGGGTTATCCTTGTAATTTAATTGGTCCTTGGGGTTACTTGGGGTTATTTCTGCACTTAACTACCTGACTAAATTCTATCAGCTATATAGTAGCTACTATTCTTCTAGAGGCTGCAACTATCTGATCAATTAGTTTTCTATATAACTCCCAAGTTTCAACTTAATCCAACAGTAGGAATGTAGTTTTTTTACAACAGATACGAACATGGGGTTATTCTTGTATCTAACCGAATAGCGTGGGGTTATTCTTGTAACTTGATTGGTGCTTGGGGTAGCTTGAGGTTATTTTTGCACTTAACCAACTGACTTAATTCTATTTACTATAAAGCAGCTACTGCACTTCTGAAAGCTGTAACTATCTGATTAATTAGTTCTAAAGAATGATCTAGAGTTTCAATCTAATCTAATATTAGGCATATAGTTTTCTGTAATACCTGGGAATATGGGGTTATTTTTACATATACCCAGCTGGACTTCTTTTCAGGTACGTACCGGTGCTCGGGATAGATCTAAGCCTGATTTGGCTAAGACTCTGACATGGGGCTACCACATCAAAAATCGGCGAAAATAAATAAAAGAATTAATTCCTCTGGCTGTAGAGATTAGAATATGATTTTAAAAGCTGGAAGCATCTGATCGATTAGTCAACTAACGTCTTGTAGTTTCTGCTGGTCATGCGACATCAGGAATGCTGTTTTCTTGAAAACGTGGGTTGGTGGCAAAATAAAACGTGGGTTAAGGGGTGAGCTGATAGCGCCGCGCTAAAGTGCCATATAAAATAAACGTGGGTTAGTCAACCCACGATTACAATAAGTGATAGGGGTGAGCTGATAGCGCCGCGCTAAAGTGCCATATAAAATAAACGTGGGTTGGTCAACCCACGATTACAATAAGTGATAGGGAAGCTATCCTAGCTATTGCAGCTAGATCCCCCAGCGAAATCCCTAAAGAGCCTGATCTAGCTCTTATAGCCATACCTACCCGAGAGGGAGGCCTAGGAATTCCTTTACATAAGGAACTAGCCTCACAGCTATACCAGGCAGCTATGGAGGCCTCTCAACCCACCCTACCCACCCTAGAAAGGATCAGGGCTAGAGCCACAGGGGATCCTCCCCCTAGAGCCCCTATAGCCCCTAGGGGACCTACTGCTAAAGAGGTCCTTATGGAGGCTAACAAGGTCAGGCTAGAGGCCTTTTTAGAGGACCTTCCTACCCTGTATCAGCAGGCTAGGCTTGAAAATGCTAGCTATCTAGGCCGTAAGTGGCTTGGAGTCTTGCCTACGAAGAAAAACCTATCCTTTGCAGACTCCGAGATCACTGAAGCCCTCAGAAGCCGGCTCTTTTACCCTGTTAAGCCCCCCAGCCTACCCTGTAGCTCCTGTGGAGCTATAGCGGCCTTCCAGCATGAAGACACCTGTAGAGGCGCTACGAGAAGGTGGATCGCAAGGCATGATACCGCCGTAAGAGCCTTCTATAGAGCCTTGGCCAGCGAGCCCTCCCTGGAGGTCCAGAAGGAACCCTTAGTGGATAAGGCAACCAGTCTACGGGCTGATATAGCGGTCACTGTAGGAAATAGTCGCTATTACTACGATATTCAGATCGTGGCTATTGCAAAGGATTCAGCTAGATCTGACCCCTATGAGACCCTTCGGGAGGCTGCAGAAGAGAAACGACGAAAATAAAGGACCCTAGGGGCCTTCTTTCAGCCTATTATTATCTCGGCAGGGGGCCTTATGGAGCTGGAGACCGCCAAGACCTACCGAAAGTTACAGGACCTTATCGGGCCTATAGCAGCAGCACAGCTCGATTCCTCTATTGGTCTCGCTCTTACAAGGACCCGGGCTATTTCAGCAGCCTCTATTAGCAGGGAAGCCCCTAGAGGGATAGCTAGTTCCCTCTGGAATCCCTCTAGAAGGGACCCTCAAGGCCTATCTTAGCCTTATTCTTTCCTGTAAGCTATTACCTATAATAGCTACCTTTTCCTTATAACTTTTCTTATTTCCTTATCTCTCTTTTCCTTCTTCTCTTTACTTTATCCTATTATTTTATTACTTTATTTTATTCCTTCTCTTTATTTTCTTTACTTTCTTTATTTATAGCTAGCTTTATTTTCTTCCTTTTTTATACCTTATAGCAGTTATAGCCTTATTTTCTTTTCCTCTCCTTATATTTCCTTATAGCTATAGTTATTTCCTTTCCTTATACTGTATATAGTCCCTAGAAAAGCAACTAGGCAGATAGCTTAGATAGTTAATACCACCCTAATCTAACCCTAAGCATTACGTATATTATTAGCTATTAGCTAGTTGCGCCCTATAAATAATCAGTCGCTGACCTACTTTATAACCTTGGATATACTCTTTCCGTGGTAATACTCGTAAAAGTGACCTTTTCCCGGTCGCGGGTAGGTCTGCCGAGGTACGTACCCTGGTCCCCGTCGCGGGCACGTGAGGTTATACAGTGCAAGTACCTTCTCGCCCCTGACAGTACGGCAACGGTACCTGCTGGGCACATGGCCCGGTCGCGCCGCCTCCCCGGTCGCGCCTCTGTATTGCCTACAAAAGCTTAAGTTATTTTAGAGGGCTTAAAAGGTAAAAATAATATTAGCCTTATTAGAAAATTATAGCATATTAAGTTATTATAAGATATCGAATTAAATTATAATAATATAGATTAAGGGATTTTTAAGTTACTTACTTATTTAAGTTACCTACTTATTATATATATTATTTTAATTTTATAAATAATCTTTTATTTAATTGATATAATACTTATAATCTTTTTAGTATTTTATTTATATATTTATACTACTATACTAAGGTATAATAATTAACTATAATAAAATTAACCCTAACCCTACTCGCTGTTGTAGTTCACGGCGAAACGTAGCCGGACTGGAGACCAGGTTGCTGTCAGTTCTAGAGCGATATGGTCCAGTAAGTGTTTGTCCTCCCTTATCCGTAAAGTGAACTCTTGTAGGTGAGTTCACTTCTAAGTGGGCGAGTTTACATTGAGTTAGTCTGTTGCATGAGTTATTTGTGGGGTACATGTGATGTAACCGCGGGGGTCGTAATACAGTGGGGGTTTATTGGTAGCATGACCTTTCCCTAGGTGGGGTTTTGGAACGCATATATAAGCGCCCAGGTACCCGCCCCTTACTCAGTCGACTCAACTGTTATTTCTCCATCACTTAGCTAAAACAAGATCAACTTCTATCGCGATGCGCTACACAACCCGCGATACAGCAGCATGCTTTGAGCTGCTGCCCCCCGAGATCTTGCTGCCCATCGTCACAAGCCTTCCTGGTCTCGATACGCTTTGGAACCTGATGAGGGCCTCGCCACATATCTGGCGTTTATTTAGCAGCCATGCCCTCACTATCACTGAAGGCATACTTTCTGGCCCGAACTCAATTTTGCCCCCAAAAGTTCGAGAGCTCATTCGTGGAGTTATACTGGTGCGCTCCAAGGCCCTTCTTTTTCGGAATCTGGATGAGTTCCAGACTCAATTCCTACGCGGCGTGGTTCCTATTCGTGAACCGGAGGACGCGAAATTCATTACTCTTGGCCCAGAATCATTATCTACCTCGATCGTGCCCTTGCCCATACTCCAGTCGGTTATCGCGACCGCATACCAAATCTCTGTCTTATCACAGGCGTGTTTATCATCGTATCTAGCACGACTGAAAAACGTCAGGCCACTACATGCCTTTAACCCAAAGCCGTACTACACCCATGGCTATGGACCTAATGACGACTGGGTGGCAGCCTGGGATCGGGAATTTGTCGGTATACCTGCCAAAGTGGTCGATGCGGGGCAACCGAGTTGGGTTGAAGAAATGAGGGCTTTACGCGCCATATGGATCATACAGCTTGTGGGTGAAATCAAAGCTGTCGTTGGGGACAAGATAGGCAAAAGCTGGGCCAAGGAAGATATCGATATATTGAGTCAGATGAATGCAGAAGACCTGGTGGAACGACCTGATAGTTCCATTAGTAAAGCTGAGGAGATCAGGACCGCAATGGACTACTTGACAAGTCTCGGACGTGCCCAGAACGACAACTACTACCGATTACCACGCCCGCCTCCATTCTCAGAAAGTCCCGGATGGATCACGGCATCGCCAGAGTCAAGCAAGGTACTCCGGGCTGTTTGGGGATATCGTCGTAACGGGCAAATTCACCGTTTGGAGAAGGGTACTGCTATACCAGAAGACAGCACACCACTCAGGCGGCCATTACTCAGCGAGAATGCTCGCTGGGAGCAAACCGAGGAGTTCTTAAGCAGGGAGTCATCAGGTGTGTCTAGTTGGGCGGTCCTTACAATTGGTCCTGGTAACAGCTCGCCCATTCCTGGTGTCAAATTCGACTCTTTCCGCCGACTGGGCTTTGCTTTCTGGGATAAGCGAAGAATGTGCCTTTTAGGTCTGACCTGGGACCTAGACGGACAAGGTTATTCAAACGAGTTTTACTTGTTCGCGTTGGAAAGTATTTTGCCTCCTGATGAGGTTGCCAACCTCAAGGTCGAGCTCCGGAAGAAAGGGCAAATCTTCTATTCTGATTCTTAGTTTGGAATTGTTATTCCTTAAGACTTATGTAGATATGCCCTCTTTTGAATTCTACAGTTTCATTCATTAACCATCAACTATTATAAAGGCGTATATTTGGCGTAAAGGCACAATGTGATAAAAGTTTAATACGACAGCGCAGAGGGCTTTCATGTTGTATGTATTGATTCAGGATTGGTAGCTATTGACATACTAAAGGTTTGACTCTCCCCGCAGATATAAAGCGCAAAACAAGACACAACACCAAAGCCAAGGCAATATCTATCAGGCACCGGTAACATGAAACACTAGCATGACCTTTCGTTGTCTCTCATATTCAGTCACGCTAGTTCCAGTCACATCAAGAGGAATATTCGGGACAAATATGTCGACCTTATTAATGACCTTGACCCCCAATGCCCGCTTGTGGTTGATAAGAAAGTAAGCCGATCCTGACCCGTTAGGACTGCCGAGTATCGCGAAAAATTCGTCAGGGTGGTCACTGGCGGTAAGTGTTGTCCTATCGGCCCATTTTCCGATTCTTTTTCCTTGCCCATCGTTTTTGTCTTTGTTGATTATGGCTTGGAATATAGTCGACAGTGTGAAGTCGTTTGTGATCCAGGAGCGAATAATGTATCTCACGTTTGTATTATCACCGCCATGCGCTTCGCATGCCTTAGTCTGTAGCCACCCGCATTCACAGATTAGAAGTCGTTCATTTACTGAGAGGGATGTATGAAAGGAGGAAATTGATATGCTCAGAATTAAATGAAGCAAGGAAAAGAAAAGAAAAGGGAGGAGAGAAATAATTCGTTTGACTCACCCATTGCATCCACACTATATCGCTCCACTGCGGCTATACGTTAGCGGGTGTAACAAAAAGAGAGTTGATCATAAAGCACCCTCTTTGCAGGAGCTCCAATCCCTTCTCACCTTTCTAAAGTGGGTTGTCTTTCCCTGAATAAGATTCTTCTTTATGGCTTCATCAACTCCAAGATTCTTGTCGGCGATTATAACACCAGGATCCAAGATGAAAGAGTTTTGATAAGATGCACGAGTTGGCTAGATATAGAATCAATCGATTTAGCACTACCCAATGACTTTGTGTCTGGCCTCTGGCCTGAACGAGATGAGGAACTTACGACGCCCACGTCAGAATCTCCCCAGAGCATTAGATCGCCTATCATTCGATCCAACGACATACTCTCGCCTCTCCACCGACATTGGACTTCTGAACTTGGAACTACCGAATCAAACGCCTGCCATGGACGCCCAGTCGACTGAAGCTATCTCACAACGTACCAGCCACTCCGGTTACGGTATAAGCGGCGACGGGGTATGGGTCGTGAAGGATGGAATGAACATGCTTTGGCTACCTCCGGAGTATCGCCCGGAGCAATCGGCTGTCGTTCAGGTCGTGTACTGGTGATGAAGTTCTCTTAGAGCGGAGGCAGGCATAATCGCCTTTTTAATCACAAGCAGCCCTTTTCCAGTTGTCAGGAAGCCCGGCACGCAACTGTTTCCTACCTTAGCTAGCTAGCCCTGTATTCATCGAGCTTCAGATGTGCTATAGGAAAAAGCCAGCGTTATTTCTTTCTCTATAATTTTCTTTTCACTTTGATCTCGGAGGGTCGTAGGGACTCAGCAAAATTTATATTGCAACGGACAGTGGCGTTTTTGCCTTCTAGACCAATCGAGAACTGTCTGGCCCCAGGAGTCATGTGGTCTATGATTCCCTCACATAGAACAACATTGGCCATTCTGTGGGTGGAGTTTGTTTGGTTAATGCTTTATTTTGAGATAGAGGCTAGTGGCTGCAGATAAATCCATCTTGCTTGTTGGACGGCTCCTGGTTGGACTCCCAATTCGGCGGGAGCGGAGGCCGACTCGGCATCGAATATACCCACAATTCCCGATGGCCGATTGTGGCCTTCGGGTCCTTGCATGACATGCTTGGATTAACTTTTATCCACCTATGAAGGCGCGGTTTTTCTCCATATGTCGACTGTGATGCTGTCTTATTGCTGAGGATACCAATCAACTGTGCCCCTTCAACCTCGCTATTAAAGACTTCAGCAATGCCTAGGAGCCTCCGTTTTGAGAATCTTTTAGCATACGGGTACCTGCACCAGACCTTCCTGAGACGGAGTAGTTTACCGGGGTGTTTATTACACCCATCCATGATCGCCTGGGATGTTGCCGCTAGAGAGAAGAGGCTGTAAGAACCCCAGTGTGTACTAGTTTGCGATGCTTCTTGGGTTGGGTGTTTGCACTTCCTTGAGGCAGAACTAGCAGCAATGCCGCCTTAGCCCATCCAATCTCAGACTTAGCTCCTGACGCAGAGTAGGCAGCCGCTCAGGCCTGGGGATCCTTTAAAATACCATCATGCATCTCACCTAATAGTTTCTCGTCTGCTCCCCGATCGTTCGCGCATTTAGAAGAATAATTCTTACCTTTAAAGCACTCCTCAGCCTCTCTGTCATTGTGCCAATCGGGGTGGACCATCATGCTGCGTCTCCTGATTGCAGAAGCGATGTCTTACTTGTTGGCCGTCGTTGGGAGACCCAGAAGCTCGTAGTGGGACGCGCCTCCTTGTTTGGCTTTCAAGACTCTATTGACCTCTTCCCTGTTCTGTCGACCACGAGCATTAGTCGGATCCTCTTCTAATGTGCGTGCCACTTTGTTTTGGTCAATCGTACATTGTGTCAAAAATTGACTCGTTTCGCCAAGGCAATGAGTTTTGCCGTCTTCAATGACTTCGTTGGAGAGGTTATTTCCGTCTTTCTGGGCTTTCTTTTGATATGTGGTCATAATCGCACCAACGAACTCCTCGCCCTCTTCCTCGGAATCCTTGAGGTGTTTGCGAATTTGGTCACGTTCATCCTCAGAACGAAACGCTATTCTCCTTGTAAATCTGTCTACATGATATTGAGAGAGTTCAGCGAAGATTGGTGAAATAACTGCGTTCCAGCCCACTGTGGCTGGCTCTTTGCCTTTTCCCTTGCCTCCGTTACTGCGCACCAGCTTTGTGAAGTCATCATCTTCGACATAAACTTGCTTGGACTGACTAACGGGTGGTTCGGGGTTAGCTTCTTCGCCGTTTTTGACTCTGGCAAGATCCATTGTCGCTTGCGCCTGGCCCCTCTGGAGTGTGAAGGGTGGCCTTCTTACACCAGCAAGGGTCCCAAGACGGCCCACCTCCTCCTTCATTCGGATCAAAATGGACGTTAAAGGCAAGGGTTAAGGCATCCCGCGGTACTGTTAAAGATTGCACTTTGAATTGACTCACCGTGGGAGGCGGGCTCGGTCACCGTGTGGGCCTTTCGCAGTGCGCATCTCTTTGTTAACGCTGGCCACGCGGAGCTTAGTCCCACTCAGCTGGCATTGGTGGCAATAAGTGACCGCCCCCAAGGAAAGGGCAGGCTGCGATATGGGGCAATTACGTTGCGTGCTATAACAAAATCAGCTACTCCGAGGCAAGAATGGCCAGGCTACCCGGGACGACGGTCACATAGAAGCGCTTCGGAAGGACATAGCGGAGTTGTAGTGTCAAAATGAAGGTCAAATACAGCGTGAGCTGCGCAGATTCAGACAAGTCATATTTCCGTGCTTTGGGGATGTCCAGCGCACTATATTGCAGCGTTCTCACACATGCCCATGCCTAAGCCACGATCGAGTTAACCTCACGAAATCGGACGATGCACAATCCCTAACAGCGTGCAGAACCTCAGTGTAAACTGCAAAAACATCCTCCCAATCAACGTCCTCCTCATCCTGCTTCATACAAATTCAATGTTAACATTACACCCAAGGATCTCATAGTGAGCTCGGCGACCTTCTCGCCCGACGGGACGCTGCTCGCCTCGGCCTCTCGGGACCGGGCGGTAATGCTGTGGCGCGTCGAAAGCGGCGTTCTCAAATGTACCCGTGCTCAGGCTGCTGGAGGGTAACCCTGTCATATTGACGGATACCGCTTCGATGTGGAACAGCTCACGTGTTATAACGCAACGTCGCGATCTCGTTTCGACAAGCAGCTAAGAGCAAGCACTACGTTGGCGCGCGGCTATTGAAAGACTTTCACTAGCCAAACCAGACGGTCAAATCTAGTGCCGAGCATCGGCCGCGGTAACCGCTCTCCTGCAGCCAACCACCTTTGCAATGTACCCGCCGGCGCCTATTTGACAAAGAAGAACCATGCTCCCAAAAATAAACGAAGGCCGTGCTTTCCTCTAAGCTAGGCTCCCCAAATGCAGGTGCATTCTTCCTTTGAAACGACAAATTTATCATAGCCGCTGTCAGACACGTGTCTAGCCGCCTGAAGCACACTGAAACATCAAAGCTTAGCCAAGACTTTGTCCATAACGTTAGCAATAAAGTTTTTAAAGTAGCCGTCTATAATAAGAGCTCCGGGCTCCTTGTCTATCCATTTCGGCATCGTTATTAGCCCAATATAGATTAAATACTAATTTATTTTTTAAGTGTTGCTCACTCACCAAGGTTGATATCTTCTCTTGCTATCCCTTTCATCCACTTAGCGAACGCTTTGGCTGCCCATGCCGCTTAAAGAAGTGCCTGTCTATTGTGATGGTTTCCGATCTTCTTATTATAATAGTCTCCTATACCTAACACTCCTTTGATAATACTAAGAGATTTCACTTCTCTATTGTATTCATAAACTTGTAAAAATGCGCTGGCCTCCATGTCCAAAGCACCCACGTTTTCGAGAGTCGTTAGAGTTCTTAGTAGTTGACTTTGACTGAATGAGAGAGAGTACTCACAGTATTCTGTATCTGGTCAAGAGAAGCATCCATGCGGACGGCACAGCCCGATACGAAGTCTCCGTATTTATACAGAGGCTGGTCCGCCTAGGCGATGAATCTATCCATGGCAGCCCCCCGAACCTCTATAACCTTGATATCTGGCTTAAAAACTGATTTGCTATCTTACCAGGCCCACTGTCCTTCCTCATAGTTTAGCGCTCTCTCCCCAAAAACGATATCTCCGTTTCTAATGAAATGCTTAGTAAATTCCGAGGTAACTGCGCTTCTTACTATATATACTTAATATTTTTATTTAAGATAGCGATATAGGAGCCAATATAAAGTGTATACCGAGGTTTAAGAACTAAAAATAATATAGCCGCTTTAATCCTAAAGGCTTAGATCCCCTGCCGTAATAGACTAGTTATATAGTATAGCATAGAGGAGTCGCCGACCCTAAATCTTCTAATAGGATAACCTAGAAGGGAAGGATATTAATTTATTTAATATTAATTCATTTAATGCCAATAACAGTGTATTAGTAAGCCTTATTAGGAATAATAGCTTATAAGAGGTTACCCTAAAAGGTATAAGTAATATACTTTAAAAATATAGTTAAGATACCAACTAACCTTTATCTTTAAGCCACCAAAGTACATTAATATATACTTAAAGGGGTCTTATTTAGTGGACTTTCCAACGACACTAACAATAACTCTCAGACATCGGCTAGGAAAGGATAAATAAGTCAGGCTATTCTAGGAGGTTATCACGGGTAAGGCTAACCATTACATGGGGTTTGTGCAGGTGATCACGTGGGAACAGTTCCAAGAGCTATGAGGAGAAAGATATTTCAGATAGTGGCGAGAGGATATGTAGTTACACGGACATAATTACTGAATTTGTGGAGTAACGTGATTGAGCAGCTTAACATGGGCACTTGCAAGGAGAATCAATGGCGGGCGCTTGAACATTCTCCCTTTGACATTTTGTGAAATATGGCTGGGAAAATTTATGTCTTTTATTTTATCGATGATCAAGGGAAGCCGATTTCTTGACCTTATGTGCTCAAGAGGTTGGCATGTGTCAGTGTGACTATCTGCGTGCATGCGCTCATACTTCACTCAAGGATGTCCGAGAAGGTACTGCCTCACTAGACGCTGCCTGGATTGCTCCAATTGAGCTCGAAGCTCAGGCTGCCACATTCATACCAGACGAATAACACCACGGCCGGTTTTATGTCCGAATTGCGAAGTGCTGCCTTCCATTCTTCATCGACTCATTCAATTCAAAGCGAAGAAATTCAATGCGAAGAGAGTGGTTGTATCAGGTTCAGCTTCGTCATGGCGCTATCAAATTGACGCAGGTCTGGTAGTTAAGACAACCAGGTGCTGTCAACGGCTTCTTCCCTATGATATTCTCATAAGTCTCAAGCCGGCCAGATCGCCTTCGCGGGCACATCGATGTTATCCCAGCGCCGTGCATCCCGTTTGACGCTCGACCCGCGCAATTCAGCCCCTCAAGCATATGTGCTATTTGATACAAAAACTGAAAGAACAGCAGCGTACGCCGCCGAAGCTGCTAACAACTCGTAGCTAGATACTCTCAACAGGACTGCGACAACAACGGAGAAGAAAGTGATAAAGCCGCAAACCATCGCGGTCTTAGCCCCTTTGCTCGACCAAGCCGACAAGATGGTGAGTGGGACGATGACCTGTCGCACGCCACCGAGGTTAAGGCTGCCGGGTAGTTCATTTTGGCAGACGTGGAAGTGCTACATTGAGCTAATGCGCTCTTTGCGCTCAGCAGCCATTAACCGTCTTCCATCTACCATCCTTCGCCTTTTCACGAGTTTAAGGGCCTAACGCTGTCTGGTGGGGCTTCCACTTCGACAGCCGGCCTAGTCTCATCCTGGTGCGGATAATCAAGCCGGTAAAGATAATAGATCAAAAGTCGAACCGCAACGGGATCGTCTTCCGGAAGATATATAACGCCAGTACAACCCTCCTAATCTCTATAAGCTCTGTAGGTGGCAAGATGCTACCCTGGGGAAGCAAACCTTTAGAGGAGTATTACATGCTTTCTCAAAGAATGTAGAGCGAGGACAAACGATGGCCTTATGGACTTTAAATTCCTCCTGGCTACTTAAAATCGTTAAGTCGGAGTATGTACCTTTTTTTTTAGCAGTCTGATTTGGTGAGAACCTTTGTTACATTAGGAATGGAACTACTCAGACTTATTAAAGGAGCCCAACAGCTCCTTACGAGGGTCGTCGGCCATGCGAATTTCCACGAGAGAGGTCTAGAGAAGTTAATTGAAATGGTGTGCTATAGAGCCTAAAGATTACACACCCTAAGCATCAGTATTTACGATAGACAGTCACGAATACCAATTAAACCCAGAGGCTCGGTGGTAGATACATGGCAAAGGATTCTTAACCGCTTCACGTGTCATTAGCAATTGCATGGTAGCGCAGTCACAGTTACACGGCATACCTGCCGCACACCATGTCATCCCCTCGACTCATCCTCTAATCAGGGTGTCTGCGTTCCCATCTATAATCTTTTGATGCTGCGATCTTCGGGATAGCAGTGCCTCGAGAAATTCAGGGATTGCGGTAAAGTTAGGCATGTTTTATCCTGAGTAAAGCGGCAGAATGCGGGTATCCGTGCCATCTTAGGTCACTTATAAGACAGTACCTCAATGTCCAGGCCTTGACCAAGACAGCGGCCGTGTCTCAGCCACACACGGGCAGTACGCGTCATAGCACGAATCAGAATCCAACCTTTAGCCAGCTTTCAAGACTCGCTCTCATTAGATACCCTTTATTGAGATTATATTGGTAATACTACTATGCTCTTCTCTATAGATATAATCTATAGGACAATCGAATTAGATTTAATTAACCTATATTTACAACAGGAAAGGAAGGAAGGAGTGAGATGTACATCTCTACTAAAAAGATAACTATAGCGCTAATCAGTATTATTCGTTTCGTACGAATCTCGTTTTGCGCGAACACTCAAATGGTCTTGACCCTGGTCATGTCACGGCGCTCGCGACGACTCTGCTAAACGGTACTGGCAGACTAGAGCTGGGGTGTCTCTTTTCCTGCAAAAAGGCCCGGCGCCTAGCGGCTAGGTCTTTGACGCCTCTCCACGGGCACAGACCAGTGTGTATTGCTATCAAAGTATTATCTCTTATTTCTCATAACTTAAAAACTACCACTGTAAAATAACATAAGCAGAATAGCTTAGATAGCCAATACCTAACCCTTCAACCCTACTAACCCTACTAACCCAACGGTACACTTCTCTCTGTCTAATGGGAGCTTATGGCATGGAGGCCAGCAATACGTCCAAAGACGAGTGCCCGCATAACGGCCACTGCATTTGGAGCCTTCTCGTAGAAATGGCCAGTAATCTCACCTGCAGCATATAGATTAGGAATGATGCCTCTCTGGCCAAGAACGCGCGCTTCCACATCAGTCGCAATGCCGCCGAAAGTGTAGACAATGGCCGCGGCTAAGGGGAATGCGGTATACGGCGGAGCGTCGAGCGGCCTAGCCCAGTTCGATTTCGATGGTTGCAAGCCTGAGGTAGTGGCGAGATTATCAAGCCGGCCCGCCGTAAAGCCAGACATGTTTGCGTTACAGGCTGCATTGTAGTTTAAGATTGTGTTCAGAAGCGCTTGTTCCGGCATCCCCATCTGTGCCGCCAGACCAGAAATCGTGTCCGCTGTCACCGGCGGCATATCGGAGCGGATAGCTGCCTCATGGTCCTCCAATTGAAAAAATCTGGAATCACAAATTGCCCAGGCTAAGCGGCCCGGTGCGTCAAAATGTATGGTTCTGGAAAGATGCTCCCACGTGTCATGCACGAGTCCAGCACCTTCATCTACGAACCGCTTTCCGTCCTGATTCACCACAACCCCGTACGGGTAATTGAGGACCAGTGGCGCTGGCTGACTGCTCCGTGGGTCGATTACTTCGCTGTGCATTCCGTTCCAATCGCCAGAGGCCTTGGCTCCGTTGGCCAGCGCCATCTGGATGCCGTCGCCGGCGTTCCAGGCCGTCCCAGGTGATATCGGTCTCAACGTCTCCGCACCAGGACCAAGATGAGTACGCAGCATGTCTGGACTGCCTTGAAACCCACCACTGGCGAGCACAACAGACCGGGCAATGATTCGTCGCCCATCAGCTGCCTCAATCATGGCCTGTCCTCGGCCAAGATGAAGTCGCTGGGCACGGCAATTATACACCAGTTGGACACCCTTCGATTTGGCTGATTGCTTAAGGGCTTCGACAATGGCAGCACCTTTGCCAATAGGCTGGATCCTGTTAGGCCAAGATTTCAAGAAATAGTCCATGGCGTGAAACTGCACCCCCTGCTTTTCGAGCCATTGGAGGGCTTCAGGGGCCTGGCTAGCCAGCCTTTCGAAATACGCGCGGTCGCCACCACTTCCGCTTGCAGCCACCATGTCGTCCACGAAGCCTGGTAATACCTCATTGACAGATGGCATTCGCATGTTGGCAGGGCTCCAGCGTGAGTTTCCACCGCTCGCATGCTCTGGTGCATGCTCTAGCACGGCTATCTGCGCCGAGGGCGAGAATTCTGCAGCTGATACTGCAGCGGCGAGGCCGGCAATGCCATGACCAACTACGACAAGGTCATACATGCTGATATACTCGAGTCTGAAAATCTTAGAGGACTCGGCTTCAGGGTGTTGGTGGTCTATGTCTCTTGGAACACTTCTTGGTCGCGGTATTATTAGAAAATTGAGGCTCTTACATACAAGCTTCAGATGCTCGCGGACTCCTGCAGGGGTGAGTGCGCGTGACCACATTGCGATGACTCGATCTTCCTGAAGTAGAGTAGCCGCTGCAGCAAAAAGAGATGCGTCAGAAATTATTGTGGAGCGGACGGTCCTTTTGTAGCGGTGTGTTTTGATTATACCACAGATGGCGTAACGTGATTGATAAGCGAATATCCCAGACAAGCCAATGTCCCACGACTCTTCCATATTATCATTATTTGATCAATTAATCTACAACAACTAAGTATGGCAGTTCCAAATAATGAGGCTAGTATGAATCTAGCACTTCAAGCCCTTCCAAAAGACCCAGAGCTAAGCGTATGACGTACAGCACAGGTCTACCAGGTGTATAGAAAGAAGCTACGCCGCCATCAGCAGAGTATACAGCCTTGAAGCGACATCATATGGTAAGACATCATCAATGTGCGGGCCCCTCCTCTTTTGCTCACTGTGCGCCTGCAAGGAGGTAATAATAATAGCGATGTGTGGTCTAAGTTAGATGCCAAATGCGAATACGGGCCTAAGTACCCTAAACTCCAGAGAATATATGATAATACTAACTATTCATATAGGAATAATAAGAGATATATTATATAAATATCTGTTGAAACGTAGGTTGCATGTTCTTTGTATTGTTGTTCTACTTGGCCGGGCCTTCTGTGACCTTGGGGCCCTAGAGAATTTTCTTGCTTAAGTAATACGCATTGCGTTCAACCTGCCCTAGCATTACGATGAGCCAATCAACGTTGACCAGCCCAGACCGGCTGCGCAAGATCGACCAGCTTCGCGAGAGAAACATTTCAACTTACCTTACGCTACCTCAACTGGTTGCCGTCGGTGATCAAAGTTCTGGAAAGTCCTCCCTTCTAGAAAACCTGGAAGGTATCCCGTTCCCTCGATGACAGAAGCTTTGTACGCGTTACTCCACGCAAATAACCCACCGTCGCGATGCCGCAAGTCGTATTACCATCAGTATTATTCCTGGTCCAACTGCCTCGTTGGAGCATAAAGAAAAACTCCAAGATTTATCAAAGAGGTGGAGAATACTGATCAGCTCCACACCGAGTTTCCAGACATATTGAATAAGGTACGGCCACTCTGAAGCAAGTCAGGAACCGAATTATGACTTTTGAATAATAGGTGAATACACTCATGGATATCAAAACGCCCATAAACCCTGGTGGTACCAAGACGTTTACTGAAGACGTGTTGAAAATCGAGCGATGCGGACCAGAGGAAGATTACCTGACGGTCATCGACATACCCGGCATCTTTCGCATCACTACCCAGGGTATTACCACAGATCAAGACCGTCTGCTAGTCGAAAGAATGGTCAACAACTACATTCGCGACAGTCGCACGGTTATCTTGGCTGTTCTTCCATGTAACGTCGATATTGCCACTCAGGAAATTCTGGCATTTGCTGAAAAAGCCGACCCAAGCGGTAAGTGCACCTTCGGGATTCTGACTAAGCCGGATCTTCTCGAAGAACGCAGTGTGAAGTCTGTCGTCTGCGACTTGGTCATGGGCAAACGACGGCCTCTTACCCTGGGGTATTATGTCGTTAGAAGCCGTGGTGGCGACGAGGAAGATTCAAATGGGGATATTGACCTGCTACATGGTGTAGACATGTTCAGAGAGGAGCCCTGGACGTCTCTGTCGAGTAATAAAGCTGGAGTCAATCCTCTTCGAGCGTGTTTACTGGAGCTTCTTGGTCAGATCGTTGACAAAGCCTTCCCTAAACTTTGATCCGAGGCCCGTCACAGGCTCAACGAGAAGCAAGAAGAGCTGGCGAATCTTGGTCCGCCACGTCAGACAGAACGACAGCAGCAGCAGTTTCTGGTCAGCGTTTCGAGCAAGTTCCAAACTATTGTGAGAGCAGCATCGGATGCCGACTACTCGACACATGAATCATTCGCGGATGATGACTTACGTCTCATTACAAAGGTCGTCAACACTACGGAAGACTTTTCCCACGACTTTGAAGCTTGTGCACACACTTACTCTTTCGAAGGCGAACTGTCGAAGTCTTTGCAGCCGATGCCCTCCCCACCTTTGTTTTCCGGCGGTGAGGAAGATGCTCGAGAAGAAGAAGCAAGGGTTAGCAAGAAATCATACAACATATTTGATCTGGACTTGTACCCGGATCTAGAGGGCTTACTCAGCCAAGGCTACACTTCTCACCAGCCAGCTCAGGGTATCATGTCCTAGATTTCTCAAATGCACCTACGTTCCCGAGGGGTTGAGCTGGGTACCTTTGGGCCACGCATTCTATCAAGTGCCTTCCAAGAACATTCAACCTACTGGAAGAGCAGGACAAGGCAATACCTCAGCAAGTTATCTTTTACGTCCACAAGTTCATACTTAAAGCCCTCGAGAATGTCTGATCCGATATTCGGGTCCAAGACGAACTCATATCTGGTCTTATGGCCGAGTTACTCATCAAATATAACAGTAGCATGAACCAGGCTATCCACTTAGTAGATATAGAGAGACAGAAGAAGCCTTATACGCTCAACCACTATTTCAACAAAAACTTACAAATAGCACGCAACATGCGAACTTTCCAAGCTTTAAAAGAAAAGGCATGGAAAAAGATGTGAATAACATTTCTTCACTCATTCAAAACCGAAGTAACATGGAACATACCGCAGCAGAAATACATGATATTCTCCAAGCTTACTACAAAGTGGCCAGAAAGCGATTCGTTGACAACGTCTACCATCAGGCCGTGGACCTCTGCTTGCTTTCAGGCCCATCAAATCCTCTGGGACTTTTTTGTGAACAGTGGGTGCTTGATCTGAGTGACGAGAGGTTACGGTCGATTGCTGGCGAGACTCGTGTTATTCAGGAGAAACGTCAAAACCTGCAAACAGCGCTGCAAGACTTGGCACAAGCTCTGGAGATTCTAGGTTGATGAATGGGGGGGCGGAAGGTTAGCGGACCAAAGCTGCAACAGTTGCGCCACTCAATATCTCTAGACTTATACAAATTCTGTGGTAGCCGCTTACTTGATACGCACGGACAGAAAGTGTAGAATCTAAGGGTGGTTTTTCGGAAGAACATCGGTGAAAATCAAGGGTAGTCTAGGCTGGCACGGACGAAAAGTGAACAATGCGTGTTTTAGTTCGGCATTGGTACAGTAAGTACCGATTGGCTTTAAGCGGATTATGGAGATACTTTCAGTTATTCTGGATAGGATTGGTCACAACGACAAGCTAATGACAGGGCTGCAACGGTACGTACCGAGCGATCTTTGAGTCTAGAGTTAGAAAACCTCTGGGAAAGCAACATGCAGTATAACTAGCTGCGCAACTCTGATCTAAAATGCCAGAAACACATATGATCATGTTAATTATACTTCAGGCTCTTATTTTAATCTACTTACGTATGGTTTTAGATAATAGTGGATTTGTTGTGGAGTTTTCATTGTGGTCTTGACCTGCGACTGAAATTTCGCTAAGACACGAACGACGATCCCAACCCGGTCCCTACTTGGACTCTTGATAGCTTGTGTTCGGAGAAATCTGCGATCGTTATGGCCTCGTCTCGAATCACTGTTCGGATTTCACTCTTCTTAGTAAGGGCTGTGTACTGCGACTGGCCAAATGCTTGTCTGCAGTCCTCGTTTAGAAAAACGGCCTTCCTGTCTTCTATAGGATGATCCATATAGCTAGACAACGATGATAATCGAATTGATTACTATGGTACGTGGTTATAAAGTAGCACGCAAGTACGGTAGAAAAGGCCTTGTTGGTTTCAAGTGAGTGATGATGGCGGGACTCGACTGGGCTTGTTCACCGCGGGGGGCAATAATGATAAAGCAATACAGCAAAGGAATCTAGTGTGCTTGTACCCCGCGTATCAGGTCCTGATACACGATTTGATGGTCCATGCATGCTACTCATAGTCCGGGTTGCTAGATGTCCATGTCAGTGTCAACAGAGAAAAAATGTAGACTAAAAGATCTCATGCGTTATTAGCCTCTATCTTTAGAATCAAAGGGTAAACAAGGTTTAGGATAAGTTCTGCTTCTTTGACCACTAAGATGGTACCGCCAGAATCTAAAAGAGCCAATAGACTAAAGCTCGGACGGCAGAGCCTGCCGATGATGCGATTAAAATAAGATAATTAGGAGGTTCTCTAAGTAGCGTCGCTAATGATCCAGAATAAGCGATGTCTACAACGAGGCCTTCTACCTGCAAATTGTTATTGACTTGAATGCAGAAAGACTGACCGATGCCCGAAGCGGCATGTTAGCCTCATTTGATGAACGGAAGCATCTCGAGAGAAGATAACATACGAGCAGAGACGAGAAGTAAGGTATAGTGAGATATACTTCAAATTACGAGACAAAATGAACTCTATTGTGCTTACGGAAAATAGCCAATTCTGATCTGTATACTTGAAATTTCTTGCGTAAGTTAGGTATGCTTTCTACACTGACTCCATCTCTTGTTCCTTATAAAAGATTTTTTTTATTTTTTTTAGCCGCCGACACTCCGAAAGGAGCCGCACGCTTAGCAGTAGATTCAATGACTCAACAGTGTATAAACAGTAGTGGTGGCAGTAACGCCACTGGGCTCAACATCAGATCGAAACCTTATATTGAAATATAAACTCTGAACAGATGGCAATCACTCCTTCCTCATTTTACACAAAACAACAATAACAAGGAAGTCACTTGATAAAAGAATAAAATTACAGTGATATTATATTTGAATATAACAATTGCTTGCATGGCCCTGTCGACATGAAGGAAACGGGAAACGGCTGCATGTTTGCACCTCGAGTCTAGCTTGTGTTTATTTGCAGGGTTTAAAGTGGTCGGCCGCCTGCATGCGGTTAGGCCGACTTCGCGCATTTAACTATAACCACACAACGAGTCATCTTAACTGTGAGACATGCTGTACGTCTGGGCTGATAGTTAATCACTTACGTGGCCAAGTATTATTGGCCATATGTTACGAGGAGACAAAATGTGGCGGATGCCTGACGGCAGATGCATTGTCGTAGCTGTATGTTGGCTGCATCTCAATAACTAAAATGTCTATTCGTACAATCATGCTAGCCAGAGGACGGAATTTCTTAGTTCCGCCTTTTGACATTGTAGGTAGCAGATTGAGATGACTGTACGCGGGCCTTCGATGCGGCAATCATTTTCTCACGCTATCTCTGTCCTATTCTACTATCATACTGAGCCCATAAACTTGGAAGAATCAGAGCGTCCTGGGCATAGTAGAGCTTGATGGCATCGGGCAATGAATGTTCGTTGAAAACCTCATATGTACTACCTTTCTCTGGAGCAAAAAGCCGAAGTCTAGCCTCTTTGACGCGAACCCAGTCCGACCGTTCATGTACTGATAAAATAGCATTACGCTCGATGTATGTCGAAAGCCCGTTGGCATATCTTGTAGGAAAGGATCACGCTGCTAGTTCCATGAGTTGCAGATCATGGATTCTAGCCAACTTGATCCGGTAACTTCCATAAAGTGCACCTGAGTCGCTGCGGACATCGAAGAATACTTTGGTTACATCATCGCATTCCAAGATGTCCTAGAAAGTACGGCCATTACTCCCGGGAGTTGAAAAGTACTTGTCCCCTAGCGCATTAACGAGATGAGTACACTCGATTGGCACATAATAGACCTACATAATTGAGACGGTTCTATGGCGAGAAAGGTCCACTCCTTTGAGGTCGATAAGAATTGAAGGTTAGAATACTGAACGTTCATCAAAGAGGTCGACTACTTCTGCTACCTTTGGCGCGTCATTGACGAATATTATGATTGATTTGCTTTCTCGCTTAACAGTAGCCAGTTGCTCTGTGACTGTTTCTAGGTTTAACGCCATATCCTGAGAATGGTCTTAGTCGATGTTATAAATACACCGTTCGAGATGGCAGGTGTTGTGCTGGCTTTGAAGCCACGATTACCGGTGCTTGGGCAGGTATTGGTATGCGTCCAGTTATCTCACCCCAATCAGGCCAGATCCTGACATTAGTACCGCTTCAAAGAATAAGCACTAAGCAAGGGTCGATTCCAAATGATTGGTTATAATATCGAAAGAGGGGCATGGCCTTGTAAGTCGATGATTGATGACGGATAGATGGTTTTGGTGGCGTATAGGGTAGTATTTATTGACAATGTTCAGTTGTCTCTTTGTGTTAGGTCATTTTGTCGAAACAACCATCATCAAGCCTTGCAAAGCGCTCCAGACTCGAACTACTTCAGAAGCCCGTTCGTTTCATAACGATGAAGAAATCTCATTTGCCAAAAGATATACATAAGACATATGACACGATCTTCAGCATCGCGCATGGTAACAACTTCATTCCCGGTGCAGTAGAAGAAGAGTTGAGGAACAACGATCAACATATCTTGCCGCAGTGGTTCTTTGAACATCCCAGTAGTAAAACGCTAGAATACAGTGATGAACTCGCCGCTATGAGATATACAAGAGGCTACAATTTCGCGTCAGACACAAGGCGCTTCAGAGTCAGCTTAGAACGCTGACGTCCACGGGCCATTACTCAACTCACCCTCAAGCCTTTTCCAGCACTAAAACACGAGATCATTACACACGCAAACATCATCAAACCCTTCGTCCCTGATGTGCGAACCGATTCGTACTTCAACATGACAAAGTCGAAGATGATTGACTGGGGAGTTACCCTATCGCCCTCAGAAGTGACAACACAACACATCAGCAAGATATTTGACAGCCTCACGCATAATAAACGTTCCATCAACCAGAGGATCTACGGACCTGTTAAGAACAACCCAATCGCAGTATCGATTGAGGTAAAAGTCACAAGCGGATCACTTGAACAAGCAAGAGGACAATTAGGACTTTGGACAGCGGCATGTCATCGACGGATGATTCTGCCTCGCAAGAGCGAGGAGGAGATTATTGCAGTGCCGCTTGTTATGGTTATGGAACATCAGTGGAAACTAATTTTTGCTGTTGGTCGAGGAGATGCAATTGTAAGTTCCGTGCTTATTATATAAAGTTGAGAATACCAACAATTGTAGGATATTGTTGAGGATATAAGAATGGGTGATACGAGAAATTTGCCAGGATTATATCGCATCATTGTAGTCTTGAGAGAATTGGCCATCTGGATAGAGATGGACTATCTTGCTTCGTTGGATAGTTGGCTTGGTCTTGTACCTCCTCCGGATACTGCGGCTGAATTGTAGACGTGTTAGATCGATTGATGTTGATGAACATACAAACTGATCTTGTTCCGGAACTGCAGACGAAATCTAGATTTATGTTCTGCGGCCTCAAAGATCCGTTGTTTGTCTGCCAGCATAGCCGCAAGAGGATATAAATTCAAGGAGTGCAGGTGTCTGTGTCCTTTATAACTGGTGCCGCGGTCCCTAAGACGATTTCCTAGCCGAAAGTTATCCGATATAGCTGCTTGGAAGTCGATTGTCTGCCTGATCTTTAGGGAACCCATTCTGCGACTCGTTTAACAGCGGCCGCGTTTATTACTAAGATCAAGGTCTGCAGAGATATTACCCAAAGTCTAACGCGCGAAAAGGCCTTCTTGGAGCACTACGACAAGGACTATCGCTCGACCTTCGGAGACAACTTGCCTCTCCCACTGACGACACTTTCATACCAACTCAAATTCCTCAAGCATCTCCAAGATCTCCGAAAACCTCTCTACCAGACTCTCCAAACCCTCACAACCAATCCTAGCGAACTGGCCTGCCCCTGGTACGTTTTTGAGTTCACTAAAAGCTTACACTACGATCGAATCCGACCTCTAAAGTTCGGGCTCTATGTCCTAGATCAACTGCTTCTCACGTGTTAGCTTATTTTCTGTTAAGGTCCTGTCGTAGCGTTGTTGTCAGCGACCATGGCGTCATTTCGGAATCGATGGAGTTCTTAACCAGATTTGTCCAGTACCGGCTCGGAAAGACCGTCTGGTTGTCGCCGCTTGGTTTCTAAAAGTTATATGATTTGAGCTGAATGTTGTCCAATGGAGAAAGTACTAGGATATATGTTTAGTCGTTGCAACATGGACTGAGTTGCACATCCTGGTATGGAATATGCCATAAGCACATACGTGACTTGATGGACATATGATCAGCTGGAGGTCGCTCGTGTCAATGAGTAGTCCAAATTCTAATGGAAGAGTGATTAGTACATGGGAGGCGAATGGAATAGAATATCATTTATCTAAATAGTATAGCTAGTGCGCCAAGTTACGCTGTGCTTGCTAGTTGATGTGATACATGGTATGCGATCCCATTTTCCAGTCACTTTGTGATACTCTATCAGTCATATCAATCTGTTGTTTCTGTGTCTCTCCAGCTTGTTGAAGCTGAGACATGTGTAGATATCTTGATTGGAATCAAACATTGATATACCAAAGATGCCAGTATCAATCTTGTGCTATATATATAAATATATATACAAACAGTGCCTCTACTCGGCAACTTAGCATCAAGCAATATTCATGTTCCCAGGCCGTCATTATGTTGTGAGACATATTTTTTAACCTGTTCGCTTTGCAGCTTTATATCACTCTATAGACAGTTGTAAGCACCACTGTGATCGCTCACATAGTGAATATAGCCCAATCTTTAACGGTAAAGTTTAACGGCTTGTGGAATCATTACATAATATTTCAATACGATAAAACAACTATCCCAACCTTATCCCTGCTTACCACACTGAAAATGCATATTTAAATACTAATTGCTTTAAGTGAAAATGGAATGCATTGCTAAAGTAAGGCTTTCGCTTGGCACTGAGACAGCAGGCTGAGAGTTTTATTAATTCTAAGTAATAATATTTATTAAAACTTCATATAGTCAATCGCACCATATCTCGCCTACATTAAAGTAACCTTACTAGTAGTCAGGCTATAAAGCTTTACTAATGACTGAATCTGTTCGACTCGTCTCATCCCTATAATAAAACACGTCCGTACAAACTGATAATGCTTCCCCATCTGTCGTATCACGGCTACTTGGTCGAGCCCATTCAGAACGCATATTAAGTCTCCCTTCTGTATCTTCGGAGGAAATCTTCCAATATAACCCTTCCTCGTGCTTGATATAGAATGATTATAGGGCTTAGACTTTGAACGAAGGGTGTCTGAGTAGTTGTCTTCATTTTCAAATTGGTCCTCATCTACATCGTCGATAGGATCCTTGGGAAGTAAGTAATAGTAGAAGGTAGGGGGGAGTTACTCACTGGAACCTGTGCGAAATAGTCCCGCATGAAGCATAGACGTGCCCAAGCCACTTTACGAGGTAACTTGCTCTCAGGAAGTATACGGCCGAAACGAGCCAAGAATTTGAAAAATTCCAAAGAGTTTTCAATGGCCATATCAGCTAGCGTATTTTCACGCTCAGCAGATGGCTCGAGAAGAGTGTGCAAAGCGGTCAGAGGGTGGCCTCCTGACACATAACTCCTTTGGCGTAGTGCGAAGTCAAAGGCCCAAGTAATTGGCAAGCCTTCTGGATGAAGTAGCTCGGTTTTACCGTAGTCGGAGACCCTCGGGCCTATATTTTCGATATAATCCAGAATAATCACTGAAACCTCCATATCGGGACCGGTTATCTTTGCGTCGGATGCTACTTCGAAGACGCTTCCAAGCCCCACTGAATCTGTGCTAACCACTGCATCTGCTTGTCCCCTTAGGGAAGGCTTTGCTAATGCCTGCCCTGGAAAATTCGGTCCCCATGATGGCATATCTTGGTCAGCGTCCCAGCCGTATCCAACTCCAGCAAATGTGAGAAGGCCCAAAGGTCCCCCCAATGGTCTATCGGACAGGGGCTTATCACAAGAAGCTTTGAGATATTCATCCATGAAATCACGGCTGACAAGTCCCAGACTCTTGTTTGGGCTATAATCGGGTGTGAGTTTGAGATCCGTAAGACCGAGAAACCCGTAATAATAATCCTTAGGGTTTGTCGCACGGGCATCTGGCGATTCCCACCAGATGTTAAACTTCGAGTCACTTGTTCTTAACCAATGACTGCCTGTACCTCCTTTGTCTTGGCGACTGCCAAGGATGTGATGAAGTAGTTTCCAAATTCGCGAATATGCCAATATGACCAACTTGCTCAGACCCGCTTTCTTGGTTAATTTGTAGTTTGATGGATCCTGGATCCACCCTAGCCAAGCTGAAAAGGATTCTAACGTTTCGATTGAAAATGATCGAGGCCCGCAAACAAAAACGGGGTGCTTCGCGAGAATGATTTCTTGTCGTATCCATACGCGGCTCCAGTACGAAATTTCGAAAAGTGCTTGAGCGGGAGTCGCATGGGACTCACCTATAACTCCTTTGACTTCGCCGAGCCACGGTTGATACTTCAGCCAGAATACATTGCAGCATCCCTCATCAAGAACTGCTTGGAGAACATAGTCTTCAACTATTTTCCGGAACTTGTTCATTCTGAAAGATAAAAGGGCTAGGAGAAAACCCACGTGATGGGAGTTTTTGACCAAACTGGCATCCAGTTTGCAGGTACGTTGTCGGAGCTGGTCATGCCAATTTCTGATATTGCGAAACGTATCCTCAAGGTTCTTGTGACAAATTCTCAGCTCTGTACCATAAGATCCGTGCAGCAAATCGTATATCACCACAGTGGCATGCTGAAGGGCGTTTGCAAGTGCATAAAGCCGCGCATCTCCGACCAAGCTAACCTCCACGGAAGATTCGTCAACGACCCGAAGATGCTTAATAGCATCAGTTCTCTTGACGCTCCCTAAACAGACTTGTAGTTGCTCGATGCAGTTCGCGAGGTTCTGATGGTTTTCTTCGTTTCTTGTGTATGTTCCATGGATATATCGCTCATAAGCCACAGTTTCTATGGCGTCTATCGCAGCGAATAATGGGTCACAAGGTAATCCCAGCCAACAGACAACAGCTCCGCTTTTCGAGTAAATTCTTCCCATCATGGCAACTTGGTTGCTCTTCTCAGCTTTGTCATTTTGGTTGATGCAGATAGAATCTACCCATAATTTCTTGCCGGTTGCGTGTTTCGATTCTGTAAGATGATGAGGAGCGTATTTTAAAGCTGAGGCCAGGTTTGTTGTCACCGGGACTTTATCACCGTTGACCAATATAGTCTCTGTGATTTTAGGATCACCCCAAACATAAGATAGTGCATTGAACTTCGTGTGTCTGTTGAGCTCAGCGATTTCTAGCTCACAAGATATCTCTGGCTCGGTCGATAAGATAGTTAACAGCCTAATCTGGCTCCCTGATACTTTTAAGTTGGCATAGGGAGACATCTGAATAAATGACGCAGGACTTCCTGTTCGGAAAGCTTAGGGGTATATAGTTCTGTTAGCCGGGATTGAATGAGCGAAATTTTCTCAACAGATATGATAAGTAACCCACGTTGTAGTTCAAACCTACTCAGGTGTTCATATCATATAATGGCGGTAAATGTACGATAGTTTAAGAATGGGATAAAGAGGGGGAAAAAAGGTTGATTCCAATATAGACTTGCAATAATTTGCTTGGAATTGAATGCCGAATCCCTTGGGCTATAGTAAAGATCTTTTACTTTAGGCACCAAGGCATACTGCTAGGCTGCGAGGCTTATCAGGGCCTAATCAGTAAGCCCGGGAGAGCAATTGGGAATGCGAAAGAAGGTACATCCAATTGTGGGTCAATTTTGCATACACCCGAGCTGGAGCGAAATTCAACACGCTCTGACGCTGGGACGTTAGCCCATATTGAAAGAAATGCTTAGTAACATAATTGTCTGTTCAATGCAGCAGCATTTGTCTAGCTTTGGGGGACGGACTAATTTGGGACGATCTGCCATCTTATTACAACATACAAAAGCAAAACGATCAACAATGGATCTAGAGGTTTGTGTGTACTTCGCAGTTGCATAACTTGAAACAACTAGTCATTATCTTCAGAAAATAGTCCAGCGTTCTCTCGATCGATGTGGGGGAAGAAACCAGTTCATTCAGCAAATGAAACTCGTTACCGAATGTTCGTTATCAGAATCAACCGACTCCGGATGGTAAAGAAGGAGTTGGAGGACAATGAGAAATCTCTAAAGAGGGAGAAAATGAGGAATGGAGATAGGGGAGGACCGGCGGTTTTGAATGAGAAAGATAAGAGGAGGAAGGAGAGTTTAATTCGCAGAGTGAGGATTAGTTGATAATGATGATGATGATGAGGTGATTGGAAGGGTTTGTCGGGAGGCCGTTCCATATCATATCTTCATGAATGACGACCATCAGTAGATGAGATGGAATATATGGGTCCATGTCACCGTTGTCTCGAGTAAGAGTCCCCACTAACCTAGACCGCATCTGGCGCTAAACCCTCTGTATTCCAGTAGTTCTCCCTACCTGCCCAGAGATCTGGTTGGCTGGAAGGAAATGTACAAAACACATACCAGCCTATCTAGATCTGCAATCGAGAGGAAGATTCTTGCTAAACTTTGTTTAATACCCTTTGAAGAACGTACCCTTCTTATCAGTCGATTGTTACATTATGACATCACGTGTGAGACATTAAACATTAAGACTAGAAGTTTCGACCAACCATGTTTATATATTTGTTGATAGGAAGATTGAGGCCAGCCTGGAACTGAGAGGCCAAGTCACATAATATGTGTCATCTGTCCAAGCATTACCATTATGCGTCATCTCAACGCAATTATGGGGCCGGCCTAGGACCTACAGCTTACTACCTACAGACTCGTCCCAGCCCTGAAAGTTGCTAAGCCCTTTCTAAAGAAACTGCCGGGCGGCTCAATGAAGTAGCGTGCTGGTTTGTAATGCTGGACGAACGTGGTCATTCAGAAGCGGCCAGCTTTCAATCAACTCATAACCTCGATGTTCGAGGTTGGGTGTGATAGCGGAAAAGCTGAATAAGCAGCCAATCGCTCTGCAACGCTAGACCTCTTTCTTCCGGATCACCCAGCCCTAGCGTAAAGTGCCTGCGGCCGGGGAAGAGGATACTCTAGCTCAATGATGCTACGATGCCGCCCTATCATTGGTGCCATGACTGCCACTTGCAGAGAGGGAATGACCCGATCCATGTTGGTAACAAGGCGAACTAAATCCCGACCGCGGCTCAAACAGCGGGAAGTGCTGAGGAAATCATTCACAAAATTCAAGGCAGGTAGTTTTTGAGATAGTTTTTGAGACTTATAAAAACTGGTTTGAGCTAGCTCACAAGCCTACTATATCATGTATTTGTACCGGTCCTCACGTCTTTCGTGAAAGTGGATGACACGTTTTTGTTATTGTCTGATGGTTTTTCGTACCTACCCCGTGTTCCACCTCCACTTCGGAAAGGACGACTGCATGCCCACTGACTGACCTCTTCCAGCACGTTTAAGGAGAGTTGTCTAATATAGAGGAAAGAAGGTAAAACAGAAGGGGAAAAGGTAAAGAAAGGATTCAGCTGAAGTTCCAAAGACATTCAAGTTAAAAATAATTGAACCGAAACTACCCTGTATAAGTCAATTAGCGGTTTATTCTAGCTAAAGGAACCTTAAAAGGGTTAAAGCCATATTTGTCTGACTAAGAGAAGATTGGAAAGGGATAATATAAGGCATATACCTAAAAGAGGAGAAGTTGTCAGGCCAGATAGCGAATAGACAACACAATCAGAACACAGATCAATTTCCACATAGGGGTTTAACAGCTTCGCATATTCATATATTATTAATCTCACTTATATACACGCGGATACTCTATAAAGAAAAGAGGTCGAGAAGATATAGTTGCGTATTTCTTTTAATCTAACCAAAGATTATAGAATGCATGGGAAAACGATTTAAGGCTTTGATGAGACCGTGCTTCAAACTAAACCATATATTACCAGTACCCGAAATACAGCGCTCAGAGTTATTTACTAATATCTTAGCTCCCTCTAATTAGAAAAGAAAAAAGAATTTTCCGTAATCCATCTGGTTTTTACTATAATTTATTTACTAAGCACTTGCTTACACCCTTGACAATACCCACTGGAGATTTATAGCACTCAATGAGATGAACTCTCAGTTGAGAATAATAATAGTGGGGACATCTTGAAGCTTAACTGGATATAGTTAATGGCAGCTCGGACTGGAATATAGACCGAGACCGAGAATGAGGATTAATAATTAGTATTTAGGTCGGGACTCGGGAGATGTTTAGGCATAACTTGGAATTTAGTGAATATAAGATTACCAAGCATAAAAGGATGGCTATAGCTCTGAATAAACGACTGCATGTAAGGGGTACTGCGTATGAATATATATAAGCCCCATCCTCCAGATTTTCACATTAAACACATCCTCATCACAATTGCAACTCCTACATACCTTCTCTCACTCTCGGTCGAAAACTTCAATATGAGAATCTGGGCTCTAATCACCCTTTCCCTTGCGGCGTCCACCTATGGTTACCCGTCGGTTAGTTCAAAAACTCATCTCGATGTTAAAAAATACGCCGCAAGAATCGCCGAGCTGTTCCAAGATATCACCATTGAGCTGTTTCCACAGAACGGAAGCACCGATCCTAACATGGCCGACATAAGCAAAAAATAGGAGCAGCTGTTCTCCGAGTTCAAAATTAATTCTCAAGAGGATGCACTAAACCAAACTCGCTGCGCTGATATTACAGTCGTATTCGCCAAGGGAACTAATGAAGGCGGCAATGTTGGCGCCGTCGTTGGCCCACCTTTTCTTGAAGCACTCCGTGAAAAGGCAGGCTCATGGAGTGTTGCTATGCAGGGGGTTGACTACGCTGCAAATGTGACAGGCTTCGCGCTTGGAGGTGACCCCGATGGTAGCTTACAAATGTACGTTGATTCCACATCGTGTAGTTCCCATTTTTGCTAATCATTCCACCATTCAGGGCGTTTGATGTTGCTGCAGTAGCTGTTAAGTGTCCACAGACTAAGATCACAATCTCGGGGTACTCACAAGGAGCACAATTGGCGCATAATGCTGCCAAGTACCTACCCTCAGTCGTACTAAAGAGGGTGAGCTCAGCTGTCACCTTTGGCGATCCGTTCCATCCATCACCACTGAAAGGGCTGGAGGATAGATCTTTGGTCATCTGCAATTCTGGGGATAACATCTGCGCCAGGGGTAGTGAAGTGACCCTGCCTCATTTTGCTTACCCCGGGAGAGTTTATCAGGCGGCGGATTATGTTTTGAAGAAAGCTAAAATTCACTAAAGGCTCGAATACTGGGGTCATTGGATCCGAATAACACGGTCAGAATAGGCTCTAATTTTCCCTTCTCTGCCCTGCTCCCTTCGTGAGGCAGTGGTCCGGCGTGATCATTCATATATCAATTCAAGACTTTAACCCTTCAACACATAACAATCCAGTTCCAGGGATTTATAGTGAGACGTGAACTAGTTTCTATAAAATTGGGGTGCATGTTCATACCAGGAAGAAGCTATTGGTGTTGTAGGACTTATAAAGCTAAGGAATTTACAATTCAAAACGAACGGCAAAGCTGGCGGCTTCATAAGCCTGTTTACAGCGTGAGGTAACTTTGTTAGTAGTTGTCTTAATAACACCTATCTAAGCATGTAGACTAGAAATGCACTGCATTTCCATGTGTTAGATACGTAGCTACATCCTTATTGTCCGTCCCAATTTCACTGAAAGGGGAAATTCTACATGTCTCATTAGCTTATACCCCTGCTAGTTCCTCTTTCAGGGAAAAAGGGACAGTGTTTTCAATCACCCGCCGGTTTTCTTTTAATTAAAACTGCATAATAAATATTCCCAATACGTTACGAGCCGTTGACAACTGCGACCGACAGCCTCGGCGAATCACGCCTGTATGCTAATTAATGAGACAAATGAAGCTAGCTACATATGGCGAGGCTGGGTCACATCTATGGCGTCTGAGCATTCCCATCATGCCCTACTGAAACGCTGCTGTTGGTTGGGCAGGTACATCAAGCACATGTGAAAAGCGAAGCGACTGTCAGTTTTTCCCTCAGCAACCAATATTCAAGACATTATTAGATGTCATTATGCGATGGTCCTTCTTATATTCTCATTAAACCTATCAAACGAACGTACCTCAGCGCAGTAGCACTCTCTAGAGCATGTCTCCTTGAATCATGGCGCCAATCGTCTTTGACGCAACCTTTTTGACTGGGCGACCTGGCAAATTGTCAAACTCTTTATCTCGAGCATTGGGTGCCTTCAGGTGCTGACATAATGGAAGCAGCTGAATTTGGCTCGATAAGACTAGAATAACCCGGGATATAAATCATCAGTATAGCAATAGTTTTTCCTGTCTCTGCATGAATTTTTTCGTGTATCGTGTTATTCCCGGGTTTTGGTCAGGTCCGTCCTGTGGGCTGATACTGCCCGCGGAACGGTTCTATTGCCACCGATACATGTACGAACATTGAGGGTAAGGCCGCTTACAAGAAGGTTTAGTGTGATCCTATTGGACTTCGTGACAATCGAATGTAGTGGGAAGAACATAATATGCTATGTACCTGCATTAGTATCCGTCATTTGATATCTACTATATCTTCTAACATATCTATGGCATTTCTATCTGCTATTCAATTGTGTAAGCTAGGTCGGTGATATGAGGAAGACTGCCATTCAGAAAGATCATAACCATGTTCATTTCCGGCAAGATAACCCGACTCGGGTTCTGAATCAACCTTACTCTTTCCTCTTACCAGCCTTCGAGCCCTCCTCGACCAACTGCGGTAGTCATTTGAGTAAACTCTCTTGTGTTTTGACCAAGTCCGGGGGCCACCTATCAAAAATTCTTCTGTAAACAGCAATGATGAGCAATCATAAATCCCAAACGTCAGGGCATCCTTAGCTAACTGCGTAGAGTATTCGAGACTTGTGATGTCGTCTGAATCATGCATCCAAGCCGCTGGCACGTCGCAGATGGAGATACCGACATAGTCGTGCTTGTCCATTCCAGTGTACACACCGAAACGGTAGATTCTATTGGCCAGCAGAGCCTGGGACTTCAGGTGGTCTTCCGTGTCCGAGATGTTCTGGAGCCACAATTCGGGACACTTCAGGATATGGCTCTGATGGATGAGCATTCCGAAGTCCATTAGGGTAAACATGCGTCTGCAAGTCCGAACCGCTCCTCGGGGCCTCAAGATCCAGATGCTAATGCAATACAGAATCATAATAGAGAATGCTGCATAGAAATTGCGCAATTGGACTGTGACGGTATAGCCACTGTCGGCCTTGTCGCCAAAGACAAATAGACGTCCAACGATGATGAAGACAGAGTTACAAAGCGTCGCAAGAATAGTACCAAGAACGACTTGATAGTGGCCCGCTCTCGTGGCTGTGGCGATGCAGCTTACAACGTTAAGAGATACGTAGTCAAGTAACATGCTGCTGTGTGCCGTTGCGCCTATGACTTCTGCCTCCTTTGGGCACAGGCGCCTTCGGTCATTGTCAGGCAGGTGTTTGATCATGTTCCGGACAGGCGCCATGGAGCGGTGATAGATATCGGCATGTATGATGCTGCTGTTAAAGATACCAAAGAGCATGGCTGGCAACAATGAGAAAACAAGACCACGGATGGAAATCGGAATAAAGTTTGTCTTTGACGAGGCGTGAGCGATATGGCGAAGCGGGAAATAGAAAGGACGATAGATATCACCCCTGCTCCAAGCAATTGAGGCTGCGGCCAGGGTGATGGTTCCCACTATTGTAATAGCCAGAAGGTAAGAATTGGAAATGCTGTAGTTCCAAATTCGATTTATATCAGGTCGTCGGTTCCTCTGTTGAAGTGATGATCGTGGTTCATAGCGTAGAGAGCTGAGCCTGCCGATGGCTGCTATTGGTTCTGTAGTTGGGATAGTTTGCTGACCATTGTCGTTGTTTCCATCGGTTAGACTGATCGAATCCTCATCTATCTGGTAGGTTTCCTGCGGCCTGGACCGAGGTAGGAAGCGAACACCGTGAATAATCATATTGGTACCCTGTTCTTTCCAGTACCCTAGTCGCAGAAGTAACCCTTCTTCTTGCATGTCGTGATGGCCAAGTCAAGAGCCCATGGTTTTTGGGTGGAGATATCTTTGAACTTATGGAGAATGTTGGACCCTTGGATGAGAGCCAGTTGAGCAGCAAGAGTGGAGGGGCTCCATTTTAAACCTGTACGATTCTTGCTTAGATGCAGTGCAATGGATATAGTAACAACAAAGAGCCAGAGATAGACAGCCATAGCGATGATGCAAAATAGTATTGAAACCCGGATTCGCCAGCCTGATGCATCCTTGACAAGTTGGAAGATACCCGATTTAATTGGAGTCAGAATGGTTGTGCATATAACACTTAAGTTGAGGACGAAACTGAGGTAATCACTTGAGTTCCAAAGTCTCTGAAGAGCACCGAAATGGACTGTCCCGCCTGGAATTCCTGTCAGCGGCACGTTGAGAAAGGTTGGTCTGTCATACGATAAATGTCCATTGCCGTCTTGAGATAACGAGATGTTGGCCATCCGGACATAAGGTATGATGCAGTTGTACGACTGGAGCGTGCCCCTCCAAAGAACCGTTGTAAGGAAACCGACTATACCGGGGGAATACGACCACAAGTTATAACCGAATCTCGATTCGAGGTGAAACCATGACGGCTGTATCTCGCCGAAAACGGCTAAGGCGGTGACACCGGAGAAGCAAAGGACAAACCAGATGGTAAGGAACATCAGGTAACAAAATTCAAGCGCTGGTGGTCGGAAGTTGAGTTCTGGAAGTTCTGGATGCTGAGCAAAATCTTCGTCACTGAGCGGAATGAAGCGGTCAGGCTGGTCTTTCCCACTTTGTTAGCGAAAAGCGTCTTTTCTAACTCTCGAATTGATGTTATTTTGATTCTTACATATATTGGTCGGGACTGGACTATCCGAGGTATCGTCGGCTGGATAGTTAAATTGTTGGTTGTTTTGGGTGACGGTCGAACGGTGATTAGACATATTGCCTGAAAAGGCTGGCGCAGCGCTGCTGTTGCCATTAGCTGGCAGGGTTTGCAGAGGCACGGCTTCCATGATCTTAGGATCTTTCTACTGTTGGCTTTTGTCGCATCTACTATTCATGAATATTTACTCTTTTGAGGTTTTCGTGATGAGTTGAGATATCGCTGTCTGGATATTGATGTTCCCGATAACTGGACGTATCTCCTAAAGTGCATTTCCCAGACGACGACAGATGTAGGAACCCCTGCTTTAAATCCTCGATCTCTCAAGGACCGAGAGGCCTGAGATGCCTCATCTTACTTCATGGCTTAAGCTATTGGTATTATTGGTACGCCACACACGCTCTGCCTCTTCAATAATCCACCGGGGATGTGCGGCTGTGTCAGTAAAAACTGAACTTAATAGCCACGCCATTACTGCTAGAAAGAATATAGGTTGTCGTAAATCTAGACTTAAGCCTTGCCGGCAAAACAGAATTTCCATTTCCAGAATAGCCTGCGCCTCCGCATACGCTTTGTTAAACAGCTCGCCGCTATCAGACGGAGGCCAGCAAGGCACAAGGCACTTTTTGTGTGTATCTACTGCTGATAGGCTGCCTTTACCTGAGGTACATCTGTACATACAAGCAAACCATTATTTGTGGCTTAGGAGAGGTAGTACGTGTTGTGAATTTAGCGAGTGCGCTGACGTAACACCCCGAATACCTGGAAGATCCAGCACAATTCACCACAGCTTCCTCCCGTAACGCCCGCCTCAGACATCCACATTAGCTGTCATCCTTTGTTATAAGTTTTTGCACCTGATTAACCTACTTACATCGCCAACATTTGAAACACAGCCGAAATTAGCCCTAGGAGACTCTATTTCCGAAAGCCCTTCCCCATCATTTGACCTGCAAACACAGGCCTTGTCGTGTCAAGTCCCTTTTGTCAGTATCATCCACCCAGAATAGAGTAGAGGGCACTTGCTGAGATTTTCAAGCCTCTGGAAAACCACCGGCTGAAGATTTTACTGCATCATTCACCACGCACCGTTGTAGTCAATTTAATACCACGTCACTCGTGGAAGGGATTTCCATGACGTCACTGACCGAAGATATCGCTTATCTTATCAGCTGATACAGATTGCCTTTAGGCCTGATGCTCAAGCAGCATTTCTTTACCATATTGGCGAAGCGTGTTACAGACATCAGGTATGACTTTGAGTCTGGTTTGATCTTCTTTGTTGACTCAATTCAGACTTGCCGCAGTGTGGAAGCAAGATGGTCCCATTGGAACAAACAAACAGAGAGTATTGCAAGAGGCGGCGTAAAAGATGTCGAACTTATAGGGACTACGCTGAGATAGGGCAGTGTTCGAAATGGATATCCAAATCATAACGCCGGTATATCGCTCGTTAGGGATATAATCACAGTATAAGAAGGGCTGCCGTTAACAAAACTGTTTAGCAACGGAAGTCAAGTCATGATTTAGTCCGTGGAAATGTTCTGGTTTGGCGTTATAGCTATTGTGAACCTCCATTCCATAAGAGCAAAGACGCTGGTTCTTCGATCATAAGTAAAAACGGTCGAGAAGCATGCAAAGAGTGTGTCATGGTAAGCGCGAGGCCGACAGAAGCGAGGATGGTTGCCGTATTATAGGGTTGTAGATTCGATAATGCGATGGAACACGAGGACGGGCGGAGCGATGCGGGCTTGAGCATAAAATTGATTGGGGGTAGTGCATGATTATCTTGGTAGCATGCAAGAAGGTTATTTAGTTAGATGAGAGTAATGAGCGTTAATTGGAGAGTGATATGAGTATTGAACTGGAAAATGTTGGTCAAAGACAAGGATAAGACATGTGGCGGGGTTTTTCTGCAACCAGATAAAATATAACTACAGCATTGGAGAGCCATTTTGCAAATGTATAAATTTTATTATATATCATGAGCTATGGGAATTGGTTTGTGTTGTATAGGCTATTAGCCGATTTAAGAAGTGTGTATCTCACTGCTGGGATCCGTTGGTGTTCGTAGGGTGGCCTTGGACAATGAAGTCTTCAGGCCAGAACTTGAGCTCGACGCTATTGCCGGAAGCCTCCACCACATCGTGCAGGCGGACTGATTCAGGCGGGTTGCTCTGGATGAGAAGGATGCCGTCGTCGCGCGACTGGGGGTCTTCTTGAAGCCATTCACTAAAGCCATCCAAAGTTTTATGTCGACCTGACTTGAGGTAACTTTCTAGACGGCGGTAGAGCTTGGGCCATAAGACCGCCTCTCTCAGGCTTGCCAAGATTGGCGTCTCAAGGATGAGCGGATCTCCTGGGAAACCCTTCGATCGTGGCCAGGCGCCCTTGTTTGCCCTGCGGGCAGCTTTTGACTTGGTGGCCAAATGTTCGCGTATATTCTCCGGTAGAGTGTCGTAGAATGCTGGGAAGACATATCCCTCAGAGAGCAGAGCGGTGTTGACAGATTCATTTACCAGGCCTTCATCTAGGGAGATGTCAGAGCCATCCGAGCCGTGCACGCTACCATCGCCTTTGTAGACGAAGCCAACTAGCCGTGTGCCAAAGCTGTCAAAACCATTGGACGATACATGCCCAATGACTTCTTGATCGCCAGAACTGATAAAAAACGGGGGGTCGCCAGTATATCTGACACCCGTAAACCCGAGCATATGCAATAGCTCGTCACGAGCGGCTGTGGCGCCCATTAACTCTTGGTTTTTTTCCAGTGCATCAACCGCTTCCAAGCGGATATTGACACCTTTATCGTTGATGGAGCTACCAGGAGATCCTCTTCGCAGCTCTTCGACGAAACCAGCGTTGTCAGGCTTGAACCTGATGGTATCGCCATCTGGCTGCATACGGTTTGCGATGATGAACTTCCCGTGTAGAAGCTTGAACATCTTGTACGTGCTTTTCAAAGATAATGCTTAGTTAGAATAAAATGTGTTTTTTGGATGTGCAAGGTGAAAGGAATGATAAGCCGTGCAGAGAGGCCATATATATACTTGGCGAGTACCTTTAACATCATATTGCTGGGACAAGATTTCTATAACAACATGTCCCAAAGCGAGCATTCACCGTTATTGAATTTAATGCAGTGACACCGATGTCCATTGCATGCGCCAGGAACACCTCCACAAGTTCAGCTCCAGTTGAGCGGAATGTGACACGTATGTTTGTTGGGCTGAGAAGAAAGCCGAGATGAGAGTCTAGACCAGCTTTCAGGTGGCGGCTAAGAGATGTCAGCATGCGACAAAACGCCATCAAGCCTAATCACTAATTTCGTATGTAAATGACGTATCAACCTTCGATGTGGTGCCAGTTACCGTGCACTTACATGTCAGTTCAGATTCAACTATTTTTGCAAATGAACCAGTTTACCAGGCATGGGATGTGGACGATCTCTGCTGCTCAAGGTTTTGGGCACTAAAGCGTAACTGAATACTGCCAATTGGAAGTTACACTGCGATGCCCTCCGCGTTTCTACGGAAGGTGAGCTGGGTCGCCCTCCCTACATATGATTGTGATTCAGCCGCATTATTCGCGGAAATGGAAGAAGTGTTGCTTGCTGAGAGGCTGAAACAAGCTCAACCCAGTCAATACCTGCAAACTAGACGATGACGATCTTCATTCGCTTTGCCCACTCAGGGTTGATTCGCTCAAGCAGGATTTACTGCCGACTGTGGCGCTCCCAAGGCCGGCTATGAGACAAGTCCTATTGGTTTAGAACCTAGAGTGTTGTGATGTACAGCTTCTCTGGCATTATCTGCGACAAGTCTGCCTTGCCGTTTTAAATTTGAACCCATCTCGAAGCGGGACGCTGTTGGACCGAAGCTACCCTGCACAAGGTAGTTAGCGGTTCGTTTTAACTATACGAGCCTCTGAATGGGAATCGGCATAATCATTTGACTAAAGAAGACTTCATTTATAATAGTATAAGGAATCAATCCAAAATAAGGCTATCTATCAAGCTAGACAAGGCTTTCAGACAAAACACAAGCCCAATACAAATCAATTCTACCAAATGGGTTTAGCATTTATCATACCCACTATGGCACGTAACAACAGTTTTCTAGACAAGGATTGAAAAATCCTTTTTCGCAACTTGGGCAACTTGAGTGAGATGAGTGTGTTTTTAACCGGCTGTATGTCCGGGGGTCTCACTCCGTTGAAAAACAACGACTCCCTACCGTCATTCCAACCGGGTAGCTGAGCTGAGGTGGAACATTTGAATTAAAGGAGTGATTATCATAGCCAATCTGGTCGGGTACCCTTCCTTGCAAGTCAGTAGAGCATGTGGGAGCTGGAGTAAAAGCATGAGTCGAAAAGCGGCTAGGGGACAATGACTTACCATTCCATGGGCAACTCTTAAATTGGAAGAAATGACCTTTACAAGTGCCGATCCACTCCGCGACGTATTAAGATAGCGTTAGATGATAACTTAAATGGAACCACATAGCAATCTGATCGGGTTCGGCACTGTAAGGGACAATACAATTGCGTTTTACTTTCATGAAACGCTGTGTCAACCTTCTCTCCCGTCTAAAACCTTGGTCTCCCTACTTACATCACGCGGCCCATGCACCGCGGCCCCGAAGAGCAAATAACAAAACTGCTACAGCTCTAAAAGCTGACTGATCTGAGACATGCCAACCTTGGCGTATTTGCAGCTCACAGATCATGCCATCTGGGAACACTGTACAGAGGTCAACGGCCAAATGACAACGCCACGATGAAAGAGGCATAAGTGGAAGTAGTTGTTTATTCGTGAGTCCGTCATTGACCGGCCAGTTGTCTTAACCCATGGTGAGACCAATCGACGCCTGTGTGAAGCGTCCCATTAAAGGCACATGAGACAGGCTATGGACGGAGTTGTCAGTTGAGGACGATGATACGTAAGTGACGACAGGCAACACCGATGATGCAAGGGGTCACAAAGGCTCTCTCACAATGAGTGAAAGCGGCAGCAGTAGTATATGGGAGAGCTCGTAAGGATATCGTGGATATGTAAATCCGTGTCTTCTCCGTAGGTCACTGGCTAGCTAGCAGTGGGTCGGTCACTAGCTATTCGCGGCTGCTATCCATGTCGCCAAAAAGACGAATCCGTGAGAGCGAGGCGATGGGATATTCCAATAATGGCTTCCGTTTGAGGTGGTATTCAGGCAAGGAAGGCAAATAGGGTGCGCATGAGATTGCCAAGCGAGAGTCCTCGAAAGTGAGTCGATTGCTGGCTGGCAACGTTTGGTGAACGGATGGGAACGGCGTCTGTCGGTCGAGAATCTGTGGTGGGTACTGACGCAATCGTTTTGCCTTGTAAGGCGAAAAAGTGCCCCGCCAACAAGCAAGTAAGTTCTTTTGCATCGACAAACATATGATAAGCATCAACGCTCAAAGCGAGCTGGGAGGTGACTCCCTCTTACCGACTCGGCTCAAGTGGAGTCGCTAGAGGATTTCCTCACACGAGACCAACATATTCTCCCAACCAAGATTCCAAACCCTCCGCCCTCGACATTTTCTAGGGCGCAAATACAGGGCCGGCTTGATTAAATGCTTCTGGTCCTGACGCTGTGGTAGAGGGTAAGGACCGACCTGCAATTTTTGATTAAGTTGAACTGTTCCCAAGATAAGGACTGTAGCTTGGACGTATGTAAGTAGTAAATACTAACCATGGTGCTGGGTGGAAGCAATACTGCTGGACAAAAGCATTAGTGCTGGGCGGAAGCGGTTAGTGGTGCTGAGCAGAGGCAATAAGTAATGCATTTCCGTACCACCTTCGAAGTATTACATGTTGGATTATCGTTTGTGCCGAGTGGAATCAGCAGCCACTGAATTTCAATACTTAGCGGAGACATCAGATGCTGCATATCAGTGCTAGCTCATTTCCTACTGGTGATTTAATGGCCGAACTGAATTGATCAAATTAATTGAATCAATTGAGGTAGCGTGATGGTCGACTTTTAGTTAGGAACTTGAGATTTTGGCACCGTACCTGCCCACCTAAGATTCTGTATCTGGGTAGAGCAGAATGATTCCATTCCTTCACTTACCCGACAAGATCGAACATTACCTCAGGTCACTGATTGTATCTCTTGGCAGGATGGAATGCAAAATGGGGCTATATAAGATAAATGATGATGTCTGGGCAAGATGAGATCAAGATCAAGCAAGATCAAAGAATAAAGAGGAAACAATGGGAAAGCCAAACAAAAGTACAGGCCTTCTGTATGCCGGTGATGCCAGCACTGACGATAAGGACGCGCTTGCGAAAGACATCATCAACGTATGGTTCCGAGCGGACACGTTCCTCGTAGCCAATCTCAGATGCTGTGAAGCCCGAAAGATTGCCGTATCCATCGCTATCGAGGGTTCCAGCGTCGAAGGTAGATAACGTCTGAGCACGATGGTTTAAGACGAGATTGGTTTCAGCCATTGTGTGCTTGTAGAAACCTTCCATAAGGCTACCATGCTCAACCAGCCCGGCTTTGTATGCCGCTCTACTCCGCATCTGGATCATAAGTGTAAGATGATTGGCTTTGTAGAATGCCCCCGGTAGTGCTTGAGACTCTTTACTGCTACTGTGACTTAAAGCTCCTGAAAATTAGCGGCAGCCAGCTAGCCACTGAAAAGACTACCTTTATTTAAGGCACCAGAGGAACTTAATTCTAGCTTAAGCTGCTAATGAATATTTTCTCAACATATTGACAACACAACGCTCTCAATATCTTTCATTACTAACACTAGGGTTCTATATATAAGTTATAGGTAAACGAAATCGGCTTTTTCTTTTCTTTTCTCTTTTTTCATTCTCATCTCCAAAAATCAGAGATCGTGGTGAACGAGAGTGGGACGTTTGCTCGATGTTAGATCATTTGTTCCAATCGGCCGCTGAAGAATTAGGTACGTACGCCCAGCCATTCCCTGTGGCAGGTCCTACTACCACTATTGTTTTCTTGCAAAGTACTAAGCAAGTGCAAAGCGTGGATTTGATCTTCTCCATCCCAGCATCACCGTATTCCCCCAAGTCGACCCCAACCCTCTAGTTACTTAATATCCAATTCTTCCTTGCCGTCAGGCTTATTCGAGCCGCTCGCCTCATTTGCAAGGACAGGTGAGTAGGCAAGCAGTCCTGGGCCTCTGTTGGGGACTTTCACTAATAACTAGTTAGCAGCCACGATTAGATTGAGAATCTGGCCAGTCTCGCAAATACACTCACGACAAGAGCGGCGCCGGGTAATTCCCCAGCCGTTGTGCTTCTTGGCTCTAAGGCCTCAGCGTCCGGGCAAAGATCTTGCCAACGCCACGTCCTAAATCTCCGTAGCAGACACTATATCTCAGCTCATGAGGAACCGGATACATCCTATCACTATCATTACTGGATACCGACCTGCCCTACGAGATGCTATCAAGTACCTGAACAAGACTGTTAGCATCAAGCTTGAGGACCTTGGCAGCGATATCCTCATTAAATCATCGCAACATCTATGTCCAGCAAGACCATTGGGGCCGACTCATATTTCTTCGCTTAGAACAAGACGAGAAGAATATGGCATAGCGGAGGATGTAATAGATGAAAGTGGGAGAGATGCGTTGGCGAGAGGCAACAAAGAACACTAGCATTTACTACCGCCGACTGGGTTCTCTCCATGGAGAGCAAAGGATAAATAAGATCATAAATTACCACCCTTGACATAGGAGACTGTATTCTAAAGCGACAGTGTATACTAAGTGTGATGATCCACGAGGCTCGATTTCAGTCGCGTTACAATACCTTACGTACGCAAATGCATACCAGCAGAATTTACCCTCTTCAAGCACCAAAGTACCTTATGCCCAAAATACATGCCCTGCACTCTGTATGCCTACCAAAAACTGGAATGGAGAAGTAATAGCCAAAAGGTATTTCTTATGGTGGCAGGGGATAAAACCAAATACGATCTTGTGTAGGTAGAGGTGAGAGTCGCCTTGCAGGGATTCGGGCCTATGCCCTGCATGGTTTATGTAGAAACTAAGCACAGTGTCTAGTACGGCCAGTCAGTTTCGACATATCAAAGACCCACATACGCATCACAGCACGACGCAACGCGATGCGTTCAATGCGTGTCATTCGCATCACTTGTTGCGGTATGTCCTGACTCATTACCCACCATCCTAAATCATCAATCTCAAACAGCTTAGCTCCGCGATGCAACGTAAAGCAAGGAGCTAATAATGCTCAACTTTAACTGCAAGACCTGTACCAGGTGAAGGCTAATCGTGACGACATTATACGCCACACACGATCTAGCTGAAAGCCTCTATACTTGTTGGTTAGAGGTCACCTGCTACCTTTCGTCAGCAGTCTAGTTCTTCCTGGTTGAATTGGGTTTACTATGTAGGCCATAGTAAACTGCTAACCTTATTTCTCAATGCAATGAGCACTCTCTAGAGAATCAGATGTGTAGGATAGTGTATTAGACATTATAAGCCTTTTGAAAAGCCAATTCTTAAAAATAAATATAAGATAGTAATAGCCAGCTCTTCAAATATGCAATTCTTTCTTAAAAATGTAGGAATAACTTAACCCATTAATTGCGGCTATCTTCTCATGGGTTTAAAAAAAGGTTCCCGGTGTCTTCACTTACAGACTTATTATGCTTAGTCTTTGTTATTTACTAAACTTCAGTTTCTTCTCCCTATATTATACATATTAAGCATTTATTACCTAAAGTAACTTATTATACCCTAAAAATTGCTATCCCTATCTATATAAAAAGAGAATATTAGCTTCCTAGTAATAAATATACTTAGCCTTACCTCTGACTAATAACTTTTAACTTATAGTAATTAAAAAGATAATATACCTTTAAGCACATTTTAGTTTTATTAAATTATCTGATTGCTTATACGTTAATGATATTTCTTATAGATAAAGAGATAATAAGATATCTAGCTATAAGTAATAAAAACTTGATTTTATAATACTATTAAATATAATAGTTTCAGATATATTACTGGTAGTAGAATAGGCACTAGAGGTAATAGGCCTAAAATATTCAAGGGAAATACTAGTTTATCTTAATATAAGGCATAGATAGAGATACTAATTATCTAAGCGCTTTAAGCAATTGCATTAAGCCTATTAATCCGGATTAAGGTCTAAAGCAGGGATAGGTTAGGGGACTTGAGCAAGTCGTAAGCCTGAGCATGCCACTTTCGAGCAATTGTTTTGGATTGCTTCTCGTTCGTCTGAATTATTCATTGCTCTTGATGTCATCTGCAACTGGCTGACGGTTTGCTCACTGGCGTTGGTCCAAGTCGGGGATGTGCGAGATGTATAGAATACACAACTACGGTCACTATCTGTTCTACACCAGTTTGGACCGTACGCTGTTCGCCAAGATTCTGATTTCTCTATCATCGCAACATGCCAAGGGACCAGTAAAACTCATCGTGAATGGCACCTTGACGTTAACTGACGACTTTGCTTTGTCTCCGGGGCCCAGTACCATACGGACCTGGTTCATGCACCCAATCAAGCAATTCGGTTCTATCTGCTTGGTTGTTGGTTGTCATGAAGCAGTGCATCTTCTACCTTCAGAAGTGTATTAGTAGCTTGAGATCAGCGATTCAGTGCAAATGATTACAAACGATTGTATTCCTCGGTGAAATTATGATTAGTATTCATGTTTCGGTTTGGACGCTCCGCTCTGCATGGTTCAAGAATGAAGGACCAACAGCATATGCCAACAATGCTGTTCAACCAACAACCATCAAGTCAGCCAATCGGTGAGCTGGAAAACATTCGTTGGCTCTAAAAGCAAGACTGAACCTACCCCACAAGGCCTGGAGCCCTGACCAAAGATGTTCTGTTAATTTTTCTTTTCTCATTTTTACCACTGAATTTCTGTGACTCCATGACCCGATTTCGTTGTGCAAACAAGTAACTCTCTCTATAGAGTCTTAAGTCTTTTGCTTTCGTGCAGATCATTAACCCACATAGATATGATACCTGTAAGACTAGACACTGAATAATCTCGTTCTGAAACGGGTCAAGTTCTTCATGTTGCATCTCCCTTGTGTTAGAACATGATTACCGTCTGCGCTCTTCAAACATGAATGCAATCTTAATTTCCAGCCTATTCCTTGGAAGGAAGGAGGAGTTTTTCAGCTTGCAACCATCCTTTCAAGTCCACGGAGTGACTTCCTTGTCACATCCCTGCCTAGCCTCCAAACCTAGAGCCAACATGCAGATTGTGGAACCAACATCCAAAACCTCGAACCAACATGCATAGTTACGGGACAAAGATTAAGTCGTGTAGGCTCCCATGGCCCAAATAAAATCTTGTCAGAATTTTTTACCTGCTTGTCTCGCTTCCTTTACCAGTAATTCATGCTTTCTTATAACGATTCAAGTACATTCCGTCACGATGTTACTCAACATTGTATTACTTACGCTTATCTGGATGAGTCGTCCTCTGCTTGTTTGCGGAAACGTCCCACCTTTCTTTACCCGTTATCTGCCCAGGTCGTCAGACTACAACACAATAGACAGCATACGAAGAGCTTTCAGTACCTCTAACTTAAAAGAGAGAGACACCAAGAAAGTGAACAGCACTTCCTTAGATAAAAGTTGGGAAAATGCTATATTGTTTGCTTATACAGCGTATGTCGATTGTCAAATACCCTTTCATCATTCTATGGAACTGCAATTTTAACCACAGAACTATTCCTATATAGTGAGCAAGATCTAGACTCTAAGCAAAGGAATACCTCCATTTCAGCCGGTATAGAAATAACCTGCACAACATGCTATATCAAGGGAACAGCCACGACCAGATTCATCTCCGATAAGGACTTCAACATCAGCCAGTCTTTGAACGATTTAACAGATCAAGTTGAGAATGAGATCTACAATTTAAGGGCCGAAGTTTCGAATTACACAAAGGAATATATAGATGAGGTAACAGATAACCTGGACGATGGGTTTGACATGGACGACTTTGATATGCCAACCATGGATTTCGACCTCAATGTTGATCTTCCTGAGATTCCAGAGTTCCGACTCGAATTCCAATTCGATGGCTTGGAGGTGTACATGCTCGTTGACACTGTATTATCTGCCGGGGCCACCTATACTCTGAACTTGTATACCTCTACAACACCTGCAGGGTTTGCAGTTCGTCACAACCTAGAAGTTGGTGTCATATTTACTATTGACCTCATTGTGTCTGTAGAAGGTGAAATTGACATCAGTACCGGATTCCATCTAAAGCTAGATGATGGGGTTAAGATTGAACTTGGCATCTTCTCTAAGGAGATATCAAATATGGTTATGTAAGTCACCATTTGACAAGATTGCTATAACACAAGCTAACAGTATATTTAACAGCAATGGTGGCGAGTTTGAATTTCTCCCAGTTACTGTCGAGAGCGCTGGTGTAGTGTTCAAGGCTGTCCTTCGTGTGGGGATACAAGCGGGATTTGAAATATCGTCATCCGACGTATCTATTGCCGGGAAAGACATATTTCGTATCGGTGCGGGCATTGAATCGGGTGTTTATGCTAATATCGCGGAGCTGATCACTAATGTCACCCTTTCCACGGACGAGGACGACCAATGCGGTCTTCGCGTCGAGGAAGCATATCAACTTGCTGTCGGAGCTGCTGCAGGAGCTTCGATTGCCATTGAAGACATCACGTGGGGACCAGCTGTCGAAACTGAAGTTCCTATCTTTTACACTACATTGGCACAAGCTTGTGCCGTGCAAAGAAGAAGCGGCACGATATCTACATCCCAGGTAACTCTGGCATCTGCTGCTCTCGTAATGAGAGGTGAGGATGAAGATGGAGCGGAGATGGAGACGACTACAATCTCTGAAGAAGCGACTTTTATTGCTGTAGCATGTGAGTCGGAGGGACTAGTTAATTGTCCAGCATCCCTTCAGACAACATCCAGATACACAACTACTCGAACACATGTCACGGTAGTCCCGACCGACAGCGAAGCCTTTTTTCCTGAATCGGTCAGATTCACTTCTGTGAGACCAATTCCGTTTGGAGACTCCGCAAAGAATTTGTTCACAACATCAGGCATTCCCGAGTCCTACGTTCCGCAGCCCCCGACACATTCGGCTACCACCAGCGCAATTGATGATAATGATGATGATGATGAAGGTACTGGAAATACCAACTCAAACGCAGAGAGCCGAAGATTATCTGATAGAGTCATTATCGGCCTGAGTGTCGGGCTTGGATTGCCTTTTCTCTTCGGCGGGATCGCTCTCATTTTGTAAGTGAAACCGTTTCATTCTTCGTTTCCCGCTTAACGACCTTGGCTCTGCACTGCTGAGCTGTATCGAGTTTGATTGCTAATTTTCTTTCCATTTCTTCAGCATTTGGACGCGCAAAATGCGACTTTCTACGAATAAATCGTCAACTTCCATCCAGACTGTTGAGCATATATCACCGTCTTCCAAGACTGCAATTGCATCTGTAGTTGAACTGAGAAGCCTTTAATCCTGTCGAGTAGTCTGGTGTAGACATTTTATGTTGGAAAGAATCTCGTTGGTGAGATGACAAATGTTGAGGGTCGCGGTGGACCCAGACGATGCAAGCTGATTATAACGTAAGCCCACCGTAGAGGTAGATATTGCTCTGGGGGTGGACAGGTGAAACTGAGAGAATAGTTGGTGATAAGTTCAGCCGGGACTTTATGGTGTTGAGGTGGTTGTTATAGTTTCAGAGTATTAAGAGGTAATCATATAAATCAGCACTAAGAAGTGTTGAATTAGTCATCGGCATATGATAAACCAGTCGTAACTGGACTATCCGGACATTTGAGCAGATGGCTCTCCAGTATCACACGGTCATTCTATCACATGATCCGACAGCGAAATAAACGGGACTATCATCTACAACTAAAACACAGACCCGTTTATCTGCATTTACATGAGTGCCCCAATTTTAGTTACTGTAAAGAAGATAAGTATTTGCGCTTATGGAACCATTATCAATCCTTTGAGACTCTTTTGTAGAATGATGTTAAAAAAATGTATAAAATCGTACCATATACCCCTCATTTGACAAGTGACCTCTAGAGTAAAGATCTAGATTATGTGCCTTCAAGTTGCATAGAGGATTGTCGCGGCGGAATATTAATCCTGTTGAAGGAAGACCGAGGCAATCCTTCTCGCCATCAGATCACACCGCCGAATCCTTTAACCTAATAACAGCCTCTCGCATGCATTATTAGCCAATAAGCATTGAGGGGTTGAGGGAATTATCTTAGCAATGAGTTGGAAAAGCTTGAGGGTTTTAGTAATCTGCCTGTCATATATGAACAGCACAACTTCGCCTGTTTAGTCGAGTAAAACAGAAAACTTTCAAGTAATTCTTGAAAAAAAGAGAGTACACAAACACTCTCCACTAGCCTATTATCCAAAAACCAACAGCAACGATCCCTCCAATCATGCATGCCACTACTACTTTCATCGCGCTCGCCCTCTCGCGTCTTGCCGCTGCCTCGCCCCAGGGCGTCCCCGATAAGCCAATCGAGTTCTATGGTCGGATGTACGCCGACTCTGCCACTTGCAGCGGAACCGGAACTAGATATGCCTACCTCGGCGCCATGGGCAACTGCATCAATAGGCCCGTTCCCGGAACCGGCTCAGCCACGATGGTGGTAGGAGAGGTTAGCAAGTATTTCTTTGCAGGATGGACCGGACCTGACTGCACCGGCAAGGTGGTCCTAATTGTATCCAACGTTGGAGAGTGTGTCAACTTGGGTGGCACCGATGTTCAGAGCTGGTCTAATGACATGAAGCCGTTTGGAAAGTGAGGGGAATGCTTCGTGCATACCAAGCCACATTGTATCTGGATAACATGTGGATGGTTGTTAGTTGCTGGCTTTATGAGATGTATATGTATGGAGAAACAATGAAATTTACGATTACCAAACCTGACTAGGCTAATCTTGTTTTGTCGCTTATCCTTGATTGTTGTTGGCGGCTCGCTTTCCGACATGATCGTTCTTTAGAGGAATACCTAAGCTGTGATACCTACCCTGTATCTGAACCCAGAAATGAAAGTCTTTTCATTAACATTACCCTTTAGGCTAACTTGAGTTACTGATTCGGGATAGACGAATCGTGCAACGTGCATCCTCATCGTCGCCATTATTTTAATTTGTCATCCCTGCCATACTTCTCGTCGTCTCTCCTTCCATGATGACCTTTCCAGCTGGGTGAATATGCTGACGTGTTGGGGAAATTACCTGACGAAACGGGAAAGCCGTTTCAGGTAAGTCCATGTTCGATGTGTAGGAGCATTGTGGTACTTTGTACACCTTCACCGGACTCCTACAGGGATGTGCTAAATTCTGAACTGGGAAATTGTCCATTGCCTGATCTTCATTCAAAATCATAATTACTTATAACGACCTGCTTTAATGGACAATCCGACCGCCTGATCAACGCTACCTCAATTTAACAATGCATGCGCATACGATATTCGACTCGATGAGTTGCAGCACATGACAGTACAAGATTGATAACGACTGCCCTTGCCTCGCATGCGCCAACCTCCTTCATCTCAAGGTCCGCGTACTCCCTTGTCCGCAAAAGCAAAGTGCAAAACTCGGTGTCTTACCCCACCCTGCCACCACCTTCCACAGACAAGTTGACGAATAGTCTTTGAAAATTGCTGAATATCTGATGCTTCTGGCTGGCGTTTATGGAGTAAACCTAAGGAATTAATGTCCGACGGCAATAATCACCGGTTCCCCGCACCCAGCGGTCAAGTTAGCAGCCACAGGGCTAATTTCCTACTAATCCAGTGATGTGCCGACGACATCCGAGGCAGTCTAAGACCTAGGTGCCTTTTTAATTGGCCTTCTGTGTGGAGTCTACGCAGAGCAACCATCTTCGGGGGGGCGGTGCTAAGGCGGGACTGGGGATAGGCTCCAATTCCGGTAGTTGGTCAACCAATAGATACCGCTGTTGTCCTGTCACAAGATGAACAAAATCACTGCTACATTATGTAGTAACTTGTGTAAATACTGTTTGCTTCACTGGACTGCCAATCTATCCTTGATAGTTGAGTTATCAGTATCAACCGTACTGAAATAAGGCCTGCAAATAGCGATCTTCTGAATAATGTTTCACTTAGAACATTATAAAGGTCAAGTAAGACGAGTTAAGATACCGTTGGTACCATTCTTCAATCACACTATGTTATCCAATACCTGAAGCTCTGTTTAACGGGATTATAGAGTGGTATCTGACCTTCTTAAAAAATCATTTATATTAAGGAAACTATCTCACAAAGACAAGACAATAGCAATTCCAAGGCGAAGCATGAGTAACAATCACCGTGTTTAGTAAACCTCAACTGTCGAGAGTCTCTTCATCATGAGGCTATCGTCAACCTCCTGCTAGATTTCTTGTTGAGAAGCTTGCTGTCTTGTCTTTGCGCCCGACTCAATAGCCTTGATAACCTTAGGCGCCGGAGGTAGGAGCAAACCGGTCTTCTGTCCGATTTGTGTAACGCGTGACTCCATACCTTCCATTAACTTGGCTTGTTTCTGCAGAAGTTAGCCTGGTCGTTATGATGTGGTACCATCGCCCCCACTCACATCTTTTGCCTTCTTTCAAATCTCCTCGGTGGCTCGCTTGGACCAGGCTTGAAGTTCGTTTGCTTTTTTATTAATAAATGACCCGTCGCCACTTGGGTCGAGGGCCGGAATCCCGTCAACCATGCGCAGCCCTGGGAAGATACGCGTTTGCGAAACCTTGGTCCACATAGAAGTAATGTTGGCAAAGATAGAGTAGTAAGATCGGATGATGATAGTGCTGTTAAAGCAGGACTAGGTTGATGGTCAGAGGCACTGACGGCAGTCCTGGGTTGACTTACGCTTCGCTGTAAATCTGTTATAGTGTATGATCCGACTTTATACATGGAGCTTTTATTATCTCCGTTTGCAATAACCTTCATAGTCTCGATGGATGGGTTAACATGCTTGCTGGTGATAAACTGGACTATTGCCGAGATGGCCTTGACGAATCGAATGAGGTTTGTAATTTCGTTCCTGAGCTTGACTACCAATGATATGCACTGTACGAAAATGCCCTTAATCGATCCCTGGAATAACTGACCATCCAAAGGACATGCTGATAGGGAAGTAGTTACATACCATGGTCAGGTTGGAAGATTAAAACATTTAAGCGAAGCGTTTAGCTCATTCAGCTTGTTTTGATGCTCAACAAGAAGAGAAGTAGACCCTTATTAGGTCCCTTACGTCAGAGTCAGGGCAGTGGAGGCAATGTTCAGCCGGTTCCAGAACAGCCCCGATCTGGGCAGTCTTGGCTTGGATCTGGGCAATCTGGTCGTCCGGGTCAACACTACCGCCAGGCGCAGCGCTCTGTTCAGCATTATTCGTATGCCTCATATCGTAGCTGCTTTTATATAAACATGCGCCATTAACAGTCGCTTCTAGAAAAGACTTTGCCGTAGTGTTTTGCTCGACTGATTTAGCATAACCATCGAGTAAGTCCTTTTGCCAGCCTTTGATGAGGCCCGATTCCTTTGTTGGCATCTTGAATTTGATGTCTCTGGCCTTCTCAAGCTCTTTCACAATGTCATATACAATCTGCCACCCGCTAGGTCGAGTATAGTAGTAGTAGTAGTAGTAGTAGTAGTAGTATAAGTAACCTTGCACACAGATTCCAAAGCTGACTTACACCGTTGGCGTGGCGAAGTAAGCGATGAGACAAGGTTCTTTTGCGAACTGCCCAACATGTCCGATGCAAAGACAGTAGACTGGCTAGCCTTTGGGCTTCTCAGATTTAATTCCATTACTGGTACCAATGAAAATAATTTACAAGATCCCAATAGATCAGATCCCGTCCAACTTGGCTGTAGGCAGGATCGTCTGCATTTTTTGGTCGGCTGGCACTTCGAGCGTTGAGGGCTGGTAATGCCGCTACGTTGTGTTTGTTACCTTTGCTCTTATTTTCCTTGTCAATGATGTCTTTGGACCATCCTCATTGACATTGATCTATATACAAAATGGGGGTGGCGTTCGGCAGTGACTGGATGAGCTTTTGAATAATTCATACATTTGTGAGGTGATGCGAAGAGTCAGAACCTGCCAGACTAGTTTTGCTGTTGAGGCAAAGTCGGAAAACTGGACTCTGTAGTCTGTCTTTCCAACCTGATATAAACTTTTCATCCGTCGTTATTTTACCACCTACGATATTCCAATGCCATGTGTGGTACAACCTTACCAGTCTTAATCTATTTATGATGTGAACATCTTTACGTTTCACCTTTGCACGATTCTGAGATAGTATGAGTAGTTTGTGAGACTTTAGAGGTCTAATATGATGCGAAAATACAGGTTAGCGATGGTGTAGAGGGCAAAATTGATTTAAGCAAAAAAAAGGACAACTTTCGAAATTCCATGTAAAAAGATTGGCCAACAAGACAGTCTCTTAATGGGTTTGCTAAACCCGAAATGAATATTGAACAAGTGGATGCTGGATTTCGCCTGTTGTAGATGCGCAAAGGACGACAACATTTCAAACAAAGTAGCCAGGACTACTTTGATTCAAAGATCAGCCTGCCGAGAAACGGTCCCAAGAAGCGATTATGCAGGTGGATCAATGAGACTAAATGGTAGGAAGTACAAGGCAGGGAGTGGGAATACGCCCTGGAATCTGTTCACGCTTTACTGTTGAAGGAAGCCGATGAAACTGATGGGAGAGAGAAGACGGGGAGATAAGTAGAGGAGGAGATAGGGTGTCTGATCGGATGAAATGGCAGCAGAGCATTAGGGACATTCCAGCAAGCCCCTGGCTTCTTGAATTCTGGTAAATGGTGCATCAGCTCGGCCCATTCACAGTCGCCCGTCCAACCCTGGCTCCAGAGGTTATTGAACCCGCTGCGATGAAGTTTGTTCTTGAGAATGGCAGTTGCCCAAATAGAAGACAACATTTGTCTTTGAAGGCAGGGCAGCCGTCCACTATTGACTCCCTCAGATGCGAGGCAATTAGCAAGCACCACCGTTGGGATCCGCGCTAGTAGTTGGTTAGAGATTCTTACGATTGCAATAAAATTCAGTAAGTTGGCAACATACACTGGGCTCTCAGGTGTCGTGAGCGCGCCGGCCATACTTCTCGCAGCCATTGATCCCACCGTTCAGGTAGCAGTAGCAATCGTACTAGGTCAGGGTCATGGAATCTCCTTTAACACATTTGATCTAGAGGACGGCGTGCTTGCCGAAGCCAGGACTGGAGATGCAGTTAGTCTTTAGATCGAACCCTCCTAGCAAAAGTATCTGGGTGGAAAAGATTACGCGGGGTACTTTGCAGTTGAAAAGGAATAAGCATTTAACGTTATGTATCATTCCCTGGTAGTAGGGCCAAGTTAACCCCCACGTACTTCCATGGAATTGAATCCTTCCTAATTATGCTTACAAATGGACGATTACAAATGGATGATTACAAATGGATGTTTCCATTATTAAGCTCCCATTATTACGCTTCAACGATTATAATAAGATTGGTGAAATGACTTCTGCAGCTTTTGGCTCTAACTCTCGTCGACAAATGCTTCAATATTCCTACTTACGATTTTGAACTAAACTAAACTAGTAAGTTGAACTGTAGCCCGTCGACATGTCAGCCTTTGAATCACCCCGAATTATTGTTGTTACCGGTGCCACCGGTAACCAAGGCAAGGGCGCTATACGTGCCCTATTAGCCGCCAACGAGGATTGGAATATTCGCGCCCTGACGCGAGACGTTAGCTCGTCATGGGCCAAAGCACTCCTAGAAGAATGCTCCGACGACGTGAAGGCAGAACGCCTCAGTCTTGTCAAGGGCAGCACATATGACCTTGACAGCATCCGGTCGGCTTTTGTCGGGGCTTATGGTGTCTTCGCCGCCACATCAGAGATCTATCCTGGTAAGGTCTTGATCGAAGAGGCGGAGATGGCCCACGAGATCGTGGCAGGTCGCAATATTGTCCTTGCCGCTAAAGAAGCCGGCGTCAAACACTTTGTCTTCAGTAGCCTCCCTAATATGGACAAAGTGACGGAGGACAAATTTCCCGGGATTCACCATATGAACAATAAGCATGCAATTGAAGAGTTTGCGAAAGAGCACTTGAGCGGTGTGACTTGCCTTATTCCAGGTTCGTTCGTCCAAGAAACTCGTCGAAGGACTCTAACTCATCGCGCGTTTTCTTTACACAGGATTCTTTTACACGAATTTGAGATGGGCTCATTATAGTCAACGTCGGTGTAAGTGATATCTACATAATGTATTGCAACAAGTATGGTTCATTGACTAACATTCATGATACTCTAGCGGATGGTGTGGTTGAGTTCCGTACTGCCATTCCCAGCGAGCAAGTTACGCAGTGGACTGACCCAAGCTATGACATGGGCACTTTTACTGCCAGTAAGTCAACCTCTACAGAGGCAACCAACAAAATCGCTGATTTAGCTTTCCAGAGGTTCTTGAACTAGGCCCCGAACAGACGGCCGGCAAGACGTATCTTGTTTTAAGCGAGCCCATCAGTCCCAAGAAAATGGCCCAGATATTTACAGAAGTCACTGGACAGCCTGCAGTGCATAAACCTATCACTCCACAGCAGTTTGGCGAGGTGACAGCCCCCTTCATCGGCCCTGCCTTCCAATTGGATGCACAGAAGATGATGGAGTGGGTGTCTGTGATTCCAGCCGGCAAGGTCTGCTACGGAGCTATGGAGTACAAGAAGATGGACGACTCGCCTAGGGAATTGGGACTAAAAGCTAGTACATTCGAGGAGTGGCTGAGACGCAGCGGATGGAAAGGGCCTGAGTAGGGCTGTGGGGCTGTACCATATTATTAGCAACAGCATGGATACATAATTGCCAAAACTTTTGCTGGCAGGCGATAATTTGCTAGATAGGCATTACGATTACAATGAAAATCGATTTGCGATTGACAACGTCAATGCGAAAGCAAGCGGCAAGTTTAACAGTGATGTGTATACCAGCAATCTCGAGGACTGCTCGGCGCACACGTAGTCCCCTGTGACGTCGATAACATCCGCAATAGTTGCATTGATGATGCCGGCCGACGACAGAGTGTGGTTCAGAGTAGTCACATTGCCGATGTCGTTGAAGTAATCAACGAAGCGCGGATCAGGATCAATAGGTTGAACTGTAAAGTTGCCCTCACCACCACCTAGTTGACCGCCTTCCCCTGTAGTCAAGTCCTCTAGGTTAGAGCCACCAATCTCGGTGAGACGAGTCGTAAGATTTTGTAACTGCCAATCCGAGAACAACCTGTCCAGATACGTGTGATGAAGCCAAAAGATAGTATCGCCTGGACTAACAGCCACGGAGATCATCTGCCAATGCGCAGTCGTTAGTTTGCGATCTCAAATAGTGGCAGTGGTGATAGATTAAAAAGAGATGATTGTTGACTTACAGTACTAGCTACGCTGCCGTGGCCAGCGGATTGCAGACCTCTCTCGATACAGTGCCAGAAATCGATAAAGGTTTCCTTGGCCATCCACTCATTAACAGCAGACTGTGCGCTAAGAATAAATTGTTTGTCGTCGAAAATGCGGTGGAGGCAGGTTTCAGTATACGATAGGTCGTCTTGTATATGCAGCGTCGTGCTGGCGAAGGGGCCATCTTGGACACAACTGTTACGGACAGTCCCATTTCCACCGAGAGACGCATCCGCCCCCAGATCGAGCATGATAGAGGCGGTGAGGTTGCCGTCGTCAAGAGTTTCGTCCTAATATTCGAAGTCAAAATTTTGCATTGTACTGATTCCAGGCTGTAGAAGAGCTTTAGTAACTGTGCAGAAGCTCGATAAATTCAACTTCGTTTTAAACATAGGAAAAACCTGCGGGTACGCTAGAAGCCTATGTCTCCATGGATCTGGCCGTAATCCCTCAACACGATCCTCTTTGTCTACCTCTGAGGCACTACGGCCTTACAAGACCAACCCATATACGTGGATCACTTGGGCGGAGCATTAGACATGGTGAATAAATCAAAATGGTAAGGGTCATTTCTATTCAGCAACATCTCACCTTGTCCATAACGAATTGAAGAAAGGAAGATGTGGAGTAAACGGAGAAAAGGAAAGAATGGAGTGCTAGATGTTCGTATTGAAAATGTCCACATAGGACAAAGTGGCTACCAGAGGTCAATCTTTACGAATGTAGATCGTTCTTATCAACGACGCACTGACTACGAGCAAGTCCCGAAACCCAGACAATAAGGACACATTGGCTCCGTTTCGCGGCCTGCCCGAGCCGTGTGGCAACGAGATGAAAACTTCATGTATGATCTAGAGTTGAACATGGGCTTATAATGCCGCGGCTCTGTATATTGTCAGGACGCATTGACTTCCTATATATAAGTACTCTGTCGTTAACATCACTAAAAAGCCCTTGGGATATTTGAGTGTCCCTATGGAAATGATTGCTAAGAATACCGCTGATGGTTAAGTGCTCTTCGCCTAGCTGTATCTAAATAATAACGAATGCTAAGCATAAAGCCTGTTTACTAGTACTGAAGGGGTTATATACTGACACTACTATCCATTCTTGGGCGTACTGCTCCTCGACTTCTATTGATTTCAATCAACTCAAGACTGTACATTCGCGTTGCAAAGCTATTCTTTTCCCAAAGATGTCAGACAAGATTCCTGTTTAATACTCAGTCGAACTCTCAACCAACCCGTCCTTATGGGCGGGTCCAAACCAACCAGAGTCTGGGTTTCGTGATGTCATCAAAATTGATGTCATTTTCATCAACATCAATGCCGCCTCAGACTTTCGCCTTTTTCGTACCGGTATGAACAAATCAATCGATTACGCAATCAAATAAGTCACAAAACACATTGCCCGTGGCCATTATCGGGTTATCACTATGAACGCCAGTGATTACTCTTGTGTAGTTGTTTTTTCGACGTAAAAATCGCGTGCGGAGCTTATGTGGATCAATGGATTTCCGTGAGATAATGAGAATGACCCTCAACCTGAGGTTGTCCTGGAATGAAGTTGTTCGGTTGGGAACAAGTAACAATAGGCATCAGGCTGTGTTGATTAGGACTAGCTTTCATCAGGGAAAGGTGTTATTTTACAGCTGATATAGAGACATAAGAGAGAAAATCTAATTAATTAAGAGGTTGAAATAAGCTGATATGGTTAATTCTCTCACTTAAGCAAATGTCATCAGAATGCAAAACAGAGCAGAAAGTATCATGCTGCCGCCGGATAAACTTCACGATGGAAAACAAGGTTGATTATTCGAAATCAATGAACACAGCCAATCGGGAGCTTCCGTGACTCATTTGTGGGTAACATATGCGGATCCACGTACGTGACACGCTTCCCCCCTTTTGGACAACAGCCAACCAACATACATGCAACGAAGCTCCCAGAAATGAGAGTAAGCTGGAAAGATGACCTTTTGTTCCGTCGGCTGACTTTGTCCCCTGCAAAAGGCACCGTAAACCAACTAACATCCTTCTCGAAAAGGTTTATGTTGCATGTCGATCAATTCGGGTGCTACGAGGGCCTCGCGGATCCATAGCTGCATCTATTGGTTATGCTGTCTCATCATGGTGATTTCGCTTTTTCAAAGAATGTAAGTAGATAGCCTTTCCTACAGTCTATTGTAGATTTTCTAATTGTCCTCAATGTTCGATTCATTGCCCTGGCATTAAATCTTCAAAAGTATTACCAGAAATATTTGATACCTCTCGTCGCCCAAGATGACTATCTCACTCACTAAAGATAACACGCTAGATACCACAGTTTATCTGATTCTTGCTTGCAAAGACTCAGTAATTCTTCTTCTGTCGATCGCCATGGCTCTGACCCCCGCAAACCCAATTCCAGACGAAGCACATAACACAACATCTGCCGACATGGGGATTCTGGCGAAGCCGGACTTCCTCTGTGATGACAATGATCTTGGCAAGAAGTGTCGCGGCCGTCCATATAACTTTCGCTGCACTAATGACAATCAAATCAATTACGACGAACCTTATTATCAGTGCAGGGACAAGACAAGGTTCTCTTGTCACTTTTCATGAAATAATATCAAGATCTTTTACTCACCTCAGGATTTTCCGAAGACGTGTGGACGGGATTTGGTTGTTTGTCGATGGAGTTCGTAACCGATATGAAGTTCAGCTTGATGTTATACCCTCAGTCGTTATTTATTGCACTGGATGTAACTTTGGGATGATAGCCCAGGCACCGGAGACAAGTGGTAGTCGCACGGCAGCGGACTGGACAAGTAGATATATACTGACATAGTCGAAATCTAACCATAATCTCATGATTACATATATATATGTATATCTTTTAAATACAAATGATTATTTGGACTAACTATGAAGTATAATATATTGAATATATCAAGCTATCTTTATACATAAGAACTTATTAACTCATAACCTGGATCACAAAGTTTAAAGTAATATAAATTAATCTTTACTTAAAAATTCATTTAAAGATTAAAGATAGAGCGCTTTATAGCAGCAGTTGTAAATAAATTAACATCCTAAGTTTAATTGTATCTATAGGCTATATGTATTGAAGAAATACTAATAGATTTTAACTTGAACCTCTCTTTCTTGATGTTGAATCAAGAAGTCCTACAACTTCTCCATGTAGTGCCTCGAAAGAGGATAAGAAGATCGATACAAGACTGCTGAGCATCCTCACTCTAAGAAACCATTCTCGCGTAGCTCCGCAATTTTCTTGTCGGACAGAGGTGGCTTGCCCTTGGCCTTCAGCTGTCGCTGGAGCTCTTCTTCAGAAACCTGGAGGACTCCTGGGCCAAATCCGTGATATGTACCATCTGGGAGCTCAACAAATGACTGTGCATCTGGACCTCCAATCTCTTCACACTCCTTGGGTTCCCATTTCGTTCCAGTAATATCAGTGCCAACAGGAGGGCCACCAGTGTGGGCAGCGGCCGCCTGTTCCTCCGGGCTTAACTTCAGGAATTGTCGGGCAGCAGCCTCTGGATTACGTTTGAGGCTGTCCTCAATCTCCGTCTTCTCCTTGCTCGCCATTTGAGTACGACCAGGCTTATGAACGATCAAACCGCTGATGCACTTTCCGCTTGCACTACAGCACTGATCGTTCAGAGCGTTGAACGAACAGACGCTATGACCGCAGACTGCGCCGCCTTGCATTCGACGGTACGCCGTCCACCATTCATTTACTCCAGACGAGGTATCGGACCAGATGCTGCGAGCGTAACCGTTAGGAGACTTGTAGCACTTCTCGTATTGCGAGGCGTTGAAGGCTCTATAATCCCCTATACAGTCAGAGCCGTAATAGAACCTATCGCAAAGGCCAGTTTCAAAAAGAAAGGAGGCGAAGACAAGAATTTTGGCTTAGAGCAACATGGTTACGGCGGTTGCGGGGTATAAGTAAGAGTGAAGGTAGGTAGGGTTGACTCTGTCTTTGTAGAGTATGACGTTATATGTGGATGGACGGGTGCGCCACCAGATGATAGGCAGCCAGATGTGTACTTGATGGTGTGTTGATGTAACTCTTGGTAAGATGTAATGTGGAATCTTCTCCACAACTGTCTTCCTCATGTGTGATCGAACATAAGCAATCTGAAGCAATATAGGTTCTCGGTAGCACTTATCAACCCTTATACATATTCTCTTCTAGACGCTCTCATAGCCCGAGTCTTTCTTCCATCTTTTCCTCGCTCAGGTAATTGCGTCTGTCTGCCACATGCCTGCAATTAGCCCATAAACCCTGGTGTTGAAATGAAGGCGATTGGTGGCTATCGGCAACCGGGTAAATACCTCCCTGACAAGGGTAAAACTACATGGATGATGATACCATACTACATAGTACCATACTAATTTGATTACAGTGCATCCAGCAACACAGTGCTGTCGGCTCTTTAACTGCCCGATCAAGATTTCATCAGCTGACAGACCAAGTCAGCTGACAAGATCGTAGGGGAAAGCGATTAAGCGAACGCAATATGAAAATTCTCGATTGGGTCAACCCCACTGTGAATCAGTTGATGGACAGGCACCATCGCAGTCAGGCACGCTAGACAGGATCTGAGTTATAACAGGAACATCCTAGAGCTGTGGCGAACAACAAACAACTCTGGGAGAAGCTTTTGACAGAGGCAATTGTCTCGCGGTTTCAAATTCGCAATGTTGCAGTACTGGAGAATGGAAAGCCGCCACATTCCCCCGTTATTTGTCAAACAGAAGGATATCAACTATTTGTGAAGTTCAATCTTTCTCATCTTCTCTTTGACGGCCAGTCGATCGAGATACTCGTGGATCACTTCCGAGTGGCTTTGCCTTGGAAACTTCATAATACCCACAAGCCTCAGTACTCGAATTATGTTCACTTTCTGAAAGGGCAAGACGACACCCAGGCTCTTAGATTCTTGGAAAAGACTCTAGTTGAACTTGAGCCAACCATACTACTTATACTTATCAAGGTCATTGAGTAAATATATCTCCCTGAGAAAATGATTCAACTGTACGCCACCATCAACAATACGAGACAGATCAGCAACTTTGCTAACAGCCAAGGAGTGACTATATCAAATATCTTACAACTTGCCTGAGCTCTCGTACTTCGAAGGATGGTTTATAAGAACGACGTCGTCTTTGGGCTACTAACGTCAGCCCGGGATCTTCCTTTGAAGGACGTTGAACCCATGGTAGAACCTGTGATCGACATGATGGCTTGTCGATGTACCATTCTAGACACCATGAGCATCAGTGAGACTTGAAACAATGTTCAAAATAGCTTCTTTGATTCCCACCGTCACCAACACGCCTCACTTGCCAGTGTGCAGCATGCATTAGGACAAACATAAAAGCTCTTTTACAAAGCCATGTCAATGTTGAGGGCAATGCAATGCAAATATGGCGATCTTGAATATGTATTGGTTGAGCCTGTGCGACAATATCAGCCCACAGAATTTGACATCAACATTCATGTCACACTGGCGGAAAACAACATTAGGGTACAGTTTGATACGAAGAGAAGTAGAATCTCATAGAGAATCTCTGAAAGCTTCCTTGCTACCTATCTTCAGGCATTGCAGTCTATTGTAAGCGTCAGGGTCAGAGGAAACATTAACGAAATCGATATTGTCAGCACAGATGACAAAACTGTCATCCAACACGTTGCCCGAAAGACCATGCGGCCAGCGATGGAATCAACGTTAAATAACCTGGTCGTAAAACAGAGCCGACGCAAACCAGAAGCAGAAGCGATCCATGCGTGGGATGGAAGCTTCACCTACCGGCAGATTGAATATCTTTCGAGAGCTTTGGCGCAAAACCTTATGAAACAGGGCCGGTTCAGAGACGTCTCCTACGTGATTTTCTGTATTGAGAAGTCTCGATGGGCCATCATAGCTATGTTAGCTATCCTTCGATCAGGCTATGCATATGTACCACTAGACCCTCTCCATCCACACGATAGGTTGCAGAATATTGTATCGCAGACGAACGCTAAGTGGATTCTCGTCTCAGTACAAACAAAAGAAAGGTACCAACGTCTGGGGACCGACCTCTACTGTATTGATACAATCTCGCTGGAGACTCATAGTGAGCCATATGAGTTTTAAGAAGATGGGCTTCCCATTGTCCCTCCAGACAATGATGCTTATGTTATGTTTACTTCGGGAAGTATTGGCCAACCCAATGGAGTTGTTGTTCAACACGGCGCCAGCTGCACCTCCATCGAACAGCAAGTGAAGTGTATGAGGTTGAAGCCAGACTCAAGGGTTCTACAGTACACTTCCTTTGTGTTCGATATCTCACTTTGTGAGATATTCTCAGGGCACAGAGTTGGAGCCTGCATTTGGGTCCCATCAGACACAGACCGTATTGAACAACTACGCAAGTTGATGAATGAATTCAGAATATCATGGGCTCAGTTGACACCATCAATCTCTTCAATGATTCTTCCTGCTCAGGTTCAGACCCTGAATACTATCGTTGTGGCCGGTGAAGCGGTTGTTGCGGAGGTGATTCGAACGTGGGGGTCAGCTACGGATCTTGTTATCGGATATGGCCCAACTAAAACTACCGTATACTGCACCGTTCACTATCCAAAGACTGAAGATAAAGCTTCTGTTACCGGAACTGTTGTAACCTTCTTATGCTACGTAGTGGAATCGGCTAATTCTGATAAACTGGTTCCTATCGGAGGCGTTGGCGAGCTTTTGATAAGCTGCCCACTTCTGTCACGGGGATATCTTGGGGCTTCAGATCATACATCTACCTTTTTTATCATAGGTCCATCCTGGTCTGACGACAAAATGAGAAGGTTTTTCTGTACGGAAGATCTTTTAAGGTTTCTGCCAGATGGAAATCTTTCATTTCTTGGCCGCAAAGATAATCAAGTCAAGTTGAGAGATTATCGGATAGAGCTGAGCAAAATTGAAGCGGCTATACCTCATCTTTCAGCTGTTCTATTACCGCGACGAGGCTTACTTAGGGACAAAATTGTGGCTCTAATCCCAATTTCGCGAAGGATTTCCACGGTTGAACTCAAAGACAACCACTGATCGTCGCGGATGAATCCTCCCAGCAACTGTTAGCTCCTCGCAAAGAGGCTTTTATGCGATTTCTCCCTCCCTACCTGGTTCCATCTATCTGTCTCGTCATTGACAGCTTGCCAGCCCTGGCTTCTGGAAAGATCAATCGCAGGTGGCTAGTCGACTGGATTATGCAGCTGGGCCCTGTGAATATCAACAACAAAGCCCGTGAAACTGAATCTCAGACATCAGATCCTAAAGTGATTGCCCTGCTGGAAGCAACATTCCATGTGTTGGATAAACCCAAGTCCTTACTAAGTTTCACTTCCTTATCCTTCGCAGCTGGTGGCGATTCTATCTTTGAAATGCTGCTTACGGCCCGTTGTGTGTCTTTGGGCTATCGCATCAGAGTCGAGGATATTCTTAGGGCCAAGTCACTGTCCACCCTGGCTAGAAATATGGAGCCACTAATTGAGGAGGTGCTGGATGTCAACCCTGATGTGATGAATGATAGCCTGTTTGACCTGTCACCTATACAGAAACTTCATTTCCGCCAGAACTCACTTAGGTCAGACCATTTTAACCGGAGCATGTTGCTCCAGTCGCGTCAGCCAAGGTCTCTTGGATGTCTAAAGAGCGCCATTGAATACGTCGTTGAGCATCATTCTATGCTGAGATCTAGCTTTGATTATTGTCACAACGGCAGTAGAGAGTAAGTACCAATAGTCATCGCAGTTTCCTCTTTGAGACACTCACAGCTCCCAACTTCAAAATTGTTGTCGACATTGTCAAAGAAAAACACAAATCCACCAATTTTGAAGCTGGGCCTATGCTAGTTGTCACTCAAATCTCGGTCGGTGATGATATCTTCATATCGCTGATCTGCCATCACCTAGTCGTCGATCTGGTCATCTGGCGTATCATCATTAAGGATTCAGAAGATCTGCTGCAGGCTACAACGCCATTGCCGCCTTCAACCTCCAATCCGACCTGGGTGAACGCTCAACAGAGACGCATGTTAAATGAGAAAGGAAATTATAATTTCGATAAGACTGTCTATATTAAACCACCCCAGCTGCAAGTGCAATAGGCGAACAAACGATAGAGGGTTATTTCCAAGTGAAACAGAACCCCTAGCACTCGGCTGGAAGTCCATACAAGTCCAAGCTAAGGACTCAAGTGTCGAAAAGAAATTTGTCATTGGGTTTGTCGGCCATGTACCATTTTGTCTGTTGTCACTTTTCTTTCGTGCTTGGAAAGGCCAATGAAATATTGAGACCTAGATACTTGACTGGCCAGCTTGGAGGTGTCAGTGGTGGCTTCATCAACCAAGGTTCATCAAGAGTCGTCTTATTCAGCTTAACGTATTAGGCTTTAGAGCTTATAAATTGTTTCGAAAAACTCCAAATCAAGTAAAGAATGATCCCTCTAGACGAGTGTCTTAAGGTTAGGCATTGCCGAGATAGCCAACATCGAAGCCTCTTATAATTATATATAGTACTCCCCGCTTTCTTTCCTAAATATTAACCGTTAATTCTAGGTACACAATTCTGCCGCTTTACCCCAAATAGAGTTATACAGGGCTATATAGTATTATACAACATATACTAACCGAGAAGCAAAGGTAACACTTCGAATATAAGCAGAATTAGTAAATTATTATCGCCTAGTTAAAGTTTTATATGCAAGCTCTAGAAATAACTCTGGTGCTTAGCGTCTATAGTTAAACTCTACCTCGGCGAACTGGCAGCAGCGGGCAAGTTATCGGCAGTCGCTATTAACAAGTGCAAGGGATAACAAAGTTGACTTCTTATTACTCAATAAGTCAATATTATCGGCTAGGATCTCAGCTAGCATTTAGAGAAGTCTACTGCGAGACGCTTTTGCATGGCCTTCCATTACTGTATTAATTTAAAGAGAACGTCGTTTGTCTAGTTCTTTGCCAAATTGGTCCCTCCCAGAACCGCTGAAGGTACCAATAATCAAGGTCGAAACATCACGATCCATGTCCATGCTGCCCAAGCAGGAGCGATAAGTAAAGTCTAAGAAGTAGGGCTGTTTCGATTTTCGAGCATAAAAAGAAAGTGAGGGGTAGGTAGATTCTTGTCGTACAAAGTCGCGGTAAGCACCAGACGGATTATGGAAAATCTTTTTTCTTCTTTTCCTTTTTATTTTCAGCCAGAGTGAGATAATATACTAGTAACCAGCCCCAAACACTTCCCCTTTCGGTTACCGGTAGAAACTGATTTGGTTCAAAGCAAGGTTCCATGAAGACCTTAAATTTTTTCTTGCATGCAGACTTCAGCAACTTCTTCCTCTTGCAACCTTGATCACTTGACAGCTCAATAATACCACTTGTCAAAGATATCAAGACAAACTAAGTCAGTCAATCCCGGTCTTGTTGCACATTGCCAATCGCTTTCGCAGATCCCGTACAACACGATGCCGGCTAGCATTATAATCGGCAAGAACAACCTTCCGGATAAGCTGCAAACCAAGGCGACCAAGACAGCTATCAATCGCTACAAGAATGCCGAGTAACTTGAAAAGCTGCATACGGAGGCTGTCGACCTCTCTTATTTTTATAACTCTCTAAATACTTCTATGTACTCCATAGTCTATAAAAGATAACTAGGCAGATGGAACTTAAATATTTGATATTAACCCTATGTTAAACCTAAACTATAGGAAAAAGTCTATATCCAAGTAGTTACTTATACTCTCAGAGGACGTTGTTCCTAAGGCAGGTTGTATTTCATTGGAATATAATAAAGGTCGTGCCTTATCGTGTTAGCTTACTGGAGGATAAGGTTAAAATAGAACTTATCTTGTATATCATTACTTCCATTAGTGTCCAACTGATGATTTTGGAAGTGCCTTCTCCATGTCCACAAGCAATCGTAAACCACGCTCATACTCAGTCTATTTCTGACTTGTTTTAACTGTAGATCTCTGAATGTAACACCACCGACGACTGCGGGATCAGGAAGGGCGCAAAAGAAGCCGATTATATCACCTAGACGAGCCGGTAGGTCGTTGTTTACAACACTCATCTGTCGAAGCCCAGTAATAGAAGACTCAAGAAGTTGTTTACCAGCTTTGGCATCTATGATAGTGTTAAAGAACCCATTTGTAAGAATTTTAAGCAGCACGAATGCAGCGTTGACATATGTCTGGTAACAGAAGAAAGGGCAATAGTCATAAAACCCTTGGGGTCTTTCATTAAGCCGTTGGCTGAGGTCGACGAGATTGTAGGCTGTGGAGAAGAGTGCCACAATCCGGTTTTTGTAGCCCTCTATTTCAGGATGGTCGAAAAGGTAAAATGCCTGAAGATGGAGTCTTGCAGCCATGAGATACCAAGCCTCGATGTCTTGACAGGACGATGAGAAAATGCGGATATTTATAGAACATAGTGATTTGGTACTCACCACAGGACCCAGAAAATAGCTTCCCAAGCTCATCCAAATCCGAATTCAGTAGACGATACATAGTTGGTCGTTCACCGGTCAAGGCGCCTTCAGCACCCGTCGGCGTTGGTCTCGCTAATGATAAGGAGACGTGAAGCTTGAACCTTTCTATTTGAAGGCGCAAATAAAAAGGTAACTCAGATGGAGAGGATTCGAACTGACTGGGCGGTGGAGACTCATGCATCTGGAAGAATAGCGGTAGGCCACAACCAATGCTTACACTACTCGAAACGATTATAGGTCAGTATGGGTTTGAAGGTTAATTGGATGGAAATGAGAAGATGCTTAGTGCAAAAAACAACCTTATAGCTACAATGTTACAGGCCTCCCAAGTTTGTGCCCATTCGGAATGCTCGGATACATCAAGCTTTAATGGAACTTTAGCAAAGTCTTGCGCACCAAAGGCACAATGGAGACCCATCTGCGTACTCATTTGTAGCATGGTACCCACAAGCATAAACGTAGGGTCTGACGTGCTGCTACTTGTGGGAAACGGCCAAGTACACAAGAGACAGAGGGCACGGATGGTCGAGATGGAGTATGACATGGACCGCAACGTTTTCCACAACAAATCCGTTACATTTCTAGCCAGTCTGGGTAGGAGGGTGGGCTGCGATTTCTGCCGTCTTGCTGCCACGGCCATGATTACCCAGAACAACAGGTCCGATCTTTCATAGTATTCGTGTGGGCTTTTCTTCTCGTCGATGAGAGGAAGGTAGGGATGGTTGTACTTTATATACCTAAACAGGTAGGAAATAGGTTAGCAAGGTGTAACGGAGAAATATCTGTCAAAGGGTCGACCAGTAATTTATTAACTTACATATTGAACAACTCGTCAATCTCCTCTATTTGAAGAATTATATTACCAAGTGCTCGTGGTCGTGCCAATGGGAAAAAGGAGGCGCGATGCTGAGTTGGTGGGTCGATACCAGGACGAGTCGTGAGACATTGCAAGTCCGCATCGTTAGTTACAGAGCTGCCCAAGGTGGCAGGTGGGAGATGTATAGATACTGGTGGAGAATCGTGCCTCATTGGGGAGAAATTGAGACCAGCATCGGTCTGTCTCAGGTTATTAAAAACGGTACCAGGCGTCCCGACGGGCGCTGGAACGGGCCAGTTGGTTTCATTATGCTGGGGTGAGGTTGATGCATTACTCTGGCTGGCTCGCAACTGCTCTCGTAAGCTCTGTATTTCACTTTCCAGGTCCGTCGATTGTCTACAGATCTGGTAAGAATAAACATTCGTCATGGTTTCTGCCATAACTTGACTTGGACTTTACCTTCGTTTTCTAGTCCGACGAAAGCCATCGTCAATTCTACAACCAAGTCCAAGACGTCTGCACCGAGTACAATAATCCGACACTGTCAAAACTTGGGCAGAGGCAAGGTCACATCGAAGCTATGCAGATGATTAGTACCTGGCAGTGGGTTGATAATGTTGGAATGCGGAGAGGGGGTGCACTTTTTGCTGTTTACACTCATTACACGCCTTTCGTCGACTGGACAACTTATCGGCCTGATCGGCACTGAAATCAGCTCTGTTAGGTCCAGATTCATCGTCTATTCGTCTAGGTGATTGCATCGGGGGTGATAACCTCCTCATGGGAAGCCAATCAGGATCCAAAAACCGATGGAGAATTGATGGAATTAGGAGGCGACTGATAATAGGTCAGCAATGGAATTTGCATGGGGTTGAGTGGCATGTAAAGGAGGACATTTCAGATGTCCGATATGGCGGGGACGAAGTGATATTAGCGCTTAACCCCAAGCCACTTCGCTATAACGTGTTAAAGCATATTAAAGCCCAGTAATTGCATTAACGCATATAACCTTAGCTTATGAAATTAAAAGTATACTATTTATAAGTAATAGTACAAAGAGTTAATAATAAAATACATATTCTATAATTTTATAATAAGAGCTAAAGCACTTTACATAATAACTATATAATTTAATATTTCAAGGAATTTCTATTAGTTGAAAGATAGAAGAGAAACAAAACATTGGAATATCCTTATACTATATTATAGCCTGAAGACTCTATATAATATCTTTTAAGCTCTAGACCTTACTGTACAAACTACCACCTACAGCGTTATCCAGAGCTGTCGCTTGGTCCAGTCCTACAATAGTAAAAAGTTTCTTAGGGGTGAACTTCTTATCCAACGCAGTCCTTCCCGTCTCTTTGATCTGGATAAATACATCCTTGATAGCCTGATAAGCCGGGCCGATAGATGCAAAAGGAAAGATAATAAGTTTGAACCCAAACTCCGCGGCTTCAACGGGTGTCCACGATGGAGTCGCTCCATGCTCCACCATGTTAAGCAGCATAGGTGTGGGAGCCATGATACTGCATACTTCTCGAGCCTCTTTCTCTGTAGTTATACCTTCAAGGAAGCCGACATCCGCGCCAGCCTTGACAGCAGCCTGGAGCCTGCGAATAGCCTCGTCGAATCCATTTGTCTGTAAAGCATCGGTTCTGGCAATGATAACAATGTCAGAACCAAGTTCTTTGCGAGTTTTATAAGCCGCAGCGATGCGCTGTTCGAAGGTTTCGATATCGACCACGGCCTTGCCACCGAGGTGACCACATCGCTTGGTCTGGATTTGATCCTCAATGTGAAGGCCAGCAACACCAGAGCGGTGATATTGCGCGACGGTTCGAGCCACCATATTGGGGCCACCGTAGCCGGTATCGGCGTCAGCGATCAAAGGTACAGAATTGTCGAGGTTTGCGATCATCTCGGCGTGTTCGCGCATGTCGTTGAGGGACGCGAAGCCAAGGTCGGGCTGGCCAAGCTTCGATGCAACAGTACCAGCTCCGGTCTACATTACATGTTAAAGTTAAATTCAGGTAGTTGAGAGGTCAAGATCTTATATTACCATGTAGAGGCACTCGAATCCCACCTCAAGCGCAATACGTGCACTGAAACCTTCGTAAACACCCGGTGCGACCAGGATATCGTTGGACTCTAGCCTCTGACGAAGCTTGGTAGCGCTGGAGATAGTAGAGGCATTGTGCCCGTTGCTATGACCGTTGGTGCTGCTGTTGGTTTGAGACATGTTGATAGATATTGGTTTCTGTGATTTCCTGTTTCTAGATCGACTCGTGTTGTAGTGTTGTTGCTTTGTTGTTTTTGTTCCATACTATCATTAGGGGGACTCTACAATTAAATAGGTAATTGACTTGACCTTTCGTTATGGTGACAAAATATTGGCATTCCGAACCGGGGTAATACCCATGTGTCCGATCGGATTTGCAGACGTCCGATCAGTCAACATTCCACCACCCATTTTCTATAGTCCGATCGGAGTCCGATCGCTCGTTATCGGACTACTCATCCCCGCATTCTTCCCCATACCGCATTAGGCTACCCTGGCTACCCCAGGTAGGATAATCTGGGGCCCCGCACGCTTGTGTCCATGCCGATGCGGGATTGTGGGAGGGGAGGTGAGAATCATATGTAATGTTCATGGGTATATGAACCAAGTATCCCTGACTCCAAGAGACCATCTTCTCTACAGCAACGCGATAAACTCGCCAGCAATTTCGTCTAAATCTTCCACTCTGTTCCTTCATAGACATTTCAATCTCATCGTCATTGTCAATATGTCGGTAGAGAAGAATATCTCTTCTGATCCCCAGGACAATCGTCTTTCCATTCATGCCAAGATGTCTCACGAAGAGCACCATCTTAAGAGTACACCGACCTCAATGGGCGTTGTCGATCATGAAACTCCTGAATGGAAGCAGAGCGAGAAAAATCTTGTTCGCAAGCTCGATATGACACTTATGCCCATGGTTTGGATTCTTTATATGTTCAACTATCTCGACAGGAACAACATCGCGTAAGCATCCATCCCATGTGCCCCCTTTCCTGTTTCCTCAATTGAACCTGGGCTAATATTGTTCCGCGCATAGGCAAGCCCGTCTTGACGACTTCGAAGCAGACCTCGGTCTCAAGAACAATGAATTCAACATCGCAGTATCTATTCTTAACGTTGGCTACATGCTCGCGCAGCTTCCTTCCAACATGATCCTTACAAGAGTTCGCCCGAGTATATATCTGCCATCATGCGTTATTGTATGGTCTTGTGTTTCAGCTGCCACTGCTGGAGTGACCAGCTTTTCCGGTCTGATCGCGGTACGATTTGTTCTTGGTATTGTTGAAGCACCATTTTTTCCAGGTGTAAGTGGCTTATCCGACTTCGGTCCTAGGACCAAGTTCTAAAGTTCAGCACTGATATCGAGATACGGTGATAGGCTTTCTTCATGCTTTCTTCCTGGTATACCCGCAAGGAGCTCGCCCTTCGCACTGCAGTCCTCTATTCAGGCCTTGTCATAGCTACGGCCTTCTCTGGCCTCATTGCAGCAGGAATATTCGCGGGCCTATCGAATACCGCCGGTCTTCATGGCTGGCAGTGGCTCTTTATTTTAGAGGGTGCCGGTAGCGTCGTTGCCGCCATTTTGGCCTTTATCCTGCTTCCGGACTTTCCTGAGTCTACAACTGGGAGCCAAAAATGGCTTTTAACAGATCAAGAGCGTCAGGTAGCTATCCAAAGGATTGCTCTAGATCGCGTGTCTCTGCCAGAAACTGACAGGTCTATCTGGCATGGTCTTGGTCTTGCAATTAAGGATGTTCGAACCTGGGTTTTTGTAAGTTTTTGTACCACACCTCAAGTAAGAAATAACCGGTTAACCAATCCATCACAGGTCATCATCCTCTGCGCCAATCACACAGCCTACGGATTCAACAACTTCTTTCCCACGTCAGTTCCAACCCTTGTTTTCCACCTTCAAATCAGTATGGTCCAATATCTAACCTTCATTCTTCATTAGTATCGTTCGTTCCATGAATCTCGGCAATCGTACTATCACACTAGTCCTCACAGCTCCCCCATATCTATTCGGTGCTGCTGCTTCCTTCTTGGTTGCTTATTCAAGTGATCGTTTCAACGAGCGCGGATACCATATCAGCGTTCCAATGGCCTTCGCCATCATCGGCTTTATCATTTCAGCGGCGACCCTCAATAAAGCTGCTAGATATGCTGCATCATTCTTCTACTGCGCCGGCGCTTTTGCTGCTAATGCGGCAGTTTATTCGTGGGCAGCCTCCTCGTTGAATCAAACGCCCGAAAAGAGAGCATGCGCGACTGCCATCGTGAATTTGCTGTCGCAACTAGGAAACATTTGGAGCCCTTATTTCTTCCCCGCATCAGATGGGCCACGCTACGTTATGGCTATGCTACTTATGATGGCCTTCTCTGCACTCAGTATTTTTGCATCATTATTTATGAAGTTCCTGCTTAAGAAGGATAACAGAAGGCTGCTTGCTGAAGCAGAGCAATCCGGTAGAACTGTTAAGCTCTATACTACTTAGATCTAGCATCTTCTCTCGACTGACAGGAATTCATCTTGCGTTTTCCGTGGTCGAGCGATGGAAAGGTTCATAGATTTTGAGAATCACAAAGTCAAAACAGGATAAGGAACTAGGACAGCGAGATTCTATTATTTTCGATATATTCTATCTTCTATGTGCGGTATTAAAGAAACCTGGCCCGTAATGCATGGAATACGCCGATGCAGAACTATGCTATCATTGAGGATATTCTGGATGTATTGGATTCTCTCTCAGCATAACAGTAATAAATACACTTGCATTAACTAGAAAACTGTAGAATGAGTAGAAGTATGCATAAAGCCTACATGATTACAGCATGAGACTTTCTTGACAAGTCAGTGTGTATCCGCTGTCTTCTGTCTGTGATATTATATTACGTTTATAGTTATTATTACTAATTGTAGTAGTAAAAGGGGAACCTTTTATAATTTTTAGAAGAGCTTTAAAAGAAGAGATTAAGAATTATCTATTATTATAAGAAAACAATGCATTTATACAACTGCTAAAGCTTATAAATTAAATTAGACTAGTTATTAAGTATTACTTAAGTATTTATATTAAGTTTATACTTAAGAAGCTTAAGATATTTTTATTTTATATTCTTAAATATATAGCTCTTAACGATCTTTTACCTCTTTACTATAGCAATAGGTATATATAGTTATATTTATTAATACTCTGGCCTAAATCGTTAATTGAAATTTACTTATTTCCCTATTAATAATACTACGGAATAGGTTTTTCTTTAAATATCCTAGGACTATTAATTTATCTACTTATAGAGCTATACAAAGTCTAATGATTAATCTAAATATAAAAATAATAAGTATAAAAGTCTTATTGAAGTGGAAGAAACCAATGATACAGTTCATTTTAGTCATTATTCCATTTACGAGTTTCTCTTAATGTCTTGCACGAGGGAATTTCAAGGCCTGCATATCGAAACGGATCAGTGTCACCAACTTGTTGGTGAGACCTGCATCACTTACATCGCCCTTGATGATGTCCAATCAGCCTCATAAAGAGTATTCCTAATGCGGAGCCTACAGCTTTCGGCCTAGATATGAGGGAATTAACTGCACACACTGTCGAGACCACGGTCAAAGAAGACCTGGGGTCCCTCCTAAGCCGTTTGGTCCGTCGCCCGAAGTCTGAACAGTTAAGCAAGGTCTCAGCAACCAACAGCTTGGCGCCTTACGTGGCGAGGCCTCAGACTGCCATGACTCCCGAGGTTACACAGTATCCATTTCTCACGTACGCGAAAGAGAATTGGTTCAAACACACTGTTTATCTTTACTCGTCAGTCGACAAAGCTACATGGATACTCCTCGGCAGGATCCTCAGTGGTGACATTTCTTACCCACGAAGCGTTCCTTGGGAAGATGAGTCTTTACAAGGTGGAATGATTAAGAACCTGCAAGTAGGGACCTATTCACTATCTAAGTTTGTCTGTGTCTACGCTTACGCCCGTCGACTTGGTAATTGGGGATTTTGTTGTCGTGCCTTCATGTTGCTGGCTGAGGACGCCAAGAAACAAAAGGATGTATAGAATTTCCTGGTGCCCCATGTGCACTTAAGGTGGAAATATTGAAAAGGAAGAAATAGTTATTAGGGCATGCGTGATTTCAGACAGCTCGGGATTGTCCAAATATTGTTATTGATAATATATCGATTATTAATAAGCATTTCTGAGTGGGATTACTCTGACTGGCCTTGATAACCACAATAAACCAATTGACCTAACAGATAGGAAACGCATAAGAAGACTGAATAGACAATCAACTTCCCCTGGGTTGGAGCAGAGAGATAGGGATCGTCGGTTCAGCTACCAAAGTCAGCTAGGTTGTGATTCTTCAGAGACCCAAGCCCCCTGTGCACCCAATACAAAAAGCTGATCCAAGCGCCAAGTCAGCTTGTACGCGAATACTCAGGAGTATACAAAGCAAGGGAGACACGGCATGTTAATAAAAGGTCATGCTTGCCTCTTAAACTCTTATTGGTCAAAAAAACAATTAACTTCGATTTCATTTTCAACCATACAAACAATGCTATTCTCTCTATTACTCATGCTTCTAAGCTGCTGTCTGACAGCGGCAACCTCGACTCAATCATTCAATGAGCGATCCACCGAACAGCATGGAGATGTAGTTTACAACGATTACTACCACACAGCAACTCGGTCTAAACTATCATTTGTCAAAAGTTCCGGGATATGCGAAACCACGCCTGGAGTCAATCAGTATTCAGGCTACCTATCCGTTGGCGAAGATGCAAATATGTGGTTTTGGTTCTTTGAGTCCAGAAACGAGCCTCGTACGGCTCCTCTGGTAAGCTGGTTTGGTGGTGGACCAGGCAATTCAGCGCAGTATGGCATGTTTACTCAAAATGGACCTTGTGAGATTTTGGACAACAACACGGAGCCCTCTTTGAGAGAATTTAGTCTCAATAACCACGCCAATGTACTCTACATTGATCAACCGATTGGTACTGGCTTCTCCCACGGTGATGGTGGAAAAGCCAATATCAATTTCGCGCGTGACAACTCAAACAGACCTCTTATCAACTAGTCATTGCACAAAGAACTGTTAACCAAGTACAATACCGAAGTCATCCCAAGTCTAAAAAAGTGTGATGGTACTGGAACCGCTGAAGATTGCTCTGCTGCGTATCTGAGCTACTGGACAGAATTAGACCAACCTATCCTGGCCTCAGCGCTCGACATATACGCTGACTTCATCATGGCCGATATCCAACCTGGCGGTGTTCGTCCTGCTACGAACCATGAGGAATATCTACAAAGAGCTGATGTGCAGAAAGCAGTTGGCGCTAGAGTCAACTACACTGACAGTGGAGGTGCTGTTGCTATTCGCGGATCAGGCGATGGTAAGTCTGTTCGCACCATATACTGTAATTTAAGATGATTAACCTCTATACTAGATGCCAAATCATTCCTTGGTGAAATCTCACACATTGTCCGGGATGGCGTTCAAGTTCTCATCTGGGCTGGAGATTCGGACTACGTCTGCAACTGGCTTGGAACCAAAAGAGTCGCAGATGCAGTGGACTGGCCCAAAAAAGAAATATTTTCTCAAACAGACCTTCAACCATATACCGTAAACGGCGTCCAAAAGGCGACGTTCAAGTCCGTGAAGAATCTACACTACGTGAGAGTTTTCAATGCCGGTCACAACGTTGGGTCGTACCGTAAGTACAAGGTCCAAGAAATAGAAGCCTTGACTCACCTTTGAATAGAGCCCGAGACTTCACTACAGCTGATCGCGCAATCGCTATCAGGAAAAGGTCTTTCTTCGACATGAATAGGGCTCCACTGGACAAGATATCTTTAACATGGCGTCACAGAGCTTCTGATAGTATACCAAATAAAAGTCGGAAGTTTATAAACTTTCAGCGCTGGATATGAAGCGACACATCTGAACAGAACGCTACACTCAGATGCGTGTAGTCTTGATACCGACAGTCTAAGACTCAATTAGAGGTTGAAAGATAACTCAAGCTGAAGAAAAGGTTATCAAAGCTACCGGAACCTCTTTTGAAGTTCTTCAGCAGCTTTATTTACACGCCCTACCAGAGCTGTGTTCTCCTTCTGGTTATTCTGTTATACCCTAAACACTTTCTGGAACTCATTAACCATGAACGGTGGAAGCACCGTTTTCTTCGCGGCCTGGTAGTCATAAATAGCCGTCTCCTCAATACGTTTGGCCGCCAATCGTTGATGATTGTATGATAGAATCCATGCTTCCGTCTTGAGCGAGGTTGATTCCTCAGTGGGAGCTTCTAGAAGCTTATAGAGCACGGTGATATGATCTGGGAATTCAAGAGGCTAGATGGCAGTAGCTCATCAATTTTCTAATCTTAGTTGGGGTTACTAAGGGACAAAAGAAGTCTTACAAACATCTCACAATTCGTCATGCCAGAAAGGATGTTTCTCTGGCTCAAGCTAAGCAGCAAACTCTCTTGAAGGCCACTTCTTTCATAACCGAGTCTGCGGAGGCACCCAAAGAGCCCCCGGACCCTCAGGATGAGGACAAAACTCCCCACCTTTAGAGCTAGGGCAGGCTCAACTACACTCATACTGGGCACCGGGGCTCAAGGCAGGCAAAACACATTGAGTCTCTATCACTCAAGATTTGAAGCTCGAGATGGCGAAAAGACCCTTCGTCTTCCATCAAAACAGGAATTCTCTGTCGATGCCCTCGCTTTGTTCTTCAGGTGGGGTCTGTATATTCCGCTTATCCCCGCCAAGGATATCCGGATGATCGTCGTATCCTGCCTCACATTGTTCCCACTGATCCTCATCTTCCCTAGGAAAGGATTAGTAGCCCATTGACCCACAAAGAGAATGACAAACGCAACGATGTACCATGGCTTGCCTTGTTTACCTTTATCCATGACGAGCTCTTGCTTCAACCTGGTGCCTTGGGTGAAACAATATTCAAGAAAGGTCCTACTAAATATATCAAGATGAATATCGGCGACGTTGTCAAGATTGGTAATGTTGCAACTCCGATTGAGAGTGAACCAACCGCAGATGTCAAGGACATCGTGGGGGATTTCATCTCTGTCAAGCCAGATCTTATCAAGATCTTCTTCTCCACCTTTGACAAGGACAACAAGCGTCAAGTCCCAGATGAGCCCGACATCAAGCTACTCCCTCGTCAAATACTGCGTCCAGGGTGGCGAGAAAACCGTGGCCTTGTATCGAGGCCTTTTTACGCCAACCAGAGTCACAGAGAACGATCAATTCGATCAATGCTCCAACTCAGGTCAAGACTTTCAGATTCTGGACAAGCAAGTAGGTATGATGGATATCAGCTACTCGGTCGCTTGGCAGATTGGTCGCACGTTGGCTCTTGGTGACCAAGCCTTTGTCTCCTCTCTTGCCCGTCTACGATCTATCATTCGCCAAAGGGCGATGAAAGACTCCAAGATTAAAGTCGTCACAAAGACAGGACCATCTGACAATAGTTATCGCAGCAAGAAGAATGTTCTGAAAAGCTTACAAGATACTATTGAAAGACTTCAGCAGATTCAGAATCCCACCCCACCTGACTCAGATGGCGATGGCGATGTCGGCAATGAGTTTAGACCTGGTGGAGCTATAAAGCGTTGGTACAGACCACAGCTTTCCAAAAAGGAGTACCCTAAACTTGGCTTCGCTTCCAAACTTGTCTAGGATGGATACCTAGAGAAGGCTTTAGAGGCATTCAATGTGTTTTACATGGGCAAGGATAAAAATATGTATAATGAGACCAATGACCCCGTCTCCACCGACTGGATCGTCGATTGCATGTTCCTTGATAGAGTCCCCGCGCACTACCTCATCTCTGATCCTAGTCATATTCCCCTAGAAGCCTTGCGATACTTCTACATTGATCGAAATTGGCTTGATGCCATGGTCGATGGCGCCTTGAGTTTGGCAAACCACATGGGTCAGGACATGGACCGAGCTGCTATCAAATGGGGTATCAATCAATTCTTGAAGCATACCCCGGAACAACAAACTCATCGTCCTCAAGTTCCTACCTATGGTTTCTATCTACGGTCTGATCTTGTCACCATGTATCCAGATCTCAGAGTGACAACCAAGGGAGACGATACTTGTCACGCACCCCTTCTCCGTCATGAAATTCTGACAGATGGTGTCATGCTTGGACTTCTTGATTGAATTCCCGGTACAGATCTCAAACAATTGATCTTTACACAACCTCCCCATCAACAGCGCTTCGCTGCAGGTTCATACCTCGGTGGTGATAGGTTGAAACTTTCGATCAGAAAACACTATACTGTTGATCAAAAGTGGCACAAGGATGTGAATCACGAGGCCCTCGAGGTATTCCACATGCTACCGAGTTCAGAGAGCAACTGGTTTGTCTGGAGTACTACCCCAAACCATTGGTTGATGGCGAAGACAAGGGTGATCCAGACGCTGATCTGAGAATCCTGCGTACTCCTTACTTTAGGTAGTAGCTTTTCCGTATTATTTTCTCATGCAAATCGAAGTCCCTCTCTATCATCGTGGTATTTTCGCCTTATTCTGTATCCTCTGTCGACTTCTACAATGTCGTGATGTCGCGCACGGTAAAGTATTAATGTTGGCCGCCGGTAGTACCAATTGCCCAGTTGTGGGACGTAGTGTGTAACACAGTAGCTTCACAGTAGTGTTCATCATCATAAATAAGGATAATAAAATCAACTTCCTATATACCTCATTCAAAATTCTAGTCCCTGATAGATACCATCCGCCAAGTCAATTTGCATTATCTTCGGGCTACTCTGGAGGATTAAGAGGCTCGTCTAGGATCACGTCCAAGATAACCGTCTTCGGCTCAAAATTGACCTGATTGTCAATACCAGCCACTCTCAAGAGGTACCTGCAGTTTATATAGGGCTGCCACAAATGGCCAATGTCGTATTGCCATACTTTGCTACCTTTTTCCCCAATTGTTACCCACTTTCTCCTCAAGGTTTCATCGACGAGTAAATTCTCATACATATCCTTGTCGTCCAGAAATCTCTTGACGAGGGAAAGACCGCTGATGTTGTCTCGAATACCAAAGCTCCACTGCTCGCTAGTGCCGGTCAGTGAGGATCTCCAACAACTACAAGGGTCAACTTACAGCATCTGCAAGAATGGGTAGGTTTCATCACAATTACCAAACCGATTCATCATTTTACCCTCTTCGGTAATTCCTAGGGAATTTTTATATTGCCAATGGACTTGCTTTTTGCGACCATGATTGGGGTCCACCTCTTTGGAATCCCATGTCCGAGCACCGACATTATTGAAGTTGCTGAGAAGATTGAACTGCCGCATTTTGACTCTTTTGTCCCAGGAACCAGAAGTAGCCTTGTTGTTATCTCCGGCCAGTGATGCCCCTATGAAGAACTCATAACCACCAGCTCCACACTTTGACTCGCGCCAAGTGCATTGATGAATCGTCGGGGATGGACCAAAACCTGATCCTACGGTCTCCTCTTTTCTTTGTGCCGTCTACTTTTGTTGTTCTCGTTCCTTTTCTGCCAATGATGTAGCACCAACGTGCATAGACAGCCGTCAGGGGCACAAAGAAGTTATTTTTGGTCACACCATCCTATGCAGGACCCATGAGTGTGGGATTAGTTTTTTCTTCCCCAGTTCTCACTCTGTAGATATGTTGGTCTGGGGTGACTGCTTGGTTTACATTGAGTGTACTGTCGACATAGTTCTTCCTGCCAAATTTGTCCCTATCGGGCCACTGAGATAGCTCGTGCTAGCATGACTCTGGTGGTCCATTTCCTGACGTTGGAGAGAGACTCTTACCACAGCGAATGGATTTATGCGCAAACAGCTTGTAATTCCTCTCCCAATGCGACAGCAATCCCGAATTGTGCTGGATTGTTGCTAACATCTATAAGGAATTGACTGATCTAAAACTCAGTCAGCTCCAGACTTGCGAATGGTAAGCAACACGTTGGAATATGTATCACAAACCTGTTCAGCCGTGAACTTGTACAGATCTGTAAGCTTCAGCCCGCACAGCCTAACCAGATTTTCATCCATAGTGCTAAAATGACGAGAACTGATGTTTGCGCTTTCGGTGTAGAAATTGAACAACTACAGACTCAAAGTCAGATTTATCGAAGGGAACAAGTCTCAGATGGAATCACCCGAATCATGTGACTCGATTGACTCCCTGATTATCATCTCCAAGGTATCTTGTGAGTAACTGACTGGACTCCACAGTACTTCAGCTCTCGGACCTCCATGACATCAGTGACATCAGTGGCTCCCCGCGGCATATATCAACGACGCGTGAATCCACCTGTGCCATCTCCCTTCTTCTCTTCACTATCAATCAAACACTGCATTACAATACATCACATTACATCACATCACGCCTAATTACAATATGAGCGACAGCGTCAAGGAGGTCAACGGTACACTTGTGACCAATACCGATGTAGGCAATCAGCGCATATATTCCGAGACATAATAACACATGACTGATGTTGAGAAGGTTGCGCCCCCGAGTGACTGGACAAACAACTACGAAGACATGGGCGGGGATATGCAATGGGGTGAAGATGGCGATGTGGCCGAGTTAGTCAAGGGATATGGTCTCGACGGCACGGTCAAACCCCTCTTTGCCATGCAATCCTACACTGGAGAGGCTATATCCCTTTTCGAGCTCAGCAGCAGCCACTACCTCTACAACGCCATCGAAGGATCTCTGTACCAGATTCATACACCTAATGACCTTCAGACTATCGTGACCACGATTGACGACCCGGACAAGGGCATGGGCGCGCTCGAAATTGAGGCCCTCTAGATAGATCTGCAGGGCTATGGGGCTAGCTGGGGTAGATGTGGGTATTTGATGGATCAGATAATCAATGAGGAACACGTTGGTATTCTATGGCTGGCTGAATAAAGTGACAGGGAACTGATAAATAAATGTTGAACTAGTAGTTGTTATGCATTTATCCAGACTATGCACCAAATCGAGTGTCGTAAATGTAATGCCGCCGAGAATGCAAACTTAATATCTCCTTGTGGCTGGTAGTGGCTTTGTGGCTTTGTGTGTAGAGTTAGCTGAATTTATTCTATCTCACTAGTTTAACACAGCTTGATTTTAGAATTCTGTAGATTCATCATCTTAAGACACAGTGACATCGCCTTATTGAAGCGGAATTAACTTAACATGTTACCCTCAGGAGAGATTGACGGGATTTGTGTGACAAAGCCACGGCAAACAACAAGCAGGATTGTCCAACAGACGGACAAAGAGACGGATAAGCAAGAGAAGCCTAGATAAGGCATCTTTGTGTGAATTGAAGGAAATTGGGTATATAGATCAAGGAAAATCCCTCTGTAAGGGTCTTCTTCTTGTAATCTAGTTATCTAGTCAATGTCAGCTTTTACCCCGATTTTGTCCGTGTTGATGACTCAGATCCTTGAACCTTGCAATAATTTGCTTAAAATACCCTATAGCGAATTATCGTCGTCTGAGCTGTACGTAGTTATCATGTGATACATCACGTGCTTCTAAACATGATCGTTTGTTGAATTTTAAGCCTCTTAGTTCGAGCCCCGCCCTCTCAGAAAAAATAGAGAATCATCTCTCTTGTACCATTAAACCTGATGTGCATGCGTTATAAATGCACTAACCTCCTCGTAGTGCACATTATTAAGATTTTTATTTTAATTGACTCTACATCATCGCAAATTTGTAGAGTAGTCCGTTAGATAAGTGACTTTCCCTTATGCAAGAACAAACATATTTCTTCTCTCATCGTTGCCCTCTTCATCCTGAAGTGATTGGTGCTTGGAAGTTTTACGAGGGAACCAACTGCATGTTGTCATCATGCCGACATGAAGATCATTAACCACGTAAGCCTTGGTCTCTGACATGACCAAATTTTGGATCGGTAACTGCGCAACACTCTCAGGTGCCTATCGCCTCACTTTCGCCTCATTCTTGGCCAAACTGGCATCGACACGTGTCAGTAATGACAAAATGTGTCAGATTGCCCTCATCATCTTCCGCTCTACATTTGGAGAACAACGTGAGCTTGGCGCAGACGGCCAGTCAGGAGACGAAGACAAGACCCGGGTCATGAGAGATCTCACAATTTCCCAGTTGCTTCCATCAGTTTTAGTGTGGATCAAAGAAGCGGGCCACAATATCATTCAGCTGTCAGATGTGTCATGGAATGACTGTCCGAACCCTGTCAGCCATGGTGGTACCTTTCTTGGCCAGTCAAGCCTTGGCAAACGGTGTCCCAATGGATTTCCACCATGGCGGTGGATGTACTGGCTGAAGCTTCTGCATGAGATCAGGGATGAGGCGAACAAAAGTAGCGAGATCCATCTCGAGGTGTATGCTGCTGAGGCGATTGATGCAATAGTTTCTAATGTGGAGGAACGGAACTCGGAGATCCTCAGGGCTTATCAAAATGGTGGTGAAGATTTACACCAGGATCAACATCTGTCTTGCTTGAATGGTTTGGCCAGGGGTTAGACAGATGCCAGTGTTAATTAGTCGCCCCCCAAGAACACGCTCGCTTTCTTAAGTATTTCGCGCCTTTGAATATAGCTCTCTTTAGAAACCTTACAATCCTAAACAGATCTCAAATATCAGCACCCAGCTTCTCATCCAACTTATATGAACTCGTCGATATCGAGTCAAGGCTGTCCCTTTATGCGTACTGAATGGAAGTCAATTGATTAAACTCGAGGTGGAGTCTTGTTCTTTAATTGCTTTCGTCCATCTGTAATATCAAAATCGTTTTCAACCATCGTTATCAAATATGGAAGTGAATGCTTCACTTCGCGGATGCCACCTGTATCTAGTAATAAATGCTCATGTCAGCTTCGTAAACGATCAATATATGCAAGGTGCGTCTTTGACTGTTCGGATCGTCGGCATGAGGTTCTAACCCGCTGTCCGTGCTCTAAAATCCGAGTGGTAAGCACTCTCCACTGTCAGTTGTTGATGTAAGCTCACTCGCAGAGAGGCCGGAGCACTGTTTTTCCGTACAACTGAAATCTCTTTACATAAACAGTAATACCCGAAACTTCTCTTGCCGTTTTAGTAGCACTATGATATGTTTTCAGACAATTAGGCGGCCTCACTGAGGCTTAATTGCCAAAAAGGAAGTGCCGTCCATTGTGACAGTGATATGGTTTGAGTAAGCTACATGAGAACTCTTAGTGCTTACTATAAATGTCGACAGTTGGATTTGGGTTTCCTGTAGTATCATTTGGACGTGGAATGGTGACAGGATCTATCTAAGGATGGAATGCTTTCGCATTCTCTGTTGTACTATTGGCTCAGGTTTTTTATGGCAGTGCACTTCGTCCTACAATACAAGAACTGCTCAAAACAATGTATACAAGAAACATTGGTTGAACATACACATCCTTAGTACTTGAGGGTCAAATGGAGGTAATTCAGACGACAACATGAGGCCTACTACTGTGCAAGTAATTTGCAGTTGTGTTAGCCATGAGAAAATAGAGACTTTGGTACCTGACATTATTGTTTCTTTACAACAGGTTAGTTGCAAACACTCAGCGATGAGTGATCTTCATCAACTCCACTCAGCTTGCTTACTTGCGCAAAGCAGCGTTGTCTTCGTATATAAATCAGTCAACTCATTTCATACGGCTGACCCAATGAGAGTATATGCCAAGTGAAGGAAAAGAGCAACGATGGACATTTAACTTAGTCATGTTGTGATTTTTTAGGCTACGTGTTAGTACTGGGATCTGTTGCATTGCATACAGAGCAACTGAGACCCTTCCAAGATACTCAGCAAAGATCTGTGAGAAGAGAGATCAAAAATTCTCCATCATTATTATAAAGCGAGAAGTTCTATAAGAATGAGTTTATGCCGCTATTAAATGTGAAGAACCAAACCAGATCAACCAGTATTACTCAAACATTCACATCAAGTTCCCAACCTGAGAAACTCAAGAAATCATCATGCTACACTCTTCAACATGCAGTTCTCAACTATTTTCTCTCTTTTTATTGCGGCCATGGGCATAGTAGCTACCCCTATCGACTCTCCCACTCAAGAACTCGATGCCAGAGGCAACCTGTTCCCTCGTCTTGAATACTGGGGAGTAAGTTCATTCTCTGATGTCCAAGAGGAATAACAACTAACCTAATTTGAGAGCTGCACTAAGTCTAACAACCGATGCAAGTACAAGAACGACGATGACAACAGCGTTCTTCAGAACTGCCTCTCGTTTAACAACAAAAAGGTACACCTTAATACATTCTCAAACAGTACCCATACTAAACTGCTGTCCAGTGTACCAAGGATGGCAACAACTGCAAGTGGGACAGCGCCAAGAAGGAACTCAACTATTACTAGATTCTTCATCACTATGCATTGAGTGCTTTTTAACTCTACTTTAGTTGCGACAAGCGAGGATCCTATGATGTTTCTCGAAGCCAACTTGATTGCACACGATTTGGGACAAGGCACACTATGTTTCTTGAGGATGATTCGAAGAAAGCTTTGGCTATTGAAATATACTTCATGTTAAATGCACTATTTTATATCTAGCTAGATATATTACTGATCAGAGTGCGGATTTATTTATCTCCTGCAACTTAGATCTTCTGTATGCAAAATCCGATTATAAATTATATACTTAAGCCTATTGACCTGTAAGTATACCCAATAGATTATTAAGTAAGTTACAGTAGTAGAATTAATTGACAAGGCTTTATAGTAATGTTTTAATGCTTATCTAGTATGCAATCAAGTATCGGGTTATAATAGACATGTATAATAGAATATAAAACTTTTAGTCTGCAGTAGATTCTTATAGTAACTGGTAATGATATTGTGTTCTTACTTTGTTTTAATTTAAAATTCAATAAAAAAGAACTTATGGTTAGGATCAGTAAACATGCCTTAATTGATTAATCAGAAGGGGGTAACTTTGGCCGCATTTTCCAATCTATTACATCCTCCCAACGAAGGATTTCATCACCATTGCAACCACAATCACGATAATACCCCCAACCATCTTTACCACCGTTGCAAACATACGCTAGGCATTGTAAATTTATTCTCTTCTTTTGCCGGCCCTTTACCATTTTCAACTTCTCAGCCATATACTTCTCGCTGGCCATTCTCCCCCACTGCTAACTCGTCAGGATAGCACAGACACTATAACGCAGCCTCTCATGCCGCCATCGAATCTTCTAATACTTTATGAGTATTAGAGCCCTATCGGATCCGCAGTCCTAATAGGTCTGCATATAGCGACTGCAGACTCTATCGACGACTAAAACCAACGTTCGTTTTAAACACTATTTCTACTGTAAGAATAGCAATATTAAAGATCTTCTTATATAAATTCTATAGCCTATTTAAATCCTAATAGAGATATTCTCTAACTAGTATAGTATCTATATTAATATACTTAAAAAGCTCTTATTATATAGCTTCCTAATTGCAAAGAACTTATCCTTAAGATATAGCTATTAGTAATATTGCCGGCTATGGACTATAGACATTAGTTTACTATTTAATTATAGGTATAGGTTTATAAGGTTTTATAAGAGAATTAATTAAGACTTAGCCTAAGAAGAAATTAATAACGCAGATAGATGTAATCTTACTATTGCTATTTCTAATACCTGCTATTTCGCAATTAAGTGCAATAGCGTTTCTTTTGGGTTTAAGAGAGCTAGGATAAGGAGCGACTCTATTATTATAATTCTTTTAGCTTAGCTTACTTATTAAGATATACCCGTATTTTCTAAGGCAATTAGAAGAATAACATTTAGAAGTAAGACGGTTATAAATAACTGTTAAGTCAAGTAAAGGGAAATGCTTATAGCTCTTATCTTTAAAGAGCGATTATAACAGAGGTATAGTCATTAAAGTATTAGGGCTTAAGCTTTAAGATATAATAGCCTCTGGTAACTTCCTATGCTTTGCGTTATCATGCTGGTCTAAGGCTTGTCTAGTGGGAAACCATTGGATACAGTATTGACAGCACTGGTTTCTTTGATAGTTTGCATCTAAACAACATTGCGCCAGTTCAGAATAGGGTTTAAAAGAGACGGAGCATATTTTGCAGCATCGCCTGCTATTTTTGTCGGCTTTTTCCATTGCTAAAATAGTTAAAGTGCAGAGGTAAAGGAAGTGAAAGATAAGAAGTCGGTAATATAATGGGCTGATTCTTTTATGAGCCGTGTTCATGTTAGGCATCCGTACATAGCCGTTTGCCCCGCTTGATAGGCCTCCTGCTGAGGCGAAGCCACCCTGTATCAAGTGGTTACTGCCCCATACGTCTTCCTGTATAACCACGTCTTCGTCCGTGATGATCCCCCCGCCAGGCCGCTCGACAATTGCGTCGATCTCAATGGTGATCCGTCCGCAGCAGGGGGTGACCTTCGGGCTGATGTAGTCTTGCTTTAACCGGTCAAAAAAACACTTTCAAATCAATTTGCGGGAGGCCATGCATGTGTGCTTTCCAATGTCAAGTGTTACCCCCATGTCCAGAAACGAGGGTTCCCATAATATGTACTGGCTGGGACTCGTCAGATGGCACAACGTTCCACCTAAACTGGATGCATCCTATTTCTATCTTTGTGTCGACCTTCGTTCTATTCTACGAAGAACCATGGCTTTATCCACCTACGCCCAGTCAGTCATGCACTCGGGAATATGGTTAATGCCAAAGACTTACCAGGCTATACCTGAATCAACATCTTGAAGGCTGAATAGAGTATGCATATTAAATTCCAATATCAAATATCGTCCAGGTATGTATTGACTTGCTATCATGAAACTTCGTTTACCTCCAGCGTAGTAGCCCCTTGATGTAGAGTCTCTTCTCCCCGCATATGGCGCGATAGCGACCCAGTAACCCCATAACAGAATCCAAGTACTGAGCCTCCTCTTCATCTCGACAAGACAGACGGTAGGACTTGATCAACGACAGTACTCCAGGCTGTCGTATGCCTTGTTGGAGTAGAAACTCAACTACCTGTAGTCTGTTGGAATTTGAAACTATCGGAGTATCTACCAAGGGTACGATTTGTGCTTTCGGTCCAAATATCGCCTGTTCCAACAGTGCTGTTGAGCGTTTTATTGGAATTTGATGGAAAAGGGAGGGGTTCTTGTTGAATTTGTGACGGATGTAGGGAAGAATGGCGAATTGCGTGACTATCCCATCGAAAGTGTTCGCCTTTACGGTATCAATCTCCTCATCCCAATACGAGGCCCATGGTATATTCCTCGCGGTATCATGACCATTTACACCGATGAACGTCGCAAATTTCTTTGCCGAGGCGTCTTGAAACTGGTCGAGTAATGTAGTCAAAGATGCGTCTGAGACGATAGATCCATCGACACGCGATGCATAGGACAATGCCTTGGCGACATCTTCCCAGAATTCGGGAGGGCCTGGGAGAAAGTAACGTTCAGCTTTGCCTAAGTTCTGCATTTGAATGACTTCTGCTCGAAGGAGACAGGCGTGTGGATCGAATCCCCGAGGACTCGCCGATTGTATTCGTTCCCAGACACGTGGATGATTTACCCATTCCGCAGCGGTTCTATGTAGATACTCGACAGTCCTCGTTTTAGGCACGAGTTCCAGAATACCCCTTGTTCGGGCGCCGAGTCTGCGTTTCAGTGCAGCTTGTACTCTTGCCATGTCGAGGTCCTGTATCCGAGTCTGAGTGGCTGCCGGTGTGCCTCTGGCTTCGTCTGCTAACCACAACGTCATCCATTCAACGGGATGGAACGCTAGAGCATACAATTGCAGCATCACAGAAACTTCCGGAAGCAGCCTCTTCGGGATGGCTGCATAGATGGCATCATAGAGACTTTCAATCTCACTCGGCATTGTGTCAAGAATTTCCTGGAGGCGTGGTAGACCGGAGCCGTCAATCAGATTCTCTAGTAGTGTCTGCGTGACTAAAGCGGTCCAGAGAAAGACGCCTTTGGCTTTAGTGACAATATCCTCTAAAAGAGCTTCACCGCCGCCCTGATAAAGGGCATTGAGTTCCTGGAAAGCCACAACCCCAAGGAAGTGACCTCGCACAAATGCTTGAATATCTGTGTTGGTCAAGAGATGCATTTGAAGTCCTGGACTAGCGGCGAAAGCGTCACTGAACTGTGGCCAAGGGCGACTTGCGACGCAGACTTTGACGGTTCTGTACGAAGATATTTTTTGTATCCTCTTGCATAAGTCGACGGGCGCGGCGTCGAATTCATCTAGACCATCAATGAAGAGAGCCAGCAGAGGTGCGTTTTCTCCAAGACTCAGAAGACGACCGAACGACTCATCGAGTTCCCATGTAGTCCAAGGAGGGAATGCATTTGTCTCACGGACTGCGTGAAAAAGTGACCAACGCCGCGGACAAAGATAGGGTATCATGTCGGGGTTGAGTTGAAGTATTTGATGGAGTAGGGTACGTAGCAAGCCATCTTCAGATCTTGCCATCTCCGCTCCTGGTCTCCAGGCGTAGTACTTGATTGTATATATTGGTGACCCCCGAGACCAACTCTGTAGGTGCTGGTTTAATCTTGGATGTTGAAGGATAAACTTCATCATGGTTGACTTGCCAGAGCCTGGCTTGCCCGTAATCCAGTAGGGAAGACCAGAATCGCCCTCAAGCCAATCAGGCAGACTGGACCACATTTGCACCCCTTCAAGAGAGAGATGGGGGTCCTTGTTGAATACCCATTGGAAGGTGCAGTCGAAAGCTTTTGTGATTGCTTCTTCCCGGTTATCCATAGAGTCAAAACGAATGCTGTCACAAATGAATGAGTTCAGATCCTCGGAAGAAAGGTCTGTTTGCTGAGGGAACGAATCCAGGAGTCGTGGGTCAGGCTTCCAGTCGGCTCGCCATAAGCGATGTGTGATTTGATCAGTTACACGATTGTGGCGCATGGATTCCACGGCCGTTTCTTCCACAGTCTTTTGTCTGCTGGCTTGCTTATGCTCTGGGCCAGAGTGCCCTGCTGTCTCCAAGGATTGAGATAGCATTTCTATCATGGTGTCAAGCTTGCTGCTAAATTGATGCTCCCAGTTTTTGGTACTCTGCGAGTTTCGCCTAGTCGACGGCTGTGAGTTTCTTGTATACAAAAGAGACAAACTTGAACCTTACCAGATGGAAAACGTCGCTGCCGTCATCATTTCTTGTCGCACTTTCTCAAGACGCTCATCAATCTTAGTGATCTCCTCCCGCTGCCACCATGATCTGAGTGCCGCTCGGAAGCATTGTCCAACCGACCTTGGTTCGTATGGGCCCATTCCATTCCGTTTAGCCCGTTCAACCGCTTCTCTATCCGTAGCTAGTTCTGTTTCAAATTGCCTACTGACCTTGGGCATAACCGCAAGGATTCTTGTTGCGATGTCATCGCATTCACGACAAAGACGGAGTAACTCTTTATCTGGACCATCCAAGGCAGATATACCCTGCTTCTGGGCTCGGAAGGTCTCTTTCACATTATTGGATAGCTGTGAGATGTCTGCTGAGACAGCTGAGAGGCTCTGCAGTTGTAGAGTTTGCCCAGATGCTGAACGGTAAATTTGCCACGTCTCTGAAAATAGCCGCTGCCCAAAGTCAACGAACTGGACTGCGGCAGCAGTTACACCCACTATGGATAGAGGATCCATCGTCTTGAGAGGCAAAGGTTGAGAAGGGATGAGTTTCTGAAATGCGGGGTTTATGTTCTACCTCGTTCCCTATCTGTCTTCAGCCGCAATTCCCTGGCGGTTACTACGATATCAAGCTTAAGTAGGTCTTGTCTTAAAATTGATTTGTTGAAAAAGACATATTGGTTATGCAAATCGATGAATAAAGACTAGTCTGACTCAGATTTTCTTGCTTTATTGGCTAGATCTCTTGCACATTTTGCAACCAAATCACTCCCAGGCCACTCACAGCCTGACTGCCAATGACTTGGACCACACAATAATCTCCGAGCTTGCAATCCAATGGTTTTTTTCTCTTAGTCAGCGACGAGTGCGCATAATCAGCTGTCACAGCGACCGTCCCATTTAAACGCATAATAGTTATAAATTCTCGTCCAGTGATGGCGCATATGACTCAATGATATGTGGTATCCTTAGAGTATATTTAGGTATAAAAGCTCCTCTAGGCTATAGATTGTATTCTCTTAATCTTATCAATCTTGTGATATTAAAGTGGAGTTTAGATAAAATATACCCCTTGCATATTAATCTTCATAGTAAAATACCCTGAAGGACCAGTTAGCAAGTGACTAAGTACTAGAGACATTATAAAATAGTTTATAAAATTGCACATGAACTTGGAATTGTTGCTAAAGCCTTATTGAAATTTCGCCATATTTTCACACATGATTACATATGAACACACGTGCTAAGTAACTCTGCTATCATTCTAATCACGCCATTGATATTACATCTTGCGAAGCCTCTTATCCCGCCCATCACAAGCTCTAAAACGCTCAAATGTCTTTCCCCGAAACATGAAAGATTAATAATGCGAATCCTGCAAGCATTATATCTTGCCCTGTTTAGTATTTAAGAGAGCACTATGTCGTAAACAAAAATACATTCGTGACATATACACCATGTCCGACCCATCTGCAGCCACGCCGCTGCTACGTTCGCGACAAAGCTTATATAACTCAACATCTCCACATCACGATGGCGAAATTGCGGAAGATATTCAACCCAGCCGCGATGTAGAAGATGACGTCCTCCCAGAGACATCAACCATCGGCCGTAATCTCTCATGGCAGAGCGCCTACGTCCTCGTAATATCCCGCGTCGTCGGCAGCGGCATTTTTGCCACACCGGGCACAATCGTGCAATCTGTCGGAAGCCCGGGTCTGTCTCTATCACTCTGGCTCCTCGGCGCCTTTATCGCGGCTTGCGGTCTTAGTGTGTCTCTCGAGTTTGGCTGCATGCTTCCCCGATCGGGGGGCGATAAAGTCTACCTTGAGTTTGTTTACCGATGGCCCAGATTGCTCGCTTCGACGCTGTTTGCTATGTATGCGGTGATTCTGGGATTTACGGCGAGTAATTGTGTTGTGTTTAGCCAGTATGCTTTGTTTGCGCTCGGAGTTGATGAGCCGAGCGATGAGCTGCGGAAGAGTCTTGCTGTGGGATTGCTTACGTTTGTGTGTGTTACGCACAGCGTTTTCCCCAAGGCTGGGATCAAGATACAGAACGTTCTGGGCTGGGTTAAGATTGGAATTATAGTCTTTATGATCCTCTCCGGCTTCTACGTTGTCATTATCCGACCGGATACAAGTGCTGCTCCCACCGGGCAACTTGCGTGGGAGCATTTATGGGAGGACAGCAGCTGGAGTTGGGGTGTCATTGCAACGAGTCTCTTCAAAGTCTTCTACTCCTTCGCAGGTCTTGACAACGCCGCGAACGTCATGAACGAGGTCAAGCATCCAGTACGAACATTAAGATCTGTCGCGCTGACTGCGCTGGCCACGTCATGCGGTTTGTACATGCTTATCAATGTGGCATACTTGTTGGTTGTACCGATCGGGGAGATTAGAGAGAGTGGTGAACTTATTGCTGCGCTGTTTTTTGAGAGGTTGTTTGGAGCAAATTTTGGGCGGATTGTTCTTCCTACTGCTGTGGCACTGTCTACGGTTGGGAATGTTATGGTTGTTGCTTTCGCTATGGTATGTATCTCAGCGACAAGATTTGTTGAGCGATCAAATACTAACCGTGGGTATCAGGCGCGTACAAAGCAAGAGATTGCGCGACAAGGCTTCATTCCCTACTCTTCTATCCTATCTTCATCCCGACCATTCAATTCACCCATGGGTGGCTTCTTCATACACTATATACCATCATTTCTCGTCATGGTCCTCCCACCGTCTAACACGATTTACTCATTCATTCTGGATATCGATGGCTACGCGGGGCAATTGATCGGTCTAGCCGTAGCGATTGGTCTTCTCAAGCTTCGCTTGCAGCGTCCGGACCTCAAGCGACCCTTTAAAGCATGGATGCTCGCTGTAGGGTTGCGAATCGCCATGAGCTGCGCCTTGATAGTAGCTCCGTTCTTCCCTCCGCTGGATTACGATGGGGAGATGTTTTACGCGACGTATGCTGTATTCTCATGGGTTATTTTGGTAGTTGGGGTGGTGTACTGGTATGTGTGGACAATTGGTGTACCGCGTTGGCGAGGGACGAGGTTGGAAGAGGAGACAGATGTGTTGGACGACGGGACAACCATAACGAGACTAAGATACACATCATAGAGGTATAAACTGGGGTGAATGTGTTGTAGAGTTAATGTTCTAGTATCAACGGCGGTCACTTGTACTACCTTTATTCACCTTATGCAGCCGACGATGGACGATCGTCGATCGTACCGTTTCAACATGTCCACATGCCATGCTCTAGTTCCCAAGTTTTCAGATGTAAGATTCTGTATTATCTCATTTAATTTTGGGATACGGATATAAATAAATGATAAACTAAAACCTTTTAGGTTCCTAGTGGTGGTAGGTGACCATTGCTTAATTAACAATGATGGATTTACTACACATAAAACTCATATCTCAGACAGCCGGCATCCCTGTATCCTCCTGCTCCACCATTATTACCTTGATAAAAGTCAGTACAGCAATGTCAACAAAGCCAGGGTGGGTTATACTTACAAGACTTGTAATTAGCACGCATAAGACTGTAGCAGGTCTCGCCATCGACTGGATCATTTAGCGACTGCTCCTCAAACTGGTTACAACCCTCTTTCCACGAAATCTTGTAGTTCAAGTGTGAAGGTCCAGCTATACCGATCGGATGCCAGTAGACTTCATTGTCACCAGCCTTGATTTTCTTATCCTTTGCAAAATTACTACAGCCAATGGTTGCCTGTGTACCCTGATCGCTATCCTTCACGTCTCGGTGGCTATGTCTGTCGTAACATTCTTGACTACCAAGAGCAGGAGGTTCGGGCTGGGGTTCAGGTTGGGGTTGAGGCTTGGGCTCATCAGGTGCAACAACGTTCCATTTGAACTCGCCGCATCCCACGCCAATCTTTGCATCAACAGTCATTCGGTTCTGCGCAGAACCATGGTTCTGTCCACCTGAAGAGAGTTAGTCTAGCTATAGCGATGTGAAAACGTTAGTGACAAGAACTTACAAGGCTGTTCCTGAATCAACATCTTGAAGGCTTCAGTGCACATATTATCCCTGTCGAACAAACACTGCCCTTCTCTAGGAATCCACGAAACGGCGAATTTGTAGTCGAGGTAGTTATCCCGATCCTCTGGCGGTGCTCTTCGAGCCAGCTCGGTAGATCGGCGACTAAGGACGGGAATCTTGCCGCCGTTGATGTCGAAGAGAAGATCCTTGTTCTCGTCGTCAAAGTTATCTTTGATGTAATCGCAAAAGCCATCGGCAACCCCTCCAAAGAATAAACTTGGGACGTCAGAGAACTCGTCAGGACATGTAATCTCAGGTTCACCGGGGTCATCTGGCCCATTGAGATTTCCCAAGGCAAACAGGATCATGTTCTCGAAATCATTGTCAAACACGTGTATGACTTCCTCGCCCTTTGGGTTGCATTTGCAGCCTTTAGAATTTCCCTTTGAAAAGCAAATTTAGTTCAATATGAATATGTATCGTCATGGAGTTGTCTTATCACGGAGCAGGACCACGGAACCTCGGTTGGTTTGGCGTTCGAGACCTTAGTAACCTTGCAGTTATCGTCGCATTCAGGCTGTAAGCTCCGTTTAGTTAGTCTCCCATGGTGGATAGAAAGGGCCACTTACCAGTGCAGTTGGACAAGTCGACGCTGAGGATGTTGAAGTAGGTGCTTTCGTCGCATCTGACTTGGTTTTCGATACGGTCTGAATATCCTCAGGAGGGATATGGTAAACAGAATCAACCTTTCCTGTAGTGTCAGCGGCCCTCAGTAGGATACCCAAAAAGGTGACGGCTGTCAGAGTAAGTCCACCTGCCACGAATGCGCCTTCAACTTCTCCGACCGCTGCTCCTATAACTGCAGCGTCTTCTTCAGCGACCAAGACCACTGCCTCGACTGTGTCGCCTGCTTCTGAGCCGGCGGGTCCCACTTCGCCTTCGGAGAAACCGTCTTGGTCAGTTCCTTCAGTCACTTCGTTACCTTCATTTCCGTTGTCACCTCCATTGCTGCCGTCATTACTCCCATCATCGCTTCCATCATCGCTCCCATCACCACTTCCATACCCCGAGTCTCCATCAGACTCCAGCCCAGCTTCCTCAGAGATTTTTCCGTGAACCTGTTCATGAAAAACATCAGCTACGCCTTGATCGTCAAGAATACGATTCCTAGCCGCCTCCAGTCCGCAAACTGAAGCTTGTCGTCTCCGAAGCTTCCTGCTGGTGCATGGTGGCACGTCCTTCAAAATAGCCTCAACCCTTTCTCTGAAAGCCGGGCTTAAGATAATATCGAGACCGCCATTGGCGTTTTTGACAACATCAATAGCCTTATTAATAGTACCCGTCACGGTGGCTCCTTCAGCGTCGGTGCTTGTAGTAGTCTCGACTGAAATGTAAGAAGGATCAGAACCAATCCACTGCATCAGATAATAAGCTTTTGAACCGTAGTATGTAGGCAAGAGTTTAATTACACTAGTGGAACCTCCAGTCTCTATCAAGTACTCTGTCCATACGCTGACCGATCCTTTTCTGTAGGTGAAATGTGAGCATATGAGGCAACTTCAGGCAAATTGATAGACAAAAAGGTTTTGCTTACACTCTGTCAGGGGGAGGTGGGTAAAGAACGATTTGACCATGATTGGGTGGACTGAGTACATAGCGATGCTCTTCACTATGATACAATTTAGCATTTGAGGATGATCAAGGACTGGAAAGCCTACGCTCTGGGTCTGATAGCTGGCCCTTGTGTCTGACGAGGCAAGTGACCGGTTGCCAAAGCTTCTGTGAAGAAACCTACGGCCAAGGCCAGATGGAGCAAGGACATCATTGGGAAAATAAATAAATGAGGTGATGGTAAATATTAAAAGAGGGGTTTTGTTAGAATGAGGTGATCGATGTTGTAGTTGAGTTGTGAAGTCAAGGCGGGGACGGCCTATAATTAATATACTCATCGACGACAAAGCAAATAAGATTGTTTTCATGCCAAAACGGATACATGACAAAGGAAACTTTGATCCTTGATCTTAGAAGTCTATCAGACCCTAATGCCTCGAAATAGTATCCAAGAAATTGTATTACATTCCAATGGTTGAATACGATGTGGTAGTGGTCAGACGCATGATTGCATTGTGGGTAGGCAGTAAGATCAGAAGACAAACGCCATGCAATCATCGTCCTTCAATTCCGGGCGGACATGCAAAGAACGGTTGTGGCTTGGACAAGCGCAAGGTACCAGGGGGAATTTGCCGCCCCGCGGGCTTACCCGAGGCACATCGTGGGGGCGAAACCACAACTGGAGACTGCGAAGGTGTAAGCTTAATAGGGAAATCCACAGTTATCAACGTTGAGCTTAAAATTGACCCAATTCAATTATACTTTATCAGCCAATCGCATACTTCATATAATCTCAACGACATCTCAGCAAACTTTCCTACCTCACGTCAGACAGCAGCGTCAGTTACCTGCCTAACTTGGCGGCGACTATGAAGCATCGACAAGGAACTCATGGCAAGTTGCTAGAGTCTCACGACATGCGGTTGCGTTGGCCAATGGAACCACTCAAACAACTTGTGTCCTATCCTGTGATACTTCCTCAACATAGTTCCTTTTTTATAGCTAAGACGAGTGAGATTCGGTCTTAGTAATATCGCTCGTTGATAATTCCCAAGTCATACTGTGACTACAAAAGGATGATAATGGACTCACTAATAAACAGCTTTTCTTGATAGTATTCTCTACCCTAAACTGCCTAAGAAGCAAACGAAATTACACTGTTCTTCAATATTTTCTTTCGCCATGAAGCTCATCTCCGCACTTGTTATCATCCTCAAGCTTGTCAGTCTCACCGAAGCTGCTAGGTGGACTCTGCATAAAAGTTGCTGTAAGTCTTACTCGTACTTCACGCGTGAACTCTATCATAACGCCAACAGACGATAATGATGCATACAAAAGTGGCATGATCCAGGCAATGGAGACTGCGAAATCAAGATCTGCTTTCGCTGTTTCAAAAATGACTTCTATAAATCCTTTTGACAGTTTTATAAAGCTTGCTCGTTTGCTTACTACTAGTGGAGACGCCGGAGTTCTCAGGGGTATGGCGATACACATCACAACGTATCCCATGTCTATATAAATGAGGCTGATCGATTTTAGGTCGATACGAAAAGTTTGCTGAACTTAATGGTCCACTTGGTAGGGATAGCGGCTTCGCTGACTCCACCGAGTGGACTGGTCGAACTAATCCTGACCGGACCGACTTTGTAAGTACCTGGCCGAGGTATCTCGAGATCGAGGTTTTACTAACAGCGACAAGATATTGTACTGCGCCCCAGACCTCGTCGAGAAGGACACTGGGTATGGCCAAAAACACCCATTGGACAACGCAAGACAGCGTATCTTGTTAGATACCAGCGCCCTTGTCATGATCCGTGACGACATAAAAGCTGGGACGTGGAAGAACCCTGAAAAGAAGATCGCGGCTGTTACAGAGACAACGCCTGCGACGTTACTGCCGCAGGATGAAGCAGCCAAGATTCCAAACACCATCACATTTAACCCCATCTGGCTTAACTCCATGATCCAGAATGGGGGCCTTTTCGCCAGTGATGAGACGATGGAGAAAATGACGAAGAAGGGGGCCTTGGCTGAACTTCAGAAAAGCTGGACAGACAAGAAGAGAGCCACTCCAATTGACGCTCTGGTCAATGACTTGGCAACCACAATTCATCACGAGGTATAAATAAGTAAGCCACATACAAAACTACCACGCTAACATGATATAGTTGTTCCATCTCAACGCATTCGGTAGTCATAAAGACTTACCAGCTGATGATATTGGCGCGTATGGCTGGATGAACAATGTTGAAAACAAATTGAGGGACAACCCGGATCTAATGGCGATCTTGGCACTTATTTTTGACTTGAAGCAAAACAAGAAGATTACTGTTAAAAAGGATGGAGAAATGAAGAAGTAACGCTGATTGCTAGAACAAGAGATATGTTTGTTGGATCAGGTTATAAGAAATGTTTTTACTTGTAAGTAGAGTCTAGGTTCCTTACTATGTCACTGAGTAGATCTTGTTGGTATTTATCATGAGATTCATGACTGATTGACTGGTACTTTTGTGGACGTAACTATCAGAACATATATCCGAAGCTGCGTTGTATTGAATTGATATGCTACACTGTGTCGTCCCTAGTCCTTGCGATCCCTGCTAAACCATTTCCCTATAGAGCGTCATGATTCCATTACCTTTGCAACATAAACGTCTGAGCATCAATTATACCGAGACCAACTACGGGATGAACATTAGTTACTGTTAGTGGATTGTGCGCCATACGAACAGTTCTAATAAGAAAGATTAGTACCCGTAGTAGTCGTGCAATTTGCTCCAACATACCTGTCGGTACTGAAATGCACAAGGCTACTGAATCGTTCTACATCAAAGACTGGCAACAAAGAAGGATGAAACCGATCACCCGACCCTCGTCGCCAAATCTTGAGAGGCGTGCTATTAACTACATAACCATCTTCAACTCCAGTGTCATCTTCGAGAGGCATGCTGATAGTGATGTTCTTCACATGACTCAGAGGTGCCAAGACCTTTTTGAGCGACTCAATGCTCAGTTGAGTGATGTTGTAGGGACTCTGGTCGATATTGTTCGCTTGCCTGTCTAATAAAAGTACGGTGCAACGTGCCGATATCCAGATATTAAGAGTATTGAGATTCTCTAAACGATCTAGACACAATCCGTGGAAATCAAGACACGCATGACGCTCTTCTGTCTTGAGAGTCATCATGGGCGATGAACATGGCAACAACATCGGGAAGACAGGTTCTAGGGATAGTTCCATGTTTCTGCCAAAGGTGCGAATCGCTGGAGGTGGAATGGCCACATTAAAGCCTTGTTGCTGAAACTCGGGCACTTTGCAGAAACCAACAAACAGGTTAAGAGCGATAACATCTGTGAAAATGAAGGTAGTCGATTCATAGATTGACTTGATGCACTCTGAAGATCTAACATCATAATTAGCAAACAAGTCATATACAACAGGTGGCGGTAATGCTCCTACATGGCTTTACACGACAAGAGTATGCCCAAGTATGAGCTCCATACAGATGAGCTCTCTGTATTCGGCTTGTTCTTGACCCAGCAAGACCCTCGAGAGGAACATGTGCCGACACCTGGACTTGCCTTTTCACCATGTACCTCTGCGATACGTTCTCCGCAAGCAAAATGATTCTTCCAAGTAGAATATAGCTGTAGGGCAGAGGTTTTATCAGTAAAACTCACATTAGTAGTGATACCGAGCTTTTGTCTCTTAGCATCCAGATATGCTTGAAGCTTGCCCTGCACCTCAAAAGGTGTTGTACAGGACCATCGGCAAAAGTGAGATTTGGTTACATCGTCCTTGTCATGGTGCCAAATGATGTGTTGACGAAGACCACAAGAACGCCAAAGCTCAAGATAGATTTTGTCGCGATTTTCACGAGGTAAACACGTGATGAAAGCGGATTGAAGTTGGGTATCTGGAGATTGAAGGGCCATTTTTACGGATTGTGAGGTACAAAGAACAAGTTTCTTTGTTGTTGTTAGAATGGAAGATGACGCCCTTTCTTGTTAGCAAACAATGTCAGCCCCCTCTTCCCGGGTAGCCAACGATTATGTAAGACTGCCTGAGGCTTGTGGCGTTGTTGGCTTTCTCTATGGTTATTGATAAGTCAATAACCAACGTAGATACTTAGACTATGATTTGCTACATTTAACTGATTGAATCTGATCAAGTCCTTCAAGATCTGTTAACAAATAGCTTCAAATGGACAAACTGGTAGATACATAGCTGTGTAGCGATTACCCTGCTACGCCGTATCCATTGTTGGACTTCCGGAGTATTGCCGTCAAGCTTAGATTATTAGTGAGTTGCTAACTATAGACGGAAAACTGCCTCTCTCCCAAAGCAGTCAGCCGTAACAAGTCAATCATTCACATGCAGTCTAGCCACTTTCACCACCGAATGGTTATCAGATGCCAAGATGTGATAATGCTCCCCTGCGACATCGCTTACCCAATTGGGCAGGTCGGCCTCTTAACAGAACCCCTGCATTGTAACCACTCACCTGATGAGTTATTCCCACCACTTTACCACCGTTAGACGCCTTACCCTATTCCGCTTAGACGCAATGATATCGGATCGGCCTTTGCCGTCTTGACACTTTTAAGGGTCTAGATGAGCTTGGCCGTGTGACAGTTGGACCCCTTATAGAGTGCCTTTGCTATTGATCTATGAATTATGCTATACCTGACGTTATGGACTGATGGTAGCCAAGTCACCGTTGAGTCAAACTCTAATTCGTATCCACCATCGTCTTCATGTTAGTATATCTTCAAGATAATCGCTGCAGGATGTTGGTCTTGTTACTCCAACTCAGGCTCGCCTTGTCATTCATTAATCACTTCATTCATTTTCACTATGAGAACTTCTTTCTCGTCCATTCTTTTCAGCCTTGGGCTGCTCTCCGTCGGTGTAATTGCTTCACAGGAGATACAAACCTCAATCGACGAGTCATGTGGCTGCACAGTCAAGTACATCGTCGTTGAGATGCCGCCTCAGACAGTCTCTGCCAACACGGCCACTACTCTCACTACCGGTTTAGTCTCTGCCGCTCAAGAGACTGCCACTGTCAAAACAAAGACCACCCCTATTCGACCCAAGTCATCTCAAACCACAATCCACGCATCCTCTACAGCCCACCACAATACTACCGCTACATTTGTTCCCAAGACTCCCCCTAAGGTTGACTGCAGTAACCCCGAGAATGCAGTCCCCAAGAAGAAGATTGCCATGTCTTACGGCGACCTGAGCGATGACACAGTTATTGACCAGAACAGTAACGTCCCGAAACCAGCTGACAAGCCTTCCAACGGTACATTCTCCACTTTCAACGCCAATAAGAACACTACCTCCGAAAAGGGGCCTAGTGGATCAATCGATATGGATCTAGTCATGAACCATCCAGCTGTTGTACTAGACTACATTGATGCCATTACTTCTGTAGAATGCACATCCGACTCTATTGAGGTGAAATTTGGCAAGTCTACTGCATTCAACAATGCAGTCAAGACATGGCTCGACACCTTTATCCTCATTACAAGCAACATGGGCAACTGTAAAGCTGCCAATGGTCAGGCTTTCTACCTCGTTGATCGCGTCACGGCGGACAAAGAACAAAAGTCTATCACCTGCCATGCCTCTGAGCAGAAGTTAGAAGACATCGCTGGTAAGTCACTAACTTGGGTGCAAGACTATAGCTAACATTGGTAGAAACTTGCGAAATGTCCTTCAACTCGATCCCTGCCACCAAGTTACGAAAGCGCCTCAACATTAACCCCAGTCTATCGCTCGACTTCGGTGCTGGACTCGAAAAAGATACAGTCCTTTTCAGTGAAGAACCCTTTGTCAGCATCAAGGCTGAGCAAGCAGAGTTTTCTTCCACCATTTCCTTCTCAGGACGAGCCAAGTACAACTTTTGGAAGTTCAAAGTCAGTAACATGTTTTAATCAGCAACAAACATTGACTAACATAAATAGATGGAACATCTTTACTTCGATCTCAATACTCGTTTCAATGCCGATGTGGCGCTGTCAGCCGACGTAGCAGCAGCTTGGTCTCGATCCATCTTTTACGACCCCGATACCCTCACATTTAGCGTCGTCGAAGTCCCTGGTATTCTTTCCCTCGGACCAGGAATTGCATTTGCGGTTGGGGTTGATGTGGATACTTCAGCAGCTGTCGCAGTCCGTGCCGGCGCCGGCATCTCCATCCCCGCTGGAAACGCCCATCTTGATGCTCTCGATGGTAGCAAGAACAGCGCTACAGGATGGGAGCCACAGTACACCTCCTACGCCGACATCAGCCAGAGTGTGGAGGTTGGTCTGAACGCGAGTGCATCGTTGACTGTTCAGCTTTCATTCAAGCTACTCGGTGGTCTTGTTGATCTCAGCAGTGGACTTACAGCTACACCTGGGATTGTGAACAAGTTCAGTCTTGATGCAGTCCAATCTGGTCATGCTTCGAATGATGGTGTTGGTGGTTCAGTCAGTACTCCTCCTGGCGAATGTGGTGTGTCGCTCAAGTCAGACTTTGTGTTTGATCTTGATGGTTTTGCGACTCGATGGGTGAAGGGTAACCTGTACCATGTCGAGGTGCCTATCACTGATATCTGTTATGCGTTCTAAGATTGAGTAACAATGAGGGGGGCGTCGGGTTTAATAGTAGCGACGGCAGCAGTTACGGCGTGTTCCAGAACTGGTAGTCACGACTCAATACGATGTCGTTAGTAACAAATCATGACTGGTACAAATCATAGCGGGTTTTGGACGGAGCTACATGTCCCGCAATTAATCTCGTTGCATAAATTTAAATGGCGAAGCCGATCATACCTACCTCGTTCAACTTCGCTCAACCTCGTTTAGCCTCGGTCGGCACTAATACCCCACAAAGCCAAGTACCGACATGCCGGACTCGTCATCGAATATGGGAAGCTTTGACTGTGATCGATGTCTCAAGGGCTGCCAAGCTTAAAGGCCGAGGCTGAGCATTGAAGAGTTTTAGATTTAGTTACGTGAAATAAAACCGTTACTAGGCATATATAGTTGAGACGAATCTAGAGTAACTTAAAGAAACACAACACTCTCATTCAGCTTTCTACTATTTTCTACTTCGATTACTTTCCTACAGACATTTAGCATTTATTTCTTCCTTCCAAACCTTTACTCAATGCGTCCTTACGTTGCGGCAGCCTTGCTGCTTCAGACGGGTCAGGCACTCTCCAAGTCAACCAACACCACTATAATTTATGGAAGTGATGATATCATCAATCTGTCCTCTGATGGGTCCAAGGCCGACATCGTAGTCCTTGACTATGGCCACAGTGTGGAGGGTCATCCCACGTTCAAAGTAGTTTCGGCTTCAGGTGATACATCTGGCTTCGAGCTTACCTTTGCTGAATCCAAAGCCGCTCTTAACAGATACACGGTATGCGAAACATTTCTTTACTACAGCCAATATTTCATCCACTAACCCATCTTTCTAGAGTGATGGGCCGCTTCACCTTGCTGCGGCCATGGAAACCTATCGAGTCAACAAGTACAACATTTCCGAGCCTGGACTAATTGCCAATCGACTTGTTCAGGGCGCCTTTCGCTACGAAAAGTTGAACCTTTCTACTCCTGGAAGTCTTCAACTTGAGCGTGTGGGAGTCAAGCCAACAGTCCATACAACACGCCTTACGGAACTCCCCGGATCATTTGAATGCTCTGACAAAGACTTGACTCGCATTTGGTACACAGGTGCCAGGACAGCTCAGCTTACCGAGATCCCCAAGAACAGTGTTCCAGACTTCTGGCAAGTGACTGATGAAGGAGCCTTGGTGGAGAATGCAGCTCCTCAGGCTTTGAGTAACCCTGCTGTCGCTCAGGCTACCAGTTACGAGATTGATTTTGAGGTTAAGCCTTTGACTGGCGAGTTTGTATTTTCTGTTCTTTCGGATACGCTGAACGAGGCTGTTCTGATCACCTGCAACGTCGAGACTGGCGTCATCTCATCTAGCACCTCCTCTTCTGGCATTGTTCCCGCGAAGCTTAACATCGGCGAATGGATCTCAGTTCACGCACGTGTTAACATGACTGACATCGAGGTGTCTGTTAACAACCAGACGGCTCTCAAGTTCACACAGACAGACAAGTTCTATGGCTCATTCGGTCTCGGTGCACCTCTCGGTCACTCCGCTTACTACCGTAACCTTCGCGCCACTACACTCGAAGGCGTCGAGATCTATTCTTCCACTCTGAAAGACAGATCATTCCTTGATGATTTCTTCATGGGCACCAACCCTCTAGACACCATCGTCGATGGCTCACGACGTGATCGAATTGCCTACTCTGGTGACCTCGACATTGCAATCTCATCAACCTTTGCCAGTACCTACGGGAAGTCCTTTGTCGAAGGATCCCTCGATCTGGTTGGCTCGTATCAGACAACCGCTGGATTCTGGATTCCAAATGCGAAGATCCAGCAAGCACCTCTACCGCAACCCCTCGACATCAACATTACTGGTCTCATTGGCTACTCTTTTAATTTTCTCAATGGTCTTGCCACCAACTACGAGGTCCTCGGTAACAAGACATTTGCCAAGGAATGGGCTCCACGAGCAGTTGCGATGTTGGAGTGGGCTCACGCTCAGCTGGTAGATGGTGTTTTCACTATCGACGATGCTTCATTGACCGGAGACTGGAACTACTACGACCCTTCTCAGACAGGCGCCAGTACCAAGTTCAACGCTCTGTATGCCTACTCTCTCCAGCAAACCGAGAAATTCCTCAATGCTGGTGGTGTCAGCACGGGCAAGTATCAGACTCGCCTCAAGAACCTTCGCAAGGCCATCCACAAGCATCTCTGGAATGAGACAATGGGTGCTTATGTTCTCAGTAACGAGATCAAAACCGGATTCTCTCAGGATGCAAACGCTCTGGCTATCCTGGCTGGTATCCCCCAGAGCAACGGTATTTCTACTGAATCGCTGTTGAAGACCATGGAAGCCGAGCTTCAGCTCCCAGCGGGACCTCTTGCATTTAGCAATGGTACCGTCAATTCTGGATTCGCCCAGAAGATCAGCCCTTTTTCATCCGCATACCATCTTCGAGCAGCCTTTAAGTCTGGTAACCAGTACACTGCTAGACAGCTGCTCAAGACCTTGTGGGCACCTATGGCGAACCCATTAAACGCCAATTACACCAACACCTTCTGGGAGACCCTTGACCCTGATGGTACACCTGGACTTGGTATCATGACGTCTCTTTGTCATGGATGGGCAGCTGGACCCACCGCTGAGCTCAGCAAGTGGGTTCTCGGAGTACAAGCCGTTGAGCCAGGATTCGCCGAGTGGAAAGTTCAGCCCACACTTCTTGGTCTTGAGTGGGCAAAGGGCCGTGTTCCCACCGACAAGGGTACTATTGAAGTTGAGTGGAAGCTTGTATCCGATCTTTTGCATATGAAGGTTCAAGCTGGTGGTGACAAGGGAACGCGCGGAACTGTTTATCTTCCTGAGTTACTTCCTGTGTGTGCCAAGGACAGTGTGTTCAAGGTCAACGGAAAGGTTGTCAAGAAGAACAAGTTCGCTGTTCGTGGTGGTGAACAGATTGAGGTGGTCCAAATGAGAAAGTAGGGTTGTTCATTATTTCTTTCTTAAATTTAAAGTCTTAGAAGAGTCGTTATATTATATCAAAAGACTAGTAATTAAGACTCTAAATAGTATTATAGCTCCTCTAGTTCCAATATTAAATCCATGGTGACTTTATACAGGGGTATATTTGCCGAGCCACATCGATGCAGCCACTGCATAGAAGTCGATACCGCCATCACTCAATACCTTGAGGATGCGCCCTGTGATAAGATAGGTCAAGGATGACAGGCTGACAATATCAGCTTGAAAGCCAAATCTCAAGGCCGATTCGTCAGGCATTTCGTTGGTTTTTGAAAGCAAATTCTTTAAGCGGATCTACACCAAGGTATAACAGGATGTGGATATAGATAGGAAAGCAATATCTAACTGGAGGGGATTAAGCTCTCGTGGGAAAGGATAAAGAAAGACAGCAAAGACGAGCGAGGTAAGAGGCAAAGTGGAGAGGTAGTCAAAACCTTACGTAATTACCTAGATAAAGTGTTCTCCAATTAGGATTTATATCAGAATGAGGCTGTGATTCCTTCTGCCTAATTCTATTTTCAGTTTATTTGTTATATCTAACTATTGAAGATGGGCGCTAAAAATGGCGAATCAAGCTATTTGCTAGGCGTTGTGGCTGAGCTATAAAGACAGGGCGTATGGCAGATATCGGGAAGTAACACTATATCCATCTCAACTAAAAGAACCACTGGTAAAATGTTCAAGGTGGCTAATTTAGACAGTGGGTATAAGAAGTTTGGAATATTTGCTGGCCGACTGTCTACATTTACATATTTTAGGAGGGTTTCACTTAGTCATATGGGCGTGGATCTTTGTTGTTTTCAACTTTTTTTTATTCTTTTCTGTGTTTTCTACTCTCCGGGGTCTGTGTCGCTCAAACCATTCTAGTCACTCTCAAAGCCCCATTCTCTTCCATTTCCTCCTCCTCGTCTCTTTTTGAGCATCATCCTATAGCTTAAAGCTGTCGACAATTACTCTATGCCTTCAGTAATACTGTGAGGTGCTTGAAGCACATCACATTTACTGAAAGCCACGGCGGTAGCGATCGATGGGAATGACACCCTGGAGGCTGTAGGCCTGCTGGGCAAGTGCCTGGTTGAAGGCCTGTTGGTTAAAGGCCTGGCCATACCCCTCAGGAGCTTGACCTCGCCCCGGAGGAGGTCGAACGGCGTACCCTTGAGGAGCTTGGCCGTATCCCTGAGGAGCATGGCCATGGGCCTGGTGAGCCATGACATATCCCGGAGGAGCCGTGGCGTAAGAAGGAGGCGCATCCAATTGACGATGGCCCTGATCGTGGTGAGAAGCGCGACCACGATGGCGGCCATGATCATGATGGATCTGATCATCGTCAGAGGAATCATCATCATCATCATGATGACCGTGTCTATGGCCATGAGCATGATGTTGACCATAAGCAGGGGGGTGTCTACCATCGTCAGTGAAATCAGAGAGATCATCATTGTCGTGATGATGATGTCCGTGACCCTGATGGTGACCGTGGCCGTGCTGATGGCCATGAGCATGGTGTTGACCATGCGCATGATGGTGGTCATGATCACGGTCAAGAGTCCGACCACGGCTACGCTCGCGGCGGTGTCTAATGTGAGGCTGCTGACCAAATTGATCTTGCATCTCAGGAGCCCGGGCGGTGCGGCCACGCTGGCTAGCCTGACGGGCAATGTCGCGGGCGGTAAGGCTCGAGTAAAGAGACAGCGGCTCGTCATCTGGCTGATAACAATCTTCGTCTGATCTGTGCATGAAGCGACATCTCGGGCAAACTGACCAAAGTGCGAAAGACATTTTGACGGTTGTTGTGGGTTGTTGAGATTGAGTGTTGTTGATTGTCTTGTAGACTGTTGTTGTTTCCGATTGTGGATGACGAGAAAGTTTGAATTCCAAAGGGGAATAGTTGATGTTTTATACTACTCTCGAACATAAACTCCAGGTTGCGCAGACTACCAACGCTGAGAAATTTGACAATCGTTCATGCGAATAAGAGAGTGTTCTCTTCTGTGTTCGATAGTGTCTTTCATCGCGTTACGTTGTTCAGACGAACAATGCTCGGTGTTCTCGTCCAACGTTGTTCTTTGCCTTTGAACGGCACGGACATACCTATGTACTTGTCGAAGAATACCTTGTTCTATAATTACTCCAGAACCTTCGAATGTTTTGCGACAACGGATAATTCACCGAATTCTTCCAATGTTAGTCCTTTATTTTGAGCAACGAGTGTCATGGTTGATTTGAGCTTGTATTTTTCCACAGCGGCGTATGTGTCATAGCGTACTACAGGCGTTTCTAAATTAGCCCTTGGTGCATGGTTAGGTATTGACTGAATCTGGCCGCCACAACTAAGAACTTTGACTACGTTGAACACAGCCCACAGTCTGACAGACCATGGGCAAGTAATACGCGAGACCATTCTCCCGTAGATGAAAATAACAGGAACTGAATACAATGTTCTTTATTATCAGGTTTCTGACATCGGGACTAAGTCGGGACTAGAATCCTTTACAAATGTCTCATTCATTACTACCCTAAAATTCCCCCAACTTCACCAATACAGACGTTGTCTCCAAGAAATTGTCAAAGCAAACTGTTGTTCCTTCCCTACAAACACCACTATCCTTGTACCCACCAAAAAGCATACCCTTTCCTTGTGTAGGGCTCGAGTAATTGACCACTACAGTGCCAGCTTCCGACCTCTTCGCAATACGCAGCGTCCTGTTGATGTTCCTGTTATATACAGTTAGGTATAACCCGAATTCTGTATCATTGGCCTTTTCCAGGACTTCAGCTTCTGTTTTGAAGGTGTTGATGTTCACAACATGACCAAATATTTCTTTCTCCATGATTGCAACTTGTTCGTTGGTTTTGACGAAGGTCGTGCGATAGATCATGTAACCATCTGATGTAGTATCCGCATATAAACCTAAAATACGCTTACCAGATGTTTTACCCATGTCAATGTACTTGCGCATATTGTTGTATTGAATCTAATCCGCCAGAGGGCCGTTATTTGTGTTCTCATGCGTCGGATCGCCAGCTACAATAGCTTCAAAGTTCGTCTTGAACAACCCAATAAATATTTCTGCGACATTTTCATGCATGTATACTCTTGAGTTTGCCATACAAACGTTTCCACTCTTCCGTTGGTTGCTATGCGTTGTCTCGGCAGTGACTTTTCCAAGGTTCGCATCATCTATTATTATCGCTCGAGACTTTCGTCCAAGCTCAAAAATAACATTTTTGAGATTAAAATTTACTGCTGCAATTTGGATCGTTGACCTGCTGGACCTGATTCCGTGAAGCTAAGGAATCGGACATCCATGTGGCTTGGAACGATAGCGCCTGACGTTTACCCGTGGGCCTGAGATGCTGTTAAAAACGCAACCTGCTTTGGGACTAGTTGTGCAACTTTGGCACAATGGGGGATGGGCCCGATATGGGGAGGATATCGACTTTGAGCTCAGCCCAAGCATCTCATAATACTATTAGGAGATACGTCACTGACTTTTACCGGAAAGCGATCGAAAAAATCCGTCAATCATACCTTGGTAGAATCTTTTGCACAGCCGTGGCTTCGAATCGCATCCCTCGTGCATGAACGTGATTGTTCCCACTTAGTAGGACGTGGTTCATGCAACTCATCAAATGGAACAATATGAGTCGCATCGCTTTTTTCTGTCACTCAATTTAAATGCGAAAATTCTAATAAGACCTAATGCTCATTTTTCTGTATGTTGCGCCAATTGTATTTATTAGAAGTGATTATTTCTTGTTCACGTAACGATCGTGAATGCGGGAGAAATCATCGGTCGTGTCCCAGGTTTGTCCCTTGTTCTTACGGGGCTATTAGGGTCGAATGTCCAGCGCTAGGCCATACTGTTCAGGCGGTTCCGCTTTGCGACACCACCTGTTCATTCATCCAATAGTGGGAAGAACGAGAATACGTTTCCTTCTGCGACAGTGAGATTAAGTACAATGTTTCTTTGTTCATCTTCGTGATATGCTGCAACTTGTTCATGGAATGCTGTAGTTGTTTCAACACTAACTTGGTTTGCCTTTGAGCTGTGATTGACATACCGTTGTTGTCTGAGTGAAACCATGCAATATCTGTAGGGTTCTGGTTCCTTCGTAAAATAGCGCCATTTGCATCCCAAGCTCAATATTTCCACCTTTTCCAGCCATTCTGGGTGCATTTCAGTGTAGTTATGGTAAGGATCCCGTTATCGATAGCGTTGAGTATGATAAATTACGCTTATCTTATTGGACCGAGGTGAGTTTTAGTGCAAGGCGCTCGGGCCACAAGCACAGTTGACAGTACTTAGCTTTCCCATCTGAATTCCCATGCCCTGGACCAGTATAAACATAACACTCAAATGGTCGAAAGTAAACATCCCGTTATAATTTAACCCTACAACTTATCATACACCATTTGATGGCTCGGAGCATTGAAATACAGTTCCTAACCTTTTTTTTTAAATTAAACAAATAACTACAGATACCACTTAGAGGAATGTCTCTTCATAAAACTGTTTAACAAATTACCAATAGACATTTTTCACTCTACAGGTAGCTAGCTTGACTAGAAGGAGCATACTAACGCTCTTTGGTTTCGTATTCCGTATTCCATAATAACTGATATATAAAGTAAAAGTCTACATAAATGCAAGGTTAGAATAACACCATTGTACTACTTCCTATATCTAGGACGAGGGGGTAGGAGTAGGTTGGCCTGCAGGGGGAGTTCCACTACCGCCAGGAGGTCCACCACCTTGACCGCCACCACCAATACCACTATCCAAAGCATGACCACCCTTGCCATCCAAATATCCGGCGACCCCATAGTATTCGTCCGAAGAGTAGTCCACAGTTGTGTTGATACCAATTTGAATCCAGGCAAAGATTCCCTCCTGAACGGTGTCACCAAGATAAACATATTGAGGGAAAGGATCGTAGGACTCGTCAGCCTGGAGAATCGACCACATATCCTCTTCGTTGGTGGTCACTTCAACAGTGTTGGTGTTGTAGGGTGCAAGAGCCTCAACCTCTTCGCGCAGGTTCTCAGGCCAAAAGAGTTGTCCAATGTGGGAAACTGGGGTATCCCAGTTTTGAATAGTGCCGTTGGCAGAAACCGATGCGTTAGAGTGAGTGAGGAGATGAGTGTGCGTAGCACGACCTTCGTAGTGACCAGGGAAAATAGTCTCGAATTGAACCACACCATCGTGGTCGGTGATCTGGATGCCACGGAGGAACGTAGTGTTGAGGCCAGCCTGGGAGCTCACGCCAGAGTAAACACCTGTAGCATTGCAGTTCCAGACATCGGTAGCCAGGTTGGGAACTCCTCCACAGGTAGACACATCGACGTATTGTACCTCGAGGAACACCGGAACTCCATCACAGTGTTCTTCCTCGATGACGTTGGATCGTAGATATTCGCCGACGATATAGTATGGACCAGCAGTGATCTCAGGGGACAAGATACAGCTGGAGTTGGCGCCAAAGATTGTCTCGAGGGGAGTAAACATGTCGTACTTGGAAACACCAGTCTTGTTGTGGTTTACTGCTTCCCAAGCAATGATGTCGTCCTCATCGCGGCGGTGTTTTCTGGGAGCTGTTGGGGAATTGGTCAATATTGGAAGCACAGATCTAGCAGCTACAAAACTTACAAGACTTGATACCGAGTTTCTTTCGAAGCTCTTGCACCTTTTTGGCGCGACGCGAAATGGATCGAGCCTTGAGGGCATTCGCATGCTCAGAACCAGAGCACGCGTTCAATGATCTCTGACCGAGGTTGGCCACGGCGTCTCGAGCCTGAATCTGTCTTTTGATGTGCTCATGGTCATGTTTTTCGCCCGGATGAGCTGTGGTAATATTGGCCAGTAAGAGGCTAGTAGAAATGAGAGTCTTGAGGGAAACCATGATGAGGAGTGAATGGGGAGTAAGAAGGAAAGGGATGCTGTTGATGATTTATTGGCAAAGACGACATATCGAATCTATATATAACAAAACCGTCTACAGGAACGGTCCGATACTTGTTCATGCATGATTCTGTAATGCGTAAGCTGGAAGTGGCGGTTACTCCCTCGCGTCAAGTTCTCCACGACATTCGTGTCTCCGATATCCCACAACCCGAACAAAAAAGTCGTGTTCCCGGCACTGCCAGCGGGAGCTAGTCTAGCGCTAGTTGAGGCTGCGCTTAGTTTTGCACCTCGGACGCGTAATTGTTAACTGGGGGGATTTTACTGGTCAATGCTTTATACCCACAGCACTGTATTAGGGCAAAAAGTTGTTCAAGGGTATGAAGAAGTGTAATTGACGTTTCATTGAAGGCTCAAGATGTTCCCGTAATTTACTGCCCGAATCTACAATATCTCGGAGTCAATATAACAATTTTATTGAGGGATCAGGAACAGTTGGCAGATTCATCAAGAATAGAATTCGGTTTGTCTTTACTTACTAGCAAGCTAGCTAGAATTTAACTACCGAAGGCCCAGGAATCACATACTCTACACTACTCCACTCATCCACAAAAACATTATGCAGCAAACCCGGATCTTTAGAAGAGTACAGGTCGGTAGCAAACACGCCATCAGGCTGTACCGTACCATCTCCTTCAACAACAAGACTGATGCATTGAGGATACATTTGTGTGCTTCCTTCAGCACCTCCAGCATGAAGTGCGATGATTTCATGTCTGAGAACATAGCTTCCTGGAGCTAGCTTGGCCGGGATTGTAATATTCCATGTGAAATTCGCATCTCGAAGTTTGTTATTTGCCCAGTACCCCGGCGAACCAGACACAGTTCCTCGTGTCAATTGACCCAGCTCATCGATCTTGAAAAACTTCAATTTGGCTTTGTCGACTGTTGTGCAATCATTGTTTGGACAACGCGCCATGTAGTCCAAGACAGGTCCCCAGTGGGCTTGTGGCCAGTCTGACCAACGCACAGTGATGGTCGTGCCGGCAGTGACGTTTGCTGTCAGATGTCCGTTGGTGGCATTGAGGTGGCATATAATGTCTGGGGAAGACAGGGCGCTTGCGGTGGAGGTTACAAAGCCGTTGTCTTTGGCGCCGTTTGTCCAGGTGATACTCTCAGGCTGAGGTCCGTAGGGGACCTTGGTGGGATCATGACCATAGTAGCTTTCATCATCAATGATTACGTCGGATACATGACCATGAGACAGGACCTTAGGTGCGAAGAAAAGAGCACGGAAACTGAATGAACGAATTGCACGCAAGAGCATTTTCTATAATGTAGGATTTTCGGAGGTATTTTTTCTCTAGGTCTGGCCAGCACTGGATCTGATCATTCTTCCTTTTATAGATTTACGGCTGTCTTCTATTGTCCCATATTGGTCTTTTAGCGAGAATAGGCAAAATGGCTAATAATTGACTGTTCCTCTCGGGAGGCTATGTTCCGCAAATCTCTTCTTGAAACGGAACAATCCAATCGGTAGATTTTTTTCTAATTACCTATTTTAGAGATTCCGTGAATGATTTGCAACGATGTGAAACCCGTTGAGATGTTGAAGACGGGATTGATACCTTCAAGAGTCGGGGTATAATGTTTTACGATGAAGTGCAATGCTATTGTGAGGGTGGACGTCAAACACTCCAACGATTAATAACTCTCGCCGGTGGTGTACTAGTCATAGACTCTCGCTATTTCAGAGCCTGCAAATCGTTCTCAGCCTTCTGTTTACCCGTAACAGGATGGTTGTAATGGAACGGTATTACATGCGTATCAGGCCATAGATCCGCCCCCTCCCACAACTCATGTGGTCCCAGCTTATCCGCGAGATAAGTATCCTTGAACAATGGAACAAAACGATCATAGTTCTTTCATCCTTACTCCAAAGTGCCGTGCTACAATGGATGATACCCCAGACGGAAGATCTTCCCAACTCCGTTTTCTCTGATATACTAATTTTCGTACACGCCGCCTTTCCACCATTGCCGTCGGCCGCCGGAATAGTACGGGGATGAGTGCCTGTGGGTTCCAACATTCATAAGGATTCTGCCACGATGTCGGGCAGTATTTGTACGGGGCTGGAAGTCTACCGCGTCATGCAATAAAATCATCAAAAATCCATCCGTCGAACGATTGTTTAAAAATTAGATATACACGTGTGGTGAGTCCGAGAAGAGATCCATTATCTGAAATGTTAACAACTGAAGTTATTTGTAATAGTAAGACTCTCGATTATTTCATAAAGAAAAGAGATGCCTTAGAACAGTAAACTTTCAGTTATAAAATGATATCATAAGGCCACAAGGCCATGCTTTCAAACAAGATTATATATTAAGCCAACTGGTTAAGGATACTTCAGCATAGACATTGAGCTCTGGTGACTGCTTGCGGAATTAAAACTGACGATACTTCTTGATCGCTTTTTATCTTGAATAGATCTTGTACTATGCCTTGTGATATTTGCCTGTCGCAGGTGTTTAAAGGCAATCCCCTCTCCCTCATGCTGTCCTTCATCACTTGGCAACCCGAACCCTTCAGAGGGAAACGTCGCATGACCTAGCTGTCCTTGGCTTTGTGCTGGACCTTTCTGATGTGTTAGACGTCTTTCATGGAAATGATAATTAGCTTCTTTTCTTCACTTGGTATGATATTTTACCAACCTTGATTGTACAAAAATCGATGAATGTTTGAAAAGAAGTTCGAGTTCCGTAATATCAACCTCCTCTGGAATAGCGTACTCATTAATGTCCAGGTCAGCCAGACGGCGCCATGTGGCTTCATCTTTCAACCTTTCCATAAGACCAAAGATGTGTCTTAGGGGGCCTTTTGAGTTGACAGCTTCCATGATGTGATAGCATAGCTCGTGTACAGAGTATACAAGTAATGCCGGATAGTCTTGTAGTGCTTGTGAGGCAATTCAACGACGGACGGAGGGTTAGATGTTGGGAAACCCACGAACATCCAACTCTCGACGATTTGAAGAGAACCAAGTGCAGGCATTGATTGGAGGCTGTTTCCCTCCAGAGCATTAAACTTTCGATGTTGATTAATAGCGGACGACAGTCCAGAAGATGACACAGAACTCTTAATCTCCAATCCATGTCGGGCAGTAACAAGATCGTCTAGCTCTGGGATATGTATGTAATCGAGACAGGTAGCTGCAATGGCCAGATGGCAACTGGCAAGATAATCGGTCAAAGTTGTGTCAAGAAGGGCAAAGCCGCCGCTTCCAATAAAAAACCACCGAACTGACTCATGTATGACCTGGACAACACGGGCGGAGCCTTGTCCGTGGTCAAGAGATCCCGCACCCGCATGAATGGACGAAGTCCCAGGCTCTTTCATGTTCAAAGGATCAGGCTGTTCTCTACTCACTTCTAGTAAGCCTCTTGTTAGATTTCTCATCTTCCTTTCAAGTTGTTCGTCATTTGTATTGAAATCATTTGATTTTCGCCATCCTTGGAGAGAATGTGGTCGAGATAACGTAATAAAAGCCATTATGTGATGCTATTCATCCAGCCGCAATGGCCTAGCAGCTGCGATGGCCCATTGGAACATCTTTGTTACTACTGTTTTCTCACTCTTTTCTAAAAAGCTGATATTACTTGCATATAATCTTCGAGCTCTTCTGGGGTGTCGTGTATGAGCTCTTTGAGACTTTCCAAGCTTACGCCTTTGTCATATTGCTCAAGTACCTTGTTCAAAACCAGGACAACCCATAAGAAAACTCCTTGTGAGTTAAGATTTATAAGTGTCGTTAACTCTTTCTTCCAATCATTGTCGTTTGGAGAAATCCGTGCCTCGAACCGATGTGTGATGTAGTTGAGAATATCTCCTCCATTAGGAAGTTCCAGCTCTACACAACCAGTAATTGAGACGTGAGGGAAGTGTCTGAAGGACATACCGACCCTCAAGCAATTAAATATTGGCAAATGAACCAATCGTCTCCAAAGCTCAGCCTGCCTTCTCTCGGCTGCATCGTCCAGATCATCCAGAGCGTCTATGAAAATGATGATGTGAGCATACTCGGAGGATAGGACTTTAAGCGTTCGGTGAAGGAGATCCTCTGGTTATTGTTCAGTCCATTCCGTTAACTGCAATATATTGTACGTTGAAATCTTTCTACTCAAGCTTCTTGTTGCTGGTGAAGGGAATGTTGACGGGAATCTTCTGATATATGACAACAGTTGGCAGAGCAAAGAACGAAGTAATCCAACTACGAAATGTTCCAGAGGCTGGCCTCAGGCGTTGACAAAATAGCTCGCAGAAGCAATGCATCCATTTGACGTAGAGTTCATGTTTCGTAAAACCTCCTTCATTAATACCGATTTCCCTGTGCCTGGTTTCCCTTTGACACGCAGAAGACGTTGGGTTGCAGAGTTTCCGCATGCTCTCTTGGGTCTCCAATCATCGAGGAAGTATCAGGTACCATTTTGCGACCTGACACTCCCAAGTTGATCCCAAATAGGCCAAAGCCCTCTTGGAAAGTCTTTACTCGGAGGTTGTATTGTCGCCAGAGCCTCGTGAATGCTTCGTGAGCGCGCTGTAGGTCATTATTTTCCAGGCGAAGATTGTCCAGGATAATTGCTGTTTTTTGGAGGCGCATGCCGTTCAGTATGGTTCTAGATCGCTCGCCGATCGTCGAAAGCCCGGGGCTTCCCCTATGTGAAGTTCCCAGAAAAATGATGGCAGCTGTGTATTTGACAGTTTCTCTGAGTGCCACTGTACCTGCAGTCGAGGACAATGCAAGTATCTGAAGGAACAATCAGTTTAGGACGATTATAGAGATGGCCATGCTACCTCTTTCACGAGTATTCCACCAAGACTATGGGCTAAGAAGATCAAGGGACGCTCCTGGACTCTCTCCCGCCCTAAGGAAAACAAAAATCTTTTCCATGTGATAGAATGTTGTTCATGTTTGTTGGTCCCGAAGTGTACTTTGTTACTTTTGTGTCATATCCAAAGGTAATAATTCGCGCTTTTTTGCAGACATCTGGTAATACATCGGCTGGCCAAAAGGTCTGCGAGGTATTTTCTGTGGATATAGGATTTTTCGTACTGTTCGGGCCAGTGAATACGCTATCTTGGTTGTTTTCCCTTGATGGCCCTTTTACCCATGCTTTGAAATTTTCTCCAGCGTCGGATTTTTTTGGAAAGTTGGACTTTGATATTCCTGACTGATGTTCTGGTTTTTGCTGTGCCTCTGCACGATTATGCGCTTGGTTGTATCTCCATGCTTTGTAGGGGTGTCCTTTTAGACCATGAACCATGATAATGCTTGCTATTTTTTAACACGTGCACGTTTTTTATGGCACCCATTACTTACTCGATTAGAGGATCATCGGTAGCTGGTTCATAGACAACACTTAGGCCTGTCGAGGCCACAGACTCACCCGAAAGCTTGACTCTCGGAGGGAAACTACCCTGGTGATTCATAATGACCAGAGACTTGATTTAAAACCGGGCGGGGTGGGTTGTGAGCAAGGAGAGCTGGGGTTTTCTTGAAATGAGGCTGTGAAATAGTCACGTGGTCTATATGTACAACGCATAGGTCGATCTTATTCTCTATTCAGCACTTGCACATGCGAAAAATTGTAACCAACCGCAGGCTTAAAGGAGCGATTACTTGGGATTGTTCCTGATCAAGAGAGCCCGACGGAGGTAGTTTCAAATGAATACTATTTCATTTAGTAAAATTAAATTCATAACACAACATCAAATACTTGATTTAACAAGTAATAGGCTGTGTGTGAGATGGGCCAAGAGAAGAGTAGAAGAGCTGTAGTTATGAGACTTGTTGTTTTGTATACTTGATCTTCGACTGGAAAGTGCATTGGGTCCTTACATGACGTGAAGTATATGAGTCGCTCAACAACGGTAATGTGTGCCTCATTTGGGGAAGTGTCAGATGATATTAAACTGGACCCATGATGATGCCGATTTTCGTGAATAAAGCTATCTCTCCTTGTCAGTTGCGTTCTTGAAGGACGTTTACTTCCAAAACCAACACCTCTTTTGGGACAGCTGCCGCGACTACCTCCTAATAATAGATCCTTGGGACGAAAGGATTGACACCCTCTAGCTCCGACAGATAATCCCAGATATAGTAACCATTTCTCCTCACCAGAGAGATGATGGACAATTCTGATCTGTGAACCATTTCTAACACACCGAATATCTATCCCCCTTCAACACTGGGTAGAAAAACATACTCTTAGCCAAACGCATTTGCCGCGAAATAAACCATAATCACTAGCTATCTTTGATACGGGAGTACAGCAGTATCGAGCTTGACATATATACAGAAGCAGCAAAGATAGTCGCGATCATGACGAGTACAAAGGCCTGAGGCGGGAGTCAGTGACGATGCGATTATGAGCAAAAGTGTGTCAATGGTGAACCTACCTTGACATCGGCTGGTGACCAGGTAGATGACAAATCGGTAATAATTTGTATCGCTAAACCAATGATAAAGAGAACTATCCCAATGTTTAGAAGCATGATAGGCGTCTGCCATACATACAGCTGTGTTACTTCCGCTTCGGATGGGTGTGCCTGGTAAGAAGATGACTTGCTAAGCATCTCACGAACTCGCTCACATTTATTCGTGTAACAAGAAAGCCGATGCAAGGTAAGTGATTGCTGTGTGGCTAGACAGATAGACGTGAGGTCGATGATAAGACTGCCATACCACAGTCCCTTTGTTGGCCATGACAGGTCTTTCAGGTCCTGCCAAGAGAAAGCGGCAGCTACCACCCCTGCAAGGAGAGCGCACTAAAAGAGGGATCAGTCAAGAACATTTTTCCCGCGTTAGAAAAAGGCCAAACATACTGTCAATCCGACGAAAGATAGTTCCGCTATTTTTCTTTCTATCCACCACCCTGTCATTGTGTCTCTTGTAGACAACTGAGTTCCCGTTTCAGAGTTGTTATCAGAGTCTGCCGAGTTCAGTAACTGGACCATGGAGCGATGAGATAGGTACCAGGGTGAGAATATCACTGTGAAGGTGGTTCTTACGGCACGCCACGCGACGGCAGGTGTCGCTCTTGGTGACATGCTTGGAACTTCACTCCGATAGTTGGACAGGGCGATTGATAGATGGAGAACGGACCAATCAAAAGCAAGGGTTAACGGTAAAAATCGTCAAGACTGCTCTTTGTGATAGTAGACAATTTTAAGTAAATATTAGCTCTTAACGAGTCAAACATCGTTATAATACCGGCAAGCAGAATTGCATTTGATTACCTAGGCCAAGGGCCTACGTCGGAGGCATGAGGCATCATGCCGCTCGCCTCACTCTGATGTTCCAATTAACACTCGAGCGCTAAAACCGAAAGCATGATAGGGTGGTCTAAGATTGATGCCTAAGGTGGCTTGTGCAAACCGTCGACATTCGGGAGGATACAGATTATTAGTGGTTGTCAATGATGTAGTGTAACGAAGCCAAAGGCATTAAATGCATGAGATGTCCAACATTTTGTGGATTTGAAGAATGTAATTGGACATTTATACGCACCCTTGAATGCGCGTTCCAGGATGTCCTTTCTGGTTAACCAGAGAGCGGCCTTCGCTGATGACCAATGAAATGTCCTTGGTTAAATTTATTGTGAGGTACTATGTATGTGCGGGCCATTTTGTGCTATTAAGAGACCTTCAGCCCTGCGAAAAGTAACCAGCATGTTTTAAAGTCCTCCACTACTTCTCACATCTATTTGACCCGATTCCGACGCCTTGTGTCTTCCCATCTTTTCTTACTCTACAGCCAGTTCAGTTTTGCATAATATGTCCTTTTGTGTTACTCCGATGATGGATTATACAACAGCAGAAAAGCAGGCCTTGATGAAGTACGCCCACACACAGCGGGTGGTAGAGGACGCCGACGCCGAAATCGCACTCAACGAGACGTAAGTTTACTATTCGTAAGTATGTAGAACGCAGACTAAAGCGTCAAAGATGGGAACAAGTTTTCCCTTTCTTAAGCGATGTAGTGGCAATCAATTTATCATCATTGAAAACGGTTTGTTATTCACTCACTGTAAGAGGCTTAACGAATCATCAGGTTAACTATAGCAATTTAGAAACAAGAACAATACATCTTGAGTATCAAAACAAACAAACACGAAACAACACAAGAAGAAAAATTTAGACCCCTTTTAGACATTAAAAGGCATACTCGTATCTACACGTAAGTCACTTGGCTAGATACTGTCAATGCCTCGTCACTTAAACTCTGGGGTTCCACAGATCAATTCATGACTACATGACGAAACATCCCGCGGGCGCCAATTCCACAAGAGGGGCAAGATTATACGGAAGAATCGATGATTTCATCCGAAAGTCCTTAGAAGACCTGATTAACAGCTCTGAATTGACGGACGCATTGAAAATAATCCATATCGTGGAGGATCGGGCTTTTCAAATGTGTCACCCTAGGGTGTTGAGTCCATTACGATACCTGGATGTCCATTTTGTCCGACGCACCGAGGACGAAGGTCATAAGATCCGTCCAAGCCAAGACTTACTCGCACATCTGACACGGACATACTTCATTCCACAAGTTGGAATGAAAGTAGCAAAGGCAACATGCTCTCTCACTTTGACTCAACCCTCTGTTTTACTCTTCTCAACACCTTTTGTCAGGAGTATGATGCTCAGCCAGCTCGACGTTGATAAGATTTCTGAACTCGAAAGACGGACTACAAAACGCCCTGTGTACTGTTGCACTAGTGTTCTTGAACAATCTGCATCTACAAACTCTTTCTCCAGTTGGTTTCCCGGAACTCACCACTGGGCCATACAGATTGGTGCTCAAGATCCCCCCACTACAACTGGAATCCAAGAAACAGAGCGTCAAATGGCAGAAACCGAGGCAGAACAGAGTCCAATGATCTTGGAGCTGGAAAGAGATGGCAGAGAGATCAAGTCTAGAGTAACTTATGGTCCGAGACAGTCCGCCTCTGAGCATTTCCTCGGCTACACAATGCACTCTAATAGAGACATCGAGTCGTTTGGTGAGTAAAGTTCTGGCGTCGTGAGAATGGAATGACTGACCAGTCCCAGCAAACGACGTGATTGGCACCATGCGTCCCGATTACCATATCGCGGCAAACAATTGCCAGGTATTTTGTCAAAGTCTTGTCAATTGTATTCTCATTCCAAGAACAGGCTTAGAAATCCTTTACGGACAACATATGCTCCCTGGTCCAGCACGAAATCTGGTTATTCATTATCGTTTCTGGGACTACGTCCTAGCCACCGAGAAAGATGAAATGGCCCGTCAATGTTTCCCATTCTCTGCGCAAACTCTATCATCTGGTGCCATCGACGTTATGAGTGCATATACATTGATTGCCAGCTGCAATAAGGATCAGAAAATGGTATTCTTCATATTGCTTGCCATGCTTGGATTGATGGGATGGAACAGTGATGTCGGTCCCTTTCGTCATCTATCTACAATGATAAGGAACCGAGACAAGGAGTTGGAAAGACTTTTCACTATCGTGTACCAAGCAAAAATTGTTCGAGATGGTCATCTCCTAACTGAAGCATAGACGGAAAATGTAAGATAAGAACATTTTGGAGAAGTTATAAAGGCTTTTTAGGTCGGCAGCTTCGATAATGTGATAGCATAACTCGTTCATAGAGTATATAAGCAATGCAGGATAGTCTTTTCGTGCTTGTGAAGTAATACCAGTTAAATCGAGATTGGCCGAAGCCAAAATGGTACTTGCGTAAGGTCGGGCAGATTATTGAGAGATGTAAATATCCATGTTAACATTAATAAACTTCCATTTTGTGTCGCTTATTAGTGAATGGGATACAGTAACGACAAGTGGATATATTTACGGTAAGTAATAATATGTCGTCGCTAGATTCGCCAATTATGATGTTCTATACTCGGAGTGCAGTACTGGATCGGTGGTGTTATCCTGGATCAGTGCTGAGCGTAAGGTCTTGGCAATAATCACTGAGGTGTTACTTCGTGGCTAATTGGCGGCGAGTTGATGAGGCTTGCAAAGTATGCGCGATATAATTCTGATGGAACTAGAGACACACTTACTCGGACTTGTAAAAACACATATTACATCCAGGCGGAAATCCGATAAGACATTAAAACATATACATTCAGCACGGTCCAAGCCAGTAAACCCAAATGCCAAAACCAAAAGCTGATGTTTATAGAAACGGTATATAACACCCGGAATTTGGAACTTCAATACCTTCATTTGTCCTTGAAATTGAGTTATCGTGCCTTGGCGCTCTCAATTAGGCCTCCGGGCTTTGTGGCCGAGATAGCAACGTAGCGGCAACGGCCGTGGCCCCGGTAGGATTCCACACCAGCCACTGTATTTATGAAATGTTTCTCCAAGCCAAGAAACGTGATAATCAACCACGGGACATAGACGACCAAGTAGAAGAGGCGTGTCAAAGGCTTGATCTTCTCCGAGTAGTCATTTGAAACGACATCAGTGAACCCGACATCCTCAAGTATATCTTTGAAGACGCCGGGATGCGACAAATCATTAGTTGGTATGGCAGCAAAGTCATTGATCTTGCGCATCGAATTGGCCATATCATCAGGAGAGTTGTTGTTAAACTCGTGGTCATACTCGAAGAGTGCGAGACGACCCCCAGAACGGAGCTTATGGAAGAAGCCTGTTAAAACCGCTTTAGGGTCCGTGGCATACACGAATCTCTCCATGGTGTAGATGCAGTCAAACGATTAATTTTACAAATTCTCAAGGTGGTGATAGTCCACCAGGCATACACTGACCTGACCCTCTGGCAAATTGGCACGGGTAAAGTTGCGCTTAGCTTTGTCAATGTGATGATTGACAACGTCGATCCCTTGTACATGGTACTTGAACTTGGTGGCCGGATGCAGCACCTTCGCCTGTTTATATATGTAGGATAAACTTTGTCCACTCGACCGTCTCATACGCACTCGGCGGCAATGCTCTCAATCCGATAAAGTCCTCCACAAAGATAAACACTCGAAGCACACAGTAAACAATGCACAAGAGAGATGTAACGATAATGAATCCAACCTGAACGCCCATATAAGGATCTTTACCGTGTGAAATATTGTGCGATCTTTTGAGAAAGTCAACAACACCTCGCGCCGGCCGTTTCTGCACCAGATAATCGCCATCCCGATCTCTGCTTCCCTGTTTCTTGCCTTTTCGACTCTTTTTCCATTGCTGGAACCGATGATGCCAGTCTTGGACAGGGTGAGGCCTCTTGGCTAGTTCTTGCTCGACAAGACTTGGCTCAAGGCCCTCGGTGAGACGGTTCTGTGGTATAAAGATCCACATACACAACTCCATCCAGAGCGACCCGACAAAGCCATACGCCAGCATGTAAATACTAGCCACGCGCCAAAAGTCGCGCTCTACTGTGGTAGGAAATGCAAAGTTCCATGCAGAAAGAAAGACTACACAGAAGACAAGGATGAATGCGACTCCCACGAGTTCTAAATCAAAGTCCATTCGGAGGAATATGTCGCCTGGGTTCCTGTCCCATGGCACATGTTCGACGCGGCGTGAGAAGGGGGAGAAGAGGATCTTGCGTGATAATTCGTTATAATATTGCCAAGCCAGGTTGAGCGCCGTTTCATCTCTGCTAACGAACTCCAGAGGTGTTTGATAGTATGGCTGATCTGGTTGGCGTCCCTCCTAAACAACGATGAGTGCGGATTCGGCAGTTCCTGGGATTAGTCGCTGCCTACCTTTAATATAATGGTCTCCATACTGGCAGAGCTGTGAAGAGTGATGGTCGTGCCCACATCACTTGGCTTGTCTTTCCAACACCAGGCAGTCCCAAAAAGAATAACCACGAACGACACTGCCGTGAGCTCCATTGTCGTCACATGGAGTCCCTGAATCAAGCGCGCAATGAAGCTAATGAGGAACCAAGTCCCTTGCCAAATGGTAATGAGCCTGGGGGTGTAAGCACAAGGGTCGTTACACTACTAAAGTTTGGACTTACCTTGCTAACCCATCCGACTTATTCCTATCTTTGAGTTCTCCAGCAGTTATGTCAGGACAATCCACATATTTTTTATCTACTAGATAAAATAGCTGTTCGGCGTTGAGGGGTATTGGTTGTGAGAGACCGTCAGCTCTGAGTACAAACCCACCCATATCCGCGAAGAACCCATGAGTGATAGTCCAATGATTATGTCCCGCTTGGTTGAACTTCTAAAAAAGAATATTAGTTGCTGGGTGGCTAATAATATTCTGGTGACATACCACAACTGATCTTCATGCCGAAGACTTTTGCCCAATGGCTAACACTATAATGAATTCGGGACCAAGTAATCCCAGACATGCAAGCCCAAGTTTGTCCCTAATTGAAGTCCAAACACTGTCTCCTGGTGCGGGTATGTTGGTGTACACAGAAGTCCAACAGCATAGAAATGTTGTGACCAGGCATGTAAATATTATATCATAGGTGCCTCTTCCATCTGGTGAGGGCATCCAGCCAACGAACTCGGATTCGTTTGAGATCATGAGCGGGAATTGGATCTTTAAGATGAGCCAAATTAGACAGAGAAAGGTGAAATTCAGAATTGACAGAACCAACAGTCCATACGGGGGTACTTATGTCCACAGCAAAGTCACAGCCAACACGCGTCATATTTCTTCATGGGTGGCAATGGAGGCCTGCCTGCATCCCCCTGCATGGATGTCTCAGAAGCTGTACTGACAGCTATGGCTATGTCGGAGCCTGCTGGTTAAAATACATTTAGTAGCAATTCGGTATTGTCATTAAATTGAGCGCAAAGAGCAAAGTCACTAGTCTAGATGTTCATATAGGAATTAATGTTAGGAGATCTACACAGATCAAAATAAATTAAGCAACAGCTGGTGATAAAGTCGAATATTATGGTATTAATGTGGGTAAATAGTTGTTGGGCGGTACCAGAACGCTTATGAATGGCTGTGTTTTAGGCACGATAACCAGGATGTGCTGTTTTGGTGGCCCCTGGCTACTCTGTTATCTATTTATAATGTCAAAGTTTTCAGAAATGATCTGATGTACAGGGGCCAGAGCGCGTCAATGCAGCCAAAGCTCTGCTACCACACTGCCCTTTGCAACTGTCATTTACCAACTTGGAGATGTGTGAAATTATATCCAATTAAAGGCTACGATTCTCAATTACTCAAGAATTTATTCTAGATATAAAAGTCAACCTGGTGTAGTTTTCGATTGAATGTAAACATTAATACTGACATAACATACTTCTGTGTTGCCTATCATTAAATGAGACGCAGCCATTAAAAACGCATACAGTTACGGTAAGTAATAATATCTCTTCGTCAAATTCACTAAATATTATATTTTACACGTTTACTACAAATTACTAAAGATATCCATTACATCAATTCCAAAGAACGAATCATTCCCGTGATCCCATAATGTCTCAACTGGTGCATAGAAAGGTGAAATCAGAGGAGCTGTACCCTGCATCATTGCTTGAGGTGTAGGAGGCTAGAAAACGATTAGAGGTGTAGGGTCACGCGGCGCGAAAACATACAGTGAGAGGTTGTGTTGTCTGTCCAGTATTTTGAGTTGCGAGTGTAGGAATACTGGTGGTTTCAGCTATCCCCAGTGTAGAAAAACTTTCATCGTTCGGTCGATGCGAATTTTGAGACTCATTGAGCATACCTCGAGATGTCAACTGGTTAATGTATTCCCGTGCGATATATGTGAATTCGCTGATAAGTGATCCAGGAAGTGAACCTCCACTCGCAAACTCAATCCGGCTGAAATGTCCTCCTGCAATGTCGAGAAGTGCGAGATTGCTTCTTGTATCGGGAGATTTGGGATCGCTTATGACGTGGTCAAACAGAACGAAAAGAGCACAGATCGGAATGCCTGCCAAGATCCTGAATGGGAGATTAATTCAATTCTTCTTATATGAACGGTCCAAAAGACTAACCAAAGAGGTGTGGATGGCTCTACGTCAATGTATGTAGTGATCTCAAGAATGCATCGAGAAATCACTATCAGTTGTTCTCTGTACGAAGGCTTTGACAAGTCATTTTCGGAGTCCCCGTTGATTTGTAGTCTACTCCGTAAAAGAATGAGCTTGAAGCTGTAGTAGAGATAATTGACCCAAATAGCTATCGAGCCTTTGACTGGTCGACGATACATATGGGGCTGATAAGAAGGTGCCGGTCGAAGGTCTTCATAAATAGACATTCGCCATTGCTCCAGATCCTGTTCAAGTTGACTTATATTGCTGAGAAAGTAGCGTGGTCCCTTTCCGCAAATACCTGGGGAAAATAATGTCGTCAATGCCCGCGACAACAAGCGGCAATGTCGGGCAATTGCCAGAGCCCAATTGAAGGTTCCGAAGTTGGATTCTGGCACATGGGGTAAGGGTGTCACTATATTGGCGTCGATGAAAACCTGTGACTGTCAGTAAAAATGTTAAGCTTTATATAACGCAACGTACCGAGTTTCGTCCAAAGTGGAAGCTAGACATCTTCTCTATCGCATAAAGGACCCAGAATACGCGATAAAAAGATTTGGCAAAAGGACCCTTTGAAAGTACAGGTGCCAGATCCTGGGCCATACGAGCTGCGTCTGTAATTATCTTCTCCTCAATAGACAGACATGGAATTCCTAGTGCGTAGACAGCAGCAGCAGTCATGGCTTGAAGAGCCACCAATGACTTTCCACATTTCTGTATATCTGGAAGGAGAGGTAATGCCACCGAGAATAGTTCCCAGGCTTTTCCTTTCCCAGGTTCGAAACTACCACCACCATCGTGCAAGCAGCCCAAGGCCAGGACTGAGTGATAAAGCGCAGAGAAGGCCGAGTCGTTACTCAAGATGCTGGTGAGATTGCCTGTGGCGATAGTTGTATCAAAGGATTCACGGTCCAGATACGGAAATAGAGGATGAACTCGGTCATAGTATACTAGAGACTAGATTAACAGGCCGAGGTGGCATAGCATGCAGTTTTGACGCACTCACTCATTATATACTTTGCTGCTGTTGCACTGTCGACTAGTGGGAGACCTTGTTCCTGGATGTAAACAGCGGATATGCTACTCGTCGGTTTTACTTTGTTTTTGATAATTGATGAGATTCTGCGCATTAAATCATCAATCTTGTTGTTTTGCAGTTTTGCAGAAAGAGTTTCCAGTCTGCTGTCGGAGAAAAATGTGACTCTCGAGGTACCGCCTAAGAAAATGTTAAAAAGTCAAGTTTAGTATACCAAATAATTTTACTTACTCAGTAAGCCGATACCCTGTTCAATAGTTAGCATTGGAACATTACAACGCGGTTATGTAAGAGATGTCTGGCGACTTACCTTGAGAGAAAAGCGTTGCTCCATACCTGGCCCATCATTTGAAGGCATTCCGAAAAGGATACGATCGATAAAAATATCGCCTTCTGTAAATTGCAAGATTCCCTTGTTCTCGCAACATTGACCAGTCTGATTGATTCAGTGACCGGTCTCAAATTGCTGACAACAAATACTCACAGTAGAACTTTCCGGTGAGAAGCCTGGCTTAGGGGGCTCAACAGAACCGAAAGTTGTCGCATTGCCCAAGATTAAAGATTTATCAACTTGTAGAATGTCAGATGAGCATTGAAGTCGGGGACATGCAAAAGTATACCATTCTTCCTCAGTGGGATCTTGCGATGTCCAAAGTGACAGGCGTCTTTCCGTACCTAATGCACATCAGCCTCAACGTCACATTGCATCTCGGGACCGATGCGTACGTTACAACTTGAACAAGGTGGAGGATAACCTGCTTGCGATCAGAAAAACATGTCAACGACATGGGTGTCGATCTTACCGGAACATCGGATCTTTCTGCTTTTGCAAGAATCACAAGCCTTGGATTTTTGAGGGCCACGGAGTCGGCGTTGGGTTTGGGGCGGAGTTTGTGACATGTTGAAAACCCGCAGTTAAAGAGAGATAGAAAGTTGACAATTCCCGAAGCTCGAGACGGCGTTTCTTTAAGGATGTGGACAAAACCTGTCAGGAGAAAAGCTACGGCGCCGACATTCCTTATTAGGTTTAGGTTCAAAAGAAGTGGATCTGACTTATCCCTGTATGGACTAGAATCGGAATCGAGGGTGGAAGTACAGGCATCGTGGATATCGCGAAACTGTCTTGAACGCCGTTGAAAATCCATCAAAAAGCATGGAAGATGACGTTTGAGAAATTGAAGGCTGACACAGGCTCACAATAACGCCGGCTTGATTGGAATTGATAGCTATTCGTATAAAGGTATATTAGCTATGTCCATGCCGCCCATGATCAACCATATCTACCAAACACTGCTACCTCACTCGTTTATCTCCAACTTGCACCACTGATTCCGCCATGCCTAACAATCCAGCCATGGCTACTACTCCCAACAGTGAGAGTGACACTTCGGTGGAAGAAACCACTGGGCCCATGGCTCAGCTGGCTCGAAGATTCTCTCTCACACGAACCTACTCAGCTTTATCCACCAACATTAACCCTTTTCTTTCTAAAGATGCCCGATTGGATCCCAAGTCTCCTGAATTCTCTCCTGAGTATTGGGTCAAGGCTATGCTTCACGCCTTTTCTCAAGACACAGGAAAATATCCCCGCCACACTGCTGGTGTTTCTTGGCGGGGCCTGAGTGTTCATGGATTTGGTGACCCGACGGACTATCAGAAGGACGTATTCAACGTTGCCTGGAGAGGTCCTCTCAATGCGTTCAATTCGTTCGCTAATAGACAGCAGAAGATTAACATTATCAATGATTTTGATGGACTAGTTGAAAGTGGAGAGTTACTACTTGTGCTAGGTCGTCCAGGAAGGTAAGCTATTATTCACAATAACCCAATCATTGCTTGTGTCTAACAAAAGATACAGTGGTGTTTCGACTCTACTCAAAACTATTGCAGGGCATACTCATGGCTTACATTTGGATAAATCTTCGGAATTTAATTACCAGGGTAACTCAATCCACTCTGCTATCTTTCATCAACTAACTCTTTAGGTATCCCTTTCGATCTGATGCACAAGAACTTTCGAGGAGAAGTCATCTACCAGGCCGAGACAGACATCCACTTCCCTCAACTGACAGTAGGCGACACGCTTCTATTTGCCGCATTAGCCCGTACACCTCAAGAGCGAGTTTCCAACATATCGCGCAAGGTCTACGCCGAACATCTCCGAGATGCTGTCATGGCCATGTTCGGTATCCTCAACACGGTCGACACCAGAGTCGGAGATGACTTCGTCAGAGGTGTTAGTGGAGGTGAACGAAAACGAGTCAGTATTGCAGAAGCCACTCTCGTCCAGAGTACCACGCAATGTTGGGATAACAGCACCCGAGGTTTAGACAGTGCTACCGCTCTCGAGTTCGTCAAGAAGATTCGCCTCAGCACTGAGCTAGGTGGTGCTAGTGCAATTGTTGCCCTCTATCAAGCTAGTCAAGCAGCCTATGATGTGAGCATCTACAGAGCGAGAGCTCCAATCGTTCTCAGTTGCTAACTATTTATTACAGGAATTCGACAAAGTCCTCTTATTGTACGAGGGTCGGCAGATCTACTTTGGTCCAACAAGCTACGCAACCAGATACTTCACCGACATGGGCTACGAATGTCCTGCACGTCAAACAACCGCCGACTTTTTGACATCACTTACAAACCCAGCCGAACGCATTATACGCCCTGGCTATGAACACCTAGTTCCTCGCAGCCCCGACGAATTTGCCGATCAATGGAGGATGAGTCAACAACGAGCAGCACTACTCCAGGACATCGCCGCTTTTCAGCTTCGATATCCTCTTGATGGAAAGCATGTTGAGAATCTAAAACACATTAGAAGAACTCAGAAAGCTCGATTCATGTACGCGATTTCCTGTTACCATCACTTCACACGAAGCTAACTTTTTACAAGGTCCGACAACAGCCCCTTTACGATTTCTGTGCCCATGCAAATCCAGTTGTGCATTGGTAGAGGAGTCAAGAGACTTCTCGGTGACAAGACGTTCTTTATAGTTACCATTTTGGGAAACTTCTTCATGTCTCTAGTTCTTGGAAGTGTCTACTTTGACTTACCTAGCACTGCCGAAAGTATGAACAGTCGATGTTCGGTTCTCTTCTTCGCCATCTTGTTCAACGGCTTGAGCAGCGCTCTAGAGGTACGTTACTACACATTTTGTCTGGACCTGTCTAATGTTTTGCAGATTCTCGCACTCTACAGTCAGCGACCGATTGTAGAAAAGCATGCCAGATACGCTTTATATCGACCTTTGTCCGAAGCGGTCTCTTCCGTCTTCTGCGATCTACCGTCCAAGATCATCTCAACTCTTGCTTTCAACATTCCTCTTTACTTCATGGCAAACCTTCGTCGCGACGCCTCATCTTTCTTCATCTTTTTGCTCTTTGGCTTTACAACCACTCTCACCATGTCCATGATCCTACGAACCATTGGTCAATCTTCAAAGACGGTCCATCAAGCATTAGTTCCCGCCACCATTTTCATCATTGGTCTAGTCATCTACGCTGGGTTCGTTTTACCGATTCGAAACATGAAAGGTTGGCTCAGATGGATCAACTACGTCAATCCCATTGCCTATGCTTACGAGGCCCTGGTCGCCAACGAGTTTTCGGGAAGAACGTTTCAATGCCTGATGATGATACCGTCTGGTCCTGGGTATGAAGATGTTGAGTCAACGCAGCAAGCGTGTTCTGTTGCGGGCGCTGCTCCGGGGCAAGATTTTGTTGATGGTGACTTCTACATTGGAAATGTCTACAAGTATTATGATGCTCACATCTGGAGGTATGTTTTGGAACTCATCCGTCATTCTAGGTCTTGGCTAATTCATTAGAAACTACGGTATCCTTATCGGCTTCATCATCTTCTTCACCTGCACCTACCTCATTGCTGCAGAGTTCTTTTCGTCCAATCCCTCCAAGGGCGAGGTTCTTGTCTTTCGCAAGGCTGGTAAAGGCCGTCGTACAGAAGGTGTTGATGAAGAGGCCGCAAAATCCGATATCCCAACCCACCGAAGCGACAACCATGATATTTTCGACGCAAAACCCGACAAGACTCCTAACCCTGCCACATTTTGCTGGAAAGATCTCTGCTACGACATCAAGGTCAAGGGACAGACACGCCGTATCCTCGACGGGGTAAATGGTTGGGTACAGCCAGGAAAGATCACTGCTCTAATGGTAGGTAGCCTTTCTGGAAGACAAAGGCATTTCTAACAGGTACAGGGAGCCACTGGAGCTGGCAAGACTACACTGCTCGACACACTGGCAGATCGCATTACCATGGGCGTCATCACGGGCGACATACTTGTCAACGGGCTTCCTCGTGGCAAATCATTCCAGAGAACTACCGGTTACGTGCAACAGCAGGATATTCATCTCGAAACATCAACAGTGAGAGAGGCTCTTCGATTCAGTGCAGTTCTCAGACAACCCTCGTCAATTTCGACAGAGGAGAAGTATCAGTATGTGGAGGAGGTCATCAGCTTGCTAGAGATGGACCTGTACGCAGATGCAGTTGTTGGAGTTCATGGAAAAGGTACGTGATGGCTCTATTATACATGAGAATGTGGGCTAACATTTTCCAGGTCTCAACGTCGAGCAACGAAAGCGACTGTCGATTGGTGTAGAACTTGCCGCCAAACCCGAAGTCCTCATCTTTCTCGATGAGCCAACCTCTGGCCTTGACAGTCAAACCGCATGGTCGATAGTCAATCTCATCAAGAAACTGGCAAATCATGGCCAGGCAATTCTTTGTACCATTCATCAACCATCTGCCCTCATCTTCCAGCAATTTGACCGTCTTCTCTTACTTCAGAAAGGTGGAAAGACAGTCTATTTTGGCGATGTCGGTGAGAACGCCGCTGTCATGACTCAGTACTTTCAGAGCTTTGGCGCCACGCCATGCCGATCGGATGAGAACCCAGCTGAATGGATGCTTCACGTTATTGGTGCTGCACCTGGCGCTCACACAGATCGTGACTGGGCCGATACTTGGAAGACCAGTCCACAGTATGACTCTATGCAAAAAGAGTTGGCCGTTTTGAGGGAATCGAACCAAGCTGTTGCTTCCAATGACCAAGATACTCCTTACGCTGCACCGTTCTTGAAGCAGTTCTTAGCCTGCACCAGACGTGTCGCCGAACAATACTACCGAACACCCACTTACATCTATGCCAAGTTGCTACTTTGTTTGGTTACGGTTAGTCTCAACCTTTCTTTAGCACAGTACATACTTACTAATTACATGCAGAGTCTTTTCATCGGCCTATCGTTTCAGAACTCGCCTCTATCACTACAAGGACTCCAGAACCAGTTGTTCTCAATCTTCATGCTTCTCGTCATTTTCGCATTCCTTGTTTACCAGACCATGCCCGGCTTTGTCGCTCAGCGAACACTTTACGAAGGTCGAGAGAGCTCGTCGAAAACCTATGCCTGGTATAACCTTGTATTGGCCAATACCGTTGTCGAGATGATGTGGAACTCTGTGGCATCTTTGACACTTTACTTGCCATTCTATTTTCTAGTCGGCATGTACGACAATGGGCGCGCCACAGATACTCAGGATGAACGCGGTGCTTTGATGTTTCTCCTCATCTGGGCGGTTATGGTGTACGAAGGTACATTTGCACATATGTGCGTCGCCGGAGCACCGACTGCTGAGGTTGGCGCGACGCTTTCATTGCTGCTTTTCATGATGACACTTGTTTTCGCTGGGTAAGTTTTCCTCTTATACTTTGACTGGCTATTCTCTAACATTCGATTCACAGTGTTCTTGTTCCATACTCGGGACTTCCTGGATTCTGGACCTTCATGTACCGTGTTTCCCCCATGACCTACATCATTGGTGCCATTGTTTCAGTTGGCGTGGGAAAGCAACAAGTCCAATGCTCCGACATTGAGTTCCTGCAGTTCCAAGCACCAGCGAACCTCACTTGTGAGAAATATGCTGGGCCTTTTGTTGCATTGGCTGGAGGCTCATTCCAAAACCCCGACGCAAACCAGACCTGTCTGTACTGTCCGATTGCGTCAACAGACTCGTACCTTGCTACGCTCACCATCAACTACGACGAAAGGTGGAGGAACTTTGGACTAATCTGGGCTTTCATTATTTTTGACATTTTTGCTGCTTTAACTGCTTATTGGCTTATCAGAGTACCTAAGACGAATTTGAAGCTTGCATTTTGGAGGAAGTAAGCGATTCAGAGGATTTCATGTAAAATATTTTATTACCCTATAACTTTGACTGACCATTTGTTGGTACATGGGTAATTTAGCCAGGGGTCGCCTGAGGGTGGCTTGTTGGACCCGCGACACCAAACTGGTCTCGGTATAGCATCCACTGTCAGAAATCAATAGTTCACTTCAGTTCTCAATAGTTCAACCACTAATTAATTTTCCGCTTGGCATTGTAACCGACATTTCCGTTGTTGACAGAAGAGTTATTCTGATCAAATTTCTCCCCTGGTCCCCTTTTTTCTTTCCTCCTTCTTTCTCCCTGTTTTTCTAATCACCCAAACCTTGAGCCTCTTAGCACATCATGGTCCAAGCTAAGATTATTGCTGCGGCTTTGGCTGCTTGCCTTGTCGAAAGTGCCAATGCTGGTGCTTGCAAACCCAGATCGTCATTGTCTACCGAAAGTCAATCAATATTGAGCACTGTCTCTTCTGCTGCTTCCAGCATTGCGACCGAAACGTCAACCATTGCGGATACATCTACAATAGCTGAGACATCTACCATTGCCCTCACCACCACCTCTCAGATCCCCGAGTCATCGTCTACCACGTCCGAAGCATCCACCACAACCGCTGCAGCGCCAGTTGATCCCGTCTGTGGTAAACATGGCACTTGCAATCCTAATGGTATCAATGGTTGTGGATCTCGCAGCGCCAGAGGTCAAGGATACTATCTTGGAGAATGTCAAGATCTTTGCCGTGCCGACCCTGATTGCAAAGCCATACTATACAACACCCAGGGAGGCCAATGCTTTCTCAGCTTTAATACGGCCCAAGACTCAGAATTCTACGAAGTTTCAGATCCAACGATTGTCTGGTACGACGACGTTTGCGATATTGAGAAGCGCGAGCCTGACCCCATCTGCAGTGCTTATGGAGACTGCAACCAGAGCCTATGTCAGCTCATGGCCGTGTCAGGCTCCTATACCGCCGAGACCTGCCAGAGGTCATGCGCTAGCGACCCCAACTGCGAATCTTTCGTCTACTTCCCTGCTTTCGAAGGCTGCTACACTCTTGAAAAGTCTCTGTTCAAGTCTGGGTTCTTTCAAAAGCAAACATCTGGTGGCTTGTGGTTTGATCGCGCCTGCAACGTCCAGGTGATTACAGATTAAAATGCTCTTCAATTGTTTAGGTCGCTATTTTAGATTACAATTTATTCAATAAGCCCTCCATGTACCGTTTTCAACAGGATTCCTTTCATCTGTTCAGACGCCATCATTTGTGACCTCATATTGTGTTCACCCGAACAATTTACTTTTTTCTACTAGTCTACCTAACTGAGAAACAGCTCGCTCGGTTTCGGGCCAATAGATTTACTCCTAGTCGACTTAAGTTTGATACAGACTTATCGTAATCCTTGTCCGTCAAGTCAGATACCTACCCTGTTGTTCATTACTGTGGCCCGCAAATATCTCAACCAAACATCACCCTACAATGGACCTACCTGCTGATGGGCCCTTTCCGTACCGGCCCCTTGAAGAAGATGAGATACGTCTACTCCATGTTCAGTCTAGCGACTCGGACTTGATTTGCCTTGATCTTCACACTGTTCAAGCCCCAGCAAACCAAAGATTTTGGGCTTTATCCTACGTGTGGGGTCCCACCGACGATCCCGCTGTAGTTCTTCTCAATGGACAATCATTCACTATCACAAGAAATCTTTACCATGCTCTTTATGAATATCGGCGCCATATATTTACGAATGAATCAAAAGTTACAAGTGCATGGTTATGGGTCGATGCTATTTGCATCAACCAGAATGATCAAGTCGAAAAGTCCATCCAAGTTCCCCGCATGTCAGAGATTTACGGCAAATGCGAGCGCGTATTAGCATGGCTAGGCCCGGTCGACAATGAGGAGGAGAGCTCAATTTGCAAACTAGAAGAGACGTTGGTAAGTTTCTCGTTCTCGGTTGAGGAAGATCATGTCGAAGACAGCCGAATCAAAACATTTCTGGAGCTTGGGAAGTCGGATATTAAAGCTGCGGCCGAAGTTGAGTTGGTTCGAAAAGCATTGGGATCTATTGGCCACCGTCCATGGTTTCGACGAATCTGGATTCTTCAAGAAGCTGTTCTAGCCCAGAAATCACCCATCTTGCTTTGCGGGTCGTGTGAGCTTGGGTACGACATTTTCTTCAAGACTTGGGTTCTGATGCTGAATCCGTCTGAGGATGGACAGCTTCTTTATTCATTCATGGCGGAGAACCCTGTCAGGTTCAAAGCTATTGAATTAGCGTACAAGAAGATTTTGCAGAGCAGAAGCGGAACTGATCAAGAACACAAAAAAGACTTGGCCGCCCAAGAAAAGCAGTGTGCGATTGACATCTTCAAGCTGTTGAATGAGGCGACTGAGTTGGAAGCTACTGTTCCTCATGACCGCCTCTATGCCCTCCTTGGTCTTTTGTCTTCCAATCCCTTGCCAAAGGCTCTTCAACTGGATTATATAAAATCTTTTGAGAGACTATGCTACGATTTCGTGTTGTTTATTCTAGAGCAAAAGAAAGATGTTCGGGTCTTGAACCTAGGCGCAGTTGGTTGTTTCAAAGATGTACCCTCTTGGACGCCAGATCTCCGAGAGAACTGGATGGCGAAGGCAAACCTTGCGCCTAGTCTTGGAAGTTTCTTTCAGATATCACCTGATGGCAAGGTTCTCACAATGCCTGCAATCGTTCTTGGTGCATGTATTTCGGCCAGCAGTCCCGCCACTCCAGATGAAGATTCTGGTATCGTGCCAACAACGGCTTTCTTACAATTTGATGAGTCCATCATCGTGCCAGCCGCAGCGATACGGAGAGAAACTCGTATGTCAGTCATGACCGAGTGGCTCAAATACCACTTTTCAAGCATATATACTGATACTCAATTGGAACAAAATCCTGCGATTTTGCAAAGGATCATGCTGGCATACACATGCATGGTCCACAATCAGCCTATCTCGTCCCTTGGTACAAGATATGGTACTGAAGCACAGCTTCAAGGTGCATTTGGCATGGTGACAGACCCAATCATCCAAAAGGCCTTGGTTGGTTGCAGTAACTTCGTTTTACAAGATGGTACAGGGGGAAGGTTGCTTCATGATAGCGACATAGCCTCTGCTGGAGACAGGATTTGCGTTTTCCAAGGTCTTTCTACTCCCTTTTTGATAAGATCGACTGAAGCAGGGGATTGGAGGATCATTGGCCAAGTTTCGAAGTGGGAAAGCAACGGGGCGTATCTACCTGAAGAGATCCTGGAAAGATATCATTGGTCATTCGAGCGATACCATTTGGGGAAAAAGACTGAGCATAATGTTAGAATGCTTGACATACAATAAGTAGTTGGAAGGATCACACATGGACGGCGTACTAGGGACGACAAGTTGAGTTACTACGCATATATGGGAATGAGTTGGAGATAAATAATTAAGCCTGCTCTCGACGAGTGTGTCTGGTGACGGTTGGCCTCGACCGTAAATATGAAGTCTACCAACATCCAAACATTTTAATTGAAATCTCTTATGGATACTATTTCCGCGCTAGCTTGTTCTACGGTGAATCATTCCAGGGGCTAACCAATAATATTTAATCAATACTGGACTAACATTTCAGCTTCGTCTTCTTGGGGTAAGCCATCTTCTAGCTCGCACTGAAATGTCAGAGCACAACGGTGTCTCATTTCTCGAAGTTGTTCTAGCGTTGAAAACAACAGTTAAATTTATCGTCCAAACTCAACGCCATGACGCATATTTCAACTCGGCTACAGAAAACCTGTTTCAGGTTTATTACCATTTACACAAGAAACTAGCCCTGGGTCATCAGCCACCACACCAAGGCCGCCAATAGTTTGTATCGGCAACGATTATTTTACCCAATTGCGTATAGTCAACCTTGTCAGGAAACAAACATGATCCGAGAACACGGGGACCCTCGGACACAAACACCTGAAGTGTGGAGTTTTGTTTTTGTCATAGCACCATCGCAATTAAACGAAACCGAGTCACTGGACTTGTACAGTTGAAGCAACTCGTGTTGTTGCCGTCTTTTATATAATGATCTACACTCGCACGATCTGCACTCCCCTCAGATCATTCATCCATTCTTTTACTTTCAGTCACTCTTTACTATTCGTTCATTTACCATGCAGTCGATTATTACCTTTGCGGGCTTGGCCTTTGCCAACCTTGCCGTCGCTGGACCTTGCAAGCCTCTTCCCCAGACCACTGTCTCATCTGTAGACATCGTTCCCACCACGACGGCTGAGCCGACTGTTGTTACCGCTACCGTCGTCCCTGTCCCTGGTGTCTCTACAAGCGCGGAGTTTTCTGCTGTCATCTCTGAGAGCGAGACTGGATATGAGTCCAGCACGTTTGTTGAGAGCTCTACTCTCGCTACTGTTGTAATCCAAGAGACCAGCACTGCCGAGACCGGTGCCGCCGAGACCAGCGCTGAGACCACTGCTGAGGCTGGTACTACTTCCGTCGAGGTTGAGACATCTGCCACCCAGACCACCACCGAGACCGCTGCTCCTACTGCCGACCAGTCTTGCGACAACGGTGGTTTGGACTATGCTATCTACAACCACGAGTTCTACAACTCTGATGCTCCTCACTTCTCCTCCTTCGACGCCACATACTTCCACGATGCCACCCCCACCTATCAAGGCATCACCGAGCGTATCGGCATCCAGCCCGACACTGACTGGACCAAGCCCTTCACCATCTACGAGGGCAGCCCCAACCAGATGTACCAGTACAAGGCCGTCAACCACCGCGGTTTCCTCTATGCTCCCGAGTCTGGTATCTACGAGGTCACTGTCCCCATCTCTGACGAGATCACACTTGTTTGGTTCGGTGATAAGGCTGTAAACACATGGACACGTGACAACGCCGATCTGGAGCAGGATTACCCCGGTGGCACTTCCAGGTCCTTCAGCCTCGAACTCCAGGCTGGCACTTATACTCCTTTCCGTCTTCTGTGGGCTAACGCCCAGGGCGAGCTGAGCTTTATCGCTGAAATCAAGGCTCCTAGCGGCAACGTTATCGTTAACGGTGACGGTGCTGATAACAAGTACCTCGTCCGTTACTCTTGTGACGGAAACACCCCAACTTTCCCTAACTTTTAAGTACAACAAAGCTGTAACTTATCTACTATCTCGATACTACATCCTACTTCCTGTACCAAGATTCAATATTTGATAATTATAATATACCACAATCCAGCTTTTACACTGTTGTGTCATCCAAAGTTATCATGTGAATTGAAATGTAAGGTGATGATATTTACGTATTAGCATGGACTTTAGTAATTTGCTAGAAAAACATTCAACTCTTGAATAACCATCATTCGAATAGCAAGTAATTATTTATTCGTATAATGAAAGTGGACATTGACACAAAATGCATTCCACACTATCACACGCATGCTGGAAATCAATCCCATGTACTAAACCTTTCGCAGTAACATTCGCGAGTAGTTGTGTTAACAGATCAAATAAATTTAGACAACAAGAAATACCTTTCCCATCAACACAAATCAACCCAAGCAGTTCAATTCGGTAGCTTGGGGGAAAAACGCATATACAAATGCATATTGGCAGGGTTGCTTCCGACTATACCCAGATAGTACCATCGGCATGACTTACAGTAGCACTCACCCACCACTGCAGTGTATAACCGAGCTTCCTATCTAGACCATAGCTGCAACATACCGGCTGTATAGGATGTCCCAGATGCGGGAATACCTACTTATGCCTTGTTTTTATAGTCGCTATGAATTGATTCTATCGGCACATCTCCTCAAATAGAATTGTTTGCAACCCCGCGATTGCCATCATAATGCAGGTGGTAGATTTCCCACGTAGCAGCGATCAATAAGGGGACCGGGATGGATCACATTAGCTTATTTCGGCAAACAGATCCGTGGAATGAAGCCAATAGTTCTTATGGTCTTTGTCGTTATCATTGAGCTGAAATGCAATGGGACTACTGACGAGAACATATGTCCACATGATGAGCAATGGAGATATGGCTATAAATACACAGTTTTCAAGCGATTGTAAAGACAAATATCAGTTCGGTTCACTTCATGACTCGCCCTCGAGCCCTGAGTAGTAACAATGCTCACTGTAACTTCTTCCAAGTTTGTTCATGCTCTATTATTGTACCTAACCTTGGGTGCCTTTCTTATTCAATTCGGAGCCTGTTTGGCTCTCAACCATTTGCCTGGAGATGCCCCCAATCGTCTCTCCAAGCGAGCTGACGATGCGTACTCTCTCGGAGTTGGCAAGGCCGACATCACTGGCCCTGTAGTCGAGTTGAACCTAATGGGATATGCCGAGCTATCCCAGACAGGAACTGGCTTACGCCAACGACTCTACTCACGTGCCTTCATTATCGGAAACCCAGACAAACCGAAAGAAAGATTTGTTTACTTGGTTCTTGATGCCCAGTCCGGTGACACGGCCATTCGAAGAGGCATTCTTGAGGGAATTACAGCTCTTGGATCTGACTATGCTGTCTACACAACCGATAATGTGGCCATTACTGGAACGCACTCTCATGCTGGGCCAGCAGGTTGGAACAACTATCTCATGCCTCAGATATCTGCCTTGGGTCTGAACCAGCAGTCCTATCAAGCTATCGTCGATGGTGCGGTTTTGTCAATCAAGCGAGCGCATGAAAATATCTCCAAAGGACGTCTGAGTGTTGGCAAGATTCGCATAGACGATGTCAATATTAACAGAAGTCTATATGCCTATCAACAGAACCCAGCGTCCGAGAGGCAGAAATACAAAGACGAGGTTGATAAAGAGTTAACTATGCTTATGTTTACTCGAGAAGAAGACAAGAAAATCACTGGAGTTTTGACCTGGCACTCGGTTCATGGCACGAGTCTTCACATGAACAACACTCTTGTCTCGGGCGACAATAAAGGCGTCAGTGCCTATCTTCTCGAAAAAGCCGTGCAGGGCACCGAAGGAGCTACAGATGATTTCGTCGCAGGATTCTCACAGGCTGCTGTGGCAGATACAACTCCCAACGTTGAAGGTGCTTGGTGTGAAGATGGTTCAGGAAAGCAATGCGACTTTAAGGATTCAACATGTGGTGGCAAAACAGAAACCTGTCACGGTCGAGGTCCCTTTTGGGGATTAGATGATGGCGGTACTAAATCTTGCTGGGAGATTGGCCGACGAGTATTTGATCAAGCAATCAAACTCTACGATCAGATGAAAGATGGTAATGGTGATACAGTATCTGGAAGCAATGTTTTGGGTTACCACTCATTCCACGACATGTCCGACTACACTTTCATACTCCCAAATGGAAAGTCAGCCAAAACATGTTCAGCAGCTTTTGGTTATTCATTCGCAGCTGGAACAACTGACGGTCCTGGGTACTTTGACTTTAAGCAGGGAGACTCTGGATCTCCGGATGCTAGCCCACTCTGGGCCATAGTATCCAAGTTTCTACGCAACCCCAGCAAAGAACAAACCGCATGCCAATCACCAAAGCCGATTCTCATCGACGCTGGCGAGATCACTTTACCTTATGCCTGGGCCCCCAACATCGTTGACGTTCAGATGTTGCGTGTTGGTAACTTCTTCATCATTGTATCTGCTCCTGAACTCACAACCATGTCCTCACGACGTTGGCGCGAGAGTATCAGCAACGAGATACAAGGTAGAGGTAGCCTCGGAGATGGAGTCAAACCTGTTGTTGTAGCTGGTGGGCCCGGTAATACCTATGCTCATTATGTCACTACGCCTGAAGAATATGATGCACAGCGTTATGAAGGTGCATCTACAGTCCACGGAAGACACAGTCTCGATGCTTACATCAACTTGACATCAACATATCTCAGCTATCTGCTCGGGGAAGATGGTGCAAAAAAGCCACCAACTGGTCCAGCAGCCCCGGATAACCGCAAGAACTCGCTCTCTCTCGTCACAGGAGTTGTCTACGATAACCCCAAGGCCGGCACAAAATTCGGCGACATCATAAAGGACGTAGCAAAGTCAAAGTTCAAGATTGGAGAGACTATCACTGCTACATTCGTGGCAGCCAATCCACGCAACAACTTGCACCTCGAAACTACTTATGCAGCCGTTGAGAAAAAGGATGGATCCAAGTGGACTCAGGTTCGATCGGATGAAGACTGGGATCTTGTCTTTGAATGGAAGAGACTTGATGGTCTGCTTGGATCTAGTGAAGTTCAGATTTCTTGGGAAACAGGTTGGAAGGATGCCAAAGATGTCCAAGCTGGAACTTATAGGTTGAGTTATGCTGGGGATAGCAAGCAGCCTCTTACTGGTAGAATTACTGGGTTTACTGGCAAGAGTGGTGAATTTGAAATCGCCTAGATTAGTACATCTGCACTCTAATACATCCACTGCACTTCCTGTCGCTCAACCGTATCTTTCAAATTTTGAAGAAGACAATATCTCATTAATTATTCAGTGGTGATACTCACTATTCCAAAGTTTTTAGCGCTTCCGTTCCAGTACGGAGTTACTCGAAGTATAGCGTGTTTGTCTCGTGCCACATACCTAACTTCTCTGGACAATCCCAATTTCTCAATTCCTGTCTTACTTTCAAGCTTTCCAAAATAGCCACGATTTTTTCAGAAGTGGGATGGACCCAGTACTAGAGCAACTGGGCCGTCAACTACTTTTCAGCTGGGCGTTTTTGTCTTGTGGCGGCTCTTAACAGATCTAGACCTTGCGCCCTTCCCCGCATCTTTTTTGCCCTTGTGGCTTGTCTGTGCTATCGCTCATTGGTCTGTCTTCAAACATGCTGACTCTGTTTGTTGGGTTCTCAGCTACACTAGACTAAGCGACATGGTTGCACAGCATTGGGGCAGAGTTGTTATAATAGGTGGCCTTGTCTCCCTTGAGAATCTTTCCAACTTGCTCTCTCTGACTGCATCAGACAACAATGCGGGGATTTATCTGTGTCCAGGTTGTCACGGCTTTAGCCTTTTCAACAGCCGCCATTGCGCAAACCCTTCCTGAAGACTTGGCTGGAGCGATCTCCAACTACTCATCTCTCTCTTTATTCCGATCCCTACTCAGCTCCGCTCCACAAGCTCTCATCACATCTCTATCTGAGAAAGATAGCAACGTCACAGTTCTAATCCCTACCAACGATGCCATCAAGGGTTATCTGAAAGCTTCCAGTGTCTCTGATGTAACAGAGCTCAATCAGACAGAACTACAAGTCTTCTTTTCGTATCATGTTTTATCAGCCTCCTTAAAATCCTCCGACTTTGACGACCCGCGAGGATTGTCGGTCCCCACTTTGCTGCAAAATTCACAATTCAACAACAGGAGCGCCGGACCTCAAATCGAAAGTCAATTCGGAAAAGGCTCTGATGGTCAAGTGGTTTTTGCTTCAAGGCAGGATCGAAATAATAAGCGAGCTGATGATGACCTTGGTGGACCGAATGTTATTCTACGAGCAGGTTTGGCTCAGGATGTTAAGATGACTGCAGTTGATGGCTCCTGGGGCACTAATAGTATCAACTCATTCCAAATTGTTGACAAGTAGGTATTAAGTCTCTTTGAAGTATTGATGCTGACCATGGATTCTCTTTCAGAGTTCTCTCTCCTCCTAGGTCTTGCTCCAACACTGTTCACACCATCAAAGATAGCCGACTTACTGGCCTGAATATCGCTCTGGTCAAAGCGGGTCTTTGGCCTGCTCTTGATGCATCTCGGAATGTTACGTGTCTGGCACCATCGACCCAAGCTTTCAAGGATGCAGGAAGCCCAGATGTTAAGCTCTCCAAGCAAGACTTGGGTGGAGCGTTGCTGTAAGTTGTTTGGACCTATTTCATTGTCCGTACTGACATTCTCAACAGGGCCCATACCTTGAAGGAAGTTACTTATTCCAACTACCTTCGGGATGGCCAGGTCGTCGGGACTCTAAACAACACCGAAGTCCGGGTTAGTATTATAGGTGAAGACATCTTCTTTAACAATGCCAAGGTTATTGAAGCAAACATACTTACAAACAATGGTCTTATTCATATGTAAGTCAGTTCTTTACCTTTTTGAATCAGATTTCACTAACCTTTTCAGCCTTGATTCTGTCATTGAGGAAGGAGGGAAGCCCAGTAGTAATGAGACTAGCACTGCGACGGGTGAGTCTCCTACTGCGACGTCGAGTGGACAGGAACCAACTTCTACGTCTGGAAGTAACTCGACTGGGCAGGGAAATTCTGGAAGTCATTCTTCTGTTAGGCTTTACAATTATCTCGTGCCAGTTTTCGTCCTTTTCAGCATGGTACGGTAGCTGCTGTACAATTTCTCTATCTATTTATACGAGTTCAACCCCTGTAATATACTCGGTCTTTCTTGTATCCGTTACTGTGAGACAAATATTGAATAATTGTAAAGAAATATATCCACAATCATGTTTTTCATGCCCCGATTTAATCCGATCAACTTGGTAGACATAGCCAACTTTTGTGATACGAACTCTTGACGTTGATTGGGTTAAACGGAAAGTGGCTGCCGCTTGGATAAACGCCAAGTGAATGCACAGCCTCACGTGAATCAGCTAAGCTAAGCTGACGCACGAGGCCTCATTAAATCTCAGCATATCTTTCTTTCCAACTCATTCAATCAGCTATTCCTTACCTTTCTTTGCTCTATTCTTTTACTCATACTTTTATTTTATTTTCAGGCGTTATGGAGAATTCAGAAGAGGAAAAAGAGCGTAAGAGGGACAAGGTAGGAGAATTCATGTATGCGCTATTTCTCTATTATTCTTGACGTCACTCGATGGCTTCGCATCCTTCCCGAGCCGGACCCTTGGCACTGACACTGGCACTGACACTGACATTAAATAGGAAAAAGAGCTTGAACAAGGGTGAACTCGCTCTCAAGCATGCTGTGGGTCTTGGGGGTCAGCCAAATGTGGTCCCTGTGACGCAACCTGTCGTCCATGGACCATCTCGACCAGTTGAAGTTGGCTGGCATCCAGTTGGTGGTTTCGCGGGGAAGTGGTTCGCTGAAGAGACTGGATTGGGTAAAATGATTACTGAGAAGATTAACAAATATCCGGATCCGACACAACATTGGGCAGTATTAGTTGGTGACTATGCTCATCAGCTATGGATGGTAAGTATTTTCATCAGCCATTTAAGACAGGTTACAGACTTACACTTTTAAAAGGACGAAAATTTCGATGTCATTTATACAAATGCCAAAGTTAACCGAGATGAGTGGCGCACTTTTCCAGTTGGAGAGACGCGGTTTAATGATGATGCACTCAGAAGAGCTGGTAAGTACTTAACCAATCTACCATAGCTTTTCTCATGCTGAGACTACAACCAGGCGAGTCTGTAATTCAAAGCATCAGGGAAAGGCAGCCCACTTACAACCTCATCACCAACAATTGTCAGACATATGTGCTGCAACTACTCGATGCCATCAAGGTTGGTGTGAACAAAGAGTTTGGCACAACGCTAGCCGTCTACGAGAGGGTCTTTGGCCCAGGGAAGATTAAAGATCTATTCGACGGTGAAGGTGAAGATGAAGAAACATCTGAGGGACATCAGCAGCAGCAAATAGAGCCAGGACAAGAGGCAGGACCTGGAAGGTCGGATACGGTCAACCTAGCACAGGATGTCATGAACCAGAACACGACTCAGCTCGACACAGAAAGGGAGATGGAGAGACATGAGGATGAGAAGGAGGAGAAGAAGAAGAAGGGTTTCTTCTCCCATTTCAAGACTAGATCGTGGTCTTCGAAAAGTTAATTAGTCGCATGACCTTGAATGGAGGAGGTTCTCATACCTTTTATTTTTATTTTCCGGGGTGAATCATTCAAGATGGCACGTATCATGTTAATGAAGAGAATTATCAACAATCGGATTAAGCATGATAATTGCAAATGCGATGAATGTCTTAACGGTTTATCATTAGACTAGGATTCTAAACCTATAGATAGAACTCAAAACTTCTATGTCAACTTCAGCCCCAATATGCTAGACTAATATGCTTTCAACGCCTTTCTATTTTACAATTCCCAATTTACCACGAAAGATCCTTTCCGATCTTATCACACGAGAGTCCAGAACAAGAAGAAAACAAACTCTCATCCTGCTCAGTCTTGGTAGCAGACTTGTCAAGAATCTGCTGCGCAGGTCGAATTTCTCGTCCGGCCACACCCTCAAGCTTGCGATGATGTTCAACTAGTTGGTAAACTTGGTTTTGGAACTGGAGAGGAGTCTGGTCAACGAGAACACCTGCTCGGAGGTTCTTCTCTGCAGGGGCTTCGTGTTCACTGGCTGTTTGTTGGAGAATCTCTTCGACCTTGGAGAAGTCGTCGCTGCTGGCGTTCTTGTGGCGGTAGACTTCGTATTGGAGCTGAGACTTGGTGGCTGATGTAGGGACACATCTCAAGAGGAAGAGGAAGTGAGGTCTGGCATTGTTAGTTATTCATCTTTAACATTATAGTTAAGCTTGGAACTTACGAGATAGTCATGGAAGCGTTGGGGAAGTAAAAGTCAGTGACAAGTGAAGTTCCCTTCTCTTGAATCTCTGTAGCGGCGTTGCTGTTGGCACTAGACTTGTCGGCAAGAGTCTTCCAGTTGAAGCTGCTGGTATCCTGCTTGACATGATCAAATGTGTAGTCCTCGAGGTTGAAAGAGCTGTAGCGGGCTGTTCGGTTGCTTTCGTTCCATGCATTCTCAGGTTGAGTCTTGGCATCCATGTTAATCCAGACAAAGCCCTTCTCATCGACATGAGTGTGGAGAGGAAACAAGCCGTTCTTGGATCGGTCAAAGCCAGGAAGATCTTGGTAAAGAGGAGCCTTGGCAAGCTGTCCATTCATACCATAGGACCAGCCGTGGTACTTGCAAGACAAAACATTGTTCTGGCCATTATCCTTGACAACAACAGGGAAAGCTCGGTGACGGCAAATATTGTGGAAGCCTCTGATAGCGCCCTCGGCATTGCGGATGAGGAAAAAGTCAAAGCCTGCTTCAGCGTAGCGAACCCAAGAGCCAGTCTGCTCGAATCGCATCTTGTGGGTAAGCAAGATCCATTTCTTGGAGAAGATGGCACGTCGTTCAAGTTCATAAATGTCGTCAGACTTGTACCATGTTGACGGTAGAGGTTGTGTGAGGGGTGCGGCAGCGGGTATAGCTCTTGAAATAAGGCTTTCCTTTTGTGGTTTAGATAGTGTTTTCTTTGCGATTAGAGCGATAGCCGCAGCTATGGCGAAGAAGATGAGAGCACCAAGAGGCAACATGCTGGTGGCGAAGATGTGAGTTTCAGGAAGTAACTTCTTGGTAGCTTTGTCGATATGTTCAGTCGAAATTTCCTAGCGGGCAATCCAATCTATATATTCTTGTACCTGTCCAGCTGACCATTGTCCTCATGTCAAACGCCACTCACCTTGAAACGACGATAGACTGACCAAAGATAGCGGACAAGTGGTGAGATTCCGGTCATGTGATCGGTGATAAGACAAGCAACTCTAGTTCCCACGACAAATAAAGACTATTGGATTGGATGCACGCCAAGTGGACCAAGGAGTTTGTTTCCGTTCTCGAACGGTTCCATGCCGTCAAACCCCGGGTCACATCGATATCAAGCATTCATATCCATCAGCTGTCCGCGGTAGTTGTATGACTACTTCCTATCATGTTCTAGGCTATCTTTCCCCCGCATCCATTTATCTCCGCATTTCGCTTCACAAGATACCGGACTTTTGTGTCCGTGCCCGTGCCCCGATGTTCGGTGCCCCGGTATCGTGACGCAACGCAACCTTGATCGGCATCGGTAAATCCCAGCCGCTTGCGGGGTTTTGGCTATCTATCGCCAACCACCTTGCTTGTCGATTATCAACGTGGCCCGCGACATGGCATTTGGACGTCTTCTAGATTTTTGACGTGGCATTTTATGTTTATGTTTTGTTCTGGTCTTCTTCTCGAAGTTCTGCTTGTAAGCTCGCTTAGGGAATGGCAAAGTCTAAGCCCTGCTGTTGACACAACGAACGACAAATCCCATCCCCGGTCATGACATCCAACACCACCGGGCCGGAGTCGGTCAAGCCGCATCACGGGTAGAGTGTGGGGTAAAGTTACTGGACCAGACCGGTTTGAACTCTGTAGATACCGGCCACGTCAAACTGATTCTCATGATTGATTCACAAGGAACGTTGAGCCATCATCAACAACTCGCGCTTCCTCTCCACGCGATAATAATTGAGTTCAACTGCACCGCACTGTAAACGGAAAAACAGGAAGTGATTGCGTTTATTCGGTGGCCCAATTCCATGAGACATTTTGCAAACTTCTCAATTAACGAAATGGTCGAGATGCATGCAGATGCTAATCCTTCTTGAGTCATGTCGTATCATTTTCGGGTCACCTTCTTTAACGTGTTCCAGACCGTTCTCTGTCCCAATTAGTGACTAACGTGACTAGGGAATGGACAAGAAATGTCACATGCCTACTCAATCTGTCGACACGTCAATGTACAGAGTGTTGTGATATTGATACCAACGCGTGACGTGTTTCTTTTCAACCTTTCAAGGTTTATTACAAGTAGCGATAGTACACTTGGCCATTGAAGTTATTAATCACGTAGACAAGCCATAATGTAACTCTGTGTCCCCGGTAACTGAGCTAAATTATAAATGCATGTTTAAGTAACCATTCAACCTATCAGACTGAGTTTATTTAACTACAAGCAATAGAATACATACACCATGTGTCTTTGCATTTTAGTCTTTGGGGAAAGGACTACAAATGTAACAGTGTATCTCCAGTAGTGAAATACTCATATACATACCAGTAATCCTTAGGAATTCAGTGGTGGTATGAATTGGCAAGTTACATCATAATTTCAAAAAGAATCAAGACGCTCAAAACAGTCGTTTCCAGTAGTTAAAATATCATAGGTCATAAGGCTGTGCTTTTGAATAGCATGATATAATTTTGAAACCCCAATGCTGTGTTTATCCTCACTGAACACTCATTGCAAATAATAGATGGTAACAATAAGCTTATTTTTATATTTAACCTTTTATTAATTATAGGCACTATGGGTCAGTTATTAAAGTCCCGGAACTTCATTACACTGGGTAGCAGAAAGAATAGCGTCCTAAGTTTTAGGGTATAAAAATAAGTAGTCTGAGAACTACACCCTAAGAAGGATAAAGTCTCGTACTATTTTCGTCTCTTATGCTTCCAGCGGTCAATTTTTCTAATACCCTGAGGTTCATGGTATATTACTAGCAATGTCACAAGGCAATAGGCAAAGTGGAACAATATTGCGAAAAGAATATGTATGTGCTTGTATTGCAATGTACAAAATGCTACCTGATTGGTAGACTTAAAAGTTATCTAATTATGTAAAGGCCGAATCAATTCTATGTTGGAAGTATAAAGGTCGTTTAAGATCATCGTCTTATCATAGCCAGCCGCCTATTTGGCGCAGATCTTGGCGTAGAGAGTAACGGGGTTAGGGCATCCGTAGTTCTTCTTAGCAGCTTATGAGAGTTGGAGTGGGATTGGAGTTGAATTGAAGCCTGATGGTGACATTTTCTGCTTCTTGGGCTTGGGAGGAGTGGATGGTGGTGTCGTATAAAGCGACACCATGCGTCGCTTGCCAGGTGTTTGTGGCCGAGAGGCCAAGGAATTATCAAGCGCCTGTTAGTTAGATTAGAGGAATGAACTGTAGTACCCATTGAATGATACTTACGATGGTAGTCTTGTTACCCAATTTCCTTCTTAAATGTGGCCCTCTGGCCATCGGATTGGGATAGCCATCCATTTCCACGGCACGGACAACCCATCGGCCGCGCAAGCTCCAATCCATAGTAAGGTTGGGCAAATGTGCCCACAACTCCTGGTTCTCAATACGGTGAGCCAGGGTTTCACTCTCCCGAAATTTATCCTCGGCCGCCTTCAAGTGTTGTTGAATTACTATAAACATATCAGTATAACTTCTCATATTGCGATATCATTTGTCTGTCTGTGTTGACACTGGAGTTCCAGACATGTCGTGAAACTTGGATAAAGTTTATCTGACATTGGAACAGTAGACAGACTGAAATAGAAGTGGACAGGATATGTCTTACACTTGTCGGAAGGCTCAGTCTCAGCTGGTTGGGCCTTGCCCGAACCAGGGCTAATCTCCTTGGCCAGATCTGCTGGTAGAGGCTCGGGGATATCGGGGGCAGGAACTCCTGGCCAGTCAATGGCCATGGTAGAGAAGTCTCGAACTAAGAATATCTAGATTAGCGTAAACGAATGAGATAATGGGATGAAGCAAAGTTACCGAGGTTCTGATTGTCAGCCATGATGGCAGGATGGAAGAAAGTACTTGAACGATTGAAGAACGGGAAGAAAAAAAAAAGCACGAAGACACACGAACTTCAAGTTGACAGATTCATTTTGGTTGAGAGGTCTGGCCAGAAGAGCCAGGCAGAAATGCTGCCCCAACGCAAGCTGGGAAGGACTGTCCAAATCGGGAAGGAACGAACTGCCATGAGCGAGGGACGGGACGCACTGCACGGTGCGCGTTGACTTCAGGAACGAACAATCGTTTACGCAAGTCTGATGAAGGTTGCAGATTCGAGTCTTAGTCTACCTAGATGGCTTGGGGATACTTCATGTCAATGGGATTATGTTAAGCCCTGTATACCACTCTTGCAGAATTCCGTCTAGTCTATAACAAATTTTCGGCAAGGGATTACAGTATGCAATTGATTAATATATTAGCCTAATTGTACCAGTTTAATTATAATAAGAATGTAGTTTAGCTGTAGCTCCTTGAAGTTGTATTTTAGATGTGTAAAGTGGACATTAAAAAAAAAGAGCTAAAACGCATTACGAGATACGCGCCGGTGAAGACGAGACATGCGCGGGTGACGAAGAGACACGCGCGGTTGACGCCAATCCACGTGACATATATCACTCCACCACCGAGCTGTTTGCTTGTCAGTGCCAAACACTGACAGCCTGGCTGTAACAATAAAATATAACAAGAAAACCACCAGGAGCACATCATTCACTACAGTTTACTTATGACGTCAATCAATCTCTACAATTCAAATCTTTTCTTTGTTCGGATTTCTCTCACCCACAATTGATTTTATCTCAAACTTCTACTCTTTCATCATACTTCACACTTCCTACCCCCAGAGTCCGACACCAGAATAACCGCCCATCCAGCCACAAACACATCTTCGACTTTCATTTAATCGCGGCCATGTCTGGCCATCTCGAGGTACTTCCTCGGGATACGGATGGCCGTTCCCTCCTACCACATCAACTTCTGGCCATACGGGTCACCGAGCACTTCACCTACGATGATCAGGCCGGCTCCGTGCCACCCAGTTTTAGAGGCAAGACCCCCACGGCTCTTAAAACACACGGAACCTTTGTTATTCCAAAAGGTGAGGAATGTTTCAAGGTAGTGGTTCCAAACCCTGACCCAAACTGGGCAATCATCGTGGTGATCAGACAAGATCAATGCGCATACGGTATGAAACCAATATATCTCCAGTGGTTGATTCTGTAGACTAACATCTCTACCAGCTGTGATTCCCCATACGTACTACGAGATTGGTTTACCCGAACCCGGATCAGCTCAGCCTGGGACCTACTTCCGTGCCCTCGATGAAAAGCTCTCACGAAACCAATCTGGCGCTTTACATATATACCACCCGATCGGCCCAGCCGGCCCAGCCAACCCACCGGGCTTTTTCCAGAGGTGGATGCATGAGTACTGGAGACTTCTTTCTCAGAATTTGCGTGAGCTCTCAGATTTGGGAATGAACCGACGTGTGGTTGAGGCCCTTCATTCCAACGCGCATCGTGCTGGGCTCGAAGCTATGGTAATGACCGGGCTTCCCGCCCAAGTCCTGGTTATCCTAGACCGAGGTCCGAACATGACGCGTACAGACATCTTGAATTTGCCGCGCATCACTCAGCAGTACCCGAGATCCGGCGGGTGTATCTATGTCAGACTCTACACCCATACAGACGACATGGGGCAGGACATCAACGCGACCACTATTTACATAGGGCAAAGTGTTACTGTTCAACATCGACAAAATCAGCATGAGCAGAACACCCCCTCCGGCTATGTTCCGCCTGGAACCCCAGTGCATTACCGACTTGCGCAAAGGGCATCAGAAGAGCATAGACATGCGATGGTCTTGTGCTTTTGGCCTAGCGAAGAGCTTGGTACACTTCCACCTTGGGGTTTAGACTTTGCCGAGCAGACGATGATAGCATACCTGCGCGCGTTCAACTACTCAATGACGGTAAACGCACCAGCAGAGAACAGATCACGTTATTCCGACCAGTCCAACGCAATGTTTCGCCTGGCAAACCAAGCCTTTGACAACCTCGGCGGTGGCAGAACTCCCATCCACAAGGGAGCAAACGTCTCGAGCCCCATTTTCAGTGTTGGCATTCCTGCTGAGATCAGGATGGTCCCTCTGCGACCCTTCAATGAGCGTGGGAAAAATGTCTACAGAATACCTGTGCGATGGGGATCTCAGGGCAACACATCCATGCGATACCTACGCTACTGCATCTAGGGGAGTGGAGGCAAGGAGTCAATTTCGATGGGTTTCAGAGGCGCCTCTGTTCACGCGCTACCCAACAAGGGGTCAGCGTACATCCGGTTCGAAGTCATGACTGACTATAAACCACACGACACGCCATGGGCCGGATTCCCATCCGTGGGACCATTTCAATCCTTCGGATTTCCAAGTTGTATGTCAGCACATGTCGAGTACACTCTAGATGGCATACAATGGTTCGAGCAGCCCCTGCAACGGGTACTAAACAGTTGGGAAACTGCCGTTCAACGAAACAGCCAGGCGGAAGCTCTCAAAACGTGGAGACTGGCTTTCAGCATCATCCAGGCCCTAGAAGGCATCGTTCTGACTGGAGAACATGATGACACTTTCTCTCCTAGGGTTAACTTCAACCGCCAGAAGGTTGTCGTCCTCGAAGTCAACCACTTGGAGCAAACGGCCAGGTGGGCCCCTCAGACCGAAAAGAGAATGCCAGCACCTGGTAGAGTATCCATCAACCAAAACTTCATTGAACTCTGGCGAAAGTACAACAATGTGCCGATGATGGTGATTGGCTGGCGTCCTCCTCGGCAACTTCATCCAGTCCCGTCTGCTGATAGTTTGTATTGGCAAGGACAGCGGGACCGAGTGATGTGCGACGTTTGTCGTATCGACCCAGCCGATGAGTATCCCAATTCATGCATTCCGACGGACTCTGGACTTGCGTCCTGCACGCGATGCATCCTATTGAATCGGCCCTGCACATTTACACCTATCTCCATTCTCCGAGAGCAACTTGGCACCGCTGATCCTACATGGAAGACGGGAATCAGTCGCACAAGCACCCGTCCTTTCAAAGACTACAGTTTCTATCTGACGATACCCAGACAGGATTGTACCACTCCTGTACCTATTGCAACCCCAATCGGAGGCTCACGTGTCCTGTTATCGGCTATAACCAATACTGAAGATGTATCTAATGATGACGGTGAGGTAATCGAGACCTAATCTGGTTACCAGGAAGGTGAAGTTGGAGAATGGATATTCCGAATGACATGCAGTAAACTACGGGTTGCTGGCGGCATTGGCCGTGATCATTAGTGAGAAAGAGAAACAGTGATGGTTTGATTGCCAGGGAGGATGGAAGGGCATGGTATATGCAGCAACAACCAGAGAGTAAGATCGTACGACTGGCGGGATCGATGCGCAAGAAGATCTGCGGTCTTACAAACGAAACTTAAAAGGGGCGACCGGTTTGGCGGGAGTGGCGGCGGAGGTTGGTTTTATGTACTTACTACTACTAATAAGATTGATTATTGTGGACAACAATGTCTTCCTAGACTTGTGTTCCTGATCATTACAGGATTAATCTGTTAACTTATGTGTTCTGGGTCTCCACGTAGTCCAGAAGGTATACCAAATAGAGACCGTTTCTGAGGTACTTTCCAGAAGAACGCTGAAACAACTCAGAAGAATATGCAACTGGTCATTGCGGATGATCGGGTCGTAAATAAAGGCTTTCCTCCAACAATGCTATTCTATACCTAGAAGTGCGACGTTTTGCATATCGACATGTAAAGCATACTGTCTAACTTTTTACCTAAGGCGTGTAGATATAATACCCCCTTAATGGTAATTGTAACGGCGCCTCTACCTTCAGTCTTAATGACAATCTTTGTCCCTATGATGCATGAGGGCATCTACATGTCAGATTAGATGGTGATTTCCGGATCTCGGGGTTTCCCGTAGTTGACCTAAGGCTCCACCGCTTTACAATAACACATAAAAATCACCAAGTGATATTTCCCTATGTCATGGTAGAACCTTTCCAGCGAGGTCAATATAAAAAGTACTACAGCAATTAGCTTCGCCAGCCTTACAGTCACACTTGCGGTAGCTATCACTGAGGTTCAGGATGTAAAATAAATAAATAAAAGAAAAATGATGTGGCTAGTGCTGTTCCGTCTTGAAAAGTCAATATAACTTCAGATCATAGCAACTTTCCCAGTAAAAACCTAAGATTTCAACAATAAATAAAAGATATATATATGCTTATATTTGATAAGTAGAATACTACTCTACTAGTAGATTTAAAATGCTACTTAATTATATACATGAAGGCTAAAGTGATTCTATGCTGGAATTCCAAAAGGTTATTAAGAGCTATACTTCTCTTACAGCCACCCTTCTTATTTGGCACAAATCTTAGCATAAAGGGTAACAGGGTTAGGGCAGCCATAGTTTTTCTTGCTGCTTGGTGTGCTGTAGCACTTGGCATCGCCAGCCTTGCAGTCGAATTTCTGGCAGCCATCACCAGGGTTCAGGATGTTGTGCTTGTTGGCGAAGGGGTTGCCGTACTCAGTGTTGAGCTCGTAGTAGACGTTGTTGGCGTCGGAGGAGTAGCCGAAGAAGAGAGGCTTGTTGAGAGTTCGGGTGTCGGCAATCTTGATGGTAGAGCCAGGAGTGCGGAGATCCTCAGAGAATCGCTGACCAGGCTTGAGGGTGGTCAAGGGACCAGCAGCACCGCCGTTGAAGGGGACGGACTGGACGTAGATGGCAGTGTCACACTCGTTGATGACGACGGCCTTGTTGGCGGCAGAAGCAGCGCCGACGAGGGCAGCAGCAGCGGTGATGGCGGAGAACTTCATGGTGATAGTTTGTTTTGGTGTTGAGTGAGAAGTGTTGATGAAGAGAGTTGAGAGTTGTTGTGAGAGTGTGATTAGATGAGATGAGATGAGATGATTCAAAAACATAAACAGCTGGACAAGAGATGCCTTTTATCATCAAAGACAAATGCTTGCCTGACAAGGCTGCTGACAAGATACGAACTTTAGTGCACCCACTAGCTGTGCCATAATATCGCCGATACGAGGCACGATCCATCGTCTTGTCCGGAGAAATTCAACCTCGTGATATTTTTGCGGGGGTACTAGACCAAGACTGAACAGGTTATTGACAAGAATTGTGTCTGTCTGAGTGCCGGATGAACCGAATGCACGGTGCATTATTACATGGGTCTTGTTTTTTAATATTATGCTTAGCTCGTATTCACGAGGCGGTCGAGTTATAATTAGATAAAAATGGGCTATGCTGTGGATAATCCTGTCTGACGCTTGTTCTCGGCGCCACTCAATGGCTTTATCCGTCGATTAAGCCCCCACTATAGCCGTATAGTCAATAACAGTGGTATGTTTAACCAAGTAAACTTGTGCATCATAGAGACGGCTGAGATCATAGAATCCTGACTTTTTGTAGCTTGGCAAACGGCTTTCGGCCGGAACATCGGACAACACAGAGGAGTGACGACATTGTGCATCCAGAAGTGCCGGATAGACAAAATGATGGCAATGGCAAAAACAGGTCAACATTGAGCCAAAAGACAGTACAGTCTAATTCAAGACACTCTCAGAATACTGTCAATGCAGTCTACTCTTTCGACACCGCCATCTCATCAGCGCGCATACTCTTTTCCGCATGTTTTTAAAGCATCAATGGAAGGAAAGACAACTCAACAAAAAACTACCGAGCCAAACCTTTCTGGGAACACATAAATGGAACAGGAGCTAGAGCGGGCCCCCAGACGTCACTTCGTGGTCGCCGAGAGAAGCTAGCCTTAGTGCCGAATGTGGAACTGTCCCGTGTTCCTGCGTGAGCTACTCTCTACACAGATGTCACTGTTACCTTGGGGACTTTTCTAAGATTAAAATGTAACACTTAGATTTGAAGAGAATGTTGAGTTGTTACATGCCCTCAAAGGGTACCTGGACACGAAGAATTGGTTTAACTTGAAGGAGACTACTGGGCTCGTATAGCATGAATTACCTACACCGTAACGTCGTATCTCGGCCTGTAGTTTTGAACCAGACAATTCGATGTGACTGGAGATGGTATTTCGCAAATGGGGTCTCAATTGAATGTTGAGTGAGGCGAGGCAACAAAACTGATCTGTTCTGCTGAGTTTATCCACAGGTGACACGTCTTGCTGACAATAACACCAACTAAAACTCTCCAAGCTAACCAGTGGATTGCAATAAAAAAAAGGGGTTTTATCTACTAATTAAATATAGTAGTTCAACATGATTTCTTAAACTTAGTACTGCTGTTTTCTCTATTCACTTAAAGATAGAAATATAGAAAAGTAAAAAATGTTAATGTGTAGGGTAGCTTACTGCAAGGTGTTCAATCAAGATAGGCACTTATCGATAAGATAAGTCTTTCCAGCCACTGGAGTCAATGCTTGGAGAAGGCTACTGTTAGCCTCGTCTAGTCTGGTTGGGCTGAAACGCTGGGATGACCGCGATCTATGACGCGCTTTGACTCGTCTGAACACTGCACTACGCGACTCAACTCGTATTCTTTGTGCAGGGGTGATACATGCGCTTGCTCTATCGACTGCCCAAGGCGGTGAATGTTTTCTAGCTGGCTTTATGTTCTCTCTGTCATGATCACTCGTGTAGTCGAAAGATCTATCCTGGAACAAGTCGCTCGTATTGGCCTTCACCGCTGAGGACAGTACAGATGACGAAATAACCTAGGACAGTATCTTGGCGGAACTCGCCAGACTCGCCAAGAAACATGGGCCATGAGGTAATTCTAGGGATGGTTTGGAGGAGCAAGAGAAATAAAACATGTTTTGGCACTTTCCTTTGCGTTATCCAGCGATACTGGATAATTCAGTTCAGGATGTGCTGGGTTAATAGATACGTAATTTGTACCTATGAAAGGCGACTCGCTAATGCGGCCGATAGCTAAGCGTAGTTTAAATAAAGAAATATTGTATTAATTCGAGCCCTTGTATGCCCTCAAGATACATTCTGTCGTAAATAAGAAAAGATATAACACCCAAAATCCCGCTCCTTTCTCCTTCTCACTCATACCAGACCTTTTGCTGTCCCTTACTCTTCATCACGGACACTTTCTTCCCATTCGGAAAAACAACAAGAGCATTTGGAGCATGACTCACAGTAGACTCCAATAGCAGTGGCTGTGTGAGCTGACCTTCTCTCCACTCAAGAGAAACCAACCAACCTCCCATAACTCTAATGTTACTCAACTTCCCGTTGCTCCACGATGAAGGCAAACTTGGAAGCAGATAGACCATGACGACCTGACATGACGATTCGTCAGGTCTGAGATTAGACTGTATCAAGCACTCCGTCACACCAGCACAGCCCCCAAAGTTGCCGTCTATCTGGAATGGTGGATGATTGTCCAGAAGATTTGGCAACGTTGAAGTGCTCAGTAGTAAATCCATGTGTTCCTCGCATTTGACTGATTCTCTCAATCGCGCATAGAGGTTCAAAAGCCACGCCCTGCTCCAGCCCGTATGGCCTCCTCCATGTTCAGCTCTTCTGGCAAGGGTCTTTCTTGCAGCTTCGACCAGCGCTGGGGACGAATCCAAACTGATAAAGTCATCAGGGTAGAGTCCGAAGAGATGGGATACATGGCGATGTCCTGGCTCAGCTTCTTTATAGTCCTTCAAGCCCCATTCTTGTATCACACCACTCTTGTTGATACGAAAGGGCGGTAGTTTACCAAGGGTCGCCATGACATCCTTCTGAAGTGGATGCTCTTTGTTAAGAATACTCGTGCTCCAGATGAAGCTTTCTAGAGCAATTCGCACAATAGTCATATCCATGACTGATCCTTCGCAGAATGTTCCGGTTTCTCCCGACTCGGTTATGAATGTGTTTTCTGGAGATAAAGAAGGGTTTGTGACCAGATATTTCCCGCATGCTGATGGAATCAGGAAATCAAGGAGAAATTGAATACACCCTTCGAGCAAAGGAGCGATACGAATATGGAGCATGTGATCATACTGATATATCAGCATTTTCACCACGTCAATGCACAGCCAGACTCCACCAAGAGGCCAGAGTGTCGCAGGCATCCAACGATCCTGAGGATCAGTATCTGCCCAGATATCAGTGTTGTGATGCGCGCACCAGCCTCTGCAGTTGTACATGATCTTGGCTGTCCTCTTTCCCTTCTCAGCCATTCGCTCAAGAAGGTCAATAAGTGGGAAGGCGCACTCAATGAGGTTGCAAGATGCAGCTGGCCAGTAGTTCATTTGGAGGTTGATGTTGATTGTAAACTTGGATCCCCATGGTGGTGCAAATGAAGGATTCCATATGCCCTGCAACGTTGCAGGAAGAGCTTTTGCTGACTTGCGACTCGATGAGATGAGCAGGTACCGACCGTAATTATGGTACAGCGCTACCAAGCCTGGATCTCTTTTGCTTTGTATCCTTTCATCGGTTGGGACATGGCTCGCGTCTGGCCACATCCGAAGTGAAGTTTTACCAAAGAGTCTGTTGTAGTCCTGACGATGACGACTGACCAAAGTTTCCCAAGGTTCTCGAAGAGCGGAGTTGACGTCTCTGAGCGCAGATGCATCCGGGTTATAAGATCGATAAGTTGTATGCGCACCAATAGCGATGACACATTCCTCTGCGTTGACGATCAGACAGTTTCCAACTACCTTGACAGTTCCATTGCTGGACTTGCATGAAACACCAAGAGCCAGGGCCAGTCGATTGCTGTTCTTTCCACCGGGTGTCGCCTGAAGAATAATGTTGTTCTCTTGCGCACGGATACTGTCGAGATACTCATTGGTCTCCCATTCAACCTCACTCTGTCGATTCAATCGCACAACGAATCGTGTAGGTGCTGAAGCCTGGAATCGAACGACCAAGACATTGTTTGGGAAACTTGCGATAACATCGCGACAATAAGAAACTCCTTTGTAGTCATACTTTGTCGTGCTTTGCGAAGTGGCCAAGTCGAGCAGACGCTTATAATTGGCGACATCCTTCTCATCATGACCAAGCTCAATCATGCACTGACCTAAGGGCTCGTAATGTCTCATACTAGCTGGTGTCGCGAAGAATGCCTCCCGTACAAGAGCTTCAGCTTCTTTGTGCTTTTCATCTCTGATGAGTTGCCTCAATGTTTCCAAATTACTGTATGCGTCCCGAGATGTTCTGTCTTGTGGTCCACCGTACCAAACAGAGTCCTCGTTAAGCTGCAGTAGTTCGGTGGATGTTCGTCCATAGACCATGGCTCCCAGTCGTCCATTGCCGATCGGAAGGGCCTCGGACCATGAAGAAGCGGGGGTAGCGTAATGTAGGAGAAGGCCCTGGTCCGTATTGGTTATTGCAGAGTCATTGTCCATTGTAGCTCACTGAGACGCTTCAATGAAGCGTAATATATGATTGAATGACTCAAAGTTGTACCAAAGATCGTTCTGTTAATTAAGATGATGCGATAAAATGGCTCAATTAAAGAAATCTCGTGTCCAAGAAGTTAGCTCGTTTAATTTTCCCTGAAATAGACCCATTATGAGGTCATGTAGTCAGCGGAATTGCTCAATAAGGTTGGCAGGGTTCCCCACTACCCCAGGTTTCCAGGACTTTAACGTGCTTAAGGGCAAGAAGAATGTGGGTTCAAGCAGGTCACAGCCAGTTGTTCCTGGTTACCTAAGCATTGATTATTCATTTTAAGTGATCCTGACTCTTGAAGCATCCTGCCATTGAAGAAGCGTTGTCTTCTATCTTATGATTGAGGCTGCACTTAGATGCCTGTTGAATATTTCCCTCGGTCTACTCAAGGCTATAGGACTTGAGGATTAGTAAGAGTTCTTCAAGAACATTGTGGGTTGGTTCATGAGAACTTGGTCTGGATCCTGTTTATTAATTTCTGAGTTCCTCAAGTTGAAAGCGGTTCGTGAGCTGTCATCTACTTATAGATCTGGATCACCACGGTTGGTCTAGTGGCAAGGGTATAATCAGATACAGTAATTAATGGCGGTCCAGGCCCTTCCTCTCTTAGGGTATCTTGAGGGTCTCAAGATCAGTAGATCTTGACCACTTTCGAATGATGTGAATAAGAATGATTAATTATTGGCTTAAGCTGAGGAATGGGAAGGGGGATCATCATAGAATGGTGGCGTTCAGTTGCAGGATTCATCGGAGATTAGGTCTCACTTGCAAGCGAACCGCATTCCATTAACGTAAAATTCCAATTACAGAGCACAACATAATACTACCTTAAACTTTTTCCATAAATAAATCTTCTTAGAGTAATAACTCTATGCATTTAATTAATTAGAATGCAAGTTTTGACCCTCGCAGTGCTTCTGAATACCTATTGTGGGACTTTCAAGAAACCATTTTTGTCATGATACACGGCTGATTTCCTTATCAGTTCGTGCTGATATGAATGCATCATAACGTAAACTCAAATCCAATTTCGGCTAAAGAACTAGGATGTTTGCCGTGTCACTGGATCAATGAGGCTTGATAGACATTCGTTTTTGACACGATGGGGCCCCGACACATTGATTTCCATCCATGTCCCTAGCTTAAATGACAGTACGCGATGAAGAAGACCGCTTGTATTGCCGGTATCTTCAATATAAACATCAGCTATGGAACATGCTACCGCATTAATAGTATGTCTCGTACTTTTGAATGACAAGATCTTCAACATAAGGCTGACCATCGGCAGATCGTACAAGCAATACTCGTTATCCTTTCTCTATATGTGGTGGTTCTTCGCTGTTGGACGCGTCTCTACTTCGAGAGACGAACGCTCTCCGTGTCTGACTATTGCGCTTGGATAGGATGGGTTTTCGCCGTGGGGTGGTTCGTGTCGTCGGCAATTGCTGCGGATATAATACACAACAATGATGTTACAGATGAAGAAGGGTTGGTGCACGATGTCAAATACCTCAAGGTACGTACTAGACATCTCAACTGGACCATGAAAAGCTAACGGTGAGAAATACAGGCCGTTTTAATTGCTGAGTATTGCTTCGATATTGGAATATACTGGCCCAAACTCTCGATCACTGCTTTTTACTGGCATCTAATACCCGATGTCTTCCGATCCTTGAGAATAGCATTGTACACAATCACGACATACTTGGTCTGCTGTCTGATAGTCGCGTTTCTTTTGAATACACTAATTGCAGGAAATATCTCGAACAATTGGTAAGGCTCAACTTAGCATATTGGCCTCTGGCTAGCTAACCATGTACATCGCCCAGGTCAATTGAGAATCAACTTCTCTCAGCATGGAACTCATTCCCGAACTTCATCACACAGTGGTGTATGAACTTCTCCACCGATCTACTATGTAAGTCCCATGAACCTTTCCAACCATTACAGAGTCTAATAGCTTCAGTGTTTTGTTTTCCGTTCTCCATTCTAAACCATTTAAAGCTCCGCAAAGAACAGAAGCTCGGCCTGATTGGAGTCTTTTCCCTCGGCGCAATTACGATAACTGTCAACCTTACCCGTTTCATTATGAACAATTTAGCTAGCTTTCAACTCGATGATGCGTCCGGAAATACGTTATGCACAGCTGAGATGACAACAGCTGTGATAATTGTTTGTCTTCCTGGCTTGAAGAAGCTTATCAAGCGATCAAAGTTATCTACACAAACGGACAATTCGTCCCAATCTGGCCTGGGGGTGGCGACCGTGAGTAGCGCACCGCTCAAGTCACAGCAAACAACACAAAGCTATGCAGACTGGGGCGTGAAGGATTGTGATATTGAGCTGGTTCCCGAAGGTGAGGATTATCTTCGCATGCCAGATCTGGTGGTATTAAAGAGCCAAGGTCCATAAAAGAATGGTCAAGGTGTATTGGACAGTAGAAAAACACGAAATCATCAATCAATTTATTTATTCATCATGCGTGTTGGAATGCGTATTGTAAATCATGATCGTGTCGCCGCATGGTTCAAGCAACCTTGGAAATCTTGAAGCCACCAGGAAAGCGTGCCTGGAAGACTTCCTCCGGGTCGTACTTCTTGGCAACCTCCCGGATAAACTCGACGTTCTCCGATCCATAAGTAGAGAGAGGGTCTTGAGTAAAGTCAGCGTAATTGAGGTACTCCCATTCCACAGCGGCATCCTCATCAACACTAAACTGCTTCATCGTTTGACGAAATTCAACCATACGCTCACGCGCAAGCTTTTCCTGCTCAACGCCGTTGACCATGTGCTGTACCTGGAACATGACAGCGTTGTCCTTCTCGCGATCTAGACCGGCGACGTTACCGCCTCTCTCGAGGGAGTGCTTGGAGAACACAGTGGGCATGGCCTGGAAAATGGCGTGGCAGATAAAATCTCCATCTGGGGACTGGGCTTTCCAGTCACTGACGAATTGCTGGTGGAGTTCAAGAGCTTTCTGGTATAGGGACAGCTTGTTCTTGAAGGTGATGGCGAACCAGACATTTCTACCCCGGCTTAGTATTTTATTTTTGACATCAAAGGGACAATTACTTACCGGTATCCAGCAACGAGCTCGAGCTCGACAGTCATGTTGCGATGGGAATCCTTGCGCAAGTTGGAGGTCTCGTATGGGATCTCCCAGAAAGCATCGAGAGCCTTTGGAGATGCCACACCAGTTGTATCCTCATACGAAACAGTGATGCCTATTTTTCCAGCTTGAGGAGTATAGCTCCAGAATGGAATAACAGATCCATCTTGGTAATTCTCAATATTATCCGTCCAGTTTTTGTAGGCTTCGACGTGGGCATCTGTCGTTTCGGTCGTGTACGTGACAAGGCCACCCCAAAGAAGAGGAGCGTCGAAGGCCTGTAAGTCGAAGCGGGTGACGATTCCAAAGTTGGTTGATCCACCTTTGAGGGCTTTCCAAAGATCGGCGTTCTCGGTCTTGTTGGCATTGACAATACGCCTAGACAAATATTAATTGGGAACGTCGTGAATAACACATGCAATGCTTACCCGTCACCAAGGACGACCTCAAAGTTGACGACTTGATCACATCCGAAACCACGACGGGCTGTGTAAAAGGTGTTACCACCACCTGTCAAGAAACCAGCGACGCCGACAGTTGAGGTACGACCGCCAGCAGCGGTGACACCAAATGGTTCGAGAGCCTCGTAAACATCCCGCCAAATGGATCCAGCTTGGACATGAGCAACCTTAGTCTCTTCAGTATAGGTGGTCTTGTTCATCAATCCTACATGCGGTCAGACGTTGTCTCAGGTAAACAGGACAGAAGTATACGTACCAAGATCAATGGTCACTCCATTATTAACTGCCAGTGGTTAGACAAAGTAAAATTCAAATATAGACAAGGCGCAACCTACTGTTGTTGGCTGCCCAAACAGTGTGACCACCACTTCGCACCGCAAGGTTACAGGTAGTATCGGGTATCAAAGTCTTGATAATGGCAGATACATCCTCAGTACTCTCGGGCTGGACAATACAATAAGGTTGCAACTGCGACGACACGGAAAAGTACGAGTCCGTTCGCGTCTTGTACCCTTCACTGCTGGGATAGTAGACATGTTTCAAGCCCGCAGTCTCAAGCAAAGCACACTGAAACAGAAATGATTAACCATTGGCTTCCACACCAAAACACGGACGCTTACACAATTATCCTTTTGCATGGCGGCAATCTCTGTAGCTGAGACGAGGAGCGTTGCAGCCCAACTCAGGACTGATGAAGTACTCGACTTCATATTAACATGGAACAGATGATATGATTTGATGTTGTGTACGGCAAGAGGCAAGATGATCTGGAGAAAGGAGAAAAGAGCCTGTGCGGAAAACCTTTTTTCTTTTGTGATCGCCCACTCCGACCTTTGTTGCGGACATCCTTGCCGATTGTTGAAAGGGGGAGAGAAAATGGCGCAGTAAAGAGCTGAATTCTTTGTCATTAGCTTTATCGGAATGTGGGATGTTGCATTTTTACAGGGCCATTATAGTGACAAGTAATAATTTAGTTATGCAGGATTGTTTATCCCGGCCCGTGAAGTGTAGATCGCTGCCTTTATGGTGTTGATGAACCCGAGGCTGAGTCTGCATGCTGTGCCGTGTCGAAGAAACCGAGGATAATTCTAGGTGTTGGTCCACCAGGCAATGATAATCAAGATGCCGTTCCAACAATTACAATAGGGTGAGATACGGAAAAACCTGTAACTTATTGTACATTTAGCTTCCAGGTACTCTTGGCTTTCAAGGATCTGACTGGTGGCCCGGTTTGCCCGCGAATAAAGTTTACATGGGTATTGTCTTCAAACAGGGGGAGACCAACAGGACAGTCCTGGATGCAATGCATGAAGTGTTTCTACGGAACCTCTTCTCAAAGCACACTCTGAAGAATTGCATCATTGCATGAGATCTTACTAGTTCAGTAAATATCGAGATATGACTACGTTGAGTCTAATTAAGCTTAAAACCCAACTACTCACTTTGCGCTGTGGAGGTTGATGACTTAGTGGCTTTAGTAATAATTTGAACCCTTGTTGTTACTGCTTCGGTAGTTGGGGTTGGCAGACCGTAAGTGGAAGAGCTGATGTCAATCTCTGGTAGCCGAGCTACAACCCCTGTTTTCTCCTACGCTGCCATCAGTTATCTCCATGGGCATCTTGCATTAACTGCTTTCCATTGGCCTCACTAGTTCCTCTTATGTACACAAATCCAGGGTATGTGAAGCGGCATTGAAAGGGAACTCGGACGGCCCGTACATAGATTCAGGCTTTGTATCTGTATCCTTGCAAACCTTTTTCCTCTGTTCTCTTTCAGTGTCGGCTAGGATGTACAACATAATGAACAGGTTGCGTGTTTCCCCTTGTTATTTTCAAAGTTTATATTGGCACAGACTTTGCTATGTAAGGCTTTAGTGCCCGTTGCGACCTAACGTCAGAGTCAACTTTATCTTTTTTTGTTTTGTTTTCGTATGCGATGTCGAAAGTTCACCTAGTCTCGATGACAGTTTGACAACCAACCAACATCTTTCCAAACTCTCCAAACTCGATTTTGCGATGTCGTTCCCAGTCGTCAATGGTGTGGAGGTAGCGGTTCCACCACCTGCTGGATACCAGGTTGACTTTACCAACCCCGAGACGGATGAGTCGATGGTCAGGAATGCGTATTGGATATTTGGGTTGGAGTTTGCGTTTGCGACGGCGTTTTTGGGACAGCGCATGTATACCAATGGTGTAATCTTGCGTAAATTCATGATCGATGATTGTAAGTACATGATATTTATATTTGTGATAGAAGCTTACACGAGTCGCAGATTTGATCCTTTTTGCATGGGTAGGTTACTGAGGTACATGTGTTCATCAACGGTTCCTAACTGTCTTTTTAGATCCTTTCCATTGTCGCTCAATCATGTCTTCTTGATGCATATAGACGAAACCTGCTTGGTGTTCATGCCTGGGAGATGCCCGTTGATAGCAACACTCAATCTGCTCTGGTATGTCTTCTCTTCCAGATCTTGAGATCGACACCTCGACTTACTGTCTACAGCTTGTTATGTGTACAACACTCACATATATCCCAACGACAATCCTATCGAAACTGACGCTTTGCTTCTTCTACTATCGCCTATCGCCCTCCTTGTGGTATCAATACTCGGTCTATTTCACAGGGATTATCTGCACGACTAGTCTGGTTGGCATCTGGTTCAGTGTTCTCTTCGCATGCAAACCGATTGCGGCAGGTTGGGATGTGAGACTGTCTGTCGATGCTGAATGCATCAATCGCCCTCCCATTTACATAACACAAGCCGCCTTTGGCTGCATCACAGATGTGATGCTTCTGCTGTTACCTATCCCAACTGTCATCGGATTACAAATGTCTACAAGGCAGAAGTTCGGAGTACTTGGATTATTTGCAATTGGTTCAATCACCCTCGTCACGTCAGTCGTTCGATTAGTCTTACTGCTACCAAGCTTGTCGAACCCAGACCAGAGTTGGTCGTTGGCAGAAGGTTGCCTATGGGTGTAAGATGTTCCCTTCAGATCTCCAATACAACAACTAACAGAAATATTGCAGCATCATCGAAGCCAATCTGTTGATCATGTGTGGCTCCCTCCCCACTCTGCGAGTGTTTCTTAAAAATGTCGCCCCTCGGGTTCTTGGTGACAAAAGTCAAAGCAAACCAAGCCAAGGAGATAGCGCAAGTTTTGGGTTGCATACGTTCGGAGGTTCAAACGGTCCGCGACGCAAGTTTGACACACTTGTGGAGCTGGAACATGATACGCGTTTTAATAGAAGCAGCTTGAGGCCTGAAGGTTTGGGCAAGACGGATGTGAAAGTCTTTAGTGGACAGTCAAATGAGTCGCTGATGAATCAAACTCAGACTGGGGATGACAAAAGTGAAGATGGGATATTGCAGACGCGCACAACGACTGTTCAATATGAGTATTCATAGTTCAGGTTCAGACATAATTAATCTCTAATGCAGGCCAATAGTCCCTACGCCTCAGACACTAAGTGCTCCCTTGCATCAATTTCTTGTCTTAGAATTAATTCTCAGATCGCCACTTGTCCAATTCTCTCCCTTGCCAAGTTTCTTCTTTTGGAACAGTGCTTTAAATGTTCTGTCCTCCCTGTTCAGTGTTTTCTTTGCAACGATGAACGAAACATGTCGTCAAAATGAAGTTATCAGTCTCTTGGTGGTCACTCATATTAAAAAGGCTGTTACCTGCTGGTGTGATCATCTTATTTTTCGTTACTTTTTGCTACACTCTTCGTCCAATAGTAAGTTTTTAACCTAGTCTATAAATGTTCAACTCTAATCAGTCTTGCAATGTAGGATATTGTACAAGCTGCCCAGTTTCAGAGACCGACCGACAACCACTTGCCTGCAAAGACATCCAGACTACACTACCTCATTCCCGCGTCCGAACCCTCATTGAACCTGTGTGCAAATATTATATCTGTACTCGCCAATCGATATCCGATCCCTTCTATACTTGGCTACAAAGGCAAAAACGAGTTCGACGCAAAGGTGGCTCATATTGCCAAACTTCACAGCATCCGACGATACTTAAACGGGCCTGCTGGGAAACATAGCGATGACCTGGCCATTATTGCCGATGGTCACGATGTACTAGCCCAACTACCTGCCGAGGTTTTAATTGAGCGATACTTCGAGATCATGAAGCGTCATGATCGTGTCCTTGCCGATCAATTTGGGCTTTCCGTTGCTCAGGCCCATGAATAGGGCCTTCGCAAAACTCTTCTTTTCGGCGCAGACAAGTATTGTTTTCCGCGGGAACTCGACGAGTCACAGTGCTGGGCCGTTCCAGGATCATTTCTCCCACATAATGTCTACGGCTCACATACCCAGGACCGTAGCATGCGCTATTCTGATCCCCGATATCTCAACTCTGGTACTGTCATTGGGCCCTTGGGTGATCTGCGCGACTGTATTGACGCGGCACTGATCTTAATACAAGGTACATGGAATTCTACATACAAGCATCGGAACTCGGACCAATATTATCTGGGCAAACTCTACGCCCGTCAGGAAGTCAACCAGACCATGGCTATCACTGGCGGTATTGTCCCAAATCTCAAAGGCACAAGAAAACTTCCACAATCCAGCGAATTTGGTACTAAACAAGCGGACTACCATATAACTGTCGATCACGAATCAGCCTTTACTTGCACCCAATGCGCCAATGTGGACTGGATGCGCAACATTGCGTTTGACCGTTCTGGATACCGCAGTGTAGTAAAGAACAGCATTCGAAAGAAGAAACACCCTTTCAAGCCATTCACCATCCAGATGCCTGGTCGTGTCGTGAAAGCATTAACAAGACTATACGATGCCATCAATCATGATCAGCCTACTAGCCAGTGGATCAAGAGCGTAAAGTTGGGCACCAACATCGCTACCGGACATATTTATCCCCTTTACCATGGGACCTGCAGAAAGAGCAACTTTATTAGTAGATATATGGATCTCTGGCTATATCCAATATCTAGAAAGCTGCTGGAAGCTGCTTCAAAGGCTTTAGAGGGCAAGGAACCGTTGTCTGCGGATATGATTGACGGAAGACATTGGATATCTTCTCAGCATTATCCTAATAACAATGGCGGGCTGCATGGTATTGGGGGTATATACACAGACTCTCAAGACAGCAATGAGAGTTTCATTCCACTCACAGAGTTCTGTACTGGGTATTTGGAAGAGTTAGCACCTTGAATGGATGAACCCAGAGTATGTTATTAGGTCTTCAGTATATACTCCCAATATCACAAGGAATATAAATATTTCATACTATTCACTATAACCTTACGTCCGAATTTACTAGTAAGAGGTTTTAGATATAGCTAATAACCATTGATATAGAGTCATCAAGACCATCTGTAAGCTGTACATTTTACCTATCGATTCTGATGCTCCCAAGCATAGCCCCTTGGTCCTTCTCCTCTATCTGTACCTGAAGGCTCCAGTCAATCATCCACGGCCTTAAAAGCAGCCTTTGAATCAAAGGAGTGTGGCCACCCATGATCACGATAGATCTGCCTTATGTATTGAACATCCAGATCTGTCTGCCATTCTTCCGTTTGACTATTCACCTCCTCCTCAGAGATCCTCTCATCGCGCTCTGGAATGTCATCCGCCTCAATTGTGATCCTGCCGTCTCCAGAAACCAGCTGCATTTTTTTGTACTGTTCCTTCAGCTTGGCAAAGTATTGTTCCACTGGGACCGAGGACAGCATATCACACCTCATCATGTCCTCAATTATCTCGCCATCTTTGACAAGCAGCCACAATCCACGGCCGCCACTCTCATACCCTTCAGCAATGTAGATGACATCACTATGATCCTGCTCATCCTCCGTTGACCAAAACTCCATCCAGTCAAAGATTTCTTCGATGGTCTTGAAATCGTCCGGGGTCCAAACAGTAAGGTCACAGAGTTTGGATTTATAGTGGATATGGCATGCGCCTTTAGCGTCAAAGTAAGGCAGATGACGCATAACCTCGATAGCGTAGTCGGACTTTATGCCTCCACAGGATTCGGATGTGATATCTGGCCATCCAGTGCGTGGGGGAATCTTGAGATCGTATATATCGTAGTTCAGGGTTGCCATGAATGAGTAGAAGTCAACAAACAGAGCCCCGAGTTCTTGGGGTGTTAATCGTGGCTTGCGGGCGCTTTCAGAATCATCTGATTCATAGTATTCATCATCTGATGGGGCCGGCGACGGTAAGTTCTCAGGAGCACACATGTTGAAGATGATGTTTGAACGTGAGAATATGGACGAATATAGGTAGGAGAGTAGTTAAGATGAAGGGGTATTTATAGCCAACGACGAACCCTCTCACACACCTACTCCTGTCGTCAACACTAGGCAGAACACTTTGTAGTGGAGCAACTGTGGATATTGACCAATTACTCGGATAAGTCAGGATAGAAGCGCATTAATAGCAGCACCAGCTAGTTCTATTCTAGCTACCCTTACACCCCTGTCATCCTGCTTTCCACCAACAATGTTCACGCTCTCTGTCGCTGAAGCAGCAGCACCAGTTCCCGTATAAGTTGACGTGAGGTCAACAGTCGTAGTTGATACAGTACTCTCACTCGGCTTGTCTGCAGCGTGCGCGGCAGCATAACAACTAGCAAAAGCAATCGTGTCATTTAACCAGACCGCACCGTAAGGTAAGGAAGTCATGGCCCTGAACCATTGGTTCGGACAATACTCAGCGTACTCTACAGCTTCAGAGCTATGTTCCGCCCACCATGATGAATCAGTGCCGCCATAAGACGAGCACACAGTCAAAAGGCTGGAAGGTGCGGATTTTGTAAAGGCACACCAGTCAGACTGAGGAGGAGGTGTACATGCCGGCTTTCCCATGGCGTCAGTCAAAGTGGACTTGCAACCCTTCTGGATCGCATCACCATGGTCCATCAAGGCATCGAGAAGTGCTCCAGTCGGTTTAGGTACGTCAAAGAATGACTGGAACGTGTGAGTAGCGCATTGCCACGGGTCACTAGTAATAGTCCCCTTGGTCGTTGGTAGAATTGTGTCAAAGATGGAAGCCGTAACAAGACCGACTTGAAAAATGAATGATGATGTCGGCTTCATGGTAAAATGGGTGAAAAGTGTTAATGAATGAAGTTTATATCCCCGTACTAATTAGAAGTCGCTGAAGCGATACATATAAGAAAGAGAAACAAGATAGTATAAATTCCCATACGTTCTTAGGGGCATTCTCATTCGCGCCTCACGTTTGGAAGAGTCGTTGGGTGGAACGAAATTAATGTCTGTTCAGCGACCCACTAACAACATTTAAAGATGGGCCGAGTTTCCCCTGGTGTTGAAATTGTTGGTTGTAAGTTAGTTAGCTTGCCCCAGAGTGCGATAAGGTAACCGTAATGAGAATGCACGTTGGTCGACTAGTAGCGAACCTTTGTTGTTGAACATGGGGGTACCAACACTGTGGAGAAAAGATGCCTTGGTGATAACAGGCAGCCAATGTCTCGAAAAGAAGAGATTTATGGTGCGAGCCATTTCACCTATCTACTTGTGATACAATGTGTTGGTTCAATTTCTAAACCTCAGTCATTCAAATAGGTGTTCATTCTATTGAGACCGAGGCTACACATTTATACGGGAAGCGTAGATCTTGGTAAAACCTACAAGCTGCCCTAGTCACCCTCCCAGCCCAAACGACCCTCTGGAAGCTTTTCCATCAATTGATCCACTGGGCGAAAAGCCTCATCCTTTTTTAAAAGCATTGGGCCACCCAAATTCCCGATAAAGCTGCCTGATATACTGGATGTCCAGATCTGTAGGCCACCACTGTTTCTGTGCAATTACTTCTCCCTCAGTAATCGTCTTGCCCTCAGGCAGCTCATCAACAGGATGGAGTACCTCAATAGTGACTCTGCCTGGGCAGGGGATAAGGGCAAGGTTTCTATAGGCTTCTTTCAACCCATTAAAGTACTCCTTGATATCCATAGGATCGCTTTGTTGAAACTTATTCTCTTCATCGGTTATCTCCCCATCCCCCACGTTCAACCAGAGATGTATTCCCCCAGTTTCGTGGTCGAGTGCGAGAGGGGAAACGTCATGTAGATCAATAATAGTGTCGCGTCGTTTTGACCACAATTCATTGTCGACACGTACTCTCCAGTCCATAATGAAAGAAAACTCCTTTTGAGGTATGTTTCTATAATCAATAAGTCGGGACTTACAGTGAACCCAATACACGAACTCCCGATCGTCGAAGTAAGGTATCTGTTTGATCACTTCACCATCTTCATCTGACCTTGCGGCATGATTCAGAAAAGGGTCTAAACCGGACCAACCCTCAGGTGGTGGGGTCTTGAGGTATTGAGGGTCGAAGTGAAGAGTGGTTAAAAACGTATAAAAGTCCAGGAGTATTGCCGAAATCTCTTTGGGGGAATATCTTATAGTCGGAGGATCCATGATTCCTCTGTAGACAAGATGGTAGTTAGGTGTAGATTGAATGCAAGATTGATGTTGTGGATTTGAACTTGTTGACATGTAAGGGGTTCTAAACTGTTCAATGTAACACGTGTGACAAGAGTCTAAGCGAGAAACTCTCAGTCGCTACTATGTATGTATTATAGAAACAGTTCTAAGGGTTGGATCTTCCAGGCCCTTCTACGTAACTTGTGAGCAATTGACTGTTGGCTTGGCGTTTCTTGGTGCAGGGTTCCGTATGCCCAGTGGCACAAGCAACAACCTGTTGGTCCAGGGGTTAAAGAAACTTCTATCTATGTTACTAGCTCAAATGGGACTCTATGGCCTGTTACGATTCTCACATGACAATGAAGAACTGAGGAACTTCTTTTCTATCACCATTCCATCATTTCATTTCATCATTTCATTTCTTCTACGAACCCTTCACAATCACATTCCCTTAAACGAAACAAAAATGAAATACCGCAATGCTGCCTTTTTCTTGCAGTTCTCAACTGCCAATGCTGCCATCTATGATTCTCTATTTCCGACTGCAAGGCCAACTACTTCAGACAACGACGTCGATTGCATGTTCGAAGACTTCTACCCAATCTTCTCTGCCTTGACTCCAAACGGGAGTCTCTCAACAGCCCTTCTGTCTTACGGCAACGAACTGATCAAGGGTTGTCCTTTGACAGACGTCGACGTGATGGGCCTACCCACGTGCCCGTACCCAGCGCTGTCAGACTGGTGCTCCTTCAGCGACCATGCGCCTACAACTCTAGTGCCTGCTTGGTCGTCCTATGGAAGCTCGGCGTCCTCGTGGTGGTCAGAACATAGCTCCTACGCTGTGAAGTACGCCCATGTTTGCAAGAAGAAGTGGTTCAATCAGATGATTGGCGTTGTCTATGGTTCAGCTCGACTGAATAACACTATTCATTGGGGCGAGTGCTATGTCCAGGTCTACGCCACTGTGGATGGCAAGGTCACTGAAACATCGACACCAACCACAAAAGCGACAACCGGTATGAAAGCTACTTCTAAGGTACCTGGAGAGACCCGCGCAACTTCAGAACAAATTGAAGAAACATCCAAAGAGGCTCAGGGTACTGCGAAGACGGATCAAAGAGAGAAATCGCAGGGAAATCAGGTTAATGCTCGAGGAGCTAATGCTTGGCTTATAGCTGGCGGTGGATTTACAGCTGCTTTGGTAAATGAAGTTATGTAAATCACGATAAGATAATTTAATTATATCTGAGCGGTCCGAAACTTTACCTCGATGATATTTGATGATAAAATATTTAGAATATGATCGGTTAAGGCTTGTGCAGCAAGTCACTGGACATAGGTAGAGTAGCAGTGGTAAAGGTGACTCAGCTCGCAAAGTGGTCTCACCTCGGGAAGGGGACTCACTTCGACATACTTCTCGTTTAGAGAACGGAACCTACTTAAACGCGTATAAAGCACAGCAAGGTTAATTTTTTCGAAAAGGACCCGATCAGGTTGCATATTAGGTGGCCGATCGTGTGGGGTAGTAGATTGCGGGGAGTGACCGGCGTTACTTTCCCCGCGTTTTAATGGCCGAAGCAGCTCCCAATCCTCGGGTTATTTCTGAGCGAGAAGGATGAAGGTAGTAATTCTAACGATAATCTGGCACGGGAGTTGGTATCGGCAATTCTACAAACGGATTCGATCATTACCATGTTGTCAACGTGAAATTATAGTAGGGCGTTCGAAAATTCATAAATAACCCCTCTGATGTACTCAAAGTTGAATCGAATTCTCTAGCATCAAAGCCAATGCTTCAATATGGCGTTGACAATTTCCCGAGTCTCATTTGAGCATCACCGCACTGCCCTGGGGATTGCGGAGACTGAACCAAGAATCTCGTGGAGATTTGATGGTCCCGTTTCGAACTGGGAACAGAGCTCATACGACATTGAGGTTACTCGGAGTGTCAACAATGAATCCAAATCCTTTTCTTCCAATTCTTCCGATTCACTTTACCTCCCTTGGCCAGATGCACCCCTAGATGAAGCCGAACATGCATTCGTTAGGGTTCGCGCGCATGGTTTCGCCGCAAGTGATCAGCCCTCCACACCCTGGTCCGATTGGGTGTCTGTCGAGACTGGTCTGTTCAAGAAGAGTTGGGAGCATGTCAAACCCATTGCTTCAACTATGAAGGTCAATGTGAACGAACCGAAAAGGCCCGTATACTTCAGAAAAGACTTTGCAGTACCTGATAGTTTCGAATCAGCGAGGCTTTATATCACCGCTTTGGGTATTTACGAAGCTGAGATTAACGGGAAGCGAGTCGGAGATCACGTCTTGGCTCCAGGATGGCAGTCATACCATCACCGTCATGTCTATGATACATATGACGTTACCAACCTTATTACTCCAGGCGCGAATGCGATTGGAGCACTGGTTGGTGAAGGGTGGTATGCTGGCCGCTTAGGGTTTGACGGAGGACAACGAAATATCTACGGGAACTCGACAGGTCTCTTGGCACAACTTCACATCAAGTCAAAGAATGGCACTGTTTCCAAGATTTACACCGACACGACATGGAAGTCAGGGTTTGGGCCAGTTGTCAATGGAGAGATTTATGATGGAGAATTGTATGACGGTACCCTTGAAGCTGAGATTAAAGGATGGTCAGAGCCCGAATACAACGACGCATCCTGGTATGAGACTCATCTGCTCCCTGCAGTCGACGGAGCACTCGTCCCACCAGATCAGCCTCCTACTCGTCGAATTGAAGGGGTCAAACCAAAAGAGTTCTTCAAGTCGCCATCTGGAAAGCAACTTGTCGACTTCGGCCAAAACCTGGTTGGCTGGTTGCGATTAAAGGTTGACGGACCTGCAAACACAACCATCACATTGAAGCATGCAGAAGTTTTAGAAAACGGCGAACTAGGAATTCGACCGCTTCGAAAAGCCAAGGCTACGGACACAATCATGCTTAGCGGGCAGGGCCCACTTGAGTGGGAGCCAAAGTTTACATATCACGGTTTTCGCTATGCTCAGATTGATGGATGGCCTGAGGAGACACCGTTGGATGAAAACAGTCTTGAGGCGATTGTTGTCCATACTGATATGGAGGAAACAGGCTACTTCAATTGCTCACATGAACTGTTGAACAAATTTCACTCCAATGTTCGCTGGTCGATGAAGGGTAACTTTCTTTCCATTCCCACGGACTGTCCTCAGCGCGATGAGCGTCTTGGATGGACTGGAGACGCCCATGCCTTTTGCCCAACATCGAACTATCTCTATGACACAGCGTCATTCTGGAAGAGTTGGCACAAAGATGTGTGGTCTGAAATGTCGGTCAATAACACTATGATTCCCCCTTTCTTCATTCCTACCATTCCCTCGGCATTTGGCACGGTACCAATTGCTTCTTCAGTATGGGGAGATGTTGTAGTCTCCAACCCGTGGAACATCTATCAAGCCTTTGGCGACAAGGGGCTTTTGGAGGAACATCTCCCTCAGGCCCAAGGCTGGATAGATAAAGGAATTCCCAGAAATGAGGTTGGCCTATGGGATCGCAGAACTTTCCAGTTTGGGGACTGGTTGGACCCCCTGGCCCCATCTGATGATCCCGGAGGTGCAACGACTAGCAAGTATTTGGTGTCAGATGCGTACTTGATCAGGATGACTGAGATTCTCACACAAATTGTTACTGCTCTTGGGGAGTCGGATCTGGCTGAGAAATACAAGACACAACAGTCGGATCTCAAGAGCGAGTTTGGAAAAGCTTGGGCACCAGATGGAAAGTTGGCAAACAGGACTCAAACGGCGTACGCACTGTCTGTGGGCTTTAACCTTTTGAACGACGAAGGACAGAGAGAAAAGGCAGCGGCAACATTACGTGAGATCATCCGAGAGAATGACCATCTTGTTGGCACTGGATTCGCGGGTACCGCGCCTCTTGGCTTCGCTTTGAAAGACGCCAATGCCACGGATGATTTCTACCGAATGCTCCTTCAAGAGAAGGTCCCATCATGGTTATACCAAGTCGTCATGGGGGGTACAACAACCTGGGAAAGATGGGATAGTCTCTTACCGAATGGCACAGTTAATCCAGGCGAGATGACCAGTTTCAATCATTATTCTTTTGGGTCTGTTGCCAATTGGATGCATCAAGTCATTGGGGGAATTGCGCCCCTCGATCCGGGATACAAGAAGGTTGCCATTGCGCCTATTCCGGGAGGGAATATTACACATGCAAGCGCGAAGCTCGTCACTGGGTATGGTACAATTTCAACGGATTGGAAGTTGACGGATGAGGGGTTCCAGTTGAAAGTGAGGATTCCACCGAACACCAAGGCTGATATCACTCTGCCTGGGACAGGGAAGACGGAAACTGTTGGATCTGGACTGCATGAGTTCTACCAATCAACCTGAACTGTCTCTACGTAGTTAGTTTAGCTCTACTGCGATCCATCAGTGTTAATATCGGAAGCCGCATATTATTCAAAGCGAAATGTTTGATAGTATTTACTGAGAACTCCTCATCTGTTGCCTTACAGCTGATATCAAATCTCACGAAATGGTTCAAAAGGACTCAAAAGTAGAGAGGGCAATAACAGCAGGACATAAATTATCCCATAAGCTTTGTGAACGTAATCGACCGTATGGATAAAGAGAATTCAGTAACACATCTAGAGCTAGTAGCTTTTAATATTTTCTCCCTCTTGAGAACCATCAAGGTCTAGATGAGGACAATCCTTTGGATCGGCATAGAATGTCCCCCCGAGTTTCTCAATCACCTTGCAGCGTTCTTCCATTGTGAATGCGTTGTCAATTCTCGCCAATCCCTTCCGTGCACATTGTGAGAAGTTGGTATCAAGGGTCCAAACACCACCACTAGTAGGCCAACCGACAAATAAAAGTGGTGCATCTGGTTCTTTGTTTCGATACTTCCGTCCAAAGCGTAGTTTATGGTCAGGGTCACGAAACCAATTTGCTCCTAACTGACGCATTTTGGCGCAGTGAGCTTCCTCATTCTCAGGGTCATCTGGTTTGTCGGACGGCTCGAATCGGTCAAGGCCCAAGAACTCAAGCTCCGCTACGGAGCAGAGACGGGAGTAAAAACCACCTTTAGCTGGCCAGCCATGTACAATGCCGCCTGTGCTACCACCGAATTCAGATCGGGGAAACCAGGTTACGCCAAAATCACCGTACCACCCGCCTTCTGACAGCATTTGGGGAATGTCTCCGTTAGGGGGAGGGTACAGAAAATGTTGTTTAGGCTCGTGAATAGCGTAGGAGATTGTAAGAAGAATGGACGCCAGGAAGAACAAGGCGTATCTGAACATTGAGTTGGGTTGTTGAAGGAAAGAGGAGATGACATATGGAAAAGTTTCATTATTGGTGCTCAAAGAGGGGTAGGTGTAAATTGTTGGCCCTGGGGAATATCAGATATTCCAGTCCCGTAGTTACGTAACTATATATTCCGTTATCTCGTTGGCTTTGAACATGTTGGTTCTGCTCAAAATTTGCCAAGTAATTCTTTCCAATCATGATAAGCAAAATAGTAGATGGTCCTAGAAATAGATTGGCAAGGCAGACAAGTAAGGATAAAACTGGCATAACCCCTGACTAGATCCAATTGATCAGAACATTGAGAACTGCCGTTATTGCCAAGCCAGTGTTGGTTATGCTCTTCGAGGAATGCGGCGAGTCACATTCCCATCCTCCCCCCCTCCAACCCACTAACCCCTGTCAGTTGTTGGTTTGTTAAACTTTGACGTATCTTTTGAATCACATAAATTGAAATAGTCAGCGCGTAAAACACTATTTATGGATATGATCTCCAGTAGAGGAGAATGTGAAAGTACAAGGGAATCGGTATGGCCTGACTTGGAACTTAAACCAGATAATTCGCCTCTAATCAAATACTTGGCTCCTCTCACACATTTACCGTGATTTGGACCTTTATAGTGCAAAATTGACATCCTTGAAACATATTTGTAATGTCCACTTGATAAGAGAAACATGAGAGATTTACGCACCTTACGCCGGACCCCAGTTGTATTCTCATATGTCACACTGTTAGTTGGGTTCAGGGACAACCCCTATGACTGACTATGTCTGAAACTTTAACCTACCAACTGCATAACTCCTTCCATGTCGCAAGGGGCATTTTCTATTTTGGAAATTACCGAGATATACTTCACATCATACGGAACTGATAGCGAACGTCAAGTAGTACGTTGGGCCAGCCTTGTACCATCTATCATGCATTTCGATCAATGAGTTGGGCGGTTAAGTTAGAGTGTGTTGGTAGCTGTGTCTTCCTACCAAAGATAAATAAACCATCGAGTCGCACCATAGTAATAGATGCCAGACAAGACAGTCTGTAATTACACAAAATCTTATACACTTCCATCATGTTATCCCTTTCTTCACTTTTTGCCCTGTTTGTTTATCAACTGCTTTTTACTTCTCATCTCGCCTTGGCTGCACCAAGCCAAGATCGTCAAGAAGCCATCAATATTTTCAGAGCCGCACTGCGGGACAGTCGCTATAACTTTACCGAAAAGGACATTGGCGCGACAGCCACAAGGCTATTTGGATGGCAAGGTTGCAGCACTTCCGAGAAGCAGGACATCTATTCTGGTTGGCAATAATCTTGGAAAATGATGGATGCAGTTCAAGGCAAGAATTTGAACTGGAATGAGGCAGCAGCTCTGGACTATCTTAGTCCACCTTTTATCAATGAAGATGATCAAAAAGAGATAAAGAGTATGCACCCTTGCTGACCATCTTGCTATATCTTCAATGCTAATTAGTTTTTATTCAGAGATTATTGACACTGTCTCAACTATCAGAGGTGGAAGCAGCTTGAACCCATTCAAATGGTGGCTTCATGTTCGATGCGATGACCCTGACGACCGCTGTCCATGTGGCCGCACCACCTCTACCGTTGCCTATGTTAACAATGAAGACCGTGATTCTGGGTATGCCTCTATCAACTTTTGTCCACGGTACTTTGAGCTCCCAAATCTAGATGACGCGGTGAAAGAGAACGGTAACAAGGATTTGCCTTGGGAACATCGGGCAGATCTGGATAACTACGTTGGGAACAAAGGTGTGTGTTATGTATGCATGAGAGACCCACAAGATCAAGACTAAGACCGCATTCTAGGACGCACCTGGTTTCACGAATTACTTCACATTGACTGGGCCTCAGGAGTGTTACCTGGATGGCATATCCGTGATATTTCTGCCTTCTACTACGACGACGATAATTCCTACCGCCACACAGGGCTGTATGGCGCTGAGAGAACTAAAGCACTCGCCCGCTATAAATTCAGCCCATCATTCTTTATTAGGAGAAACGCAGATAGCTTCGCCATGTATGCTATGGCCAAATATGTGCAGAAAGTTATTGGCAAGTATCCTCACCTTCCTTTAGCGATGAAACTCGACGAAGTGGAGGACGGCCCTGGTTTCTTTGTGTCTGGTGGCATTAGCATTGACCCTGAAGGGATAGTGACTATTGCTGGTTCACAAGACGACGATGACACCTGCCATCTTTATGGAGGCCAGGAAATTCCTGAAAAGGATGTTGTCCCATTCAACTCTAGTGCATGGTTCTGGGACCTATCCGTCTACCCCGAGGATTACCAACGTCAGTGGCGAGGCTGGTTAGCTGAAGCTCATCCGTACAAAAATTGGGTTCGCATAGTTTTAATGCAAACTGCAATGGGTCCGCAGTGGATGGCCTTCCAAGATACGCCCGATGACCCGATTACAGACTTCTGTTCTGCAAAGATACTTTCCAAGACACTCGTTGAGGGGGATAAGAACGATTTGAAGTTTCCTACAGAGCTTCCAGCCTTTGGCGCACACGAAGCCAAAGGGTGTGTTTACTCTAGAACTTCTGACCTGGTGGGCGGGATGACATGTGAGAGCGGTGCTTCGAATATTCGTTGTTGGGAGGACCCTGCGTGGGGCGAGATGTCTGAATGTGATGGAGGAAGATATATGCTGGGTATTAAGTGTGACTGGAAGTAATGTGAAATAGTTGGGGGCTGTCGTCTAGAAATAGGAGAAGCATAAAGGATATCATTTGTATGTTAATATCTTCCTAGAGAATCGACAGAAGACCTGAAGTTGAAATATAGTAAACTGATAGAGATAATAAAACGCGAAAGCGTCAAGCATAAGCTTCCACCATAGAAAAGGATTATTCCTCTAGAATGTGGCAACAATCCATTCTAATGGTGAATGTTGCACTTGTTATTACCATCACACTCTGGCATTAAGCCCCCATGAGGCTGGAGTTTATAACCTAAGTTGATCTCAAATATAGGCTTGAGTTATCTCATGTCACACAAAGCTGCATATCATCAACCCCGCACTTGTCAATGTTTCAATCAATAATACAGATATTAATTTCTCAGTTTGACGACATTCGTTTTCTGTGAACTTGCGGCTGACTATCTTTAGATCAAATCATCGATTAATTATAGCCCTCTCATTGTCGTTGGCAAGATGAGCTCCAGCAAAAGGATGCCCTTTCGTAAAAGATGGCGCAAATTGCTTCCTTCATCTGAACCGTCGGAGGTATCTGACGGAGGTTCACCCAGCGTCTCTCAAGTACCGCCTCAAGACGCTCAACAAGGTCCATCCACAGCTACGGGTGGCATAATCCTATCCCCTGGAAACACTACGGTTCAGTCTCAAGTTTGGAACGATGCCTACGCTAGTCTAAAAGCCGAGGAACTCCGTACAGTGGAAGCTTACGAGAGGATCTTATCTGGTCAACTGACAAGTGGTGTCGAAGCTACAAGTGTCGAGGGATATCCCGACAACTTTCTGGGAACAGCAGAGGATAGACGAACCAAAATGGCCAAGCTGATTGAGGATGGAAAGTCAAGAACCGAACGAGTCGCAAAAGCCAAAGAGAATATCAATGATGTGGTCCAGCCCTTCAATCAACTGCGAAGTACAATATCTTTGGTTGTCAAAGCAGACCCTACGGCTTCAACAGCATGGGTGGGCATTGCCGCCGTGCTTGGTGTATGAGATCACACTACACATCTGTATTACAAACAAGTAACTGACAGATATCAGATCTTTGCGTCGCCACTTACCGAGCCTGGTGCAAATCGAGATGGTATGAAGTATATTCTCGAACGCGCGGAATGGTACTGGAATCTGTCTGCACTTATACTAGATGCAGATAAGATCGACGAATCCCTGAAGTCTTTGCAAGGTTCTCTTAAGAAGAGCATTGTGAAGCTTTACAAAAAATTGTTGCTTTATCAGATGCAGAGCGTTTGCCTCTACAGTTGCTCCGAGGTGGCGACTATTCTGCGCGACTTCGTGAAGCTGGATGACTGGGAAGGAAAGATCAAATCCATTGAGAAGGAAGCATTACGCGTCGAGCAAAGCATAAGACAGCTTCGAGATGAAGATGAAACTAGTCAACTGCGGAATCTCAACATGCGCCTCCAAGATGGTTTTCAGGCACTTGCAACAGTGATTCAGGATAGTGGTAGCCAGCAGCGCGAGCTACGGGAGGAAGAGAAAGACAGGCAATTCTTGAGCCAGCTACATGATACAGATCCCGCTGCGGGAAAAAAGGCTATTGAGACGCTGAAAGGGGGCATTGTGAGAAAGGCACATGATCTTGTCTTCGAGCAAAGCAATTTCGAAACACTGCAGCAAAATAGCTCCCCAGGCATCATGTGGACCACTGGAAATGCTGGCAGTGGGAAGACCATGTTTCTTTGTGGTATAGTCGATCGCCTTCTGGAAAAACCGGAATGTGGGGTGGTCAGCTACTTCTTTTGCCGGGCTGACCACCCGCAGACAAGGACAGTAAAGGCAGTTCTCCGTGGGCTTCTGTGGCTCATCTGCACCCAGAGCTGGGCTATCACACGTCGATTGAGGGTGGAATACGAACACAAGATGCAGAGTCTGACTGAATTTGACGATACTGTGGCATTTGTCAACCTTGAGGACATGCTGGGCAAGGCCCTCAATGCACCCAGCATGAGCCGAGCAGTTATCATCGTCGATGCTATTGACGAATGCGACGAGAGGAGTATCAGAATGATCCTAAAGACCATTGGACAGCTCTCACAAAAGCACCCTGCGCAATGGATTATGTCCACGCGAACCTCGGAGATTTATCGCAGCTTTTTGCCAATTGATGCACCTACTACGTATCTAGAGCTGAACAAAACAGTTATCTCAAAAGCTGTAGCTGCGTTCGTCGCTTACAGCGTGGGGACGCTATCAGAACGCAATGGATATGATCATGAGATCAAACGTTACGTTGAGGAAACATTGTGTTCGAAAGCTGGTGACACGTTTCTGTGGGTGGCACTCGTGTGCCTCGAGCTCGGGGACTTGGGTTCCGGGACGCGGCATGTGAAACGAATCCTTGACGAGGTGCCGCAGGGTCTTACCCAGTTGTACGAACGCATACATGACAAAGCTATGAAATCGGTTGACGGCGTTGTATGTAAAGAGATTCTGCGGCTGGTGTGCTTTACATACCGTCCATTGGCACTTGACGAATTACAAACTCTCGTTCCCTCTCTAGAGGGTATGCCGAGTGGGGACCTCAGAGGAGTGGTATCTAACTGCGGGTCATTCTTCAGCCTACAAGGTCATGAGAATGACCTGGTGATTGCAACATTTGTTCACGAATCTGCGAGAGAATACTTGATTATGACAGCCGAAAACGAATTATCTCCTGATGGTATCACGGATCAGCATCAACTTGTTCTTCATAAGTCACTATCAAATATGAAGGCGCTGACACGGAACATCTATCAACTTCCATCTTTAGGAACGGCTATTGATGAGGTCAGTAGGCCGGAACCTGATCCGCTCTCGCCGTTATGCTACAGTGGTCACCATTGGTTGGATCATGCAAATCACATCCTCCAACAAGGAAATTGGCAGGCATCAGACAATAGAGTCATAGAGGGTTTTATCTGCCATGATCTGCTCCATTGGAGCGAAATGCTCAGCCTGTCAAGAAATATGGCCCAAGGCACAGCTGACTTCCAGCGGTTCAACAAGTCTTACAAAGCAAACTACATGTCAGAGTCTGGTCAAACTGCGAAGCTAGTTGAACAGGCGTATCGTTTTCTTCTTTACAACAAATCATTCATTGAACGTGCGCCTTTGCAAGTCTACGCGTCCGCCCTTCTGTTCTGCCCACAGCAGAGCATGAGCGAAATAAAAAGCCGATACCAACACGAGTTGCCAGATATATCGATACATCCTGAACGTGAAGAATCCACATTTTCGCAGCTTACCCAAGAACTCCCAGTCTCAGGTCCTCCTCATCACATATCATTTGCTCCTGATGGTAATTTCCTTGCCGCCACACATGGTACGGAATTGGATGGTACCTTTCCACAAGAGCACTTTCTAGAGGTTTGGGACATATTGGCTAGTCATCGTGTTCTGTCAGTCAACGTTGGGAGCCGTATTCGTGGCCTGGACTTTTCAGAAGACGGAACTAGGGTTTTTGCGGTACTGGAGGATGGTACTGTGAACCAGTTTGCAACCAAATCTGGGATATTGATGGAAAGCATCAGGTACCCATCGCATGTTCGGAACGCTTGCTTTTCGCCAAACAAAAAAGTGACCGCACTAAAGGTCTTCGAACCAGAAAGCTGTCAGAGATCCTTAGTGGTGTTGAATTCCAAAACTGGGAAAGTTGTTTGCTCGATAGCCAACGCGGACAATTTGAGCTTTGCGCCAGACAGTTCTCAAATGGCAGTCTTATTGCTCACTCGATCTAGCCTTGGCATATGGTCATCTAGAATTGATCTATGGTCCACTGATGATTGGAGCTTAAGCCTGACGATCTCGCTACAAGACGAAGTTGAAGACATGACATTCTTTGGCTCTGACAAAGTTGCCGTGCGCAGTATAGAGAATATCATTTCAATTCTTTCAACTGCAGATGGCTCTAGAACTGTGGGCTTCTCTTCATACCCTACATCAACGTCAATGACATGGTTGGGTTCTGGGTTGAGCTATTTGTGTCGTTGCGGCGATGGCACGATGAGGATTTATGATCATACTGGGATGGATTGTGTACAGTCTTTTCCTGCGTTGCCCATGCTCAGATTGAGCATAGAAGAGGTGTCAAGTACCTACACTTTCTCTGCTACTTCGAATTTTCTGGCAGTGGCCGAGGAAAAGGGAATCAGGATATGGGACTTGAAGATGCAGGAAGGCTCAATTCCTCACAATCGACTTTTTACCGAAACATGGGACTACTTGAGGCCGGTGATGACTTTCTCACCAAGTAGAAACAATAGCACCTTACTTGCCTTCACATCCCGGCGCGCTGTAGGGATACGAACAATACGACACGGAAAGGTCGTAAGCATTCCCACACTTCCTGTCAAATCTCTTCACTCCCCCTTTTTTAGTCCGAATGGTAAGACTATAGCCTATTCCTTATATAACCGACGACTCCAAATTTGGGATATAGACAACAGTACTGTGTCTATCGAGCGAAAGTTCGACACGATCTTCGATTTAAGTTTCTCCCATGATAGTACATCTCTGGCAGTGGCTGGTGGTTCAGAAGGCGTTTCTCTTTGGGATATCACAACATTCGAAATCAAGGGAATTATACCTATATATGCCGAGAAGGTCATTTACTCACATGTTGGCCAGCTCCTGGCTATTGTGGATTCCGAGAGCGTGCAGGTCTGGTCAGTGGCGCCGGTACAGGACATTCATAAATTACATTCCTATAAATTAGTCTCTGGGCACAGAAACTGGGTGTTCGTTGATTTTTCACCTGACGACCAATCGCTGGTTATAGTCGTTTCTGAGCAAGGACGCGTGTTTACTCATAATGAACATGTCCTACTATGGCGCTTGAGCGAATCTGCGCCTCGATGTCAGCTTGCTTGGGATGCAGGGCCGGAACTTATCCATAAGTGGAAGTCCTCAGCAATATCTGCCGATGGCAATTTGATTGCTGTTGCCCTTAGTCATTGCGTTTGGGTATGGGACCTGCGCTTCCCCGTTACGTCGCAACCATTGACAATCCAATTATCGTACAAGACGAGAAAGTGTTATTTCGATTCTGAGAGCACGCGACTGCTGGTGGATGGTGGCGCCATTACGATCAACCTCGATCTACGTCAACTACGATATTACGGCTATGGTCTAAGTGACGATCGTGCGTGGATTACTAAGAACAACCAAAAACTACTATACTTAACACAAAACTTCAGACCAGCGTATCGAGCCAAAGCCACTTCATTTGACTCAGTGGCATTTATGGATTCTACAGTAGCAATTATTAACCAATCTGGACACATTCGGATTTTGCGGTTTTATGATGATGTAGGTATCGAGGATAATCGTTGGAAGAAATAGCCATAAAGAAGAGGGTTTTATCTTTTCAAAGTATTTACCATTATAAATCGATTGAAGATATTATCTAATAGTTTTTAATAGTACGTATACAAACTTTCCGGATTCATGTATTTGTATTAGGTGAATTATTGCAGATAGGGAATACGCTCTTCAGTTGATATTGGTAACTTACAGGCCCCACGGATCGAGGGACTAGCCGTGCAACTATCCAGCAAAATGAAACATGAAGAATTTTGTACCAATGATGGACTGAATGAATCGCAATAGCTATGTAGCGTTTTCAGATTTATGAATGTGTGAGTTTTTGCACTTTCTTACCCTAAGAATTGCGCATGATGCGGTATACAGTAACTGAATGGCTGCTGGGCAGCTAAAAACGAAAGAGAATCGTGATACTGCGCATCCTTTCAAATAGGCTGAGACGTATTGCAATTATCTTCAGTGTTAGGCTGGGTTGGCTAAAGTGTGCTCAGATTTCAGTGTATCTTCACACGCACAGTGGGAGTTATGCGCGAAAAAACAGCAACTGTAGTTTAACTGACTTCTGCTTGGCTGAGAAGTTCGAGTGTTGATGATCAGGAATCAGTTCAATGCGTTAATGGAAAAGGGGCTTGTTTGTTCACCTTCTCCACTGCTAAAGTCTCATACAGATAGTCAAATACCCGATGTCAGTGGCCTGAGAATGCCCTTGTTACCACAACACTATCGACAAGTGTCAGGTTCAACACGAGGCTGGGACATCCAGGGTAGCTTCCAACTCACCCGATGCAGGGGGAAACGCCACACAAAGTTTGAGCGGACTACATGGGCCGTTCGCCGGCAGTACCGTCTTGGCGACAAGGTATAAGAAATCGCACACTACGCGCTCGCTTATATTAGTCTAGTCTATTTCCACTTAGCATCCCATCCCCTTAAACCTTATCCACAACTGAACACATACAATGTCCTCCATCTCTGCCAACAGACGGCAAAATCATTCCCGCCGGTCAAAGTATACTAGTGTTGCTTGGTACGTCCATCTCTGCTTTTTCTAACTTCATAACCAGTTAATAATACGAAATGTAGCTTTGAATGTCAACGGCGAAAGTCCAAGGTCAGTAAATGGAGCAACCTGATCGGACGCGTCTATCAACGCGACTCTGACAGGAAGTCTTAGTGTTCTGGGGAAAATGAATGTGCTCTTTGCCGAAAACGAAGAGTTCGCTGCGTTTATCCCACACAGGAGAAACGACACCGTAGAACAGACAGAGAACCTTCTACAGTAGTTGGAGAAACGACACAAAACACAGCACCATCCGGCACCTCATCATCATCATCATCATCATCAGCCCCATCAGCGATACCTCATCATCCGAACCACAAAGTCAAAGACCACGAGTTTAAACCTATGGAAACAGAATTTACAACGTTTGATTATTCGAATGAGCCCTCAACAACACCTCTGGCTTTCAATTCGCAATCTGCTACTCTGTCGGGAGATCGGCTTCAACAACTTGAACTTGCATTAAAACTCATCTCCAACATTAGTCCTCATGCATTAGGGGGCTCATCTAGTTCATGGTAAGATATACGCCAACCTTCCTCCAATCTGGAGATTCTTCCAAGACAACATCCAAATTAAAAAAGTCCCCGATTAACAAATTACTTAGGAATCTGAACCCTGGACTGAGTGCACCAATTGATGCATCAACTATTGTACCTAATCCCTTTATCCTCGAAGTTGCAGAACGCATGCCTGACAACGTATCTCTACCATCTCTCCTCGCCGAAACTCGACGTCTACTCGGAGCAGATCCTAGTACTGATCAAATGTATTTATCACGACCCGGCCGTCAACTATCGCCTACAATGGTCCAGCTACCGCGGATGAGTGATATGCGCTGCCTAATTGATGTTTGCAGCCAACGACTCTCAATGTACCTACCGAAAATCGAATATGACGAGAGTAAAGCTATTTTACCTGTTGCAACTAACAGCAATGGAATGAGGAACGTTTTGACAGAATCGAAAGATTTCTTGTTGTTTTCGCAGCTCTACCTCACCATGACTATTGGACAGTGTTTGCTAAGTCAATCATCTGGCCAAGACGTATCGCAAGCCCGATCGTTTTATCATCAGGGCCTATCTCTCGTGAACCAGGTCCCCCCAATCCCAGTTCACTGGCTTGGTCTAGCCAAAGTTCACTGTCTCCGCGCCGTCTACCTACTGCAGGCGGATGAGTTACAGGCAGCGGTCCAGGCCATCTCATCTTCGATCCAATTCGCCTGGCAGTGCAAGCTCAACGATCAAAACGCCTGGACCTCGTGCAATCCCGAGGAACGTCGATCGCGGAAGAGTCTGTGGTGGGCTATCTATCATTTGGAACGACAGATTTCTCAAAAAGTCGGTCAACCTTATAGCATCAATGATAAAGATGTAGCCGTCCATGATCCTTTATCCAGGGAACAGTTAGCACTCTGCCAGGACGTGGAAGTGTTGCCTGTTGGGATTAGCCAGGATGAGTTGTACCTCCAAATGAGTGTGGATATCAGCCGGCTGCGGGGAAACATCTGGGATAAGTTCTTCCGTGCGGGGTGCAAGGCGTCAAATAACGATGAAGAAGTCGAGTTAATGGGACTTCGAATATCAGACTTGCATCGTAGCGTTCCTCAGGTCTTCCAATGGTGTAACAGTGTCTTGGGTAACCAGGACAAGAATTCTGAACCTGACTTGCAAATCTCTCGAAGAATGATAATTCATACGGTAGGATATTGTGAAATTCATCGTAAACTCACGTTACTGACATGTTTTCTTTAGCGATATACCGTTCTTCAACTGTTGGTGAGACAGAGCCCAATGCGTACAGAACAAGTCAGTCTAGAACAGGCAAGGTTTTGCCATGTTTTAGTCAGTGAATTAGTGGAAATTATCACAGCATTCATTACCAACTACACACTGCCTCGGATCAAATCTTTGGCATACTTTATGTCATCAACCCTGGTTGCGTGCTTTTACCACTTGGCAAGGATATTGCGGAATCCACTCTGCGGCGCCGAGCGTCCGGCTACGACGAGAACGTTTTGGAAAGCGATAGAAACCCTCAAGTTGCTCGCTACAACAGTGGAAACTGCCCAACGGGCTCTATCGGTACTCCAAAATCACACGTTAGCAGTTATAGATGACCAATTTGTCAACAATGTCGAGACAGCCAACTTTGCAAGACCCCATGGATATGAGAACGACGCCATACCCATGACTGAGCAATGGCCCAGCTTGTCACCGAGCAGCACCGGCTTGGCACAGTATCTCGCAGGGTATTATCCTAATACAGGGGCAATGGATGTTACTTCGCCAGTGGTTGAAACAACGTTAAACCCTGCCAATTTTGGACAAGTATCAACAAGCAGCTTGGCGAATGGTACCGTTGATACGGGGAAACCTCCATGTCCCTATTTTTACTTGCCATACATTGGCTAAGCGGTTGAAACTGCTACTTCATGGCTTCTTGCATAGTTATAGAAGCTCATCTTTCAAGACTATTCAATACTAAGTAGACTGATTGTCGCTGTTGACGGCATTTCCTAAACCTCCCTCGTCAAAGAAATATAGAAACTTCACTTCACTTGGTTAGTTCCGAATCAGACTCCTCCAAAGCCATCTTGACCAAATCAGTCCTAATAATTCGCCTCTGATAATGACCATTAATCCATGTCCAGTCGCTTCGAGATTCCGCTGTCATTCGAGAAAACATCGTATCTCGTTGCTGTTGTACCTGTCCGCCTGGCAAATGGTACTTGGCTTTATTCTTGACCCCCTTGAACGTTCAAGCTCGAATGTGATAAATCAGCCCGAAGCAAATTTAGGAAGCGCGCAGTGATAAAACACCGAGGGGATGCATTTGACAATTCTATTTTATTCATCTAAAGTATTTACCGCAAGAAGAAGAATTGAACCAGTAAGACAGGGAAGAAATATAACTGCAGGCATTGGCAAGATATGATAGAATAACCAAAAGATTGATTTCACGGCCCAAACGATGGCTTATTAATCTTTGAATCCAACAGCTTAACCCTAAGCTTTGTACCTTGATTTTCTCTTGGAGACATTGGCCCAGCCTCAATGTTACTGCATCAGTGAAACCTTAATCCGTCTCTTCAGGGATAGGAATAGCCCTTCCTCGAATAAGCGAAATGTCATCGAGGTAAAAGATGTAATAAGCGGCCTCGGCGACTTTGATGGTAATGCAAAGATCCGTCTGGTCAATGCTGGGGCCGATATATGAAAAGGTATTCGAGACCTCGTTGAAAGTATTATAACCGATGATGCCTAACTCTCCAGAGTCAGAGCCAGATACTCCATCAACCGTCAATTGAATCTTGTTGGCATTATCTTCGCAAGCGACAATGTTTGAACCAAACGAGAAAATGCAGTATTGAGCCACAGACGCCTTGAAAGTGTACTCAAAGCCCTGCTCAATGGCGACGCGTTGACAGACAATGGCGGCATTGTCAGTGAAGTCTCTAGGCAACGAACTATGGAATGTTAGCGGGGAACGATTTTCAGGGCCAAGGGAATACTCACAGACTCTTGCCTTTTTCGGCGCTAAAGTTCCGCAAAAATGGAGTGGTTCCTATCACCTCCCATGGCTCGATGGTGGAATCTTCGAATCCGCCGTTTTGCACAATGTTTGTAGTCTCAACGGGAGGGCTAGCAGTAGTCGTGGTTACTTCAGTTACTTTACTTGTAGTGTCGGCGGAAGTTGTAGAGGTCTCGAAGGTTGAGAGCGTTGCTGAAGACGTGACGGCGGTGTCAAACTCAGTGGTGGTCAGAGTTTCTTGGGAAGTTGGGCCGAAAGTGGTTGAGAGTTGAGTAGAGAGAGATGCTTCCTCGGTCAGAGAAGTCGAAAGTGTAACAAAAGATTCAACGTCGGTTTGAGACTCAGTCACGGTCGTGGTCTCTTGAGAGGTCAAGCCAGAAGTAGTTGTTGCGAGCGTGGAAGAGGCAGATCTAACATCGGTTTTAGTGTCGACGCCACTGGCCGATGTTATTGTTGTTGGTCGGGGATGGGGAGCGCAAGCCTGGAATTATTGAGCTTTAGAAGGTTTGTGGCATTCGATAACACTTACGCGAGCGGCAACAAGACTAGCGCTCAAGATTAGAGAGCCAAAGGTTGTAGGGACACGCATTGCGACAGATTTACAGTATGTAAAGAGCGACTGAAGGAGAAAGTTAGAACAAACGAGTGTTAATGAATGCGATGAAAAAGATAAGAAAAAAAGGGGAAAAGAAGAAAACAGAGGTTATCTTATTGTCAGGTCATGTCCAGACAAAAGCTGAATAGCCAGCCCAGTCGAAACTATTGATTCCAAAATGCGCTAATTAAACCGAACTGGCTAGCAATTCGATAGTTTCTATACCCCCTCGTGGGTAGCGGAAAAAGCAACTTCCCAGATAGTAGGGTAAAAAAAATAAGTAGTCTACAAGCCATGGTCTAAGGGGCATATAATGACCTACTAATTTCGTGTCTTATGTTTCTAGCAGTTAATTTGTATGCCACCCTAAGGCCCCTGTATCTATACTCATTAAACTATCACTACAGGCACAAATCGCCGCTGATTCGCTTCCCAAGCAGATCATCCCCCACCATATTTGATAGCTATTTATCTATTTGTGTGTTTTGGATTTGAACTCGTGCAAGCATTGTTAAAATTCTCATCTCTCAGCTGCGAATGTGATCAATGTCTTACTAGGCAGACAACATTGAAGGCTTACCCTCGAAAGTAATACAAAGTGCGGGGTACTTTTTACACTTTCTATGGCCCCACCAAAGTCGCGTTATTAAAAGTGAGGTCTGACTGTAGATTATCACGCCGAAACCCCTTCAAATTTTAATCATGACCGAACACTTATGTTCAGACTGCCTGCCATTCGAAGAAACTCTACAAAACTACAGCTCCAACTATAGTACCCGAATTCTGAAGTCGAGCATTACATCTCTCGAACAGTCAGCTAAGCAGGGTTGCCCACTATGTCGAGTGATCTACCAGTCGTTCATCTACGATGAAGGTGTTTCATTCCAAGATACCAATGCACCAATCGAAATCTCAACCAAGGATTCCACTATCGACTCTGACTCCTATAAAAGCCGTCTCGACATATTATCAGTCAAAATTCGACAGCAAAGTTCCACGAATAGCACATACTTGTCCGTCTTATTCAATGATGGAGCGCAAGAACTAGCTTTTGAGGCATACAAGGAACTCGTTGGCCAGCTTCAAGATCCCACTTCTGAAGAAGGCATCGACCATCTCGCTCGCTTGACTTCAACATGGATCACGAACTGTCGAAACACGCACAGTCAGTGCGGACATCAGAATATCCCGCATAGCTTCGATCGCGTGCCCACTAGACTCATCGATGTTGGGACAGATGACAACAGTCAGCCTCCAAAGCTCTTCCTTCCTAGTCAAGGCCAAGCTTCTGAGAATATCGAGTACGTCGCCCTGAGCTATGCTTGGGGCTCAGCCAGCAACCATCCAACTAGAACAAGTGCATCTAACATACAAGAAATGCTCGAGGGTTTGCCTTTTTCTCGACTCCCAAAAACTATACGCGATGCGATTATTTTCACCCGCAAACTAGGCTTTAAATATCTGTGGGTTGATGCACTCTGCATTTTACAAAGTGAGGGTCCTCATGATAGGATCCACAAAGAAGATTGGTCTCACGAGACTAGTCGTTTCGGATACTATTACCGAAATGCGGCCGTCACACTTGCAGCCACTGGAGCCAAGTCTTCGGACTGTGGATTATTCCTATCACGACCTGCATTAGCATTTGATCCAAAACCTGTAATCCTCCAAAGGAAAACGCCCACAGGCCACATCGGAGACATATCAATTCTACCAAAAGTCCCTAGCTGGATCTCTGAGATCAAGAGAGCCCCTTTATACGAGAGAGGCTGGGCTATTCAAGAACGGATCTTGTCTGCACGAGTTGTACACTTTGCAGCTAACATGGTCTTGTGGGAATGTCACGAGTGTCGAGCCACAGAGATCGATACTACTGGAGCAAGCCTCCGGGATGCGAACAGTGGTATGGTTTACGAGGAAGTTTCTGACTTTATGCCCGTATTTCGAAATCTTCAGAGGAACGGCAAGGGAGCCAATCAAGTGATACGCGAGTGGTACAGCTTTATTGAAGGCTATACTGCGGCCAAATTCACGTTTATGGGCGATAGACTCCCTGCATTATCCGGAATTGCTGCTCTGATTCAGAAGTATATTCCTAAGAGATACGGAGCGGGCTTGTGGGAGTCGGCCATACCTGAGGGATTGGCTTGGTTGGTCGATTACGATGAGTTGACTGAGAACACATCGGATCTTACTACTGCATATGGGCCAAGAGAAGACTTTCAGCTGATGTTACCATCTTGGTCCTGGGCCACTAGCAGAGGACCAGTGCGATTCCTCTCATCGCTGGAATCTTGGGAACCATTGCTGAAAATGGAAGACTGGGAAGTCAAGTCGGCAGGAGTAGACACCTCTGGACAGATTCTGGGAGCACGGCTAAGAGTAAGGAGTGCGTTGAAAGTCTTCAGTGCTTTTGACTTAGGGATCAGGATGGCAACTAGGCTCAATTCGAGAGACGGACAAGTTAGTCTGACTCATGCCGCTTCCATGGATGCAGGGTTTAGTCGGCATGACACATACACATGCATATTAGTAGGAACTGCCTACGTTCCCGGATCTGACCGTAAAGAGGGAGTGACGGGTTGCGCGCTCATCCTAGAAGCAACCGGTTGCTCAAGAGGAAGCATCCAGGAGTATAAGAGGGTCGGATTGTCTTGTCTTCCTTTTGAGGATTGGTGGACTAAAGACATGCAAGAGAAGACAATTGAGCTGGTTTAACGAATGAAATTGTGTAGTGGTTATCAGAGAAGTTAGCCTTCTAAGTCTTAGGTTAGAGAAATAAATGACCGAAGGTATGATCTAAATAGCATAAAGTGGCATAATAATTTCGTCTCTTATGCTAACAGCGATCCAGTTTTCTGCTACCCTGAGGCCAGGTAACAGAACTTGCTCTTTCTGCAATGCAAACTACGCCTTGTCCTCAATCCTAATCTCAGAAGTATGCCTAACAACTCCATCAGGTCCATCAAAGATATACGCAATATCCTCCAGCGACGGACCCTTTGTCTCTGGAAAGACAAACCAGACACCAGCGAACTCAACCATAACCCAAACGACAAAAACGACATAAAAGCGCCAAGTGATGTCTTCAAGACCGATGGGCACAGTGAAAGTTGAAAGCATCATGAAGCAAAACTGGACGAAATAGAAGAAAGACAAGCCCTTGGTTCTCATACGATAGGGAAGGATCTCGGGGATGTAAAGGCCCAAATTACCGTTGAAGCCGAGGTTGTAGGCTGGGGAGAAGAGGTAGAGAAATGCCACCACAGTGTAAGCAGCAGCCTTGTTGGTATTGTCTTTGGCGAAGACGGCACTTCCTGCGGTAATGCAAATGTCAATGACCCAGATAGCGGCCAGAGACCATAAAAAGAGCTTGCGACGACCGACCTTGGCGGGCAAAGTAGCGAAGTAGATAGCCGAGAACCAAGATAGCATCTGGTTGGTGGCATTGATAAGAGTTTGCTGGAGGTCCGACTTGAGACCCACCGAGTGCAGAATAGGAGATAGGTAGTACGAGACAAAGGCATTGCCTGACATCTGAGAGCAAATGGCGGCCCAGATCATGATGAACATGCGTTTGCGGTTACCAGCGGTACTGCCAAGATCTCTGAGGAAGGAAAAAATGTTGTTGTGGTCCGACGCCTCGGCACTCAAGGTTTGTAGAATCTCTGTGTATTCGAACTGAACCACGGGATCTAATTCGTCTCCTTCTCCATGATATTTCGCAAGCATTTCCAAGGCCTCTTGGTTACGGCCTTTGCTGATAAGCCATCGAGGAGATTCGGGCACAAACCAGACAAAGAGGAGTTGAATGATCGAGGGGAGACCCTGTAGAGCCGATGGAATACGCCATGATGCTGTGTTGTCGATGCGGAAGGTACCAAAGGTGCACCAACCTGCAATAATGGAACCAATAGAGTAGAATGTCAGGAACAGAGCAGTCGCCGTGCTTCGCTGGTTGGGATGGGCTATCTCAGTAATGTAGGGAGCGCCCACTCCAGCAACAACAACACTTCCTGACCCAATGATAACTCGTGAGATGATGAACATGGCAATGTTAATGGAGGCGCCTTGGAGTGCAGCACCGACACAGCAGAGCGCTGCTCCAAGGGCAATTCCCCATCGCCTTCCATAGGTATCAGCCACAGGCGAAATGGCAAAAGAGCCAAGGATGCCACCGAGTGGGTAGGCAGCATTGAAGAAGCCGAGAAGAGCACCAGTTGGGGACCCGAAGTAAGTCTGCCAATGGGTCACTGACTGGAGACCATTCATCATGCTTCCATCGAAACTGTAATTCTTTATTCAGTATGGCCTTTTGGAGTGGACTGTGGATAAACATACCCTTGCGAAAAGATCGACAGTAGCGGAATGATCATGAGTAGATTGAGAGTACGCAGGTTGGGAAATTTCCACCAACGACTCGTATCCACACACGATGTTGCATCGGCGTTGGCCATATCTTTGGAGGATTCTGGCGCAGACATTATTTGAGTAAAAGACTGTTTGACAAGCCAGGTTGTGTCCAAGTGAGTAGTCTGTGTGCAATCAATGCCATGTCCAAGTCAGCCTATAAATATATGCATGTTTAACCTTGGATTGTAACAGTAGATTCCGCATTCGGATGTAATTGGACCGACGGTGTGTACCCCAGACTCCCAAGTAATCCCACATGATGGGGAACCTGGGGAACGCTAGCTAACTCGAACATGACGGCGTAGTCAGCGGTCATGTTGGCCCGACATAAAAAGGTCAGGGTTCCCCATTATTACCAGCCACTAACCTGACATGCAACACAACACATCCGAAGAGCGGCGCAACATGGTCCGAAGCATGGTATCGTACGTTCTAGACCCTCGCTGCAACTTTGGCAGCTGATTAACTTGTGGTTTTTGTAGATGTGAAAGGTGCAGGCAGCGTAAAGCAAGATGCGGCCGCCAATTACCGGCTTGTGAACGATGCGAGAGCGCACATGTCGGTTGTGATTATACAGGTCGTCGGAAACCGGGGTTTCCAGCTGGCCATCGACAAGAGCTTGAAGACAAGATTGGTTAGTTTTCTTTTTCGATGTCTAAGTCCATCTTAATGCGGTTAGTGCTTGAGTCTGATAATGAACAGAGAAACTGGAAGCAGAGTTGCGCGCTCTTCGCAGTACCTCGGGAACCAACAGCTCCAGTCAAGCCGTTGTACCAGTGGCCCAACAAATATCGCCACTCTCGTCTTCAATCTCTCCCGCGCAACAGATTGCAGCTCCAACATTTGAGCGTACTCGCAGGGTCAAAGAATGTCGCCCTCCCGCTGACCTCGTCGTCTCTCTATCGTCTTTATACTTTCGTCACATCCATCCTTGGTTCCCATTCCTCGATGTACAACGCGTCTTCACTGATCTCGGTTCCACGGATGAACCATCTATGCTTCACCACGCTCTCTTCGGAGTTGCGTTGCCGTACTCTTTCGACTCTCGTTTGGATCAGATCTCAAGCGACTCGTTTTGGAAGTACTCCAAGCGCAAAATCTTTGTCGATGTTCTCGAAGAGCCCTCTTATAGCTCTCTAGAAATAGTGGCTGTTCTTATCCTGGATCTTTCTAGTATGACACATAGTGCACAAGTCTCTGGTCCTCTAGCTGTCGCTACGAGGCTGGCGGTCCAACTGAGAAACACCGACGGTCTAGTTTTCAGAACGTCAGCCGAGTCTGAGACGCATGCAACGCTGAGTAAAAGGGAAGTCATCTTCAGACAGCGATTGTTCTGGGCCCTCTACGCACTCGACTCAACTATCTGTATCACCACCAATTGTATCTCAACATTGAGTGACATTCATGTCCAGCATTTTCTACCAACCCGCGATGCAATCTGGCGAGACAGCTTGCCTGAATTGGGCGAGTCAGCCATGACGCCTGCCTTCATCTTCAGCTATCAGCTAGAACTTTATGACTTGGCTCGAGCAGTGCATAGAGTTGCAATGAACTATACTGATTTCTGCAACGGCCATGATACAGAGCCTTCTTGGCAGCAAGAATTTGAAGCAGCTTCCTCGAAGCTTGACGTTTGGATCAGTTCCATACCGCCTGAGCTCCTGTGGAATGAACGAGATGGCGCTGTTAGCAATGTTCATAAGGCTACACATCCAGCGGTCTTGATGCTGAACGGCTATTTTCACGCACTGATGATATATCTGAATGGCTACATCGCCACGCCAGCACAGGATATCGTCAATCTAGAAACAGATCCTGAGCGTCATCAGCGATCTCAAGAACGCTGTCTTTCTAGTAGTAGAATCGTGGCCGAGATCGTCGCTAAAGCTGGTCTACAGGCAGTCGACAAGCTTGGATGGCCCTTTGCATGGTCTGTATGGGTTGCTGCTCGCTTCCTGATCTCGCAGAGGTATAACACAAGTCAAGATGAGCCAGAAATAAGAGACAGAATATCTGTCTTGTCGCAATTTCTTGATCGAATGAGCCGCTTCTCGCAGATTAGCGCCACCTACGCTCGGCTCCTCCATCAAAGTCTTTCCGAGATTGAAACTAGCGGTATGGAAAGTGGCGCTACTACAAAACAAAACACTGTTCTCCACCTGGTCTCTGACTGGCGGGTCCCAACGTCTCGTTTAGAAGATCATGCTCGCTCAGATCCCATGCTACACGCTGTTGAGAGTCCGAGTCTGACAGACAATAGCACAAACTACACAGATATCCAGCCATTCAATCCATTGCTCCCAGTCTTTTCCAACGATGATTGGATGGACATATCTCAAAGCAGTCCAGATAATTGGTTTCGTGGTCCTTTATTTGCTGCCTCTGCATATCAGAATTTCAACGAGACACGGTCGAATTAATTCTATTGGATAGATAGTTACATAGTCTACCTATTTAACTGCGGACAATAAAACACAATCTCTTTCGAGCCAACCATGATCTTTTCCGACTGTCCAGTGAGTTGTATGTGCACTGGGACTGGCTCGGCTGATCCTTCAATACGCAACTTTACAAGAGTCATTTCACCATCTGATGAGCTCCAAGAAACCTTTACTAAAGCAGTTTTACCCTTTCTGGCAAAAGGTACAGTTGCGTTGAAGGAAGGATACAAGCCGAGCCGCGGCGCGAATCTTATTTGTTCCCAGCCAGGTAGTTCAGGCTTCACACCCGCTACCTCTGCTAAAAACTCGTAAATTGGAGCGCTACCCCAAGCATGACAGTCTGAGCGATGAGAAACGTCGTCTTCTTCCCATGTTGTCAAATTGAGAGCCAGTTGGGCACGCCACGGCTCCCAAAACTTGGTATACAGTTCATCGTACAGGTTGCCTCCTACAATGCTCATAGCGCGTAGGGTGTAGAATGACATCGATATTGACGTTTTGACCAGCGCGTCCTTCGTATCTAGTGAGGTATTGAGTACGTCTCTTAGCAGGGTCTGAGCATCCAGTCCACTGATTGCGCCACTGAGAACTGCCCAAACCTGGCTGTGCTGACTGATGTCACTTTTCCCATCAGATTGAGAAGCCAGACTGTCAGTGAAGTAACGACCATCAAAACAGTGGGCTTTCAATGCATTCGAAATGAGGTCTGCCCTCTGAGAATATTCATAGGCCATATAAGGTCGACCTCTGCAAGCGCTTTGTAAACCTGAAGCCAGGTTCAATGTGTAAGAGTACAGACTGTTGGTATAAGTCGAGATACCTGTCTTTTCGACCGACGGCGGGATGCCATATGGACGCCATTGCTCCGCCCAATCATGGAAGTTCCAGATACCCTCCTCACTCTTCAGAACTACCAAGTCAGTCTCGTGCTGGATGCGAGAGTGAAAGAAGTTGAGAACGGCATCGACAACAGGCAAAAAAGGCTGAATGAAGTCACCGTCATTGTAAAAGGTAAAATGGTCATGGAGCATACAGATCCAATAGAGGGAGAAATTGGGCATAATTTGAAGTTGATTCGACGGTGATCGACTTGCTGTGAGTCCAAGTTGAGGTTGAAACGAGTTGTGTAGCTGGATGATGGCCTGCCTCGCCAAACGATCATCCCCGGATACGTAGTAAGTGAATAGACAAGAGCTCCGCGTATCCATGGCATATTGGAGTTGTTCGTAAAATGGACAATCCTCGTAGCAATCGTGCATACAATTCTGTAGTGTTCGTATACTTGTGTCGTAGAGCTTTTTGGTCTCATCATCGCCTGTGTTGGTACTGACATTTGATAGGACATCCAGGGGATAGCGAACCACCTCAATATCAATGCCTTGCAACGTTAAGCCAGAGGAACCTGCCCATATACTAATCCTCAAGAATCGGAATGATCTCCAATGGAACGGCATGTAGATTTCATTCTTATCTTCGTCTTCGTGATAACCCAGGCCTAAGTTGCCTTCCCGACCTTGAAAAGTGTAGATATCTTGTGGTCCAATCAACAACTTGGTTGTATCAAGTCGATTGCCTTTACGGCGGAGATATGGGATGAAAGTTGGGGTGTCCTCATAACTCTCTGAGTATGTGACAACCATTCTTGCGCCGGGGGACTCAGGACGCTTGAATCGGAAACGGAGAGATGCAGTAGTATGTGACCCAACCTCCAAATCTATCTGGTGTTTGGTGTCAGGTGGTAGCAGCACGGATTTGTCTTTGGCGTCGCAGTTCACTAAGTTTTTCTCCCAAGCTTTGGAGGACAAAGTGCTCTTGACATTGTGAATAGCCTTGAACTGGGAATTGTAACTTTTCATTTGGGGAATAAGACGGGGCGATAACTTCCATGGTGCTGTGACTCCTGTCGAGTTCTGATACTGTAGCAAAATAGCCGGCGACCACTCCAAGGTCTTGGTACCAGCAATCTCCACCGACACCTTTTCGAAAACATGAAGGAAATCATCCTCAGGCTCATCGATGCGCAAATCCACAAATGGATCTACAGCTGTCTCCCATAGGGTACTACTTCGAAGCTGCGGCGACCAAATGGGATCATCGACAGTGGTTGCGATTCGAACACCACCAGATCCCAATCTTGGAAAGCTGGTGCCATATGAAGTCCCATGGAAGAGTCTCAGGACGTGGATTGCTATCTGGTTTTGTCCCAGATGCAGATATTGACTGATGTCGATCTCGTCGTAGAACCAGAGATTGGAATCACCTTTGACAGGCCCATACGCGACAAAATTGCTATTTATGTATAATTTATAGCGTGTGTCAGCGGTGATACTGATCTTGAGGGTTGCCGGAATCTCCTTTTCGACGAGAAGTGTTTTTCGGAAATGCACGAAACGTCCAGCGGTGTTGGGTAAATTCTCATGAAAATTGGCATTCCACATCCATGATGTGTCAACAGTTTCGGCAGCCATTCTCGGGAATGTGGCGTGGCTCAAGGATACATCAGAAAAGACGGTGGCAAAGGAGAAATGAATGTCTCAATACTCAACCATATGTTTATTTGTGCTCGTTATGAGCTTGACCGAACACCCATAGAGGCTGAAAGCATATTCAGGTACTCTAAGGCTGATTTCCGAGACCCCGCGCATGTCACGGACAAACATACACCGATCCTACACTCTTGGCCTGGTCTATCATTTTTTCGCTCGTTGCAAAACGAAGTTAAACGAGATTAAACGAGAGACGAAGCTAAACGAACTGCCTTGCTTGGAATGGCCCCGCTGAGCCCGAAGCTAACGAATGGGTCCCCTGTAAAGTCTGCATTAGCGTATGTGTCTCATTAGCCAGTGTACGGGAAAAGATTGACCTGTTAAACTACATAAAACAGCCTTGACAAAACCAGAGTAGATAAGCTACCCTATGCTAGGTAATAATGAAGACATGAAATTGAATGGTAGTCGCATTGAATTTGGTCGATATCATACAACACCAGGTATTAGAACAGCAATGGAAGTGATTGTGAAAAGTAAATCAATCTGTTTAGCGAAAGGGAGCACCAGTTATTTCAGATGGGCTCAAATTTATTTCTTCACTTCGAGTCCCAATCCACTTCACTGATAAATTGTCACATACGGTTCCGACGCGTCGGTTCCCGTGACATCTGTTACCCTAGACTACAATCCAAGTTCGTTTTGCGGGGAAAATAAAGACGGGGAAAGATATCGCGTCTCGGACTGGCCCTGCTGTCAGGATCAGTCCAGCAACACTTGGATACGCAACGGTGCTAGAGTTCCCGACTGGGGTCAATTGAGCTGATGGTTCAAGGTTAATCGTCAGTAATGGAAGGACTAACCCATCTTTTACACATTCCCGGGCATTCTTTGAAGAAATTGCTGTAACTGCCCCCAATGCTAGCTTCTTTCCTCGTGACTAAAGACTAGTAGCTTCAACGTTATAGTTATTTAATAGACAAGATCCCTTCCGATGATTGACAGTTCAGCATATCTTCAACACTCTCTACTTTCAGTTTTCAGATCATTTATGAAGATGGGTCCCTCTCATTATTTACCGCTTCTCGGTGTGGTCAGCATTGTAGCTGCAGCTCCCAACTACGCTGTACCTGGGACTCAGCCAGATAACGCGGCCAAACTGGATGTTTCACCAGTAGGAGCATCGTGAGACTCATAAACAGTCCAATAATATGTACAGCAACTGACTGAATTCACCAGGTTTGAATTCTTCATGTGGCCTTCCTATGCAACCAATATCTCGTTGACTCTTCCATGCTTGGATCATTTCAACAAGTTGTATGGCAAAAAGATTCCCATCCGCATTGGAGGCACAACACAGGATAGAGCAACCTACGATGCTGCTTTCAAGGGTTATGTTTCATACAAGGTCGACGATCCACTCGATGCGCCAATGAGCCTAACCTATGGACCAAAGTTCTTCGATCTAATTAGTAAGTTTGCTCTTGGTCCGTCTTGCAATACACAGTGCTGACTATTCACTCCTTTAGAGAGCTTTGGGACTGAAACAATTCTCGGTACATTGATCTGCCTCGTTGTCTAGTGCGTAACTAACTTTCTGCAGGACTCAACCGTGGCTTGAACAACAGGACCAACACGTTTGCTGCAGCCTCTATGGCAAAAACCAAGGCAGACGAGAATTTATGGGCATTGGAGCTTGGAAACGAGCCTGACTGTAAAGTCCCTCTCCTTAACAGCTGAATAAATAACCTCCTGTGCTAACCCGCATTTTAGTGTTTTACAAGTACTGGCAGTATCCAGTCGCCCAAGCTCCGTGGAACGAGACACAAGAAGCATTTGATGCAGCTGATTGGGCACAAGACTTAATCAACCACTGGAAGAGTCCTCTTCCCATTCTTGCCGGAGGTGGATATGCCATTCCCTTCCAGATAGAGCCTGGGTGGCCTAATCTACCATACCTGATCAACGAGGCCTATAATACAACAGTGGAAGCGGCGACAAAAGTGTACAATGGACATTTGTATGCTTTTTCAAATGCATCTGCAGACGACTTGGATCTCGAGATGTCACACCAGAGAACAGTGGAGGACTTGAATCTGCTACCGATCTCGACTGCTAAGTCTGTTGGTAGGCCATACATAATCGGTGAGTATATATGATCTACTCGATGCTCTTCAGATGACTGACACGCTGATTGCAGGTGAAACTGGCTTCCACGGACTGGACTACGAAATGGATGCGACTTTTGGCTCTGCTATACAAACAGTTGACAAAACCTTGCGGGCTCTATCTATTGGCACTCAGCGACTATTCTACCATCAAGGTACTATCAATCAAGGTAAGCAAGCTCCACGAACAGTATTGAATAATACCTGGGAAAGCTCACCAATGTTTCAGCCTTTTTCAACTGGTGGCGAAGTGATCAGCTGAACGCAGTTTTCTATGGTGCCTACTTCGGAGCTCTCGCCGTAGCGGATGGTGATCACATCGTGGCGAGCGACGATGGCAGTGACCGATACGCACAGTACATTATCTATCGAAAGAACAAGCCATGCAAACTTGTGTTTGTCAACACTGATTACTACTCAGGAAGCGGTTTGCGCTCGACTACAACATTCACAGCCACTGGACTCAAGAACGGCAAGGCGAAAGCTTTGCGCATGACAGGGCCAAGCAGCGAGACTACGATCCCGCTTAAACAGACCAATCCTAGTCTTGAGCCTAATATTGGAGGTACGTATAAACTCTCGGCCACGTTAAACAATTTACTAAGTTTTCACTGTAGGCCAATACTTTTCAAACCGTGACTGTAGTGTTCGAGGCAGCCAGAGGTTTGAGACATTCAGCATCAAGGAGGGAAAGCTTGTTGTATCTCTCAAAGCGTCAGAGGCTCTTTTAGTTTACTTGTGAAAGATTAGGTAGTGACCCTGTGGATGATGGCGGGGAGGTCATTCTCGATCATGGGTACAAGAAGGACTTAGCGAAATATCGAAAGTAGCAATTCACTGGGATGCCAGCCTTAAAGTAAGAACTGGTGCCTGTTAGACCTATGAATTGCTTATATCTATTTATTCCTTTAACTAATCTGCAAGGTAATTATAAGCATTATATTTACCAACAGGGTCCTGGCCTCAGCTAGAAAAGAGGGGTCGTGCATAATGATTATAAGCAAAGCCACACTCTTTCTTTTCTCTGTAACAATAGAAGACTAAAAACATTGCAAACTTTACTAGTATCTCAGGAAGATATAGACGGAACATCGCCTTTTACCAAATTGACCAACGTGGTCAGCATCTCTAGCCCAAAGCCCTCTCATCATCTCTGTCCCGACTTTTCTATTGCACCCCCGCCTGATGGTCATCTGACACTTGGCTCGATTCTTCAAGGCCTCAATGTCGATGGGGTTGCTCATCCACTCAACCTCAATACCACCATAGAAATCCCAGCGGAAAACATCTTCCCAGGCAGTGGGGCTGACTCGAAGACTGGCTTTACGCGAACTTTGAAGGAACTAAGATCCGTGGACACAAGCATCTGGGCGAAAACCTTACGCCTACCTAATCTGCATTACAATCAGGTTGTAAAAATATCGGGTTTAAAAATTCGAAGCGTTAGGTTCACAGTAAAAAGCTTGCTCTGGCTATGGGAAACGATTGCAGAGCCAGTATTGGTTCATCTTGGCTTGTCGCCAACTACACCCGACAATCAGCCTCGTTTATGGTTAATACCTACTGGTCCTTTAGCCAACTGGCCAATACATGCTGCAGGAGACTTCACAGGGCAAAGACTTGAACCAATTTCAATTTCAGATTATGCTGTTTGTTCTTACAGTACATCTATCCAGGCTTTGGATTCTGCACGAAAACCCATAGCAATGCCTACAACCGCGAGGGCGCTTCTTGTTGAAAACGAAAGATCTCCTTATCTTCCCTCGTCGCAACTGTTCACTTCCCACGAAATATCCGAATTGAGCGCTATTTGCCGGTCACGAGGTCTCGAAGTATTCCAGGCAAAGTACGAAGAGGGCTTTTTACAAGCTTTGGCGAGCTACATCTTGTTTCACTTTTCAGGCAGTTTCACTAATATTGACGGAGATCCATTGAGGAGCCGGTTCTCGCTCACGAAAGGCTTAATCACGGTGAAGGATATTTTAGAGGTCATCCCGCGGCCTCGTTCTCCTCCATATCTTGCTTATCTTTCCAGTTGTGATACATCGAGAACGTTTAAAATAGAATTTGCCAATGAATGTCTTCATGCAGCTGGTGCTCTCTACATGGGAGGTTTCCGTCATACTATAGGAACATTAGGTGCAGTCGAGGACGAGTTTTGCGACGAGATCTCGGGTAGATTCTATAGAGCTTGGGCAGATAGAGGATTCTCGGATGATGCTGTGGCATTATGTCTTAACGACGTGGCCCGACAATGTAGGAATCTGGGGATTGGTGGGAAATTTACAGACGATGGCATTAATCTCGGGGATGACAATGATGATAAGAAAGAAATGGACTGGGCTTCATTTATTCATTTTGGGCCATGAACATCAGACAAGTACAAAAAGAAAAAAGTTAATGTTGGAAAATTAAATACTTCCGAGTATAAGATAACATGCTGCCATACCATGTGAGGAGATGCGGACTGGGGTTGTCTCTAGCCTGCGCCTTGACTTGGCTTCTCACAGAAATAAGAGAAGTTCTACATTCCTATAATTGCGAGAGGATGGTATTTGATAGCGACAGTCACCAGGGCTTGATGATATCCAGTGGAACATTGATATTTTCCTCAAAAGAAAAGGTATGAATCCCTGAAATTGAAACTTCCATTAAAACTTGCCAAACCCGTAGAATTACCCTTCCAGACCCGCCTTTCCATAGTCACTATCCTGAATCTCAACCCAATATGCCAACTGTAAGGTGTTGACCTCTTCTGTTCATCTGAACTCCACGGTTAACTGTGCGGAATGACAATCTGGCATTAATGCAACACTTCAGTAACAGGCTGAGCCGTCTTGGAATGATAAGCAGAGTCATCCGAAATATCGGCTCCTGTAGCGACTGAGTAGTACACCTTTGGCGCACGGTTGAAGACGAGGCCAGGATGGGCTACAAACAGGCAAAAGACTGCTACAACAATCAAACTACATAAGGCTATTAGCTCAAGTCCAAAAGGTGTCTATATAGGCCAATAATAAACTTACACTCCCTCCAATGCAATGAAGAGATCTTCATGTTTGATCAACTCTCCTTGATAACCTTCTTTGAGTTCATCCGCACGGAAGATACATCGTGCCAAAGTTGCGAGTACGGCGATAGCAAGGAAGGCAAAGAACAGCGTATCCCTTGATCCAAGAGTTCTGGACGTTTTGTGCCCCAGATACCTGATCATATAGTCGGCAAACAAGACACTGAATGCCACAAGCATGATGACTTGCAGAATGAGACCTGCCATGGCGACATCGACTCCCACCTGACTAGCTCCCGAAGAAGAGGCAGACAAGCCTCCGCCAGTGCCTTGTAAAATTAGAGAGACAATATCCATAGGCACAAATACCCAGGCAAAGTATTTGGTGGGAAAGCGAGCAAGACTTGGACCGTAGTGTTCGATACTGGTGCAAAGTTAGAAGCTGATCATGGTCAGTCAGGTGCAACTCACCTTTGGCCGAGAGTGACGTATATTGCTGCACAGTAAAAAACAGGTGCTTGGGTAATGGCAACTATGACAAGTCAGCAACCTCATCAAGTAGCCTCCAATAGTGAATACTTACTGATTTGGGTAATGAAAGCTCCGAAGCTCCATGGATTTACCCACAAGAGAATACGTGCAACGTAGCCTACTACCTCATGTGTGCAGCTCAAGATCATGCACCACATGAACCAAGGTGTCTTCCATCGGAAACCAAGATAGGCGTGTATAATAGTGGCGAGTGTGAACAGAGCCGCAAAAGATACATTAGCAGCGAGGGAAGGTCGGTAAGCATATACACTCATTTCGACTGGACAAAGCTGTGTGGCTGGTTAGTACAAGATATCCTAAGTCCAAGGGTACAGCTTCAGCCGACGAGCTGTCAGACGTCTGAGGATGTTAACATACGTCTAAAGTACAGTTGGCCTTTGGCCCAAACATGATGAAATTCCCAGTATCGTTCATGTTGCGGGGATGTGTTTGAGATATCACAGTAGGTGAGTCGTGTTTGAAAATATGGGGAAATTGTGATGGGAAGCTCAATGGAAAATATTCATGAGATTCATTTGGCTCTTATATCATGCGTTGATCTACAAAACACTGCCTCTTTCGCATTCGCATAGAATATCCAACAACACATAGATGCTAACCATCTTGTTCGTTACGCGCTAATAAGACGAAGGATTATTTTGTGTCAGCATTAGTGAAACATGGATTCTCAAGGAGCCGATCCCTTGAGACCTTATCGTCAACTTATTCTTAAAAGCATATGGGCTTTGACGTATTATTGGCTATATAGTAATTACAAATTGGCGTGAACGTGGCTGAGTGATAGACAAGGGACTGTCGAGTTCCAGCATCAAGGATGGATCGACGACCGTGTAGCACTACCTTGCGAGGATCAACAAAGACATACCTGGGTTTATGAAGAAAGAGCGTAGTGTGCTAAGTAGAATTTAGGATCTGTGGGGCTGGGTGGTACAAGTTAGCTTTGCGAATCGACCAATCCCTATGGACCTGGCCTATCCTAGGACCAAGAAGTAGAACAAATACTGGCGGGGCGCAGAGGTGCCTGGATCTAATGTCACACGGAAGTTTTCGCCTGAATATTTCACTGAAACAGTGATATATCATTAGATCCAGCTTCTTTTTACCTTGGGTTTTTGAAGTTCTAACTATGCAAAATGTGTCTAGCAGTACCGACTTGGTCTATGAGGGATGAACATCTGTAAAACGCTGATGGCGATGGGAGTATTTATGAAAATAGTGAAGTTTACAGACTGGTAGGATCTGCCAAAAACGAAGACCGAGCTAACGATGTGCCACGACTGTAGATCAGATCTCTAGCCAATTGGAAGTCAATGACACTGATGGGACCCAGCAAGGTTGATGCATCAGCTTAGACCCTAGTCGCGGGACACTCTAACTGTATTTAGTTAGCCATGCGGTGCAGCCAATCAGCAAAGACAATGTCAATTTGAAGGATTCCAGCCTGAAGAATAAGCTTAATTTTGATATAGCATAAACGAAGGATGCGTGCGGAGATACAAGTTTGTCTTGAGTAGGCCTTACCGTCACCCAGTTTTAGTTTTTCGGAATTCTTTTGCCTTGCCAAGACTCAATCGCCAACTGGTACTAGAACGATAGATTTTTGCATGTCACAATGACAAGAAGAGTGTTAACATACTGCATTGTGTCTCAATTTGGGTGCCATTCTCCGAGTAAAAAGGTGTCTTCATTCGAAAACGCAAACTCCTGCATATCCTTTTGAAGCAAATCGGCCATTGACAACGCCACCTGCAACCCCATTTGTTTACCTACTTGACGGATTATTCCTGCCGCCCATAGTCTTTGATCTGTACAAGAGGTCCTCTGAATAGCGGCAAAGAACAATGGCCAGAGGAGTAGAAAACCTCCTGCTGCTGGTTTATCCTCCTCACGCATGACTTTTGGAAGACGTATTATATCATCATGGTGTTGGTGCCCTAAGTGATATGCAGCACTGTGGCAAATCCCATCCGCCATACTCTTCAGCATTTTGAAGGAACATTGTAAAGATTCCTTTTGTTCTTGACTGCCATACTTAAGTGTGGCTACAATGATCGACTCGTGGATGAGCATTCGCGCATTGCGGTAAGAGTTCCATATGCAAGCAATCCAAGGATCATTATAGATGTCGTATTGGAGATCATATCTACTCGAAGGAACCCCATTGGGTCCGATAGATCGATATGATTTGTACTCCCAGATAGGTGGCAGCTCCTCTGCCCATTGTCCCATCATAATGTCAAACGGAAGGAGACGTTTGGAGATAACCTCAGGGTCGGTGATACCTTGATATTTCAGCTCGGCTCGAGCACTAGCCAGAGCTTCATTAATCTGCGAAAGTTTGTTTACAGGAATAAACGCTTCAGGCTGGTACGGTTCAGCCCATAGTGACCATTTTGACACTTCGAAAGGGAAGGGTTCTTGGAGTTGATGGCACGTGGTAATCTAGCGGTAGGTAAGTAAATGAATGCATAACAGAGACATCGACGTACCATGTTGCGCCGCATCTGCATGAACAGCTTCACACCGGCCGCCGTTCGAAATTGTTCTGGGCCACGCATCTCAATGCATCGGGCCGCCGCAATAATATGTTGACTAAAGGCCTTCATTGAGGTTGAGTCTGGAAATGCAATTGTCTAGCATTGTTAGCGTCCGTTACCATCATTGAGTCCAGGGTAAGAAGTGGTCTACCTCAAAAGTTCCCATCAACAGAACTGCTCCAAGTGTCTCATCCGAAACTCTTTGAACCGGATCTTGAAGAGCGTGTTGCATCTGGACAATTGCAATTTGATAGAGCCGGAATGACTCTGAGCGCCACTCTGCAACATTTCCAGCGTTAGAAAGGGCAGCATATCCAGCCGCTGCCAGAACAGTACTGAGTAACCCAAATGGAGACTCTTCTTTTCGGATCAATATTGGCAGATATTCATGATTATCTCTGAGTGGAAACGAGCCGTTCTCAGATATTGTGTCAAAAATGTACTGTCTCATGAAAAAGGTCGTAGCTCTGTCTCTTGCTGGATAAGACAAAGGTCGCTTCCAGGTCTCGGGTTCCCTGGACCTTCCACCCATCGGTGTCACTGCAACAGACTCATTACTTCCACCATTCTTTCGTGCTATATCCGTGGTAGTTTGATGGCGAAAAAAGGCCCCGGGATTGGATGGACCTGGGCACGCCCATCCCGCTTTCTTGCATTGCGTGCATGTTGGCGTCAACTGATCGCACTGAGTGAAGTGAGTCTGACTGTTACTGCTCATGAATGTGCTGAAACTTACTTTGATTTTTCGTTTCTTACATATGGCACAACCACGACTCGGTTGTCCTGGATTGACCATGTCTGGTTACTAGTCAGGTTTATAAGGTAAAGTTGGTATCTCACTTGTTTCAAAATACGACCTCGAGAATACCAGAGTTAACGGGGTATTGTTATTCCGCTCCACGCCATTGACTTCTACTCCGATAACACTACTCTATGATATCTAGATTGTTATAGTGTTAAATACCTACTTCTAGGGCTAGGAGTACTGGAGGTAATGTAAGAGCTATGAACGATTGACCTGTAATAAATGATTAACCTGTTAATAATTTGGAAAGGGCTCATATGAGCTACTATCACTCACGGTATAACTAAAAAGCCAAGAATGGTAGAATTCCGAGCTCTTATCTAAATTCGGGAGGATTCTTTTTATAAAATACGCATAAAAGTCTTATCCTGAAAACCAAGGACTAAAACTTACTGTTATAACTGGTGGCTGTCCTATCAACATGTGACATGGCTGTTGTTAGCACGTGACATGACTATCGCATCCGACTAAACAGTCATAGCCAATTTCAGTTGGATTAAACATGACGGTTGTAACTCAAAATTCCCATTTAGGTTGGTTTCGTGGTCTAACGGTTATGACTGCGGATTCTGATTCCGCCAGCGAGGGTTCGACTCCCTCCGAGACCTTATTTTTTACAATTGTCACAGGGCTCTTAGTTCGATATAGAGTTTTATTAAAAGCTTAGCGTCGTCTCTGTATTTGTTGTTACTGGAAGGTTACTGTTTAAAGCATTTGATTTCTTGTTTAGATATGGAATGTCTTGTTACTGTATAGTTATCCAGTAATAAACTGTATTTACAAGGATGAATTAATATCTACAAATATGCCATAATGAGCCAATATCGGCACAATGCCACGGACAATAAGATCCCATCTAGTTGCATCGTCCGAATCCGCGTTGACTAAAAATTCAATTAGTATGAGTGCTTGATGTGGAGAATATGTGAAGAAACTTACCATCCAGATCCACAATGGGTTGATGTGCCACACCAGCCTTGAGCACTACAGCACTGACCATTGAATGGACCACCAGCACATGTGAGACCAGCCTTGCTACCACAAGAGCCATCTGTAGTTGGAATGTCCTTGGTCAGACAGCCACTGGATGCACCCTTCTGGCAACCCTGGCCGCAGTGAGATCCGGTGCTTCCACAGTAACCATTGGAAGAACAACAGTTTCCAAGACCAGAGCCAGCACAGGTTCTACCATTCCTGGAACCACACTCCGAGTCGGCGGAGATACCAGGGCAGAGACCATAAGCAAGCTGGCATCCTGCGCGACAAAAGTCATCTCCCTTTCCACAGTATCCGTGCTGAGAACAGCAATCGCCAAACACGCTGCCCTTGCATGTTTTTCCGTTCTTACCACAGCTTCCGTCGGTAGAGATGTTGTCAGAACCAGCCTTGCAAGTACCAAATTGGGGTTGGCAGCCTGCTTCACAGTGGTTTGTCTTACCACAGTAGCCCTGGGCAGAACAGCAATCACCGTAAGTGCTTCCCTTGCAAGTCTTGCCATTCTTGCCGCAGAAGCCATCGGTGGAGATGTTGCTTGCTTCGTTGTTGCAAGTACCAAACTTGGACTGACAGCCAGCATCACAGTGAGTAGTCTTGCCGCACCAGTCACCAATGGAACAACAGTCACCAAAGGTGCTACCCTTGCAAGTCTTGCCATTGAAGCCTCCGCAACGACCATCAGTGGAGACGTTGTCGGAACCAGCCTTGCAAGTACCAAATTTGGGTTGACATCCTGCTTCACAGTGGTCTGTCTTACCACAGTAGCCCTCGGCAGAGCAACAGTCTCCATAAGTGCTTCCCTTGCAGGTTTTACCATTCTTACCGCAAAAGCCATCTGTGGAAATGTTGGTCTCAGCATCACAATCTCCGAACTTGGACTGACAACCAGCAGTGCAGAAACCATCACCCTTGCCACAGTAGCCATCAGCAGAACAACAGTCTCCCCATGAGCTACCCTTGCATATCTTGCCGTTCTTTCCACAGGAGCCGTCGGTTGAGACATTTTCAGCATTGGTCAGAGTGCATTTTCCAAAGCCATTCTGGCAGCCAGCACCACAGAAGTCTTCCTTTTCACCACACCATCCAGTGCTGGAGCAGCAATCGCCGAAGCCAGAGCCAGGGCAAATCTTGCCGTTAGCGCCGCACTGGCCGTTGGCAGTGATGTTTGAAGGAGGACCACAGGTACCAAAGGTAGGGAGGCAGTCATTACCGCAGTGGGCGGTGGAGTTACCACACCAGCCCTGGAGAGAGCAACAGTCTCCAAAGGTGCTTCCACCACAGACAAACTTGTTGGTACCACCACAAGAACCATCCGGAGATACACTTCCAGGACCTGGAGGTTTTTCAGGAGCGGGTGCAGCAGCGTTGCAGTTGCCAGCAATAGATTGGCTAGTAGACAATGAGTATGGAGTAGCATAGTAGAGAGAGGTGTAACTTACCATCCTTCGCCACAGAACTTGCTGGACCGACCACATTGTCCATCTTTAGAGCAACAAGCACCCCAGGTAGGACTGCAGACAAAGCCAGTGCTTCCTCCACAAGTACCATCAGGAGTGACTTCTCCAGTCTGCCATGGTGATAAAGTGACAGTTGCAGACTGGGCTGCGGCAAGGGCGGGCAAAAGCCAGAAGAGTCCAGAGGCCTTCATAGTGAACGAATGATGATGGGAAACCAATGGAAATCTCAGTAGAGAGGTAGTATCAAGCAACGAAACTAAATGGAACTATTCTAGATCCTATATACTATTCCAGTGTATGTACTGGAACATAAGCATAGTATTTGCTTTTATGGGTCTATATTCTTAGTTTATCCGCAGGATCCGTAAGTGATCTAGAACTGAAAAACGTTTTCCATCATCCTTGTCTTATTATTTTTTCCTTCGGCATGTCGGCTGGTGCTCTAATGGGACAGGCTCGGAGGATAGTGTGCGCATAATCCCTGTCGCTCGGAGATATCTCCACTACCGTGGTATTGGGGGCTATGGGATCGGGCTATGCGAATGGCCCGAGTTGACCACATGAGCTTAGTCTCAAGAATCTGATTCGGCGAGATAGATCCTATTAAGAAGGTCACTTCATCCTTCAAGATTTAGCCCCGGCTCATGGGCTCATGCTGCAGCATGTGAATGAGCGTTTTAACTTAGGAACATTCGGGATCCCTTCGCTTGAAGAACTCAATCGAGACTAGAACGACAAGCATTCAGATCCCATCGGTTCCTTCCAGGCACCGCCCGAGGTCTAGACCCGCTCGAGAGCCATATTTTTCTGTGCCTTACTTTTTCATAATTCGTGGATATAAGAAATTCTGGGAATATGTCGATTTAAGATTAACTCGTATCCATCCTTTCACTATAGTTAGCGGTATGGTAGCAATAGAAAATTTAGAATTTCTGATGTGAAGGCTGAGTTTTCTTTAGCCTTGCCGTTTTGAAATGTGCTCTCCGAAGAAGGATCTAGCCTCGTAACGTAACATGATGGCAAGTCGGTGAGTTATGTAAAAATAATCTACAAGGATAGTAAGACCATGAGACGAGCTGGTTTCTGCTTTGATGAATTTGCAACGAGCCTGTATATAGATACTCATATCTAGTTCCCCTCTGATATTATCAGAATTCACGGCAAATACGGTTCGTTGTTATTATCAGTGACCATGGTGCTGCGACTCGCGAGTATCGCCTTTTTGGCGGTTGCTCTTTGTTTCTTATGCTTTGCAACCTTGACCAACGCCGACAACACTTTTCAACCACGTGGTAGCCGTGCCCACCTCCATCGTCGGGCCAATGTCATCAGTAAGATATCTTTACCAAATTCAACTTCAGGCCCCACAAGACCACTTCTAACAAAGCAAAAAGCCAAGGCACCTTCATGGACCAAGAAGATCACCCATAGCCCGGGTCACCAGAACCCTGCCAAAGCCCCGCCAAACCCCACTGAAGATCTCGAGCTCTCCAGCGATTCAGCTGTTAGCCTTGATCAGTACTACAAAGATGCTGCTAATGCTACTGAGTCTTCTGCTGGAGTTACTCCTAACAAGTCTGGTCTCTCACGCCGTTCTCTTGAGAGGCGCGGTGACGGTCCCCTCTATTGCAAGGACCGACCTTGCCCTGATGACAGGTGGGTTGACATAGTATTATGCTGTAATGTCCATAACTGACTGTTGATAGCTGCTGTGGTCCCAAAGGAATCTGTGGCTATGGACCTGACTACTGTGGTGATGGATGCACATCCAACTGTGATGCTACGGCCATGTGTGGAGAGTATAGTGAAGAGGGTGAGATGCCTTGCGGTATGAACCTCTGCTGTTCTGCCACCGGTTGGTGTGGTGTAAGTCTCTTTGTTAACTGACTATTACTAACAGGTAGCTAACTCTATATATTAGACCACAGAATTGTTCTGCGATAACGCTGATCCCCTACATAAAACTTTGCCCTGCCAAGCCGGTTATGGAGGCTGCAACATCGTCTCATCTCCTTCATGCGCAAAGGGAGGTGGCAGCACAAACGGACGAACGATCGGATACTATCAGTCTTGGAACGTTCGTGCCCGTAAGTGTGACACCAAGACCCCCAAACAGCTCAACACCGAAGGCTACACTCACCTCTTTTACTCTTTTGCTTTTATCGATCCTGTTTCGTTCAAGGTCACCCCAGCTCACAATGACGATATCGACCAAATGCGTGAGTTTACCAACCTCTCCAAGGGTGGCAAGCTCCAAACTTGGATCGCCATTGGTGGCTTTGACATGAGCAACGAGGAAGCTCCTACTCATACCACTTGGAGTGACATGGTCTCTACCAAGGCTAACCGAGCTGCTTTCATTGAATCTGTTCGCTCTTATATGGATGAGTATGGCTTCCAGGGTGTTGATCTCGATTGGGAGTATCCTGGTGAGCCCAAGCGTGGCGGCCGAAAGCTTGCTGATACTCGTAATTTCTCTATGCTGCTCAAGGAAATGCGAGCTGCCTACGGTAGCAAGTACGGCATTAGCTTGACTTTGGCTCCTGACTACTGGTATCTTCGTTGGTTTGATGCAAAGGCTATGGAGCCTTATGTGGATTTCTTTGGATTCATGGCCTACGGTAAGTTTGAGCGATATCTCGTCTTTCCTGTATGCTAACATTTGAAACAGATCTACACGGCTACTGGGATGAAGATGTCAAGACTCTCGGCAAGATCATCCGTGGTCAAGCCGACATTCGCGAGATTGACAAAAACACCATCCCTCTCTGGTTCGGCGGCTTAGACCCAAAGAAGATCAACTTTGGTCTCGCCTTGTACGGACGTGGTTATACCGTCGCTGACAAGAGCTGCAATGACCTCGAATGCTCATTCGCCGGCCCTAGTAAGAAGGGAGAGTGCACTGACTCTGATGGCGTTATGTCACTTGGTGAGATCAAGAGACTGATCAAGGAGGGCACTGTCAAGTCTGTTTATAACAAGGAGACGATGATGAAGCAAATTACCTGGGATGATCAGTGGATTGGATATGATGGTATGTTTCCAAATCAACTTCTGTTGTTACACAACTAACATGTCAGACGAGGAAACCTTTGCTGATAAAAAGGCTTGGGCTGATGGTTACTGCTTCGGAGGTACCATGGTTTGGAGCATTGATTTCCAGGAGTAAGCCATAACCACTCCAGTGGTTCATTTGAGGTAGCTGACATAGCCACAGGTCTGACGATGGCAGCGACACGGGACCCATCAAAGTCCCTGGTGATGCCAACACCGGGGGGCCCATCAAAGGCGGTAGCGGCAGCGGCAAAGAAATGGCTGATGGTACCCATAAGAATACCCCCTTCACAGGATTTCGCGGTTGCACAGTTGACCAAAAGACGAGCATCACCCAAAGCTGGTGGGATACTGTCGAATTGGTCAGAATGGGTGTCGCTACTGACTTTAACAAGAAGCCGGGGACATTAGAAAGCCGAGTCTTTGGTTTTGATGTGAACGAAAGAGAGGGTGCTGGTAACTTTATCAACAGTGAGCTACTACAGCCCCAGTCACTACTCCATGATATGCTAACTTTTGTCATCAGTGATCTACGGAAATATCTTCAAGCTTTACACTGACAAGGTCTACGGAAAGATCCACATGAGCTGTGTGGACGTCAAACAGGAACACAGAACAACACAGACCTCGTGTGCCAGTGAAGTCCGCTTAGGCGAAGTTGGTGGATACGCCTTCTCATACAGCGAGGAGCTCGAAGACCAATATATTGTCATGTGCAAGCCATTCTTCCTGCCAGGCCAGGAACTGCTTCAGGCCTTACGTAAGGAGATAGCAAGCAACGAGGGGTATAAGAAGGATCCGCATCAGATGAACGGCAAAACTAGAATGCTACTCCACGAAATCACGCATTTAGCTGCTATGTCTGAGACGAAAGAAAGTAAGCTACTCTAACCATCTCTTGCTGTAATACACGTTACTCACGAAAGAACAGTGGTTGTCAAGGACCAAGACCTGCGTCCAGAGGCGAACGTCCCCGAAAGGGTGTACGGACCGGTACTCGTTCAGAGAATGGGGATGCATAAATTAGAGTCTGTGCGAGATCGTACACAATTAAACGGTATGTGGAGCTGCGGCCTGAAATATCTCCTTATTAACATTGTTTTGCAGCGGATTCCTACGCCTTGTACGCTTCGTGGAAGTACTTCGAGGCTCTTTTCGGAACGCCTGATGCCGTTGTGGTGCCAAGGGATGAAGACGATGGTGTATCTGATACACTTGTTTGCGCTCCAACCGACACTAACGGCCCTGTTCTTAGCCGAGACAACGCCAAAGCTGATATCGATAAGTGGTGTGACTCTTTGAACCAAGGAACAATCAGCCAAGATGACACCCGCAAGGAGTATGTCAAGTCTTACGGTAGTCCTGGAAAGAAATACACGGATCTTGTCTACAGCGCCAACTGGGTTAAAGACGTTAAAGGCGATGGATGCCCTAGTAGAACCAGAGGCACAGAACCGAAGCACTGCAAGAAGGCTATGTACGAGGTATTGGATTCGTGTGGTAAGAAAGATGGAATGGATGGCGGGTCGTCGAGATATGGTGGAAGTCAGCAGGGAGATGAGCAGTGTGTGATTTGGAAGATTGAGATAATTGATCTTGGTATTCAGGGTTGAGGGAGAGAGGCCATCTAAATACATTTTCTGCGTTCGAAGCTACCATGATGACCATATCTAAATGCTTACAGCAATAAACACTGCCAAAGCCAATGTCCCAATACCCATGATACTCAATGGGCGGCCTGGTACTGAAGCCGCACTAGTTTCTTTTGCTGAGTATGTCCAGACTTGCGACATGTTCATACCAGTATCCTCAAGCTGGCGGATAAAGTAATTGTCAAAACTTTTGGATCCCGACTTTTCATATCCCGCTACAAATGTAGTCGGTAGTTCGCACCAAAGAGTGCATCTGTAGACGTTGACCATGTTTGGATAACAAATCTCAGTCATTCCCCCGTAGGAGTCGTTGTGCAAGGGGATCCATGCTGTTGGTACATCATCTCCAAGAGATGGCAGTTTGCTAGGTATTCTTCGTATATCGCATTTTCTAGTGACAATATCGGTGAGGTTGGGAAGTGAGTTATTCGACGACATCTTGAAGGGCTTGGGTTTGACGATAAATGCAATTGATCTTCAGTGAATCTTATCTGAACGATAATAGTTGTGCGATGTCGCAATGTGCCACAAGAAATGGATGGTAATCAAGCTGATGAAGATCTGGTTATTAGAACTTAATTTGATGGGGTTGTTTTCAAAATTTCCTAGCTTGAGTCGTGCAGCTTTGTCAGGAAATGTAGGGTTATCAGAACTTAATTAAATAACCTTATTATCTACTCTAAACTCTCTACAGCGGCGCATATAGCCCGAGATAGGAATAGGCCGAGTGACATCACTAGAATGGGGTAAAACCATGGTTCTAGCTCTTGGCGCCAGCTACGCCTCACTAAGATCTACATCGAACACCAATAGTAAAAGCTGATGACTGAAGAGGAGCTGAAAACATCAATTTGAGGGAGGGGACAAGGCTGAAAAATGATCGTCACGCAAATGAGGGAAGCCAAGGACGAAGACCAGTAATCATTATTTTAAGCAGCCTACAGATAGGACACCATCAGAGTACCAGAAAATTTGACCACTGTAAGCATAACAGATGAAATTAGTGGGACAGTTTATGCTCCTGAGACCATATTTCTTAGACTACTTATTTTTATACCTTAAGACTTAGGACACCAGTCGTCCATGTTCCTTGTCCAGTATCACTTCCACCACTATAGCCGGCATAGTCGCCAATCATTTCGATAATGTTGACCAGAGCATCTTTGGAAATGATGGTCACCTAAATAGTAACCTCTTCATTTACCTCTTCAGTCTTTTGGGATAAGTAGCAGGTACAACGTTGCTTATGGAAGCGCCAGTCTCTCTCTTCTTTTTTCTTGTAACACGCAAACTCTACGCGTGCGCCCCAACCAGTCCATTTGGGGTACCTTTCCATGGAAACCCATTTTGAGCTGGGTCCAACAATCGGTCCATACTTCCAGCCTGATTCCGTGGCTTGACTCTTTTCGTAGCAGTACATAGGCCCATCCAATTCTTCTGTATCGCTGGCTGTTGATGCAACAGGATCTGGCTGCGGGCCAAAAACAGCGTCTTCGCGTTGTTCCAAGAACATTGCAAAGTCTACGGCTACTTCGAGTCTTGTTCTGACGCCGTGCATACCACGGATTACAACTTTCTCAACTTCGTTCTCGACAGACTCGAAGGAAATTGGACTGCTTAGACCATCGTTTTCGCCGGTAAGAAGTATCAGTGCCGTCATAGTGGAGATGTCCTCAATGGAGCTGCAATTGCAATAGCTTTTAGCCGGTATGACGATGAGAAGCGCCTTGAATACGGCTGTTATGGTGTAGAACTGTCTTGGCGGAAGGTTAAGCAGTCGCGTGTGTATAGTTGAACGTAAGCCCATAGCTACATCCATAGAAGTGGCTTCGCCACTTGACTCGGGCTGGTTACAGACCTCAACAACCTTTGTAATGAATTGTCCTCGCTCAATTTCCGATCGATAAGGTCGAAACCACATCTTATAGAGATAGTTGTGAAGAGTAATGAAAAATGGCCAAGCGAGTCCATATGTCTTCTTGTCACCTCGAAGCATATATATGGGAACAGTCTTGTTAAAGAAATCCAGAGCCCGGTAGCGTTCGAGTTGTGGTAGCTCAGCCATCGTCAGTGGATGGTTGGCCGGGGTTGTATATAGTGTCGCCCTATGCTGCGATTCAAGTATTCCTCGAAGGTGATGTAAAATTTCATGGGCTTCCAGATGCATCTCAGCATTAAGCCTCGGATAGACATTATCGCTCGGCTCGTACGGGGCAACGTAAGGAGGAAGTTAATCCCTTGATGACGAGGCGGTAGCGGGGCAATGTTTTCAACGTCTTCGAGGCATGTTGAAGTCGCGCATACGTGAGCGTTGGGTGATGTGTTGGGGGAGGAATGCCGCGGGGAGGGGCCGACTCTTCTATGGTAGATAACGCATAAACTTAAAGGTGGCTCAGCATGAGTAAGCTTCCAAAGTTTCATCACGGTATGAGTAACTGAACAACACTAACTCTGATCAACTATCTTAGGGATCAGTAGGTTTGACCTTATCCGTGTTATCATTTATGATCCAGGACATCTGTGTGGTTCATTTTCGGCTTCTGGTCTGGAACCTAGTTTACACAGGATATATCGTTTAAATATCTTATTTAATAGCAAACCTCTAGAGCGGTCTCAACGTTGCATCTACCATGACCTAGGAACCTTTCCCACGCCTACCCTAGCAGAACCTTGTCAGTTAGTCGATGTTTATATCTATTGCTAGCCGGTTTCAGTGGTTCATAGAACGTAGCGAGATATAAGTCCTTGTCTTGTCTTGAACAACTACAAGAGATAGAATGTAGGTCTTCAAGTGTTGGTGTCTAGCTAGCACTCCAATTATATCCCAAAGACATCTTAAAATGGTCCTTCACATGGCGCCTTCATTAGGTATGCCTTCACTGCACCTCTGTCTGTTTGTTCTTAGCAACGTATAGAACACGAATGGATACCGCTGATTTCTCCATAACTCATCTGATGGCCATCGCTGCTGGAGTTATTTTGTGCACCTTATTTGGTTCGATCTTATAGCAACTAATTTGGGTATATCTGCCAAAACAATAGTGTCTTTCTTTTTTTGCTCAATTGATTACATCTAGAATAAATTTCTCGATATTCTCTAGTTAAAATTCATTAGAACTTTTTGGTTCAGAAATAGTCAGTCAATGTCTACAGAGCATAAATGCTCAGAACTTTATGGTGTGAAGGCTATATCTGTAACTGCACTCGCGGGGTTTGAAGACTTGGCTGCTGGGGTACAGGGGAAATAATTATTAGGTCAGTTTATGCTATCTGGACGATACTTGTTCAACTATGTTTTTTTCACCCCGAAGCCGCGGGAAGTCAACTTTCCCAAGACGCACTAATGTGCCAAGGTTCGCATACGACGTAATTTTATAAAGATGGGTCTTGCACCAATAGGATGGAAGCTGGACCTGCAGATCATATAAACTTGATAAGGAAGCTCGTATTGAGCTTGGTCTCCTGACTTCAACAGCGTCGTATTGACAGAGAAAACCATTTATATACAGAGCATATTTCCTTGCACAACTTTGATTCCTGGAGATATCGCAAAGCCGTCTTCAATTATCAACAATGACTGGTTTCCCTCTCCGAAATGCTCTGATTGCAGCTGTCGCTTTTGGCCCAGCTTCAACCGCGACCAAGACACCTTCCGGGGTTATCGCCATCCCGCTAACTCGAGATGAAGGCTTGACCGCATATTTTGCCAAGCTTCAAGTTGGCACGCCACTGCAGACACAGTATCTCAAGATCGATACGGGCAGTCCGCGATATTCTTTCCTGGACCCTCGTAATGAGATATGCGAAAGAGGAGGAAATTCGTGCCTCGTGTTTGGGACCTTCAACAATGAAACATCTTCGTATGTTCTCAGAAATATGGACGTCTAGTTCCAGCTGCTAACAATGCCACAGCACATGTCAATACCAGGGTCCTAATTTCGCCGACGCTTTGGGCTATGTTGGCCGGGGCGATTATTTGAGCGATACTGTTGTTTTTGGTGGTGTTTCAACCGAAAACATGTACTTTGGCTACACCTCTGGATACAGTTTCCCAGACAAACTCAGTGGTGATATCTACACCATCCTCGGTAAGACCCTGCGATAAGGGAAATGCCTCAAATAGATGCTAACGTCAAAACAGGCTTGTCACTGGAGTGTGGTTACGACTTTGCTGGCCCTGATTGCACTTGGAGATCGTCCTCATACGCACTTCCGGAGCTCAAGAATGCCTCTAAAATTGACTACATGTCTTCGAGTATCTACCTCGGACCCGATGACAAGGAAGCTGCCAACGCCATGATGCTCCTTGGCGGCGCTTATGACAAAGCGAAGATCGATGGCGATCTCATCACGGTGCCCATGGTTGACCCCTTCGATGTCCAGCTCACCGGTGGTCAAACCAACTCGGTCAATGTCACTTCTGTTGAGGTTTTCGTTAGTAATGACAACAACAGAACAACAGAGACTTACGGCGAAATGGGAGTCGGCGTCCCCGTGCTGATGGACACGGGTGTTGCAAGCTGGTACCTCACTGACAAGACCTTGGTTCCTATTTACCGTGCTTTTGGTGTCACCGAGGAGCCTGCACTTGGTCAGAGATACTTTGTCGTCGACTGCAAATATGCTGACCCAAAGCGATCTGACGGTCATGTCTCTGTTGAATTCGGTGACCACGGAAAGATTGAGGTCCCGTTCCATGGCATAGTATCAAAGTTTCCTGATAACACCTGTGGAGTCTTTGCTTCTACTCGTGGCGACACTGTGGCCATCTTTGGTGACCCTTTCCTACGCAACGTGTATAGTATCTTTGATCAGGAGAACTTGTCTCTCTCAATGGGATATGTGAAGCACACAGATGAGGAGGACATTGTGCCTTTACCCCATGGAGGTTTCAAGCCGACTTATTCTTAGACAGATATAATTCCGAGATAGACCAGTATAACGTTCTTGATCGATGTGATACATTTCTTGAATCTGCATTTATTGTACCTATGTCTACGTACACTTTGAGTCCTCGTTATTGCTCCTTTCCTGATGAAACATCACATGGTTTCCTGATACAATTCAACGACTTTTGGGTGGCTGGCGCTCCGAGATCTTTGGATTCTTCATCATCATTGGTCTTCTCTGTCATCTAGTCTTCATCCAGAACAACGCCATTTACGTTTGTGGCTATCAAGATGTCGTAAGCTTTCAGTTTTCTTGACACCAGCTCAAGCAATTCCTTACGGCGAATGAGTTCAAGGTGTCGACGGATCTGCAAATTGTGAAATGACATACGATGCATTATGTGACAGGTAACGCGGTCGAGATTCCATCATGATCTAAGAACCATAAAACCTAACCTAAAGATTTACTAAATTATTACATATTCCCTAAATAACTTTGCTGGGGCCACTCTTGGCTGGAGTACCGTTGTTCTCAACACACTCACCCTATTTGTTACTCAACGTGCGCAGTACGATTGCAAACATCGATAAGAACACTTGATTGAGGTTTCAAGCCGACTTGTTAATAATGTGAAATCAGTAAGCCAACACCAAAATGGCATTTGCAAATATACAACTAGCCATATCTCGTGCATTTTGTCATTATCCAAAATCCTAGAACCTAAACCATAACCCCAACACAACCTCATTTATCTAACTAATCACCCTTGTTTGGGTCAATCTTCGCCGTGATACAGTTATTCTCAACCCAACCGCCCTGCTTATTCCCCTTTGCAGAACAATCACAAGAATCAATAGGGACCTTCATGTACCTAATACACTCATCAAAGTCGGCCTTCCATAATCATCCTTCCTTAACCTCAAACAGGACTTTGTAGTGGTAACCTCGGCCACCACCTCCAGGTAACAGCTTTTTCTCGAGCTTATCGTTGGACCAGTAATACCCGTTTTCCTTGTTCTTGGGGACCACCTTGTTACAGGAGGACTCAGCGTTCACAGTGATGGAGTCATAGCTGACTTTCGGGCCTTCGTCGTAGCAGTGCTTGACGTTCTGAGACGGGTCGGGGGACTCCATGGTTGGTGTGAGTGTGGGTGTCGTGCTGGTCGTCTCGGTATTGACCCATGAGGCACACTGCGAGTTGGTGACGCAAGCACCGCCGTGATTACCAGTACCCAAGTTACACTGAGTGTAAGTGGCCGTTGAGGCGCATGAGCTGCCATCAGGCGTCGAGATAGATAACGGTGGGGCGTTGGTGAGAGTAACAAAGTCTGTCAGCTGGGCAGAGTCCTCGGTAGTTGAATTGATCATCTCCTCCGAAGAAGAAGTTTCCTCTGTGGTAGAAGTCGACTCTTCGGAAGAAGACTCCTCAGAACTGGTCCTCGTAGAGGTAGCAAAGGTAGTGGACTCTTCAGATGTAGTGGTATCTGATGGAATAGGACGATCACATGAACGTCCAGAATCCTCGCCATCTCGCTTCTTTATCCACGTCCAAACCCAAGCTGGTTCTGGTATAGCCCATTGACGAGTAACATCATCCAAGCTGGCGAGCTTCATGTTCCATACGGGGACTTTCTGTACCCATGCCGCAGAATTCTTGGCCCGAATGTTTACAGCTGCCGCCAAGTCCGTCTTCAACTTGTTAATGACCTTAATCTTGGCATCCTCGACCTCGTTATTGATGGACCAAGGATCCTGCCCGTTGAACCGAGTCTGCATAAAGGTCTTGTACCTGTCCGGAGAAGACCATAAGCCATTCTTCACGGCAGAGTCGTTCATACAGCCCTTGACCTCGTTATCCATGTGCGTAGTATAAACCCAAATTAGCAAATGATATAGCAGAGACTCAATGTTAACTTACAATCTTGCATATATCCGCTGGTTATGTCTAATCATGGAGTTAATCGCTTCGGGTGCACTGAACATCTCAACCCTGATCGCTATCTTCTCAAGGAATAGAAACTTGTTTTTGAGTTGTTTTTCTGCTTTCTGTTCAGATGTTGAAGTCCTAACGTCATTTTGGGCATCGGACCATTCAAAACCCTGCTCCTTGACTTTTTGCGGATTGGCAACTAATGTCTATGGAGCAATATGCGTTAGAACAGCTGCTATCAATACGTTGTGAGTTATCTTACCTTTGCACCTCCGTTGGTCCATTGATCCATGCCGATGAAATCCTCTAAATAATGTGCATCCTTGATCGTAAGACAGATGCCTTATCAGTGCATGTGGTAGAAGAAGTCTCATCATCCTCGTCATCTTCACCATCATCATTGTTGTCACTCTCAGATGTAGTGGAAGGAGTTGAGCAACCTGGAGGAATGCAAGGGAAGGTGAACTTGGGAAGACCTGGAAGCTTGAACCAAGTGTCAGGCGTCTTGGGAAAATTCCAAAGGATGATGCCGGAGCCCGATCCGCCACAATTCTTGCAGCCGACAAGAACTGGAACAATAGTTAGCTCAGAAGAGTCGCCTGATGTGGTGGTGATCCAAGTGTTGGATGTCCACTCAGGATGACCACTGACTGTTGACGCAGCGAATCCCTCGGGAGCATCTGTGACTGTCGGGAACGGTGCGTCTCCAGCGGTAGTAGTTATTACTGGCGCTGTGTTCGATGTTACGGATGGGCCGTTTCCGTTAGGTGCGGTTGTCGAAGGAGTGTCGTTGTTTCTATCGGTTATGACAGCAGCGTCAGTAGTAGTAACACCTATGGCGGTAGAGGGTACGTCATTGTCTGATGAGACTTCAACCTTTGTGGTATCAGAGTTGTCACCAGCAGGCCGGGTGGTGATATCATCAACATCAGTAGCAGGCTGCGTGACAACGTCCGTCTCGTCAGGCTGGGCACCTTCTGTGGTAGTTGCATCAACCGTAGAGGTGTTGTCAGATACCAAGTCAGCGGTTTTGTTGGAGCCATTATCCCGGGTCTGCTCTGCGGAGGTTGGAGTCTGCTCCGCAGAGGCAACTGTTGTCTCAGGGCCAGTTATAGCACTTGTAGACACGTCATTTGCGTCAGTTGAGACGACAGTGTCAGTATGCGCGGGGAGTTTCTCAGTAACAGACCCAGTGGTGGTCTGTTCGTTGACATCGGTGTTAACCGGGGGAATCTCAGAAGATTTCTCCGGTGCAATGCCTGTTGCCTCAGCGATATCCTGTGAAGTATTGCCAACACCTGTTGTAGAGGTCTCAGTGTGAACACCTTGAGCATCGGTGCCAGAGGGAGAGATAGTCTCATCAGGCGATCCTGGTAATCCAGTCACGGTGAAATCAGAGTTTTGTGTGATAGCTGACACATCGGCTGTACCATCTGTCGCGTCTCCAGTAGCATGAGGTTGTCCCTCAGTGAGACCAGCAGAGCCGGTAACATCACCAGATGCGTCACCGTTTGAGACAGTTTCAGGGGCTTCCTCAGTAGGAACAGCTCCATCGGTAGTAGTCTCAGTGGCAGCAACACCATCGGCCAAGCTAGATGCATCTGATGAAGCAGCTATAGTGTTATCGACATCACCGGAAGGCTTTCCAATAATATCTGTATCAGTTACAGTAGCTGGTAGTTGGGTAGCATCATCACCAGACTGACCAGGAATGTTGTCAGTTTCGGTAGCACCGACACTGTTTGTCAAGCCAGAACCATCTGACGGCGAACCAGTGTTATTTACATGCTCAGATGGCTGGCCAGCGATACCAGTAGCTGTACCAGTTACTGGTAGTGGGCTTGTAGCGTCACCAGCAAAGGTTGCAGTTTCGCCATCAGAACCACTTGCAATATGAGTCTCTACTGTGGTATCCTGGGCGGACTGTGTAGTGACGAAATATGTTGAGGGGGCTGAGGGTAGATCATAATCTTTGTGGGTGACGTCTCTCGCTGGTTTACCGGGACTGGCTAGAGCACCTGCGCCCCAAAGAGCCAAGAGTAATGACTGTTTCATAGCGTGAAGGATGGAAAAGAGTTGAAAGAATAAAATATTGACCAGAGCAGAGGGTCTACTGAACAGATATTGTCCTTGTTCTATCATAGAAACAAACGTTGGATGGGGATGGCAGACTACAAGAGGATAGTATTATATCTATACCAGAGCTCGTGACATTCCGATACAGAAGATTGTTGGGACTTGGCACTGCTGGAAACGCCGACAACTCTGGATAGGTCTTGAGCGCCTCATCAGCGTTCAATCGTATCCTAGACCATGAACGGCATCACCATACATCATCACAAAAGACCACAAGAAGTTCTGTACTTTCCGGATCCGTGGCACAAATCCACCTGGTCAAATTAGACGGTTAGTAATATTATTTATTGCTACAGTCATTGTGAAACAAAATGTCAGGATCTTGTGCAATTGTGTTTCATGTTACTACAGGGTTCAGACAGTGTTGGTTTGTTCGAGAATTAAAGAACGCAATTATCATGCGAGTAAATGAACATCATCCCACGACGTCTCGTTTCGAATCAAGGATCCGTCGTGGAGGAGGAAATTACAGTGGAAACGTGTAGAATCAACACAATTAGAATCGGTTGGTTGTACTAGCGCATCACCACGGTATCATTAGACTAGGATTACGCTTGTACGCTAACGACTGAAGAATAAGCCAAAATAAGAATATGTCCCAACTATGAGCTCCGTGTTTAACCTTGTAGATCAATAGACTGTTTCATCTCATAAAGATCTACAGGGTCTTTTTCTCCGCTCTCCACTTTCTGTCCGTTCATCATCTTCTTTGTTTCATAGGCACACATACGTGCACGGTACTAGGCAGATGTCATGTGCTTGCACCGAAGCTCAACCGTTTGCAGAGTTTTTTTTAGCCCGGCATTTCCTTTGTTCGATCATCCTTGATTCTTCACTCTCTCAACTGCGCACCTCATTTTTGAGACCTCGTCATTATCCTCTTCCATCTCAAACTTCCCGCGACACTCATTATTCTCAGTCAGCAGCCATGGCAAATCCCGAATTTATTTATTGCACTATCTGTGGCATGAGTTTTGAGGACGACTCATGCGTCGTCTATTCTGGTCCTCACTGGCCAGAAGCCGATTTTCATTCTCGGAAAGTCTCGGACCAAGAGCTTACCCGCTACGAAGCCGAGGCTGAAAGTCAATACGGTAAAGCAGCACTTCCTACTGGCCAAGTTATCTATCCTCCAGAGGCTTATGACGAACATGGGCATGATGAAGATGTTCCGGACGGTGTCGCTCCAGCAAAGATGTACATTGCTATCCATCCAGCTTGCGAAGATATGGCCAAACGTGTCATGAAGACTTCATCCAATACCAAGATCCGTACAATTGGTGATCTTTGGTTGGGTTTGGAACGTCGTTGTGCTGGTTATCTCAACTGGGCCTGGCAACAGGAAACTCAAGGACGTGACATCAGATTTATTCCTTTCATTCCCTACAACTCGATTGATGAGCCTGGCTTGGCTGGCTATTATGTCCCATTCCATTGCCTTATACATTGGGGCGACGAGTGGGAAGGATGGGTACGTATACTGTTCTGCGCCAAACTTCGAAGACATGGACTAATAAGGTCATGATAGTGGGATGAGAATCCTGTCGACATTCCCAACTTGACCACGGACTTGATGTCAAACCTCGAGAGAGTTGAACCTACCCCCGCCCCAAAGCTTAAAGAACTATTGGAACTTTCGCCAAACGAGATCAAGAACCACATACACACCTTTGTGCAGGACGGAGAATTCTCGCTTGATTGCAACTATCTCATGCCTCAGTCCATGTGGGCGGAAGTATTCTTCCACATTCCCTTCCTCTGGGATCTTGACATCGATACCGTGTATAAAAAGACAGGGTCCGGCAAGGACGATCTGGAGAAGTGGAACTGGGAGAAACTCACAAGGCAGGTCATGAGCCGCGCGGAGATATCGCATGACGTGAGGCCCTGGGTTGACGATGAGGAGGCGTGGGATTATTCGAATGTTAGACTCAATGTTCCCGGTGGTTTCACCAATCGGCGGAGGATCTGGCAAATACTAGAGGAACTACATCCAGATGTTGCGCTGTGGAGGCATCAGGATTGTGAGTGGTAGCTTATTGGGAACTATATTTGAGGGTATAACATACGATCCCATAGTATTCAACACCCCTGCTGGTGAAGATGATCGAGTTTTGTTTTTAAGTTAATGCTTGCTACAACACTATGCCTATGTCCGACAATATCGTGACTTAGTAGTTTCTGCCAGTATTTGTAGAATGACTCTAACCAGTTTCGTAGTGTTCAGACACGGCTATCGCTTTTTTTATTTGTTTTCTATACTTTACTCAACGGATTCAAGTCTAAGGCTCTCAATTTACTCCAATCTCTGACAAAAGATCCACACGGATTGAAATCTCAAATGCCAAATCAAGGTTCTCTCAATAACTTACTTTCCCACCAAGATCATCCGCTGTGACTAAAGGCCGTCTCTTACCTACCGGAGATTGATGTACTGCGGCATTATCTTTTGCGAGCACGCATACGCGTAGTTTTGTTCAAGATGCCGTATCTTTAGTGGTTCTATGGTCAAACAAGTAGTTGGACAGGATTTGACCATTCAGAAATCTCTAATATCATATTGCCACCGTTGTTGATATTATCATGTTCTATCACAAAGAAAAAAATCACAATGAAGAAACAATTTCCAATTGGCTATTCAACGATTCAAATAAAATAAAGGACTAACTCCAATATCCATCAAACTTAGTGGCAAAGTCCCTCATAGCAGTTCAAAGTGCAGTCATCCCTTGTAACAATTAGCAGCGTATTTGAAAGACTCGAATGGTACAAAACTTACTCCGTGTCACCGCAAACCCAGGTGTTCTTGTTACAACACTGGTTATCTGTGCCGACGCAAGTCGCGTTGTTATGGTCGGGACCACATCGACCATCATAGGCCCGAAGTGGTTCGGGGACTGAAGCAACGTTAGCATAAATGTTAACTGTTCAGCTAAGAATAAACTCACATCCGTCCACACAGTATCTTATGTTAGGTAAAATGTTTTTGCAATCACCATTGAGTCTGGGGTTCAAGTCGTAGAACTTCTCAATCGTAATGTCCCATTTCTTGACCATGGAGGCACATGTGTTGGCATCAGCCTTGGGTCCTGCGACCTGGCTCATACGACAATTAATATCGCCTGCGCTCAAGGCAGAACTGAGCTTCCAGGTCGAAGGTTGACATTCGTCTTTTGACACGGACGGGTGAACTAGGGACAGGCTCAGGAGAGACAGGCGAACAAGCCATGAAGGACCCATTTTGAAAGGAAAAGTTTGAAGACTTTGACTGAAAGCTAGCAGGATGAATGATGAAATAAGATTCTCTGAGTCTGAGAAATGCGGTAACATATATCATCAGGTTGTGTACAATCTACTACACTAACATACGATTAAGCGAGACCCGCTCTGTAGATCATGAAACAAGCTCTTTTCCACTTTCACGGCTCCCTGCTGTAAGCCCCGTTTTTCAATTATTGTGGCTTGTCGGTGATGTCCGCGGCAATTGCAATGTTTCAGTCAAAATGTTTATGTCCGGAAGATCCCTACCGCTGAAGAATAGCGACCGTTAGTTTGCGCCTGTTGGTTCCTGTCTTTTGTGAGTCAGTTGTCTGGTGTAGATTGTGGGTTTTTTGCCATGGACCTAGCTGGGATCATGCTTAGTTGACGGACAGGGGACTTTCAGCCCAACAGCCTTATACGCACAGAAGATCTCCACAGCGTAGCCTGGAAGACGCGCCGACTTAGAGCAGTAGTGCCGAAACCCCTCATTGTGGAGGGACCCTCAGTCTGACCGCTGCACAAGCTTGTCTCCTACAAACCTCCACAACATATCATGAGCTACAGTCCGCGAAGTCCAGGCGCAGAGGAACAACAAAAGAAAGATGACGCTGCCTGGGAAGAGCGCATACAGCAGCTTGTCAAACTTTCCAACCCCAGACCTAGACCACTAACGCCTGACGCTACGTGTTCAAAAGCTCCAGTAGCACGTTTTCAGAAGTCTTGCCAGTGGTTTAAGATACCACCATATATACGCAGGGATATCCTTCGACTAGCACTTGGAGATGCACGTCTTCATCTTCAATTAATCCACGGCTACCAAGAAGATACTTTCGCTGAACCAGATCGACAAGGCTGGCGATGGAGAAGCTCAAGATGTCATCGTCTCTCGCCGGACGATATTACACAAGGGCATGCTATGACTAATGGTGGTCTTCCCGGGCCGTGGGCCGATGGATGCCATTTGAAAGGTGCGCCTATCGGTGTAATGGGTTGGCTTCTATCTTGTCGTCAGAAGTAAGTCTGACACCTGCTCGGAACTGACTTAGGTTCTTCCAATGATATTGTGAGTATCGAGGTTGACAGACACACAGCTACTCCGAGACGATAGAAATACTCTATTCAACTAATATCTTGATATTGAACGGGCAGGCAATGATGATTCATCTCCATCAATTGATACCGCCACAAAGGCTCGAGACCGTTACGTCCCTTGAGGTTAGATGGTATCTAAAAACGCGCTTCACATCATGGGACGACACGATGGATAAATTAGATGAAGATCATCTTGAGAGTGTCTTCAATCAGCTATCCTCACCATACTTCCCAGCACTGCGTAACCTGTATATCACGCTTGAAGACTCATCCCAAGCCCGTCTTTCTATTAATGCAATGGAAAACTACCAGGAGATCATTCACAAACACCTTTATAACTTCTCGCAGCGAATGAGTCGCTTGAAACAATTCTCTTGCGCATTGCCCTCCACCTTCTTTGAGCATATCTACCAGGAAGCGACGGAAGAAATTCGAGGAAGATCTGCTATAGAGTACGAGTCATACCGACAAGTCTGGCGTGACTCCGATGGTCAAATGACAGTTGTTCGAATACCGTACGTTGATAATTATCCTGGTCCGCCGCATCATATACTTCAGAACAGTAACAGTGGAGGCTTTTGGATCCTTGAGATACCTGATGGAGACTGAAAGTAGTAAGTATTGTCATGGACCTGTGGGTAGCAGAAAGATTAACCTCTTCAGTCTTAGGGTATAAGAATAAGTAGTCTAAGGAGCATAAAGTGATCTATTAATTTCGTCTCTTATGCTTCCAGCGGCCAATTTTTTCCATTACTTTGAGGGCAGATGGGTGAACCCTCCTAACCCAAGTACTCTACATCAAAAATCCCAATCACAGCGTGGTCTCTTCATGCTCCAATCCAGCATCCTTCGCCTTCTTGTCTGCCAGCTCACACAAGAACCTAAACTCATCACCACTGACTTGGCTCACACTGAGCCTCGATTGCTTCAGCAACTGCATCGTTTCCAATGGACCACCAGCCTTTCCCAGCTCTTTCAACTCCTTAAGACCAATCTGCACGGCGAACTTCTTGCGGAACTCGACATGCACCAAATCCCAGATGGGTTTCTCCTTGGTCGATTTGGGATCGTAGTATGGGGCGCTTGGTTTGCGAGCGGAGCCTGGAGAAAGAAATGTCAGAGAAACTACAAGACAATTGGGGAGAAGGAAACAAACGTACGATCTTCAGAGAATTCCTTGACGATTTCCATTATACCGACTATGCCTGGTTCCTTGCAGTTGCTGGCGTAAAAGAAGGCGAGATCACCCGCATTCATTTTCCTCATGTTATTTCTTGCTGCTATATGTCAGCGTCTTTTTCTTCTCGTCCAATTCAGTGTCCGTACCAGCATAGGCTCGAATGCCTGCAATAATGTTAGTGCTTGACTTGTCAGAAGATCAGGGAGTCTCACCATCCCATCCTTCAGGTTCTGTCTTGGCCCGCAGATCATCAATCGAAAACTTGACATCAACGCCATTTTCGATGCGCGTCTCGGGCTCGGCTTTCATCAACCAGTACCACTGTCCATCATGTTTAGGCGCATCGGGATTCGTCGTGGGGATGGAGTCGATATCTGGATCTTCGGATGAAGCGCGTGAACGAGATTGGTTGGATTCTTGTTTCTTGGCGGGCTTCTTTGGCTTCAAGGCTTCTGCGTCCGGTTTTTGTTGCTTTGGTGAAGGCTTTGGCTCGTCTTCTTGTTTCTTTGTGGACTTCTTTGGCTTTGGACTTTCTTTTGCATCCTGTCTCTGCTTTGTTGTGGGTTTTGGCTCGTTGTCTTGTTGCTTTGCTGGTTTCTTTGTTGGAGCTGTCTTGGTCGCTGGAGCTGCTTCAGGTTCTGGTTGGCTTTTGGATGCTGCTTGTCGTAGAGACCGTCGCTTTGGCGCAACTTCTTCACTGGCTGCGGGGGCACTTCTTTTTCGGGGCGGCATGATGTAATGGATGATATGCGTTGCGATGGGAAATGTGTTGGATGATTTTGTCAGAGGTTCTACACGCGACGCGTCGGAGTTGAGGCTTGACAGATGCACAGCCACATCTCTGATTGCGCCACAATCATGATGGTGAAACAACGGCTGCAGGGTAATGGCACGATCAGAAGTTGAGCGGCCTTGAATACGTCTTTCTGCATTACAATTTAGTAGTAAGCAGAGGTTTGATCGAGTATTTGATTTGCAAGATTTACTTTTCTCTGTCGATGCGCTTGGACTGGAGTTTTTTGTTCAGGTCCTTCAATCTGTTCACTTGGTAAGATTTACGACGATACTAACATTTAATTATGGACAAATTCACCTAGACGAACATTGTTCTTCACTTATGATGTCATAAATTAATTTCATTCTTATGCTTAAATACTGTCTCTGCTCATATGCTATTCCAAAAATGCATAAAAATGTTTCAAATCGCTAGTCCATGCCCGTTCTCGTGTCCTGTTCAAAATGCCGTCCACCATAATGCATCGTTTTTCACCCACTCGTCCGTTTTATTCCCACGCTCTTTCATTTCGTTTAATGTTTCCACAGCTCGATTGTGTTGAGCCTTGGCCATTGTGTATTGCTGTCTGAGGACATAATATGTGAGCCCGTATGCAGCTGTATAATTCGTTAGTACTGGTTGTTGAATGAAAATAGGTGGCGGACAACATACCTGCTGCTGTTGTGACGAGCGCTGCAGTGGGTAATGAGCGGGCCAGTCTCGCTGTGAGTCTGGGAGCTGGGGGCTGGTGGAAGTCAAAGCGGGGAAGAGCTGATCCGAATGAATTTGTTGTCATTGTGAAGTTATTGATTTGTTTGTGTAAAACAATTGAAGTGTGTTTGTTCGTTTAGTTGGTTTGTAGGATTGAATTGTGTTGATATGGATATTGAGTGATTGACTGAATAGAGACTGTTTATATATTCATTTCTGGTCGGGTCCTCCCGATAATTCATCACATCATGTTGTTCACAGGACGTTTTTAGTGGGTCAACTCGAACGGTAACTCTGCTGAATCTTTTGTCATATGGTGTGATTCAACTGCTGACATTCCCCAGCTCGTAACAGTCCAGGGGTACGTACCCCAGCCACTAAAGTACCCCAGAAGTTTAATCAAGACCATCAATACCACCATTCCGAAGCATGCCACAGGGTCCATTACTGAAAATGCCTTTTTGCTTGATCAAAGTGTTGCGGTTCGTAAAGAATCTTCCAACAACCGTTTGCGTATAAAGTTCTCCAGTCGGGCAGTATCTAGACTGCCAGTTCTGTACATAGCATTTCGTTTCTACCACGTCAAAACGAGTAAACCGACAGTTTGGGTTCTTGTGACATGCCTCGCAGCATGAAATTGGCGTGTACCCAGATCCTAGATTGAATACCATCAAAAAGTCGAGATCCGAAGGGGATGTAGCTGTGATTACCGTTCCTCCATTGGCAGTGACGAGAATGTTACTGTCCTGGCAGGCGGCATACTCGGTTGCGATGGGTACCAGTGATTCGACAACAACTGGAGACAATCCTTGTAAGCTAGATTTGAAAAATGAATAATGTTTGACTTACCAGTCTGTACAATAGTGGAAACTGAAGTTGTCTCCGTCCAAGAAGTTGTTTTAGGATAAACAGTTGATGTAACAGTCGTACTTAGATCAGGAGGATACTCAGTAACGGTAGAGATCTGCACAATAGTCGACATGACACTCTTGGTAGCAGCCTTGAGCGTAACTCTATTGCCTTGGACCTTTGTGGTGACGCTTTTGATGGAAGTAGTAGGCTTCTTCTTGACGCAGTTCACCTGCTGCGGGTACAGAGCAGGGGTCGGATCAAGCGAATCTTGATTCTCCCCCCTGTCCCCCTCAGCTCGAATCTTGTGTCTCGGGACATAACGTGACTCGGACTTGATAGCGATCCAGCCAGGAACAGTCGGTACTGTCTCTGTCACGTACTTGGTCGTGATGGTTGTACTATCGCTTGTGGTGATAGAAGTACTTGTTTGTGTGCTGTAAACAGTAATCTCGGCTGTTTGAGAGGTATAAGTAAGCAGCTGTCTACATGTTGAAAAAACACTTGCAAGTTCTTACAGGTAATTATGCTGGTTGCGGTTGAGACAGTTGGGTCGGCTATTTTTGTAGTCAAAACAACAGACGTAGTGCGAATGGTTGTTGTCTTGGCCTTGGGAACAACGACGACGTTGACTTTGCGAATGACTTTCTTGATTACAGTAATCTTGTCAACAACGGTAGCAGTCGATGTCGGGATCCGATTCGGTGCCAGAGAAACAGTGTCGAGTTTGGTGGAGCAGACAACCCCTGTTGCACCCAAATCAGCAGCCCAAGCCTGGGCGCCTAGAGCGCAGAGAAGCAAGAGTCTTTTGACAGCCACCATCGTGTGTAAGCTGTGCTGCTGGAAGACGTGATAGTTGTGTAAATTGTCTCGACGTCTTCACCGCATGTTTTTACCAAAAAGTATGAAGCAACGTGCTACTCATATAGGGGCTAGCAGTCTGCTATCTTTCCGGGGTTTTGAGTCTAGACATAAAATTCCTCTTAGCACATCAATAATTTTTAACACTATTGGAAATAGTGTAAGGCTTGACAAAATCTCTGACCATGATACCGTCTCCACTGGCGTACAAATGACCGTGTATTTCTGTCTAATCTCAGCCCTCGGTCGAAAAAGCATCAATTGGCAAACGACCCACTGGACTAAGTTAACTATCGAATTGTACAGATAAAAACGGTTAGCCAAAATATCGAGATGTCACCGGAAACAAGACGGTAATTTCCCCGTTGCGTTTAAGAAATTCTCCTGAACCTTCTGTAATGTGGCGTGATTTAACTGCTGACGATCCCCCGCCAAGAACTAAGCCTCGACAAGTGCCGAACCCATGCGATTAAATATGGCCTGACTTTTTATCATTGCCGTCATTTATTTAAAGTTGGCACTATAAATGCAGATCTTGAAACAATTGGCAGTAGCAGCATGATGGCCCGAGCCGCGTTGGATTGCGCAACGTGTGAGTCTTAGTACAGAGTAATGACCAGCTTTAATGCAAAAACAGATCCCTGTCTTGAAATCGATAACGATAGCTAAGCAACTGGTTCTGCAATTCTACTTCATATGGCGAGCCAACCACTCAACAAAAATCTCCAAATTCTCTTGGAAGTACGTATATCCTTTCATCCTCACCGTCCCATCAACATAATATAACTTCTTATCCTCTACAGTGAAAGAATTATATGCAGTCTATATATTATTCCCCTTTGTCAATGTACCCTCGCGCACTAAATAAACAAACACTGGCTGATAAAACGGAGTTTCGGACTTATTTTGACTATAATCGAAGATGGTCCTAGGGATCTGCAATAGATGAAATGATACGTCGAGTGGTGCTGCTGTTCTGGACAAGTCGAGGGTGAGTTGATCAAGTTCAGGAGGATATTGGAACTTTGTACACCTTATCGCTGATGAGAGGCTTACCATTGTACGGGCAAGCTGGCTGCTTCCCGAATCCCCTACTTCGCAATTGCGGAACGGTTTGGAGGCCGTTAGATGGGAGTTGAGATTCCAAAGCCAGGCCACTGGATGGCAGAAGAATTATCCACTGCGCCTTTAAATGCTAAATAGAGAAGCTTGGATGCGGTCTCAACTAACATAAAGTATCTTAGTCAGTTGATGCGGAAGGCTCTCAGTGGATAATTTCTCAGTTGTCCAGAGGCTGGGTCGAGGGTGTATGTATGAAGTTCGAGCGGATTATGGAAGAAGCGATGAGTTGTTTCCATCGGTATAAAGTTTCTATCATAAATTAATCTTTTTAAGTATTATAAATCTAATGCTTATATGAGACCCTTTTTTAGTTTTACTTTTTACCCTGCCCTGAGGTTTTGGTTGAGCATAGAATGCGTTCCTTCTGGTTTTCCCTTCTTCCTTCCACCAATATTAACCGCATCACACAACCACGTGGGGCTGTTGCAGTGATCTTCATTACCGATCGACTTTGGCTTTAATTGTGATGGAAGGAGACGAAACTGACTGGAAGTGAAGCAAGGCATCTTATCCCTCATTAAAAAGCTTGACTTAGGGTAGGGCAAAAGAAGATCTCGTGCAAGCATCGGGTTCGGAGCCATGAGCTTCTGCTCCAGTCGTTTCATTTCCTCCACAAGGCGTGTGCCATCCGCGCGATTTTCATAGGATTCTCTCACGAGGTCTTCCATTTACGATAATTAGAAACGAAAATTACGGTTGAGAATGTGATCCCTAAGCGACGTTGAGATGAAGATGGAAGTCTGGTCACAGGCATTGGTCAATTTCTCCTGGTTGGCCATTACGGAATCCATTTTCTCTTCGAGCTTTGATAGATCGAAGCCTACGCCAAGTTCAGAAACTCAACATCGCTAGACGGTAGATCGTCGATTGGTGGAATAAGTTCCACGTATCGGTCTAACTTCTAACGTCGCGAGTGCTTCAAAGCTATTGAGATAGCCGATGTCTCACTCAAAGTTTCACAAAGAAAGTGGTGAGCTGAAATGTCGACACAAAGCAAAGATGCGGTGAGGACGTTCTACCTGATGTCCTATTCAAAACAGAATATCGTGCATTGGAGGCTGAGACAATCTTACAAGAAGAGCATTTCTGCCACTGAGGCGTGCATTTACAGGGGTTCAGGCGGGAGGGCCTCAATCATCGAGAGGGGTAGATCGTTAGAATCTCAGAAGAACTGGCCGCCGATAGCGCAAGAGACGAAATGGTTTGGTAACCTTATGCGAGTTTAGACTACCATTTAGCCTTTTTTATTTTGGCGCACTGAGCCATCCTTGTGTTGCTCACCTGTAGACGTCGCAAGTTGAGCTTGATACTGAAACATGCAGATGAAGTTGGTGACTCAGGTTGGAAGAGGCGGGGGGTTATCCTTTCTCTCTCGGGAGACATGAGCTCGATAAAAGACCAGCGTATAGTCATGTCCAGTACATCAGTTCCCACCTACACAAAATCCTCCACAGACTATATCAACCTTCAATATGCCAGGATGCCTCGAAGGTCTCCACGCTATTGCCACTCATATCGTGAAAGGTGTCGAACAAGATGCCCTCGTTAGAGATATCGAGAAGCGAGCCAAAGATGTCTTCACCAGGGAGGTTGACGCTGCTCCCGGAACCCGCATCTTTTACAGCAGCAAAAACCCTACTCCAATCATTACCATGAAAGATGGAAAGTTTTCAGCCGTTGAAGCAATGGCGATTGGAAACGGAAAGATCTTGAAAGCTGGTACTCTCAAGGACGCTAAGATTGCAGCACCCTCCGTCTCGGACCCAACTGACATCGGAGGCAATTGCATCGTGCCTGGCTTTGTGGAGCCTCACCTTCATATCATGACCTCAGCAATGTTGGATAAGTTCCTCTTGAACTGTGACCCGCTCAATCCAGAGATTGGCGGCACTTTCGAAGGTACAATTAAGTTCCTTCGGAAAGCCGTCGGGAAGCTCGAAAAGGGTGCATGGCTGCTTGGATATGGCTATGATCCGTCTCGATTGGAACCACATGAAGGATCGTTCAGAGACTTGACGCCGGATCTGTTCAAGAAGGAGAATCTGAATGAGAATCCCATCCTGATCATCAACGCCTCTGGTCATATTGCTTACGCCAATTCCCTCGCCTTGACTGAAGCCAATCAGCCCGAACCTGCTTCGGGAGTTCTTATCGAGCCAGCTGCGTTCCAACCAATCATCACCAAAGCACTGCCAAGTCAACTTATAAAGTCCTTTGACATTTTCGAAGGTCTATTCAATGTTTTGAAGCAATGGAGCGCCAAGGGCTTCACCACAGTCTTTGACGCGGGTGTCGGGCTCTCTATCCCCCAACTCGATGCTCTCATACTGAGCGCGTTGGCGGTATGTGCACCACTTCGCATTGCCGGAGCAGCTGCAAACATGACACCTGGTGAAGCTGAGAAGACTGTTGGAAAGGGCAATATGCCGCCAGGCGGCGCAACACTGTTAAAGATCAAGACCATTAAGCTCTGGATGGATGGCTCAACTCAAGGCTTCACAGGTGCTCTTGAGGACCAATACAAGAACAAGCTGCTGCCGGAGTACTTCTGGGGAGCACCGTGGGGATGGGCGCGTTGGAAAGTCCGCAAGACGTGCCATATCACACCTTTCACACAGTTCGACATTTTCGAGGAAATGAAGACATGGGCAAAGAAAGGTTACCAGTTGATGGTCCATGTCAATGGCGATTGCGCTTCTGAAGTTGTGCTCGATGCTTTTGAAAAGCTCCAGGCTGAGATCCCCGACTCTAAGGTTCAACATCGACTGGAACATTTCACTGTTACTCAATCAAAGCAGATCGAACGTGCTGCCAAGCTCAATCTCTATGCCAGTCACACCATCGGACATGTAAAGTACTGGGGCAATACCTTTGACAAATACATCCTTGGTCCCGAGCGAGCAGGCCGCATTGATCCACTCCAGGACGACGTCCAGCATGGCCTTGTCTACTCGTTGCATAGTGACTCTCCTGTGTCGCAGGCTGATGGACTGTCGTATGTTAGAACTGCTACAACCAGACTGATGTACGAGAAATCACCCAATGAGCAGCCGGAGAGAGTACTTGGGGGTGATCAAAGGGTTACGGTGGAACAGGCTTTGGCAGGCATAACCGTGAATCCAGCGCGTCAAATACTTCTTGACGAAGAGATTGGGACGCTTGAGGATGGGAAGGACGCCAACTTTGTTGTTTTGAGTCAGGACTTGACTTCATCCTCGCTCGATCCAAAAGACATTAGCAGTGATTGGGTGCTGGAAACTTGGTTTAAAGGACGTCTACGTTCACCACGTGGGTAATTGGGACTCTATTCGGGTCTTGACTAAACTGGTTTCTTCAACCGTACTTGTCCATTTCAGAGTATAGTAGGTTAAATAAAGATGTTAGAGTCATCGAAAATAGGCCAAACAGGCCAAGCAAATAGTGTATTCGCTAGGCGGGTTGCGAGTGTGTTCCAGTTGGTGGATTCGTCCATCTCAACTTCTAGTGCTGCCGCGTGCCCTGTCGACATGGCACATCCCACTTTTTTATATCTGTTCATTGGTCTCGAATATCTATAAAACATATCTATGTAGACTGCAGAGTGCGTAACCTAGGTCACAGCAGCCACCCTGTTCCATGTTAGGAAAATTTCCCCAAGCATCGCCGATAACCGAAAGGCGGGGACGTCCACTTCTAGTTAGCCTGACATCGCTATCTCTCTTCCCGACAACAACCCTGTCTACAACAATTGTCTCTAAAATGAAGCCTGTTTTATCTTAAAGCAAGTCTCGCCAAGGAGACAATTTCTCTATGTATTCTTCGAGAAAGAAACACGACCCTCGAAGCAAGCGCCTACTGGGCAACAAAGCCGATCATTCGGAGGTTGCGTCACTGGACGTTCTCCCTTTGTCATAGTCCACCCGCATGAGCTTATAACGCCTAGTGTGAATGTAGCGCAGTAGAAACCCATCGGCTGACAGCCCAATCTACTGTATTCGACAGCAGAAATAGTACTGATGATAAAACGGGTAAATCATCTTTTCATGCGTCCGAGATAAATATAGTCTTTGAAGATCAAAACTAAGCTCTTAGAATGTAAGTCTTTCAATCTGTTCGTAGTATGGGCTGTTCCCACATAAACCAATGAGAGTTTATTCAAAAGCGACAACAATCTTTGTCCCACGAAATATCATGTATCATTCTGATAAGATTATATCTCACAGGTCCGATATATTTGTGGCAGAGCACGTCCATTCTATAGAATTGCGCCTCTTAGAGTATTAGTCATCAACATTTCATTTTCAACACCAACAAGCAAAAAACTTTAGTGAGTCACTAGCAGGGAAGCGGATCTAAGTATGATTGAGGGACTAGCGAATTAATTTACTCTACTAGGGAGAAAGACTGCTCCACTTGGCCTCAAATATATTTGTCGCGATCGATAACGTAGATCCAACTCTAACTAATTTTACTTATTATACTTCTCGCATCAAAACTTGGACATGGTAAAGTTACGCATCAGCAACATTGTAATTAGCGTCAGGCTGTTGGGGCTGTGTAAACACCACGCGAGACAATGACAAGTCCTCCGACTCTTCATCTATTTTCTGCACAGTGCCAACCCGAGGCCAAGTGATTGCCTCGCAGTCTATCAGCACATCGATCTTCGTCCTTTTACCGCATACTCAGGTCGGCTAAATTGAGTGCAATGTCCACAGTCCAGGAGCTATTCTGTCCGTCGCCCAGCGCAGGCAGCCTAGATCTGTGCTGGAGAGTGGTAAATGCTACTATGTACCTTGACTTCCAGCCCTTAAAGCCATGGGGCGCTTTGCTTCAGCAAGACAGGGATGCTAGATGACTGGCGTCCAAAAACAGATCCGGAGATGCCGGAGTTGAGGTGTTCCTCCATTTTGACTGGCCCGCTCCCTGTGAAGGAACAGTCGAAGCGCAAGCTTCCAAATGACGAACTCACTCCCCTTGCGTCACAGACCCCGCACGGCGCGGCGGCTCTCAGGGCTGCGTAATCTGTGTGTAAACCTGCTCGTCTCACCACCAACATCACGCAGGCGTGGTGTCACAACCGACCTTTTTGGGGTTGGGGGTGAATATTGTTGTTACTGCGAGTCAATTGGTGTTAAACCCGTATGTCGAAAAGGACTGTATTGTGCTCCTGTTCTGTCTTCGCTAATCTGGACTGATGATTTCCCCTCTTTTAGGTGGATACTCTACGCTAAGCCTAAAGAAGCTTCTCTTAGTCAGATGAATCTGTCTTTACCCTTTTGAGGTTCCTTTTGATGAGATGAACCGCTAACCGATGTATACAGGGTAGCTCCGGTTTAACAATTGGTCTGGTAATCGATCTAAGCGCTACCCCTGCCTACTAAGCCTCCCCCGTAGACCCCCACCATACTCATTAGCGAGATAGAAAGTTTTCGAAAGGCTGATCGTGCGCATTTGTGCGTCACTAACATTGTGCCGCACCCCAGGGCTTCCTTACACCACTGGCGGCCTCACCCTATTCTCACTCCGCAAACGGATTTACTGTTTTGGGAATAGAGTGACATGTTGTTATGGGAGAAACTGAAACACATTTATAAATCAGAGCTTAACTAACCAACGAATACCTTTATGGACAAGTAAAAGGAGCAATAGAGCACCTTTTCTTACTTCCATCTACTTTCTCCTCTTCAGTCTTATTAAACATTTGTGACTTACTCTTGTGGAACCACTTTAATTGAATATAATCTTTCTTTCCTCTATAGCTTATCAGTCTTACTACGTATACAAATATTTACACAATCACCATCACAAAAGATGGCATTCTTACCAGCAGAGGTTATTATAACTATTGTATTCGGTGCTTTGGGATGAGCAAGCACTATCGTGGATGTGGCACATGAAGTGACCGAGATTCTGAACGAGCTTCTTTTGCGCGCAAACCTCACGGATATGCGGTCAGCCTCTTGTAAAAATCTCCTTCCCAGCTTAGGCGTACAGTAAATTCCGTGCTTAGAATGCATCGACTCGGTTCCCAATTGTGGCGCTAGTGGTGCAAGGATTAACAACCTGCTCCCCAATGAAACACGAGTAAATAGAGTGTATACTCAACTAGTTACAGGAGGCAGGGCTTACCAACTTTATCGTTCCGCAGACTTAGCACACCAGCAAGTGAAGATAGCGCCATTTGTGTAACGAAAATTTCTGTCCAGGAAGTTCTCTCGCCTAATTTTCTTAGAGCAAGTCTAATTTACCACTTCGGCGACAACGGTTATGCATCTTTTCGGCCAGACGTTTTACCATATCGGGAGGGTCAACGTTAGTGTGCTTCCTTATGAGGATGATCGATGCCGTGACTGGAATGCGGAGCTAGGGGGTGGATGAGACCAAACTGGGCGTTTAGAGTACCGATATGGAGATTTTTGATGAGGGTCTTCTTAGTCTAATCTGCTACTTTAGTGACAACGGTCGTGCATCTTTTCGGCCAGACGTTTTACCATATCGGGAGCGTCAACGTTAGTATGCTTCCTTATGAGGATGATCGACGCCGTGACTGGAATGCGGAGCTAGGGGGTGGATGAGACCAAACTGTGCATTTAGAGTACCGATATAGAGACTAATATGGCTGGTGCTAGCGATTAGGACCTGTCTGAAGTAGTCTAGATCAGCATCGTGATTAACAAAGTCGAGAGAGTGGGTAAAACGTTTCATGATGGTGATGATCTCAAATGGTAACACCGTGGATCGAGACGGCTTAGCTGTGTACATGAGGAATTTCGCCTACCGTTCCACAACCAGCTTCCAGTTCCCAGCTCCCAACGCTAACACCAAACACCTAGATCCAGTATCCCCCGTTTCGTGCAAAGACCTCATTTATTTCAATATATATATCTCGACGCCCGCCCGCTCAATCCTCTACCTCGCTCTAATAACTATGCCAGATTAAATTTTAATAACGGAAGAATACTTTTATGGACTGATAAAAAATCTCTAAAGCACTTTTACTTCCAATTACCTTCCCCTCTTTACACGTATTCAAGATTCGCAACTTTACCTCGAATCAACAACCTTAGGGGCTATTCTATCTCAGGACTATTTTTCTTTCTTTTTAACATTATACTCCGCTTTAATCTATCAGTCTTATTACGGAAACAAGCATCTACCCAATCAATATCACAAAGGATGGCATTTTTATCGGCAGAGGTTATTATAACTACTATATTCAGCGCTCTAGGACTAGTAGTTGCCGTGATGGGCCTTTGGTTTACATATCGGGCACATCCCCCCAAGAGCAAGAATCAAGACTCAGAGGCATTGCCGGGGAGTTTAAATAACACTATGGCACTTCCGGCTATTACATGCCTGCGACAGCCTCCGAGAGTACTCGATATAAACAGACCTCTCCAGGTTCCTCCTCGGATGCCACATGCAGATCCTTGACCCGATAATTATAAGTACCCACACCCACCACCCATTATAGAGGTAGAATTACATGCCCCTACCCCGCATGCCAAGCAGTCTAGCGTCACTGAAAGCTAACCTTATATTGCTCCCCAGAGCCCTACAATTCTTTAACTACGTTCTCGGGAATGTCTCTAAGGACATGAGTTTGACGGGCCATGGTTGAGCAGGTATGCTTACAGGTATCAACACTGTTGTCGGTGAAGCACATGAGGAGACCAGGATTCCAAGCAGGCGGTGTTCAATACAATAGCACTTTGCTAATGAAATCCTTATAAACCCCTCAGGATCTGTGAGAATATCCATATACAAGAGATTGTTAGGTAAACTGCGTCAAATGTTTAGTTCACGGAAAATTCAGAGCATATAGCTATTTGATGGAATGTTAAATGAAGAATCTGCCTCCTTATATATACTGCCGGTTCTGAGCCAAATGACTGCATTGTATACTTTCGGCTAGCGTTTCTTTTGTAACCTACCTGATTGTTAGATCAGTATCGTCAATTTCGGTGAATGTGTAGTTAGGTGTGTATTTATGGTTTAATTGTCTGTGATAGTTATGAAAGTCTCCGTTGTTACGACCCAATAAGTCTTCATGCACATGAGATAGAAACGATACCCCGACTTTTTGCACTAATAAATAGTTACCTACCCTGTAAAAGTTAAATATATACTATTTAACTTATATAATAATTATTTCTATTTTATAAGTATTTATTAAATAGGATTGAAACAGTAGAAATTAATAGTTCTTTACAGGGAATTTTAAAAATGGGGCAGAACTTTTGCACGCAACTGTACTTGGGAAGTAGTCTTTGAAATCCCTGCTCTGTACCAAGTCGGTTAAAAGTGTCGGTGTCAAAAGCAAGATTGGAACTACTGGTCGCCTCGACATGTGTAAGGTTCAGATACCAGACTAGTCCCCTATCAGGCGCTCCGATATTCGTTTGGACTACAAAATGAGTCCAGCTGTCTTCGTTGGGGAATTCACCCTTTCCCTTTGTGACCCAATGCCGAGTTTTGGATGAAACGGGAAACAAGGCGCTTTCTCCCCTGTTGTCCATAATCCTATATGGCCTGCATTCAATGAAAGACACATCAAAAACATGTGTTGTGATTCTAAAGATGCAAGTAAAACCCAAAGCCTCGTAGGGTTGGCCTGAAGCTAGCAACGGGGCAAATTCTTCGTTGGGCTCTACAAGCCCGCCTTGTTTTGTTTCGACAAACAGTGGCGCAGTAAAGCTGTCTTCTACGTACTTCATATTGTTCAGGTACCGACATGTCACCCCACTTTTCAGCCAGACCACGGCCACGTTGGAAACCCGTTCCTGTTGGCCAAGCCAGTCTTTATGGCTTGGGATTCACTCCGCACTGGCTGCCATAGGATCGCCCAGAAAAGGGCACACACGATATCATCATGCTTCGATCTTGCGATATCATAAGGCCCTAATTCTGCGGTGGAGGGATTCCAGGGGGAGAGTCGACAGCCAACCCATCGTAGTGGTAGACCCCAGTATTGTGCCACTGATGGTTTCAGCTGGGCATAAAAGCCGAAAATACCGTCCAGTGCTCTCAGTACGTAGGATTCGTACGTAAGTTCACGCTTAGAGTATGCCTCCAAGTCTCCCATGAACCCACTACTCCATGGTACATAACAACTTGAATCGAAGTCTTCGTCCACCATACTCTCGAAGATGGGAGATTTACGGTTGCAGTAGGCCAAATCTTGTATCAATTCCTCTGCGCACTTCATACCTTCACAATGGAAGAAAACTTGTTCATTAGTAAAGATGACACATCTGCAAGAGAACACTGCCTCCTAGTATGTCCAACCCCTGGTGTCCCATGTTGAGTGTTACACGTCATGACCAAACATGGGGGGTCTGAATATCCATGTCATTCCGTTCAGGGTTAACTTATTTGAAATCGTGCGAAGGCACTGCCCGACACCAGGTAAACCATACGACGAAGTTTCTCCTGTGACAGCTACTATGGTGACAGTTGCTTGGCTGTCTGAAAGCCTGTGAGTCCATTGCCCAACCCTTCCTTATGTTTCTGACCGTGTTGATGACATACAGATAATGTTCATTTGAACTAATTGACATCTCATGTCTTCTTTGTCTTCTTGATCAATATAAAGTTGTTTAATCCATATATATTGAAATCCGAGTTGGAGTGTAGCACGCATGGCGTCTCTAATCAAGGCATTGGACAGGATGTCTTGATGCTTGCTCCGACATTAGATGAAGGACTCCATACGTAGCTCAGTGCAACATATGCAGAAAAAATGTTCATGCTGCAGCACAACCTCGGCCTTACAATTGAGCAACCTGAATTTTGCTATCCCGACCGGCTTTGTCGTAAACATTTAACAGGGTTTGCCATGAGTGTAGCGACACTGGGCGATCCACTTCCTGATCATATGATAATTAACGTGACTGGGACCTGTTTGTAGATATTGATCAGTTCTGCCTGGCTTGTCAAGAAGCTCGCCATCGGTCATCTGTAACAGGTATTTCCCATTGACCGTTGCCGTCAGATGTATGAATCATATTGACTTTATCGTCAGAAACGTGACGGCCAAGACTTATTATTACCGGACTCTTAGATCCGACATCTCTACGCCGCAACTTTGAGGTGAGGAAACGATATGGAGAGCCTGTGGAAGTCTTAGAGATATGTAGCGAGCCCTCCCATCGGAATTTGTTGCCCTCCGAACATATCTGGGTAAGATCGACAAATTGACATTGTGTACAAAGATCTTGACTTTCCCATTCTAAGCCACCTGTCCGAGCTACCAAACCTCTGTTGGGCTCATAAACTAGCAAAGAGTCATTCGTGATACTTGAATATACCAAGAGCTTGTAAAAGCCGCAAGTCGATCTGACTACTTAAAACATCCTAACCTTCATTGTTAGATGGGCTTAAGTTCGAAGAACAAAGATCCATCTCCATGGTTTCCTTGTTTTATCCTATATACACTGCTCCTGATGAATGATACTTTTTTACTTGGTGTCGGTCAAGTAAGAATGTAACAAAGACGTGAGGCGAGAGTCTGGTACAATTGGACAGAAAAAGCAGCGCAACAGTGAAGCCGTGTCAGGACTAGGGCAAAAAGTTCGCAGTGTGCACTCAATAATCTTGTACTACTTGCAGGAGGAAATAGTAAGACTTTGGAAAAGATAAAGTTTGCTGTTGTAGGCAGCTGTGATTATTCCTGTGGGGTTCGGGCGCTGTTGTACGAATGTGACTCCGCCACGAGGACTGACTAACACGTGTATAGTCTTCAAGGATGCTATATATTGAATTCCGCGGGTTCTGGAAATGATTTCGCCACAGTAGAATATTCCCAATTGGCTAATAATAAATATTAAGAGAGGATCCTATATATTTCAAAATTGGAGAAGCCTAGAGCTAATCCAAGAGAAATCGGCCACTCAGAAAACACAGAAAATAACATTTAACACCCGTCTGGACCGTACCAAAGCCACCTGAAGTTCTACCCCATATGACGAGCTAACCAATCTACAAACACCTCCGGATTCTCCTGAAAGTACGTATATCCCTTTATCCTCACCGTTCCGTCTACCCAATGCAGTTTCTTGTCTTCTACAGTCAGTGAATCATACATAGCCTGTACGTCACTCTCCTTCGTCAAAATATCTTCGCGTACTGAATAAATAAACGTCGGAACACGAACATTCTTCATGATCGGAATAGGCGACAATTCATCAACAGTGAAGCTCGTTTCCATCTTGATCATCTCGTTCACCTCATCAAACCGATCGTCGAGCCCGAACATGGCAAGAGCTTTCTCAACGAATGGTCGGTACGAGAGGGGCTCGGGGACGAGAAGACAGCGTACATCTTCGAAGACTTCTGGTCGACGGTCCATGGCGAAGAATGTAGCGATACCGCCTAGACAACGACTGAAAAGGCCGATGGTCATGTTCTTGGTGTCTTCTCGACTGCGAACATAGTTCAACGAACCGACAACATCTCTTGATTCAAAACGACCAGTGCCAGTGATACCACCATTCGCTTGTCCACTATTTCCAGAGTTTCTCATATCATAGGTGAGGACATTGTACCCAGCATCATGTAAGATCTTGAGATCAGGAATAAAGTTGAGCTCAAAGTCATTTCCTGTGGCAGAACCACCGAGGAAAGCCTTCCATGGCTCGAGATGAGCGGGGTAACCTGATCGGGTGCAGCGAAGGGGATGATTGGCGATGATCAACTTGTTGGAGCCTGGCTTTGGGATGTACCATGCTTCAAGAGGAGTGCCGTCTTCGGAAGGAAAGAATACATCTTCGTATTCAAGACCTGCTTCACTTGGACGGTGTAAGAGAGGGGTGGGGATTTTGTTGCGCAGGGGAGCAACAAGGCCTTTGAGGAACCCTTGTGTTTCTTCGGGAGTCATGGTGAGGTCTCTTGTGCAGGTTGTGTTATTGATAGTGAAGTGTTCTGTTAATATAATGTTGGCGAGAGTGATTGAAACGATGTTCTGGGTCAAAATATTTGGAGTTGATACTGGGCAGTCTTTATATACTTCATATTTCGAGACCGAAACAAAGAAGACCCAAAAAGGCAAACAATCTCGCTATATCCTCTTCTCCCGAGATATTAGGTAAGCTTACATGCATCTGGAAGGATCTGTAACAGACATTGAGTATCTATAACAATTGGTCGATGTACTGCTGACGCTCGATTGATTCGCTACTTTGAACCCAGGTGAGATGGCTGCAGAAGCCACCGATCCTTTGCTGACAACCAACTTCCCCATTAGGAAAACAATCGAGAAAAGGTACTTAAGGATATTGAACCCCCCCGTTCCCGTTATCCTGGAACAAATTATGTTCGTACTGTCAGAGCCGTATTTTGATTGGGTATATCGCCGCTGGGGGCCATAGCTTGCAGAAGTTAATACATTTTAAGAGGCTCGGTGTTTGACAGATTTGCCGAGAAGGTGGTTATCGTCCTTAAGAATGAACAAACCGCGACGCCGTCATTACATTTAGTCACAGAAAGAAAATTTGAAGATCTTTCATTAGTTTGTTCAGAATTGAAGTGCATATGGTGCCTCCAGTGCAAGACTAAGATTCATGTGGCCCAGGTCTTGGGTCGTCACGGTAACAATTTAGTCCGCTTTGAAACTAGATTGGAGATTTGACGAGGAAGTGCTTCTTATTCCAAAAAAAAAAAAAAATGAAGATCGTGATATTTAGCTACTATCATTGCAGTCGGTTCATTGTCCACCCCCAGCTTGGTTGAGAACGATTCGGTCGCCTCGGCTTATAGTTGACTTAAGCCCTGATTGAAGAAGATACCTGGGGTCCATACTGCTGCCCCTGTTCCAACCCATCAAATTGTGCTCAGCACCTATTTAGCGAAGGCGCCGAAGAGGCCTTTGGCTAATGAAATTGTCAGCAAATATCCATTTTGAACTGAATGGCTTTATGTTACCAATACCGCCGCCTATTTTGATAGCAGTACCTAACCCCTGGCGGTTATTCTCCTTAGTAGCTGCCTATTGAGAATGTTGTGAGATTATGTATTGGAGATATGGTCGACGATTATTTACCTGTTGGATGGGAAGAGCAAGTCCCATGGCAGCAAGAGACAGGATCGCCAGTGACAGTTTCATGGTGCAAAAAAGATATTGTTAGAATGCTTGTGAAGTAAGAGCTGGTTGTGAAATCTCTTGGCAGACAATGCTGCCTTCTTATAACAAACGATTCGAATAATATCTGAGTTGAGTGCACACAGAAAATACGTACTGCAAGTCGATGGCTGGTCTATGTGGCTTGGCTGAGCCCTGGTAACTACGAATGAACTATCTAAGCGATACCAGTTGGGGCCAGTCTAGACCACCCTCAGCTGCCATGAGCGAAGCCACCGAATAGTCGGTAAAGGGGATGGTTGGATGCAATAGATCTCATATCCCTTAATTATCCCCCTACGTGGAGCGTATCTTTAAGCCACAGATTTGACTATTCGAAACAGCTAGCGTCGATAAAATTGAAATGACCACCAATATCAATCGGTCTTGTTTTCTTATTTGCAGAAATTGGTGCTAGATTTATTTCCGCAGTAAGGGAATGAACAATTTAGTAACAACTTCAGAAAACTAGTAATAAATCACTTGTAGAAGAAGGTAGCCCTGGTTCAAGCAGAAGCTTGCAATGGTAATTATCTATAAAAAAAACGTTGATGGAGGCGTAAGGTTTTACATATATATGGGATAAGATTGCTTTGTCTCTCATTTGGATCGGTGTTACTGTTTTGTGCTGCCCTTCGAGTCGATTAGTTCGCATCATGTCAACCTATCGAAGGCGTCTTCATAGTAAGCTAAATTTATCATCGTCACAGGATTCATACATGAGAAGCGAGGTTACAACATTCCTCTATGTAGTTACTGGAATGACTAGCGTACGCTATTGGTAGACTATTGAGGAACTATCCTTACCAATCACAATATGCATTCCCTGCACTCGGCTGTTCAGGGCAAAGTAAGGTCACTTTGTTGTAGCTTAGCTGAAACTTGCAAAACATTTTGTCAGACTCGATGTCGAATACTGGCGGGCTAAACTGGATATGGAGTGAAACTGGGGACCCATGCTGAGGCGTAAAGAAGATAGGCTTGTCTTTCCGCAGACAGTCTGGAACTTCAGCTCAGCTAACAGTTCCTGGACGGTCAATGCGCTCATAGCGGGGTCAATTTTACAAACAGTAGTAGTAGAGACACTGGGAGGTGAGTCAAGGTTTGAAAAGGTATATCGTGAAGGAATCTATGACTATTGTACATATCTATAAAAATGGCATAAAAAAGAAGTCTGGATGGTGAATGAAGAAAAGCTGAGGTAAAAACGACCATTGTCCATCGGGCATGAGATCCGACCTAGAGAAGAAAACAGATGAAAAATACAAGATATGGCGACGAGCGACGTAGCTGATGAGTTGACTTAGTTGGTGTAATGAGCAACGTAGCCAACTTCCATCATGCTACCATAGCCATCGCAAGTGTTTCCGTTGGGATATCCGGGCTATAGAATCGGTTAGTCCATGTCTAAAAAATTGTACGATTTGCTAACTTACCCAGGTACCTCCAACAGCAACGTTGAGGATAAAGTACAAAGGACTGTGGCATAGAGAGTTCCAAACATTTTGGTCGTTGATCCTGGCACCGGTGATCTGGTGGAACTGCTGACCATCCATGAACCAAGTAATAGTCTCGTCGCGCCAGTTGTTCTTGGCCCGATTGAATTCGACTCTCCAGGTATGCCAGCTCTGGTCTGGGATACCAATAGTGTTACCAATACCGGTGCCTTCATTGCAAATGCCACCGGGATAAACATGGCAGTGAACTGTTCCGTGACCAATGAGCTGGCCATTGACTGTCTCCATCGCGTCGATCTCACCACAGGAAGGCCAGCTACCACCGTTGCGGAGGATGTTACCAAGCATCCAGAAAGCGGGCCAGATGCCTTGCTTGTTGTTGGTAGAGCATGTACCGAATCGGATATTGGCTTCGGTTCGGGTGATTTTGCCTGCCTGGGGAGTGAAGACATATTTGCTTTCAACACGACCAGAAGTCCAGCCGTTTTGAGCAGAAGCATCGCGCCATGGAACAAGCTGGAGAGTATCGCCGCCGCTTCGTTGAAGGTTGCGGGTTGATGAAGTATAGACCTCGAGCTCGGCATTAACGTTGAGGTATCCTGTTATGATGTTCCATCTGCTTGTGTCAGGGAGAGTGCCGCTTGAGCCTGCAAAGGTATCCTGCCAGACTTTAGTGAAGCCACTATAGTTGGGGGCATCCCAGGCAACAGTGCCCAGCGAGAAGAGAGAAAAGAGAAGGTAGGATGGCTTAAACAACATCTTGACTATGGGTTGAGTAATTGGTAGAGTGTGTAAATGAGATGATAGTGGACTTCAACTAACTAATTTGACGTCTTTTCAACTTTCATTTATATATAAATAGCGTAGCATTCTATTCGGTATTATCCTGGATATAGTCCGTGTCTTATGGTCTTGTCGGCATGGATTATCGACAGCATGCGGCAATCTACAGGGCAATCTGCAGGGCAATCTACAAAATTTTCCATCAGCCGAACCACGCCATCAGTCTAGAAATAAAGACCACGAGTTGGTAAGCCAGGTTCATAATCTAATAATTTTGCTCGAACGGTAATTTTCGTACTCAAAATCGTAACTCATGGACTCTTTATGTGTCCAGAGATGACCAGAATCATAGTCACAGTCCAGTACTCGATGACCTATTGATCGAAAATACATCATTTTCCTGATCAAGTTGCGTGACCTATCATGGCGTTACATCGGAGCGTGCATGTCGCAGCCCAGAAAAATGTTGTCTTTTTGAGCATTTGTCCGAAATTATCTAATGCGACAATTACATCTCATCTAAAATCCAACGAACCGAATTTCAACCTTATCTAGCATAAAGCTCTCGACAAATAATCCTACAATTTAACATGGTTGAGATGATCCCCTGAAAAGGAAGCTAATTTGTGATTGCCGTGGAAGAGACCCACATCAAATGTAACCTTCCATTCTGGACAGTCATATGGCCGCTTGATGTTCCGGTCCAAGGGTTTCAGTGAGTATAGACTATCCAATCACGGAGGAGGGATTAGAAAGTGACATGCTCATGAGTTTAAATGCATTTGACTTAAGCGAGCGATTTTTCTAACATATTTCGTTATGATTGTCAAAATGAAGCCCCGACCCATGCCAAACAAGACTTGTCCGAGGCCAAATTCAGAGAAATTAGACTTAGTCATGGTGTGATACTGCAAAAAAACACCAAAAACATACAACAGCGGGGATTCGCTGGTCGTCACCGACCCAACTACTAATCCGCCCCTTACCAGCTTATCTATGGGAGAGCGGACGGGATCCCGAGTTCTCTGATAGGTATGGTCGTATGTGGTAGAAGAAGTTGCAAGGCGTGCCTATATGTCAAGTCCTAACAGAGGAGATGAGTTGCTGAGAGGATCACATGAGCGCAGATCCAATGAGACAATTTGAGAATAATACCCACGTGCATGCTCTAGAGCCATAACCCTTCGAATAAATACACTGAATGACGAGTTGAAAACAAACTGACCACTGATAGCATTGACTGAAAGGTCGAGAGTATTAAACAGAATTGAAACTGTGTGGTTTCTATAACATACACAATGTCTTGGAGGTAGGCGGTCACTAGTGGCAAATGCATCAAGCGTCGGAAGCCTTATGCATTGTCATTCGATTTGCATCTACCCTCTCCAATCATGTGGAAAGGATTAGAAAGTGACACGCTCATGGGTTTAACTGGATCTGACTCAAGCCAAGCATTTGCTTAGCATATTTCTTTATGATCGTCCATGTTAGGCCCTGATATATGCTAACTAGGACTTGTCCAAGTCATCACCGGTCTAGCTACAAATCCGTTCTTTAACTACTTATCTGTAGGAGAGCGGATATGATCCTGTATTTTCTCTTATATTTGTTTATATGTACTGTGTGGCGCTTTGCACTTTTACCTTGGCAGGACACGTTGAGCTGACTTAATATGCATAGAACGTGCTGCTAGTATCGTAGAAATTTTAACAGTTAAAGTAACATTAGTGCCTAACTTGGATAGTGAAAAGTAGATAGATAATAACTCCCATAAATGACACGCGTGCAAGCAGTTGGTCTTCAGCCGATGGGGTTAATCTATTGCCGGGACGCAATAACCATCGCAGCCGCACGCCCGAATCTTCAAGGGGTAAAGCGAGTACTGAAAGAGTGATCAAGATATCACAAAGATCGGTGCCCCATCAAGAGACATCTTGCCCTCGAGCTCGTCACGATTCCAAGATTGCAGTGTGTGCAAAGAGAAGATTAACGCTCTGCCCATGAACTGCCATGTCACATCAACACGTTCCGGATCCGGATCCCGCTTCCTCAACACTAAAAGGCTCTCTTCATCTGGCGCTTGAACAATCAAATCGTCCATCGTGACACCTAGAGGCGCGATGCCCACCAAACCCCCTGATAACGTACCAAAGAACGTCACCCCGCCGCTCGTCGCCGTTGCGTTGTCTCGCAACCTTGTACAAGGTTGCAAAAACGCCTCCGCGTCATCAGCATCTACTTTCACTTTTCCCTCACATTGCATATCGAACGGCGTATCGCAGATGGTGGCCCAGAGTAAGCAAGCGGTCTTGATCACGTTGACCGTTGTGTCCTGCTCTGACTTGATGATACTCGGGCCAGTCAATTGATAATACATAACTTGCTCCTCGCCCCCATCCCCTAAGACTGTCATGGTGAAATTGGCTGAGGGTTTCATGGCGATGGAGGAACAGGCATTCAACCGGCGAGAGAGAGTTTCGTCATCATCTAGAAGCTCTTTGACTTGATCGGCTGTGACATGTGGCGTTAGCAGAGACGCAGCGGGAAGCGACGCGTGGTGATTATAGTCTCCAGAGGCTACTATCAGCTGCCTGGCCTTCAACACTGCATAAAGAGTGGGAATTATAACATTCAGGAACAAATCCCAAACAACTTCCTTCTCTTCAAGGCCCGTCGCCTCTCCGGGCGCCTTAACAGGGAAGTGCGTGGCTATCTTGTCGAAGGGAATGGCCTTGATGTATAGTTGACTACAGTCATCAGATAGACTGCAACACTTTTCAAGTTTGTGTCTCCTTCGAGTCAGCTCAATATCTTCCCAAGAACCTTGCTGCCATTGCCCTTGTTCAGGGAAGTTAGCAAAGTCAATCGCCCACGATGGCAGCAACTTGCTCGTTTCGCCATGACGCTCTTTCCAGGTTCCAGACTTGCTTTGTAACCCAGAATCTTCATCACGGCGGGCTATTAGATCGACCATATCAAGCACTTGAAACGTGGTTTCGCTCCGGATCGCCGAGTAAGTTGCCTGGACAAAAACCTTGTACGGATCCAAGTTGTAATTTACCGGGATTAGGGTCGCCTGATAAGGATCAATGAGGCCCAGCATTCCGTAAACCATGTCCTGGGGTTTATAGCACTTTTGGGTTCGAAACAAGTTTTGTAGTTCGCCTAGACATGTATAGTTCAAGCCTGACGTCGCGTGGAGGTTTAGTCGGGCAGCTGCGAATTTGAAACCCATGGCCTGTTTGAACGAGTCGGTCGCCTCCGTTTTGGTCTTTGCCCAGTCTAAGAGGAGCGCAATATCGCATTCAACCCAGTGGAAGCCAAAGCCGAACTGTAGCCGCTTAGCGAGTAGATATTCCTGGACGATCCAGAGACGCTCATGCCATGGTAGATTCTCCTCAATAGCAGCGGCGAGGGCAAGGTGTCGGCCGTGTAGATAGTGCCAGATTAAATCAAGCTCAGATCGAGCACTAGAAACAGCCTCTTTGCAGACAAGACGTCTGGTTGTGGGTGCGTTGATTGCACCCTCGGGCCCAATCGTTTTGGCAGTGACGTCCTTGTAAGCCGCCCGCCAGGCCTTGACCCAAAGCCCAGAGTCGAACAAGCTGCCTATTCTGATACCTGAATCTGGGTTCATGCTTGTGCGCCCTAGCCAGACATTGACGACTGCGGCATACCTGTATACGTCGCCCATAAGTGGCACTTGAATGTCCTTTTCCGATTTATTTTCCTGATTGATACAAATAGAGTCTATCCATATGGTCCGTATCTTTCGGCGGAAGCGGAGGCTTTCCAAGGCCGCAAACGCGTTGGGGGTGATTAAAAGTTGATGAACTTCATTGATGGTAACGGACGCTGTTGGAGGATCCCGCCCCCATGTATATGACAGGGCTTCATAGTAAGGCCTTGGGTATGCGTTGAATGATATAACGCGGAGCCTTGTCTTAATCTCTCCATTCTTTGGGCCTGGTAGCAGGTCGAGAATTCGAATTGAGCTTGTGCAATTAGGATCTAGCTGTAGATGGGGCTCGAAATAAAATTCATTTTTGGGTTTGAAAGCCATGAAGTATTGCGAATGGGACGGCTTTCTTCTATTCGAATATGTTAAGGTAGTAATGAGAGTGATATTTACGAGGTCAGGCTACTTATGTTAAAGGTATGTCTTGTTCTGCCTCCTCTTGCTTTTTCCTTCAGCTTGTTAGCGGCTTTATTACCCTACATACAGCATTGCTCAGCCGCAGTGACTAGCTCCCTGAAAATGACATCATAGCCATTTAGCGCACCGTCAACAGGACATATTACGAAAGTGATACCGACAAGGCTGAGAGGTCAAGCGGTTTATATTGAGGTAAATGGTGCCCTCAGCTGATGAACGTAGTCAGTCGTAAACCTTCTATATATGTGTCTAGGGAATAGTAACTCAGGCGCAATGAAAGGTTTGACAAATTACGCGGCGAGGTAGTAGCTTCCAGATGGATGTTTTTCCTTCCGCCTCATAGATGCAGGCTATATACGGATACACAAATGGCATCGTCAATAGGGCACGGTGACTTAACATAACCTGAAAAATGGAGGCTTCCTGCATACACCAAAGCACCTTGGGGTGGGCGAAGCCTTGTATAATTACCTAAGTCAGCCTATTACGTAGTGGGCTTGAGGCTATGTCAGGGGTCTGCTACCGAATGGATTCACGTGAGTTACTTGAATGACCTTCTGGCAGGGCGTAGTAGTACGGCCCTTTTCACTGCCAAAGCAAGTTTATTATATTTGCTATCTTATCACAAGGCTCGATGACTTATGTGAAAGCTTCAGGTTAACATTTTCACGAAAAAAATGAATTTATAATTTAATCCCGCCCTGATGCCACCTGTACAAGATATGAACCAGGAGAAATAGTATCCTTCTACACTCGCTAGCTTGCCAACTCATTGTTGCATATAGTTAACTGCTGGACTGATCCCAATTTAGCCGAGGGATCAGAGTGGTGCTTGAGGTAGGCGGTCATTAGCGGCAGATGCAGCGAGCTTCGGGCGCCTTATGCCTTACCATTCAATCAGCATCCGCTCTCTCCAAACCTGCATCATTCATCGAAAGGTGTCTAAGATGAATCCGTACGAAGCCGACCCTACAAAAATCCCACAGCATGATCGATACGCCGATGTCCCCTTATATGGCCGATATCTCCCCACTTCAGATGATTTCCAGCCTGACCCGAAACATGCCAACTCAGGTTCAGATGATTCGTTAGAGTACTGGGCGTCTGTACTCGAACTATGCAATACTTCCAACAGGATATATCAAGGCTTAGAGGGAGCCAGAGACGTATTCGCGCTTGGTAGTGTTATCGTCAAATCCAGCCATCTCCACACTGAGCTTCAAGGCAAACGCGCAAGCCGAGATTTCTCATATGCAGATGCAAACGAAGTCAAGGCAACTGATCTGGCAAGGACTGTATTGAAAGATATAAAAATTCCCACTATCTATTTCGCAAACAAGATCAACGGTAGAGATGTCTTGGTACAGGAGAGAATTGCTGGAGTGGGCCTCAATATCGCATGGCAATACATCTCCGCCGAACAAAAGCAAAACTTCAAAGACGAAGCACGCGACATCTTGCGAAGCCTGAGCAAGATAGAACCTCCTACTTCAAGTACGACTCGATCATACATCGTCGAGGATCCGGATCCGAAAACACATCGAGGCATCCAGGAACTCGAATACAACCTTATCTTCTCTGAGGATAACAACGATGAGGATGTGTCATTTATGCATAACGACTTAACTCAATCAAACTGCATTGTCGACGATGACAAGATTGTCGGGCTTGTCGACTGGGAAATGGCAGGTTACTTTGGATGGAAGACAGCTGGCCATGTGCATGTCCACATTCGAACTCCTCGACGGCAGAACTTTGCGGCGCTGGATCTGCCGGAGGATGTTCTCAACAATATCCTTTTCTGGAATGACTTGTATGAAGTTTAAATCTATTAGATATGACACTAAATTTAGCCCGAGAGTCGAGCCTAGTAGGGGGTGCCATGAGGTAGCTGTCTATCGAGTATACCTATCACAAGGGCTCAACTTCGCAGCGCTGCCAGCATCTTTGGGAATAACGCCTGCAGCAACTGCAGACTGGTAGCACCACCGCCAATCTTTCTTACCCAAGGTACCATCACACTTCCAAGACCAAAAGAACCATCCATCACCCTTCTCAAAAGACTCTGCTTGTGCAGCCCAATAAGCTTTGTACCATGTTTCTTGCCCATCAACCTTGAATTCGTTTGTGTTCTTCAAAGTACTGTTCACTGATAGAGACCACTCGCCAACAAAGACATGTCTTCCCATGTCATCCTTACAAGCAGTCTCGATGTAGGCTTTCTTGTTTCCGGAAATTCTATTGTCGAAGCTCAAGTATCGGTGTGCATCGAAAAATATGTGCTCGTCATCTGGGAGATTGGTTCTTGGGTCTCCTGATCCCCAGGACTTGCCCTGTAAAACGTCGAAGTCAGTATCACCATCGTGTTTGCTTTATTTGGAGACATACCATGAATTGAATGTGTAAACGGTCAGCACTAGCAACCTTCAGATAACCCTCCATGGCTGTGATACGCTTGTATGCGCCCGGATAGTAATTCTTGATCATATCTGCTGCTTCATCCTTCCACTTTGCTACATGCACAGGTTCATTCAAAACCTCAAGCATCCCAACAGTGGTGTAGTTGCCGTTAGTATGAATGCGCTTCGTCATCCACTCGAGGAATCGATAAGCTCGCTCGTAGTTTTCTGGGGTATAGAATCCAGGGTCTGGCACAGACTTGAGAATCATCAGTAAGTAAAGTTCGACGAGATTGAATAGGATATACACACATGACCTGTAAACTGCTCGTTCGGGGAACTGATCCCAGGTCCAGAGTGAAGACCAATAAGCACGTAGATACCGTATTTCTTGCACAAGCCTACGATTCGATCAAGATGCCAAATACCACCACGAGGCCAGTATTCACCGTCTTGGATGATGTCTTCGTACATCCAGTAACCTACAGGAATTCGGACGGCATTGAGACCAAGACTGGCAATCTCTTTGATGTCGGCCTCTGTGATCCAGGTCTCCCAGTGCTTTTTGAAGGCGGCGTTGGCTTTAGCTTGACCGATACCCTTGACACATGCCCATTCATCATTATAAGCACTGCAGCCCATGGTTTTCCATGACTCTTCAGCCATCCATCGTTCAATGATGAATTGCGAGCCAAGGTTGACACCACGAATCTTGGTGTCGTCGGGTAGCCTTCGCTCGGTGATCTTTTCTCCGTTGGCCTTTGCAATCGCTGATTATCATGAGTATTTTACCTTTTGAGAGATGTTCAGGTATTTACCTCTGGACTGTGGGGTCCAGGCACTTGCTGCGCCAAGGAATAGATATAACAACGGATTGAAAAGCATCGTCGAGATAACGATGGTGTCGGGTTGGACTATGGAAAGTATCGGTGGAATTGGGACGAGGAATGCTGGATTGTCAAAGGCCCTGGCTACTTGCAATCAACAACGTGAACGACATGCTATTATATAGAGTTCGGCGGTTCCGTTATATGAAACGGGAATCTTCCGCGAACCAATTCCGCAATGCCGATCAATCTCGTTAAGAATTCCTGTATTCTTCTATAAGCGGGTAACACCGCAGACTGTTTGCACTTCCTAGGCTAGCCGACCATTGAGACTCCACGTCATGAAACAAAAGATCCCCATCCTGGCATCCTCACAATACCACCCTGTATCCACAACTCCCTCTCTTAGCGATACCGTTGGTTGATTCGGGCTAGGATTACAAGTGCGGCTGAATAATGTTGTTCGATACGACTCCACTTGTAAACCTGTTTATTTATATTGAGCTTGAATGATCCGATAATGTTATATGTTATGAACGGTCGAATATAATCTCGTCCATTTTCTAATGAGATTAGTAAACCTTCTGGACGAGATTTAGTTCTCACTATGTCGTAATCCCATAGGACCCCAAGGGTTAACATCGTTATCAACTCATCGAGGCATTCATCGTCGTTGTAGAAGTGTTCACTCCCTGTAATGCATCGTAAGAATCGAATAATTGAGGCCATATACTCGAGGTCCGATTGAAGGGGATCACTATAGGGGAAATTTATTGGGGTGTTGCATATCTCATCACAAGACAGTCCCGCCACCTCCAAAATGCCAGATTTGATGAGAAAAGCGGAAGCGACTGATTTACCACTGGCCCTACTGCTAAGATTTAGCATGTGTAATCGTTTTCCAAGGTCTGGTGTCCAGGTTGGAAGTGTATCTGAGTTACACATTTCCAGAAAGCGTAGATTTCTATTGCTGGTCAGGCGAGCAACACAATCTGATGAAAGGATCTGCTTGGCAGATTTCGTATAGTCCACTGGGATCGATAGAGCGATATCCGGTGTTAAGAAACCTCGAATTGAATACAATCTGTCTCGATCATCTGAGCACTCGTAGCGGCTCATCATGTACAGCAGAGATAACCACTCGATATTAACCCCGATTTTATAACAAGTACCGACCATGGCCTTCAGTAAAAATTTTTAATGTCGTCCAAGGTGCCGAGGGGATCAAGGAAGCATTGGTATTTTGAACTCCTTTCAAAATGCATGCATAGAAACATGATAGCACTCTTGTAACTGTTCCATAAGATATCCTCACTACCGAACCTCACAATCGATGTTTCTTGATTTGTGAAAGCTATTTCTTTGACCGTCCAAAGCCTTCGGTGCCAATCTGCGGCCAATAGCTTCTCAAATGCAAGCGCTTGATCATGAGTGATTGGAACAGGTCCTGCTCTATCCTCTCCAAGAAGATGAACTATTTGGTGCCAGTCTTGGGGGCTATTGATTGTATAGGGTACTTAATTTGCTAAGTCCCGTATTGTATCCATGATCGTATGGCTCCAGGAAGTTGCAGGGCCGAGCCAGACAACAACGTTGCTGGCCCACCGATATACATATTACATCCGTTGAGCCTGGGCAGATCGTTCGGCAAGATCTCTTCGATTGATACATATTGAATCGCACCAGAGAATACGGCCTAGATCATGGTATCGAAGAGACCTTAGAGCGGAAGCGAGATTTGGTCCGACATCGAGACGTCCTGATTTAGTGGGACTTATTGAATGCTCCCCGCATGACTGTTGCTGAGTAGTAAGGTTGATCGTTTCGGGATGAGACTGATCACCCCAGCAGTAAGACAAAGCCTCATAATCCGGTATCTTACGATCTTTCGGAAGCTAATTCTCTCTGCAAAATGGTGCCTGTGAGGGGGTCTTCGGGCGAGCCAGGCTGCAGCTCCAAGAGTCGTATCTCGAGAGGAAGTAAACGAGAATATTTGAAGTGAGATATCTTGGTCCTATAAGGAAAACTCCAAAAAGGAAGGATAGGGTATAAAAGACTAGATATGATTCTGTTGGGACAATGAAAGATTCTTGCAATAGAAACGAGAGGGTTTATTGTTGTACAAATAAGAAGAGGAAATCATAAGCCTTCATTATCAATCATGCTTTAGAGAAATAAGCGCTCATATTATTTGAAAATCACACCAAGTTTTGATATGACGAATCAGTAAGTGCCCTTTGAGGCCCGATACGCTGCAGCTGAGACACGAAACAACGATCAAGCCAATGGTATCAACGTATAATTTGTTCCTAAGCCACCATCTGACGTAATCTGACGGATGTATTGAGTGGAGGGCAGATATTACTCTGTCTTGACTTTGGCAGCCTCGTACGAGAATAAAATTCTATCAATAATGGAATTTGTTTTCTCTCACACAGAGTTTATCATTTTGCTTAGACCATGGACGCTTTTGGAAGCGTTGGGACAGCGACATCGCTCCTAGTACAAGCATTTCATCTATTTCGACATGTGTCGTCAGCACGTAGCTTTGCAGATAGCGCAGGGACACTTGCTGCACTAATCGCAATCGAATATTTCCGATTCGAAACATGGCTTCAACAGAGTGGTTTGCTGATCACCGATCCTGTGTCTGGCGAGTTTATTGTTAGCGAAAGCTCGTTGCGCCGAGCTATTCTTCTTGCTTCAGACGCAAGGTCGCTGGCGATGGACTATGGTCGCGTCGAGCGCCATGTCTTGATGGTTATTAGCCAAGCCCATCAATGTCTTTTGATGCTACAAGAGCTGCGTGAGAAGTACTCTCTTCACAACAATGTCAGGAATGCCGGCGACACCGAAACTCTCAAGTCTGCGGCAATCCAAGATAGTCGTGAGATACCTACGGCAGCACCGCTGTTTCGGAATGACCAAGTCGCTGAAGGCATCAAAAATAACAAAAAACTCCACCAACATCGTGCAAAAACGGTCAGCTTCTTCCGTAAGGTGAACTTTACCTGGTCGTTCAAAGATGATATTAGTGATCGCACCAAAGTCATGGAACACATTTCAACTCTGAAGTCCTGCAACGACGCGCTTCTGGAATGTCTACCAATAACACAGCAGGGTACAGCTGATAAGCTCGTGAATATGAAGGCGCTCGCCCTGTCAGGTTTACCTTCGGACTTAAAGGGGCTTAGGAGTGCTGCCTCGGCATTTGACGATCCGATGCACCGTCAGATTTACCAGGCAATGGTTGTCAAAGCTAGAAGAGTAGAGGAAAGCACTCAAGCAGTATCAAGCGAAGAACTTGAGCGGATCAAGCTGGATCCTGCAGACTTTCCTCTCCAGGGACAATCAACCGAATTCAGAATCGTGTCTGAATACACAGAAAAGTCGCCAGTTATCTCAAAAGAGAAGATGGATGTTATCTTGGAAGGTGTATCGTTCCCAATCTCCCTGACTGAGAATGACCTTAATCTTCTCAAGGATCGCATTGCACACCTCTCCACTCTGCTCCACAATGCCGGCCATCCTTACTTTCCAATACTCCCACTTGGCATCGGCTTCTTTCAGCAATCTAGGACTTCATTCACCCTCGTCTACCAACTCCCCTCGTTCGCTCAACAGCAGGAGGTTCCTCGCTCGCTCTATTCTCTCCTCCCACGAAATAAGTATTCGATTGAAGGTGAAAAGGCTGCCGGGACGAACAGATTCATACCATCACTAGAGGAGCGTTATAAGATGGCTTCTGCCCTTGCTGATGGTGTACTCTCTCTACTTGGTGTTGAGTGGATGCATAAAAGCATTACAAGCCGGAACGTTGTTGTTTACCATGCGTCAGGAAAATTGGATCTATCCTCTCCTCAGTTATTAGGTTTTGGGCTTGCACGTCGTGAACGACCTGAAGAACGCAGTGTCGATGTACGCGACTACACGCCCTCTCCATGGCGCTTTTGGCAACACCCGGAACTGGTATGTCTCTTTCACTACCTTACCCCTATGACAGCGGAGTGACTAACCTCTTAGATAGCGTTCTGCTGGACAAGAACATCGTAGGTTCGAACGTCGCTTCGATATCTTTTCGCTAGGTGTCGTCCTATTCGAGATAGGTATGTGGCAGGACGCTCACTACTACAGCTCGTCTGGGTCTGCATCAGCGGGAGCGGCCAACGCCGACGACCTTCGCCGAAGGCTAGTTACTGTATGTTCACGTGAGATGGCTCATCGTATGGGCCAGGGGTATAAATCGGCTGTCATGGCGTGTCTAGATGGGGACGAGATATGGTTGGGAGATGCATGGGACGGTGCCGAGATGGAGGAAGAGGTGGAAGAAGGGATGCAGGATAGAGAGCCTGACGTTGCTGAAATGTTTTATTTGCATGTTTCCAGCGTTCTCAGTTCTTGTTGTAAATAGAAATGGTTGTTTAGTAGCCTGTCTCTAGACACTTTATCATGCACGATGGGAAAGGTACACAGGCGTTGATTTAATGAGAATCGTTTACCCTTACTAGATAAAATTGAAACAGACTATCTACCGAAGATCAGGACACTTCGTCGTGAACCTCACTTGCATCTGATTCCATCTCGCTGTCATCATCATCACTCGGCTCGCCCGTGAATCTGACGAGGAACTGTGGGTTCAAGTCAGCTGGCAGATTTCTAGAACCCAAGATCCTCTCTAAGCTTGCTCTTGGGATCGTGAAGCGACCTCCCAAAGCTTTTACCATTCGTATCGTCGCTAAATCTTGAGACTTGACAGAGTACCACGTCACCGACTGTCCTTCATGGTCTTGAGCATTAACATCAGCGCTGCCATTTTTAACCAGAACATAGACCATTTCAGCTTTTCCCAACCAAGAGACCATCTGCAGAAGTGACATGCCCTTTTTCGATCTGTAATTAGCATCAGCACCAAGCTTGAGAAGGAGACGCGATGTGCTGACATGGCCCTCAGGTGCGGAGAGCCAGAGGAGATGGGTCAGTAAAAAACTGTAGTCAAAGTCCCCGTGGGAGGCGATTTTCATCTCATTCTTCACTGTTCGGAGAACTACGTCAAGGAGATGTGTCATCCCATCTTGAGCAGCCAGAAGGCTAAGACGGAAGGCCAAACTTCTGTGCATGAGAAATCTGTCGGCGCGGCGTGCACCATGGCGCTGTACTAAGTAATTCGCGATATGGAAGCGTCCCAGCATAACATCCTCTCCAGTCCGCTCGAGGCCAAACTTGTTCGCCAAGAGTTCGTCACTCTGTCTTGTATGCCGGTAGCAAAGATCCAACGGCCTGGAGCGTCTTCTGTTACTCATATCCCTGTAGCCTGATCTGGCGTTGACATCGGCACCAGCTTGACAGAGTTTCATGGCCACATCAACATGACCATTGAACACAGCGTGGTGTAACGCAGTCATTCCACCTTCACCTCGCTGATCTAGCAAGTCCTTTGAAATAAGCTTGGAGAGCAGATAGTCTACTATGACTGGGTTTCCGTCCTTGCAGGCTAGATGAAGTACTGTCTCCTGATGATCGGGGCCTAATGCAAGTAGTGGGATTTTGTCTGTGAATGGATGCATTGGTTCAAGGAGGTACTTGAGTGGAATAACGTCGATGTCAGTGTTGTTGACCACGTACTCGTACAACATGTAAACTCGATGCCCGTTTTGCACCCAGGTGCAATTTACATCGGCACCATGCTCAAGAAGGTACGTAGCAATTTCGAAGTTGCGCTCACGGACCGCATTCATCAGCGGTGTACGACCCATGTCATCAGTGCAGTCTATGTTGGAACAGTCTTTCAGAATGCTTTCCAGTATTGTGGTGTCAGCGTGGAGCGAGGCACAATAGCTGTGTAGCAGGGTATCTGCGTTATCAAAACTGGATGAAGGAGATAAATCCCTGACTTTGTCGATCACAAAATGGACCATGCTGGGTAAACTGGTGCAAAGGATGTCTTCGAGGGCAGCTCTCCAAAACATTACTGCAGATTCTGTATCGGAGTTTGGAAAGATATTTGTAGCGTCTATGATTTGCTGCATCATCTCAGGTCCCGACGTTGCTGCAAAGCTGAGATGTCGGAACGTCTCGAGCCTAGTTTCGTTGTTCTCCTCAGACCACTCCGAGATTTGGCAATATTCATAAAGCACTTCGAGTGTTGATAATGCAGAGTATAGCCAGTATTCTCCACAGTAGACAAGACGCTCATGAGGTGGATGGATTCCAACAGCTTGCATAATCAGAATGTCGTCATTCTTTTGACTCCCGTTGATAGGATCCGTGCGGCCAGCACCTTGCATGTTGATTATATCGTTTAAACTGCGTATTGGTAGGTCATCAATGTCGTCTTTTACAAAATCCATCAGGGTTTCCAGGATTTCCACTTGATTCAACTGGATTGAAAGGTCAATGGATGACATGCCTTGGTGTTCAAGAAGGGGATCTGCTCCACAGTCAAGAAGCTTGTTGGCCAATGTACTCATACGCATGTCAACAGCCCAGTGTAGCGGTGTCCCACTATGGGCAATGCTGAATTGATTGACTTCTGAATTCTTTGCGGAAGCCAAGCTGTGGAGTCCATCCGTATAGTCTAGCATTAGAGATGTTATATCTTGGATGTCGTCGTCTTCCAGAGATATGAGCCAATGCCATGGTGTTTCGCCGAGCTTGTTTTCCAAAGAGGCATCAGCGCCATGTTCCAAGAGGGTCCAAGCATTGTCGACATTTCCAAACCGAAGCGCAAGATGAAGAGCTGTGTTCCCTGCATTGTCCTGCATATTGATAGTCTCTTCGTCAACCACAGCCATGGCATTGCGGAAGTGATCTGGATCAATACCCAACGCCGCGCCAGCATGGAGATATGTATTCATGGACCGGCTCATAAATGAAGGTACCGAACTCATAATTCCGTTAATTGGAAATTGTCCGGCACCAAGTAACATCTTAAGAACTTGCTGATTTGCTGGAAGGAACATTGTTTCGATATACTCGGCATCAGCCACCCCTTTGTCGTTCATCTCCCTGGCCCCTGCAAGCAGTCTTTGATGCTTCTCAGCTTCATTCAAGGCTTCCTGGTCTCCCAACAAGAGGAGAAACTCTCTACGTGCTAAGAGACAGCCGTTTGTGATGGCTTTGAGCAACCATGGTTTTTGCTCATTGTTAAAAGATTCATCGATCGTGTATCCGGTTGCTAGCATCAAAGGATGAAAGATTGACGCAGCCACAGCTGAACCAAGATCTCTTGCCTCTAGCAGATATTGTCTAGCGTCAAGCGAGTTACTGGGAATTCCAAACAAATCGATACTGGCGTAACAAATTTGCATGTAGGCGTTTGCTCTAACCTCAGCAGAAAAGGCTTTGTTCTCCGATACCTGTTTGAGTGACTCGATGAACATGGTCTGTGCCGTCCAAGGTATATTAAAGAGCCTCAGGAACTCAACAGTAGTCTTGTCGAAGTGTCAGGTTTAGGTTCTAATCAAGACCTTCACAGGATGATAGTGGTTACTCACCGACGACAATGCAGGTCCCACCTCGACAATGTATGGCTTACGTAACTTTGCAGTTCTGTCAACGAACTTGTTAACATAATTCCTATAATAGATCACATTTCTTTGATCACTTACCCATATACATTTTCGAATGATAAGCTCTCCATTGCTGCATCCAAGTCTCGCTTCCACATGTCTGACGACAGTGTATATCGAAAACACCTCTTCGGCATGGCAACATCGCGCATATAGAGATGGGCCCGTTCGGTACTAGAAACTGCACCTCGAAGGATTATGTTCCTGTCGTATTCATCCTCCACAGACAACGAAGCATCGGAAACGATTAGGTCTTGTGCTTTTCTCTTATCTATTTCCTCCTGTTCTAGCCCTTCGAAAGGGTTTCGACCATTCAAGAGCACTCTCCAGACCAACAAGCCAAATGAGTAGGTGTCGATATGTCGCAATTGAGAGACAGGAACTTGTTTGTACAGCTCAGGAGAATTCCATGGCTTTGTTCCCGCACTGATTTCGACCTTGTCTTCTTGATGTTCGGTGCCATTTGTGATGTGGGAACATCCAAAATCACAGAGTTTGGCCTGGATCTTGCCATCCCTACCCTTGAACATCAAGATGTTGTCAAGTTTGAGGTCGCCATGCATGATACCACAGGTATGAAGCGCTTGTAGGCCAGTTCCAACGTCGCGTGCAACTTGCAGTTTGGAATCAATACCCAACTTCTCCGTTGAAAGATACTCAGTGAGCGTTCCTAGATGTGCAAACTCGAGAACGATCATCGGCATCCAAGCTGCACTACATGCATCCAATCTAGTCCAACCGATAGTTTTGATATTGACAATGTTTTCGTGTTCCATAAGAGGCGGATGCGACAGAACACGCAGCTCATTTGCCAGGGCTTTGTAGCTCCGTTCTGAAATTTGTTTCGACTCTGTGGCAAGGATAGGATACTTGGCTACGCCTAGACCCTCAGCGTAACGCGTTTGGAAGTATCCCCCTCGTGCAATCTGACGTGAAGGTCGAGCAACAAAGTCATGATGTCCGAACCAGGTTGTGATGATGCTACCATTGAATTTGGCCTCGTTTATGAGTGTCATCAACTGGTATGTGATGGGGAGCTTATCTATTGATCTGCTTGGAATACGCGCCTGAGCTTGACCAAATGGAGCAGGATGATGATCATTTTTGGTGTTCTGAGAGGAGAGAGTCAATTTGGCGGTAGCTTGTGTCAGCTTCTCGATTCCATTATCACAAGTATAAGAAGAATATTCTGCCTCGAACTCGCCACCATCATTGTTGTCGTTGGTAAAGGACTCCATTATCAAAAGCCACAATTGTTTGGTAAGGATTTAAATAGGCAGGCGATTTTGGATCATAGATGAGAGGGGAAGACCGAGATAACCCGGTCTAGATAATGGTAGCCTGCTTGACATTGACCCCTGCACATTATTTTCAGCTCAAGCAGCCACACAGGCCCAACTCCAATGATATCTCTGATCGCTACACCATTGTTAGACACAGCCCCTCATGTTGTCTCAAGAAACTCCGAGTTCTCACTCATCTCCCGGTCAGATAAAACCATTCCCCCAACAAACCACATTAAAATCCACACACGAGCACTTTTATATCGATAGAACAATGCCAAACTCATTGTGGTCGAAGCAAGAAGACGTTGATGCCTTTTGGCGAGCGTCTTCCTGTGATAATCCATCCGGGGACAGCGTTCTGCACCTTGCTGTTCGTAAAAACGACACGGAACTTGCTAGCAATCTTATTGATGCTGGGTACCCAGTAGACTTATTTAACGACGACGGGAAAACGCCTCTTCACCTCGCAGCAGAGCTTGGACTTATTGACATCAGCAAACTGATGCTATTCCAGGGCGCTGATATTTTTGCGCAAGAGATTCCCTCTAATGGCGAGGATGGAGGCACTAAGGGAGATGATGCGTCCACTGATTCCAATGACAGTGCACTAAACACACGAGAGAACAGACATTCAGATTCCACGCATCTCCGTAAGGTATCGACTCCATTTGAAGCTGCTATGGAACAAAATACGACCGGGCTTTCAATATTGTTCGTTAAGCATGCGCTATCGACAAGACTTGATCCATCGCATGAATATACACTGCTCCAGGTCATGGCAAGAGCGTTCATATCTGAGAAGCAGGACCTACTTGAAGCATTTCATCAGTCAGGCTGGGGTATTGAACGAAAGCACTTAAGATATCGACGACCATTTCTTCATTACGTTTGTGAAGAAGCTGAACAACCTGATTCTATCAAGAGACTGAAGGAGCTTGTAGCTGACGTGACGAAACTTGACATCGTCGGTTTCAGTGCCCTGCATATTGCAGCCCAAATAGGAAGATGTCGCGATGGAAGTGTTGTCAAGTACCTCATCGATGCTGGTGCTAGGATCGATACCAAAGATAAATACTGGGGTGCTAGTCCGCTGATTGCAGCCGTTCAAGGCAAGAGACTGGTCAACGCTCGTGTACTTCTCGAAGCTGGTTCAGATCCCAATGCAGCGATAAAGCGCGGTGACATACGTCGGACATTCCTACACTTGGCCGCTCAAGATGGAATTCCCGAGATGGTAAAACTACTTCTGGAGTGGGGAGCGAATCCGAATGTCATTGATGAGCTGAACGGCACACCGGCTCAATGGGCTATACGCAGTAAGTAAACCGTCTTCCTTTTGACAGAGTCTTTGGTGTCATCCTGTCTACACCCGCATATACTGACTTTAACTGTTCACAGATAATCATATTGAAGCCGTGAAAATCCTTCTGGAGGGAAATCTAGACCCGAATTTTGACAAAGGCCATTCGATGCAAATGGCCATACGGATGCGACGACTGGAAATAGTCGACTTGTTCATGAAGCGTGGAGTAACAGTAAAACGTGACATGATACAACTCGCTCGGATATCTAACAAAGACAGTAGCATGCGTCTGTTGGAGATGTGCGTCAAAAACTTGTCAATTGGCGATGAAGATACTATCAACAAGGATATTGCAGACCAGGATATCAAATTCGGACTCCGCCTTAGCGGGTTTGACATCCCGAACATGATGAGACCTGATACATGTGATGATTACAGACTCTGCGCACTGCTTATCGAACACGGCTACGGAGAGAACCTAGAGGCTCTTCAAGATATCCCGAGAAGTCTCTTGATCTGCATTTGCGCTGAACACAACTTGAACAAAGCTGTATCACGACTACTGGAACTAGGCAACATCAACAAGAAAATTCGAAGCTACAGTGTTAGGCCATTTGGATGGACAGCATTACATGTGGCTGCTTACAAAGGCAACGTAACTCTAGTGAAGGACCTCAACTCAAACGGCTGGGACCCCGCCGATGAAGACAACCTTGGTCGAACAGCGCTTGATCTAGCGGCATACCATGGATCTGTGGAACTGGTAAAAAGTCTGTTGGCTACGTATTCCAATGTAGAGCATCGTGATAGAGATGGCCAAACCCCTCTACACTATGCAGTATCAAGCGACAGTCACAGGGAGATTCGTCTGCTAGAGTGCCTCGTCGAAGCCGGGTGCGACATGTTAAAGGCTACTGTCTCAGGTGAAACGGCACTTCACAGGGCAGCCCAATTCAATCTAAGTGAAGTTATCGCTTGGTTGTTGGAGAAAGGTGGCAAAACCTCCGCGAAAGACTCCCAATTGAGAACACCGCTTCATATCGCCGCTTCCGTCAACGCTGTCCTGGTGATTGAGAAACTACTCTCTCACGGCGCACAGTTGAACACTGTGACCATCGATGGTCGGACACCTCTGCATTGCGCAAGCCAAACTGGTGCGGACGATTCCGTGATCACTCTACTCGTTGCTGGGGCAGATGCAAACAAGACGGACGGTCGTGGCCACACAGCCCTGGCAACAGCTATATACTGGGGTAAGTGCAAACCGAGTACCATCAATACGCTCCTTGAGCGTACACAGGTAGACTGGAAGGCTCCACGAGCAAGCCACTTGGTCTTTATCGCGACACTAGCTGCCAAGTCTTCAAGCCGTGCTTCGGTACTTGAAAGTGTTATTCAGACTCTACACGCAAAGGTGGGAGAGAAGAAAGCGTCTCGCATCATCAGACGGTTAATGCCCGAGATGGTTCCCGAGATACTCGTCAGCGCAGACGATTTGGATCGGGGATCTCCAGCTGATATTATTCCATCATTACTCGACTTCCTGCCCGAAAACAAAGAAACAGGCCATCTTCTTCTCTTCCATATGCTTCTAGTTATCATCAAACACGGAGGAGATGACGATGGACATCTCACCCGCCGTCTTCTCTTACTGGATGATAGCAATGTTGCCCAAGAGATACCGAAGAACTGGGGCTTTCAGGGCCTATGCTGTCGTTATGGGAGACTTAAACAGCTCCGTGTGTTTTTGGGGCGTGGATTGAACCCATGGGGCAGATTTATGGTTGATGGAGTTATGTGCACTACCGAAGATATCGTAAAGCAGTTTTCGCCAGATATGTTGAAGTCATTCCAACGTCTGACTGACGGCTTGGATGTGCTGAGGAGTGTCTGCATCAAGGATCCATCGATACTTCCAATGCTCGGAAGGATATATCCCCCCTAGGATCTGAGTAACAGTAGGGCGGATTTCTGTGTCATTACGTCTGGTTGTAGGTCAGACTATGATACATTGGGTGGCATGGACGTGGACGCCCCGGAAACAGCAGACCCATCTCAAACATAGCTTGTCATAGCTTATTTGATGGTACCGATCAAGACGCCGCGTGAGACGGTTAACATGAACTCAGAATTGACGTTCCAGACCCCGAAAGAATACACGCTGTTTTCTACATCAGTAAACGCAGGGAGTCGGAAGTACGAGTGTTTAGACTAATTCGAATTACAAGTGTTAATCTGCACTAAAGTTCAGGAGAGAGAAATCGGATCTCTTTCAACCCAGTGAGACTTGGACTGCAGAGAACGCCCTCTTCTAACTCGCCTGATTAAAAGACTGTGCTTTGGCAATAGTTTGCCAATCAAGGCACGAAGCCTATGGTATTGAACTCCACAGCCATTACTTCGCAGTTCGGAACAAAAGGTCGTCTGTCGGCTGTAGACGGTTGATTTTTCTCGCTTCAGAACTTACAGTGCGCCCGTCATCGGTGGCACGGTAGCCCACATCACGGTAACCCGTTATCCCAATGGATATCGGCTTACATTGTAGAGCATCGGAAGAACTCCAGTGGCTTTTACTGTGAGTTGAAGTCAATATTTAATGCTGGTCCCTCCTTACCTTGACTGGTGTAGTAACCGTTTAAAGAAACTGGTCTGACCAAGTCTACTTTTGTCTTATCATTTATCCACTTGAAGCTCACTTATAGTTTGCTGGCCTTTCACCATGTCTTCTTCGCAAACTCCCACCAACCCCAAGATCAACGAACTGGGATCCGGCTTTGGCGTTGAAATCCAGGGCCTTGACTTCTCGGAAGGTGTCACTGACAATGACCACGCTTTTATCGAGGAACTTGTCAAGATTGTAAGCTTCTACATCTCCAAGTCCGGTAGGAACATTGTTTATTAATGATTGTCTTGAAGTACGGTGTAGTGGTTATCCGCAAGACCAAGCTAGACGATGGAGCCCATATCACCCTAGCACGCACATTTGGAGACCTGGATGATGTCAAGCCGTATAACAAAGCAGGGAGAATTCACCGCCTGGACTACGACGAACTATTCGATGTTGGTAACATGGAGCATGATGGCTCTATTGTTGACTCTAGCAGTCCCCGGGCACAGGCCAATAGGGGGAACAGCCTATTCCATGTCGACTCAAGTTTCAACCCCCGTCGGGCGGGCTACTCCCTACTACTGTCTCATGAGCTGCCACCTCGAGGTACTGGCGGTAGTACCGAGTTCTGTGACACCCGAGCTGCATGGGACGACCTTGATGAAGCTACCAAACAAGAGCTGCTGTCAAAAGACTATATTGCCTGCCATTCCATCCTCCACTCTAAGAAGATTGCTGCGCCTGAGCACTTTTCCAATATGGATCCCGCCGACTACCCCATGGGTCGTCATCGTCTAGCTCAGAAACACGAGCGATCGGGTCGCATGAATTTATACCTCGCCAAGCACATCCATCATATCGAAGGTTTGTCGACCAAAGCATCACAAGAGCTTTTCGATAAGCTCTTCGATCATGCCACGCAGGATAAGTATCGCCTTGAAGTGGAGTGGCGCAACGTGGGGGACCTGGTCATCTGGGACAATACCTGCACCATGCACCGAGCAGTTGGAGGGCCTTTTGCCTACAAGTATAAAAGGGATATGAGGCGCGCTACTGTCCATGACGATAGTACCCAAGCTTGGGGATTGAACGAGCATAGCGATGTTCGTCAAGGTCTTCCCTGAATAGATCAATCATGTTACTGGTCGGAATGGATTGTGAGAGTCCTTATTTTGTTCATTCTATCTTTTACAATCCTAGACCGTAAAAAGAAAGCTGAATGAATATCTCGATAAGGGATCTATTTCCTGTACGTCATGGCTCTCCGTATACTTAGGAGCCGACCGTTGCCGACCATTGCCGTCCGTCGCCGTCTCTTGCCGACAGAGTCGCCATATATACTCACAATACATTGGCATTGAATTTCCCTTCCGCTCTTCCCCCTAACATTTCCTCCGTCCTTGACCGGTCCATGACAGAATATCTGTAGAGATTGATACAGAGAGACATGACCCTCGGAACAGGCAAACGGTCATACCGGGCCTGTGTACGGTGCCGGCAGCGCAAGACCAGATGTGACCTGTAACTACCCTTGCCATCTCGCTTTATCAGTACCGTATGGCTAATTCTAGTTACTTTTAGTGGTGGTGTCGGTATTCCCAAAAAGCCCCCCTGCGTAGCTTGTCACAATTCGGGAAGCGAATGTGTCCTCGCCGTATCTCGTCGAGGGCGGCAGACCACAAGCGGGGTAGCTTTTGGTTTGAATAACATCACTATTGCTCAAAGTAGTGAGTCTCTTGGTGCAATTATAGTCTCGCCGCAGGCACCGGACTATCCTTCAGACGCAGAAATGCAAGAATATGCGACAGACAAACCGCCCCAGCCTCTACGCATGGCACTCAGGAATCCTTCCGATGCTCTACAAATTCTGGCGTGTTCGCAAGATGACTCCCCTGTTTCAACACGTTCCTCAATCGCATACTCCGATACTACTGGGCGGTTGGCCCCCCAAGCATCCTCTCTTGAACATAGCACGACGCATGGTAATCGGCCAACGCCCAGTTTTATTCTTGATAACTACGACCTAGTCAAGAGGGGCTTACTACATTCGAGTATTTTACCTGAGCTCCTACACATGTCAGTGACTTTAACCTGCTAATGCATGGGTTTAGTGGCTGATTATGAAGTAGATACGCCAAAAACTACCATCCCTATTGTCCCATCGTACCAGAATACTTTCTAGGCTCATCAGCCTTGGAGAAAGTTCAAAGGCCCGACTATTTCCTTCTCACCATTATTCTGACTATTGCCTCAAGAGACTCTCCGAATCATGTACTGGTACATCGCTATTGCTGGGACCATACTCAACATCTCCTTCTCCAAGTACTCCTCGCACATTCATGGTCCCAGACTCCCCGAACTGTCGAGGGTCTCATACTGCTATCGGAATGGTTACCACACATTCAGGCCAACCGAAGTACGGAAGCTAACAAGAGTTTGTCAAGTGAGGACAGAACGGCTTGGTCTCTCGTTGGCCTCGCTGTACGTTTGGGCTATCTTCTTCGTTTAGATACGGCTGCTTTCCGGAATTCCGTTGACGACGAATCGAAAGAACAAGAGGAGCGGAAGCGGCTAGTGTGGATTTGTAAGGTCAAATGATCCAGTGATGCGCGAGGCATGATGTCTAATTTTTGTCCTACAAGTTGTTTATCTCTTGGATAGACAGATATCCGTTCGCCTGGGCCATTCATTCTGGTCTCGAGGCCCAGCACTGTCGTCACACTTTACCGAAAAAGACTTTCCGAGTCTGAAGTCTACATCCGGCATTAACCATCAGAGCTACGCAGCGGTTCTCGAAGCAAACCTCGAACTGACTCAACTCATCTACAATGCTCATCAGATTCTATATCCATCTACCGACAAAACAATCACTATGATACACAATGGCGACTACCCTATATACCTGGATGACTTTGACCGCTCCATCACAACGTGGCATGCCAAGTGGAAAGATATCGAAGCACCGATCAATGTCAAAACGAGTCTCATGTTGACATACGAATACACACGTTTATATGTCAACGCCTTCTCCTTTCAGGCGGTCGTCATACGGAAGTCGACTCCGCGTTCTTCATCACAGCCTGGAAACAGACAACCGCACCCTGACCAGTTCGCTCATGGCATCATGTCGCTTCCAGATGGTAAATATGTTTTTGACGCTACGCAAGCGGCGAAAAGCCTCTTAGGTCTATTTACTCGTCTTGAGCCACGGCGGGCATCGTGTTACCTGCCTTCACGTTTTCATTTGTAAGCTTCATACAGATCATTCGATGCCATGTCCGCCAATTGTGCTGACAATGTCAAACATACAGATACGGGGTGTATGCAGCTGTGTTCCTCCATAAAACAAAAAGTGCTGGAGTGTTCCAGTCCGCTGCTGAGAAGCAAGAAGTGACCAATCTAGTGTTGCAGTTTATTTCCATCATGAAAGAAGCTCCACTTGTCGAAACACATGTCTGCCATGGGTACAGTGTCATGCTTAAAAGACTCTGGTGTCCAGACGACGGAGTCAACTCCTCTCAAGGCCAACATAGTCCTGGAATGGGCCAAAATGCGACAAGCCAAGGAATGGCCCAGCAGAGAGACATCGAGATTAATGTTGATTCTTCAAGTGCATCACACGAGCCCGAAATGCAACAGGAGAGCGGTCAGGATAGGTTCAACAGCTTTTTTAACCATGGTGGGCTGGAGTGTATCGGGGAGGAGTTCTGGTTGGGGAATGATGGCCAGCTCCCGTCAGTCGAGGAGTATCTTTTAGGGTCGTTCTGGCCTGGTATCACGGGATTTGAGATTGACAATGAATCTCGGCCTGGTGATCAAAATGAGATTCAACCCATGATGGGCGGGATTTAGGGTTTGATAATGTCTAAGTAGCGGTGACTAGATAATAAAATATCCCCGTCATCACGAACTCCAAATCAGTGGGGTTCAGCCTTGACATCATTGTGTCCAGTGTTAAAGCCTCGATATAGCATAATGACGCTGAAACAATAGTCTATGATGTCATAATCATCCATCACTATGTCTATGTTAAGGTTAAAGATTGAACATGACGGACGGTATGTCGATAGTCCGGTCCGTTAGTTATATAGCTTGAGTGTACATGTCATGTACGTAGTCAGTCTTTCATCTTTACATCAATCAATCTCATCAATTACATTGCAGCAATATTTATAATCCTTATACCTCCAAATTTGTATCATCACAATTTATTAAATCGACGATTACACCAGCAACTTATTATTAAACTCATATTTATATCATGTCAGCCTTTCGGGTTACCAACAGCCGCAGCTTTTTGGCCCTGCGCCCGGTCATCGCGCACAGCACAATCAACTCCCGAGTCCCTCAGGTTGTGCAAAGGAGCACATTTGCAACCCAGGGCTACGGGGACAACGAGGGAGACCCAGTGGGGTCCAAGGAACCTAATTCCCGAGCAACACATGAAGCGGAGCACCCAGGCCCGACACCCCCAGCCGGTAAAACAAAGCAGAACGAGACGGGCAAAAGTCCAGAGGATGCGAGTGCTCAATCCGGTGGATCAAGGTCCAAGGATGCTATTGAGAAAGGAAAGAGCCCGACCGCCGGGAGTATTGGGGGCAAGGAATAGTTTGCTAGCCCAGCCCATAGCTAGTTATTATGATCATAATGCGATTAACTCTCACTGATCAACTCTGTGGATCCATGCACATGACTTCTTTTTTCCGGTGTTGGATAAGGTATAACTTGTGCAGCCTTCTTGAATTTTGGAAAACGATGTGGACTGTAAATGATATTGTGAGTTCCCAATTCCCCATTACATCACATTGATATCTTTTTCAGGCAGACTCATTGTTCTTATTATCAATCATTAACTAAATACATACACCCGAACAAAAAACTAAAACGCCCCATATCCCAAACTCCTTTTCACTAAACGACCCAAAAGTACCATACTCGACCTGCCTATAACAGAAGCCAGCATCTATTCAGGAATCAATAGCAGTTGCCTCACAAACTCAATAAGGCTATTGATAGCTTCAAGCATTCCACCATGTCCCAGCTGCTTACACTGATAATCCCGTACCCTCGCCCATGAAAACAAGGCCCCATCCTCATCCTCATCAGGTACCATGTCAAGGTCGTCCTTATGCGACTTGAGATGCAAATAGATGTCGTGAAGAATCTCGCTATCCAGCTCTACAAACTGTTGGTACGTCAATCCCCCCTGAACAGCCGTGTGAGAGTCTATCCACTCGGAAGGATTATTCGTCAGTGTCTTTGTGATGACGTCGACAACCAAGTCTGCTGAGTCGGTGACTGCGGGATCTATAATCCAGTCGAAACAAGGGTCGGTGTCGACCTCTTTAAGAAAGCAACTCATCGAGGCGAGGCAGTCTTTCAGAGCGTAGAGCTCTTTGCGGACGCGGCTGACGGTCGGACTTGGGGGTATACGACGGCGCGGTCTCAGTACTGAGCCAGTGGAGGCAGGTTGAAAGGCTATATTCTTCGTTGTAAACGTGTCGAAATCCCTATCATTAATTAGTAAAGACCCATCAAACTAGCCGAGATAATGACTTACGCTCTCATGATGGGCAGAAAATCAGCAAAAGAGTTACTGAATTGACCCAAGCCTTCTCCACAACCCGCAAGTCTCAAATTGGCATCAATAGCTATATCCTGAGCTTGCAATACAACGCCCTTCTCAGGCTTAACTCCTTTCAACTCCGTTGCTGTTGTCCAAAGCTGGCTTCGAAGCTGAGTTAGTAGCTCCAAGACATCGGGGCTGAGTGGGATATCGACCATAGACTCCTGGGCCATCCAGCGGTTTCTGTATACCTTGAGCATTGTCTTCAGCTCCTTCGTCTGTATCAACAGTTGTTCGCATGTTTGACGGATCATGCTAGTTGTGGAAATTCGGTGACCACCGATCTCATGGGCGAGATTTGTGACATCTGCAAGGGCGGTCATAACATCGGTACAAGCCTCATGATATACCCTTGGGTTATCATTAAGGTCGAGAACTCCGTTGCTTTGATCTTGGTTGTCACCCGTCTCCACGTCTGGATCTTCATCACCCCATCTCCATTCCTTGCCATTCCAGTACAATGGCAAGTCTCCTGGTTCCCTCATCTTCATAACAAGATTCTGGGGCGCCGGTGATATATCATCGTTTCGGGGGGGTTGGAAGGAGCTGGATTCGCTAGATGTTACAGTAGTTGTCGAGGGCAGTTCTGGGTTAACAGCGTTGTCGTCTTTTGGTTGTAGCCCCGATTTCGTATCGGTGTTTGAATGCCCCTGGACAGGTGGTAAGTTAACAGCCTTGTCGTCTTTCGGTCGTAGCACTAGCGATAGGTAGGGACTCAAACACTCCTGGACAGTTGGTGGCACGGTTACAGGGGTCTGTTCCTCAAGCGGGGCTGGTGATGTTGGTCTGGACGATCCATCGAAAGACATGACAGAGCCGACAGTGTCGAGCTCTTCCCAGTCCTCGCTAATGGAGTCGCGTCGTTCGCTTGTCATTTTGGCGATTTTTGTGATGCAAATTTGTCGAAATTTGTTGGGGAAAGGATGAAAAGTGAAAAGTAATCTAGGCAGACACTGGGTTTGATATGACATAAAGGCGATGGTCATTGGTGTGACTGCATTAGGTCAGCAGCCTTTATTGTCTTACGTGTCAGTGAGTCAAACATTCTTTCTACGTTTAAGCCTCAAAGTAGTGGTTGCCTTATTCAATCAATAAAGACATGCCAACGTCACAGTAAATACCCCAATAGGGCGACAGCATGTACTAACAGTGGTTGGGGCAAGCCTCAAGTACAATCAATTCTATTGTAACTCAATCCATTATTAACCCGAATGTGATATCTTGTTGCTTGTCCAATGATACTCCACTTTTTATTTACTTTCGATGGCCAGTTATTAAATGGTTAGCACATTCGTAAGAGTTCTTTACTCAAACTCTCTATCGCCACACGAATATCAACGACAGGGCATTGATAACGAATCGGCATGTAATTGTTTAGATTTATTAATATTTACGAGTCACACCTGTGCTAGGAAACCTAGTCTTGAGAGAAAAACTTAACTTGAAATTATGTTGAAAATCTGATCTTCGCGGACAGATTAACCTTTATTGAAAACCTAGAGGAAATTGAGAAGGGCTGGGCGAAAGCTTAGGTGATCATCAAACACAATGGACTTGGAGACACAAGATCGAGAGAAGGAGTCTCTTAAATTGGGTTTAATATCAATTACAAGGACCCTCCTTTCTTGTTATCACCTTTAACCTTGCCCCATGCCTTAGCAACGGCGTGCTTTTCCTTATCTACCAAAGACTTATCCCGAGGAACGTACCTGTCTTTGCCTTGCATTCTTAAGCTGGTGTAATTTCGAATAAAATTGAATGAACGACAAATATGAACCTGGTCTGAGTCTATGTAGTTATGTTCTAATCCCTTCATGAACGTTGTTGGTATAAGGGTTGTGCTGCCGTAGCATTGAACTGTTTGACGAAGTATCTCTAAACAATGTTCTGGCAAGAATGTTAGTTTGGCATAATGGAGTAGAACATCGGAGATAGTGAACATAGCATGTAGAAACTTGTCATTGTGAAGCGCTCCATGTAGTGCATGAGACTTTGGGGGGTAGTGTTCAGGGCGTAGAGCCTTGCGTAGTTCGTTCTGTTTCTTAGCACCAATATTCTAAACCCGAATGTAGGCCCAAAGACTCACAATGCAATGAAGTGTGTGAAACACGTCGAATCTAGCAACAATGAAATTAGCCTCCAATCGTCTCTAAACATCTGGGCTCAACAATATCACATACCCCGCTGTATAGCCTCCCATATTCTGATCTACATATTCATGCCGCTTGTCACCCCAAGCCCTTTCTGCTTCCTTGGATGAAACTGAAAAGTACCGTTGACCAATGAGTCTCTGCCAGTTCGCTTCGAGCTCATCATTTGGCTCACTGACATATTAGACGTTTTCGGGCCATGGAGCTGCCTCATCTGGATTCGCGATCCAAGGGCTACTATTACTGTAAAAGTGTGGACTGCCCCGGAACCGAACCTTTTCTAGCGGGATTTGCAATGGAAAGGCTAATTGGACCAAGTCAGTGCTTCTACTCTAGAAGTCATAAAGGAGTTAACATACTGAAATCTGTTTCAAAGTTTGTTTCGTACATGTCAAAAGGGTATTGATTATGTGACCTGGCAAGCAGTATGGCCGATAATGTCGCAAATAGTACCGTGAATAACCAAGGCAATACACAAGAGACACAAGTTGGCAAGTTGATTTGATGGCTTTTCCTCAACTCAACTGTAATGTGATCTGGGTCTAACGAGTCGTTCAGTGAATCTGTTTCCAAGTCTTTGGTCTGAACGGGAACATATTCTCTATCCAACGGCCTGGTTGAGCGATGCATCATTGACATTCAATTCGTTGAGGTGAGGGATGGGCTGATGATGAGCGGCGCTTCTTTGTAGAATGATAATACCTCGGGGATGTCGTACTTCCTTTGAGATGGCTTGTTGAGAATCGTGTCGGGGAATAGAGGTAGCTGGTCAATGCGGCGATGAAAGCTTTCCTTATGGCGCAATGAGTGTACCGGCTTACGTGCCAACACAAGTTTTGCCCGATTTGTTATGGATCTTAACGGTTCTAACGTTGTTGGTTTTCGAGTAAGTTCCCTGCACAACGACCCTTGTTTTTCTCATGATATGGTTATAAAGACCCTCGGCAGGACGAGGTTTGGAATAATTTGTATATTCAAAACCTGGAAAGACCACCATGAGCTCTCGACCAGCCGTCCCTCCCCCTCCATCCTTCGACAATCTCACGCCTGATGGGGTACTGGCCGAGACCGAAGATATACTCGACTCCACTTTAGCTCTGCATGACACTCTAGCCGCTACATTCACACCCGAAACCGCAGATTTTCCCGGTGTAATCCGACCTATTGTGGACTATACCAACCACGCAACATGCCGCTTACGCATTTTGACGACCCTACTGGGCCAGTTGTCACCAGACCGGGAACTCCGGCATGCCGCCCAACAGGCCGAAACCCGTGCCGCTGCAGCTCAAACCAACATTCTCATGCGTAGTGACATTGCATCCCTGGTTGCAGCGGTATACGAGAAAGAAAAGATCACGCCGGGTGGGAACCTTGATGAGCAAGATCGCCATTTGCTTGCTCATATGCACAGCGAGTACGTGCGTTCTGGGGCATGTCTACCAAATGATGAGAAGCGGGAAGAATTGCGCGTTTCGCTCGACAAGATCAATGATCTGCGATGCGCAGCACAAGCCGCCTTCACGGAAGAAGAGGACGGCATCTGGTTTCAACGCTCAGACTTGGCGGGCGTCCCGGAAGACACACTTGCATCAATGACTCAAGAGGGATCTCGGATCCAGGTAACATGCCGCAATGACCATGTGACGGCTGTGATGCGACATGCAGTCAGTAGCGAGACACGTCGGCAGTTTGCACTCGCTCAGCAAAATCGTCTTCCCGACAATGTAGCGCGCTTAGCCAAGTTAGTCGCTTTACGCGATCGTGTTGCACGGCTCTTGGGGTTTGAACATCACGCAGCTCTTAAAATTACGGGCAAGATGGCACCGAGCGTTGCTTACGTTGAGACTCAGTTGACTGACCTTCACAAAAGGCTAAAGCCACTTGCAAAAGCTGAAGCTAACATATTGCTTCATCTCAAAGAGATTGAAACTGGTGCTGGGGAGCTATATTCGTGGGACAGGGCGTATTATCTTCACAAGCAAAACCGGGAGAATTTCTCCGTGGACCACGCCCTTTTAGCTGAGTACTTTGAAGCCAATCATACGCTTCAAGGGATGCTCAATGTGCTTAATGAGCTTTTCGGTATCAAGTTTGTGCGCATCAAGACCTCAGTATGGCACGATAGTGTCATGGCATATGAAGCCTGGGATATGCTCGATGAAGGAGGCAATTTCCTGGGACATTTGTACGTGGATATATTTGACAGAAGGGGGAAATATCGTGGCGCGCATCACGTTATGATTCAACCGGTATGTTTACTTTAGATGGCCATATAACATGTTTTAACCATTAATGTCTAGGGCTTCACTGTAGCGAACGGTGAAAAACACTACCCGGCTTCAGCGTTGGTGTGTAGTTTCCCCAACCCAACGCCTTCTCGCCCATCCCTACTTCAGCATAGTGAGGTAAAAACCATGTTTCATGAGCTTGGACATGCTATCCACAACATTGTTGCCAGAACCAAGTATTCCATCCCTCATTCGCGAGACTTCATAGAGATTCCGAGCATCATGTTGGAGAACTGGATCTGGCTCCCCGATATACTCGTTCGACTGGGTCGTCACTATGAGAGTTACCAGGCCCTACCACGCGACCTAGCAGAAGGGATCGCACGCACAAGAAACGCAAACAGGGCTAGCAACATCCTGGCTCAGGTTCAGCCAGCCTTATTCGACCTTGCCATCCATACACCTCCAACTCATGAAGCTGCACTGGAAATGGACACGACCGCGATTTGGAACAGTACAAAGAGAGACATACTACCGTATAGCTCTGGTCCAAACCCGCAAGATTTGGGGGCTGGACAGGCGCGATTCGCGCACATGTTTCGCAAGAACGACGGTAGTTACTTTGCTTATCCCTTATCTATGGTCTATGCAGCAGACATGTTCGCATACGCATTTGCACGAGACCCGATGGATCCGGAAGCTGGGAGACGGTATAGGCATCAGTTGCTAGAGCCAGGGTCGAGTCGTCCAGAGATGGAGATATTGAAAGAATTCCTGGGACGAGAGCCGATTAGTAAGACGATTTTGGACGAGCTTAGCCAATAGCCCTGTGTTCCTTCTGAATAAATGGGATCCAGTTCATTATAACAAGTTGCTCTAAGAATGAACCTATCAACTGTCAAAGAAGCCCAAAAGTTTAGCAAAAGCTGCATGTTGGTCATTGGAAACCTAATAGCAAGTAGAAACGCAGATATCATACTTTGTAGATTAGGATCTGCACGAGACAATCCAACATGACCACAGGGACTCATGAATAACCGATTTTGTGGCATATATCCTGGCACTCCCCGCATTCCTTACCCACATCCTCACGTTTTTATTACTATACCATCTTGTATTCCATTCAAACCAAGTCACACCTAAAATATCATAGTTTTCTCGTTTGTTTTTCAAGCCAGATTCAGCCAACCTGTCCGCCATGAACCTGTCCGCCATGAACGACAGGGCTTTACTTGGCCAATCAGAGCCTAAAACAACGACAAGCTCTTTTCAGTTCCACGGTAGATGGATCCATCTTTTTTGTCAGGCTAGAAACATTGGGGTACTTCTACTTCCAAGTTTCGTAAGTCAGGCATTCATCGCAAACGAGAGTTTTCAAGCAGGGTCAGGCCGATCATCCCTCTCCCCAACGCTGTATCTCGATGGACTGCGAGGACTCTTTTCTCTTTTAGTCTTCATTCGTCACTTTCTATTACCTTGGGAAGAAGGTCTTGACACAGGCTACGCCCAAGCCGAAATTCCAAACAACAGATCCTTTATAAAGCTTCCCATCATCCGACTCATTTATGCTGGGCCTACTGTGCCCATATTCTTCATTGTCTCGGGATTTGTTCTTGCATATAAACCACTAAAGCTGATACGTAACAAAGAACACAACTCGCTCGGGTTGTATACCATGTCGCCAGTGCTGCGTCGGCCATTTCGGCTGTTTCTTCCTCCTTTGGCATCAACACTCGTTGTTGTCTTTGCAGTGAGCGCTGGACTGTATGCTGCTCCGTACCAAGATATGTCTGGCTGGGTGCCGAGGCATCCAGAACGCCTTGGATCATTATGGGCGCAGATCTGGGATTGGATGCGGTTTGTCACGGTTGACCTGACGCATCCGTGGAGCTGGAGGTCGCCGTTGTCTGAATATGACAGCCACTTATGGACAATTCCCATTCAGTTTCGCGCATCCTTGATTGTTTACCTTACGCTTCTTGGTCTGGCGAGAGCCCGTCCCTTGGTTCGCGGTACAACACTCGTCGTTCTATGCGTGTATTCACTTCAACAGGAGCGGTGGGAGATGTATCTGTTCTTTGCAGGGGTCTTTCTCGCTGAAAGGAGTTTGGACAGTCATGATAATTCTCAGGGTCAGATCAGCGATGGTGGCGAATCCGCCCCGATACGATCTACACCGAAGCCATTACCCCAAACTCGTGTCTTGCCAAAAGTTATGTTTTTGGTAGGGCTATACCTAAGTTCATACCCTCGAGCGAGGAACTCCGGATCGCTTACACCTAGCTATATATTCCTATCGACTCTAACGGACCGTTATATTTATTGGCAATCTTATGGTGCGACTCTGATGTGCTGGTCGCTGAGCAGTGATAAGCTACTACAAAAGCCCTTTACGATACGGCCCCTTCGGTACTTGGCTAAGATTTCATTTCCTTTGTATATAATCCATGGCCCCGTTTTGCACATTTTTGGGTATTGTATGGTACCTAAATTCCAACTCTTGACTGGTGTCTCTACTTGGTGGCAGTATCAGCTCGGGGTGTTCTTAGCTTTCATAGTCTTGGCTCCCGCGGTTGTGTGGATTGCAGATATTTTCTGGAGAGCTGTGGACAAGCCTTGCTCTACACTTGTTGTTCGCACTATAGAGCCATTTTTCTTATCCTAGGACATATAATAATAGTCGCGACTTGCAAATAGGTGTAACCTGTTGCGTTATCTTGTGTTAATTCAAAGTAGAGTGCGTTGTCTGTGGCCAACCGTGTTGATAGACGGCTTGTCTCACAGCCAGCTCTTCTACGACGGCATTTACTTCCGCTGCGCCGCTGAGATGCAGTCCTCTAGCACGGTATCATGACCAAAGCCTGTCTCACACGGAATGCTGCTGCCGTTTGACTCGCAACTTGGACATTCAATAACATGAGAAAAACGCAAAGCAATGCAGGTTAGAAGGATTCTGCAAGTTGGTGGCCTATGATGTTATCTCGGTTTACTGTAGTCGGTTTTACCCCGAACTACAGTCGTAATCTAGAGTCAATGCCTTGTTCAGTTGCGCTATTTGACGATCTTGTACATTCTTATGATATGTGGAGCACAGTATTTATTAAAGACTCGTCAATCAATGTGACAAGTCTGGGATAAACAAAAGTTCTGAAGTACGCGGTCTGAGCTATTAACGTGGAAACAAGAACGCAATGCTCGGCTTCAGCTTCTGACGATCTTATGCAGTTTTGGGACGCCTCAAAACCAACACGCCTTACATATCTGCAACTCGTGACGATCTTATGCATTTACAGTATATATGTAGCACGGCAGTTGTTAAACCTCAATGACCAACATCACAACTCAAGGATGAACCAACACATTTAGAGCACACCATCTAAGTCAATTATTCCATTACCTCGTCTAATTTGTAGTATATGTGCCGCAGTTCTTAATAGCGGTAACAGAGTACTTGTGACTCTGTCTTCATTACATCATGAACTCGGACCGGCTTTGACACATTACCGAGCGAGATAACATCCTCCAGACTCGATCCAATCAGGGACTCATTACCATGCACTCTGACATTTTTTGCAGGGCCTTGGTAAGTGTTGGCCCGGTTCTCGGCATCCTGCTGCTGCCATAGCCACCATAATCGATCAACCTGGGCGTGGCGTAGGTAGAACACGGGGTCTATCAAAAAGCGTTAGAATGACTAACTCCTAGAGTCATTTGTAATCTTACCGTTTGGCGCTGTCAACCCGTAAAAATCCCCCTGGACGAACTGCGGAATTGAATTGTGAGCTTGAACCTCGAGCCCATCAACGAATTCCTCATACGTTGGTATGTTAAGCACGGTATTGACAGCGGTGGCCGTAACCCGATTTCCCAACTTGGATTTTTTCTTTCCAGTTTGAAACCCTCGGCTGAGACAGTGAGTGTTGCGTAAAATCTCAAACCCATACCCATTGGATTTGGATTGCCAGTGTCGAGTCGCGTTTGTAAAGGGACCATCCATGACGCAGTAGCCCCCAAATAGCTTGGGCTGCACTGCGCTCACACTACTACCATTACCACCGAAACCACTACTGGGATCGAAGATTGAAGACGCAGCCAGGTCATGAGCATCTAATGCCCAATCCCAGTACCTATTCAAGATGAGATTAGTTCATGGTATTAACGTATAATGCACGTAACATCAAGAGAGACGTTAAACTCACGGCAGAGATCCATGGAACTCGCACTCTTCTATCAAAGCCTTCTCGAATGTGTGAATAAAGTATCGATGCCAGGGCAAGAAAGCAGCACCGTAATGGGTGTCAGTGCCTTCGAAGACATGCATATACGCAAAATCATCGTAGCGACTACTGCCTGGCTCAAAGAATGATTCCTTCTCCGAAAGACATATTACAGCCTGAATTTAGCCGTGTTTCTCGCTTGTGCTTAGTTGTCTCCATTCCTTGCGTTTTGCTGGATGCATGCATCTTGGGGTAGCTTTCGTCCAAATCTGCCATAGAAGGATAACTCCTACAACTGATATGACTGATAGCACGGGTACGATGCGACTCGCGGTGAGGAATACGGGTCCATTTCTTTTCTCGTCATGCCTATGTATACAGGTCAGTGTTCTGGTAGAAATCACCAAGACTCGGTGATGTTTACTGTGGAACTTGATTCGCGAGTGGTTCATACTTCCAGCCTTGACTCTAGAAGGCCTTGGAAATATTGATGAAGAGTGATACCATGGTCTTGTTCATATGGGTCCGTACTGAAGGGAATATGATGACCTGCAACAAAGACAAGAAAGACACTGGAAACTTGATTACACTTAACACATTGTAGAAGGACCAAAGTCAGAAGTAAGACATCACTCAAACCTATGTACCTTGTAGCTTCTCATCAACTCGCCTTCCAAATGCTACTGATCGCCAAATGACCCGAGGAGGGGGTGTGCCAAGTCAATGCGGCATCCACACTTACAAACCATGCTTACTGTCCCCTCATTAGTTATGAACAACTCGAGTTAGCTGTATAGATCATATGTTGTCACTTCCACATATACACAGTCCATTCTCAGAATATCCTTCATAATCTTTATCCTCTACCTACCCCATCATGTCCTTCAACAAAGAGATTGAGCATGATCTTCTTCTCTCTGGAGAAGAAGAAATGTCCTCAGATGAAATTGATGCTCACTCGCTGGTAGAGAAGTATTCTTTTCCACCACCATCCAAAGTTTTGTGTCGTCTAAGACAGTTTCCATGGCAAGCCATAGTCATACATACCGGTATTCTCGTTATCTACTCCGCAGTCTTATTTTTCATTGTGGTACCTGTCTGGACATCCTATCAAACAGGAAGTGAAGTTGCGTACAGTAAGTGCTCAGCTTGTCCTTTCAAGCTTCCAACTCACCAGCGTACTCGATAGCCCCTTTCAATCCCGGTCTACAAGCACAGGTATTTCAGCATAAACACTCGGTTTACGTTGGTAAACCATCGTATGAGCTAGACAAAGCTTGGAGGAAGGTCCTCAAGAGTAACGCCTTGCTATCTCCCCAATCCTTCCTATACTAACAATATCTGAGACTCCAACATTCGTATCACCGAGGAAGAAATCATGCAATTTCCTGGCCTTAAAGAACAGGCCATTGAGCTGCCTGATAGAGGTTATTTTGCAACCCCTAACGTTTACCACAACCTTCATTGCATTGTATGTTTGCGCTCCGGGGCATTTCCAATACTAAAGCATTTGCAGAAGCGTCTTCATCACTATATGTATCCAGAATACTACTTTGCCAATATTACACAAGAGCAAAAGGTGGCAAACGAATATCACAACTGTGAGCTTCTTACCCATTTCTGACCAAGCCTGTTCCCTATTAATGTTACCAGGTCATTGCTTAGACATGCTCCGGCACAGCGTCATGTGTCAAGGAGATATGTAGCTTTTGACCATGAAATGGCGGCAAGATAATCGCATTCCAACTGCAAACTTCACCTCACCTCATCAGTGTGCTAATTGAGATAGATTGGACGAGTGTCTCTTACAGACCTATCTCGAAATAAACCCCCTTCTTCATCAGCTCAACATGACTCCCCATCTCGGTGATCTCCCCACTCTGGAAGACAAAAGATGCAGTCCACTTCCCCGATAATACCTAGCCGATGTGCAACAGCAATAGTCGTCCTCTTCCCGTCCCTGGCAGCGTCGTTAAGCGCCACCTGCACCAACCTCTCGCTCTCCGTGTCCAGCGCACTTGTCCTCTCGGAGGAGCAAGACTTTTTGATTCTAGATCAGTGCCGGGCGATGGCCATGCGCTGCCACTAGCTGCCTGAGAACCTATCCCCGTGGATGCTAACATCGGTGGCCAGTCCCTCGGGCAGCGAGGAGACGAAGTCAAGGATATTTGCGTCCCTACAGGCTGTCTCTACCTCGGCTTCTCTAACCTCCTTAGACTCTAACAGGCCCATAGCCATGTTTTCCCGTACACTACCTTCGTACAGCACTAGTTCTTGCTGGGCTAGTGCGAGGCGCCCTCGATGGGCTTGCTGTCCCAGCTCGCGAATCGAGCGGCCACCCATTACGATAGAGTCAGATGTCGGGTCTATAAAGCGAGAGAGGAGGCTGATTATGTTAGACTTACTACAACCTGACGGACTGACAAATGTAACTAATCTTACAGGCTCAACGTTGATGTCGATACTCGAAATCACCTTTGACTGTGGGCGAGAAGGGTAGGCAAACTCTATGGCTTGGCATTGGACGTCGATGGTATCGCCTTTGGGGAGGCTTTGCGACGCATCGCTCTGAGTGTCATCCTCGCCGTCTGAGAACGAGTTATCGGCGTCTGGGGCCCTCTGACGAAGCCAAAAGATATACTTAGCCGAGACTGCTGCACCAGCCATACCCATTATGTACCGAAAGAGTATGGCCGCGTTTTCTCCACCAAGCACGACCGAGATAAGGAACACGAAAAACTGCACGTTTGTATACTCCCTGGTTGAAACAAGTAACCCACCGTAATAAAAGCCAAGAGCGATTAATAGGAAGTTCATGGATTGGGAGAAGGCGTACCAGAGCATGGTGAGCGCCAGCGCCTTTACAGATGTCCTGGTCACGATACCAAGCCTCTCCTGGTATAGCGCAAGCATCTTATTCTCTAGTGTGAGCGACGCTACGGTGCGGATGGCAGATACGGCTTCCGTCGCGAGCGTGGCGCTACTAGCAAACTCCTCCGAGGAGTCTTCCTCCAGCTTGATCTCAGAACCGATCTGTAGAAAGCCACACATCACAATCGGAGGGAGGGCACCAAAGGAGTAGGCGAGGCCGAGCTTCTACCAGTACACGATGCCCAAGATGGAAACAGAAACGACTGTGACCATGCTGATTAGTAGTAGGCCTAAGTTGATGTTAAAGAGATCGTTGAGATCAGATGCGTTAGGAGTCAACGTTAGTATAAAAGCTTACATAAGAATATAACCTAATCCATGACTAATTTCAGTATTAGCCTGAATACTCCATTTTGTTGCTTGCTTAAAAAAAGTCTACTTGACATATACTTTTACTGCTGTTGTTGGCATATCAACATGTCTCTCTTAAACTCTCCGCCGCCACGCACACACAAATTTCAGCGATAGGGTATCGGCAAATCGGCACCTGAATGTTATGAGATTCAGTAATATTTACTTTCTAAGTTTTATGCAAACACATCCAAAAATATCTACACTTAAAGTTCCACCTCCTAGACACAAACCATCATGAGTATGATGCAACAGCCAACATCTTAGACAGCTTAAAAGTGACGAGCGTGACGACGAGCCTTCTTGGCGCGGCACCCAGCAGGCTTAGTAGCGACGGAGGAAGCCTGGGCGGTAGGTGTAGCAGCAATTGAAGTGACCAAGCTGGTAGGGGCGACGGGTGTAGGCGCAGGAGTGAAAGTGGGCACGGTGCCGTTGGAGGGGACAGTGGGAACGATGGGCTTGGTTGAACCGGAGCCGTACATGGCAGGTCCAGGAATCTCGTACTTGGTGGCACCCTTGTAAGGGTCGAAGAGAATACCAGGCTCAGAGTCAGTGTAGAGTTCAGTTGTCAAGGTACCCTCAGGGCTGTCGGTACCGCTACCAGTGATGTCAATGTTGAAGCACTGAGGGTAGTTCTGAGCTCCATTCTTGGATCCAGCGCCATGGAGAGCGATGATCTCGTGACGGAAAACGTAGCTTCCAGCAGCGAGGGTCTCGGGGACGGTGGTAGTCCAGGTGTTGTTGTTCTTGATGAGATCCGCAGCAGCCCAAGTTCCATCAAGGCCAGCAGCATCGATCTTGACCCACTTCAGAGTAGCAGGGTCAGCCTCAGTGCACTTTCCAGCACACTTGGCAACATATGTGAGGACAGGACCAATGTGCGATTCGGGCCAGGCAGACCACTGGAACTCGACGGAACCACCAGCCTTGACGGACGCAGAGGTCTTACCGGGAGCACCCTTAATGTGGCAGGCAATGTCCGAGGTACCGAAGTCGGCGGGGGCAACGAAGCCGTTGTCGAGGTTCTCAGCAGACCAAGCGGCGATGACGGGAACGTCCTGGCCGTTCTTGGCGGCGTAGTAAGAGTCGAGGCTGTAACCAGGCTGGTAAACACCGTCGACCTTGATGCCGGTGACAGTTCCGTGGGCGAGGACGGCAGTGGCGAAAGCAGTCGCAAGGGTGGCGGCGGTCTTGAAAGACATGATGATTGTTGGTTAAGAAGTGAGTGTGAACTGTGTAGTGAAGATAGTAAAAAATGAGTGTGATAGACCAGCTTCACACAGTAAAGAATGAATAAGAGAATAAAGAACGAAAGAGTGAATGCACTTAGAACGAGAGACCAAAGCTGAAGAAACAAAGATTTGACGTTTACATCTTCATGTTTATATATCTATCCGACTATCGGACATTTTCCCATACAGATAAGCTCGCCGATTCATGATTCAAAAATGGCATCATGTTGTGTAGTTTATTTGAACACCAGTGGTGGAAAAGTATCGCGTCTCAGCTTCGGTGGGACACTTGCATTGTCACCGTGGTTTTAAACAAGGGGCCTAGTAGTACCAGCCGCGCGGTTGTCGTCAAAGCTCGATGACGGGACGAAACAAGCGGGGCACTTGTTACAGAATCAGTTCGGATGAAAGATCATCTTTGTTGACGATTCTTATAGGCTAGATCGTCGTATAGACATCGTATCGATAGCTGAATACGCGTAAAGACATCAAAGGTATGTTGAACTTGCAGGGTTGTTCGGATATCCCACCCGGATATATCGGTGGCCTCGTGGGATTTGTTTCAAATATAGAGACAAACACATTACAGGACTGATTGATAACCAAGGTATGGCTGACTATCGGTTTCAACCTTCGTATGCTATCAAATCAGAACGCTGGTCAGACATATCGATACAACCGCCTTCATTTTACCAATTGAATAGGAGTTTTAATACATCAAGGCGATTTTGCAAAGGAATACTGTAAATAGCTATAATTACAATAATTAATTATTAGATTGCCCTCTTGTAGACATTCTAAAGACAACTTCGAGACTAGTGTACATATGAGAGAACAGAATACTAGTACCATATAGATAAATGCAAATTACAGTTCCCCTGAAGATATCCAAGGTATGGGATTGCACGGCAAACAGGCGGATATAGATCGGCATTATCCCTAACGTCTTGACGTAAAGCTAGCAAATCGGGTCTATGGGCTTGGTCCGGACCTTGAGCGCTATGCACCACTTCGGTTAGACCAGACATTCTGTCACTGTGATCGTCGAGACCCACGCTGGATATTTCTCCGGGCGGAAGAAATGTAACGGTAGAAATACAGCTTGATCTTATCTCCCAAGGTCGGGGTATCATTGTGTTAGTCGAAAGGGGTTGTGGACAATCACAATGGAGAAGTGCTGTTGCCGCAGCCCTTTCCGTGATAGAGTGGACTGCTTTTCCCACATGTCGTCGTGTCGTGATTCTCCCTACTTTTCATAATCGCAATGTCGACAACTTCAATAATCACAACCGGGTAGAATAAATCCCAAAACTCAACACATATAAGGGATTAATAATTGAAATATCAATGAAGCAAAAATTGCTATGTAGAATGGAAATTAATAATTTAAACAAGAGATTTATTAGTGTATATCTACTGATATCATTGACATGTAAAAGACAAAGCTCTTTTAAAATGTAAACTACCCTTGAGCTACTCAATTATAGCAGTGAAGGGGAGATAAGATAAGATGAGATAAGATTCGATAAGACAATTAAGCGCAATTGAATGCACGCTTAACGCTAAGTGACTTTGAGACTAGAATGTCAGGTGGAGCATGGGGGTATCTATCCTACAGCTTTAAGAAAAAAGGTTTTATCTCAGAGGTAAAAGAAGTAGAAGCGCCTAATACTCATTTATCTATAGTATCTCTGTTAATATCTTGTGAATATTCTTTACTGTATTACTGCAGTTTTTCTTATATCTAGCTTATTCTCAAGTTGGTATACATATAGTATATCGCTAGAGGCTTCATATACAAAGAAATAATCTCTTTCTCAGTACTCTGACTGTTACAGTATGTCCATCAACTGTAAAAAAAAAAAAAAAGAAAAAAAAAAGAGAAACGGAATTGCCTATCCAACGGACGTACAGGCAAAAGATGAGGTTCTGCCCGGGCTCGAACCGGGGACCTTCTCGGTGTTAACGAGATGTCATAACCAACTAGACCACAGTACCTGAACTGTTTTGTTGTTGTAAGCGAAGTTGTAATCAAAGTTAATACACATTAGTTTCCACCTGCCACTCAGTCATATATAGTGCGTAGTAATATCCCCCCAGCAGTCAGTATAAAAAGTTTCACCTTCAGTTAGCTTGCAAATTCTCTGTATATGCATAGCCGAGAACTTATAACTAATTCTGTTGATTCCATTGGTTTGCTTAGAGAATGTAAGCGTTGGTAATTGAAGGAGCTATTCCTAATGTGCAGTCTTCTTCAGCTCTATTACAACCCTGCGGTAGTTTGAGCAAGTTACTACTCTACGCCACCAATCTCTATCTTCTATACAACTAGCAGTCGTGTCAGTTTACTCCACCTCACTCTCTTCATCCCAAGTCACGGACGACCTACTCTGTATATGCCTGACCCTGAACTTGAGTGTTTGTTCCCAATCATTACAAGTGCATCTGCGGCTCTCGTATCCATACCCACCTGTTAAGTCAAATCCTTTTACAACGGCAGTATGCAGCCTTGGCAAAGCCTCGCCTGCTTCTTTATACTCGTGACCCGAGCTGCAGCGAGTGGTATAGAGGGCTACGGCCTCACCTCATACGATCCTCTCTGCGCCGAAACATGCCTACGGTCTCTGTCGTCTCTTTTGCTGTCTTGCAGCGAACACGGCGATGGTCATGGACACATGATGATGGCCATGGTCACCACGCCAGCCTGTCGCGCCAACGATACCGCTTTCCTCACGTCAACAACGTGGTGTCTCAGTGTAAAATGCGCTGATCAGCACGTCTCCAAGCTCGAGGCTTACTGGGAAGAATGGGTTACGGGTGATAAGGACGTCGTTCCAAAATGGACTTACTCCGAGGCTCTTGCTGAGGTGGATCCTCGACCACCAAGCTATCACATCGCAGACACAGATATGTCTCTTAATGAGACCTCTGTCGTCAATCCAGACATATACCTCAAGCAATGGAATGTGTTGGGTCATGTCCGCCATGAGATATTTCTCGAATCCACCTATGGGTAAGTGTATTATTGACATAACACCCAAGTCTCCAGAATGACCAATTGCTGATTTCAATTCCAACCTACAGAATTGTTCTCATAGCCGTTGCCTTTGGCCTCCCAGTGCTGATGTCCTGGCTGCGATATATGCCCTTCATGTCCGCCCTCTGCGATCGTCTCAAACCATATATTCTGTATCCAAGCATGATTGGTACCTATTCTGTGCATCCGCTACCATTCCAGATTGGAAATGCCCCAACTGTTGGCCAAGGGCTTTACATTGCCATATTCGTTATCCTCAATGTGGTTCTGACCGCTGTGGGCTATCGCACGGCCCAGCCAAATGCCTGGTTTATGAGCTCTTGGCAGGAGCTTATTGCCTATCTTCTATATAGAACAGGAGCATTTGCCTTTACGCTTCTCCCCGTTCTACTGGTATTCTCTTCAAGGAATAACCTGCTGCTATGGATGACAAACTGGTCACATCCCACGTATCTATTGCTGCATCGCTGGGTCGGTCGACTTTTCACTCTCTACGCTGTGCTGCATTCTATCTTTGGTCTGCTGGCCTATAGACATTATGAGAAGACGGTATGGTGGGCATGGGGTGCTGCTGCCACTGTGTTCAGCGTCGTGCTTAGCGTTGGTAGCGGACTATACGTTCGAAGGAAGAATTACGAAGTTTTTCTGCTCGTACATATCATCCTGAGCGTGATTATCATCGTTGGTTGCTGGTACCATTTGGTACTGTGGTATGAGTCGATGGGTATGCATGTTCCAGATTACACATCAGGGTATGAGGTCTGGCTATACATTGCGTTTGCGGTTTGGGCTTTTGACCGAATCATTCGGATAGGTCGACTTTTGGGTGCAGGTATCAAGAGGTCAAAAGTCACAGATATCGGTAACGATTACGTCCGTATCGACATTGCGGGAACTCGCTGGACCGATGAGCCAGGAAAACATTTATATGCATACTTCCCTACTCTCAGTCTCTACCGGCCGTGGGAGAACCATCCATTTTCCATCATACCAACAGGACTTTTGCAGACACTGGACGCATCTTTGGCTGGATCGCCACTCCATGACAGTGCTAATGGAAAAGATCTTGAGAGCACGCCGCAAAATACGGTCCGACGTGTCTCTGTAAGCTCTGACGAGAAGCGCAACTCCGGAGACGTGACTCTTTTCGTCAAGAAGGCAAAGGGCATCACAAAATATCTCCAGCCAGCCGAGAATCTGTTGACCCTCGTCGAAGGACCCTACGGTAACAACAACAAGAACCACATCTTGCCATGTGATCGTGTACTTCTTATTGGTGGAGGAATTGGTATTACCAGTCTTATCCCTTGGATTCTGTGCCACTGGAATGTGAAGCTTGTCTGGAGCGTCAAGGCTTCCGCACAGTGTCTGGTCGACGAGCTTGAACCATGCATCAACACATTGGACCAGGCTCAAAGAAATATCTGTATCGGTAGTCGATTTGACATCTCTGCGCTTATTGACGAAGAGGTGGCCATGGGATGGAAAAGGATTGGTGTAGTTGTGTCTGGGCCGGGGTCGCTTTGTGATGATGTCAGAGCAAAGGTGGCAGCAGCAGGCAAGGCTAGTAAGGCTATATTTGAGCTTGAGGTAGATGCTTATTCTTGGTGAGGAGTTGTTGTAGAATAGGAGCCTACATAGTAGTCGAAGTGGGAAAAGGGACGTCACGTCTAACCTTTTCTGGTCATGGCATTTTCACACTAACCATCAAGACGCTACTGTTGATGTGATTGTTTTTAAACCCTATCGAATGTACTCATATGTAGTTTGGATCATAGGAAGTCCTTATAAAATATAATAAATACAATATTAAACAAAATTACCCATAACCTATTTGTACCCATTACCATTCTAATCTATCGTCACAGATCAACTGGACATTGGCATTATCGTTGCCTCTCCATGCATCACAGCCGGAATTGACCCTGGCAACAGCTGTACGCATGTCTGAGATCATGCCTCCAGGTCCACTTGTAAAGACTGAAGTGCGACCACGAACGTTCTGCGACAGGAAATTGGACACAGCAGTGTCTGATTGTGGACGCTGACCATCGCGGAAGCCAGGCAGATATTGTGTGTCTGCTGCAGTTTCATCCTTTGTTTCGGCGTCTGCAGTGGTGCCAGGGGATGCATCCTCTCGAGTTACGTAGAGCTTAACATCGATATTGTGCGGGCTAGAGGCCAACTTCGCAAGCTCGGTACGGACCCAGTCAACATCATGGCGACGCCGAACACTCCAGATAAGACTGATTTGACGGTTCGCGGTGGGAGACTGACTGGCGAGCCAGAGTAATACAGGAAGAACATAAGCTATACCAGTGCCTCCAGCGACGCAGAGTACGTTCACGTCTGGGGTCAGATGAGCAGAATGATCCTCGCCATACGGGCCCTGAAGGACCACGGATGTTGATGCACTGCCTTTGGCAGCCATCTGCGCGATCTTGCGAGTTTCTCCCCCGCGAGCTCGGAAAACGTAGGAATGCTTGACTGTACCATCAACCTCAACAGGCAGACTTAATGGAGTGAAGGGATGAGATTGCCAGACGCTTGACTTGGGGAAACAAAGATAAAAGTGCTGGCCTGGCTTCCAAGGGTTTTGTGAGTGGACAAAGTCGAGACGGGTAATGTCGCCGAATTGTTCGTCGGGGAACAGCGTTATGTCAGCAGATGCGGATCGAAATCCCATACTTCCATCTGGGAGATTCTGGTAATGAATAAGCCAAGAGCGGGCAAGGCGAGCGCCGCGGTCGATAAGCCAGATAGCGAGACCAGGGACCATGAACACCTTCAAAGGCTGCCAATGTCCCCAGCAAGCGCCAATGTAAACCATAGCCAGGACGTAATGACTCTTACGGAAGAACTCATAGCCAGTAAGTCGGATGCCCCAGGGAGTTGCAAGCAATACAAGCAAGAACAGTAAAATCATAGCGACACAGCCCCAGATCATGTAGAGCTGCTTGATCCACTTGTCAGCTACTTCAGGTTGAGGCTGGTAGTGGTGGGCCTCAATGACGGTCCAGCCGATAGTATGGACAAGAGACTGGAGGAAGATGACCCAACCAAGCCAACGATGGAGGAAGTTGAAGCTCTGATAAGGTACGCCTGTAAGTAGAGATAGAATAGACTCTCTCGAGGCCAATATGACGGAAAAGGGTGTCAATGCATAGGCGAGGACACCGAGCCTGTCAGACCAAGAGCCCACCCATGAACGGCGCTGGAAAAGACCTTCATGACCCTTGACAGGTGTAACCCATTCCTTGTACATGATACCTGCAAAGGTAAAGATGGCAAGGTAACCACACAATGTGGTCAAAATGATGACTTGTAGGCGGGTTGTGCGGCCGAAGATGAAGCCGAAAGACTCAGAGAGGGTGTAGTGTCGGGTAGTGGCGGAAATGGCATCCGTGAGACGACGGAAGAAGCCCCTCTGGTGGGTGTATGCCTTGTTCTCCTGGTCTACAGACGACTCAGACGTCTCCTGCGCGGCCAGACTGACTTGGGGCACATTGCTGAGGTACCAGAAGTGACGTGCAATAGCCCAGGTGATGAGGATGCCACCAATGGTTGCCCATAGAATGCCAGTATAGAGCATACCACGTTTGTGACCTCCATAGACGGACTCAAAGTATTCGCATGTTCCAGGGTCATTGGCGCATGGGACTACTCGCGCCGCATATCCCCAGTAGTCGACTACATGGGTTGCATCGGAGATGTTTTGAGACTGATAGCCTTGTCGCCGTATCAGATGGGAAACAAAAGAAGGACCGCCGTAAGTATCCATAGTGACAGACCCAAGAAGAGGACAGCGAGAAAATAACAGGGATTAATACATGGGTGGTGGTAGCTGAGGGGGTAGCCAGCAAATTTACAGGAAGGATTTGAAAGCCTTAAGTAGAGATAAATGTCTCCCTACCGACTTTGCCAAGGCCGATGGCAAACCTAATTCTCTATGTTTTTATCAACAGTATCGAATTTATGCATGGCAGTCCGTGATTAATCTCTCGTCCTAAAGCAGAATATCGGATGTTTTGTCTGGAATAGGCTAATCCAGGACTGGGAGATCCATTTGCGAGGATACCATTGAGCAAGTTATGATTCGTGTATATCATCTTGGCGAGCAAGTTATGACTTTATCGATGATTTTATTAGTGAGAATAAAAAAACTAGGGCAACAAAAGTGGAAAGAGAGAAATAAAAAATGATAGCTGAGTTTTAATTGCTCTGTATTAGTTATTGTATTTATATAACTCCCCTAGGTACGTAAGTTAGCCTTGCACAACTGCAACTGCTGTCATAGTTCGTTTCTTGAACGCCTCTCCATTCTTCTTGTTAGTTCACCCTTATCTATCGGATGCAACACGTTACTGACAATGATATCTCAAGGCCCAAGGTCTAATAGTTACCTGCTTAAATCAACACAACTACATCCGTTGTCCCCCACAGCATCCATGATGGACCACGGTAGCGAGGAGATGGCTGAATGCCAGATGTCGGTATGTTTGCCTCGAGTTCTTTCTACTTTGCTACCTCATGATTGACCAACTTTGTGTAATTTACAGATGTTGTGGAACTGGAACACCGTCGACTCTTGCTTCATTGCCTCGTCTTGGCAAGTCACGAACAACGGCATGATGGCCGCATCATGCATCGGTGTTGGTCTCCTGGTCGTCGTCCTCGAAGTTCTTCGCTTGATGGCCAAGAAGTTCGATCTCCACATCGCCCACGCCATGCGTCGTCATGTCACTGTTCTCTCAAAATCACAACGTCTGGTTTCCGAGAAGAACACTTCTCTTCCTACCGATATAGTCATACGAGCATCGCCTCTTCAACAGATTGTGCGAGCTGTCCTCTACGCTGTCACCTTTGGCGTAGCTTATTTCGTTATGTTACTCGCCATGTCTTTCAACGGTTACATCATCATCTCTATTATTATCGGTGCTGGTCTTGGTAAATTCGTCACTGATTGGCCAACTCTTACTATTGGAGAGCACGGCGAGGGCACGAAAACAACAACAGAGAATCAGGAGACAACATTTTGTTGCCAGTAATGTTTCATGGTATTGAAGTCTTGCAGGAGATACCACAAGACAATTCAACTTGATAAGTGTAGTTGTTCCTGTTCATTTACATATCATATCCCAGTGGCAGCATTAATTCATACTATTGGAAAGTAGCTACATAAATGGAAACATTAGAAGAAACATGTTGCCAGCGTCGTTGCTCATACCAAGCACCTTCTCTGTCAACAATACCAGTTTTGCCGCTTTAATCTCGTCCCCCAACTGTCACAAGGTACAGGCTTCCAGTTGTAGAGTTAACATTTGTAGGGGATCCCAGGTACAACACATCAGTTCCGTCACTCCTCATCACGGCCTGAAGACGCTGCACCTTCTTCCCAACCGTAGGCTCAAGAGCTGTGTTAGTCCATCCAGCACCGCCGAACTTCTCAAGCACATATGCACTGGCCGAGGAACGGCAGTAGTAGATACGTGCGGTCGTACCATCATGCGTGATGCCAACTGTAGCACTTGTCTCACTATCCTGGTAGAGTATCTCCCGCTTCCAAGGATCCTGAGTTCCATATGTACCAGTGGCACGACGAACTTGCCATGGACCTGCGTTGGATGTCTTGAAGCGATATGCATGCTGGATATGAAGAGATCCATCCCTCTCGTAGAGTGCCATCTTCGCACTTTGGAAGGCAGGGCCTGGCGAAGCATTGATATCGCCGCTGTAAGTCTCACCTGACGTCAAGGGCTGATAGACAACATCGGCACTGTTCTGTGTGACAGGAACCGAGACTGTGTCTCCCGAAGCTGATGTGAAAGCTTTTGTCGATGGGTTGTAGCGCACGTAGCTTCCTTGATGGCGTACGGCAGATGCAGGATACTTGCTCCATTCCCACTGGAGATGGACATCTCCATCCGACGAGAAAGCAATATCATCTGGGTACACTGAGTATCCTTTGTTGTATGCCCAGATAGCAACACGAGACCATGATCCATCATCGGTTGAGTACTTGTAGAAGTAACCACCTTTCGCGTTGTTGTCGTTGGGTGCTTGCCCACGAATGATCAACCATAGATTGCCATCAGCGTCACGTTTGATGACAGGATATGTGAACTTGGTGGTTTGATCCGGCATTTCTGAGCTAGCATCGACCAAAGTACTGCTGTACGGTGTGGCCGATCGGAAGTACTGCCACGGCTCATTATGCATGCTGGTGAAGACATGGACATAACCATCGCCGTCCACACTGATACTCGGAGTATTGTGTCCAAGGTCATCCGCGAAAACAGCACAGTCGCCAGCTGAAGTCTTGAGACAGTCGCGGGAGATGATGCCATCGGAAATGGACCGGCGGGCTACCATCACATTGTTGTTGGCCGTGCTTCCGCCGGGAGGGTTTTGTAGGTAGGCTAGCCAGTCGTAACCGCCATATTCGTCCAAGGGATTCCACCAAGCAGCTTGGCTGTTGGCATCCACGGCGGTTGATATGGTGGTGAGACTACCAGGTGTAACCGTAGCATGTACTGCCGAAAGCGCAGCAAGATAGATGAGGGACTTCAAATTCGCCATGTTGATATATGAGATGAACTACTACAGGAACATTCGAAACAATGGATTTGCGAGCGTTTATATACGAAATCCTCTTCCTTTTGCTACACAAGGTTTATCTTAATGTTTGATGGTGTCTGTGTGTTCGGGATTAATTCCGTTCTGGGGTTCCCCAGTTTCCCCGTTTTCACGATCGTCTTCCCAGACAGGGGTTAAAGTTTTGGTCTGGGGATGCTCCATGAAGGAACCGCCGGGTGAGATCGAGTTGATAAAGATACGCTAGGACGTGCAACTTGTGCAGGGGTTGGGAGCTGATGATCACTTTTCGATTAGCTTTAAATAATCTGTCGGAAGGGCCGAGGTCTCAGCTCAAGATCGGGGGTTCCGTCCGCTACCGGCTAATATGAACCAGAAGATTGGATATCTACATCACTTTCGGTAACTCTGTACCCATTCCCCGAACAAAGAGAAATCAAGAATCACCTAGAAAACAACATGGCCAATTTATGTCGGCCTAGGCAGACTCTTGGACTGTTCATCCCCGGGGTGGTACCCTAATGTTTGGTCTCGAGTTTCCCTACTACCCCTACCCGCTGTACTGCAATATCTGGACTGCGGTGGCCAAATTACTGGGTAGCATAATATCCTTGTATATAATCACTCTCCTCAGTGCTATTAGTTCCAATCTGAGGCAAGTGACTGAGATCTCCTTGGAAGTTGAGGATGCTATTGTTCAGCGATTCATCAGGTCTGATGTTGAAGTTTGGGATGGCGGTATTTTCCATACCCAGCATTGGAGCTGAGAAATACGCCCAGAGATTTAACTCATCAGCGCCGGTCGTGATCTCGGATAGATCGAGTAGTGGCCATAGTGTTTCTTCTGCCTCCAAATTTGAGTCATTGCTGACATCTTGTGACCCGAGTGCTGTCTCTTGTTGCAGATTAGTGTCAGAGTCAGTCCAGCTCCACCCTGATGGAAGGTCTTGTGTGTTGGTCATGTCTTGAACCCGACGTTCGAGATTTCTGTTATCATTGAGCAGCTGTGTGGTATCTCTGTTGGACACTCCATTCAAACAAGGTAAACTTGAGTTCCCGTTGCCTCCAGTCTGACTTTGATCTTGCTGAGATAAATTTCGAAGTCTTTGTACGATCGAGCGCCTTTGACTGCGTCGCGTTTCTCTCATGTTTTGTGATGGTCGTGACTGAGAAACATCTCCTGTGGATCTTGATAAACCCTTCTCCACAAGATCAACAGTAGCATCGGCCAACTTCGAGAGTACTTCGCGAGCTCGACCGATCCGTTCCCAACGAGCTCCAAGTCTCTCCAATATGAGTTTCCACTGAAACAGGCTACTCTTAAGTGAGACCCAATCCTCTTGAGCCTTGTTCCTCGCTTCTACATTCTTCCATATAATGAGGATCATAGTGATGCCACTCATGAACTGGAAATGGAGGTCAATCCATGTAAAGTCTGCGAGACCCTCACTGATGCGGAGGAATGATAGTTGTATGAGCTCCTTCGCGGCCATGTAACAAGATAGAGTCTCGGATGGACTAAGGCTTGGCCGTAGCAAGGATGGCCGATATAGAATAAGCAAAGCTGTTCTATGCCAGTAGCTCCACCAATTGACGTCGTAGCCGCCAGGGTCAGCAAGAGTTTGAGCGAAGATATTCCAATCTTTCAGACTTTGTACCATTTTGTTCGTCCATTGAGACAGCTGGAGCTCTGACTCTTCCGTATGATCCCGATCCATGACTTCTCGGGCGCTATGAAGCCTATGGACAATTTCGCTTTGCAGGCGTTGCAGCTCCAGCCAGTGTAATGTCTGTCGTCGGGTTGCAAACGCCAACGAGCAGCCTGGCAAGTTAATATCTACTGACAAATTGTCAAAGGTAAAGGGACGATTCAGCAGAATATTGAAGGTTCTGTCAAAACTGTACGCAATCCAAAAGAGTCTCCGCCTGATATCCGCTTCTTTCTCTTTGACTGTCTCAATGGCGCCCACCGAAGAAGACATACCGATAGTCCTTTCCGAATGATATCCTAGGTCAATGCACATCCTCATACAAAGACCCGATATATACCAGACAGGCGCAGGAGCTGAGTCCACTATCGACAGTAACAAGAGTAGCAGTAGGCATTGAAGAGATTGAACGTTCTTCGTCTGCATTATATGGCTCACATCAGCCATGGCATTGGTAGTGAAACCTTTTGCTAGTGCATGGCTTTCGTCATGGTCCCCTGCCATGGACATGAGGGGGATCGCAAGTACCATGTTGATCATGAAACGCACCCGTACATCAGCAGGCGACAAGTTAGAAATATCACTTCTGCCATCATGATGATCGTAGAATTGTGACATGGTATCCTCGAATTGTTGCTGGTTGAGAATCGGATATTGAACTTGATAACAGTTAAAGAACGTGTCTTTGAGGTTATTTGCCAACTCTCGTGGGGGTAATCCAACCCTTGAATCATTCTTCTGTGGCTCTCGAGGTGTGGGTCGCGCTTCTGCAGAGTCTGATGGTGTTTCGAGATTCGAGTAATCCTGTTGGGCGTACTCGAGGGCTGATCGAACCAAGTGGATTCCTGGCTGATGTCAGGACTAGTTATAATCACGAGAGAGTTTAATGTACCACTTGAAGGCCCGATGGAGGTAGGTTGCCCCTCACTACTGTCGGTGAAAGTCTTTGTTGCTTCATCGCCAGATCGTAGGTTCGAAGTGTCTGGTGATGTTTCGGTCGTTGCATTCTCAGCATTATGGACCTGCATCTCTAAGGCCATGAGTTCTCTCTCAAGTTCGTGGATGAAGCTTCTCAGGTGAATTTTGCCTGAACGCCCGTCTGTATATTCACAGATCGACCCTGAATTTTGACATGGTTGACATGCTGGAACCTCTGTCCCCATATTAGTCATCGGGGATATGAAAGTCCAAAACTTCAGGTCATACCCGTATCGCACCGTGCCTTTCGCTTTCTACAGCGATTGCAGGCATTGATTGTCTGACGAGAATACTATAGTTAGATGCCTGATTTCGAGGTGGAGGTCTTTGAGCGTACAAAACATTGTAAATCCATGTCCAGATAAGGTTTTCAGATGGGGATAGTAGGCTGGTTGACCCGGCTATCCTTCTATGACGGAGATCTTGGTAAATGAGAAATCATTAGTTAGTATTGAACATTAGCGAATAGATTCGTGGAGGTTGTGCTGTTTGCTTTCCAGAATATTGGCAGGAGGTTGATCAGCTCAGAAGTGCGGAGACAGTCATTATGGAACTTATTCCGCGTCTTCGCTTAACCTTATTGCGGTATAGCCTTATGAGCAGACTTGTCGATCGCTACCTAAAGGAACTTAGTTTGTCATCTTCGCCATTGGCTGCTCCAGAGCGTTTTCCATTGTTGGCTTAGTGCATAATGTAGCGTTACAACGAGCCACAGGGTAACAGACGACATTTTGCAAGCGAGTACAACTAATACATTAAATATTTTGATAGCTGGTAAGACGGCATATTGCTATGCTTGCAAAGACTGAACGATACAGAACGGTGGCTTATTTGGATTGATTCCGTACCGCGGTTGAGAGAAGGTTCGGTGTCACTATGAGGAAACAAAAGTGGCAGTTGTAAAAGTGAAACAGGGAAGCCGATCTTTACCCAGATTATTATTTACCATCCAAGGCACAATGACATCGCGTTTATGACTCTGGCCTGTGACTATATAATGCCTCTTTAACTTTATGTATATTATTACAAAATAGATTCACATACACCTATAGATGTTACACCTAAGCAGAGGGGAGCTCAGATACCCGATTCTGATCAATTACCTGTTGAGACTCCAGTTCCGAAGCAAGATGTTGTTGTTCATTCTGTTCTGTAGCCGTCGCCAACTCTGTTCTGGTCGACCCATAGATGTAGGTTGGTGGAAGATTGTGATCCATATCTTCTACCGTAGGTATGAGCCCCGGCTGGTTGTTACTTGTATCGATGGGATAGACTGTCGGGGCAGCTTCTTTGGAATCCCGTGTTGTCCAGGAGATAGTCAGGCGAGGAAAGATGTTTGTAAAATACCGTCCTCGATTTTGACCATCTTTTTCATTCTTCTTCTCCATGCGAAAAGCCATAATAATAAAGCCGATGATAACGGCCAAGCCAACCAGTGATCCAACAACGGCGCCAGCAATAACACCAGCATCAGGCCCCTTGTTATTGGTTACAACTTCTGTCGGGGTTATGTTGCTGGTTTCGGAAGCCTTGAAAGGACGAGACGCAATCATCGGAGCGATGCTGGACTCGGACTCGATGGCCGAACTATCTTCCGTTTCAGTGGCCGATGCCTCGCTTGTCGTAGTAGACTCTGCACTTGTAGTCGCCCCTAACAAGTTTAGTTATGTGAAGCTAAAGAATGAAGGATTTCAACTCACAACTCCTAGGTGATTCCATAAATACAGTACTGACCCCTTGAGGAAACTCAAGAAACTGTTCGCAACTAATCAACCATTGGCGGCCTGTTCCAAATCCATTGTTGTAGAACCTGTAGACCTCAATTGAGGTGCATGGGCCATCGCTGTGTTAGCAAAGTTAGCATCCTTGACGCCAGTAGATATGTAGAAAGCTAGTTACCATCCCCAGGCACCAGAGTAGCCTGTTGACTTGGTACCTTGAACTATTCAATGCGAGAACAGAAAAGAACTCCCATCACATTCCGTGGCTACAGAGTATCCTGAATGATAGAAGGTTGAAGATGTGAACCGTTGACAATGGGCATATTCCTTTAGATCACCAGGGAATGTATACCCTGTACGAAATGGGAACCCATCAGGGCATGTGAAAGATGTTGCTGGACCAGGAGATTAGTGTGGAAGAGAATCATGGAGTGGGCTGTGATACCTGTTCCGTTTGTAGTCGTATATCCGATTAAACCTCGGTCCATTGTTAAGGGGGAATAACGAAGACCTCCTTTATTAGGAGTCACGAAGCAGTTTTTAATGGAAAATCAGGAGACCCTGAGAAGGGAGGACTGATGTCTGTTTTATCCATAATCAGCGATGAATACCGTGGCGCCCGCTGGCCTACTGCCAAGATGGGCTATCACTTCAGCTGGGCACACACAACTAATGACAAGTAGCGAGGCGTTTCTTGGTAACAAACACTCGTGCAGCACATTTTTGGGTTAAACCTATCACAGTTCTATAATACCTTCCTGGAACCAATCTGAGCAAACTGTATTATTGCAGACAGTAATGGCTATTACTTGATATGCAGCCATAAATGGCCTACCTGGTATGGCCGTCTTTATATCTCCGAGGGTTCCGGGCTCCTGACTACAAACTTAATTGTAAGACATATGTTGCTAATAAGGCTGACTGGTTACTTCATGGTAGTTACGTAATTGAGTCATTATATGAAATGATGTCAGGTTTTTCGCTATTGAGAGAGTCATGAAGATAATTCTGGATTTGACAACCACAACAAACAACGTTGCAAAGCCCCAAATGTTTGGGTCGTTACAAATTATCTCTTCACTTCTGAACAGTGTAATTGATAGTAAGAATACTATGACTTTGTTTCTACTCAGTACATAAAAAGCACTGAGCGTGAGTTGAGAAGAATTCCGTGTTATGAATCCAGCAACACTCAAACGTCCTTGGAACGTGCTTCGATATGTTCGTCCTCCGCACCAAGCATCTGCTTAGGTGTAGCCACTTCCTCCGAGTGAACATTGAGCGATCCGAAATGTGAATCAAGCTCCTCCAATGTCTTATTCTTGGTTTCGGGGTAGCATGAATAGACAAGAATCGCAGAAAAGACGTTGAAGGACATGAAGATGAAATAAACACGCGGGCCGATGCGAGAGACAGCAACAGGCCAGACTTGACCCACGATGATGGAGCCGAGAGATGCACCAGACGAGGAAATACCAAGACCTTTAGAACGACAGTTTGCTGGGAAGATCTCAGAAGCGTAGATCCATGCACATGGTCCGAAACCCATGCTGTCTGTTGGAGTAGCTCATTAGTATATGTTTGTCAGTGTAAGAATGAGTGAGGACTTACATCCCACTGTAAAGAAGAAGATGAAAAAGATGTTGACGTAGTTGGCGTGTGAGTTTGTTTGACCGGGATAGGCGAGCTGTAGTGCGCCATTGATCTGTCACCATTCTGTTAGTAACGAATCGTCGTAATAGAACTTCGCAACTTACCATCAAACAAAAAGCCATGATTATGGCACCTACACCCAATGAGTGCCTTCGACCAAGCTTATCAATAAAGAACATGGCAGCGACAGTACAGGCAACCTGGACAGTTCCGTCAATACCAGACGCAAGCAAACTCAACTCTTCCGAGGTACCAGCAGCAATAAAGTTTGTTGGGAGGTAGTATCTGATACCAGCAGCACCACTCATTTGCTGAAGAAATGCGAGTGACCACGCACGCCAGAGTCGCGACCACAATGGCTTCTGCTGGATGAAAACTCGTGCAGATGTGATGGAGTTTTCTTGATGCCAGAGAATGTTGGCGCGGATCTCGTCAAGCTCGGGTCGGACTTCATCTTCAGACAGGCCACGTAATTTAGAGAGTGATTGGCTTGCGGCTTCAATCTGATCTGACTCAACAAGCCATCGAGGACTAAGATACATTTATATGAGTATTGGAGATCGTAATCGAATGGGCTTGGGACATACCTCTCAGGAATTAAAGGAACACCAATCAAGAAGAGAAGAGCGGGAACAAATTGCATGGCATTGGATAGACGCCACTCCAGATCAATACCATTACCAGTATTCCAGAAGGAGTATCCGTAGCCAACCCAGAATGCAATCGAGATACTAGTATAATTAGAATCTTATGATAATTAATCGCTCCTGAGAATTCAAAGTTGACTCACCCCGAAACAATGCCGACCTGGTTCGCAGCAACGTAAAGTCCTCGATTCTTTGCAGGCGAGATCTCACTCAGGTAGAGCGGGACAGACGTAGATACCACGCCAGTACCAAGACCTGCAACGATTCTTCCAACCACCATCATAGCAAGGTGAACCGAACCGGTTTGTATGGCAGCGCCTACACAGAGAAGACACACACCTCCGAAACCCGCCCAGCGCCGACCATAGCGATTGTTCAGGGGACCTGCGAAAAATGCAAAGCCAATAAATTGACCTGCGTAGAAGATGGAAGTGATGAGTCCCTTGTCGCTTGAGGAGGGATTATCAAGAGCCTTGTTGAAGCCAGGAGATACATAGATAGTGCTCAGGATACCGATGTCATAACTGGTACTTTGTCAGTGATCTGGGTAACATCGTACCTGTGAACTTCTTACCCCCAAAAGATTGATCCCATTGAGATGACGACGATGCTGAAGAACAGCCATGCGCTCATCTTGGGCTCTGCTGTTCCCACGACTGTGGCCATTGTGACAATGTTGTTCTCAAATGATTTGCTAGAATGTTCGAATGGTCGTGCTTGAGATTCCCCGCAAAGTATCCGGGGAAGTTATCATTTTTAACCTTATCAACACGTTTGTGATCTGATCTGGGGAAGCGCGGAGATGGTGGTTTAGTGGAGAGCCTAGGTTACTGGAAAGATTCCGCTATGCGGGTATTCAATAGCTTGAAAGAGGGGATGGACGGAACCCCCGCTACCCACTGTAATCCTTCGCGGCGGTTCCGTCTCACGCGGCTGAAGGGAGGGATGAATCAGCTACTGATGGTACGACATGTTTAGCATGAGGGGATTGTGTGAACGCGACCCTTGACTATTTGAGGCTTGATCCCAATTGTCTGGCAGCAGCAAATCAAGTAGTCACATCATTTGTTACTGAGCCGAGATGCGTCTCGATAGCGTCAAATTCGACACCAACGGTGCCCACTCAATGCCAGACCTGGTCAAGCATTTTTCCTCCACCCGTGTGACCCCGAACCTCAGTTTTCATACCTTCGCTGTCGAAGCCAATCATTCCTTTAATCGGGGCTTCCGTCCAGGTCAACACTTGACTCTTCAATTACCCCCGGACCTTGATCCCGTGTCTGGACCACAGAACCTGTCAGAAGAGGACAGACGCCTTTCTTTTACTCCATACCATGTCGGATACGCATATAATGGAGTGATCGAGACTATCTCGCTTATGGCTCGGAATGGGCGTGTCACGGGTCTGCTCGGACTTCCACGTCCACACTCTCCGTTGGTAGCCACAATTGTTCAAGCTGCTGGCGGATTCCCACCCGCTATACTTGACAGTTCCGAAAGACTCATCTGTATTGCTGGAGGCACTGGCATCGCCCCGTTCATTGCTATGGCGGCGACAAGGAACCGGAGGAGCAATCCTGAGGACGGAGAGAGGAAGCCAGTCCTGATGTGTAGCATCCGCGGCAATGACTTCGGCGCCATCGAATATTTGCTAACGCATCAGTTACTACACCCAAGAGATTGGAGCATGGTGCGAATCTTTATAACAAATGGGGAAGAAGAGGATCATATGATTGATGGCAAATCGTCTCAATGGTGGCACGAACGATTGAAGGGACTCTCGCAAAACGTATGTGGTGATAGTGGCTTTTGTCTTCGTCGAATGGAGTTACGAGATCTTGAACCTATTATGAATGGAACGGATGATCCGGTGCTATTCTGTGGAAGCAAGCAATTGGAATGGCAGGTAAAGATGTGGCTGCTTGGGACACGAGATGTTCACTGTACAGAGAGATAGTTTGAAGTAATTAAATCTCGAATAACACCATATAAAACTATTCATATACACGTACTTCAAATATGCCACCAAAAACATTTGAACCCCCGTTCAGCTCCAGGATCTCCACTCCAAGATCTGTCAATTTCTTACGTGAGTCAAGGACCACCTCGCGACGCGACATGTGGTTGTCATCTTCAATGTACAGTTCTCGTTCGCCTCCAGAAAGGTCTAGGAGTCGCCATTTCTTAACACAAAATGGAATTGCTCTCTCCGGATGACCTCGTAAGACAGATTCAAGGGCGTGATCATAGTCTGTATCGAAGCATACAACCACTCTGCTCACTTCAACTGGATTGGACCAACTGACTCTGAGCAGCTTTCTACCAGACGCATCAGGGCAAGGAACCCAGCAGTTAGTTCTCTTGGTCGGACGGGGGACACCGTTGCGGATATTCTCAACACCCCATGCCTTGAGGGGTGGATCCAATCCCAAAGCAAGGTTATGGCCCATTGGCCTCCTAACAGGTGTCCATCGTTCGAATTCATCAACGCCAACATCACTAGGTGGACTCTGTGTACACTCGTGTTCGACGGTCATGAGAGCCGAAACACGGGTCTTGCTCGTACAGAGTGCGACAACCTCATTCTGCATAAAAGCAAGGAAGACATATTGCGTTTGAGGATTCTCCATTTCGAAGTCAATGATGAGATCATTTGCACCCGGATCAAGTGAGAATCGTTTCTCAGCCAAGATGACCTCGGGTGTATAATTGTAGGGCTTTTGAGAACCTCGAAGTTGGACAGTCAGATCGGTGGCTTCAACTGAGATGGCAGTAATGGAAAATTTAGGGACTGGTCCCTGCGATATGGGCAGCATCTGCGCAAGGCTTCTAACCAAGACTTTCGGTGGCCCATCGGCTGGCAGTTTCGAGAGTTCGAAAGTAGACGAGCCTTCAATCTTTGAAGCTGAACGTATGAGATCCTTCGAGTCCTCAAGCTTATACCCTGGGATAAATTGCCCAAAGCGCATGAGCTCAAGTTGGAAATTCTTCATCTCAGCCTTTTGGAGTAGTTTCATAGGATCAATAGCTCTTTTCTTGCATAACGAGGCTGCAATTCCCAAAGCATTGGCGTTGGCTCCACATGTCGCCATGACCCGTGTGGATGCGAAGGCAACATGAGATGCTGAGATGATGCGGCCTCCGTACATGAGATTCGGTATTTCGGAGCAAACCATGGAGGAGAACGGGATCTGGTAGACACCTGGATATATGTCAGTTACATGTATCTCCTGGGTTTGTAACACATTCACCTTTGGAATGCCACTGGGTGCAGCCATCGACCTCGGAAAAGACACCATCGGCAGGATGTAAATCAAGTGACCAGCCGCCAAAAGAGACAGCATCAGAATGGAACTTCTGCTCCACGACATCCTGCTGAACCATCATCTTAGGACCCACTACAGATGTTAGTATCAGACAAGTTTACATAGGTAGGAATACTGACCGAATCTCCTACTTTCTCTCTTTCCCGGGATCGTGCCAACCCACTCAAGTGTCAGGTTTTCCGCCTCAGGGAAGCGACCAGAGTTCTTGAAGTAGTCCCAAACACCATAAACAACCTTCCACAGCTCCCACTTGATCTCCTCAGTATCATGAATGGTATCAAGTCTGCCACCATACTCGATCCACCAAAGATTGCAGCCCATCTCCTTGGTGCTGAAGCTTTTGAACCGTGGGATTTCTGCCTCGACATCTTTGAGAGCGTAAGATGGGGCGACAAATTTGACGGGCTTGCCGACATCCTTGGTGTAAAAGTAAATGGAGTGACCCAGCAAGTGACCATACTCTGAAGATGGTGCAAAAAGCTCTCCAAATTCGTCACGTTTCTCGGCGCCAACCCTGAACGGGGCACCGGCCAGGAAAGAAAGCGTACCGTCGCCTGTACAGTCGATGAACTGCTCAGCTCGGATATTGAACTTGAGTGATGATTGAGAGGCGAACGCGCTGACAGAGCTGATACGGTCGCCGTCCTTCTCACACCCAACCAGTGCGGTGTTCAAGAATAGCTGAATATTGGGCTCAAGTCGAACCTTTTCCAAGAGAATAGTGTCTAGAATCAGAGGGTTGCCTTCAGGATTGCGATACAAATTCTCCAACAGTATCTCATCAACGAGACCTCCTTCTCTAGCATAGCGGTTATTATTGAACATGTGAGAAGTCGCTCCTAGAATCCACAATCGAACTTCGCTGGATGCGTTGCCTCCAAGGACAGGACGGTCTTGGATGAGGATAACTTTGACATTGTTTCTTGCTGCAGCAATTGCCGCAATGGTACCAGCGAAACCACCACCGCAAACGCAAAGATCTACATCTAAGTTGCGGACTTGGAAGTCGCGACTTGATGCTGCTGGCTCTCGGCGAAGAACCGGGTCGTGAGATAATCTTGCAGGGGCCATGGTGTATATGTTGAGAAGGAATATTGGCCAAGTCACGAAAAAGAAGGGAATCTGAGAGAAAGAACGGGGAAACTGAAGATTCGTTTCTAGTACTATGATTCTCTAAAGAACCTTGATATTTTAAATCCGGTCATCAAGTGTCGGACTGTTGAATCACATGATATAAGTGATTAACAGTTGGTGCTATTCCCTTTATTGTAGAGACGGAACCACCGTCATGTTTTCAGCAAGTATCGATTGACCCTTGTACTTAGAAGTCTCGGCGCTGTTTATTCCGAACCCTGGACAGACTAATATCACGTCGATTTCCTCTTCCGGAATAGAGCGGCCTACAAAGCATCGCGGAATTTAAGCCGTCGGCGGTTCCGTCAGCAACTGTGTTTCCCCGCATCGTACCCTGTACTATTATGGCGCTTGTTCCTAAGCAACCGAAGCTGTCGAGATATGGAGATCTTGAGGGCACAGTGACCTGCATAATATCATGCTGAAATGGCTCAGGCTGGATCTCATGACGTGCAAGGTCCTTTGAGAAATGTATCGTTGAGAGTGTCTCAAGTATTCTCGGCATGCAGCTTCTGCAAAAGTCGAAAGATCAAGGTTTGTTCAATCACATCTGCCCGTCCTTTTGTACAAGTGCTCACAGATTCACAGTGTGATGGGGCTACGCCAGCTTGCGACCGTTGTGTAAGGTCTGGTCGTCAAGATACTTGCTCTCTCCAGGATGACACATCCAATCGTGGAAGAGATTACCATACATTCCTCTTACAAAAGATCGCCAATGCTAAGCAGCGACTTGATGAAGCACAGACAGGACAAGATGGTCCCTCGTCTCTACCATCAAGACCGCAAGCACAGGAGAGTTCAATGATCGATTCTCTGGTCAATGATATAGAAGCCCTTCCAATCATTCAATGCTCGTACGCATCCGCCACAGGAGGCCCGACACTCTCTACCCTTGTGTTGGCTACCGCAGGTACTGATCAGATCTCGTCATCTACGCTCCACGAGGCCCAGCAGAATGAGATGACACCTTGCTTGCCCAAAGAATCTACGGCGTTGAGCCTTGCGAAACACTACTTTGACAACGTATACCCTCGTCTTCCCTTCTTCTCTATCCAGGGGTTTTGGGTCCAATTTCAACATGTCTTCTCCGGCGCCTCGGCTTCTGTACAAAACGGAGATACTCACCATCCACCAAACCCAATCAGCATCCTGTCACCCAGTGTAGAAGACTTCGATAGCTCATCCCTGAGCCACGGCTATAGCTATTTTACTGTCCTATTAGTATTGGCAATATCAGCTTCCAGCCTCTCACGTAGTGCAGATAGTGTCATATCAGCACAGGCAGAAAGACTCTTCCGAAATGCATTGGCGTTTCGTGAGTCTGCCATTATACCAAGCAGCATAATTGGAGTACAGTCTATCTTGTTCCTCATACAATTCGCGACCTTGAATCCCTCACTGCTCGACGCATGGTATCTCATTGGCGTTGGTATGCGTATGTGCGTCGACCTTGGGCTCCATCAAGATCCTCAACCTCCAGATTCGATCGAAGTAAGCTTGTTGGAAACGCGACGTCGTCTGTGGTGGAGCGTCTATGCCTTTGACCGGTCGATGAGTCTAGGATGTGGGCGTCCCACAGAGTTATCAGACTCGGCCATCAGCGTGTCCTTGCCAACGTTCCGAATCGAGATCCCGGCTACGCCGGTTGAGATTCATGGGTACTTACAGCGCTATCGTGCCTTACAGCTTCAGTCTGAGATTTATAACTCCCTCAATGACAGTACAGACGCAGATACGCATGTCGCACGAGAGACACTCATGAGGCTTTCCCACAAGTTGAGAAGGTGGAAAGAAGCAAGCTCCCAGCTACCCACGAGGACTCTACTGGAAAGCGAATGGCTGATGGGCCGCATGCTTTTACTGAGACCATGCAGGTTACTTCCCGACAGAACAACGGCCGAGCTCAACGAGCTATGGCATTCCGCAATCGGATTTATTGGCCTTTATCGCCGCTTAGTGGAAACGAATTCCATATTCTATGTTCAGGTCGCGTGCGAAAAGGTGTATTGGACAGGTCTCATGGCCCTTTACAGTTTCTGGAATCTTCGTGCAAGGCCAGATGAGAGTCGGGGTGACTTACGGACACTAAATATCTGGGTCCTGGTCAGAGATACCATGTTCATTTTGCGGAGCCTGAGTGAGCGATGGGAGCAGGGGAGACTCCTCTGCTCAACATTCGACTCACTGACGACAAACATTATGGAGATTGTGGGCACGAATCAAGATGTAATTATGACATCTGAGATACCTAGATTGTTGCGTAGCTTGGACCAGTACACAAGTCTAACTACGATCTGGGCTTCTAGTGCGCGTGAGGAAGGCCCAATACATGTTGTGTCTCAGGAAACAAACACTCTAAGGAAGTTGATAGTAGACATGATATAAATAGGCAATACATTTATCTCATAGGTTCCACATTCTACGGTTATAGGCCCAGTTTATATGTCCTCCTTTGAATTAGCGAGAAAACCTATAAATTAACGTCAAACAATGAAGACTGTGAACCTATGTTTGTCCGGACTGTGGGGATGTAACTTGGAAGGATGTGTGAAAATAGTTGTCGTATAGACCACTACTAAAGATCCTAAGAACAGAGCCCCCCCGAGAGAAAACAAGCAAATTAGGTGTATATGCGTTTGACAATGATATCTTTCGACTACTGTAGCTGGTAAATTGTATACAGCTGGAATTTCAGCCGCACCGTTCTCCAATGCTGAGCCCGTTACAGTCGTATCTGTCTAAGTCGTCCAACTAAGCTCGTTCTAAGTAGCTTCTGCCTTACGTTTCACGTCGAGAAAAAAATCAAGCATACCGAACTATCCATACACAAGACATGTTCTCCATGCAGTAAGAGTGGGCTCAGAGATATTGATGAGATGTATGGTTAAAGTTCGGTGGCAAACAGTCAACATGACTCAATCTCTATAACTCGTCTTCCAACATTTTATGATTCCGTAAATAACTGAATGACAAGTCCCCGCCGTTTCCGCAAATGCTGACAAAGCCTTCAGAGACTCACATCAGTATCTGAAATCAGCTAGCCACTGCCTATCATGTGGCTTATCGCGATGCACTAGTTCCAATACAAGTGAGACATTGTGGCATGGGCTGAGGTCTGCATTGGTCTAGAATCCCATGGGCAACCGACCGCTTGAGCATCGCTGTTAATTGACCTTGACTTCCAGCGGTTGGTCTAATGAATGTTAATGTCTATATAAACTAAGTTCGCTTCCTCATCAGGCTTACACCTATAAATCCAAATCTGAATTCCCAAAAGAAAGTCTTTCAATTTTTTTCTAACCCGCAAATTTTCGCAAATCAATTGTTATGGTTGTTGAAAACGGAAATAAAATTTTCATTCCTGTTGACCAGCTTACCACTACTGAGATCAATGTTGAGTGGGCCGCGAAATACTCTCCCTACCGCTCTGAACAGTACTACGCCGTTCCATGTTTCAACACAGAACAGAGTTAGTACACTGTCAATGCAGTATTGGTAACTTATACTGAGGGTAGCAATGCAGGTAACGAGGAGATTGTTATCTTCATTCAGAAGAGCTATCTCGGCGACCTGAAAAACAAGCAGTCCCCTGGAGATGACTTAACCATTATTGTTGATAATTCTTTCCAGTATGGCCAGAACAAAGAGAAGACGAAACGTTGGTTATTGTTCCATAACAAGGAAAGAGAAATGCTCCAGGTCAGTAAAAATAATTGCGGGTATTATGCACTACAGTATCGCTAATATATCGCAGTGGCGTTTCGTTGCAGCACTCACGTCCAAGCTGGGCCAGGACACTTCCAAGTTTGCCAATGGTTTCTTTCCAACTGCCGACATGTATACACTCAGTAAACTCTTTGGCAATCGCTTACACAACTTCTAAACTTTAGCATTCTTGGGGAATCCTATTGGAACAAATTCTTGGTAATCGGATGAGGGTGAAGTTGAGAGGTTGGAAATGTAATAGGTGTTTTTTACCCACTGTTTTACCCTTTCCCAGTCATAGTCGATCGGACCGGCATGCATTCATCTCGAAAAGTAGGGCAGAAATATGATTAAAGTACGCATAAATAACACGAGTACTTCTTATCAAAAGCTATCAAGCATAATTACTAGAACTAAATACACAACCCTTGCCTACTTGGTGGAAGTCTACAAACGTGACAGGCAGTATAAGTCAGACATGTAGAATGGAAATAGTAGCCTGGATGACTGCATTGCGGCGAGGCTGAAGAAGATTGAGATCTCGTCTCTTTGGAAGCGGTGGTTCTGTAGTGACCTCTGGATTATTCTTTTCCAACTTTTGAACAAGGTCGTCGATTTGTTTCATCAGCCCCTCATCTGTCGTAAGAAAAATATTCCCATTAACTTCAATGACATTACGCCGTACTTTGGTTCGAATGCTGTGTCCTGGTACTGTACAGCCTTTTCATGTAGCTGATCCCAGTTTGTGACACATATAGCATCTTCAGGAATTTCAACTATATAATTGCCACTCACAAAGTTACCTGCGAGGAGGACAGCAAGGAGGGTCAAGTCTGTCCGGCTAATTAGATTCTCACTCCATCGCCATAGGGAGATATTATTGTAGCAGTCCTCATATTCATAGAAGTTGTGGATACGTTCAGGTGGTTGGTTTTAGTCAATTGGAGTTCTTGATGTTTTCGTATCACTGATAATACCTTTCAATGTTGACATATTTATACCTGGGATTTCTTATACGTCACATGCTGGAACCTGCCTGAATATCAAAGCTGTCGGTTGACAGTCTCTGGGGTTAAGTTGACATGAGAACTAACACGCCCAGGCTTGTCCCAATAAAAGGCCAACCAGATGTAGTCTCAAGATGAAAATGGTGTGGAATAATTGAAATAGATAGGAGCTTGTTGGTTAATTCAACTATTACGTAAATCGTGTTTTGTGATACCCGAGCCAACAAATACCTCAACAACATCTGTTGGGAGATGACGAGAAGAATGCAATCGGCTGTGGCCACTTTATCGTATCATACATATTCGTTACCTAACAGCTTGAACGTACCGACCAACATAGCTTGGTGAACTCCGAGCCGTATTCATCATATCTTCGGGCCGATGTTATTAGTAAAGGGTAGTCCTAGAACTTGCTACACCAACGCACTAACAAGGTACATGTTTCCTGTCAGGAGCCTTCACATGTTATTCACGTGCTGTTACACTTGACACGTGACGTATTTAAGATCATTCCACTCTCAATCGAAGCTTCAATACCAGTGTTCATTTTCAACTTTTCATTAACAGTCAATATCAACAACAAACACTTCAATAATCATGTCACAATCAGGTTCAAAGCACCAACAACCTGCAAGCCCTGAAGAAACTCAAGAAGGCATTGCATACAAAGATCTTTCACCAGAACAACAAGAAATGAGCGATATTTTACACAAAACGGAGAGCTATGACCTAGATCTCTTAGGTATCGCAGACCTTGGTCGTGATGGGATTTTCCGTTTTCTCGATGCCGATCGAAATATTCTCTATGCAATTGCGTTGAGACCAGCATTGATAAAGGCTCTTTTGGACCGTTTGCCTTATGATGAGGAGGAAGAAAAGTCTTGGCGCGGAGTTGATGGAACAAAGGTTCCCAAAGAGCAGTGGTACAATCCGCCCCCAGGGATTCTCCCCCCACCATTGGCTGAGGAACATCGGAAAGAAGGACGAGAGATTAATGAAAAGCTGAAAGACAAGTTGGACGATATTCGCGAGGAGTCAAAGAATTACAAGGGACGCCTTGTCTTTCTAGAGTCAGATAACAAGCTTGAATAGAGATAATTGGTCAGAAACAAGGTGTTAGACATGTTGTCCGTTAGGATCATAATAGACGAAATTAGTAGGTCAGTTTATGATGTTTAGACCGTGGTTCTTAGACTATTTATTTTTGTACCCTAATGCTTTGGAAGTGATGTTGGGCAACTCAGACTGGAACAATACGAGTTATTGGAAAATGGGCTGATACGGATTTTCGAACGTGGATGGCCGAGTTTTTGGATAACATCTATTAAAGGATGAAATAACTATTATGAGGAATGATAAAACCCTTTTCTTTATATTGACAACCTAGCGGGCTAAGCTTCCCAAGTCTTAGGATATGAAAATAGATAGACAAAGAAACTTAGGCTAAGGAGCATAAAGTGGCCTGCTAATTTCATCTCTTATGATTCTAGGGGCTAACGTTCCTATTGGTCCTTGCGGGAAGGAAACCGCAATGGCAATTCCACCGAGGATAAGAACAAGGGTGATTTAGATTAATACACTAGATATATAATTTCGTACACGAAAGTAATAGATCACTGATTGTGTTATGATAATAAGTAATAGAGATAACCAAGTTCGTATCCTTGCCCAATTTGGTGTTTTTGATATTTTGCAAGTCACAATATAGATTGAAGAAAGACTTCAGAACATCAAGGCTTAGAAAGTGTGAAGGTAGTCACTGATGAAGTTGTTGCCAAGCTTGGAGACTTGATCGGCGATCTCCCCAGCGCCAAAGCTCCTGGCAAGGTTCTTCGCTGTCTCACTGAGCCGGCCCTGCATAGTGACAATCATGAAGCGATGCTGCCAGAGTTAGTAAGTTAATTACAAGAAGACACGGTAAACATACCTGGTAGGGCTTGTTATCCTTATCGTGGAGGGCGACCCAGCGACCATCTCCAGTTTTGTTCTTCTGGCCATACTGGAAACGATCGTTGATTTCGACGACCCAGCTACCTAATTTGAGACTCAGCAAATGGAAAATAAAACGTAGCTGGTGACTTACCGCCCTCTTGTCGAGCACCAGGAAGTCTTCCAATGAAGTCATTGCTGTTGGAGTCCTTGTAGAAGCGATCCTGGATGTACATTAAAACATCCACACCACCCTTGGATTGGTTGCGAGCATTGACAAAATAGTAACGGGCAGTGCGAGTGCGGAAGGACTGGGACCACTGGATCTCCATGGCGTTCTGCTCTGCCTCTAAATTGTAGGCTGGAACAGAGAGGATATCACCTTTCGTGGGGAAAGACATAATGGATTTGGATGAAGGTTGTGGATGTAAGAATTGATTAGACGGAGACTTCGGGAGGAAGATGTTGTAATAGTGAAGGTTGAAGAAACGTGGGAGGTCTTGAGGTTTAAATGGTGGTAGTGTACTGAAGAAGTTCAAGTCTCATGTCGCTCTTTGCAGTTCTGTACCGAGCCTCGAGTCTCGAGGTATAGATCCTCAACAGTTGATTGGAAAAAGCTGAACAGGAGCTATTCACCAACAATGTCTCACTATATTCACTAGTTCGGGAGACTACTATTCGATAATGTCCTCACTACAGGAATTTTGCAACTCTGCGTAGGAATCTCCGACAAGGCTGCCCCATCTAGGTTTTCTGAAACCCCAACGTGCGTTCATAAATGGCAATTTTCTGCCACAACAGGGCTAATTCTCACTTAGACATACCTGCTCTGAGACATCCTTCATCCTTTTGGCAGGTCTGGGCTGGCTGAATAGCACAGCTCGCCACGCGAAATTGTGGCGCTGACGAACTCATGGCCTAGACCCCTGCAGGTCTCGGCCCGCCCCAAAGGCGTCTGAGCCATAGCGTCTAGCATACGAATCGATAGTCTGGACCATGCAATGTTTCCAATATATGCAATAAAACCATTTACTACACCTGCACACCCCAGAGTATTGTGGCTGGGTGCTGTTTTGCGAGATCTTCTTGATGGGATGGCCCGTACTACGCGGATGGGAAACCGTTGGTATCATGTCAAACAATGTGTCGTGTCGTAGTGGTGGCAAATTCATTTAAGATATTCAATGAGGGTAGTTGGTATGTGAAGAGGGTTCTGTATAATTCTATAATCAGGTACAGTAACTGGATCGAGAGGTACACTTGATAGTTCAAATGTCTCTAAATCGATAGAGTGGCCCCAGAAAAGCTCACCGGCGGTGAAAATAGGATTGTGAGACGGCGTGGTATGGGAGAGCGACAAGGACTCGGTTGGCCAGGCTTGGTCAAATACATTTTCTAGATCTATGATATCGTGTTGTGAGGTAACTGACACATGCTGTAAGCTGGCTGCTTGAGGTTGCGTATCCCGCTGATCAGCTCGGGTTAGGCCAGCTGCTGTCGGAGAAGGCTGGTATTTGTTGGACCAACGAATTTCTTTTTGATATCCGGGACATGGACATCCGAACTTGTGGCAGTTGTCACAACTGGGTTGTCTCTCATCACATCTGATCTATCACCTAGTTAGAGTCGCGAATGGGCACAGCATTTCAGCACCACTCACCCTTCTGGCCTTGCATTTTGTACAGCCGTTCTTTGATTTCGGTACTCCTTTTCGCGTGCGCTTGATCTTTGACGCATCGCTACGTCTAGACGGTCCTGGTGCTGATGCTTGTGAATCCATGAGCTGTAGATACAGGTAGTGAGTGGATGGTCGGAGTGATAATGCGGGGTCCCTACAAATGAAAATTGGTGATGTAGATATTTGAAGCTAATATCACGTGATGTTGGCACTGTTCAGTAAAGACTTACGGTCAAGGTCGACGCTTTGTCTATCTCGCGGGGCGAACAATGATGAAAATATATGATAGTTCTACGTCTATCTATAGTCGAAATTCCAATCCTGCAGAGTACGTTGCTGTCCTTACATCTTACCAAACCTATTCTTCAACACACGCAACTGGCTAAAGTACGAGTCTTTGTCGACATATGTTCCCCTCAACCATCTCGGCTTTCCAACATCAGCCGCCTCAAACGCCCTTCTAGAATGAAGTGTTCGGGTATTTTCAAACAAGAACCAGTCCCCCGAGTTCATATTGCGCTCAAATAAATACTCAGATCTTTGCAGCAGTGCATTGAACTTGAACGCGGCTTCGTGCCATTTGTCAACTTTATCATTCAACTCCATAAGGGGGGGTTGCCTTGGCCCATATTTCAGCATGGGATCTTGATGATTCGAGAAGGGTGCTAGGAATGGAGGCCCCCAGTTGATTTTTTGCATGTGATTTACAAGGACAGCATCGCTCCATCCTGAACCACCGTTTTGAATGTTCAGTTCGTTCCAATCTTTGACATAATATTGAACACTAGCATAGGATCTATCACCAAGTCGGAGAGGTCGGAGATCAATGACTGGCTTTGTGATACGGTACACGTTGGAGTCGGGATGGTTGTAGTGATAGTTCACAGGAACTGTCGCTAGTGTCTCAAATGCTTCTGGATCCGTATGGAACAAGTCGACCGCGGCCTTGTATGCATCGGCAAAGACACTCGCTCCTCCGGTAGATGCAGACTGGATACAGTGGAGGAGCTGAACATGCGGAGGGTCGTAGAAGTAGAGCAAGTCGGTATGGAAGCCCAGGTCATGGGAGGTATATGCGGCATTGATAGCTTCAGGGAGGGTACGAACTATGTAAATGTTAGTTATAGTATCGCCGTTGACATGTGAAGTCATACATACCATCCCATGTGTGTCCATAGAAAGTGTCTTTAACGGGACCAATACGAGTAACGATCTCAGCCACCGATTTCTCCACGCCAGGGACATTTGTGACAAAAGCCAGCCCATCAGTTCGCAACTGTTGAATGAGCTTATAAACCGCCTTGTCGTCTTTCATATACTCTTGATAATCGAAATCTTGCAGGTTTAGAGGCTCTCGTGTCCAAAGAACCTGCGGTTCATGACTGTCTTTTCCAAAGCCCGGAAGAGAGCCCGAGATGCTAAGTTCTCGTAGCGCTGCGACGCTCAAGTTTGTAACATGGTCTTTGCTGTGCCCATGGACGTCTTTGTCCCATTTAATATTGATTGATTCGGAAGAGGCATCAATTTCGACGGAGCAGGCTTGGATATCGGCAGGGATATCGGCCGTCGAAAAAAGTCGTTGGTTGGAGTGCTCGTGTACGCAGCGAGGACATGAGCAAGAGTCGCGCAGGAGAATGGAAGAAAATTCCAGGGTTTTGCCGTCGACTTCTATCGGAACTCTGGATGGCTTTCCGTTGGTGGAAGTGGCCGCGCTGGCATTGCCTCGGGCACTCGTCGAAGCGAAGGAATGGCGTGGGGAAATGATATTACTCGTCCCTGTTATAGTCCTATACAACGGCTAAAAGACTAATTGTCAGTTGCTATGGAAGTCATAGCTTTGGTTCGAGATCCTGCTCACCTGTATTTTTGTTATTCGCTGAATGTGCCGCGGCAAACAGCTCCTGGTAGAGAGTAGCCGACGGATCAACGCTGCGCGCGGACCGAGCTGAGTTGAACGGATCTGGCTTGATATTCTAACGGCATTCATCTTGAAAGTACCTGAAGGTTGCGATTGAAGAACCAGAAAAATGATAACCGCCTCTAGTCCCATGGCAACTATTAATATTAGACAGATGGCTGAGTTCGAAATCTTTCAGTGCATTATACTGATAAGGAAACCTGACACTGTCGTCCCAGTTTGTACATCTTTTACGAGACTATGGAGACATCAAGTAAAAGTCCCTTTCTGCCACGGAATGTTGTACATCTTTGCTGCAGGTTATTCCGCTATCTTACAGTTTATCACGTATTCAGAATCCACCAAGTGACACACTAAAAGTGCGATATTTGATGGCACACGCTTATGATGTAGCATTCTCGTGTTAATTTTCCAATCTCTGTGATGGTGCTTATTTTCCTTCGTACACTATAGCCAAGTTGGTCATACAATACGGCAGAGATATCTCACCAATGATGATTGGTCAGACTGCCCTCGTATTGGATGACTAATCGTAATTTATTGCCATAAGCGGTTAAGTGGAGTTGAGTAGACGGCAGAAGTAGTTGCAAATGCCATGATAAAAAGGTTTGTTATAAATGAAGAAATAATACAGTCCCCTCCCACAGAAATCAGACACTTAGTGAGAGCTTTCAAGATATCGATTCCACCATGACTCCCTCAGCACAAGTTGAGGAGCCTCCGAAGGATGTTGCGAAAAAGACGCCCCTGCAGTTGCTATCACAGGGTAAATGTCTCCCTGGCATTCCGAAACACCCCACATTCGCAGCACACAGACAATGGATGTTGGAGAAGATGGCCCTTGCCTTCCGGGTCTTTGCACGTCTAGGCTACACAGATGGTCTGGCTGGCCATATTTCCATCCGAGACCCGGAGAACCCACACACATTCTGGACAGTAAGTAGTATGCTCGTGAAACAATTGGTAAATAGTGGTATATACTAACACAAGCCAGAACCCGTTGGCAGTGCATTCTGGCATGATGAAAGCCAGTGATATGATACTTGTTGACTACGATGGGGTACCAATTGGAGGTCAGTCAGCCAACATATGTTCTTGCTGTTGATCTTAACAATCTCTTTTAGGAAACACGGATAGACCTGCCAATGCCGCAGGGTTCATGATCCATAGCGCTGTGCACAAGGCTAGGCCAGAAGTTATTGCTGCATGCCATACTCATAGCGTGCACGGCATGGCATGGAGTGCATTCGGCCGACCGCTAGAAATGATAACCCAAGATACCGCATACCTCTATGGTGATGCCCAGGCTGTCTATAATGTTTGTCTCTCATGTTACTATATTTAAACACCCCTGCTAATAAACTGTAGGACTTTGGCGGCGTTGTACTTACCCCAGAAGAAGGCGACAGGATTGCCGCCGCTATGGGTACGTTCGGTTGGAATCCCCAAATACTGTCAAAATGGCTGCTAACAGGAATCTTAATAGGAACCAAAGGCAAGGGCATGATATTACAAAACCACGGCCTTTTCACCGTCGGAACTACAGTGGATGAGGCATGCTTCTTGATGGCTCTAATGGAGAGAGCTTGTAAATGTCAGTTGCTCGTCGAAGCCGCCGCGGCCAACGGTATCCCCAAAGTTCTCGTCCCCGACGCGAGTGCAAAGTACACGTTTGAGAACTCAAGTGACCCAGAAACTTTATACTGGGAGGGGCAGCCGGACCTTGAATACGAAGAGTACATGTGCAAGGGGGAACATAAAGACTAAGATATCGGAGTATATACGATGACTATGTATTCGCTATGACGGAGAAGTGGTGAGCGGTCAAAATAAAGCTAGAAGAAACAGATATTCGTCTATACACTTTAGCGCATAACCCTAACTACCGCAATGATCTAACTGCCACAGGCTATCTTTAATCTCATCATGTTGATTACTTTTTGCGCTATAATATTGAATTGCCCCCGAAGTCCAGTATTCGTTATAAAAAAGAACTAGAATGTTATACGTCGTTTGAAGGGTTATGTTAGTTCCACCCGAATTGTCGGTCTTTACCTTGGCTGAGAGGGATATCAAAATGGACAAAGTTGTCATTCTTTCTCGTGTTTTTACTCGGACTTCACCATCAATCACAATACCTCTACTCCATGTGTGCTCTCCAGGTTGCAAGGGCTAAATGTCATCTGGCATTGGATTCAAATAGGCCGTATTTGGAAAGTGAGCACTGAAGATTTCGTAACAGTATTTCACCTCAATTGTAGCACTGTTTCAAAAGTTATATGGCCATTATTGAGCAATGGAGTTGACAGTTTAACCGTTCCCTACAATACAGCTCATCAGTCCATGCTAGAGTGATTCTCAATCGATTTCCTTCACGTTAACAAACTTCGTTATTGCTTACCCTATTGATACCGATAATGGATGGACAGGAAAGTGGGGTAAAAAAAATGACATATAATTGATCCATGCTAGTGTGAAGCAGAAACATTGACTTTTGAGTTTAGGGGCACAAAAATAAATAGCTTGAGAAGTACGTTTCAAGTCACGTAAAATGACCGCGTAATTTTGTATTCTTTGCTTTTGTCGGACAATATTCTTAGCACCCTGATGCCAAGACTGCGGGACAAGGGATCGGACACATTGGTCCGTCAATGTGTTGACTTCCCCCGAAGGCCGCGCCAGATCCTCCGATGCTACAACGAGACGGATCATGTCAAACTTGAGGTCACATTAACAATCGGAACGATCGGCGACCTTATGATAATCAACTTTAGTAATTATAAGAGGCATCACTTTCAGATGGCTAATTGGCATTGGACTTCAAATCTTCTTTTACAATTTAGTTTTAAATTCACACGCTATTTACACATTGGCCCCATTATTTGAAGGTTCCCCTGGAGTTCTCTCCAAAAGCAGATACCATGGGGTTTTCTAAAGAAAGCGCTTCGCCAGCATCTTCAGTAACAGATGAAAATTCGATTGAGAGTGAAACTTCCTGGTCCAAAGGCGCAGCAGACAGCAAGGAACTGGATATTTATGAGCCAAAGCCTAGTCTTCATAAAGTCTTGCCTGAGCTTTTTGAAGAAAATGTCTTTGCTAAGCCTTACCGCACTGCGTCGTTAGGCCTAGAAAGACTTGACCCAGCGCGCGATGGCTTCCCTGAAATTGTACCCCAACAAGGCCCCAAGCAAGGACAATGGGAATTCCGCGAACCCGATTTTTGGACTTGTGGTTTCTTCCCTGGAACCTTGTACGCTCTACTCGAACGTTCTATCAAATACCCGGGATCTTTGGGGACAGACGATACCGTACTACAATCCGCTGCAACTATCAGAAAATACCTCTTGCCTCTTTGCAAATCCTGGTCTGAACCACTTCACGCCATGTCCCTTAGAACAGATACCCACGACATAGGCTTCATCATCATGCCTGCACTACGAAGAGACTGGGAACTCTTCGGAAATGAGCGCAGTCTAACTTCTATCGTTCAAGCGGCCAACAGCTTGGCTACTCGTTACGTCCAGTCTGCTGGCGCCATTCGTAGTTGGGACTGTCTTTTGAAGAACGACATAACCGTCACTGATACTGAAAACAACCTTCTTGTCATCATCGACAGTATGTGCAATCTAGATCTGCTGTTCTACGCTGCCGCCCAAACCGGGGAGCAAAGACTGGCTGATATTGCTGCAACTCATGCGACAACGTTGTTAAAGACGCACCTTCGACCAGAAGGCGTGAAATCTTTAGTCAAAGATGGTTACAATGGGCAACTTTACTCGACGTGCCACGTTGCCAATATTACTCCCCAGACAGGAGATTTGAAATGGCGATGGACGGCGCAGGGCTATGCCAATGATTCAACATGGTCGAGAGGCCAAGCCTGGGCTATACTTGGCTATACGCAATCATACAGTTGGACCAAAGATGAAACGTTTCTTGAGGTAGCGTGTGGAACTGCTGAGTACTTTATGTATCGGCTGGAAACATCACCTTCATGCGTGGAGCTTTCATCCGACACTAGCGACAACGCCCGAAAGGGTCGACATGTTCCGCTCTGGGACTTTGATGCGCCGATAGAAAATCCTCAAGATCCATTACGTGATTCATCTTCTGGTATTATCGCGGCCAACGGAATGCTGCTGTTGTCTCAAGCCCTCATCTCGGTTGGTAAACACGCTCTATCTCGCCGGTTTTTCGACGCAGCCATTACGATCATCAGAGATACTCTAGATGTATCTCTTGCTACCGAAAAGGCGAGGTTTACCAAGGATCGTGATGGAACGTCGCCTCTTCCAGTAGAGGATGTTGTCTTTGGCGAGACTTTCGATGCCCTGTTGAAGCATGGAACGGCTAACAACAACGAAAATGCAAGGAGAAGGTATTCCAATCACGGTTTAGTGTATGGAGACTACTATCTTGTTGAATTTGGAAACCTTCTTTCCAGCATGGGATTAGTTTAGATATGAGTTGAACTAGGTAGTGATAGACTTCTATTGCATACATATGAAATAGACCTCGCTTCTTCCAACCATCATCTTTCTGTAGCCTTGATGTGCGAGACATTCCTAACATGACTGTAGAGTATAAGAATGTAATGTTCCTTGCAGTATTTGGAGCCGATTTTGGCCGGTGCACAGCATATGTATCAAGATATGAGAAGACCATTAAGTTATGTCTAGGGGTGCAAGATATCGACTTGAATGAACCCATACACTTTCGGACAACACACAACATTTACTCACAGAATTTATTGTCTGACTCTATATAATTACTATACTAATGGTACCAGTTGCACTTTCATTGAGCTTCAACCCCGGTCGATTAATCCATAAAGCATATATGTCTGTTTGATCTATGTTGGCGCTGCTGACGCCAAACACTGCAGTAGCAACAACCACTAACGACAGACGTTCTGACGCTGAGTTCGATGTACCTCCACCAGCAAATGCATGAGAGTATCTAATTGACGGGATGATAGTTCTCTGCTCGATGAGATTGGTGTTGGGATCTGCTGCGATCAAATGTCCTTTGGCTTCAAGTCTCGGCTGAGCCCTACCGGTTACCCCTTTGTAATCGATCTTGCTTGTCAAGTCAACAATACCACTCGCTCCACCGCCGGATTTGACAAGAACACTTGACTGATCAGCAATAAAGCCATCAGTGGACTTGATGGCATCGGTGTTAGAGATGGGAGGAACGTGATAACCCTCGTTAGTCAGCGCTTTTACAGCAAAAGAACTATCGATAAGTTCGACGCTGTCGCACCAGGGGATGCTACTAGCTGTTTCAAGACCTATGATGCAATGGACGCGGACATGCCATCCCGGATAATACGAAGCCAAGGGAATCAGAGTTGTCCTGACCGCCATGTTGAGTTTCTTCCACGGTCTCCACGTGCTTGTGATGGAAGGAAGGTAATGACGGCCTTGCTCAGATTCAATAAGCGTAGTTCCGATGACGACATCAACTGGCTCCCACCGAACCTTCCATGTCTCGCCACCATCGATGCTCAAAGCCAATGTACTATCTGGAGCCAATTGATGAAGTTCAGGACCAGTTGGCACACTATATCCGAACGCGGAGGAATAGGCAAACTTGCCATACTTTGCCTCTCTGGCTTTGAACATTTTGGTTGTCATTTGTCCTGCCGATAAAAGGTAATGATGCTCTGGGCAGTTGCACACGATTTGCGAGGGCAGTCCGAAAACCTTTACAGCGTCCAAGGGCGATGCTATGTTTGAACCTGGTGCCCTCGGATGGGACTCTTCTTCAACAGTCCAGAAAGGGTGATTTTCTCGGAGTCCTAACACGACGAAAGACTTCAAGCACCAGTAGACTGATTGTCTTGAGTTGTAGTCTTCCGACATGTACATGTTGGGGTAGGTAAAGCCGATATTCATGGTACCATCCGAGTTGAAAATCTCTGGTTGTTTTGACCACCATCGTAGATGCCTTAAGAGGAGTCCTTTGACTGTTCCCAAGCTAACAAGACAGTCTGTAGATGTGATATTGGCGAGGGCAAAAGCAGCCCAAAACGCTCCACATGCGAACCGGTACGTCATGCTCCGACCAAAAGGAATAGCAGCACCGTTTGTATCAAAGTATCTCCAATACTCAGACGCAAACTCGATTGCCTGTTGTCTATATTTTGCAACTCTGTCATGATCGTCATCGGCGTAACGCGTGTAAAGTAGTTGGGCAAATTGGATAGCAAAACTGCCAGAGTAATAGTCTGCCTGCTTCCTGTCGTCGCCCCAAACACCATCAGAAGACCAGCCCTCACCGAGGTAGAATTGATCGAGAATTGCAAAGTCCGCATCCATTGCGTGTCGCGCTGCACTTTTGTCTGACCCAAGTACTTTTGTCAATGCCAAGTTGACAAGGACTCGAAACCATCGCCAGTTGTTTTGTGGCATAGTGAAATTATTGATTTGTTCCAGCCATCGTTCCAGATTCGTTACTGATTCAGGTTTCAAGAGCGACAGAATTGTATGGGGTTCTGTCAACAAGGCGAAAGCTATGGATTCCATCTCAACCATACGCTGGTCAAAAGATCCAAGCTGGCCCCAATATTCGGAACTACTTGGGTCTACTCCGGCTTCGATGCCCTTGATCCAGGAGCATATTGAAGGGTCAGCACCATTGTCAATAAGAGCTGATATAGCCCATAATGGACGTGCGAAGCCTTCTAGCTGAGCGGCGACATCGTCAAATCCTGCTGCAGTTGAGGGATATAGTTTGACACGAGCTTCCGAGGTAGATCTATAAGATTTCAATGGCTTGACGATAGCAACTGCTGCTCGTAGGAGATCGGAACGGTTCCGAAAAGGGTTGTCGGTGAAACCAGTCAATCCGGACATTATGTTCTGGTGTTGGTAAGATACGGTGATTATTAACAAGTTTGTATACAACATGGAATCTTCGCAATAGTCGATATGAAGCTTGGGGAGGAAGAACGGATGGCACGTACTTCGGTCAATCTGCATCCGATTACCAAAGCAATGTCGGCTCACTGGAGCCATTTCTAGACCAGCCACCAAAGCCAGTAGTGGATAATGTCAACGCTCTACAATGATTATTTCCCGTAATACGCCAAGTATGCCAACCAATGAGGCTGGGAAGCCACCTACCCTAGCTCCTTGAATGTGCGGGGTGCTCGGTGTCTCGGGCTAATTGAAGCGGCATCCGGACCATCTAACACGGGGTCAGTCGAACTCCTGTCTTCTGATCTGCCATGATCACACACGACCCAGATAGCGTGTTCTTGTTTCGTTCGGGGCATACGATGGATAACGAAGGCTCTGAAAAGTCCGCTCAACCAGAGCAGATTACTCAAGTCTCCGATGCAGGTCTTGCTTGCAATTGCTGTCGGAGACGTAAGCTGCGATGTTCGCGAGAGACGCCAATCTGTGAGCATTGTCGTAAGACTGGTATGCCCACAGTGATGCTCCACTTCTTTGAATAATTTCGCTGAATACGACCAGGGCAAGACTGCGTTTATGAAACGAAACGAGCAAAGTCCGGCATGAAAGCTGGTGCCATTGAGAACGTACACAAAAGACTTGGTAGGTAAAATTAGAACGTCCATCCATTGTCTCCTCTGACACTAGGACAGATGCATTGGAACGAACGATTGCAAAACAACAGACCACATTGGAGAGCTTGCGCTCTGGAGAAACGTCGACAAGTCACACAAACCCACGCCAAGAGACCATAGATGAGCAAAGCCTGTTGTTTTCTCTTGCAAAAGAAATATGTAAACTTGGCAACCCATCGTTTAGTGATGCTTCAAGTCGAAGCAACGAACCTATTTGTAAACGCCGTCGGACAGAAAGCGATAGTGGACAACGACCAAGATCACGGGTCAAGGCCTACCACCAAACTTTACCAAAAGGCGACACTCTTGATCAAGTAATTGATGCATACTTTCGACAAATTCATCCATGGATACCGATGATACATGAAGCTCGATTTAGGAAACGACTGCAAGATCATAGCGACGATGCAAATGTCCTACCACTTCTGAATGCTATACTATTAATTGCATCTCATCATGTACCTGAAAGGGATATCGCGGAGAATATGCAGGGAATCATTGGTGATCAAGACGACATGAGGGATTGGGTAATTTCCAAAGCTACTAGGAGTCTGTCGGTCGAGAACCTACAGGCTCTGATAATTATCTGTTTTCGCGATGTAAGTTCATGTTCGTACTATCATTAAGCTCTAGCTAACAACTCAACAAGATTGGTGACGGTGAAGAAATTCGAGCATGGCCTCTCATCAGTGCTCTGACCCGTATGGTTGAATATCTGCAGCTAACAATAGAATGTGAGGAAGTTGATCGATCATCATTCTCTCGCCCATACACATCGTTAAATATTTCGCATAGCTGGACAGAAGCTGAAGAAAGACGGAGGGTCTTCTGGTGTGTGTTCAACCTCGATCGATACTGTTCAGTCACCACGGCTTGGAATACTAGCCTTACATCCGACGACGTCAATCGACGTCTACCATGTGATGGAATAACTTGGCGAAAAGAAGAAACTGTTTCTACACCATACTTTGGTATATGGGATAAATCAGCCGGACGTATTGGAAATCCCATTACCTTTCTCCCGTCACACTCCAGCGGTGCACCAGCTACCGTGGAAGAAGACATCATGACCCCATCTGACGCAATGACATCTCCAGGAGCAGCGACATCTGCCATCGATATGTCGACGGTTGGAGCTTTTGCTTATTGCATAGAAGCAACCGAGTCGTTGAGTCGTGTCACGAGTTATTTCCTCCAGCAAAAGGTCAATATTAAGGACCACAAGGATCTGAGCAGCTGGCTTACACGATTTAAAGAACTTGATGTTCGATTGGTACATTGGAAAATGTTACTTCCTAAAAAGTGGAAAGTCAACGTTGCTCAGCAGTCGTCCAGAATGGATCCAAATCTCACTCTCGCCCATATCACGCACAATGCGTCTATGATCTTGCTGCACCAACCCATTGCCTTTCCGCCTTTGGATTGGAGTTTTAGAACGAGGCTTCCCAGTTTCTGCAGCCTTGACACTTGTCAAGCGGCTGCTATCGAGATTGCTACAATAACAAACCACTATCTCAAACCCGCCGCACATACAGGTCCTCTGAGCAATCAGTTTGCTTTTTGTGTGTATCTTGCTGCCAGAGTCTTGCTTTTACATTGGCGTTATTGCGCAACAGACTGTCTATTACCTGAGTTCTGGATATTGACACAAAGCTTAGAGACCATGGCGAAGCGGTGGGCGGGACCTCATCAGCTTAGCGCTCGGGAGAACTTGGCTTCGAAGTATCAGGTTGTTCTTATCAATTTGCACACTCGTTGTATCCAAGATGAATCTTTCAGTATTGATCCTTCAGCTTATACTACTGAGGTGAAGCACTCGAAAGCTGCTTCACAATCTTTAGGCGAGACACCTAGATCACAAGACCAACAGGCGATAAGACCTTTGGATCACGATAACGGACACCCGCCGCTGGCTGATGAGTATTTTGATGCCCCCAGCCAGATGCTTCCCTTAGCACAGAATACGGGTGTCACTATTGTGCAAGGACCACAACCGCAGTACATACCGCAGAATGTGACAGCCAACACTTACTTCTCTGATTCTACACCCAATGTAGCCAATGGTCAAATAGGGCAACGAAGCGCTAGTATAGGTAGTGGAGGTTTGGGCATGATTCCACAAATGTTATTTGATGCAGAGTTTATAGATATGGATCGCGTTATAAGTTTTGATGATGGAATCTTTGAGACTGAACAGGGAGGCGGCCATTTTTAATTGATTCTACAGTTCATCATACCATTATATCCATTGACCTCACTTGTGTTCGCCTGATAGAAGACACGTATGTGAAAGACTAGCAGTTCAAGTTTAACACCATTCCCCCAAAAAACCAAAAGTTCGAGAATTTTGCTGCCCTGTCATGCTTCCCTCGCTGCCTCGGTTGGATTACCACCGAGCATGGCTCGTGGCCGAGTGTTAAAATTGAGCCGAAATGATTCACAATAAGACAATTGTTGATGATCATCTGGCTGGAATGTGAACCCAACCCTCTCTTCACGATTATTCCCTGCTTATCAATAAACTCTCAATTTCTTCCGCACCCCGAGGAGATTCTTCCGACACACTTACCCCGGGGGGCCTTGGGTGACAGACCATGCTTAAACTAGGGTGACGCTAAACGGGCGGGATTGCGGGGTAATGATACCCCAGATTTAGAGTCTAGACGAAATCTACAGATACAATAAGAGAGTCAAGAGAAGCTTCATTGTCAATTCTCATCACCTCATGACTCGACCCTGGTGCAATACAAACAAGTTCAACACTGTCGTCGATCTAAGTCGCTTTAAAGTTCATCACGATGACTTCTCTACAGAGAAACGATGGTCTCAAGATCCACTCTTCGAATGAACAGCCCGAGACTCGGCGAGATATCGCTGGCAACCCCGAGGAAAACCCTGAGCCAATGGTGAAGAATGGAGTTGTCGTAAGTTCGGCGACCAAGCCAGAGGCCAAAAGTGTCTGGCTCGCCTGGCTCTACATCTTCAATTGGTATCCTAGTCATTACAGCAAGGAAGAGAAACGACTGTTAAGGAAACTTGATCGCACTATTCTACCACTTATGTAAGTCTGCAAACTTTTGTTCCGTACATAGCTAACTCCTCGTAGTTGTTCCATGTGTAAGATTCTTCTTGTATGTTGACAATGATTGAGGCCAAACTAACAGCTCCTAGACTTCATCAAGTGGCTTGACCAGTCCAACATCAACAATGCTTACAACTCAGGCATGAAAGAAGAACTCAACCTCAAAGGCATTGAGTAAGTTGATCTCCCATTCAATAGTTCTTCTCTCATACAATCCAGATACAATTTGTTCTCTACTTTCTACAACATTGGCTATCTGGTAATGGAAATCCCTTGCATGCTGCTCATCTCACGACCCAAATATGCTCGTTGGGTTCTTCCCATCTGCGAAACTCTCTGGTCAATCATCACATTCATCCAGTGCCGCAACAACAGCGCCCCGATGATCTATGGCATGCGATTCTTAATGGGCCTTTTCGAAACCCCAGCTGCTACGGGCTCTTTGTACATTCTTTCCTCTTGGTACCGATCGGACGAGGTATTCAAGCGCGCCGGTGTCTGGTATGTCTCGAGTAACATCGGTGCCATGTTTGGTGGTTACATGCAGGCTGCTGCTCACGCTGGTCTGGATGGAAAGGGAGGCATGGCAGGATGGTATGTTAAAAGGTCCCAATCCTCGCATAGGTAAAATTCGCTAATGGTATTTCCCAGGCGTTGGGTGTTTATTATTGATGGTATTATCTCCTTGCCTATCGCCATTGCTGGCTTCTTCTTTTATCCAGGCGTTCCTACCAGTAACCCACGTGTCTGGTGGTTGAGCGAAGAAGACCAAAAGCTGGCTCAGGCCCGCATGCAAGATGATGGTATGAGGAAGAGTAAGAAGATTGGCAAGCAGATGCTTAAGCGCGTCTTCCGCAACTGGCACTTTTATATCGCTGTCAGCACTTACGTCTGGTAAGTTTCCTTATGAGTCATGAGTCAGCATAGACTTAAACATAACTAACATCTATAGTTTCCAACTGACGACCTGGGTTGCCGGTCAAATGATCGTCTGGGTAAAGTCTACTGGCCAATACTCCGTTGAGATGATCAATATCGTGCCAACTGGAGTCCAAGCCCTCGCTATTGTGGTCGGTATAGTAGTTCCGTCGTTTGTTATGTTAGTTTCCAGAATTTGGCACTTGTCTATTTACTCAAAGCTAATAGTACTGTCTAGGGTCTATCCGATTTGGGTACCGTTCTGTTTCGCAGGAACTGTCCTTCTTTTCTGCCATTCGACTCTTCTAGTCTGGAACATTCCTCTCGGCTTGCATTTTGCCGCATACTTCCTCCTTGGAATGAGCTCCTGCATTACCCCTATGCTCTTCCCATGGGTGCATTTAATCATGAAGGACGATAACGAAGCAAGAAGTTTCACCACTGGTGCCATGGTAAGCGGAAACATATCCAACCTTTACCTTAACCCCGAGTTAACATGAATCTCTAGATGACTGTTGGCTGGGCTTTCTTCACTTGGTATAATGTAGTCGCGTTCCCTATCACTGAAGGTCCTCGGTGGACCAAGGGTTTCTCGGCAAATGTTGCTCTCACCTGCTGCTATTTAACTCTCTTTATGATTGGGCAATTCCTTTGGAGACGCGATATCAAAGCTGGTCTGTACAAGAGAGCTATTGAAGAAGAGGAGAACGAAGAAGCAGCCCACGAGAAACTCGGGCCAAATGTTGTTGACGACAAGGATAGTGATCATCATATTGGACAGACTCATATCGAGGATAAGAATGTGGAGGACAACAGAATCGAGGAGATTAAGTAGCTTTAGTCAAAGATCTTATTTCATCGATAACAGTTAGAGGAATACTATCATGTGAGCGGGTTCTATACTCCATCGTGGTGAAATCTCAGAATTACCCCCGCTTTTACCATTATTCTCAACCATATTTTTATTAACTCAGTTACAAAATGCAGGATACAGGACAGAGAAGAACCCATCGCGCTTGCGCTCCTTGTCGGTATGTTGTAATTTGGCATCAAACGGTCATGACAAACTAAATCTATAGACGTAAGAAGGTTAAATGCCCTGGAGAACATCCAGTGTGTTCGTTCTGTCAGCGCCTGGGGCAACCTTGCGAGTACAAGCCCGTCGAGCCTTTTTCTACCCAAGAAATTCAGGGCCAGATTTCAGGTATAGTAAGTATGTAGATATGCCTGAGTGGAACTAGGCCCTAAGCTACTTTCATACAAGTGCCCCTGACAACATTAAAGCCGTTAGACTACATTTGTTCACAGTGTGTGCACAGCATGACCGAATTGATGCGCTAGAAGCTAAAATGGATCAAATCCTACAAACGCTCAGGTAAGCGAGTTCCGTTATACTGAGGAAAGAGGTTTAGGATAACTCTCGTAACAGTCACCTCAATCCACCCGCCCCATCCACTGAGCTTCCCTCCGAATCACCAGTAGGTGCTTCGGGTCAGAATACCTTACAAACACAAGACGACACACCAGCAAATGAGGGACGCGTCTCTGAACTGTAAGTTTACATCGAAAAAGACCTTGATGGTGATATTACTGGGCTTATCATATGGCATAGGTCGATCTCGGAAGATCAGGAACTACTCAGAGTAGGTGAGCTCTACCAGGCGTGGTGTCATAATCAGCCTATGTACCTTTTTCGCCAGGACAACTTCCTTGATACTCTTAAGCATCGCGATAAGGAGCTTCAACTCGCCGTCAAAATTCTCACTTATCGGTTTCGTCCTGGACAGATTATCCTTGACAAACAAGAGGCTTTGAATGGATTGTCTGCGTCATGTCGGAAGTTGGTAACAGAGCGTATTTCCAAAGGCAAGATAAGGCTATCCACGCTACAAACTCTCTGCCTCCTCAGCATGATCAGCTTCTCAGGTGCGTCAAAATTTCAGACCCCTCGGTCACGCTTAGCAAGACAACTCACAGATGGGATTCTAGAAGGGTACGTTATGCAGGCTGGACTTGACCTCGATATGGCGCATTACTTTGCCAGTGGCCTACCTCTTGGTTCAAGTTTAGGGGATTCTTGTGAATACTCTCTATGCATTCAAAATATCTCACTATTGCAGAGATTACAAGGATCTATTCCCGATATTGAAAACCCCGCCAATATACAAAATTTGTTCCAAAGTGCCAACCACCTTCTGGACCTGATCAACCACCGTGCCGAAAAGTTCACATTACCATGCCAGCCCATCGCTGACGCAGAATCGAATGATACTCGAGGTATTCTAGCTTACATGTTTCAAGCTGCCAAGGTCTTGCATTTGGCAAGAGCATATGCGGCGATGAGAGTTGGTTCAGACAGCCCTCCGCCTTGGAGCATGCAATCTGATTATGCACTCGTCAATCTGCGCAACCTGGAGCTTAACTTCCAGTTTCCTCTTCTGTACCGCTTTGCCACTAACCACTTTGGCGAACTTCCTTTTGAGGTGCTACAGCAGCGCAGACATTATTAGGAATATCATTAGGCTAAAAAGAATATAACGTGTTTGATAAGCCAGTGGGTTAAAAATCTAAACCCGCTTTATTATCTAGATAATAAAATTACTATTATATATCTAATCAATTAAAACTATTTACTATACTTATCTCTAGAGGTTTAAATATCCTTCTAGTAATAGCTTAATATTATATTTATTTCTTTAAAATTTTAAACTTAAGCTCTTAATAAAATAACCTCATATATAATTACTAATATTGCCTTTATATTTATGTTAATAGCCTTAATTATTAACTCTAGGGAGCTATTTTTATATAGTATAACTTATCTAATAAAGTATTTAAATTATAATTAAGCTTCTTTTACTCTGTTTAAGGTCTTTAAAGTCTATAAGGATAAAGCTTTAAACCCTTCCTTAGGAGGCATTAGGGTTTATAGCTATATATTAAGTGTAAATATAATAGTTTCTAGGTTATAAGGATAAAACCTAGCTCCTCTAAATGCCCTATAGATATTACTTTCTATAAAAGTAACTTAAAAAGTAGTATAAAAGGCCAGGAAGAACTTAGTCTTAGAGATATAAGTAATAAAATATCTAATTAAATACTCCATTCTTAACTATAAGTATTCTTTAATACTAAGAAATACTTAATATTAAGAGGCTAAAGTAAATAAGATATATAAGTAAGTATATAAAGTATAATAATTATAATAGTTATAATTCCTAAGGGATAAACTAGTCTATACTAGGTTTATATTAGCAGATAAATAAGGCATTATAGTATAAAGTATAGTAAAGTATTATATTTCTTAATAATAAAGAGAGTAAATAAGGTATATTTAGGTAAAAATATTTTATTAATAGCTAGTAAGCTAAATTCTATTTAGTGCGAAGTAAATAAATATATATATACCTAAGGGATCCTTAGGGGATTACTTAGATTTAAGGACTATAGTAATTCTAGATTATAGGTATTCTTAGAGTATAGTAATCCTATATTAGTATAATCTACTTATAATTAGTTTAGTAAACTCAGGAAGCGAATTCACTATTAAGTAGGTTATATTATATAATTTATCTAAGGCATATATAATATAACCGCTAAGGTTATAATATCAACAGTAAGTTATAAGAGGAAAAAGCTATTATATATAAAAGCTTTTCTTATTGCTTTTTTACTATAGAGTTTAATTATTATTATATTAATTATTATATTAGAAATATTAATTTTTATAAGAAATATAACCTTAATAAATTAGGGTTTTAATTTATATAAGTTCTTTAGTTTTAAATCTATATGAAAAATTTAAAAAGACTTAGTCTTAATATAAAGTATTAGTTTTTATCTGTTTAATATAGACAGTGCAATCAGTAAAGCATTAACGCTTTAGGAGACCTTAATGGGACTTGCGGACTATCGCTCCCAGATCTATTAACTAAACAGGCAAGGAACCATCATTAGCAATAGCAAGATGAGGGCGTAAATAAACTTCTTAAAATGTTCGAGAAAAGCCTTTATATCTTAACATAGGTATTCTTATTGATCCTTTTTTATCGGTCTTAACGATAAAGTTAGCACTTGTCCTAAATACTAATTATAATCTTAGCCAATATATATTAAGATAAGATCGATAAACTTTATACCGATAATAAGCTATTTAATTATAATCCCTAAAATCTAGGTGCTTAATATAATAAGTCTTTAACCATATACTTAAATGCTACTTTATATAAGAATGGATAATATAGCCTAACTGCTTAAGCCAAGCATATAAAAAAGATTATAAGATTCTGGCTAAGAATAAATATTATCGCTCGGCTAGACGGCTTAATTAATAATGACCATAGTTATGGCCCGCTCCCATATATTACGGATCCGTCGTCTGATCTTCTCAATTACGCCTCTCAACCCAGGACATCCCCAGACGGCCACGCCCTCCCGGATTTGGGACAGCTAACGAACCCGCATCGTCATGATTATCGGACCGCGCCTGGCAAATGTTGGCAAGGGGTTGCGCTGATCTCGAAGACCCTTCCACCGATCTCGAGTGAGACAGTCTCCTATGGCTGCAAGCCACGGACTCCAGGGCGAGGAGCCAAGTTATTCGCGCCGTCCATTGTTGTAAGTACCTTGCGTGCGTCTAGGAGATGGCGGCCAAGAGTGTCCAGGTTCTCGGGGTGATTTTCATGACTCAAGAGAACAGTATCAATTGGCGGCAGATCCTGGAGGCGAAGGGCCGGGCCATCGCTGGTTTCGCATTGCTTTAGGACTACGATGCCAACATCCCACTCAGTCTCTGGGGGAGAGAAGTAAGGATCCGTTAGAAAGTTGATGCCATCGATTTCTAGCATGGCAGTGGCAGTGCCGATGTCAGTGATGTTAATCTTGCTGTTAAAGCCTGACGGGGCCATGATTTCGGAATTAGAAGAGACGGGGTGGCTTAATGTGGCAAACGCGGGCGTGGATAGGGAGGGTATAAGAACAAGGGCAGATCGAACAATGAATGTTGCTGACTAGCCTTATGGAATGTCTCTGATGTAGGAGTCAGAAGCATTTAAATATGTTGACTATCAACCCATCCCACTCGATGATTATCACAAAGCCATCCAGTAATTGATGCAGCCGACAAGCTAGATGCTGGTGTCTTGGCGGAAATTCTATCTGTATAAGAAAACGCCTTATGAACAAGTCGATTTATATGCATAAGCTTCTGGTACAGTGGCGTCGCACTTGGATTGGGATTTATAATAGCTGAAAATGTTTCTGCTATGATACTTGTATACTGAGGTGCAGTGCAAGTAACCTGATACCATGGTAGTGAATTATGTGCTCCTATACCTCTGCAAGAGACTCCTTTGCAGTATATCATTGGTCAGTTTCCACAGTTCCACGCTACGCTCCCCGTCCATCTTGAACGTCTGACAAGCCGTGGTGAGGGGGAAGGGAATTGAGAGTGGCCCAAAGAGTGCCAGGCGATCCTGGAGCAGAAAATTGGCGCTCTGAACAATTCTCACAGAAAGCTCAATATAAGTATCTCTGAGCCAATGCCCTAATTCCCATCCTGCTGGGACTGGCCAGTCACAAGGTACATCGGGAAACCTGGTCTGGAGCCTTTGGATCTCAGTCAGGCAAACTACCTTGAACGCCCACAGATGCATGGCCAAATTGGCAGCGGATACACTGGGAAACCATATGTTGTAGCCTCCCCAGGCCCAGGAGCTGTTTGATGGCGTCCGCCAGCAGAACAAGCACGTAGATGGATCTGCATCTAAAGGTTCGCCCCAGCCTTGTAGATTGTCATAACTTGTCGTGAGCGAGGCGATTGCCTGTGCAGCGATGAACGAAGACACACTGGGAGTGCTATGCTCGATGGTGTCGATAAGTTCGAGAATTGTGGGAATACCAGAAGCCTCACTAAGCAGGAGCTCCATTGTTGTTGCCTGTTGGGACTTGAATGGCAGTCTTTTCCAGTTTTCAGTCGATAGAAAGGAAGCTTTGCGGGACATAAAATCTTTTAGAACCTACCCAGTTAATGAGCGAAGAGGCCTACAAGTATCTAAATATTGACGCAAAGAACTTACAAGCAGGGGTCTGAATCCAGTGAAGAGTTTATGACGGGCTCCAAGGCTAAAGGACTCCGGACCCCAAAGCCTCATCCACTCACCAACGCCATCCACGTGGCGCCACCAGCTGGTACCTGAACTTGGCAGTATCGCCTGCACGAAACAAAGCTTATTAGTCAACCATTCGTTATCAATAAAAGTATGGATATTTAGACCTACCTCGGTCAACGTCAGGCACATGATGGCCGCGGCGACTTCGTCACGGGACAAGATCTCTTTGCGGGGCTGATTAATTTCCCGCTTCAACAAACGCATAGCAGAACCATATTTCTCAAGCGAAACAGTGTAGCCTGAGTACGTATTTTGCCGCAGACTAGATATAGATGCCGCAAGGCAGCTTATGGCGGATGGAAGGGCCTGCCCTTGCCCACCAATGCTTATCATGGGAAGAACTTCAACCCAACCGCCACAGATGCGGGGCTGAGTTTGTGTATGTTGGGAAAAGGTAAGTACCTCAGATTCTGGCATGAAACTTTGCATAATAAGTAGAAGCATGTCTTGTACCGGATTACTCGGTGTTTTGGGGAGTAGTAATTCAAGCGCAAGAGGCACATTTGATTGCGACCGTGGACAGAGGGATATACCACTCGATGAATTTGTTTTGGGTTCCGATTGCTTGGTAGTATCTTTTGAGCCCTGTATTATTGGTTCGGTAATAAATATGAAGTCTAAAGGATAAGAGCATTCGCGGCCAGTATGGATGCATTGCGAGCAAGCTGGCTTCTGCCCATCGCACTGTGTATGAGTCAGTTGACAGGGACAGAAAATGACGTATAGACAAGGAAACGTTACCCCTATCTTTCGTAACCTGCAGGTCTGGCATATTGTCCTATTTCGTGTCTTCATTATGATGCAGGGTTATAGTAGAATACAGTACCTACAATGCTCCCAAGATGTGCAGAAATGAAGTTGCGTTGCTTATGAAAGCAGGGTCTAAAAGCTCAGGCTTGGCGGGAATATATACTTAGAGTAGTTAGTCCACTGAACTGAAAATGACGAAGTGCGGGTCTAATTTATGTTAGATTGGTGTTAGATTGGTGGATGTGGATGGGTTCCACCTTCGTTTACCGCAATATTATTCTTGTATCCGGAAAAGGAGGGGGAATTGAACCAACCTTCCTGACAGACTGATCAAAGAATCAAGTCGACAATCTAAGTGGAGGCCGAACCTGGCAGCATTGCGAGTAGCGATCAAGTTTGCGATAAACACAGGCCGCTTGGATGCTACACAAACATGAAAAACAGACTAACAAATCAAACACGATAATAAGAACTAACACAACACAGCCTCTGGTAGACAGACCAGGCTTTAGCTGCTAAAGATGGGACGCTGGACGCCTGGAGAAGCTGGCCTTCAAACAGGACTGGCGCAGGGATAAGCGAGGCTGCGGAAAGTGGCAATGGCAAGGTGTAAGGACTGGTGAGGTTGAGGGCGTAAGGGGTAGAATGAGGGGAAAACAATGTAGCGAGATATGACGTTGTGAGCCCTATGAGGCGTATCCCTCCGGGCGGAATAAACTCATTCATTCATTCATTCTCTTTGCGTAGAGATACCTGATCAGTCGTTCTGCGGCTTGCTGATGGTGGTCTGATGGGTTGAAAAGGAACTCTGCTAGCTTGGCTGCTGGATGACATATATCTGTCAAATATTGGGGTGAATTGTGTATTATTCATCTTTTTTGTGTGTGTGATCTCTGTCCCCCGCTTGCTACTTGAGGTTTAAAGAAAGCTCTATGTATCTTTTCTGTGCTATGCGGAATCAGCTAGAAGCTGCTAGCTAAGCCTGTGGCAATAGGTGGCAACTGTCATCTTTAATGACTATATTTATCAGCCTTTCAAGCTACTTCCATGAGCTTCCTTTTGACACCATTCAACAATATCAGGTCGGGTCATGACTGCGGCGTAGTTGATGGGGCCGATCTTCTGTTGGTAGAGGCGAACCTGATCCCTTGTGGCTGTCTGGGGATTTGGCTGGAACCTTCCGGTTAGAAAAGGGCTTCCTTTGAAGTGATCCGTTTGATCGAGATTGAACCTTATTGCAATAGCTTCGGCGTATGAGTCCTGGAAGAGCCACAGCTTCCTATTAGGTCTATCCCGCAGGAGTCGGATCTCTAGGAACCACTGCAGGTGTTCAAAGCCCTTCGTTTGGTACCGGCTTTTCAAGCTGTTGATCATTTGGTCTGCAGCTAGTTGATCCTTCTTTCGGTATAGCAAGACAATGTCATCCACAAAGAAGAAGACTATGATCCAGTTGTTTCTGCAGATACATGGATCTTCCGTACATAGGGTCAATCCAAGCTGTTTGAATGTTCCTGTAAGGTCTTGCTTCCAGAGGAGGGATGACCGTCGTAACCCATATACAGCTTTGATGCGCTTCAATATCCATCCGTGACGTTCATAGCCGTCAGGGAATTTGATATAAATATCCTCATCGAGGTAGCTGTTTGTAAAGGCGTTGATCGCGTCAAGCTGCCTATTCTCAAGGTCAAATTTGGCGGTGATGGCCATCAGGACCCGGAAAGACCTTCCGGCTAATGTTGCTGCATAGTTTTCCTTGTGGCTGTATGGCTGAAGGTCACTCCTAACGCATAGTCGGGCCTTAGACTTCTGGAGGAAGCAGTGCTTGCCAAACTTGTATTTAAAGACCCAAGTCACCGGCAGGGTTCATTGAGTGGCTTGGTCTCGCGTAAAAGGCTTGAAGGTCCCATGATCCCACAGACTATTCATCTGGGTCTCTGTGGCCTGCTTGAATTATGGTCCAAAGGGATGATTTTTTAGTCCCTTAAAGGTCTTAGGCTCCGGCGGAAGTGATCATCTGTAGAGCCTTTCTTCCCTTCCAAAGGAGAAGCTACTGCTATAGCTTATGTAGGGATACATGACGTTCTCTGCGGCCTTTGCTGAAGGGCGCTTTTCTCGTTTAGATCTTCTAGTTGGTTCCTGGCTTATTTGTTGATAATTACTAGAGCTTGTGGCTCGAGGAGTTGGATAGGGTATATCTTTGAAACCCTAACTTGGTCTTTGATCTCATCAGGGTCTTGTTCTTCGGTAACTTCAATTGTTGATTAGATCCCTTCGTCATCTGTTTCTTCCGGTCTAAGACCTTCCGGTTGAATAGATCTTGTTCCATCGAATTCCTCGTCTTCAGAGTCGGTTTCAATGTGGTCGGTAAGTTGAACCTGCTGTGGCCTTATTGCAATAGAAATTGCACCCGGATGATCTTTTGGGTCATAGGATATCCGTTCATTGAAGGCTACCACCCCGAGTCTTCGGACTTGTGATTTCTCTGGTATCCAGATCCTGAAGATATTGCTAGAATCGTATCCAACCAGGTGTCCAGCCTCTGCGTGAGCTGCTGTCTTCAGGGCTCGTTTTTGGGTGCCTTCCTGAGCTTCAATGGCCAAAGAATAGGCCCTGCAGCCGTACGCCTTGAGATGCGTTACATCAGGCTGTTGATTGATATGGCCTGTGTCCCTGTTGTTGTCTTTCAACCAGTTGTGGAGCTGTTGAAATAAGGTCTTCCGGTCCCCTGACTGCTGAGGTGATCTGTTGTGCAGATAGACGGCTGTTTTCCAAGATTCTGGCCAAAGGCCTTCTAGGAGGTTAGCCCCTAGGGTCATCGCTCTAGCTTTGGCTTCTATTAACCCCCAGATCGCTCAGCAGACTTGTTTTGAGCCGCTGTTCCAGGGGCTGTTGGTTCATCTTATATCCCTTTGTCTTTGACCCAGTCTGAGTAGTTGATTCTTAGAACCCTGTCGTTGTCCCTACAGATCTTGCAGATGCGAAGGCTGTAATGTCGTTGGATCCGGGTTTCGAAGGTCTCTAGTGCCTCTAGGATGGTATCCTGTCTTAAATCAACTAATGGGTAGAATTCGATGATGCCCGTGAATTCGTCCTCGACGATAAGGGCTGTTTGATATCCGTTGAAGCTTGGGCTCAAGCTGAATAGGTCTAAATGCACTCTCCAAAATGGTCTTGAGGCCCTCGTCTGTGGGTTTCGTCTAGAGACTTATCTCTCTGCCTTCCGCATTGAACAAGCTTTTCAGTCGATACGGATAGGTCCCTTGATCCAGGCTCCCTTGGTTTGTTCAACAAGGTGCTCTCGAGCAGCCGGGTTTAAATGACCTAGCCCTTGATGCCATAGGTCTGCCTCGGCTGTCTGTGTGGGCCTCGGGGTAGAAGAGGAGGAAAATGCTGTTGCGGCTGTTTCGACAGGTTGAAGAGCTGGTTGTATGGCTGGTTGGACCCTCTTTAGTTCAACGTCGTTGAATTCGATGATCTGTTGACGATGGATTCGTCTTGTATAGAAGAGGGTTGTTGTTCTCTTGAATACAAAGCCAGTAGTTGGGTTCCAATTGTATCCCTTCTCAAGCATGAGATCTAGGGTGACTAGACTGGTATGGAACTCCGGGATATAGGCTACATTGTTCAGTTAGAATAGCCCGTCTTGAAGACGTAGATAGACCTGACCGTAGCCTAGTATCTGTAGGAGGGTTCCTCCTGCAAAGATCGTTTCTGGCTGTTCAGAAGTTCGACAGTTTGAGATCCTTGATAAGCTCCCAGATGTTGTAGGCTGTTGCGAACTGCTGGATGATGTTGATCCATAGCTTCCAATTACCGGGCCCTTGGAGGATGACCCGGGAAGAGTCCAAGCTGTTCTGATCCATCGTGTTGGTGGCAGCGGAAGGTATCAGATTGACTTAGCTAGCTTACTTTGATAGCTGGGAAAAGAGGTTTTCAAAGAGGGTCAAATGATGGCTAACTGAGCCGGCAAACCGGACTCATAACTGTCACAATTGACGAGGGATTTTAACTATGCGTTAAAGCTCTTGATTTCTAATGGAGTGACTGAAGTTTATTTTATACCTCCTTGGATCGGATTGTATTCGTCAGCTATTACGAAGTTTTCCTCACGAACTGTTTCATCCAAGTTTTGATCCTTCTTTGTCATACAGTGGGATGAAATAAGCTTGAATACTAGGTGTATAACGTACATGATAAGTAAGTGGATCAAACAATTGAGTGGATCAGTATACTGTGTAACGAAAAAAAGCCTACCCTATAAACCGTTAAAATCTTATATAAAATAGTTAAAATTCTAAAGAAAATAATTTTAGTAATAGTATAGCTAGTATTTTTTTATAAAAAAATTAGAATTTTAGAAAAACTATCTAGCTAGATAATACTATATATACAGTGTAAAATGATTTTTTTTTATAGCTATATAATGTTTTTTTTTTTTTTAAAAAAAAAACATAAAAAAATCTAAGATATAAAGTGTAGCTTGCATACTACTGTACAGCCCGTGTGTCAGAGCGGCCTTAGTGAGACGATGTGCCAGATAGGACCCGGAATCTGGTACGTAATTCATCCCGTGTCGTTATACGGGTTAAAGTATGCACATCTATTTCATCTGTCTCAGCGCCGCTTAGTTAATATCTTGCTCGCACGAACAACTCAGGCTTGCATGTGTTGTTGACATTTGACTCTTTTCAGTCAGGCAGCCTAAAAGTCTTGGCGGGTTATACATCCCCATCAGGTAAAGATGAAGAGAGTTTATACGGCGCTGGCCTCCAGATTTGTCAGCCGACCGAGATCCGAAACTATAATCCTGGCATACTTCGGGCTTAAAACCATAAGAGAGTAGGACTGACCGCTTTCTGTCTAACGTACCACCAGACCAAAAGTACAGCGGCCCGATGGTAAGGTAACAGGCCCTATAGTGAGCATAGGTCAGGTCCGTTCAACACCTTCATAATACATGGCAAGGTTCTTAATCTTACCCTGCATGGGGTCGCTTGAACTCATAAGATCTTCCTGAATCAATACGATAATTAAATAATAGACATGATATGATTTGGTGGCTATAGTCTAACATTCAGGCTAGTAAAGCCTCATGTACCAACAAGTTAAGCAATCGTCTTCTCTCGAGCAATCTCACGAATAATCTTTTTGACTTCCTCATCACTCAAGGTCTTGACGCCCAACAGATCGTTATCCGTCTTCTCGAGCCTATTAATGTAGCCCGGAGTAGAGATCGAGAAACGGATGATGTCACCAATGACCTGCATATCCGCCTGACCAGCTTGCAGCTTAGCCATTGCCTTGTTGAATGCATCCTCAGTATTAACATCCTCTGATTTCCAATCTTCCTCGCCCAACGCCTGCTTGGAAAGTTCGGTCAGATCCTTCTGCGTCTTCTGTGTGCTGCAAATGTAACAAATACGATTCTTCGTGTTCTCGGCCTTGATGAGAGCATTTGCGACAGCAGTTCCCACTGATTTAAGTGTCGTCATGGGGATGACGGTGGTACCCGGCTTGAGATACTTAATGTTTTTGTTCTGAAGGTCGACGCCGAAAAATGACATACGCAGACCCCAATCCAGGAAAGCGTGGTTGGAAATGACCGTCCAGGTGATCTTGCCAGTGTCCGCAAGCTTCTGGACATACTCCAGGGCCTTAGCCTTGCCTTGAAAAGGCGGTAGGCTTCGCCCTTTACAATTTGTTGGGTCGGAGCTGAATTCGGACGGGACAATCCGGTAGACGCCGGCTGAAACGGCCGCATCCATTAAGCGGATAGCCAAGCTAGGATCAGGCACAGACGTGGCGTCAACCAGTGCATCCTGGCCCTTTAGGGCGGACGCCAAGTCTGAAGCTGACTCGTAATCAACTACCTTGACTGCAGTTCCAGAGGGTACATTGTCAATGACCTTTCGAGTGAGAATGGTCACGTTAAAACGACCAGCTTTCACCACAGCTTGCAAAATGTGCGAGCCCAGACTGCCAGACGCCTGTGGCAAGTTAGCTACTGATAAAAGGTAAACTAGAATAGGCCACTACTTACACCGGCAATAGCGACGTTCTTGATTTCGTGAGTCATTAGTAATAATTGGTTGAAGGAGTTCGTGATGTAGAAGTGATGCTGCTGTGGATGGTATCGGAATTCTACAAAATCTTGAATGACATGTTCTATCTTGTATAGAAATATCCGGCACCTTGATTACCGTATCAGGTTTCAGCTTAGAAGTTAACATGACAAATCAGGTCTCTGAAGCATGACTCAGGCTAGGTAAAAAGCCTATTTTGAAGTACTAAATTACGTTAAATACACCTTGTTTGTTTTCTACTCGGTATCTGCATTGTTAAGACATTCGCCTATAGATGGGATACCAAGACTGCACCTTAACGGTGTATAGAAAAATTCATGCGACGGGCTTGTGACGAGGCAGTTAATAGGGTTAGATTTAAGAGAATAATAGAAATACTATAATTTACCTAATTGATTAAAATCAATTACCTAGTTATTTTAACTGTACTTAATAACTTCTTTTTACGGATTCAGCTAATTTTTATATATTAACATCTATTGAATTAATAACTTATAAAACCTTCTTTATAATTAAAGGTTTTTCTTTTTATATTTCATTCTTTTTTTCTTTTTAATATTATCTTATTATTATATTCTATTCCTTAACTTATTAAAGCCTATTATTTACTAAGATTATCTTTTAAATAAGAATAATTATTATCTTTTTAAAATACTTAATAGCCCTAATAATTAACTTTAAGGAGTTACTTTTATAATTTCTAATTTATCCTTATAGATATTAAGAAGGGAATTAATATATAGGTATAATACTTTTACTATATAGGTATAAACTTTTTTAGGCATAACTTTTTATGCGCTTTAATTGGCTAAGCCTTATATTATTAATATACCTTAACCCTATTTATTTAATTAATTATCTCCCCTATAATTATTTATATATAGCTAATAGAGTAACTTTAATTCTAAGTTATTTTATTTACTAGAGCTGCCTTAAAAATATATTTAACTTAGCAGCTAATTTGTCTAGCTAAGCTAATAGTATAACTTTTACCTACCTCTTTTGATAGATTTACTACTGCTTTATTAGTATTATCCTACCACTTAAAATAACTAATAGACTTTTCCTATCAGTAATATACCTAGTATTAGTAATTTCTATAGGACTAGGGATGTTAATATATTAAATAATATTCTTACTATAGTCCCTAGTCAATTCTTAACTGTATTATTACTTTATTATCCTATACCTAAGTTATTATTTAAACTTTAGTTTAATTATATAATAAACCTTTATAATAACTTTCCTTATAGAACATATTAATAAAATATTTATTATATACTTATTTACCATTAAGACTGCTACTAAGATTACTGCTTATTATTGGGCTTTTTTTTATATTTGCTAAAATAATTATTATATAATTTATTCTCCTATATACTTATTAATCTATAGGGAAGCCTTTACTTATACTAAAAGCTTCCTATTAAACCTTATAGTATAACTAAACTACTAACTCTATTATAATAATTATTAAGCAATTAGGCTACTATAATTAAATAGAAGCCTCTTAATAATTATTTAACCTAGAATAGCCTAAACTCTTAAACTATAAGGGCAATTATATTAAGATCTATAACCTAGCCTCTATTACATTTTAACTATAATACCTCTATAATATAGCTAGTGTTATTCTATTCTAAAAAGTTAATATAACTTTAAATTGTAAAATCTTTTCTAGTAAAAACCTAAGATATTAATAATAAGGATAAATAATAAAATCTCTTTATTAGAATAAATCTATAATAATATAATTTTTCTTTTACCTTTATTTAATAGGATAATTAATTAAAATAATAAATAATTAATTATGTAAATTATTCTATATTTAATTATTATATATAATATATTAAATTAACCTTAACTATAGCTAAAATACTATAATGTTATATTATTAAATTATTTAATTATATTAATTAATAAGGCTATATTTATAAACTAATTATTAATGCCTTTGTATAATAGTTAGGTTTCTAAGGGATAAACTAGTCTATTCTAGGTTTATATTAGCAGATTTATAAGGCATATAATATTAAGCAGTTATTAAGTATTACATCTTTTAATAATAAATAAAGCAGGTTAAGTATATTTAAATAAAGATATTTAATTAATAGCTATTAAGCTAAATATATTAATTAATATTAAGTAGATATATATATACTTAATAGAGTTACTATGTACTGTTAAAACTACTTAGTAATTATAGATTCTTAGTAGTAATCTACCCTAGGCGGCTACTAAGTAAGTATAGGCCTATATAATAACTCTATCTAATAGGTAGAAAACATAGGGTATATATAATGCAGTTATAGGGATTATAACACTTTAAGTAAGAAGACCTTTAATAGGCTATATAGCCTAGTTATTTGCCTAAAGTATAATATAATAAATAAGAACTAGCTAATTATAGTAAAAATTAAAATAGTATTAATTATATTTAGCTATAGACTTTTAAATTTATATTCCTTTAAGATCTCTCTATATAATACTTAAGGTATTATAGAGAAAGAATACTTATTTAATATATATTATTACTAATTGAGGGAGAGTATTGCAGAGACTGTATTCCTTAAAAATTTAAGTTGTTTAATATAATATATTTAATAAGCAAGTATCCTAGATAAGTAAGTGTCTTAAAAATCCCTTACCCTATAATATCTTTATTTAATTAGATAATTCTTAACTAATAAATATATTATAATACTTAAATAAAGCTAGAATTCTCCTTACCCTTTAGGCTCTTTAAAATAATCTAGAATTAAGCACCTAATATACTATTACTATCTAGAAGGTTAATTACTATATTTTGCAATATTATTATAATAGCATTTAATTATATTATAAGTCTATCTTAAATTCTTAGAAACTATTTAATCTAGAAGAATAGACTATAAATTAATTAATTTTTAATTTATACTTATAAGGATCTCCCTTATAACAGCATTATATAGGAGAAATAGCTAATTCTCTGCTTATTAATTATAATATATTACCTAGTAATAAGTATTAGGTTTATAATTTTATTAAGTAATAACTAGAGCTAAAGATATATATCTTTTAGAGATATAAATATTAAAGAGGTAAATAAAAAGATTTAATTATTATTTATAGCTAATATTAGCTTATATAGAATATAATTATAAAGTATAATATTTAATTAGGTAATATCTAGAATTTTAATAAGACTGGCTTTATAATAAATATTATTTAGTCTAGAATAGTAGTTTTAAGTATAAAAAGGCTAGAAAGACTAAAATTAAAATAGCCTAGAAACTATAAATAAATTACTATAATTCTAGTTATTAATATTAAATATTAATTAATCTTATTATTTAGTATTAATTTAAGCTAATATTATCTTATAAACTAATACTAAGGATATAATCTCCCTAGTAATTAAGTTATTATAATAAGATAAAATAGATAAATAAATAATAAGCTAAGTTTTAAATAGCTAAAGCACTTTAATTAATTAATAGTTAAATAATTATAAAAGTTATTATTCTATTAATTTTAAAAGATATTATTAAGATTATAAGATTATTATACTTTATATGCCTATTTATATATCTTATTTACTCTAGTATTTAAATACTAAGTATTTATTAGTGCTAAAGAATACTTATAGTTAAGAAATAAAGTATTTAACTAAATACTTTATTACCTATATCTCTAAGACTAAGTTCTTTTTAACCTTTTATATTACTTTTTAAGTTACTTTTATAAAAAGTAATATCTATAAGGCATTTAGAGTAATTAGGCTTTATCCTATTAACCTAGAAACTAATATCTATAAGCTTAATATATATCTATAGACTCTAATACCTCCCAGGGAGGTAAGTTAACTATCTAGCCTATAGGTTTTAAAGACCTTAAAGATAGTAAGAGAGGCTTAATTTTAATTTAAATATCTTATTAAATAGATTATATTATATATAAGTAACTCCCTAGAGTTCATAATTAAGGTTATTAAGTTAAATATAAAAGTAATATTAGTAATTATATATAAGATTATCTTATTAAGAGATTAAATTTAAAATCTTTAAGAAATAAATATAATCTTCAGTTATTATTAAAAAGTAAAAAGAATTAAACTATAGAAAGAAAATATAATAAGTATATAAGAAGTATTATAGTTAATTAATTTAATAGATATATATATATAGATAATAGTAAAATTATTAAGAAATAATAATTAATAAAGTTTAATTAAACTAGGTATTTAGTATAATAATATATACAGTAAGACTAGGTATAATATAAGAATATATTAAGAGGATATTTAGGCCTCTAGAGATAAGTATAGTAAATAGTTTTAATTAATTAAATAGACTATAGTAATCTTATTATCTAGATAATAAAGAGGGTTTAGATTTTTAAAATACTTACTTATCTAGGATACTTGCTTATTAAACACATTAGTTAATAGAGGTAATATATTATAACCCTAGCGGTTATATCACATATACCCTATAAATTTCATATAACTTAACCCACTTAATCGTAAACTCGCTTCCTGAGCTTACTAAATTAATTATAAGTAGATTACGCTTATATAGGATTACTACGCTCTAAGAGTACCTATAATCTAGGATTACTATAATTCCTAGACCTAAGTAATCCCTTAAGGATCCCTTAAGTATATATATATTCACTTAGCATTAGTTAATACACTTAGCTTAATAGCTATTAATAAAATATCTTTACTTAAATATGCCTTACCTGCTCTATTTACTATTAAGAGATATAATACTTTGCTATACTTAGTATTATAATGCCCTATATATCTGCTAATATAAACCTAGTATAGACTAGTTTATCCCTTAGGAATTATAACTATTATATAATATTAAACTAATATATAAAATTTTATCTATATTATAACTATATTATATTTAGAATTACCTTATGGTCTTGTAATTTCCTCTCTTTTAGGTAAATATACTATACTATTTCTAACTAAGCTTCTTCTTAGTTAAATAACTTAGCTTTTACTAATTTAAGCTTCTTTTAACTTAAACCAGCTGCTAACTACCTTATATAAAGTAGCTCTGGTTTAATAGGTAAGGATACTTATTATAATATATATAATATTTAATTATACCTAGTAAATATAATAAGTAGTCCTATAAAGCTAGCTATTAAGGCTTAAGTAAGGAAACTCTATTAAAGTTAAAATTATAATAAAAAACGTTATATATATATAAAAGAGTTTAGTATAAAGTTTAATAAAACTAAGTAAAGGCTTTTTTATATAATAGTTAATAGAATAAAGTTAAATATCCCTCTTTATATATATATATTATAATTATAGTAATCTTAATAGTATTTTCAGTAGGGATTAGTTTTAATAATATTAAGCTATTATATAATTATTATTTAATATTAATATAATATAAGTTAAATAATATCTATTAGTATATAATAATTATAATTCCTAAGGAATAAACTAGTTTATTCTAAGTTTATTATTATAATCCCTGCAACTATATTATATATCTCCTATAATTCTTACTAATTAATAAAAAGCTTACTCCTATTATTATAAGACTTTACCTTATATATAGCTTACCTTATAGTTTACTTAATATATTATAAGCCTTCCCTAGAGGCTTATTTTTAAGTAATATACCTTTAAAATATATATTTATTCCTTAGTATTAATTAAAACCTAGCTTATTAGCTATTAATAAAATATTCTTACTAAACTATCCCTTACCTACTCTATTTACTATTAAGAGATATAATACTTTATAGCGCTTAGTATTATAATGCCCTATATATCTATAAATATAACCCTAGTATAGACTAGTTTATCCCTTAGGAATTACAACTGTTATAAAAATAAGGATTATAAAAGTAAAAAAGTCAGAAAGTGGGGTAAGTATAACCTGGTTGTAACAAGGCAGTTCTGTACGATTCAAGTCCGGGCTTCTAGAACTAGCTATGTCTTTTGCAAAGGTCAACTTATCACATGCTGGTATTAAGCAAGGAGGGTTTCCCATAGGCAGTTGTTCAAAGGGGGAATTTACTTAGCCAGACTAGTCTATTCAGGAAGCAAAACCCGCCAAGACTCTGACTATGACCTTCCCATTTGCTGTTCACTCCGGTCGAATTTCCACCCAATATGGCGCTTTGAGTCGGTGTTAGCGCGTGTGCTATCTGTACACTAGGGCTGTTATGCGGTGCTCGGTAATTTAGCGTCTTGGCGGGTTTTGTAACCAGAATGGGTAAGTGAATTCGACAGGGAAGCAAAAATATATTCCGATCATATAAATGTGGGGTTCTAGCGGCAGCTCGGTGCAGCTCATACTGTTGATGAACTTTACTCATGCCTGCGCCTTCCACGCTCTAAGTCCGAGGGCGAGCCGAGATAGTTATAAGAGGCTTGCTATGTTTACTATATTCCTCATTATTTTGGAGCTGCCTGTGCTAGCCCGTGGCGCTGTGAAACTAATGCCTTCCTAGCTTTCTGAGTCCAGCTGTGTGGAATTCTTCTGAGTTGTTTTTAATTCCCATTTCCGAGAACGCTGGGAAAAAACGAGAAGCAAATCAAAATTACAATAGCTTAAAGCAGTATTTATTCACTGTATCTCACATCTTCTTTTCCTTCTCACGTCGGCCTTACTTAAGCTTTAGCGTATCGGATTCAGTTGTCTAGTTTACCTTACCCATTCTATGGAGGTTTAGGAGCATGGTCAAGGACCTTGCGGAAACTCACGCTGTGTTTCATTGTTTTCCGGTCGGCTTGGCACGGTAGGTTCCGAGGCTGTTCAGATCTTAATTCGCTTTGTGATAAGACCTTCCCCTGAAGTAACTCATACACCCAGTGATCACTATCCAAGGTTGCTAATGCCTCCGATCAGCGAAAATACTAAATAATGAAATAATGGCCTTAGATCTGCAGAAGATAAGAAAAGTTGCTGAAGCTGAACAAGGGTACATGGGCGAGTTTCCAAACATGGAGAGCCTAGAGTCTTTAATAACCCCAAGGGTCAAAGTATGGTTGGAAAGGCATGGCCGAGCCATTCAAACGGAGGCAAGACAAAGTAGGCACATTTTGTTCATACCGCTTATCCTTACAAAACAGCACATATACCCCTACTAATTGGCTTCTGGATATAATACAAGAAGTATCTACGTTATAATTAAAGTCTTTTCAGTGAGTTGTTCTATATTAAGTTAAAGTTGGAGCTGAAACGTAGCGAAGCATTAACAATAATATAGTTCTCGTATAGCTAACCTTGCAACAGCCCACGACTAGTCTTAAAGTAGACTAAAGTATGGCATTAGCGTCGCAACCGTTGGATATTTTAAACGTGGCGGTGACACTGATATGGCATACATTCCACAGGATTTAGTTGCGCGCATTACTTAAATGAACTTTTCGTCGTTCACTGGGTGAGCGATTACTATATCCACTAAATGTGTTAGTGGTGATTAGACTGGGATAGGTTATGCGCAACGTAAGTGCGAGGCTGAGTATTTATCTCTACCGAGACTAACCTGCGACACGCCGTAGCTCTGGCATTAATGGACGTAGAAGCGTAACCCTAGAAAAACATTTTATTAGTTCCTTAAATATTACTGCGTGCCACGCGCTTTCTGTAGAACACGTTCTCTGCACAGAGCAATCACGTCACTCTCTTTAAAATGAACAAGCTCTCTCTGAGCACCACTCTCTGGCTTCGACAGACCCAAGCATTGACAAAGAAGATTCTGCTCATCACGGTCGTTCGCCACTGGTTATCAACATTAATTCGCTGCCTCGTCATACCAATCCTCGTCCTCTCGCTGGTACTGGGAGTCCAGAACTTCACCTCCTCGAGCAACAAGTACGGCATTGGCAAGCCCACACCCGCTCCGATCCTTTCCGAAGTCACTCCCAATGGCGCGAAACTCTTCATTATCCAGCCCTCTGGTGCGGGAAGCGACGTCTCCGCTGTGATCGAAGACGTGGTCAAACCGCTTGGGAAAAAAGCCAAGGTAGAAATACTCAAGGACGAGCAGAAATTGATGGAGAAGTGCCCCACGGACGTTAATGGAAAAACAGACTGTTATGCCGCTGTCATCTTCAACGACTCTCCTCTGAGTGATGGCGGAAACAAACAGTGGAACTACACGATGCGGTGCGGTTCCTCCAACGTTGGACCCAGCTTCGACGTCTTCCAATCGGCCAAGGCGGCGACGAACCTCTATATCCCATTGCAACTCGTTATCGACCAAGCTATCACTAATTCGTCAGTAGTCCCTGACATGTACATGTTTACTCGCACTACCCAGGAACAGGCCAAGGCAGTGCACCGCCGTAAGTTTATCGATATGGTCTTAGGAGGGCTGAATCTCGTATGCTTTGCAAGCATGCTATCCCTTGTCTACCATGTTGTTGGCACTATAGCATCAGAGCGCGAGTCAGGCATGACGCAGCTGATTGATGTTATGGGCGGAGGTGCATTTTCTGCTCGAGTGCTGAGCTATGTCATCGCATTTGATATTATATACCTACCGTCCTGGATTATACTAGGAGGAAGTAAGAAAGGCGCTTTCTTATAATGTCTGGATTGTGCTAATTCTCGCAGTCTATTCTAGTCTGCTTCTTCCGACTTCTAGTGCCGGCATAACCATCCTCTGGCAAATCCTCACCGGATGGGCTCTGACTAGCGGCTGTGTCTTCGGCGCGACATTTGCCATCAGATACTCTACCATCCTCGCCGTTATTGCCGTGATCGGCATGGCTGCATTCGCACAGCTTCTCGACAGCCAAACAGAACCGATAAGCGCGAGCGTCGCCATGGCATTCACCATCATGTTTCCCAGCTGCAGCTACGTCTTTGTTCTGAACTCTATGGCTCGATACGAAAAGGCAGGAAAAGCGACCAACATCTACGTCATACCCCCATCCCCTGGCTTCGAGGTACAGAAAGCTACCATCGGGACGCTCTGGTTGTGCTTGTGCTTGAGCATCGTTGCTTTCCCCTTGGTCACCATTGCGATCGAACGATTTGTCCATGGGACCAGCCGCCGCGGGCGCCATTTCAAGACAGGCCCTAAAGCAGCCAACACTTCATTGGCCCTCCAAGTCATCGGGGTTACAAAGACATACAAAGCCAGTATATGGAAACGAATGTGCTGCTTCGGCAAGCGTCGTCCCGTCATTGCCGTTAATTCGATGACCTTTTCAAGCAGTAAGCAGCAGGTCCTCTGCCTGTTAGGTAGTAACGGCTCTGGAAAGACGACGACAATGGATCTCATCACCGGAAGACAGAACCTGACGAGCGGGTCAATCCAGATCAATGCTCCGGCGTCCAAGATTGGTAAACTCTTCTCCCATCCGAACTCCCTGCGGCCACTTCTGACTCTCGGCAACAGGCTTTTGTCCGCAACGAAACATACAATGGGACGAACTGACGGTTCTGGAGCATGTCAGAATATGGGATATGATCAAGGGAGGCAAGTCAACTCGAGCACAGTTGGAAAGGCTTGTCGAGTCGTGCGATCTTAATCTCAAGATGCACAACCGGGTTGGAACACTCAGTGGTGGACAGAAGCGCAAGGTTCAGTTGGCATGCATGCTTGCTGGCGGAAGCTCTGTCTGCCTCATGGACGAGGTTACAACAGGAATGGTAGGGTCCAGTCAACGCAACCTGGCTGCGCGACTAGTTACTGACCAATTATAGGACCCAGTGTCACGCCGAGCCATCTGGAACATCGTCCTGGCCGAGCGCTCGAAGCGATCCATTATCCTAACAACACACTTCCTTGACGAATGCGATGTCCTGGCCGATCAGGTTGTCCTCATCTCCCGCGGTCATGTTAAGTGCCAGGGCTCACCTGCAGAGCTGAAGAACTTGTACGGAGGGGGATACCGCGTTCACGTGCCACAGATTGACGGTATTCCCCAGACGCGATTCCCAGCAGTCATCCACCGAGGCGAAACGATTTTCAACACACCCGACTCGGTCTCTGCTACCAGGCTCCTCTCATCCTTGGAAGCGGCAGGGCTGTCCGATGCCGTGGTCTCGGGGCCGACAATTGAACATGTCTTTCTACAAGTCGCCAATGACACTGAGGAGTTGGAGAAGACGACTTCACTCAATTTGGAAGACGACTTGACACCCCTTACTGTGGTCGATCCAACGCCGAACGGAGAACTGTCCTCAGGCACCCGAACCACCTTCATTCAGCAGCTTCTAGCTCTGACAGTAAAACGCCTTACCATTTTTCGCAGCAACTTTTGGTGGTACATCGTAGCCATGACACTCCCTCTGGCTTTCTCACCAGGCGCCACTTCACTTCTAAAGGTTTCGGACGGCATCGACACATTCCCATTCGAGCTGCCTTTATGCGTCAGCTCTCAGCCATCCGTCTTTGATGAGCCATGGTCAGTTGACATCGCTGCATCGGGATACACCGACGAGGTCGGCTCAGGTGTCATGTCAATGCTTGTGGGCCCGCAATCGACACGTAAGAGTGTGTTTGACGTCATCGACAAGTTTCCCATCGGAAAGAGGTATAATTCCAACAACTTCGATTCAGATTTCACCTTTCAAAACGGCTTCAAAGCCTTCCAAAACCGCATGCGCGAACCGGTGAAATTTAGTCCAGGCGCCATCTACTTTGGTGATGACTTGGATAAGGCCACTATTGCCTACAATCCCGAGCTCGGCTATGACACACCCGTCTTGATGCAAAACCTGTATATCCAAGCCGCCAGCGGCGTTCCCATTACAGTGCAGCTGGCTTTCTTCAGCAACTCAACGCCCGTGAGTCTCAACTAGTCCGTCTTCCGACCAGTACTAACAGTACGTCTCTTAGGCTGACGCCGGCTCCGGCCTGATTTCTGCAATGGTGAGTCTTGTCTATACTTTCTCTGCCTCGAAGCTTTACTAATCGACATAGATACTTGCCTTCCTCCACTCTCTCTACCCTGCTTTCTTCGCCCTCTACCCGACCTACGAAAAGCTGCACAAGGTCCGAGCCCTTCAGTACTCCAACAACGTCCGCCCATACCCGCTGTGGGCCTCATACATGATCTTTGACATGATTTTCGTCACCATCATTGCTTCCTTGGGAACGCTCGCCCTTTCGGCTCATGTCGAGAACTGGTACTTTGCTGGCTACATGTTCCCAGTCATGTGGCTCTATGGAATTGCGAGCATGCTGTGGAGTTATATTATCTCTCTGTATGCCAAATCTGAGTTGGCGGCCTTTGGCTTGACGGTTTGTTCGATGGTTGGTGCCTTAACTATCACCATGATTGGTTTCTCAGTAAGTCCCGTCTGCTCAGTGACCTCTTCCTGAGACTCGTCAGCTAACTAGTCAGCTCGGCGCAACCAACCCAACTCCCAACAGCCCCACCCTTACTCTGGACGCAATATCCTTCTCTCTCGGCCTGTTGTTCCCCATCATGAATCTGTTCCGGGCCATGGCGGTTGGCCTTAACATCTGGCTCGTCAGCTGCCATAACTACAAGCTGCTTACTAACCCAGGGGACACCCATGCCTATGGCGGACCTATTATGCTGCTTGTTATCCAGATTATTTACTTATTCCCTCTTCTTGTCTGGCTGGATGGTAAAAAGTCTTTCTCTTGGCCGTGGCGTCGAACGAAGCAGGTCAATGCTGAAGAGTCTATCTCAAACAATCACCATGGTATTGAGATGGATAACATCGGGAACGAGGGATCCGTCTCGGATCTGCTTCGTGTAACGCAAGTGACCAAGTCATTCGGAGGCAAACTTGCGGTCCAGAAGGTATCGTTGACGATAGGTGAGAGCTCGGTTGTTGCGCTGCTCGGCCCCAATGGCGCTGGAAAGACGACGCTTACAAACATGATGCGTGGGGAGTTGGTTCCAGACAAGGGCAGAATTTATGTGCAGGGAGTTGAAGTGCAAGGGAATCTTCAAATGGCGAGGAAATCCATTGGCGGTCAGTTTCAATTATTTCTCGAGCACATTTTTCCACCAGTTACTAAACAGGATGGCACAGTTTGTCCACAATTCGACGCTCTCGATAAGATCACTGTTAGACAGCAACTGAATTTCTATGCCCGGATCAAGGGCATCAGCAACATAAAGCAGAACGTTGAGCTGGTCATGTCCAAGGTTAGCCTAACACCCTATGCCTCTCGCCTTACCCATGTCTTGTCGGGCGGCAATAAGAGGAAATTGAGCCTTGCGATTGCACTACTGGGTAAGCAGTACCTTGACTTCGGTCCTTCTGAATTTATTGTTGACAAGTACGCAGGCAACCCCAGAGTCCTGATCCTTGATGAGCCTAGCTCCGCAATGGACGCCTTTGCGAAACGAGAGATGTGGAAGATGCTCTCTTCAATCACCTCGGGGCGCTCCGTTTTACTGGTTGTAAGTCTGTTCCGCAGTCTGCTCAACTTATCGTTCACAGTACACATGCTAACTCTGTTGTCATTCAGACGCATTCTATGGAAGAAGCTGATGAGCTAGCGACCCAGGTAGCTATTATGTCTAAACGTATCCTGGCCATTGGCACATGTCAGCAACTCCGAAAGCAATACAGCAATGTATACGACGTCCATTTAGTGCTTAAAACAGCACCGGGCTCCTCACGTACAGAGATCCAAGAACTCGAGTCCTGGGTTCGCGATGTCTTTCCGCAAGCCTCTTTCGATGCCATCAATCTAGGTGGACAAGTTCGCTTTGTTATGCCAGTTGCATCAAGCTTACCCGATGATGGGAAGAGCACTGTCCTGAGATTAATGGAGATTTTGGAGCAACACCGGACGAGCCTTAGGCTTGCACACTACACGGTTGGGACGGGAACGCTAGAGATGGCATTTTTGAGGATTATAAAGAACTGTGATGTGCCAGAGAGTTAGAAGGCTAGAAGGAAGCGTTTTTAGTAACTTTGAGTTGATAGAGCTTTTTCACTATCTAAAATTCAGTGTATATTGGGACATAGGAAACATACTATTTGTCCTCCAACACGACGTCATATTAACTACTAATAGATCCAGTGGTTTGAATCGTAGTCGAGAAACTCGCAAAAATTTACATAAGAACTTGAATCTTCTTAAGCTAAGCACTCTTATCCTCCTTGTACCCATTAGATAACGGATATTTGTTAAGCATAGTCATAGGAGATTCAGCGCCTTAATATTCAACTGTCAAGTACTGCAGGAGCTTCCATATGGCATCTTAGGGGTATGCACACCACTGGGCAAAATAGCATCCCGGTAAGTCCGCAATAGCTTCCTGGTCAAGACCCTCAAACTCTCCATAACCAATGACTTCTCTGTCAGGCGCACCAACTCGGCAAGGGATCACACTATGTCTATGCCGACCGAAACCCTAATGTTAACGACATCAACTCTAATTGGGTGCAGTGGGTTACCATTTCTAGTTTTGCTCTAAAGACTTTAGATAAGAACTGCAGGAACTTCTTTATCATTCTGGGGTTGAAAAACATAGGCATACAACTTGACAACATAGCTCATATGCAGTACATTATCTTTCTCAAAGATCGTGTCGACTTCGAATGCTCTGTTAGCAGGTGTTCACTTATGACCCTTGAGCAACGCCTTGACTGATCGGTTGAGTTTCTATATCCGCGGAAGATAGGATTCCAAATGGGTGGAACAGTCTAATGCTTAACACAAGCTATATCTGACAACGTTTATTTTAGTTCCGTTCTATTGGGTCCGGCACAACTTGCCTGTACCTCAACAAGTAATCGAGAAACTCTGAGCTACCGGTACCACATAAGACCACACCGTTTAATAACAGAGGTCCCGAATATACATGACTTGCTATAAGGAACAACCATCATAGCACTTGGCAGTTGAAAGCCTGTAAAAACACGAAGCTCCAAGTAGAATGTCGGCAGAAGCGACGGCGATATCTCGCTGAAGACGAATCCTGTCAGCTTCCCCGCTCTGGCCACTCCGCGTCAAGCATTCGCAGAGCCCATACAATGCCCAAACATTATTGAGGCGGGCTTTCCGACGCAGAAGCTTCTTACTGAGCCCCAGATCTTGCTTGCATACTTTCTCGGTCTCTTTAATGCAACCTTGCTGAAATAACAAAGCGCCTAGTGCGTGACGGACGGGCTGGAGCCAGACAGGCGGATCTGCATGAGGGAGCATGTCCTCCAGCCTGACCCCCACACAGCAGAGCAAGTACTACCCTATGTCATCTAATTACTATTGGAACATCTATAAAGAACGACATGCCAAAGCTTGTAGGTTTGCATCTAACTGACAATCAAGACAAATTTAGTCAGTTGACATTGTGCAAATTTGTATTTGTTTCCCTAGGTACACCTTATCCTTTCAATTCAATAAAGATGCATATCCAAGATATCACTGTTTTTAGCTACAAAGCCAACTACCGATACGGTACATACTCCATTTCTAATGGCCGTTTAGCCAAGGGACAAAAGTCCATCGTCGCCAGGATCCGTTCCAATGACGGTTTCGAGGGCTGGGCCGAAACTGCACCTCTCGGCAGTGATTATTGCCAAGTTCATTTACAGGTGAGCTAGCAGCATTACAGGAGCTTGGCCCCCAAATCATAGGCCTGGACCCAAGGTCACCTGCAGTAGTCGCCGATGTTATGGATCGGGCCATGATGGGAGCTTATGCTGCAAAGGCTGTCATCGACATGGCCTGCTGGGATATTCTAGGAAAGTCTCTCGGGTTGTCGACCGCAATTCTGCTTGGCGGATGTCTTACTGAGAGACCCAGGGCTTTTTCCGTCATTGGCATCCTAGACATAGATGCCGCTGTCACTCAGGTCAAAGAGGAGCTTAAAAAGGGCGCGACAACAATGCAGCTCAAGGCTGGAGACGACCCCCTTGTTGATGCGCAGCGCGTTAAAGCCATTCGAGCTGCTCTACCCCGCAATGTCTTACTTTGGGTTGATGCCAATGGCGGCTGGACTTTGGACGAGGGTCTAACCTTTGCACGCGCTATCGGGCAAGACATTACTGTTGGATTCGAGCAGCCCTGGCGTACGCTATCTGACTGCGCGGAGCTCGGTCGTCGCACAGGCCTACCTGTTATTCTCGACGAGAGTATCGTCACCGTGGTAGATCTTTTTGAGGCGTATGTAGCAGGTATCACGGGTGTTAATATCAAGCCGTCACGAGTCAGTGGACTTACGAAAGTCCGACTGATTCGCGATGCGACTGTTGCGCTCGACATGTTCATCAACTGCGATGATACATGGGGTTCTGCTTTAACGACAGTTCAGAACGTTCTTTTGGCTACTACTACACTAAGTCATCGTTTGCGCGCTGTGGACTTGTTCGCTGAATGGACGGAACCGCTGATTGCTGATGTTCCCCGAATGGAATCAGATGGTCGTATTACTCCCAGCACTGAGCCTGGAAATGGTTACACAACCATCTTTACTGATATGCTCGGTGAGCCATTGTTCCAGATTACATCTTAGGATTAGTCAATTGAATCATTCACGACTCGCTAAATCATTGTGCTGATACTGTTTGCGTTTCTTGCCTACGTTGTGATGTAATTTCGAGATTAACATTCGATCTCCTGATTGTCAACAGATCGAAAAGAATGAACCTGTTCATTTAGTTCATAACTCAGAAAGATCCCTTTATGAAATAAATTATCGATAGCACTGGGAAAAGCTTGCTGAACTTTGGAAATCAGGCATTTCAATCAACATGTCTTATCCAGCTATAGAACAGTTGTTAATACCTCTTGCCCTTCGATGGAAGAAGCGTGCTACAGCATAGATGGAAAAATCTTAAATATTACAGAGTACATGGAAGATTCTCTAAAGCTGTTCGATTGGTAATTGTCACTTCATACTAGAATGAACAAGAGTCCGCCAGACTACTCCAACGACCCATTATCGTACATGTCCCCTCTCCTATCAATATCATAGCTTCTTTAGAAGAACAAACTAATTTTTAAACACAGATTCAAGGGATAAGATGTAAAACATAAACTTATATATTCAGTAAGTTACATGATCCACCATTGATAACTCCGCCAGGCCGCACTGTTATCATAGTTTAGCTGAGGGATGTTGGAGGTTTTCCTTTGCCCATTCATCAAGATTACCGTAAACATGTAACCATAGAGACGTGTGGTCGAGATCCTAGCACGAGGCAAGTCAGCTCCTGGAATTGGAATGTCATTGATTGAATGGAAGTTGCACTTACATGGGTTCGAGGATCAGCATCAACTTCTTTGAATGCCTTAACAGCAGCTTCACCTGCTGTAGGTGCAATTCCAACTTTTTTTGCAGCATTCATACCGATAGTAAGGTCCTTCACGCTGAGTGCTGGCGCGAATGCTCTCTTGTACTTGTTGCTAGAAGGTGCCTCAGGGACAAGACCAGGCACTGGCTGTTCAAGTCCCATTACTCAAGAGTTTGCAGTTCCCTCCCTGATGCACTTGAAGAGAGCTTTCTTGTCGATGCCGTATTTGAGTCCGATTGCCATCCCCTCAGTTGCTACCAAGTTGTTGGCGAGAGTAATATAGTTGTGTGCAATCTTGGCAACCTGACCCATACCAAGGCCGCCACAGAAAGCAATAGTGCTAGGTACACCAACAAGGGACAGAGTATCATAGATACGCTTACCAACCTTGCCATCTTCAGTTGGTTCGGCATGGCCGACCATGAAGGATAAAGTTCCAGCATTAGCGCCCCACATGCCACCTGATACGGTAGCTTCGACAAAGCTACCAAGGCCAGCGTCAATGATTGTCTTGCCGAGCTCCTGTGTGAACTCAATCTCAATAGTACTACAATCTATGATAAGTCGCTCAGGGTTCTTGGTAGCTGCAATGACGCCGTTCTCGGGGTCGAGATAGACCTTGCGAACATGCGGGCCTGCAGGAAGACTGGAAAGGACAACTCCAGCGCCAACTTTGTTTACAAGATCTTCTGGTGAGGAGGCGACTTCGATCTTGCCATAGCTGCCGAACTCATTGATAAGTCGTTGGATGATGATTTGGTCGAGGTCCAGAACGTGAAGAGTTGTGGTGGCAGGGATCTTCTTGCGTAGATTGCTGGCGATGCCGAAGCCAATGATGCCGAGGCCTTGATGAATTAATTCCTCATCCCGCCATGGCTAGTTTGAAGATGGAAAACATACCGATAACACCAAAATCTGTGGCCATTGTTGCAAAGTCCGATAATTGTCGAGACGGATGTTGTTCAAGAGACAGTAGTTAGCTAATCGGGTCAGAGATAAAGTAGTTTCTACAGAGAAGTTGAGTGATTCCGAGACAGGAGGTTTATTGTTATTTATCGTGCTCTTAGACATCAATTGCAGTGAATATGGCTCTTAGTCGGCCGTATGCATCACCCCGTCTTCACCCGCTCACGTGAACACCATCTTTATCACTTCCCTCTCAAATTCCTCTTCATTCTGCTTGCAGTTGTGCTGGTTCGTTCATCGACTTTGATGACTTGGCCTTTATGGTGGCGGGTACGGTCCGTGATGAGCAAGTGGAACTATATCGTTCTGGTGTAGGTTGTGGGGACGGGCCGTGCCAATCTTGTTCTTTGATTGGCACAAGATTTGGACAACGTTTCTTCCACAACCACTTTTTATCTTATGATTTTCCATCTATGGTTAATTTCTCAAACCATGTGCACCCAGATCAGAGACTAGTCTTCGATCGTTTATTTTCGGCTTCAAGTCTCCATCTTTTGCCAAACTTCCATTGAATAGCCAAGCTTATCATGGCAGCTGCCTGTACCGCAACACAAACAGTAAATGCGAACCCAACACCAATAGAGTTGATCATGGGCATGACAAAACTAGTTCCTCCTGCAGCGAACAGACATCTTGCAAGATTTAGACTGGCGCTGGCGGCGGCACTGCGGTCTCTGTACACGTCGACGAGGTATGTCATGACCACCGACTGCGTGGAAACAGCAGTCCAACCCGTGATAAATGTCGATACAATTGGTACGGCAATGTGAACTTTGTGGGGATATTGAATAGTCCATCCGAAGAGCAGGATCGAAGCACATTGGAGGAGGGAAAACAAGGGGACGAGGCGAAGGCGTGCTGTTTCGAGTGGGAAGTCTCCTTCTTGAGCTTTCTGTGCATCAGTGGCTTCAATGTCGCCCTCCACATTGCTTAGGGCTGATTGAGTCTCATATCTAGCCTTGACACGGCGAAAGTCCTTGTTGAGCATCTTCCCGGTGACCATTGTTCCTATCATAGAGCCCACACCATTTGCAATGAAGGTTAGACCGATCTTAGTCTCGCTGAGATCATATTTGTCCTCAAATAGACTAGACATTGCTGTAATACTCATTTGCCACACAGCGTAGTAGATTGCAAAAAAGACGATGATGGGAGCTGCCTGCTTGCTGATTAGAATGCGGAAAGGTCCTGTGATGTCGATGTGCTTCTTCGCAATGGGCACCGCAGGATGTCCATTGCGATTCCATTCTGTCGTGGTGGTCTTCCGATAGAGTCGTAGTGGATATTTAGCCATAACCTGCGTTGGTGTCCGACCCCCATTACCAACGATAGACCTCAGTGTCTCGGGCAAGAGCAGAGCCAAGCAAATCAGGAAGATGCCACTGTAGATGACCAGGAACCAAAAGATAGACCTCCAACCGAGAGGTCCGGCCAGAGCGCCGCCAATGATTGGTCCCACTGCCACAGGTACCAGTAGTCCTGCCTGGAAGATACCCATGAGCCCACCGCGGTTATCTCGTGTCGTGATATCTCCGATGACGCCTGAACCGATAGCGATTGTACCGGCACTTCCAGTGCTCTGGATACATCTCAGCACAACCATAGTTGCATAATTCTTAACCTCTGCTAAACCGATACATGCTCCCAAGAACACGATAAAGGTAAGAGAGTATGCCACTCTGCGGCCCTTGACATCTGATATAGAACCCCACAGACTGGGTGCTAATCCTTGGAAGATGAGGTAAGAAGTAACAGTCAGATTGATCAATTCAATCGAGACGTCGAGGTCATGAGCAATGGTCGGAAGGGCAGGAAAGTAGATGTTTGACGCAAACCCCGAGACTGTACCAGTGTCAACAAGAGATACTCAAACTAAGAAAGAGATGGCAGCTTACATGTCGCAGCGACTGAAACAAGCGTAACAATTAAGGCTATCTGGCGTTTGTCGAAAATACTATACGGCTCTTCAGAGGTGGATGACGAGGAGTCTACTGGAGGCTTAGGTGCCACTGGTAATTCGTCAGGTTTCGGGGTGGATAACATGGTTGGGTCTTGGTGGGCATTATTTGCCTGCGGGTTTTCGCTTGGTCCGACGTTCATTCTTTACCATAATGAGTGTAGAATTACTGTGATGTAAAGAAGAAATGATAAACAATTCGTTTCAATGGAGTACTATAGAAAATTGAAGGAATCTGAGCTCACTTTTAACCTTTTAGGTTGACATGTTCTAGCCAATGTGACATAGCGTTAAGGAACAGCGGAGTTCGGAGTTCAGCAAGCACATTCCTTAGTAGTGCGTCGCTCAACTCCGAGGTCCGGCGACTAATAACCAAGCTAAGGATCATCGTCTCATAACCCGTGGAATAATTCCATCATGAAGTCACTGGCTTGATTATTTTATTATTCTTTATTTCTTTAACAAGGTATTCTCTGCATCACCAATACCTACCTTTGTCTTCAATCCCAAGACGGTTTCGCAATCGAGTGCTCAAACTTTGAGTCTTGGGGACAACTATGCTGTCCTGAATCTCGACTGGATGGCTCTGCTCATAGGTGCCATTGAGAATACACCTCAAGGACAGTTATTCATCAAAAACTGCACTCGGTGGAATGATGCTGTCCACGCACATCAACCTCAACCAACCACTATCTTCACCAGTCTTTGTTTCTCAAAGATGCCACAGCCAGAGCTACACCCTGTCGACAGGGAACCTTTTACAAAAGTAGTCCGTGGCTTTCACAAGTTCGAAAAAGGTTCTCCGGGAGTGCAAATTGATTCTCGTTTTACTGTCGGTGAGGCAGATATTGTCCTTCCGAAAACGCGATGGTACGCGGGTGCTGGCAACGCCTTGGAACAGATCCTGAAATCACGGAACATTGACACCGTTATCATAGTATGTCTCCCCTTTTTATGAAACTATTTTCTCTCAGACATGGTTACTCGCAGTCTGGATTGACCTTGTCAGGTGCTGTTATGAGCACCATTTACCACTTGGCGGGCCTCGACTACGAGATCTATGTTATCTCAGACAATGTGATAGAATTACCAGTGACCGACACGGATCAGTTTTCTGACGTTTTGCTGGGTAGTCTGCTCGGAAAAATGAATGTGCAAGTCGTTACCCTTCATGAGGCTCTTGAAGTATTGGAGCGGTCTTAAATTGGCCCATGGGTTTGTTAGGAGCCCTTTCAGGACTATGTAGATAAACTATCATATAGAGTATTGGAGATTAATTAATCTTTATATTGTCTTAGATATGTCCTTGAACAAGAGCGTTCCGTCTGAAGTTGAGCATCGCCGATTTTTTAATGAAAAGTAGCCGTAATTTGGCTTTAATTTATTAGAGGCACATCGCGGATTACGCAAAGTAGACGCGACACAATTTTCCCGAACCTGGAATAAACGCCAAGGGGGGTCTATGCGAGCTTATGAAGTGTTCCCATTGGTCCCAAATCTGAATCTAGTGTCGGGCTATCATTCTTCCGTTAGCCCGTTCACGTATTATCTTTCATGTACCATCATTTTGGAAGTGACTGATCACTCACAGCTTGACTCTTTCAGTTCAGCAGACAGCCCATGCCGCCAACCAGATCCTCGAGATATTCAACTTCTCGGCAAAAGGCTTGCCAGTCCTGTTCGTCTGCAAAGGCAAAATGTGATCGAAGACCGGCAACATGCGGGCGATGTGCACTTCGTGGCCTGTCGTGTAACTACCCTGTAGCGGAATCTGCCAGAGATGGACACGATACAAGCTTGTTTGATGAGACACAAATGCACTACTCCATCTCGACGTCTGATGTCACTGTCGACACTATTAAACATTCGCTTCAAAGAGAACAAACGCCAAACTCAACCATCCCATCGATAGAGATCATAGCTGGGAGTACTCCCATCAGCTCGTTCTCAGCCACGGTACCAACGCCACCATCGAGTATTACCAAATTACATAGTCGCGGAACAGAAAAAGAAAGCCTAGACTTTTCGAATCTAGCACTTGTATGTCCAATCAATAGCGATGACATCAAAAATCGCTGGTTGAACTCTTATGTACCCTTGCCCGGACAAACCGTCAAGGAATACTCCCCCAACATAATGAGTTTCGTCTATCGCATCCTTAGATCGTACACGTCTATGATGGTTCGAGGCCGCGGCATACCTCCATTCATCCACTCGTCTCAAATCACCACAGAATTGATAACTCCACCTCTCTCGACGTGTCTGAGCTTAGTTCGGATATGTGAACAGTCCCTTCCGGGCAGCGAAGAAGTTGCCGCTGATGTCATACAACGCGAAATGAACAACCTCTACGACAAACACGCGACATACGACAACGCTAGTCTACTTGCAGCGTTCCAAGCACATCTGATATACTCAATGGTTCTGTTCTTCTATCTTACGCCCGGTGGCCCGGTTCCCTTCCTACGACAAGCTGTGATCAAGCTTCAAGAGATCGCTTGCGTTTGTTCGCGTCGAGGTCTCATGTCTGTCTCCGAGCAGCAAGGGATCCGTCCAAAGTGGGAAGACTGGATTGTAGCAGAAGCAAAACGACGGACGTTGTTCACGATGTACTTTTTCGACAATGTGCTGTCCGCTCAGGATGGGTTTTCGATCTATCTGGGGACTGAGTTGAAAGGCTTACCAGCACCGTCAAGCAAGGCGCTGTGGCAGTCAAGTGTCCGACAGGAGTGGGAAAAGATCTACAACATTCATTTGGCGGACTGGGTTGACAGTCTATTTCGGATTGATGAACTATGGCCTATTCCCGATGATCTTGATGAGGATGGGGTTATTGAAAGGCGCAAGAGAGTGGACAGATGGTTGGAAGCAGTGGATGAATACGGATCGATACTTTATGCAGTGACAAGCTGCACTCATGGGGGATAGGATTGGGACTTTATGTTATCAATACGTGAGGCATCCTCAAGAGGCTGTTAGGTATGGGCCTCAGGCCACCACAACTCCTTTATCCAGCCTGACCCTCCTCTCCGCCTTTCCTTTTGTTCTCTTCGCTTTCAAGCCTTCATCTCTCAATCTCCTCCACCATCTATTTGGCCACAAGACAAAATGGCACCTCGCACTCCTACCATCGCGGAAATACGAGCATCCACCGAAGTGCTCAGCCCCCCTGATGCTTCAGCCAAAGTTGTGAAAGTGGGCACTTTCGCAGTCAAGTTTGGCCATACTGTCTCCCTCCAAGAAGCCGAGGCCCTCCGATTCGTATCAACTAATAGTAGGGTTCCTGTACCAGAACTCTTTGAGACAATAGTAGAGCCAGAGTCCGGGGTTATCTTTATTATCATGGAGTACATCGATGGCAAAAGCTTGGGAGATCTCTGGCCGTCACTTGAAGCATCTGATAAGCCCGAAATTACTGACCAACTTCATGCTGCTTTACAGGACTTGCGCAGCCTTGAGCCACAGTCACCCTCTTATTTCGGCTCTGTCGATCGACAACCACTTATCGATGGAATCTTCTGGACCCCAGATCAGGACCCGTCTACATCAGGTCCTTTCAACAGAGAAGAGGACCTTAATGAAGGTATACTCAAGCGGCTAGCGGAAACTGAGCCTCAGGCACATCTTATACTACTACGGACACTTATGTCTGCAACACTATGCAACCATCAAGTCAAATTCACACACGGGGATCTACAACCTAAAAATATTCTTGTTAAGAGGACTGGATTAGATGGGTCACAAAGACAAAAATATGAGGTCATAATCATAGACTGGGAGATCTCAGGATGGTATCCAGAGTACTGGGAATTCTGTAACGCTACGGTCGCAGGTCGTTTTCGACCAGAGTGGCTAGATGTAGTGCAGGATATCATGCACGTCTATACATCAGAGTACCTAATGATCCAGACAATCCGCAGCCTTCTTTTCTATTAAACGTCACATTATCGGTAGTTTAGGTAGCTTGCCATGGGTCACAAGATTAGGATGATATGCAATATATGCATAGAGCATCCTCGACAGACCTTATTTTCACCTCAGAAGGGAAAAAGACGTCGGACACTGCTAGGGCGAATTTGGGCGTCTGAAGTCTAAAGTTTTGTTTCCCGCTTAGTTTCCTCGCCCGAAGAGAAAGAGGCGGTGAGCCATTTGTGGCTGTATGCAGAGCAGGGTTGTATGCGATCCATCTAATTAGTGGCCTGTATTTCACAAGATCCTGGTAGCTAGCTCATCAACAAGTCAACTTGCAGCTGTGGTTAGGTTGCTCGTTCCTTGGCTATTGCTGTCAACAGGTACTGGGAGATAGATTTCACCGTACGCCATCGGAGGTTTGCCTGTCTTTAATGCGTGGACGCACCAGATCAAGCGAGCTAGGAAATACGAGGTCGATATTAGATGACTTGTTTTCGAATGGATTAAAGAAGCAGCTATATAAGTCTTGGGGTGGCAGAATATTAATCCATGGAGAGAAGTCTGAGTGGTACATCGTCATCCACTAGCCAGCATGTCGCGACTTGTGTATTTTGAGTTTTCTAAGAGTATAATTAGATATGATATCTCTTTAGAGTTTTATCTAACTCCAACACCAGTTTGAGACCTCTTGGATACCTCTTGGTAAACTTTGATATAGTTGCCTGGCGCTAATGCTCTTAGAGGGCAGGCTACCATTTCAGAGTGAGAGGCTAAGAATCGCCATATTATGAGTGACCTCTGTCGGATAAAGGTTTGAAGCTATTTAAAGTTGGAATCACTGACTTGAGATTATAGTGTAACCTGTTTTTTTATAGGGTAACGCCACCTATATCAGCTTGCTAAACTTAAGAACTTAGCCATGCTGGTAATTAGCAGAGGGCAGATCAACAGCTTTATAAAAGTTAGCCTTACTTCCGTGTATTAGCGGAAGTCTGATTAAGGGCTTTATAAGAGTTAACCTTACTTCCGTTTATTAGCGGAGGTTAGAGTCCAGTGTAGAAGGCTGGGTATATGTGACGGTTATGTTTTTCCAAAAGATAACCTCATCCGCACTGGCTTTATATCAGTAGAATCTGTAAGTCATAGATTATTCGAAGACATGTGGAGGGTAAACCCCCCCTCCCATGGCAAAATCAACAAAGTTAGCACCGAGAAGGGTGCGAGAACGACAGGCTTCTCAAGGCGTCCTATAACTACACCGGTGGTGGCAACTACCGCGGCTACAATCCCCACGAGGAACTCCAGCGCGGCGGCAGGGAATTAACCGACCCGGTCTATCCGATAAATAAAGAAGGCATTGTCAAAGTTTCGAAGTCATTTAATAACTAGTGTACAATTCATGTGACAAAAACAAACGGTGTTCAGCTGGGACAAGCTAATCCTGAACGAGGCCAGGTTGTGGTGGCTTATTTCAGTTGGAGGCCTAGACTTTCAGCTAGCCTCTCCCCTCCCCGCTTCGCTTCGCAAGGCTTAACTTGACTCTTGCCAACATATAGGGTTTATCACTCTGCTTGTTTCACTGGATGTTAAATGTAACATCCGGTCCATTATTAGCGGTATTGATCCATAATTTCAGTCTCTCCAAAGAGCATACCGGCAAGCCGCTTCACAAGCATCTTGCATAGAGCCCCCTCACGACGTCGACGATGCGTCTGGAAACCTTTTTGCTCCATATCTGGTTGCTTCCGCGAGAAGTATGGGTCGCAGCCGAAGTCGACTCGACTACGGCTGCGACTTTGTCAACGATGCCGCTACCTCCGCTGGCAACTCTGCCACCAGTCACGCTGGACGGGAATACATCCTGTGCTTTCGATAGCCTACCCGAGCTTGTTAAGCTCGTCGTGGAAGATTGGGCCGGTTACAATATCTCGCTGCTGGTGGACAAATGCCCAGGGGTGTGTGACCTGATCTACGGCTCCGGGAACCCCGATATATCCGGCATAGGTGTGCGTCGGCCACGGATTACAAACCTCATTCTTTAGAAGGTATAGGAATTCTGATGTAATTTTGCAGGCCATGTCCTCGTATGCTATTCAGGGCATTAGCTCCCTCCTATTTGGACCAATTCTCGGCATTCTGGCGCTGTACGCCAGCTCGGATCCCGATTCGGATTCGTTTTTCGCGCTCCCGTCCAGGCTGTGGTGGGTGTCCGAGGCTTTCGCGCCCGTCGCCAGAAGCATACAAGAGACAAACATAATTGTCGCCTTCTCCGTGCTCCTCGCGACGCTTATACGGGTCCGCCAGGTCTGCCCCGTGGCGGAGCGTGACTTTCTCCAGCATCTAGTTGGCTACGAGGTCCTAGTATCCGTTATTTGCACCTTGTCCTACCTACCAATGCATGAGTCGTCGAAGCTGAGAAAGACGGTCCTGTGTTTCTACGTGCTTGGCACCATTATCATGGTCTTCATCGCCCGCGATTGGACGAGTCTCAGCGCCGAGCCGTACGCCTCAGCATATGAGGCCATGACCAAGTATTGTGTTCAGCAGTACGACTGGCCGGTCCCAGAGATTAGCTTCATTCCTCCTCCTACGAGCTCCGAGCTGGCCATACCTGAGGAGAAGCTAGTGGGGCTCAGAACGATGGATGTTCTGTTGATACTGACGCCAATGTTTCTTCCAATCTTATTGCAAATCTTATTGCTAATCTTATTGCCAATCTTATTGCCAATCATTTGTGTAGTCTTTATCTTCGCTGCCGCCGCTGCCGTCGTACCAGTCTTTATTATTTGCTGCGCTATTCATGTTGGTATATGGGTGATTAGGCGTCTGTTTACTTGTCTGTACGAGGCAGCATGCCGCGCACTACATGTCGGTCCTAGAAGACTCGGCGGAGTTCTCATAGTCGCAGGAGTCACTGCCCTGGGCGCCGCACTGGTCAGGAGCATCTTTGGGGCAATGCTGGTCCAGCGTCAGGAACTGCGTGCAGCAAGCGGCAACGCCTATCAGGACAATGAGTGTAAGCACCATCACACTTGCATATGGCTATTCTATATTATTGACCGGCGATACAGGGGGTTTTGGGCAGGTTTCTGCTATCCTCGCGTGGATCCCCGCGGCTCAAGAAACGCTTCTCGCCGTCTTCGGTACGCTTCCAAATTTGCCACCTACCTTGACAGAACTAATCGAGAATCCCAAGAGGCCATTCGTATTTGCCACTACGGTGCGTGGATCCTAAGAATGGGCCGTTCAAACCGTTCAGGATCGTACATACCCGAGCGGCAATCCCTCTTATAGCACCGCGACTCAGCTAGCAACGATAAGGGCTCAATGACTGAACCTTTGAAAGCCCAGATGTATCATTCCCCTGATAGTGTACCCTTTGGAACAAACTACGGTCGAGAATTGGGCTGCTGGCAACCGGCTATGTAAGCGAATCCTCAATGGGAGTTACTCCCGTCCCGTCTGGTGCGCACAAGCTCGATAGATACACAGATAGAGATAGTGCACAAGCGTCCCACGTGGCCGCGGAACGACAAAGACACATGCTTGCCGGCATAATATTACTTACCCTACGCCCCCAACATTTTTACAGTACATACCAGTCGTTGCATAGTAAGAGACATATATGCGTGTAGTATATGACAACAGATTTACGGTCTGAATACGATTAAATCTTAACCGAGGCATATATAGTCCTGCATAGGAAGGTCAATAACAGCTAAAGTGATTTCCATATCCACTCTACATAATACAAACAATCACCTTTTCCTCCCTATGAGCATGCTTATCTTAAGACTACAGTGTTTTAAGTTTGTGAAATCAATTATAGATAATGGCTGGAGAAAACTAAGCAGCAGGAAGGCACCGCAAAACCACATAGGAGACCTCATAATCAGATGGATAAGGCCTTACTATTTCTTCCACAGAGCTAACAAAGGGTTGAAACTAGGTACCAGCGCATTCTACTATATCAGGCTCACTCCGCAAAAATACAGACATTAAAATGTCAGTCTTGTCATCAGAGGGCTTATACAATCGATGCTATCTGGCATTCCAGATACATTTATTCATTTATTCATTATCTAGCTCAAATAGGAAACTTTACTACCTACGGCACGAAATGTGCACGGAAAGGCCCTCAAGTTAAAGCTCAGTTACCCGTTCCTATCCCTGATCCCATGCTATGTGGAGAAAGAATGGACCATCAGTGACACCGAGAAGTCGACACCTTGCTGACCTCAAACTTGCATGGCCACGTCATGTTTGTACAAAGAAATACTGCTCCTGCAGTTGAACAGCCGCATAAACGCGAACACGGCTTCCAAGATAGCACACTAGAGCAATATCAGATCAGTCTGGACAACAGTTCTCAGCGACATCCTGCACAACGCCTTCACTTATCAATCCCATGCCGCCTGCATCATCCGTCGAGGATATTATTAAGCCAATCGCACATGGTAAAGTAACTTGACCTAGAAGATTAATAACGGCGCCTCGTGAAGCTCTCCGACGCCACAGACACAGTAGTCCGTGGCAACACACACCTTTGGTCCGCCACCGTCCCCAGTCTTTTTCCACCTGAAACATCACGCTCCGTGGACATCGACATTTTAACCACGTCGAGGACGCTGAGCGATGGCAAGTAATGGTCCCAGCATCAGACACAGGATATATCAAATTTTGGAAAGACCACTAACCTGTAGTCGGTCCTTTACCGGCTGCCGTCTATTATTTCCTCGAAATCCCGAATTGCGTGGCCTACCTACCCTCGGACACCGTGGCGGCGTTTTGGGCTTCCACGTCACATTGCACAATCAACTGGTTCGTCACCTCTCATCAGGTCCTTGGCCCTGCTCGAAAGTTCGTACAGGAACAACCACGAACCCGAGTCTCGGGTCGTAATCATGTGCCTCAAAGACATGCTGTAAGCGGAGCAGATCTTCTCGTTCTAAATTTACTGCCGGTCCAGCTTGGAAACCCCAGATCTACATCTCTCTCCGCTCGCACCTAATCACCGAGGGCGACAGATTATCCCCCTACCGATTAAATCCTCGTTTGTTGCAGTTAGTCCGCACTTATTATTGGTACAGCTGCTCGTCTTATCTCGGAGTAGCGGCGGGTGTTGTCACGGAATCAAGTATACAGACCACTCGAATCTTGCAGACCATTTGAGTGTTTTGCTGACAGCGCCTGAAACTTATATATTTTATCAAATACCGAGACGATTTGGGGCACCTGGCTCTTCGTCGAGGCATCTTATTTCAACACGACACTCACCAACATTATGAGAATCGTCATACTACCAGTTGCTCGGTTCCTTGCCTTCATCGTCCCCACGCCTAAGCGGATCCTCCTGGACTTACCAACGAACCTATAAGAGGTAGTTTGATGAAGTCAAGTAAGGCGCCTTTGTCTGGTACGTGAACTCTAGTTTTCTGGATTTCGATTTCCATTGCTCAGGATAGAAAAATACACATATGCATATAAATTCTACAGTTGGAAAGCATTATTATCATTCTTTCCCCTCCTTCCAAAACAACACCTAGGTCCGATTAATATCTGTTCAGAACGAGCGTAAGCCCCAGTATGCTGGTGCTTCAGCATCTCTGCGCTTCTTGGCTGAAATTGGAGGATTGCCGCTGTAGTATCCACATGTTCCTGGCTTCAAGGAAGTAGTCCTGCAGTCCTGGTTCGGCTCCGACAAACAGACCAGACCAGGATTGCAGTCCGAGTCTTTTACACAAGCCACGTAATCCCCGCCCGACACGCAGATTCGCTGCCCATTCACACGTTGAGCACAAATGAGTCCGTTTGAGCAAAACTTGTATGGGCCGAGACAGCTCATTGAAGGCGTTTCGCACTGATTTTTGGCGCACACCCCCTTGATGCAGAGGCCTGCACAAACCTTACCGCCTATTCCCACAGTTGCATTAGCGGAACGGTTCACCATTTGCCAGTGCTAAAGCCAGTCCCTCCGTTTGTTGAATTCAACATAATATTAAACAGGCGACTTGAGGATCTATTCACTTACAAGCACCACAATTCTGGACATCAGTCTGCGTATCCACGCATTTCTGCGCACACAGAGCCATGCCATCCGCAGGGTTAGGCCTGCTTGGGCCGCATTGGTAACAAGGGCCACCTCCTTTGGCAGCCAGCGACGTGCAATCAGCTCCAGGGTCCGTAAATCCGGCAGCACACCATTTGGCACAAGCTGAGTTTCCTTGAGCTGCTACTGCGATGGTGTGCAGGGAGAGGACGACCGTAATACCTGTTTAATAACAAGTAAGTATTTCCATATTACCGACGGAAACCACGAAGATGTGTGCGGCAGAAGAGGAGATATTTCTGCCTGGGGTTGAGGGGAGTAAAATGCATCTTCTTCACTATTGCGATAATTACATACCAGAGGTAATGCGAACCATGTTGTTCCTTGATATATCACTTGACGGCTTCAGCAGATTTAATAGTTAATTCTGATAAAGCTAAGTGTTCTTTTCTGAAAGGATCCATTAATGCTTTAAATACCTGGGAAAGTTATGGCATTTAACTGACAGACTATACCGCGCCACTATACGATATACCTGACCAAGTGACATTTAAAACGCCAGGCATAAGGAGGGCTAGCCCTCCTGGTAGTATGCAAACTTAATAGACAAGCCACTAAAGTACGGCTTATTGCCACAAGCAGCACAGCTCAACAGTTCATGACTGATTGCATCTGACAGCAGCTACTTCTAACCAGTTTCTGCCTATATAAAATGCCTGTGCATAATTGATTAGTATAGGGCCTGTAGTATTATCCGGGGTTAGTAATTGTGTGAGTTTGAGTTGGTTTCGTGTTGTATTAATACTCAGTGCTGTCTAGCACTAACTGGCTACTGACTTAAGCCAGGTATTATATAAAGACTTTTTTTAAAATGTAATGTTATATTTCCAGAAGATAAATATTACCGAGCTAACCTAGTGCCCTAACTCTATTAGCTTTTCTTCTGTATACTTATAGACTTCCGTTTTACTACGGACTTTACTAGCCCGACTTCCGTTAACATTCGGATTAGATATAATAGTTCCTATGCTAATAGGGCAGTAAAATATAATGCATCAGTCGCTAGTTTCATTGTAACCCGTGCTAAAGCGGAGGTTACCCAAGGATTTACTTCAATGGTCTAAATTGAGGAACCAGGTAATCGACAACTATAATTCCATCACTCTGCTTCTTTCTTCCCTCTGTAAATAATTAATAACAGCTAAGACCTTTGCAATTGGACCGCCCTGTGCGGATATTTCTCGGGTATCCCCTCTATTGTCTTAGTTCCCTCTTAGTTCTATATCGAATCGTGTTCCATAGGAGCTTCTATCTTTAATGCTCCATTCCTTTTTTCTTTCGGGGCGTTTGCCCGCAGCACTTACGAAAATAAGTACCTATTCAAGCTTCCAAGTTCTAAATGGAAATTTCTGACGCCACTATGCGATAATAGTGAACCCGTGGAAAAAGGACTTTCCTACATCCCTCGGACTCCGCTTTCTTTGACGGCGCTGTTTCTGACCTGATATCCGTTTTGTCTCGGAGCTGTTGATCGTTTCGCTATTTCGATCCCGTCTCCAGAAACTTCCGCTATTGAATATTGTCCTGGCGAAAGCGCGCCACTCTATGGGCGAGTCTGGCAGCTCTACTACGAATAGCAATCACCCTCTAAGCGGCAACGCAAATGGCAGCCCTCTGGTGAACCATAAAAATACTAATACGTCGGAGCAAAGCCTTCTAACATTAACCTTGGGAGTTGGTGCAAGGGGTACACGACAATTAGGAATAAGAGAGGAGGTTAGGATAGGCTAGCAAGCTAGATATAAGCTTGCCTCGATGTAATGAATTGATGCATCTACTTGAAATGCATTTTAGCAACGAAAACGCATAGGTGATTTGAGTCCGTTGGGGTGCAATGGATTTAGGGTGTTTTTTCATTAGTGTCTTCATTTTTATTATGGAAAAGCTATTGATTTTAGAGCTGAATCTGCCGCGCAGCTAGGATAGGGGAAATCCGGGGTATGATATGGAGACTCTGATTAGTACGGAAGTGGAAATATGGCGCATTTCTAGTCTACATGCTTGATTACGGGCAGAATTGAATTTCCGATTGGCGCTTGGATGCACGTTCAAATATGCTAACATTTCAACGACGGTGCGTTAAGTTCTGGCTTACTAACAAATATTTACCTTGGCACCTATTGTTTGTGTCGGCTGGCAGCCTAAGCTACTGTATACAGGCGTAGTGGTCTGTGAGTGTCATCGTTTCCAAGAATAAGGCTCTGTATAGTCCCGAAAGTTTCTCCTGCTACTATAACATATCTGCAGCAGACCGCATGGCATACCCTATAATGGCGTATGATATCAATTTCGTATTCTTTATTTAGAGCCTTCGCTGATTGTCTGGCCTCCCTAGTATATACAAAGAGCTCCCACATGTGATGCACTGTCTTCAATTTACCTAGCGATATTCAGTCGCTAAGCCATGCTAATCATCATTGAAAATAGAGCCCATTTTCAATGTGTTGTCCACATATTGGCCGTGATTTCGCGGAAGGTCCATTTCGAGTGCCTCAGGCCTTATCTTCCATGTGTCATTTGGCTTGTCTGCCCTAAATATAGCGTCCACCCTACGTGGAATCTCGTAAAGGTCGATGTTTTATACCGGACGACATGTATGATTGCCTTTTTCGTTTAATGCAATTCTTAAATATGTAATTGTTATCTGAATGCTATCCAAGTTTAGACTTCCTGATATTGTACATTGGGCAATAAGTGTCGAGAACCAGATATAAAATGATGTGCTTTTTGTCATAAAGTTCATGCCACTCCTGATGTGGCTGCTGATCACCACCCCCACTTTCCCGCATATTCAGCTCCAGCGAGTCCCCCAGCACTATGAGCAGAAGCGTTGATATCTGTATAGAGCAGAAATTGGAAAGTGAATAAACCTGTAAGTTTGACAGAGAGATCATGGTTATTGGGTACTAGGCTAACCGCAGAAGTTGCCTTACTTAAAGTCAAATAAATGGACTTATCTGGAGTAGACGAAAGTGCTGAAGCGATGTCAATGATATTATCTACAATTTATCCGGCACCAGCCACGATAGCACCTGACGTTGATTTTCAGGCATACGATGATATCATGACTTTTAAATCTGTTCCCACTGTCGGTTTCTGGTTTATGATTCGAGACTGACTCTCAGGGGGATACCTGTCGGTTATTAATGGGAAGCCTCTCCTGCAAAAGACACCTTACCATTGGGGAGGCTATCGACGTTGCTGTACGGAACTGAATGGTTGGGTTGGATTTTACGAATGGACCTCAGGACGTTTTATTGGACGTGATGGCGACGATAAGGTTGTTGCTAGAGCACTAAAACAGGGGCAGGAGCAGCATATTGCAGTCTCACGTTAAGTAGGTGGGGGTTATTATATCTCCATCTATTATACAGCCAATAAGTATCCGCTACCGCAAATCTACGAGCTACCACCGTTGAAAGTTGATGAGGATGCGTACCTCTTGGTACTAGGTTCAAAGGGACGGACAGCTCTGTGGGACTTTGAGCAGATCGAACCTCCACCACAATGATCGTATGTGTCATTGGTGTTGGGCTAACTTCGTATTGCAACTGTTGCGTATCCTAATAAGTCTAATAAAACGAGGTGTTATTGTTCGCAATGAAAGTCCAGGTACACTAATTCATTATCTAACCTCCCACTAAGGTGGCACCGAGATCACGGATTCAACCCCAGGCACTGCACTGCTGAATATAAACTTTCAGATGAAAATTCAAACATCAATTCAGCAATTTAGCCCACAGAGACTCAGAGTATTCATCTCACTCTGGAGATAACCGATCGCGAGACGCCATGTTTTTTTACCCCCATAGCAAGCACCACTCTCAATATGCTGTGCCAAACCGCTCACGGTCGAGCAGCTTTTTGGAGGTTTCCATGCGCTGCTGCCCTTCGTCAGGGTCAATGGACAATGAAACGATATCTCATTCGGTATACTCCGATCCACAGTTAGGAGAATCTTGGAATGAACGTTTGACGATAAGTGTTATCTCAGGGCCCTAGGACCGTATATGCGGGTACATCTGGGTAGGCAAAGGGGACATTGTGTAAACTCACTTGCAACACCCAGTTGCTGGTTGATTGATTTAGTGAGGCCTGAAATATCCGAAATACTTGAATTCGGACTTCGCATTGACGATGGATAGGATTTAAAGAATTCCGTAGACGTAGGAGTTAGCAGTGGACTGCTTGTTGACGATGTCTAAGTCTTAGACACGTCATCGTCCAATAGTCGTATGCTTGAACCTTGGGTTTTGATGATCCCTCTTACGTCGTTCTTGGCAATGGCTGCAATTAAGTGCGCCTTTCCTATCTTTGACGGACAAGTTTCGCCTTCTGAGCGATGTAGCTGCGCCGACGGGCAATCAAACCTTTTCTTACAATTACCACTCGCTAGACATTTGATGTGGCATAATGGCTGGTTTCGAATCGAGGGTTTGTGCTGTTTCAATGCAGCTATGCTGTGGAAGGTTCTTCTGCACATGTCGCATTTTGTACGCTTTTGGGATACTTTGTGTGGGTGTGCAGGGCTGTTTTTAAGATGCTGTGAAAGACTTTCCTCAGTATTGAAATCAAGCTTGCAGTCGCAACAGCGAAACTAATTTGGGAGGGTATCTTGCCAGGAGAACGCATCATTTGTCTTTTCTCGATGCACTATCTTGTGATGAGGATCAAGAAGACACCATACCAGCGTGGGTGCCCGACTGGTCAAAGAAAGTTAACTTAGCAGTCTATAGGTGTGAAGGCTGCCTCAATCTGACTAGATACTACATAAATGATGCTAATAAGACACTACGAGAAGAAAGTCTGTGCAAGATAATCGAAGATGTTATTAGTCAGAGTCGTGGGAGACATCAATAACTTACGCAAAAGATTCAATGACTGAGGTTGGTTACTTGGAAGTCGGCAAGGCACATATAAGCGAAAAACTACTCTCCATTAATAGCTGTTATTACAGTATGCACTTAGGCAAGAGAATCTGGAAGATAGATGGAGGATTGTTGGACTCGTAAATATCAGCAGGGAAGAAGATTGGCGTCGGTCGCGGAAAGATAGTAGACTGCAGACGTTTACGATTGTATAGAAAAGGTACTTGAAAATGGAACGTATACTTATAAAATTAAGCATCATGTTGCATTCGGGGGTAGTTACCACTTGTTTAATCCGAGATGTTAGCAACATCACCGCGTCCCAAATTCTCAGATGGAAATACCTATCCACATTCCAGTGCATAAATAACTCTTAGGTTAGATATAGAGCTGTAATTATTGACATTTTAGTAACGTCTTCCTGATACACAGCAGGATAATGTTATCCTCTCTCCAGTCGTTGTGGTTGTGCCACTTTGCCTTCCACGCCGAAACTCCTCACACTCCTGTCACTCTCTTGTATGAAACCATAGCCAATTCTGGCCTCTCCGTCCATGCCTAACTCATGGAGTTTTATTGCCCTCGAAGCTGCGATGATGGATGAAGGTTTCATATCGCGCATTCTGCCTTCTTCCCGATAGGCATGCAGCCCCAGTAAAACCGCCGCTGTGGCTAGCGCGATACTTGCCGCATATACCGTAAGTAGTTGGACCGCATTGTAATTAAATACATTGACATATTGTTGCTTTTGGCAAGGATAGTTTGTTGATGGTCCACCTTTGGCCGAGCCTGACGGTTTACCGTTTGAAGCCCATGATACCACATGGAAGGAGGGATCTGCCAATAATGAAACGATCATATTCTCATACATATTTATGATTGCTTCGTCCAAGTTCTTTACCGGAAGATAATTCAATCGGTTAATTAACGGGGTAAGAAGTAGATTTGACTTGACATCAAATAGTGGCATTTCTGTTGTCCCATTGAAGGTGTGTCGGAGGGCGTAACCGAGTGAATGATAAGCTGCGGTAAGACGATATTCACCAAAATTAGAAGGGTAGACGTAGTTTTGTTCCGGAGTCGCTTTCGTTCGGTCGGTAAGATTGCGGTCCGGGTCCGTCTCTGATATGAGAGTAGTATTGAGTACCTTTCCCAGGTACTCGCGATGAAGAACCTTGTGCGATTGAACCCCTCCCACATAATCAAATTGAATCGTATAGTTGACCTCGTAATGCTCGCAACCGATGATAATTGGAGTATAAGCATTGTCCCAGTCTTCACCACCTCTGGCAAATGGTTGTGGTTTCGAATAATCTTCGACAGTACAATAGCCGATCCACATGATAGGCTCTGATTTGAACACACCCAGGCTCTTTGGGAATGGAGGGTCTTGGGTCGGGAATCCTTGGCTATCAGAAGGTATCTGGGAGTTCTGGTACTCGCCCAAGTCGTTCAATGCGTAGTATACCGTATCTCCTACTGGTGCGAGGACGCTCGTGTTAAAAGGTGGTCTTGCTTGTCCAAGATTTCGCACTTTGGAGTCTATTCCGGATGCAAGTGTTTCGCATTTGTAGCCTGGAGCGACAAAATTGAGGACGTAAGAACAGTTCCAATTATTGGAACAGATCTCATCGGCTGCTCCTTTCCGGACAATAGGTTCGTTGGATAAGGCAACCCTGGACGCGAGCATATCTTGCCATTGTCGAGATGGGGCATGCCAGTAGTCGAACTCATTAGGGTCAGTCGAATTAATTAGGTTTCCTGGAAAGGTCGAGTTCCATCGCGACACTGAGATAAGATGGTGGTCATCGATTATGATCGGGTCGAGCCAATAAGCTGACTTTTCATTTGCAAAGTTCAGAGTCCGGACGTTTGGGCACGTTCCATTCTCCACCCTCGATCCGACCACAACAGATAGAGTTTCGGAGGTCAACACCACAACTAGCGGAGTGACCCAGCAGTAGATGGCTATGAGAGTGCCAACCTTGGCCTTCTTGATGGATGACCATGTTAATAAGGAGAAGATGTCGGCATTGGCAGTGAAGATAGAATCCACAGTATCGAGACGTGCCATTTTGTGTCGAAGAACTAGCCAGGCTCTTTGTTGGAAAGCTATAGCAGCTGCAGTACCAAAACTAGCCTTGGCACAAAATGCAAGGATGGTTCCATATCGGAGCATGAGTGATTGCTCTGTGGCCGCTTTTCCATCAAGACTGAGGTAGAAGAGGTGGTGCCCAACGGCAAAGGCGGTGCCCAATAGTAGCAAAAGGGTCATATTCCATGGTTTTGTTTTGTAGCACTCCCAGTGCTTGGACAGATCCTGAAACCTGGTTTGAGTGACGCCAGTGCGTCGCGATGCTTTTTTATGAGTTTCTGAATTTGGTGTTGCAGAATCACTTTCTAGTTCCTGAGATGGCAATAGAGTACTCTCGTCCAAGGGCATGGAGACCTTTTCATTCTTTCGGGATGCATCTTCACTGGGAACTGACTGTTGGTGATTTTCGTAATCCATCTTGCATTTTCAAGGTGTAAGTTTGAATCAGGAGAAGGCAAATGTAGGTGAGGGGCTGGCAAGTTTATGTTGATAGATGTAGGTCTTTCGGAGTATTGTCTATGTTCATCCATCTTGGCGTCCGTCTCACTGCATATTATTACCATGCTACGCCAAGCAACTAAATGAATGAATTCTTGGAACTGGCGTCTAACCGTGCAGCTGCGCGTCAAGGATTATGACGTAGGAGACAAACGTGTATGTCCAATCACTTTACGAACTCTTGAAAGCTGAAAAGTCGGCTAAATCCCCGCTTTGTTATGCATAAATGGACCTCTCACTTTCTTGGCTGTAAATTATCAAGACCAATACCACTAATAATTGTACATTCAACAGAAATAACCTTCATTATTGGAGAAATCGACAAAGCTAATCACCATTCCATAGCGTCTTAGATAAAAGGTCTTTTGCTGCGGCAGGATCCCAGTCTATCAAGACACGATCTTTTGCCTCCTCCACCTTTCTTTGCACAATGAATCCGTTTTCCTTTTACCCTCTTCGCCAAGAAACTTCACTCTTATTTTCCAATACGAATCTTTGTCAACCGCTTCACCTGGACCAAAGAACTTCCAATAGATTGTGTCAAAGGCCCAACTCTTCCTTGCAGCGTAATTGAGCCAGAACCGACCACTCGACCAGCTCTCCCGCATATAAGAAGACAGTTTGTATTCTGATTTACCATTGGCAGATTTCTCAGTGTCTTCAAGTACCAGCAACCAAGTATCAAGCCGTTCATTGTAAGTCTCAGCCCAATCGTCAATTCCCTTCGACCACATCTCAGGCGCCTCCAATAATAGCCACCAAGGCGGATCCAGGCTGAATTGCTCTGGTGCAACATATGTAAACTCCCAACCAATGGCCGCAATGATGTCACCTTCTTGATCTACAAGAATATTAACTGGTCTAGAGTCATCACACTAAAGTCGATAACCACCTGACCCGTTAGGTGCTGACACTCAAGCCTTGAGCCATGGGCCTGGGCCGACCAGAAATCATCAACATATCCGAAGGTAGATAGTCGGCCTTGTTCTGCGAGAATATGGAATAATTTGCCGGCTACATATTTGTTTCGGCAGTCGTCCTCCGAGCGGACGAGATCGTTGTGCTGAAAGAGTAACTGTGCCATGTGCATCTCTGCCAAGGCAGTGTACCAACAGCTATCATCTTCATAGGTCTGGTTAGTTTCTGGTAGCACCAACCTTGGGATATTGGCAAGTTGAATCATGTTGTACATGCTTTGGGTTAGACGCCGTCCGGTCACTGAATAGCGACCCTTTTCATCTTCATTCAATGACCCAATTCGAGGGAAGGTAGCTTCATAAAGCTCCAATACAATAACAGCAATACGTTGGTATAGCTTCCTAAGTGTACCCTCTTCAATATCTGGGTTCAGCACTGGGGGAGGGGGTCTCTTCTGGATCTTGATTGGGGATCGCGAGAGCATCCGACATGTCCCGAGCACTTTCTATGTGTTGTAGGACTAGGGTAGGCCTAACATCTGATGATGAAGTATGGTGAAAGAGGGTTGGGATCGCGATAGTGGTATATTGGGCAAGATACGCCATAGCTACAGCCTCATAGAGGGTCTTCTGTTCTGGGAACTGGACAAGATCGGGGCAAGGAAGCCGAATGATAACATCGGAGGAATCTTGTTCAAACTTGATTCGTCAGAGAACATTGAAACCACCAAAGACGATTGGCGATACCAGTGATGGTGATTTCTTCTTAAGAGCCGTCTCAGCCAGAGCCCCGACCTGCCGGCAGGTAGATTTGAGTCGGAGCTTCTTCTGAGATTGGTCCTAAGCTTCGTCGTTCTTATCCCACGCGGCGTCGTCGAAATTGTTTTGTGCTCTGGTCATCTTCGCTATTACAACGAATTTGCCGTCTTTTTTGACATTGAGAGAAGTCGGTATGGTATGCCAGGTAACAGATAGCTTCACAGAGCATTCAGTGGTTACGGTCATGAAGGTCCTCGAGACTTTGTTTCCTGAGGCAGAATATACGAGGGTCCTGGTCATTACTTGGGTCATGGCTGTTAGTGGTTGGGTGTTGGCAGTCACCTACATAAGTGGATAAACCATTCTCGATTCTGGATGATTCTCGGATCTTAGGCCCAAGGATCTCGAGCATGTGGCAAAGAATTGGAGTTGGCGAAGACCTTGAAGCGGCGCGAGATCGTATCAGAAGACATTCTAATGGACGATGAGTACTTGGAAAGATACGTCGAATTGCGTGCAGATTAAATTAAGCGGAATAGGCACTATCATCGTAGATGGACTCGTTCGATCGCTGACGCAGAGTTATGCTGGTAGAAGCAGGATGCAACTGTTGGTGGAGGGTAGCTAGTCTGACATGTAAGCTGGAACGGTCTCCGAATTTCTTCATATCATTACACAAATTAACCTGACAGCTAGTTAGTCAACAATAACAATGATTCAGGAATCTGACCATAAGGCGAATCCTATTTGGTCAGATTCAAGAGATGTGAGAATAAGATTAACTTGATATGGACTAGAGCTGACATCAGTTTTCTGTTATTTGACCGACGGTATAGCACGAGCCATTTCATTTTATTTGCAATGCTTACTCCTTGATATTGCAAATATTTGGAATCCTTACCAAATTCCCTGAGAAATTCAATTTTATTGCTGTTCAGTTTATAATGGAGATAGAAAAGATTCCCGTTTCGTGGAGTGATCAGCCAAATCCGATACCGAACCTCCGTACACGAACCTTCTTCATCACGGACCATCCACTTGACGAGAAAGAACTGAAGAATGGGCTTGAAACTTTGATTAGAAAGTATTGGCGAAAGTTGGGTGCTCGTTTGGTCTCATCCGAAAAGCAAGGTTTAGAGTATCACCTCCCGCATGTGTTCCTAGATGGTTATGAGCTTTTCAAATGGTCGTCAGTCAGTGCTGGGTATTCCTACGGCGAAACATACGAAATGTCGAAGATCATTCATCCGGGAGACAATATCGCGTTCCTACCAGCCGTGGATAAGATTGACAAGCTGGCTCGGCCTCAAGACTGGCCTTTTGAGCGCAAAGATGATCCACCCAACTCTCCGCTGTTGTTTATTCACTTGACCAATTTCAACGACGGAGCAGTTTTGGCGATCAGTGTCCCTCACGTCCTTGCCGATCAGGGCGGATTGGCCAATATTGTCAAGGCTTGGCTGGCCGTCATTGATGGTAAAACACCGCCAGAGATGGTGGGGTTCAATAAGGATATTTTAGGCAGCGAAAGACTCTCCAACATCGAAGTCGAGCCGAAAGACAGAATTGGGAGAATGCGTATTCGCAGTAAGAAGGATCAGGCTTTGGTAGTAGGGAGGGTTCTTCTTGATATGGCGAAGGAGAAGAAGGAAACGTCTTATACCGTTTTCCTACCTCTGCGGGTGGTTAGCAATTTGAGAGAGAAAGTAAAGAAGTCACTGGAGGGAAAACACATTTTGTCGGATGAGGCCAGTAACGGCGATATCATCACGGCGATCTTCACAAAGGTACGTTTTCGACCACAATCAGCAGCTATATACTGAGCGAAATTCCAGCTTGCAAGAATGAATCTAAAGGCTGAATACAACGTCTGCCAATCATCAACGATTAACTGTAAGTTCAAACTTAGACTTCCATGGGCATTCGCCAACAATTCAAGTGCGAGATCGCATCCCAGAACTGAAGGGCGAAAAAGGCGAAGGATTCATCCATAACGCGGTACACTACGCAACAGCCAACTTTGCAATCAACCCTTCAACTCCACTAAGTGATATCGCGCTACAGAACAGGATTGCTGTCAGCAAAGCATTAGGGGAAGCAGACATCCAAGCCGGAGTGAAGACGCTCCGAGAAGTTGCCAAGTCTGGACAGCTCATGCTTATTTGCGAACCTCACCATAAGCTTTACAGCTCTTCAAATTGGAGTGGCGCGTGGCAGGGAGTTGACTTCACGAAAGCGACACCCGATTCCTATGACAAGACGAGCTATAAGAAGGAGATGGTAGTTCTTGGAGAGAGTAAACCACGGAACGCTCTTGGAAGATGTACGCTTGCAGTAATGTTGAGGAGACAAAACGCTAACTGCATCATAGATCGGGTTGTGATTATGTCTAAGACTAGTGAAGGCTTTTGGTGTGATTTTGCTGCTCCAGTTAAAACGATGGCTTTGGTTGGTGAGTTTATTGGGATGGATCCTACGTTGGAGAGCATATTGGAGATAGCTGATGCCGAGGAGAAGCCATGATTATCGATTAGAATGGTATTACTCGAGTTGCACATTCTGTCCATTACTTCAGCCTGCACTATTGTAACGACCTTGCTGGTAGCATCAACGGTTATAAAAGAATGGAATGCTTGGGTCCAACCCTAAATGGTGATGTGAAAATTCTCTGTACCATGTTGGGGTTACCCCTGCAGCGACCAACCATTACACCGAAATCGGTCATAGAATTGAGGACTTAAAGATCCATATTATTACTTTCTAGGAAATAAAAGTCTAACGACAGTCCAATGAAGAGCTAGTTAACCTTCTCTTGGTATTATGTCCTGATCCAACTTATCTTATCTGCAAATATCGTCGATGCTGTCTCCGTCCTTATTTCTATGACGGTCTAGATACAAGCCCATGCTTATTCATCTTATTTCTTATCTTATCTTAGTAAAGTGGCATTAGGCATTTGAATTAACAAGTAAAGGATACGATATTAATCACTTACCTTTATGGTCCGCTCATATCCGACAGCTAATATAGTCGAGAACGACCTGCTAATACGGTACTGAGTCTGTTTGATGGACGAATCCGGAACGACTATCCATCTGCTCATTTAACTGTCGCTCAAGTCTCCCTCTTCCTGTGAGCACTACCCCTGACCGAGCTTTCGCCTCCATACAGAGAATAAGTTCATCTGGGAACGGTTTTCGAATTGTCATAGTCTTAGTGGGACTAGTGAGAAGAACCTTGACAGATGCTCCAGTCCTTTGCTCATTTGAGATCCTCAGAAGAGTTATCAGGACATCAGCCATGCTTTTCATAAACTCTTCTCGCTCATAGTATACAACACCATCGATCAAACAAACCAACAACGTGTTCCTCGGGAGCTGGAATATGAGCCTTTCAAATAAGCAGCAGAGCTCGCCGATATCGCCGAAACAAAGCAGGTCAGGTCTCACATCACCAACCAAGATGCAATTGCTAAAGTCATATTGACAAAGGAGTTGGCGAATGAAGCTTTGAACGATGGCAAGACCCCCAGTGTGTTCATCATGAATGTTGGCATGTAGCCCGCAATAGAATACCAGATAGAGACATTTTGGAGATTTGTCTGCGAGGGAATCGGCTAGAGAAGTGCACAGAAGTGTTAATCCTGATAATCGACGTCTGATATCGTAGTTTCCGTGGATGAGAAGTTGTGCTGAGCGAGGAGACACGAGCCAATCTCTCAACTGTGCAGTATTTACAAGCTGGTCGGCACGTGCTCGTTCCACTACAGGTACTTTGACGTATCTTGTATTGTGGATGATTTCAATATCTTTGACTAGCAGGTCCGGGATACTGATCCAGTCTAGAAGCTGGTGTGGGCTGATATATTGTTCTGTAGGTACTGCTTCATACGGGGGAATTGGCGAACAGGGGCGAGAATACTCGATTACCATCCTTTCCCTGTCGTACGCTGCGATGCGGTTAGCCTTCTATATAAAAAAGATATCCTTAAATCATTACCTCTTGAGTTCATCTCATAATCATGGAGGAAGCGCATGAACATTGTTTTCAAAACGTGCTGATCATAACGCATGTCTTCGATCTGCTCTGCTGACGGCATATCTAAGAGACATCATGTAAGGTTCCTAATTAAATCAATGTTTTGCGGCAATAGATCATAATAAAGATATTTGACTCACGATCTACAATTGTTTGCAAGCCATTGCTAATCTCATATTTCCCTGACATATCAGCTTGGGAAATGAGGTTTTCACCCTGAACTTTGATTGCACTGAGACTCGCCGTAATTGCTTCTTGGTAGCCTTCTTTATTGAAAGTGACAGATACTGCCTTTTTGCCTAGATGCCAAATGTGAGGTCAGTCTTGTCATGTAAATGGAATATTATGAGGAGTAACCTGCCAGGGCTCTTAACAAAAAAGCTAATAACACACTCGATGGCGTGAAAGACTGTAGCTATCAAATCGACAGAGGCCTTCTCAAGGTTCTCATCATTGCTGTATATCTGGAGGTATCCTTCCACTTGATTGAAAACCTTGTCGATGTCATCGAAAGCATTTAAAGCGTCTTGTCGAACTTTTGCTGCCTTGATGGCTGCCTAGGAATTGCAGAATCTCGTGTTAAAACAGAAACACATGACAATATAAAGTCAAGGTGGGGAACCAACTTCAAGAAGAATCTGAACGGCTCCCAATACTGGAGTCACATAGTCGATGTTGGGAACAAACTTGGACGCGCCGAGTAAAGGCTCGGCAGCGTTATCAGTAACCTTTCTATATATTCGTGTGAACTTGGCCTTGAAGCTTCTGTCCTTCTTGCAATAGTACTCTTTAGCATTTTCAAGCTGATCAAATACCGAAGTACAATCTGTCTTGTCGCGAATGCTGAATTCTTGTTTCGAACCAGGCCCAGTTGGATGATTCTCTTTCAATTTATTCATAGCGCGACGAAAGAGGTTATCCCAGAACTTGAGTGCTTCCATGGGCTCTGCCGCAAGCGGTCTTGAGGTAATCTGCACATTGCGCGGTGTTGATGAGTTTGACTGCGATATGAGATCCCAACCTGACCCAGGCCTAGTCAGTGACTGGGATTGATCAAGGGGATCGCATATTATATAAGCTCCATGACTCGGACTGTATCGTGATGGCGGAGTCGCAAAGGCAGGGTGCCTTGAGTCTAGATGGTTGTCGATAAAATCGACTTCTGGAGGCTGCAAGCTAATTCTTGGTACATGGGACCTTGGCGGTTCCATCATGCTGAATGTGGTTATCGTATCAATGTGAAAAGCATGTAACAATTAGTAGGTAGAGCTGTTATAATGACACGTCGTGTGAAAGATGTACAACCGACGTTCTACATGGTAACTCGATATTCAACTGACTGCCTGGCTGATGTTGTTCGATATCAGGTTGCTTACTCCTAAGCGCCCGCTTGATGTGCGGCTGAGAAGGTATTGTTATGGGATCGAAGGTACCCCCGCATATGATGGTACGTTGGCCCACAGCAATGTAACACTGCTCCTTCATCATGACAAGGATCTGCGGATAAGGCGAAGCCTGATTCTTCCTCTAGTATTGTCGTAAAATCATGATTGAAAACCAGCGGCTAAACATGGGAACCAAGCGGTAGCAATGGCGACTGCATTTGCATTTATTCGTCATCTTACGAACTGACGTGACGTTGGAGGAGGAGCAACCACTCTTTGCTTTTGCTGAGGCATTTAACAATTGCTTATCCACGAATAAAAAAGACCAGGGTGTTGATTACTCCCCACAGGCCGCCTTGGCGAAGCTGCAGCTTACCCTCCATGGTAACGATATGATGCCGAGCCTTAAAAGATACTTAGGTACGTTATTCTTGCTACGTCTGTTGGTCCTTTGATATCCTAATAACAAAACACCGGTCTCATCTCTATAACTTTTGAAGGCTTGACACTTTACAGCATTGAATTACAGACCAATAAAAAGATATTCCGACCATGACAGCTCCGGCTGAAGATCAAGAGACAGATCCTCCGACTTTAACGGATTCTGTTAAGGATGACCCAAACATCGCTAACGCTCGCCTCACTGAAACTGACCCGAGTGGCATCCGAGAAGATCGTATATTCTTGACTAATTCAGAATTGAAAGCAAATGAGGGCGATTCAGCCTCTCCTACCCGAGAGCTAGATCATTCCCAGGGATCTACCGAGTCTCCTTCCGAATTGATGTTGGAACTGAAAGGTTTGCGAGAAAGACTGCTCTTCCTTGAAGGGAAAGTAGCCGAATCATCAGACAAACATCGTGTTGTAGAAGACGATGGACAACTACGTAAACAGATTCGTAGAGCTCGATACGCCAAAGACTGGGTTTACAAAGCAGAAGCCCTCGCGGAGGAGACCCGAGACGATCGACGGGGACTCGGAACGAATGGCCCTTTTTTACATGGTGTATTGGAATCGGGTGCTGAGGGCTACGAGGGTGGTATTGGTGACGGAGGGGTACAATTTCAGAGCTATGACGAAAGGGCTGCTTGGTTTGAAGTTCCCACTGAACCGCATCGTGGGTTGCGTCCTCCGACCTCACTGCGACCACACTACTCTCGAAAGCTTGGACCTCCCAATGAATGGGATACGTCAGACAGCGACGAATGGAGTAGCAATGCATCAATAGGTACGCGGGATTTTGAATATTTCCGCGCAAGACTCCGAGGAGATTTCGAGTGGGAACTTGATCGTTTGAGTGCCCAGAAAAAAAGATTCGAGAAGCACAAAAAGAGAAAGCAAGCCGAAACAGAAAAGGAAGCAAAGAAACAAGGGCAGACCGACGGAGCGGATGGAAAAGAAAATGACAAAGCTCCCGTTATCGAACCCGGCCTAAATTTTGTGGAATGGGCCGAGTTCAAAGCCTGTGGGAAAACAGTTGCGAAGTCTTCCAGTGTTATTGACGTACTCGTTGGAGAGCCGCAAATGTTAGGTGGTTTCTTTCAGCATTATCACAGCAAGTCTTTCACAGAAAAGGACATTTCTCATCGCGTGAAATTAGCTGAAGTTCACCATACGCAGAAAGGTGAAAGTGGAGGTCAAGGCTCTGGACGCGCGAATTCCTCAGATGGGAGAGCCATTCTTCCAGAACGAATTAGGATTCACTCGAGAGAGATCATCAGAACCCTCAGCATAGTCCATGGCTCTGGGATAACATCAGATGACGTATCCGACGGCTCAATAGTTATGCTCCGTCCTTATCGCATGTTAACATACTACGAGAGCGAAATTCGACAGTGGCATTCGCGTTTGGAAGAAAGATTTTCAGAAATTGAGTCAGGGGCTGAGAAGAAGCTCGTGACTGACACTGAGAGACCACTCAGGGACGCGGAAACAACCGACGGTAAGTCATTTCTTTTATCTTCTGTTCTTCGTTCCACGTATATCATCAGGGCAAATATAAGCTTCACGAAGAAAAAGCTATTAACTTGCCACTCCCAGATAACGGAAATGAGGATAAAGACTCAGCAAAACCAGATGCAACTGGAGTCGCAGATCCGGAGGGCTTCAGTAGTTCCAAGGCCGCTATGGAACATTTGGCATGCTTGCTCAAGTTCATGGATGAATACGTACAGAAAAGATTGCAATATCTACACAGTCCAAGCTGTGACAAGATATTCTTTTCTGACATCTGGCAATTGTTCAAACCAGGAGACCAGGTTATGTCTGCTGATGGGAAGCAGGTTTACCAGGTTTTCAATGTAACTTCACCACCTCACATTGGCAAAGACAAATGGTCCAGGTTTGCAAAGGAGAAGGATGAGTCTGATGAAGCACCTCCCAACGAAGACTATGTCATCCACTGTGTGTTTGTTCACTTTGATGGCTATCAAATCGGTCCAGTGGTGAAAGACGTTACTATCTCGAAGTTCGACGGCGAAAAGGCAGTGACGTCTTTGAGCATCTATCCTTTGCGATGCCACGTTCGGTTGAAACTGGAAAGGCAGATTATGACACTGAAACCGACTGGTGATGAAGTTGATCAGGCTGTAAGAGACGGCGTCACAGAGCTTCGTGAAACTCTTGTCGAAAGAGGCAAACTGTTTACCGAGGTGGCACATGTCAAGCACATGTATTACTCAGGACTAACCGTTGACACTCGGGACGAGGTTCAAAGTCAGGTTATGATCGATTTTGAAGAAGCCTTCCTGGTAGAGAATAATAACAATTGGAGACCGGAAGTCAGGCATTTAATCGGCATGATTGCAATGTCTGACTCTACAACTACTGACGCACCATGCGAAGCACTGTGCTGTTCAAAGGATACGGTGCACAACGATATCTATGTGGACAACAAACGTCATCACGATTTCATGAAAGAGATGCTAAGAGGGGTCGAGGATGGCATAGATGACTTGCCGCCAGCCTCTGTATATCCTCGCCCAATGGACACGTCTGACACAGGGGGACGTCCTTTGACGGAAGATGAGTTGCTCATTATGTCGTATTCTGTTTTTGGATTCGTACTCCGTGATCGTTCTTGGGGTAAGTCAACCACTATTTCTCATCAATCTTACTGTTGACCACCAGGTTGACAACATCTATAGCCAAGTTGGATCTAGCGCACCTCACACATGTTACCGACTCCGCCGAAGACGCTCCTACAGTTGATGATGAGACTGAAGATGACAAGACGGCCTTTGGTCAGCTGGTTTTGCCATCAGGCCATAAGAAAATGGTTCTATCACTCATATCTCAACATTTTCGAAACAAAGAAACGCAGCGAGAAAGGGACAAAGATGAACAAGTTGACATTGTTCGTGGAAAAGGCAAGAGTCCAACATAGTTGAAAGCTACTTGTTCGTGGATATGTTTCTAACAGCCGCATAGGAAAGGGACTCATCATTCTCCTTCATGGCGCCCCAGGAGTAGGAAAGACAACAACCGCCGGTAAGAACTAGACGAGATATTTACCTATTTTGATAGTAAGGCCTGTGTCCATTTGACTAACAACCACGACAGAGGGTGTTGCCGAGAAGTTCAAGAAGCCTCTATTCCAGATAACCTGTGGTAAGTGACATGCAGTTGTTGCATATAGCGTCATTTTAGTCCTTTCTCCTATTGCCCTAAAACCTGAGACCCTACTGATAACGATCGCAGGTGACCTAGGATCGTCCCCTAAGGAAGTGGAAGACGCCTTGCAAACCAACTTCGCCCTCGCGAACAGATGGGGTTGCATTCTTCTCCTCGACGAAGCCGATGTTTTTCTGGCTGAAAGACGAAGGGATGACTTTAATCGAAACGGATTGGTTGCAGGTAAGTCCTGGTTACCTTAAATTAATTCTAGAAATGCAGAGTCTTCCAAAGCTGACATGACGATCCACTATAACAGTGTTTCTCCGAGTTCTAGAGTATTACGCAGGTATCCTATTTCTCACCACAAATCGCATTGGGGACTTTGACGAAGCTTTCGCGTCTAGAATTCATATGAGCCTTCATTACCCACCTCTCAAGCTCCTTTCGACGTCAAAGATCTTTGATCTCAACCTCAAGATGATCAAGAAACGATATCAGGAAGCTGGCAGGAAGATAACGATTGATGTTGAACAAATACAAGGCTACGCCGAGGAGTATTGGGAGCGAAACGTAAAGGCACGACTGAATGGTCGTCAAATCAGAAATGCTTGTCAGACTGCATTGGCTCTCGCAGAGTTTGATGCTCAGCCGGAAGGTAGCAAATATGATTTGGCAGTCAAGTCAGATGCCAAGGTCCACTTGACAGTCAAGCATATTCAGACCGTTTCGGATGCTTACCTTGAGTTCATCGAGTACCTCAAAGCGGTTCACGGCACCGATGCAGAAACTCATGCCAATGAGGCAGGTCTACGGGCCTTGGAAACAGCATATTTGGCGATGAAATCAAACGCTGGACATAGAGGAATGGGGTCTACTGGTAGAAACTCAGAGGCACCACAGAACCCACTTCATGACTTCAGAATTCAAGGCCACTCACAGCAATCCCAAACGCAGATACGACCGGACGCAGGTAAAATGGGGCAGCAACATCACCAAGGGCCCTCGTATGACCCAAGGCAGGCTTCGATGGGATCATACAGTACCCCACCGCGGATGGGTGGTCCTCAGCCAGGCATGGGTTTTTATGGACAGGCAGCTAATGTTGCGAGTCCGGTCTATCAGCGAACTCCAGAGAATATGCAAGCTTCTGAGCAGTACCATTACTCTGGAGGTCAACAACATCCCTCACTGTATCAGCAGAGGTCGTATTCTCCATCTCCATCCGGTTCAAACGCACAGTCTCAGCATATGACAGACCCTGCCACCCATCCAAACATGCCCTCGACGTACAATGAACCATTCAGACAACAGGATCCGAGGATAGGAGGTGTGTAGTCTACATTGCGTATATAATCTCACTTAGTTCTATCATATAGAAATAAGAATGTTATTGCAATAACTCAAGGAGAATGAAGTTTAATCAATTGAAGTAATTGTTCTTGGTTTGCCCACTAGTAATCAGTTTCTGTGATAACAGAATCCCACTCCTTCATTATCTCCAAGATATCCCCGACTTTAGCCCCAATCTCTTCTACCGCATCTTTCCCAACGGGTAAACGAAACGGAATAGTTTTTCCCTGTGCACAGCCCTCTTTTTTAACCAAGTCCAGCACAACCGCAACGAACTTTTCTGGGTTTCCAGGCTGCTTTAGATCTCCGCCATGAAGGTGGCCATGGTGAGTCTCAGACGCCGACTGGTAGTCGGGAATCTGGCTCTGCTTTGCCCGAAGGTGGCCTGTTGACAGAAGAGGGGTTCGAAAGCGTCCAGGTTCCATCAAGAGAGTGCGAAGACCGAGAGATTTTGTTTCATTGTGCAGACTTTCAACAACGCCTGATTGTATGTTAGAACAGGAAAGGTAGACGGACAAGAGTTAAAAGCTGACCTTCAAGAGCAAACTTTGATCCCGCATAAGCTCCAGTAAACTGATGCCCGACAAAGCCAGACAAAGAACTAATGAATACCATGGTTCCTGCTTTCCTGGCTCTCATATGCGGAAGCACTGCACGCGTAACCTTGATCGGCCCGAAGACATTGGTTTCGAAGGAGGAAACAAATTCATCATAACTAGACATGTCAGCATGGTCAGCAATATTAATAATCAGTAAGAGGAATACCTGAGATCCTCCCAAGATCCAGCAGCTACAAACCCAGCATTGTTTACCAATACATCGATACGCCCATAGATAGCAATGGCCTTGGCGATGGTTTGATCAATGTTGTCTTGCGTATCAGTGACATCCAGCTCAAGGACAGCTGCTCCTTGACTGGCAAGTGACTCAATCCTTGCACTGTTTCTGGCAGTTGCGATGATCTTGTCGCCTCGGGAAAGGATTTGATGTACAAATTGTGAGCCAAAGCCGGAGGAGCAGCCAGTGACAAGCCAAACGAGCTGAGACATGTTAATTGATAGGACAGATAGTGATGAGTAATAACCATGTATAAGAGGTTTCCGATGGAAGAAATGATTATGAGATATCCTGATGATAGAAAGGAACAAAACTTGACGGGAGATGTCGCGCTTTTTATAATATTCTAAGGATTTCTCAAGACAAAATTTATCAAAATGATTTGGGACACCGGGCAGAGAGCGGAACAGTCTATAATGGGTGGGGCATGCGGGAACGTTAGCGTTGGAGCGGGCAGAGCGGAGGCGGGGTTGATCTTGCTGTAGACTTCAGGGTAAGCAGAGCGGACAGAGCGGGAATGCAAAGTCGTTGCGGACAGCCAGAAACACACGAACGAAATGTCTGGTCTTCCAAGTGGGTAGCAGAGAAATTGACATTGGAGATTTAAATTAAAAAAATAAATAGCCTAAGAAGTATAGTCTAGGTAGCATAAAGTGGCTTAGTAATTCAGTCTCTTTTGCTCCTAGCGGCCATTATTTCTAGTGCGCGCTGATGCCCTCTTTTGGCCCTTTATCTTACAATAATGTCAGTTTAAATGCCTGTCCTTTTCCAAGCATGAGAGATATTTATCTACATAAGATTCATTAGCGCTGTCAATTTCGGACGCAGTAAGGTAAGTAAGGCCTACCGCAAACAGCCCACTCAGACTTGAGCACTCCAAGTGCTTGCGTGATGGCTTCCAAACCAGCTATCATCTCCGCATCATTGTTCTCCCTGATAAACCACGCGCACTCTGTCGCTGCATGATACAGGCAGCCAACCAAGATGGGCGAATGTGTCGGTCTCTTTCTTTGTTGTTGACTCGCCGAAACTATTTGCCTCGACATCTGTGGTATTGTCTTAGATACAATGTCTTGGATGGTCGCCAAGGATATCCTTTGCATTTCAACCTCAGCGGCCAGTCTTTCCCGTGACGTGCTAAAGCTAGGTTCGTTACACGCATATTCATTGTATAACAGAAGTCGAGCTAAGCTGCACAGGGACAACGCTGCATGCAAAGTCCCATGCGTCGTCGTGATCTCACAGTCCTTTCTTGTTACGCCCTGGTCTAACGCTGCTAAGACTATGTGTAGCTGTAACGCCTCGGCAGTAAGTTGGACTGGGTCAGTATCCTTTTTTCTTGCTCGTATGTGGCCAAGAACTTTGCCAAACATATGGACCGCTTGGCATACTCTAGCAAACTGTCCCACGGACGAGGGCGAATGGAAGTTGCGCGTAAATAGTGCTTCGTTGAAACCTATTCGTCCATTGTTCCAATCATCGTCGTTGCAAGGAAGAAGATCATTCGTGCTTGGTTCTGGAGCAGCCATAAGGAGTTGCGGGGAACCTGCAACGATAACTCTAATACTTGTCAATGATAAAGTTCTTGTAAGACAAATATCTGAACGAACCTATCGAGCATTAAAATCGCCCACCAAGTTCGTCTCTGCTCTTCGCATAATGTCCATGTTTCCGGTTCCACAAATAGCTGCTTTGCATCTTTTTGGCTGTGCAATCCAACCATAGTAGCTAGACGAACGGCCTGTCCTATTGTTAAGTACGCCGCAGGGTAGATACCATGACCGAACTCATACAATGCTACCAAGGCGAGAGTCTGTATCAGTCGGATGTTGATAGCTCCCCCATTCTCAGCGATAAAGCTACCATGCTTTACGTTCAAATATGAAGTGTTGCTTTGTGGCAATATGGTATGCTCATTAGAGTCATCACTCTGAGTAACGAGAGCCTCAAGGGCTAAAAAGACCAAAACATCAACAGAGCCCCGAGTTGAATCTCCTAGATCTTTTGCCGTTTGCTGTAATCGCTTGACGCTCAGCATGGGGAGCCACTGGTGGATGGTAGTCTCGTAGTGATCTATCAAAGAGCCGAATGTATCAGCAGTTGTAAAGCGTCGTTGCTGCTCGATAAAAACCGGGCCGTCATGTGTTGTCAATGTGTCCCTCGATATTGGCTGGAATAAATCGGAATCCAGAAAGTATGAGCACGGGAAGTTGAGGGTTCGGTGCATGTCTAGTTCTGTTGCAGGAGTTGTGCGATCTTGACCCGTCCCGCCATTGCTAGAGGTTCTTAGGTTTGGGTTGGCATGTTCTGTTCCATAGTTGCATGTTTTACCCAGACGAGTACACTACATAGAGATGTAAGATTTAAATGCCCATGGGAACAAAAGTGAGTACTTACAAGACGGCACGATGGGGTATCTTTTGAGCATCTACGCTTAAGACGTCTATCGGCCAGTTAGTTGCAAAAGACTAGCTAGTTGAGACAGGATCCGGTAAGTACATACCTACATGCCTCGCACGATGTAAAAGTATTGGCTGGCGGCATATTGGGTATTGGACTAATATGGATACAAAGGCAGAAGATTATGCCAGCAAGAGTTGTCAATAGTGGAATGTAAGCGCGGTGCGGGGTTCATGAAGAAGCGTTCAGCTATGATTGGGCAAGGTGGAGAATACGGAGAGCTATAAATAAAGCTGATAAATGGAGCCCTCTGAATGACTAGTCAAGCAGAATTACCCCAGATATTTCTGACTATGTTAACTAACATCTCGGTCCAACTTACTCGCACAGGAAACCTCATGGGCAGAGAAAGAGACAGCCAATTAAGCGCTGCTGATCATGTCGGGGATGACTATCACCAATCAAACTTGTCATTTTGGGGTAATTGTCACAGTTGTTGGTGATTACATGTCGTGGCCGCATTGGTGGGCTAGTGTAGTTGTCTCTTTATGCGGGAGCTTACCATTATACCATAATCCCTGCGAGGCAGTATCTAAATCACTACAAACTATCGCAAACTGCAATCAAGGCTCGATTTCAAAAGATTATAATCATCACCACTGCCATTAGATATATATCGAAAAGGGCAGTAATAATGAGATTTAGCCCTACAGAGGTATAACTCGACTTCCAGAACGGCGATGGGGATATTGCCAATATGCACGTACTGGTTGTGTATTCTTTGCCTTTGTGTTACGACCAACAGCCCGGCCTTGTATACCAATCAACTGTACACACGATTCTAAAGTCCTACATCTTCGACCTGTTCTTGGCCGTTTCTCCACTCACCTTTCTTGGCACTCCCAAGAGCCAGATCATTGACCTGGCCTGGTTGTATGTGCGACGCCAGCCATCATATTATTATTAACCTCACCATCCGCACCGAGCTATGTCCATCATTCCCAACGATAACACTCTTTCTTTCCGCCATTTTGCCAACTGGCCATTCAGCCTTGGGAATGCTGCTTCCTTGTGTTGACAGATTGTAGGAATTATCTTGTCGATGCTATCATATCACACAACCAGATCTATATTACTCCCACACCTCTTGAAAAACCCGAACTCTTTGTTATGTCCTACAGTTACCAGACCCCACAATGTCCAAACCTGGAGGGCCGCATCATGATGCTGCCCAAATTATCAGAGATTGACGCGAGCTACACAACATCCCTACCAGTTGGAACCGGGATTTACAACCACCCCGTTATTATCCTCTCCAAACAACGTTACCACGGAAAGGTCGCGGTATTTGTTGTTAGTCTGCCTACTCATTATAATACATCGTGCTCTGCCGTGTAACATGGCTGATAACGACTGCTATCTAGTTGACAAGCTTTGACAGCACACCAATTCAAAGTCGCCATAGGGATCCCTCCCGCCGTAATTTCTACCTCCCAATACACCCAGCCACTCATCCAGATACCAGCTGCGTTCTCACTGTTGCTCACGGAAAGTTTATGAAAAAGCAGTCCTATGTTAATTTCAAGGAGATGCACGAAATTCCCTTCACAGTTCTTCGTCCCTGTTGGCGAGATAATGATCTTCACTTGGATAGAGTATCTTACAAAATGCTCGTTGTGGAGTTTTGGAAGAACAATGTTGGCGAATTGACCGTTGAGCTCAGGGGACACGGTATATTGGAGCATACAGCCCAGCCGACGTATGTCCATGTTCCCATACCGACGTCCAACCGATATCTGTATCAAGGCCAATCCCAACAGCCTGGATATCAAACGAGTTCAACCAGGATATTCAACCCTCCCATCTCGGAGTCTTATGGGACATTTGCACGAACCTCGACAGACACTATCCAACCGCAGAATTCAACCCCATATCCGATTGCTCCAACAGCTACTGCCGCTAGAAATGCTGCGCGTGTTCATAATTATCCAATTGCTGCACATCAAGTCCGGCAATCTAGGCTCGCGAGACCCAGTCACATTATGCCACAACAAACCCAGGTTCCAACGTATCAGTGGACTTACAATCAGCGTAACAATGACGCCAGCGGGTCCAGTTGTCTCGGATTCATCGTTATTGTATTTGTCTTTTTAACTGGCTGCTACTATTACGCGAATAATGTCGGAGCAAATTAATGTCACATGAGCATAAGGACTGGGCGAGAAAACCGTTCGTGTGAAGTTCTTCTGAAAGGTCCTTTAGCGGTTTGTGATTAGGACTTGAGCTTTTCCAACTCCCGCTTGATCGTCGTTTCTTTTGTATTCAATCACTTGAGGGTATCACATATGGTATCTAAGCTCTTTATTTATTTTCAACAGTTTTATAAAGTTACAAAACAGGAAACGGTCAATTTCGATAGTGGACGACATGGATATCCTTCTGCGTGCTCCCGTTAGGTGACAAATAGGGATATATAGATTTCTACTCTAGTATTTTTGACATAGCTGTCCTCCACTATTATCCTTCTTGCGTTACATCAGCCACAATGACCTGGGTAAAACAATCACGACATTGGCTCCACAGATTGCTAATCGATGGCGCGACCAGCAACTCCAATACATTAATGCTAGATGAACGAATTTTTATTATTATCCCCTGTATCTCCTCGGAGACTCATTGAATTTGAATCGGGCAATTGCCTCATATTAACCTATATAGGCAATTTTCACGTCGATATTTATCGCGATGTGCCACTTGATGACCCAGGCTACTACGTAAGGCGTATAAGGGTCTCACCTAGTTTAGTCTTTTTTTTGCCCCTATTTGGTGTAATAAATCCTTTTGCAGGGTGTTGTAATGATAAACAGTTGTTTAAATACTGCGGCGGCTCTGTATCGCAGTGCTCAGTACATCTTACTGCCGGATTTTATCATCACTACAGAGAGAACAGGCTGCATAATTCGACAATGTCGCCTCAATCACCGGCTATCGTCCCTTCGTCTGGTCAATCAGAGTCTCCTTCTGACAATGGCAGCGTTAAAGCGAAAGACACGGTAGATAACGGATATACCAACGATTCTGTGCCTCCCACAGCACCAGCATTGGCAGCACAACAGGGTCAACGAATGGAAGGAGCAATGGGTGACGCTATTCTTCGATTTCTCCGAATCAGAAAAACTCGAAAGGACCTTGTCTACGATCTCGATGCGGTACGAAACTTGTATATCCATGGTACGACGACATGATTGATGTCCTAACTTGAACTAGATCGCTACGCAGCCAAGTATTTGGGACTCGCCAGACCTTGAGCGATACAAAGAACTCTATATCCACCCACAGTGGGAGAATTGGTCCGCGTTCGATCCCAACTTCCGTTGGACCTGGCGGGAAGAGAATGAAGTGCGACGCAAGGTTGACTGGAAGATTATGGTAAGCAGAGTCTAAGAATAGTCACGGTGTGAGACTAACATTGATAGATCTGGGTATGTGTCATGTTTGCAGCCTTGAACATCGACAGGAACAACATTCAGAACGCTGTATCCGACAACATGCTTGATGATTTAGGTATCACGCAAGCTGACTATGTGAGTTGCTCGATGGCACAAACTCGCCCTAATAGTACTGGAAGGATCCAAGACAAAGTGCTTACCTACTGCAGAACATTGGGCAAACCATCTCTCGTGTCGGCTTTCTCGTGGCCGAGTTACCTTCCCAGCTGATTTCCAAACGGTAAGTCACATAGCTACCGCGAATTCTTCAGCCAAGCTCACGCCTTATCAGCATTGGTCCAGATATGTGGATCCCAATCCAGCTTTGCATCTTCAGTCTTATCTCAGCCATGCAATTCTTCTTAAAGGGCCGTGCATCCTTTCTTGCCACCCGCTACTTGATGTAAGCTTCTCCCGAGTCATGGCGACGAGCCTTGCTAACTTCTCAGTGCCACTTTTCAAGGTGGTTTCATTCCGTACGTCACTTCTTTGCATGAAGCATCTGTCGCATATCTAACAAGCCCCAGCGACACAATTCTCTACCTCAGTTACTGGTACACTGGCACAAGAGTATGTTGGTTCGGCCCGGAGCTCACTCGAATTGCTAATGACTGTTTTAGCTCCCAATCCGGCTGGCCTGGTTCTGGATGTCATCTCAACTTGGTATGTGATAAGACTAATGTTGAAACCGAATACTTACAAGAATGATAGTGGATATAGGCGTTGGTTTTGCGGCCGTCGGCCTGTTGTCTATGCGAGGAATGCTTGGATATGAAGGCTGGAGATGGCTGTTCCTTATTGAGGGTGCCTTCACGTGTAAGCACTTGATTGATCCTTCGAGCTGACTTTTTCTAACATCACTATAGTCCTGATCGGAATTGCATCCTTCTTTTTGATGCCTCAGTCACCTGCCAGGACCACGAGCTTATGGTGCCCCAAGGGTTACTTTAACAAAAAGGAACAAAAAATCATTGTCAACTCCGGTAAGCCCATTAACCCCCATTAGTAACGTCCCATTTTAATCCGCTCCAGTTATTCGAGATGACCCTCAAAAAGGAGGCATGTACAACAGGCAAGGTTTATCAATCCGACAAATCTGGGAGTGCACCAAAGACTACGACATGTGGCCTCTGTATGCTCTCGGCTTGCTCTTTGGGCTGCCCAAGTATCCCGTTAACCAATACCTCACGCTATCCTTCCGTGGTCTCGGCTTCAACGTCATCGAATCCAACCTGTTGTCGATCCCGTACATTGTTGGGTCCTGTATCACGATGCTGGCCATCACAGCCTTCAGTGAACTTGTTAATAACCGAAGCTTTGTGTCTATGGCGGAGGATGCATGGTTACTTCCGTGCTTCGTAGCACTGATCGCCCTGCCAGATCCAATTGGGCCTTGGGCTTACTTCGCAATTTCCACTGTTCTGCTGTCATTCCCCTAGTAAGTGGCTTTACCGATGAAGGTTGATTATTCACTAACAATATTTAGTACTCACCCGATTCAAGTCGCTTGGACCAGTAGAAATGCTGGGTCAGTGCAGAACAGGACAGTATCTGCATCGTAAGATAACCCTGCATTCTACTTACCACCGCTCCTAACGACCTGCAGTCTTTACAACATGTGGGTTCAAGTCAGTGGAATGATAGGGGCCAATAGTAAGATTTGAATCTACCTTGATAAATCAATCACTAACAATTTATAGTCTATCAGCCTGATGATTCTCCCCGGTACTTTAAAGCAAACAAGGGCCTACTTGTTATTTGCATCTGGATGTGTGTAAGTATTTTCACTTCCGCTAGTGCGTACCGCGCGAGAAAAAGTCTCACATCATATCAGCTTGTCCAATACCCAGGTACATTCTTCTACTACAGGTGGCGGAACTACCAAAAGGCCAAGAAATGGGACGCCATGACGCCAGACGAGCAACACCAGTACAGGACAACCACTTCCGATCAAGGCAACAAGCGGTACGTATTTATTCTCTAATAACCTTACCAGTTAACTGATTTTTAAAAACAGGCTTGACTTTCGCTTTGCTACCTGAGTATATTCGTAACGCGAGGAAGGATATAACCTTGTCTCGAGTTAGTTTTCTAAATATAGACAGGTTGTAAAATAAACTTGGCATATTGGAATAAATAGTATTGCTCTTATTAAGTATTTTAGTAATACTAGTGAGATCATTTAATAATATATGGTTTATACACCTCCCATTAGCTGTAAATTTGGGACAATGAACAAGACAGACTCTAGTGCAAATGGCGTAAATGGTCGGCGCAAGGTCTGTCAGGTAAGATCCGGGGCGGTAACATCGTACAGTAAGCGTGGGATTGAAAAAGTAGACAAAATAGTGGAAATCAGTCACCGCCAGACAAGCACAAAGCGTGGGGGATGTTCGGACAAGAGTCATGTTCCTGAGATGCTGTAACATTGTGTCTAATCCCTACACTCACAGCTTCACCCGCCGTGACACACCGAACTCTGCCCTCTCGGTATTCACCATTTCCGGTACCAGCTCCTTAACATTCGTAGCCCCCACCAATGCCATATTTGTTTCCACTTCTGCTCGGAGAATCTGAACCAGTCTGTGCAAACCTTTATCCCCATACCCTGCACACATAGAGTAGAGCACTGGACGCCCAATACCCACTGCCGTAGCACCCAAAGCCAGGGCCTTTATGACATCTGTCCCACGACGAATACCGCCGTCGGTAAAGACCTGGAACTTGTGGCGAATACTTGGAGAGAGCAAATATGGTGCATATCGACGTATCTCCAGCAGTGTAGTCATTGGAGACTGCGCCGTATCCTGTGAGCGAACCCCGTGGTTGGAGAGCACAACACCATCTAGCCCGTGGAGGTGTGCAAGGACCACGTCCTCCACCGTCTGGACGCCCTTTAGCACTAGTGGGAGTCCTGTAGCGTCTCTGATCCATTCAATGTCATCCCAAGACAGTAAAGGATTGAGTAAACCTTTTGACGAAGATTTGGCAACGCCTCCTGCGGAGGCAGTAACTGTATCATGTCCATCCGCGGCTCGAATACGGTCGTCACGCTCCCGTTTGCCAAGAACGGGCGAATCAACAGTAAGGAAGATAGCAGCAACCCCAAGTTTTTTCACTGAGCGTAGTACAGATTTGGTATGCTCTCTATCGCGGCCTGTGTACAGCTGGAAAAATAACGGCTGATTTTCTACTGATCGCGCATTGCACACTGATTCCCAAGACGAGCTTGTGGGCATACAGTAGACCAGTCTCTCTTTACCAGCGACAGCGGCCATGATGCACTCAGCGTTGTGGTGAGCATATCTCCCAATGCCTGTTGGACTGAAGTAGATGGGTAGCGAAACAGAGCAGCCGAGGATAGTAGTTCCAGTGGAGACAGGCTCAACCTGACGAAGCACACGGGGACGAAGGAGGATCTGGCGAAAACTGTGGAAAGCATCTTCAATAGAGTATTCATCCTCAGCGCCAGAAGAATAGTAAGCCCAGCCTGTCTGCGTCAAGAAGGACTGGGCAATTGTTTCAAAGTCGGCAACGCTAACGACAGTATTTAGCGCGGGGTATTTGGTTGTTCCCTGATTTTTGAACTTGGACGCCTCCTGGGGAAGCGTGGTGGCATCTACAGTACCGAGACACGCTTCTGGTGATAATATCCTTGTCACTAAATCTGGTTCATGGACCTCGTCATAGGAAGCAGTCGCGTCTTCCCCTGCCGATTTCAGAATAAAGGCCCTACCACCGGGGTGCTCGCTTAAAAAGTCTGTCGCCATGGTTAGCATACTGTTATAATAAGGGTCAGAGAAGGCTTACCAGTAACATCCCACACAGCACCGTGTATCACAATCCAGCAGGACTCTACTGTGTTATGTTGGGCAACTTCGTCCCCGGGTATGGTAGCCATTGCATAGAGTGATGATTTAGAACAGATATGTGTATACTATCTTCCTCAATGTGCGTCAGGCCTGCTGGGTGTTTTAAATCGCTTCCACGACAGACTCACCTCCGTCATCGGTTCCACAGTCTTGGTTAACCCCCACGCCATATTTACGGCTTTCTGTCCGACTGACAAGGGAAAGCCACACATTCAAGCTAAAGTAGTGGAATCTGGGGTAATTGTGCCCCACGTTCTGATGCGTGGGGGTCAGACACTTGAACACCAAGTGCCGTAACTAAATATCTACTACTGCTATCCCAACTTAACTCCCATCTTATTACCTTACCGGAAGAGTTCCATTGCCATAACTTAGCATCTTACAATGGACGACAAAAAAGACGCAACGTCAGAACAACACAAATCGGTCAATCCCACGCAGGCCAAAAATAGTTTGCTCATGACATCAAGTCAGTCGCGATCATAAGTGATACGATTGCGGTTAATGCAGAGGGTTTAGTTAGAAGGACATATGTATAAAGAATCATAACTAAATATATAGAAAAGATTAGGGTTGTATATCTCAAAGGATTAATTCTTTTTTTTTCTTTCTCTCTCTTCTTCTAATAGAATGACATTTGATCCTTCCCGTGATAAAAGCTTATATAGGGTTACCCTATATCATTAATTGATCGCTTATATCTGTGGGTCCTCGTACCTCAATAGCTCGGCTGTTTTGATTGGAAAGTAAGACGATACTTTTTTAGTAATGTCTTAGAACTTGTGGCCCAGCAAAGCCATACGATAATCTCGTAATATGTCAATTGCGTACTAATGGAAAAGGTCACGTGAATCAAGTTGGAGATTAGATTTCTGCTACGTGCGGAAAGTTTGGGTGAGCTAGTCTGTTCACAAGCTTTATGACTAAAACAACCGGGTGTGATAGATGCATTTTTTTCACGCCGTAGTTTCGACGGTTTCTCCGAGCTTCTTTACACATCATAGCAACACAATTCGGATCAGAAAACAATGGCGACTACGAAGTTTCGAGTCGAAACCCGCATCAGCCATGGCATTGCTCAAGATATGGTATCATCTTTGATTATAGGCAGTCAAGCAGCTGTGCTCGTTGATGTCCCCTTGACTATTCCTCAAGCAAAAGAGCTTGTCCCATGGATCCGCTCGCACACCAGTCTGCCATTAGTTACGATATTTGCCACACATTTCCACCCAGATCATTATCTTGCCGCTCACGTCATCTTGGTGAGCTTTCCTCAAGCCAACTTGTATGCTACCGAAAAGACAGTGGCTTTGGTAAAGGACATCATCGAGGGCAAAGTGTGTAATCACCCAAATCAAATAATCGACTAGCTAACTTCGAACCAGACTACATTCTGGAAGTCGGCGCTGGGTGATGACAACATCGCCACATCGCCAATAATCCCTCAAGCCTTTCTACCGACCTTCTTTTCGCTCCCAGGGGACGACATTGTCCACCTACTTGGGCCTGTCAACGGAGACAGCCCTGAGCAGACTATGTTCTGGATCCCCTCTATCAAAACATTGATTGCCGGCGATGTCGTATACGGTCACGGAATGCACATGTGGCTCGCTGACCTTGATGATCCGTCAATGACGAAAGCATGGCTTGACTCTTTGCGATTAATCGACTCTCTTGGCGCAGAGAGAATTATTCCGGGACATGCGCTTAATGACCAAGAAGGTTTCAATGGAACTAAAGACACTGACCACACACGAGCATATGTCAGCTTCTTTCAAAAGGAGATAGAGTCGAAACCGAGGGATGCCTTTACGCCAGAAGAAATCATTGCTAAGTTTGACGATGCTTTTCCTGAGTTGGCAGAGGCAAAAGAGGACTCGACCTCGAAGCTTTTACTACAGATCAACGCTCAGCATTTTGGCAAGGGAGGCCAGCGACAAAAGCACGATATTGATCTGGTTTCACTCCAAAAGTCTTACAACTCGACCTGGAATTTTAGCAAGAAATGACTCACGATGACCTAATTCAACAGATCACCTGGCTGGCATGGATAAGTGCAGATTGAAAACAGACCTATATTGGCCACCAGGATGACATGTATTATTACAGAAACCTCACTACACTTGAGGCCAATTAGAAGAGCATGGAATGGTCAAAACCAGTTAAGACATTGGTGAAGTTGTCTTTTGTGTTCTCTGAATCCTTGAACGTGTTGCTGAAACGAAACTGCCAACAAACAGCGTACTAAAGTCATGACCAGAACAGACGAGATATAGATACTGGCTTGTTCTGGTATCTTGTATACAAGCAAGATTACGATCTGTATAATTCCAATGGTTGTTAAGTAAATTGGTCGATTTAGCGCCAAGATCAAGCCATTGCTGGCACGTCTAAATGATCAAGTCACCCTGGATTGCAGATAAGAGTGCCTCGTCGAGGCCACTCTAAAAGTTAGCAATCTGCTCCCTTGCCCCCATAGCCTAGACAGGTTTAGAACATCCCCGGCTTTCTAGGGTTGAATCATTATTTCCGGAGGGCAAGACGCTACTTTAGCGAGCTTCAAGTCAAGACAGCTACCCGAGAAAAGGAGAAAACCGACTATCCTTAGTTGATCCTTCCTGGCAGCATGATCGATATACCCGTAATCTCGACTGAAAATGGTGGTTTATATTGTTCACCATGTTGGCGAAAATTAATATTTGTGGCAAAAAGAAATGTTTCAGATGTGATGTCGTGGTGGTGTGCCAAAGGACCTCCAGTTCTTTCAACCTCGGATTTTACATTCAAGTAAGTCCAGGGACTCGTTTGGTAGAGGATTTGTTGGCCCGTGGAATGATCAATCATTTCCTCAATTCCAGGGCAACGAACGAAATTTTCTCAATTGAGTATCCGGATGCTCCGCTTTGTCTGTGGCGCTAGAAAGTGGCGGGCTGAGATGATATCCCTCCCTGCATAAGTGTCACTCAACAACGGACCAACAGAGACATTATCATATTATTGACCCATAGTCTAAGGACATCATTTGCAGACACTAGACGTTTCTCCCCACCTCTAGACTTAAAAAGAATATAAAGTTCCCTCTAATCATCTCCGTCGCGTTTCCTAAAATTCTAGTTTAGAAGCCCTTAAAACTTCGCATCTTTGGCGGTATTCTGGAATCATGAAGACTCATATCTTTACAACCACTCTCCTAGGAGCAGTAGGTATTGTCACAGCGGCCAATCAAGCATCCATGGATATGGATTCTTGGTGTATTACGTACCTGTCTACCTACCTTGCTCCAGTTTCCAACCAAGCTAGCGCATTACCATCGACCAAGCGAGAGGCGGAGGAGTCAATTGCGACAGACTCTCGTAGACTCCCACTCGTGCCATCTATCCCACTTACGTTTGGAAGAAACACTTCAACACCAATGACTCGATCTATTTTGAGTATGAGATTTGAATATTTATTGCTGACATGGGATTGAATTAACATTGTGACAGGCGAAAATAACCAGGATGCGTCGACTTTGGATACCTCGCTTATTTCTCTGCAATCCACTGACACCTCTCGTCCTTCTCCGGTCAGCGCTGAAACTTCGGATTTAAATGTTAAGCCAACTGGTTCACTCACCGACGAACTAGCTACCACTTCGACATTGATTCAAGACCTAAGCTCTACCGCTAGTACGAATGTCTTCCCTACTTCGAGTAGTATGACTGAACCTGCCGGACGATCTATTATCTTACAAGTCTCCATTTCCGACAATGAGAGACGTGTTCGTAACAAAAGAGCAACTGGGGGCTTTGTTGGCATTGATAACCCTGATGTCTGTACATTTGCTGCCATCTTCAATCTCGCCGAAGGCCAGCTCTTCGATGGAGGTGTGCCAATTTACTATTCAGGTGAAGAATTCAAGGACTTAGCTGGACAAGGTATTCCTTCTGGGGACTCAATTACAACAACATTTGCAACACCTGATAAGTTCCTTGTATTCAGGAACTCAGGTCTACCTAATGGCGATGCCGGCTTCTGCCAAGACTCTAATGGCCAAGTTTATATTACTTTCACTGAGAGACCTCCTGGATGTATACCAGTTAATTTGGCTGTTTATAACGGTAAGACCATCATTTACGCATTTTACCACAGATACTAATTCAAGTTATAGTTGAACAATGTCAAGATGGTCGACTTATTGGTGATGCTGACTTGACATCGACACCCTACGATATAGTCACCTCCGAGACGGTGATACCGGAAGCTATCAGTTCGGAAAGCGTCACCAGTATTGAAGGCATATCTTCAGTAGTGGAAACCCAATCCATTGAATCTGAATCTGAGGGCCTTCTTATGTCAACATCTGCAATGGTTTCTTCCCGCGAGACTGATTCATCTGCTAAACCCAGTTCTTTCACTACTACTATCCCCACTTCAGGCATCGCTCCTGCGCAATCCTCCATTTTTTCTCAACATCCGTTGCCTCTAGCAACAAGGAGGCATCGTCATCTATTGACATAGACGATTCAACTGTTCTTGAAAGTACTATATCCACCCTCAGCGAGACAACAAGTCCTAGGACATTGGACATGACGTCGGGGACTATCAGCAGTATCGACATATCTCCTATAGATACAACTACTACCGCGGATACAACTACTGCCAGTGAGCTCGAAGCAATTAACACCGACAGCACAACCACCGAAGACCAGCAAACTACCGATAGCCCAACAGTCACTGAAGATACTACTAGTGCTACCCCAATCCCCACATTTGCGAACCTTCCTTGCAATGATCTTGACAGCCCATATCAAGATCCTAGCGGTGTCTCTTTCGATATTTTGTGCAATAATCAACCACGTGCCTACATCCCTTTGGAAAATATTCAGACAGACAGTTTTACAGCATGTGTAAAGTTCTGTGCTGAGGACACCCGATGTGCTGGCTTGCAGTATCTGAAGAATACACGTCTGTGTGGCATGTTCTCGAATAGTTTCGATGGCTATGAGGAGACAACTGAGATCGATGTTGCGATTCGTATACTAGACGACGGGAGTCAAATTACCACCAACAGCGACACTACGACAGCCCAAGATCCAACGACTATTGCAGATACAACTACCACAGCTCTCTCAACGACTACTGCTGCAGATCCAGTTCCCCCATTCGTGGAAGCTAGCTGCAATGAGGTCAGCAGTCCATACGATGACCCTATCGGTGTTTCTTTCGATGTTTTGTGCAATTACGGAATATATGGCAACGATTTGATCGATATCCTTCCTGGAAATGTATTTACAGCGTGTGTGAGGCACTGCGCTCTGGACGACCGATGTGCTATCGTGCACTTTGATAGGCCAGTAAGCCTGTGTGTCCTCTATTCGGACTTTGAGGAATATTTTGATGACATTCAATTCGACGCTGCAATTCGTAAATCAGGGGACGAGAACCCAACAACCACTGAAGACACTACAACTACGGCTCTTTTTACAACAACTGATGCAGACTCCGTTCCCGCATAGGTGAACGCTACATGCAGGGATACAGAAACATTTACAGAATGCATGAGGTTGTGCGCTCGGGATGATAGATGTTTTGCCTTGCAGTTCGACCTGGACGCACGTGTGTTATCATCAACGCATGAGTTTCAGGAGCCAAGGCGGTAGTGGGTTCTTAACGGCACGAAGAAGGGGGGTTAATAGAATCAGTGATTATAATATTGCAATAATGCTCGCTGTGTAAATAATACGCAGTGCTCGGAGGACCCGCCTCAACTTCAAGCGTCTCTATGGCTCTGAGGCATAAAGAAACAAGATTAATTGAAACATTTGCGCAATGTTTATAAGCCTATCTGTCGAGTTCCAGAGGATTTCCACCACTTCAAGTGTTTCAGGGAGGAATTAAAAGTTCAGGTCTTCCAATTTTGTCAATTCTGTCCTCAAGATTTTTAACAAACTACTCTAAGAAATAACACCCCAGCTAGCGCTTAAATACCTCTCAACTTTGTTCCATTCCTCGTTAGGAATCTACCTCCAATTCTTATTGTGATAATTACCAGCTGCTAAATTGATAAACTTTTACAACTGATACATTCACCTTTTGTCTTGATGTTTCACCCCTATCACTCCTACATACCTTGCAACTACTTCAGATAAATCAGAATGATGCAGAATCAAACCCCAGGCCCCCAGAGAAAGCACACCCTCCAAGCATGCGACTTTTGCCACTCCCGGGGGTTGAAGTGTCATCGCTTATCGGTTGAACTACAAACTCAAGAGATCTTTAACGTGTGCCTAACTTGCATTGACTATTGTGTTCAGTGTACAATGGGTCGACATGTCAAAAGGCGCGGCAGTAAGCCCACTGTCCCGAGGGGAGAGAGTATGGAGACACCCTCCAGGGTGCAGGCAGATCCCCAACCGCTTGACTTTAAGTCGCCCGCTTGCATACGCCGTCTGATAGAGATCTACCGAGATACTATGCATCAATGCTAGTATGGCTTTCCTCCGCCTTCTATTGATACCATTGCTCAATATGTCCAGTTTCCCGTTTCTATCTGAGAACGACCTCGAAGTGCGGTGGGCCAATAGCATACCTCTTTAGAATGAGGTCTCGTACATGCTGTTGATGGCACTATGCGCTGTCAGTGCTCAGAGCTTAACTCTCAAAGCCATTTTCGATAACGCGTTATTAAACGACGCCAACACTCATGAAAGCGAAACATACTTCACTGAAGCTGTATCTCATGTACCCACACGTGTTCCTGACTCTAATGACTTGGGCTACTTCAGGACATTTGGCTTTTTAGCTGTTTACTCTCTAAAGAGTGGAAACAAGGGCGATCTTCATCGATATCTCGGGTTATGTCATGCCCTAATCGCTCAGAATGGCTTACAGAATGAAAGCTGTCTGCCAAAACAGAATATTGGAGAGAGGTCGCGATGCCCGTTCCGAGGACGTCAAGGTATGCCATGCTGACGGCCAGCAGCTTCCGACGATATGACCAGTTGAGGGGTTCTTCAGGGTCGGAGCTTGGACGTGGACGAGGACAATGTCTTTGTGTTCGGAGTCATGAGGTCCACCGGAGTTCATCCCATTGACATCAATTAGATGAACTGTACCAGGGACATCATCGTGATGAATTGAAGAATGGTCCATGCTGAGTTGATTGTAGTAATGACTACAGCTTGAGAAATGCCATTTGACAAAATAAGTTCTGGAGCTGGCCTCAACTTATAAGCTTAAAGGCCGATATCAGCCAAGTGCCATGCCCAGATAATCGGGATGGATGCTTGCAATCTACGATGATACAACCAGGGACGTTTTGGCAAGGTTTAATTTTAGTCGGCCACTAATGAGGGGAAGAAATGACTTGGTCGGGTCTAATAACTGAATCAGAGCTAGTTAGCTTGGCGACACGATAATAACAGCTGCTCAATTAATTATCAGCTGTTAATTACCATTGGGCATTGCCTTGGGTAGCGGGGTAATAACAGCTTTTAATTTTGGGACTTGTACATGACCACATCTCAACCTGTAAGTCAGTGAGACGTCCAATATTTAAATGCGCCTTGATTACAAGAGTTATGGTTATTCACCATGTTCTATTTACTGGTTCACTTGAGAATTATACATGTCTACAATCTTGTCTAGACATCTTTACTCCCCAGAGAACATCCACGCTGCAATGGCCATTGATAGTGGAAACAAGGCGAGTTACAACGCTTACCTTCATCGACTTACACGGAAGGTGATTCTCTAGGTGCTGTCCATTGCGGATGCCCCCATTTCAGCTCTGGCATCAGCTTTTTCCCAGGGCCATGTCAACAGTGTCGAGTTGACAGTCAAGCATCTCTTGAGAATCGCCAAGTATGATCGGCGAACAAGTCACCTCAACGCTGTTCCCATCATCAACCACGATGCCTTCGACGCTGCTCAAGAGTCAGACCAGCGTCGTGCATCAGGTAAAATGCTGGGGCCCCTTGATGGTATCCCAGGTACTATCAAGGATTCATACAAGATGAAAGGCATGACAGTAGCAGCTGGCTCTCCTGCTTTCAACGATCTTATTGTCAATGAAGATGCATTTACTGTCCAGAAACTCAAAGAGGCTGGTGCTGTCCTCTTAGGACGAACCAATATGCCCCCCATGGCTGCGGGAGGTATGCAGCACGGCGTCTATGGTTGTGTAGAGTCCCCTTACAACGAAGCCTATCTCACAGCGGCATTTGCGTCGGGATCTTCAGACGGTTCTGCTACAGCAACTGCAGCCAGCTTCGGCGTGTTTGGGATGGGTGAGGAGACCATCTCGTCCGGCCGTTCATCTGCTTCCAACAACGGCCTAGTGGCATACACATCTTCCAGAGGCTTGATCTCAATCAGGGCCAACTGGCCTCTATTTGCGACATGCGACACCGTCGTTCCTCATACCCGCACAGTTGATGATATGTTTGCTCTTTTGGACATCATCGTGGCAAAAGACCCCAAGACATCTTGTGACTTCTGGAGCGAACAGACCTATGTCAAACTACCAGAAGTTGACACCATTCGACTGAAGTCTTTCTTCGATCTGTCCGATCCCAACGCCCTCAAGGATAAGAGGGTTGGTGTACCGAAAATGTACATTGGAGGTGTGGACTCTGACCCAACCGCTAGAAAGGTCCATACTCGCCAGTCTGTCATTCAGCTTTGGACCTAGGCCCGGAAGATTCTCGAGGGACTTGGCGCCACAGTTATCGAGACAGGCTTTCCTCTCCTCACCAAGTTCGAGAAACCTGAGGCTTCTGGCAATGTCTCTGAGACTCCTCCTCATCGGAACGAGATTGATATATGTCAGCTCATGGCATACACTTGCGATGATTTCCTGGCTTCGAATCAAGATAACAAAATTGCCTCAACACTTGCACAGTTAAAGTCATCCACCATCTTCCCTCATCCGCCTGGATGTTTGCAGGACAAGTACGACTCCAACGATCCTCTTGTGCGACACACAGCCGTCGTGGCTCACATCACCAATGGTCGTGTCCCCATTTTTGACATTCCAAACCTCGACGACGCGCTCAAGAACCTTGAGGCGACGCGAAAGTCCGATTAAGAAGACTAGCTTGACGACATGGGTCTTGACACAGTTGTTTGTCCTTGTAATGCTGATGTAGGCAAGGCCGACGCGGATGTCAACGAGCAATCCGCCAAACACGCGTGGCTCAATGCAGTCTTGTACTCAAATGGCAACTGTGCTATACGACAATTCGGCATCCCAACCGTCACTGTGCCTATGGGTGTTATGGCCGACATTGGAATGCCTGTCAACCTCACCTTTGCCTCCAAGACATGCGATGACAACAATTTGTTTCGGTACGCGTATGCTTTTGAGAAGCATAGTCAATTACGTTAACCACCATCGCGGACACCAGAGCTGGAGACAGACAATATCTCACGACGGGGAAGTATGTCGCAAATGGGTCTGACAGCACCTCAATTGAGCATCGAAACATCAGCTTCTATCATTGACGGACAGAAGGTCATCACCATATCGGGCACGATTAACAAGCAGGAAGTCTCTGAGCTGAAAGCCCATGTCGATGGTGAAGAGATGAATCGTGTCAACATTGTCGATGGGAAATGGGAGGTCAAGTCATAGTTAAACGAAGCGACTAGAGCCAGACCAGAAGAGATCAGTGTGCCAGATTTTGAGTCGACAATGCTCATCGTTGTAGCCACAGGCAAGGACAGAAGGTCAACTGCCAAGATGGCATTTGTTTAGCACTTCTTTTGCGTGTCTTAGGTATCATCAACGGCCTATGAGTTTAAATAAAATCGCAGCAAATCGAATCATCAGGAAAACATCGGTACTGTGGTCTAGTTGGTTATGACATCTCGTTAACACCGAGAAGGTCCCCGGTTCGAGCCCGGGCAGAACCTCACTTTTTGCGCCCCTGGCGTTGAATATCAATAACAACAACAAATAAAGAAGCACCCATTTCTTTGAAGCCAACATGCGCTCTCGCATTGTCTGTAGCTTGATCGCCGTCACTTCGCTCTTGAGCGGTGCAGCGGCTGGGCCTTGTAAGCCTTCAAGAACTCTCACGCTGCCTACTTCTGCTCCTGAGGATTCCAGTTCAAGCACTTCCGAAGTTACCTCGTCAATCGTTGTTGATACTGCCTTGTCGCTAACGCTGGACACAATACTATCAAGTGTTACCGACGATGCTTCTCTATCAACTGCGTCTGAATACGTCATCACCTCGACCGATATTTCCTTGTCAATGTTAACTGATGATGCTTTGTCATTCACGACTGATACTTCAAAGATATGGACATCAACCACCGGGACTGCTGCATTGACTACTGAGACCACGAGCTCCATCGAAACCTCATCAAGCACTGGTGAATCTTCTACTACCATCAGCGAAGCGATAACGACCACGGAAATCTCTACAATGGCTACCGAAGCCATTACAACGACTACACAAGCAACCACCACAAATGGCGCACCCTCAGTCATACCTACATTTTCTCTTCAAGCTGCCGACTCAGCCGGCAAAGCGTTAACGGTCAAATAGCCCGCTACGCAAAGGGCTCTTCTTTCTCCAATATCTACCTTACTGCGGAGTCGAACAGTTTCTATGAGACAGGCGACTTTCACATTGAGACATCTACGAACCGTCTCATGGTTGGCGACAAGTACGCTTCAGTTAGTACATCAAGGTCAAACATCCTCGCGGCTCGAACCGCCACCAGCGTCACCACAAACAACTACCTCTTTATTTCATGCACTCCGCCTGTTCAGTTCGGACAGAAGCTAGAATGTGTTGTTGAGGGCACATCCAGGACCTTGTTTTTTGTCTCATCGTCCGAGGAAATACTTGCATATATATACCTAGTTGCACCAGAAAACCCTTTAGGTACCACCGTTACTGCTTTGAGCCTAATTGTGGTTGAGGTTTAATAGCTTAGATATAAGAGCATTGTATTTTAGTATAGATCATAGAAATTAAAACTCTTATTAAGGTAAGAAGTTAAACTCTATTAATAAATATCTTATAAATAATAGCACTAATAGCAAATATACTGATATTTATATACCGTAGCTTAACCTCAAATTGGGACGTTTATATTTAAAAGCTGGCATCCAATAACCCTTACTTAAAGACGAGACTGATTCTTTAACCCCTTACTCATATACATATGATTCGGTTTGTAAACTAGATGATCCACCTCAGCTGTGTTGAGGCAGCTTGGGTCCGAGTCCTGCATCAAATTCTTAATACCACACAATCGCATTGTGGTCTCTATCTCGTCGCGTAAAACTGATTCGTTTACCTGTCAGTACTAGCAAGTTGTGTGTGGGTAGACAACATTCACTTACTGTTAACAGCGTGCTCTACGCCCAATTGTCCGTAGTTGACGGCATACATGAATGGTCTGCCAAGTCCAACCGCAGAGGCGCCCAGACAGATAGCCTTGACAATATCTGATCCTCTACGGAAACCGCCATCCACCAGAATCTCCAGATTTCCAAAGACCTCTGGGCAATGAACATGAAGTTCCAGTAGGGTAATTATCGCAGGTAGCGCATTGTCGGCAGCTCGTCCACCATGGTTACTCAATATGATGCCCTGGCACCCATGTCGCATGGCCAGCTTTGCATCTTCCCAACGCTGAATTCCCTTGACCACAATGGGAAGGTTTGTGATGCTCCGGATCCAGGAAATATCGTCCCAATTCAACGAGGGGTCGATGAAAGCACCTGTTTGCCGAGCAAGCCCCGCACCCTTGGCGTCCCCTGCATTCGCATTCGATTTAACACGCTCATCAGCCTCACGCTTGGACACGACTGGTAGATCTGCTGTAACAAATATGGCCTTCACTTTACCCGTAGCAATGCCTAGGCGGAGCACCCTCTCTGTTTCTACACGAGCCTTGTTGACGTAGATCTGGAAGAAGGCATGTTCAGTAGTGGCGTTGAGGATCTCTTGATGTGGATACGATGCAGGGGTTGCAATGCATTGGATGATCCCACTACTAGACGCTGCTCTTGCCAACGCGAGCTCGCCATCAGGGCCAGCTGTTCTTACTGCGCCAGTAGGCGCAATGAAGATAGGCAGATCTAACTGACAGCCAAAAAGAGTTGTTTTGGTGTTGACGTGCTGGACGTTTCGCATAACGGCTGGACGGAGCCATATCTTCTTCAATATGGCAAGGTTGGCGTCGCGCGTGATATTGTCATTAGACCCGCTGCTGATATAGGCCCAAGACTTTTCTGGCAGTGTTTGGCTGGCTACACATTCAAAGTCGTGAAGATTGATGATATCGCTTAACTCTGGCTTGGTAGAAGAAACTGTGTGATGTACCACATTAGAAGATATCTAATATGGAGGGTTGGCAGCTAATCAATTGATGTTGAAAGTTATTGGGTTTGTTATGTAGTAGACTGACCATTATTAACCTCCTTCTCTTTATGAGTGCTGGATGAAGATACTTGACTCGACATGACTGCAATGGACTGCGTAGTAGATGTCAGTGGATTTTAGCAATAAGGAAAATGAGATAACAGAGTGTTAATTTGATTCGGAAGACAAGAGCAAACTCGGCATGTTTATTTTAATTGGAGATTTGGGTGGTTTAAAACGCAAGCGGGAGGGGACGACAAAAGACACTAACTGCCGGTACCATGCTCAATTGACTACCCCAGATCATAACCTCGGGAGGACAAAGGCAAAACGCGGGGTTATGTGGGCAGTAAACAGGCTCGTTCTATCATCGTTACGATATCATTCTAGAGTACGCCATAGAATCTCGGATGATAGCCGAGAATCACGGAAAGTATCCGACCAGACAGGTCGGGACTAGCTCGCACTATTGTGTTAAATGGAATGGAAGTCAATTCGGCAAGATAGCAGTGGATGCGATCGACTCAATCAAACCGCATATCAACTTTCCACAGGATAGGTATAGAAACAATCCAGAAAAAGCTCATCAACCATCGTCGGATGTATGGTTGAGATTGCTTGACATAGCGTGATCTCAGTTCTGAATCTGGAACACGTCAACACCAACGCGAATATTATTTGCCAGCCAACCAATCATGTGTAAGAATTCAAAATGGAATCAGCCTTATCTTCTCAGGCTCAAGGCTTGTATCTTGTGCCTGATATTATTACATCACCACGGTCAAGACTACCATGACCACTGTCCAGGCCCCCTACAAGACCCTGCAATCTAAAGTCAAGACCATTACTTGAATATTAACTCAAAGAGTTGCAACCACCATCTGGACTGATATTACACAAGAAGATGTTACTGTTGTTGTTATATACACGTCTGCGCTTTTATCTACAGTTAGACTAATTCTTTTGCCTAGTTACTATTTATTCCTCTATTCATACTGTGACTGTCTACGCGACGGCGCCAATAACATGGCCAAGGCTGCCGATGGCGGCAACGGTGTTGACATTGGAGTCGTAGACTCAGGCACTTGCGGTACTGTGTCTAATAGTGGAAATTCTAAGGCGTGACTTCAGGGAAGGTTTTCACTAGCCAATACTATGAATAAATACATAATTCCTATTAAGATAAATGATAGTCTCAAGTGGTATGATAGTGGCCATTATCTATTAACTGAACCAACTGCAGCTATGCGACGTTGCTTCTGAACCTTTTCGGCAGTACGCTGCGCTCGGCTATAAGTCATGTTACAATTTTCCTAAACCATCCTTGATATCCCTCAAGATGAAAAAATGCGTCGTATCGTTCGTTCCGGTTATGTATGGTAGTGGAGTTCACCGCGTGTGATTTTAGAATTTCCGAATCAGTATGATCCTTGTATCGACCAATTAACTCAGTCCGTTCAAGACATCTGGTCTGAGAGCTCGGGCCAGACTGTCAATCGCGGCTGGAATGCAGGTTCCAATGTCCACTCTAGACTGCAGCTTTGGCGATCTTTCAGTTGGGGGCCATTTATGCACTAGGCGAATCGATGTCCAAACTCGAAAGGCGAGCATTAGTTATCTACATGGCTTGTGCTATACCTCGAGAACTTTTGCTTGGGGGCTATTGCATTGCATGAAGTTGGATAACAACGCAAGGCACTATCTATCCAATTGAATCAACGCCTTAGTATAATGTTCGCTTGTGATACAGCGGCGCAGTAATATTGGTTGGCACTGCATATTACAAGTGGAACGATAATCAACCCTGAGATATGTTGAAATACCAAATTCTTCATCTATAAGTATTTGTTTAATTCCCATTGTTTTTGGTTAATTCATCATTATCCAACATCCTCTATCTTCGTATCTTTACCAGACTCTTGTGCAATACCGTCAACATGCTCGTCAACATATTCACTACCACTGTCATCATAGCCTGTGCTTTTTTGGCGGCCCCGGTTCTCGGCAGCCCCATCGATGTCCTCCCAGATGGCCTTGAATCCCACCTACAGAGTCGAGCCAGTGACTTTACGGTCAGATTCTGGGATACCACTCTTTGCAAGACTGAGAGATCCAAGAAGGATTTCAACAGTGGACATTGTATCAAGCGTTTAGCTGAGAAAGACCATGCCGTGAGCATGGTAACCCGAAAAGCTACAAAGTGCCACAGTAAGTCATAGATAACTCCTCAAAGCTCGTGGATGCGCAGCCCCTGCTTACTGCGTTTCCTTCATCAGTGATCAGATATCGAGAGCATGATTGCAAAGGCTATTCTGAGAAGGTTCTTAACCTCAAAGATTGCTTTAATATCGGAGACGAGTGGGAGTCCCTCAAGTTCAAGTGCTAAGCTCACCTGGCTCGACAGTTGATTACCCTGTTGTAGTCAGTTGAACATTCAGTGTCGCATGGTATTCTACTACACTATAAATTATTTAAAGAAAGTTTTGCTTCTACGATTCAGTTAAAATTGATTGAGTTCTATTTGTTACTATCATAGCTTAAAGAAACCATGTAGATTCAGCTATTCACGCGTAATCATCAATATCTGTGCATTTTTTCGCATTATTTCACAAGCCTTAACCTTGCAAGCAAAAAGACTGATTCATTTAAAATAAAACTAATCTAGAACTCAGTAGGGATACCAATACTAATCTCGATCCAAACTACAACAATCCCTACACCAACCTCCTGCCCATTACAATGTCCTGCCCCTTGCCAGCAATATGTTCCTCCATTTCTTCACTCTTACTTTCCTCAATGCCTGTACTCTTCGGGTCATTCCTAGCCAGCCTTGCTAACTGCAGGCATTTGTCGAACCCATATCGCCGGTTCAGCGGTAGCCACATCAGCAAGCCATTGGGCCAAGAGACTCCTGTTGATTCCCGAAGTGTAACCGGGGGCTGCAACAGGTCCCGCAAATGCTTTGCCTTTTTCACGATCAGCCAACCACGCAGACTTGTCGCTCGTACCACCGAGCCAGCCCAGCCGAAAAATAGTCCAGTCGATGGATGTATCATTCAGCTTCTCAAAATACTCTTGAATAGCTAGAATATTGTGGTATGCAGAGTTCGCCATAACCTTGATAAGGGTACCCATGAGACCACGGGTAACGGAGCTTTGATCGTCGGGTTGATAGATGGCTGTCGTACCAAGGGCCAGGATTCGAGAAACCTGGTGTTCTTTCATGAGTGGTACGATGAAGCGATAATAGTCAGCAAATTCAGTGTCCGAACTTGGCTTGGCAGTGCTGGGCCCTAGGAGCGAGATGATGGCCCGGGACTTGGAGATGGCTCTAGATATGGCGTCTCGTTGGGACATGTCCCCTTTGACAACCTTTCTCTGCTGGTAAGCAATTGGTAGAAGATTAGGTATTTGCTGCATGACTTACTTCAAGCAGAGGATTGTTGGAGATGTCCTCGGGAATTTTCGAAGGGGTTCGACAGTAGGCGAGGACTGGAAGTTTGCGATGAAGCAACTCGCGAAGAAGGAGAATACCCGCAGGCCCAGTGGCGCCGAAAACGAGGATCTTGTCGCCAGCCATCTTGTGATTATTGTTGATCTACTGTGGAATGATGAAGTTTTTGTTGCAATACCATGTCGATGTACGGGAGGATGGTCATATTAATATTTATTGAAAATGAACAATCAGGTCAAACACTTACACAGCTGAGCACACTTCGTGAGCTGACCCTTGCAGTGTTTGGAGGTTGATTATTCACAAGGCTACTTTTTTGTCAAGATGACAAAGATTATAATACCGAATCTTTGTAACCTATCCGGTTCATTTCTGCAAAACCTTAGTAGGCTTTGGTGTCACTGCGGACTTGCGGACTTGCGGAGAAACGTACTGTCTATCCAAGTCGAGTGGATTCAGCGTCTGTGATTGGTTGAAGATAAACATCACCCTTGCGTCCAATTTATTTTCGGTTAGCTAAGGCTGCGCTGTGTCTTACTGATGTTGAGACTTGCCGAAAATCCATAACGTCAGTCACCTTTTGTTGTCCCCCAGTCTGAAACAAACTCAACTACTACATTATGATTAATCTTAAATACCATACAATTTATGAATGAGGGACAAATTCTTACAGTCATAATCATTATCTAATATATACGCTTAGGACTTAAGTTTCATTTTAACATTTCAGCATCAAGATACCCTATACACTTCATGTCCATTTTCAGCCATCCTAGCAATGACTGTGAAGGGATTTAATGAGCGCCATCTTTACATTGAGCAACCACTGGGTGGGCTGCTTGCAGATGTACTGAGGTCATGATGTAGGCTTAGTAGAATTTACGTTGCCTTCCATTGCGACCCATATTGAAATTCATCGTAGTCACAGGTGAAATGGTGATGACGATATTCATGTGCCCAAATCTATTCTAGCGGATTCAAAGAGATTGGCAATATCCTTTCAATCAGCAGTTATTACAGGAATGAAGACGACACACGTTTTTTCCTTTCTTTTTTTCTTTGGCTTCTAGAGTTCAAATTGTTTCGGCGGCAGCTACTTAGACTAAACTTCTTAAGTTATCTATTCTTGTAGCTCTAAAGTTGAAGGTTAACTTTTTAACTTCCCACTGGACTAGAACGGGAAAGCGCGTCATCCAATTCAGTCGCGTCGCCAAAAACGCGCCCAAATTGGATCTGAATCCAAAGTCAAAGCAACGCAACTCAACCAGGGAGGCAGCCCTGTATAGAAAAATCGGATTATTCGGTGTATTTGCGTTGGCATCTCTATTACTATGAAAATGGCAATCTACCTCGCTGTTTAGCTTGGCACACATAGTAATATTTGGTCAGCGTTTAATCTAACTGAAATTATAGCCAAAGCCTCTGATATTCCTAAAGGGCTAAAAATAAAATTAATTAATTATGCGGCATGTTTTATTCGCTAGTCACTACCGGCAGGGGTCGATCATGGCACAGCCACCATGAAGTATTGGAAATAGGTTCTGTGATTGGTCTATGTATAGCCAGGCCTACGGCACTCGCTAAGCAAGTCCGTTGGACACGGGAATTTCTTCAGAGTGCCATAATTACATATTTCGCCATACGTCAGCATCTTCAATTATTTACTTGTTCTTCTTGATAATATCAAACTCGGAAATAAACTTCTTCCGTCACTGCCGTCACCTAGAAGAATTACCATCATGGCGTTAATGCGCTGTATGAACACTACTACCTTTGAACTCCATACCAGCACACAAATCGACTTTAAACAACAAGGCTACGGCATCTTATCCCACCGATGGGGCTCAAGCGAAATTCTATTTGCTCAAATCAGTCAATTTGCCCATGAACTGAGGCAAACCAGAAATCGCCATGCCTTGCCGCAACTCGACAAAATACTAGGCGCTTGTATCACTGCTCGCAAGCAGGGTTTGCAGTGGATGTGGATCGACAATTGCTGCATCAACAAATCAGACAATAGCGAGTTATCCGAGTCTATCAACTCCATGTTTAAATGGTACAGAGAGGCAGTTGTGTGCCTGACATATTTATCCGACGTCCGCAAGACAGTTGGCTCGCCCATCTTCCAAAGCTATGAGACTGGCGAGACATCGAAGTGGTTCTCCCGTGGATGGACATTGCAAGAACTTCTCGCACCGTCAAATTTGCTTTTCTATGACACAGACTGGACCTATTTAGGATCTAAAATCGATTTGGCCCAGTCGATTGAGGATATTACTGGTATTGCGGCGCAGTATCTCAATGGTGAGAGGGACTTCCGCACGGCCTGCATCGCAGCCAAGATGAGCTGGGCATCACGCCGCGAGACAACAAAAGAGGAGGATTTGGCATATTGCCTGTTTGGAATTTTCAATCTCCAATTGTCTATCCAATACGGAGAAGGCAAAGCTGCTTTCATTAGACTTCAAGATGCTCTGATAGCCAAGAATGATGAATCATTGTTCGCATGGAAGATGCCTCTTGAAGGGCTAGGATCTACTCTCGAGGTTATACCGGACAACACAGTAGACCTCGGTCCCGAAGAATGGGGTCTTCTCGCCCCCTCGCCGAAATGGTATGAGCACTGTGGAAAGATGACGACACAACACAAAAAGTCTGTCATGAGACAACGAGGAGGATTTACCCGGACGCCACAGGGTATAAGTGGGCCCATCGGCAAGCGGAATCACTTTGTAGCCGCATTCCTGACCGGGTTTACTATTGTCGGAGCAATCCCGTTCCAGATATGGCTGGCCGTACGACAGAGAACGACACTAAAGTATACACTCAACTGTTGGGAACCAAATGAGACTGGCGAGATGCGGGCGGTGAGGTTGCATTTGCGGCCTGTCCGGAGGGATCCCCCAATGTGGATAAGGACAGTCAGTTCTGGATACGATCTAGTTAAAGACGCACCAGCAACGGATTATTCGGCTGTGGGGACGGTTTGGCAACCTCAAGTATATTGAGCATCCTTGGTTAACCAGGGTTCTCGGAACCGCTTCAATCTGATTGGATAATCCCAACTTGCAAGCATGTATATCATACTTCTCAGCGCTAGATCAATTCTTGAGTACCCAGCAATAGACATATGAAACCACATTGTTAAACCTTTTCACAACCATCCCTCACTCATAGTTTGCCTTACGTACTTTCTCGTATTTTTAAATAAATCTTATTCCGAGCATTGTCTCTCTGCTTTGTTCCTAGGCTACGCTTGAGAATGAGAGCATGTTAGAGCTTTCGATACCCTTCAGGAATAGTGCACCAGGTTACGTTATCAGCTGCAAGACCGTCTACGATTCCGTTTCTTTACTCTAGTTGTAGGTTAATGAAATCCACCGGGATCCCCATGTGGGTGAATAGACAGACGTGATAGGTTGTGCGATATATGCACACTTCGTCCTTGTACAAATACTTGTCCACAACACCTGTGATCACCAATAACACCTCAGATCGCTGTTCAAAACGTCCATACTGGCCCATGCCCGTGCGTGTGCATGCCTAGTCAAAAAAAAAGATACAGGTAAAGCAAGGTATAATATACTTAAGTCTGGGCGACCTGCCTTACCCTCTTTCCTTGTTCAATATAGTGTGGCGACACTGAAGAATCACTCTACCAACTCGTTCATTCATTAATAGCTTCCTTATAGAAGACGTTGACCTTTGTTAATGAAGCAAACCATAGATAACAAATATGGCCGGTCATGAACAGATACCTACAGCAGTTTTCGTAAACTTTAGCGAAGGGAAACTAACCATTGAATTGATACTGGAAAGCAGAACGCAGATATAAAATGCTATCTGCGCTATTTTTGAAAAGACCTAGTTGTATCTACTTGTGGCAAAAAGAAATTGAAATACTTCATCTAGATACATTGGCCTGGAAGCTCGTATTTGAAGACGGTGGAGCTTAGAGCCGAGGGCTACCAAAATGGCAAACTGGAACATCAGCCAAGACACACAATTAATTAAGTGAGGATGTAACGTTGGTTGCCAGTTAGGTGTCTCTTATTGGATCAATAGGATCTAGGAGAATAGAAAGTGTCATTCCACATTTGCCCTACGGAGATTTATCCTTAAACAGGAAGCCTTGAGAGGTGAAATGAAAGACTAGCTAGCTATTCTATCTGAAGGATTCCTGGGCTTAGATCATAAAGGCAATTACAATGTCCGGAGGATTCTGGGCTAATAGCAATAAGGCAGGTTTTGAATATTGACCTATGTAAAGCAAGCTCGCTTAATTTACAATGGATATTTGGGTTAAGTAATTATGGGTAAAATCCACAACTTGGACGGCAAAGCAAAGACTTCATCCGGACCAGGTTACTTACTATAAGTGGGGGCCAAGATTCTCTGATGAGGACCATATACGGTAAATGGAGATTCTGAGGGCCTCAACAATACCTATAAATGGGAAGCCATTTCCAAGTGTAACATTCTTCTCATCACTCAGACTTCAGTTCAAAGTTCTTCACTCTTCCAAGAACTCAACATGCATTTCCCATCAATCACCGCCGTTGTCCTTGCCACTTTGTGCACTGGCACTCAGGCATGGCAAAGTAAGACTCCTTCAAGAGAGGTTGTATCTATAACGAAATAACAACCTGGACACAGTTACTGCCTACAACAATGTCGACAACTGCAAAGCCAATCGCGACAGCACATACCGCATCTACTCAGGTGCTACCAATAACGACGGCTGTATGACCATTGACGGGAACATGCCTGGCACCAGCTGCCGTCAGTATTTCAACGGTGGTTCCAGCAATGGCGATTGTTCGAACACTTTGACTGCTCGTTCCATCCTCCAGGAAGCTGGAAGATGTGTTGTCTATGACCAAGCCAACTGCAAGGGTAGATACCAAGACAGCGGTAATCTTAACGGCAGGTCATGCGCTTCCCTGGAGCGCTACAATTGGGGTCCCATCCGCTCCTTCTGGTGCACTGGCTGTAAGTTCCTCGATAAATCATGTTATAATATCTATGCTGACACACTCTTCCAGAAACAAAATGTCACAAGCCTGTATTTTCCTTGGGTGATATTAGAGAGGAGAGTAGGGGTCAGATCAGAATATCATCTATAGGCATGGGCGGACATATTACAATATTGTCTTCTTCAATTTGCTACATTATAAACATAGAAAACCACATTTTCAACTAAATTCTTGTTTTTCTCACTACTCGCATTAAGCTTCGCCAAGTAATATCCTGATTTGACCGTATTCTGCCATCTTCTCCTTGACAAGAGACACATGAAGTAGTGATCATGCATTTTTCCTCGTTATTACGAAAGATTATAAGAAGATAATGATAGCGTATTATCAAGTTTCTAAAGCACTTTCAAAGTCGCCTGTTTAGTAACGAAACGCGCCAATCTTATGCAGCAAAATAGCCGTCACATACTGTACGCAATAAACCTGCTATACTAACCTGTGCCAGTAAATGCCGATCTCCACCCCACAAAAGAGTCGAATAAAAGACAGTTTCAATCTAATCGAGTATATACAGCCTCGTCTTTCTCTCTTTTGTAGGTGGCTCAACAGATTGCGGCAACTTTGGGGGACCAGTGCTTACTCATCTAGTCTATCAGCGGCTAAGAACTACCTATCACCATAAATAGTTATGAGACTTGGGAGCCACGGGTATATGTCTTATGCTGAGCTCAGATTCGCCTTACGGTCTTTAATAACGAGAAGTCAGATAGATACTCAAATATATAAGAGACGAGTTGAAAAAAGCCACGATGAAGGTTGAAGCATGAAGCATCAGGTCTCTAGAGAATGTGTATATCGGAGACACGAGGAGCACCAAGGGAATGTACATTCTTGATGTAGTACCCTTTTTCGTATATTCATTCGTCATCTCTTCCATACTACTATAGCGGTTGCCGTGTTATAGTATCATTGGTTTATGCCATTATACGAGCGAGAAATATTTAACCCTCCAGATGTAACACTCCATTTCTAAAAATCATATCCAGAATCCCGAAAAGAACACTGTCGAAAAAAGAAAAGGCACTCTTACAGTGTATCGATGGGGCAACGTCGTGTTGTCAAAAGCTCCCCACTCAGCCCTACCATGTAATCTCCGAGGCGGTCAAGTCGCATCCAGTTGAAGGGTTATTACCCACGTTAGATCAAGGATTAACCAAGTGCCTGTGAACCAAGGTTCCAATACTTAAACACCAAGAGTCACTACATTCTGCTCAAGAGACTTACCTTTTTCAATGGAACTCACATAAACCTAGCCTTAGCAATGAAACCATCCCTTCTTGGGCAGACTGGTCATGAGAAGACATAAATTGTTCGTCGACGCTTTGGTAGCCCACGAAGTCTTTGCCCTGAACGGTCAGTATGTGGAGCAGGAACTAGGGATCAGACATTTGTGCCGCTTGCAGGAACCACAGGCTAATAAGAATAAGGCAGGTGTTTTATATCCTTCTGCCGTCTTTCAAGCTCGCTTAATTTTTTTAAAAAGTCATTTTGCCTGTGCCGCTGTGGGGATACGTAATCAACACAAGTCTGAGGTGGCTTTCGGAGCATGTTGGCAACTGTAAGTAGGTGACAACAGTCTATAATCATGCACAGCAATACATTTCCCTATTGAATTATGGTCTTAACATGCCCTAGCAAGACCTAAACTGTATAGTCCAAACTTTCACAATATTGGCTATAAAGAGGAGGATGTCTCTTGTTTAGATGTTTCCTTATCATCCAGACCACAAGCAACTCTTCAACCTTATTTCGTTCGTGGCACTCAAAATGCACTTCCAAACAGTCACCACTGTTATCCTCACGACTTTGTGCGCTGGTTCCCAAGTATGGGAAGGTAAGGCTCTTGTTTTGACTTGACCTTCATGCTCTCCTTGTTGATTCCTAGCTGACAAACAATAGTCTTCGCCTACAACAATGTCAATGACTGAAATGCTAAAGACAACACCATGTGCCGCGCAATCCCGGGGGTTCCTAACCTTGGGATTTGTATGAAGTTCGATCAAAACATGCCTGGTACCAAGTGCGAGGAGTTCAGGAACGGTGGTACCAGCAAAGGCGGTTGCACTTCCGGTTCACTGATTCCTCAGTCCATAACCCTGTTTGCTGGAAGATGCGTTATCTTTGACCAGCCTGGGTGCAAGGGCAGATATGCAGACAGTAATGGTCCGGTCTCAGGCTCGTGTTCCGAATTGTATCGCTACGACTGGGGTTCTATTCGTTCTTTCTGGTGCTCGGGATGTAAGTTTATGTTTTCATGGTATACGTTTCAATGCAATCTAACAAAGATTAGAAGATAGACAACAGACAGAATGCACTACTGCAGGTGAAACAGGGTGATAGTAGTATCGCAAGAGCTTGATAAGTACATCATCCCAATGGGTTTCAGAGGATATTTCATTAGCCGAGTTAACCGACTGGCCCCAATATGGCCATTTGAGACACTATAGTCGATAGTTAAAAACACTGGGAGGATTTTGAGAATACTCTACTAGTCTATATCTCTGCTAATACCACTAAAGAATACTGTTCAAGCCCTGCAGATTATATTAAGTGGAATCATCTGTTCCATGCGTGCTACAGGACTTACATCGCCCATTGGGTCTCATTTCAGAACCAGCTCGACTGTCATAAGTAATCCAACAATGATTAGTTTACCTGCATGTATGAAACAACTTCCCATCCGTAGCAGAATATGGTTATCTGCAAACCGCCTGCAGTCTCCTTTCACGATAGCCCTCCATGAGAGAAAACAAAGAAGGTGATTCAAGCAGGGCGTTGTATTTTCGTTACAAACTGTCAACTGCATTCCCTCGCTCAGATGTCTTGTCATGCCACATGCTCTAAGCAAATGAGGTATGGTAGTAGTGTCTTAGCTCAGAAAGACACAATCATCTCGTCCCCTTATCTAGCCAGTAACATTAACTCCTTATCGTTTTGCTCCCAACCTACAAAATTAGTTAGAAAATGAAATTAGTTAAAAATTGGCTCCGTACGATAATCCGGGATCTGAGAATCATTTACACATTAAGACTGGATGACATAGATGACCAGCTCCCTTTGGACAATGCCTGATTCAATTTTGCGGCCCAACCCCGCACTGAATTGATGACTGGATTGGCAGATTGGTATCAAGAAGTTTGAGACAACATAGAAGAGGGAATAATGATAATACTTTCTTATCAGAACTGTTACAACCCTAGCGGCTACGTCACATATACCCCACAATAAACTCATGTAAGGCATCGGCCTCAGTTACCTCGACTAATTCCATGTTTCCATCGTGTTGGAATGTCATGCTAGAACACAGTATTCCAGGAACGCAGCATCCCAGTTACAAGTCATTCACTCCGCTCTTGATTCCTCATACGATCACTACTAATATATATACACATTCATTTTAGCACTAGATAGAACTTATCTTACTAGCTATCGATGAGACTTCTTTGAATGGAGGACATGACGGCCAACGAACGTAGGCAGTGCATCGCAACGCCACCGGGAGCAATAGATATCTAATCTCGCCCGTGTTACAAATAGAAATAGGACTTTTTTCAGCTCGCGACGTTTTCGTCTCCCTGCATAGGTAGTCAGAGCGGGGAAACGCATCGAGAACGATCTGTCTCAGCCAAGACGCTGCATTAACGCAAACCTGTCTGACTGTCGTTACTAATGGGGTGTCATGTCTCTAGAGCGCGGAGGGCCATGTTGATAGAAGGGTGCAATTCGTCGAATATCGGTCGTCGATCTTGACCGGGTGTGCATCCTAAGACAAGCCAGAGTTCATTGTGGCAAGCTGAACCTTTAATGCGGTCAGCAGATTATTGCGGCTGGCTGAAAGTGCACATAACACGGTGAAGGCAACTTCCGGTATAAAACGGAGGTTTTACATTGACGGGATTTGCAACGAAATCCCTACTATAAAAACCCACAGGTCTGTACGAACGAGTCAGAAATACAAAGCAGACACTTATTACTGCAATCAAATCATTATACCACCTACCATAATAACCTTTTCAATTCTTCAAACTGGCTGAGCCAATTCGTCCTTGGTGTGGAGATATCAACAAACGCGCCGCTGCAGCTCTATCATCTGGTGGGAACAACCCAGTCGCAGCCATGAATACCAACACCTCTGCCCCAGGTTCTGAACTTCCCAAGTACTCCTGCCGTACCCAAGAGGATACGGATCCAAGCTTTGGTCCCGCTCCTATTTCCAATCTCGAGGGTACTACTGGTGACAACGCACCTGATAAGCCCGATTCCCTCGTCCTCGGTTTCGGACCCATCGTGCCACGCTGGGACGTCACACCATCCAATGGCACAAACCTCCAGTACTTTGTGAAATTGGACACTTTTCCAGATGAAGACAAGGCAAAGGTTGCAGCCAAAGAATTCCAAGCTGCTGCTGATTCCTGGGCCAAACTCAGAATTGGCCTTACCTTCTCTCAAACCACTGATCGAGAGAGCGCAAACTTCTACCTCGTATATCAAGCCAACACGGAGTTTGACGCGGGATCGCTAGCTCAGGCATTCTTCCCGCACGAGATTGATCAGGATGTGATTGTTTTCTCAGATGCCTTTGAGGGGGATAATACATCTATCTTGAAGGAAATCTTCCAGCATGAAATCGGTCACATCCTCGGTCTTCGACACGAATTTGCCATTGTCCCTGATGACAAGGGCAACGGGCCCGAGGGGTTTGGTGCTAAGCAATTCTTGGGGAAGAACCCCAAATCTGTCATGAGCTACAACATACCCCCCAAGATTCAAGATAGCGATCGCACTCAAACTGTTGAGTTCTACAAGTTGCCCAATGGATATATGATTGGCAGAAGTCCTGTTACGGACTTTCAGCCCAAGATCCGTAGGAAGGACTGATAGATGCTACAACAAGGTAGTGGTGATTGAGGTTTTGATGCTAGGTGTCATGGAGTCCCCAAAGATTGTTTCTTTCATATCCTAGTCCGTATTGAAATCCAAATTAAATACCACTATTGAATCCCCGTATCCTCGTCAGTTCTATATATGGACGTGTTGGTTCTTCAATTCGCTTGGCAGACCTGATTAAGTAAGCTGTGCATTATTGGCGCGCTACCGACCTTACTGATGCTGGAGAAATTACACTCCAGGTCGACTAGTATTTTTGCTGTGGCTGTTTCACTCTCTATGTTGACATTGGTGAAGAAATGTTGTGAGTTTGATGGAATCATACGTGTTCATCCCATCGAGACAAAACGAGAGGAATAAGATTAGATCAAACCAAATTAGATATAAATCTGACTGGAATGGAAAGCGCTTTAGTTGTCTGACCTCAGTTAATTCTTTCGAAACAGACTTCGTTGTTGCATGTATGGCATGACGTACTTTACCAACGGCAGGATAACTTGAGCAGCTCGAGAATCTTTCAGCCGGGTTTCTAGAGCGCCACAACGGGCTCCGCGATTCATAGAGTTTAACGTACTTTACCGGAACTAAAATACGGACTGGGCGTTACGCACTAGCTGGAAGTTGATTGAGATCAACGACTACCGAGACCATGGCTTGTCTAGCGTTGAAATATCGGACAGAGAAGTATCTGGAGCTCACAGACATGAATGGATAGCGCTTGGCGCAGAAAGGGGGTCCAGGAACAATTATCTTCAAGCAATCCGCCTGCCTATATGATGTGTATAGCACCTGAGCACCCACGGAATAACTAGGTACAGTACCCATTGCAACTTCTGGAAAATATATTCGGCTCGTGATGAGGCTAGCGCGGTTCATTTATTCTCCACATCCAGACGGTTCGTTCTAATCAAGAATTTTCTCCGCCACGTTATCGCAACTAGGCATCTTTTATCAGTAGCTTGACGATGTGGCTTGGTCCGGGACTGCACGATTCAGCTTAGACCGAATCTACCGATTGGACTACTTACTAGCTTGCGATGAAACGTTTGGCGCAATTTATTAGAGTTCATTAGCTACAAATGATAATGAAAAGGGGGATTACAGTGTGCAATCACTACAGCGTAAGTTTGAATGGCAGCTTACATACAGTACTAAAAAGCGGAAAGGCCAAGACACGCATTCAATTGTCTCGAATGATATCATGTTATGATGTCGCTGTCCGAGAGTTTGAAAGAAGAGATAAGCTCAAGGTATTTAATTTTGCCTCTGAGATGGGAAATGACTGATCACTTAAATCGATCTCAATTTTCTCCGTAAAGATCCAGATCCCCGTTGTCCGATCGCCGGGACTGCATGACTCGTCCACCTACGGGGGTAGAATCCGATTTCCTTCGGCTGGCTAAATTCTAGCTGCACAATTTGGTTGAAGATCACTAGCAGGGGGGTGTTTTACATAATAGTTATGAACCTGTTTCTCGACATAATTTAATCAACACAAGCATTCAAATCCCAACATCGCGAAGTGACTACAGCATTTTATAACTGGTAAAGTATTCTCGGGGGGACAAAAAACAGGTGACGCCAAGGTGCATGGGATCTTCATGTGGCTTGTTGTCGATTCCCTCTAGAGTACCCAGCGTGGCAATCCCGTCCAGCATCACTTCCGTTTGATTGGAAACATTAGCTTCAGACCTATCTACTCCAGGATTAGTCTCCAGACTACCGCGGATGCTCCAATCTTACCATGGAGACGACATTGTTAGTAAACCACTATGGAACACTCTTGCATTAGTGCATCCTCCTGGGAAAGAGTCTAGGGTTTTTTTTTTGCGCGGCATAAAGGATGTCTCGTTCCCCGTTTCCAGATAGGTATTCAACTATCCACATATCATTTTCCCTTTGTCTTATTTGCGAAACATGCCTGTCTCCGAACACAGGCCGTCCTTCCTTATTGAGGCTTGGACCCTCTATGCCATTGGCACGTCCATCATCTTTGCCCGATTTGCAGTACGCTTCAAGACTGTTGGAATCCGTGGGCTGCAGGGCGATGACTTCTTCTCCATTCTAGTCCTGCTGTTCTATACAGTGGACGCATTTACAGTGCATTTAATTTGTATGCATGTCAACAGCTCCTATGGCAACATTCGCTCACGATTTCTAGATTACCTGGGTACGAATATCGAAGGTGGAGCAGCAGCGCAGTTACATAGTACGTCGATTCGATAATAATGAGTACAAGAGCGGGAACTAATGTTTGTTCAGCATTGACCGCCGATGAGCTCGACCAGTATATCAGAGGTGGCAAACTACAACTTGCAGCCTGGTATGCCTACACGGCACTGATTTGGTCCCTTAAGGGCACCATGCTTTGCTTCTTTTCTCGTATGACAATTGGTACATGGCACAACGTTTTTGTCAAGACAGTCTCTATTATTTCCGTTGTCTCATACGCCGCGGTTTTCCTTACAGTATGTGCTATACCCACAACGTCGGAATGTTTGCTGACAAGATTCCAGATTACCTTTGGATGCTTTCCTTATCACAAGAACTGGCAGTAAGTTTAGATTCCTTCCGATATTTACTCACTTTTCTAACCTATTATAGGGTTCTGCCACCACCTGGATGTACGTTCTATCAATCTCATGTTTGGAAGGGAACTGACACTCTATAGCGCAATGCACCTTGAAGATGCAGAACTTCTTGGTCACAACTGTACTGAACGTCTTGTAAGTTATTACCGTAAGGGCAACAGTTTCGAGCTCTAACATTTCTAGGACTGACGGTCTTATTCTCTGTATTCCCTTGCCTCTTCTCTGGAAGCTTCAGGTCCCTATACGCAAGTAAGTGTCGTGGTTGATCTCCTATTGTAGTTTCGCTAGGCTAACATAGTGTAGGAAACTCGTTGTTGGACTTCTCCTCTCTTCGGGCGCATTCGTTATCGCAGCAGCCATTACTCGCGTTGTCCTCACCCTTTCTGCCAATCCGTCTGCGCTTACAATCAACTCATGGGGTGTACGAGAGACCATCGTCGGAATCCTCACCGTCAACATCCCTATTCTGCGACCATTGTTCTCCAAGGCGTTTTGGACGGGACAGTCTATGACCAACGTCAGCTCTTCATATCAAGCAACAAGCCGAACCCGAGGTACTCGTGGTAATGGAACTACAGACTTGGGCCCTTACGAGCTCACACCAAGTATAAACGAGGGGGCCAAGCCAAGCGACAGAGGGAGCCAAGATTCCATCATCCCAAAGAACATAAAACTGGCCGATATCGTGGTCTCCAAGACATACAATGTCTCGCACGACAACAATGTTGACAATGGATCATGGTACGGCGATCGAAACGGAGCTTCTAAGGCTTCTGTGCACGCCGAGTCCCCTGTATAATAGTACTTTCCACTATTTAGTGTCGGAGTAATATTAGTGATAAGATACCCATACAGATAAAATAGAGAGATTTTATTGTCAAACTCCTCCCACTTGTAAGCACAGTCGTTTAGAAACTATAATCTTGCCAGGCTAGGGCTATACGCCTAATAAAGTTATTATCAAACTCTGTAAGAAAGGTTATATTAAAGAAGCTTTTAAGTAATTCGCGCCGGCTCGATGACGATCTAAAACGAAATGCAAGCCTTCAACCAATACAATATACCTAGTAATAGACATATAAAACCACATTGTCAAATAATTCTGTGTCCTTCTCATTCTTCGCATCCCGTTTCTTTCCTATAGCTTCCGTCATATACTTCCAAGCCTCATCAAGCAATTCTTTAGCCTCATCATCTTTACCTATCTTTTCCTTGACGAGAGACATATAAAACACGGATCGCGCCTTCTCTCTAGTCGCCATGAAGGACTGTTTGAAGATGTTAATAGCGTGTTCCAAAGTCTCAGAAGCCCCTTTAAAGTCACCAGTCTGATAAAGAAGTACGCCAATTTTATGCAACGAGATAGCCGTGACAAACTGTTCACCACAGACCTGCTGTCGTATTCGGAGAGCCCGTCTATGGAACTCAAAACCTCGGTCTATGTTTTGAGCACTTCCTGGGCTATCCTTGAGTGCAAGAGCAAGATAGGAGTTTCCGATGCCGTACAGGAACAGTGCACCTCGCTGTGAGTTCTCAACGATGAGACCATCAGCGAGTTCGTCGCCGTACTCAAACTGCAGCTTGATGGATTTTTCTGGGAGTCCCATCTGAGTGTATAGACGCGATAGGTTGTGAGATATATGCACACTCCAGTCTTTGTATGTATGCTTGTCCTTCACGCCTTTCATGACCACTAGTCCCTCCTTGAAAAGCTCTTCAGCACGATCGTACTGGCCCATGCCCGTACATGCGCACCCCCAGTCCGAAAGAGATATGGCCAAAAGCCAGGTGTGATTTCCTTCGGTCTCTGCTTCCTCCTTTTGCTCCTTCTCGTAGTTGGCTCGGTAGATTGTTACGACCTTAGAGAACCAATCCGCGGACTCTTCCAGTCTATCGGCCTCCAAACAAGTGCATCCGTAGGCAGTCATCAGTTTGGGGAACCAGGGGTCTGTGTCTCCGTTCTGAGCGCATATTGATCTTGCTGTCTCCAGCAGAGGGAAGGCAAACTCAGATAGTCGTCTCTCAAATAGGTACCAAGAGGCGTGGAAGAAGAGTTGAATGAAGCCACTGGGAGGCTTGAGATATGAAGCATCTCTGCATCTGGCCTCCAGAGCAAGTACATGTGGGAGGTACAAGGAACACAAGGGCCAAAACGCATTCATCCTAAAGGGATTCTCCTTGTTGACTGGCCAGACCGCGAGTAGCATAGTTAACGCATCTGCTAGCAGATCGGCTTGTTCCTCCTCACTCAGTTGGTGGAAAACTGTCTCTTGTACTAATCGGTGGACTGTTAGGCTTCTTGCTTTCGTGCTGGGTTGCCCTGCCACAGCACCATACTCAGCTTTGGTGATTAAACTTCGGGAGATGAGTTCTTGCACCGCAGTGTGATAGGTAAATCCAGGCTGGAGAAATGAAAGGGCTGGCAATTTTGACTTTTTGCCAGCATCCCAAAACAGAGATTCAGGAACACCATCGGGGTCGAAGTATGACATAAGACGCAGTAGCTTTAATGCATTTCTGCCAAGCATTACGATGGACACTCGCCATACAGTCGCGAGAGAATACTCATAGAAAAGGTTCGGAGATGACGTCTCCATGTCGGATATCCCCTTGTTGGCTTGATGAGATGAACGATAAAGTTCTTGGAACTCTTCCAAGGTGCAGTCGCATTCGAGAATGAAACTGGAAACTTGGACGATAGCCAGTGGCAGGTATCCTGGTATATATTAGCTATCATAAATGGCACACGAGCTAGAATAGGCTTTACCTAGTTCCTTAATTATCTCCGAGATCTTTTCCTTATTGTGCGTGTCTGAACTGTGGATATTTGATCCACGCGACGTCAACAGAGTGACAAATAGCGTTTCTCCTTCCGAAGATGTCAGAGGAGAGATGAGCATTCCAGAATCGGCGACCCTTGTAGCAGCTGGGTTTCGACTTGTGATGATGATAGCACCTCGGTTACCCGGTGGCCAGAATGGCTTCAATACTTTGAGATCGTCTGCATTGTCAAATACCAGTAACCACTCAACGTCAGACTCGCTCAGCCATGTTTTAAGAACTGTAGAAATAGCATCAGCATCTTTTTGTGAGTCTTCGGGCTCAATGTGAAGACGCTTGGCTGCAGCGGCATACGACTCAGCAAGCTTTTGTTTATTATCAGCTTGCATCCAAAGGACAATTGGGTAGCGATCGAGGTTGTCGTAAGTGAACTTGAGAGCAATTTGAGTCTTTCCTACTCCTCCGAGACCAGAAATTGCAAATGAAGCACGCTGTTGTCGTGAAACAATCAGATGAGCTTTGAGCTTGTCTAGAGTTTCTTTTCGGCCGTGAAAGAGAGGGTTGGCCGAGTAAGGAATTACATGGCATGGGGTGGGGGATCTCGATTGTGGTTGATTCTGGGTCTCTAAGTCTTGTAGAATTTTCCTGATCTCAGTATGCCGCTTGTTCTGTATAAGAAGGTTTGCGGCCTCAATCTGCTTCTCTACAACTTGTTTCTGATCCTGAATTGCGGCACCTGCTTTTGATAACGCAATTGGTGCTGCTTCTATGCCGAGTTTGTGCATCCCTTTATACTGTTAGCTTCCTCATATTCGAAGTGGCAATGAAACATACAGCGAGAAGATTGCTTCGTTTGTTCTAAAGCAGCCAAAAGAAACGTAATGACCCGAGAGTAAAACTCAACGATGCCACTTTCGACATCTTCCATTTCGGCAAAGACCTCATGGTAGGTGCCAAAGTGTGGCACGGAAGAAGAGATACACTGCATAGTTTGATCAAAGATTCTCAGCGTCTCTGAGTTGACATTTTTGCGCTTGTTCAAGTCAGTCGTGGTTCTCTTGAAGCTGGTATATAAATACCTCATTGAGGAGATAGACGCTAATCCAAATTGTAGTAGATACTTCCGGAAGCCATGAAGTAAATGTTGAGAAGAGCTGTATCAAAGTTTTGATATTGCTGATTGTCTCGGGCGACAGCGCAGCTTTGGCCGTTGACGATCTGCCTGCCTTGCCGGGTGGAGTTTGTGATAAAGCATTGATGATCTTCTCGATATCCTCAGGTTTTTGCTTGGCAAAAATAGCACGATCCTCGTTGCTGAGATTTTGTTTGTAGTTTGCTACGGCTTGAAGCCATAGCTTTTGATGTTCTTGGTTGCCCATTGCGATATGTTGTCGCGGTTGAGGTAACCAGATCGTTAGATGTGATTGTAGTTCCGCTTCAAAAAGAGATTGCTTGTGAAATAATTCTTTTTGAGACACTCGACTGTAGATATCGACGAAAGTGATGTGTTACTTTTCAGCTTGTAGATTACTTGTCAACAGGCAATAGATCAATCCAAATTGACTGTACTGAAAATCAACTTGCAATAGAATGTGGATACAGATAGTTGGTAGTCTCTGAATTGCATACATCGATGACTTACAGGGTAACAGTTGGCGGGGCATAAGAACCTACCTGACAGACAAGAGGATGAGGCTCAAGTGAACCCACTGTCCTTTTTGCCCACATTTGACAAGAAATGAGTGGCCTGTTGATTCTGCATTAGCGTTGATTTAGAAGAAAGTCAGGCTGAGAGAGTACATGTACATCAGCGTCTTTTGCCGCTGTAACCGGGCGTAAGTACTGCTGCAGGCTGCTTAATAGATAGCAGGACAAGGCGGGGACGTGGGATGATGCAGCCAATGGTCCAGTAATGTTACGTGAATATGACAGGGATTTATATCCGATGACCCTGTCCACTGTGTCCAAGCTTCCTGTTGTCGCCCCCGCTTCACCGGTGATTACACAATCACAAAGCTTATGCTGCAATCCTTCCATCCATGCAGTTATTGTCACTTCTAGTACGCGGTAGCTTATGTGTATTAAGCTTGTCACAGCATGGGAGGGATCGCCGGTGTCATATCATGTTCCAATGCTTCTGTATGCAGGCTATCAGACCTATAATCAAGTGCCGCACACGCCACAAACATGCCATTTACGCGACCATCCTCTCATAACTTGTTGAAATGTAGCGGCTCGATACCAACCTGCATGGCCCACGAAACATCCACAATATCTTGTGAATTCTCCTTCCGGCTGAACGCCAAAACAAATTGATCCCACTGAAACCAATCAATGAATTCTCTCAAGATAAGCTCTTCGCGTGACGCTGGCAGAAAACCTAGCTTGTCCCCCGCAAAGTGCGTGAGCTTATGCTGTTGAGATGGTACGTCATTGAAGGTCAGTCTCAGGACTCCATCCTTGTCCTTCTTGATATCCAGCGTCATCTTCAAACCTGTGTTATGATATCTGCCCACGTAGTCTTCCAATGAAGTCTCGTTCGACCCCTCACATCTTTCGCGTTCTTCATCGCGATGATGATTGAATTCTGCAGCAAGACGGTTATATCTTTCGTATTCTGTCGTGGCTCTCGCCTTTGATGCTTCTGCAAAGTCAACGCGTGGTTGAAGATCAAACATGGCCTGTGCAAGAGCCTGTGCACTCCAATCTGGCCCATCACCGAGTCCGTATGAGTTTCCCAAAGCGACGATGGCCGAGTTGGTTTCCGGGAATAGATAAAATGATGTCAAGTATCCAGATTGACCCCCATTGTGATAAAAGACTAACCGAGGCTGTGACGTTCGACCAATGACATGCTCGCGCTGAGGGCCGTTGAGAGAGATCATACCCAATTCTGTAGAGGGGATTGTGGCACGGGCAAAGCCCAGCCCATATGTGTTTTCTCCAATGGAACATGTGGTAATGTTGGCTTTGTGCGAGACAATTGTCGATACTTGCTTGAGGGGCGTTTTAGTGTCACTGTGCATGGCTTTCAGAAGAGCCTTGGCCCATTTCATCATGTCGGTAACACATGACCAGACAGCCCCAGCGGGCCCCATCAGAGAGTCATCAGAAGCCATGTCGACAGGTTTCTGCTTGTGGAGCGAATAATCGTCAAGAACAACATGAGGTGCCGCATAGTTGTCATCTAGTAACTTCGTGCGGTTTGTTTTTGTGCGGCTCAAGTCGAGCGGGTCGAGGATCTTCTCCTTCAGGTATTCATACCACGGACGTCCAGACTGCTTTTCAATAACCGCACCAGCCACAGCAAACATGTAGTTATTGTAGTGAAAACCACAGCGAAGGTCGTGAACAGGAGGCAGATAGCTGACAACGTCGAGCAAATCTTCCCTTTTCAGAAGGTATTCGCATTCCACGCCAAGCCAGGTAAGATCCAAGTGCGCAAGCCCCGTATTGTGCGAAAGAGCATCCTGAACTGTTGCTCTTTCACCGATAACAGGATCAATGTTGTTCTTGAAAGGGATGTATGACTGCATTGGTTCATTCCATTTCAGCTTCCCTTCATGGACTAGCAATCCACAGCACGAAGCAGTGAATGCCTTGGAAACGGAGCATAGCAGGTAGTTGGTATCTGAATTGGCAGATTGCCCTGATTCCACGTCTCTAACGCCTCTACTGCGTGTGTAGATGACCTCTCCTTGGTGAAGAACTCCAATGCTAATAGAGGCTGTACGAGTATTGTCCTGGATGGTATCGAGGATCGGAGCCAGGGCGGCGATCCTAATTTCTGTGTCAGTGGTCCTGAATAATTATAGCGACGAATTGAATAACCTTGATTTCACGGCCTCTATTGACAAGTCCAGACTCATTATTGATCAAAGGTAGCAAAGATTGACTTGGTAAGTGAAGAAAAACAATAGAGAACCTCGTCAGTGCCAAAAGATGTATTTTTGAACATCACATAATCTTGTAATGACGAGACTTACCACGCGTTTTCATGAACGGGATCAATGATTGGCTCAGTTTTGTTTCCCCTCACGGTGTACTTTTTACGGAAAGGTTGACTCACCTTACGCGGATAGAGTCAGCCAGTTTCGTTTTCCAGAGCCAGAGCCTGTTCCTACCCATGTCTACATGGCATCAAAAGAGGGGAAATTTCGAGGTTGGGTGTGGTTGCATGGAAGGTACCCTGCCTGTACGGTTTCGGCTCGCACATGGTACCAAACCGCCCAACGCTGCTCATTCATGCGGCAACCAATACGGAAGAAACAAGTCTAAGTGGAGGAGAATAACCTTGCCGTAGAATTGATGGCATATGATTCTGTGAATGAAAGCTGATAACGCCCTATAAAGAGCTGGTTAGAGTGTTCTGATGTGTTGCCGAATAATAAACTAAAACAATTGAAACCTCTGACGATGGAGAAGCCACAAACTGTACAAGCCGCCATTGCGTACATGAAGCCTGACGATGAGCTCTTCAGCAAGGAAAAGCCTTACGTGTCGCTCGTTCCCTTTCTCGCAAAAGGGGCCAATTTCACAAATACAGAAGTTGACGAGCACATCATGGAAATAGCAAACGTCCGCGGCAGGGAGTCAGAGTTTGATCTGGACAAAAACGGATTTGCCTATGTCCCTTACAAACCAAAAGAAACACCTGGACACGACGTTCAGAGCCCCGACCACCCTTACATGAGAGAGATATCCGAATTCTTGAGAGATTATCTGGGGGCTACAGAAGTGACACCATATGACGCAAATGCAAGCTATGATCAAATATCACTCGCCTACAAGGACTGTAAACTAATGCCATGTAGACGAGGAAAGTCGGCGATCCCCAGTTTCTACAGGCATCCTTGTATGCCCACGTTGGTATGTACTTTATCAATCATCTAGTTGAACATGTTCTCTCACATGTCTACAGATCATTCCATTCCCAACTGTAAATGGAGAGTTCAGCAGTTGATGGCCGAGAAAAAGAAAGAAATGCCCAAGCGATGGGAGTTGATCAAGTAAGGCCTACTTTACAACACCAGCATGATGTAATGTAAATTGATATCAACAGCATCTGGGTGCCCATCAAGGGACCAGTCCGAGGTTCACCTCTTGCAGTTTGTGACTACCAAACCGTCCTTCGAGATGACCTTGTCGCTGTAGACTCCGTCTTTCCGCATCGGGTTATGGAAGTTTACCACGTGAAGCACAACCCTTCTCATCGGTGGTACTACATGGAGGAGCAAGATATCGATGACCTACTTATTCTCAAGTCATGGGATAGTGAGGAGGACAAAGCATGCTGTGAGTTGGTCCCGGCTACATATATAGAGCTATTGCTAACTGATCTGACCAGGCTGTATACATACTGCTATCATTCCAGACCCCGACGTCAAGACGATTCGAGAAAGCATTGAGATTAGGTTTATTGTCGAGTATTGATAGTAGATCTTTATGGCTTGGGTTTTAGTAACAATTGGAGAATATTCATTCCCACAAATAAAGTGCAATTTGCTCTGCAGTCGATTCAATTTGATACTATCGTAAATTTCAACAACCAGGTTTGAAAACGAGTGACATAAACGATTGCTTCCATCTTAAGAACCAGTCATGTGTCGAAAGTTGTCAACTCCAAACTCAACACTCCACCTGAGCCACGGCTTCTCAAAAGGTTTGTCTTCAGTTGGCTGCCATCCAGTCCATGGACGATTGTTGCACTCGTTCTCTGCGGCGAGGAATTTCTTCCAAGGCTGTTCGCGACCGTCGGTCAGATCCGGCGCAGCACCTTGAAGGTCCTGGGGCAGAGAGGCGACAGTCTCCTTGCTGTTGCTTGAAGACATGTTTTTATCGTGAATAAACTGTAGTCGGTTAGTAAGAATGTTCATATGTCTCCTCCGCCAGTATCGTACCTTTTTTCAATGACGTTGTATGATGTTGACCTAAGGAACACAAAGCCTGAGGGACGCAGAGATCATATTTGTACAGGATTCTGTATTCATGTCAACAACAATCACACGCGAAAAGACCCATGACAACACCTTTTGAGGCTCTGAAAGTATTGTTGCATGGAACTCACAAAGGTGTGTCAGAAGACCATTGCCATCCCCGCATCTTGCAGCTTATCCGCACATCGAGGATATGAAAGGGTGCACATGTAACGTGTTTTGCTTCATTGAACTACAAAAGGGATAGGTTTAACCCAAGAACCTCTGTTGAGGACGTCAATTACCTCCCTATCCCCAATCACTAAAGCCACTAGCCATGGTACCTCTAGCGCCGATCCTTTTGCCAGGAAAGACACCTATCCCACACTTCATTTACGGCACAGCATGGAAGTGGGAGAAGACTGCGGACAATGTATTGGAGGCTCTACATGCAGGCTTCCGTGCTATTGACACAGCACCCCAGAGTCAGAATTACAATGAGGCTCTGGTAGGCAAAGCACTCAGTACTTGGCTGACATTGCATCCTGAGGAGGATGCGCCGGAGCGGAGAATCTTCCTCCAATCTAAGTTCACTGACGCGAGGGGATACAAGGATTTTCCCAAACCATTCGAAGACAATGATTCGCCCTTGGTGCAGGTCGAGAAAAGCCTCAATCAAACCCTTGCTCATCTGGGCCGCGGAGATGCGGGTCAGCAGCCACTTGATGCCCTCTTGCTGCATTCCCCGCTCGAGACCATAGACGAGACAATGGCGTATTGGGCGGCCATGGAGGCCCATGTTCCCAGCCGAGTTTCTTATCTTGGCATATGCAATGTGTCTTTGCCCACATTTAGCCAGCTTTACGAACGCGCAACCATCAAGCCCGTGATTGTGCAGAATGACTTCCGCCCCGCTCACGGATTCGACATCTCATTGCTGGAGTATTGTCGGAAGCGCGATGTTGTCTACCAAGCTTACGCCGTTTTGAAAGGTAATATGACGTTGTTGGAGTCGCCGCTGGTACGTTGGCTGGCACATGAGAGAGGGATGAGCGAGCCAGAGGCTCTGTACTGCCTTCTTCTGTCTTGTTGGGATGGCAGGCTGTGTATTTTGAATGGTACTAGAAAGGAAGAAGCGATGAGGAGAGATTTCTCTTTGATTAAGAATGTTGGAAAACTGGACAAGTACATCATTGATGGGTTTTGGGAAGCCATGTCTTCAACTGAGTCAATTGACTGGCCTTCCGATAAGTCGGTTTGAGGCCACAAGATAAGAGACAACCAGTGGAAGACTTGAATACAAATTGACAAAAAATATTCGGCTCACATCACGCCCCTACCAGTTTTGCTGAGACATACCGTTCCAAAGCCTGAGAGTGCCGTTACCAGTGGTATAATCTGTCCTGCCGATCCTACAGAGTTTACGTTGCTAATTGAGTTCCACCTAAGAAAAAGCTCGATTATGACAACAAATATTCCGAGACATACCAATTGAATGATCATCAACACCCAGTTGTTTCTCCATCGCGGAACAGGAACCGCAGGAGATGTACTTTCGACCAGGAGCCAATGTTTGATCTCGCGACGATTAACCCAAACACCGAGCATCATGAATGCAAGACGAAAGGCATGCGCAGCCAAGACAACTGCAGACAGCACTTGGCTCATTCTAAGAAACCACCCAAACATGGATGTGGATGAAAAGAAAAAGACGCGCCAATTACATGAAGACAGTAGCTGTTTATCGTTTGTTAGAAAGATCTTGATATCATCCGATATCTACGTCGACTGGAGTTAAGAAACCTACCAGTACATCACGACCGCGGTACCAGAACCATACACTGAGTACACCGTAAGCAAGTAGCAGGAGGGCTCGAAGAAACTCAGCGAATTTAGTCGACCCAAATCCTGATGTTTTCTTTTCTATCAGCGTCTCGATCATGATGGCGAATCCTCCTCCTGCTCCGAAAAAGGTCATGAGAAACACCTCGCCTGTATGGGCAGTATGGGCAGCAATCTTGTATATCGTGGCGACTAGCAATGAGAACTGCAGAATGCAGTTGACCATGAGCGAGTCGATCTAGACACTGTGTGAGTACCAACAAGGACTCTGAGGTTACATGGCTGTCTAGAGTAACAGGACTTACTGTTTTGTCTGGCCATTTGTGATATGCAACAACAGTGGTGAACCATGATATGTACGATGCTATCCGAACGCCTAAACCGTAAAGATCGGCGTCACCTTCAGGTTCGCAGTCTGGTGGCATGACAGCATCAGTTGGAATGTTGAGCGACGAAGTACAAGATTAATCTAATCATGTTCAAGGCATTCTATTTAGGCACGAGGGTAAATATCTAATCTTTCTCAATGGTAGCTCGTCTTTACATCTCATCACGTTGACTACAAGTCATCAAGGCAACCACGGAAAAGTTAGAGGCCAAGAAAGATGGCTTGAAATGTAGTGGTAGGGGAATTCTAACTTAAGCGCCGTCTTTTTCGCTTATGCAAAGAACCCGAAAGAGATTCCGAGCCTTGTTATTCACGCACGTGCTACATTTCGTAGGATTGCCTGTAACCCTTACGGGCCTAGAAGTGGGGGCTACCGTGCCATTTCATATTGTGTGTGGTGGGGGTTGGGGATTGGGCGAAAGGTAGTCTCACCTTGTTATCTGAAGATGAGGTATCTTGTGCACGAGACTTAGGCTTGAAATGCGGCTGAGATAAGACACGTTTAACGCAGTATGCCTGCCATACCTTAACACATTGTCCCTATGTATGAATTGGGCTCATCATGCACTTGGATTGATTGGACAAGGTCACACATTTCAACCGCTCGGAGGCCTCAAAATTTAATGTCTCAATTAGAAAGATACATACTTGCACTAGTGCCAGCTGTGACACGCACCATCACCGCAGCGCTGCACTCGACATCCTTCAGCGAGAGCCTACCTCGAGAGAAAACAAGGCGGGTGATTCAAGCTCGACGTCGTATTTCCATCGCAAGCCATCAGCCGCATTTCCTTCCCCGCACTCGAATTCAATCAGGTAAGACACCCAAGGACGTGTCTGGAAACGTCCTTGCTTCGCTGTCTCATCATGCGACACGTTCCAAACGAACGAGTTGTGGTGGTAGTGTCTGAGCTTATACGATTCATCTCCCATGCTTTGGAACGTCATCCGTAGATCTCCATCGTCGTCGACGCTGACGTCAATGTGAAAGTTATGAAGCTGATTCCAATATCTGCCTGTATATGCTTTGAGTTCCAGTGGCTTGGTGTCTTTTTCTCGTCCCTTCTCCAGCTTATCGTTGATTCTATCCGCCAGCTCTGTGCCTGTCTTAGCAGCCTTGGTAGCCAGTTCCTTGAAATCAATCAGTTTGCGTCCAGGTCCAGACAGTTCGTGGAGAATCAACTGAGGAATCCAGTCGCAAGCATCACAGAGCCCAGTCGAGTTTTGTAAAGTGATGATGGCTGTCTCTGTCTCAGGTAGAAGGTAAACACACGAAGTGAATCCCTGCATGCTACCTCCATGGTAGATTGCGAGACGGTTCGGGCCTCCTTCACCAATCTGAGGCATGGCAGGAAGTAGATGTTTATTGTAATTGAACGCTCCAAGGACAGCTGGTAGCTCTGCCCGACCCCAACCCAGGGCATACGACTGTTCACGAAGAGACACTAGGGTCAACTGGCTGTGAGGACGAAGAATGTGCTTTAGCTGCTTGAACGGAGATCCTGACGTCGAAGTGGTGTTATTGGCAAACTGATCGTTGGCCGCGTGCATGAAGTTGCTGTAGAACTTGACGAGATCGTCTGTGCAGCTTCGGACGGATCCGGCTGCTGCCATGAGAGTTTTCTCCGAGATGGTTGGAATCGGCACCTCGAACGGGGAGCCATCCTGAAGAGGGAAATAGGCCTTGGCTTCATTATCATTGTTTGGAAGGTCATAAGCCGATGTTCGCGTCATTTTCAATGGATCGAAGAGTTTCTCCTTGAAACAGGCCCCCAGGCTCTTCCCCTCTATTTTCTCAATGGCTCTGCCGACCATGTCAAACCCGTAGTTACTGTAGAGGTATTCGGATCTAAAGTCGCGAACAAGAGGCTGAGACGTCCAAGTCTGTATGCCTGTCGACTTGTCGAGAAGAATGTTTCCCGCGCGCTGCAACCACAGACCATCACCTCTGGCGACTCCGGTGCGATGCGACAAAAGGTCGGCGATGGTAATCTGAGAGCCGCGACCGTTGAAGGCATCTTCAAGTTCCGGGAGAATGGATGCAATGCGGGTAGGCCACTCAATCTTTCCCTCTTCGACAAGTATCCCTGCTGTAGCTGCTGTCATGGCCTTGGTCAAAGAGCCGACGAAGTAAGTTGTAGAGCCATTTGGGGCCTTCTCGGCGTTGACATCGCGAAAGCCAAAATGTTTGGCGTAAACTTCTTTCCCGTGTGTGATGACAGACAGTGATAAGCCGGGCGCGCCACCTACCTTGCAGATGCTAGAGAAATGAGACTCCAGACCTGCGAGTATTTCGGCTGTCGCAGTTTCGCTTTCCATCTTGACGTTGATGGAAAAATGTTGTGTAAAGGGTCAATAGTAATATAGTGTGGTGTATGAGCTAAATTGAATGACAGGTGTTTGTCTCATCGGAGAGAACGTGAAAGGAGCAAAGCCATATCAGATCAAATCAGGTACAAATACTGTTCAATTGGAAAGCCTCGGATTTTCTGACGTCAGCTAATTCTTTCCAAGACAGACAAGGTAGCTTTGCCATGCAGCCACAAGTATAACAGGGCGTGCTTCCCCCCCGACAGCGTCCTTGTACAGTGACTACAGCGGAATAAAAGTTTCACTTCCACTGTTTCTCACCGCATCAACTAAACTCACACCCCCGGGATGTCTTCCAACATGTACGACCCCGCGCTGCCGTTGACGTGGAGCATACAGGGAATCTCAGATGATGGTTCGAACAACATATTAATTGTCCCAAAAACTCATGAAGGCTTAGATTTCCCTCCTCTTCATTTGTTTTGCATACTGGATGATGACAGCGAATCCCGAGCTCTATCGCAGGCGTGGAAGACCCACGATCAGCCTGAGGCTACAAGCGCCCGCGACAATATGCTAGAAATCATTGCAGCGCGACTGACCAACTGGAGCAATTCAAGAACCTTTCGACAACTCTTGAAGAGAATCACAATCGGCTCTACGATTCACATATCGTCCATATCAGTCCCAGAAAAAGGAGCGGCGATGTGGCTTGCACCCAATCTGGCGTTGCAAGAACGATATTTGACTCTGCATCGTCTGTCTAGCCTATGGGCCTCTTATTCGCTAGATCTTCCACCAGTTCTTGATATCCAACAGATACAAACAGTGAGAAGACTGCATGATTCCGTGTCCCTTGTTACGACTCCGAATGAGCCCCTCGTGGTTTTCAAGGGAGCTGTTTCTGTGATATCTCGGATGTACCATGAGTTAAGGGAACTTCTTCGGATGCCACACCATCCCAACGTGATAGGGAAACCTCGATATATCGTGACCAGGGAAATACAGGGAGTCGAAGAGTCAGTCGTTTGTGGGTTTATACTAGACTTTCACTCTGGAGGCACACTTCTCGATAGGCTATCGTATCCCTCACAATATCCCCCGATCACCATTAAAGACAAGCTCAAGTGGATTCGACAGATATTACAAGCTCTCCAACACATTCACTGCCCTGGCGGCAGTTTCTATCCTGAGCTGAGATTGGAGAACATCGTGTTATCAGACAATAACGACATCATTTTGGTAGACCTGGAGCAATTTGGAGGACCCGAACGGTGGCTTCATCCGCGCCTTGGAAGAATAAATGAAGCAATTCATGATACATGGGAGCACAGTCGCGTCAATCCTTGTTCTATGTCACCAAGTATCTTCTACTCCAACCCAACGGCAGGCTACATGCTGCCTTTCGCTAGATCATCCGACTTGCAAAGACAGACATTCGAAAACTACAGTCTTGCCAAGGTAATGTGGTGCATCTTTGAAGAGCAAACAAACTCATCGACAAGACTTGACGACAACTCTACTTTACACCCCGGTGTGACACAAATCATGTTTCCGCAGTTTGTGAAGACGCCGGAAAAGATGAAATATTGGATCTGGCTCTGCACACGTTCAAGTCGTGAATGGGGTGACATGAGGTGTAGATGTGAAGATCATCAGTCAGATATTTGTGAGCACCTGGGTGCGAAGCTTCAGAAAACCAACTTGGCTTATGTAAGTCTGAAGGAGACTGAGGAATATTTGCATTCAGTGTTCGACGATTTGGATACCTTGTGAAGGAACATAAGAGTAATGTAAGCTTAGCCCCGGCGCTTACAAGCCCAACGGCTAATGCTGCAGCGGATAAAGTATACAAGGACATTAGAAAGATACAAATAACTGAAAACAAGGATTGAATCACAATTGGGTATTTGAAGGGAACAAGATTGTTTTCATCACGGCCACCGTCCAAGAGCCGTAAGGCAGAACTTGGTAACCCTGCAAGGTGAGGTACTTGCATATTAACACATACTGTAGTTAATCATGATTTACCACGCAGTTCACGACATGACACAAGATGCAATACAAAAGACAATCATGTATCATCGAATTAATTGAGAGTCATAAGTTACTGAGCGAAGAAGTAAATATTAGATCAATAAATACCCTAGCTAGACTGCCTGCCGTTAAATCGTAGATCATATTAGTTGACCTATCACATTGCTTGAGTCGGCACTTAGCGACCCATATACCCCTGATAGCCAACATGGGACTGCTGAATCTAGTTCGCATGCCACTTTTACAGCCAACTACAGCTCTTGTTTTCCTGGAACTAAGCTCGAATCAGTATGATCCTAACTAGCTTCTTGAGACTATCGTTTTTATAAACAGCATTAATTTTAAATCAATTTATAAAGCATTGCCACGAATAAAGGCTATCCGTCGTCCATGGAAAGGTGTTTCCTCCACTTCCGTCTTTGTTGCTCATACACTCGCTTATCATAACGTTACTCGTTACTCTCGTTAATTTTCACGATGCGTTTTATTTCACTTGCCACTGTTCTAAGTGCTGCGCTGCTTCCAGCAGCCAATGCTCGTCCTGCGTGTCGTCCTGATAAGCCGACTACGTCCGAAGCATCTACCACGGCTGTCAGTGTTGAAACTTTTATCACCGACACGGCTACTACCTTGGAAGCTTCCACGACCTACGAGACTACTAGTGCTGTGGAGACTACTGCGTTGGATACAACCATCGAAATATCCGAAACGATAACTTCAGACTCCACCGCTTTGGTCCCAACCGATACTACGATTTCAGAAATTGCGACTACCACGGCCGACGCTACTTCTACTGAAGTCACAACCACTGTCGCCGAGACTACTTCTGCTGGAATCGCAACTACTACAGCCGAGACTACCGCTGCCGAGACCACCAGTGCTGCTGATACTACCACGGCAGAGACTACCACTTCTGTCGAGATTGTAACTACCACCACCGAAGCTGCCACGACCACGACCGCTGCAGCCGCTGGTCCCACCAACTTTGTCAAAAACAGTGGCTTCGAACAGGATCCAAACACCGCCTGGGCTTTGCAAAGCAGCTCAATCAAGAACAGCCCAGGATTCCCACACACCGGTAATCAGTACCTGTAAGTTGTCAGAATCATCTTTTCAAGACCGCACTAACCAAACAAAGTGAATTCACTGTCGACAACGACTTTGCCCTCGGACAGCAACAGGCCACCCAGACCGTCAGCGGACTCGACACCGGCCGTCAACACCATTTGACCCTATATGCTACTATCTTTAGCACCCCACAGCCCGTCGCTAATGCTGCTACCATCTGCTTCATTCAGGCACAGCAGGGAAATGCACTGATTACCCAGTGGCGATTGGACTTTAACAACCTGAATTCGTACCAGCCTTTCGGTATTGACTTTACGCCACTAGGCAGTGACATTTCACTCAGCTTGAAACTTCGCTGTACTAACGGCCAGAGGGTTACTCTTGCTCTCGGCATTGATGATGTTACTATCGAGCTTAGTAACTAGGAAGCAGAGTGAGTTTTGGATATTAACAATGGAAAGTCATCTTGTGTATTTAGTAGTGAACATGAGTGTTTAGTTGACATAACTATAGCTATGTTATTTGTTCACTGAGACAACTTACATAGCGATGTATATTCTGCCTTGCGGTCTCCAGGGATCTGGCTTCTTTAGATAGTAATTTTATGTGTATAATTGCAGTTGTACGAAGTACTAAATGGCTGCTGACCAAGTGGAACTGGAACTAAAATTTGATAGATGTGTGTTATTAATGGAGATCATTAACCTAACCAGTTTTAAATTGATATGTGTAGTATATTACTTGCCCTTCTACTTAGGGAACATGGCAAACCATTCTTCTATGTGACTAGCTCTAGCTTCCTGAATGGCCCCAACCTCTGTCCAGATGTCGCCAGCGTTGCGATATGTATCTGTGCAATGTTTTCCGACAGGGTTGAGCAAATGCTCGATGTAAGGAATGTTGCCATGAACTCCCTCAGGGCTTTCTTCGGTGGCAAAAGATGCTGCCCGGCAAGGATCAAACATGCTATTTAATAGAATCGTGCTATTCAGATATGCAGTCGGATCGCCCCAATAAAGAACGTGTGTTCCGTATATCCGCTGTCTTTCCCTTTGTCAAGCCAAAGATTTCTCCATTTGGAACCTGAGAGAAATAAAGCGCACATGTCATCCAGGGGGCTGCAGGTCTCGGAAGCTATTACGATTATTATTGGACTTGTGGAAAGCTTGCTAGATCACTATGTATGATTGCTCTCGGTCTAGAGGGGTGGGGTAGAGGACGAAGTGGTTGGGTGCGCTGTGATTCAGCGAGCTTAATGGGTATTCTTATCACTTAACCTGACGCGGGTACTTCAAAACAGTTGAATTCATGGTGAAAGCAGGGAGATTGAGGACTGCCTTGATCACTGTCACTTCGGATGAACCATCCAGCAAGGCTAGAAAAGATACGTTAACATATTATGTAAACAGCCTTTGGCAAAATGTAATCACGAAGCCGCACGAAGAGACGTAAATGTTAGGGTTGTTATTATCTATCAAGGATTTGAGAACCCTTTCTCAAAAACTACCAAGACAGCCAGACCCTTCCACCTTAAAGAAATTGATGTAGTAATTCCAACATAAAGGAGAAACATAACATATTTCCCTTCCTGTCCTTGAGGACCTTCCAACAAATTGTGGACGAGAAATGCATAAACCTTTCGCCTTGCCCAACAACAACTAGCATTGTGCAAGAAAGACTGGGCATCAAGATGGTCCGAAGGTCTTTCACCTTTGCATTTGAGAAGCCGGCTGTTTTATTCCGCTAGAGATGTTAGTCACTGAATCTCAACGCCTAGTCTGATAGATAACATACCGTTTGTCTACCATTCGCCTCGAGCCTTGGCCTCTGCAATGCCCTTGCGGAGCTCCCTGCCGATTGCCTTGTCCTTTTCCCTCTCCATAGCCTTCGTAGGTCTGTAATTCCAGCTGTACGCTGCTGGCCTGTACGTTTCAGCTATCGCCTTGAGGCGGGCGGTTTCAGCTTGATTCCTTTTGACCTGCTTGGTCTTGGCCTTGGTCTTGCTTGCATCTGAGCCACAGCACATGGTGATGGTTTTAGGTGATAGGGTTGGGTGATGGGTTTGGGTGATGGTGTGATGTAAATCTTGGTTGAAGATGTGTAGTAGTGAAGTCGAATATTGGATGGACGAAAGCAGATGATGAATCGATAAAGAAGAAATTTGAAAATCCTGGGATGACCCTGCCTTTTTATATTCATGCCGAGCTAGACTTTGGGAGACGTGGTGATTGCGGTCCTTCATAAACTTTTGCCTAAGTGATGCATCAGAGGCATAAACAATAAGTCTTCAAGGTCTATCTCATTATAGATTATGATTCACTTCCATAACTTGACATTAGAATGGCATTAACTTAGCAAGGTTCGAAGTCAGTCAATAGGGTTTTGGCGCCGGTGGGAAAACGAGAATATCACTACCATCTATACTAAGAATACAAAAAATCCAAGCAACGGCGCTGTTCTTGTCTCTCGAGCGGTATTTTGTCCTGGACTTTGCTATCAAGAATGGCCATTGCTTTCTCTACTTGATCCCGCCAAGCTGCAAACGTAAGCGAGGTACATCTGAAGTCCTAAATTCTTACGCTACATGGCCTTTGTGTTGCATTGAACCTATTCACGGTATTATGTGTGCATCCTCTTTTATTTGTAGACTCTATTTCCATTAGAGTTTTGGCATACATGCTTGTGACACGAATGAAACGGACAAAGACTTTTCGAGACTAGGCAGAATATCTCTCAGCTACAAGTTCCAGTGATGGTGATCTCAAAGCTAGAGGATCTAGAATAAAATGCTGAGGTTGTTAAATTCTTTGCTTTCTAATATTCGTCAAGTTAACTCTTACGTCTAGAGTTTATTTCACGGGCTCGTATTCTGTTGCTGTGTTACTATAACAAACACAAATGGACGCTAATCTTGTTTATATTAGGTTTGAGGTTCCAACGATCAAGACGCTGTCATGTGAGGCAGGCGTGTGTTGGAAAATCTAGTCTTGAGAGAATCTTTGATTTGAAGATTTATTGAAAATTTAATGTGTGCGGATAGATTAACCTTTGAGATCCTTGAAGAAGTTGAGAAGGCCTGGCTGGGTAAAAGCTAAAGGATTAAAAAACGAAATTGGGTTTGAAAAAGTTGTAATCAATCGCGAATGAGGAACTAGTTTTTGTAGCCATTAAGAACTAAGTATGGATCAGCTAGCTGCCTCTACTTTGAGTTTCGAAATTTCTGGTTAAGTTATTTGGCTCAAACTTCGTCTCCATCTTATGTTTCGTCTTCGTTTGCCAACTATCGTGTGCTGCGGGATTGTTAGACTCATGAAGTTTATGTTTTGCAGACTGTTTCCATCACTCTACGCATACTCCAAGCACTAAATGTGTGGGCACATTAAGTATGTCGCCTTTATGATTGGCGGTTTTCAAACATGAGCATTACAGCTGCGATGCGCCGCGCAATCATTCCACCAATAACGTAATCATCATGAAGCCAGGACTTGGCTTGTTCAGATTCCGCATCCAAGGATGAAATTAAAAAGACAGGTGGATTACTACAGTTGGCATAGTTCAAGCTGTACCAGCAGCGTTACTCATCTCGAGAGATGGGTTGTAGTGGTCAATGAATTGGTGAAAGAGGCCACTTATGGCAGCAGCCTTGTCGTTGATCAGTCTGTACATAGACAGAAACCAATTGCGAGAGTTCTAAGAACTACTCAGACTTCGCTCGGGCCTCAATCCACTGTATAAGCCTCAACCAAACAAGAGTATTATCCATGGGACTCTTGATCCCTTCCAGCCATTGATCCAAAACATCCACGGATACTGTTCCCTCGAAATACTTCATAACTAGCTCCTCGGCAAATTCTGCATCGATCTCTGGATGGGCTTGCATGGTGAAGATGTTCCCATCGTTTGAGAGGAATGCTTGATTTTCAACGAGGAGAGGTTTGAACCCTGGTGCGGGTTCCACAACCCGGTTGAAATGCATAGCATTAACCGCCAGAGTCCCTTTACTGGCAGCTTCCGCAAAGAACTCTACACCCTCTGGTGTGAGCACATGGCCAACTCGGAGCTGGGAATGGTGAGCTTTACTCCTCTGCTAACTGGAGGTGATGACAAACCTTGGGTCCCGTGGGCATTATTTCAACATCTCCGCCCAAGGCCTTATGCACTGCCTGATGTCCCCAGCATATTCCTATCAAAGTCTGCTCCGGGTTATTGTTGACAGTATCTCTGATGAATTTGTATATCCTTCCAACCCATGGGATAGATAGGTCGTGCGGAGTTGTACCTCCGCTAAGGATGATGGCGTCGTATTTGTCGCTGAGGTTGGGGTATTCCTGTAGCTCAATGGGATCGAAAATGGAGATCTGGGTATTGGACGAGACTCTGCGAATGGTGCTGAAGAACGATCTCATGAATTGGTCCCCATAACCATCACTCTTGGTGTCGTTCTGAAGAATGGCAATCTTAAGTGGTGCCATGATGAAATAGCTGGGCAGTCAGAAGACAGATAAGTGCAGATGCAGTCAGTTTAATATGAGAATATCGAGTGAGTGTGTGATTTATTTATACTAGATTAGGTAGAAATGGCTGGTCAAATGATTGCAGATTATCATTATAGAACGGTAGTTGGTAACTAGAATCCAGCATAGTAATTTATACCGAAAGCCAGTATTAGTACCTAGTATAGTAACTTATACCGAGGTCCTGTATTTAAATGAGGCTTTATTAGGAATAGCGTAAAACATTAGTTGAAAAAGAGGGGAAATCAATAAGTCAGAGAGCACTTTCAGCTAGAAGATAAGCACAACACCGATTGTTTTCCTAGTAAAGGCTAGCCTCTGTTGTTTTGATGGGTTAACAAAACGCTTGGTTCAACAATTAGCCCCCAATGCATGTATTTAGTGTAGCAAAACGGCAATGGCCCAAAAGGATCGAGACAGGGCATGCGCCTCTCATTAATAAATACAGAGAACAGAGCAGGGAGTTGTGCGGCAGCATGTTCGGGTAATCGAGATCTTAAGGAACAGATCTTCACGCTATGACCCAGAACTGGTCAGCCAGATGTCTCAAATTATTAAGCGTATGAAACAATCCACAGGGTCATATCGAGTAAACTCATTTAAATAATATTGAATACTTAACGCAAGTCTCGGCTGGTACCTCGTGTTCTCGAATGAGTTTAGGACGCCAATAAAAAATGATTTATGGTAACTATTATACTTACATGCCATCGTAGAAGTAACGTCAAGACAAAATTGAATCACAAAATTGATATGAGGCTTTTCAATATATAACAGAAGTAGCGGAAGACTCGGTAACAGAGTAGTATATTCCAGTTACAATAGACTTTCAGCTAGAACGTTCTGTTTCAAGTCGTCCAACTAAACACGCCATATTCATCTCGTTAAAAGTCGAGTTGTGCTTGATGGTAACATCTGTTGCAACAGCAAAGTCGTGATAGTGGGGACGACGCAAAGTCGCGTCCGATCTAGTAGAACTTAAAGCGCGAATCTATTCTGACTTGGGAAACATACTCGTAGGCGAGTCGGCCGGGACGGCTCGTGCGTGGTGTTCAGCCGGCCAAGAGGTTCCAGAAAAAGCAATTGTCTAACATTGTCATCTGCATTCGTACACCGGTAGTTGAGCCAAGACGCTTGCAAATGCCAAGCACGATGAATCGATCTTCGTTGTCTCAGTTAGTATTATAAAAACTGGACATGTCCCAGCAAAAATGCCTATCATTCTCCAGTCTGTCTTATCCTTCTTAGCTTATGCCCATATACCAGCGTGGGTCAGATCTTCTCAAGATGACGCTTCTTCGTCTCTTCACCGTGGCACTGGCAGCCCTCGCGAACGTCGCTGTCGCCGCTCCTACTGACGTAGCCAAACGCCAAGACAGTAGCTTGCCCTTCCCATTGTCTCACTTCACCAACACAGTAGCATCAGTGCAAAACACGTACTGCGGAGGGAGTGCGAACACACCTGGCGTCAAGTTTGGTGATCAGACTTTGCTACATGCCCTTGGCAACGGTGATACTGTGCAGCGTACCAACATTTATCATTCCGACAGCTTGGGAATAATCGTCGCTGTTGAAGGAACAAATTTGTCAAGTCTTGTTTCTATCTCTCAAGACCTTCAGGCTCTTCCGATAATTCCGGACCCAAGACTGGGTCTACCTGTCGGGTCGTTGGTCTTTGCAGGCTGGCAAACCGCCTGGTTCAACGGCTGGGTTGCTGTCCGCACAGCGCTGGCCAAGACTATCAAGAAATTCCCCAACGACCAAATCATCGTCACGGGACATAGCCAGGGAGCCGCCATCGCACTTCTCACAGCGCTGTCGATTCAGAAAGAGTTTGGCAATGGTACTACTATCCGGGAAATCATTGCCTATGGTGTCCCACGTGTCGGGAACAAAAAGTTCGCCGACGCATTTGATGCGATATTCCCTGGAAAGTACACAGGCGTTGTCAACGGTGAAGATTGGGTTCCTTCTTTCCCATCACAGCCTATCTATCAGCACCCATCCGGAATGGTGTGGATCAACCCTGCCAACACAACATCATGGCAGTACTATGAGGGCCAAGAGAACCCCAACGGACCTCACTCAAGAGTAGGAAAGATCTTTTACCCCAACACGCTGCAGTTCTACTGGGGTGATCATCAGGGAATCTACATGCACAGCTCTATGGGCACGACTCTTGGACCGTGCCCAGCTCAGGTTGGAGGTTTTTAAGAGGCTTCTTTTATTTTTAGCATGCCGCTTGTTTGATGATTTTCAAGAAGCGTATCGATTAGTACATGCTGCGTTGTTAGATTTAGATGAATACGTAGCTTCAATGAACTATTGATGAGGAATCATCGACGGAAGAGAATAATAGAGTCACCACATAACGTATTGTCTATGTTATTGGAAAGTAGAATAGCCAAACCGGAATATCGCATCATCGTATCATGATGCTTGATACCTATGTAATTGGTTTGCCTGTTATGATGACAAAGCAGCTTTCTCAACATTCTTGTTCGGGTTTCTCACCGCGGCTCCTCTCAAAATGCGGGGGCTTGATATGATGTTAACATCAACAACCAACGTCGAAAACAACTACAAATCAACCCAAAACTTGAAAATGTCTACAAGACCCTCATTCGACTCCCTTCTTCTCCGCAAAGACGGCCCTCCCGGCAACGCATGGGGACTTTTCGGGGAAAATGACGAATGCGGCATGCTGAATCTCTTGACTCCCGATGTCGTAGCAAATGCTGCTTCCGAGATCCGCGATGGCGTTCGAGTCTCTACAGACTGGCCTCTGAATCGCATGTCCAGACCCTGTTTTGGCCGTGCTCCTTTCAAGCATCAGATTACTACTAAGTCTCCCCGTGCAGTGAACGACGATACTTTGACGTTTAATACGCAGAGTAGTTCGCAGTGGGATGGATTTCGGCATTACGCATATCAGAAAGAGAAACTATGGTTCAACGGGAAGAGCCTCGATGAGTTATTATCATCGGATGTTAATGGCATTCATGGTAAGCCTTCAGTTATTGTGGAGATTCAAGAGCTAATTCGTGCAGCTTGGGTTGAGCGTGGTGGTGTTGTTGGACGTGGAGTACTCTTAGACTACGCATCTTGGGCTGACAAAAACGATGTCACCTTGACCCCCTTTAAAACAAAGTCAATTACAGTAACTACCCTGAATGAAGTTGCACAAAGTCAAGGCACAATCTTCCAACAAGGCGACATACTCTTTATCCGAACAGGATGGGTCCGAGCCTACGACAAGCTCTCTGACGAGGAGTGCAAGACCTTGGCAGATCACAAAGTCCCACCCGCTCATGGTATCGAGTCCTCAGAGGAAACCCTTCGATGGCTCTGGGATCAGGGCTTCGCTGCAGTCGTTGGTGATCAACCTAGCATGGAAGCGTGGCCTTGCCAAAATACTGACTTCTTTTTGCATGAATGGCTTTTAGCAGGCTGGGGAATGCCGATCGGAGAGTTATTTGATCTAGAAAGTTTAGGCAAAGAATGCGAGAAGAGAAAGAGATGGTCTTTCTTCTTCTCGAGCATGCCACTCAAGGTAAGTTTTTATAACCTCTGTGTTATTGGCTAAGCTTAATGTAAGATACCTGCAGGTTCCGGGAGGCGTGGCCAGTCCGCCAAATGGCGTCGCAATCTTTTGATCTACTGGTGAGAAACTGTTAGGCTGTGAATTATCAAACTTTGATAAATTACGATTCTATGGCCTATCTTACTCAAAAAGAGAATAAAGGAATCTCTATAGCGTTGCTCCAATCGACGTTCTCATGTTGACACTCCATACGATCCTTGAGAGTTCCAAAGGCGGCGTCCCACAACCGCGTCTGTTTTCCATAGTTACCACTAGTCCTGTAGCCCAAACGATGATGCAAGTCATGATCCTCAATTATCAACTCACAATGAAACCAGCGCAGTATGAATGCAAATGTGTTTGGTGTCTCTGCATAGACTCGCAAGCCACTGTGACCCGCCAACTCGGGGAAGGTGACGAACATCTGACATACCCACCAGTCATAGAAGCTCAGATGAAAGCCAAGTTCTTTTAGTGTAAAATAAGTAAGAACGGGAATAATAGAGACGTCAAAGAGCTCTTGTATAGCATCAGTGTAGAGTGAAAGAAGCGGATTGGGTCGCTTCACTAGATGGTGGGTGCGATGGAAAGACCATAAAAAGCCTATTTTATGCATCAGACGATGATACCAGTAATACCAAAAGTCCAAGATAATGCCATAGATCCCGCTTTTGAGCGGCAGCCAGAAAAGGCTGGAGTGAAAGGGCGCTTGATCGGGGCTATAGCTAAGGAATGTTGTAAAAAGTGGACGACACAACGCTGCCGTTGCAAGTGACTTGACGACCTTTGGAGCGCCATCTTGCGAAACGCCTTCACGATTCTGGATGTCACCGTCAAGAAAACCTGTCTTGTGACCCGTCGCACGGAAGACACGTAGTGTGCGGATGACTATAAGATTGAAGGCAAGGCTGTAGGTGAAAAAGGCCTGTATGGGTGTGAGGCTATGGTCCGTGGATTGCATGTAAACATGATGAAGAAGCATAGGACTCAAAGCATGCACAATGATCCAACGCTGCATCTGCCATTGTGGGATGAAGGGAACCTTATCCGATTTGGGGTGCACAGGCACAGCGCAGCTTGAGTCGACATGATGAATATCCAGGACATTCAGAATCCAGTGCGAAATGGCCCGGTGAAAATATTTCACCCGATATTCTGTGGATTTCGATGGGTATCTCAGAAACGACTCGCTTTGCATACTAGCGGAGTAGTGAAGTTGCAATAATGAGAAAGGGGGGGGCTGTATTAGAGGATGGAGGCGTTATAAAGGAATAAGAATCTTAATCTTGGACTAGAATCTGAAAATTAAATGAAGAAGGAAAGTTAACAGGTATCCTGAGGCGCAGACCTAACCGTATAAATAGCCTATAGATTTGTCGTCAAATGTGCAAACAGCTGGAAGAAGAAATATCCAGCGATACTCGTATTCCTATGCGGTGCTTTCGTTGAATTAAGGTATAAGATTCACCAGGTCAGGTCATTAGGCTCAGCTCATAAAACGCAGATGTCCCCTTCATAACGTCAATCCGTCCGGCGTTGACTACTATCATCGGGCATATGTAGGGGCCCCACCCACACTGACTTATATCATAGTCATCATTTAGCATGATTATCCCTATCTAGCATCGTAAGGTGACTCAAAATTGACATAAAAATCGAAGTGAATGACTAAATATGCCCGATACCAAACTATCTAGATGCGGGGCTGTTATTAAATCACCGGAAGGGTTGTCAGATTACAGTGATAATTGACTTTGGGGTTCTATACTTATTCTCGTCTTTTCTTCCGTTATTTTCTATCTTCTTAATTCAAGACATGTCTCCTTGGCAACTCTGGCAGCTCTTCCACTTCATATCCCTAAAGCACTCGCGATTCACACGAATCGTTGATTAATCACTCACATCAGTGAAAGACTTCCGACGTCACCACTCCAATGTTTCCATCTCTTCCAACCTTTACGCGACGGGAGGTCGGTGAACATACAACGATTTCTTCACTTTGGTGCATAATCAACAGCACAGTCTATGACCTTACCGACTTCATCCAAGATCACCCTGGAGGCGAACAAATACTCCTTAAAGTGGCTGGCCAAGATGCCACTTCGAGCTTTCATACTTTTCATCGGCAGGAGGTCCTTACCTCATATTCTCACCTGGCTATCGGCACCATTACTGGCGAGGAGACCAAGAGTTTAACCTCTAACCTCGGTGACATCAGCCCTATCCCTTATGCTGAGCCTCTGTGGCTTAGGCCCCAATTCTGTTCACCCTACTACACCGATAGTCATCGTCGTCTCCAGCGTGCTGCCCGTATCTTCACCGAAACGTACCTCATTCCAGAAGCTAGCAGATGTGAGCGTACAGGTTGCCCGCCTAGTGAAGAGCTTATCAACCTCATGGCGGATCAGAATATTCTGCGCATGCGCCTTGGGCCAGGAAAGCATCTGCACGGTCAGACCATCATGGGTGGCGGAGTAGTTGATGGTCGTGAATTCAACTATTTTCACAAGCTTATCTTGGCGCAGGAGATGTGCCGGCCCCTGGCGCGTGGGTTTCATGATACAAATATGGCTGGTATGACAATTGGATTATCAGTCATTCTGAACTTTGCCCGTAATAGTCGATGGAAAACGAATATTGCGGATCAAGTTTTTGGCGGTGTGAAAAAGCTATGTCTTGCTATCACGGAGGCTGGTGCTGGTTCTGATGTGGCTGGCATTCAGACGCGGGCCGAAAAGACACCCGACGGTAAACATTATGTAAGTACCTCTCCATATCACAGACCTAAGACAATCATAAGATATGCTAACCTAGACATTTAAACCACAGATAGTCAACGGGTCTAAGAAATGGATCACCAACGGCATGTGGAGTGATTACTTTGTCACACTGGTAAAAACTGGAAAAGGCTATTCAGTATTGCTGATCCCGAGGACAGAAGGGGTAGAGACGAGGCCTATCAAAACCTCGTACTCGAGTGCAGCGGGTACAGCCTACGTCACCTTTGATCAAGTCAAGATACCCTCTGAGAACCTCATTGGCGAGGAAAACGATGGTTTACGAATTATCATAAGTAATTTCAACCAAGAACGATGGGCAATGGCGTGTAAGTTGTCATATCTTCCATCCACCATCTCAGATACCTAGGCTAACGCGAAAGTTAACAGGTAGCACTATCACTCAGTGCCGAGCTGTGGTGGAAGAATGCTTGAAATGGTCCAATCAGCGCCAGATCGCTGGCAAACGACTCAATGAACAACCGGTTGTTCGTCAAAAGTTAGTTTTCCGAATTCTCCCAATATCAGTTATGCTAATCACGATTCTTCCCTCAAGATTGGCTAAGATGATATCACATGTCGAGGGGGCCCAAGCCTGGCTGGAATCAATAACCTTTCAAATGTGCAACATGTCTCTGAGAGATCAGACGATACACCTTGCCGGTCCCATCGCACTGCTCAAGCGGACATCGACACGCATGGCGCAAAAGATAGCCGATGAGGCCGTACAGATATGGGGTGGCCGAAGTCTAACACAGACAGGCATGGGCCGATACATCAATGATTTTTACCAAACACATAAATTCGATGCCATTCTTGGTGGATCGGAGGAGGTATTGGCTGAGGTTGCCATGAAGTTGGCTCTAAAGGGATTTCCCAGGTCAATGCTATAGGGACTATTACAAGGACTAGCGGATCTCGAAACGAACTTCCTTCAAATCGTTCACGAGGATTTCATCTTCAGGATTATCTCTAATCCACCGAAAGTATTACTATTCTCTCGGGATGGCTTGGTGAAAACCTGTAGTATGGAAACAGGTACAGATGTGATGGAGTTCTCTGTCCCTCTCCCCCCACAGAAGTTTCGACTTCCTTATACGTACTGTTCACCTGATGGTACACTTTTAGTAACAAGGCCGACAATCAATTGCTTCAAGATCTGGGACGTCATTGTTGGTCGTCCTGTTTTCACTTTGACTGGAGAATATGTATTGTCTGTCTTCTCGCCAAACTCTCAACACATGGCGACGGTTACAGGGGACGAGATAAGTGCTTGGGACAGAAAACTCGAAGGCTTCGTACTTAGACAACAACTTAGGAACAGTAAAGGAACCCTCCATCCTCGGGCCTTTTCTCCGGACTCAAAATGGCTAGCGGCTGTTGATCAAATATGGTGTTGGAACTTTGGCACCCAGCGATGGGTGGTGTCCATTCCCCCTGTCCAGGATTATATTCACGAGTTATCTTTCTCGCCTGACTCGACTGTTCTTGCAACTCAGTTTGAGGATGAACTTAGTATCTGATACCTGGCTACTGGGAACTGTGTCTCAACATTGCCGGAAAAGTGCCGCCTTCCGCTTGTATTTTCCCCCACAGGCACGTTTTTAGCTTTTCCCTGTCGAGGGGAGATACGAATCTGGGATTGGATGACTTGAACGTGCCTTGTTCAAATTCAACTTCCTTGCTATGGCCTTTTACGAGGCGTTGAGTTCTTACCTGGCAATTCTGGCATCCGCACCGAATCGGGTGAAATTGATTTCCCCAGTGAAGCTTTAACATCTCTAGCGCCTGATTCCCAGCCTCGAAAATTACTGTTTGTGCCGTTGTTGAGCGTCCAATCAAACTGGATACTGTATCGCGGTCGCAGGCTCACGAGGTTGCCAGAAGAATGTGCGAACAGATCATTTGCCATTCGGGGTAGCACTATTGCTGTGGATAGCAAGTCAGAGGAGATTATGATTATAAGTTTTTCTGAGGAAGAATTGAACCGATGCTATCAACAATGGATATAGGAAGCAATAATACCTGACTACATATTAATTAAATCTATTTTATCAGACGTCTATATATCTACTATCACCTAGTAGGTTAAGGAACCGCGCAGAAAACGATTACTCCAGGATATCAACGTCAATTATCTATCAGATTCCGAAACTATAAGACCAGTCACTTTCAATATCGTTAACAGAAGATCAAGGTAATTGACCGCCTGCGGGATTCCATTACTGATCTAGTGATTTTAAACTTTAATAATATATATCCCTTTTAAAGGTTACTATAGAGAAACGAATATAAGCCGGAGTTAACTTTAGATTTGTTATACTATTTTAAGGAATTATTCATCTAGAAGGGGAATAATATGCAGTTAATAAGTTTATAGCAACTATGCAACGTTTTTTCGAATGACTGGGCAAGATGGGAGAAAGGCTGTTTTCCTGAGTGGTACCCCATGGTATCGAAGATCCCGGTTTGAATGAGTCAATCCAGAATGCCGATCAATTACAGATGCCGCAAGATCCCTATTCTTAGACCCATGGTCAATCAGAACACCTGACCTACCATATGCACAGCCTTGTTTATGGATACCCTTGTTGTTCACCAATTGCAAGTGCTAGAAGACAGTCATCTCCAAGGTTAACAGAGCTCAGTCTATTTAAATCTTAGTCTAGATCACTTCTGGGGAAAGTAATTTTATGCAAACCAACCACCTTCCTCTACAGGGAATCAAGCCGGTGCATAAACCTATCAGTATTGGGGCCTAAATCTATCTAAGAAACGCCACAGAGTCTAGATCTTGGAGGTTATTTGTTTCAGAGCTCAGCCGCACCACGCTCTGCCAGATGATTGGGTTCAGTGCCTATAAGCACGGAGCAACTCTTGTTCAGCTTCTGCAACTAGCAGTGCAGAGACTACTAAATCGAATTTGATATAGGCCATCTTCATGCTATTGACGTTTTGGCGCAGAGAAAAGTCAGTAGGAGAGAGCCTGCTACGATGTGTATAAATGTTGATAGACTCTCCATCGATTGAAACTATAAACCTCTTGTCTACTTACAAATATTTCCCAAAAACCGTCTCTGTCATTCAATTACAGATCCCTCAACGAATATGAAGCCCTCTGCTATTCTGTCCCTAGGAGCTCTCCTTCTCGGTGCCTCGCCCGTCGAGGCATCGCAGTGCAAGGTACCTCCATGCGGTCGATTCGAGAACAACACGCCCTGGACAGCCAAATGGGCGGATCTAGGAATGAAAGAACACCTTTGCCAACTCAAGACTGTCGCCAAACCTGTCAAATGCCATCAATACAGCCTGGGGGCCAACTCCTCTCGCGGAGGCTACTTTCACAAACCCCGCACCGATGTTGACGCATTCTGCTTCGCCGATCGAACATACTATGTCAAGTTTGGGCCAAGGGGCAGCGAGCAGGCTATCAAGAAGGGCGTGTGGATCAAGATCAACTCGGCGCAAACTGCCAAGTGTGTTGCGAAGAACGGAGTTCCGCATTGTACGGTAAACTGATTCGTGACGAGGATCCAATCGCAAATGGTAGAGAGCAGAGCGGCACAAGAAAATATAAATGAACAAATTATCTTCTATATCAAGACCACTCGCTTCGTAAACTTGCTTAGGTTCTGATCCAAGTTAGGACGATCTGATTCTGTTGCAGGATCTAATCGTATCCAGACGTGTCCAACACACACAAAGCAGGATAAGAAACAATCGACAACGGCAGGATCTGAATGTATAGGTGCAAAATGCACAATTGGGCAGCAACAACTGTTAGATGTATAAGGATCAGCATGTGTTGTTTGCTCCCAAATCAAGACCATATTATACCTTCTAAGATATTGTGATACGCCGGATATCTGTGGCGCAGAATCACAAGCAGGCAGTTATTGCAGGTGAACATTGTGGTGGAGTTCAGTCTTCCCGCCCAAGTTGTGAGACCAGCCAGCTTGGCACATGCTTATACTAATCGGGCTACCAACCAATACTGCTAAGTACCTGTCCAGACAATGAGCATTCTAGAAGACCTCATGGGCAATGTAGCCGCTATACTGAAATATTGGAAAGTGTTTAAGACAGCGTTGAGACTTCTGAAACAATCGAGTGTAACATGACAGAAAAGAGACAATCCTACAACTGCACATGACTACCCAAGCACAACAATACTCATCATCACTCACTCCAAAAGTCCGGAAATGGTCATTCAGTACGTCAACGAGAAACAAGAACAAAGGTCACTGCATAGAGAAAGGTTGGGAGCCGGAGTTGACTTTAGATTCAATATATTATTCTAAGAAATTATTTATCTGGAAGGGTAATAATGTGCAGGTAATAGGTGCATAGCAATTATGCAACGTATATATATATATATCTCCAATCCGTCATATACTCATTGCTCCTTCATGAGCATTAGAAGTGAAATTACAAAGTAGTTGTTTGTTTACAGGAAGAAAGCGACGATACCGGCAGCGAAGAGAGCAGCCTGGATGCTACCACCGACACGTCCAGCAGAGTTGACAACCTCAGCGGGCTCAGTGGGAGTGGAAGCAGGAGGGACTGGGTAAGTCTCAACAGGCTTGCTGGGAGAAGGAGGAACAACAGGAGCGCTCTCGACAGGCTTGGAAGGAGCGGGAGGAGCAGGAGGCTGGGCAACGGGCTGAGTCTCCTTAGGAGGCTGGGGCTGCTCAGGCTTCTCAGGCTGCTCGGGCTTCTCGGGTTGCTCGGGCTGAGGAGGAACGGGGTAGGTAGGGTGAGTCTCGGCAGGAGGCTGAGCAACAGGCTTGGTCTCCTTGGGAGGTTGAGGCTGCTCGGGCTGAGGAGGCTGCTCAGGGTGCTCAGGCTTAGGAGGCTGAGGCTGTTCGGGGTGCTCAGGCTTGACAGGCTTGCTGGGAACGGGAACGGGGACAGGGTATGTCTCCTTGGGGGGCTGAGGCTTGGGGGGGTTGTAGGTACCGTTGCCAGGGTGAGGAGGCTGAACGACGGGGTGAGTCTCCTTGGGGGGCTGGACGACAGGGTGAGTCTCCTTGGGGGGCTGGACGACAGGGTGAGTCTCCTTGGGGGGCTGAACAACGGGGTGAGTCTCCTTGGGAGGGACAGGGACGACATGAGTCTCAGTCACGGGGCAGATTGTGGTACCGACAACGACAGTCTCAGTTCTGGTGTGAGGCTTCTCAGGGCAGTCGACAACATCAGGAGGGCACTTGGTAACAGTGGTGACCTTGGTGGTGTAGATAGTAGAGGTGGTCAGGTGAGTGGTGGTCTGGTGCTCAACAGGAGGAGTGTACACAGGCTTGCTGGGCTTGGGAACATCGGTGTAGACGGGCATGGTCTCGATGTCGGTGGGGTGCTCCTCAGTGACGGGGCAGACAGTGGTGCCAACGACAACAGTCTCGGTGGTGACATGAGGCTTCTCGGGGCAGTCAGTAACCTCAGGAGGGCACTTGGTAACGGTGTAGCAAGTGGTGGTGTAGATGGTTGAGGTGGTCATCTCAGTGGTACCAGGGTAACCAGGCTTGGTGTAAGAAGGCTTGGTGTAGATTGGCTTAGTGTATGAAGGCTTCGTGTAAGAGGGCTTGGTGTACGAAGGCTTGGTGTGAGAAGGAGGAGGGTAAGGAGCCTCATGGCCGCCAGTGGTGGTCTCCTCGGGGGGAGGGTACTCGCTGGTGGTTTCCTCAGGAGGAGTGTAGTCACTGGTAGTCTCTCCGGGAGGAGGGTACTCGCCAGTGGGCTTGGTGTGCTCGGGAGGAGGGTAGACATCAGTGGTCTCTCCAGGAGGAGGGTAGGCCTTGGTGGTAGACTCTACAGGAGGGACATAGTCGCTAGTAGTCTCTTGAGGGGGAGGAACCTCCTTGGTGGACTCTCCGGGAGGAGGGTAAACGCCAGTGGGCTTAGTCTCCTGAGGAGGAGGAACCTCCTTGGTGGACTCTCCGGGAGGAGGGTAAACGCCAGTGGGCTTAGTCTCCTGAGGAGGAGGAACCTCCTTGGTGGACTCTCCGGGAGGAGGGTAAACGCCAGTGGGCTTAGTCTCCTGAGGAGGAGGAACCTCCTTGGTGGACTCTCCGGGAGGAGGGTAAACGCCAGTGGGCTTAGTCTCCTGAGGAGGAGGAACCTCCTTGGTGGACTCTCCGGGAGGAGGGTAAACGCCAGTGGGCTTAGTCTCCTGAGGAGGAGGAACCTCCTTGGTGGACTCTCCGGGAGGAGGGTAAACGCCAGTGGGCTTAGTCTCCTGAGGAGGAGGAACCTCCTTGGTGGACTCTCCGGGAGGAGGGTAAACGCCAGTGGGCTTAGTCTCCTGAGGAGGAGGAACCTCCTTGGTGGACTCTCCGGGAGGAGGGTAAACGCCAGTGGGCTTAGTCTCTTGAGGAGGAGGAACCTCCTTGGTGGACTCTCCGGGAGGAGGGTAGACAACAGTTGGCTTAGTCTCCTGGGGAGGAGGAACCTCGCTGGTAGGAACAGGAGGAGGATAGACAACAGTAGGCTTGGTCTCTTGAGGAGGAGGGACCTCCTCGGTGGGTCCAGGAGGAGGGTAAACACCAGGCTTGGTCTCTTGAGGAGGAGGAACCTCCTTGGTAGGTCCAGGAGGAGGGTACTCGTTGCTGGGAGGAGGATACACGTTGTCAGGAGGAGTGTACTCGTTGTCGGGGGGAGTATACTCGTTATCGGGAGGAGTATACTCGTTGCTGGGAGGAGTGTAGTTGTTGTCGGGCACGGAAGGGACATGCTCCTCTTGTCCAGGAACGGGGTAGTGCTTCTTCTCGACAGCAGCAGCGTTGGCGACGGCAACGGCCGCGCTGAAAATAACAAGTCCACGCATATTGAATTAGATAGATCGAGTTTAACGAGTGCTTATAAACGAGTGAAGCTGTTTGTGTTAAACGAAAGTTGGGTGAGGAGGGAAGAGAGATCGAAAACAGAGATCGTTGGGGAAGTGTTCTTATACATGTGCTGCTCCTCTACCCCCAGACTGTACCAAGAGATCTTATCATCTCCTTATTTGTATGTCGGCCCAACTCCGCTCAAGTCCGGATGGTAAATACGGGCTTTCTCCATAGGTATCCTGGCAACGTGATGTCATCCTGGTAGAATTCTCAACATGGGGGATGAACTGAAAAGAGGTTGGCTGTGGTTACGGTGGAGACAGAAGCTTCAACCAGACGACAGCATGGCAGAACAGGGTTGAGGGTTCAGGGCGAAAGGGGTTCCATAATAACCATGTTGAGAATCACGATGTTGCAACATAACATTTCGGATGTGACGGGATCCCTGGTACCTTCGCATCGTGTTCGTCTGGCACGGTTAATTTAGCTTGACAATGTTTGACGAACGGTTCAAACGGTGACTCGTGAGAGATGTGATTGGTCAATGCATCGTAAAACGGCTTCTTTTTTAGGGTAGACTTAATTAAAACGCCACTACCCAGTTGCAACCTCTCAGGTTCAGGAACCGTATTGTCCGTACCGTACTAATTACTCACTACAAGAGTCGTCCGCGGGGTAAAGTTCTTGGTAGCATCAACCCCCTGCCTTAGGCTGTTATCCTAGTGCAATATGATCTGACGCGGACAGTTGATAGAGGGGAGGAACTTTTTGCGATCTGCAGATACTAAAAGCCCCTGTAAAAGTAGAGCTGTTGTTGTGACTACAGCGACTCGCACATTGGACAGTGTTTTCTTTCCATGATTCGATTCGTGGGGCTCTGTTCTTGACAAGGGTAATGCTAACAAATCACCTGTTGGCCTCGTATCAATTGGTGGTCCTTGGCCTGCCACTTGGCTACATACACGAGAAAACTTCCCTGTAACTTGATCATTGCTTTGTCGCTCCACTTTATCACCAAAATCTCGCGTGCCGACCGTCTAGCAAGTTTCTCCTCTTCTGTTCTTGATAGCGACTTGGCAGTGGAGAATCGGGTTCAGGTACCGTAAATGAGTCAAAAGAGAAGGCTGCGAGCATGGGGAAAAGAAAAGGCGATAGATGACATTTTACGTGTCGCAGTTCCTTCAGTCAGTGTCAGTCAAGTCGTAATGAACCCCTGTCCTGTTGGTGATCAGAACAATATGTGATGTTACGTCCGAGATGTAATCCTTGCTTCGAATCAGCCCGCTAAACAACCGCTATACGACGCTGACTCTACCAGAAATGTTAACAATATGATGATACTCTCTATTGCTCAACAAAATCGCACGGTATATCGGCATCTCGTAGTGGATTTGGGTTAAATTTAATTCTGCATTTTTTTTTAAAGTTGATGCTGAAAAACTCAATCAATGCAAAAAGCTTAAGCCTCTGTTCCTGCATGGGTCTCCATATCTTGATGGGGTGGCTGACGTTCTACACGTGGAATGAGTTGTTCAGTTCAATTGAGTGAACAGCACTCACGAATGCAGAGAAATGCAGGAACTCATTTTGTCACTATTTTGTGGGTAGTCAGAATTTTCCATTGAAATATGAGCGTAGATAGAAAAGACTCAAATCCAACCATTCTGCATATTCAACATTTCCACATGCAATCAAGACCAGACGATAACCTTGTTGAAGCTGAGCGACAAGCTTCAGGGTAGCATGTCCGTAGTAAGCATCGCACCATGCTTAACAAACATGAGTTAATCATGACAATGCCTGCCACGGCCGGCCTTTGTTGCCGAAGCCGAGCTCTAAAAGCTTGGCCTCTGTTATAGTGGAGGCATCAAATAATCACCACATCATGACGGGAATCGATCACAAAACCAAGGATAAATTATGGACCTGCCATCTAGTACTGTATAGACACGGCTGTCGTTGAATCAATGCGATTTTTTCTTATTAGTAAACATCAAGCCAAGATCATCGTTCTTACGGTCGTAGAGTTGAGGCTTTTTTTTCATGTCGTTGACGTCAAGTTACAGTAGTTATGCAGCCAACATGAGTCGGTGGAATACGAACTCTTGAGTTTAACTCTGAGCTTAGGTTGAACATCGTCGCTATCAATTCAACTGTTCCAAGATTTAATTCGTACTACCGTATAGCAGAAAATAAATTCGGCACATGAACCTGTCATCCACTGTCATGCTGGGTGGCTTTTGCGCCCCAAGTAAGGCTGTCTAGCTGTCAAAACCCAAGCTCGAGCCGCTGTGAGGCTCTCGTCAGTAGCGCAAGCTATTTATATCGAAATCAAACCAGGCGAAATCGAAACCGAAGCCAAAGACCCGGGGATGGTTGTAGTGAATCGTATTTCCATCATTTTTAATTCCCTATAGCGGCATGTATTTTCCGAAAGAGTCTCGTGCGCTGTCAGTGTCAATGTTACGTTTCCTCTCTGCCAAGGTCTAATCTGCAATCCCCTATCTTACTTGCCACCACCACAAACCCATTACAGAAGTTCCCACACTCGCAAAATCTTACATCAAGACCACTGGAATTTCCTACAAATCCCCTTTTCTTTTTCTTCTGGATGGGAAAGAGAACGGCGATCGACAGGGGTCAGTTTCATGTGGATGGCTCTAGGCTCGGAGAACCGCGAACAACTGAAAAAAGACTAGACCTCGTATTTTTCATCCGAACTAGATCGCATCTAGGTTAATGCGGAATACAATGAACCGAGGCTCAATGGGTCAACTCGGCCGAGCCGTTTGCTTACGTACAATCATTTTGAGTGAGCTGTGGTATGAAATGAGATTTAATCTTGACTGAGACTCATTTCTTGTGGCTTTCGAATGAGATTGTGATGAGCAAACTCATTTTGCGATGAGTGGAGTTTGTCGAATTTACTGTTGCGAATATAAATATAAAATGCGCATTACCACAAGCAAGCAGATACCAGTATTTAAACCAAATCTTACATAGGCACTCTGGCGCAGCTTCTTATTCCTGTTAAATAAGTCTCATACATGCATGTGCCAATGTCTCATATGGGACTTACCTCTGTATTTCGAAAGGAGAAGATGTCCTTCTTATCAGTTGATCGACATCCTTCCACAACAAGATAAATCCGCCCACATCATGAATCAAACTGGCCTCACTCTGAATGGCCATCTCACTCATACGGACATTTTAAAACGGACCACTATCGGGGCAAAAAGAAAATATAACCAAGCACATCACTGACAAGAAGGCCTGCTTTTACCTGAGACAAAGTATCTCATGCAATGGATCTTGGGAGCAATGGCAAGTCACCATGTGCTGCAATGCCTACCCTACATGCTTCCCGACTGCACTGTCATTAAACTTGCCAGATGAGACTTGATTTGTGTTTCAAATTCTCATTCATATGTCTTGAACGATAAGTGATGCCTCTTGTGCTCTGTGCCTTATTCGTCGTCGTAGGATCTACTTTCTTTGAATGTAACTGCATATGTTAGTGTTTTTGACATTTGTTATGGTTAGGGATCATTCATTCCCCATTTCCAAGTCACGCCTATGCAATCTCTTGCGACGAAGAACTTCATACACACAAAAGAGTTCAGATACTTTACTATATTAAAATATGAAGAGTCAGGCTTCTCATAACCTACGACAAGAAATGGAACATGGTGTCATGAAGATGAAACCCAGATCAAAACTAAAATATAGCTATATAATATGCAACATAGCCACGGAGCTCCAGTAAAAGCGACCACAAGCCACATACGCCTTCAACAGTCGCTTTGAAACTGTAACAGAGTTCAGCCATTTGTGCTTCTGAGCTGAGCGATCCAGAATCGTACGATCAAGAGATAAAGGTTGTTACCACATGTCACTTACTGTCTAAGTAAACGCTTCCGCGGTGAGGAATTAGTCCGCCGGGAAGGCAAATGGACACAAGGTGCTGAAAGGCGCTACTGCGAAGTTGTGTTAAACACAAGACGTTCTTCCTGAAACCAGCTTTACTTGGTAGTCTAGTTCTTCGCATCTATTATCAGCTGTGGTCATTTGGACACTCACTAGTTGCCGCGGAATGTTAGTAACCGGAAACATTTCATCCGATCAGAGATTTAAAATCAATTAACAAGCTAAATTAATCAACCCCATTCGAATGCGTGCCATCCACGTGGTAGAACCACCTTCATATCAAGCCACCTTCCAAGACCCCTCAAACACTCAACATGTCGTGCCCATTCCATCTGAGGTAATCTAGATTCTCATTCAGTTTCATAAAAGAATATTCCGCCACTGGAGTATTGCCACCAACAGCGGACTTTCCAAAAATCGCTTGGATAAAGGATACCGATCAGTTCCAGATGTCAAGCTTAACTTTACAAGCTTGGCCAATGTTTGTACGCCACATGGTTTGAAGTTATGCCTAGACTATACTACATGACGAGCATTCCTAAATAAGGAACTCTGCGAGACAGTTGATTGCTAATAGCCGGGTCCAGAGCTATACGGATCATAGGGTATGCTGCAGGATAAAAATACATGCAGTGACTTTGCATTTGGACTTTCCTTATATACCTTTGTAAAGCACCGTGCCTATTAGAGTTTTTAATAATATCTTCCACTCTTTCACCCTTTCGATGCATCGAAAAGCACCATTCTTCAGTCTCAGCCTCGTTCTAAAACTCATAGGGTAACAATATCCGGATCGGCCGCTCCAACGGTCTTGAGGCTTGGTAAAAGGCTTGGTAAGATGTAGATCGTTCTGACTCCGTCCAGATCATCCTCACCTAGTCCAATTAGAAACGTCACGCTCCGCTGTGAAAGCATAGCAAATAACCAGTGGTCAGTACAAAATAGGGCTGAGGTTGAATACCCCTGTTGCGGATCGAGGCTGAACTATGGTAATAACAGTCCGGAAACATGGAGGTCCGTCCACGGCGAGTCGAGGGGCCAGACTAAGTTCGTTCCGCTAGTTGCAACACTTTCATTCCAACTACAACTTTTCAACGAGGCACATAACCAATAGCATGCGTGGAAGTCTGTTGGTAATCTTTAATCATCTTCACCTACCAGGATGTTGGGCGCGCCAGCTACGATAGTCTGACGGGAAACTAGGCTAGTTAAATGCGGTCAAAAGTTGTAGCCACTTGGCGTGGTGTTGTACAGATGCACCACTGTGAATCATCCATGCGACGATCTATCATATACTTGCATGCATAAATAGATGGATCCTGATAAAAAATAAACACCAGACATTTTGTTAAAATGCATCTCGAATTTCCATTGCTCCGAGGATATTCTTACTGTCTTGGATTAATCTCGTGTCGTTCCCCTGTCGCGGTGTGGCGTTCAGGAATGCGTTTTCATTCCTAGCATGCCCACCAACCGGGCATGTTCAGCTGAGAGAGCATCATAGGGCGGCCGAATAACTTGACGCTATCTCCCATTTCGGAATACAAGTCCTTGGGATTTGTACCTGAATCCCTGTGTGATCGATAAAGATGGATGTGATGAACCTGTAGTCCGTGTATATGCAGCCACTACCGATGTCAGCACCAGCATGTCTCAGCTTTCCACACATCATAGCGCTTCTAATAAGATACCATTCCACCCAACCCCCCATTCTCTTCCTAGCTTCTTTCTCTGTTTTCCTCTTCCCCTCCATTCTTCCATGTTAATGGAAAGTACATTCTTTTCGCCATGGGGCTGTTGAAGCGTCTTGTCTTCCTGGCGGCGCTGTTATGCAATGGTGTCGCCGCGCAGAGCTTTGCCTCAGTGCTCACAGAAGCACCCCAATGTGCTGTCAGTCACGAAACGTCGATCGAACAGATACAAAAAATGCTGACGGGTGTAGGCCGATTGCTTGGTTATGCTGTTCAGCCAGAAACCGTTTGCGGGAAAGGATCAAAACGCGATTTGCCACGACCAACAATTCGCCGATGCTATTGGAAATTGTCTGACGGCGAAATGTGAGGTACGGCAGACATTGGGTACGCGCGCGACGGAATCGAGACGGTAGAAAAACGAGTGCTGATGTTTGGGGGCAGATTTCATCAAATTGTCATCATCAGTATGCGGAATTAAACCGACCAACAATATCCTCCTGTATCGAACGTCAACCCTCACCATGTTCGGTTTGGCCATGATTTTCTTCGCCTTGCGAATAACAGCCACGATCAAGTTACGTCTTGGATGGGCTTTGGATGATGCGATGGCGATCGCTTCGGTTGTAAGTCAATAGACTACCAGGGTTGATGGCGGCGACACTGATGCCCAATAGATCTTTATGATACCAGTTGTTGTCATTATGCAATTCAGTGAGTATTGTCCAGCGGAATTGACAGTGTGTGGTTATAGGTGACTGACTCGACCTGCTCAACAGTGATGGAAAACGGACTGGGTGTTGATCTATGGTACCTCTCAGATTATCAGATCACTCAGGGATTCAGGGTAAACACATCACCTATTCTCTCTACTCTTATGTATACAGTCAGCTGACTTTTAACTTGTTTCCAGCTCTTCTTCTTCCTCGAACTTCTCTACCTAGCCGCACGTATGCTCGTGAAATCCACGATATTATGCTTCTTTCTACGAATTTTCAGCAACCCTAAATTCCGCCTCCTGGTCAAGATTACAATAGTGTTCAACGTTCTTATCGGTGTCGCATTCTTCATCTTCGCCTTCTTCCAGACGACACCAATAAGCTTCTTCTGGGTCGGATGGCAAACCAAGGAAGCAGACAGAGTCATGATGGGAATTATACGGCTGACGCTGCCACATGCGGCACTTGTTCTTATGCTGGATGTCTGGGTGCTCATATTGCCGCTCAGCCAGCTTTGGGAGTTGGGACTGAAGCTAAGAAAGAAGATTGGTGTCATGGCCATGTTCAGTTTTGGTATCTTGTGAGTTGAATAGGCTTCTTTTGCTTGTCACTCGTGTACTGATTTTATACAGCCTTACAATCGTTGCTGCGATTCGAGTACACGAAGTAGTGCTCTTTGCAAAATCACAAGACTTGACAGGTAAATTCACTAAGCACATCCGAAGGTGACTCAGCTAACAAAACAGTCATAAACGCACAAAAAGCCATGATATGGTCCTGCATCGAGATATGTGTGGGAAACATGGTATCATGCATGCCTCACATCCGCAATTTAGTACGACACATCAAATCACAAGTACGCGAAAAGATAGGGAAGGAAAATGGACCTACCAACGAAGCAATATTTATCGAAAGATCACTCGCACAAATATCAGTGGGTGATGCGACGTCAGAACCAGGGTTGTTTGACGCAGGGGGGTTATTGAAGGAAGATGCTGCGACGAGAACAGCAACAACCGATACCACTACAACTACAACAACTACGACGATAGGTGTTGGAAAGATGGAGAGTACAAATGGGAGACCAAGTAGTTATGCAAGCGATGCAGATACAAAAGTTTAAATAATAAAATATAACAAAGCATTATACATACGTTTTACAGAATATGAGGCGCCCCGAGTTGATATGTATCTGTCTGTCAATTGAATGGCTCATTGGCAGTCATCGAGATGCAAAGACGATCGACCACGCTACCAGCGACCATGATCAAATGTCAAGACTAGACTCATCACTGTAGCTCGGTAATTTTCTAGCTCCATCTGATAAACATCCACTAAAGCCACCTCTTAGTTTAGGTGCTGAAGCTACTGCAAGCACGCGCCAGGAACAGGTTCCACAGTGGATAATTGATGGCAGTGACAGCGACAAGTGAAGAGTTCATGTAATTGTCATTACTATATTATTTATTTTATTTAATTTTTGGTATCATCAAGGTCATTAAAAGATCTCGACATTTATCGGCAGGTGTAACCACCGTCGATGACAAGATCGCTACCAGTAGTGTAAGTGCTGGCATCAGACAAAAAGTAGACGTAAGCAGCCTTGAGCTCCTTGGCGTCACCGTTTCGGCCCATGGGGATCATGCTCCTCCAGAGCTCCTGAGTCTCGGTGTCGATAAAGTCGGAGAGACCAGTGTCAATGTATCCGGGAGAAATAGAGTTGACACGGGCAAAGTCGCGCCACTCGTTGGCGAGAGAGCGAGCCATGTGGATGCAGCCGGCCTTGGCCACGTTGTAAGAGGTCTGCTCTTGAGGGAAGTTGGCGATGTGGCCGGACATGGAGGCGGTGATAACGAAAGAGCCGTGGCCCTGCTTTCGGAAGAGAGCACCGACGGCCTTGGCGCAGTAGGCGGTACCGTTGAGGTCGATCTGGATAACGTGGTCCCAGTCGGCAGCGGAGCCGTCAATGACACCAGCATCGGCGGTAGCACCAGCGCTGAAGATGTTAGTATGATCAATTGAACATATAACTTCAATTTGAAGAGAGAACTTACTTGGCGACGAAACCGTCAATCTTGCCAAAGTCCTTGACAACCTCACCAACAAATCGCTCAACATCGTTGTAGTCGGCAGCGTTGAGCTTGTAGGCCTTGGCCTTGACACCGTACTCCTTGACGAGCTCCTCGACGTTCTTGTCGGCGCCCTCCTTGCGGGAAGCGTAGGTGATGGCGACGTCGGCACCCATCTCAGCAGCACCTCGGGCGGCCTCGATACCCATGCCTCGGGGACCGGAAGCGCCGGTGACGACGACAACCTTGCCCTTGAGGCTAAGGAGGTCGAGAATGTGGTTGGCCTTGGGGATTTGCTGAACCATTTTTGCGGTAGTGTGATTGGTTTGTGTAGAGAGAAGAAGAATGGATGTGTGATGAAGAGTCAAGAGAAAGAGTAAAGGTAGGAGGAGGAAGCTAGACTATTTGTACAAATTGAGAGTTGGTCAAGTCATGGCGTGAGTTGTTATCTGGACTACTACATGTACAAAGTAAAAGCAGCATCGCATCGCATGGATGGATGCATCCAAGCTGTGGTGGGTGGGATGGATGGGTCTAGTGATGTCATGGAAGAAACAGCTCAAGACACGAAAAGAGACATCGGCGATTAAACAGTACAGATCCATAATAATTGATGGAGAATTGATCTAGTTTACTGATAATTGTCTATTTCCCATGCTACGGTATGGCTACTCGAACATTCCAAGGATGAGAGAAAAAAGAAATGCCCCTCCATTCTCTGACGAGACGCGTCGAGGGGTAATTTGTTGTGTTGGGTGTACCTTGAGGTCTGGTGGGACGAATGAGGCCATGCCTACAAGATCCAACGCTTTTTAGTCCCTCCCTTTCCATACTGTGAACCAATTGGCTGTTCATTTAATATACTTTTTAAATGGTGAGACGCGTGCATGCAAAAACACCACTGCCCGACCATGGCGGGGTAATTGACCATGGGTATAGCTTCACTCTTTCTGTCTGTCGATGCGATCGAGGTTGCGAGAGTCATTTGGAGTTTATTTACTTTGATGGACCATTTCATCATTGATCCATAGTACAGTACCCAATTACTCTTGATCAGTTGCTGTACAACACTGACTCTCTAACAAAATACCACCGAGACGCGCCCCGCGGGTGGATATCCTTGAGCGTCATTCTCCCGTCTCTTTTCCTTGCTTAGACTTGCTAAACCCCGCAGAACGGCCGGGCTTGACCGCTCTGTTTTTGGTTTAGTTTCGTGTCTTCCGTTGCATTAGGTCCGAAGCAGCCTTGGACGCGTTGACTTGGCTTCTGGCGCATCAGTCGATAATTAACTGGTTGGTGTTTAAGACTTGGTTAGTGGGGCTGGTAATCCCGGTCCGACAGAACTGAAGCTACCCTGGACATGACAAGACAAGACAAATGATGAGTTAATACATCACCAATGCTTACTGACTCTTGGTATAACTGAGTAATAATGGTTATTATATAATGAGTAATTAAAAGTCATCAATTTTAATCAGTTTGTAATGCAACATCTTACAATTTGATGACAAAACGTGACCAAGGTAAGTATTTATCGCAAGAGGGGTATCACAACGGTCAAGCAATGTCTCACAAGCCACATGTTGAGATGCATCAAATAAACATTCAGTGCAGAACATTGCTTATTCATTAACTTGAACCCTGAATCATGTGTCGCCGCTTTAACTAAATAAGGTATCGGAAATCCCGCTTCATCCTCAAAGCCTCATCAGGGCTGTCCATGACCTCAACTGCAGCCGTGTGCGCAGCCACATCCTGTCTCGTCTCCCAAGCAGTCGCCTCACCCCTCTCGAGCTTCTTGTTGAGGTCGATCAGCACCAGTCTGAAGATGTAGCATCCCAGCACTGTCACACCAAACATGGACAACACAATGCCGTAACTCTTGCGGTATCCGTTCTCCTTGAGATCCCACACGTATGAACCCGCCACGTTACCCAATTGACTGAACGCGTTGATCATGGCAATCGCGACAGCGCGCTTGGCGGGTGGTCGGGGGAACGAAGACGAGATCCACGAGTAGAAGACGATGAAACCGGCGTAGGACGATGCTTGGAGGAAGAGAGCGAGGTAACGCGCTGCGACGGCTTCGGTGGCCATGCTGATGATGAAACCGACTGTTCCGACACCGATTGGGCCGACAATATGCCAGAACTAATTAATTAATTGTTAGTAAAATGCTCTCAATTGATGCGACAAGATTGAAGCGGTTGGAACTAACCTTTTCGGCAGTCTTGTCAGAGTGCCAAGCGTTGATGACTGAGACAATACAAGAAAAGACCCATGGGGGCGCGCTCATCAGAAGAGTGGGAACGTAACCGAATCCAAGCGTCTGGGTCAAACTGGGCTGTTTAATCTGTTAGCAACGTCGCGCATTTGATGTGAAGGCGCGATTGACTTACGAAAAAGGCATTGAACGAAAGTCCAACGACGTACGCAGTAAAGGTAAGCATCATGATGTAAATCTTGACATCCTTCACAGCAAGCTTGAGACCGTAAAAGGCACTCTCCTCACGAGAATCCTCATCGGCCTCACCAACATCTTCCACCATGCGCAATTGCGCAACCTGTCTCTCCTCCTCGGTGAAACCACGCGAGTTGTGAGGCAAGTCGGGGAGAATAAAGGCAGCAGACACGGCGACACCCATGGTAATGGCGCCCTCAATCCAGAAGAGCCATCGCCACGCAGCATGGCCCAGCACACCCTGCATGTTGGACAAAACACCTGCGCCGACAAGGGCAGAGAAGGCGTTGGAGATCAGGTTACCACAGAAGAGAATGGCATTGCGCTTGGTGAGCTCGCTTCGGGTGTACCATTTGGACAGAATGAGCAGTGCACCAGGCAGGAAAGCCGCCTCGACGAAACCAAGGAAGAATCGAATGCAGACCATTCCAGCAAAGTTGTGCACGCTACCACTGAGTGTAGAGATCAGACCCCAGAGCAACATGGCCGCAGCAATGTACAGCGAAGGACGCTGTATGCGGTTGATGAACATGTTGGAGGGAACCTGCATGAGAATGTACCCGACGTACAGAATACTCAAGCAGGTGGCATATTGGTTGTAGCTCAGGTTCAAGTCTTCTTGGAGACCCTTGAGACGGGCGGCAGCCATGTTATTGCGATCGAGGTAGTTCATGATGTAGATGAGGACGAAGAGGGCGCAACGGGTGTCGAGCTTGCGCTTCATGCTCTTTTCGACGGCAGCGCGATGCTGAGGGTCCATTGCGAGGGCTTGGGCTGTCGCGCCGCGGGCTTGCGACTCGACGCTTGTTTTGGCCGTGGCCATGTGGTCGTCTGTCTTCTGGTCTGCCATGATTAGAGGTATGAGACACAGCAAGATGGGATGATTGTTCAAGTTGTTGGGGACATTGTCGCATTTATGAAGAAACCTGCATTGTCATGTTACATCATCGCGTCGCGGAGAAAAGAAGGCAAAGAAAAAATAAACATGGGGGACGAGAACTGGGGAAGGGGGTTTATCCGCTGTGCTTAACCCGAATGGGTCAAGTTGATCCCCGGCTTCCCCCAGAGTTGGTTGACTGTCACCCTCTGGAAGAAGATGCAAAATTCAGAGTGTCACACTTGAAGGTGGAGGACCAATTAGTTGTGTTGTTCAAGTGTTTTGTGGAGGTGGTGGCTGTAGATCTTGTCCTTGTACAGATGGGATGGTTACTATGTAGTCGTTAACTGCAGTGCATGTTTTCAAGATTCCCCGACAAAGAACAAGAGCATCCAGTATCACGACTATAGAAACATTCTAGACTACTAATCATCGGCAGATCGATAGACAAATAAGAATTAATACTGTCTAATGCCGAGATGAACAATCTTCTCCTCATTAACCTCTAAGTTTGCAACGTTGGAGAGAAAATGCGGAGACTCCGCAAAAAATAAAGTGAGGGGAATCTGCCCATTCCAACCCTTACAGTGACAAATAGGCCCGAATACGAAACGGAGTTACCACTTCCAGCCAAGGAGTCTTCCCCAGGAGTTGTCAATGCTCAAAAACCCAGGCAGCAGAATTAAAATTTGGTTGCCCGTCTTTTTCAATGCCCGTGGGGAAATATTCAGAAACAGTGGAGATTAAGTTGGGGAAGAAAAGAATTGGAGACCAGAGGTTCGCTGGGGGATTTTGGGTTTAGCGATGCTAAATAGTGGAGGAGGTTAGCTAATGGGGAGGGTGAGTGTCGACCGGACCTCGGGAATTGTCGGTCAACAAAGAGTCAATGCTGGAGTGGATTGATATGGGTAAGAATAAATCCAGTACCATGGAATGGGTAACGAGGTATTGGGTGAACACGTTTCTTCACAACTGTTATGCTAGTCATGCTGAGGTTCGGCGAAGGTGGGATGTGGGAGTTGCGAGAAGTTGGTGGTTGTTGGAGATGGTTCGCCAAGATAAAAACAAGGAGAACCCCATGGCCCACATTCAGTCGCCCTAGAAGATTTTATCTTGAAGACCTAGCCTCTATGTCAAGTGACCTGGCGTAGGATTAATTCATGACCGGATAGGAGACAACTTATCTTCATACATCACAATTCATCCTCAACCATATAATGTTCAAATCATAAATTATTTTTACAATCATCAATGAGGCCTAAGCACTCACGAAACAGTCGCTAATATCTAAATATAAAATCTCTATCAAAATCACAATCACTTCTCCAACCGTCCAGCCTCACTCGTCTCATCCCTAGACTGTTTCAAAAACGGCACAAGCGTCGTTCCTCCAGTCCCCGTCAACTCTTCTTCCCTACCCTTCTTCAACGATGAACTCGCCAAATTCTGTGGTCCCTTCATCGCATTTCCTTGTCTTGACGGCAAGATGATGTACCGTGTGACAATCTGGATATGCTTGTTTCTAAACACCGTCAACGCATCTGTTGCTGCGCTGAAAGTCTTTTGTAGACGCTCTTGCTCAACAGTGTGTGGTGTTTGAAGAGCGAGTTCGCGAATACTACCCATTCGGGCAATGTGTGTTAGGAAACGACGGTGTGGCCCGGGCATGTAATCCTTGACGATATCGTGGTAACTTCTCTCACCCTTAACTTCGGTATTGTTTCCACTTGTGATGTGTTCCACTCCCAACACGATATCGAAGAATTGGATAAGAGAGCTTTGTCCATTACTTCCACCACGCAAATGGCGCCATTCACCCTTTCCATTACCCTCATCGTAGAAAACGCCATTAGGAAGACCAGCAGCTTCCATGTTTTTACTACCTGCCAAAAAGGGACGGATCTTGTAATAAAAAGTCATGGGGTCGCACTTTTCATACATTCTTTCTAACAAAGCACCGACACCGTCGATGCATGTTTTTAGGTCTTCAAGGGCTGAGATAATTGTGTTGTAGTCTCGTGTCTTGACGGCCTCGAGGGCTTCCATCATGCGAGGAATAATCTTTCCGGCGCGTGCCTCCATGGCGACGCTGATGAGGAGAAACCATGACTCTGACTCTGTGTCGGTAAAGGTGTGAAGAGTGGAGAGGTCATCGAGGTTGGAAAAGTCTGAGCCTGCGCAGGAAAAGTTCCAGAGGTTGGCTGCGGCATAAGACAGGACGGGAGGAAGTTCGAGATGTTTTGACACGGCGAGGAAGGGGACGGTAATCTGAGGGGGCAGTATCTATCAGAGTATTAGTACATATCCCATAAGAGTAGACTCAAATGTACTCACCTCGGCTGGCTTCTCACCGCCCCAGACATAGGCATGCGTCAGAAAGGCAAGAACACTGTATGCCCTCCTCCACTCAGGCTCGGACTTTAGTCTATCTGTCCCCAACACAGGCATGGTATCAACAGCCCGTCTGATATCATTGTATTTAATCAATGCAGAAACATGCTGAATAACAAGTTCCCAAGGCTGGTAGTATAAATCGGGGAATTGTTTTAGAGGGCTGTGCTCGGGGAGGAAGGCGTTGCTTGTCACGGCAAACTGCTTTAGCTCGGCCGTGAGCTTGATACGGGGCAATTGGTGCGTAACGGCGTGTGGCGACATTGTGTAGATCAAATAGGTATACAAAGAATAAACAATAACGGTTGGCTAACTCAATGGATTGGGCTTGTAGATGAAAGAAGTGACATTTTCTAGAAAAGCCCAGATTGAAATAACAATTCCCCTAAAACCGCCAAGATGATTCCCTTCCAAGTTTTTCCTTCCATCCGTCTTCCGTGCATTCAATCCTCCGAAATATCCTCAACCTCCGAAATATTATGATACGGATGGAATTGTGTTACCTCCCGAATGTATCTTCCGCATCCGATGACAGGCATGTGACCAATCGCTAAACGTCACCATGTCAAAAATGGATAATGACGTCCACTATTTCGGATATCGGCGGACGGAACTTCGGATCTAACTAACAAATTCCGCGCTTCCGCTACTGACATTACACAACTGCTATCGCCGGGACTGGCCGAGAGAGGGGTGAAGAGTCAAGCATAAAGTGATTTCGTGATCCCGCATCCCATCATACGACTTTTCTTACACACCAAATCACAAGCATCTTGCGTCTTATACACAGTCAGCATCTTTTACAATGGAGTTGTCATCTTTTGTCGAGCGTCTACGAAGCGGCGCACCGCCCAAGTTCCCCAATGGCGCTAACTCGCTTGAGTTTGCGCGCAATTTAGATTCGCAGGATAAGTTGAGCCATCTCAGAGATGAGTTTGTTCTTCCTACGAAAAAGTCTTTGAAGAAAAAGGCTCTTGATGGGTCAATTCGTGAGTCAAATGCCTTTTCAGGGTTGAATTGAGACTAATGGTTGTGAAGCAAATGGTGTTGCGCAAAATGGAAGCGTCACCAATGGAAACGGTACAAATGGTCATGATGATGGTGACCAGCAATGCCTTTACTTTGTCGGTAACTCCCTTGGTGCTCAACCAAAAGCCGTAAGGGAACATCTCAATGCACAGCTCGAAACATGGGCTTCTATCGGTGTAAACGGTCACTTCAGCGCAATGGGCAACTCACCACTACCCGCATGGCAAGATCTTGCGGAGGACTGCGCTATCCGATCCGCTGACATTGTTGGCGCTTCTCCTCATGAGATTGTTATCATGAACACCCTCACAGCCAACCTTCATCTCCTCATGGCCAGCTTCTACAAGCCCAACGAGAAGCGCCACAAGGTCATTCTCGAATGGAAGCCTTTCCCTAGCGATCACTACGCTATTGAGAGTCAAGTAGTCTGGCACGGTCTTGACCCCGAGAAGAGCATGGTCAAGATTGAGCCCAATGAGGATCACATCATCACGACCGACCTCATTCTTTCTACCATTGACCAGCACGCCGACGACACCGCTCTTCTCCTTCTCCCTGGTATCCAGTACTACTCCGGCCAACTATTCGACATTCCCCGTATCACAGCCTACGCACAAGCAAAGGGAATCGTCGTGGGCTGGGATCTCGCACACGCAGCTGGAAACGTTGAGCTCAAGCTTCACGACTGGAACGTTGACTTTGCATGCTGGTGCACATACAAGTACATCAACGCCGGTCCCGGTTCTATCGCCGGTGCTTATGTTCACGAGCGTCATGGAAAGGTTGAGATGAACTCTGAGACAGGCAAGGCTAGCTACAGACCCCGTCTGATGGGTTGGTACGGAGGTGACAAGAGCGTGCGATTCAACATGGACAACAACTTTATTCCCACCGCTGGTGCAGGAGGATACCAGCTATCTAACCCCTCCGCCATCGACCTAGCCAGTTTATCCGGTGCTTTGAGTGTGTTTAACAAGACAACCATGCACGATCTCCGCTCAAAAGCTTTGGTTCTCACAGCATACGCCGAACATCTCCTCGACCAAATCCTTTCAGAGTCCAATGACTCGGAACTATTCCGTATCATCACCCCACGAGACCCTCTGCAGCGCGGAACACAATTGAGTGTATTGCTGAAGGATGGTCTGTTGGATAATGTGAGTGCAGCTCTGGAGGAGAACGCTGTGATTTGCGATAAGAGAAAGCCTGGTGTTATCCGAGTTGCGCCTGTGCCGCTGTACACAAGGTTTGAGGATGTTTGGAAGTTTATGCAAATCTTGAGAGGGGCTTTGAAGAATTAGAATAAAATGGATTAGAATATGATATAATAAGCGTCAATTAATTTTATCTTTTGGATACCGATGTCTGTCTAGTCTAGAATTTGTTTTTGTTTGTTGTTCGTGAGAACACTGGAAATTATAGAAGCACACCACCTACCTAATTTTGACCCTTGCCATGAATACTTTGTGCAAAACAAAGATGGCCATGTGTTTTTCGGCTATGAGCCAAATGATCTATCACTTTTCTTTTACCTTTGCTTGCCGTGTCCCATCATGCCGTGCTTACTGTCGGCTAGACATGGCCCTCCGGTATCTGACGCCATCTGCAGACATGAGGCACGAGCAACACCGTCGGATACGATATTAAGACCATATCCGCAGCAGTGTCCGAACTTCCGCTGTTTCCATCACTGTCGGTTCGTTACGAACTCATAAACAAGTTTCTGTTTACAAGTGATGCGTCAGATCAATCCCCCCACCCCCATCCAAAAGCGCAAACAGGTTCAAAGCTGAGCCGGTATCAGCTTCATTCCCCATTGTCCAATAGTTCGGATCAGGAGTCTGCATCATAGACTCACTGAGTCCTAGAAAGGCCGAGTCCAAATCTCCAAACAGAGGTGACGCCACATTTTGTAGCCCATTATGCTGTAGAAAAGATCTATCTAGCGATTCTCTTCCTCTGCTAGTCGCGGGACTGAGGCCGGGTTGGCTTGTCTCCCTGCGGAATGTTGATGGTGACTCTGTCGTATCAGAGGGTATCAAACCGAATAATTGGCTTGAGTTTTCGGTGCGGCGTTGACGTTCGGCGAGTTCGCGCTTTTCGAGATGTTCAAGGGATGTTGCGAGAAGAGATTGGGCGATGAGGGAATATTGACCTGCGTGGGTATCGTAGTTGGAGCAGTGGTCAAGAGCGTGGATGGCCATCCGGGTGTATTTCTCGAGGACTCTACCAAAACCGCCAAGTAGACCAATCCCTAAGACAAGAGAGCTGGCGAATAACCAGGACCTGTAGACAGTTAGTGGGGAATGGAGTATTAGAGGCTCGAATACTTACACTAGAATAGGAACGTGTCCCACAAGGACACCCCTCTGGATTAGGTCAAGTATAGGATCAACCATCAAACTCGCCGCATCGATGCAAGCATCAGCAAGCTTCGACTTTCCAGATGTCAAAGCAGATCGACCATTGGAAGCCACTGAGCCGTCAGACAATCGTCTGCAGAGTTCGTACATGAGAAATGGGCGGGATACTAGCATGACGGCGTAGTAATACGTAGCCAAGATCTGACACGCTCCACTTGCTTGAGCTCTGTCTTGAATATCCGGATTGGCGACTATGTCTTTGAGCTGTTTCAACCAACGAGACGACCAGTCTCTCAATTGAAGTGATATGCCCTCTGTAAGTTGCAGTGAAATCTTCCGTCGTGAGTAAATCTCTGTAACAACTCCTTCCAGAACTAGGAATATTTGTACCGAAGCATTGAGTAAATCAGGTGATTCATCGAGATTCTCATCAGGACTTTGATAAGGTACCGTGCAATCAACATCCGACGTTGCCGGCGGTCGTCCCATAGATGAACTAAGAAACAGATCAACAACACGTAAACTCTTCCAAAGGCGATCCCTTTGTCTGTGAACATCCGGTCCAAAACGCGCATTGACTTCAGTCCTGTGGATACCGATGGAATAAGCTGCTCGGACAGCTGTGCCGAAGAATAAAAATGCGCCGTTGATTTGACATGAGCAGAGCATGTATAATGTGATAAGAGTAAACATCTGAACTGTTGTGACGCTTAGATTACCCGTGAGGTTGGAATATGCCTTTTCACGCGCATACTCAAAGTACTCTTGCGCGCGTTCCTCGTTATCAATCTTTGTTCCGATGGCTAACACGAGTAGATTAACAATAGTCGTGGCATCATCTGTCTTTTGACCCATGTTCGCCCAGAAGATAAGATCATCTTGCAATCGCCGATGATCGAATAAATCCACAAGCCCTGTCGCAATGGCAAGGTAATTAGATACAGCATGCGGAATGTTGTCGGGGTTAACGCTTGGAATGCGGTTATCGCCAGGTGTTCGACGCGATTGATTCGCGGTGGCATTTTCAAGGACAGAGTATCGACTTGACTGCGGCGCAAAAGCATTCTGTCCAACTCTAGTGGTGACAAGTTGACGCACAGATTGAAAGAAGCTCAATGGTGCACAATCGCCCACAAAGATCAATTTCCCCTGGGCATCGCATACCAGCCTCGCTTCTCTAGGAACTTCAGTTTCATCCTCTGCGTCAATTGCTTGATTCTGTGTCGTTTCATTGTTGATAGGCGTAGTAGCAGGACTATTCCTCCCCGTTGAAATTCTACCCGTAGAAAGAGCTCTATCAAGTTCCGAAGCAGGCGGTGATCGTAGTGAAGACACTGATCCTTGGGGATTAGCTCTTCGTCGTCGGACTTGAGGTGAGTAATGACAGTCGTGAGGCTTTTGACGACGTGCGCAGTAACTGCAAGGTAATTTCCCGTCGCATTTCACTTTGCGAGATTTACAGCCGTCGCAGGCGTTTGCAATGCGGCTGCGGATATAACGTTCTGTTGGTTCTTGCATTTGGTGGTAATGGGATTGAGGGAAGGGGAATTTGTTGCTACGGAAGCACTGTGGAGATGGAGAGACGGAAAGGAGCGGATGTTCGGCTGAGAAATTGTTAGTGCAATTCTTCGGCCCGCTATAGATTCCGAAGCTTGGCTGTGAGAATGAGACCTCAATTGTATGCTGTTGTAATTGGAGATTGTATGATAAATTGTTCTGATCCTAGAAATTAAATCCTGATGGCTTCACTGTCAATTATTGACTGATAGACTAATTGTATGCACAGTTGGCGGATGCGCACTTCGGATATGCAGACTGGCGGCTAAGTTCATCAGTACAACCACTAACATCAGCCTCAGCATTACACAAGACATCCAGTCACTGATTTTCGATAATGGAAATCTGAAAGTCATCGAAATTACGAAAGAACTGAGTGTAGATAAAAAATCAATACCAATATTCTTAGGTGATACTCAATTTCTAGGTGCAGACAGGCATACTGTCACATCCGATGCTTCCGTTCAACTTTATTAACGTCAGTTGATGGATGACCTGTTTCCCCTGCCCTGTTGATAATTATCCTGTCAATATTTATGAGTCGTTTGGAAGCTTTCGTAATCGGCGATTCGATCGCCCCAAATTGATTCTATTATCAAGTATCTATTTCTATGAATATATAACGTGCAGTGTTTCTGTTCGTGTACACAATGTACTTGTAGATAATTCAGCTATGTAGCTTACTGAAGGGAACCTCAGTTCTATGCTAACCTAATTGAAGATGAAAAGGTAAATTATTCTTTTCCTTAGAAACAGAATTCCAATAGCTTCTTTTTAATTCTTTAACTAAAACACTAATTATATGCACAGTAGGCAGATGTATACTCTACGAAAGGATTGCTTACCTGAGTTTCTTATTGCTGGCAGGCTATAGAAAGGTTTAATTGCATTAAATATCCTTATAGAGGCAATGCATTATTTGAAACAATGTACAACGTAAACCTGCATATTCATCATTTTCAACCTAATCGATTGGCTATCATGCTGGCTAACGTATAGTGGCGGAGTAAGGCTTTACTGAAGGCATACTGAAGACCTCAAAGCGAGCGGGAATGATTTCATCTTCATTAACAATTTCTCTATATTTCCTCTTATTGTCATTTATCAACATCGACATCAACTTGAGGACAGTGAGCGGTCCAATGTCAAACGGAGTATTTATTGACCAGTCAGCGGAGTCACTATGGCAAGAAGCGCTCCGTGAGCTCGGGCCTGAAGACAAGGCTGTGATCACCAACAAAACGACAGATAAAACTGCCCTTCTTGAAGAACTTCTCGGCCTTGCAGAATCAAAGAGAGATGTCTGCCTTCAGAAGCGATGGAAATACAAGCGAGGCGACGACGAGATCATCATTCGAGACCAAGTTGATAAGATCATCGCTTGGGTTCAGCGCTTCAAGGAAGTCGGCTCTACAGCTATACAATATGACCCTGATCACGCCGCTCTGCCATGGGCGGGTGTCGTTCTCGTTCTTCAGATTGCCTGTAACGACTCTCAAACGTTCGGTGCAATGGTGGATGGAATCGAGAGCATATCATCTCTCATCGTTCGTTGTTCCGTTATTGAACAGTTATGTCTCAGTGATGGAAACACTTTGCCGTCACAGAATCAACTCCGGCAGGCGCTGGTGAAGCTATACATATCGATAATGCGCTATCTGACCAAGGCGCGGCGGTATTTCAGTAAAAGAACGCTGAGTCGCATGGTCAAGTCCGCAGTTTCGACACCGGAGATAGAGGTTCAGCGATACCTTGACATTATTGCCAAGAAAGCTCAAGCAGTTCATTCGTGTTTCATGTATGTGCAAGGCGAACAGCAAATTGCATCTGGAGCCAAGGTGAAGCAATGCTCAGAGATTTTAAGCAAACTGGAAGAACCTATGATCCGATGTTCTTTACAAATAGCAGACCTGTACCGTCAATTGACCAGGGATAAGAGATTGAGGGCCATGGCTTGGTTGTCTACCATTAATGTTCGCAAGCATCACAACTCTGAAGCCACAGACTATCTCCAAGGATCATGTTCTTGGCTTTTCCAGCATGCTGAACTCTTATCTTGGAAGCGATCGAGCACTTCATCCATTGTTTGGTTGCATGGTATACCGGGCTGTGGCAAAACAAAGCTCGTCTACTACACCATATCACGTCTGCTGGAGGAAGCGGCCAGTGTACAGAACTCTGCTCCAGTGTTGTACTTCTATTGTGCAAGAAATCCTGCAGAACCCAAGAGGGGTGCGCCAATTGAGATCTTACGCAGCCTTTTGAAGCAACTTGCATTTTCTCATGCCGATGGGGCCATCAGAGATGTCGTGGCTGAACTATTTGAAGAGAAAGACAAGGTGGCGGAACGGGAAGGTTGTGAGATTGAGCAGCTGACGATAGAAGAGTGTGTCAGCACAATTCTCAGAATTCTGGAAGAACAGCCAGCTACTATTATTATCGATGCGCTGGACGAAGTTGATCCAAAAAAACGTCAGAAGCTCTTGTCGGCACTACAGAGAATCATCCGAAACTCTTCAAGTCTTGTTAAGGTGATGGTCTCTAGTCGCGACGACAGTGATTTGAGAGCTCACCTCTCCAATTTACCCAACATCTATATCCGAGCCGACGACAATGCGCAAGACATTCGACGATTCACACATCACTATGTACAGCAGGCACTAGACAACGGAGCACTTCTGAATGGAGTCATATCCGACAATCTGAAAGCGAACTTGCTAGAGCATTTGGACAGAAAGGCAATGGGCATGTTTCGCTGGGTAACTGTTCAGATCGACAATCTTTGCGACAACCGGAGAATCAAGATTGAACAAGACGTGCGGGAGGAGCTTAAATGTCTTCCGGAAACTTTAAAAGCTTCGTATGATCAGAAATACGAAAGAATTCGACAGTTAGCGAGACCTAGTAGATTGATGGCCGAGAGAACCATCAAATGGCTTATGTGCGCACAGTCCTTGATGACTCAAGACGAACTACTGCCGGCGTTAATATTCGCGCACGAGAATCACTCTCTAGGTCTCAGTCCGCTGGCTATCTTGGACACATGCTGCAACATGGTCATTGTCCACAATGACGGGTTCGTTCGATTTGCGCATTTGTCTATTCGGGAGTATTTCGAGGATCATGATGATTACAAGCTCGAAGACTGCAATGCTACCGTATTACATCGCTGTCTCGAGGCTTACATCAACACCTCGTTAGACTGGCGATTCCACACATACCATCCGATAGACCTCAAGATCAAACCTTATGCGGCCCTTCATTGGCCTCACCATTTTCGATCAAGTCGTAAACCCAGAAAAGATGATGCCCTCACGATGCTTCTGGAGAGATTCCTGTTTGATGAGAAAGGGCCAAGCCAGGTTTTCAAAGACTGGGTTGAGGAAATTTTGAACCTGGAAAAGTACACAGGAGGGGTGGAGGACCAAGCAGACACGATTGAGTCGATCATGACCATAGTCAGCAATCCACCCTCATCTCTATTCCTTGCATCTTACTGCAACTCAACTTGGATGCTCGAGAAGATGCAAGCACGGTGTCTTGGGAATTGGAGCCTTCTTAACCGCAACCAGGAGTCCGCGGCCTATGTGGCTATCAAGATGAACTCCCCAGACGCTCTCGACTGGCTATTGGAATCTGAGCTAATAGATCCCGAGCACATGGTCAAAGCACTTCATCTCGCGATAGAGGAGAGCGAAATTGATACCGTGAAATCGTTGATTGACTCAGGTGTAGATGGTACAGCAATGACAGAAGAGCGGGAAACAGGTCTAGGGCTAGCTGTTATCCATGGGCAGTATGAGATTGCTGAAGAAATACTGCGCCGGTCTCAGGGTTCAGAGTCCTGGGAGTATGCAGCATTGCTGAGTACGTCGCTATGTGATGCTCTTCAATCAGAATTCCCTTCAATTTTCACGTTACTGTGGGATGCACTCGTCCAGACAGATCCACCCATCTTCTTCCGGGTATTGTTGATCACAAGGGAAGGTGCTTTTGAGGACATCCTGGAAGGCCAAAAACGAGCCCGAAAAGAGCTAGTTGGTCATATGATCGATTATGCCAGAGACTCACAAGTGGAAGCTGTGAGAAGAATCATCGAGTTATCCGACCTTCTTGGAAAGGATTTCAATAACCTATCAGTCGTCGATTTTGGTGCCCTTGCGATCACTTCACGCGGCATCGGCAAATCAGGTTGCGTCATTGATGGACTTCGACCACTTGTTCTTATGACTCTAAGCGTTTCTAAAGGTTGTACCCTTGAACAGTACAATGAAATGACCAGTATACTCCTTGACCTTGGTCTGACATATTTTGGCCCTGGATGGGAAGATGATTTCTACGACGATGATGTCTCGACTCTACAGGAGTTAGGAGTTGGAATGCCACACAATGCATGGTCTCTTCTACAATTAGATCTTTGGGGTCAGTTACCGAGGTTGCTCAATCAGGTCCTCAAGCAAGGTATGGACATTAACGCCCAAACGTCACACGGTGGATACACAGCCCTCATGATGATTGCAAAACGGGGGGGATCTCAAGAATGCTTGGAGATACTTGTCGATTGTGGTGCCGAGATGGATCTAGTCGATGAAGAAGGACGAACCGCACTTTATTGGGCCGTTGCTGAAGGATATATCGATATCGTGGCTTCGCTATTGGACAAAGGAGCCCAACCCAATATCTCGGAGAGGGGTGGGCTGACGCCCTTGGATGTGGCTGCTCGCGAGTGTGAACACGAAATTATGAGTCTTCTCAGATCAAGAGGAGCACTCAGACCCAGATTTAGCCTCTTTGAAGACGGTTTCACGATCCTCTTTTCTCATCAAGCCAGATGTTCAATGTGCTTGAAGATTCTGCTCAAACAGCCTCCACTCCAACACCATGACGACGAGCTTTTGGACTTCATTGAGCTTTCGCCAAGTAGAGAAAGCTCTGCATATTCAACGCCACCTAGCGAAGATGCCGAAATCATCCTACCAGAATTGAACGACATCAATATCATCAACCTTCGTTCAGTTGAAGACGGTATCACGCCATTGCAGATTGCATGTATTACGGGATCAACTTTCGTTGCTCAAAGGTATCTCGACTTTGGAGTTGATGTCAACGCTGTTGATAATCAAGGCTTTTCAGCTCTACATTATGTGGTGTCTCCCTGTAGAGAGTCTACCATCCAGCTCCTACTCCGCAACAAAGCAGATCCGCTCCTTCAAGACCCGAATGGACGAACTCCGCTTCATATTATGATCGGGTCTACGGCGAATACTTACCTTATGCGATATTTCGGATATTCCATGGTCAATTTGTTGATCGAACATATGTCAACTTTGGACACGCCTGACATCAATGGAGATACTGCGTTGCATATCGCAATTCAGAAGGATGATTTAAACTGTGTCGAACTCCTTCTTGCTGCTGGGGCAGATAAAAATGCCATCAACAAAGCAGGTCAATCACTGTTAGACTTGGCTAAATCCATTGATGGCGATGTTCTCGAACTTCTTTGGGATGTTTATGACATATTTAGCAACTATCATACTTCACTTTTCAATACGGACTTTACTGAGGATAACGTATTTGGGGAAGTAACAACTGCACTTATTTCAGAATCTGCCAACAACGATAAGAAGGATACCAAGTGTAATGAGGACACTCTTGATCAAGAATCTGAGAGGGTTGGACGTTATTGGGATACGGGGGTGGATTACTTTGGTTCTCATGGGGTAAAGGAGTTTTCGGAGCTAAGAGGGGCAGATTCTATCCCACTTCGACCGTTGGCATCTAACTATGTATCATCTCAGATGCGGTGATGGTATGGTATAGTTAGCAAGTAAATAGTAATGTTATTTATGCTTTGGAATATCATCTAGTTTTCTTATATAACCTTAATCTAGATATTTCTCAGTTTCTTTCGTCAGGGATTCGGATACTTCAAATGGTTCTAGTATATTGACATTATGTTCGTATGTACAATAAAACTATTTGCACTAATCTCCCAAATTCAGGACACCAGTTGCACTTTCCAGTTGTACTGCGCCTTCATCTGGCGGACCCGTCGAAACAGTTGAGTCTCCGTTAGAGCTGTTGATAGACACTGAGCTGTTGTTGTTAAGCCGCAGGGCCTCGGGAAAAGATGAATAGGTGTTCGAGTCTCTTGCCTTCCGCCTGATTTTCTTTTCTTTGAGCGTTTCTACCACATCTATCCTCAGCCTTTGTGCAAGCTTACTTAGAAGCACATCTCGAGCTATGCCAAGGCTCTCTTCATCGTGGTACTCGGGAAGTCGCCAATTTCGATACAGATTGTTGTGAGACGAGCGAACACCCGGCTTGTCACCCTCGAGGATGTCAAAGTAGTAGTGGCATAGTCGGCAAGTAGGCTTACTACTGCCGATATAATTCCATCGATTCCAGTAACTTTCTACCGCTGTCCATCCCTTCTTCAAAAGGTATTCGTGTACCAGGACTTCCGCATGCAATGAGGGCCTAAACCTTCGGGAAAGCTGAAAATCACGAATAATAATATCGTCAATTCCCATCTGTTTGAGGTCCTCAGCCGCCTGTAGAAGTTGCGTATCTTGGGTTTTATCTTCCGCAACTATATGCTGCATGATGATTGAGCTCGTGAGGTCGGATCTTAAGATCGGGTTTGGAAAGCGTGGACCAGATGGCACCATGGTAATCTCAAAATCCAAGAATAGATCAGGCCATCTTTCAGAAATTGCAACGATACCGAGAGCTGCTTTGCGGTAAGAAAGCCAGCGCCCAAGAAAGTGTCGGAGCTTGCACCATGGCTCGGATCTTGTCATTTCTCCATCTTTGGCCCTCTGCGAGATCATTTTGTTGACATCTGCTTGATCTAGGGCGACGATCGCTTTGATCAACGTGTCACAGTCGCTGATTGCTAAGCTGGCGAGTTACTCTCATGTTCGTAGCGTAATTTGACGAAAGGGAATACTTACATTTATCCTCCGTATTAGACTCTGACATGTTGAGCTTAAACTTACATTTGTCCGCCAAGGACAAGAGGCTCTGAGTCGGCTCGGAAGCTTGAAGAGTTCAGGGCGCGTTTTCGCGGCTATGAAAACACAGGATGTGACTTACTTTCGTCTTCCTCCAATCGTTTACAACTTTTTAAGCACTCTTGCACGGCTTCGCTCAAACATTGCAGGTATTCTTTCAGCCGGGGAATATTGAACGACAGTATGAACCAAAGCACTCGCTTTCCCAACGCCGCGGTCTGAAAATCGTCTGGATTCTTGCCTACGAGATCTAATAACGCTTGGACGAAATTCTGCGTTGTTTTTAGGCCTCTTGTATCCTTTGAGTTGAAACCAAAAACATAGTTGGGGCCAACAGAACCTTGGAGTATTGCAAGGGCACTGATTGTATCCCCACCACGTTCGTTGTCGCAGACCTGGGCTAACTTGTTGACATAAAATTGGAATGCCTCAAAGTCCGGCATCTCTGCTTCGTATTTTACAGTTGATTGTTTCTCGTGTGGATAAGTAGGAAATGTCCCAGCTTTTTGCAAAGCCAATTCGAGAACGATGGGTTCGTACAAGACTCCAAGTTGGTGAGGGGTCAAGCCATCGAAATTATCTGACTGCCAAGCCAGTGATACAGACATGATTGCTTCTGGACGAGATGGCAGAAGATAGCAAGTTGATAAGTGGGATCAAACAATTGCAGTCGATAGAAGTGATCAAGAACATATCAGACGAAAGAAATGTGGAAGTGTAAGTGTAACTGAATTTCAGGGTTTTTCACGCCGTCTTATCTACATGACGTCAAATGTATTTGTCATAGGAGGGGTAATAGAATGAAATACAAGGTTTGGATCTGATGTTGAGCTCTGTGGCGTTACTGTCATGACTACTGTTCGCACACTGTTGCACTATTGGAATCTACTGTTCAGCGTGCGGCTCCTTATAGAGTGCCAGCGATTACATCACACATAAAATGAAACATGCTCGGAATGTGTTCTAACACCGGGAAAGCATAATGATGATGACCTGGTGACAACCAGTGTCTAAGCCCTGTTTCAATTGAATAGAATAGGACGTCTCTCTTAGAAGGGCTATTGTAATATTCCTTCTAATCATCGAAGTCTTCGGCAATGATCTTAACATCCCTGTGAAGTAATGGATACTCAACAACCAACAGAAGAATTCAGGGCAACGTTAAATAACCCCGCACGATGACACAGGGACATGTGATCTGATGTTGATAGATAAGCCGAAACCCTATTCATGTTCTTGCACCTCACCCACCTTCTGTAAACTTCGAGAATCGAACTGCTGAAATGACCTCTACTTCTAAGGACGAACTCGTTACCCTAGCCTCGGCTGGAGACCCGAGCCAGTTGGAGGCTATCCTTTCGAAAGAAGAAGAGTCTCCACCAGATGAGACTGTGCAAGAGCTTCTCGCAACAGCCGCAAAGGAGTCCCATCCCGATGTAGTCAGTTTTCTCTTGACGAAGTACGCGTCGGTTTCTCTGAACGAGGAAATTGTCAAAAGTGCAGTCAACTCAGGTTCAATTCTGATTATGAAAGCTCTGTTAGCGCGAGAACCTTTAGCAATCAACATGCCGTTCGACCATTATGGCTCCCCCCTTATCGTGGCCTGCATGAGACGAAAGAATATAGACTATCTTCAATATCTTCTTGAAACCGGTGCTGACCCGAATCAAGACCCGGACGCAGCTACATTCCCTCTAGCCATAGTCGCTGCACTTTACAAGGACCCCGCCGTCATCGACATACTGCTGCAACATGGCGCTAAGCTCGAGCACTCAGGTGCTCTGGGAGCTTCTGCTCGACTGGGGAACGAAGCTATGATGGGCCGTTTGCTGGAGCGTGGGGCACGACTCGAAACTGATGCTGTCCGTCCGTCAGAGCGTGGATCGCCTCTTCATACGGCTGTTGGGGCTGGACATGTCGGCGTCACCAAGATGCTTCTGCAGCATGGCGCTGATCCTAAAGCTTTCGATGGAAATGGTATGATGCCTGTTGAAATCGCTAAGAAGATGCAAGAGAAAGGTAAAGACATGTCGCAAATATTAGAGCTTCTTGGGTATAAATAGAATTATAGACAGTTATTAGTCAGGTGACGACTTATTACTGAATTTCCCCCATCCCACACTCCTATACCTACAAGGCATGGACTACAAAACTAATTCCATTGGCGATCTGTCCGATGACAGCAACATTCTCGTTAACATTATAATTAAAGTCCGTAGATGTATCGGTAAGTATCTCTCCAGTGGATGTACACATGGAAGACGAAGCACAAGACAAGCCTGGCACACTGCAGCTCAAGGTATCTCCATTTTTGGCGGGTGGCGTACAAATAACATCAACCTCTGACGATTCCGGAATCTCGTTACAGGTACCGAGTGAGGCAATGTCTTGACCTGGTCTGAAGAGCGCACAGACATACAGTGAGTTGTCAATCAAAAGGCGGCCAGTCAGTGCTTCGATACTGAAGATAGCTGGGGAGTAGGCTGGATTGTTTCCAGAGAAAACTAGGTTGTTGCCCTTGACATGATCGGAATAGATGAATGCGCCTTCGACTGAGCCTCGCGAGCCTTTGAGTCGGAAATCGGTGATGACTGAGTGTTCTGCTGTGGTAGTTGCTGTTGTGGCTTCCGTTGTCGCGGTGGTCTCGATGGATATTGGGGCCGTGGTCGTGTCGGTGACTCCAGTCTCGGTGGAAATCGTGGCCTGAGTGGCAATGATTGACTCTGCCGTGGAAGTCGCTTCAGTAGAAGCGGATACGACAATGGTAGTTGCTTCGATTGTTGAGGTTGATTCACTGGCTGCGTCGGTAGTACTCGTGCCACCTTCAGTCAAGACTTCTGAAACAATAGTTGAGCTGATCGTCGAAGACTCTAAAGCGAAACCAGAGCTTGTTGTCTCCAATGCTATCAAAGTCGTTGATGCGATAGTTGAGACATCCGAGGCTGAACGAGATTTGGTCAAACTTTGATCTTCATGAATGTCAAATCGGGAGCTTACACATAGATCGAGGTTTGCAAACACTCGCGCCAGCGGTCCCCAGACCAGCGAGGCTAAGCGCTATTGAACGAACGATGCCCAGCCGCATGGCAATTAAATGCAAAACAATAGATACAGACACAAACAAAGTAGTGGAGGGGAAAACAGAAGAAAGACATGGGAGGAAGTGCAGTGTGTCTTATTTAAATTAAAGATTAAATTAGGAGAAGGCAATATACCTAGATCTAGAATTTTAAACCGCATATATTAATCCAATAGTTCGGGTATAGTGACAAGACTAGTGGCTAGCTTTAGAGTTACTGATGTCTCTACAGCACCTGATTCGATGAATGGCACGCTAAACCCACGGACAGCAAGCCCTGGAAATTCCATGCTAAGTCTTCCAGCCGCATATCTTCTTTCCCTCCTGTTCATCATCTGTCACCCAGTTCGCCTCTTCTTCCTTGTGCCATTCCACCAAATGACGCCCAACCATTGCACCGATCCCTTCCAGTCTTGGCTCATCGCTGACCTCCTCCTCACTGTCGAACTCAAGTGCATCCCCAACTTCATGCCCAATCTCCTCAATGAATCCCAGAAGCTGATTCTTCTTTATATAGGAGCCGTAAAGTGTGCGTTTTTGCACTTCTTGATGTTGAAGATTAACTTCGGTGAGCTTCTGTGACCAGGAGTTACGGACAATAGCATTTAAGTAGGTCCACCAAATGTACCGAGCTCGTGGTCGCTTGCTGGTCAGGAATTGGAGTCGTTTTCCATCGAGTGCTGCAATGTTGGGCACTCCATATGCCGGAAGAGGGAATTCCTCTGTAACTGCGGGGTTTTTCTTGTTAAGTACGATGAACTTGTACTCTTTCGGTTTTGCTTTCTGCCAAGCTCGAATTCTTTGATCTCGTTCCTCTTTGTCGTTTAGAGGGAGCCTGGGACTCGCTGGTTCCAGATCAATGTCAGGTACAATGGCCACGAACCCATTCTCCAAAGCTTTCTTAATGTCCTCATGGAGTAGCAGGCCGTTCTTGTATGAGAATAGCTCTTTCTGTGATCCCTTGCCGAATATATCGTCCATGAAGATGCCTTGAGAGTATGGGAACAAGTGGGCACCTTGTAATGTTTGAAACCAGTCTCCGATCACTGGATCCCATAGGACTTTGCGGATAGGTCGCTTTCGTCGTGGGATGTACGCGTCTATCAGGGCCTGCTTGAAGTTCGACTGATCACTGGTGTCCCTTGGGCCCACCCCCGTGTCTTTCGTTGCCAAGCCCATTCCGAGCTTTGATGAAATGAATAGCTTAACCCATCCCTCTCGAGGGGTACCCTTGCGATCCACCATCCTTTGTCGTTGTCTCTGTATAGTATTGCTGATTTGATTCCACACGCTATACTTTAGCTGATATCGTTCACCGTCTTCGCTCTCGTACCATTCGCTGGCCTCTTTCTGTTCGTTGAGCACTGCTTCAAGGCCTCTCTGGGACTCGATCTGCGCGTCCTCTCGACTCAGGTTTGCCACTTGTTCGTATCGCTCCCAGTACTCAGCGTCCATAGAAACTTGTCTCTTCATGTTGGCTCGTGCCTCTGAAAGTTCTTTGCCAATTTTCTTTCTTTTGTTTTCGAGGTCATCTTGAGTAAGATCTGAAAATTGGCGATCCCACTGTTGGCTGACATGTCTTCTTTTGGTCCCAGATTTCTTCGGAAGAGACAGTGTTTCATTGTCCGATGGATATGTTGATAGACGCAGCGAGCGGTCTGGAATGTCGCGTGACATGGTGCAGTTGTCAGGGGGCGGCCCGCGGGATTTCGATGGTGTAATTATGGAAGAAGAAGAATTGAAAGAAGAAGAATTTGAAAGGATGCTGGAATAAATACTCGTGGGTGAAACTTAGTTCCTCAGGCCGACAAATAAGGTATGAGCTAATGTGCGAACTTGCCTGGGAAGGTGCACTCTTGTAAGCCAGTGAATCAGAGCTATTAGACTTTGAGGAACACCCACATCAACTACCTAGGTATGATTGAAAATTTCACGCAAAGTATTTGAGCTGCAGCAGATCACTATATTGTTCTTGATACGCTGTGTTCTACTATCATCGCATCGCTCAAGGATATGGCTTTAGCTGTCGCACGTCAGATATGTTGATTCTCGGCTGAAAGGTCCCTACCACATTTACTTTGTTCATTATGACACTTACTCTTGCCCCGGCCTTCTAGGTTTTATCTAAGTTATTCATAGAGGTTAGTCTTTCCGTGCAGATTAATTTTAAGATTTCTCTCAAGACTAGGTTTTCCGACAAAGGCGTGACTCATGCGGCGTGAACTCTGTAATATCGATCTACCACAATTAAATACCTATCTTAACATTACAAATGCCATCCAGTCGCTGGCCTTTCGACGACAAAAAGTTTCCATCATCACAATCCCAAGTCCAATTAATTCATCAACCCCAAGACTCTCGGGAGATGCGCAATCTATAGCCATGTCCTTCAACTGTTTTAAGTAGCGCTTGTCTTGTGCTTCTTCGCCTCACCTCGACCGTCCTCGGAGGCCTGGCGTTTCCCATTGCCTTGGTCGCCTACTTCATCAACTTCCTGATCCTCATTCTCAGCCTCGCTCTCATGCTGGCCCTCGTTCTCCAATGCCTCAATCTGATCGGCCCTATTCCGTACTGCCGCCCGTGCCTTTCGCCACTGCGTCAATACCTCATCGTGAGCCAGGTTCTCTATGGCACGATGATTAGCCGAGCCATGTGGATCCGCTTGGTTGAACAAAACACCCTCGCTCCCTTAGATACAGAAATTCAAGAATCATGAAATCCTCTCTGGTATATCCTGTTTTCAAAACTAGTCGTTACCAATGTTAGGCATCTCAGATGTTGCAATAAAACCGAGGAAGAGACAGGAAAAGGAAGAAAGACATAAAGCTCAATTTTGCTAGAGGTTATTGACATATCATTGTGACAGAAGTGATTGGACGGCAAGACTGTGCAATGATATGGAGAGGTGTGGTGAGATCTAATCAATTTGAAAGTTTACTCAAATTCATACTACTCTCTTTGGTGTATAACAACTTGGAGACTTTCTAACAATACTGTTGCAACCCACTCTTTACGTTCTGGTAAAGAAACCAAGTTCCAAGTTTCGTCATCAGCAATAGGCTGCGACACGTTTCGTGGCTCAAAACGGAAGTTGCGAACAAATTGAGATATTGAAACATATAATTCCAGGTGCGAGAAACTGAATTTTGTTACTATTAGAACAAAGGAGTTTTAGAGCTTGACTTACTGTGCCCCCAAGCAGATATTTGCGCCTCGTGAAAATGGTATGTAAAAGCGATCACGGAGGCTGTCTTCGGTTAAAGTCTTTCCGTCCTGAGACAACCATCGATACGGATTAAAAACCTTAGGACTTGGATATGCCTTCGCGTCGTGTAGATACCAGATAGGTGAAGATATAAGCACCGTCTACAACCGCTTTAGTTAGTAACATTTCCTTGCATTTCGGGGAATTAGTGATACTCACCCCTTCTGGGATAAAGGTACCATGTAGCTCAATTCCTCCGGGTGGTACAGTCCTAGGAAGCATCGCTGCTGCAGCACCGGCCCACCGAATGCCCTCTTTAACGCAGGCCTGCAGACGAGGAATATTTTCGAGTGTCGTCATGTCTGTTGCAAAGGAGACACTGGCCAGATCTTGATACAAATTATCTTGGTAAGCGGGGTTGTGTGCTAGAGCCCATATGATATGGGCAAGCGTTGCGGAAGTGGTATCTGTCCCGGGACCAAGGTTCTCGCCTGCCTCGGACAAAGCAGTTTCAGCGGGCAGGCCAGCATTACACAGAGTTTGTATGAGATTCGGAGAGTTGATGCTAGTTATGTCAGATTGAAAACCAGCCGAGAGAGCGGCTTGCCATGAAGTCTGTGCCCACTAGATGTGTTGATGCGATTAATTCAAACTGTTGTTACGAATTGGATATTGAACTTACGTTTTGGAAGTCAGCGAGGCCTTGAGAATATTGAGTTCTGAAACCCGTCAAGCTATAGAGGCACTCTTCGATCGTCTCCCAAAATTCACACAAGAGAGGAAAATTAGTGAGCTAAGTAAAGATGGTCAATATCAGTATACATAGGAGATAATATTCTTGGGAAAACTCACAACAGGCATCCATGTAGCCTTTTCATCGTTCTTCTCAACCATAGCCAGCTGTTTCCCACCAGCCCAATAGTCAATGGCGTTGATAGATGTACCAAAGGAGAAGTCAGCTATATTGGAGATTAGAAAAAGGCGGTCGATAAAAAGATCGAAAGAAACCAATGATGTTCTTACACATGATGTCTGCTTCAAGAGCTCGTGATGACACGCCCAAATCCACGATAGAATCGTTATTTCGAATCTTGTGGACAAATCTCTGAACATGATGAGAGATTAATCTCTCTAGCTGAGGTACCTTGCTTCGACTAAAAAGCTGAGACATGATCCTTCTACGCTTCGCATGCTCTACCGGATCTCTGTTACGCATCAGTCAAAAGATCAAAAGCATCTGGAAACGTGTCAAACTTACGTTATGGAGAACAGAGCCGGATGACCGCCTTGCACAAACTCTCCATAGACTCTTGGGTCTTTCTTGAACTTGCTTCCCACTTTGTGCACCGTTTCATATGTATCTCGAGAGTAGAAGGACACTTCATTTGGGCCGATACGGATCAAAGGGCCTGGTAGTGTTAGGGTTTAGACTTGAGATTATCACAATTTACCTACCTAGTCTTTCATGGAATTTGGGTAGACTGAGAGTAATTGTGCCATTGTATTCTTGCGGGAATGCCCATGCAAGCCTTGAAAATGCTGCACCGAAACCTGCATTCGGAATCTTGGATAGAGGGGACGTATATTCTGATATGACACGCTACGACATTGGTCAGTTTATACAACCAAAAAAATGAAGAAGTGTTCATACATATATAATGAATCCAAAAAACAAAGCTGTACCAAGCTCAATGAACGGTAGAGTCATGATTAGAATGCGTTATCGTATTGTTGAATTAATGCCGGGGATCATGCCAATTTTTGTTCATGTTCGGGATTGAGCAAAACATGTACCAATCACGTAATTCCGTGACAGGAGCGCTAGATTTGTCTATAAATGGAGTTTCAGCCGTCAAGGTGGATTTTAATCATGTTGGTGCCGGGTATAAAATCCCATTCTGGTTATTATTTGTCTCGACTGTTGTCACACAATTATAAAGCCAATGACGTGCTTTGGCGTTGCTATTACATCCATGAGATACGAGTGCAAACCGTTACGGGTTAGTAGCTCAACTTAATCACCCTGAAGCGAATGCTAGCCTATACAGCTGAATGGACCTATTATATAAAGCACAACGCAATTCTCTCATCGGACAGGTTATTCCCCTATCATTATTCTTCTGCTATCTCCGAGACCGGACTGAAGCAGCATCAAACAACAAGAAAACGGCCACAATGTCCAAAACACCAGATGACAGAAACGATGAAACGGGCGGGGAGGTCGCTATTAAAGATACGACTAATGACGTGTCTGACAATATCGTTCTTGTTTGTTCTCCCATTTATATCCCAAGTGTGGGACTAGACGCTGACGCAAAGATGCAAGGAAAATCTAGGATACAAACCTGTAATAAAAAGAGCTGTTCTTCTGTAACGTTTACCAAAGCTGACCTTTCATAGGTTTTACAACGTAGCTTCAACCAGTTTCACAACTTTGCCACCACATTCGGTCAGATCTTCAACTTGAACACACCGAGGCTGCAGAGGCTGACCAATATCTAGCCGCACTTTATTTCATCGGTGGTGTCAGAGTCACTTTTTCAACTGGTATTGCCGCTGGTGGTAACTTGGCATATTGGTGAGTTACGCACAAGACAAAATATCAACGCAGGCTAATAACTTTCGAAAGGACGAGCTATATCATCACTTGTGTCTTCACGTTCATTACCGCTGCTGTAATAGCCGAGACATGCTCGTCTTTGCCTTTGGCTGGTTCAATCTACCTCTGGGCAGCTGAAGCCGGTGGTCCTCGCTTCGGTCGACTCTTTGGCTTTGTTGTTGCCTGGTGGTCTACCACTGCATGGACTACCTTCTGTGCCAGTGAGTTCAGCCTTCTTCTCATGAATTCGATGTTTTCTGAGTTTCTAACCGCCTTTTGATATCAAGGCAATACACAAGCTGCCGTCAACTACATGCTCTCAGTATATACTACCTTCACAGATATTATGTTTCGATCGGGCTAACATCTACCAGGAAATAGTTGTATTTGGCACAGACTTTCCTTCGGACTCATCCAGCGTTAAATTCCGCGCTATACAATGGATCCTGACCGAAATTATGCTCGCCCTAGCCTGTATATGGAATCTGCTTCCTCGTGAGTCTCTCTGTATCAACTGCATACCACTTGTCTAATGTTAATAGCACGATACTTTAAGTGGATCTTCACTCTATCTAGTAGTGTTGTTATTCTTGACTTTGTCCTCAACTTGATTTGGCTCCCCATTGCGACAAGCAAGACTATCGGCTTTCGATCGACTCACGATGCCTTCATGACGACCTATAACGGTACCGGCGCTCCACCCGGTTGGAACTGGTGCCTTTCCTACCTAGCCACCGCTGGAATCTTAATTGGGTTTGATGCGTCAGGTCATGTAGCCGAAGAAACGAAGAATGCTTCGGTTGCAGCGGCCAGGGGCATTTTTTGGAGTACAGTCGTTAGTGGCATCGGTGGTTTTGCTGTTGTCATCCTCTTCTTATTCTGTGTTGTATGTCTACCTCCCATCCCAAACTCATGCCAAATCAACTAACAAGATAATAGCCCGATGCTGAAACGCTCTTCTCTTACGGCGGACCACAACCTTTCGTCTCAGTCTATGCTGATATCCTGGGAGATGGTGGGCATATTGTGATGAATATTGTGTGTGTAATGGCACTGTGGTTTGTAAGTCTATATCCTTGATAACGTCTTCAAATTCATAGAGCTTACGTATAATCTCAGAACACAGCAATTGCTGTTCTTGCAGCTTCTCGTCTGGTATTCGCCGTGGCACGAGATGGAGTCCTCCCCTGGTCTTCTTGGGTTTCCAAGGTAGTAGCAGGGCAGCCACGCAATGCTGTTCTAGTTGTCTGGGGAGTCTCTGCTATTATAACTTGCACGATACTTCCATCAGCAGTGGCTTTTACTTCCCTGGTTTCTGCAGCTGGTGTGCCCTCGGCTGCTGCATACGGACTTATCTGCCTTGCTCGACTCACCCTCACACCCAAGAACTTCCCCAAGCCCGCCTGGAGTTTGGGACGGCTGAGCAAGCCTTTTCAGGTTATTGCAGTCTTTTGGAATGGATGGGTTGTCGCTGTGTTATATTCACCCTACATCTTTCCTGTTACTGCCGAATCTCTCAACTACGCGCCTATTATTATGGCTGGCACTACGATCCTTGCTCTGCTGACTTGGTGGTTTACTCCAGCCGATAAATGGTTACCCAGCCAAAGGATACAGCGCACTTTAGATGCCGACAATCATGCTCATTGAAGACATGACGAGCCGAAAATATTGTAATCTGGGGCCTAGTTTAGTTACAGTTAGTTTAGGTTACGGCAGTATTGATCGGCCTTACCTGGGACTTAAGCGAGACCAAGCGATTTCATTAAAATTGAGACCCTGCTAATGCTGGAGCATGGTTCTATGTTGAATCTCCTCCGGTGGCAATTCTTTTCTGTCAGTTTATCGGCACGTACAGATATGTTTTTAGAAGGACAAATCACGATCTAATTGTATGTCTATGTGCTCTAATTCTTCTATATTTAAAACATCAAACAGGAGCTGTCATTTGACCGCGTAACTCCAATACCAAGCCAAATGACTTGTCCAGAATACCCAATCCTTGCTCAATCTCCTCAGCCGTAACAGTGACAGCAGGAGCCAGACGGAAAACACCACCCATACCAGGTAAGTTGACAACATTGCAGGACAAACCCAGCTCCATGGCCTTGTCAGAGATAGCCTGACCTAGATCAGCGCCAGGAGCCTTCGTCTTGGGATCAGCAATAATCTCGATACCCTGCAAAAGGCCTCGGCCTCGGAGATCTCCGATACACCAATACTTTTGTTGAAGCTTCTCAAGACCGGCGCGGAGTTGTTGACCTCTCTCGTTGGCCTTTTGGCAAATATTGTCGCGTTCAACAATCTCAAGAACCTTGTCACCGACGGCAGCGGTAAGAGGATCATTGAGATGAGTGGTCAGCCAAAGGAAACCAGCCTCCTTGCAGCCACGCTCAATTCCGGCCGTAGTGCTGACAGAGGCCAGTGGGAGACCGCAACCGAGCGTTTTGGAGAGCGCCAGAATATCAGGGACGACGCCCTCCTCATGCTCAAAAGCAAACATCTTGCCGGTTCGACCGACTCCAGTCTGAGCCTCATCCATGATGATCAACATGTCGCGCTTACGGCATTCGTCCTGCATGCGCTTTAAGTAGCCTGTAGGTAGGTCGAGAATGCCACCGGTCGAAAGAATTGGCTCCATGATGAAGGCAGCAAGTGATCCAACGCTCTGGCGATCAATCAGAGACCAGCCAAAGTCTATCTCAGTTTGCCAGTCCCATGAGCCATCGGGCTTTCGAAAGGGAGATCGGTAACCGTATGGTGCAGGAAAAGCCAAAGATCCTGGCATGATTGGACCACCGCGTCTACGACCGGCAGAGTACGTAGCAGATCCAGAACCCTGGGTTAAACCATGGTAACTAGCTGAGAAAGCAACAATCTCGAACTTGCCGGTATAACACTTGGCGATCTTGATAGCAGCTTCGGTTGACTCGGAGCCAGTGTTTAGGAAGAAGGACTTTTTTAGAGGGCTGGGGAGAAATTTGGCCAATCTCTCAGCCAGGTTGACAACGGGGTGTGTGATCATGTTGCTGAGAAGATGGTCCAATTCAGACACATATTGCTTAACAACCTCGACAACCTCTGGGTGAGAGTGGCCAAGAAGGGAGCTCATCTGACCAGAAGTAAAGTCGAGAATTTGATTGCCGTTTGTGTCATAGAGGCGTGTTCCCAGGGCTTTCGAGATGATGACAGGAGAAAAGGGAACTCCTGTGGTCATCACATAGCTGTCGGCCTTGGACCAAAATTCTGCGGTGGGAGATGCCATAATTAATAGATGAATAGATTGTGTGATGTATGTTGACTGATTTTGAAATAAGAGACAATGGTTGCTTATTTATATGTTTGCAAGTGACTGAAGAAATGACAGAGATTATTCTCCGCGGGAAACTTGTCTTGAGCTGTTGGTCATATGAAGTGAATACAACAACGATGCAGCCTCATAAGAGGAATCATCTCCGAAATAGCCGGCAAGTATCGAAAACCACATCGTAAATGGTAATCTCTCCTTTAAAGGGCTCAGTAATGTCAATCTTTCCGTGGCAAACATGCGCGAATATATGTTTCCCTCGGAAAACTTGCGTCTCTGATATTACTTATGGGGTCAGTGGAGTCATGACCATGGCCATGATGTAGTACTGTGGGTTGTAATTATGTGGATAGCTAATAGCAATGTCTAATCGCAATGCTCAGATATTCTTAATTCATTCCTTGTTCCAATCAGCTCCAAGTCTGACCAGCGATTCTACAGCAGGCACGTTGAGACGTTAACTGTGGAGCCATGTTGAGATGATTTAAGAATCATGACAAATACAATATCACAGATGATCGAAAGACTTAAATGGATTTTCTTGATCAACAACCAATATTCATGATATTCTACCGAGCGTTATTCTAGATACAGTACATTCATGCCAGTCATGATGGAGAGTCACAGGGATCTTCAAGTATGTCACGATCGCCCTTTTATGGAATTGAGGTACTTGACTGGGTATTTTCTTCTTCTCTTTCATTCTGACATACATAAGTTGAAGACACGGCCCGACTCGGTTCCAACTACAATCGTTGATCCCGAAGCATATACAATCTTCGGCCTATAGTCCGGCGGTAGCCAAAGAATTCTCTTTCCACTCCTCATCATCCAGTTACTGTCATCAGAAACTTGCAATTCTTTTGAAACATCGTTCTTGAAATGACCATTGGGCTTGGTGTGACCAAGCAGCACCTCAAAATTGACCAAGCTTTTGGTCAACCAAATCTTGTCTGTCCACCATGTACTGTAGAGGTTTCCTTTTTTTTGTGTCCCAAGCTTTGATGTTTCCTTTGCGCGGTATAGCCACTAGTTGCTGACCATGGAAAGCCAAGGAAGCATAGGAAAATGAGCTAAGGCATTCAATACTAGTCAGAAGCTTATATGATCCTGAGGTCTGACCAATCTCGACGGAGTCCCCGATCATATATGCTATTCGTGAACTATCAGACGAAAAGGCAATCTTCGTGTTGCGCATCGCTGAAAAGTTGAAGGTTTGAAGAAGCAGACCATTGTTCACACCCCATAACTCTATTTTGTTTCTCTTGTGATCTCCTTTGTCGTATGATGATAAAGCGAGTAGATCGCGATCTCAAGTAGCCAATCACAACGGGAACAAGGAGCAGATGAAAAAACAACGTATTCATTGGAGGGTTCTATCGAGGTAGTGGCAAGTTATTTTTGCAAAGGTATTGGGCATAATATTCGGGGTTTTGTTTTATAGATTCTGTAAACATCGCTGGTGGAAATGAGTTTTAATGTGCTTTATAAATAAACGGAGCTAGAGATAGAGAATCAACCTTTAGTCAAATTATTACAATAAAACGGCATTTTAATAACATAAACAGTAGCTACAATGAAATGATAGAAAATTAAAATATAAAAGACTAGATAGTTCTAAACTACCGCCTATGAGAAATAAGCTAGCTCGACTGACAGCAAGCATTCCTAGATATCCTTTGCCCCCAGATCCGCAGTGACACCCGCTCCATCCTTGATAAAGACCTCATGTTTCTGTTTCGACATTTTAACAGGATTGGCACTCTTAAAGATCTCGTCGATTTCCTCAAGGGAGCGACCCTTTGTCTCGACAAGAGCAAAGTACATCAATCCCCATTCAACAAAATGCAGAATGAGAAAAATAGTATACGTCTTCCAACCAATCTTCTGAAGCGCGACTGGTGTGGCATAAGTGTTGATAAAACCGGAAATGCCACTGAAGAAGCCCGAGGCCGCCATGCCTTTGGCTCGAATATCGTTGCGGAGAATTTCACTTGGATATAGGGACTGCAGAGGTGTCCAGCAAAAAGACCAAAAGATGCCATACAGAAAGATCATGGCAATGAACGCGTAACCCATTGATGTGCTAACATGACCTTTGGATACGGCTGCAATGACGTTGATGGGGATATACACAAGGCCTGTCAAGAACGTGCCTGGGAATGTCAGCAATGATTGCATCTGCGATGGTGGATAACTTACCCCAAAGAAATAGACGTCGGCGACCGAATTTCTCGACGCCGAACGAGCCGGCCACACCGCTGAAGAAGCCGAAAATAACGTTGACGCCATTGAGAAGAAGCTGCTGAGAAGAGCTGGTGATACCAACATTCTCTAGAATGACGGGCATGTAATAGGTGATGACTGATCCACCAATGAACTGAGAGAAAATCGCAACGAGGAAAAGCAAGTACATTCGACGCAGGTTCTCCTTGTTGTCTACAAGCATACGGTAGTCCCACCACTTCTGGCTGGCTTCGATTTCTGCCTGGTATTCGATGGATGCGCGCATTTCCTCGAGCTCTAGCTTCACGACCGCTGAGTCGGGGTTGCCATTGCCGTGATACTTGGTGAGGACAGCTCGGGCCTGCTCTTCTTTGCCGTGACTCATGAGCCATCTGGGACTTTCGGGGATGAACCAGGCTCCGAGCAGGATGATTGCCCCGGGGACAACTTGAATCAAGATAGGAATTCTCCATGACCAGTTCGAAGTCAGGCGACCGGTTCCATAGGCAGTCCAAGTCGAGGCTGGCAGAATGTTAGTTAGATATCGGCAGAATTTGTAACCGACACTTACTAAGAGATCCGATATACCAGCCAAAGACATTATAAAGTCCAGTCAGAGTTCCACGCCAAGAAGGGTAGGATATCTCGACTAGATAGATGGTAGCTGCTGTAACTGCGATATTGCATCCAAATCCGAGGAATAATCGACCAGCCATGAATGTCCCCACATTCTGGGCAACGGCCTGGATGACTGTGCCAACGATGACAAATACTGACCCAGAGATCATGCCATATCGTCGACCGAAAAAGTCGGAGGCGGGGGCAGCAACGAGACAGCCGAGGATGTTACCGACGCTATAAAGTGCAAACACGGCTCCAATGGAAGCGCCTTGCATTTCAGTGTTGAAGAAAGCATGGAATGGGTCCATGGCATTGATGGATGACATGATGGTTCCATCGAAACCATTGCCACAATTATCTGTAGATATCAGCATAATGGACTGTGTAGTTATGGTATGGATTGGCATACTTAAGGTAACAAAGGCAACGATTGCGTAGAGTTTGAGAACAGATGGTGCTGTTCGGGAGAGGTTGTCCTTGGCAATGGCATCGCTGTAGGCCACATTTTGGACCTTTGCGGTCTTGGATGCCGCCAGATTATCAGTTGCCAGGCCAGGAACTTGTTCCACGGTGTGGATTTCTTCCTTCATTGTGTTTTGATATCAGGAATGTTAAAGTTGAATAGTGGAGATGGTTGATCGACACTTTAGCATTATGCTGGGGAATACTGCAACTTAAGTATGCTTGATCGCCTGATACCATTCGCTTGTGTTAGTGTTCCCATGCCTCCAAGATCCAGGGTGAATTTTCGCTCCGGAAAACAATGCCGAATGAAATGCGGGGGTTGCAGCCACTTCCCCGGATCGACCCCCTCTTGTCCAGAAGAACGAGGATGATCCCGCGCCCAAATAGGATCACGGGCCGTTGCGGATTGGGAATGGCTTGATGTCCCCAACTACACTAACATCAGTATGCCCAAAAGATGGGCACCGTAAGACATCTCGGATTGAGAACTTCTACAATCACTAAGCATTCTGTTTACACACAAAACACTACGTTAAATACCGTCGAACCAGTCTGCACCATAAGTTGCGCTAGTAACTGCCCATATGGACCCATCATACTCGGGACTTGTCGCCCAAGTCGCGTCTCTCCCTCCACCGCCACAACTACTTCTCTTCGGAGACTCTATTACACAAGGCGCCATCTCGCTTCAGACCGATCTAACAAAACGCTATATGCGTCGCCTAGATGTTCTGAACCGCGGTTTCGGTGGATACAACACCAACTCGGCCTTAACTCTCCTCCCATCATTCTTCCCAGCAGTGGCTCCCTCGAAAACTGTGCCTCACGTTGCGGTTATGACGGTACACTTTGGCGCCAATGACTCTTGCAGTCCTGGCGAACCTCAGCACTGTGACCTCGACACTTTCAAGTTGAATATCAGGCGTATTCTGAACTGGGAGGGTGTAAGGCTCCATGGAACAAAAGTCATTCTTGTTACGCCCTCTCCAGTTGAAGAGTATCGGCTACCACATGACGGAAATGGCAGGGCCGAGAGAGTAGCCATGTATGCACAAATGATTCGGGATATCGGTGAGAGTGAAAACGTACCTGTCGTTGACCTTTGGGCCGCGATGATGCGTGCCACTGGCTTGAAAGAAGGGGACGTTTTGCCTGGGTCTTTAAGAACAGTGCCCAGCGTTGAACTAGGGCGACTTTTCTATGATGGGCTTCATTTGAACCAGGATGGATATGAGATCTACACAAAGGAGCTTTTACGCGTTTTAGAAGCGGAAGTACCAGAGTGTCAAATACTGGAAACTAACGAGTGGTATCCTGAATGGATCAGGTTTCATCCACCTGCTGAGACTAAGGTCGAGACGAATGGCTACTGACTTGATCAACATGGGATATAGTGTATTCTGTAATATTAATCCTCGAATATTTATCTCCCACAAAACAAAGTTTTAAATTAATCAGAAGGTACATAAATAGCAAGCTTGGTTGGGACAGAACATCCACATTTCACTGCTTTTATATTCCCGCGTCCACAATCTGCTACCAAAGGCGCTTCAATTATGGCCTTCGCCAGGGAAGACAATGAGTGTAACAACAAGTGTTGCAGGTTTTCATTCGGTACAAAGGTGATAGGTAACTATTTAACTATCTGTTTTGTTCACAAAATATCATGGTAGATGAATAATAATGGTACAGAGAATGTGATGCCTTTCCAATCAGGCCAGTCAGAACATCGTAAAGAGGGTTAGCTCACGACCAGTAAATCAGACAGCCTTTGCACTGATAGCCTTAGCATGGTCAATCACCACATCCTGATACTCCTGCGCGCCATAGAAGATTGCATAAGCATCATATGGATTCGCTCCACTGGGAAGATTAGACGCGAATTGCCAGAAGCTGTCGTACGCAATATCGCCGCTCAGAATGGTTTCTTGCCACTCCTTAAGAACAGCCGTGCGATTGGAGGTCGTGCTCTCGACACCATATTCTTCCAAAACGATCGGTTTGCCGTACTTGCGTGCCAGTGCCGCGTGGTCACGAATCCACTGATTTCCCCAAGGGTAGTTGTATCCCCAGCCAATGGGATACATGTGTACTGTCCCGTAGTCAAGCGTAGAGATCTTCAGATTCGCTTCGAAATCGATACCCTCGGAGCAAGAGTACGCGTAGCCGAGACTGCTATTATCAGAGCATAGCCAGCCTTCATCACCCAAAGACACACGATGCTTTGGATCTAGCGATTTAATGAAGCTGGATATCTCTGTGGCCCATTTGGTAAGCACACTGGTGTCGCAGTTCTGGCACCGAGGCTCATTGCAGAGTTGCCAGGAGAAGATGGCTGGAGAGTCCTTGTACCGATTGACGATGAAAGAGACGTAGTCTTTGTAGGCTTTTTGGGCCTCTGAATGGGTCCAAAAGGTCTCGTGGGTGCATCCAAAGTAAGCGCAGTAGATGTTGATACCGCCCAGGTCATCCCAGTTATTCAACATCGGAAGTACGAGCTGAACTTTGTGCTTCTCCGCAGCGGCGACAGCAGCATCGAGTCGGGCAATGCCGTTGGTGCCCGTGTTGATAGTGATGGTCTTCTTAGCCTTGTCGAGGAACTGGAAGTACACAGGCTGATCAGTACCAGTGTTGGTATTTCCGAAAGCCCAGACGCGCGTGACTTTCAAGCCACTATTGGCAATCTGAGACATGGCTTGCTCGACATCGGCGTCTGATGTAAGGTGGCTCATCCACCAGGTGTTGGTGCCGGCAAAGTATTGGGACTTTCCATCGATGCTGAATACCGGTGCCCCTGCCTGCTTTGGTTGGAGATTGCCAGGCAACGCGACGGCAAGGGTTGCCAAGCTGAGCGGAACGAATGCTTTCATATTTATCGGAGATGATAGAAGGTGTAATCACCAAGAATGAAGAATTGATCTGTGGTGGTTCAAGGATAGCATCCACTAGATTGTATTTATATGTCCAATGGGACAGTACAGGATTTACCATTAGGGTACTACGGACGCAAGGCTCAGGGTATCAGAATAATTGACCGCTTATAGCACAAGGGACGAAATTATGGGGTCAGTTTATGCGACTTACACCATACTATCAGGGGAATTATTTTGATACCGTAAGTTCAAGGAGATAAACTTTCTACTACCCACAACACAAGAGTCGGAGTCAATCCGCAATAAGTATTTCATATTGATCCGAGCCTGAAGAGGGCAATTTTGATGTACATCATCTCGGGGGATTTACAAAATGGAGTCGGGTTCAGTCTTATGATCCGTTGTTTAAATGGGTTGTTTCACAATTGCGCTGTCCCAAAACCGATTGGAGGGAAATGATGGCCGCCCTGTTAACCTCGATGCCATATGACGCGGAGAGCAAGGGTAGTTTTTCTCTGTTGCTGGTCACTAGCTTAGTTCCGACCCCTCATATAACTAACTTATTCGGGCTCGGTTGAGCTCGACCCGGCCTCGAATTTGTTATCTCTATGAACCAACTGGTTAAGCGCACAGGTGTTGTAGTGCTATAACTGCCTTGTATGGACTTCTGTGGAGCATCGGACTGAGTGGTGAATAGTCAACATACTTAACAGCTGTCACGTCTAATGGCCTAACCTATAGCGATTGCTGATGAGTCGATACATGCAGCACTGCCCACCTTTCCGGCAGACCCTACAGACGCCCAACTTGAAACCCGATTTTAGGAAGATCACATTATCCGAATTAAAGGGTTATTCTAGATTGGTCTCGAAGGGGCTGCGTCAATTCCTTGAGAAACGATGGCGCATTGCAGAAACATCTTAGTACCGAAAGCGATCGGATCCAGTTAAGCGTTGAGAAACAATCTGCACATTTTCAAAACAGGGTTAAGCCTCCGCCACGAATGAATGTAAAAATTGACCGGAAATATCTTTGGCACATCTTTGTTATCCGTGATACGAGGTGATTGTTACTGTTGTCGGATTTTAAGTGCGCAAAAATGTTTTAATACTAGATAACTTGAGAGGGACATGCATACAAAAAAATGAGAAGCTGACATGCATGGTGAGCTGTACAATGCAATACAGCACCCTGTCAAGTGTCACGCGACTACGCCATTGCCTGGATCTAATGGGCCGAGGGCGGGCTTGCATTCACATTTCAGCTTTGATGGCCCAAGCTAATCTCACACTAGCTAAGCCTGGCCAATTAAATCTTGAGTGTATGATGCTCCCTTCATTGCCCCTGAAGGCTGGACCGTGCTCCAAGTAGCATTAAAACATAACTGCCAGTTCAAGGCTCCGGTGAAGCGTCAGGGCCGAATGTATCTGGCTTAGTTCAATGGTTTGAATCAGGACAGATCAGCAGATCAATCGGCAGTGGCACAGTCATTCCAGTTGTTAAATAGAAATGTCTTTGTACCAGAGTAAAAAGACACTAAGAATATGACTGCAAAACCCTTGCGTTACTCTGGCATCTGTCTTGTTAAGCGTCTCCACTTGTACTCAGGGTCTCAAGTTCCCTCCCTCATTTAATGTAGCTTCGGCCTAGCCCATCTTGGCAAATGCTTATCTCTAAGCTTATTTCATGTCTCAATAGTCTGAACGCTAGTGTCCTCGCGCATGGTGAGAGTCTGATGATTGTTACCAAGTATTGGTGTCCTTTGAGGAATTTTATTACCCTTTCTAATTGGGTGGCGTTGTACCTCTTGGGTATATAACCTGGCTCCATTGCCTCTGGTAGTGAATCCATCGTTTCTTAACTCTATATCCAAAACCGTGTTCAGCTGTTTTCTTCTAGTGACATTCAAAACTTTTCATCACAATGTCCGACGCTGGTGATTGCGAGTCGCACTCCAAGCCTCACTCTATGTCCCAAGTCAGAGAGCGAATACCAGGTCCAAACCACCACACTTCTCCCCCTTCTCCTTCTGTCAATGCCACCTACCAAACCACACCCGACAATGGGGGAGATGACCTCAATTACTTCAGTGGCCCTCGGGATCTCCAACGACACTCCAAGTGGCCTCTTGTCCTTCAGCTCCACGGCTCTATCATGCCGTCGCTGATCATCCCGCTTTTACTCGTTGCTTGTTGGGCAACCGCCATTACCGTCATTTCCAAGAAGGTCCATGATTTGAGTGTCAATTCTGTTCTTCTTACCATTCTTGGTTTTGTAGTTGGTCTGAGTCTTTCATTCCGGTCATCTACTGCCTATGAACGCTACGGTGAGGGCCGCCGATACTGGGGAACGTTGGCCACTGCGTCCCAGACCCTTGGCCGTGTTATCTGGATTCATGCCGATGACAGCGGTGCTGGCAACCAGGACCCCCGTGAGATTCTGATCAAGAAGCTTGGGGCTCTAAAACTTATCGCTGGCTATGCCGTCGCTCTTAAACACACCCTCCGTTTCGAACACTGTGCCAGTCAACCAGACATGCAGCCATATATTGCGCACCTGACTACCTTCTCTGGAAGGACAGCCGCGCCGACGAAGCGGGCCACGACATTTGGCAAGTTTGCCGGCCACTATCTCGGTCTCTCCTTCGCTCAAAGTGATCCTCGAAAGCATCTCAAGAGAGCTGAAGAACACCAAGGAAACCTTCCTCTTGAGATCTTGAACCACTTAGCGATAGCCCTTGACTCTATCATCGGCAACAAACAACTGCCAGTCTCTATTCACCAGACCATCGCTTATAACCATCTCACCACCCTCAACGACGTCGCTGTCGGTTGCGATCGTGTCCTAAACACTCCTTTGCCTGTCGCATACACCATTGCCATCAGTCAGATTACCTTTGTGTATGTCATGTTATTGCCGTTCCAGCTGACCGGTCCACTTGGCTGGATTGCCATCCCGGCTACTATTACAGCGGCCTACATCATCTTTGGCTTGTTGTTTATCGGCCAAGAGATTGAAAACCCTTTTGGTCATGATGTCAATGATCTACCGCTAGACGTTTTCTGTGAACAGATTGCAAACGATCTTGACATCACTGCATCCTTTGATCGACGCGCAGCTGACCACTTCTTGCTTGGAGGGACGCCGTTACACCCTATCAGTTCTGATGTGGGCCACACCTGGATGGAGTGTAGTGAGGAAAAGCTTAGAGAGTCTATCAGAAACAAACCTCATGTTCTGTTCAATTGGCGACGCCAGGGCCGAAGTAGGCCATCTCCTACAGGTGGCCAGACTAAGGAAAGTGATAGAGACATGGTTTGAAATGGATATCGCCAAAATGGGGAATGTATTATAATTAATAAGAGTCATAAATCGAATTTTATAAACTTAACACTGCTAAGCGTCATGTGCTATACAGTCTACATCCAAGTAGTAATTACATTGAACTCTATATAACTGCTGATAGCTGATGAAACTGTCGTGGCTAAACATGCCGTATACCATACATACATATAAGTCACTATCCCCTGCATTGACTCGACTGAGCTCTCCGACGCTTCTATATTCAAGGCCCCTTTCCTTGTCACAACACCCTATCGCCCACCTTTAAAAATTGCAACCTTGTCCGGTGATAAACTCGGGGCAAGTATCTGATGCACCGCGTAGAAAGGTCATCTTGCATCTGGCATAGACCCTATCGTTCTGGTTGTTATACAGGGCGAATTGGGCGTTCATGTCGCCGAAGAGCATGATTTGGCTAGTCAGACGGTCAATGATGTTTGTCATATCATTACCATTCCAATTTCCATTGCCACAGGCGTTCTTGCACTGCATCTTCATGCCGTTGCCACCTCCAAATATCCACACGTGACCGGGCTGGTATAGATTAGCGTTGTTCTCGCCAAATGCTTGCCTCAGTTTAGGGTCAGCCTTGACCGGCTTGTGTTGCTTCGCCACGGCGACGGCGTGATTCATGGCGTCGATCATGCTGTCAGAGATATTGCTCACTCCATACTGAGAAGTAGGAGGTTGTATCACCGCTCTCTTTACACTGGAACCCTGTCATTGGTCGCCGTTGACCGTGTTAGCAAGACCGTGGATATTCACAAGAAGCCTTACAGCCGCCGTGGGGCCCACGTAGGCAGCCACGCCAACCGCAGAGTATGCAGATAGGAGAATAGCTGCACTTTTGATACAGTCCCCCCCCATAGCGGCCCTCACCGCCTTACCATTCAGAGCAGAAATCCCATACTTGCTTCAAATCGTCGGCACAACGATAATAGATGTATTCTGCTACAGTGAGGGTGCGGTATGCCACCAGAAAGTTTACTCGGGGTTCCTGCCTTACAACAAGGTGAGAGTCATTGTGCTCGGCCAGAGTAGCGTTGTGCAGTTCATCGTGGAATGGGTCATTGTCGTAGGGGAGGGGGCCAATGGGGCTTTGTGCAGCGCCGAGACCAGCAAAGAGGGTAGTGAGGATGATTGGGACATGGATATTGAGCAACTGCGAGAACGGTACAAGTGCCTGACAAAGAGGTGATGTGATGGTGCTGTTGGAGATGATTAATTCATATACCAAATAGATTGCATCGATGCTATTTAACGCAGAGAACAAGGTCTATCCTTCTTGACTGTTGCTTGTTTCTAGCTTAGTTCCATTCCCCCATCTAACTAGCTTGTTTAGGCTTGGCTAAGCTCGGCCTCATCGCGCCTTTGCTTAACTCATTTCGGTTCGGCCCAACCAGATTTGTGAGGAAATGGTTCCTATGGTCTAGGTTGGTGGTCAAGCAACGATCCTTGTTGGTAGGAAACAAATGAATGTAAAGGGATCTAGACGAGTATCCTTCAGTCAACCGGTATACAGCGTAAAGTGGCTAAACTAGACCTCCAGTATTTCGTACTTCAGAACATTCTCCTTCGTAGCTTGTAATCCTCTTGTGCAACTTCGCAACTAAGAGATCTGTGATCTACATCCCAAGGTATCTATACTTCAGACCTGACGGCAACGGCCCATTGGCTCTTGCCTGAATATACACAGTCTCGCCAGGTATAACATCTATACAGCTATCCTCTAAAGCGATACCAGCCACCTCTTCGAGTACAAAACCTTTGGTAGGTCTCTCGACCGAGATCGAATACCTATCTGGTGCTCTTTCAACCTTAACACCTCTGTCAGAGAAGTCAAGATACTTGAGGGGCTGAGGCCAATCGACATCCTGAGAAACACAGACATCATTTTTCAGAACCCTGACTGATATAACATGAGGCTGATCTTTGGTGTTATCAATCTGCCCCTCCAAAACGTCGGTAGTCCCATTAGGAATCAAGGTTATGTTCTTCACAACCTTATCCCTGATATCACTACCAGTTTTGATGGAAACAAACCGAACCTCCACAGTGACAATGACTGCTTCTTGTTCGCTACTCGTGACCCAAGCATTAAATGAGGAGGTTTTTGCTGGTTTAGCATGAACAACGCTCCAGTCATGATGCTGTCTCTGAACTCCCGCAGCAATGGGTTTTAGAGCTCGACGAATCGCGTAGTATGCCGGTTTCTTGAGGAGGAAGTAATCAACGATAGACCAGGATATAGTAGGCCAGCAGTCGTTCATCTGCCAGACGAGAACACCACCGCAACGACGATCATCACCCCACTGGCGACGCCAACTGCGGTAAGCAAAAGTCATGGCCTCGCTTTGGCAGAGCTGGGTAAGATATAGATGAGACTATTTGCAGGTTAGTGAGATTTAGTTTGAGTCCTGCTGGGGTTCTTGCGTACCTCTAGATTTGGAAGGGGACGAAAATTCTCTACGACGTAAGTTGCAATACGTCGCTCGTGGCCATCAGCCTTGTTGTGAAAGTCCATGGTCTGAGACTGTGGAAATCGTTCGGACTCGGTCGTTATGAACTGTTTTATTGTTGATAAAGCGGGGAAAGCCTCCATGCCGAACTCGCTGTTGAACCTGCCTCCCAATGTATCAAAGACCTGGTATTTCTCTTGTGTACCATGCCAAACTACAAAATGTCAGCAATGGAAAGCGAAAATAAGAAAGAAGCTATTACACACCATTCCATTGATGCATATCACCAACAGTCTTGTCCGCAGAGTTTTTACCATGAGAGAATGGTGACCCAGGCCAGTATATCGCTGCGGGAGACATGTCATTGACCACCTCAGGCAAAAGGTGCTCGTAGTAATATCTCGCAGGGAAGTTGGACTTGAGCCACGAATCAGGATCCGCATCTTCCGGGTCATAGTCAAGGCCGCACGACTCCTGAACTTGGTAATCCTCATTGTTTCCCGCGTAGATGATGATGGACGGGTGATGATGTAGGCGTTGAACATTCTGGATTGCTTCTTTGCGGACAGATTTGATAAGAGATGGTCCTACGGGGTAGTTTCCGCAGGCAAACATAAAGTCCTGCCAGACGAGAATGCCCAGCTCATCGCAACAATCATAGAAAGCATCCTCTTCGTAGATACCGCCGCCCCAAACCCTGAGCAATATTATGTCAGTGACAGCAAACGAAGAGACTAGCGGTAAAGTCTTACCTCGTCATTATCTGGTTTCCGTCTACCATAAGTTCAAGCCAATCTCGATATTTGGCAGGGGTGATTCGGGGTAGAAAGCTATCCGCTGGAATCCAGCAAGAGCCGCCACAGAAGATGTCGATGTTGTTGACCCGGAAGAAGAACGATTGACCATGGGAATCGTGTTTTTGGATGAGTTCGTTCTGGCGGAAACCAGTATCTTTGCTTCTTTTGTCAAGTTGCTGACCGTCTAGAGCGATCGTGGCAGTCACACTGTACATTGACTGAGGTCCATACCCGGCAGGGTACCAAAGCTTGGGGCCATCTACCGTGATGGTCAATACAGCTTAGTGCATCAAGAGCTTGGAGGCACGTACCAATGTGAAAAGGAATAACGAGACGGCTTTCTGAAGACCCGTCTACTGACGTAGTGAAAACAGAACTCCCCTCCAATGAGATACATATATCGGCTTTGTCGAACGACCCTTCAACCTCGAGCTCTATTGTACCCTGAATACTTTTGAGATCTTGAGAAACGTCGTACTTGATGAGCATGTCATTGATGGAAGCAGAAACTACCTCGAGACGAACAGGTCTCCAAGGGCCAGAAGTCATGAGAAATGGACCCCAGTCCCATCCCTGCCTTTCATTAGCAAGAAACGTCACTCATCTCGTTTGCTGTTCTTACCCAGTGATATTGTGCTTTTCTCACAGCTAGGCGAGAATCCTCCCCGTTGAACAGTTCCCATCGATGGCCTGGATACTGCTTCTGAAGTTCTCGGCCTTTAAGTAGCGCACTTTCAAAGTTGATGATAAGCGTGTTGGGTTCATTGCTTTGGAGATGCTTTGTGATGTTGACTCGATGGCTGAGGAACATGTTATCGCTCTCGAGAATGATGGTATCGTTGAGCGAGACTTGAGCAAATGTATCAAGACCGTCGAAGATCAAGTACACAGCAGCACCATCGATTGACGGGGAGTCGAAAACTGTACGGTAAGTCCATGCTGTTTCCCCAACCCATTCGGCATCGAGCTCATTCATGTCGAGAAATGGATCGGAAATTCTAACGCATCAGGCAATCAGTATGTATGATAGCACAGCGCAATGGACACATACAGTCCATTATCCAGAAGGTCTAGATGAGCGACAGTGGGCACTCGAGCCACGGGTTTCCACGAGTCGTCATCATCTGTTGTCTTTTTGAAAGACCATCCCTTGTCCAGAAGAGTTCGCTCGGCGGTTACGGGCATGGCCGATGGATTTTTTAGAATATACCGCATATCAATTTCTATACTCAATTGACAGTTGAGATATCCAGATACAATATTGCCTAAGATTTCATTACTCGGTGTCTTATATTCGGACCACCTAGTAATACGCTATCACCAAATAGTCTCGGGCCGTCATTCGTACTATTCCATTTCTGGCTCGGGAACTGAGAACCCTGGCTCTTGGATTGTTGTCGGGAAATGTCTACCCGTGACTGTCTTAGGCCTAGTTCCGGACCACTTTCTCTTCACTCCTCGGCCCATTTTCACGAATTATCATATGAGCTTTAATCAGATGAGGTTATTCAACACCGTGCCTACTCAAGCAAGAATTCTCAAGTGCAAGGGGTACTTTAACGTCTTTACTTTCACCGACATAAGTCATACCCGAATCGTCCGTGTCCAAGGGCTGAGTATCCATTGATTTCCCACTAAACACAGGCGACTTCATCCAACACAAAAATAAATGGCCAGTTTCAGAAACCTTTTCGATTCCTAATAAGTATCTCCACCCTGTTCATTATGATATAAATCGCTCCCTATCTACGATCTTTGCATAATATCACTCCTTACTATTTCCATTGTATTATTTCGTCCACTTACCCTGTAGGACGCGTTACTGTACTGCCTTTTGCATGTACTTGGATGTTTTCTATCTTCTCATCGCTGTCGTTGAAACTTTGATCAAGGGCCCATCGCTTTACTCCACCAACAGATGACAGAGGACTCTTCCTTCTCAGGTTCCAGCTGTCATTCGTAGACACCTTGTCCCTTGTCAGTATATTGGAGATGAGTCAACCCGTTATCAGTGGGTACGATTCTTGTTCCTTGACTCGAAATATATATGCTGCATTGTCTCAAAGCAAGTGCATTTATTGTCACATCTGATCATCGTCCTCATAAATAAGTATTGCCTGACTCTTGGCTTAAAGGTCTTGTCCGCAGATCCATGTTGTAGATCGCGTTGTTGCCGAGGATAAACAAATGTCGCTAGTCCTCATTGGAACACGGAAAGTCCCGAGCCGGTTCCTTTGGGGCTAGTACCATTTCCCCAGACTCAGTCGATGCGGAGACAGGAAGAAGCTTTCATCCCTCGGATTTGACAAGTCTGGGGAATCTCTGTACGCCTGCGGCATTCACGTGCATGCGGTCAGATCAGAATACAACACCACCATTACCGCCTCTTCGTATATTGTCCATAGTACACTGACTTTGACGGCTCGTTTTCTGTCTCTGTGCTCCTGCAATCAGACGAGACCAACTGCATAAACGCGTCCGCCATGTTTTATACCTGTAGGTCACGCCACCTTTCATCTCAAGTCTATCGACTGATCTCATGTCTCGCAAGTCCAAAGCACCGCCGACGAGCCTAGCTCACGCACCTCGAATGAGAAAAGAAGTCTGCGCGCATGCGAAGATTGCAAGCGCCGAAAGGTACGCTGTGATGGGCGACAACCTTGCAATAGGTGTGAGTATCGCGGTTCACGAGCGGCATGCGTCTACATCAAACCCATTCGACGCCCTGTAGTTTCTAAACAGTCAGTGTTCTGCTCAACGGGAGATACTGATCCTAATCCTTTTGACAGAACGTTGGAGGACTTAACCAGGGGTCTTGAGGAACGCGACTCAATATTAGGTCGCCTTTTCCCCAACCGAGATATATCAGATCTTGTTTCGTTATCAGACCAAGAACTCCGCGAGCTTGTCTTGACCTCCGGCCCTAGTCCCCATAGCACGAACTTGACCTCACGTTCCGATAACACACCTAATGAATCGATTACTCAAGACTCGCAATGGGATGAAGATCGACGGGAACGCGATCCTCTACCCGCCGAAGCTGATGATGTCAACGCCCTATCCCTTCCGTTGGACCGTCAGGCTTCTTACCTCGGTATCTCATCTATCAGGGCTGCTCTTGGAGCTATACTTCAAATGAGACCTCAGCTACGTGCTTCACTCGCATCTCGGCAGGAGACCTACAATGAAAGTTCTTCTCTACGCGATAACGGTATGCAGTGTTGTCAGATGGTTCAGTCTCCAACAGAGAATCCTCGCGTCAAGTGGAGTAGAAAGGGACAAGCACTTGTCGATGTATACTTCAAGCGAATACACATAATGACTCCATTGCTTGATGAAACATCCTTTCGGACAACCTACCTCAGCGGTAATCGGCATGACTCGCCTTGGCTTGCACTGCTGAACATGGTGCTTGCCATGGGTAGCATTGCAGCTAGCAAGTCAAGCGACCGAGAACACTACAAATACTACACCAGTGCCATGCGACATCTAGATATTAGTGCCTTTGGCAGCAGTCAGATCGAAACGTTACAAGCACTTGCTATCATCGGCGGTCACTATCTTCATTACATTAACCGACCCAACAGAGGCAATGCTATTCTCGGTGCAGCATTTCGTATGGCGAGTGCTCTTGGCTTCCATCGCGAGCCATCAGACCAAGACAAAGAAGGCGACCAGCTTCAGGTCGCGGAACTGAGGCGCCGTATATGGTGGTGCTTAGTCTGTTTAGATACTTTAGCGTCCATGACCTTGGGTCGACCTTCTTTTGGCCGCTTTTGTCCTTCCATTGATATCCAACCGCCAAAGCTCAGCACCGGCGAGCATGGACAGCTGGACTCGGAGCCTGACATGGATACAATGCTACTCGCCGAGAATATTCGCTTTTGCAGGATCGCCACTGAGATTCAGGACAAGCTCACCGTTACTCCGTTCCTACAACCCGCTGACCGAGATCGATTCGATGGTATGTTGGTCAGTTGGTTTGCCAGTCTGCCATCGCTTCTCAGTGATGACCAAGAGTTCGATGAGCTGGTTCACCTTGGTCGATGTACCATGAGGTGGCAATACTGGAACTTACGTATGCTTTTATGTCGACCAGCATTACTGGAAGCTGCGTCAAAGCCTGGCGTATACTCTCAGCCAGCCGACCAAGATGCCATTGAGAAATGCCAACTTCTTTCCAAGACAGCTATCGAGGACATAGCGCAGAGTTGGAAGAACGACCAGATGTCAGGGTGGAATGCAGTATGGCATCTTTACCAAGCAGTCATGATTCCTCTATTGAGTATGGTCTGGCAGCCTCAAAATCCTGCAGTTTCGGAATGGAAAAGCCAGATCGAAATGGTGCTTGGGCTGTTTGAAAGCATGCGTGATTGGTCTTTGACAGCGCGTTGTAGTAAGAGGGTTGTCAGCCAGATCTACGAAACAATCTGTGAGTCAATACGTAGAAGTGAGAGATCTTTCCCTGACATCAATATGAACCCGAACATGTTCTTAGATCAAGACCTGGATCAATGGGCGGATGTATTGGATGTGGATGATATACTAAATATGCTGTGTCAAGACTGATTCAACTAGAACAGTAGTTATTGCGGCGTATGTGTAGTAGAGAAAAGCTATATGGCTCAGATAAAAAGATAGCGAAATTGTATTGTCAATGAAGGAGTGATATAATATGGATAGAACTAGCTATTTGAATGGAAACCTTCGGAACCTGAAAGACTTATCGTCATTAACGAGCAATCTGGTAAGTCCCATCATGCTGCAGACCAAAGTGCTTGTTGTTAGTAATCGCCGGTAAAGCTTTATACGGCTGAGCACTGTAAACTGGCGGAAGAGCGACAGGTATTCCTCCGGTTGACCCGTTGGTTCCATTCGCGGATACAGTAAGTGACTCAGACACTGAAATATCAGCAGCCGCAACACTGAATTTTTCCAACTCGGCAGCTTTGACCTGTGTAGGAGCAAGAACATGATGAGGCTGTCCCACTCCGCGCAACACCGTGACTTGGGTCTTGTGGAAGGGGTCAATTTCCTCCTCATCAACTTCAAATCCACCAAAGCCGAAGAACTTCCAGCGCAGATGGAGCTCGAGGTATTTCTCGACGTCATCAAATTTGGTAATAGGATGATCTCTGACACAGTCAATGGTGTGATGGAGGAGTTGGATCGTGAGAGGAACTTGAGCGCAGGACAGAACACCAGCGTCAGCTTGAGTCTTGCAGTTGGCACACGAGTCTCGGGTCTTGCGAGAACCACCGCCAAAGGTATAAACACTTCCGACAAAGTTCTGTGGCTCGAAGTGAGTCACATCTTCATCCGTTGGACCACCAAGATAGAACTTGATAGTGTAAGACTGTCCACCCAAGGCGTAGCGATCATACTTGACGTTGATGATGTAGTCCTTCCAAGAGTTCTCATCAATGTCGGGAATATCAGGGGTCAGTCCAGCGGGAATGTGGACATGTCGATTATCCTTGATGTCGCGAAGCAGATGTTCGGTGCTAGGGTATGTCTTGTGGATGTACGCCTGAAGGAGCTTCTGGAACTTGGGCTCGTCGAGGTTTCCCTTTGCATCAAGGGCCTTTTGAGATAGGTCCATGAGATCATCATACTGGTAGTTGAAGACAGTCCAATCGCGGCACTTCTTCGCTGTCCAGACGTCGTTGACTGGGTCGCCGTTGTCCTTGTCATGGAATGGGTACAGAAGATCATCCTCTGTATCATCTGGAACGTTCTGTTCACCCGGTCGGGTTGGTTCCTTTTGATCCCACCAGAGTTTGGGGTAGAGGCACTGCCAGATAGATAGAAGACGATCTATTTGACTGCGATAGGTGTTAGATATGGTACATGAGTGATGGAGATATAGCGTACGTGTGATGGAGCCAAAAGATAGGATCGAATGCGGCGACAGGCACATCGCTCATATGACCAACACCAGTTGCAAAGTCGGAGCCGCCGACAATGTTCTGTAGATGTTAGCGATGTGAGAATGGCAAGTGGCAAAGGATGTACCTACATGAACGTTGTTGTGGATGTACTCAAGCGACAAGAAGCCATTCATGGAATTACCGTAGCCTTCGTAAGTCCACTTGGTCGAGGCAAATTGTCCCCATGTGCTGTTGTACTTGGGCGAGAACATGCGGTTGACGGAGTCAGCGAGAGTTCCTGGGTTCCACTTCAGATAGAAATCCTTGTTGCTCTTCTTCGCTTGTGCTTTTTGCCTGTCTGTGATTGGGTACCATGTCATGTTGGAAAGATGGTTGTTGGCGACCCAGGCGTTATTGACACCCTCAAGGCCGATGAACTTCTTTGCACCTTTGTTGACGAAGATTCCGTATCTGCTAGTTCCGGTTGCTTCACTCCACTTACACACGAGTTAGTGAATGAACAAATAGTGGGAGCCGGTCGGGAACTTACAGGCATCCATGCCACATCCTCTTTGTCTCGTGGAGGTGCTGGGTTGTGCTTGACAGGATCATCCTCGATGTTGTAGTCCCTCTTGCCTTTGGGCATGTCACCAAACGCACGAGGGTTACCGTCGTCATCCTTCTCAGGGTTCTCAAAGCTCCAGAATGGATTGGCGTAGAGTCCACTGGGAGGATAAAACTTCTTAATCGACTCGGGCGGAAAGATGCGAACTGGACCTTGAACAAGGACTTGGGGATAGGCAAAGTCTTCATTGTAGCTCTGTTGTCGAGCCCAATCCCAGTAAGGCATGCGCCAGGTGTCTTTAGCTTCGTTCCATTGAGCAAGTTCTTCCTCGTCCTCGTTGAGTTTGTGTTCTTTGACCCAATGGTTAATGATGTCACCCATGTTATCCCAGATACATTGCTGGACATGTTAGTAGTAGTCATCAAAATAAGCAGTAGTTGCTCAACATACCTCAAACAATGCCATGTATGGACGATGCCAAGTAGGAAAGTTCAGCCCGTTATGGTTGCAATAACCACCATAAGGCTGATCTCCCTTTTTGGGGTTCTTGGGATCTTGTTTTGGTGGTGGGGCGTTATCCCAAGCGCCTTCGGGATATCCGTGCTGCAATATTATCAGTATACATGAATTGTTTGACTTATGTCACAACTTACAATACCCGCGACTTGGAAGTAAGAGAGCTTCTCATTCACAGGCTTGAGCTTGAACTTTTCAAGGGCAAGGACGAAAAGAGTCCATTGTCTTCGGAGATGGGGGTCGGTGGAACCGGCGAGGACTGAGATTTCATAACGAACTGGCAGGTTCTCAACATAAGGAATACCACCCTCGGGGTGACGAGTGACGGCATCTTTGGGTCTTGGAAGACCTTTGATGCCGTATGTTCCGCTGTTGTCTGCCATGACAGTAAGTGAAGTTTGTTTCAAGGTGTGAGAAAGCAGTTGTAGAACAATACTGTTGTGTGACTGTGGAAGAGATCTTAGATTCTTTTATGTCTATTCAAGGAGGGGAAGGGACAGTAAGTGGAGTTCATTAACTGCGCAAGCTCAAGCAGTCCATCTTGGTCTAGAATAGTGAAAGTGAACCCATTAATATTTGATATCTGTAGTATGTACGGAAGATAGCAAATGAGAATTACATTTATCCTCTTGTGTCTCAGGCCAACAGTGCAGCTGCGCCCAAGAGCGTTAAAAAAACGTTCAGCTCCATGCAGTCAACAACTAGTGGTAAGCTGGAACGGCCGAATGCGTCCAAGGGACCAATAGCTCTGGGCTGAGTTAAAGAAAAAGCGTTCTAGCCCGTTTGGAGGCTGACAATACTGGCGTATGAGTGGTTCTGAATGTTTCAATTGTTGTCAAATGTGTTTCCCCGCTCAAGCTATTGAGTGATAGTGGCTGGTTGTCTTGAAATGGTTAAGGGAAGCGGCCCGATCCCTGTTCCGATCACTGATATGGGAAAGCGTCCAGGTCATCTGCGCTTCTGCAAGCCATGCCACAAAGTCAGAGACAAATATTGCTGTATTTACTCGTTTGTTAGACATTGAACTAAAGTAGATTCCAACTGGCTCTTTCATATCTCTCGGTCTGGGAGGATGAGGCAAATTCATATCTATCATGCCTCCGATGGAGCAGCACCTTTAGACATTAGCGATCTCTTTGACAATTTCAATCGCTCTATTGAACTGCTGCTTTTGATCCTCGGAAGCCTGTACGAAGCTGGACCCTCCACTGCACCCCTGAGGACCACCATTGGTCCACTCTAGGTCATCGCTACCCCAAGCAATACCAACATTCAATCCATATATGTCCTCAGAACCTCTAGGTTCCTCCATGGGCAGTTCCTTCAAGATACCATGAAGCTCATCGACGAGAGCCTCATGGGCCGCTACCGTCTCCGTCTTGGTTGTCGAATCATGACTTCCGACACCTTCATGAATATTTATCTGTAGAGAGCCACCATCTCCAGTTATCTCAATTACCAAATCTGGTGTAGGTGGGGCAAAACCGCCAATAATTCCTGGTTAATGGTATTAGCCATTTATAATTTGCTATGCAAAAAGTCCGAGCTACCCTGTTGAAGACGAAAATAAAACTGTGAGGGCGCCATAATAGTAAAGAATAGATGGGTTAACACAGGGATATTGAATCAGTGAAACTTGGGGAAAAAAATGTTTGGAGTTTAAAGAGAGACAGCAGACTTACTTGTATTTATATTTCAGTGACCAGTGACCACAATCCATGTATGCATGGAAGTGGAGATGGCTCGCTATACTGTATTTAGCTAGCAACTTACAAGGCGATCTGTTTCTAATTTGGCGTGATCTACAGTCCCTTACTTGTCAACACTTTAGAAAGAGACACGATCACCAATTTAGATACTGAGCTAGTGAGCGGGTGTGATCTGCCAGATAAAGAGTCAGTGCGGTGATGGGAAGCGAAGACAATCTCTTTTTTCGACGTACCGACTTGAAATTGATTGAGCCAGAGATTGAAATCTCTGCAGAGTCACGTCTGATAACATACTCGACGTTACGTTTGTCCAAGGAAGGATCCATAAAGCTACCGATGCCTTTCCAGCTACCTTGCAATCCACTTGAGCCTTTAGAGATAGAAACACCTTCATCAGCAAAGGCTACGTAGTAAATGTCGGTGTAGTTAATATAGGTGACGGAGACCTGGATAGACAGAGGGTGTGGGTATTGCTTACATCTATCTGGCGGAGTGAGGGCGCAACTGCTCGATGCCAGGATAGTAGTGTATTTGAGAGCAACCATAGTGAAGGATGATAGTGGTGAAATATAATAAAAATAAAAAAGTGAATGTAAGTCGAGGAATAGTGTAGCTAAAGGTTGGAATTTATAATAGTTGGATCTTTAAAGGTATTAGTTTTTGAAACTTGAACACGAGTGAGAATGTCCTCGAAGGATTACCTTCATGTTATATCACAGCCTTGCCGTAGAAAACTATGCACAGATCAGGTACCCTACACGCCTAGGAAAAGCAGTCCCGTTTCTGGACGAAACACGCAGATTGCCCTTTGTTTAATGTCTGGGAATGTACCAGGGTACAGCCTGTGAACTGCACTATCCCTGCTAGCCCAGAAAACCCGCCGATAACGAAGTGCAAATTAAGGAGCCACTGTTATGCCACTAATTTCTCAAAAGATCGGGAGCCAGATTTGATACCTACATGATACCAATAGCCATATTTTACGCAAAAAGCTACGGTAGCTTATATAACTTCTATAAGTGTATTAATACAAAGTCCAACCTAATAGATACTTGTAATAACTACTCTATTGATATGTAACCTAAGCTATCCAGAACCAAATACGCTCAAGCCAATTTCGTGGTTGAACAATTGGCCAGGTTGGCTCTAGGCGATCAATTTCCGCCTTTCCAGACCAGATATCCATCTCTGAGTATTTAACAAATTTTGACTTCTTAATCCACTTGTATCCGAAAACTAGAACAAGGAAGATCGGGATATTGATATAAGGGGGCAGGAAGGTCTTTGCACTAAAACGACCAGGGAAGAAACAGTCGAACCCATTGAAGACTGCAACAACGGAGCAGAAACAAAATGAAAAGTAGGCGAGAAATGGCTGCATTGGTGACTTGTAGGGCAGAGTGTTGCGGTCGATGTTATTGTACTTGAGGCAGTAGAAGAAGCGAAGATAAGTGAATGAGACACTGGCCCAGATGATGAGCGCTCCCACGCCACTCAGGTTACTGAACCAGAAGAAAACCTCGGACCCGCTGTTGCTAACATTGAGATAAACCAATAGCCCGAAGATTGTGGTGACACCGACGCAGAGATAAGGTACACCAAACTTCTCAAATGTTAGAATGCGAGGTGCTTTGCCATCGAGAGCCGCGGCATATAGCACACGGGTTGCTGCGTAGAAAAGAGAATTGCCCGAAGACCAAGCCGAAGTCAGTATGACAGCATTGATGATCGACGGAAGGATTTTGATGCCACCGTTACGGATCGCGATGACGAAGGGACTCGAATTAGCACCGGGGGCGGACTTGTTAATGGCATTGAGAAGATCGGGGTCTTTGGACGAGACGCATAGTCCAACAAGAAAAATTGAAAGAACGTAGAATATGAGAATCCTCCAGAACACTCGGCGAATAGCCTTGGGAATATTCCTGCGAGGGTTTTCTGTTTCCCCCGATGCCATGACCACCATCTCGCTGCCGCCATAAGAGAACGTGCATGTAATGAAGACTTTAAAAAAAGCCAAGAACCTTCCCGTTGCGCCTGGCTGAAGATACTCATTCATTGGTCCAGGATGGTTCCAGTATCGGAAACCGATAGACTCGCCGTTAGGAGCACCGCCGACAGTGATAACGAACATGAGGATGATGAGTCCGACAATAGTCAATAGCTTGATCGCACCAAAGATGAACTCTGCTTCTCCATAAATCCGCACGGGCAGACAGTTGAGTAACACCATGGAGAAGTAGAAGAGGGTTATAAGGCCGACTTAGGAGACGTTATTGTGCCAGTAGTTGACGATGACAGCCGAGACGGTGACTTCAATGGGTACACCAATAGCGAATTGGTACCAATAGTTCCAAGCAAGTGCAAAACCAAGAGCCGGATCAACGAAACGTGACGCGAAAATGGGAACGGGGCCAGGGATTGGTAACCAAGCTGCCATCTCACCAACACTATTGAGAACGCAAAAGATGTTGAAACCAGTGATGCTGTAGGCTAGAAATGCCGAGAGGGGACCAGCGAGTGATAGGACCTGTCCACTGCCGACAAAGAGCCCCGTTCCAATAGCGCCAGAGAGAGCAAGGAATTGTACGTGCCGAGATTTGAGCTTGCGGTTTAGAGTGCCGACGTTGCGAGTCTCATAATCTGATTTGTTGTCGGCGGGTGAGTCGTTGTTGGCTGTTGGTTCGATCTCATCCGAATCTCGCCTCGCCTCGAGATCATCGGGGGTTTTCTTATTGATGTCCATATTATGAGCGCAAATGTAGGCGATGTTCAAGGCGAAAATCTTTTAGTCACGTAGTAAAAGCCGGACTGGAAATAATCATCTATATTTATAAAGGGAAAATAGACACCGATGTGAGCTATTAAAAATGGAAATCTGAGTTTCTCTTACCATATACCTTTAGACCAGCGTGGCTAACCCTCGTATGTTTGAGGACTTTTCAGTGCCTGTGCCGGTGAAATTGAGTCTCCTCCCCACGCTATGACACAAGATTGCCAAGGGTTTGTCCAATCATTGCCACATTGCCCGAGATTTTGTTTTAATCAATCTAGATTTGGAGCCACAGCATCAGTTAGATGATCATACGATCATAACAGATCAAGACAAATTTCAGGCGTAAGTCTCACACATTTGATAATAACATAACAATGGAGCATATTCATCCACTTTACGATTGTCTGCAGCCATACGGCGCGGGGCATTAACCTCAAAGGGAAGTTAATCTTTGACATCCAATTAGCGACGATCTGAGCCGCTATATCCGTCTTGGCAAACCATCCGAGGTCGGTGATCTACTGATTGATAAGATCAGTCGACAAGGATCTTGATTGAAAAACTCCCATCAATCGGACTGCACCTGCAAAAATCATCCCATCAGCCCCCGTTTTTCCTCCGCTGTTCTTATGAACTAAACTACTGTTAACCCTTTTCGTCTAGCATTCCCTTAGCATTTATATCACATGTAAATCTAATAGTGATGAAAGCCGAGGTAGAAACAGGCAGCCAGTTGAGTTAGCGTTGGCCACTATAAATCCCTGACAGAGGCAGTTCCCGTCGTAGTTAATTAAGCTATTCTGATTAAAATACCGGAACGTTTTGAAAGCCTTATTAATATAATAATCCTGGGTAGTATAACTTCTCACTTTGGGAACTTATTGAACAGCGGCAGTACTAGTATTCGAGTCGATAGACGATTTCTTATCGATAGATTTGCCTGAACTATATATACTATAATAATGTACTAAAATGGTACAATGCCCAATCTTAAAGTCTGGCTCGAATTGCACCCCGTTGGCGTACCCTCTCAGACTTAAGCACCGTTTCCATTGTAGGCAATCAGGTTAGGGCTGCCGGAAAGGGTGCCAGTGATCTTTCCAGAAGTTCCAAGAGCCTTGATACGGTTTGTCACGGAAGCGGGGGTAGTGAGACCCTCGAGAACCTTGAGGTAAAGGGCAAGACCAGCAACATGAGGACAAGCCATTGAGGTTCCACTGATGGAGTTAGTAGCGCTGTTGGAGCCAATCCACGCAGACAGAACACCTTGACCAGGAGCAAAGATATCGACACCAGCGCCTTTTAACAGTTAGTCGGCTACTCACAGGACTCAGAAAGGGGGGAAATCAACATACCGTAGTTGGTGAAGGAAGTGGGTTTCCAGGCAGAGGTGATAGCAGCAACGGTGATAGCGTTGGCTGCATTGGCAGGGGACTGACTAGACACGGGCAGAGGGTTTCCGTTGTCATCACCGTTGCCGGCAGCAACAACAGAGAGGACACCAGAGTTGTATGCAGCGTTGATAGCAGAGGTCCAGGCCTGGGAAGCCTCACCACCTAAACTGGCCGTTAGTGGAAGAATCTCATAGCACGGACAGATGTATCGTACCAAGAGACATGTTGATAACAGCCTTGCCAGCGCGGCCCTTGGAGGTGATATCATTGACAGCCCAGTTGAAACCAGCGAGAACACCAGAGTCGGTTCCCTCTGCTCCCTGGAAAACCTTGACGGAAACAATGTTGGCCTATAGAGTTTAGTACAGTCCCCTTAACATACAGCCGCATGCACTGACCTTCTTAGCAACACCATAGGTAGAACCAGCAATAGTACCAGCAACGTGAGTACCGTGTCCAAGGGTGTCAGTGTTGGCTCCCGAAAAGATGCTGTATCCTGCAACAGCTCGGCCACCAAACTGAGAGTGGGAGATCAGAACACCACTGTCGACAACGTAGGCATAAGAGCCCTCGCCAGCAGAGGTATCATAAATGTAGCTAGTAGAGCCGGAGGTGCGGTGGGAAATCGTTCCAAGACCCCAAGGAGCTCCTGATTGGGTAGTGAGAGCCCTATCGGACAGCTCGCTGGGCTGCTCGTAGTTAAGCTTGACAATCTTGTCAGGCTCGACGAAGGCGACCTTTTTCTTGTTAGCACAAATCTTTAGGCGTGATCATTGAAGTTTACCTCAGGGCTAGCCTCAATTTCCTTGATAGTGTCCTCATCGAACTGTCCTGCATAAGCATTCCAGTTCTTGATGTTGAACTTATGTTCAATACCAGCAGTTTCGCGCTTTGAAAGGCTGCGGCGATGAACATCACCAACCCATTGGATGTGGGATTCAACCTTGGCAGCAGAAGCAGAGGACTTGAGAGTGATAATGTATTTCCCAGGGATCTCGTCTGAACGCTTGCTTGGCGCGGTAGGAGCAGCAAGAGCAGCAGGCAGGAAAGCTCCCAAGTAGAGAGCGAGACGAAGAAGGCTAGCCATCTTTGGTAAAGAGAGGTAATTGGAGAAGTGGTGATGAGATGGATGCCCAGAAAGTAGATTGAGGGCTCTTGGCTATGATTTATAGCCATCTTTGAATTATACTGAACGGCGTGTAAGTGCCGTTTACTCTTCTTGGCAAACTGACTCAATGAGGGGATGAATTGCGCGATAGTCGTAGAACTGGGTCGCTGAGATCGGACTTGGCACAGCTTCCTAAATGGTCCATGCCCGATGCACCCCAGAAAGGAAGGTTGCAATTTAACAAGGATTGATAGAGGAACTATTGCTGAAAGGCCACGGAGAACTAAAATGGCATCAAGAATCACATTGATTATCACAACTCTAGTCTCTAAATAGTTATACTATCCTGATGGGCAGGCGGCTATTCGTTTATCTATCAATTAAATGGTTGAAAGATAATTGTGACTGGTGGGGTATTTGAGATAATACCCTAGCAGAGCTAACGGGATATATAATAAATAAGCTTAGTAGTTTAAGTGCTCCTAGTGATAAGCCTTTAGCTATCTTTATTTGCATTTAACTAAATACTAATGATAAGGTTAATAGATAACTATACATGATCAGAGGCTAGTACATACCAGGGTATTTTACTACATTTTACTGAACACTCTACAATAATCGTAGCATCAACATTTCTCAGAACATATAAGTGTCGAACATCATTGTAGGTAATATGAATATATATGCAAATTAAATTTGATAGATAGTAATAAACACCTTTGAATTGCACGACCAAATCGAACCTCGTCCCTCAAAAATAGCCTTGCTTTCTATATTCGGTCTAACCAAAAAGGGTAAATACTCCTTGAAGTTGCCATAGCTCGTGGATTTGACAACAAGTGGGATGCTTCCTTCGGCTGTTATAGAGCTAACAATATATTTGGTAAGATCGTCCTTCATTCCTGAACAGATGTTTATCAGAGGGATCTATTTGGCCTTCCAGAAAAGGAACTCCTTACCGTTTAGCTGGGCGAAAGCAATATTGCCCGCGATTTCCTTGGACACCACTAGTTTGACGTCTTCCCCGCTGCGTCGAACTAATCCGTGCTTTAGTCGTAAGTTGAGACCGGGATTGACCTTTCGCCTATTGGGCGACGGCCGATAAGGTCAGAGTATCCAAGAACTATTCTTCGGAACACACATCGCTCTAAGCACATGCCATGTTAGGAAGGTAGACTAATAAAACTTGGATCTACAACTTACCCCAAATCCATTGGGACACTTGTATTGGATCCATTCGTCAAAGTTCCCATCGCTCTTAATACACCCCCATTCGCAATCGCAGCCATCAGGTTTACATAATGTGCCACTGATCAGATAGGAACTGACATGGTAGCACCCAGCAGCTTGAGCATCTTTCTGCGCATCGAGTCGAGTGTGGCACGTACTAACTTCATGGCGGATCTTGGTATTACGGGAATATACTAAACCTGCAAAGCAAATAATGAGAATGTATTTTGAAATCATTGTTGAGAGAACTGATTATAGAGATATCGATAGAAGATGAAAAGAATTCCCAATCAAGGTAGAGTAACATTATATTAGTATGAAGACGGGAGATTACTATGCGTCAAGCCAGCAAAACCTGAATTCCAAGGGACGAATCTTAAGAAATGGCTCGATGTTCATTGGGCTTGTGCTAATAACAGTTGTGCGCCACAAGGGTTATCTAGTCCATGAGGAATGTTGGTATCTGAAATCTGTCATAATGACATAAACTTCGAAGCTGACTGGGTGGCGAGGGAGGTCTGAAACATCATCAGGGTAAAATTAATGAATAAGAAACACCTCTACAATATTGAGGTCAAAAATGCTCCCTCGAGGAGAAATATATCTCTGGCATTATTGAGCCTGTTGAAATAAAATGTTTCGATCTTATACATATTTTCGGACAATGATCTGTTTGCAGATAACAGTATATCATCTCTGCTAGTGTCTCTGCCACTCCCTTGGCTAGTATCAGGTCGTCGACATTTTGCCATCATTTTTAAGATGATGTGAGACATCAAGCAATCAGGCAGCCACTTGTGATAAAAGAGACGGTGGTCCTTGAGTAGCACCATTACCCTACTTGGCATTTCAATAGTGAAGATACACAATGTAAAGACGTAGGGATCTCTAGGCTACCTCAGGACTTGCAGGCCACGGGATGTTAGTGGCGACAAGGTGTGATCTAATCGCTGCTGGTATAATCCTGGGTGGCGAAGATGTTATTGGTTAAGGGAGAACTGAGACAGTGAGGAGATTGAACATTGCCCAGAACTTAGAAGAGCTTCTTCAAGGTATCCCCGTTGAATGAATGGATTTGGATTTTTTTTCAAAATGGTACCATTATGCAGCTTGGTAGTTTTCTTTTAGATCACAACCATACTATAGCATAGTTACCAATTCCCATTTTCGCCTAGGGAGTTGTTTCCACAAGGTCAGAAATATTACAGTACTAGCGCAAGATGCCCGTATCCGTACCCCATCTTGTTTCAACACTGGCCAACAATACAATCTATACTGTCCTCTGAACTTTCGTGGCTTGGTCATCTGACCACTAAAAACAGCCACGAGATCAATCTCCTCCAAATCCTTTGACTCGCCGTCTTGATCTTTTTCAACAATTCGGTAATAGGTATTTCCAATTTGTATCGAGAATGGATATTGGAAACTTCTCATCTTGAGATCGGTCGGAATATCAAGCATGGACTCTGCTTTGAATCCCAGGGACGGATTGTACCTTACTGTTGCAACCTCTGTGTAAAAGACCAAAGCACTGTGTCTAGTTGAAGGTGTCAAGTGGAGCGCTTGAGGGAGTTGTGCTTCTGTCACCTCCGTCGATAAATCTAATTCACTCATCAAGAGGTCTCATAGCGACGATGGCCACGTGAATTCATCACAGACTTCCATTAGCTCAGTCGCTGAGTTGAATACATAAAACCTTGGACTATGAGGCTCTGGTTCGTCTCCAAAGAAGGTCTCAAGTTGCCCACCATCAGTCCAGCTCATCCACGACCAGCTAGGAAACGGGACTTGGACTATACTTCCTTCCCTTTGTCTAATAGGATGTGTACCTGTACGAAGCCGGCGATCGTTGTGAGGATCACGTTCCCACATCAGGAAAGACCCAAACGAGCCGTGAGGTAAACCCCATGAGAACGTATGTCCACCCCACTTGTTGTCGAGGTAGTTCTGGGTACCAAGATATGCACGTCCAATATCGGCCTCGTATGTAAGTCTCCGAGTTGAGAATGTGGTAGCGATTGCCAGATATTCTTGCGAGCGAAATGTGGAGTCCAGTCGTTTTTTGGGTACATGAGGAGATTCGTTGTTGCGAAAATACTCCGTGGTATCTTCGCTCAATAATCCTTCCCGACAACTCCAGTAAACTTGCTCTGCGGTGAAAAATAGTGATCTTCGCGAAACAAGAGATTCTTGAAAGGTCCAAGCTCGTTGAGCCCATGGGGTGTTTGATATCCACCGGGGTTCCTGAAATGATCCCTGGAACCGAAATTGGCCAGTATCGACTGAATCAATCAACTTAACACCTCTTATCTCTAAAGGATGTTGCTCAAGAGATCTAGTTCCAGGTCGGACGCCGGGAATACCACTGTGGGCGTCTAAACCTGACGCAGCCACGATAGTCAGGATGCTCTCACGGTAGATTGAATCCATCTTGTCAATAACTTGAATCATATCCGACTCGTCGTCCTAGATAATACATAGACTATCGATCCATAGATGTCCAATCTGCAACTTGGCGCAAACAGAAATAGCGTCTCTTATTGTTGACGGTAATGTCAGCTTTTCGAGATGTCCTGGGACTTGGAGATCCTTGATATTTGCTTTGACGAGTCGTATGAATGGCTTAATGCCCCCCCATACATAACTGAGAGTTGCGAAAGGGGGTCTTTTGGAGATATTAACTTGCACAATGCACATCTTTTCAACATCGATCAATCGAAATTGTGGGATGTCAACGGGAGCTTCAGAGTGCTGACAAATAGTATGCTGTTGGTCGCAAGTTCGCATCCATTCCCGTACCATGGGAAAGTCGACTAGAAGCGGCCTTGGCCTTCCCAACGCTGAGTCTAGCTTGGCCACTTCTTTGTCTGGACGATCTTCCAAAGGGGACTGGTTTCCGGGTTGGTCAACACGCCAGGTTCCGGGATGTTGAAACGTGACACTATCACTGCCGAAACCGTCGGAAGAGAACTCAACTGGGACACGACCTCCAGCACCAGATCTTTGAAGTATAATCTCCATGGGCTTTGTTCCGACAACTACGTGTATAGCCACAATCTTCCTTGTCGTAACGCCCTCGAAACCAAAGGACCAATTACGCACTTCCTTCGCTTCATGAGAGATGTATAGCCTGGTATCTTCCAGATTTGTCGAATCTTTGGAAGTAGTAGCGCCGTCGCCATTCGTAAAAGCGAAGTTACATCGTAGTCGATAAGCAATCAAGTCTGCTAGCTTTGAACAAAACTCGCATCCAGCTGCCTGTTTGTTGAATTCACTGAGCTGAAATGATGTTCGCTGCTTTTCTTCGAGGCGCCGAGGCCAGCAATCAGTACCAGCCAACTCAAAGTAAAAGGAATCGCACCAATGCGAAGTCATTTTTTTATAAAGATACACTGATGCAAAGTAGAAAACGAGACCATGTGAGCCATTTAACTCTTTTCAGCCTAAAGCGGCTATCTGTGGCAGAACTCATGACGAGTGCTTGTAGTTCAATGAATTACGAAATTTTAGATACCAGATACATTAAAACTTTTCTGATACTTGGGGTCATGGTCAGACGTTGCAGATCAAATTAATGTGTATTTTTCAACTTTCTACCACTTATTTATCTTGCACGTTTAAATGATGGAAATTAAAGTTGTCATTTCAGCCGCTCGAGTTTAGGGTAACTGCTTTGCGATCACCACACTAGCTTCCAAACTATCGATTTCTGGATAGGGGCTCACCAATCGCAGAAGACAAAAGAAATGAACGCACAGACTAATTCAGGAATATCACCGAGCTAGAACAAAAAAACAATTGCAATAGAATAGATATTTATTCAACATTGTTCCCACGCTGCCGGAGTTTCTTCCTCATCCCACTCGTTGTCATTCTTTAGAGGTTTCCAGTCGCTCATTACTTGCTCCTCTCCACATCAACGTCGAGATGAAGTCTAACGCTGTTATTGCCGTTCTTTTCTCACTCAGTGGTTCTGGGGTTTTTGCTGGCCCTTGCAAACCTGTAACTTCACAGGCCACTCAGGTTACGTCTGCAACCACGGAGGAGTCCACTTTCATTGACTTGACTACCACTATCACGGCATCTGAGACCACCGCCGAATCCCTCATTCCCTCTACCACCGATGTGGGCTCGGAGACCACCGTGGATTCTACTGTCGAGTTAACCACGACCACTGCGATTGCCGAAACCACGTCCAAGGATACAGATGCAACCACTACAACCTCTGAGCCGTCAACGACTACAACAAGCCCCCTTCAATGCCCTACTCCAGACACTTGCAACAATCTAGGCTTCGACTGGGCCTACTTTAGCAACCCTGCTCAGAACACCGATACCACATACTCCAACTTTGTTCCTCAGTCCTTCAAGCAAGACAATCCTATTTCGGTCGGCACCACCAGTAGGATCGGTGGACTATACCAAAGTGGGAATGGCGCCGCAGGGCCTATCTACGGTACAAGCAACAGCTTTCCCTTGGACTACTTCGCTTTGAACCACCATGGCTACCTCTATTCCTGCGAGGCTGGCACTTACAAGTTTGACATCCCGTATGCTAACGACGCTGTGTATCTCTGGCTTGGTGCAAAGGCGTATGCTGGATGGACATCGAGCAATGCTGATGCCAAGGCTCTCTACAACCAGCCTGACCATATTCCTGGTAGTGCTTCTTTCGAAGTTACTTTGCCCGCCAGTGTATACATTCCTATTCGGTTGGTGTATGGACAAGCACAATATGGTGGTGGTTTCACGTTCAAGGTCACTGCCCCTAGTGGACAGGTCCTTGTTGATGATGATGTTGATGCTAGTCCATATGTTGTACGATATTCCTGCGATGGAGTCTCTGCACCTCAGTACCCACCGTTTGGTCAGGAGATTTGAGGTACCAAAGGGCTGACTACAGGAAGGAAGATGGAGCACACTATATTCAGTTCATATCTTTTACTAATATCGATTCTAAATACAGATACCTAATCACCTGGTCTTGCAATCAGGCCATAGGGTTCTGGTTCATACATGTATATAAACGTGAACTCTCGCCCGGCAGATACTTCTTAATCTTGCATTGTGGGATCCACTCACCCAAATAACCTCAATGATATCTTTACAAGCTTCTAACTGCATCACCACCTTCTTTCATAAGCCAGCCACTTGATATACGTAGAACTATGCATTGTCGCTCACATCAATCACCAGTTTTTAATGACGGAAGCAGGTGCCACGTTTTGTCACAGTGCCGCAGCGGAGTGCTACACTGGCCTTGGTGACTGTATGATATGATGTCCTGGAGTATCCGGGCGAGCCCTCGCTGCAGCAATGACGAATTCGAATGCCGTGAATAAAGGCTGTCGGTACACCATTGGGCCACAACCTGCTTGCCAGGGTAATAGCTTACATCATTCACCTACCCGAAGAAGAAGACAGACCATGGATAGCGACTGTCGGCTGAGCAATTGGCGCCTAAAGCGCATGAAGGTGGAGATCTTACATTTTTCATTAGACACTTGCATCAACCGCTAAAGCTGATCTACACTTTTGCCAAGTCTACTGTCTAGCCACCATACTGAGCATTGCCTGTGGGTGTTTTCCTTGGTGCCTAAATGCCCAACCGAGACATCTGTCTTTCCTTCACATATATGCCGTCCCTTCAAACTACCACCTGTCCTCTCACGTTGCATTCATATTACAATATTGGCTGATCTGACGTGTTTATGTTATGATCCCGACCCCACGAATAGTTCAAGATGGAAGAGGATGCGACTTTGACACAAATAAACAGCATCTTCCGCCTCGGCCTTCTCCCCCTCCTACGTATTTTACGCTTTCCACTCCCAATGACAACCCATCTATTGCGCAATCAATTCAAGACTGGCTGTCAAACTGCGACCGTCATCACAGCGATGCCTGTACTAGATCATCTTCGGCATCTAGCATGGAACCGAAAACATCTTGGCTCATTGATGTCAGAGATCGCTGTATAGTACGAGGTAATGCTTCAAGCGACTATCTGGCTCTTAGCTATACCTGGCAGAACAAGACAAATCAGATCGAAAAGGACGCCGAATTACAGCTATGCAGCAATAACACCGACATATTCACGACCGTTAATGCACTGGAGCAGTATAAATCGAAACTGTCGAAAGTTATACAGGACGCTATAGAGTTAACCAGTGCCATTGGAAAAAGGTACCTCTGGGTGGATAGACTCCGCATCGTTCAAGACAATCCAGAAAAAGCAGCGGAGTTTTCATCAATGGATCGTATTTATTCTGGTGCCTGTATGACGATTGTTGCTGCAGCCGTGTATGGGATGTTTTCTACTCCCAATGCGACTATCCACAGTCCAGAAATAAGGCATTTAACATCTATTCGCTGCTCAAACTCAGATTTGAAAAATCCCACTAAGCTAGCCAAGGCCGCCAGAGCTGATCGCATTCAGTCTTACTACGAGACACTGTGTCGGTCTCGGGGGGCACAAAGAGCTTGGACCTACCAAGAGCACATTCTCAGCAAACGGGTCGTCTTCTTTCTGGGCTCGCAGATATTCTGGCAGTGCGAATGCGTAGTCTGGGATTCAAGCCAACTTCGACCGCAACAGGACGACAAGCCTTCATCTGAGACTTTATCGGAAGTAGCACCTATGAGGCAGCTCTCTGTACCAACATGGCCTGACTTCAGTATTTATGCTGACCTGGTTTGCCCCTATAACGGACGGGAGTTATCGCATAAAGAAGACGGTCTCTCTGCATTCCTAGGAGTCTTAAACTATCTAGCTCCTGCATTTCCACAAGGCTTTTTATTCGGGTTACCCAGGCTTTATGTAGACCATGCACTACTCTGGCAACCATTGAAAGGGACCTATCGTTTTGCATGGAGCCCAGAAAGCGGCGGTCACAGGCCAAGCAGCCCCTCAACCCGAAGGCCGACTCTGCCTTCTTGGGCCTGGTGTGGATGGCTATGTTTTATTGACCCCGAGAGCTTTCGATCAGCTCTGAACATTGGTCGAGATGGCCACGATAAGACGAGTATTGAGAGCTCCTGGAAACTACGAAACGTCGTCACTTGGGAACATATGGTATCATAAGAAGAATCTGCGAACGGCATATTATCCACATCGAATCACATTTCAACTTTGGTAACTCGCGCGTTCTTCCTTCCTGTGGCAATTTTGGGGTTTCAATATGCGTCCACTATGAGAAGGTCTGCATTTTACTGGGCGTTCGCAAACCCGGTACTGGTTCATAACCCCCTAACTAGTCTGTCCAAGGTGGTTGTTGTTCGAGATACAGCGGGAAAGTTTTCAGGCATGATTAGTATCACAGGGGACGCGACGTGTAGACCAGGAGTGCCCATTGAGCTTATTGCAATCTCACAAGGAAGTGTAAAGGGCAAATGTTTACGGAGCTGCTACGAGGAAAAGGTTTTACGAAGGAGTAGGTACGCAGATCCAAGGGGATTCCACGCCTTATATGATCGCGTTGGGCGATGGGTTGGTATTGAAGATAAGATATCCCGGGAAGACGGCCATAACTATCAAGTTATCGCTGAAGGATATTATGAGGAGAGTCTGGATCTGCCAGAGTATGCAGATGATCAAGAGTACCACTTCTACAATGTTCTCTGGGTTCAGCGCGGAGAAAATGATGTGGCATATCGGGCTGACTGCGGACGCGTGTTGGCGGACGCTTGGGAGAAAAGTCATCTGGAAAACATAAAAATAGCATTAGGGTAGTGGATAATTTGTCTACATGTCGTTTCATAATACAGAACGCGGATTGAGATTCTTTTCTATTGTTAAACAGCTGTGCATGAAGTCTAATAGTAAATTCTATACCTTATGATGTGCCTTGTGCAAAGCTACCCGGTCAGTTAAAATCGCCGTATTGAACTTCGCAGCCTCCTCGCTAGCCTATCTTCACTACTATGTCCTAGGCACCTAGAAAGCGCAAGGGACCTCGAAATTACAATACGGTAGAGGCGACAATAAGGGACGAAGTCATCACTCAACCAGACATCAGTTCCAGAACCGTTTGGAGAGTTGTCTACTACTATCTGAACCGACGCTACCAGAAATACTCAGGGAAAGAGTGGGAAGAGTGGGAATAGTCATTAGTCCTTGAATACGACGTCATATCTAAATGAGGCCCATGCATCTGATAATCAGTCATGTGGATTACTGACCAAAGATAACAACATTTGATGCTGAATATTGCTGTCTTCGCCCATGATAGTTGCACCAAATAATGCATAAGAAAGATATTGTTGTATACCGCTGCTCAAATAACCTCATCCATATCCTTCAACACCTCCAATCTCTTCTTTACCTTTTCCACAAGTCAGTAACACGTTACGCGCAGAACCAGGTATTCTCATTCATATCAATCAGCAGCATTTGATGCCCAACCTCTAGCGGAGACTACCAAATACCAAATACCAAATACCAAATACAAGCAATTCAACGGCAAACTGAAAACTATTAATTCTAGATACCAGACCACACATATGAATGAATAACTCTAAGCAAGAAACGAAGGAACCAATTTGTCAAAGGCCTCAACTGTCGCACGAGGGTCGTAGGCAAATGTCTTAATCGTGCTCCTCAATAGTTCTGCCTTCTCCCTTATTGTGACAGCTTCATCAGCTTTACCCATATCAGCGAGGATCTCCGACATTCTGAACATGGATCTTGCGACTCGAGGGTTAGGATCAAAGCTGCGCTTTAATATAAAAATAGCCCTTTTTATCGATACCCTACCCATCAATTAGACAAAGACATATCTTCCATGGTAGCTGTAGCTATCACTCACAGTGCCTTGTTTAGATCGCCCTCCCTGTGATAGAAGGTTGCCACTTTGTGGAGTCCCAGTCCGGTTTTGAATTCGTTGGGCGTTTCCTTCTGACAAATTTTGAGAGATTCCTTGGCAGCTCTCTTGGCCTCCTTGAACTTTCCTTGCGATTCTCTGACTTGTGACAAATAGTATAGCCCCCTGTATCATTCGTCAACATATGAAGTTAGAGGTCTATGGGGACTTCATACTGCCCATATTTTAGTGATGTCTTCCCCGTGGTCAATTCATGAATTACAAGACGTTTTTCGATGTACATCGAGGCAAGATCAAAGTTTTTCATCCTCCAGTAGCAAAGACCCAAATCCAAATAGGCCATCGCTGTTGGGGAGCCGTCGTGTTTCGACTTTGCCTGGCAGTCTTCATGGATTTCTATCGCCCGTAAATGCAATCTTAGGGATTCTTCCAGATCGCCCGCCTCCATGTAAACAATGCCGATAGAGTATAGAGTGTTGCCAAGGAGGGGGTCATCTGGCTGGAGCATTTGCTGTCGGATTGTCAATACCTTTTTGCAAAGTTCTAGCGCTTCATCAATCCGATTGCACTCAAATCGAACGCCAGCCAAGTTAAACAATACAGTGGCGAGCGTCAGCGAAGCTTGACCCTGATCCGGGCACACAGCTTGAGCGATCAATATCAAAGGCTCCGCCTCTGTGAACAGGCAGCGTTCTACGAGATACCTGTCTGTTGTTAGCATTCCGAACACTTAGTCCTAGATAGGTTGGAACCAGGAACGCAAAGAATCTTGACAAAAGGTTTGGGAAGCCTACCAGGTGCAAGAACTCAACAGTTCAGCAAGCTGAACATTTTTTCGACTGTCTTTGAACAGTTCGTTGTATCGTTGACAAAGGAATTGGACATGCGGGACGTAGGCATTGCACTGAACCCAGTTTTCCCACATTGGCTTGCCAGCAATTTCACGGGGAAATTTCTGATACAGAAGAGACAGAGTGTGATCGAACATTGAGATCCTTTCTGCGTTCGTCATTCCCGTCAAAATGACTCGCTGTACGAATCTGTGGATAGCGATGTACTCATCGGTTTGAGTCACCAAACCGCCCTCGGAGAGGCTCGATATCGCTTCGTATAACCTATACAACGGATTAGATAGGTATACTATTCTTGAGAATATGGTACTTACTCGTATGCACTCGGTATTCTGGTCGCTACTTGACCTGTATTAGATTCCCACAGGAGAATGTCGGTGGGGATTCTGTCCGGATCTAGGAAACACAAGGATTGCAGTAGAAGTTTGTTACTTCCTTCCACCTTGCTAACTGAGAACGCGGTTGCAATACTGTGTGGATATTTCCTCTTGCCATACTTGGACCGATAAATCTCATAAGCATAGTCATGATAAATCTTTAGAAATTGCTCGATACTCAGACGTCGGCTGCTTATGTAACTGCCGATGTGGTTCAAGGCTAGCGGTACGCCTTCCCATTCTCTCATGACAGCATCCATCTGTTGATTGTGTTGCCTGATCTTGTGTTTGCCACTGATGCTGTAGAAGAGTTCTTTGCAGCATTCAGGACTCAGCGGAGGAATTTGAAGTGTCACCGCAGACCAACACTCAGCGGTGGTGTGACTTCTGGTGGTTATGATGATGTGGCCGCTGCCGCCAGACGGCCAAAAGTCGTTGATTTCAGATGGATCGTCAAGATTGTCGAAAACGACGAGCCATTTTACCCCTAAGCTGTGTTAGCATGTTGAAGATAGATGGGTAGTTGCGTTCATACAGGTGGTTCGTAACCAAGACAGCAATATCTGGACATTCCTGGGCTCATTCTCCACTGAACTTCCCGTCAGTTGCAGCATCATGGTGTATCCTGACAGTGCGTCGATGATTTTGGCCTGCTTGTCGGATGTAACCCAGAGACACGCGTCGTACTTGTTTCTATATCTTTTGCAATATTGTGCTACTAGCTCAGTCTTGCCTATACCCGGTAGGCCATGAATGCTCACTACAGAGAGACATCCGGTAGAAGATTCAAGTTTGTGGCGAAGTATGCGCAGGTCGTCTTCACGTCCAAGAAAATGCTCGTTGAGGCTGATTGGTATCTGGTCACCTGAAAGTCGAATAGGCCGTGATACTAATGGTGAGGTTGATGAGCCATAGGAGTTTACTCCTTTGACACGGTCGGCCCATGCCTTGACCCTTTGTATAGCCTTAATGTGCCCTTCTTCAAACTCGACAAACTTTGGTTGTTTCTTATCGGGTGCTTTCAATACTGTCAGTCGAAGCTCCAATGACGTAGAAACATAGAGTGGCATACCTTGTGGATACTTCTGAAGAATCAAAGCCAGCTGTAATAGACCTATTGCCAGTTCTGCAAATAGCCGACGAACGAAACAGTTGAGGAACTTTGATCGAAATCCCGTGATGGTCGATGATGGCAATGCAGTAGAGATAGTAAGGTCTTCGAGCATAAAAACTACCTTTTCATGCGTCGTCCTTCTCTCACATGCTTGCTACTAAGACATTAGCATGAAAATCAAAATGAACAGGGCTTCTCTTCTCACAGCCAAAATCTGAGCTGTACTCCCCCAAATCATAGGTTCATACTCCTGGTTTTTGTCCAGAATAGCATCGAGTGTTTCCCTGACTACGTAGAGGAAGCTATCCAAAGTTTCTATGATGCCATCGACCCTGATGCTAAATGTCGTTCTTCCATTAGGTTTGCTGTTAATGGAGTTCAGGTGATCATATACCGCTTCAGATGTATTGATTGACCATATTGAGCGAGCTGTGTCTGGTGTGTGCTTCAGCAGGCTGTCGAACTCTTTTCTTACGTTTTCCATATTATGAAAACCTAGTTTGAGTAGTTCTTTCAAAAACTCTGAACAACAGAGTAGGAGTGGTTGGTTGTAACTTGCTGAATTGCTTAATCTTGTTGACGCCCGAGTTCCGTAAGTTCGCCAATAGGCAAATATTCCTACCTAAACACCGGACAACTGATCAAGAACATTTTCAGCCCCAACTCAGCCGCCCTTTTCATTCAACCAAGGCTTATGGTGGGTAACCATTCGCTTTAGACTTGCCACGTCCTGGCGATTTGCACAGTGAACATACCGGTGTAAGTGGGGTGCCAGACCTTCTTTACACGGCGAGCCTTTCAGACATTGTAATTTGTATTCCTTGGGCTTAATCGTTGTATCTTTTGAATTTCACACTACGACTGTTGCCGGAGGTGTGATACTGTAGAATTAAACTATTTAAAACAGTAGATAGAACGCATCAAACAAGCCCCAGATGATCTCACCTGGTATCTACCTCATTGCGTCCTTGGGCCTAACAAAAGTCTCACGATGGCGACTGGTCCGAATATACAACTGGAAACTCTGAGGAGAAATCAGTCATGCCAATTCGGTAAGCTTCACATGTCTTTTCGCAATATCAGAACTTGTCGGCTTACTATGCATATCCGGGCACAAGACCCTTCTATTGAGGTCTGTGAGCTACACCTTCAGGACCTCAGTAACGTAATAGGAGGTGACGCTGTTCCATACTGCAAGCATCTCCTAGATACCAGGTTTCTAGCTTTCCGTATCCTTGCATCTCTCAAGGAGTCTCAGGCGCTTTGGGAAGATATTACGCCGAGGCCTCATCTTGTGTCGATGTCATGTTGGTATATGCAGGCTGCTATATCACTTTGCAGGTTCGCCTCAGAGTATGACGCATTGACACTGATGTCAGCTACCAGCTTTCTGCAGGAGAAGGGCCTCATCTTTGCTGAAGGGGGGCGTACGCTTCACCTGGCCCAATACTTTGTGTTTTCGATGATCGGCACACTGAGCTCCTTGTACAGTGTAGTAACACCTGACCAAAGTCACAGTTGCTGTTGGGAAAAGTTCACCATTGTTACAAAATGTCGGGTCACCGGCCATTCATTTTGGTGCTACTTGACATCCGATCTGCACCGTCCGAGGGCTCAGGGAGTCGAGTGGTCATTGTCACGGTTTCTTGCAGGCTTTGGCGAAATAATTCTGACAATAGACCGTGAAGGTCGGACAAGAGTGGACGAGTTCTTCCGTTTAGATCCCGGCCAGCTAAATTTACACATACTTCAGAAGACTCTTGGCTTTAAAGTAGTGTGGACTGACATCTTGGGGTCACATTTGGATGTCGATATCAGTACTTCTACACTCTTCCTTTTCAGGCAAGCTACATTGTGCATCCGAGAGGCGGCGGATAATGCTGATGACACCACATTGATACGGAGGTGAGTTCGGCTGCAACCTTCCCAAGCTTATTGCGGCCCGGTCACTAATCTCTATGTTTCTACTGGAACAGCTGCCTGGATGAAGAAATCATGGGCCGAGATGAATTGAGAGAGTTAATGAGGGAAATCTTGCTGTCACTTCACATTCTCTATGGGCAAACTGCACATTCAAGAGGGCATTTCAACGAAGATGAGGCATTTAAAAATGTGTCGCAAACGTGGCGAGATAGCATGCTTAAGAAGGTGTGTTGTGAGCCCTGGGCATTTGAGGGTTTCGACCAACAGCCTAAGCGGATTTACAATCTTCAATCCGACTTTCCGCTTCTGGGCTCAAAGTTGCGATTCTTAGCGCTGGAGATCCAGTCACAAGAACCAAAAAGCCTGCGACAACTTTGGAAGGATAAGCGCAATACCCTGCAGTGGTGGACGTTTTGGGCTGTGATTATGTTTGGAGGGGTCGCAACTCTTCTGTCATTGATCCAAACAATCTTGGCTGGGCTGCAATTGAGGGATGCTGTCTCAAAAGAACGGGAGCCGAGGTAGTCAGCCAACAAGCAGTCTATCCTGAATGCATAGACCGGTGAGCAGACATCCCAATAAGACCACGTTTAGGGTTTCATAATATAGAACCTTTTCAGTCACGGGATCGTTTCCGGCTATGACAAGTCCTACATAGGTGTATTGAATGATATCGGGCAGCTGCTGTCCAACATCAACCGAAACAAGTCTTGTTGGCATGATGCAGGCTCCAGCCTGATTGAGTACATCGGTACATCATACCCTGGCGCAAAATTGTAAGGTTAAAAAGCAGTCTTAGAAGACCCACAGTCTCTTTCATTCTCTTAAATTCCCTGCTCTCATGCGACAAGGATTATTATTACCAGTCACCTACCTAGAACTCTTCGCTAATCTCTAGCAACGTAAGTTGGTAATCATTTCGCTGGTGGTGTCGCACTAACAATATTTATTGAAACCTCTTGTACAAGATGGGTCAAGATGAGGTCAGAATGACAGATACGAAGGAGCCTTCTACCCGTGAAGGTTCTTCAACTAAGCAGCAACCCTGGCGGGAATTGTATTCTTGTCTTGAGGAGACACTTGCCAAGCATGGATCGTTCCACACGGAAACACCAGGAAAGATCCCCGACGAGTGGAACGATCTGGAGCGGGGTCGCCTACCTGCAAATCACACGGAGCTACTGTCTAAGTTGGTTGGGGAGAAATTCGACGAGAAGCCGTGGTACAAACAAGAAGAAGGGGGTAAACGTTGTGAGAATTGTGGCTGTTATCCCTGCGTTTGCACAGTTTTTGAAGGTGGTTAAAACTTCTATGACAAGTCCATCATCGGGTTCCTTGATATTATGCAATTGAACACTATGTACGTATCGGTTCTTTAATAGCTCGAAACATCCAAGTATCTTGTTCAATTGTACCATACTTTGTCAGTATTAATTGGGCTGGGCGGTGAGCAAGTCATCCCAATCCTAATTCAAGCGCATGCCGCCCAGAGGATGGCTTTTATCACAGTGCTTGGCAGCGAACCAATTGGAAAAACCGCGGAATACCTAACATGTAGCACGAGGTTATGAATTTAGCCGCATATTAGCAGTCTACAGTGGCGGTACCTGCTACCGTTGGGGTATAATAAGACGTTACTGCTACACACACTGTCTCAAATCACCGCCCTATATTGATTGCTCATTTTACTGCACCTTTGCTGCAAGACATCGAAGATGGTAATTGACCACAGTAAGTTGGACTGTTCAATCTATTGCATGCTATTTATGTCGATGGGTTTCTGCCAGACAATGTACTACCTTTATTCGTATCGCTGAAATAAAACAGGCCTTGCTTCGTTTTGCAACCCCACATCCACAACACATGAAGTTCCGGACAAAGTAAAAAAGGAGGCTGAAGCAAGTTGGCAGAAACGTCCAAAAACGACAAGGACTGTGAGATTTCTCTCAAGGCATCCAAAATATGAAACTGAGAAACCATTCATCCTAAGTATTCCCCTGCCAAAAGATCAGCCAAAGTCGAATGCGATCTATGAAAAGCATGACATCGAGATCGGCGATGCAAGGGGTGATGAGATCCACTTCTCCCTCGATCTACAAGGTTTTGCGTTTCTCGATATTTCGTCACATCAATCTGCAGTATCGAGTAAGAAGGCAATCGAAGGAGATTACTTACCTCAAATGGAAGAATTTCTAAAGGAATATTTGAAAGCCAAACGAGTGATTGCTTTCGATCATGTGGTAAATTGCTGCTGTTATCTTGGTTCTCAATTCCAATAGTCTAATGAGATAATACAGCTCCGTCAAGTCAAACCACTTGGCATGCCACACCTCAGGGAGGACAAGAGACCTCCAGCTAGGAATGCACATACTGGTACGTCCTTCATCGTCATATTGCCTCTTTTCTCCTTTCTTGTGTACCGGATTGTGACGTGTCATGTTTCAGATCAGACCCCGGAGTCTGCTATGAGTCGACTGCAACTGTACTTCAAAAATGAAACAAGTGGTATTGTCGAAGATAGAGTTCGCTTTCTCAAGTAAGTAACGTCCTAGTACTAGTATAAGATTTTACTTTAACTTTTGTCTAGCATTTGGCGTCCCTTGATTGAACCTCTTGAAGACACTCCTCTTGCTGTTCTTGATGCTCGAACACTATGTACTGAAGACTTGGTTGCTCAAGATATGGTCTATTCCCATTACTTGGGCGAGAACTACCAGGTCAGATTCAATCCAAACCAACGATGGTACTATTGGAGTCGGATGAAGAGAAACGAGTGTATCTTGATCAAAAACTATGACTCTCGAATGGATGGTATCGCACGAGGTACCGCACCTTCCTACTCACCACTATTCTTTCAGTCCTAATGTTGAGAAGTTTGTGCGCACGCAGCTTTCACCGACGCAAATACTCCCCCGAACTCGATTGCAAGAGAGAGTATCGAAGCCAGGTTTATTGTTCTTGGCTAGAACCAAATGAATGAGATAGATAGAATACATGAGTAAAAAAGAATGAAGAAAATGGAATAAATTGTTCAACGAACCTTGAAAGCTTTGCGCCTGGTCAAAACAGATTCTGGGAGACCGTTCTCGGTATTGTAACTGTGGATAAGGTTTATCAACTCAATATCATGATCTGGAATTCTTTAGTTTTTTATCAAGTGAAATTAAGTAGGGGAAGATTCCTACCCTTTGGTCCAATAACCGACACTGATACAGGAAAGAATTCCTCATTCCTAGTAACATGGGATTTGTATGGACATTGGCCAACTGTCATGGTTTTTAGCGGTTGTCACATCCTCGCGAATTTCGCCATTCTCATGTATTACCTGGAACAATAATGTTTGGGGTACCAGAAAGGGATGCGTGCAAATTTGAATCCCAACCAGCATAATCGCGATTTTTAGGGCTGCTGAAGAAGTGTTAGACTATTCCTTCCACCGAGATGTGAACATTATAAGCATACGGCAAATATTCATCTCTATAGTCAAGCGCATATCGCGGAGCTACGATGATGGTTTTCTGGTCATTGAGTATGTTCTTGAAGAACCAGGTGTTGTGCAAGACTATTTCATCTAACGCTTGTTGTATTTCTTCTGGAGACAGAGACTTGCCTAGGTCCCTTTTATCACATTAATAATGATCATTCTATAAACAAACGTCTATAGCAACAGCCACGGACCAAAGAGGGACAGGGAAATCGCCATGTAACTTACCAGAGTGCCTGAAGAACTTTGCAGACGTATGGATTCTCGTGGAATTTGTTCCTGTATTCGTCGCGGAAGCTAGCCAAGTCGATCCAAAACCCACGATATGTTAGAGTGATAAATGTCTATAGGACATGTTACTGAGTTAATATTCTTAACTCTCTAGTAGATAGTCAACAAACCTTTTTAAATGTTTCGAAGAAGCTTTCGGATGAGGCAACTGGCTTGGTCGCATTCCAGATGTCTTCAATGGAAACATCGCAACTCTCAGCTTGAAGCCAGGATGCCAATTTCGTCACCCATCCATCTACAACGGCTTGGGCATTCGAATTCGGTAAGTGATACTCTTTGGGGAACAAGATTCTTGTTGGGTTCAGGCGCTACAGGATACGTCAATCGCGTTTCTTCTCCACTCGGGCTCTGGTCGTACTTTGATGTCTGGATGGGAACCAAGCCAATGCCGACCGAAGTGTAACATTATTCCACTATCTCTGGCAAAAAAAACCTGGGGTGTGGAATTTACTGAAGGACTGTTAGATGAGGACTTTCTTGATGTAGTTGAAAGCTCACCCGCATGGGAGGACCATGTCCGTCGCCTCTCTGCCATCATGGGAGGGTCGAAAGCCATATATACCGTGAGCCACCGCTGGATCGCGAATACTTCCACCAGCTAGCTTAGAAGTTAGGAGTGAAAGGAAAGTTAGATAGACCACCAATAAGGCACACTCACAATCAGTACCCAGCGTCACATCTAACCATGGATAGGCTGCTAGACTGGCGGCAGAGCCAGTGCTACTTCCGGTTGATGCAAAATAGCCATCACCACGAGCATTAAATGCATAAAAATAGTCGCACCAATCTCCAATAACCTCTTGGCTGCCACCAAACTCGACAGTCTTTGTTTTCCCAACGATTATCCCACCAAGGTCGACGACTTTCTTGACTCTTTCAGTCGAGTATTCTTGAGCTGGATGAAGTCTGCGATATGCTCTGTTCCCACAGCCGGTGTGGGCACCCTTCAAGTGGAATAGGTCTTTTACTCCTATCCGCAAGCCAGCGAGTGGCTGCTTGTTGGAAGACTGAAATTTCATACGAGATGGAACAGCGATACAAAGTGATGATAAACCAAAGGCTGAAGCATTCATGTTCTCGTAGCTATTCGACTATAAGTATTACGCAGTAAGAGGATTTTATACGATACCCATTTAAAATGACTTACGTTTCACAATCCGTCTGAGAAGGAGTGGTGCTGAGAACAAAAGCATCGTGGTCGTCAGAATACAGCCTCCAAGCTGAGTAAATACCACGACTGGAGAAGAAATAAGGCCCGGGAGATATGTCCTGGGAACGAGACTGGAGAAATACGCTTGTACAGCCCCACTCGCTAAGAATACCCTGCACAGACTCGCTGATTGACCTGTTATCAGTCAAGATGAGTATAGTTTTTAAGAATTCGTCACAGAACACGTCATCTTCCTTTGAGTATTTTAGGCGGGCGTCTCTCAGGTCGGATTCCATGGAATGGGTCTTGCCGAGAACAAAACATGTTAAAGGTGCGAAATTGGCTGAGTCAGTGAGTTTTAAGTCATACTATTATTTAGGTTAGTTGATTTGATCTTAAAAATAGAATTAGATTTTCACATCAACTTGGCTCCGGATCGCAAATGCCCTTTCTCCAATCAATACGACTGTGGTTGTGTGCAGTTGCAGTGAATTGGGACTTTCGCCTAATTTTTGGTATTTTCGAGTGCCAGGCCGGCATGTTGATATCAGACAAGAGAAGAGATGTCTGCTCAACGATACAGAGCGAGGCTTTTGGACGACAGGAGGCGCCGCTATTTGAATCCTTCGAAGGACCATGTTGGAGGGGTCAAAGACGAGCATAACCCTTGACGAAAATTAGAGAAGGGTCACTAGAACTTATGTAGCTGTAAGCACAGCCTACCCGCTGTACGAATGCGCACAGGTGCGACATTAACATGTCATCTCTGTATGGTGGCTGGAATGCGGTGTGTTGCAACAAATATTAATTGTTAGGCAGGTACTTGGGCTGTACACAAATGGGCTGTACTCTATACTGTTGATGCTTTAATTGGCACAGTATATTTATTAAAACGACATTCATATAGATATACATGGTAAGGAGAGCTTTACCACAATTAACAACCCTCCAGTAACATTAAAACAGATTATCGTCGTGAACTTGTAAACCAATTAGAAGTGAATTATACAACGTATATTTACTATTCCAAGTCACTCATAGTTAAGTTCTTTTACAGTCCCAGCTGTTCCTAGTGTTTCAAGTTTATTTTGTAAAAGCTTTTGTATTTGCGATATACGTACTCTTCATTCCAGCAATTCTACATTTAGCTAAAACATATTATTCGATACTCTTGTTCATATAACCTCATCCATATCCTTCAAGCCCTCCAACTCCTTTTCAACTTTCTCCCATAAACCAGCGACCCGATACGCGCAGAACCAGGTATTCTCGTTTATGTCCTTACCGACAATGATGAACCCTTCAGGGAACTTGAACGGTACTTGACAATGCCCGATGTATGAAGGATACAACGGCGTATCTCGAGGCTTTGCACACGCCGCTGAGAAGTCAGCTGAAAACAAACCAGCCTTGGTCCAATTCGAGTAGGAAATCTGATACGTGTTTCCATCTCCAAAGAATACAGGCAACGGTGCCACAGAGTCCAGAACCATAGCCTGATAGGCTTCCACTTGCTCTCGTGTTCTTTGTTCGTTTACTGCCTTGCGCATTTGAAGCGCTGTTTCTCCCACTGGCTGTTGCTTAAGCTCTTTCGCCGAAAGTAACAAGTTTGCAAAACCGAAACAGTTCGAGACAAATGGTTTATCTGGCACGAGAAGATCCTTTTCGAGTGATTTTCGGAGAGACATGCCAACTTGAATCGTCACAGGTCTGTCGGAATCAGAAGGAAGGTGGGAGATAGCGATCCGTGACCACCAAGCAACGAGTACATCGTTCTCTGTAACGAAAGGGTCCTTGACACCAGCAGCGGTGAGTTCTTTCATTGCGGTAGTACGAAGCTTTTTGAGGAACCAGCCTGGTATACAGACCATGCGTGTCTCTTTCTTTGCAAACGCGAGGCTATATCCGTTCCAGGCCACATATGTAAGCATCGAGGCTACTGTCATACGTTGATCCACAAGTTTATGAGCTTCTTTGGGATGTTTGCCGAATTCTGCCAAAGGATCGTAGTCGAAACCTTGTTGTTCGGGAATTTCTAATCCGTTCATCGCGCTAACCCATCCCTCGATCAAACCCTTCATTCCGAGAGCATCGCATGCGATATGTAGCCAGTGCAGTGTAACAAGTGTTGCATCTTTGAACGAGACAATGTGAAGACCGAGAATTGGCTGGTCTGTGTAGAGATAATCGTCGATGGAGGTGGGGCATCCTGGGCCGCAGGCGAGGTCTACTGTTTCTTCGGGATCGCCGACGATTGCTGGGCGAGTTGATGGTTTGGGTAGTCTCGAAGCGATGGGATGGTCGTCTTTCGTGATGTCGGTGAGGTTAACGGAAGTGAACCCGATAGCTGGTCGTTGTTTGGTGAATTGTGCTGGGATATGGTATTCGAGATAACCATCGTCCTGATATGTCAATCATTAGATAGGACGTAGCGTTGTCATAACTCAGTTGTTACCTTTTTCCTCAATCGCCCTCCCAATTTCCGCCAAGTCCTTTGCGAAACTAACGTCTCAAGGCTACCACGCAACTTTTCCGGATCAAGGACATCGTCGAATACTTTAAGATTGTACAATGCAATCCTTCGGTACAAAGGACTCTCATCCCAGACGTGTAAGGGGATGACCTGATCAGACGCTATGCGAGCAGGTGCGACAGGGCTACTAAAGAACGACATTATCCGCGCTTGAGACTGTGAAAATGGTTTTCGAATGAAAGGTGGAGGCTGAGGTATATAGAATTGAAAGGGTCCTCTCGCAAATGACCCGCTCGGACGGGGCGTTGTAACTCTAACTGATATGATTCTAACGGTCCCGAACTTCCGTGTTGTACCCCTGCCAAGGTTGCAGCGACCTGAACTTTGCAGTGTATATCCTAAGCGATTGCAGAAAAACACGGTAGTTGTCAGTTGGTTGGCCCTGTTAACTGTTGGTTGTTTGCTTCCGGGGAACAGGGTATAATACCCCCACACTGCCGACATTGAACCAACACGAGTCAGGGGCTAACATTTCACGCCGTTTCATGGCCGAATCAGTTACTCGACATTTCCCTTGCACCTTTGCCGCTGGTGAATCCGGTATGTTGGTCCTGTGTCTTGTAATTAATGTTTTGTGATGCGAGAATATCGACTCGCTTCCAGGCCCACTTCTGGCTATCCCCTGTCAACATACGAATATTCGTTCATCTCTCCAGTCCGAATGTTACTCTAGACATCATGAATCCTTCCATTGTCCCAGATGTCTTGCCGATCTACCCCTTTCGACAAAGTTAAACCATATGTATAGTCAACACACTCCTGTAAGCCAGAGGATAATATGCGGGAAAATTTTTATTTCTAGAAATGGTGAAGTCTTTGGAAGGCCTAACGGGCGAGGAAATCGCCGACATCGCTTACGCCCAAAATTCTATCCCACCTTCAGGCCTAGGCGCAATATGCGAGGTTCTAATTTACGTTTTTGGTGTCATTTGCACTATCGTGGTATTACTCAGAGTCTACGTTCGGATGTTCAAGATCCAGAACGATGTCAAATGGCGACTAAATGACTACTTGGCTGTGGTTGGGTTTGTAAGTAGTTTCCCCTCATCCTCCAGCCAAAACCAAACAAAGCTAATGTCGATGATTCATAGCTTCCATACATTCCAGCAGCAGTCCTCGGAGCATTATCAGTCCACTATGGCGTCGGCGCAACAGACGCGTACCTCGACAAATTCGAAATGCGAAACTTCATCACTGTCCGTGGTATGGAATACCTGATTTTGTACGAACTCATATACTACGCGTCCTCGACGATAACGAAATTCGCCATCGCAGTCACGATCTTATACATATGTGTCGAGAGACGATATAAATACATTATGTATGGGATCATGTGTATCATGACTGTCACTGCTGCTATATGCGTGGTATGGTTCTTCGTCAACTGCATTCCTTTCCAGGGGTACTGGAATCCTGGCGCAGGCGAATGCAAGTCTGCGGATGGGTTTTTAAACCTGAGCTACGTTGGCACATCTGCGCAAGTGGCCAGTGACTGGGCTTGTGCACTGACGCCTTTCTTTATCGTCTATTCGTTACAGATGACGAGACGGAGTAAGATCGCAGTCGTCGGCATCCTGGGGCTTGGTGTATTGGCTAGTATTGCTGCTCTTATGCGCATTATTTCGTACCAGTACATCGATATACGGAAGTACCCTAAGGACCACATGGGTAAGTTTGCCCGAGGCTCTTTGAAGACCAGGTACTAAGTAGTGTGTCCAGTTTCCCAGAGTCGACTTCTTTTATGGTCGATCCTAGAATCCAGTCTCGCCATTATTGCTTGCTCATTACCCGCGCTCAAAGTCTTTGGCGGCTGTCTAGTCAAGTCGATGAATCGCTCCAAAGGAACACCTAGACCAGTAAGTACTTCGATCAATAACTTCAAAAGAATGATGCTGAGTTTTAACAGAAGTTGGGATACAATGACCCGACTCCGATGAACTCACTTGGCCCAAGCGGCCATGCACGGACTACAGTGTCTGTAAGAGGAAATTGGGACAGGCTCCATGATGATGACTCAAGTGCAAAGCATATCATGGTGGAGAGTCAGATTCACGTGGATAGCAGTTATCGACAAGGGTCTTGTAGAGCGCCGAGTATCGCCTAGCATGGAGTTGCAATCAATGATTGTAGACTAATATGGAAACAGTGACACAAATTGTTCTCACCACCAGTCTGCTCATATAAGTGAAGCTTATCATCCGACAAACAGGTTTCTTATTTACTCTGGGTAAATGAACCGCTGGTCGCTACTATATACCATCGTGATAAACATATGTACACGGGAGATACCTCCACGCTGTCGGGTCCCATGGAATTTAGCCAAGCTATGAGACCCAACTCAACTAAACTTAGCTATTATAAGGTTATGATTGCCTAGCAAGTTCCAGCCTTTGAGGGCTCGCAAGCACCATTCTTCTTGTCACAGCCATTGTAGCCCTGGCATTGAACCTTGGGGAAGCAGTTGTTGGAGTAAGTAGCCTAAATCCGTTAGCCATACTCATCCCACACCATGACAGATGCACATACCTTGTCACCGTAGTTGAGGTTGATACCCATGAGCTCACCACCGTTGACAGCAGTAGTTCCCTCCATATGCACGGAGCGACGGCAGTTTCCACTGCAGTTACCACAAGATCGGTAGACCTTGCCGTAGTCATTGGCATAGAAGTTAATGATGTTGACATGACCACAACCGTTGTGCTGAATAATCTTGTCTGCGGCCTTGTATGCACCACCGCCGATGATGTTGGCGGTGCCACTACCCTTGATGGAGATGGCATCCTCGCAGACGTCCTCGAACCAGACAAATTCAAGAGTGCATGAACCCTTGCAGTACACGCCTTCTTTCTGGTTCGCACCGATGATGACGTTGCGCAGCTTGGCACCGTCTTCAAGGACAAAAACAGTGTCCTTCTCACCTAGACATATCGTCAGTTTGTATTATAAGAGACACATCTCCGAGGAAGATACCTACCGCCTTCAGACTGGCCGGTACATTTGACGCCACGGTCATACTTGACCCAACCAGCATCAAAGGTCTGACCTTTGCCGATGTACTGAGGAGCGCCAAGGGTCTTGGTACCAGTGTGCTTAGGAAGGCCACCGCTGTAGCCGAGACACGCAAGTGTCGAGGGCACGGCAGCGAGAACAGCAGCAAGGGTGTAGAAATGCATGATGAATAGTATTGCGATGGACAATTCAAGATCTGAAGTGAGTCTGAAACTTCAAAGTGGATTTTGACAGGAAATAATACGGCCTTTTATGATCTTCTACAACCAACCTTTGCTAGCCTCTACGGGTCTTGGCATAGACTCTGGATTATATCCCTGTTACGCCAAGGCTGTTCTATCCAATTGACACTGAACGAGAGGTGCATATCTGGGGTTGCTGTCATGATGGTACCGTCCAGGAAATTCCTCCAGTAATATGTCGATTGTATGTAACATTCTCTACTGAGTGTGTCAGTTAGAATCAACAATTGGTGGAAACAAATGTGGATTGACGGTCGAAGCTTGTCTTTATGCTTGAATTCACTCCGATGCTCCGACCTCTGGATCGGGCAGGTGATTTGTGATTGGGAATATCAATTGATGCAGATAGGTGCGCTTGACTGCCGACTCAATCCTGGGGTAGCTTGCAGGGTCCCATATGGCTTTGATCATGCAATCACTTTACCATCATGTCGGAACTCGGACTCATTTTTAGCTGACAATAGTGTTCCTCAACTTGAGATTAGTTGAATGTCTGGTAAGTTCTTTTGAGTATGAAACCTATCAGATACTTTTCCGGTCATACTGAAAGACATGCCGTTACAACGTCGGATAAGCACCGTCCTTCCTGATGCTTTGCCGTTGTTGTGAAAAGACATCTCGTGATGTCGCATGAATCAACTTTCGGAAGAGGCCTTGGCAGACTTGGCGACAGTCTGAAAGATATCATTGATTCGATCGCATATCATTAATTACCAATCAAAAATTATCAAGCGGTGTAGATATCTCTCCATATAACAAGAGGAGCAATAAATACTTGTATGAGACGAATTGCATTTATTGACTAGTTCTTATCTACATAGAAGGTGCCTTCATATTATCAATTCCCTTCTCATTCCTAAGCAGTCCAGGCCTTCTCATCAAGCAAACATAACTTTCTGCACAGCTGGTCTTGTACTAATCCGCTCCCACCAAGCTCTCACAGCTGGTCTCTCTGTAATGACATTACCAAACCCACAGACAAACAATCTTTGAACCAAAGGCACGTAGTAAATATCCACAAGCGTGAATACATCTCCAGCCATGTAGTCTTTGTCTGATAAAAGCCTTTCGGCCACATCGAAATATGCTTCAACAGCCTTGAGAGCATCCGTAATGACTTGTTCGTTGGGAGGTAAACCAATGAACTTTTTGGCAAACTTTTCGAAAGCAATGCGTCCAGCAGGTTCTGCAAAGTACTGCATCTCTACTGATTGTGCTTGTTCAAAGAGTGCTGTGGCTTCAATATCGGACTCTGAAGGGAGGAGAGGGAAATTGTATTTCTTGGACAGGTATTTGCAAATGGCGCGGCTTTCGTAAAGGGTGAAGCCATTAGAGAATTCAATTGCTGGAACTTTGCCCCATGGGTGACGGTTGAAATGGTCAGTCGACTAGACAAAGTCATGTTAGTCATGAAAATAATGAGGAATGTACGAAACTGTGCGGAGTCATAAACCAACCACTTACCTTCTGTTGTCCCTTGGCAAGGTCAAGAAGATCAAATTCATAGTCTGTAAAACCACCTTCGGCAAGTGTCAGACGGACTCTATCGGTATTGGTCGAACCACAAGCGCCGTAGAGTGTAAAGGCAGTCATTTTGGAGGAGGTGAATAATCTTGTGAATGATCTGAGATAATACATGGGAGTCGAGAATTATGATCAACACTGAAACAGGGCGATTGGCAATGATTTATAGACAAATGTCATAGTCAAAATCAACAAGGGATCTACCAGGTTTGTCGCTTACATATTTACTAAGTCCGAGCTATTCATGATTTCCAATGATTCATTTAAAATCCAACACAAAATAATCCCCATCATCGTGAATCCGACTCAAGGGTAACTCACGGACCACAAGTGACAATTGGCCTGTTCGCTCTTTCAACCGCATCGAGTTAGTGTCTCTTCGGATCCAGGATTCAGGAGTCAACGCTAACTTAGCGCTGAGAATCCTTTTGTGGATGACTCAAGTCTGGCTTCTCATTCGTCTGTTCGCTCATCTTTCTCCTTACATCTTTTCAGTCATGAAGCCAAACAATAAGAGAAACAGTGTTGGTGGAAGGAAGGTCAAGACGGGATGCGCGACGTGCAGGTCAGTTGAGGCTTAGCGAGTCAACTAGTCAAGGGGTTATTTGTGCTAACTTGATTAGGATCCGAAAGATCAAATGCGACGAAGCTAAGCCATTCTGTCAAAAATGCGTCAAGACTGGTCGTACTTGTGACGGCTACGAGTCTGTCTTTAGACCCTTTTCAAGTCCACCCGCCAGTAGCAGCAACAGGATAGACGTGAGAAAAACATCGCCGGAATCTGCAGGCGATAGCATTCCACTAGACCCCATAACCCTCAACCGCTATCTCTCAACCAAGACCATCTTTGGCGTGGACATCAATTGCAACCAAGAAGCTGAACAGGTACTTCAACAAAGTTTGAATGACGCGTCTATCCGACATGCTCTTCTGTCTCTTCAAGCTCTTCGTAACGACCTTGACTCAATGATGACAGTTGGCCTTGCTTCACCAGAGCAGCAAAAGCTAAGCTACAACTATGGTCTTCAGCAGTATAGCAAGGCTTTGACAGGTCTGGCTCTAAACTTGTCAACACCAAGCCCAGAGACGCTGAAGTCTGCCCTACTTTGCTGCCAAGTCTTGATCAGCGTTGAACAAGTCAGAGGTAATTTCTCTGCTATGGGTGTTCACATCATCCGAGGATTGAACATTATGCGAGAATACCGAGCAAGACCATATCTACCAAGTACAAATATCTTGATGCTAGCGAACCACAAAGATTTGCCATCCATAGACGTCTTCATCATTAAATTCTTTGCTGCGCCCTGCAAGTTTACAGAACAGCCGACAAAGGACATCACCAATATGTTGACGCCACCTGCTGAAGTTTACGCTGATCGCAAAATTGCTCCGAATATGAGACCTGAGATAAGAGAAATCGCCGACTTGGTTATTGAGTTTCTGAACCAGGTTTCTCTCATTGAATCAGAGCAAAGAGCTGCTGAATTGCTTGAGGAAAAGGGAAGGCTTCTCGACTTATTGGATGCATGGTACCGAGACTTCAAAGCGGCTCAGACACCTGGAGAACCTGCGACTGTCCATGACTGTTTCTTAAGATTACTATTCATGGTTATCAGAGTTGTGCTTTTAGGAACTCTGGATTATGTGTCGGACACTGATGGAAGACTCAAGGCGGAGAATGAAAGGATCCAGACTTTGACTGATGAGATCAATGAAAGACTGAAGGATTATGATATGCGTCAAGGAATTGAAAGTGGACTCAGGCAACAGTCTGAAGTCTGAAGGTAGCTTACGAATTGTCGGCATCTACATCCTGGGCATCATTTGAGCTGGACAACGCAAGCTATGAATTAATAATAGCTCCAATGAGTCATATTCCGACCAGATCCCATAAATAATGAAGAATTTATAACCAGACTCTTGTCAGCGTCGCGTTTCGTGTCTCAAGTTGCGCTGCTCGCAGCTTTCAGCAACGGTAAATTGACCGAACACACCAATCAGTGGTTGGGTTAGCTTCTAACTAGCGACAAGCATTCAGTAATGCCGCGATCCACACACAAAAATTGTGGCTCTTCTTAAGAATGGTAAGTTGACCGAACGGGCCAATCAGATATTAGCGTTGTCTCTGAACTTAGGTCACTCTGTCGAGGAACAAATGTATAAAGGAGTCCTTCTTCTGTTGACTTTTTATCCCAACAATACATCCAACTTCTATTTGAGTTACTAGAACTTATATAACGTTACTTTTCTCTATTGACACTATTTCCATCCCGCAATCATGCACTTCCTCCTCCTAGGTGCAACAGGCCGCACTGGCAAGCTTGTTGTCTCAGAACTCCTTGCTCAAAAGCACACTGCAACAGCGCTAGTCCGAAACTCAACTAGCCTTGCTCCCCAACCTGGCATCACAATGGTCACTGGCTCTCCACTATCCAAAGACGACATACGCAAGGCCATTCATGCTACACCTGGTGTCCTCCCCTCAGCAGCAATTTTCACTCTCAACACAGTCCGCAAATCAGATAGCCCCTTCGCAGCCCAAGTCGGTCCTCCTCGCTTCTTAGCAGATTCGTGCGCTAATGCGTGTGAAGTCTTGGAAGAAGCTGGCGTTCATCGAATTATTGTCATGTCGACGGCTGGCGTTGGTGATACATGGAAAAACCTGCCATTGATAAGTCGTGCTTTTATGGGGTGGACGAATATTAAATACGCCTTGGAGGATCACAATTTGTTGGACCAAGAAATCCGAACTACAAATATGGAGTGGACTCTGGTCAGACCTGTGAGACTAGATCACGACAATAATAGCACGCTGGAGATTGAGACGCTGGGAAGTTCAGGTGTGGGGATGACGATGAAGGACAGTATTACTCCTGCTAGTGCGGCAAAGTTTCTTGTCAAGCTTGCAGTTGAAGGATTGTATATTAAAGAAGCAGTGGTGCTGAGAAACTGATTTCTACTAAAGAAGAAGGACATGACGTTTCGCGGACTGCATGTATTTTGACGCAAAATATTATTGAATACCGAGATAAAAGAAAAGAGAATACTTTAGTGCAATTGATTTGTAGATCAATGTTGAGAGTTCCAAATCATTTACCTTTAACCGATTATGCTTAGCGACATGGCGATCAAGAATCGCTTGCCAGCAATTTGCCATTCTAACAGCAAGAGCACGACAAATAGTTGAGGAAATGCAGTTGCAAACTATATCCAAAATCCATCATACCCAGACAAGTAACTTTCAAAGATACTGAAAAGAGTCGTCACCCATGAAAGTGGCGCAAGAATGAGGGCGAGATATGTCAGTGGTCGAACATTTACAGCTTCAATGCTTCATCCAGCAGTAGATAAATGTTACGACCTAACAAGTCGTCACGCACGTGAGGTGAAAACTCCCACTTTTCGCACCAATAAGTAGTCACCTATCCTGTAAGAGTCGAACGCACGCTATTCGACTTATATGACGAACAAAGACGAACCGACTCCGTTCGATCTGCATATCATCAAGTATATATACATTCTTTTAGCACTAGATAGAACTTAGCTCATCAGCTATCAATAGAATATCTTTACCTGAATACGCCTCACCCGCTCTATTCACTATTAAGAAACGTGACACTTCGCTACGCTCAGTATTACAACGCCCTACGCATCTGCCAACATAAACCTAGTACGGACTAGTTTATCCCTTGGGAATCACAACCGTCACACTAGCCGCCTGGATCAGTCCCCATACCCGACTAAACCGGCGTAATTGTCCGACGTCCTCTTTTGGATTAGCGATGTACCCACCTGGTCCATCATCGGCTCAGCTATTAGATTGACTAAATGCGCTTAGCGCTGATGTCTATCTCCTCACATGAATCAGCACGTCGCATCCTTCCAGCACTGACTGTAACCTCTTGTGTATAGTCAGTTTGTACAGAACGAATGGATCCACTTTCGATTACCACGGCCTGTGTAGGGCTCATAGGTACTGTTGCAAAGACGACGCTGGCCGTTACCATTTTTACGCGCGAGTGTCGCGAGGCCCGATCTGACCTCACATCTATAAACGGCGAATTGTCCCAGCTGCAACTCGTTCTTGAGTTACTTAGAGATGATACAGCTGTCAGCGATGACCAGATCTTATCAGAGTCTCTGCAGGAGCAGATTCTGTCCATCATCGATAATTGCTCCGCTGTTGTCTCCAAGATTAACCTTGTTCTTGATAAACACTCTGGCAAGGTTGGAGTCCTAAAGTGGGCTGCATTTGGCAAGAATGAAGTTGTCGGGCTCCGCATGTCGCTTGAAGCACATCGCGGGTCCTTGAATCTGGCCTTGGAGCTGGTCTCTGTTTCTTTGTCCAAGGCAATTAAAAGCGATACCACAGCCATCAGAACCGACGTCCACGACATAAAACAAGATACAAGTCAGATTCCCCAAATAATGGACGAGCTGACTAGACTACGGGCTATCGTTGCTGGCGGTGACTTTCCGGCGGCGACCATCGGGCAAAACTATGTTCTCCAGCAATATCTTGACGATCTTACTTCATATGCCGAGACAGTCTGTAACGATGTTGAGTGGGAGACGAACAGCAGTGTCCATGCACTTTCTCGTTCCTCGAGTCGATCAGGCCCGCGGGATGAATCCTCGCCACCAGTCATTCAGCTCGAGCCAAGTGCCGATGCCAGCTCCCAGGTTGCCTCTCTGACAACTACTCGGGTCTACGACGAGGATGAGAATACATGTTTACAGCCCACTAGGAGTGTTAGTACCGGCGACACATCCCAGAATACGTATCAGGTGAGAATCAATTGCCACAACTATCGTTTTTACGCAAAGAGTTCTAAAGTTCTTTTATGGAAGGCCAAGAAGAATATCGTACTCGTTGGAGACCCTGCGTGTGGGAAAACGGCTCTTTGTTAGTAAGTATCTTACGGGAGCTTGGATCGATATTATTTTCTCTTGAACATTACACTAAGTCCTAATTACTTCATGAGCCGTCTCTGTAAAGGCGCTTTCTTTAAAGGCGCTTTCTATGATGTGAGTTGTGTTCTCCCCCTGAAAGAAACTCTCTCTAAGACCTTAGGTCATTGTCCCCACCGTCTTCGAAGAATATGCTGCCCATATAGACGGCATTTATTTCGCACTCCGGGTTGCTTCAGAAGACTACGACCGCATTAGACCACTCTCGTATCGGGCTATAGATGTGGCCTTGATCTGCTTCGCAATTGACTCGCCCGATTCACTCGAGAACGTGAAAAAAACAGTAAGCTGTCCTGAATTGACATCTGCAGGAAGCCGCTCACAAGCAGGTAGTGGATCTCAAAGGTTTCAAATTTTATGCCTAATGTGCCTTGTATCCTTGTCGGTCTTAAGAAGGACCTTCGCGACGACCCAAAGACTATTGAGGAACTCAAGAAGGACAATCAGCAGCCAGTAAGCTGGGATCAGGTAATCCATCCTGTCAGGTACAGCGCGAAAATCATGAATGACCTTCTACCATAGGGAAATGACATGGCGAAAGATATAGGAGCCTTCAGATATGTTGAATGCTCTGCCAAAACAGTCGAGGGGGTAAGAGAGGTCTCTGAGATAGCTGCTGTTCAAAAGAGACCTAATAGCCTTAGACGCATGTGTAAGCGGTTGTCTTCAAGGTAGTGTGTGTTTGAGAAATATAAAGGTTATTCAATTGGCGCTATCAATCGATTGTCATCAATTGGTATTTGCAATGATTTCGACGCTTAATTAACTTGCCTGCCTGGATTTAGAAAAGACAGTAGAGTTTTCAGGTATTGCAACAATTAGTTGAAATTGGGAAGAAAGTAGTATCATTAGGTAAGTATTATTTAAAATCTTAAACCCACTGTATGTAAGCGGATCGAACAAGAGCTAATTGCTCGCCTGAAAGAGGTTTTAATCGCCGAATATTGCGAGTGATATTTGTATTAGTCTTGGAAGCTTAGGCAGTATTGCCGAATAATGCTGATTCACCCAAGTCAACTATTTGCCGAAAGTAAAGATGAAGATAGCCGCTTTCTGACAATAACGATGGTAAGATTGCAATAGGGAGTGGTACTGGTGAAACCTCGAAATCTTGAAAGCTCGTATTGACACAGTCGGCAAAGAATAGTGATCGATGTCGAGAGCTCTCCCTACAAGACTCATGAGTTGTGAGCTGATATCCTCGATCAAAATGATTGGTATATTGGTGGCAGTAATGGTTTCTAGGGATGGAAGCAATTCATCCTCACGAAGCGCCACGGCTCGGACCCGGAATGTGCACGGGCCACGATTGGGGTAGTTGATAGAGACGATCCTGCTCGCACGAACTAGTCGCTGTTGTAGGAATGTGTTGAGGCTGCTGATGCAAGGGTTATATTGAGCTCGATGTTTCACAAAATGTAGAGAAGTACCTGACGGTATCGTCGGTTTATCGATGTACGTAGCATGTAACTTACTTGACTACATGTAATGTCTATAGTGAGAAACTCTTGAAGAGATTGACTTAGTAAGGAGACTGAATGTACATGCAACCCCGCAACGATTAACGTTGCTGAAGCTGTCGACCAGGATATATTATTTCAAGCCTGAAGGACAAATAACACAGCATGGATTCTTTCCGCCTTGGTTCCTATCCGTCTAGATACCGTCAATCTTGCTAGCACCCCAAGCCACCACCGCAACAGCAGCACCGCCGAAAGAAGCAACCATCCCTGCAGCAGTTGAGTATAACACTTTGTGCCCCGTGAGGATGGCGTCAACACCGCCTTGCAACAGCTTGACAATGAAGTCTTGTTCATTGCTCACCCCAAACACGTATTTTTGTTCCTCGGGGACGTAAGCGACCGCCAAGCATGAATCATCGAGGTAGGTAAGTGTCGGAGTCCCTGCTGTGAAGGTGCGCTGCTGCCCTTCAACCTGCCACATGAAGTTGGTTTGGTCCGGGCGAGAGAATACACCCCACTCCGATGTGCCGATAGAGAGGGATCCTGTTATGTTTTGGTCAGGGAGATCGGCGTGATCCTTTGGGTGTCCACTGATGGTGAACTTGACGACGAATGATCCTCCTTGTCCTCCATGCAACCCAAATCCATCTGTGCGAAGGGCAAGCTCCGCTATCTTCGCACCGCGAAGCTTGTTGTGCTGACCTTCGGTGATGTCAGACAGGTTGAAGGTGTGGGGAAAAGTAATGCCATTCGGATAGCTAATATAAGCCCAGAATCCTGAAGGGACGTCCTGTTTGATCTCATCGACGGTGAAAGTCATCCCCTCTGGCAAAGCAGAGAGGTAGAGGGGAATGGTCATCTGGCCAATGCCCATTGTGAATGGTATCTGGAGTTGGACTTGGTAAGGTTGAGAAAGCGTGTGAGAGTTTGGACAGGAAGTGGATGATGGAAAGTGGGAAGAAAGACTCAGAGCTGTTGTGGTTCTCTTAAATGCTATTACTTGTGGGCGGTGGATTATGGATGGTAGCTGGCCGGATCAGCGAAGAATTTCCTCCGGTGTCCTGTTACCTACATTGCATTTTCACTCTAAAACCGTCGAAATGTGGCTACCTGAAGGAGGCAAGGGTAGAGCCCGGGTTATGCAGGGATGGCAAGCCAGAAACTCCCTACATATCTTGTTGTGGAGGGGTGCCTTATGATTGGAAGAGTCGCTGCCGCTCGACAGTGGCGCACCTGCGTGGCTAGCTGAAAGTAAGAACAGATCCAATAAGTCTTCTTGGGGTTGCTTCGTTCAATTTAGCGTGGCGCTAGCAGCCTCATATAATTTCAAGGTGGTGATTATAGGAAAATCTAGACTAGCAGTTACAACATGCCGGAACAACTGTCCAGATCTGAAACCGCACGATCGATATGTAGTCAGATCATGTAGACACCGTGGCCAGAAACGTTAACGCCAAATTTGGCACCTTCTATACTGACCCAGCGCTCGTCTTGGTCAATAATCCGTCCTTTGTTCTACTAGAACAAACGGCCCCCTTGGTGGTGGGGGCCGCGGCAAGCGCACAAGCATCCTGATTAAGCATGGTACATACTGACCAAAACCCTGCCTCACTTGTCCACGCGCGCTAGGTCCGCGTTGATGTTGCCTTTCATTCCAGGCGGACATGTTGCGATGAATACATTGTGGCCGACCAGTGTACCGCAGTTGTGAATATTGTCATTGTAAGTAGTATCATATTCTGGCAAGTCATGCGCCTCATCGAGCATGAGGCGTAATAATAGCAGCTCGACATCGGATATTTGCTGTAGATATAAGGATGTGTGAAGCCTGGCCTTCTTGTTTGTAAGGCCTGTCACTCGAGTTAGATGACGATAGCTCAAAAGCTATTGTTCACCAAGACTTCAAGGCCGGAGAGTCTACACTAGATGGTGTAACGTTGAACATAGCGTCGGGTATATCAATATTTGACATCTAGGTGCAGATCTCCTAGGTACCGCTTTTGCTGTTATTTAAGGCATTTATGCGTTGCTAGTATGATTTCTATGGTCGGCAGTCGCAGGGGCACTACTTGAGGATATAGCTGATGCTAGTCTTAGAGGCTTATTATGGTTAAAGAATACCTCTTTGGTAGGGGCCTAGAGTGGGGGACTGGCCGTTGCGTACTTGAAGCAGGCTGAGCTCTTCTTGTGCTGTATTAGGTTTTGATTGGTGACATGAAGTTGAAAAAAGACCTCGCTTAGACTGAGCCGTTCGACACGTCACCTTACGTGCGGCCACCAATTATTGTGTTCCATATCACTGGTGGCCTGATTCATGCCAGGCGGGGTCATTTGTGTCAGCATTGTATATCCTTTCACTTCGTAACGGATATCCTTTGTGAATCTTGTTTCTCATGTTTATTAAAGTCTTTTTCATCAATATCAGATTATTAATCTTTGGTATCACTCCGCCACAAAAAAAGTACAATGGGTTCCTCTCAGCCGGAAGGCGGTGGTCAGCAAACTACCCACTGCCGACTCATCGAGGAAAGGTACCTTGCATTCCGAGATGTCGAACCTGGAGGATCCCCAGTCGAAGCGTTTCTCAACTTATGGCCTCGACTAGAACCTCATTATGGAACCATGGTGGAACAGTTGAAGAGCGCTTTGCAAGAGGCATTGAACGTGCGCTGCACTATCTCTGCGCGCGTGAAATCCTTGAGTTCGATCACAAAATCGATTGAACGCCGGCAAAGTCACAGGGGAGAGCGGTATAAGGAAGTTGACGAGATCTTTGATGACCTTCATGATCTCGCTGGCTTTCGCATTGTTGTTGATTACCCCTCGGGTATTCAAATTGTCAAGGCCTTCATCGCTCAAAACTTTCAACTGAAATCTACAAATGTCTTCAGAGTAGATCGAGAGATCAACGATTCTTGGAAACCCACTTTTGGCTCTTTCCAAAGCGAAAATCACCATGTGTTTTTGCACTCAGATGCCAAATATCCGCTGAGCCCGTTTTGTAATATCTTATTCGAGATACAGATCTTGAGTCTGGCTGGAAGCTTGTACAACAGGCTAGCACACCCTCTACTCTATAAGAAGTCTTCGGGCCAATTGCCCGTCAAAGACCAAAAAATGATCGATGTCACACATGGGCTTTCGTTATGTTACGGGATATGTCTGTCTTGTATGGAAGACCGCCTTGAAGGGAAGAGAACGGAAGAGATACCCAGTCCAGTCCAGGAAGTCGCCCAATTAGATGGGAACCAGAATGCGGACATGGAGTCGTTCGTGAAAGCTACGCCCTATTCAATGCCAGCATCTGACCAAAGAATTCCGAACGAGAAGTGCGTGGAGTTTGTGAAGGATCTGCCAATGCATTCGATGTCTTCGGGTCAACTTAATAGTCGACTTTCTCTACTGCTGAAGTATGTATTCGATTTCTAACTTATGCTTTCCAATACTAACAGAGGAGTTTCAGTGGTTCAACTCAGACATCTACAACCAATGTAAACTCTGGATCCGGCCATATAATGCAGAACTATGGCTCCGGTACCAACAACGCATATAGTGCAGGAGGGGATATAACAATTGGTAAGCCTTGAGTATATCAATGAATGAGTTATGAGGGAAAATATGATAGATAGGAAAAGATCAATCTATCATTTCTATTATCTCAACGCCTGCCGGATACACTCAATTCTCTGTCTTAGCTATTTTAACTCTATTGCTAACTCGTTGACGTATCTAGCTAAGGAGGACATCGAGGACGAGATTCGAAACGCTTTCTGGGTGACCGATCCCCAGTCCCACAAAGAAGATATCGAGGAACGTAAGGGTGGGCTGATTGAAGGCTCATGTAGTTGGATTCTACAAGTCGAACAATTCACAAAATGGTATGAGCAAGGCCACTAGATGCTCTGGTTAAACGGCGACCCGAGCAAAGGAAAGACAATGTCTGTTTGTGGCATCATCGACTACATCAGTCTCTTGTCAGTTCGAGAAAGCAAAGATGCTAACATTAATCTTTCATACTTCTTCTGCGACGCAAGCGATTCAAACCTCAATAACGCCACTTCCGTCTTGCGTGGAATCGTCTATTCCATCATCTTTCAAAACAGTATGGCCTTGTCCTATGTTCGAAAACATTTCAAGGAAATTAGCAAGCCACTCGCGGATCCAAGACTTGCATGGCCTGTATTGCAAAGAACCTTGATTGGTATTCTCAACGCAAACAAATATCAGAAGACATACTTGATTATTGATGGACTCGACGAATGCAGGGATGACCGAGACAAACTTCTAGAATTTATCGTCAAGCATTCATCATTGCTACAAGTCAAATGGCTTGTCTCAAGCCGCAAATGGCCAGTCATAAAAGAGGTCCTTGCGACTTGTCCTGCTTTGTTAGAGCTGTGCTTGGAGGACAACGAGACAAATGTCTCTGCGGCAGTCAGCTTCTACATAACGCAGCAAGTGGAAAGACTCTCTACCATCAAACGGTACGACATGAAAAAGAAAGAAGCCGTTGAACTTCACCTTCGTTCGAAAGCGAATAGTACTTTCCTCTGGGTTTCTCTCGTCTGCCGAATGCTCAAACAAATTCCCGCGTGGCAGACAATGAAGAGACTAGACACATTTCCGGCCGGGCTTGATGCACTATACGGAAGAATGTTGGAGCAGCTCCAGACTTCATCTGAAGAGGAAGGAGATCTGGGCTTTGATGAGCTATATGCGCAACTAATTTCCATTGCTTTGAGTGTCTTCAGACCCCTTTCTATAGATGAGCTTTATTCCCTTGTTGATGATGACGATATCACTGCCAATGAATTTGAGGATATCATTGCCCTTTGCGGATCGTTCTTGACAGTCCAACATCGAGTCGTTTACTTCATACATGATTCAGCGAAGGATTTCCTACTCAATGACGCAAGTGGTTTTGAATTTTGTCCACGACAACAGCATGCTATGTTATTTTCACAATCACTCAGCAATTTGACACGATCACTCCACCGCGATATGTTGCAACTTGAAACTAATCATCCACTACCGTTACAAAAAGCTCTTGGGTCATTTTCATACCAATGTATTTACTGGATTCATCACTTGACAGAGTGTGAAATTGCTACATTGAACAAACAGCTGGTGGACGGGAGTCAAGTTGACAATTTTCTACGCAATATGTTTCTTTTTTGGGTGGAAGGGCTCAGTCATTTAACTTCTATCGGGCTTGGAATAAGTTCGATCTTGAAACTGGAACAAATGCTGCATGTATGTGCCGTATATCAATCAAACTAAGTGTCGCTAATCATCAATAGGACAACTCTTCCAACTTTAAACGCCTTGTGCAAGATCAATCACGATATATTCGCTATATTAGTGTCTGGATTGAGCAACGCCCTCTTCAGGTCTATTCTTTGTTGAGATTCAGCCCAATCAACTGTATAACTAGAAAACTCTATGAGCCACAGGCGCCAGATTGGTTTAGCTTGAAACAAGGCGTAGACGAGGACTGGAGCCTGTGCATACTGACCATGGAGGGTCACAATGCACTAGTTCAGTCCATTGATTTTTCTGAAGATGGGTGTTTACTAGATTCAGGTGCCTTCGACAACAAGGTCAAGATCTGGGATGTGTTAACTGGCACGTGTTTACATACACTCCAGGGACATGATGATCGTGTCCTCAAAGTAGCTTTCTCTAGAAAGGACTACCAATTAGCTTCAGGATCTTCGGATGAGACAATCAAGATTTGGGATGCGAAAAATGGTGCTTTAATACGTACACTTGCCGACCATAACAGCCCAGTTGATGCTTTAGCCTACGGCAGGAAAGGCGGCGTCCTTGCTTCAGGGTCGTACGATGGCATTATCAAGTTGTTCGACACACTAAGTGGTGTGTGCACACGAACAATAGTCATCAATCACAATCCTAAGATCCTTTCGATTGATTTAACCCATGATGACCAGATACTGTCATGCCGAACTAGCTATTCCCTGCTAATATGGGATCTGAAGGCTCAGACTGATCCCTACCGAATTCAGTTGCAAGACTCCCATTACGGGAAGCTTGTCTCGTCACAGACGGGTGAGCTCTTTCTCATAGATGGCAATCAAATTGAGATCTTGAACCCAGCCACGAAAATGCGTATGCAGACAATCAAATATCCCGCGCCTGATACATTCGTTTATCCCTCGTATGCGAGATCAGCCATACTCTCCAAGCAGGGAACACTTCTTGGAGTGACTGGAGACTCCACGGTCAAATTCTTTGATCCTTCAACACAAGAGTGGACGAGGCAAATCGAAGAACAATCACAAGACTGTTCAGTCTCGCCAACAAGTGATATTTTGGCACTAGCATCTGATTCAACGATCAAACTCTGGGATTTATCATTACTATCTCTTTGGAAACATTCGTCCCAAGAATCCGATTGCCCGTCAGTATTCTCCAACGATGGCTCATTGATTGCCACGAGGTCGAGAACAGAAAATGGGCTGGTTATCTGGAGATCTTGTACTGGCGAATCCATTTTTACGTTCAGAGGTGACTGCATTCCGACCTTCTCACCAGATAGTCAAATGCTGTTATTGAGAGATAATGACCATAGAATCTACATCAAACATATGTCCCAGGAGTCTGTATATGAGTGTATTGACGCGGTTTCACGTCCTCATGGTGTCATTTTGGAAATATCAATTTCGTATGATAAACGTTGGCTTGCAGTGTCATTCCAAGACAGATTTGTCTGTATCTGGGACGTGGCTGCCAAGCAATTCGGCTCCACGGTTGCAAATTTAAAGATCAACTCAGAGGATGAAGACGCCAAAGAAACTGCGGACGATGGTACAGCATACGATCCAAATATTGCGCTTTCTTTCTCCCACGACAGTGCAAATCTCGCAGTATACGATGGGAAGTATATCATGTTGTATGAAAGCAGCACATGGCGGTGCAAGTCGACAATCTACAATTATGATAGAAACAGCAACCTCTGGGATCACTGCGTTGTATTTTCTTCTGACGACAAATTTCTTGCAACCACAGGGCTTGACTTTATCAGGACCGAGACTAAACTGAACATCTGGAATTTGGAAACAATGGTTTGCATGAGAATAACAGCCCCGGAGGAGGAATTTTCGACTTTCGGTCTAGACACATCAGCTGTTTGGCGATTGGAGACTAGTTCGGGTATCTACGAAATCATCGACCACGCCATCCACCCAGTCCGACCGAAGTATGAGATATCTGAAGACCTGCATTGGATATGCAAAGGCACTGAACGGTTATTATGGCTCCCACCGGAGTTTCGACCGGAAGCTAAATTCAATGTCGAAATCAAGTTCTGCAGGGATTGCTTAAAGTTCAAAGTCGCAATTGTAACTTCTGCTAAGCGCATAGTTTTTCTTACACTACCGTAGAAAATAGCAAACATACAAGATTTCAATTAACTTCAAAGAAGATTATTTACTTACTGCTACTTATAGTCCTTCTAAAACCAAGTTGGCAGGTCGAATCTCGGATCGCTTGCAAGTTCTCAGGTATAAAACTTCTCTCGGCTTACTTGAATCCTCATTTGTATGCTAAATACGGTGCTAACAGCTGGCCATTACAAGATCGGTTAATTTTCTATTACGGTGGACCGGACCAGATAGAATGGATGACATTATGGTATAGACATTTCTGAATGAGACATACCCTGTAGGAAATGATTTCTTGTATCTTGAAGTAATTGTTTCAGTTTGTCTCTATCCAGCACAAGTGATACGTACCGGAGAATGTATTTTTGTTAATCATGAGAACAGTAATTTGCTGCAGTTCCATTTATTGTTCTGCCACAATATCCAAGCCATAGGCCGATGTTGAAGATCGAGGATCACTAGTGACGCTGGATGGGCGAGTAAACAGTCACTAGGTAAATCCTTAAGTTCGAAAAACAGACTCGCAAATTACGTTTTGGTTTGGAGAGCCTGATTCAAGAGTCAGGCGCTCAGGTATCCATGTAGCTCGTCTGATATCTGTCTTTACTGAGACAATGCATTTTGTTCAAGTGACACGGAATATTGAGGGGCAAACATGTTGTATCAGTAAAGAGTACGACGGCATTTAGCGGGGTTTGCATTTTTGTTGACTAGGACTTCAAGCCACTTCTTGGTTGCGCAAATCTAGATTAATAGATTAGCGAAAATTGCAGCATTTGTATAATAATGACGCCATCCGCATAGGGGGCTTGAAATGCGAATTGGAGTCGTGATACACAGAGACCAGATGTGATTGTGATAGTGCTGCATATCACACTGACCTTGCAAGGCACCAATGGTCGCAAAAATGTTACGTATCATTCGACCCAATTAGTGTCTAACTCCCAGTTAACGCCACCCAATTGTGGATTAATATCGTAAAGGACTCTGATATTCCATTCTTATGGCCTTAAACAAAACCATTTTTTACCTGCCACCTTGTAACATTCTCAGACATAGCCATCGCTCACCAGACTATTGACCCTGACGGAGACACTTGAATTACTATAGTTTGCTCCTGGAACTTTCTAGATTGTGGATAAATCACACCACTTTCGAAACGTTGCTCTGAAGTTAATACGTTTTCTTTTCCTATCTAGATTTGAAGATACAAAGACCTTGCAGGATAAAACAAAGGATCTCAAGGCGGCGTTGGATGAATTCCAGAAAATCGTCCCTGAAGCAAAAAGAAGCGCATTAACAACACGCCATCTCCCAACAATTTTTACGGCAAGGTCGACTGCTCAGGCAGTAGTTAAGGAGTGGGAGGACAAGAAGGAAACCAAATTTGGAAAGGCAAAGGAAAATCTATCCAAGTTCTGCCAGACGCTTGATGCTTATAAAGCAATATTTTCAGTTATTCCAGACGGCGACATGTACACAGGTCTGCTTACTGGTGCAGTCAGCTGCATTGTTCAGGTATGCAAAGCCGAATACTCGATGGGCTTCGACTAACATCACCAACAAGGCCTTTGCACGTAATAATCAACTTGCCGAAGGGTTCTCCCAAGCTTTAGTTGATATTGGAACCGATATGCAATTCATCATCAAACAATGTACCATTCAGAATAAGGAAGAAATCAGGCCTCATAGCCTCGACTTTGCCACCGAGTACTTTAAGTTCTTTACTTACAGTATGACCTGGTTTCAGAGTAAATGGCTCAAAACGAAAGCTCACTAGCCCCAGCATTCTATAACGACGAAGTTCAAACCAGAGTTGGTAATATGAAACGAATAGTTAAAACTATCTCACGCGAGGCTAGGCTACAAACTCAGATGGACATCCAGGACATAATGTCACAGGTTTCACGAACTATGAGCGCCGACGGCATTCAATCTTGCTTTGACCATCAAAACGATTACATAGCGCATGAATTCCAAATCAGAGATGAAGCATCTCGAGCGTCGCACGAAGAGACGCAGTCGAAGTTGCATATTCTCGGTTCATATATGGAATACATGTTCCTTCAAATGCAAGTAGTTAACAACCAAGCTTCAGGAAGAATCATGAATAGGGACATCAGACATATGAGTATATCTATCACCTTGACAGCGACTATGCTAACCGAAATTCTGCGCCAGACATTCAAGAGCGTCAATCGAATAATGAATTGGATGTTTTCTCAGAAGGACTTGACAGTACATATGCCTGAAACTATCGAAAAGAAATTCCTAACAACTGCAAAAGCAATAACGCCGCCTTCGAGAACTGTCGGCCCAGAAGAACTTCAGGTCGAGTCCCGGCAGGTCGAAAAATACATAAGCTACAAGAAGAACATATCTTTAGACAGAAACATACCCAATGTGCAAGTTCCCGCTGAAACCGCACTAAGAATCCAAACCTGGATCACAGCGGCTGATTCGCAGGCCCTATGGATCAACGGCCTCACTCATCCAACACACGGCCAAGTAGTGTCCACCACGGCTGCATACGTTATAGCTCTAGCACATTCAACTAAAGTTCTCTATATCTCATGTTTCTGCCAGGTCCAAGGGTTCTCGAGCCAGAGAAAGGATGAACAACTAATATCTCTTCTCTATTCACCCATCCGACATTTTTCTTTGCTGGTCCCGGAAACAATAGGTCCCTCATCGGATCTCCTTTACGATCTCAGAAGCCTGGATGGCAACCGCGAAAGCATACCACTGGCGATGAAGCTCATCGAAGGTCTTTATGACTTTGCGCCACCTCTGCTATTCTGTGTTCTTGATGGACTGCAGTTTCTCGGAAAAGGGGCGGACACATCGATTGGTCAAATTATTGATATTCTGTGAAATACACACGAAAGAAGGGTGACAAAGCTGCTTGTTACAACCAGGGGATTTGTTCCGCCTTGTTCTAAATTTGGGCTAGGAGAACGGTTGGATTGTGACCGGTTGCCGACGAAGGGACGTGGACGATCTCTGTTTACCAATCGATGTCTGTCCAGTATTTCCTTTTCCTGGAAACGGGATAAGTAAGCCTTTATATATTCTACAGATATGGCGCTTCAGAAGTTTGGACGGAATTGAAAATTATAAGAATATCTTCTGTTCACTGTGGCTGTGGTTGGGATCCGTGTGCTATGAGCCGGGCTTTTGGACACGGCTGGCTGAAGAACCCTCTTAAAGCTAGAACAGACATCACGGCTAGAAACCATGACCTAAAGACATCATGCAGGTGTTCCCAGTCTGACTTTAGTTGACAGACGCCGGTAGCTGGTATTTGGCAATGATTCGAACCTATGGTGTGGCGTAGGACGTGATGACCAAAGTCATACGATTCTGGAAAAGATTTAGTAGGAGGTTAATTAATTATAGAGCTATGGAATACGTACCTGAGGGTTCTTGGGGTCGACTTTGCTCAAATGCTGGATAAGCTCACTCGCGCTGGGGGGTTTTGCGCCTTTGTCAACGAAAGTTGACCGTGTACCGTAATGCACGATAAGTTTGAAGTCGGGAAAGATCCGCTTTGCTTCCAGGTGTCTGAGGAAGGGAATCCACAGGTGTAGGAATAATGGATGGGTTGAAAACAGTCTGACTGCGAGGGTGCGTAAAGGTGGTTGATTGAACTGAGTTGAGTTCGGTGGGGCACAGAGCCCATGGCGCTGTAACAAGCCCTCTGTAGTTATGACTAAGCTAGGGGGGATTGCCCTCGACGATAGCGTATGGAGTGATGTGCGAGCCGCTCTTCCACAAGCGGTTTCAGGTACTGTGGTCTAGTTGGTTATGACATCTCGTTAACACCGAGAAGGTCCCCGGTTCGAGCCCGGGCAGAACCTCATCTTTTGCGTATTGCGCAAAATTGTCTTTTTTGGTCCATGCGTCGAACATGTAATTATGACAGACACGCTGCGGACTCATCGCATTGTTGTAAGGTTGAAGGCACTGGGCCATCAAGATCGACAAAGACGGGGAAAATACTGACACTGACTGGATAACTAAGGAATAAGAAAAAGGTTTCCGGAGGGATTTTGATCGATTTATATACATCATATCCCTCAATTCAACTAAGTCTGCCTGTCGAGGCACCTTCTACTTGTTTGGAACTTTGCCCCGTGTTTGGTCAGTCTGACTGTGGTTTGTCGGCAGTTTTCAACAATTGGTACTTGTCTAAGTTACTTGGGGAAAATTGACGAAATTTAGGCTGCCAAGCGAAGTAAAAAAGTCATCCACTTTTATGCGACTCTGGTTAACAATTGCCAATTTTCTCTACAATTGGTGGAAGCAAAGAAACCACTGTCGCAGGCACTAGTGAATGGATAAGAGACTACGACTTTTACCGCGTGATTGTTGGTTGTTCATTCATGAGTGACAGTAATAATAGTTACAGCTAAGACAACACGTAAATCATCCCACACAAGCAAACGACACACCAGCCTGACGATTTAACAGTTTGCAATTCTGGGCTAATTGCCACGAGATGTTTGATTATTCTAATTTTTAATATTTCTTCGTTACAAAATCCTGAGCGTTTCCTTTTTCCTGGTCAGAGGATACTTCAGACGAGTTAACAACAACGTCGACAAAAGTATTATCGTGGTCTTCAACAAAATCCTTAGGCTCCTGCCATCCCGAGACCTTTGAAGTACTTTCATGGGGGAATATCACATTCACCAGCCAATAGCCACCAAACGCTATGAAGAGTCCGACAGGATATGCAACATAGTAAAATCTTTGAATTCCCAGCGGTGCCTGAACACCCATCTGGGAAAGGAAGCCGTAGAAGTTGGGTGCAATGGCGATCAAATAAACCGCAAAAGCCCTAAGATTGAAGCCGTGGAAGAAGTGGTAAGTAGAATACTTATGCCCTGAGTAAAGCATGGGGATATCGAAAAGGCCACGTCTCAGGAGGTAGTAGTCGCAGATGAGGATACCAGTGATGGCGCTCAGGAAGATTTGGTATGAGCTCAGGAAGTTGATAAAGACAGATGCAGATGAGAGCAAGTACCACGGGCAGATTGCGTATGACACAGCTAGAGAGAGATTCTGTCAGCGACGAGTTCCTTGCTATTACTTCTCTAGCCTAGAGAGGAGATGGTTTCATACCTGCGCAGATGAAGAAACCACGCTTCACTGTGATGTACTTGGGCATAAGAGCTGCGATATCGTTTCCAGCACTATGAGAGCAATAGGGTCAGCAACAATTGCCAGAGACTATCGAGGAAAGGAGATAGGCTGAACTCACGGGATAGAATTCTCGAAGATAGCCGAGAACACAGTAGAGTAGACATAGGCGAATGCGATCAAGGCACATCCCGCACGGTTGGCAGATGTATAACGATCACCCTCCATAAGCATGTCAAGGGTTGTAAGAGGGTTCCAGATGACCTGAGAAAACACAAGAGTCAGCAACGAGAGTTAATTCTCAGCAGAGTTCATACTAACTTCTCCAAAGATACTTTTACTTGCAGCCGCGATCAAATTACCAAAAACTCCGACCAAGAAGTTAGACATTGGGAAGCTGAATACCTGACCGGCAATGACATCGTTGGGCTTAGTTGCGTAGCGTTGCAGGTCAGCTGCATTTGTGATAAAGGTGCCACAACTAGCAAGTCCCAAGAAGAAGAACTTGAGAATCATCCAGGACTTTTCCGAACCACTGACGGTGGAGGGCTCGGAAAGCGTTTTGTGAACACTACCAGATAAGGACAATGTCCAAGCCACAAAGGCGATGGTGGCGGAGAAGAAGACACCGACCTTGATGTGAACCAGCTTCTTCATACGTGGCACAGGGACGAACAGAAAGGCGCAATTGATAAGCCAGTAGAGAAAGAAGCAAAGCATTTGTGCCGAGTTGAGGGCAGATTTTGTGCCCATGATGTCGGGAATGTTGGCAATGGAAGGAAAGATGGCGTGAAGGAATACACTATAGTAGAGGCGGTTGTTAGCATAATGCCAATGATACGGGTTGAGTAGATTTCAGCTTACTATAAACACTGGGCTCCCTGCACGGATGTTACTCCATTCCAGACAATGGACATGATGGCACGGTTAAAGGTCGGCCACAATGCACCCCATGTTCCGAAACTGGCTCTACAGGCGACGGGAAACGGGATTCGGTACAATGCACCAGCTCGACCATTGAGGGCCATGAGAAAACCGGCTAGCAACTGGCCACCGAGTGAACAACCCAGAGCCTCCCACATACTGAGGCCAGCGGACTGGCCGGTGGAGGCTGCGTATAGATTGCTCACATTTGCCGTGGCAGCGAACCAGAAGGCCGAGTATGTGATAGAAGTCCAGGTGCGGTCCTTGACCGGGGTGGGACGGATAGAGTCATTGTCGAGGAAGTCGGCTGGTTGAGTGGTCCCGTCTGCTAAATGCTTCTTGACAAGCAGACGGTTGTGGGCCTTGTGGACGAGAGAGGCCATCGTTCTTCCTATGTTATATTGTGTTATAAGAGGAATCTCATGTGCTGAGCTCAGCTTCGTAAAGAATGCGGGCCATGATTGGTGTTTATAGGATACAGGAAGTTAAGCTCGAACCGACTAGAGAATGAACTCCTTGATTCCCCGGACTCCAGAATTGATATGATCGGATCCATTAGACTCCATATTCTAGCATTCATTGCCATATCCGACGGCCATGGCCAGGGTTGATTCAGTGGAAGGAGTAGACTTGTGGGTCGTTGATAGTCAATACGCGCAGAGTTATTAGTGGTAGTAACTCTGTTATCTACTCTAGTCTGGTTATGAGTAGAGATTGTAGATTGCGCTAGATGGGTTCAGGGAGTATCCCCGCGTAGCCCAACGATAGGTGAACTTGCGCTGATAAGAGACAGTAATCGGCAATCGTGGGTCTCAACACCGGCGATCTCCGCCTTGCGTCTGTTTGAGATACTACTCGGTTCGAACGGCTCCAAAGTGCCAGAGCCCCTGCCTATCATTCTATATTAGGCGGTTACTTCCGCTGTAGATGTTCGTGACATCTTTCCAGCCATCAAACAAGCAGAACGGCTATTGTGGCAACTCTCCACTATTTGCTATCAGCCTTTCCCCACTCTGGACCATTATCTGTAGTAGCCACAGCATCAACAATATCGTCTTCACCATTGCACCTGGATGTTATAACATTGGCAATTGGAATTAATCACCATGGCTACTTCGATAGTTGAGACCACAACTCCAACCACCGAGTTTACAACGGTGCAGCTGTTGACACCAAATGGACCTGTCTCCCGTCGAGTGCGCTGCGGCAAGCCACGCGCCCCAACTCTGGATGAAATGCCCATCATTGATCTCAGTTCCATAGATGGAGATGAACCAGCGCGCAAAGGCCTTGCCACTCAGATTAAAGCGGCGGCTGAAAACACGGGATTTTTCTACGTTTCCAATCACGGCATTTCACAGGACTTGATCGAGGAAGCTCTCCAACAGGTCAAGAATTTCTTCCATCAGTCACAAGAAGACAAGGATCGGGTCGCTTTTACCAAGGCGGGGAAGTTTTGCGGTTACCACGGCGTTGGAAGCACACAAATCAACAACAAAGAAACCAAAGGTAAACGAAACTCAATTCATGTGTCCAACTAGGTTACTCACTAAATATCATAGATAACAAAGAAACTTTCTCTATGCGATATGACACTCGCATTGACCCGAGCCATGACTGTGTTGATGACATTAACTCCAACTTTGATTCCATAGATTATGTTTGGAACGGAACAAGTCATCTCACAAAATTCCGCCCTACTCTTACCGAGTTCTATCAAAGGCGGCTAACGTTGGCACGCAAACTGATTCGGTTGTTCGCCCTAGCTCTTGAACTACCCGAGGACTACTTTGACAGCATCATTACTACTCCTGGTGCTGATGCAGTGCACCTTCACTACCCAGGCACTGACGAGAGTGAGGATATAGACGTTGGAATTGGCTCACACACTGACATCCAATGCGTGACTCTGCTATGGCAGGATATGTCGGGTGGACTGCAAGTTCTCTCGGCCGATGACGAGTGGCTGGACGCTCGGCCCATCGAGGGAACTCTGGTCATCAACATTGGTGACTTCTTACAGAGGTTATCTAACAACCGTTTCAAGTCGACTGTTCATCGTGTTTACAACCGTCAAAAAGCATCCCGTTACGCCATGCCATTCTTCTTGGGCTTTAATCCGGATGCCGTCTGCGAGGTTGTGCCAACATGTACTGATGCAGAACACCCTCCTCTCTATGAGCCGATTTCATGTGGCCAGGTAAATCCCAACTACTACATGTACCCGACAAGACTACAACTGATTACCTTGACAGTGGCGTAGCTCTCGTCTAAGATTAGCAGAAACTGGGAAGCTGAATTGAGAAATAGATTGCAGAGGGGAAACATTGCTGCAGGTATTCGGAGTGGGGGTACGTTAGTCTAAAAACATTAACAAGGTAGGGTCAGCCGCACGAGGCTAGAGCTTACAGCTCTCCCTTGTTTCAATTCTGCTGGGGGCCTAAACTAGATAAAGCTTCCCACTAAATACAGTTGTTCTGGTTGGATACTTCAGTAAAATCCGTCCTCTTAACAATTTTCATTCTGCTAAAAGCCATGACAGGACTTACAATGATGTTATAAAGGAGGGAGAACGATGCACTCGCTACGAATGTTTTGGATCATGTGGGGGATCGGGGGCAAATATGAGTACTTATCAGTTTCAGACAGAGTATAGAATATGATAGTATCTTAGAACGGGACACAAACTACATAGGTATGAGATATTGAGATCCAACCATTTAGCAAGACGAAACACAGGGAAGATAGAAAGTCCCATCCACTTTGAAGTTTCTCATGCTATAACGGAGATTTGAGCCGAACACACATAATACACTTCTGATGGAGTATATTCTCAGTCGTCTATAGTCGGAGGAGTTGGGTATGTATATTTGAAAAGAACGGTCCTCAACGCCTCAGCCAGACCCTCATCCAGTCGAGCGGACATTGCTTTCTTGAATTTCCGCTTCAACATGACCCTCGTTAACAACTCGACTTTTTCGTCTTCGGTGAATCGTGGATCGTCAAATTCCGGCCGCTTATGGGTATTGGCACTGAGAATCGACGATTCTATGGATGCAGCGAGTTTCTCAATCTCATGTATTCCTAATTCTTGGTCAGCGTAACAACCTCTTAGTGGTATACTATAACTAGGTATTTCTTTTACCGCAGTCTTTTATAGAACCTTGAATATCGTTACTTTGCATATCCTTGGGGTCAACAAGAGGTATCAGGTCTCACGTACCAGGCAGCTTGAGGGCAAAATTCCATGTAATGAAATGACGTTTAAGTTCTTCCATCCAGGATGTTGTATAACACCATCTATCGAGCTCGGGGTTCTGCTTCATGTTGATATCATTCTCGACGGTGGAGTATATGAGATGATTAAGTTTATCTCTTCGGACAACAGTTTGAACTGTAAACTCACGATGCAATTCGTTAGCCACTTGCTGTAACTATACTGATTGCTAAATACCTTTGCTGAAAATGTCCTCTGGGCCTTCTCGGAAATTTGCGTTGGAGAAGAGTTCCACTATCGGCTGAATAGTGATAAAAATATTTTCTGGTTTCAGTAGCATAATTCGTACCCGTTTCATGTAGAGCCAAAACCTCGCAGGTGGCAAGAGCATGTACATCTGAAGTAGCAAATTGCGATTCCTGTTTCGGATGACTTTATCCACACCGTACTTATAGGTCCAAGAATCAATTTTGATTTGTAGCTGTTGCATACGACTAGCCTGTTCCCAGTCTTTCAACCAAGTTCCAGCACCACGAGCTACGTATATCAGCAATTGCAACTGAGGAGAGCATTTTTGGTAACTTACTGAAGGCTTGATATATGGCCAGAAAGCTACTGTCATGTTCGGGACTGCTCTCCATGTACTGGTGATATGCAGTGAATTTTGCCTCGTGCTTCTCGCCACTGAGCATGGGCGGACTGGGAAATTGAAACCATTGAGATTGTCGCTTTGAGCCCATTTCCTTCATCAGCTGATCCAGCTTCCGTAGCTGTACAACTATGGCGTCAGCATCGCAACCTGTGATACCCTTTGGCGAGGTCATGTAGTATTCAAGAGTGCGCAGGAAAGAAGCCTGGCTCCCGAACACGATGCGAGAGCAATGTGATGAGTTTTCGAGGAGAATTTTATTGAGTTTGTTGACATGATCTCGCCCCACTGGAAATAGGCTGAAATAAAATTTGTCATCTTTGGTGAAAGAATCACGCTCCCTTTCAACACGTATTGCCTGCCCGTTGACGACCTTTGAATAGCTATTTCTCGCCTTTCTTATGGGAAGATCTTCCAGTGAAGACTTTTGGCCGACGCCAAAAGTATCTTCAACGGAGGTATAGCGCATAGTCTCTCTCCATTCCCGAATTTCCGGGTCACGGTCTTCCTCTGGAACTGGCAAGAGGAAGTGACGCAAGACGATCATCAATCTTGGCGAGACCGGAGCAAATTCGTGAAAGTTGACATCGGCTACCCCATGGACCTCCCCAGTGTGTATATCCTGTGCAAAGTGGTTGGGCCCTTCGAAAACATTATAGCTGTTATCGGTAAGCACAAACTCGTCATCAGGATTTGACGGTGTGCAAATAGCCATGTACATCCCTTGAACATGCATGATAAGCCAATTAGCATCATGTGAGTACATCTGTTTTTTGATCTTGTCCATCCACTCTTTTTCCGGATCCATCTCTAGCGTCATGATTGTTTTGAGACTCTCAAGCCACACCTGAATAGGGCGTGTAAAGCCATGATCTCGCATGTACTGTCTGAACATGACTTTATCGTTGGCCCAGTAGCTCTCAACTGCTTCGTGGTAGAATCTTTTATGGAATGTGGACCCACGAAATTTCAGAAGAAAGAGAAATTTGCGAATGAGATCTCTTTCTGATCTTGGGAGACATACGACTTTATCGCCGTCTTCCAAGGCCTTAGTGATTTTTCGAAAGACTCTCTGGGCTTGGTTTTCCATCTTGCTGAATAATTCTTCTACCTCATGCTGCTCCTTTTTAGTGGCGCCATTCTTGTCCCTGTACATGTCTGTCAGTCCGAGAATTCGCTTGACCGGACTCTCGTCAATGACATAAGGTGTTTGAAGAAGGTTAACGTTATTGACAACCTTGTCGCCTGGGTATCTTTTCAATTTTCCACTGTCGAGACTAGGGCGATTCTTCTGTTTCTTCTTCTTCTTTCTAGTTTCTCCTGATGCTTCAAACTCGGTACAGTCCTTGGGCTCGAAGTCGTGGGCAAAATTCCTCAGTAGAAATTGAGGAACGAAATGATGATACTGAGACGTATTGTCTCCAGCTAGGTCGATGGTCGCCATCTAAAGGGCTCGACAGGATAACCATAGATAAACTGGAGGGCTCTCAAATACGATATCCTCTGTCCGAAACTAATGGATCAAGATGGTCAAAGCTAAGATGTTGACAACGATCAAAACCTACGTATCTTATAATCAGGCTGTGGAATGAGGCCTCCTCTGCATTGGTGCCTGGCAGCCTGAAAGGGGCCTACAGTCGTATGTGTAGGCTTCCCCTTTCCGCCAATGAGGGGTGCATACCAGGGTACGTCACTTTGGCAGAAGGTATTTGCTTGAAACACCGTACAGGAAGCTTGACTGATAAAACCCCGCAGAACCGCCTTCTTTTCGTCCCTGCACTCCTTTTCTATCATCTTCTTTATTCATCCCTCTTCTTCAGCATGCTTGAATTGGAGGCTGTCTCTGTGCAGCTTTAACCTTTGTGCCTGGAAGCATAGTCAACTGTCAATCATTGTAGCACTGCTTCCAGGCACAACCAATATTCCATGCCTTTAAGATTGGAAACATATCATGTTATTTATACACAAGCCTTGTCTCACCAAAACATCGGTAAGGTTTTGTTTGCCGTTCCTACCCACGAAGTAATCACTAATGTGGCCGTGCTATGTAGAACCCCATACAAAGGACTACTAGACTGTGAGCATCGCGGATATCTCAAGTTTTCAATTTTTGATTACAAAGAGGCGGTTCTTGTACCATGTCATCGACAGTCCAAGAGGGTAGCACTTTGCTACGGAACCTCACTGGCTCTTCCGATGCCTTTATACACTTTCTGTTTGGGATCCGAAATTGAATTCGACAGATGTTTAGTAATACGTCGCGTCGGTCTTTGCGGGAGAGTGAAGAAAGAGAATTCTATTGCAATGCAATGAGTGTCTACTCAGCAGGTACGTGTCATGACTCAGGGAGAGCGCGGCTTGATGTAGAACTTCCTCACTGACTCAAGCTTAGGATTCAATAGACTGAGGACCCGGATTATGTCATTAAAAGGTGTCCAATCACTCGTCCAGTTACCAATACGACTGTCGAGGATTACTTGAAATTATTTTGCAGCCCCAACAGCTTCCACATTTCTACGCAACGCGACCAAGCAACTTACCTACAACCTCTGCCTCAACCGCACAAGGCGGTCTACCATAAGTACGAATTTCAATAGGCCCTCGAATTAAGGATTAGCAAGTCTATACTCACAATGGACGCTGAGTGGCAGTATAACCTGCTCGACGAGGATATGCCGTTATCTACGGACCTGGATGATCCTTTTGGGTCTATACCTCCCGAGATGGACCTCTCCCTCTTTGACTCATACCAATCAGCAAACGACACGGCATTGGCCATGGGAGATCCATCATTAGGTCTCGCTATAGCATGCGACGAGTACCTACCTGATGGAGAATACACTGACTTTCTAGCCGACGTGCCGAGCCGAACAGATAACAGTTCTTTCCCAAACACAGACTGTCTGACTACGTTTGATGAGCTTATTGTGTCTGATGTGCTTGGTTTGTCACAAAATAGCATGGATCATGTAACATTTGCAAGTGGTTCATCACTATCACCTGACTTCGAGAGCACTATCATTTCCCCTTGCATCACACGATTCCCCCCCCTATGGCACTCGCCAGAGCTGAATTACATGCGGAACAATATATCTTCTTCCAGTTCTGCCCATCAAGATTCACCTTTATCTTCTGGAACAATTTCAACATCTTCTCCATCAAAATCTATAAACGAATTCTCACTAGTGCAAAATGGAAAAGCTACTAGGGGGAAGAAGTCACCGCTTCGAGCTCTGAGGTATATTTTAGAAGCCATCCTAGGAACATTTGCTAACCTGATTTTACTTCAGTCGCGATCTTCGTCACCTTTTGAGGCCCGAAGTGTGCTATTTGTGTCTCAAGGGACATCCATACAAACGAGAGTTGAGAGAGCATATAAAGGTTCACCATCCGGTAGCAGCTTCCAGTTTGGGAATCGATATGGCTCGTCCAGTATGCAACGCCTGTGGAAAGACGTTTTCTCGCCCCTGCAACTTGAAAAGGCATATGGATACTAGTTGCAAGGGCTTGGCGGGTAAAAGAGTAAACACAAGAGTAAATTACAAAAAGAAGCCAAGCTAAGATTTCTATTTTCACTATTTCTGTATTCTCTCTGCAGTCTACCAAACCGATGTTTTTAGAGGTTATTGCTTGCAAGGGTCACTTTTTCTTCAAATCAAAAATTATAAAATTGATACAGTGAGATAGAGACAAAGTATAAGAACGAGAACTATGGGTAAAGTCTACTAAATTAGTTACTGTACCGTGTTACATATAGGATACAAAACTCTAGATTGTATGACATACCCGCGTCGCGTGGTGTTGCGCTAACCCTCACGTTTTCACGCGTACCCAATACCTTCTGCCAATTGAACGTAGGCTCACCCACACCTGACTAGGCTTCCTAGGCTCACTCGAGACATCGTGAGCCTTTCACCAAGGCTTATTCCTGTACCATTGAACCTGTTAAATCGAAGCTACCCTATACAAGTCAGTTAGCGGTTCATTTCAGCCAAAGGAACCTCAAAAAGGGTTAAAGGCAGATTCATCTGACTAAGAGAAGCTAGAAAAGGGATAGCATAAGGCATATACCTAAGAGAGGGGAAATTATCAGGCCATATAGCGAATACAGACAACACAATCAGAATACAGATAAGTTTCCACATACGGGTTTAACAGGCCCCATAAATCTCCACGTCGTCATTTGCCACATCTCATACAGCGGGGTAAGCTACGAAATTTCCCTCAAACCCACTCACTCCATTCAGTTTTATCAAAGCTAATTGTCATATCAACACCAAGATACCGCAAAATGTCAGCCCCAACGCATTCAAATATGCAAACACCACCGAAAGATGAGAGCGACTCTTGCAGTCGGCCAACGCATCATTTACAAGAGATCAAAGTCGGAGATAACAGCGTTCAGCTCTTGTTGTCGACAAAAGATCACCTCTATGACGCCAAAGACGTCGGAGCTGGAGTCAACTGTTATCAAGTTATCGGTTCTTGGGAAGAAGGCTCAGTTCAGGAACTTGCCAAGGTTTTAAGCCAACGCCAAGTCATCGAAAATCGGCAGTCATCTACGTACGCTGAGGCATCTCGCTTTGAGAGACATGGGGCAGGAAAGTCTCTAGCAGAGGCCAAGCGAACAACATAATAGGGCTGTGAACGGGCCGCAAAGGAGAGAATGAAACTATCTTGTTGATCGCATATACCCTCCACTCACGCAAACCTCGTCTACCGTACTTTCATTGCGCACATACTGCCGCCGGTTCTGGGATCTCAGCACCTCGTTGAGACTAGCCTCTGAAACAGACCCAAAGAATTGAAGCGATCCGTCACCAGCCTTAGCTCCCTTTATGTTGAATAGATCCCCTAGTGTAGACACGCATATTTGTTTTCCATCGTCCCCGATGCTGATATCTTCAACCACGTGCACCCTTCCTGACGAAGCCCATTCCGATGCCCGATCACAGACACTTAAACACTGTTTCGTGCTTTCCAACTCATTTTGAAGTGTCTGCAAATTCGCACTAGGGTCGATTTCCCGATTCAAACCTTGAGCCAAAGACCTAAGCTGAAGATTCTCTTCGGTACTATCGTGGTGCGATTCAAGGCGGTCGATGGCGTCTAAGAGATTATAGCTGCATGTTTTGAGGGTGGAAATAGTGAGAGAATCAGCCAGTGTCATGTTATTGGCTGAGATAGACATTGAAGCAGCATTCGAGACTGGTTCAGTAAGAATGGGTTGAAAACTCATCCCATTGATTTCTTCAAGGAGATGTTTCAAATAGTCGAGGCATCGTTCTGTACTTTCTTTTTCCTTTTCAAATTTCTGGAGATTGGTCTGGCCTTCGGTAGCTTCGGTGGTTGCGCCCTGAGATACTATGTCTTGCAATTTGGAGTCGATGTCTTTCAAATGCTTCTCCAGATCAAGTTTCGTGTCGCAAATCAAGTTCTTGTAATCATTCAGAACCTCAAGAGTAACCTTGGAAGAGCGTCTGCGAGCAAGTTAGCGAAACCTTTTCCTTAAGGGCGAGAAACTAACAGGTTGGCGTCAGCTAGTGCTATGGATATAGTCCCTTTGTAACCGGCTAAAAGTTCTTTGAACGAAACAATATCGCCATTCATGTACATCAACTTGGCCCAATCTCTCAAGCTTGTCCTTCCCTCTCCCCGAGTGCGCCTGCTGTTCTTCTCGATCAGGATTTGAAAATCTGCGCACGCCTGTCGGCATTGAATGAGGGGAACTTTGAGCGGCAAGAACGCGGTCTCATCGGTGCGCACATGATCTTGCAACGGCCTAAGAACCGATTCAAGGTCTTTCAGTTCTCGAACAAGATCCAAAACTGCAGTGCGGTGGTTTCGGAAGCTCTGAATAGTCTCATAGAGTATTTTGCTTGATTGCAGTGTTGCAGTGACGACGGCAATGAGTCCTGACGCCACACTTAGCGGATCGCCCATGATGGGTCACCGCTTCGCGTACTAACTCTAAATTATTAGGACGTTAGATATAAACGCTAAACAAAAGTATATTTATCTTTAGTCTTTTGATTTCGATCTTGAAACGAACCGGGCTCGGGTGAGGCATAAACAGCCATCAGGCTATCCGATGTGGGGTAAACACAAGGCGCCAATTCTGCAAGCCCCACACTGCCTGGCAAGTATTAGAGCGGGTATAGATAGTAAGACCTTAATAAGGAGCAATATCTCGGAGAGTGGCCTATAGTAGACATAGGAATAAAAGTAACTTAAATTAAACGAGCCAAAGGAAAAAGGGTAAATCCTTCGTGTTGATAATATATAACTGCTTAGAACAGTAATAATAGATCATATCTTTCTATATTTTACTCAGCATATATATACTATATTATATACATTATATCCAACATTGCTTACACTTCTTCCTCCAAATTGTAAATTCGCGTATTGAGGTCACTTGAACTATAATAAAAAGAATATTTATGATATATATTACCGACCCTCCTGTCACTTTGGAATGTTAATCAGCCAGTCTTGAGCATCTTAAAATGAAAGAGCTCAGATCAGAGAGCTCAGTGCGATGCAAGGCAGAGCCGCAATGATAAGATCGCCGCTTACCTGCAAGGTGTTAGCTTCTTGGTAGAATCTAACTTTCTCCACGTTCCATCTATTACGACATTGAATCTTGCCAGTCAGATTTATGCAAAGGCGTTACGCTGGAGTTAACGAATTATTTGTGGGGATAGTAAAGTTCTCGTATTGAGCATCTACTGATTGAGTAGTAATCAATTGTTAGATGTATAGCTAGAGTTGAGCTTAGGGGCTGCCGTAGTGCTATTCTGGCTTGCGGCCGTATACATAGCGCACCACGAAATAACCATGAATCCTGCGGTTACGGAGAGCCTTTCGTGCCCTCATCAGGAACACCTGGTACTCATCCTTTGGCCACTGCAGCACATCATTCCACAACAGCAGAGTGTATCCTTCACCAATCAGCAGGTACAAGAGAAAGAGGATAGACACGACTTACCTTCCATGTCATTCTCCAACGTCAGCTTGACATATTGGCCAACTTCAGCCAACTTTGGGTCCTTGGCCCAACCCCCTATTGGAATCTGCACATAGCGCGCGGAATCAGCTTTGAACGCGAACTCTAAGCGGATGAATACTCACCTTATAGTCCACCGTTTTGATGTCTATAAATCCTGCCTCTTCCATCCCCTTTGGCTGCAACTCATGCACAAAAAAGGTTCTACCAATCGCTTTACCACCCTCTTCATACAGCTTGTTGCATAACTTGTAGACCTCTTCCTCTTCAGCAGTGCCATCGTCGCTGCGAAAATGAATGTCGGCTTCGACAGACTCAACCCAGCCGCCAGGCTTACAGACACGGTAGGCTTGCTGGTATAAAGCAGTCCAATCTTGGATAGCTCCAAAGAGATATCGCATGTGGACGAAATCAAATGTATTATCTTTCCAGGTCCACGTTTCGGTGGCATCGTCAATCTCGAATCGCACGTTTGGGGGAATCCATTTGGGCTGTGTGGGTGAGAGATCAGTTGCTGTCACTTCTGCTTGCGGGAACTGATCGGCAAAGTCTCTGCAAGTTTGTTAACATCATTTGTCTTGCCAAATTTTGCAATCATCGTACATCGCCCAAATTCCTAGTAGTCTGTTAGCTTTGAGAGTTATTCGGTCAAATCTTATGGAGACGTTTACCACTTCCTGTCCCAATGTCTAGCGCTTTCTAATCACATGTTACCACCTAGAATCTTCAATACTTGTAGTGTCACCCCACGCACCTGGACGTTATGTCCGATCGGAGCAAGATATAGCTGACCGTCGAGTAGAACCGTTAAATAGTGATGGCTTGAACCCCAATGAGCAGGAAACATAGAGGCATGAGAATATTAAATCTCACCTGATGTCGACAGACTCTAATTGCTGTTCATCATTAGGAAAAGAGTATTCAGTGACGAACTTGTCGCTATGAAAGGTGCGGCCCTGAACACTTCTATAATGAAGGATGCTCGACGAAACCGAGGCAGTTGAGCTATTACTAAAGTGTTATCAGCATGGATTATACATGACGGTAAGAACAACGCGCACGCATCTGTTTCCAGTGTTGAGTCGGCGTCGTATTGAACATCCTTTCGAGCAGGTTAGCATCATCAGCAGGACGGAATATCTTTCAAACTCTCACGTCATCATCTTCTGAGGCGGGGACAAGTTCAGCCTCTGGAGACGGCATTGAATTTGGCCCTGAGGCTGGGGATGATAGCCCAGTTGGTGATTTAGTTTTGGGCGACGACATAAGGAAATACGGTTAGGCGATACTGGCTTGACCAGGTCAAAACTGCGTACGAGAGATATTTTGTTGACAGTTTGACTTAAGTGAATATAAGTGGGAGAGGGGAACCCTGACCTCGCGAATATTCAGTTGTGCTGATGTTGCATCATAGTGGGCTGAGCGACGGCCACTTTTATCAGATCATATCTTGATCTAAGCATGGTTCTTTGTTATAAAGTGAAAAACAAAACCCCCAAGAACGTACAGCACGCATTGAGCATAGTGTTAATGTATTAAACTATGAGAGAAGAAAAAAATTGTAGAGTTGAATGATATGCAAAAATGAGATATAACAAAACCAATATACAAATAAATTAGAGAACTTGTTCAAATGTCACAGCATCCAAGTTAGCCTCAGCGTTGATGCAGCTGAATCCAAAAGCAACAGTAATGTAGTCATACTGAGACAACATCTCCTCGGTGAATGTACAAGTTGTGTCGAGCAGGGTCCATTCACCCTCAGCGCTATCAGCACTGACTGTCCGAACCGAACCGGGGACACGGTTGAGACTGTTAGGGTCTCCCAAGGTACACATAATGGCCATTGCGTTGCATCCATCGGTGAATTGATTCTGGCTAGCAATGTCTACACGAACGAAGCCGGCAAGTTGATAGGAACTAGCTTTGAGAAGCTGCGTGTCGACCTTTTGGTAAATGTCGTTGTTGTACGACTCGCCTTGATCGCTCCCAAAGTTGAGTTTTCCGTACGCTGGACCTTGGTAGGGTTGATATGAGCCGATGGCAATGGGCTGGGTCAATTGATCATCCTCTGATAGCCAGGGCTCAGTCGTGTCAAGATCGAAATTAGCGTTGATGAGCAGAGGTGTTGGACCTGCATCTTCTGTTGTAGTCGTGCTAGTCGCCTCGGGAACTGTTGTTAAGCCGTCGGTAGTAGCAGCCGTTGTAGTCATCATTGTGGTAATATCACTGCTGGAAGCAATGGTGGTTGTATCGCTGCTAAAGACTGCAGTAGCTTCAGCATCCCCAATTGGCTTGAAATCGACAGAATCAAGGTAGGCGCCAGCATTAGCGCAGTTGAATCCGAACACGACATTTATGTCAGCATCATCATCCAGCATGGCTTTAGTGATTGTGCAAGTAGTAGCCGACGAATGCCAGTCACCAACTGATTCTTCAGCGATCTCACGCTTGACTGAATCACGGATAGGAATAAAATTCCCTACAGATCCCCTGACGCATGCCGTGATAATAGTACTGCAACCGTCACCATCTTCACTGAAGTAATCGACACGAGTGCGGCCTTCAAGACTGTACGAGCCTTCTTTGAGTGCCTTCTTGTTGATCTTTTGAAGGATAAGATTGGAATACTGTTGGCCATTTTGGATACCAAACTCGACTTTTCCAGAGGCTGGTCCGTCAAAGGCGTTCCCAAGGATTAACATGTCGTCGCGTGGGCTGATTAACTCCCAGGGAGCAGTTGTTCCATCGTCGAAGCCAGCATTAGTAAGTAAAGGACCCTCGGCTGTCGTGGTCGGCACCCCAGTGCTGCTGGAAGTGTCTGCAGTTGTCGTTGTCTCTACCTCGCTGATAGAAAGGCTTGTCTCACCAACGGAAGACGATAAGGTGCCAGTTTCGGATGAGAAGCCAGCAGAGGTGGTTTCGGTGGTTGTAACAATGGTTGTGATAGACGATGGCTTACAGGGGCTAGCATCGACCACCGAAGCCAAGACTGATACAGCCCCAATAATGAGCGTTGTAGAAAGCATGTTGAGCAAACTAAGCAAAACAAAATGTTTGAATAGAAGGGTCCAAAGTAAAAAGGAGATAGAAACGGGAATTTGGGAAATGTACATTTTATACTCGATCTACTTTAAAATGAAGATAGGGTCTGGATTCAATAGTTCAACGACACGGGCCATAGAGACAGAACGCTACTGGACTAGAGTGTATTTTATTTTCACACTATTGACTTAAACTGAGCTACCCGTTGATAATCTCGAAATTCCACCATTGACAAACCAAAGTATTCGTTTATTTTGGCATGCAATTTTATAACAAGAGGTAGGGCTCATAGAGCGCCAAACTATAATCGAAGGAAGTTCAACACGAGACTTTGGCCCTTACCTTAAGATAAGATTTTCACAGTTTCAACAGTGCTTCATTTCTCTACAGTAAAACTATCGAAGCAGCCACAATTGCCACAGCTGCCACAACTGCTGCTACAAGTTTCTTTCACTAAACCTATTTCTGAAAGAATAATGCAGCTCGCTTATTAGGACCTAAAAGGGTGCAATCAGTAATAGATTAAACTTGATTGGCCCCTTTTAGACTACAGGTCCTTCTCCCCCACACCTTTTTCTTCACTGGTTGAGAAGTTAAATCCGACCAACAAGAAAAGTACGTCAAAGCGTAGCCGCCAACAGTGTTTTTATTTTTATTACCGTAGGCGCCATCTTGGGACCAATTAGGTCTGTTCAATGGTATTCCCTGGTACACTTAGCCAGGGCTGTCTCCGCTGCCGGAAGAGGAAAATCAAGGTATGTTGATCCAAACTGTCAGCGCAGATCTCATGTTAATCCTCTCTTTTCTTTTTGTCAGTGCGATGGGAGACGTCCAGGCTGTGAAAGATGCGAGCGCTACAGGGCACCTTGTCCGGGCTATCATCGCCCATTAGCCGTTCGACACTATGGAAAGCCTGGCCAGAGCCTTGAGCGCGACAGCCTTGGTGGCTCAACCACCTCACGTACAGTCGCGATTGATGAATGGTCTAACCGAGATTATGAAGTAGGCTCAAGGGCGACAGAGGTGCTTGTTCCTGTCCTTCGCCAACCGCAGCCGTCTCTTGACGACGAGTCCCTGAATTTCTTCATACATGAGTATTGCGTCTATCCTGGTCCAGGTGTCTTGCGAGGCCACCTTGATTTCTTTGAGAGCATGTACAGGAACTCGGACCGTGCATCATGCATACGCCCAACTACCCTTGCTGTAGCATACCTATCACTTTCACGACATTATAAATCTTCAACGCTCTATTTCACAGCCAAGAAATATTACGGAGCTGCTTTGAAGTCAGTCAATAGAGAACTTTCTATATCAAATAGACAGACTCTAAAGGAGGAGACATTGACATCTCTCATGCTGCTGGGCATTATTGAAGTAAGTCACCGTTGTCCACAATCTACACGTCGCTTACAATGTCCCGAGGATCTTGAGTGCCAAGGCCAAGATATAAAAACTGTGCATATGAAAGGCATAGCGATGTTGTTCGAACGTGTCGGGCAGAAAGTGCTAAGCAATATTTCATCGTCGCTATATGGTTGGATCTTTGTGCATTTGGTAAGTATATGTTAATGAATGATTCAACACATTTATGCTAACGCAAGAACAAGCAAGTCCCATCGCTTATGTCTAAGCAAAAGATGGAATGCCTCGTTATTCCCGAAAGTCAGATGGATACATCCAACCCTGTGATGCGCCTCGCCCTGGTCGTTGCTCACTGTGGCGATTTTTACAGGGCAGCTAAAAGGATTATAACCCCTAATGATCCACCAATAAACCGAGCTGAGCAATGTGCCATGCTCGTAAAACTCATCCAACAAGCCTTGGCAATAACCCGGCAACTCGCTTCAGCCGAACAGGAGACAATGCCGCCAAAACTCAACCCGCAAACCAAAAAACGCCCAGTTGCTTCCGAAAGCCAAACTTTTGCTGCCTTCGACTCGCAATGGACAGCTTGCACTTGGTGCTTCTTTTCGTCATGCCTAATCGTCTTCTTCACAATGGTATACAAATGCTCGACTTCATTGCTGGAACTTAGCCTATTGGATAGTTCTGAGAAGCAACTGGGTGAAACTGCGGCTGCTGTTGCTGATATGTCTCTCAAGAAGACTACTCACATATTCTGCAGCGCGTTGCCCTATGTTTTCGGCGAAATCGATGCAAGGGGACGACCTGTTGCTGTACCTCGACGGCAGATAGCCGTTATGTACCATATGGTATGGCCACTATCGGTTGCTATTGCAAGCATACATAGCACGCCTCAACAGGTGGAAACCTGCCAGATGAGGCTTCATATGATTCGAGATCTCTATGGCTTGAAACTTGCCCGGTATTCTCCTGGCTTGGCACGAGACTTGATGTCATAGAAAACATTGGTGTATAGCTTTTTAACATCGTGCACTTAGACTGACATAAGATACAGATTAGAGAAAGTATTAAAATAAAAGTATTTAAAATTAGATTTATAATATATTACATTGTACGAATACATATTTCAATAATTTTGCAAGAGAGGTATTAGCTTCCCTTCTAGCACAAGAATGTAGGAAATCAGACTAATCGTGGCATTGTTGACGACTATATGTACAGTCTTGGGTGATTAAACTGGAAATTGTACTTTCTTATCGATACGTGAGCCGTAAATCGGTGTCGGGCCGCTTCCGATGGTGCGTTTGCCGAGATGGATACAAGCATTCCCTCTAAAGCAAAGTCAATGCACAATTGACTCAAACTCATATTCCCTTCCTGTTAGATTAGCTAGACATAAAGCTTCGTCAAATCAACTGCCCATTATGTTATCTTTTCTACGGTCAGCACAGCCACCACGCACCAACAATGCAAGGAACAACCCCATTACCTACGATTCTGGCCGCTCCTCAGTCAAATTTGACAAGCCAAACTCAGACTACATCATGACCCATCGCATTCCGCCAACAACAAAGGAAAACGGCGTCTCCATTGTCGCTCCGCCTTTCCATTATCATATCCACCAGGATGAACATTTCAACGTGCAATCGGGCATAGGTCGTTTTTACCGCGGCATCTCCAAGGAGCCATTTGCCGTTCTCTCTGACGAGCCTAGCGGCCAGCGTAAAGCCTCCATCAAAGCAGGACGGTATCATCGCTTTGAGAATGCATCCGAGACGGAAGATCTAGTGGTTGATATCCAATTGGCGCCCGAGTCTTATGAGAATGAGCAGCGATTCTTTCGGAATTTCTTTGGATATTTGGACGATTGCAGAGAAGCAGGAAAGCCACCTAGCTTCTTCCAGTTAATGGTGTTTCTACATGATGGAGACACGCCGCTTGCAGTGCCAATGCCATGGGAGTGGCTGGGAAAGATTGCGAGCAGGTTGCTTCTTTGGAGCGCAGCGTTTTGGGGACGATTTATTTTGGGATATAAGACGACATATTCCGAGTACTACGAGGAGACCAAGTCCAGATAACTATTCAATTGAGCAATACTATTTTGAAGTCGTCTCTAAAGATGAATAATTCGAGCCGTGGGTGCGGTTGGTGGCCAGATTCCGGGTGCGCTTTCGCAGGCGGCTAACGTACCCTATTTGCGTTCCAACCCCGCATTCCGGCATCGTATTTCCGACGAGATTCAATGGAATGTTAAAATACATAATTGAGACTGAGAACAAAAAGAAGTAGGTATTGTCGAAAACATAATTTCCTGATCATTTTCGACCATCCCACGCACGTCGCCATGCCTTCTCTACTGTGGTCCTTGATTCCATGGGTCGACTCTGGTGCTGGCTGGCACAAACATCGAGCTCCATACACAGCAAACGCAACCTACCTACACACTTTCGATGTCTGGGTACCCAAAGCCGCACATAATCACTCTATCCCAGCACCTGATTTCGTTCCTAGCGGTCAAGGGCCTTGGGTCGTCTATATCCATGGTGGTGCATGGCGTGACCCTCTAGTCGACTCTTCTTCCTTCGAAGCAGCAGCCCTCAAACTCTTGAGTGACAAAGAGTCTCACATTTCGGGTATTGCTTCAATAAACTACCCGCTTTCAAGCCACCCTAACCATCCTACTCATCCTTCACCACCTCGGGATCCTGAGCAACCTGTGGATAATGCTCGTACAGCTGAACACCCCGATCATATCGTTGCTGTACTATCTGCTATTGCATATCTTCAGAACGAACTTGGCGTCGCTCACGATTACGTCCTGTCAGGTCATAGCTGTGGCGCAACGTTGACATTCCAGACAGTAATGAATACGGATCGATGGGGGGTAGGATCAAGGCCCATTCCCAAAGTCAAGAAGCCCAGAGTCATCGCCTCTCTGAATGGGCTATATGACTTGGCCACTTTCATCAACAATCCACCAGAGTCCCACAAGAAACTCCAGCCTCTTTATGTCGAGTTTACGAAAAATTCATTTGGAGATGATGAGACTGTTTGGAGAGATATCTGCCCAACTATAGTTTCAGACTGGTCGGAAGAGTGGCCTGAAGGAAAGATTGTCGTCATTGCCCAGAGCAAAGATGATGGCCTTGTCCCGTATTCTCAGACAGAGCTTATTAAGGAGTATTTGAAGAAGAATTCCAAACTCGAGGTCATTGAGATACCAGCCAGTGGCGATCATAATGATCTTTGGAAAAAAGTAGACGAAATCGTCGAGATTATGAAGAGGGCTATTGCGTATTGTATCGAAGTTTGATAGAATTAAGATGATTGGGATTGATCTGTTAGACAGCCTACTTGTTTAATAGAGAACGCCTGTGAAGAATATTATTAACTGTGGAAAGCAGGACTCGCACATTGGACTTTTCAACAATGACTTCTTAGTGCTTACTGTACGTTAGAAAATGTAACATTTTCTTGGGGGGCCTCAAATATCAAACGGGACAACGTTCCAATCAACAATCGAGTTTCAAGCCACTGCATGCCATGTCATCATGTCATATACGCGTGGTTCCTTTTAGCGATTAGTAATTTCCTAAAGGTGCATCAATTGTATTTAGAACGCCCACCTGATCGACTCAGACTTGTCAGCACCGTTGTAATATTGTAGTGACAGTATTATAAAAGCCACAGTCTCATCGCACATGCGGCTGCCGATGCTTTTCATCAAAAGAACAATTCTTTATATTAGCGAAACCCTGCAAAGTTACATCAAATCCAGTTACTATTGCTCTCCACTACCTGAGCACCCCATTACTATGTGTGATAACGACAACGATTCGAATGTCACTATGGGAAAGATTTCTCGCGATCATGGAAAGTCCATCGTTGAACTTCTATTAGGCATTCAAAAAAGTCAAATAGAACAGAAAAAGTTTTTGCCCTTTGTCAAAAATCTGGAATGTCTAGCACTAAATAAATATCCGCGCACTCATTTATCTCGTCAAACGATTAATGCGTTCAACAACCCAAAATATGTCGCTTTATCGTATACGTGGGATGCGTCTGAGTATGAAGACCCTACTTCCGGTGGCTACCAAGTTCAGACGGCAGACGAAAACATGAAGACCGTCCAACCTTCCAAAGTCAGAGATTGCATTTTCGATCGCATCACCAAGTATATGCGGCAATCCAGGATCGAACTGCTGTGGATAGATCAACACAGTCTGCAGCAAGCTATTTGTGAGCGAGCACGTTGCGACCACATTGAGTGCTACCGAAACCGTCAAGGAATAGAGACTATAGACCTTGTTTACAAATTGAGTTCACACCCTGTCGCTTTACTCACGACTCGTATTAAATTTGTCAGCGACCTAAAGATTCTTGTAAGAATACTTCGCGGTGATCTGGTAAAATACAATAAGTCGAAGTTCTCATTTCAGCTATCAGGAAAGACACATCTTCAAGAGGCGAGGAGGGCCTTGAGGTTGTTGAGAAGGTTGACGGAAGACAGTTGGTGGAAAAGAGGATGGATATTCCAGGAAGGTTACCGTGCCGGATGGGGGTTACGTCTTCTTGTTCCCCATTCTTCCAACTTGCAACGTTACAAAGTGTCCTATGGCGCCACAATCTTCGATGATATACCTGACGAGCTCTGCATCGATGCTACTGAATTCTCATACGAGGCTACCCGGCTCTGTTTAGCCTTCAAGGCAATGGACTCTTTACCGCCTGAAGACAGGCAGGCGATAAGCCGGATTCTTGAAACTGCCGAGAGGTACACACTACTATTGGAAAAGAACATATCTATGTCGCCAACAATCTTCGCAGGTATCAGCAAACGGAATCTGAAGCGACACTGGGATCAGCTGGCAATAGCGGCAAACTGCTGTCAGTACTCTACGCGCCTTGACGTTGAGAGGCTGAGCGACAAACGGAATAGCTTCAGTCTCTCCAGATTGGCATTGTTTTTGCTAAATGGGGAGTTACTGTGTAACGACAGCCTTGTACAACATGCATCACGGATGAAGGTGTTGGATTTTATTGCTTCGCAGTCTTTTAAAAGGTTTTCTGCCCCCTGGAACCATCCGAGCCTATCCTTCAACAAAGGTTGTCGTCTTACTCACGTCAAACTCACGCGCCATGGCATATTGACAAAGGGGCATTTGTGGCGCCTTGGGGAGACAATTCACGCGTCTTCCATCAAACGCCGATCTTCTTGGGTTGATGACCCGAACGGAATACTGGATCTTCCTATTCGCAAATTGCTCACTCAGCTTGCAAATACGCTCGAAGATCTCAGACATGGCCTCGCGATTGACATTCGGAACTACCTCGACCGTGACGCGGCTAGTGCAGGTTATCCAGATTACCGAGATAATTTTACGGCCTTTTATATGAGACAAATGGCTGCAGAGCTCGCTGACGCGATTCACCTTGGCAAGACTTTGAGATTAGCTTCCAAGTGGGAGCCCTCACGGCGGCGTCCTCGTTATCGGGCAATATTCATCTGTCAAGACGAAATGTATGAGGGGCTGAAGACAAACCGTTTAGGTGGGCGATGCAGGGTTCCTCTAGATAAATCATCTCTGGCCTTTACAGCGTTTTCTGCTAGAAGGCAAAATACTACCAAGTACGGAGCTAACGATCTAGATCGCCACGTATCGCTGGAGGTAAATCTGGTGGATTCTGTTAATGGAACTAAACCCTCACCTCCTTGCCTAAAACTCAAGTCTTGGATTCACGGATTGTGTTTTTTTGAAAATGTTGAGAGGACTCAAGTTCTCCTCCCGTGGCCTCCTGGGTTCGAACAAATCACAGATTAGTTTCTAAATTTCAAATTTCCATAAAATTTCTTGACTACAGTCTTAAGTAGCGACAAGTCTGCGTCAATCTGTGCACAAAGGTTTCCAGACATTAGATCATTAACGTCTCAGGTTGAATATACGAACTAACTATGTAGAAGCTATGCCTCTGGCGATACAGCCTAAACTGCGTGTTATAACCTCAGTGATTATATTAAATATACCCTAATTGTTCTATTCTATATACCTCACCATTTACTAACTCTGCATTCACCAATATAAGACTAATAGTTATATAAATCAATAACGCTGTAGGATTATATTACTCTAGGACTAGTAATAATTTTATATCTTATTATTTTTACTTAATTACTTTAGTAAAACTACATGTATTTATTTACTATTAATTAAAACTTAGCTTTCTAGCTGTTCATAGAGCCTCTTTACTTAAATAAGCTTTACCTTCTGTATTTACTATTAAAAAATATAATGCTTTATAAAGCTTAATATAAAATATTCTATAATCTCTGCCAATATAAACTCAATATAACTCAATTTATCCCTTAGGAAACTCCAACTATCACAGAAGGAATATAATTTTAATAGGTCTACATACAATCTCAGAAGGATTTAGTACATATTAGCGCTTCCATTATGCCGAAGCTTAGATTGCTGGCGTTACATTAATCCACGTATTAGAGGTCTTGCTCCTTCGTTCAAAAATAGTAGCAACACTTAAATGGCTCGTGATCCTAGTTTCTCTCACAAAATAAAAGTTTCGGTTCCTTTCGTAAAATGAGCATCTACCATGATTTATTAAGGTCAAACCATCTACGGCTTGCTACCATTCGTTTGTCAGTAACGCCTGAAGATGCCGACCTCAAACTGCCTAGCGTAACGCTCAAAACCTACGAATTTGAGGAGAACGCAAAGCCAGAGTACTACGCGCTGTCGTATACTTGGGGAAAACCTAGAGAGGATGTGCCAGAATACACAGCAGAAAGCCGACGCCCCATCGTTTTGAATGGTCAATCCGTTAACGCCTCACCTAATCTCTACGATGCCCTTCTTCAACTTCACCAGTACTTCCCAGACAAACCAGTGTGGATCGACGCGCTCTACATCAATCAAGATGATATCGATGAGCGCCAGTGTCAAGTTTCTTCTATGAATAGGATTTATGGTGGAGCAAATCGCGTTCTCATATAGCTTAAAGCACCCACGCCTTACTTAATAACAGGCCTCAAAGCTACAGAACGTTTAGCACAGGTCGCCACACGTGAATCAAAGCGTATCATTAAGAATCAGCAATTTGACTTCTGTTACCGAATGGAAGATATAAAGTCTCGATACGGCCTGGCACCATTGGCCATGGAAGAGATCGATGGCCTTGTCTCACTTTTCCAATACAGCTGGTTTTCTAGGGTGTGGATTATACAAGAAGTTTCTTTGGCCAAAGAAGCTGAGATTTTGTGCGACGGTTTCACTATCTCATTCGATAAAATCGGCTACACAGCGGCTTTTTTACACTTGAGTGGCGTGATAGGGGCCATTTTCTCAAAGCTTTCAGGAGCTGGACGCAGTATTCATCAAATGGACTGGTATCACCTTTATAGGGCAGAGAAGATATAGATGCTACGCGAATGGTGTAAAGGCTCTCGTAGTACATGGACCGATGTGCTTTCATTAGTCGACATGACAGCTGGTATTGAAGTCGAAAATATGCGTGGGTCGACAGGGTTGATATCTACGACTCTATTGAAACTACTCATGTGGACTACTGGCTTTCAAGCTACAGATACAAGAGACTTTATATACGGTCTTTGGGGAGTTTTTCAACATTTGGCCCATGAACAAGACGTTACCATTCCTCAACATCTCATGCCAAACTACAACATACCAGCATCACAGGTACTTGAATCCATCGCGGCTGAGATACTTGAAGCTACTGGAGACTTGACTCTACTGGCTCTGGTCAAAGACCCAGCTCGGCGTGTGACAGCAGACCTTCCGTCTTGGTGTCCAGACTTTGGTCCGTCTACAGGCATGAACTCGATATTTTCACCGGGCTTCAAATCAGTGACTCGACCCAATGCAAGCGGTACGGTACGACATGGTGCTACCCGGAGAGGCAAAGCTTTCAAAGTTCACGGTAGTCTACTAGGAACGGTGAGGCTTCTTGGCGAATCTTTCGAGAAGGTCATAACCTCGGGTGTACACGATTGGGTAGAAATATTACTCAAGACGGGTCGTACCTATGCACATACAGGGCAATCGTCCATGGAGGCCTTCTGGCGAACATTGATCTGGGTCCGTTTCTTACAGACAGTGGGTATTTGGGTTCTTCTTGCGAGTCGACGCAAGCTGGAGACGAAGTGTGGATAGCATCGGGATGTTCTGTGCCATTGGTATTGCGGAAGAGTAATAATCATGAGGGATGCTATACACTGGTTGGAGAGAGTTATGTGCATGGCGTGATGAATGGAGAGGCTGCTGAGGGAGCGGTCGCATGGCAAGAAATAGATTTGATGTAAATACTGTACTCGAAGTTTTAAAAACTAACAACTGATCTAATATTCTCAAATAATCTTGTCCAATCACTTTTCAGAGCTGTTTGTCTTGTTAAAAGAAGCCTACTGGTTAAACTGAACTTGAATAACATTGACGTTGGCCCTGTGAAAAGGTATCAAGCTGCTAGAAGATTACGTCTGACAATTGCAAAGGTGCAAGTTTAATATCACCTGATTTTATGTCAGTTTTGGAAGTAATATTTTAACCTTGCCACCTTAATAACAATTATATATCTTGGATACCGAGGTTATACTCTAGGGTATATATAAGATTTCGGTAAACCCAATCTGGCGGCTAACGCGTGGCGCAATTAAAGCTTTGACCGTTTGAAGACGTTACATTAAAGTGGACATCGTGTTTAGTTTCATTACTCCAGTGGCAAATTGCCTGACTATCTAGTGGAGACGCAGCCTTTTAAGCCTTTTGTTCTATTATTTAAACTGAAACAAATGTATCACTGGATCATTGATATATGGATTGTATAGGAGATCTGAACATCTCTTATAAAATGTTGAAAATAGATTTCGGCATCTCGGCACATCGCAGGGAATTTAACTCCCTTTAACATGATGAACTGACAGCAGGGTCTTGATGCCTTAATAGCGGATTCCATTCCACAATTAAAACTAGACAACGGCCTCTTTGCAGTATCTAACCTAGCTCCGTTCAGCTGCGAATCCGCTTTTCGACCAGCGTTTCAGGAGATGTGTTCACCGCTTCGGAGTTATCTTAAAATACCACCGGCGGATGAAACATCCGTGGTTAGTGTCTCCAAACATGTGACGGCATTGAGTTGTTTAATGCATAGATTTCAGCTATAAGTACTAACCAATGTAACGTCCACTACAAGGAAACCTGGCTTGGAAATCATATTTTTATAATTATTATCAAAATCAATCAATATGGCCGTCGAATCTAACACAAAACTCAGCTTCACCGAGTTCTACAACGTCATCGACGGAAAGCTCGAAACCACCAAGGAGACCCTCCAGAATACCAACCCCTCTACCCTTGAGAAGAACCACCCAGTGCCGGTTTCAACCCAAGAAGATGTTGACAGAGCTGTCGAAGCTGCCAAGAAGGCTTCTGAGACCTGGGCCGATGTCCCGTACAAGGAGCGACAGAACCTAGTGGCTAAGTATGCCGACGGTATTGATGCTATCAAGGAGGAGCTTGCTGTCTTGTTAGTCAAGGAGCAAGGAAAATCTGTGAGTGCAATGGCGATGTTCTCAGGAAGATTTTGTTCTAATGAGGAAAAAGATGCAACTGGCCCAATACGAGATCATGTTGGCTGTTCAGTTCCTCAAGGGATATGCAGAGCTGCCTGATCCTCAGCAGTTGATTGAGGACAAACCAGGCCGTAAAGTCGTCACAAAATACGTCCCTCTCGGTGCGTCGTCCCACAACTAATCTAGTCTCTCGAACTAACCAGCGATAGGTGTTGCCGTCGGTATCGTGCCTTGGAACTGTAAGTAAACATTCCTGGAAATCCTTTTATACAAAGCTAACAAACCCAGTCCCTATTTTCTTAGGTAAATCCGTCTTCTCTCGTTTCGATACACAGTATTAACCTTTCCCACAGCTACTGCCAAGATCGGCCCAGCTCTGATTGCGGGTAACGCTTTCATTCTCAAACCATCGTAAGTTTAATGATAGTGTTTTCAAGACAAGCATAATAACCCTCCGGAACAGACCTTTCACTCCCTACTGCGGACTGAAGCTCGCTGAGCTGGCCCTCCAGTATTTCCCCACAGGTGTCGTCCAAGCACTTAGCGGTAACGATAGCCTTGGACCTTGGCTCACAGCGCATCCCGGCGTGGACAAGGTCAGCTTTACTGGATCTACAGCAACTGGAAAGAAGGTCTTGCAGAGCGCTGCACCAACGCTTAAGCGCGTCACCCTCGAATTGTGAGTCGAGTCTTGATGGTCAGTGATCGATGACTAACGTAGGTAGGGGAGGAAACGATCCCGCCATTGTCTGCGATGATGTTGATGTTAAGGAGATTGCTCCCAAGGTCAGTTCTTCAAAGGAAGACTTCAAGAGATATACTTACTCTGCTACTTAGATTGCCTTCGGAGCACTCATGAACTCTGGTCAGGTAAGTTACGGAACGTCCTCTAGACTGAGCTTGACTAATAAAAAAATAGCTCTGCATGGCCATCAAGCGAATCTACGCCCATGAGTCGATCTACGACGACTTGGTGAAAGAGCTAGCCGCGGCGGTCAACAGCTTTACTGTGGGTGATGGTCTGGATAGCAACACAGCCCTGGGTCCCGTACAGAACCACCTACAGTTCGATAGAGTGAAGAACCTACTCGCCGATATCGAGTCCCAGGGTTACAAGCTAGCAGCTGGTTCGACCAGTGCATCAACAGCCGGCAAGGGATACTTTATCACCCCTACCATTGTCGAGAACCCCCCCGATGATTCAAGAATCGTGGTTGAGGAGCCATTTGGTAAGTCACCCTGTCATTTTAACCATATGGTGCTAACATTTTGCAGGCCCTGTCTTCCCTGTGTTGAAGTGGACGGACGAACAGGACGTCCTTCGACGTGCCAACGACAACCCTATGGGTCTTAGTGCCTCTGTCTGGACTAAGGATATGGAGAAGGCGGAGAGAATGGCCGGCAAGATTAAGGCAGGCACGGTTTGGATTAACGCACATCACGAGCTCAACCCCAATGTTGCCTTTGGAGGTGCTAAGCAGAGTGGTCTTGGTGCTGAGCATGGAATCGAGGGTATTAAGGCGTACTGCACCACTAAGTCCCTGTACTTCAACGCGGCTTAGAGTGGAGAAAGTAGTTTGAGGTCCTTCTCGGTTCCCACTATATATAGCTCGAGACATAAAAATAAACATTCATTCCTTGGCATCATTTTAGCTCCATCTTATAGCAACTAACTCTTAGTGCCGAAAACTTTAATTAAAATGCCTATTCGACCAGGTGCATAGGACTCTAATATGAGGTAGAACAAGAAACCAATTCAAGATACCACTTAATTACAGTCTCTTTTGATATCCTCTGGAAATTCAGAATCACAAGTCCCTCGGATCTCAGACACTTCAAACTCCAAGCTCACATAAATCTGGCATCCTTCGCCACCCATAACTCTCCCTGCCTCCTCGCTGCCCCCATACTTGAGAACCCTCTGCGCCATGCCCTCAGCAACAGCCTCATTCCTCCCTGGATCATTCAGTTCGACACCCTCGTCATACTTCGCGAACCCAGCCACGGCGGCGTAGCCTAGACGTCGAGCGTAGAGAAAGGCGAGTTGTTCATCAATAATGTCAATGTATCTTCTGGCACAGGAGAGCTCATCAGTCGCGTTGGCGGAGCTGCATACTGATGCAACAGGGACTTCGGAAAGGATATTGGGGTCGTAAGGATAACCAGGCGACGCCTTTGGGAAATTTTCAACGGTTGCGTTCGTGGATGGTTGATAGCTGCAGAATGAGGTGCATGTCACGTGAGCAGCGAGTCCGAGAAGGAGGTAAGTTGTTGATAATAACGACATATCTAGACGAATCGTGTGGTTGTTGAGAAAGAAGTTGGAGTCGTTGTTCGTTCGAGTCAGAAGATAAGGTGGTATTCGATACAGAAAGGCGATGAAACGGGGTATTTATACTTCTTTCCAGAGCTACTTGGCCCAACTGCCGAGATTGCCATACACGTCATTTGCCAGTTAAGTGAGCTTGTAACGGCGACTATTGCCGAAACTCTATTCGTACTCCACCGCGAACTCTAAGCACTGTAGTGATATCTATCTCAGCTCGTGTCTCTGCTCGGCTGCAGGGAGTTCAACGGGGTTCTGAGTACTCGGCAATTCGTGAAGTGGCGGTGGTGCTGGTGATGTAGAATTTATGGGAGTTCTATCGATTGGTGTCTTGTAACCTGCAAACTGGGAATGGTCTCCCATAGGTGCGCTGTGGCTACCCATTGCCTCATCAGGCTTAGCAGGAAAGCCATTGTTGCGTCTCTTGCGTCGCCATAGAAAGAATCCTAACAACGCGAAGGCGAGAACGCCGAGTACGGCTCCTATTGCGATGCCTGCGATCGCACCACCTGAGAGGCTGCTGGAACCTGAATCGGAGGACGAGGATGAGGCGGAGTCTGTGGCTGCATTGCTAGACGAATCTGTTGTCGTCCCTGCATCACGTGTTGACTCGGGAGGGGGCTTGATATTGTTAGCTATCGAGTTTGATATCTAGGTGCTGTAGCCAGACTTACGTTTGTGAAAACAGTACTGTAGGCGTCATCGTCAACGTCTTTGACACTGGTCATGAGCCAACGCTGCCTTTTTTGGTATCCGTCAAGATTTGGGCTCATAAAGACGGCGGCACCAGGAATCACATCGAGGTGATACTTGGTGCCGTTTGCGACGTTTGTGAATAAATATGTTTCAGTCTTATTCGTCCCCCATAGAGACACATCCCATTGTTGCGACTCGGTCCCATCACTGTCGGTTAGACAGGCGCGTGTGCGTCGGTTCTCGACCGATTCCCAATCACGATAACATACGGCGAACTGTTTCCGTGTCGTCGTTTCGGAGCAGCGAAGTGAATATCGGCCTGGTTTCTTGCCTATGGGTTGCTAGGAGCTTTGTTAGAAAATAGAAAACTTGGATATCATATCGTGTCTCTGTGCATGGAACGTACAAACTGCCAGTATGTCTTCCTGTTGGCAACGGAAAAGACGCGAAACCCATCATCCCCGCTATCCTCTTTTTGTGTTTGCAGCATGCCCTCGAAATCTCCGTCATAATCGTCCACCCATTCTTCGGTCAGATGATACCAGACGTTGGGGTCAATGTCGGTCGCCTTTTTTAGATCCTCAAAGTCGGACATGACGACAGCTTTGGGAATAGTTTCGTGGTCTGTAAATTTGAGTGACTGGCCGATGATCGTAGAAAGAGGCTCATGGAGAGCTTAGAAATTGTGGAAAACAAGAGGGGGCCGGCTCCTTTTGCTTATTATTTTTATGGTCCGACTGTACGATCGACACAAGCTTGGCCCCCAATGCTGACATGCCAAGGTAATGATCTGCAGGCAATTATCAAGTTCTAAATAGTCGCGAAGTCTGATGCAGTCTCAGAAAAGAATGGCTCGCTCCAAGAGGCTACTAATCTACCGACGTGTCGTGCTGTCTATGTCTAATAGAAAAGTCGAGATACATGTAAGCGATGTTGAAGCATAAAGTTAGAGTTTACGGCAATAATTATCCTACAACAATAAGCTAGCCGCCGTGATCCCTGCTGAGTCAGATGAGATCAGAAGGCCGAAAATAAATCAGCGAGCAGTCCGATCAGTCCAATGAGAGGGCTAGGTTATTGTGGTGGCGCGCAGGTAGGCATGAAATCGTACTACGTCCTTAGGGGCTAGCAGGGCTTGGAAGAAGATGGTACCTTGAAAGCCAGCTTGTGTCTCTGAAACAGCTCACAGGTCAACTGTTTTTTCTGAGTGGTATTATCTACGTTTATTGACATAAAAATAAGGCACTCTACAAACCAATACTGGTTAGACTGCCGAGTGCGTGATAATTCTTGTGAGGCACGCACAGAAGATGGCGAATAAGGATGATTCAAGCTTCTAATCCCTGTCTGGTGGCTGAACTTGAGACACTGTCCTACAACCTTCAGAGGTGGAATATTGAGCAGGATGCCAATCCCTGGACGAAGCTGAAAGAGCTGCACACCACATTATCTACAACAGGGTTCAAGACCTGCAAAAAAGACTTTACTATTTAATCCTGCCAAGCCCATTTCTAGTTTCTTGTTGACACGGTCCGACACACTCGAAATGAAGGCCTATCTACGGTCCAACATCATTCTTCTTCTTCTAGTGTATTTGAACATAGTCGCTGCCAGGCGTGGCGGAGGTTCCTGGGGAGGTTCTGGTGGAGGTTCCAGTGGCGGGGGCGGATCTGGAGGTGGCAGTGGAGGTGGCAGTGGAGGTGGCAGTGGAGGCGGTACAGCCGAAAATCCTCCCCCAGGCTTTAATCCATGGTCTTACCAGAATAATGGTATCTATGATGAGAGCGACACCGGCTGGAAATGCGACCCGAAAACCTGTGGATGTCAGCAGTTGACTGAACGAGAAATTGTTTACGGCATCCCAGGGCTCTACTACAATGGCACTTTGACGGTACAACACCACATCACGAATAGCTCATCCTGGCTAGATAAGGGCCCCGGAGCGTGTGGCATGGCTGATGATGAGCCCAACACCTATAAATACCCAGCTCTCTTCTTGGTCGCCCCAACAGGAAACAAAACAGATGCAAACCCATTCCATTGGAGGCTATTCGGGTTCCAACCAGCCGACCAGACTCTGGGAGCCACCGGGTCCTACATTGACATTTACCAACGATGGGTGCACCTCAGATCGAGCGATTTTGTCGTGTCTGGAACGCCATACGGTGGCACCTATTTTTATGATACCTCCATAGGACGCTATACGCTTTCGGATGCCACAGATCGTCATAGAAACACCACCGCCTACTGGTCGACCAAAATCACCAATTCCGACATTGAGAATCTCTCTGCCCGTGCCGTTTACAAGACAAAACCACCGCTGCTTGACTTGGATCCGGACACTAGTAAGGTGGAGCCCGCCTCGAGCCAGTACATAACCTTTAGTGATGTATGTGCTTGGAACTCAGAACTTCCATCCGAGGAGTATAAAACACTTCAACACAGTAACTTTTCCAACAATGACCATATCAACACGACGACGCCTACGGTTTGGCTGGAGCCTGGTGCCGTGGCTGAAATGAAGGGCATCGGCGCCTCAAAGATGACTTTCACTCTTAAATCAAGTCTCGATGGTGTAAGGCCCTGGATGAATCTACGGCAGGCAAATTGCGGGGATGGCGTCAAAGAAGGCACTCAAGATTATTCGGTTGACGATCCATTTGAACTCGGATACTTCCAATACCTGACGAACGACGATGAATTGAGTTTTTGGAGACTCGACCTGTCCTTCAGTCTTTCCTTTGAAGGAAGCCTTGTGCGCGAGAATAGTACGCGCATAAATGGAACAGACAAAGACGGTCTGGTGTTCGATGCCACATATGAGACTCCTCCGCCAGATAATACATTGCCTTCGGAACATGATGGCTCGTCTAGTGGCTCGGATAGTGAGTCGGGTACAGCAAGTCTGTTGCTACAGAGCTCGAGTACTTTTGTCACGATCTTCAGCAGCTCTACGGTGTTATTGTTCTTGTTGGTTGGTTTGCTGTGAGTGTACTGTGCTTATATAGTTAGGCCAATGAAAGAATACCCGCCTGCTTCTATCGCCTGGTGTTGCATGTTGCACAATACCTACCGCATAGAAGAAAGTATGAAAAAAAAAAACACCACCTGTCTATTTTCCAGCTTGCGAGTCTTCATATCGCTGTAGTGAGGCTACGTCCATTGAATATGCACTAAGTCAGTTGACGCTAGTAGCGTGACTTTTGAGGTTTTTAACGATTGTCGGAAGCAGGGTACCATTTTAGTTTAGCTTGCGATGTGAGCTATTCTTGCTCGGAAAGCGTAACAGAGGTAACTCCACGCTTGTACTAAGATTGTCCAATCATGAACGGTAATCTTGTTAGTTTACCTGTCTTCTGATTGATAGAAGGTCTAACCACCGTACTGGAATTTAGGTGGCTTTGATGACGTGGAACATCATACATGTAAGGACAAAAACGTTGAGGTTTTAATGTAGTATGATATGACGAAAGCAACATCTGCCGAACTTGAAGACTGGAACCCCTCCACCATCGCAAACCATTACCGAATTAGGGTTATTATTGTAATTTGACGTACGGAGGATCTACAGAACCTCGGTAAGTCTTCGCTCAATAATCATGGAAGCAGAGTTTAACAACACATGTGAAGGCTAGCAGCTAGACGGACAGTTGTCAAACCGAATGACAGTATATATTGATTTGATAGGAGCATGGCACGAGAATATTCATATACAATCTATGTCTATCTTGCTCAGTGAAACATTTCAGCTTCTTTAAACTTCAACGATCCGACTCAAGCGAAATGACTTCCCGATCTGCAACCACTGTATGCGAGCCTAGCTCCTCATGCCTCGAGTCAAGCTCCGTTATATCCTCAACCTCGATGGCCAATCCAAAGGACTCTATGAAGTCCACCTGGCGTCATACCGATCGAAGAAACTGGACAACATCGCACTGGTTCTTCGAATTTCTAGGCATTCACCACGTCTCCTTGGATAAGGAGGTGCCTGTGCATCGGAAAGGAGATAAAGTGCCCTACACACCAGAGTGGCAGTTACATCGTTGGGTTCTTGTACATTCAGTCGTTCCGATGGCCATACATCACCTCTTTGTCAGATATACTGGTCAAAACTTTACGCCGATGCAAGCCTTTGTCTTCTATACCCTTGCTTTCAAGGTCGCCGCCGTCCACGAACTCCATGCTCTGCGCCGAGTCGGGCATCTGACGGGGTTTTTGGACGGCGATGTACATGCAAGGGATGGAGTACCCGACGTTGGGGTGACAAAAGTCATGAAGAGTCTCATTGCCACCTCGAGCTTCCGCCCAGTCTTTACGGTATTCCTCAGCTACCGTACCACTCAATCGCCATCGAGTATGAATTGGCTGTGGCTACCATTGGAGATTGGTTTATACGGTATCGTGCTGGACTTTTGGTTCTACTGGTACCACAGACTTATGCATGAGGTTGGTAGTCTATGGAAATATCACCGCACCCATCACTTGACCAAGCACCCGAACCCACTCCTGACACTATACGCCGATTTCGAACAAGAGGTCTTTGATATCGCCGTCATCCCGCTCATGACCTATTTCTCTCTGAAGCTGTTAGGATGTCCAATGGGTTTCTATGAGTGGTGGATATGCCACCAGTATGTTATGTTTACCGAGTTGTCTGGTCATAGTGGCCTACGCGTATGCTCTTCACCTCCTAGCACACTCACCTGGCTTTTGCGCATGTTTGATGCTGAGCTTCTGATCGAAGATCATGATCTTCATCACCGCAAGGGTTGGAAGACAAGCGGCAATTATGGAAAACAAACTCGGCTGTGGGATAAGGCTTTTGGAACTTGTATTGACCGGATTGAGTTGCAGAGAGAGAACTTGGACTGGGAAACGCGTGTTGACCTGCCGTTATTTTAACAAGCGGTTTTGTTCTAGATAATAGTTATGTCTGATCGGGGAATCGAGGGGGGGATATCCAAGGGTTGTGTAATTGTTGGGCATTAAAACATCACTATTTTGTCAATGTTGTGCTTGCATGGGAGACACTCTAACTTGAAGTATGGGCACATACATGCCTTAGGAGTTGCAGAGGTAGTAATCTAGGCTAGCCGATGGCAACGGCCCATTGACGAGTAAAAAGACATTTTTCAGTTCAAGGCCTAATCCCTTTCTTCCTGTTCCACGGTGGTGATCTTGTCACCTGGCACTAGAACACCCCTGCGCATGACATCATGCACAGAGATATCTATGTTAGAATGTTTGATGCCCTCGAAAATGATGTCGATCTCCTCCAGTGTCTTCCTCTCAGTGGACGGGAAGTAGAAGTACATGATGGGCAACTCAAACGCCAAGTTCCACATGGCGGTGATAAGATAGAAACCCCAACTAGACCATTCCATAGCATATGGAATAGCAAAAGTGTTGAGGAATGCGGTAGCGTAGACGACTCCGCTGTAGAAGCCCAGACCATTACCTCGCATAGAGTAAGAAAGTACTTCAACTGGATACAAGGTCGCTAGAGGGGTCCACACAAAAGAGTATGTGCCGTAGAAGAGGAAAATTAGAGCAACCTGAGCTGCTGATGTTGACGTGGTGGGGCTGTTACCGTATAGTTTTGTGAGAACAGCGATGATGATAAGCATGAATGAGATGATGGTCGTTGAGCCAACTATATGATGAAATCAACTGGTTAGCGGATATACCGACCGTGGGATGGACAAACTTACGGAAACTCTTACGCCGTCCGATTGGATCAGCCAAGATTGCACCAGCACCTGCACAAAACAGATTGAAGGCGCTCAAACCAATGTTGATTCCTAATTGGGTTTGTGTCTCTTTGATACCAATTGACGTGAGGACATCACCAAGATAATATGAAACAATATTGTTACCGCTTACTTGGCAGAAGACTGTGAGGAAGATACACGTTAGAACGTTAAACACAGGAAATGTGCTCAAGAACGTTGTAAGGCTTACAGGCAACCGCAGCAGTGACACCTAGTCGCCATCTGTTTGACCGGGTTTTGTAGAGTGCGGCAAAGTCTGTCTTTTGTACTGTCTTCTCATATTGAAGGGTTTGGCAGATCTCATCATACTCAATAAGAACAACAGGTGACCTTGTATCGCCATCACCGTGATACTTGACAAGAATATCGCGTGCTTCCTCATGGCGGTCTTGATAGACTAGCCATCTTGGGCTCTCTGGCAGAAAAGGCAGAGGGAGGATGCAGCAGATAGAGGGGATTAATTGCAGCTAGACATGTGATCTTAGTACCAGTGCACTATTAGAGTACTGTTCATAGTTACGTACCAGAGATGGAACTCGCCAAGACCAGGTTGAGTCAATGAACTGACTTCCGTATGTAATTCCAGCGGCCATCAAGCTACCGACATACCAAGAGGTACCGTATAGACCAGTAAGCATAGTACGATGCTTAGGATGAGCAACCTCAGAGATATATCTGTGACCAAATATTTAGCAACTTGCGTGACATTAATTACCAAGATAGAAGCATACGCTGGAGCTGCCGTGGCACCAGTGGTGACAGAAAACCCCACAAGCAGTCTACCAATGCAAAACATGGCCTCCTGTACAGCTGCGCTCTGAATCACTGCGCCAACTATGGCGATGATCGAAGTAATTGCCATACCCCATTTTCGGCCGTATTTGTCGCTGATGGGGCCGGCGAAAGGCATGGCAAGTACAGAACCTGCAAAGACGATGGCGACATTGAGGGCAATGAGATGAGTGTTTAGATTGAAGTACTCAATATATGAGGGCAATATTTGCAGGCCGTTCTAAAGTCAAGTCAGGTAAGATTAGTAGAGTCATAAGATTCACAGTAAAGGTTACGCACCATCATGGAGGAATCATATCCAATTGTGGCCGAATTGGCCGTAGCAACAAAGCAACATATAGCTAAGAGAAATGTGCCGCGGCCATCACCTTTGGTTGGCTCCGTAGGGAGGTCTGGAATTGCAGAAGACATGTTGTATTGGATCCAGTGAAATAATTATTTTGCGTCACTGTCACGAAGAAAGTTCACAGTCGAAGGAAGCACAGATCGAAATGGGTTGCATCAACTAGGCCAAAATGCTGGGAATTCCGGGTCTATTAAACAGCCCATCGGATCTCGGAACTAACCTATTCCATCGGATTTGAGGATGGTTGTAATCTTTTGATTGTTTTACGCTAAGGATGCTTATCCTTACACGAGTTGCTTCCTTTCCGCTTTCTTACACTCTTGTTCCGTGGGAGAGGGACCCAATCAACTATGATCTCAAAGCCAACTGTCAGCCAAGATACGACTAAAGCTAGGCTTCACTGTCATATTTAAATCCTATCTCCATCAGTGGGAAAAGAAGAAATGCGATATTAATCCTATAGGCCAAGTTGGGGGCTGTGGAGCATGTTTTTGAAGCAATGATTTGATAAGGAGGCTGGGGTGGTTGCATATCATGGGTTTAACTTCTAACCAGCAACAGGACATTAGATCAAAGACAAAGATATCACGTTGATACGAGCTCCATACCTAACTCTTAGCTCGGTCCATAACGTGCTTAGTGATATTAACTATTCTGTTCCCAGTATCGTGCTCCCCCTCCCCCCTGGGGCCCCTCGACTTATGTGGGTAAGTCTCGAATCGCGGAAGGTAACCCAATCGGAATCACACAGATATGGCCCCGCTGTGGCTCTCCCCTCCTGTTGTTCAACCTCGTTCAGAAATTCCGGGTCATGAGAGTCTGAATTGCGGGATTAAAAGCGAAGGCCGGTTCGGCGAAGTATTACACTGTCCTGTTATTTCAGGTGGTATGTCGCCCTCTGACTGAGAGACGATTCCCATCATAGCTGAAAGTAGACAGCCTGAATAACTGTCGAAACTTAATCTGCCATAATAAGAGCAAAGCGCGATTTGTGAAGCCCTTTATCAGGGTTGATAGGTTAGTTTTCGGATGAAAATACCCACATGTTAACGTACAAGCTATGGGGAATACTCAATGAGTGTCTTATCTCTCGCCTCTATCATATCTATCCACTATACGGATACCCTCGGTTTTAACGCCTGACGCCATGTGGATCACAATAAAGACAACGCTAAGCGACCGACTAGGAACAACTTAGTACATGTAGACACGGTGGAGTAGTCACGACAGAAGATTAGGTAGGAATATCCGTGAATTTGCCATAATTTACCCTCCTCGCTTCGAGGCTCTGCGTCATCTTACCCCAGCTCAGCCCTCACCTGACCAAAGTGATAAGTACTATCTTTCCATTTGTTCCATATTGTGCCTGCTTAAACTTTTACATCGGCATAAGAAGATGGAGTCCTCTGGGTCTAAGCATGAGCTGGTTGCAAAACTGACACTTGAAGAAAAGGTGTCATTGCTTGCTGGAGCTGACATATGGCATACCCAAGAGATCGCTAGGTTTGGGATTGGGTCAATCAAGGTAGGCATAGATGAACCAAATTATTATGAGTGCCATACTAACAATGATTTAAAAGACAACGGATGGTCCATCTGGCGCTCGAGGTAAATTTGTTGCTGATGGGGCCAAAGCTGCTTTTGTCCCAGGCCCCGTTTGCCAGGCCGCGACATGGTCCAAATCACATATGAGAGATCTAGGTCGTCTGCTCTGCAAAGAGGCAAAGACAAAATCTGCACATGTCTTACTGGCTCCTACTATATGTTGCGCACGAAACCCATTGGGCGGTCGCAATTTCGAGTGCTTCGGCGAAGATCCTTTCCTCAGCGGTTGTCTTGCGATTGAGTATATACGTGGAGTTCAAGAGACTGGTGAAGTAGCTGCCACCCCCAAACACTTGTAAGTGATATTCTAAGCTCTCAACTGTATCAGTATCAGAACTGATGTATTCCAGCGTGGCAAATGAACAGGAATATGAAAGATTCAGCATCGACGCCAAGATATCAGAGAAAGCTCTGCGAGAGATCTATCTGCGTCCATTTGAAATGGTCGTTCGAGGTCCATCACCTCCAGAATGTCTAATGACATCCTACAATTCTGTTAATGGTTATCACACAGACATGAGTCAAACTCTACTTGTCGATATTCTTCGAAAAGAATGGGGCTTCAAAGGTCTAGTTATGAGCGATTGGGGCGGCACAAATTCCACGCTTGAAAGCCTTCTAGTCGGCCTGGATCTTGAAATGCCAGGGCCACCAGAAAGACGAGGCAAGACGCTTCTGCAACTTGCGCAAAAAAACTCACCAAACCCGAATCTTCTTGAAGCGATAGATGTATCTTGTTCTCGCATTCTAAACTTGGCAGAGAAACACGGTCTTACTGGACTAACGCCCGAAGCTGCGCGTCTCACTAGAGAATCTTCAGAGACTTCTTCGACGAGCACGGAAGATATAAAATTGATGCGAGATATTGCAGCCAATGGCATTGTTTTGTTGAAGAACACAAATCCCACTCTACCTCTCAGCGCCAAAGAACTGAACGGAAAACAGGTTGCCTTCATTGGCCCCAATTCTCTTGTTGGTACACCAGGAGGAGGTGGTTCTGCCAGCATGAACCCTCAATATCTGAGTCAGCCCATGGTATCTTTCAAAGCAGCTGCCTGGGATCTCGGATTCGATGTCTCTATGAAACACGCTTTAGGTGCAAACGGGCGAAAATGGCTGCCTTTATTTTCTAAGACACAATGGTCTGCCGCCAGTCTGGTTGATGATGGTAACACTAGTGGAAAGACACTCTTGCGCGTCGATTATTTTGCCTCTCAGGATCTCACGGGGCCAGTTCAAGAAACACAACTACGCAATGATTCAACCGTCGATATGTCTGACAGCGCACCCTTAGCCTTCCAGGTCGACCCTGTACCACCATACTCATATCGCATAACTTCTATTCTCACACCATCCACAAGTGGACTACACTCTTTCAGTATCTCTAGTGTTGGCGATGCGACTCTTCACATTGATGACGAGCTTGTTATTGACAACCGTAGCTGGGCACAGCCTGGAGAGACCTTTTATGCATTTGGTAGCGCTGAGGTTATTGGCAAGAAAACTCTTGAAGCGGGCAAAGAATACCAAGTTGTGGCAGAGGGATGGGTACGAAAAGAACCTCGGCCTGACGCAGGCTTCTCAGCGGAAGCCAACCACGTCTTTGCAGCTCATCCATCCATTCGCCTTGGTTACCAGGAACAGCTTCCTGACGATGAAGCTCTCATCACTGAAGCTGTTGATCTGGCGAACGAGAGCGAGGCTGTAGTCGTTGTGTTAGGACTCAGCGATGAGTGGGAGAGCGAAGGATATGATCGCCAATCCATGAAATTACCAGGGAAACAAGATGAACTCGTCGAAGCTCTTGTACAAAGAGTCAACCGACCCGAAAAGCTCATATTTGTTAACCAATCCGGTTCACCCGTAGAATTTCCCTGGATCGATGACATATCGACTATGTTGCAAGCGTGGTATGGTGGTCAAGAAGCTGGTAACGCTCTGGCCGATGTGCTTCTTGGAACTGTCAACCCTTCTGGCAGGTTGCCTATAACTTGGCCCAGACGTTACGCTGACCTTCCTTTCGCATCTGACCCCGAATCCTGGCCAGGTGTCGATGGGACTGTTACATATAAAGAGGAACATCGTGTCGGTTACCGTTGGTATTGTCAGAACCGGCCAGTATCCCCGCAGTGGTGGTTCGGATATGGCCTGAGTTACACGCAATTCACCTCTAACATCACAGCAGTCGATGATAAGAAAAGCGAGTGGAAGATCCAAGTCTCGGTCGCAAACACGGGAACCCACTCAGGTGCTGAAGTTGTTCAAGTGTATTTCTGGCCTTTCCATCGGGAACAAGACCTGATGTTAGTTGGTTTCGAGAAAACAGAGATTCTCGAGCCAGGGCAGAGAGTGCAAGTGGAGGTGCACATTAAGAAACGTGATGCAGCACGCTGGTCAGGGAATAAGTGGCGGCTTAAGTCAAATAAATATGCCTTCGGAATTGGTATAGGTGGAGATGAATCGACTTGGGCAATCAGCCATTCAGATTTAGCGTGGGAAGTATAAAGTAAAAGGATATCTAACTACAAGCTAGCTTTTAAATATTTCAATGGATACTAGAGTTTACTTCATCGACTATAGTACCCGCTCTTATAACTTGGGTCTTTAGGGTAAGTTAATGACATCTATAATCAGCACGTTGAGTGACATAGCTAATTTAAATTGACTGGCAAATAACGCTTTATTAGTAGGTTGGTGGTATTTTTAATCATAATAAGTTATATAACACCAACTACTAGGTCTTATGTCTACACATTTACATTGTTATTTTAACATGTTGTGTCCTGACTGGTTATGCTTTGATCTAATAGTATATTGGAAATGTAGCTCGGATATTTGTTCTGGCAAAGCTCTCTTATGGCCTCCAACATACAATCATGCTCGTTTAAACTAAAACATAAGATCTACAAGCTGTTAAAAGCAACTGAAAACATTACTAAAGCCATCCCTTCTTACCTTTACGCAGACCAGAAGATACCTTTATTATTCGAATCTCAAGCTGTCATCCTAGTACCAGCCAATCAGTCACTAGCATGAGACGGGAAACGTAGGGCTCTCGAGTCTGGACATGCGTCACAGGCACGAGATTCCGCATTGATCTGAAGAGATGACGATTAACTAAGTGATATTACGCATAGATCAATGCCGGCTGTTAATTCATTTGAACGCATCTGATAAAGTTTTCTCGTGTTTTGCCTTCATTCGTATAATATCCTCGGAAATTCATAACTCATCGGACCCGACTGAGACGGCATTATATACGTCATCTAAATACCGACAAAAGGTCCGACTATCCTTGCCATCTTTATATGACATCATTAAGTACATCTAGCCTCGGGCAGAAGTTAACCCGCTCTGGTCAAGCGGAATTTGAAGCTATTTTTATCCCGGACCCTTGATCTGGATCTTAAGGGCCAGCCTGGACCCTTCTAGAATCCTGCAGCGAACATGTGCAGTATCATTTAATTCATTTGAGCTGTTGAGAGCAGTCTGCATTGAGCAATGACCTCGCACCTAACGGAATTGCTGTGGGACACCCCCAGAGAGCCGAGCTCCATTTGGTGCGTAGAATACGAGGTCTGGGGGATCGTGACGCTCATTGTTCCCCACAAACAGGAAAACTTTGAGGGATCTGCTAGTGATCGGCAAATGAGGCAATGAACGTGGATGTTTCGGATATTTCGGTGATGGCGGCCTTACTACATAAGGACGATGTGATACCCTCTTGGGACCATCTATCATTGTCTTGTACCACTCAATCTCTAATAACACTTTTACCAAACCACTACAACAGATTCTTCTTTTACCACATCAAAAACATGAAGTTCTTCACCACCGCTCTTGTCTCCGCCGCTGCCGTCTCGGCCTCTTCTGTCTTTGAGGTCAAGGACTTCTCTGCCGACTGCATTCCTCACAGCTCTCAGTGCCGGTTGGTTGCTTCATCTCCATACTCTCACAAATTTCCCTAACATTCTCTTAGATATGCTTTCCACGTAATCCAGCCCGGCACCATGGAGACATGGGAGAACCCTGTCCACTGCGTTGCCCTGGTTCAGTCCAACGACGGTCTCCTGCCCAACGTCAAGGGTGCTGGTTGCGACGAGTCATCCCGAACCTTCGATATTACGCGTGGCAAGAAGGGTCTAACCTTCACTGTCTCTCAGCCCGTCACACCCTCCAGTAACCAGACTGGCAAGCACTTCATTCCCAACAAGGAGTTATGGGTCTCTAAGAAGCCTAATGCCGAGGTTCAAGCCTACAAGGGCCCTGAGGAGTTTAGCCTCAACTACTAAATTAGATTTTAAAGGGATATTAGGCGTATTATACCATTGTATTATCAATAAATTCATAGAATATTTTTAAAACATTTCCCTGTTTAAGTTTAGTATTATAATGTTACTGCGTAGATATGGACCTTAACCCTTTTAACAGTTAACTTTTTAAAAATTAGATTCTCGGCTAATATTTACTGTTTGCAGGATCTTAACTGAGTAGAGTAACCTTTATAATTAAAGTGACTACCTATAGCTATTAGTATTAATAGGTTATGTATTTATATACGTCCTTGTTTAATATCTATTTATAACAAAATGCATGTACTAGCTATACTTATGTACTTTACTTTTATATATAGAGATAGTATAAATCTTCCACTGTGTCTTATATTTACTGCTGCATTAACACGGGATTATCTTTAGTATCTGTTCTTTATCCCGTGAAAGTTATTCTTAGACCTGTAAATGGATGAGGTTTTAAGAGTAAACTGTTAATAAGACTAATTCGCAGATATGTAAAAAGAACCTAGTTTTACTAGCAAGCTGTAATAGAGCGGCATAGCTATATTAGGAAAGCTTAAGAAGTATATTGTTGCATATCGTATTAGAATAGCAGGATTACACACAGTAGATCTATGAGTATTTTTTAACTATAGTATTGTAAGAAAACTATCTAATAATTGAATGGAAAGTTGGTCGCCCCTGTTACATCGAAGTTACGTTTTGATCACTGCTTGCACAGTTCACCAGTGTTCAGATCATAATCCCAGGCATCACTTCCCACTCCAGAAAGAACCCACAGACTGTTAGTAGGATCATACTTGTTCTTAACCTGCACCAATCGATCGTAATAGCTTCCATAGAAATCCTTCTTGAAGTTGGAGTTGAAAGGGTTTCCCTCGTTCATATAGGCACCTGTCTCAGGAGCCCACTCCCGCCACAAACTCTCAGTACCTTCCTCAAGCTGTTCGGCGGCATCCTTCAACATGTCTTGCGGTGCAAGAGACTTGTTGAACTTTGCACCATAGCTCATGACGTGGAGATAGTTGGAGCGCCACGCTGGGAGAAGAGAGCCGCGCATAGTCTTATCGACCTTGGCAGGTCCAGGTCCTCCTTGAAGACCAATGACAACAAATCCATGACTGAGAAGACGTTTCGCATAGCCAACGAGCTTGTCCTGATTGAGGTCTGATAGCTCTGGCCGTCCGAGAAGACGGCTAGAGACCATCGACATGGCACCAGCTGTATGGGAGCCCTCAGCATTCATATCGCTGAAAAAGGATAAATAGCTAGACTCAGAAAGCTCACTAGGAACAACAGTGATGAGACTGTTGTTTCGTCCTCCACTAGCAGTCAAGAGATGATTCGTGGTTGAGTTGATGAGCTTTCGAACAGCTGATGGTGGTTTGTTGTAAGCGTAAATACCCTGGCTAATGGTCACACCGGTCTTGGGGCTGCCTGAAACAATTGTTGCACCAGCCAAACCCGCGTCCATGAGAGAAGGAAGATCTTGCAGAAGAGCAGCCAGTGCCTTGAAGCTGGCTTCAATAGCAGTAGAACTGTTGCCGGCAAGGCTAACAGAGAAGCCGGCATTGACTACTCTGGGTGCAGCATGAGTCTTGATAACGTATTCTGTCACGATACCGTACTGGCCTGCACCACCGCCGCGAATTGCCCACAAGAGATCCTGGTTTTGGGTGGCATCGGCTACGATGATCTGACCCTCGGATGTGATAACTCGAACTTGGTAGATGTTGTCGGCTGCAAGACCGAAAGTACTGGACAACGGACCATGGCCTCCTCCTTGAATGTGGCCACCAAGACCGACGGTGCCGTCATTGCCGCTCACGATAACGCGGCCGTATTTCAGAGCGTGGCCAACGGCTTCGAAATAGTTGAGGCCACTTCCTGCAATCAAGACAGTATCTGTCTTATTCGATCCAGGTATCTTCCAGTCTCGCACAAGCTTTTTATTCTTCAGGTTATGAGTCCATATGGATAGCGAATGAGCGCCAGCAGATCTATGCCAGCCTATTAGTCTCTGAAGTGGTTGTAGTTACTCTCAAACTTACCGTCCAAACAAATCATGACCAGTTCCCTTTACCACAATACGCATGTTTCTCTGGGATGCCCAGCGAGTAGCCATAGCGATTTGTTCGTCGCCGGTGGCATTGACAATATGGTTCGGATATCCACCCAGATGGCATCCACGGGCCGCGTTGTAACCATCGGCACCAGGTGGTAAACACGAGTTGTTCGCATACAGTGGAGAAGCGATTGACTCGGGTAGATCAGCATGAAAGGTGGCGGCAGTCCAGTTGCCCTCGACGGTGCGGCAAGATAAGGGTGAGTCGAGAGGGTTACCCTCATAGCATGAAGAAGCGGCTGGACGGGTTTTGAGTAGTGCGCCGCCGATAGTTCGATTGAGGTCTCCCCATTCTTCGACAGAAGGCCAATTATGATCAGATGGGGAGAGTTTGCAGGCCGGGGATGCTGAGGCTAGTACAGAGCCTACGAAAGCGAAAGCGTAAAGAAGCATCATGTTGAGGGCTGTGTTGTTGAATGTATGATAAGATGCTGTGAAGGGGAGTATCAATACCTTATATATAGCCCTTTGAAGGAAAGGATATGCTATTGACTTGATGTTACCTCATTTCTTTGCATCGAATTCTCCGTTCCAAGAGCATAAGGGGCAAACAGTTTGTGGGCAACCCGTTGCTTAATGTACGCGTATTGCTCAATCCCACCTTATACCCACATCGCACTCAAGTTCGCCTGTTTTTCATATCAAGGGACTAGGAATGCACTCTCTGATTAGTTGCCCATCACAGTCACGGCATCTCCGGAGAAAATCGCTTGGTTTAATCACACCAAGATATAGAGACGCGTCAGTTATGATCCACTTGATTGAGGTCTGGGCGCTAGCGGCGAAATGAGGCGGGTTTCAAGCTGGTGTAGTTGGAAGCGAATGCGTAAAAAATTCGATTGGTCGATCAGTAGCTTCGGGGAAATGCGACTTTTCGCATTGTCTCGTATTATTAAAAACCCCGAGATAGTTAAAAAGCCTGACCAGAGCCGACGTATTCGTTGCATAGTAATGGATGAATAACTTCGCACTCGTAATTACTAATCATAATGAGATATCGCACCCACATGGTATTGGTATTATGTTCTGGTCTGGGGGGTTTCCAGGCGTTTTGAACCGTGTTTGAAGAATAAAGCCCAATATGTCAGTACTACCAGGCCTAAGTTAATTACAACACATCACCGAAGTCCATTGGTAACTTCTTTTAGGCGTATGATTTTAAATATTGCTTAATTATACCGGTATTTATACTTGTTGCTTCCTTAGTATCTTTGATTCCAATCTCTCCATCCTCCTTAACCTGACAGCATGACATAAGTTCCAGATAAACACATAACCCATTACTCCCGCTACTAACACTGCAACAGTCGCGGCAGGTCCAACAATAGCCAGCACAGTAAAGCACATGGACACGCCCTGGAACGCATCGCTCTCTTGTAGCCTCGTAGTAGCTAGTCCGACCTGCATTGCGGCTAAGATGAGTGCAAAATAAACAGTGGCCACCGTAATTGGCGCAACCATCTGGTTGAAGAAATTGCGGTAACTCGAGTATGGGTTCAGATATCCATTGACGAATGCGTGCACACCCCCGGTACGGGATCGAAAACGCCATATCCATTGAATCCGGTTGAGGCGAAGATTGCCGTATTTGAATCGTGGGTTGACATCAAGACCTAGTGCTTCAAAGTGACTGGTAAAAGAAGAAACGAAGGCGGTCCAGCGCTCCCAGGTGATGGATTGAGAAAGGATGCCCTCTGCTTGTGCAATCTTCCAGTCGGATTTGTCCTGGATCAGCCACGTATACGACTGAAGCACACCGGCAGCCGTCTCCCATAGACTGACGTTGCCACAGCACAGATAACGCTCCCAAAATTCAAACGACAGCAGATAATCTGAGCATGGCTTGATAAAAATCCGAGAGTCATCCCACAACAGGTGAAGGTCGGCCTGCTCTGAGCACACAATCTTCCGACCGTACATGAGGTGTTGATGTAAAGGGCGGCCAGGCATCGGTTTTCCGACCATCCAGAGGTGGTCATGGATCTCGTTCAGCCTGGATACGTCTAGCTGGGTTTGTAGGTATGTCTCGACACCATATTTGAAACTGAGTCTATGAAGCTTCCCTTTCTTTGCGTAAACGGCTGGCAGAATGAGGGTGTCTGGATTGGAGTCTTCGGACCAAGTCGTAGCTTTGGGGATACGAAAGAGTGATACTGATGCATCGAATGGGACGGGTCTAACAATACTTAGGGTTTGTTGTCGAGAGACGTCGTACATCGTGAGCGAATAAAGATGGGCCAGTTCGTTGGTGTTCAATGCTCGAAATACAGGACGGTGGGACAAGAATAAGAATAAGCGAACGAAACATAGAAAATGCAGTAGATAAGACAACTGACGTCACAACAGCCCAAGTCTGCTTATGGGAAGCAGAGGTAGTTAGTCTAACTTGATACCGTTATTTGAGCCGGTCTTTAGGGCCCTCCAGCGTATTAGAAATAAATTAGAGGGCTGCTACTCGATACTGTACTAGGTACTACGTAGTAATAAGTCCTACTTGTCACAGGCCATGCATGATTGACGGGTCAAGATTTGAATCTTGGTGCGTGAGACGAAGGAAGATGATGTCACTGTGCAGCTTAAAGGTTGCCCAGACTAACGGTATTCTGTCTGGCTGCTTTGAAAAGCGCTGGGGCAGGGGTCCTGATCAGCACTTCAAATGGCTGGAAGAATATGTGTTGGTGATGTGACCAGCTGTGCCGCAGGGACAAGTGTGACATCCTAGGGCTCAGTGACGAGCACGAATCTGCAATGCAACCCTACTAATCGATTGCCCAATTCAGTTAACAGATTTGAAACATTAGAAAGGTGACATTTCTTTTCATGTTGGTGAGCTCTACTTCTTCATATTCATCATGGCCGGCATACGTACTCTCGAGGCGAAGGCCCATGCTAAAGATGAGGCGCACAGAAAAAAGCTCCAAGAAGAGGTCGAGCGACGCAAAGCCCAGGAGCAGGACAAAAGTCGAGGCGAAAACGTGTGGTTCTCTCGTCGGATCAAAGATGGTCACTTATATCACTGGGCGCTATTTGTCTACGGCAAGAAATACGAACTAAGGCTTCCGTCACGGCAGAATTTCAAGAGCCTACCAAATGGACATCTTGTCGGGTCTATAATCCCTTCGATCAATTATGAGAGCAATATTGCGCCGTGGTCGATGCAAGACGAGATGATGCGGCTTCGACAGGAAAGTCTTGACAACGAGGGCAAGCCGTATGCTCAGGACTACTATATCTGTCAGATTGGCTGGACCAAGTTGGCAGAGAAGGAAGTTGATGATCATTGCGAGGCTGCTCAGAAATCCTTTGGTGTATATGTCCTCGGTTTCAACGACTGTCAGAGTTTCCTGCGGCGATTTGCAAAGCTTATTATTCAACAGCCAGAGGACTGCGCTCTTGATTTCCCTTGGTTCGAGAAGAATGTACAGACTCCCTATCACCAACTGCAGCTTGTTGCTGCGGATGAGAACATCAAAAGGTTCCAGCTTTACATGCAAATAGCCGTATATGGGGCTGCGGGTGCGACAGTCGGGGCCGCCGTGGAGACGTATGACCACCAATATCAAACGCAAGAGCCAATGACCAGGACAAACAAAAAAGAGGGCGAGAACTCAAAGTCGAATAATAAGGATGACGGATGCTGTGACTGTGATGGTGGTTGCTGCTAGAATAAATGTCCTGGAAGAATTTATGTACTAAAGGAGAAAGAAATGCTTTCGAGTTATATTATGACTTATAGTGCTATTAAGTGAATTATTATATGTAATGCGAATTTACAATGATCCACATCAGAGCAGATAAACTTCCGAAATCTTCAATCAGCCTCCGCTCAAGACTAGTCAATCCCTCTAGAAATAAAGACAAATATTAAACAGCTTGATTATCATGGAACGAAGCCAGTAAAGCTTGACAATAGTAACTCTTCTAGCTTCGAAGTATGTACTCAAGTTAGGCATCGAACGACTAGTTGATCGCGAACTAACTTCAGCTTCTTTAGGTTATCCAGTTCCATGGCGCTATGGAAGGTTAAAGCCCGCTCAGCTTCTGTCCAACTAGAGCCAACAGTGCACTAGCGTGTGTGGTAGTGCACGTGACATATAGGAGATGATCTATGTATAAAACGTTGCTACTAGACACGATTTCAGCCTATTGAGTTTCGTACGGAATGCACCCATTCACAACCCGACGAGTTTGAGGAATAGCCGTCCACTATTGTCATCGCAGTCATCCTGCTGACTTCTACACAAAACGACTCGCATAAGAGACCTCGATTGTGAGTGGCAGTATCCGCAATACTGGTATAGGTTTGCTTACCGTCAGCAGTAATCGTTTCCACAGAAATGTGAAGCAAACTCCTTGAAACCTTTCATTAGTTTCCTAATCATTTCATTTTGAGCCACACGTCGACACCAGCATCTCTTTGCCAAAGTGAGTGAATTCTTCTACCGAGAAAGTATATCACAACGTCCCTGTCAAGAGCTACGTAAAAGCTTACGGAAGATCAAATTGCATGATATACATACAGTTATTATGTTCAATATCATCGAAGACGACCTTAAGAGCACTCAATAACGGGAATTGGTCGCTCTCAATCTGGCTGGTATGAGTGAAAGCGTTCCGCGAGGGGCTATTTTTCTCGATCTGACCGATCTACAGCGGCCTGAAGTAACAGTCTGGAGCGCATGGGAAGATTCCAGAATCGCTAGCGTTGGGGCGTTAAAGATATGACCAGACGGAACGGGAGAGATCAAGTCAATGCGAACACATCCTGATTCTGTTGGACGCGGAGCCGGTGCACTCATTCTTGAAACCATTACCACAGCGGCCACAGAGCGAGGCCTACGTCGCCTTAGCCTTGAGACTGGTAGTGGAAAGACATTCGAGGCCGCTCTTGCTTTTTACCAAAAGTATGGTTTCAAGAAAGGTGCTGCATACTCGACATATCAGCAAACAGAGTTCAATCACTTTCTGCATCTCTTATCTTAGTTAGACTAGGGAAAGATTACAACTACCCAAAGAGACTGTAGCAATAATCCACCTAATGCAAACGAGAATACCAGCTTTTGTCATTCAATTGTCCTTTAATCTTTCCGCCTACGTGACGGTGTCGATCTCTCCGGAATGTACTATAAGGATATAAATTTCGGCTATTTAAGGATAACGTAGCTCATCGTGTGCTTCGGACACGTTTCAATAATCTACCTCGACAGGTTTCATAGCGTAACCTAGGACTACCAACCATTCTACAGTTGTGGGAAATCAGCGAGCTGCAAGCCTTTAATCTTCTCCTCCACTGCAAGTATCAGAGGATCGATGATGTCCTTTAGACAACAGTCATGTCGAGTTATCTTCTGGGGTGCATCCTTGTCCTCGCTTGTTTGGGATTGAGAAGCCTTCTCAGTGGCAGTAGCATCACTGCCAAACAAACTGCTATTACCAAACAAACCGCCAGGCCGGGGAGTCGAAGTCGTCTGAGGCGTAGTACCGCCACCGAATAGTCCACCAGAGGTTGTTCTGGGAGCAGTTGCAGTATTGGCTTGAGGCACCGCAGGAGTGCCGAATAGACCACCGGGAGTGAAACCACCATTTCGAGGTTCAGGCCTACCGCCAAAAAGACCGCCAGGGGCTGTATTCGTCGCAGGAGGACTCTGGAGTGCGGGAGAAGCGCCGAATGACCAGCCAGAAGCTGGTTTGGGAACAGGATTGTGTTCGGGGTGGGATTGATTAGAGCTCGGCCCAAAGAGGGTCGATTTGACTGGGGGAGGGGGCAGAGCAGTTGGCTGTTCTTGCATGTGCCATAAACCCGAACGCTTTCCAGCAGGACAGTCGCCAAAAGCGCTGAAGTACCTTGGTGACTGTACATTGCGCAAAGTTTCGATCACCGAGTCCAAGGTCAAGGATGAAAATGGTGGCTCAGGCGGTGGGTACAGCTTGGAGGCTTTCATCGCTTGTAGCAAAGCTCCCAAAAGCATAGCTCTGCAGCCTTGGCTACAGCCCAATCTCCCCTCGAGGAGATCATCCTGGAGCCTGTCGAGTCTATGCACCAGGTCTTGTAGGATGCGTGCTCTGCTGTCCTTAATACGATCTGCTTTCTAAGTTTAAGTTTCATAAATACTGTCACGGGCAGACTCACTGATAATATCTGTACGAATTGGGAGATCAAACGATGGCACAATATTGCTGCTGTGTCGAATAGCTGCCTCGGTACTGTTGCAAAAGAGGTTGGTGCTCTCGAAAACAAACGAGATGAGGATGAGTTGCGCTAGGGTTTTATCCATGGTTTTTGGGAGGTGGTAAAATATGCCAAACGGCATGAGCCACATGTAGCCGAAGATCAGAATAGCATCGCTGCATTCCAGATCATCAACAACAGAAGCAATCTCGGCCAAGACGTCTGTACCAAGGCTTCGGGGAACGGCACGTGATTTCCCATGAATGACGTTCAAGACAATCTGGAAAGCCTCGAGGTTGAATGCGCTACCGAAGTCCCAATGATAAAGCCCATCATCCTGTTTTGAGGATTCCTTGAAGTTGCTTGAGAATACTCTCGCAGCACGGTGCGATGCAAAAGTCAGATGCTTTTTGGAGCAGAGAAAATGTTTCTCAGTCTTGACGGCGACTTTTTCTGAGGAGTCTGTGGAGGCAGGAATCTTCTGGTTGATAGCAAGAATAAGCAGAGTATCACCCTCAGGGTCAATGTCGACCCGCATCCTTGGAGTAAGTGACATCTTTGCTGGGTCGATTGTGAAAGAGTTAAACCTTTGTTTGGGAGATCGAATGCCCCATTGTGACACGTACTCCATTTTCCCTGACTAATCAGGCCAGGGGTATGTACGGCGCCACGGCGCGTAATAAGCCATCGAGAATTCAAATCACGGTCTGACTTGCGAAATTATAACAAATATAAAAAATACTACAGCTCCGAGTATTATAGCTAAGTGACATGTTTTAAAAGTTGGCTCTGGACTATTGCTTTTATTCGCCGTTGCTAGAGCTAGTGTCTTACCCTGCAGCAATGCAAACCGCAGTGCTTCGAAGCTACCTGAAGTTTAAGCCTGTGCTGCAGCCTTAATGGCCTCCACCAATGTAGGCGCCATCTTGGGATTCAAATGTACGCAATGGCCTGCCGCAACCCTTACAACACTGACATCGCTAAGGGCCTTAATCATTCCTTCTTGTGCTTCTGGAGGTAGAGCGTGGTCATCTTCGGCAAGAACATAGGTCTTGGGGACAGCCACATCCACGGCGGCGAATTTTTGCGGTGTCTCGAAACTAGCTGTGCTCTGGTAGACACCCGCATCAAGAAGCTGGTTTGCAAGTCCGGGCTCAGTATCATTGTAAAGAGCATCCTTGGCACCATCGCCCAAGGCAATCGCATCACCCTTAAAATAGTGTCTTTGTCAGCTAGTTTGATCTTGAATCGCCTATCGCGTGTCATTTTTTGTTGAGGTACCAACCTTGTTGTTCATGAATGGAGCATAGTCTCCACCAAGGGCCATTAGAAGGGAGAGTTCCCTAGCTGGAAACGCAAACGCTGCAAGATAAACTATGTGCTTAATTCCTCCGGACAGCCCACGTGCGCGACGTTCGTGAACCTGGTAGCCCTCTGCAGCTGCAGAGGCAGGAACACCGCCGTAACTGTGGCAAACGATAACAATCTCCTTGCCAGCTGCAAGGTGCGGTTCAATGGCGGAGTGGATGACTGACACGTCGTCTCGGTAAGTCTTGCCACGGATGGCAGCAACATCTGTACCGCTGGAGGCATTCTGAGGCTCCAAGACAGTGAAACCGTCGCTGGTTAAGACTTTTGCTAGAGGCTGCCACTGGGCAGCTGTTTGCCACGCGCCATGAACAAGAACGATGATAGGTTTAGTTTCAACCATGATGTGTAGATGGGTAGGGACTCGGGTGCTGGGTGATAATTGCAGATGTTTTGGACATTCCAAGACTTTGTCGACTCTGCGCTGGACTGATCCTCACATAGGCGTTTTCTACATACTGTCTAAACATAGCTTGGAAACTTATAGAAACCGCTGCTACCCCTTTAGCATCCGCCCATCCTTTACTCCGGCAACTGGACTGGCAGTGCGATGAGTAGTGGCGTGGGTGCAAAAGGCCAAGCCGGCAGGACAAGTCGGTAGATGAGACGCCAAATGAAATTAGTCGAGCACAAGAAGTAAGGCGGGCCGATCTCCAGATCGCGATCCAGGCATAATAATGACAAATCACTAGTTTCATTCCGGTCCGCCACTTCGTCGGATACAGTTGAGGGTTTATTGCGTAAGCTTAAATGTGTCAGATTATTGATACCGAAAGTTCAAGGATATGGCAACGAAATACTAGCCTCATGCCTCGATTGATTTGACTAAATGCCCGCTTCAGGCCGCTATCTATGCCGCAAATTGCGGCATTATGTGCACGTCTGTCTAGTTAAGATTAAGCCGCTGTTTCTGCCGCAACCTAAAATATGAAGATCTTTAACATTTTCATTTCCCTCGGGCCGAGAAGTTAAACAGCTCTTAAGTTCTCTGGTGTCCCTAACCAAGTTTTAGACTAATGCTGAATAACTACTTAATACTGAGATAATTTCTTTGAATAAGAAAGAGCATTGCGTTAGGGAAACAAAACATTGTGAAAGTGGCAGCGAAACGCAACAGAAAGTATTTAAGACGAAGAGCCTGCTAACAGACTCTGCATAACAAATTTTCTACTCCCTCTTATAGTGCTCAAAATGACGAGCTGGAATCTTTTTCTCAAACATAATGTCAAGCTCATGAAATGTCCTGCCCTTCGTGCCAGGGACATCGAAATAGACAGCCAGCATCGTCAAAACAGTCATACCAAAGAAGACCCAACCAATATGTCCGCCCATGTTTCCCTCATCCTTGTTGAACATATAGGGAAGAATAGTCACCCATACAGTACTGGTTATAGCTTGGAATCCAAACGCAATTCCTTGCGACTTGGCCCTCAACCTGGATGCAGAAACCTCACCAGCAACAGCAAGACTCGAGCCAACAGCTGGACCATATGCAAGGCATGTGCACTGCATGACAATTCCAATAGCCAACAGAGTCTTTTCGGATTGAGGACAAGATGCCGCCACGCCCATGATCAGATAGATAATGGCACAAGTAGACATGCCGACAAACATGAGTGGTCTATGTCGGAAGAGACTCATCATGTAGATATTGACCAGCGATGACAGGATCGATACCACAAGGCCAATCTGCATCAGCTTGATGATCAAACCGCTACCGAGGCCTGTCTGGCTTAGGAAGTATGGGGCATTAGATGACAAGCTGGCACCTACGATCTGTGGCATATACATGCAGATCAGGATGATCCGTGTGCGGCGCCAGTTGCTCCCCTTGAAACATTCCAGAAAAGACGCTTTCTCGCAATTGATGAGTCGTTCCGCCTCGACGGTTTCTTCCATATGCCTGAGACGAGCTTCAAGATCTTCATCCGCTGAGCATAGCTTGGCCAAATGTTTCAAGGCTTGTTCGGGTTTGTTCTTCATGATGAGATAGTATGGTGACTCGGGTAGGAATGGAAGACCAAGGGCGAGAAGTCCGGGAAAGGCCCAGGCCGCGGCGAATACGACTCGGAATGCGGATTCGTCCATGATTGTGACTCTCGCGTAGGTTGTTGATATGGCAATGAGAAAACCCACATTCTATAGCTTAAGTTAGCAAGGGAATAGACAGCTAAGGCTAAGCAATACTTACCATCATGAGAATGTTGAGGGATAGTGCGATCCCACGTAAGGGTAGAGGGGTTATCTCAGAGACATAAGTCTGTGTTGTTGACTGGAACGCACCAACAGCGAATCCCGAGATAATTTTGGCCCCCATAAACTGTGCCGGTGTTTCGGCCACATATGCAAGAGTGATTCCACACGATACAATTATAACACCAAGAAGGAAGACTGCCCGCCGACCGATCCTGTCTTGAATGAAGCCAGCTGAGACCGAACCGAAGAGTTGCATAATGTTGTAAGTCGCGTTCCAGAGGGACTGCCAGTAAGCGGGGATAATAAGATGCCCGTCAACCTCGCTCGCAAACTTCATCCTATATATCTGTTAACATAAGCAACTCAAGCTGCAAGGCTGTTGACTTACTGGAATGCGGGCAATGCCAGACAGACGGCAAGTGCAAGATTTTCATAGCCGACCAGAGTGGCTCCCACTGTATCTAATGTAAGCCAACGTTACTCTTATTTTGAGAATATGACGTACAGTTCGCATAAAGAGCCCAAAGTATCGCTTTTGGGTTCTTCCGAGCACATTCCCACGTCGTGGTCTGGTGATCCTGGATAGCAACAGCATCTTCAGCATGTTTCACCTCAGCTTTCTCAAGCCCAGTAGCATTGTCCAAGTCTTGATGATTGATCATCTTGGCAGGAGGAAAGAAAGGAAGAAAAAGTGACTATGTTGAATGGTCCACTGTAATGTGGATGGATGTTGAGATGAGAAGAACAAACGGGCATCTCCTGGGATAGGTGACATCCTTTATCAATTTCGCTTTCGTTACGGGAAAACATCACACCCGACCGGAAGACTTATTGTCTAATTGCCACGCTATCATTTTCCCCCATGGTCTGGACCCTAGAGTCACAATGTATGGGGTCTCCGCGTTTTCGTCCCCGCGTTTCGGTATACCTGATCTCGGGAATTCCGATGCCGTCCGGATATCCCGAGTTGACTGGGCTCGGCTATCTGAATAGTGTTGGAAGCTCGCTGTATTACATACCGAGAGTACAGATACATTCAAGTTCGATTAAAATCTCAAAAGTAACTCATAAGACCGTTATACATATTTCCATGTTTCAAAACCTTATTGATAGCTTTGGCTGCCATTCACAATGCGAGACTCTACAGACACCATTCCAATTATAACCCCCACAAGGGTTTTGAGAACAGCCGGGGAGGTACAGTTCAGTAATGACCTGTCACACTTTACTCTGAAGAGCCCAAAGTCTGGATTAAATGCGGAAATTGTCCTGGACTATACCCGTTGCGAAGGCGGATTACCCACCTTTTCTATTGTTTCTGCATCAGCGCCTAAAGGCCAGCAACAAGTCACGTTTCAAGTCACTTACAGCGAGACTATTGAGGGAATCGATAACGAAAATGGTAAGAATTCTTTGTTCATTTTGTTATCGCTGTATTGACGACGTTTGGATAGGCGATGGCCCGTTCTTCCTTTTCTCTAATGCTATGGATAGCTACCGTGTCTGTTGCCACGAAGCCGCCGTTACCAACGACACTCAGGTAATAAGATCTAGATTCGCTCAAGCATCGCAAAGATATCAGAGAATCACTTTGGTGGAGCCAGATACCACCATTGTATTTTCCAAAATAGGCTTCCAGCCCAGCCGTCCTCAAGTGTCGATGCGAGCTACATTCCACTGTTCCGATGAAACAATCAATCGAATTTGGACAGATGGAGTCCGTACGGTTGACATGTGTACGGTGGCTCGTGAAGAGACGGTTCCAGCCTGGGACATTACCGACCAGGGAACTCGTGTCTACGGTGGTCACTGGGCCCCATGCAGGAAGGGAACAAGGTGGTCCGATACCAAGACAACATTCCAGACAAAAGTTGAGAAACATGGAGCTAGTTGGGCCGTACGTATGATCACCAACGGGCTCATTTTTTGCTTGGATGTCAGAAGCAAAACTTTGTCACTCGTTGAGGGCCTATCAAACCAATCATCTATCATCCCATCTGTCGAAAAAGGATCATGGCCATTGCCAGAAAGTCTGGATCTATCTCAATGGCTCACAGTTGAGACTATCATGGTTGGGGACCAAGTAACCGTTACTATTGACGGTCAGAAGGTAGTTGCTATCACAGGCGTCCACATGAAGGCTATGCTGGGCGACAACCTTATCAATACAGGTTCTGTGGCATTCGGTGGGCCACCTGGTTGGATCACACTGTACCGCGACTTGTCCGTCAAATTTCTCAACAATGAGGTCTTGTACGAGAACCCTCTGTCGTTACAGGACGCCGCGCGAACATACGCCGATTTTCAAGTGGGAACAAACAAATTGCCATGTATTATCGACGGAGCGAAGCGCGACAGAGCGTCATTTGGCGGCGATGCCTTTGTTACTGGACGGTCGATTGCATACTCCACCGCTGACTACGAAGCATGGAAAGGAACGATTCAGCTTTTAATCAGTCACCAGACCAAAGATGGCTACCTAGGGAATCTCTGCCCTATACAAGCCCCAACGCATGATAGTGAAGACGAGCCCCCATATTATGGTCACTATTCCCTGACATATGCGTTGCTTCTTGTAGTATCTATCAAAGATTACTGGCTACACTCGGGCGATCGAAGCCTTGTAGAAATGTCGTGGCATCAACTTGGACGTCACATGAAGTTCACAAGACAATTTATGAACAAAGATGGGTTGATTGAGGGCCCGCCATACCTTTCAAGTAAGTTACAAGCGCCATATTGTTGTTTTTGGGTACTAATTATGAAAGTGACGTGGTTTCCTAGGGGAGGGCCTGTATTTGGTGTATCCACCGGCTTGAATCTTGCCTATTACGATGCACTAAACGCTATGGCATGGATGTCACCAGACAATGACACCAAGTGCCAGTATCACTCGCAGGCGTCTCTCTTGAAGGAATCATTAATCCGGCTTCTTTGGAATAACAAACAAGGCACAATGCGTCCAGCTCTGTCATTAGCTACCGATGGTGTATTCCAAGACGTGAATAGTTATGCGGCTACTCTGGGCATCTTCCCAAAACAATCCAAAGCTGCAGAGGGCATACTTCCATCTCACGCGACTTTACCGGAAGCTTTCCGAGGTATTGATGGGTGGGATAAGTTCGCATTGACTAGTCCCTACGCGTCGGGTTTTGCACTCGAGGGTCTTTTTGCTAAGGGCGAGGGTACAAAGGCCATCGACCTGTTGCTTCAGGTATGGGGTACAATGGCTAACCAAGAGAGTCCCAACTACTCGGGAGCTCACTGGGAAGCTATGAAAACAGACGGTACACCATACAATCACGACGTGTCTTTAGCTCACGGATGGTCGACTTGGCCTGTTTTTCTCCTCCCTAGATATCTTGCTGGTGTTTATCCTCTTGAGGCGGGCTGGAAACGGATCGGGGTCGAGCCGGTTTTCACAGGCTTTGAGACAGTGGAATATTCGCTTGAATCTCCACATGGTTGTCTTTCAGTTAAGATATACACAAAAGAGCCGGAGACTGCGTTGATGAGAATGCTGATACCTAAAGGTATCACGGCTGTAGTGAAGGCCCCAATGGGCTGGTCACTTGCTCAACATGGTATTTTGGAAGGGAGTGGGACGGAAATATCTTTGACATTTTTAAGGGAGGAGAGACGAGTTAATTAGTAGCTCGAATCAAGACTGGCATGTAAGATCCAGAGATCTTTGATGAACACAAACTATTTTCGTATAAGAATAACTTATATTAATTCTTTCTCTTTCTATACTTATTCTAATGGACATAACTTGAACTCTCGGAAAGTAACAACTTCCTGCTTAGTCTGCTTCAATGCCGTTTGAGTAAAAACACCAATTAGCGGACCAGTAAAATCTCTAGCATCAACTGCCGCAGTCTCTACAGAACCGACTTCAGTCCAGCCCTTGTCTATGTCAACTTCTGTTTCCTGAAGAGTCTCCTTCACTTGGAAGCTATACCGCGTTGGTGTAGCTGTAATTTGAAGGTGAACGTCAATCGATGCCGAGGACAGCTTGCGAGAGATAGTACCAGAAAGTCCAATAGCAGAGTTATAAACTTCAAACACGGCAGTAGTGTTGTCAAAGTCGTAAGCTAGGCTGGCAAAGCGTATGGGGTCTTTGTACAGAGAGATACCAGCTCTAATGCCTTTCCCGATCATCCCCTGGTTTGCTGCGATGCGCGTAGACCCTGTGCCAGTCAAGAAGCGTTGGCGTCGGCCTAGGAATGTGGGGCTCTCGATAGCGGAATCAAGTCCATGTTGGCTTGGAATGAGTTGCAAGGTTCCTTCATCGTCTAGGTACCGATAATTTTCTTCATCATGGTCTCGAATGTAAACATCTTCGACATGAGCAGGGGTTAGGAGGGGCTTTTGAGGATTAAGCGATGGCACAGCCTCCCTCTTGAAGCTCATCCTGGGCTGACGGACAGTGGGCCATCCCCCTTCTGGCCATTCGACGGGTGAAAGAAACGACTCCCTACCGAGGCCCAGAGTACCATTCGGCTGCTTTCGCACTCCAAGTACAGCGGCCCACCATCTCCCGTCACCGTCCTGGAAGAGTGAGCCGTGGCCAATGTTCTGGATATACTCGTCCTTGCCATCAGCCGTCATAATAGGATTTTGTTCACATGATTCGTAGGGTCCCCAAATATCCTTGGACCTTGCGATTGTCAACATGTGGTGTTCGAATGTTCCACCCTCCGCAGCCAGGAGGTAGAAATATTCCCCAACTTTGTAGATGTGTGGCCCCTCCGTGTCATATTTGGCCCAACCAGACCATATCTCTGTCGTTTCAGAAAGTAACTGTCCATTGTTGATGTCAATTTGGACCTGTTTTATGGTGTTCGTTGGCTGTCTATCGTCTCTGATGTGCCAAGCTCCCTGCACGAAAACCCGACCATCATCATGGAAAAAGAGGCTGGTGTCAATGCCATGATAATCGAAATAGACAGAGTCGCTCCAATTATTGCTCCAAATGTCGTGACATTTGATAATGAAATTGTGCCTCTCGTAAACCTCGCCGTTGAAGGTTTGATTCGTGGTGACGATGTAGAATACTCCTTCATGGTAATGTATACTAGGAGCAACGATCCCCGTAGTTGCAACCATGGTAAAGCCTGTATCCAACGGCACATGAATAGTGTTTGCATCTCTCAAATTCAGCTGTGAACGTTTACTTAGAGCATTGCCTATGAGCAGAATGGAAATGTGAGTCCCTAGGCTTCTGAATAATGGCTTTTCTGGAGGTTAATACTAACCAATGTGCGTCCATTGTCTAAGGTCCTTCGAGGCGTAGATAGGGAGACCTGGGAATACATGGAAGGAGGAGGTGCAGAGGAAGAATGTACCATCGACGAAGACAACGGAAGGGTCTGGCGCAAATCCAGGTACAATTGGATTTGAGTAGAGAAATTCAGCGACAGGAGGCTCCATAATGGTCGTGGTAAGATGATTGGCAACTAGACACAATATGGTTAAGAACTAAACGGACTCTGGTAGTATTTTATACATACAATCTTATAATTTGAGTCTGTTATAGGTTATCCGAGTTTGAGTGTATAGTGAACATATTTACATATCATTGAATGGAATCGGCTAAATTGTGGCACCAGTCCCTCATTCAATGATCGAAATAATCTTACATGATGTAGAGGTATGATCTTACCCTCTGCCTATGATAACTACTGAGGTTGAGCTTTGTGCTGGCATCGTGCAATAGGAATTTACCCGAGGCCCCTTTGCTACATCCGCTCAATTACCCCATCTGCACAGTTCTTGTATTTGTCCGGCTTTGTGGGTACCCTACACTCCACATAATATTTTCACATTTTTAGTGTCCAAGTTTGGCTTCGGCTTAATTGCGGGGAGTGCGGCCTGCTTGTGTATTAAGTTCTGGGATGTTTGGTGCTCCATCATAGACCTCTCTCGGATCTGTTGGAAATGTTATTTATCAAACATGATTTCCCAATGAGGCTTTTAACACTAATCCAAAGGATACTACTGCCAACTATCTTGTCAACGACTTATTAAATCTCACCATGCCTGTTCTTGTAGACGTCGGTCATGCTTTGAACGAGCTTACGATTGAAGAGAAGGTCAAGCTTCTCTCGGGCAAAGACAATTGGTCTACCTACCCTGTTGAACGCCTGAACATTCCCTCTCTGACGGTACGTGTTGTCATGCATGAGCCAGAGGTGGCGTGTCAGGCTTACCTTCTTTCAACAGGTTACAGATGGCCCACACGGGGCGAGAGGCGTGTCCTTCTTCAATGGCGTAAGTCATCCTCCTCCTCCCAGCGTGACAAGATGATATAGCTGACCCCGATAAGCCGCTCGGTGCTCTGCTTCCATCAGCAACGGCGATGGGGGCGACTTTTGATACTGAGTTGATGCGGTCTGTTGGTAATATGCTGGCAGCAGAAACCATAGAGAAGGGTTCCCAGGTTTTACTTGCTCCAACCGTCTGTCTGCAACGTTCGCCCCTTATAGGACGTGGCTTTGAAGCCTTTGGAGAAGATCCGATCCTCAGTGGTATGATGGCCTCCGAGTATATCAACGGTGTACAAGAGAAAGGGGTTGCAACTTCCATCAAACACTATGCAGCACATGACCGGTCTTATATGTCCCCAGAGGACGACTTGCAGGTTGCTGAAAGGACACTACGAGAGTTGCACCTTTTACCTTTCCAGTTAGCCGTAAAACACGCCAACCCCTGGTCATTCATGACTTCATATCACCGCATAAATGGCGTTCACACTTCAGAAAACGAATGGCTTAATACACAAATCCTGCGCAAGGAATGGGGATGGGACGGGCTGCTGATGAGCGATTGGGGTGGTGTCTATAGTACTTCTGAGGCCTTGAATGCTGGCATGGACCTAGAGATGCCGGGCCCTCCAAGGTGGAGAGGTGATCTTCTGCATCTTGCCCTTTTTTCTCGAAAGGTGAAGAAATCGATGATAGATGAAAGAGTTCGGAATGTGGTCAACCTCGTAAACAGGGTGCGACCGGCTATTGAGCGAGAAACGCCAGAGGAAGAGGCCGGCGATACACCTGCAAAGAGGGCGCTATGTCGAGAGGTAGCTCGAAGCTCTATCGTCCTGCTCAAGAACGAAAGAAAGATACTGCCTCTCGAACCATCAGCGCAGCAAACCTACGGTCTGATCGGCCCTGGATTTGTGTATCCCGCCATCAGTGGCGGCGGATCTGCCGATTTGCGCCCATATTACGTCCGAAAGCCGCTTGAAGCCATCCAAGATGTTGTCGGCAAGGATAACGTGAGGGCTGCTGTTGGCTGTTATTGTAGGTTCAATTCTGGAGTATTTTTGCATTGGTACTGAACCTGCTAACCTCTTGCTCAAATAGCTCACATATTTACGCCTCCGCTGTCCGAAGATGTTACAGTTCCGGGAACAGATGAAGAGGGTTATCAACTCTTTTGGTATGGTGAAGACCCAGAGACCAACCCCAAGGCTGAACCACTTCACTCTACGACTACGACCCAGGCCACGATGTATTTTGCAGACTATCACCCCTCCGGCGTTCCTGATGTGTATTGGCTTCGCGTTGTGACATCATACAAGGCACCCAAGACAGCAACTATGCTTATCGGCCTTTGTGTGATGGGCAAGGGACGTCTTTATATTGATGGAAAAGTGGCAGTCGATCTCTGGTCAAGTCATCCTAAGAAGACTCTTCAGACACCCATGTTTAATCAAGCGAGCATGGAATTGACAGCCGATCTGGAAGCGCGCGAAGGACAGACTTACGAGATATCTGCCGTACTGAAGAATGAATCTCTGTCTACTACCGTGGGAGGACCCTACGTCGGAACGTCATGCATTGGTGGTATTCGGATCGGGTGCTGCGAAAAGATCGACCCCGTTGTCGCTTTAAATGAAGCTGTTGAACTAGCGAGGAATGTAGACGTGCCTATTGTCATTGCTGGTCTGAATGCCGATTATGAAACCGAAGCGGTGGATAGGCACGATCTAGAGCTGCCGCCTGGGATCAACGATCTTATTCAGATGGTAACCAAAGCGAACCCTAAAACCGTGAGTTTATGGAAAACGTCATCCAGATTACCATGGCCCCTGGCTAATGTCAATTCAGATCATTGTTAATCAGTCCGGCTGTCCAGTGACCATGCCCTGGGCCAACCATGTTTCGACTCTTGTCCAAGCGTGGTTTGGTGGTCAGGAAACAAGTAACGCTATCGCTGATGTACTCTTCGGCCGGTACAACCCGTCAGGACGTCTGTCTATTACGTTCCCGCGCCGACTTGAAGACACGCCGTCCTTCCTGAGCTTCGGCAGAGGCGTCCGCCAGATGTATTATGGAGAAGGCGTATTCATTGGCCACAGATACTACGAGAAGCTTGGAAACGACCCGCTTTTTTACTTCGGATTCGGTCTTTCATATACGACCTTTGAGTACTCGAACCTCGAAGTCCCGGAATTTGTCGACTTGGGCGATGATGGGGAGCAAACCTTCAACGTGTCGGTTGATGTTACCAACACCGGTGACAAAGATGGACATGAGATCGTACAATTTTGGGTCTCTGATGTCGAATGCGCCACTCTACGGCCACGCAAAGAATTGAAGGGGTTCGTCAAGGTATGGGTGCCCAACGGTGAGAAGGTCAAGGCCGAAATCAGCTTGGACAAGTATGCCGTGTCATACTGGGACGAAGAAGAGGAGAAGTGGCTTGCTGAAAAGGGCTCTTTTGAGGTGGTGATATCGCGAAGCGCAGACCCTGAAGATGAAGTGTTGCATCGCGAGTTCAAATTAGAAAGGGATTTGTACTGGAGCGGGGTATAGGCGAGTGTAACAAGATGGACGTAATGGATGGGAAAGTACATTAGTTTATCTAATACTTTTAAGTATCAAGGTATCACTCGATTATAGAACAGGGAATAGACAGAGTCATGTATCATCGTGGAAGTTGTTTGGGTAGAAGCTTATGTTGTGAAAGAATATATCGTCACCTTTATTGGTAGCTAAAGCTTAATCTTGTAGGCCGCAAACGACTACATACTGACTGGATTATAGAACAAGGAATAGACAATGTAAATTATCTCATGCTTCCAAGTGTAGACAGGTTGCTCTGGCTCTACTAGTGAAGAGCAATTTGGTAGGGTACTGAGGGTCTTCCACCGTACACATTAGAAGCATCGTTAACACATCTAAGCGTGTAATTGCCGCCATTTATAAGATGGTACTTTGAAGAATATTGATCTATACCAATATATCTAAAATACTAATCTATGCCACTGTAATGTCTAGATATCTGGCCTTGACTTGGTCATTGCTAATTGCAAACACTCCAATAACAGGCCCGACAAAGTCATGTCCAGTCATATCTAGGGAGTCAATTGCGCCGATCTCTCGCCTCGTCCCGTCCTCCCCAAGAGAATACCAAAATACAAGATCGAGCTCCGTGTGGTCTATCCCAAATACTATCCTCTTGTCGTTGACCGACGCGCTGATGCTTTGAGATAACGTTCGTTCGATGGAACGAGCCTTATTGACAACTTCAAAGACAACGTTCTTAGAGTTGACGTCAATAAAGACACGAGCATACCGGTGCTCGTCTTTGTAATAGCATAGACCTGTCTCGAGTCGGGAGTCTTTTATGTCGGATCTATCCAGAGCCTCGAGCGTTGCGGAAGACGTGCCATCAAGACTCCTTTGACGCTTTCCAATGAACGTCACCGGCTCGTTGTCCTGGTTCAGGTCGGCTGTGCTGGATGTTAAAGTGACACTGCTTCCATCATGTTCATAATGTTCCATCACGGGGTCGCGGATTTGGAGATACGCGACGTCTGGACGTCCAAGCTTTCTCGCGACAGGAAGCTTGGAAGGACATAGACTTTGGTTTGTTGGAAGGGGCACGTCGATCTGAACGGCGTCAATGACCGGAAATTCCCCTTGGTTCCACGAGGCCGCAGTAAGGACGGACTCGCGTCCCATGACGAAATGCCCGTTATTCTTGCGTACACCGAGGCATGCAAAGTACCATTGTCCCGAAGGATGCTGGAAGAGATCTCCGTGGCCTGTGTACTGGATGTATCCATCAGGGTCCGCTTTTGGTAGCACCGGGTTTGCTGGGTTAACTTCATACGGACCCCAGATATCTCGCGACCGAGCCATAACGACATGATGATCTACAAAACAGCCGCCTTCAGCGATGAGAAGATAGTACCATCCATCCTTCTTATACATGTGCGGACCTTCGGGGTAAACCTTGGTGATACCTTCCCAGAGCAGCTTCCTTTCGGAGAGATCCTTTCCCGTCTTGACATCGATCTCGAACTGCCAGATCTGCGATGCAGGAGCTGGAGATCGAGCGCCGATGAGATACGCGCGGTCGTCGTCGTCCCAGAATAAGCTAGTGTCGATTCCATAAAAGTCATAAAAGACTGGGTCGCTCCATTCGTCAACCCAAATATTAGTGGTTGATAAAATGAAGTTTTGAACCCCGGTTTCTCCTGGCAGGTCCTTATGAGCAATATTGGTGCAGACGATGTAGAAAGTGCCCTTGTGGTATCTGATCGAGGGGGCCATAAGTCCTCCCTGCGCAGCGATGTTAACACCATCCTCATCAGGGTCCACCAATTTAGTCATCGAGCGCTGAAAGGACATCAAGCCCGGTCGACTCAGTGCATTTCCTGGTCGGAGAGGTAAGCATGGCGGTGGTGATGACAAGAGATGGCAGAGATGCAAGTGGAAAGAGACATACCAATGTGGTTCCATTCTTTCAAGTCTCTAGATGCATAGACTGGTAGACCAGGGAACATGTGAAAGCTTGAGTTGACGAGAAAGTATGTGCCATCCACGTAGATGACGGAAGGGTCCGGGGCAAAGCCGGGGATAATCGGATTCACTTTGACACGCTCCATCTTTGGGGATACTTGCAGTGCTCGATGAGAATCATGATTTCTCGAAGTACTTTACAGGCTTATTATACCTTTCTGGAACTCGCTAAGCGCCGTTAGGTTGTTTCAAGCTTAAGCAAAGAGTTGCGACCCATTGTTCTAGACATCTCGTGACCTTGTTCGACGACAAATCCCTTCCCCGGGGAAATAGCCATGGAGATCAGTATCGTCGCGGGGACATTTCTTGGGCTGTCTTGGTGATATTGAAAGGGCCGGAATGCCCGAGCCATTCTTTGTATCCACAGCATTAGCGTTTCGGGCAAATGTCTTGACCGCTCTGGCCCCGGTCTCTGCATTAGCCTATATACGCCGTATCTTTCGTGACGAAGCCGCCTGATCAGATCTAATAGTCTTTGAGAAGACCCCCATCAAATAACTTCAAAAGGGGAACTCCAATCTTTACAACACAGCTTATCACTAAGGGCTCGCACTCCAACCTCTATAGGCCAAAGTTTCTAGAGGGATACCGCTTTGCTCTATCAGGTGAACCTCCATGTGTTGCTCAAACAATAACGGAGACAATGACTTTTAGGACCGCATGTAACTCGCATTATATTCCGTTATCACGTCGTATCGCTATCAATGATTGGATTGAGCTCGAGGAACGTAGAGGAGAGCAGTGTCCCCCGCATCGGGTAACCCTACATGTTGTTTCTCTTCTTTGTTTAGATGCAAGGAGTGCCAACGTGGACATGTTAGGTGACAGAGCCTTTGATCCCAAAGCCAGCACGTAGTGTATCTGATACATCGATTATCCTGAGGCTAGTAATTAAGCACTAAAATAAATTAAACTTTCGAAGCCGAAACCTTCTCCAGTCTGGCAAATGTGGATTGTCATTGATTCCATGATTGACATGATTATCATCGTAGTTGCGTTCCCACATTACTCCATGTTAACTTCTCGACGAACCCCCACCCTCTCACATAACACAATACTACAGCTCCTTGTCTTCTGGTGTGACTCTGCTCTTGTGGTCGACTTCGGGGATTCCTTCAGCCTTGATTTCGAGAGTTCTGTCGAGCACTTGTCTCCCATCAAAGACCTGAGCGACCTCTTCGAGGGACAAACCTCGAGTCTCAGGGTAAGTGAAGTAGATGATGGTGAGCCACAGACATTGAGCTACAACAAACACGATGTAGTACTTCCACCTCAAGGACTTCAGTGCTACTGGATTAACAAAGCCGTTGAATAGGCCACTGCAAATCTGTGCCAAGTTGAAGATGCTGAGACCCTTGGACCGAAGAGAATACGGCAACACCTCGAGAAGGTAGGCAATAGGCAGAGGCGACATGGCGATATTGTAAAAGGTAAAGAAGACAAAAATCAGGATGACGATGCCAATGCCGAATCCCTTGTTGGAGCCATCTTCCATCTGGCTTCGTGCCGCCAAGATGGTCCAGACAGTAAATGTAGATAGCATGCCGATAATTGACGTCAGCAGTAGGGGCCGTCTACCAACTCGGTCGATAAGGGTAGCAGCACTACATGCAATGATGAAGTTGTAGATCTGGAGACCTCCGTTAATGAGGTTCTGGGTTTCGCCGTCGGTGATTCCAATATCGGAAAGGACAAGAGCAAGATAGGGACCGATAAGCTGGTTACCACACCATTGGATGATGAAGCCCAAGGACGCGACAACTACTGTACGATGACGGTTTCCCCCTGTGAGTAGGCCAAGGATTAGTATCGCACAACCTTCGAGCTCGGAATATCCTAGTGCATGTACACATGACTTACTTGTTCTGAAGAACTGGAGGTACGAGACGGACTCAAGAGAGCGTTCGAATTCGATGGCACTGGTGATTTCGGCAATCTGAAGGCGAACAAGCTCAGTTGTCTCTTCGGTGCCGCTATGATACTTGCTGAGGACTTTGGTGGCCTCCGCCGAACGATCATTGGCAACAAGCCACCTGGGGCTCTCAGGCAATAAGTAGATAAAAGCCACCTGAAATATGGAGACTAGTGCCTGAAGGAGTGAAGGGATTCTCCAGCTCCAGTTGTTATTCATGTGGAATGTACCATAGGTAGCCCAGGCAGCGACAATGGCGCCAGTATACTGAATGCAACGATCGATTAGGTGATGGACTCGCAAGGTCAGGGGGATAGCCTGCTTACCCAGGTGGTGTTATAAATTCCGGTGATGATAGGTCGATGAGTCGGATACGCCAGTTCTCCAAGGAGCGGAGGAGCAGCGCAAGAAATGAACATGCCACCGAGGCCGATAAAAAAGCGCCCAGATAAGAACATGGCCATGTTGTTAGCACATCCCTGCAGAATTGCTGCGCCTATGATGATACAGGACCCGAGAAAGATGGGATGGCGTCGCCCATACGTGTCGGCCATCCAAGGGGCGATAGGCAAAGCAACCACGCCACCGATGGTTTGGATATTGACCAAAAGGCCAAGAATGCCGCCAGAGGGGTGATCGAATTCTGCAAGGCACAACGAGTCAGTCCAAGTACCAGAACACGGCTCTGTAAACTTACCAGTTTGCCAATGCTCAAGAGTCTGCATTCCATTGAGCACACTGCCATCATAACCGCCTATATAGGCCGACATGAATGGAATTGCAAGCATGAGGTTCAACCTCACCAAATGCGGCACATTCCACCATGACTCTTTAGTGCAGAGGTCGTGAACCCGCACTTCATCATGCTCGCCATTCTCGTTGGTTCCCATGATTGAATTAAACAAGGTGAGGTAAGAGTAAGAAGTAAGCAAGATAATATTGAAGGAGTTGTGGTAGGTATCTTGATGTTCTTGGGGACAGAGAGATGAGAGATTGAGGTCATATACAATAAAAAGAGGCAACAGGCTAGTTAGTCTCTACTGATGGAAGTGCAGAGTGGATCAAAGCTTCATTACCCCATACATCACCCCATGGGGCACGAGACGAGTGGTACCAGCGATGGGGTTCGAGTGCTAGGCTAGCTCCTCTCCTTGCTAAGACGTTCCCAGAGGCTGTACTAATTGCGGTCGAGGCCCGGAAGCCATCGGCCATATGTGCCACTACCGTACAAACTCATAAAATTGGTTACCATGTGGAGGTAAGTTTGGCTACTTCTGATTGGCTTGTATCTTGATAACGATATGGCATTAAAACCTTGATCGCTATGAAACTAATCGCTAAGCCCCCAGGGCTGCCCTCCCTCATGAAAACGAGAACATCGATATAGAAGAACTGATAAAGTTGTATAATTTGGCCGTGACCCTGCTGCTTGCCAGTCGATTGAGTGAAATTCGGAAGAACTCGTATTGTGAAAGCTGAACCGAGGAACGCCACTAAGTTGAACACTTGAGTTGCCCAATAAACAAATATTGTATTTGCCCGAGCAGGGACCCACAGTATGTTGAAATTTGGCCGAGTACGACAAGGTCATGCGAAATCATAACACGGCTCGGGGATATTAGATCGACCAACTTAAGATCGATGTTAACTAGCTTGAGCACCAGGAAGGGTAGTTTAAGCATCAGATTCTGCCGACTTGGCTGTTATGAGCTGAGATGAACTATTCCGGCATTTTGGCTCAACTGCAAATCAATCGATCATCTTCGGTGTAATTGTAACATTGTCCACGAATGCCAATAGATGAGAATGGTTTCTCAATTCGTATCCTTCTCTTACTCGGCGGAAAAGAGGAGGTCACATTTTCCGGATATAGATGTATACCAATCAACAATTCAATTTGTTATAATAAACTACCAATACTATCAGAAGCCTTTGAATCTAGCCGGACAAGCAGGTTGACTGAGCGCTGTACACACTGACTTGCCCGCGACATAACTATTTCCTCGTCGTAGTTATGTGCAATCTCAAGCAGTAAACTGCCAACACGTCTTATCTTTTCGGCCTAATACGCCCTGTAAGCTTGTGTAAATACGCAGACTAGCACATCTATAGCAGCTCGTCTATTATGAAATCAATAGTTATCACTTACGCATTGCTCCCCCTCTACCTGTAGATGAAGGAATGGAATGGTTTCGAGAACGTTGAAGAAATCTTGAGCCAGCTCTATTAGTCTCATTGCGAGAGAAAGAGGTTCTGCACTAAGGCCCAGTATCTGGGTCATATGGCATGAAATAGCAGAGTTTAACACAAAGAGCTTAATCGAATGTAAAGAAATGAGATAGCTGGTCTTTTGCCGCTGCAGGAGGTCATCGAAGCCTGTTTCTATCTCTCGCCGAGCGCTGTCGGGTGACAATACGGCCGGCGACAGATCCCAGCAAGGAAAACAGTTTGTTAGTGTGATGATCTCGAAGTATGCTTTGGATAGCTCAGCCATGTCTTCTTGGTAAAGCTCCGTGAATTTATCTGTATGTCCGGTAGATCTTGACTCCATCCCTCGGATGAGTCGTGCAGCCATGGCCCATAGACGACGTATGATATGGAAACCCTCCAAGAGTCGACCTTCTATCTCGGTGCCGTTGAACTCTGGACCATGTTCAAAAAGCGTTACTGGGCTTGATGAAGTTGACTTTAGACTTAGCTGGGTGTCGAACAAAGTTTCGTGGATTGAGACGGGACGGCCTCCCATTACCAAAGCCGTCTTGTCACACAAGTATAATTGCCAGAACGCATTTCGGAGGATTTGCTGCTCGATCGGGTCTCTTCCCTCAAGAGAGGTCTCACAATAGAGACGCATTCTCATTGCAATTAGGCCCGCTTCGCTCAAGATATGGAAGGCCACACCGTTGGTGCCCGTAGAAGTTTGTATAGCCGATGACAAGAACATGCGAATAATGAGCGACGAGGAGTCAGGGTGCTCGAGATCGTAGTCATGGTAGATATGAAGCAGCTCTCGCGTTGTTTTGAGGAATAGTGGCGCTGCAAGATACTTGGTGGGTAACAGAGACTCGGGAACAGCATATGACACCGCCGCACACAGGGCTAGGAGAAGTGTCAGGCTCCTGAGGTTCTCAATCTCACTATGCCAATCTTCAGGTGAGAAGCAGGTTATTGCCCAGCTGTAAGTGTCGGAAGGCGAGTGTTGTTGTGTGTTAAAGAATCGACTGACTGTTGCTCGCAGTGAGGCTTCGTGGCAAAGAGGAACAGAACCGAACACATAACGAGTGTATAGGAAGATGCAGCGATTGGCAATCGATGCCGGGGACTCATCTGACGCAAGAGTTTGCAGCCCTACCAGGAAGTCAAGATAGGTTCTGACAGCAGCTTCAGTCTGATTCTCTGACACTTGTATCCCTTGGATGCTGCTGATATCGCTGTGCTGGGCCTGGCCCACAGCTATGGTTGGTTCTAGGCAGGTCGCTGGAGAGGGGAGTGACGGATCGTCCTGGATCTCGGACGCATTGGTGACAGGTGATATTGGAGTTGGGGCATCGTCTGAGATACTACCGCAGTATCGAACAGGCTTGGGACCTCTTTTCCTCGGAGAGGCATACTGACAAGGTGTCCCTGCGGCTCGACAATTATTGCAAGTCGGACACCCATCACACTACGTTGTATCAGCAACAAGACTGTTTGACTAGCTAAGAAAGAGATTCACCGAGGACGGAACCTCGGCATTACAAACCTTGACCTTGCGGCGGCGACATAGCTTGCAAGCCCGCCGTGGACCTGAAGAAAATGCCATTCCCTTGTCGTGTGGATAAGATGAGGAGGAGAGAGAAACTCGGACAAAATGCAGCAGAAGGGTCGGGTAATTAGTTATACTTCGGTGGGCCAAGCAGGGGTTCGAGACTAAGGTAGACAGAGGGAGCCCACAGATCGCCCGAGAGGTCGACATTGGCTGCTGCCCTCAAGACTAGTTCTTGTCTCCACTCTTCTGCATCGGTGGGGTTTGTGAGGGCTAAAAGTGATGGTAACCGATTTCCAAGCTTGAGGTTCTCCAATATCTCCAACTTACAAAAATGAATCTCGACGATAAAAGAACCAAACTACCTCAACATGGGACATCTACCAGCCCGACAGATCTACCAGGAGACGCCTATAACCAAAAAAGAAAGGCACAAAAACCATGACACGCGAATATACCACTGTGCCCCCGCCAAAGGGACTCCCTGCGGACTTTGAATGGGGGTTTGCCACCGCTTCCTATCAGATTGAGGGTGGCGTAAAAGATGGCGGGCGGGGCCCTTCCATCTGGGACACATTTACTCACCTCGAACCATCACGTACCAACGGTGACAACGGCGATATCGCTTGTGATCACTATCATCGATATGAGGAGGACCTTGACCTCCTTACTAGATACGGTGCCAAGGCCTATCGATTCTCCCTGTCATGGTCACGAATTATCCCACTAGGCGGACGAAACGATCCTGTGAATGAAGAGGGCATCGCCTTTTATAACAAAATCATCGATGGACTCATCAGCCGAGGCATCACACCTTGGATAACTCTCTATCACTGGGATCTCCCTTTAGCATTGCAGGACCGATATGGAGGTTGGCTCGACGAGGAGTCACAACTCGACTTTGAGCACTATGCCAGGCTTTGTTATACACGCTTTGGTGATAGAGTTAAAAATTGGATCACGTTCAATGAGCCGTGGGTCGTGTCTATCAAAGTGAGTACATCTGATAGAATTCCGAAACATGTTGCATTGGCAGATATTTACAGACGTCAGGGCTACTCTTTGGGCTGCTTTGCCCCCGGACGAAGCAGTACGAACCCAGACTGCGATTCTGGTGACTCTGCGACGGAACCTTGGATCGTCGCCCATAACCTGATCCTAGCCCATGCGAGAGCAGCGAAGCTATACAACAAGGAGTTCAAATCGAAAGAGGCTGGCCGCATCGGTATTTCTCTCAGCGGCGATTATTTCGAGCCGTGGGATGCTACTGACCCTAGGGACCAGGAAGCTGCCGAGAGGAGAATGTTGTTCTGGTACGGTTGGTTCGCCAACCCTACTATGTAAGGCACCATATCCAATTCTGTCTTCCCTGAACAGCCCTGCTAACTTTTTGATGCCGCCCAGGCTTGCTCAGGACTACCCTCCCGTCATGCGCGAACAGCTTGGATCCCGTCTCCCCGCATTTACAGAAGATGATTTCGCTCTGCTACGCGAGGCCGATATTGACTTTTGCGGAATGAACTACTATACTGCCCAGTTCGCCCGCCACCGTACTACGCCGCCGCCAGACACGGACTTTGAAGGCAATGTAGATGAGTTGCCAGTGAATAAGGAAGGTATCCCCATTGGCGAACTGAGTGGCTGTGACTGGCTCCGCTCCTCACCCAAGAGCTTCCGGAAGCACCTTGTGAGGCTGTATAGGATGTATGGAAAGCCCATATGTATCACTGAGAACGGGTGTCCATGCCCTGGTGAGGATAAAATGAGTAAGGAAGAGTCTGTCGAAGATGAATTTCGTCAGCGATACTTCAGAGATCATTTGGACGCCTTGGTCGGCGCCATACGTGATGGTGCAAAAGTCTCGGGATACTTTGGATGGTCTTTGATGGATAACTTAGGCAAGTTCATTCCACTCACAATTCAGAAGAGCGGTAGTGTGCTTCAAACCAATTGTCAATACTGATCAAGTCAACAGAATGGTCTGATGGATATGGTATCAGGTTCGGCGTGACTTTTACAGACTACGATACACTTGAAAGGACGCCTAAGAAGTCGGCATTGATGATCAAGGAAATGATTAAGGAAAGAACAATTTGAACATCATGTCCTTCAATTCAATGACTGTATGTACTTTCTGATTTTGTTACTTTAAAAAGTCAACCCTTATATATATTACTTGCCGGTGCTGCCCTGTTATATTCCCATACGATGTAACCTTTGGACACTACAACATATTCCATCCTTGTTCCCCTCTAGATTATGAGATTCATTCTGTTTACACGCTTCATAATCTGTACCTCGACAATAACAGTTTTATCACGACGTGCCATGAGTCACGGACTCGACACTTAAATGGCTGGATCATTAGAGACACAACATACCTCGCGAATCAATCCTTGAACCAATCACGTGTTTAGAGTGACAAAATAGAAATCTTTGATCAATTGGGACGTGCACCACCAAATGGGATTATGCAGGCTGGTAGTGGGAAGGCTGAACGAGACTAAACGAGACTAAACGATGTTAAACGAGGTACATCCGCATCCCCACTTCTTCGTTCTTCGTTCTTCATCGTACATCGTACATCGTTCACAATTCCAGCAGCCCCGTTTTCCAGCTTCAAGTTCTGTCTTTGTCTTACCCAGCCGCTAAGCCCCATTAGGCGTTTTGTGGATCGGGTTGCAAATCATGGCGTCGTCATTGAGACCTCGGACACGGAGGCCACACGTCAAGTCCGAGAGAGGCTACTTCGACTGCAGAAAACGCCGAGTAAGGTTATGTCCATGTACATACCATTTCTTCTTGCGTTAAGGCAAGGAATAGAAATATCTTAGAAACATTGGATATATAAGTATTTAATAATTTAATAACTAACTTCCCCCCTCTAGGGTATACACTTCAACCTCAGCAATACCAGTGCGAGCCGGTACACTTGTTGCAATGGGAACATCGCCATAGTCAGGTTCTTGGTTAGGCATAACTAAAGCCATACCACCCCTTGTTTCGTCGCCGTTTAACATGCGTAGCCGACGAAGATTCCCTTCCTGTGTTGCTTCTAATTCTTTCGCGTTTAGAAGCCCCGTAAAGATAATTCCCCTTTTCACGCTTTTGAATCTCGCCTGGAATCCGTATCCGACACAAAGAAACTTGTGCTCTGCTAATCTGATAATCATACCTCCACCAGGACCCTGTTTGCCAAATACAAAGGATCTCTCGATCGTAACTTGCATGTCTCCAAATATCCTAAGCCATGGCATTTCAATCTTTGGGGGATCCTGCATTTCATCGAAATAGAAACCGAAGCGATCCTCTCGGGAGGCTCCCAAGACAAAATCCTTGACTTGGCTTAGTAGCCGGTACTCTCTGCCAATATCTTCAGGGCCTGTATCAATGCCGAACGGGCTTACGCCTAACGCGCTATATGTTCCGTAGGCCAGCCACGCCCGCCGAGCGCCATGCTGATCGCGTCTCTGTTCGGGAATAAAGAGCGGGTTTCCCTTATGACTATAGTCGTGGCAGATCATATCATAGTCATTAAAGTAGTTATCTGGCGAAAGAAAGTCTAATGAAGGAGCCCCAAACCGCCAAATATCGAAAACATGTTGGCAAGATCCACCAGATGGATACATCCCTGGCTTGTCACCACCGGCCACGATAGCGCTAGTCACTATGGATGAAGGGTTGGAGCGATCCATAGTTTCAAGGTCGAGTTTGAGCCAGGCATTGGCATAGAAGGGTAGCGGGTACGAAGTCTTGCCCTCTGCAGCGACTTGTTCAAAGTATTTCGAGAAATGGAAAGCCATGAAGGCTTCGTCGCCGAGCAGGCCAGGACCAAACGCTTCTTCCCAAGTGTGTTTTCCCTCTTTGGGGATGTCGGGGAACTGTTTTGCGAATCTTGGGTGTTGTTGGTTGTTGGCTAGGTATTGGAGTAGAGACTCGGGGACGGGTTCCTTAAATGCTGCTTCAGCGAGGGGAGATCTATCCCTTGAGTCGCCGAGTATGCCTGGCTCATTCTCAATCTGAACCATGAGCACCGTGGAGTGGTCTGAATCGAAGCCTTTCAAATGTGCCAACAACTTGCCAAATGCCTTCGCATCGGCTTTGACACACTCCGAAGAAAAGGGCGTCACGGCATCGAGAACATTCCGGCCGCCGCCGGCCTCGAGACTCTGTGCCCGCGGAAAACGTTTAACGTCCTTTTTTACCCATGAGGGTGAGTAAATGCTTGAGGCGTTCTTATAAGCTCCAAACCACAGGAGTACAAGGTGTATACCATGTTGCCGGGCTCCGAGGATGGCCTCGTCTACCGCCGAGAAGTCGAATACGCCCTCGATAGGCTCAATCTGCTCCCAGCCAACAGAACCGAGAAGTGTATTGATACCCTTATTTTTCATTGTCGGCCATTTATCTGCCATATAGCGAGCTGAGCTTAGAGATGAGTTGTGGAGTTCTCCAGCCAACATCAGGAAAGGTTTGCCCTTTACAATGAGGCGCGTCACATTACCATCGCGCTGGAGGTAGGGATGCAATGCAGCCTCGCCTTGAGCATTTGTCGCCATGATTGAGATTGAGAGCGTATTGGGGTCGTGGGAAGACTTTTGTTGGAATCCAGCAGGGGAACCCTCTGCCACCTGTTATATCTGGAAATATTTACTCCACCGACTTCTCGGCTATATTAATGTAATAATATAACGGACTACCCGAAGACATCGGATAAATTGTTTAGAATCAAATGACCGAACACCGCTGTACCGATGACGCAGAAAGAATATGGTGCTATAGGCCAAGAGAGATAAACAATCAAGGAAGCATCGTAAGTTATCTGATATTCGGGGTAATTGCGGATTCCCAGGAAGTGCTACAAGTCACTTGCCGGCCTAGTCCGCACTGTACCACACTTAGCAGGAAGGATATTACCTTGCAACCATTAGTAAGGATCTTCCTAGAGGTAGAGAATCTATCTTTAGTACCCAAGGGATGGGATACTCTTCTTTCTGGATGTGTTTCCGCAGTAATCGTCAACGGGATCGTCAAGGATTTAGAGCTTGTGCAAAACATTCTATTTGTAATAATTCTGAGGTTCAGAATCGCTATTATAGCGTTAATGAGTCTTTACATAGGCAAATAATGCAAGAGATTTGTTTAGCTGCTTGGTCATTCACGTTAAAGAAATTAACCCCTGCTGATGTCATGACAGCGTAAGTGTTATAATTACGCACCGAAGGCAACATTTCACGAGATTCAATAGAGTCACCGGGACGTTTTCATACGATAAGAGACCTGGTCCATGATATTCTCCGATTAGAGTGGAATTATAAAGTTTTATTATATTTGAATATACATAATATCTGACAACAAACCGTTACTCCATGGTTTTACTCCGTTATCAGGTACTCAGAACTCCATGCACTCAAGATTAACCCAGCTTATATCCCCCTTGCCTATTTTTTTCTTTATCTCGGAGTCCGACGCCCAGCGCTTTAACTATGCCTTCAACAAAGTCAGGGTGATTCCAGCGAAGGATAACTTATTAAATTTGCATGGCGAATTTATCTGTATTTCTCTCACTAACTTATCCATTTCTCTTGTGCCTAGGTCAACCAAATCGCTTGGAAGGATAACGCCCTTGTGCTCTTCCTAAGAACCGTATTCCGAGGTAAGGAGCGCACCAATAAAGAGAGGAAGAAGCCATCTACAGGCCGCCTACAAGCTCGGCCAATTCAGGTGTCCTTTGGCGATTGTATCACTGAATTCGTGCCTATTTCCATTACGGCTGCTACTTATAACACTGAAATGAATCACGTTGGCCGAGGTGACCAATTGAGGTTATACACAACATATGATCACCCCCTTCGCCCCGGGGCTTGGCAGGCTCTCACTTGGACCTTCCTTCTTGACGTTACACTTATCAATGGCTACATCCCTTAACGATATAGCCCGCAGCTAAGCTGGGAGATATATAAGTCACAATAGGATTAGAAGAGGTGTATTTGAAACGTCCTTTTCGACACATATCATCAGAAAAGTAAGGTAGAAATGAGATATCAGTCAAGGGTCAAATCTAACGAAGAAAAACAGGAAAAACGTGCATTTCACATGAATAGGAACATCAACCATATCCCCTGTGGTCGGAAGGTAAGGGCAAATCAGGGCAAAGAGCACCAAGAGGCACGCTTTCCGTGAAATCAGGGGCGACGCAAGAAGAGGCCGTTATGTGCCTCAATCTATGTACGGCTGCACCTTTTTCGATAAAGCGATTTGTAATCGTCAGAACCATTGGGACTGGTATCAGCGCCCATCTAGGTGGCAAAATAAGTACCGAAAGTCCGTTGCATTTTAATTAGCCATGACCCCTCCCTGTGACTTCCACGGAGTCGTATGATGGCTATGGAGATAGCCCAATCTTTTGCTCTGTGATATAGTGGTTAGGTGTAACCGTTACAGTTTAAATCTTTTCGCAGTACTCCTCTATATGTGTAATAGGCCTGCGTTCCTAACAAGTAGGCTTTATAATAAACTTTAAAAGACTGCAGCATTGTTTTTAATGATCTCTTCAGCTTTACCCAGGTCTTCTAAATTTCCTCAAGATTTTCAACAAACGTTAATCTATCCACACAGATCAAATTTTTAACAAATCCTCAAATTAAAGGTTCTCTCAAGACTAGGTTTCCCTACCAAGGCATGACTCATACGGCATGAACTCTATGATAGAGGTTATAAAGACTGCATAATAGAAGCAGCCTCATCATGCTCTTCAAATACTGCAGGTTAATGCATACATGCATGCATATTAAACGGGGAAAGATAGTCACGAAGGGGCTCCCTCAATGCTTTAGCCAGTGCAGTGGGTAACCCAAGAAACGAGACTTATATAGTTAAAATAAAGACGATAATAAAGTCATCGTAAAGTATGTTATTACAGGTTTTTAGTTTCAGGGTTGATCTTCAGAAACTAAATCTGATCGGTACTGCATGGTAATTTGTACATCAGAATAAAACTCACGGAGTGTTTTTGTCGACAACACAGTTATTTATCAACAAAGAAGTAGAGAACTCACCACTAAGCGAGTTTGGTGCCTTGGGCTTCTAGTACGGCGTAAGTTTGGCTGACCCAAACTCACTAGTCATGTGGGAGGCTCAGTTCAGAGACTTCGCAAACAACGGCCAGGTCATTATTGATAATTTCATCGCCGCTGGCGAGACGAAATGGCCTCACCGGTTTGGACTTGTCCTTTCGCTAACCCATGGATATGATGGGCAAGGTGCTGAGCACTCCTCTGCCCGTATCGAGCGCTTCTTGATGCTTTGTTCAGAAGAGGGAAGGCGATATTCGACGGAACCTGAGCGCGCCCACCAAGACGTCAACATAGGTGTGGTGTATATGACAACACCTGCGAACTATTTTCACGTTCTTCGACGGCAAATGAAAAGACACTACAGGAAGCGTACGTATATCGCCATCACAGCCTTTGAATTGCCTCTCCAAATACACGGCCCCTAAGACTCTTTGCCGTCCTCAAACTCAGGTGTTCACCGTTTACTAACTTTTGTGTAGCTTTGGTTATATTCTTCTCCAAGTCTCTCCTCTGTCATCTATTGACTCGTTCTGATATGGCCGACTTCACAGGCTCGTCAACCTTCCAGCCGGTTATTACAGATCCTGAATACGGCCAATCCATCGAGGATTCGTAATTCATCCAACGTGTTGTTTTATGCTCAGGTCAAGTGTATGCAGCGCTCCAGAAACAAAGAGAATCACAAGGGACCAAGGATGTGGCCATTACCAGAATAGAAGAGCTCCACCCCTTCCCCTGAGCCGAGGTCAAATCTACCTATGGACGAAGCTCTGCCCGAAGGCCGTGCCGTGCAGATAAACCCGGGACCTCCGCCAAGCTGTTCCAGACGTGGGGATGGACTCGGTATCGGCGTCGGCCCACGCACGTCGACTGCATGTCTCATGTGCCGGGACAAGAAGGTGAAATGCTCAGGTTCACAACCCTGCGTTTACTGTGTCGAAAGCGGTCTAGATTGTGTCTTTACTCATCCATCTAAACGGAGACTCTATTAAGTCACGTATGTTACATTCCGCTCAAACACCATCTTGCTGACTTACTGCGGCGAGTCACATTCGCAACCTAGAGGACAAAGTGGCTGAATATGAGAATGCAACGTCGCTGGCTCCCGATTTTGACCAATGTCTTGCCCGAGCAGACTCTCGGCCGCCTGCTTCTGCGCACAGTCCTCCACCACCTATGGAGTCCAGATCGACACCGTCATCCGGAGGTCTGGCGGAGGGCAATGCTGCGCAGCAACAACAACGGCAGAAACAATATTCAATACCTGAATCTCCTTATCCTCACATTATTCCCGTGCCTGCAGTGGTGTCAAGTCCAAAGCACACCCGATACCTAGAGGTGAGACATCGTCTACCAACTTCTTACAATGTACCGGCAGAGCATGCTGATAGTTGTCTTTACCTGATCCAGTTCTTGCGCCGGCAACGTCTCTCTCTTCCAGCGACACGTTTAGCTCCGAGCTCAGGAATCTTTTGACTGAGCGTTCTCGCCCAAACCTAGGGCCGGTTTCCGCTCCGACCAATGACGCCACACCAAGGTCCATTTGCCAGAGTCGACTAGGCGTCGATAAGATCAGACACTGGCCAACAGAAGAAGATACATATAGTATGCTGAATATTGTTGTCCTGAATGTGGGTATATCCCAGCATCTTTTCGACGTCAGACCGTTCTCAGATAATATGTCTTCATTATTCGGCGATGATACTGTTGATGATGTAATGCTCGACATATAGTATCCCGAGTGTCTCTTAATCTTTGCCATCGGAAGACTTCTCCAAGCAAAGTGGGACGATGAATCCAAGCCCCCAGGCGATGAGTTCTTTCAAGAGGCGCTCAAACGTATGCCCGACTTGAGTGATCTGCGAAAGCATGGGGTCCTCAGCATCTAGCTTATGGGGCTGTCCGCTCTCTATCTACAGATAGCAGATCGAAAGGAGGATGCTTACCTCTATGTAAGTATCTTCTCTGAACCCACAGCTAGGTCAGCAAACCTCACACCATCTAGGCTAGCACGGCCCCCCGACTGTCGCTGGGTCTTTGTTTACACAAGTCTAGACCTTCCCGAAGTCACACACGCTCGGAAGCAGTGCATCATAACCGGCTTTGGTGGTCGATCTACATGCAGGAACGGTATATCACTCTTGGTCGTGTAATTAACGTGGCCTAATGTATAGCAGGAGACTTACTGCCGCCGTAGGCTTCCCGATGGCTGTTTCGGAAGCATCAATCACTGCAGCTCATCCCGCATACCAGATCGGACACCCATCCTCTACCGCCATTGCAGTCAATGTAAAGTTGGCTCAAATTACTGGCCGCATCACCACCAGTTGGTCTACATATACTTCTCTGGCAGCATTGCACTAACACGCCCAAGCTATTTACTCCCAAAATATTGACCCAGAGGATGTTTTCATCAAAGAAGTTCAAGACATCCTACACTCGCTAAATAAGATTAAGAATGAAATGCCCCCCGAAATTTCAGGAGGGTCACATCCTACTAAGCTTTTACTTAGCGATGCGCCCCTACCTAGCTCTCAGCAGTCATCAGCGAGGACAATTACATCTCTTCATCTGACAGTCAACCAGGTAAGATGCTCCAGGATTCATCCAGCCTCCTATTGACAATAGCAGAATATCATTTACGCAGTGCGACCAATACTGTTACACATGCCACGTAGCAGCTTCAGCGGGGGTAGCAACTTGTATACGTCCATGAGTCATACCCTTCGTAGACTTGCAGACACTTGCGTTGAAACACCTCACAAAAGCTTGGTGATTCTCCACGGTCTGCGTAAACAAGACATCATAGGTGCATATCTTTACCCATTCCAACGTGCATCTGGGAGTGTGCCTATGGCCCCGGGTGAAGCACAAGGCCAGAGACTGAGTGCCCGGATCATGACAGATAATAATGCCTTTGAGATTCAGGACGCTGTAATGGCCAGTACAGAAGACCTGGGTGACATTGTGCTCGAAGGCGAAGATGATCTTTACTGGATATACCACAATCCCTCACTGTCGCTTACAGACGTGGAACAAACAGATTGGGAGACTCTGGACAACCATATTGTCTATTGTATGCTAATTCAACGATCCGAAAAAAGGATTTCCATCACGGCCTCTAGACCATGTCTCATTCTCAAATGACTCCCTTCTTTCACAACTTGCCCTCATTCCCAATCATAATCTCAACTTTTCCCGCCGATTGCTCACCAGAATTAGTCTTGACAAAATAACGGTCGCCCGAGTACAGGGGTTATAGTGCTCTGTATGTGACTTTGTTTGGTTCTGCGCCATGGATAGTGTGAACGTCGCGCCAATAGTCAAGCATGTTGATCAGCTTTAGTGGACCATGTACGACAAGACTTGGATGATTCTCAACTCCTTGACTCCAAGCGGCATCATTGTGGATTATGTGCGCATTGACCGTCAACGACGAGAAGCGGAACAGTGGGATGGGAGACCACGTCATATATCGTTCTGAAAAGCCTACGTTATGTCATGTCTTTGTGAGCTAGAACTCTAACCCTGGATGTGTTTTTTTATTCAGAAATGAGTTAATGGTTCATATACCTGCAAACGAGTGCTGTGTAGGATCATGCGCGCTAAGCTCAATCTGTAAGTCTTGTTGGTCGTCCCAAATAGCAATTGGATAATATTCGCAACACAATTTTGAGATGAACTGTAATTCTTTTCAAATTCTGAATTCCAAAGGCGTAGAAATTTAGAGTTAATCTTAACTAATTTAATGATGAGTGCGATCACATGTGTTTATCACCGTATCGCCCATAAATATTCAGCACCTTAGGTATTGCTACCCTGGAGAGTAAGTTTAACAACGTTACTTATCCTACTGCGACTTTTTTTATACAGCCTGCCTACATTTATTCCTTAACATTATACCCCATGAGGACAGGTCCTTGTTCATATAAAGAAGCTTTTAGGGTAAGTTGAAATTTAAACAGATATCAGGCATTGAAAAACAGTATCACAGTAGAGGGGATAAGTAGAACTCAAACCATTTTATCGACATTTCATTTGAATATATATACAGGTGAAATTCCAAAGAATAATAACTCAACAGAAACTTAAGGCAAGATCATCCATAATAAGAAAATGGAAGACCTAAGAACAAGACAAGAGTCCAAATGATAGCTACTTGCAGCTGCATACCATTTAAGACCAGGCGTTGCCAATGTTTCTGCCAAAGTTGGCGTCGATAAAAGGAACATTAGCACTGCCCCAACCATCGTTGGGCTTTCCATTTGGTCCGTTGACCAGACCAGTGCGGGCAGCAGGAGTCATAGCCGCCCAGTCGTAAATCCAGTAGGTACGGCCAGGGCTGGTCTTGAACTGCAGCTCGTGGTTCTTGCCACCACTGGTGAAGTACTCAGCCATGACATTGTTGCCGTTTCGCTGGGGATTCTTGGTCTTCTTATAGCTCCCGTGACCAGAGGCGGCAGCAGCGTAGAGGGTAGCTCCAGGAGACTGGTAGTTATCGATGAAGACAACAACATTCTCCCAGTCGTGGCGATGACCACTGACAAGGTTGCCATCAGCAGGCTGGTCCTTGGGCCAGTACCAAGCGTACATGATGGCAAGCTTGCCGTTGTGCAAAGCAGCACGGGCATAGGTCTGGCCCTTTCCGGTGTCCCTACAGCCACCAGATGTGGTACCGCTGTCTTGAAGTCCACCACTATTTGTCATGTTAGCTTTGATCGGTCTGCCAAATATAGTTAATCACATACCTGACGTCGCCGTTGGTGGCAACAGCAGTGTATGGCTGACAACCGTGGGCGATGTGAAGCAGAGGCTGCCACCTATCGATAGCAGCGCCAATGGCACCTCCCTGAATTGTCTTGCCAACAGGGTTGAGAGAATCGTGATTGACTGTGGCGCGGGCTTGGAGGTTGTTGAGGGCCTCAGAAGGGGCCGTCATTCCGGTGACAGCAAGGGCCAGGAAGGCGCTGAAGATGGTCTGGGGATGCATTTTAGGTAGAAGTGAAGTCTGAATCTTGGAATTGCTACAAGATGGAGTGTAGAAGTGAAGGCGAAGGAGTTGTAGTATGTGATGATGAGAAATGTTTTGATTAGAAGCACGAGACAAGGTCTCCTTTATAGTGATTCTGAGTAGTATGAATTATCTCATCACGCCAAGACCTAAACATCTCGGCAAGTTGATTCGGAGTTATAATTCTATGCCTTCCTCCGTGCATTACCAATAAGCCCCCGGTATATGATGATGAGACAGTGGGATCTTGGCAGAGGAGTTGCAAACTAACTCTAAGCTTAACAAGTAGATGGGGCGATTAATGTTGTTTACCTTGATGGTATACGAAACTAAGTTGAGCTTTGATCGGTCTTTAGTTAGGAACTTCTTCGGAACGGAACTTGTTCATCGGCATTTCACTGCCCCGTAGAATCTCACGTAGAACCAAATTACATACGTGAGCGACTCAGTGCCTAGTCAGTTTTATGGCAGCACTTGGACGTTTACAACGGGAACGTATAATCTGAGATCCACTAGTTCGTCCAACAGCCAACGGCCTGCTCGGTTTCCTTAGTATATGGAAACTTTTGGGTTAAACCGCCTCATTTACAACGAACCTAGCTATATTAAACTACCTTCCAATAAGGGCTTACTACTTTGCTACTAGTTATTACCTATCTCCACTGCTCGACTTATTATAGCGGCTGACTATCCGAACATACCAGGTCTATAGCGTGATTCCAAATGCACATGCCTATAAACGGTACTGTCAGTCAAGAAGCCTTCTCTTTCGGTATTAACAAGGGCCCGAAAGAACCTCGGGGTCATGCCACATGCCTTACCGTCTGCAAGGGACAGGCTAGCAGATTCCGTCCGTGTCAGTTAATCTAATTAGGGTTTAGAGTTCATGGTTAAGCCAAAAACAACGTTAGCGTGACGGTGAAGTGGAGCTGGTTAGTAGGAGGTTAGCCGGAATCAGGGATCCTACAGGAATATTAGCCCAATCTACAAAAGTGCCTGAGCATTGCCGCTTGCTCGGCAGTGGTACAGCGTTGGGGTTGTAATGGTGTGACTGTCACTGATGCAATAGCCTTGATTATGTTACCTAAGAGATATTTGCTTCGGGTTTACTCATGATGCTGTACCGTATTTGCGGTGTGCTTGATCGCCAGGCGAGCAGTGAATAGCATGGTGATATTTTGAGAAAATGAGCTCACGCAACATTCATTGCTATCATATCACCAATGTCAGTGTCAATGCGCCACATAAGACTTCTGTCTCCACCAAGTCTCAGGCCACTACCGGTAACGTATGCATAGCCACAGGTTTTTGAGCATACTTACTTTTTTAAGCAAGTCAATTACGATCATCAACGGAACCGCTAAGGATCGTGCGATAGTAAAGTATGTAAAATACGAGGTTCATGTTTCGCGGTCCATGCTTGCAGAGAATCCCATGAATAAGATCTGGTGTTACGTGACGCTAAGTGTACTATGATAGTTAATAGGCAGGCTTAGCTCGACAGACCCATTTGGACCATCCCGATCCAGTGTGTTCTGAGGACAAATTCACAACGGTGATGGTATGCAATGCCGCGAGTGAAATAGTGCAGAGACATGGATCCTTAGATATTTATCTGGGGGCAGTCGTCCTGCCATGATAGGGATAGACGATTCATGAATCAACATCTATGGGCCCTCGGGATGTGCGGCATCGGCTTTAACCGAATGGCAACCCTGGATCCTGGCCTTGCTTCAGACCAGGGTTCCTAGTAGGCTATGTAAGATAATGACCGTTTACAGACTGTAACTGCCAAGATAAACACCACTCCAAAGCCACCCAAGCCCACGTGTTAAAACTAACTTTGAACGTTTAACAATTAGTAAACTTTAGGTTTTCCAACCACTTGCCGATTAATGTGACCGATCGTACTACGTAATTGGAAGTCTAACCAAGTTAGCGGATTACACTCCGCCATGTGGGATGAATACACCATTGTGACATATCTACCAGATCGTTGGTTCTTCCATGAGCCTGCCCTCATATCAAGTCTTTAATAACAATCCGTCTCTTAACTGTCAATACCTCGACATTGTGTAATACTAGTGGTATTGAATGGCATATGCCGTAAGCTACAAGATATCAGACTTAATTGGAGGTGGTCAAAGTAATGATCACTAAGGACGTTCGTTCGAAATTCAAACCAGCTGCGTAGGCTCTGCATCTACAGAACTTATTTTATAGAAAAATCGTGATTTTCTTTTCTGTTTTAGGCTTACACCCAAGTTGCATGTCAAGGTAGTTAAAGGTAAAGTTTAACATTGATAAGGTTAAGAACTTAACATTTGTATTCGTAATCTTGCTACAGGGGAAATTAACTTCTGACAAATCTGAAGTGCTAAATTCGGCCTTTATCCTGACTGTGCTGATTGTTACGTCTAAATGTCTCGGAACCTAGTTGTCATTAGCGATACTGGCTCAGTTTCCAGATGTAGCAGTCTTTATTAAAGCAGCCTGAACCACCTTTTCAGACTCTGTATACAAGTCGCTGGGAGCTTCGTCGAGAAGAATGACGTTTGGGCTGCGAATGAAAGCCCTAGCAATAGCGATGCGTTGTATTTGACCGCCAGACAGCTGATTACCGATAACAGATACCAAATCGTCAATTTCCTAAACCGCATTGTCCCTGCTCACCCTATAGACAATTCATACTGTTAATCAGACCTAGTTACCCTAGGTGCCATTTTTTTGACAATTTCAAATTACGGAAAAGAATATATATAAAGCATAGTACATCGACCAGTAGAATTAAACATATAATATAGAGTCTCGGGGCTCGTGACGTAGTATAAATTACTCCGTGCGCGGCCTTCCTCAAGTTGCTGGTTTGTAGCTTCAGCTGAGGTTTGCCCTCTCATAAATGACTGGTTTGTCTCAGTCTGCCCTCACGCAAATGGCGTTAAGGCAAACACAGAGGTTTAACAAACCGTCCAAGCACAAGTCGGAATCGCTGAAAGCACACTCGTCAGCTGAATCACAAGAAGCACCCCCAGACGCGGCGGTGGTGGCAGTGCTTGCAGCCTCAGTAGTGAAAGATCCTTCAATAAAAACCGTGGTAGAGGTAGGTTCCTGAAAGACAGCAGTGGTGGTGGAGGGAACATCGATTGTCTCAGTCTCTGTGGCACCCTCGATAACGGTAGATGAGAGTTCGATGGTGCTATCAATGACAGTTGCGGTCGAAGTAGCTTCGATGGTAGTGCCTGGTGAAGTCGTTGATGGGCGGCAAGGGCCTGCATTTGCAACAGCAGCAAAGAGTGCAAAAGCACGAATAACGTTGGAAGACAGCATAGTGAACGACTGGTATAAACGAGTGACAGTCAAAATGAAGAAAAAGAGTGAATGGGAGAAAGACGTAGAACGGAAAGAAACATGGTGGGATATTGGTTTATCTACCCCATCTTTCGTGACTATTTCCCCTGAATATCTGTTATTTGCTTGTTTTTAACCTAAAGAATAGTGTATAGAACTAGTGATTCACTATCACCTTAGGTTTCTTTTTTTTTTTTTTTTTTTTTTTTTTTTTTTTTTTTTTTTTTTTTTACACTGAAGCCTGACAGGGTTGTTCAGCCACGTCAGGCGCTAACATGTTTAGCTGAAAGTCTGGGAAATTATAGCGAAAACAAACGGAAAAAACAATGTAGGACTCCAATACAGCGAATCAAAGCTAGGCTCCGCTCCTCCATAGTACTAACCCTTCAAGCTATGAGAACGCGAAATGATTGTGTATGTCACTCTTCAGATCACAGCCTGTTCTTGTTAGGAAGAACTTGATTTATTTATTAACATCCGTATCTGCATACACAATGTCTAATATTTTATTAACTCCGCCCACAAAGTCTTTGTCCATCCTGGCAGAGCCTTCGAAGTGGGTGCAGAATTGCCAGCTATCTGAACAACGAGGTTTTTGTACAGGAACAAATCCAAGTGATAGGTTCCAAATATCGTAGCGCGTGAGTCACCCATGGCCTGAGTCTGCTTCTCCTTGAAGTTGATCAGATTCTCCTTCTCCCATTTAGTTGGCAGGGTAAAAGCCGCGAATCTCGTCGTCAGTCCGCTCACAGCATCGGCGAGACCGCCAGAGAATACCGATATCTGAAACGAGATAAAGGCTGGGGTGTCACCTATTACCTGTCCTGCCACACTAACCCTGGTTGTGGAAGCAAGTGGGAGAATACTGGAATCATTGAGAATAGTGTCGATGTCTGACTGGGGCTCCAAGACAATACCAGAACTTTTGTCCTTGTTTGACAAAATGGGATCGAGATTTGCATTGATAACATTCTGAACGTTGAAACCAGCCGACACGGAGGGGCTACCCGCGAATGCTGCGCTCAGATTCGAAGCCACAGTAGGTACAGAAACAGTCTCATCTTCGTGGTAGTGTTCAAGCTTGTAGTTGAGAGTATTACCCTCAAGTGTACCCATAGTTGATGTAACTCCATCCCATTTGCTCACATTCAGATGACGACCGTTTACCAATAATTCGATCCCGCTTTTAAGGGTCTTTTCTTGAAGGTATTGAGTGTAGGTCAAGTCACCCGCAACTGGTCCAGCACAAGCGTCGACCACCATGGATTCACCCTGAACATACTTGCCAGTGGCTGATATGGTGATAAAGACATGAGATCGGAATGGAGTTCGCATAGGATCCGCGACGTTTCCGAATTTTATGTTTTGCTTATCACCCTCAAAGAAAGGACTGTTCGTGCTGCCCCAGCCAGTAAGGTCTGCATTGATGTATCCGAACGGTGCCACAACCTCCCAGTGTAGACGAGTGTATGAGAGGCCGAGACTGAGAGCAGTTTCGACGATGGCAGCTTGATCAAAGCAGTTGACAAGTCTCAGAGTTTTTGTAGAATCGCTTTGGTGATCCTTGTATGTGTTGAGCCAGCCCATGAGTGAGAATTTTCCGCCACTTTCGTCAATAAAGGAGAACTGTCCGTCCCAGACATTGTATCGAAGCCAATGTTTCGTAGAGTCAGGACGAAGTTGTCCAGGTGCTGTCTTAGGGTCTTGCTTGCCGTGGCAGACATTGGTGACCCAACTGATCCAGTCTTGCTCAGTCTGCAGCTTCTCCGTTGGACCAGTGCTTACGTTGGGGACGAAAAGCCTCAAAAGGTCGATCGGTATGCCCTCTTTCAGAAAGAATTGGGGTTGAATCGGGTAGATTGCGTAGACTTCGAGCTTCGCCGTGCCCGCTATGAATTCTGTGGAGCAGCTCCCTATTCGATACCATATTTTGAATCTTAGCGTATCGTTGAAGCAACACGGAGTCTGACCGTTCCCATACTGGAAATGAGTCGACACCGGAAATCCCACCAACTTCCTGTCATTTCGGAATTCTTTCCCGTAGAATACTGATGGATTATCTAGACCAGCGTTTGCGAAGCTCATGAAAAGATCATCGGGTGCACTTTCTTTGAAAGTCATCCAGACCATGAACTTGACGGGAGACCCACGTGTGCAAGTGAAAGAGACGCTAGATGTTGATGTGGTATCCCAAAGAAGGGGGCTTGGGTCAGACCCGTCGTAGACATGCAGTCTACCAGTATTGTCGCCAATTTCGTAAAAGGTTGTAGCAGTGCTTGAACTTGGCTGCCAGTCACCTGTAATGGAGTGGAGTGACGCTGTCATGATGGATAAGTTTTGTTGAAGAGAAGGAACGGGAAACAAAGATATGTTGAGAGGATTTGGGGGGTTCTAAAAGTGCTGTTTGACCTAAGAAATGTTGCCTCGCTTTGTGGTAAGTAGTCTCTTATATATCTTTTCCGCGATATCAAGTCAGAAAGAAGGGAGGCTTACTTGTTACGTATCCGTGTTGAGACAAGATTCGCTAGTTTATTTTGGTACATGACAGCTTATCTCTATGGCTACTGAGGCTTGCTGAAAATACTTAATCGCTTACTCAAGCTTGCTATTGGCTAAGAAAGTTTAGAATAGTAGCTTATAATCGCTAGTGTATACAAGTTTTAGCGACTTTCATACGTTTGTGCATTATGGTTAACTAAAAGCAATCATCGCGTCAAAGGCAAACTGAATGGTTCGTTGAAGCTGGCCAATATTGAACTTAGTTGCAGACAAGCTAGTCAATTGCGGTTTTCAGCCGGGTCCTGAACAATCTAGACTGTTGGCAATGAGTCAATAGCTGATTGCTTGAACCACAACGTCTGCTATCATTTATAATATGGAATATGTCTAACCATATAGGTGATTACTGAAAAGTCCATTGGATGGCTGCAGATGTCAGCAGATGTGGCGCCGTGATTGGTAGAGCTTCCAGTCTCGTGCAAAGCTGCTCAGTTGAACAAAACAGAGCAGATTTCCCCTCTTTAGATAGTGAAATTCAAGGCTCGTTAAATCCTCTTTGGTATGCTCTATTTTGGGGGAAATAGCTGCTGACAACAGCAGAACTACATACGCGAGGTCTCTTTCCGCAGCTTCTTAAAATTTACTGAAAATAGAAAACTAGACAGAAGACAGAGAAAAGTAATGAATTTATAAAACCCGATTAAGTATTTAATCAGCCAGCATTTCATCACATAGCTTTTCCGCCATATGTAATCATGCTGTATGCGTGCACCAAAGTTAAAGACGTTGCATCAGAAATGGCTTGTCGCATGCTATTGACAGAAACATGCATCAGGCTATCACCGCCTCCTCAGAAGTGGCGGGCTTAATATGTATGTACGTTCATCACATGTTTCCCGACAGCTCTGTGACGAAGAGCACTATCTGAATTCACATTCCAATCGGAGGCTTTTCGTCAGCCAACCACGTTTAAATAACGAGAGTCTAGACTGTTGTGTCTCACATTTAGTCACCTTTGTGAAGAGTCAACAGGGAGACTTATCAGGGGTAATCATATGTGGGGTTGGTATGCTGCCTGTGTTAAGTGTGAAGGGTATCACGTGTGCGATCACGCGGTCTTGTTATATCTACCATGCAATCTGTGTTGTCTATAGTCCTACAACTCAGATCTTCAATTTTAGTCTTTCATCATTATTCTCATTCCATAGATTTAAATATATACGCTACTCACTGTGCTGTTTACCGTTGAGGTCAGCATTTAACGAAGAGTGGTGGATGGCATGGAAACAAGTCCCGGGTAGAACACATTCATTTCCGATGCACATCTGTATACTGCGTAAAGTTAGTAATAAAAACAAATTCCTTTTCCTACCTGAATAATACCTACTTGGTCATCGCTTTTTATTACCTTTGATGCAAAGACACAGCGCCGTTTAAACAATGTCATAGGACTAAGAATACCGAGTGCATTCATTCCAATGTTTTTTGAACTTTTGCCTTACATCAATACTCCCGACGTTCAGTCTTCTTCTTCCCAAAAACTGAAATTTAGGACATCATACTCAATTAGATGCATTCGTGGTAGCCATCTACTTATATTGAATTTAGCACATGGGTAAAAGTATCCAGTAGCCCTTGTTTTCCTATCTAAGACGTAGGAATTTCTAACCTTGAATGAGGTGATTGCGACTGACTGGGTTATCCTTACTCGGATTAGCTCGGCCCGTGTTATCTTATCAACTATCTAATCGCTGAAATTACCTCCGCGTACTATATAGCCAGGGCCTCATCCAGCAGCCTCCAGTACAATTCCAGATTGTTTTACAACATGTAGGTATCATAAAGAATAGCTACTTGCATATTTTACTTCTGAACATATCTCTATCACTTTGCATTTTAGCAACTAACTTGTTTATGCTAGTCGCTTTTTGCATATTGAGCTAAGCCGGTGTGGAAAAGGTCCAGTGTGGATTACACCTCCATCTGCTCACGATCGACATCAGTCGCTTATGTGCATGACGGTACCCACAAGATTCTTTGAGGGGATGTCAAGTATTACTATTGGCATCAGAGAGCTACAAAGCTTTGACAATACTGAAGCACTTTTAATTGCAGTCTTGGTCCGCACAAAGACGATTGGAAATAGACTTGGGTCTATTAATTAACCTTTAGCATAACTAGTTAGACAAGTGGACCTTGCGGACTTTGCGGATTTGCGGAGAAGATAACTCAACATTGATAAACTTAATATACAAAGTAGGAAACTTCGATTAACGTTAAAATTAATAATCAAGCTTGATGGGATTGAATTTCTAATATTCAAGGGATAAAACTTTAACCACAAGCATATAAATATGTCACTTGTTATGATGAAAGATGTAAAACCTAAACTAGTAACCATTTTCACTTCCAAAAGTCAATCAACACCACCATGGCACCAGCAATCCTCATCGTCGGCGCAACTGGCAACACCGGTCGAGGCGTAACTCAAACCCTCCCTCAGCTGCTGAAAGATAGCAAAACCCTTTCCGGCCATCGCATCATTGCTCTTACCAGATCAGCCAACAGCGATTCAGCTCAGCGTCTAGCCAAGATCCCAGGTGTTGAAATTGTTGAGCAAAACTGGACCGACATTACTCCTGAATGGTTGAGTGAGCATCAAGTCGTACGCGCTTTTATTGCCTCTCATAACGCACCAAACCAGTTTGCCGAAGAGTCATCCTTCCATGTTGCTGCACTCAACGCTGGTCTAGAGTACGTTGTACGTATCTCGACTACTGCAGCGAATGTCCGACCGGACTGTCGCGCATACTATCCACGAACCCATTGGGCCATCGAATCCATGCTCGGGTCGGATGAATTTAGCAACTTGAAATGGACATCTCTTCAACCCAATGTCTTCACCGAACTTGCCCTCGCCCCTGCTACCGCCGCTATCAAGCATTTTAAGGAGACGGGCAATCAAGCTCCCCTTAGCTTGATGTTTGCAGAACATGCGCCGGTTGCACCGGTCGATCCTGCCGAGGTCGGCGCTTTTGCTGCCCGTCTATTAGCTGCTGATGACCCAAACCGACACAACGGGGCGAAGTATGTTCTAAACGGCCCTGAGGATATAACAGGTCGACGAATCGTTGAAATGATTGAAGAGCGTACTGGCACCAAGGTCTTCGATGTGAATTTCCAAGATATCAGTTTTATCGATGGGCTTGTAGCCAGTGGTTTTGGTGGACCTGGCCAGTCAAAGACTGTTCTGACATCAATCAAGTATGCGTTGGCGACTATGTGGGAAGGAAAGGCTGCTGCGAACACTACCAGCAAAGAGGTCAGAGACATTGGTGCTCCTAAGCGCACACCTAGCGAAACGCTTGACTCCGTACTCAAGGAGTAGTTTCGAAATAGCGAGAGAGCTTATTCTCAATCCGATTTGTCGGATTTACTAGAATCCATTTGGAAAATAAATATATTTCGAACAGAAAAATCATATTTGAAATCATTAAGTAAACCGAACACGAATTTCTAGGAGTAAAGGTGGTAAGACTGACGAGTTGCAACCTTGTTGGTAACACCAGAACGCCAATAATAACAAAACAGCCAGTGACAAGGAGGTACGTGTAGTGGCTGCGTACTTACGAGTTGCCTTGTGGTTCGCCTACCGAGAGCCGTAAATGATCTGACTTTGGATTTTGATATAAGAACACTGACTGGCCTTGTTCGTTAGCAGCGGGGTCACTTTCCATCAGGCAGACACACGAATTTTGTTTGGTTACCAAATTGTGTTGTCTCACGATTCGACCAACTACGCACAAACTGACGCTCTCACTTATTTTAAATAAGGCATCAGTGACGTGATCGAAAAGCATATCTTGATATCGAAATTATTTTTCTCTTAAAACCAAACCCTCCAAGTATCGAAATTATTCTAGTTCTCCTTTACCTCCATGGCCATGATAGATATCCACGATGCGGCGAGACGTGGCGACAAAACGGCCCTATTAGAGCTCCTTCAAGATCCGGAATTTGATAAAATCAATAACAAGGACAAGCACGGCTACACGCCGTTATGGATTGCTTGTCGTCAGGGACACGCGCCATTTGTCTGATCGCTTTTGAGCCATGCCAAGTTCAATACTGACATGGTAAATACTATATGCGAAAGTAAACACACACCCCTACAGGTCGCTGCGTGTTTTGGATTGGACGAAATCATTAATATGTTGCTTGCGCAACCTGGTATCGAACTTAACACCAAAGATGTTAATGGCCATACCCCATTGACCGTTGCAGTGAAGAAAGGCTTCGAAAGTACAGTGAACCTGCTCCTGAACATGGACGAAATCGACTTGGGTCCGGATGGTCGCAACAAGACGCCACTTACCACAGTTTTCGAAGCTGGTCATTTGACAATAGCTTTGAATCTAGTAAATGCTGAAAGACGCCGAAGTTCCACAAAAACGAACGACACGATATTATCATGGGCAGCAGCGAATGAAACAGCTCCAAGAGAAAGGTCGCTCAGAGATGATCGACGATCTCGCTGGTGATGCTAAGAATTTGGCGGAACTTCGTCGTTGTCTTCGTACCCAAGTTCATGACGCAAAGACGTTTATTATGGATTATGGGCGCTCTCGGGGAGTAGACGTTGACCAACAGGCGATTGGGTCAATAGAGGGCTTTGCTAAAGTTGATGATTTACTTCGAGAGTTAGATCAAACCATTAGAGACTTGTTATAGTTGGTAGGTGCACTCGACATCCCCCTCTTTGGCTTACGGTAACTAATCGAATAGGGATTTGCGTGGGTCTCGATCCATGAGGCTCACAAGTCTGCGAGCCTTGGAACAAGCATGAAAAGACTTAGCTGGATCACAGTACGTGATGTGGTGACTCGCTATAATTGATGGGAGCTGAGACAGATATCTATAGTTCATCTTCCTGCCGGCTATGTTTGCATCGGTAAGTATGTCAGTTCATTGAACTACACTGGCTAAACAACAGAATTAGAGCCTATTCGGCATGAATGTGAACATACTAGAGGATAATCCTGACTGGCGATGGTACCTTCTTTTCGTAAGCACTATACTATTCCTTACCATCGCCGTGTGGTTGTTGTTCAAGTATCTGAAGGTTTGTCTATTATCCAACGAAGAAAGAATTCGCCACGATTTACTGTTTCTCTAACGGGGTTATAGATCGAGACTGAAGTACAAAAGCATTTGAATCGATGGAGAATGGAATTCAAGAAGAGGAAAGGGAATCAGAAGAAGAGAGGAACAGCAAAATATACTGTTTAAGGTGAATATGGCATGGAAAGCGATATGTACTACATACTTTACGTCTTCCAAAGAAAACCCGATATGTATTTTGCAGCTCTTGACCGAGTCTCATTATTAATTCCACTACTGGCCGTAAGGACCAACGATGTTGATTTATCAAGAAACTCCTTCCAGTCTCACATATTGCAACAGCACCCTTGCATCTCTTCCTTTGCAATTATTTGCTTGGCCTTAATTGTCCGCTCCATCATAATCCACAATAAGATGGGAAGGACTCCTCCTGGTGTTGGTGCAATTGCTAGATCGCTTCTGTCAAAGAGAGAGTGGCTCACGTCGCCGATGACGCCTTTTTCTGTAACATAGAAGCCAAGATCAACCAAGACACCGACTTCAGGTTTGACCATGGATGCTTTGATGAAACCGGGTCCGCGATGCAGTTCCGAGATGATGATAGAAACGCGTGGTGACTTGACTTCCTCCTGAAGAGCTTCATGTTTGTCTGGAGTAGCATCAAAAGATGGATCGAAGTCTTTAGACCAGCTCACATAGGGGAATTGTCCCTTTAACTGCTGGATGAACTCTTCCGTAATGATATTCCCGAAACCAACAATCTGAATTCTGGCTTGCTGTGCCGACCCTAGTAGCCCATATCTCGCCAACAAGCGGATCAAGGCGTCGGCAGCAATGTTGTTAGGCCGACCTTTAGTGTACTCCTCAATATTTTTCATAGGGTTGATAGACGCCATGACTTCTGGTTCATTTAGCTGCTGAGGTAACGGGCGCTGTATGAGGATCCCGTGGATTCGAGGGTTCTTGTTTAGCTTTTCGACTTGGCTTTCGACCTGTTTTGTAGACGCGTCGATGGGCATCTCGTATACCCAATAGCTGACGCCAGCCTATTCCGCAATGGGTCAATTTTGTTCCTGGAGGGATGGGAAGTTAAACTTACTCGTGCAGCAACGTGAGCCTTGATCTTGACATAGTCTACTGCATCATCGCCTGTGTTGAAAAAGAGAACGGCCATGACTGGTTTGATGCCACCCTTCTCAGCTTTTCGATGACACCAGCGGTCAATGTCATGCACGACTAGGTCTCCCGTGAGAAGACGTGCGGACGCGTCCTGGAGCGCCCAGGGGAGAGTCAGCAGCTCAACGGCGTCCATTGTCGCGCTTTATCTGTTTGTTTGGAAAAGATAGGACACAAGATGTTGTCGCTAGGTTAGCGTTCGAATTGATAAACTCTCATGTGCTGTCAACTGCCGCCAGTTAAAGTGATAACGCGTAGTAGAAGAATGCGGGGACCCTGCACGTGCCATGAAGATCTGAGACCAATAATACCATCTCCGAGTCAACCAGCCTCATTCTTGTTTATTGAAGAGTCTATTGGATATCTATAGAACTACCTTCCACAAGATCTACTTAATAAACCTTTTGAAATTCATTAATAATAAGAGATCCTCATACAGAGACAGAGAACAGTAATAAATTAACAAGACTCAATTACGCATCTTGCTACATGTTATGCACCTGAATACACGGTGGTGCTCCAGAAATGGCTTCAAGTCGCCGGATGAGAAACATTTACCACGGGGCGAATGCTCGGCAAAGCTTACCATCTTGTCGCTGCACCCAATCCTCACTTCCAACACACCGAGGGCACCACAAAAGACCATCAGGATCATGCTTTTCCTTGATTTCGCGAAGACGAGCGTAGTTTGGTCCCCAAAATGACGACTGCCAGTCTGGTTCGATCGAGCTTGCCTTGTTGCCATGCGTTAGTAAAGTCTTTATGTTTTAACAAAGGATGGCTGCCTTACTTCGTTTAGGTAAGCACCTTGAACAGGGTCGAGATCTCTTAACGATTCAAGCTTGCGGTATGTCATGTCGTGGATCATGCTTCGGATCTCAGTTTCGTTCGTTGAGTCCGTCCAAGCTTGACCGGTGATGAGATGGACGGTTGCGTTACGCCAGGAAGGATGAAGAGAATTATCGACAGATTTGGTGCTGATTGTGAGAGTACCAGAAATTGATAGATTTGGCAGCCCGTTCTAGATACTATTAGTAAGAGAGTGTAAGAAATGCAGTTTATCGTCCTTACCGCTGGTGCCTTCTTGGTAGGTCCAATTTTCTTGTACACGGCGGCGAAGTCGTCGGTCTTTTCTACGACGGTGCGTCGTGAAATGAGGCGGGATGTTCTAATACTGTGGCCTGCGCTAACAGATCCAATATCAGGCAAAACTTTAAGCAACTCTTGCCAGTTGTTTACAGGAATCCTATACAAGGACGAGGTGACTGTTGCGTTGGAAGATTGTAACAGCGTCGCAAATGGCCTGATGGCATCTTCGTAGGTTTTGTTGGATGCTTCAAACATCATAAGTGAGCCGCTGAAGGTGAGAGCTTTGGCTGTCGGAGGTCCTTCAACCGTGTAATAACCGTGAATACCTGCATCCTGCATGGCGGGGAACAGAGTATGGGCATCTGCGATGAACTTGTACCACTCGTCTTCCGAGGTGCGATTCTCAATACTGATATCGAATCCTACCATGACCATTCGCGGTGCAGGATAAGCCTTGACGGTAAGTTTTGTGATGACACCAAAGGTGCCACCACCACCGCCACGGATAGCCCAGTAGAGATCCTCATTTTGACATTCGTTTGCAATCACGACTTTGCCAGATGGAGTGACAATCTCTGCCTCAAGGATGTTGTCTGCGCCTTGTCCATAGTGGCCCGTAGCGAATCCGTGACCACCTCCAGTAGACCAACCGGCGACTCCAACGTCCTATAACCAGTCAGTCATCATGAAATTGTCACTATAAATGAGCATACTTACGTTACTGGTACCACTGACCGCCAGAGCATTCTTGGCAGCCAAGGCTTTGACCATTTCCCCATCCTGAACGCCAGCGCCAACAGTGGCGGCCATGCGCGGGCTTGGGGCGTCCTTCGAGTTGGGACAGGTAGAGTTGAAGTTCTCAATCAATTCAATGCCCTTCAAGTTGTGAGTCCAGATCCTGGCAAAAAAGTCAGCATAAACTCGGAATATCTAGTTCTGACTACACGTACGACAGACTGCTTGCCCCCAAGTTCCTACGCGTTGTTAGCAAGTATTCTACACACAAAGTTTCAACTCAAATTCTTTACCTTCCGTCGCCAGCATGTCCTGTGTTCTTGATAACCAATCTGATGTTGTTCACCGCAGCGAACTTCAGAGCTGCTGCAACATGATCCGTGGTAGTAGCGTTCACGACATAAGCAGGAAGCACGTCATTTGAGCAACCTCGCTCGCCCGCCTCGGGGTCGCCGTAGATACTAGTTCCGTTCTCGTAGACCGGAATACAACCAGCATTAGACCACTCGCTGTGAAGGCTCGCAGGATCGCTGGAGTGAAATGTTGATTCTGGCCACTGATTGATGACGGAATCGCAAGCCTCGGCGTCGTACCGGGGATGAGACTTGTAGCAAACAGCTGCTGGAGGTACATAGCGAATCAGGTGGCCGTCGATGGTAGAATTCAGAGCGGTCCAGGTTTGGGTCGATGGCCAACAGGAGTCGTCAATAGTCTGGACATACCGTTAGTAACCTGAATAGAACGGCTGTAGTAGACTTACGCATCTACATTGGTCCTTGGCAAGTGCGCTTGAAAGGAAAAAGCCTGCAATAGCAAGCGAATATGACATATGCATAATGTTTGAGTCCTCTCAGAATATCACTTGTAAGGTAGTAAGTAGGATGAGGATTAGAAGTTCAGTTCTCGATTGGCACGTCTCTGTTTTATCTACAAGAGGTTGAACTCATACAAAAGGTGGACACTGACGCAACGATAGCAGTTACGCGGAAACACAATAGCGAAAAACCAGGTTCAATACGAAAATATCCACAACAATGATTAGAGTGGAGCATTCGCTAATAGTTTACGATGAATAAGGCAATGATAATCAACACAGCCCGTCGGCATTAATAAGTATCAGTTGCAAGTCCCATAAGCCCCAGAATTTAGTGGACTACGGCAATTCCGGAAACCTGTTTTTCATTTGCTACAGGGTAAAAATGCACTAATACATTACTTGTTCACTCGATGATATTAATACGCGTATAAAGACCATTCGTCACTTTGATACATTTGTTTTGGAAAAATGATTGAAGCAACAAAGGCATGGTTTTGTGGTGGAGTATCTATTCGAAATCTCAAAGCAAGCACGCTTGCATGAATGGTTTCATGTAACTTGAGTGAAAGACGGACTGAAAAGGATGAATCTAACTATGATGAACTGAGGGGACCAGCCGACATGAGCTTGACCTCATGATTTTTGTCAACTGCAGCTAGACAGGTATCCGGAATAAGAGACATCAGGCCGATTGCTTCAGCTCGCCAATCATCAGCCTGTACATGACTTTGAGTAGTTTCGAAAACCATGTTAACAGGGTGTTTGGTAGTATATGTTGGCCAAGTGATATGAAAATCGGCAACTAAAAATCACAAGTTAGATTCAAGGAAAGGCGGTGTCTGAAGGTGATGTAACTGACCATTGTGAAAGTTCGGGTTCCGCTTGGTTGCGAAGCTAATCCACATTCGGCTCATGAGTTCGGCGAGTTTCACATGTTTCTCCATCAGTTTGGACTCGGCTGGGAATGGGTTTGTCTCCCAGCCAAAACCTTCTGTGTTCCCAAACATATATACCACATCTGAAAAGTGGGCAGCTCCAAGCGTATCTGGATTGACGTTTGCTGGTATAGCGTCGTGCAAGAAGCTATAGCTAGGGACCTTTTCTCTTGCCCATGCTTGTGTTGCAAAACGCCTTCCAGCAGTGAATATCAAATCGCCCAGCCACAAAGTTGCCGGGCCATAATAGCTACCGTACTCTGGACCGGGATTTACCTTCACGGTACCTGGACCTGCTGTCGAAGGGGTCTCAATTTCTTGAGCGTACAATTGTGCCCAATGTTGGGCGACTGTAGCATTAATTGGGCCTCTTGACCAAGAAGTCTGGATAAACGATCTCAAGTGCTCCTCAGTGTCAAATGCGCCCGTCATCCCCAACATTTGCTGTAATAGGGATGTTCCTTCATTTCTTGTCGAACCAATGAGTAAAGGTACTTTCGCAAAGTGACCCGAGTTCAAAAGTTCTTCGCTAGGTGCTGTAATCATTTCGCCATCAATAACGAATGAAGGTGTCAAATGAGAGCTAGCTTGTCGTAGTAACTCAGAGGGAGCTGCACGTAGACAGTTCAGCGAGTCTTTGGAGTCTAAGCAACCGGTTTTCTTCAATACGATATTGAAATCGGCTTGCCGTTTTGATATGTCACAGCTGAGAACTGGTGCCGTATACGGACCTCCACTTTGTGCAATTGCGGCATGGAAAAGACCATCGTTTCGTCCTCCAAAGGCGAGGAGATGAAATCCAACTGACATACCACCAGCTGACTCGCCCATTATGGTAACCTGTGATGCATCTCCACCAAAATATCCAATATTTTCTTGGATCCAATGGAGTGCCTGCCGCTGGTCATAAAGGGCAATATTAGATAGGCCAGCAGCCTCTATTTCCGAGCCGCCCAGTAAGCCAAAAGCACCGAGACGATAATTGAAGCTGACGAAAATAATTGGCGTTCCCATCTCCACAGACGTCTGTACGAGAAAGGTTCCATTGGTTCTGCCGTCGCTGGCGCTTCCATCTTGGAATGCTCCACCATGTATCCATACAAGCACGGGTAGGGGTGAACGCTGGGTTGCTGGGCGCACAACGTTGATGTGCAGACAATCTTCGCTGACTGCGCCTGTGAAGTTTTGACTAAATACAGCCAGCCCAATATCGTTCCTAAGGCAGCGCGCTCCATGAGATTCTGACTTTCGAATGCCGGCCCAAGGCTGTGCAGGCTGGGGTTTGCGCAGACGGAGGTCATTTACAGGCGGGGCCGCATAGGGTATACCGAGAAAGAGCTCCTGGTTGTAGTGGTTGTTGAAGATACCGCTCAATGTGCCATTCTTGATGGTCACGGTTGGAGGGTCTCGAGGTCCTGGCGAGAATGTCGAGGAAGTGGATGGCGATTTGGCGCCAACTGCAAGGACTAGGGGCAGCCATGCTATGAAACGGGCGAAATTGAACATATTTCAGAGTGATAGAGAACACGCTAAATGTAGGGAGAGTGTTGTACTGACGATATGTTGACACGTGTTTCTATCTAGCGGTTTGTCATTTGATCGTATTCAAGTAGTTGACAGATTGATTTGGTAGCAGGACAGTCCCCTAGACATCCGCTTATGCGGGATGGAATATGCCGCAGATGATGCCGCACTTGCCGTTGATAGCTTTGTATACTTCCTATGTTGGTAATAATTTAGGTTTCGGTTTTCGAAATAGTGGTTTTGCCGGCTAGTCTAAACTCTAAATCAGTCTTGAATATCCCGCTGCTTCCGAGTCATCACCTTTCCGTATTCCGATTCCGTCTTCGGTCTTTCTATTTTCGGCAAATGCAAAGTAAACAACAGAATTATGCGTGCACCACTAGAGGAGAACGGAACTTATTGTCTACTATAACTAGCAAACGACGATCTCTGCACGCTGCTTGTGCATGTGTTACTCGTCGACGATGGAAAGGCAAATGCAACGGCTGACAACCGTGTGACTAATGTGGAAACTGGGGCTGGGCGTGCCTCTACGACGGAGAGAATGTTCCTCCAGGAATAGCTAAGCTTACAGCTACAACTACAGCTAGTGTTACCAGAGACCCTGTGCAGCCAAAATCTCGCCAAAGAAACGAGCTTGGTCGAGCCCCTGCACAGCCACTCACAGCAACCGAAGCCAATGTCCCATTGTCTCCAGCCAGTCGGCCAACTAGCTCAAAGGCCCCACACGTACCCTGTACTGGATGCGAAAGCGGCAATGGTAGTGATCCTACAAGAAATGTTTCAAGACTTCGCGCTGTGTTGCAATAGAAATATCGAGGTATTCAGCTGCCAAAGCGATGTGACTATCTCTATCTATCTTGACGATTATGAGATTGTGCTTCCTAGGCCATCTCAAGACAAAGTAAGGATTGATGCCCGATGTATTAGACGCTTGATGCTTACGCGTTGTGAGCAAGCTTGGGTATTACCCATGACTGGAAGATGATTCAGGGGATTATAACTCGGCGATGCAACGATATAGCTTGTAGTACTGAAATGATGAGATGGGATGAATTACTTATAGTTACATCCTAAAATGAATCAATCATCTCCACGGAACTTAAACTCCCAGTTTTGACGCGCAGGACAAGAATGCAGGGGGCCTTGCAGGTGCCATAAACATCTGGAGACCAATGATAATAAGGACGCCGTATCCAAGTTAACCCATTGCTATTCTTATCAGTCACCTTGTCTTAGACAAGTTGTTAGCTAATGCTGTTGTTGTGCTAGTTAAGAGCACAGAGTGGGGAGCTGAAAACCCAGGGTAAGCAGCCTGTTTTGTGTTCTCGCAAGACTATATCTTTCAAGCTAAGATCAGCAGATCGCCACGTAGGCGATAACCAACGATTGGCCAGGGATTTAACAACAAATTGCTCCATTCTTGTTCTCATAGTACGCACAGACGTCTTCAGCCAATGTATTTTGTAAGTTCCTTCCTATTCCATCTATTTGAGATTTCTCATCCCCTTCCTTTTATTCTTTGTTATTTCGTACACTCTTCATGGCACTTCTACCGTCTTATATGTGACATTCGAACTCCTTCCAATAAATTCTTTAATTGCACTTTCGTGTTCTTCTATATAGGGTATAACTTGTCGTATGCCGTTTAGAGAAGAACCCATGATGGACTCAAGCAGTTTGTGCCAGAGATGTTCCGGAATCAACTTGGACAATTTGGTGTATTCCCGTTGGAGTTCTGAGCGCTACGACGACCATGCAACAATCTGCAAGATCGAGGGAACCCCAGATGGCTCTTGGCTATCTTCGTCGTGCGCTCTGTGTAAACTGTTTAGCACTATCTACCAAGATGGCGGATTTGGTGAACTAGCAGGGCAGAATGGGCGCAATGTTATCCTTCGCAACCCATGGGTTACTGATGACATAGTCGGCAATGTTGAAGAAAAGGCTCCGCTTCTTACAGTACAGGATGTACATTGGCTCGACATCCGCGACAAAGATTATCTTCTTAATAATCGTTACAAGAGTCTTTGTGTACAATCTGGTCCAGCCCGGCCCATCAAAATCTTAGATCCTTATTCTATTGACTTTGACACTATCCGGGTGTGGTTGTCAGTGTGCTTGAAAAGTCACAAACAGTCATGCGGTCTTTCCAATTACCCTGAGGTTCCAGGCTTGCGGGTGATTAATGTTCTAAATAAGAAATTGGAGCCTGCAAAAAAGACAACCCGCTACGTCGCGCTTAGCTATGTATGGGGAAAACCGAGTGCGGATGAAGAATCTCATTCTCCTACTACTCGTTCTCGCTCTTCGAAATGCGAGGCAGAGAGCTTACACGAGGACTTAAACACTCTCCCAAATCGCATTCCTGCAACTATAGAGCACGCCATGATAGTAGTAGCGGAACTGGGTTTTCAATTTCTTTGGGTAGATCGCTATTGTGTTCCTCAGGGCGAAAGCAATGCTGAGGAGAGACATGGTCAGATAAAGCAAATGCACAAAATATACCATGGTGCGGATCTTACTATTATCGCTGCTGCGGGGGACGGGCCTCAGTATGGTCTCCCAGGCGTGAACAAGTCACCAAGAAAACGCCAAGATTATGGTGTCTTTGGCAAACATACGGTAGTCTCGACAATGACATCGGCTCGAGTGCTGATAGAGGGCACGTCATGGCACAGTCGTGCGTGGACTTACCAAGAAGCAATATTCTCTCGCAGACGGTTGGTGTTCACCGATGAACAAGTATTCTTCGAGTGCCAGGAAATGAGTTGCCGCGAGACAGTCGATTATATGTGGCCTTTGGATAAATACCGCATTTTCTTCGACGCGTATTTAGCAACTACATTCGAGGGAGGATTAGAATTTGCATATGATCACATCTCGGAATACACCCAACGCCTACTCACTTACGATTCTGATGCCTTAAACGCAATCCTAGGCGTGTTGCAGCTTTATTCATCCATGAAAACTCCTGTGTTCCATTTCTGGGGTGTTCCAATGGCACCGCGATACTATTATCCACGGAGCAGTTATCATCCACTGAGCAGTTCGTTACATAGATCTTCTTGTACCCTGCATATTACTTTTCTGAGGTCCCTTTGTTGGATCCCAAATGACACAGGACATCGGCGTTCGGACTTCCCAGCGTGGTCATGGGCTGGTTGGTCATGTAGTGTGCATTTTAATTCCAGAATAGCACGTGCCGAACGATTTGCTGTTACTGTGTCCATTGGCCATACGGATGAAAGTTTCAAAACTCTTGAAGATACGTTCCATCAAGGAATCAAGCCTAACAAGCTACAATATCTTTCAAAGACCCTACGACTAACAGGTAAGGTCGTCAAGTTGAGGGCCCAGATATTCCTGGTAAAGTCGTCCTATCATCCCACTGAGATCGGAAAAACATCATTGCTTGTCTGGCCTTTGCAACATGAACAGATGTATGGAGATGTTCAAGTAATGATTCCTGTTCAACTCTTGCAGCCATTAGATGAGCAAGCAGTATCATTGTGGAGAAATCACCCTCCCCAACTGCGCGGCGTCCTGATGGAGCGCAATCAAGATGAAAACGTCCCAGACACTGTATTTGTACTTGTTGTCGCAGAGGTTCAGGAAAACAAGTACGAAAGAGTGGGATATCTAGAACTTGGAGATGGTGATTATGACTATGCAGGTGAGGCGGGACCTAGGTCAGTGTCGACGGGTCAGCTCGTCCGTCTTGGTTATGACGAGTGTTGTTTGAGGCGTGAACAATGGGAGACTGACAGCGATGTTTGTGAAATAGACCTTATCTGAATAGAGCTACTGTTGTGGTATTATTTTTCAACACTAAAAGGCTTTGAACCATATCTCGCAATGGGCCCTTTCCTGACATCCCATCTCATTGTCCGAATGCTTCAAATATGAAATGTTCTGTTTTTGAAATGTAATTGCACCACACCGCTGTGCATTAAGTGCCCTGTGTTTTAATAAAGACAGACTAGTATCTTTGCCTCATTTATCCCTCGATTGAAAATTTTGCCTTCTCTTACATCACCTTAACTAGAATAAAAGCACTGGAATACATATTAAATAAGGAATAATCTGCTTTAACTGCAATACACTAGCCCTGCTATTATTTGTCTATTAGTAACCCAACGTCAAAGTCAGCTCTTAGGACATCTTCCTTCTGATCTCCAATTTTATTATTGACTGACTAATAGTATGTACTGCTAGCAAGAGTGACGTTTCTACTAATCATAGTCTGTGGAGAAGCTAAACGAGGATATGAAACCTTGTCCTCCCTCTGCGAAGCACAAAACCGACATGTCCTTGGGTTTTCACCTAGTCCAATTTGCCTCTATAGCATCGCGTAAAGTCAGGGAGGTTGCCGTAGTGCTTGGTGTCAAGCCTGGGCGATCGAGGTAGGTTATATAGAGGGTCCCTCCCACGCTGTTACCTTTCCCTTACAGCGCTGTAGATGAAGTTCAAAGAGAAAATGTAATATAATAGAAACAGTATGAGCATGTATGAGCTATGAGAATAAGTAAATATGAGATAAATCCCAATATGGACGTGTCTGGCTGGTATAGTATATCGTTGTTGAGAACCACTATCCACCCTATCATGAACATGAAGCTGTTCGATAATTCTGCATGATAATGCCAGATTTCGCGGTGGGGTTGTTTAAAATAATATAAGAACATTCTGGCTGTCGTAACTGTAGATATCACATTAAAGACAAAAGAGGAGGATGTAGCTTTGAAACCCATTATGTCGATTATAACGGCTATCCAAGATTGATTTAGTCTTATGAATTCCGAGGTGCTAGGGAAGAGCTGAGAAACAAGAGGTAAATCTTGACGGAGAGCCGTAAACCAAAATAGCATGCGAATTACAGCGGGAATATAAGGCTTGACGATGCTGGGCAACATGGCGTCCCAGTCTCCCTCGGTAGTCTGTTTTAATAACATCAACAGACCGAGCCACCCAGGAAATGAGATGACCAAGACAAATTCGGTGAACAGCGTAATGATAACATAAGATATCGATCTGACCACAGTCACCCAGCCGGTTGATTGAGAGACCTCGATCTTAACACTGACAGTTGGTAGACTTGCAACGAAGCTTGAAAAGCTAGAGGAGAAGATGAACAAGTCATCTTGCGTAAAAGAACCATAACTCGACATGTCTGATCTCGAACTCTTTTGTATTGCACGATCAACTTCTTCGAAGGTTGATAAATCGGGTCGGAAACAAACAGAGACGTTAATTGGTCCCTGAAATAGCTTAAGCAACCAGTGAGTCTCATGCGCCTCAAAAAATACTGCGAAGCGAGTCTCGGTGCCCTGATTCTGTAGCAGCACGGCCGTCACACACTGAAATGTACCATTTATAGTCCCTGCAAATGACTGACGTTTGAAAAATATATCCTGCGGAACGAGCCAGTGATTCTTCTTCCTTGGGTGATACGGAATTGAAAATGTATCCCCTGGTTGGTGTTGCCGGGACCATCCAGTAGAGGTTCGGATTCCAACAAAACCTAAGCGTTGGGTGGGTATGGACAGAGACAGCTGAGCCGGTTCTGTGTTTGTGGTTGCTAGGAGCGTTTCAAACGGCCGAAAAGGAAGACCTTTAATGCGAGTCATCAAGTTCAACTGGCGAGGTTCCCACCGACTCCAAGCATCGTACTCGATAAAAGATGTGTCCTGCGAAGTTCGGGCGTACATACTTGGCCCTTGGCGAACAATCGGGAGAGCGAGCAGTCTCCAGGGATCGTTCTTCATGTGGCAGGATAAAATGAGGTAAGGTTGGCTGTCACTAGATACAGGAAGCTTGATGCTCAGACCTCGGTCGGTCAGTGATCTATCAACGTCTACCTTGACCAGTGCCAACTCCTGGGACCCCGAGAAAGAATTAATGGATCGAGCAAAGAGGCCCTGTATATCACTGTCCTGATTTGGTGGTTGTAGATGATACCAAGGATGGCCAGTCTGGATAAGGAAACCAAATGCAGGGGTCCAGTAGGATGGTTTTTCTACCCGCCAGGATGGGGACATGGTCTTGGGCGTCGCAATATCCCAAGCGAGAAGTGTAACGTCAAAAACTGTTGGGTCTCGGACGATAGCTTCTTGAAGACGGAAAAAAGCTCGCTCGGGCCCTTCGCCATATAACAACGGTATGTTGATACCAAACAGACCGAGGAGACAGTACGACATGTCCTCTCCGCGCGTCGTCGTTCTCTTGGAAGCCCAATCCATCTTTTGGGCCACTGTAGCGCTGGAGATCAATACCTGCCGCGCCTGAACACTAATAGTATCTTGGGATTCAAGATACTTTTGTTCAATGCCGGTAATGTCACTGACAATCCCGGCGTACTCGTGGCGTGTCCCAATCACGGACCAGTCCGAGGAAAAGAAGATTAGTTCGTTTGGGGCCAGTAGTTCCTGCAAGGTCCATCCACGGGTGAACCATCGGCTTTGGCTCATGGACTTTCGAATATCCCCGAAGGACGTATACACATCGTCTAGGTATGCAAAGCATATTTCCGAGTTCTCATACCATTTGAACATGCTGTTGATAGCCTCGGAGAGCTCCGCACTACTCGATTTGTCGATACAACATGTGTCGACCCAGACGTAGTCGAAGCCGCGACGGCTTGCCTCGGCACAGGCAGCCCTCGTCTTGGTGAAGCCTGCGCCCTGCCCTGTACGCAAAGAGGCAACATCCTGTAGCATAATCTCCTCAGAGCCCCACGTATGAGAGAGAATAGCATATGGCGGTTTATGGTTGCCTGGGAACCACTCGAGCTCTAGCGTATCGACGTTTAAAAGACGCATACTGATTTGTTGTTTGTATGAAGGAAAGATTGGAAGATATGGTGCGTTTACGGATAAGCAAGCTGTGGGGCGTTGTGCATCACTCAGCCAATTGTACGTAGCCAGAATAAGCTTGTCCTTTCCTATGAAAGGAGGCAGGGATGTATATGCGTGGGGTTACTTGCCTACCCTAGTCCTTGGGACGGGTAAGTGATCTGGCGATGGGCAGGATCCTGGTAGATCACATGGCGACAAGTTACGAGAGAAGCTTAGCAGTCTAGCCAGACAACTTCAGGAACGTATCTATGCCTTGTCAATAAAGCCTGACCCGCCTGCAGTGCCGATCTAGAGCCTGACCCGAGGGGGCTTGTTGTCATACAGTTCTGCTTTGTAACACGTAGCCATCATATCACAAACCCCACCTAATTGCATCCAGGATGTTGTATAGACAATAAGGCTTCCACCATGAAGCCGTCTGCATACAGTCAGCCTAACTATTGAATATCCTACCAACTCATACTGCCTAGCAATGACAGGGATCCATCTCTTCTTTTCCCCGCTCATTCCTGCTCAGGCTTCGCTCTGTTATCCATAGACATCATATTCCATTTCCATCAGTCGCCTTTTCCTGTTTCTTCTAGTCATCCCTCGCACCATCTCAAAAATCCATCCAATCGCACAAACGACTTCCAGCGCTTCATCGTCACTCAACCACAAATGAGTAAGCAATCAAAGAATGATCTTATCCAACCAGATGACATCACTGTCGCCATTTTCTGCGCTCTCCCAAAGGAGGCCGTCGCGGTTAGGCTCGTATTTGACGAACGATTCGATTGCAATGTTGCTCCTGGCCAACAATTGTATGTCTATTCTTACGGCCGAGTCGGTGAACACAACATCGTACTCACAGTGCCTCATCAAATGGGGACAGTGAAAGCATCCCAGTGCGCTGCTGTTGTGGCCCAACAGTTCCCGAATATTCGGTTCGCTTTATCAATTGGAATCGGAGGGGGTATTCCGGGTGCAGATGCCGATATCAGGCTTGGGGATGTTGCTGTGAGCATACCGCAAGATAATCACCCTGGTGTGATTGAATACGACTATGGAAAATACACTCAGAACGGAGAGTTTGTCTTGAAAGGCTCGCTCAATAAACCAGCCCCCATCTTGATCAGTGCAGACATGTCCTTACAGATGGATGAGATGGAGGACGAATTCCCAATTGACGGGATGCTCCAGCGCATCCCACAAAAACGTCTCTTCTCTCGGCCTAGTCGTGATGTCCTTTTCGCTGACACCTTTCATCATGTTGGCGGAAAAGACTGCAGCGCCTGTGACAATTCCAGCCAAAAGCAGATTGTTGATCGGGGACATCGTAACAGAGATGTTATCATTCATCGAGGTCTTATACTTTCAGGAGGAGGCGTGATAAAGAACCCACAGGATCGAAACCGGTTACGGCGCGGCAACGAGCAAGCGATATGTTACGAGATGTTGGCAGCGGGTATCATGGGCCAGATACCTTGCCTGGTCATTCGAGGAATCTGTGACTATGCTGACACCCACAAGAGCGATGAATGGCATTACTATGCTGCCGCTGTTGCTGCCGCATATGGCGGAGCTATTCTAATGAAGATTCGTGGCGAGCAAGTGCGTCAAACCTCAACTATGCAGAATATGATGTCAGGAATGAAGAGAATAGAGAGTAAGGTTGATGAGGTGAAAGAAGGTAATTAGGTATCCCTTTCTTGAATATGACTCCTCTTGAGCCCTTATATATCATTTCCCAGTCATTTTGACCAGTTCATGCAGTTTCTATGAAGACCTTTCCTGAGAATTTCAAGTACTAATCGGTCCACAGAATCATATCGACGACAGATCCTGGAGTGGATCGGGCAAAAGAACTGGAGACATGCCCATCAGGCACATTTTTCCAGATATGAACCTGGAACTGGCCAATGGTTTCTCAACCACCCGGACTTCAAAAAATGGGAAGTTGGCCACCAGCAAACATTGCTATGTCAAGGCGATCCAGGAGCAGGCAAAACAGTCATGGCATCCGTCATGATCGACCATCTCAAGTCTCGTGCCTGCGTCGAATCAGCCGCAAATCCGACAGCTGTTGTATTCTTCTATTTCAGCGCTGCAGACAGAAACCAGCAATGCCCGCCTTACTTTATGTTGAGTCTCATGAGACAGTTGATTGAAAGCAGCCATAGGCCACTGCCAAAGGCCGCCACGGATTGGTTTGAAGGATACAAGGACAATGGCCCATCATCGTTAAGCATGGAAAGTTTAATCAGCGGGATCATTGACATATCGCTTTCCTTCGCGAACCTCTTTATAGTAATCGATGCTCTTGACGAGTGTGAAGAGAGTGCATTGGAAAGAGGACTCCTGCGTGAACTGTTCAAGCTCCAAAGTCGGACGAAAGTGAACATCGCAGCAACTTCCCGTCGCCTGGACTGGATCAAAGACATCTTCAAAAACCTCGTTCCGAACTATTTGTTACTTCCTATTGAGGCAGCCGATGAAGACGTAAAACAAATATCTTGAAGTACAAGCGTAATCTTGTCATTCAAGAATGCGGTTCGTCAGAAGAGAGGAACAAACTAGTACAGGATGTACAAGAGCGCATCAAAAGTGCTTCTCATGGAATGTGAATATTTTCTTCGGATGTATATCCGAAACTGGCTAACACAAGTTCAGATTTCTTCTCGTCCGATTTCATATGGATGAAGTCGATTATCAGATATCAGAGCAGGATATCAGAACTAGCATTCAAAACTTTCCTGAAGCGTCAAGTGCGTATGAGGAGATTTATGGAAAAACAACCGACCGCATTCATGATCAGCCTCTGAAGCATCGTTTGCTCGCGAGCAAGACCCTCGAATGGGTAGTCTGTGCAAAAGAACCACTCCCGATTTTGGCACTTCGTGAAGCAGTTTCTGTAAAGATCGGCTCTCCACACTCTGAGAAGACAGTTCAAAGTCCCATCAAGCTAATTGTGAATGTGTGTAGAGGGCTTGATACAGTGGATGACGACAAAACTGTCCGATTACTCCATCACATAACACGCGAGTATTTCAATCATAACCCTGAGCGTCTAATGTTTCTTAGCAATGGTTGCCTCTCAAGGTCCATAGAAGGCGTTATGAACATCAAGCAGCTAGAATCTAACGCCAGAACTGCCATTCAAGTAGATCTCACTATGGTTTGCATCACATATCTTTTATTTGATGCTTTTCAGGATGGACCATGCCAAGAGAAACAAGAACTATGGGAAAGCTTGCGAACCAACAAATTCTATCAGTACGCTGGTCGTTACTAGCTCGATCATCTAGAGTGTACTAAGAGTGAGATGCTAAAACTCACGAAGGGTGCATTGATGATCAGATTCCTTCGTAATTCTCTGAATATTCGAGCATCAGGTCAGATCCTTCGAGTATACCAAGTATATCATAGTGAATTTAAATGGGGTAATGGAGATCCATTGGAGGGATTTATATGTCTCCATTTGGCGGCAATTACGGGCTCCTACCAAATGGTTCGCTTTCTACTTGATGATGGTCACCAAGTGGACGAAAAGGACTTTCGCAGCCGGACTCCACTTTCTTACGCTGCGAAGAACGGCCATTCGAGTACAATTCAGCTATTGATAGAACTTGGTGCCAAGGTTGATACTGTCGACCGATTATACCGGACCCCACTTCTTCAGGCCGTGAACAACAACCGTTTGGAGGCCATAGAGCAACTGTTGGATCACGGCGCCATTATTCAAGGGGATCGGAGAGGCCATAATACACCACTCCTATGGGCTGCAAACTATGGACTAACCCATTTAGTACAATTATTGCTGCAATAGGGAGCAAATATCAAAGCACGAAATGGATATGGTGATACTGCCTTGACACTGTCTTTCGGAAAGCGCGTTGGGGGCAATCCTGAGATGGCAATGGTTCTGATTAACGGTGCTAACGTCAATATCACAGACCAAGACCGAACTTCTCTACTGTTTCTTGCCTTAAGAGAAGAATGTCCTGATGTTTTCCAACTACTTCTCAAAAGCGGCGCTTCTGCACAAAGATGGAAGAAAAGTGCGTTATTACTTTATATGGCTGCAGGTCTTGGATATTTGGAAATTTGTCCCCTACTGCTCCATGCCAAAATGCATGTAGACGGTGACGGTGACGCAGGCACTCCATTACTTGTGGCTGCGCGACGAGGACACCTAGATGTTTGCAACCTTCTGATCCAACATAGAGCTAGAGTGGAAGGAAATGGTAAGCGGGCAAGTCCACTGTCGATAGGTCAGAGAATGTGGTTTGGTTGCCACAGGCCAATTGGTAAAAGCACGAGCTCTCCGCTTATTGAAGCTGCAGCAAGAGGGCATCTGGAAATCTATCGTCTTCTGCTCGATAGTTAAGCACCTGTAAACGGTCGCTCAGGTGAAGATAGTCCATTAACCAGAGCTTCTTCCGAGGGCTATGAGGACATTTGTCGACTACTACTAGACAAAGGTGCTACAGAAAGGGTAGCCAGTTAGCCCCACTATCCTGATTATGTAAATTTTCTCCTGAGTCGAGGACAACGGGATACCTAGACCGATATTTGTTAAATATACAATTGTAGTTAAACAAATGTTACAGAGTGTTTCTCAATACTAAAAGGCTTCGGAAAAAATAAGAGAGGTCAATTTATTATGGAATTCCTGTCTTTTAACCTTCTGTTATTATGCCTCGATCAAATCCTTCAAAGAAATTCAAGGATCTCTGTGACCGCATGGTTGTCTGCATCCTTTGGTAAGAGCTGCTTGTATACCACGAAGTTGGTGAACTGACGGAATAATGTCTTCGGAAACTCCAGAGATAGCTTCCTGCGACTCGCCGAACCTCAGCAGAATAATTCTAACTTTAACACTAGGTTGCAACTCTTGCAAGACGTTCATAATCAGGTGCAACTTGGGGTCATAATCCGTAGAAATGGCGATGGTGATGTTAAATTTATGATCTGACCAGGTCCCCCAACTCATACTTTTGGTACTTCCCGTTCCAAAACGCAATGAGTGTTTTCAGGGAACCAGAAATCGGTTCACTTTGTAGAATAACTCTCTAGCCTCATTTGACAGTTGTCAACTGACACCGTCCTGACTCAGAGATAACTTATCCATCAATATGAAGCCAGGCGAAGGTTTTGGACTCTGCCTGTAGCCGTCTCCTTTCTTGCCTACTTCAATTGGAACGTACACAACCAAGTGCTGTCTCAGAAATTCCTTTCGTTTTTCTGGCTCAGCTAGATCCTCACCACCGAAAACGAGGCTAGCCCTGAACATGTTGGTTTTTGTCTGTGCTTCTGCCACCACTCCCATGAACTCTTCTGTAGGCCTCCCTACTTCAGATTTGTCTATGGTTGAAGAGTCAAACACATCAGGGACTTGACTTTTATAGAAACCCAGGGACTTCAACTTCCAGAATTCTGTAAATGTCGCACGGCCTCGATGGTCGCTGTTGTCGCAAGCCTCGCCTCCTGTAAAGTGAGACTCGCCTTCTTGCTGGGTAAAAGAAAAATGTTGACAACAAAAGATCTTTCACTACAGAAAGGCGAAATGTGACAAAATAACTAATCACCTTTCCGCTACTGTCAAGCATATAATTTCTATCAACCAACTCTGATGTCACTGATATTGTGCCCACCTGCCAACTCATTACATCTTGTTAGTAGATCAATGATTGTGTGTCAGGCATCAATAACATTTACGGAAATGGAACCCTTATGGGCCTCTGGGTAAAATTGAAGTAATTGAGAGGCTCAGGCTTGCAATTATGCGAGTAAGCACAGAAATTGATAAATAAGTGGACCTGCCGGTCGCGAAGAAGACGGCACGGCACGCATAACCTTGTTGCATAACACCCTGCAGCTCATAGGAGGGTCGGGCCGGCTCGTGACTTGTCTTACTGCTGAGCTCGTCCCCGTCTTGGTGCATTTCAGCCCACGGCGTGCTTCCGATTGTTGCCATTTGTAGATAAAGTCAGGCCAGCGGTTGTTGAAAAGGACCATTGTGGATTCCTACCGATTGCATCCCCTCACCGTTGATCGGCATTAATTATTTATGCACACGATAGCATCTACACATCCACAAGATCGTTTGAGGAGATATCAAGTATCACTATTGACATCGGAATTCTCATTTTGAGCTACAAAGCCTTCGCAAGATTAAATCATTCCTATCTGAAAATCTTTAACCTAAGAAGTGTTGATTTCTTCAAGCAATCGATCCCGAAGACTACGTAACGGTCCTTCAAGGTATGCATTGCAACATGAGGCCTGTACTAAGACATCGTAATTCAAGATTGCTGCACTGATGCCAAGCGAAAAGAAAAACCGATCTGGATTTCAACAAAGCGTGGCCAGATCGCTATTACCAATTGGTTTGCGGCACACCGCCAGATTACTCTTTCCTAATTTGGGTTTTTGTGCATCGCATATCGATGTCGTTATGTGAGCCACTGTGGTAAGTTTGTATTGGTTTATTCCGTTGCCGGCATTGTTTTCTCTTGCCTCGCTGGTTGATGTTGAGACACATGCACAACGATGAGACACGGGCCTCATCGAACTGGAGTAACACTACTTCGGGTGTAAGTTGTTCTGTAAGTCATGATTTGACAAATTAAGGGTCATATATCATGTGAATCTAATAAACTTTTGTACAGGTAAAGGAATTAGATTGGGCATTTCCTGTTTGAATTAGGCCAGTCGCACTTCCAGGGTAAACTTATATCTCAATGCGCCGTCACAAATAGGCGAATGGTTGGTATGGTATAACTGTACGTCATAATCCAGTATTTCGTGAGAGCGTTTGAACAAAATTACAGAAATTCTGGGATGGTACAGATACGCAATGTATCGGAGACATTATGAGCTCATGTTATTGAGGAGGCTAGTATTCAAATGGGAGAGATGCATCTAAGACAACATGCTTAATCATGTTAGTTAATGCATGGAAGTTGTAAGCGACCGCAACTAAAGAAAACACTTTCAATTGTCTCGGAATGAGAAGGTGGCTTGGGTTAGTGCGTCCAACACCACAACTACTCATTGACTGACCTTGAACTCGGTAGTTGTTGAAGTAACTCGATGTCTCCGGCGCTACAAAGGGCTGGTGGCCAATCACGGCACACAATAGCTACACCAGATCACAGGCATCTCGACGAGATCAACTCACGTTGAACTCGGCTGTGTTTGATGGGTTATAATTGAGGTCCACAGGTACCAGACTGCGGCAGACGTAAACCAGGTCTAGCGAGAAACAGAGAATATTTGTTAGTTCTACGACGGTGGAACAAAGATGGAGAACCAAGATGGCTGTTGTTTTCAATGAGTATCTTATCGGGAGGGTGGTCGGCAAAAGGAGACTACTGTAGAATTGCCAAGATACCTGTACATTCCTCGGCCTTGTTTAAGCTGGAGCCGTCATCAATTTGAAAAGCGGCGTTCTCATTTGACGGACTCAGGAAAGAGCGACAAAATGTGAATTTGAAATTTTGTCTGTGACATACATATGCAAGAGTCTCAACAGGGTCAATTCTATCTACACGATTCTATCCCATGTCTCATGATGTGACCTAATTGATAGTGGGCCAGGACAAACAGTAAATGAACGTTCTGGTGGAAATTATGTGAACCCCAAGGGACATAAATAGCCTGCCCATCTCCCACATATTCCTTCCTCATCATCACATCAATTTCCAACTTACACATTCTCATTACAAACTATTCACCTACAAACAACATCACCATCATGAGTGACGAACAAGTCAACAGCAAGGAGCCTATCTTGGAAGAGGGCAAGTTCGATTCCGAGATTTCCGGCAACACCGCTTACGTAGGTGGAATAATGTTACCCATGAGACCCCTCTTGCTAACGTTTCTTATAGATCCGTTGGGACGTCAAGGGTGGCGGTGACCGTGATCACTATCCTAGCTTTAACACCTGGGAGCCTTTGGAGGGCACTCCGTAATATGACCCAGAGTCGCATATCAACCCTCATAGCTAACTTGAGATCTAGAAACATTCAAGGTTTCACCTGCCGCAGCGCCATTGACCTCTGGCTTTACCTTGGAAAGTAAGTAGTATCTCCGGTTTACACAAGACTCCATACTGAGTAGCGACAGCGAGAACGAACAGTTTTCTGGACCAACCGAAGGCAAGAAGAAGATCGACGCTCGACGTGTTTCAAAGTACAAGATTGTCGCTCGTTGATCTGGTTTGACGTGCCAAAGTCCGGCCATTCAACATGTCTGGATGACGATGGTGATTGACTCTGATCTTGACGACACAAGGATGCAGGATACACTGCTGAAGACATAAGAGGAGATGCATTACTTATAGTCACTCATTATCCTCCAATAAATAAACCGTGGCCACGGATCTTAAACTTCTTGTCTGCTATGGATTGAGTGATGTAATGTTATGCAGCCAGACATTTTATGTAAAGGTTATTGCCATATGCATACCTGCGGCAATAATCACGGCCTGGCACGGCATAGACATAACCGTGTTGCATAAAGTCCTGCATACCACGGAAGGGTCAGGCTAACCCATTACTTGTTTAATCATCAAGGTCGACTAAGGGAAATAATCAACTTTGGTCCGATATATTCCGATCTTGTCATGAATGACGTTTGTCCCCACTGTGATTTTCATAATGTGTATAGAAAGCAAGTCTTCACCTATATCTTTGATCATTAAAATTCCACGCAAGTCTTCGACTACTTCTACCATTTAACAATGTCGACTGGAAGAGAGTTGTCTGGCGGTTCCTTTATAAAGAAACAGCACGCTACAACCTATGATTACATCTCCCCACTTAAGTTAGACTTATCCAAGAAACATGTTCTAATCACAGGCGCAGCATGGGAGGATGGTGTTGGCTTTGCTACAGCCATGGCGTTTGCGCGCGCCGGAGCGTCTGCGATAGCTGTAGCTGATCTACACGGCGTATCAGAAGATCTCACAGCGAAGTTGAAGTCAGCCGCAACACAAGCTGGACGTCCAGAGCCCACAGTGCTGAACTACACGGTTGATATTGCAAATCAGGAAAGCGTTAAAGCAATGCAAGAAGATATCTCAAAGGCCTTTTCTGGACGTCTGGACGTTGTCGTCAATAACGCGGCTCACATGGAACCCTACGAGCGACTCCTTGACATAGATCCAGATGTGTACTGGCGCACATGGGAAGTCAATGTCCGGGGACTGATCAACATGATGCGCGAATTCCTTCCAAAGCAGCTCTCTACCAAAGGTGGTTTATGTACAGTGGTCAACGTTTCATCCTCAGGCGCTTTGAGTGCCCGACCCACCAGCGCGAGTTATCGGAGTTCAAAGCTTGCAATTTTGAGATGGACTGAATCAATGCAACTGGAGTATGGGAGGGAAGGACTCTTGACATATTGTGTGAACCCGGGTGCGATCAAGACCAAGATCACTGAGCTCGCGCCCGAGGCTCTGCGGAATTCACTGCCTCATCGTCCGGATATAGCTGGGGATACGATTGTATGGCTGGCTGCAGAGCGCCGCGAATGGTTAGGTGGAAGATATGTAAGCTGTCCATGGGATATGGAGGAGCTCATGGAGAAGAGGGATGAGATTGTTGAGAAGGATTTGCTCAAGGTCAGGATGGCATTTTGAGCTAGGCGTGTGTGCTGAGGTTATTCGTTTGTCTCTCTATTTTCATGCTATCTTTCAATGTTAAATAAACCTCATCTATAACCATCGTTCTGTACAACCTGCAAGGGCCACAACAGCCATTGTTTCCAGAAACCTCCGAGTATATCCGCTACTACTTCCACTATTGCTTTTCCCCAGCCTTGCATAAACCAATAACCGTCAATTCCATGTAAAAGTACACCGAATAGGGCAAAAAGAATTAAAGCCGGTGGTTGCCTCTGCTTTAACAGTGTGAAATAAGACTCAGGCGCAAAATGAATGAAGATCAGAGGTCCAGACCACTCCTTATTATACCCCCAATTTCCACGTGTCTTGGAGTCCATGTTGCGAAATTGTTGCGAGTAGAGACGACATTTTCGAAGGATATGAAGCGCCTCCTCGTAGACTTCGGAAGAAGCAGAGCTACTCCAAGTATCGCGAACGTTACAGAAATAATCATCCTCAGGGCTGTTGCTGTCCTTGCCCGGATCAAGTTCATACCAATTGCCAAGGCTCATTATGTTTTTCATCTTCCCAAATCGGATGTAATTATGGGTAGGTTCGAGCACAGCGTCGATTCCGCGTATCATAGGGATCCACTCGGCACCTAGAACCCTTTCGTTGCGTGTCGATGTTGATAAGCGGGAGACTCCATCTACAGGTTCCAGAAGAGGGTTTGACATGGCAAAAACGTACAGAACGTTACATATAGACCACGTAAATAGTGCTTCGCTGTTATCTGCAGTGATATTGGAGATCTGTCTCTGAAATCCAATCAAGGCTTCTCCATGATGATACATACCATCTAACCATCTTTTCTTTCGCTCCAATGGAGATTGGTAAGCAATATGTAGAGCTGCAAGACCTAGTAACGCATTTAAGACGAATGGGTGTTGGAAACCCATTTGGGGAAAGGCTTCCTGCCAGATCCACAGCGTCTTGGGACATTTGCAAAGGTCTACACTGGTAGATAGTGTCCAGTGATGAAGTAGACGCAGTTGGGTTAACTCCAACGTTCCCGTCGGAGTATAATCAAGATTGTGAAGGGAGTCGGTAGTTGAGGACAACGTTGGTGTTGGCGTTAGCACCGATGTGATGGATGGGGATTGAGACACGACTAATGGCGACATGGGGGAGACTGGTAGTGGTGGCATAATTACAACTGGAACAGATGTCTTGTCTGGATATTCGCAATCTATATCGCGGCGCTTGCAGGACCAGCATCTTGGGCGTTCCTCGTTACACTAAGAAATGATAAGCCTCTGGTTGAGCCGCTGTTAAAACAAGAAAATTGTATATAGATGGACTTACTTTAACTCGGCGTTTTCGGCAGTCTAAACAACCAGTTCTTGACTTCTTGTGTGGCTTACGTTTCGGGCGTGATTGTGGTTGTCGTGACGTCTCCATGACTAAAAATGTCTAATTGAATCGTTCCCAAATAAAATAGATGACTGCATGCATGTAGGTTTACTGGAACGATAAACGATGAACGAAAAACTAAACAGAAAGGAAAGGAAACAAGACAAGGAGAACATTGAAAAATTGTGTTATTAATCGGCTTAGTGAGTGATGAGTCCACCAGAGAGGCGAAGTAAGTGGATGTAACTCGTATCTCGTTTAGCATTCTCGTTTAACCTCGTTCAGCTGACACTAGACATTACTTCACTAGTCTAGTTCCGTTCTACTGTGCACGAGCCAAACAATTGACTTTATTCCCGGCAAACCTTGGATCCATTAGCTCCAATGATCAAAGCGCAGTGTCATTCGGAAGAAACTTAGGTCTACACGTAGGGACTAACATTCAAGTTGTGTGTATAGACCTACAACTGGTCTCGATGAAGTTTATTGTGAATTAAGTGGTTATTTGTAACATCTCATAGCATTTCCCAATCCGTTTCACAACCAAGTTATTGTCCATTTTAGAGACCAAGTGTATTTGAAGAAAAGTAAACATGTCTATTATGAGGATCACAGTCCTCCTGGAAAGTGCAAATAGGTATCTACCGGTCAATCAAGTGATGTTGGAATCTACTCAGTAGATCTTCCTGGTCTACTTGCAGCCCTCTTTCGCCCCTGATCATCCACTCACCTTCCTGGTGACGTTCTCTAGCTATAGCTTTGCGAGTTGAGCTATGTACCGCTGTGCGAATACTCTTGCTGATGCCCGCACTCGGATACGCAAAAACACCAAACATACCAGCGCCGCTCTTAGTCACAAGGCTCATAGCTCCCTTTCCAATACCTTTGACAGCTCCCAAAGCGCCCTCCTTTCTTGCCCCCTTATATGGCTGTACAACAACGTCGCTCAAACCATCAACGAAGCCCCAAGCAAACGTCTTGCCTGCAACTATCATGCCACTTTTGGCGTCAGTCACTGGCCCATGGTCGCGCACGCCGCCACCGTAGTGCTGTGGCACTGATTTGAGGCCTTCTGTTAGGGCAAGAGGAAAATCCACCACCATTCCTTTAAGAGCGGTGGGGCCTATCATTCCTATACTCTTGGCTGATGCGCCTGCCATCCTTCCGGCAAGCGAGTGTGAACGTTCGCTGTTTGGTCGTAACGTGTTGCCAGAAGATCTGCTCGCCAGACTCTGAGTGCCATCTGTAGCCTTGTTCTGAGCTTTCTTCGATTCCCATTCGCGTCGGTGTTGTTCCTCTCTGTACTCATCGATCGGTTTCGTGACGATACCGGTAATCGAGGTAGTCATATCTGTTGCTGTGGCCATGACTGCAGAAGCGCCTCCAGAAATCGGGTCCCATCTCGTAGTTTCGATATAGATAGGGTTGCTTTGGTAGCTATGACGGGTGAATCAGCATGTGATACACGTTATGTTTGAGGTCGTGACCCGTGGAACTGGATACTTACGCCTTCATATACTTGCTGTCGCCCGGTCTCTTCGAAAGAATAATCTCGGCAGCCATTTTGGAAAGCTTGATAGGCCGCTTCGACTTGGTATATGACCAAACCGCGGGCTCTGTTGGAATCAATTCACACCTCATTCGCTCAAGGGGGAGGTTCTTATGGAATGACTGCACAGCAGCACGAACTCCCACTTCAGATTCCATCTTCTTCGCTATGAGCGTTGCAGCAGCAGCGGCCTCGTCTGAAAGGCAGTAACGAATAGCTTCAGAAAGATTCTCTACACTGAGTTCTTTGTGTGGTATCGGAAACGGCCCTGCACCTGCCTTGGCCACCATCTCACCCCAAAAGGGTTGGCTACAAAGTGGTCAGCCCGGAAATTTGTAACTTGATCGCTTTGTGAATAACTTACTCACCAAAGAACGGGATGATGGTTGTGGGCTTCCCGTTCCTTAGTCCGCAAGCTGTTGTACCTGCTCCTCCATGATGAACAACAGCTGCAACGTTTTGGAAAAGCCATTCGTGGGGGCAATCTCCTATCCAATACACGTTCTCGTTCGCAGCGCCCGCAAGGTCAGACCAGCCTTTGGAGATGATGGCACGGGCACCAGTTGACTCGACCGCATTCAAAATTATCCCAATGGTCTTTTCCGGATTATCCAAAACAATGCTTCCAAACCCAATGTAGACTGGCGGCGGACCGACCTTTAGGAACTCGGCAAGATCTCGAGGGGGGGAGAATTTGGGGGCGTCGCGGAAGAAGAAGCCACATACGTCTGCGTTACCATGTCAGTGCGATACTTTTCAAGGGCGCGATGACTGTCTTACCAATATGTGCTGCCCAGTCGGTAGGCTTTGGCACTAAGGATGGAGACCAACAGTATGTGAAAGGAATTTTTAACGTTTGTGTGATCATCGGTCCATCAAACATAGCCACCTCCTCTAGATCTATAGATCGTCGCCATTTGTTGATCAGATCCCCCAGTCTAAATGAGTTCTTGGTCAGTTGAAAGGTCACCCATAATGGTCAAGAAAAGCATCAAACTCACCCTTGCCAGGTCAACCACTCAACAATGCCGTAAGAGATATAATTTTCCACTCGAGGATCACTACCAACATTTTTCAAATTGGCCAATGGGTGAGGGAACGCTCTGGTGCTACTCCAAGGCATCGTGAACATCAGGTGCACTGGGACTCCGAGCGCTTGAGCGCAGTGTACGTGCGCAAAGCTGGGAGGGTTCGCGATTATTGCATCAGCTACAAATGGAAGACCAGTAAGAGTATCAGGCCTTATACACGAGTGCCAGAACTTTTCTAGCATCTCTTGCACCATCCAGCGCTTCTTCTGGATTTCTCCAGCCGCCAGACTCTGCATGCTGGGTATCAAACCAGGATTCTTAACCATGTAGGACATTAATTCAGCTGGGTTTCCTCCAATAGGATAGAACTCCAGGTTTGATTCCCGCACAAAGTCCTCGAATATGTCGTGTGTCGCGAGACGCACGCGGTGACCGTATCGTTGGAGCTCGTTGCCTAGAGCGATGAAGGGCTGTACATCTCCACGACTGCCCACGACTTGTATGACAATGTTGAGTTTTGTAGCCCATGATTGGCTCTCTGATTGTGGCTCGGTGTAACTTGGTGCTGGGGAGCTATCCTGATCATACTTTTCGGCGGGCAATTGATAAAGGCGGCTAAAAGTGCGAACGAGCTTCGAGTCACAGTCAATATCGACTCGGGCATCGTCTACATAAATTAATATAAATACCAAAGAAACGTTAGAGTTAGAAGCTGCACATACCGCGAGTCTTTACATGGCTTCCAACGAAATTGGCGAATGTTGATGTTGAGGAATTCGTCAAGACAGGCTCGGCAGGCATTTCCACAGCATTTGGAATGTCACCTGTGCTGTCGGCATGTCTGAAGTCATGGTAGGGAGGCGCTGGTGTAGCTGGGCTGAGGTAGGGAGTCTCATCGCCGGCGAGTTCGTATCGAATCGTGTCTCTTTTTTTATCACCCATTGTAGCTGCGGTCGAATGTATCTGGGGAGTAAACTTGTGGTTAATATGGAAATAGTAGGATGAGAGTGATGAGTTTTTCAGAATGATTTAACCCTATCAACGAAAGACTGACGTACTGAAAGTGGCTTTGGTTGAACGGACTTTTCCGCTTCGCTCTCCTCTCGTACCTCGTTAAGGTTTCGTCAAGTCGCCCAGACGTAATTGGATGCTGGATATGCCATGTTCGAGGGTCACCACTACTGGAAACTCAAATATGATGCTAGCCGCATGAGGTAAAGATAACTTTGGGTGGACACTGGGCAAATCTCCCGGTTGGTGTACACATCAGTCTACCTCGATCTGACTGACTAATGGCCTCTAGCTTGGGTCTATAGATCCATAGTTTTAGCTCCCTCATTCTTCGTTTCTCGTTCCTCGTTTATCGTTCATCGTTCTTGACCACATCCACTCGAGGCACTGCCTTATTTCGAATCACAATCTTCAACATTGAGAGATCCGAAAGAAAGGTATCGAGGTAAGGGCGACGTCGTGGCCTCACTAAGATGAAACTTCTTTAAGGACGTCTCATCCAATCTGATAGGGGTGAGCTTCACAATAATACCCATAGCCGTACCATTAGCTTATATCAGAAATGAATGAATAAATCGTAATAAACTCTAAATTGTGACAATGCAAGTTATTTGAATATAGTAGAGTTGGGTCATAGACATAGCATTTTACTTACTCCACTCATGGTCAAGCGCCAAGGTCCATGGATTATCTTGTTATAGCATTGGACTCGTCTCATGAGGACGATGGCAATCTAAAAATGTGGTCCATTGTTCACCGATACTGTAGCCGGGACTCATGAACGAGCCTATGACGTTGCTCTCAAGTCCTAGAACTATTATTATGTGAATCGAGTCAAAGCTATGGCCAACAATTCGGTATCTTTAATCTATAAAACCCGGATCAAGTCTGCAAAAAGCAATTATCATGCAACACATCAAACTACAGCATTCAAGCAACCGGCCAACTACACTTCCAACAAACCTCGAAACAAAAATGAAAGTCGCAACCCTCGTTGGAGTGCTCGCCGCTGCTGCCCAAGCAGTCGAAGTCCCTTGTACCGGCACTACCTCACTGAAAGAAGAGGCGGCCAAGAAGAACCTTCTCTTTGGCTCAGGCGCCATCAATCCAGCCTACCTCGACGACGCCCAGTTCAGAGCTGTCCTCTCTGAGCAGTTCAACAGTCTCTCGCCCGAGAATGAGCTGAAGTGGAACTTCTTCCACACGGCCAAAGATGAGTACGACTGGCACAAACTCGATCGTCTCGTCGAATTTGCCGAGGCCAATGACATGGTAGTCAAGGGCCACGGACTTCTCTCGACATGCTGCAACCCAGATTATGTCCTCGACATAACAAGCCCCGATGCCCTCCGTGCTGAAATCACCGAGCACTTTGAGGCTGTTATGCATCGATACAAGGGCAAGATGGACCGATGGGATGTCGTCTCTGAAGCCCTCAAGACAAACGGTAGTGGTTTAGCTCCAAACCACTTTTACGATACCCTCGGCCCTGACTGGGTCGAGGAGGCCTTTCGAATTGCTCGAGCAGCTGATCCAGACGCCAAGCTCTTCCTCAATGAGAATCTTGTTGAGTCAATGCCAAACAAGCGTCAAGAACTCTACGACATGGTTGCCAAGCTCATTTCTAAGGGCGTTCCTATCGATGGAATTGCACTACAGACGCATGTCACCCTTGAACCTTTGGTACCTGGTGTTATTCAGGATATGGTCAACTCTTACAAGGCTCTTGGTCTTAAGGTTTCTATTGCCGAATTGGATGTCCACACGTACAACGCAACTCAACAAGCCGAGATTTATGGTGACGTTATCAAGGAAGCTTTGGACGCTGGCATCACTGATATCAGTTTCTGGGGTTTTACGGATAAGCACCTGTACACCTGGCTCCCGGGCTCGAAGCCGTTGATGTTCAATGAGACCTATCACCCCAAGGAGGCTTTCTACTCAACTCACGATGCTCTGGCCAAATTTGTTCGACAAGACTGATTTTCGATTGGCGAATGACTATTCTGGCACCATCCAGTCTAACACGGGTGACATTCCTCTTCACAAGTTTAGATTCACGTTGATCGTGGACATTTTATATATCAATATTGTTTTGTTGTCGCGAAGTTTGAGTAAGGAAAAAGAATATAGAATAGGTATTTGGATTTTTGGTTTTCAAGGTCGTTAGGCTTCAATCATAATTTCCACAGCATCTTCCCAATTCTCACTTTCAACGTCCTCGTCCGTCAAAAAACAGTGACCCAGCATGTCATAGAAGTTCTGTTTTGAACCCGGTTCCCTGTTTTCACGAGTGTTTATGATATCTATTGCTGTTCTTCCTTCGGTATCAACTTGACCGACAATAATTTCGGAGGCAAGTGGCACACACAATGCCATAGTATCAGCATCAGCGAACTCTGCGATAATGTGAAGCAGTGTTTGCCCATTTGGAAGAGGAACATGGATATCGAACCCGTTTCTAATGAATAGATCGAGAAAACGATGCTTGTTTTCCTTGATACTACAAAGAAGGGGATCAACCGCAGGTGCATTTGGGCAACGGACTTGTGCCCCGTTGGCCAAGAGGCGGACAGCAGCGTCAAAGTTGTCGGAAAGGATAGTGAATCCAAGCGGTGTTCTGCCGTCCTTATCGGGGAAATTCATATCCATGCCAGCATTAACTAAATGCTCCACGCCATCTGCTGGTGACCAAATGGCAGCATAGTGCAACGCCGTATGATTGTATCCTGTACGATACGTTACACTCGATCCAGCCTCCAGGAGAAGTTTCACGCAGGTCGGGTTGGCAGACCTTGCGGCGAAAATGAGTGGATCTTTTTGGCAGTAGCTAGGAATAGATGGGTCAGCTCCGCGAGATAAGAGTAATCTCAGATCATCGGTTGATCCAAGCTCGGCTGCTAAACAAAGCGCTGTTTGGCCCAGAGAGTCACGAGCATTGATCATTTCAGTAGAAGTCATCTCCAGCTCCTCCGAAATGCTTGTACTTTCAAGTTTGAGGACCGTCTTGTGAAGCTTAGTGAAATTCCGGCCCTCGATATCTTTGGTATGATCGAATAGTTCTCGGAATGCTTTTTCATCTGCTGGAGAAAGTCTTCCAGACAAGATCTTGCTCCAAGCTTTGTCTGATGGGCATGCACCCCAGATTTTACTTCTGATAAGAGGATTGGCGCCAGCTTGGAGTAGGAACTTGATTGTTTCAATCTTTCTGTATGATATTGCAAACTAGCGGATATTAGCAACTTGCTTCGAGCCACACAGGACGATCTTACATCTAGGGCGGTGACTCCTGATGAACAGTGAACATCATTGGGAGAAGCGCCACCACTGCTGAATAACTGTTTCAATTTCTCAATATTGCCGATTTTAGAATAGTAAAAAACGTTAGAGTCTTTCGCAACGAGTCGATGAACAGCGACTGTCATGGAAGGATCCGCCGCCGGCTTTAGTAAGAGAGCTGCAGAGATGAGTTTTGCCACGAACCATCGTGGGAACGTGTAAGTAACCTGAATAAGACTCGAGCAATGCTCTTTGCATCGAGGAACGTTGCACGGTTGACGAATGTTTGGCCTGCCAGTATAACCGACAAACAAGCCACCAATTATGGAATCGAGAAGCATAGGGGATCTGAAGAGTTTGATACGATGACAAGAACAGGCGCACCTGACCTGGCTTGTCCCTGATATGGTCTTGGTTGTAGTGATGGAAATCGCACTGACCATTGAGCTATTACAGGCCGACAACAAAAGGTCAGTACTCCGGGAACAGTCTACTTGGATTTCGGATTTCTCATCTGTTATGCAGGTGAGTAATGTTGGTTCTGGGCTCCGAGCCTTGTTAAGGTTATGTGATCTGTAATCCGGTTGTTTGAGAAGGTCTTCTACTGATTGCAATCGATTTGATATCGCCAGTAATCCATCCGAGTGTGTAGCTAGGTTCATGTGCATTCCTTGTCGTTGAATTGCGAGTTTACTGACAACGGCGTGTATTCCTTGAATATCAAGTTGAACGCTTGCTAGCGAGACCCTAGATTCCGGTCAGTTATGCAGCGACCAAGTTTATAGTCTCTGTACTCACGCTGATGATGCAGAAATATAGGTAACGAGTTGCATTCGTAGATCTTGCAATGCAGTACGAAACCCATTGATCTTACGAGTAACTCCAAGACTTCGTAAATTTCTTTTTTGTCGAATATCGTTCCATTTTTCAACACTTTCATTGATCTCAATCAACTTGGTGGTAATGGAATGTGCGATGTGATCCAGGCTAATGTTCTTTGCCAAGGCCCTTTGTGAATGTGAAGACAAGAGGACTTGTTCCAAGACGACGGTTAGGTCAGTGACCTCATTTGAAAGAGCACAAAGCTCCAGTGGCGCTCCGTACAGTTGCACTAGGAAGTTCAGCGCAGAATGTGTAGCAGTCGCAAGGGTCAAAGAAGACGCTATTATTGACAAGGGGTCCATTTTGAAGAAACAGATGGTTTAATTACGCTCGAAAGTCAATACAGTGGAGAATGACTTCAAAGAGGAAAAGCCTCTTTTCTCCCCCGTCTTATACTAATTCCCAAGCCTGCGGCTCAGTAATCTCAATGGTCTCATATTACTGTGACCGTTTAAAGCTGAAACCAGGCAGAGGGTAAGCCCGCCTCAGAAGCACGGCGAGTGGTCTTCAATGGTTGCACTGCTTGAAAAGATGGCTTTATTTATTGGTTGTTGACTGCTTGGTCAGACTCACGCCGGCACGGTCTGTAGTGGCTTGATCAGGCGTGTGACAGTTTACGGCGAAGGGACTTCTTGACGTAGTGGTGGGCTGGCCAACAGATACCCTCCTTGAAACGAGGCCTCAGAATGGCGAATATGTACTTTGTCACATTCGTCTGCAGTAGCGGCTAAAGAACAGGTGATACACTTGACCTCGATGCAGGTGTGATTTTCTCAGCACTCTCGCATATTGATGGCACAAACACATATGATGTTTTACTGGACGACAAGCATCCAATGGAAAGTGAAATACGTCAGGATTATGCGGCCCCCACATACGATAACAACGTTGAGGCTTTAGTGTTCAGAATTCACGACAACATGAGAACCTCAATCTATTAAATAAGACATGTCACGAACTATTCAAAGACAAAACAGAAGAAAATTATACTCGATGATAGAACTATTAATTATTCATAAATATCTACAATAACTACCTAGCTAAATCTTAAGTATTGGGTCATAATCCTCAACTTGGGACGTTTGACTGTGTAACCTCCTTTCGCATCTTCCTCTAGGTCATAGTCGCAGATCTTAGCCTAGTGATCTTCAAAGGGCCTTCCATGCATCTTCGTCATCCCAGATTGGGAAAACTGGTTCCAGACGTTCGGGCATCTGATCCGGCCAATTCTGTTCAATCACCTTCATCAATCCATTTTGGAATATCGCATACGCTGGCCCACCAAGATGGATTCCTATTTACGTTAGTATTAGTGTGTATGTGAAGGTATCTGTAAGCCTTACCGTCAATGATCAACTTCCTGAAATCAGGGTTTTCTGGCTCGCTTGCCGATCCTGGGATAGGAGTTCCTGGTTTCCAGCCAACAGCAGCACTTATATCTTGAAACAAATCTAGATAAGGAACACTGTGGCTGCTCGAAAGCTCTCGAATCGCTTCCGCATAGGTACTGGTATGATCGTTGGTCCACTTCATATCCTCAAAGTCTATTTCTTTAACTCTTGCGGCCATTAGTCTTTCCTCGACTGGTGGTGGAGTGACTAGAATCACGCGGGAGCAATTATCCTTGACTTGATTGATGATCTTGGCCATGTTTTCTTTGTATTGGTCGAGGGGCACATGGGGATTAGGTCCATTCTTGCGTTCTCCGTAACCTGCGTCGTTTGCCCCGAACAATACAACCTGTATCCTGGTTCATCCGTGTTCGTTGTAAGGATTTCTTTTCTTACCATGATTTTTATTTCGGTAGGTGACGAACGGTCAGGAAGTATGTGTGGAAGTACTTTTAGTGCTTGGGACGAGTTGTAGCCACTGTAAATGGTTAACATCAGCGAAGTTGGTGTCATGAACGAATTATTCTGTACCTCAACCCTCGATTGATGATGTCTCGCTTTCCTAAGTATTCTTATCGCCTATCAACAATATTCACTACCCAGAACTGCGATAAAGCTCGTACCGTTTTGTAACCAGGAAGTCATCGGTATCTTATCCCCTTGCGCGATCGACTTTTCAATGATTGAATCGCCAAAAAGCACGATCTGGCCATAACTGAGTTTCTAGATTACCCGATTAGGTCCATCATACATATGCGATAGGAACAACTTACATTTGAACCTCCTCGATACGAACGTCCATCCATTTTGCATTCAACAGTTGACCATTGAACAATCAAGCACCAAATCCAAAGCATTGCCTCTTGTATGAAAAGCATTATGGTGTTCGGTATCTTATTAGAACAAATAAATAAAGGGCCCACGAACGACACCAGTGAGTAACTGATGTCTGGAAAAGGAATGACTACAAATAAACTAAGAAACAGAATCTGATTCTGATTCTGCCAATCTCAGGTGGGGTAAATACAATCTGTGGTATGATGAAAGAGAATGCCTTGAGTGTAAGACACCCCGCTTTCATTCCTACTTGGGGCGGGTGTATCACGGTATGTCGGTGTGCTCCAGCCTCCAGTTACTCACTGACCATTCATGCCTTGCATGGCTGCTATAAAACAAAAACCATCATCACAACTTTATTGTTCACATAAATAAGCTGAGCTATATCTTATTAAGAGGCTAGTATCGCTGTAGAAATGTTTACAACAAGTTCAAAGCTGGAGTTGAGATTCGTCTCCGTGGCCTGACATGTCAGCTTGACTATCTATCTTTGAACTGGTTTGCAGGTTGGAAGCGTCGCTTTGGAACACGGTGAGGCATTTCATCCCTGTATGCGAACTTTGTGGCATCCTATTGAGTGTCAGCCGGAACACTTCTCTCTCCGCCCGGTTTGTATGGTAGACACTGAGCTGCAGTCAGCCTATTACCAGGTTGTGCATATGCATCTTGACTGCATAAGTGACAACCACCAATATTACCCCGCTTCTGATTATCACTGTAATTTATTACTGAAGATCACGACTTGAGCCGCACAATTGTATTAATATCTAGTAGTTCAAGAGGAAATGCCAGGTAGGATTCGTCGGATACGCATAGTCCAGCGGTAGGGCGTTCAAGACACGTCGACATTGGCGCAAGGCAGTCTTTTTCTCAGTGCAAATCATATCACGCGAGGATTCTAAGGGATGTCACACTTTGACGGTTTAAGCCTGCTGCAGGTTCGTAAATGACATTGTAAATCACAAGTGTGCCTGTAGCCTGATATCTCGTTACACAACATACTCTATCCCGCCACCAATTACATCACAAGTCTCCCTACGTTTCATCCGCGCGGCCTGTCTCACGCCACTTTACAGCCGCAATCTTTCACTGTCTAAGATTTTTACCATTGACAATTTCTCAATGCCTAACTCACTAATCACCGCGCTCTATTATCCAGCCGCATGTTTATGTCAGCAGCGAAGAGCCTTGTCTGTAAAATACTAGACAGGACCAACAAATTATTGCGGCTTAGATTATTCTCTATTGTACCATCACCAAACAATACAACGAGAGAGATCATCTCAAACATCGCAGGCATCAATAAAATCCTAACTCGACACTTGAGCCCAATTTTATACTACAGCAATCAGAGCACCATTCCTACCGTTCCCCTCGTCAAGACTAATTCTTGCATGTTTGAGACATTATGACAGATGTCAGTGGAGTATCTATTCAATTGGATCAAGAATCGCAGGATGGGGGTGAGTTTGTCTTAGTAACTGGGAACTTCCCCATCGATAAGGCCGTACTTCAAGGTAATACAATATTCATGCTTATTGCACCAATTTGAGAATTCAAAAGATTAATTAGAATCAACAGCATTGCCTGCTGGTGTCAAAGCCATATCCACAGAGGCTTACGGGTCTAGTGCTTGGACTTTCACGGGAAAGATAAACGCAAAGAAGGATGACGGGTCCGATACGTTCTTCTTCCTGAAGGTCAGCACGCTTTGTCAGTCCTACTCTTTCACATACCCTTTACTAACGATATATAGACAGCCATCGGCGACGAGGGCTCGATAATGCTCCGTGGCGAATTCGAATCGTCAAAGATCATACACACCATCAAACCTCACCTCATCCCGGAGCCGATAGCCTTTGGACAGTATGAGCAAGCAACAACCCCCACTTTCTTTTTCCTCTCCGAGTTTATCGATATGGAAACAGAATCTGCGCCCGATCCAGACCAACTTGGAAGAAATCTCGCCGAGCTTCACAAGGAAAGCCAAAAGACCACTGGAAGATTTGGATTCCATGTCCAAACTTGCGATGGACGAATACCGCACACTGTAGATTGGCAAGACAACTGGCCCACATTCTTTGGTAATCTTCTCAAAGGCATCTTCAAGATTGACACTGAAGTGAACGGCCATTGGCCAGAGTTTCAGCGTGCCACTGATCAAATCATTGCAAAGGTGGTTCCCCGTTTGCTTGGAGGACTGACAAATAACGACAAACCAATCATACCATGTATTCTTCATGGGGATCTATGGGAGCCTAATATTGGCAAAAGAAACGATACTGGTGAACTCATCCTTTTTGACGCCAGTTCATTTTGGGGACACAATGAGATGGATCTAGGCTTGTGGAGAGCAAACTTCTGCCAACATCTACGGCCCAGTCTAGAAACGTACGTGGATAGCTATCTGCGTCACTTTCCTGCAGCCGGTCCTGAGGAGGAGTTTTATGACAGGAACAGGCTTTATAGTCTGAAGGCAACTATCAACTACTCTGCTGGGCACCCTGGCTCCATCACTCGGCATACGTAAGTTTCATCATTCTGTTCTATCAGCAATGACATTCTAACTATTTTTGCAGGGCATATAACAACATGTGTTATCTCTGTGAGAAATATGCACCGATTGAGGGCATAGACAAGTACGATCCAGCGTTGGATCCTATTATCACGGGAGTTGGCTTATTACCTGACTTTGAGAAAAGGGATTAAATGCAATAGAAAGATGTCTCGTTTTCCTCCAACACAAAGACTCTTCACTGTCTTGAACGTGATCTCGTTGTTCCTGTTCCAAAGGTATAACAGGCAGTTTTTCGAATGGTGGCTGAGATAGACGTACTGGGTAACAGCAGGTCATTAGATTGGAATTAAAACCCCCGATGCTACAGATAGCGTAGCTGGCGGAGTTTCCAAGCATATCACTGACGTTTAGTAATATCTACGTTATAACCTAGGGGCAATAGACATAGAAATATACAGACCTTTAACGAGACATCCTAATGTTACTTTGAGTAAGTGGTTCGATATTGTAACATATAGCATTTAAGGTATAAATAAATATAAATACGATAAACCTTTCTAAACAGTATAGCCGCCAATACTCCAGAAGGGGCCGCAACCTTAAATGAGAATGTTAATATATCTAGTAGTAAGATAGACCAGGTTCCTTAATTTCTCTTACTATTTTATAATCGCTGAGGCACGTTGACAAGGTTTTCTGGTTCAACTACGTTGTATTTCCGAACAGAATTATTATATCCGTGTCAATTACACATAAATTGCTTCTAAGATATCTATTATTAACAAAAGCCTAATATATCCTATACAGCACTTAGTTATCATTAACATCCTTGGGCACCGCTGAATCGCCACTTCCAGTCTGGAGAGTTCGAAGGTCTGCGTCGGACTGACGTGGTATGTCAGACAGTGGAATTCCCTTTATGAATAAGTCAGCTGAAAGCCTGAAGGCCAACTGTCAGAAGTGTTATAATACTTACTACCCAGGCTTCTTCAAAACCAGCAGAGCGTACGTACAACGGTCCAGTGATTTCTAAAGCGTCGACAACCATGTGCTGGATCCGTTCCCAAATTGTGTTCCCTTTCAGAACAGCCCATGGCTTATCCTCCCAATTCTTCATAACCTCATGACATAGACCAGTGGCCCTCGCCTGCTTGATTCCATGTCCGTCATCTGCAAAGTCTTGTAGTCTATTACCAATTTTTATTATCAAGAACTATTAGTGAACATAAATTACCATCAAGTGACATCTGCAAGACCTTACCACGAACAGAAGACGTCGATGGAATTTTGGGTTCGTAGGAGGCAATGGCTTTGACCGAGATTGAGGGACGTCCACGCGCAACATATTGTATCAGATCCATTCGAATTTTCCACTCCAACAGCCGTCGCTTGTCTTGTCTAGTCATCCATTCCTGCTGCATGCCTTTCAGGTACATGACCGCAGAGTTCACATGATGCCTAGCATAGTTAGCATTCAATCACTTTGCAACAAGAAATCGGAAATACTGACATGAGAAAGAAATCATATTTGACATGATGAGGTGGGTTGATAGCAGCGCTTGATGCAACAACAACGATTGCTTGGAACATCTCAGCAGTACGTTCTTCCAATTCCGCATCCTCGACATGGACCTGCTGGAGGAGCGAGACCATAGCCTCTCGGGCCCTCTTCAAGATTCCATCTTCAATCTTACTCTCATCAAGGTAACGTACAATACTATCCAATCTTGAATCAAAGTGGATTTGTTTGTAGATATCCAACAGGGCTAGCATGGAAGACGCAGGTCGAATGGCCTTGGCACCAACCTCGCTAGCCAACAGCAAAGCATCTAGGCCTTCAACATTGTGGACGCAAGTTTGTGCTAAAGCCTCAGCCACAGTGGCAGGTTGCTCCCATTCCAAACCGTACATCAGTTGGATCAAGGAATGCAAGACTCCGGCATAAAAACGGAGCAGTAAGTCATTCGCAGAAGCGTTACCCTTGAGTAGGTATTCCTTTACCACCCACTTGTACCCATGGTCATCAATCTGCTTTTGGAAATAGGCGAGAAAGTCAGGATAATATTCCTCTTTGCCAAGATACTGAACAGAAGTCTGCCACGAGCCCAAAAGATCAGAAATCACAGATTCATTGCGAGGCTCAACTGGTCGCTGAAGTTAGTGGCGCAGATCAAAAGCTTTATGGATTTGGGCAGCATTGGCGCCAGTTCCATAGAGCGCAAGTATATGATGAAGCATCTAGAAACATATCAGCGGAACACAATCAATTACCTTTCTGATACTCACATGATCGTGAAACCCTCTTTTGTTCAAGAAGACATGATGGAGCTAGGCAATTTGTTAGTGGTTCGGGATCGCCGGCAAATCCAAAGCATGCCACAATTACAAGAAGCGCCGAGTCAAATGCGATGTCGGACAACCAGGATGCCTTCGTTGTGCTAAAGCTGGGCTTACATGCAAAGGCTACTGGAGAAATGCGGTCATTTTTGTGAACCGAACACTGTTCAAGATGCCACTGGTGCCAACAGGCTCTCAAACAACCGCGTTTCCCTCGAAGGAGAGGTGAATGTGGTTAGTGAGTATCAAGCAATGTCACGCATGATCGAAACATCTTCCTATTCAACATCCGTCTTTCGTCTCGGAACCCTAAAAATTTCCCAAGTTCTGTATCTGCCACAACTCAAGACCTACGACAGTCGTGCGGGCCCGGACGTGTCGGCTGTGTTGTGGTTTGAATCAATTTGTAAGCTCCAAGATCCGGACTTGTTACTTGATATATTACTCTTGGCGCTCTCTGCCGCCCAACTGCATGCCACTGGTCATCACACCGTCAGCTTAGATAATGCAATAAGGATCTACAGCGATGGGCTGGTGAAGCTTTCTGCTGCACTGCAACAAGTTGACTACAGGATCCCAATCTATTTACTTGCGCCAATTATTACTTTTTCAACCTGCGAGCTTTTCTTGTGCCCATCAGATTCGGGGTGGCGCGCCCACATACAAGGCATTGCGGACATCTTTCGACTACACGACACCAATATGGACAGCATACATAGATCTCAGGACTGGTTGCGGCTATGCGCCAGGGCAAGAATGATTACGGTACTTACTGATTTGGTCAATTATCGTACGAGAAGCCTGGCCCCACAGCAATACCAGAACACCCTGACAAGCCATACTGAATGTGATGAGTTGGACGAAGTGCTAGATATCGTACATGAGCTTCCAGGAGTTTTTGAGCTCGAGGGAACCCATGATCGGTTACTTGTGGAGATGGCTGCAGTGCTTGAACGAATTCGAAATTGGGAAAAACGTTTTCATCTGAAAAGCCATCAACCTCTATTCGTGTTTGTTCCTTCATCCATGTACAATCCAGCAGACGATGGATATACGCCTAAGCTTTTTCCAAATGTCCTTCAATTACAGTCTTTAAAGGTTGCATGGTGCCTTCTCATTCTGTGGGATGCAACAGTCCAGGCTCTTGACTTGATTGTGCGTCAGTGTCACGCAAACGATTAGTTCAGCAGAGTGTGCGAATCGTACCGCAAGATTTGGGACTTTTTCCGTTCCAGCGAGTCCGAACACCAAATAACGCTGCAGCTCATCATTGCAGAGTCAAACACATGTGCTTGGCTGATTTGCCGCTGCGTTGAGTATATGTACCGCGTTGAACTGAGGCTGGTTGGCCATCAGTCGATGATCTATGCAACTTGGGTTGTTACGAAGCACTACTATCAGTTAAATGTGTCACGGGAGCTGGCATGGTGTGAGAATATCTATGAAATGTCGGGGCGTGGATCAATTGTCGGAATCAGAGTAATGCAATTTAGCATTCAAGAAGTATTTGTTATGGATAAAATATCAAGTAGGATACGCTGTTAGGACTGAGTATAAGATACCGGAACTGATATACAGAATTTAACATTTACTGATTGAAATTTGCCTCTCCCTATGACCGATCAACCTCAGCGAATAGCTGCGACCTTGATCCACGATCAGCTCATTCGGAAACGATACATGTACGAGTCAACGTAACGTCGTCGATGCCAATAATGATAGTGTTAAAACTACCTAGACACTGGGCTGCAAGGCTCAAACTGACAGGTGAATCTGGATTCTGCGGGACGAAATAACTGGATCCTGTCTGGAACCCATCGGGACCACTGTCAGTTAGTGCTAGGCTGGAGGCCAGGCTCTGCCCGTTAACCCTAGGATAAACTTGGCAGGAAAAGCCATCACCACCGATAACGCTTTGTAGGTTGAACGTGTATTGCAAATGGTAGGTGTAATCGCCAAGGGCGGGGAGGTCTTGAATAATAGACGTGAAAGTGCGAGCTTGGTTAACGGTGGCGTAACTAATTCACAGCAGTCAGTGATGGTTGTTTTGAACAATTTGGTATCAAGCCATGACTTACACAAAGTTGGGTGTTGAGTGGGGGTTTATCTGACTGATGGTCGACCCTGTATCAAGTCTCCATGGGTAACCATCGTTGTTATCGTCGAAGCCGGTGTTGTCAAGGATCTGGGTCGGGACGCAGACAGGCTCAGCGGCGCCAGTTGTTGTTGGCTCGACAGCGACAGCACTTGTCTCAACAACGGCCTCGATGGTGGTAGTTTCGTCGACGTTTGTTGTATCGGCAGCTGTGGTCTCGATTGTGGTTGGCTCCAGAGTACCGGTAGTATCGATTGCGACCTCGGTGGTTGTAGTCTCGACAAGATCCGTAGTGCCAGCGGCAGTGGCCTTAATGACAGTGGTCTCCAAGCCCCCAGTAGTTTCGGTAGCGGATTCAGTGACTGTAGTCTCGGGAACCTCAGTGGTGTCGGCTGCCTCAGTAGTAGCGGCGACAGTTGTCTCGAGCGCGTCGGTAGTATCAGTGACGTCGGCGGTAATTGTCGCGGATTCTGTTGCAGTTGACTCAACTGTAATTGTTGAGGACAAAGCAGCTGAGGAGTAAGGCTTGCAGGGACCAGCATTAACACCAAAACCAAGAATAGTAGCCGCCAAAAGGACGACAATTCCGTGACGAGCCATTGTGAAGTGTAAGGAGTGGACAGTGCTTGTAGCACACGAATTGTCACTAGACAGGTTAAACAAACAAACCTGAAGAAATTCGCGATGAGGAGTGGATGTCTATTTAATTACAGAGATTATCTATCTAGATAACTACCTAGTCAGGGGCAATAGTTGATAAATGCTGGGGATTGGACGCCACAGCTGAAATATTGATGTTTAGTATGCACTATACTCGATAGTTTGGTGGATCAAATTGCAGCACTGGGCCTGAAATGATTTTCTACAGGGGTTTAATGGCGATCAGGCTTTAAACAGTTGAATGGTAGTCCATGCGAGATATTTAATTGATGACGAAATTATCCGCGATATCGTAAATTTATAGTGTTCAACTAAGGTTATTCATAATTGACGGGCACAGTTTTACCCATCGCTGTCATCACCAGCAGTGGGTAAGTACCAAAATGCAGTAGACAAAAGAAAAACAATAGCGGTGAGTATTGAGACTCGTGATGAAGTTTAGGTATATACAAGAACTATGATACTAATCTTGGACAGTTTTCAAACTCATGTCAAAACAAAGATAAGTCTTGAGTTGTTCCTAGTCTAGTAGACGTTGCTGACAGGAGTCTTGATGAGCGACTTCAGACTAGTCCTTCCATTCATCTCCTCGTTAATAGCCTGGACAAAAGCCTTGGCAATGAGGTCGGCAGCCTCGGGACTGGTGTGGGTGTGGTCCTTGGGGTACAGTGAGTTGACCTTTTGGTTACCAAGCTTCTGGTACATCTTTGTAACAGCAGCAAAGTGGTCAACCCAAGTGACACTGGAACTAGCCAGGGCCTTGTGAGCAGTCGACACATAGCCGACGAAACGAGGGGCACCAGGCTGAAAAGTGCCAGTCTCCCACTGATTGTTAGGAGTCTGAGTGCTGAGAACGACTTGAGCACCCTTTGCAGCAAGGGCCTTGGCGGCTTGGGAGATGTAAAAGACGAAGGTGTACACCTTCTCGCCTGTCTTGTCAGAGATGCAGACTTCTGTGCCTGCACCGGGACAATCGGAGCGCAAGTTGTCGTTGTTGTTGGGTGAACCGCCATCGTTGTGACCGAATTCGATGACAACTACATCGCCTGGCTTGACGAGGTTGATGATTTCCGTGAAGCGGCCCTCGTTGGTGTATGAACGAGCGGATCGACCGCCGATAGCCTTGTTGACAGCATTGACCTTTAGGTACTTGCCAATGTAGTTGCCCCAGCCATCAGTAACACCGTCGTTGGCGCCACTCTTAGCCATGGTGGAATCACCTGCAAACAGTAAGTATATATTATAGAGGAATAGACGAGATGAGACATACCAGCAAAGTAGACTGTTTGGCCAGCCACAGCCTGGAATGCTCCAGCAGCAAGTGCTGCGAAAGAAACAGAGAACTTCATGATGACGACTTGCTCTTACAAATGATAGTACACAAGAACTTGGCGATTTAAGAAGTGTGCCCAGACCTATATATCTACTATATGGAACGCATATCATCAAGACCCTGAATTGCAACATTCATCTTCACGAAACAGGAATGCCCCGGTCTATGCTCCGAGGATACCGATTTGAGTCTTGTCCCGGTCTGTGCTAACCCGGTAGACAGGGATACGGTAACATTTCCACCAGTTAGGGAACGAAAAGTCTAGACTACAGGGTTCAGCCCGGCACTTTTGGGACTGGGGTCTCGGAGAGAACCGATTGATGGAATTGTCAGTTGCATGGAAATGCCACGAGGCGGCCCTATGATAAGAATATGCTTAATGTGTTAGAGTTTTAGTACAAGAGCCAAGAGGTAACGTTGAACTGTGGAAGATCTTCATTTGTCAAAGTCCGGGGAAGAGGCTGGTTACGCTCGGTCTGAGATGCACCGAACGCGGGGAAACGGAATATCATTTCCCGATTTGATTGTGTATTTTGACCGACTTAAAGAATGGTGCTGGTCGAAGCCGGATACCTCGGCCGCGAAATAACACCTTCTTGAATTTTAAGTCTTTTAGAAATATGATCATGTGAATTGATAACAAGGATTATGATGGCTTTGTATGGTGTAGGACTCATTGAAAAGAGCAAGGAGTCCGCCTATTTTCTCCCAGACTTCTTATTAGCAGCTTCATGGTCGAATAACAGAGACACTTGTTGCAACATTGAAAGAACTCTAACCCTGAGATAAAAGTAAAGATCACAATGAGACACACTACTAAACTCTTCCACTATATAATCATGTGGAGAATACGAATTCTGACACTGTGATGGCATACCTACTAAAAAGGGTGTTTAATAAACAAGATCTATAGGGTAGCTGACACACGGAGGCAAAGTATCGAAACGGGATTTGCATTGTCCTACAGCAACTCTTAGAGTTTGATCTCTAACTCTAACCTTATATCCGGTTCATCTAGAACACACACAGAACATAAACGTAGTACAACTGCCGACAGGTGATTTTGCTCGATTAAAACGTTGGAAGTCGAAATAGCCAATCAAATCTCAAGCATGACAGAGTCCCGAAAAACGCCATCCATCCATTTGGACTACAGCCAATCACGATGCGGACATGACAATGCCCCTGTCTGTTCAATCTGAATTTTTCTCTCACCTCTGCTCCATGGAATAGGTTATTAGGTCTCTGAGACTATATTTATCTTATAATAGCCTCTCTGTCACCATTGAGGAGTGTGTTGGCATACCTATTAATCCAAACTCTTTTGTCAATCAATGCTAGGTTTAACACATGTCTGTCTTTACATAGATTACCGGCTCTACGACGATCCAAGGTCTCAGTATCTTATCAGATCAAGCCTCTAGAAAGTCTATATCAAGCCAATGGTGTCTTGTTCAGTGGAACAGCCAAGCTAGAGCTTACGTTGTCTCAGGGCTAAAAGTTCCGCTTGTAAACTAGCTCTATCCACTATCTTTATATAAATTATCCCTTACATATGTGAGCCAGCACTTGTTAATGATGACGCTGTTTCTAAAAAATGCGTTTTTTCTACAACACCATCAGAACTCACCCTTTTCCACGCATCAACCCCGTGGCCATCCATATTCAACAACGCTTATTCTCTCGAACAACTCATAATTTTGGCATTAAGATGAACGGACACGGAGACTTGAACAATTCCCATGCTGGAAGAACAGCGGTAGAATTTGCCGTTGATCCGTCGGTCAGAAATAAGACCCTCGCCATTGACCGCGACCAAGATGACGCTGCAGTTCGCCAGCAATATCGTCCTTTTCTCTTCGATGGAGATATGGCTGCTGACGATTGGATCGCCGAATTGGAACTGAGTACAGCACTAAAGATGGTGCAGTCAGAGATTATGGAAAAGAAACTTGATCGTCTTCGAATTCTTGTTCTTTATGGAAGTCTTAGAAGTCGGTAAGTACTAAGCCCAAACTCAATACCGGCACTCGACTGTCTTGATTATGCTCATTCATATATCCTAGGTCATACTCACGTCTTCTTGCCCTTGAAGCATCACGTATTCTCTTCCGCCTGGGTTGCGATGTGCGAGTATATGACCCAGCCGGTCTACCCCAGAAGGACGATGTTCAACATAACCATCCCAGGGTTCAAGAACTGCGGGAGCTAAGCAAATGGAGTGACGGCCATGTATGGATTAGTCCAGAGCAACATGGTAACTTGGTACGCCATTCCCGGTGAGGAAGTGAAGTTAACCAGAGCTAACATATCTCAAAGACTGGTATCTTTAAGCAACAAATCGATTGGATTCCTCTATCAACAGGCTCAGTACGTCCAACCCAAGGAAGAACTCTGGCTGTGGCCCAAGTCAGTGGTGGGTCCCAGTCCTTTAACTCTGTGAACTCACTACGTATCCTTGGACGTTGGATGCGCATGTTTGCCATTCCCAACCAGAGCTCAGTACCCAAAGCGTACACCCAGTTTACTCCCGAGGAGGAGGGAAGCCGTATGATGCCTAGTTCCAACCGCGATCGTCTCGTTGACTGTATGGAGGAGCTCGTCAAGTACACCATTGTCATGAGACCTCACTTCGATCTCTTTGGTGATCGGTTTAGTGAGCGAGAGGAAAAAAGGGTCAAGGAGGTGAAGAAGCAGGAAGAAAACTAGACTTGACGGTACAAAAGCATGATCATATCGATAGGTTTACTACAGATAAAAGGATTAAAAAGACATATAGACTGGGGAGACTCTATTTACAGTTTGAGCTCTGTAGAGATACTGAAGAAAGCTACTGCCGTCCTTGTATCTCCAGTGCTAATAGACTATAGTATGGGCTAGTATGCTTGCTACCATCGCCCTGATGCGACCTATTTACTTGACTCCCTTCTTCAGGAAATACTCAACAAGAGTTGCGATATGCCGAAGCTTCTCATACTCAGTATCACTCCTTTTCAGATTCGTAGCAACTGCATCAAACGTATTCCAAACCTCAATGTACTTGTGGTTTGTGTTTTGGTTAACGCTAATGCTGTGGAATGCGTCCTCCATTCGTGCGCGTTCTCGGACCTTGGTGATATCGTCTTCAACAATAGGACTGTGCCCAAACGCGACGATAGTCTGCTGACCCTGCTTTGCCAACTCTCGGTTATATATGACGCTCAACCTCACGCACTCAATGGCAAGTGTTGCCAGACCTGTCGCAAGAGCATTGGCGACAGAGCTGCCTGTGTAAGACTCAAATTTCTGCGCCGAGCTTTCATCCTCTCTACTGCTAATGACAACTTCGTGTCCCAGAAAGATGAAATCCACCGCATGAGGGTCACCGACAGTGTCGAGCATGGTTCCAGTGGCTTTGGCGCCACCAATTCGAAAACATTGACGGTTGCTCTAATGTGGGTAGTTTATGTCGGCTGACTTCCCATGGTCGCTGGCCGAACAGAACATGAGAATGCCGTGATTATCAACCACGTTTTGTACTGCAGCATTGAACCGGTTTCTCAATTCTCCCTCTGGAGGCTTAATCGTCCACGACATGCAAATGATCTGGGATCCTCTCTCTGCAGCATAATTGATAGCCTATATGTAATTAGAATCTGTGTTGAACAAAAGATACGAAGGGATAGATAGTACCTTGATTGCACTCTCTGGTTTGATTTGGACTTTCTTGGAATTTGCCGCCCAGACTGTCTGTAGCTTGATGTCATGGATGATAGCTGGGACAAACTTTGTGGATAAATTTCGCCATTAACGTACCATGACCGGAAGACGAGCTCCAATATGGTGGAACACGGTTATTGGAGCTTCCGCCTTCAGAGTCAAAACTCTTGCCAAATATTCTACGATCTTTGATATCGTTGAGATCTTGGTGAGTGATATCGGCTCCATCATCAATGAGAGCTACCCCCACGGGGGAGGGAGATACTCCTGTGGCTTCCCTGAGGGCTTTGATCTGTCTGAAACATTGTGAAAAGTTTTGCATGCATTCGATCCATCGATGGGGATCAACTGGCCGCTCCTGGTGTTGAGACGCCGCCTCTGTTGTTCGGACACGCGCCAACGGCCGGCCACCACCCGATTTAGGCCTGATCACGCGGGGTCGGGCGGTGCCATCTGGCCAAAACTTATACAAGCGCTCTTCAAAGACTTGTAGGTTCTTGAAAGTTAATTCAGGCGACTCAAGGCCCTACACAAGGACGTATTAGTGGTCATCCAACGGGATGAGATAAATATGCTGCTATACATGTACCTCTTTCTGAATTAGATGGATCACCTCCAATGAAGGTAGTGAGGGGAGAGCCTCTTGCTCCGACCACACTCGAAGGGTATCATGACTGCCGCTCCATTGGAGATAAACTTCGCGCAGGTTGACTCCAATCTCGCAAAGTGTAACTGAGTCCAGATCCAGTCGTTTCCAGTCGAGCACTTCAATGTTCTATATAACCACCAGTCGGTGTTTCCAACAGTCAGACTGGAAACTCACGAAATACTTCAAACACCTTTCGATAGCTTCATCGCGATGAGAAGGAGGTTCTATGTCCTCAACAAAAACCTATTCGGCTTATTAGTAGAGCAACAGGCATCGTCTAGAATGTCATACCTTGACGATTTTAGTGACAGACCTGTTACGAAGCCAATCGAAAAAGAAGACCATATCCTGAATAAGTTAGATTTATCCGCGGCAGCAAAAATGAAGCTTCATTCTTACGTCTCTTCCCCGGTATCTCACATCTGGCTGTTTTATATCGCCCTTGGTGAAAATCTGTGGAAACGCGACATATTGAAGTGCCGTGTCGAATTTTAAATGATCTTTGCACACTGCTGCAGCAAAATGGTGCTGACCCGGATCTGGCTCCCGAGTACGTTAGTCCACCTCTTTTTCATGCAATTATGGTACACAGCCTTCAAATGGTCAAGATCCTGGTCAAATATAGAGCCACTATCGACAAGCGTGAGATACCACTAAATGCCGGAAGGTCACGCACACCAAGTCTGCCCTTATCAAATTTGGAAGGACATACATATACTAACTGGGTACAGTGCACATAGCTGTCGACTGGAAGAAGACTGAAATTGTACAGTATCTTCTTGAACAGGGAGCAGACCCCAATGCCTGCCACTCGGACGGCATACCTGCTATAGGTGCTGCAGCTGACAGTGGTGATCCCAAGCTGATACAATTGCTTGTGGACAAGGGGTCCCACGTGAACGTCACCTATTTAAACAAAGAAACGGCACCATTACACGAAGCTGTCCCATTCCCCGAAACGCTCCGCCTTCTTCTCCAACATGTTGCCGACATTACGAAGTTCAATTCAACGTCACAAACCCCCTGGACGTTGCCATTTCTCTGAACTTTCTGGAAAGTATACAGTTACTACTTAAAAAATCGGAAGGCAGGCTTGACCTCAATTCAATTAGCATACGACGGGAGTTGTGCCTAGGTGTAGTCAAAGGACTTACTGATATTGTTGGGGCCTTACTCGAAGCTGGAGCCGACGTCAACACTATTAATGAGGATGGCGAGTCCCTTCCGGTTCTTACTGTTAAGCATAATTCACAAAGTGACATGGTCCGCACGATTCTCGAGTAAAACTCCAACATGGCAATAAGGGATAACGGAAAGAATGTGGCACTCCACCACATCAATTCGTCAGCAAGTTTGGAGACGGTCAGGCGTATCGCGAATTTCGGCGCAAAACTGTTTGTATTGAATGATCGTGAGGATACACCACTGTTTCTCGCTATCAGAGCTCAGTTTGATGATATGTTCTCTTATATGCTCAGAAAGGAACCAATGTTGGCTAATCCGAGCTTCTCACTAACAACCAAGATACTGACGCCGTTACATGAGGCTTGTCTAGCAGGCTCGTTTTTTATGGTGCGGTTGTTGATCGACTACAAAGCGAAAGTTACCTCATGTTGTGAATGGCTCTACGGAACTCCATTGATAATAGCGACACTCAGGTGGGACATTGCCTCGTTTAGTAGCCCAGTAAGTGATATAATCGCTCTACTTGTCAAGAATGGCGCTGATACGAGAATTTCCGATGGTATATTCCAACATCCAATTATTTCGGCATCCTTAACATGCCCTGCGAACACAATCCAGCTACTTCTCCAAAGGCCTATCCTATAAATTATGACTCCCTTGGTCCCAGACCAGTTCATTTAGCTTGCTATAACCCTTTAGACGCCCTCGACACCTTGGACCTTCCGGATTCTGATTTTGCTGCCCGAGACATCGTTGGACGTGTGTCCCTACACTATGCTGTCATGGGCGGAGATATTAGATTGGCACAGGTGGTGCTTGAGCGCTCTGAGCGAGCTGGCGTTGATATAAATATCAATGACAACGATGGATGGACGCCACTCTTATGGGCTGCCCGAGCTTCCCGTATTTGGCTTCGACATCAAGGAAACCGGTTTCCGATTACTGATATGATTTCATTACTTTTGGAAAACGGCACCAACCCTAGTTTTAAAGGGAAAGGAATGTACAAAGACTGGACCGTTCACGATGTGGCCTATTACCATCACGATAACAGGTGGGTGGCTTATTATCCCTGGTCGTGAGGCACGCTAATTAATCTTGTTATATTAGTCTTGCATCAGTAGTAAGTCAAGATTACAACGACCATGTCAGTTCAAGGAAGCGGGGCAATTTGGCAGAGTTCCCAGACGGGAACACAATGTTTTGTGACTGTTGCTTGCTTGACATCTACGGGTCCTATCACGATTGTTCACTATGCTCCGAAGACCGTTTGTGTAGCAAGTGTTACATGTCTGTTTCGAAGGTGCATCCTGCTCATTCAACTTTTGATGAGCGGGGTGGTGAATGGGTCGCAGACAATGCGCCGAAGGAAGAGAGTGTGGATGTGGTCAACATTGGAGATATGGAAGGTGGTGAAGAGAGTGATGTCGATATAAAATTGGATCTTGAAGCGGAAACTCCCTTCGATGATTTCGATGACGAGGATGCAGATGTCGAGGATTTTGCAAAATAGTTATTTTTGAGATAGGAAAATGCACCATACATGACCACATTGCTTGCTTGTCTCTTCTGCGAGTTCAATTATTAGTGTAATGATTATATTGTGCCTGAGCCCTGGGAGACATCAAGACAGAAGCAGGTCACAGTTTCTGCTGTAGAACTATAACGTAGATATCTCTCAGTAAAATACTGTCGTTGACTGAGTACGTTACGTCATGTGCACTGAGGCTTTACGGCATACACCTGAAATGATCCTGTAATGATTGATTAATCTCATGTCCAAATAGCAGCGTCCGTGAACTTACCAGCCCACTCATTAAAGTCGGCGATCCCCAGACGATCACTCCGAATACCCTGATCATTGCCAAAGCCTGTCGCAAAAATCTGAGAGCCACATGCGGGTGAAGCAACGCTACAAGTTGACGCTGCCTCTTCATTCCCACAGCAAGAACTCCCATTTTCGTGAGCAGTAAAGTAAACGTTCAGGTCACTTTTAGTGTCGACGATAAGAACATCTTTCAATAGTTAGCTCGATTTCACTACCTCTCAAGTTCAACTCACCTTTGAATCCCGCATTTTTGAGAAAGTCCTCATAGTCACTGGCAGGACTAGCACCAGAGATGCATCCGACGTATAGAGCAATATTGTTTCTGATCTCATCGGTAAACTCTTTGCGTGCAAGTATGTCACTGACAGCAACACGTCCACCTGGCTTGAGGAGCCTGAACATCTCGTTAAATACAAGCTGTTTCTCAGAAGCAGGGACGAGGTTGACAACGCAATTACTCATGATACAGTCGGCTATAGCCCCACTAAGGGGAACAGATGTGATGATTCCTTCGACGAATTCGACGTTTGAGATTTTCATGGATGCTTTGTTTGCATTGGCCTTGCCTATCATGTTCTTTCACAAACGTTAGTTCTACTCATGCCTCATATAATTTATGATAGGAGAGCTCACCTTGTTCATGTCGACGCCAATTGCCTTGCCCTCTGGGCCAACTTTCTTGGCAGCTGTTAGAACATCAAAGCCAGCACCAGAACCAAGATCAATCACAGTCTCGCCCTTGGCAACCAGTCAGTCGAGTATCCAGGCAGAATTTATGTCACAATCTACCTCTCTTAGTTTTGCCAAAGCTGTGGGGTTGCCGCAGCTCAAGCCAAGGTTTGCCCCCTCGGGAATACCCGCAAGCTCTTCTTCAGTATAACCAAATGCTTTGGCCACAGTCTGCTCATATATGCCAGTACTGCTCTTGGTGACTGATCCATAGCGCTTGTGAACTTGTTCGTAGATTTCTTTCGCGTCCATATTGTTGACTTTTGGTTTGCGGTGGACCTCGCTATTTCTTTGTGATGGATGTTCATGTGTCTACCGTCTGCTTAAGATATTGACATTATATATAGACAAAATCGAGAAATACCGATATGTCACCGTTCATCAACATCAGTCACACGTGCCAATCATATTCCTTTGTCTCACATCATCGTGGTGCACATCACGACACTAGAAAGAAGGGCGTCCAATCAGGTATTGAATTATTACTAAGATCGCCAATCGATATGTCACCGTTTTGAGACCCCATTTCTCAAACGATGGCAACACCATCGGTGACATATCGACTTCAACCACTTCATCATGACACCTAAATCTAAGCGAGTAACTGCTGAACATACAAGAAATCGCGTTCGCGATAACCAACGTCGTCACCGTGCTCGGAGAAAAGACTACATCGCCACACTGGAGGAGAAGATTGCTGAAGCAGACAGAACCATCTCAAGTCTAAGAAGCCAGGTTGACGATCTTGAAGAGACGTTAAAACGCGACAGCAATGGACGAACTTTGACGACACTCGCAGCAGGGCCCGAATGTGTAGACATTCAGGAAGCACCAACCGATTTTGACATAGACGATCTACTACTTCCAATTACCGGTCTTGTCACAGAGGAACCCAAGGAAATAAACGACCCAGATCGTGATGACTTACCCGATATGAACATCGAGCTCACTGACTTGGCACTATCAATCCTTCAACCTGCCATGTTTCCTCCGCCATCTCAGACGGGAGATTCTCTTGCATATCAAAGCTACCAAAACAACAACTACCAAAAACAAAACCAATCCGCAATTGCGGCCAACACATGCTGTTCACCTTCGTTTCCACCAGTTGAAACAGAACTAAGCGCAGAGCTAACCAGACTTTGCTGCGAAGCCTACATCCTCATCGCCCAACAAGATGCCACTGTACTCAGAGACGAGACTAGTGTACACCAAAACCCATTTCCAATACCGCATCTAATTTCTTGCAATTTTAGGATGAGCTGCTGTTTGGTGAAGGCTGAGGTTTCGGGACCCCGAGTCTGGACGTCAATCTCATACATTCAATGTAATTCCTGAGCAACTACAAGAACGTATCTAGTCTTTGGGGATATCAGATACCCGAGATGGTTTGGAGAGTGGTTCTTACTGGGGAGGTTTCTTAGAGATGGGGCATGTATAATGAGATGATGTGCGACGGCGCCGTTACGATGGCTGGTGGCTGATGACGAGATATTCACTGATCGAGAATTTACGGTCATGTGGAAATTGCCTGTGTTCAAAATGCTAATTCAGTTTGCTTATCCAAATACGGTCTGTGGCTTAAACTTTACGGTAAGCATATTTAAAAGATCAAATAGTCTCTTGCGCTAGGTGTCTAGTGTTTGACGAAACTATCTTGTACAGGGGTTAATTACTAGTGCCAAGCTGAAATCAGGAATCAAAGGAACGAAAGAAAGAAATTGATTTTTTTTTTTTTTGTGAAATACATAGTTTCTTATTAGCTTTGCTTTTTTGAACATTATGACAATGGCCGGTTGCATACAGACATTGGCGATGCACCGAGATGAAAGCTCAGAGCAGTCTAACCACTTTAGCTTCACATACGCCAAAAAAAGTACGAGACACCGATCGAGACTTCAAGTCAATAGTTTCAATATAGCGTGAGAATAAGGGCCTCGACCACTCTCTTCGGAGATTCCTTTGAAGAATTAGGGGTCCAAGACATCCTCATAAACAGCCGATATCTCGCTCCCCAGTGCCCACGTTTCTCGATTTTCTCGCCACATCGTTCAACGCCTGGATCGGCTACTACACTCGTTATGCGTTCCGTCTTTGCTTTAACGGCCTTGGCTATCTTGGGCAAATTCGATGTTGCCCTCGCCGGCCCATGCAAGCCTCATGTTACCTCCGCAACAGGGACTACAACCGCCCCAGCGACTTCAGAGACAAAGGGACCTCTCGTTGTTAAGAACGTCATTGGCAACGGAAACTTTGCCGTCAGAGACCCGACCAACCCAAGCAACATCCCTAGCTATACCGTCGAAGGTGATGGTCAGATTGTTGAGAACAAGGGCTATACCGGCGACAACAGCAAGGAGAAGGGGTGTGTCGAGATGCAAGCATCCAACCAACCTCCCAGCCGCAAGCGAGCCATTGGCAACATCGTCAGCATCTCTCAGCAGCTCGACTCTCTTGATACCAAGAAGAAGTACACTATTCGGTTCTTCTATGCTGTCATCACCGCTAGCAGCATCAATGTCTGCACGCTCAGTGCTTCTATCGCTGGCCACGTCTTCTACACGTCGACGATCCTTAGCATCGGAGCTGCTATGGACTGGAATACTGTTCTTGAACAAACCGATGTTCCCAACACGGAGGGTGCTTTCTCAATTGCTGTGAACTGTCCTGTTGGTGGGATTGCAGGTATCTACGTTGACTCCATCTTCATGTCAAACCAGGTTACTCCTGAGACGATCGATGATGTGTCGATTGACTTTGGTGATGAGGTTAATGCTGCTACTACAAGTGCTTCACTGGTTGTATCTACCGCATCAGAGGGATCAAGCAGTGCCGCAAGCACCGATGGACCATCAACAGAGGCCGAGCCCTCCACTGAGTCTCAGGTCTTCACTTCGGATGCTGCGCACCCAACATCTGGCTTCTTCACCAGCTCCGATGCCAACACTTTCAGTCCATCAACTGAAGCGGAGCCTCAGACCCAAAGTTCCGCTGAAACTCATACCAATGTGCATACAGCTGGGGTATCAACTGCATCTGAACCTGCCACCCAAGACCCATCGACTACCTCTGAGCCTGCTACTCAAAACCCATCAACCGAGTCTGAGACATTTTCCACTGGTTCCGCCGAGGGTCAGACCGGTGCACATACAGCTGATGTATCGACTGCCTCTGAACCTGCTACACAAAACCCATCAACCCAGTCAGAGAGTCATGTTCCCACTCTTACCTTGAACCCAACCACAGATGCCGTGCACCCTACCACCGCGAGTGACCTCTCTACTGCCAGCTCTTTACCAACTGGCTCCCGAGTCTGCCCTGTTGGAGCCCCACCTCCTGGCTACTGCACGCCCATCAAGCCAGAAGTAACACAGATGGTCTCCCTGCCTGGTATCCCACAGGAGTCAGAGAACGACCGACCCACAGCCCCTCGTGCCTGTTGGGCGTTTGGAGACGTAAAGTCCGGCACATGGGGTCGCACAAAGGATACCGTTCCTCGGCAAAACTCCATCGAAGACTGTGCCCTGCTGTGCAAGCAAGAAGGTCCTGCTTGCAAGGCCTTTGCGTGGGATGAACAGTATCAGCCCAGTCCCTGCCGGCTTACTTCCGACACACTTGGCGTGGTTGGCATCGATCTTAACAGGCCGTATTCTTTGATGTGGAATGACTTTGATTGCTTCGAGTGCGAGGATTGCGATGTTAAGAACCCAGCGGATATTGAGACGACTTCTGTTGCGCCATCAACAGTCTCTCTTCCGGACATTACCACTTCTGCTGCTCCCTCTGTCGCAACCGCCTGCCCTCACTGTCATCTACAGAGCTCTCCATCTTCAGACCTCGTTTGCGAGAAGATCGGTAACCTTGGCAGTGTTGACCTCCAGCCTTATGCCAACAATGAATTTGACAAGGCCACTATGCAGACAACTTCAGAGCAGTGCGCGACTATCTGTTTTACACTCAAGGATTGCGCGGCCTCATCATATGATTACGCGCGAAGGAGATGTATCTTTACCAACACTGCTCTTGCAAACAGCGAGTTCCAGGAGGCTCAAGATCAGAACCCTTCTGCTTACATTCTTCCATGGAGCTCCAAGGGTTGTTGGTCGTGCTCCAATGACTGTTCAGCCAAGGACGAGACTACGAGCCAAGCTCCCAGCACTGCAGAACAGACCATCGAGCCGACTACAATGACCCCAACTCGAACTGAGCCCCTTACAACTTTCATCTCCTCTTACGCCCCAACCACCACCTATTCATCCATGCCTGAATGCACGCTCGCCCTATCCGATGGATGCCAATTTGATCAAAACAACTACGAATACTCTCAGTGTAATAAAGATGGAACCGTGAAAAAGGTTTTCACACTCAAAGATGGTGAATATCCTTGGCAACTCCTCAACATCAACATGTATCAGAACTGTCCAGCTATTTGCAACCAGATGGGCGGCCGCTGCAAGGCTTCCGCATGGGATCAAAATCTCCAGCAATGTGTCTTTTCCTCCAATTCAGTCTTTAGCTCCTCATTCACCCCTGGTAATGATGACGGTTCACTGAATTGGAGTGATCAGAGTTGCTACCTCTGTTTCTGCCACGACTTCGAACGCGATGACTATTCCGCGTCACTACGAACTTCACTGCCCACCGCGACTTGTGCTCCTAGCATCACAAGCGAGGAGGCCATTTGTGAGCGCAGGCAGGTTGATGACAGTAATTTGGTCTGTCAGCATACAGGGTACTTCCCTTGGGGTTGGGACGAGGCACCCTCCAAGTTTCCTCACCAAGATTCTGAGGAGCGATGTGCGGCTCTTTGTAACTCGAACCCTGATTGTATGTCGTCTGGTTGGTCTGAAGAGTATGGAAAATGTGCTTTGGCAGGTTTCCAACTCAAGGGTATCCAGTGGCAGCAGTTTGGTAATACAATGTTGAGTTGGAGTGATAAGGGCTGTTGGGATTGCTCTGACTGTATCAAGAGTCAGAAATGGCGCAATTATAATTAGGGTGATTCTTAGAGAATCGTGGTGAAAGGAAAGACCTTGACAGCTAGATGAAGTTAGTCGTGCTTTAGTGATTAATGTAATTGACTCATAATCTTTACCCTCCTCCAAAAATAAACGTTGCTTAAATTCAAAACTGTGGCATCTGTTATTATTCAGAACCACAAGAATTGAAGCCCGTATGCTAAAGTTGAGGATAAAGGATCTCACGTGCACAAACACGTGACCGTTACATATTTCATCCAGTCCTTCAACGTCTATCCTTAATAAACAATTTTTCTATCACTCTTACAGTTCGATATTAAAAATCAAACTACTCTGCGAACAAAAATCTTAGTGAGTGTATGTTGGCGGGCGGACGGAAAATCTACTTCATGACACTGGGGATTTTGTCAATTTGAATCATCAGAAAGCGATGACAACAAAAACCCGGGAGAGCACGATTGCTCTCACACGTTAAATTGGTAATATCACAAATGACACACTGTCTGCTACAACGGTCATCGGTCTCTGAATTTATGCCATTTAGGAAAGTTGAAAAAGTAGCAAAGGATTCGTACTTTGTGCTTGGTGTTTGCCAAAATAATCTCATTTACCCTGAAGGTGAAGAATTAACAGTGATTGCTATTGAATCCAACAACGAGTATTGGTGCTAGTAGGCACTAAAATGGGAGAATAATTTACCAGATTGTACATCACAATGAACTATGCCTTTAATGTATTAACTAGCTCGGCTATCTGCTCTGTTTTTGCGATGCTACTGATATGATTGGTTGCAACCCCTGTCAGCTAGCATGGTTGTGCCTGAACAAGATCTGAAGCGGGACCTTAGCTACACTTTTTCTTGCTAGCCTACTGAACTATTGGCAATAGGCTCCTGCAAAGACCACCTCTAGTGCCATAAACAGACAAGGAGATAGCTGAATTAAAAAGGAGAGCTCTGCTGCATGTTTTTAACTTTAATTTTCTCTGACAACATCCTATCATTGACACTGCGTATTTGCAGTTCTGTCCACTCGTTTGAACATTCGTTTTATATCCCGCCACAATGGTTCGCTTCTCCGTCCTTCCAGCTGCGGCTGTCACTCTATTCCTTTTTGGAGTTGAGGCTAGCCCCTGCAAGCCTTTGACTACTGGAGTCACAAGCATTGCCGAGAGCTCCTCAACTGTTGTACCCGATTCGACCGAAACATCCCTCGACTCCACAGCGATTACTACTATCGTCGATGCTACCACTACCGTCCAGGAAGAATCGACAGAAACTGCAACCGAGACAAGCTTTGCTGAAAGCGTATCAACGGTTGCTTCTGATACGACAATCACTTCAGTGGTAGTGACTACGACCACTGCCGTTGCGGATTCTACCACTGCGGCCCAAGAGGAGCCTACGACGACTGGAGCCCCGGCTTGTGTTGAAACCCAGCTGTTCATCAACCCCAACTTCGACAACAGCAATGACAACATTACACCCTGGACAAGCAATGGCGGGATAACCCATACTGCACCTCAAAGTGGCACCAATGCTGTGTATGCTACTGCATCTCTTGTTCTCACATGATCTGTACTAATCCATCGGTCATAGGTCCTTTACCTGGAGAGACAATGGCGTTGGTACTGGCAGCGTTCAGCAAAGTCTGAGCAATCTCTACGGCACCTACAAGTTTTCTTACTATTACCGTTTCATTTCTGCCAGTCCCGGTGCTGACTACACATGTGATATGGAACTCAAGGTGGGAGGCACTTCCCTCCGTGGTGATTTCGATTATTGGCAGGGTGATTGGAGGTCAGGCAGCGTGATCTTCTCTGATGTCAATGTCGCGCAGGCAGATGTGCAGCTTATCGCATCCTGCGGTGGAGAGTTTCGAGAAATCCAAGTTGCCGTCGACACTCTTGAATTCAAGCGCATTTGCAGCCTATAGGACATTATGAATATCACTGCAAATTTGGTATGCGATGTGTGGGCTTCACATATATCAAATTTAACGGGTTCGAATATATTAAACTTTGATAAATGATTAATTGATGTGTGATCATAGACAGTCGCAAATATATATGTTGATAACGTTCTATGCTTATGGCATACAGCTGTTTTTTGCAACCATACCCGAAGCAGTAAGCTTGGGCCTTTAACCCCGCTTTCTACAGCCTGGTATCGAGTATGGCTCTTTCGATAACAACACCACGCGCCAGACATCGTGTGTACGAAAGGCACAACAACAAGACGTCTTCTTCTATTCCTAACTCTTCAACTCCAACAGAATGTCTCGTTGGCATCACCCCTCCTGCGATATCCCATCGGTGTTTGTGCAGGCGGGTCTGCCGTACTGTAAATCATGTGGTGAGAGCCCAGACATCAATAAGCTCATCGCAGATCAAGCCGATGTCAAACCGCCCTGGACAATACCTCCAGACGAGAAACCCGGTGAATTACGTCTGCGCTGGCCAGCGTCTGTTATCGGTAACTCCCTCACGGAAATTAGAAACGAAACCCCAGCCACCATAACGAACGAACAACTTAATGGCTTGAACTCCATCCACGCATCTTCGTTCACACATCCCGTCTACAAGAGACGGCTCTCTGATACCGAATTTCGAATCTTGAACATTTCACCATCGTTAGACGAGCGTTGTCCAATTCATGCTGTGCTTGGAGACTATCAGATTGATAGCTGTCCCGAGTACGAGACGGTTTCCTACTGTTGGGGTGGTGAAGACGGAGACACAAGACAAAATCGACCAATTTTTATCGGCGACTACTGGGATGTTCTTCTGCAGACTAGAAACTGCTGGTCGATGGTTCAGTATATCCGTCTTGAGTCACAAAATCGGCTTATCTGGGTTGACGCCATTTGCATCAACCAATGCGATCACCTCGAAAAAGAGACTCAGGTACCTCTGATGGGTCAAATTTACTGGAGATGCTTGAGGACTATCATTTACTTGGGAGAAGAAGTTGTGAAACCCAAAGGCCTTTTTCCTACGAAGGGAAGGTTGTATCCCAAGCGTCATGACTTTACAGAATTTGAAGATTTGATACCGAAATCGCTCATGAGCCGAGAACAGCTTTTTGAACTTCATTACTTTCAGCGGGTTTGGGTGATCCAAGAAGTCATACTGTCCCCCTTGGTTGTGATTCCGGCGCATGGATATGAATTCAGAGTCAGAGCCGGGACAAACCTACCTCCCTGGAAAACACGACCCGATGATATCAGTCATCCATGGATGGATTACGCCTGTAAAGGATCTGTTTATGAGAGCCTTTCATCTTTATTACAACAGACACGGTCTTCTGTAGCTACAGACCCTCGTGATAAAGTCTATGGCATACTTGGCCTCGGACTTCAAGTTGAAGAGTTCATACCCGATTATTCGATATCGCGACTTCACACATATATCGGAACTATCCTTCACCTTGTATTCGTTGAACAATGCTTCAAGATTCTTACTGCAGCTGGCGGCCAGCAATCGGACTTGAAGTTCCCATCATAGCTCCCACATTGGAGTCTAGAGGACATGGGAGAACGGCTTTTGTCCGTTTCTCAAACCTTTGGAAACATCTCAGAATTTGAAGAATCCGAGAGAGACGAAACAACTTTTGGCAAAAACATTAACTACCTCGACAACGATTTCTTTACTCTATTCAATTCGGTCGATGACACAGTCCTGCCAAGAACGGGCTTCACAGCGTCAGAGCTATGGGCCATCGAAAAGCCGTCTGTAGACCCGGCAACTCTGAAGTTAACTTTGCCTCTAATACATGTTTGCAAGTTTTCATCAGCGCTGATAAAGGTTGGTTGGATCAAAAATTCGACGTCTCGTCTTCATGAGCCTTGTCATGTCTTTTCAATTGAAGCAGCTGGCTACAAACTATTTGTGTGTATTCCCGACACTGGGGATGACATTTCTGTTGAAGCTGGAGATAATGAGCTGTTTCTTCTCCAAAAGACACAACACGTTACTTTGGTTCTCTTCATGAGGCGCCTATCAGTGAATGGAGAGTATCGCCTACTGCGATGTACTGTTTGCTACGACTTATTTCTTTCAAACCGGTCTTCTGGAACTCCCGTAGAGAATCTCCTCCCAAAATTCGGTAGTCGACTCAGTCACTCTAACACTGGATCTTCAATTCTTGATGAAACAGTCACGGAAGTGCAAAATAGAACTGGCGCAAGGTTCGAACAGGATAAGGCGAACAGCCTCAAGTCACCTGGAATGGTGAGCCCATGTGACCAGAAGAATGTCGATCGCCATATTTTGAACTTGTTTAAGCAGATGGTGTACGAGTCAGAAACATCATTACTGGACTCTTACGTGTCTTTTCTCTTGTCATTTTGTCCCTCTTGTGTGGCATGGAATGAACTGGGTATGGCTTATATGGAAATCAGACCTGAGGAATTGATAGAAAGCTGTAGAATTCTCGGCTTTATCTCATATGAACTTGAAATTGAGGTCTATGTCCCCTCTAAAATCGAATTTGAGGGTTCCGGGGCATGGAAGATGGCTTATCTTTCGCGTCATTGGATACAAGAGGCAACTGGATATAAGGATGATTTCATGGAAAGAAATATGAGAATCAGAGTTTCTGCAGAGAAACTACGCGGGTGTCTCAGATGGAGTCATTACGATGAAGCTCCTTTCTTGGAATGGAACTGCAACCGGATTTTGAAAAATGGAGAATCAATATTAAGTTCGGCTGGGCCTTGGAACACGCCTGATGCATTTTCCTATTACCCATGGCCGGAATCATTTTTTAAAGAGGGTCAGATCCCGGGTAGGATCTGTCAGGTAACTATTGTTTAGCGAAGAAGAATATCAAGATTGGTGGTCGTTGTACCTGAGACTTATACTGTAATAAATTTCAAAAGTCAACATTGTTCTCATATATATTCAAGTGTTATAATACCTGTTCCCTAGGAAGCTATACAAGAACTAACAATACTCTGCCCTATAATTCATGCTCTTATTTTCAGCACCTATATTAAGCACTTTTGCAGCCTTCAGTACATAGGAAATATGCATAGCCCCTAATCGACAGCATTAATCAGCTGGTTGGAGAAGAGCTGTTCTGTTCAAGCCAGTCACGCAGTAGAACCAATACCGTGCCAGGGTTACCACTCTCAGCGGGGTAGTTATTGCTATCAAAATTCAGATGATCTTTGTTAACTCGCTTAGAAAGGGTTTCATATTCTTCACGGTGAAGAGAATGTTCCCGGATTAAGTTCCGTTCTTGGGGAGTAGTTGATGATCGAGAAAGCTGGTCCCGCCACGTTTTGATCTTCGAATAGGGTGTCCACTCCCATGAGCCATTACTTTTTATGGACTGAGTCGGCGTAATCCCATTCGCACATTTCGGCGGTTTCACCAAATTCCTCAGCGAAAGGAATCTAGCGGTCGCATGCAGTGCCTTTCCGGAATCTGTGCGAGTCTCTGACTCTTTATAATAGCCCTTATTGTTCCAAAACACCGTTTGCGGTATCCTGTACTTTGAACCTCCAGGCATAAATCCAAAGCTCAATGAGTCAAAGACTGGGAGGCGATCTGCAGTAATTGGGCCCATAGTTAGCAATGCAACATCACGAGCAATAAAAAAAATATGTATGCTCGTTATCCATTGAGAAACAAAAGGCCGTATCAACGGTCCAGGGAAGAGTCGCTGTTCGCTGAAACACTTATTAGTTTGTATAACGGGTTACATCTCGATGGAGACGAGGGATCGAGTTTTGAAACGGGGTGAGATAATCTTTCACATTCCCATCATTCCAATTGGCATACAAATGCACTTTCATGTAAGCATGCCCCTGGTGAAAAACTGAGACCATCAACACAGCTCTCTACAGCCTGATTTTTAACGTGACTCCTTTAATAATAACAGCTTGTAATATTTATCGTGTTTAAGGAAGGTATTTAATAATAAGAATTCTTTCTTGTTCCCTTATTCTTTAAATATAAAGTAAAATATCCCGTTGACACTACCCTTCCGAGACACCCTATCAGTGTTTGTACAAGCCTGCCTATGCCCTTAAAGATTAGAGTATATGTCTAGTTACTGCCTTAGTCTATAGTCCAACCTGACCCTACTAAGGTCTAAGCTTTAAAATGCTAGAAACAAAAATATAGTTTACCTAGCCGTAATTCCACTACCCTACCAGTCTAAGCTAGGTGCTAGAGAGGAAAACATATCAATTGCCTCGGTCCTCCAAATGTCTTGTTGCAGTGAGACTCCATTCTCAGCGCTAAAAACCAGGTTTCTTGGGTTATCCCGAGAGTACACTGGCCACTTTACTTTCAAGTCAGACACTGCTTGATATTAGCCGGCTTCCTTTGAAAATAGGCTCTTTCTCCATAGCACTCAATGGTAGGATTAATTAACTATGGCAGGGAAGACTTACCATTGTGAAAGTTAGGTGATCCTGTAACCACAAAGCTGATCCACATACGACTCATAATTTCAGCTAGCCTCAAATACTTCTGCCTCGTCTTGGGATCAGAAGGGAAAGGGTCGGTATTCCAACCAACGGCTTTGGTATTAGCAAAGGTGAATGGGATTTCCTGAAAGTGAGCCACACCGAGTGTTTCAAGGTCCAGGTTAGCAGGCGGAGTATCAAAGAAATAACTATAGCTTGGCGTGCGATAATCAGCCCACTTCTGGCTGGCGAATCGTCGGCCAGCCGTAAAGAAAGCATCTCCAAGCCAGAGACTTGTCTTTCCATACTGGGCTCCTAGCTGTGGGCCTGGATTAGACAGAATTGATCCTAAACTTGCAGGAGAGGGCCTATCGATTTCCATCTGATACAACGTGGACCAATTGGCCAAGGCTGCTTCTTCCACGGGTCGCCCAAGAAGTCCCTTGACGGACGCCAAAAACTCATCATCAGAGTTTACTGTTAAACCAAGTAACTGCGTAAAAGACGTGCCTTCATTTCGGTTAGACCCAGTCAGGAGAGGAACCTTAACGAACGATCCCGAGTCGAGAAGACGTGAGCTAGTTGACGTAAAAAGCTCACCGTCGACGACCCAGGCCGTAGGAAGCATCTGACCGACTCTTCTCAGCGCCTCTCCGGGAACAGCACGCAGACATGATAGCTGATCTTTCGCCTCAGTACAGCCCGTTTCCTCTAGTACTTTGTTCGAGTAGGCCTCCGTCTCAGTTGCGTTGCGATATGGAGACGATGATAGAGGACCTCCGCTTTGCGCAATAGCGCCGCTGAAAAGCCCCTCGTTCCGACCTCCATAAGCGATGAGATGCTGACCGACAGAAGAAGCTCCTGCAGATTCCCCGACAATAGTGACTCGCGAAGCATTGCCGCCGAAATAAGCGATGTTTTCCTGTACCCATCGAAGCGCCTGACGTTGGTCGTGGATAAAGACATTCGGTGGCCCAGCCTTTGCTGTAGCCGGCCCGTTCATCATGCCAAAAACGCCTAGGCGGTAATTAAAACTGACAAAGATGATAGGCGTGCCCATCTGAACTGACTTCTCGACTAAAAATGAGGCATTGTATCTGGGATCCCCTGCGCTACCCTCAACCCAGCCGCCGCCGTGGATCCAGGCAAAGACCGGAAGCTTATGAGACTTGTTGATGCCAGACGGACGAATTATGTTGATGTGGAGGCAATCCTCGCTCATGGGCGCAGACGTGTTTTGACTGAAACCTACGAGTTTAGCAGAGTTGCCTAAACAGAACGGTCCATATGACTTGGCTGATTTGATCCCCTTCCAAGGCTTCGGTGGCTGAGGCAAGCTGAATCGAAGGTTTCCGGTCGGGCATGCTGCGAATGGGACGCCGAGGAATGCGTCTTGATGTCGGACTGAGTCGTATAAGCCTGCCAATGTTCCATTTCTAATTCCGACAATGGGTGTGGAAATGTGTGTTGTTGGAGTAGCCCAAGAAAGTGTTGCAAGGAAAGGGAGAGCCCACAGCATGTGTAAAATGAGCTTAAGAGCATAATACATTTTAGCAGTATTTAGACTGGTTAACGTATTTAGAGATAGATGCCCGAGTGTGACGAATTGAGGACCTTGACTTTAAGGAATCTTGCTGCATTTATATAATTGCGGCAAGCTAAACTATAAAATGGCAAAGCGGCAGAAGACAACGGACAACGGAAAAGCCTTACAAATCAGCCTCGGCATGTAAAAAGATGGAACCGCTTTTTACATTAGCTTAATTCAAAAGTTACACAAATGCAATATCAGGAAATTGTAGCATAGACCACCTCCACCTTAACTCACATACTAATTCTAGCCTCGTAAAAGTTAAGTTGTTGATCATCAAGAACTATCACTGGCGTTTATTCCGCACGCGCTAGCAGGCAGTGGATTATTAACAGCAGGTCATGGGCATCCTGAGGTAGAAATTGTCAAGGACTCATCACCACGTATTGAATACGCTATGCTAAGGCGTCGATCTCGGCCCATAAATTCTAATCCTGATTAATGGAAACTCCCCCTGGACTGAAGAAAAAGACATGGTGTAACCCCACGCAACTACTAGCCTCGAGCGAGATAAACTCTCCTTACACACGCTTCTTGTTAAACCCTTCCTTCGGGTCAGGATACTTCTGGTGAATCCTACCAGTAGCGTTTGATCTATGCAAGGAACAGCTTCTATGAAGACAACATCATGAACAAATGAGGCGTGGACGCGTGTAGAAGTGTATTCTCTTCTCCTTTTTGATAAAAAATAACAACAAAAATAAAATAAACTGCAACATGGTCTATACCACTGTTGCTGTACTCATTCAGCCGGCAGCCAGCCGACTTGCTCCATAGGCCAGCTCAGCCAGAAACGTTTCGAAAGTGGCATGCAAGCGTAGATTCCTGACATGAGATGTGTAGGCCAATCATTTACCATCCAGGCACACTCTAATCCCTTGATCAACACCACAAAGTATGAGAAGACTAGCAGCGCCACTGGGTCAGTGTCCTGTACCAGTTCCAGGTAATGATCCGAGACATGATGTAACCAGCTGAAAATCGTGTAAGCCGAGGCTTGAGCTGGTTTGTCATGCACCATTGTGTAGCACCTACGTAGAAGCGTGAGAGCTTCTACCAGGCTCTCGCACCGCTCGTCATCCTTCGTGACGTTGATATCCATGAAGGATGCTAAACCCTCTAAAGCTTCTTGGACAGATGGATCGAGGGCTTTGACTGGGTCTTTGTTCAACTCTAAGCCAGAGAGCGGGCATATTGGGCGCAGCTCCTCGTTCTGGACTCTTGCGAAGTCACATGCTTGCTCAATTGACCGAAGTCCGCGAAAAAGTGTAAGCCAACTCGATGGGCCATTCTGATTGAATATAAGCATCTCTCCTGGGCATGGGCCGAGGGCAAATGTATGCAAGCAAGTTATTGTTGCAAAGAGATAGAGTGCGCCACAATTTGACTCAGTGACGTGTGAGAGAAGTGGTGAGGCAAGCCTCAGGGCCTCTTCCCAATGCACATTAGCCTTGTCCAACAGGCCGGCAGGCATGTCTCTCTCAAGCTGGTAGTTCATGTGACGTAGGTGCAACGCGCCTAGAGTAATGACTGCATGGAGAAGAAACTGGTGTCTAAAAGACATCTTCGGTACTGTAACGCTCCAGAAGTATTGGACGGCTTGCTCGTTGCTGAAACTCTTAGATGTGACGAGACAAAAATGATGAAACAGCTCAAGATCCTCCACATCTAGATTGGTTGCACAGCACCGGACGGATGCTGCCACACACGCCGTCGAAGCTGGGCTGGAAACAGGGCTGTGGTTTGTGCTAAGGCTGCACACCAGCGATCGCCTGACGCAGTTGGTGCAAGCTGGCTTTTGCTCATCGCACTGGAGATTTGGACCAAAGAATTAGCTTGAGTCATTTTGGAACGCAGGTCGACTCGACTGCCGGGTTAGGCGTTAGTTACCTTGATCCTCCTTTTTTTGCAGAATGTGCATCCATGACGTGACTTTCTATGGGCTCTTCGGTGGACGACTTTACCACCTTGGTCAGTAGGTGGGGTATCCTCATTCATGGAACTAAGAGCCGCGTGGAACAACTACAGGCTGTAGATAGAGACAGACGTGTCAAGGAAGAAGTAAGAGGGCTATACGAACAATACGCTGTTCATGGGTCCAAGGCCTAGAATATGTAATGTTAAAATTAAGTTTGGGCTAAGGATGCCACAAAACGGGGCTAAGACGGCTTGATTTTGGACCAATCAAACGACGCTGTCAGAGTTCAGAACCCGTTAAAATCCACTACCATTTGGCGAATACGTTGTTATACGTCTTGATACGCGCAATACGCACCCAAGACCGTCCGTGCATAGGTAGGGAACAACCAGATCGGCGAGTCCCCAGGATATCTATGGATATCTGCCGAATAAGCGTGTCCCTCTTTTTAGCATAGCTAGCTCTTCAAGGTCTACACTTAAGACCCTGAGATTTTCTCATTCTATGTCTCATTACGCCGAATCAACAAGGGCCCATTCCTTTCTTCCAGATTGTACCTATTGCGTGCGCTAGGCTAACTCAGCAGTCAAGTGCCATCGGGCTTTTTCAGAAACTAGAGTCTGACTTTGGCGTCCTCGGCGTACAAGTCAATAACGCCGGCATTTCAGGCAATGAAGAGGTCACCAACTTGACTGGAGAGGATAAACAGAGCAAGATTGACCGAGGGCCGGAGTCTTCGGAGACAAGTACCCAGGGGATAGCGGAGATTGTGAGGGGTGATAGGAACAACGAGGTGAACCAGTTCTTGGCCAAGCGGGGTGAGGTCCTCCCGTGGTAAGTCTGGGGTCCGCAACTTGGTCATTTAAGGACATGACGGATGAACAAATTAGCTCTAATGAGTATGAGTAAATTACTCTGACTCCAGGAGGGGTTTATTACGGCCGTGGTGATATTTCCCTTGGAGAATACTTGAAACCAATCACATCGCCGTTCGGACCACCGCCGCAGATGATTAGCAAGGACATGACATTGATGATGACATCCGAGCGTAGCCATACTACTTACTGATTACTCACAGCTTGCACGCTAACTCCATCGAGTTCGTGTCTCCTTGTGTAAAGGATATGAAGAAGGATATTATCCAAGCTTTAGAATCACTTCACAGAGACTTGCCATAGAGTAAGTGTTTAGTTTACTATGAGAACATGTACGAGCTGGAAAACACAACCTTGCTTATACTATTCCGAGAAATGCTATTGACGTTTCCCTGATGTTTGTAGAAACAGTGAATAGGGCCGTAACAGTCGCACCTGGTAATCACGCCACGGGGCAAACGATTCGGCTATAATCGCTATTGTAACAACTACAGTGGTCCTCATAGCTGCTTATAGAGCCTTACGGGGGACCAAGCCTTAAAAAGGGCTATAGGCACAGCCCGCCTCAACTATGGCATACATAAGGGCCTGAAGAGGGATAAGAAGCTTGATAAATCAGGCATTGCGCCCATAACTTCAATGAAGTTGGGACTATGCCGAGAAGGCAAGAAGCTGCGATAGTTTGCCCTGTATTTCTCTTATTGGCTTAGATTGGCTCCTTCTGATGGAAAACTGTGCCTAAGCGGCTGAGCACATTGATGGCGACCCTCAAAGATCTAAAATAACACATCGCTCAGACTTGGTAGCTACATCACCACCTTTGGTATCTCGGACCTACAGATTTTGGCATCTATTCTCAACCTTATAGTTCAACCTCGTTTCCAAGTAGACGCCCCACTTCTTCAGCGATGTTCATGACCCTCTCCTCAGTAAGTCGTCGCCCGATAATCTGAACCGCCACCGGCGCACCGTGATATGCACTTGGATCATCTATAAGAAAGTCAGATCTGGAAAACAAGAACAGGATTGTATTCTTACATTCTGCCTGCACCATGCGGTCCATTTCGGTAAGCGGCTTAAACTGATGATTCGGCTTATCGATATTTTTGTCAACAAAGGTTACGGGCACTACGACGCTAGTAAAGTCGAGTACATTAATAGCAGTAGCATATCCATAGTATTTGAACTGGTCATGTTGGATAGCGGCTGTGGGAGTAATAGGAGCAATGATAGCATCAAGCTCCTTACCAAGTTTCTCTTCGGCCTCTCGGATCCTGGCTAGGTAATTCGACTGGTAATTCCACTTCTGAAGCTGGATATCCCAAAGCTCGTTGAGATTTAACTTGGGCAGGTTTGGCTTGACAAGGTCCGAAATGTTAGGAATTGCGGGCTCCCCAGAAGTATCGAGAACCGAAAAGATATCCTAGCGACAATAAGTAACAGTCATAATTGAGTAGGTATATCATGGACCTACAGTACCGCCATCCGAGGCGTAGATGCGGCTAGCCAGATCAACAGCATATGTATGCCGGTAAGGCTCCCAATGGATAACTGTATGCCCAGCCTCGCCGAGTTTGTCAACAACCTTCTGGACAGCCCGGAGCACCGGGGGATGAGGCAGTACCTATCAATGTAAGGGAGACATTCCGAAGGGATAATAAAGGATGAAACTCACATTTCCATCACAGGAATAGTAGCCCAGAGTCAACCCACGAGAGGAAATCTTTTCCTTGATGGCATTCTCTTCATCATATCTCCATGGCATTGGAATGACTTTGGAATCATAGTTCCATGGCTTTTGGCTGAGAATCGACGTGACAAAGAGTCGCATATCAGCAATAGAGTGACAGATAGGTCCGCAAACGCTATGGATGGTCTCTTGGCCTTCCATGCTGTTAGCCATCTTGGCGTATGGAAGTCTTCCATGGCTAGGCCGAAGACCGTAGAGGAAGTTGAAGGCGGCTGGAACGCGAATAGAGCCGCCTTTAACTTGATTAGCATACTCTCCCCTAAAGGACCGGCCAAACCGACTTACCAATGTCGGTGCCGACACCAATTACACTGCCACGGAACGCGACAATAGCACCCTCACCACCTGAACTTCCTCCACACGACCAGTTCTTGCTTCGTGGGTTCGTTGTGCGGCCAAATATGTTGTTGATGGTCTCGCATACCATCAAGCTCTGAGGGACGGAGGTTTTTACATAAAGAACCGCGCCAGCGCCGAGGAGCATGGTGGTGAGCACAGAGTCCTCGGTATCCTTCTTACCAATCCATGAAACATAACCCATGGTAGTTTCAATTCCCTGTGATGGTTAACTGTGACATTTCAAGCCCCTTCTTATTAGGAAGACTTATAACTATAGATAAGATAGATCTGGGAAGTACTTATGACAAATCTTTGTCTGGAAAGAACGTACCTTGATGCGAACTTGGTCCTTCACTGAGATAGGCAGTCCATGCAACGGCCCAATAGGTTCCTTATGTTCGGTAAGATAGTCATCTAGATACTGTGCTCTGGCCAGTGCCAGTTCCGGAAAGAACTCATGGCAGCAGTTCGTCTGCAGGATGTCAGAAATTACACACTTAGCGGAGACAAGAAACGACCAGCTTACCAACTGCTGAGCCAAGGCGCCTCTCTTACAGAAAGCAGTGGTGACAGCAACCGAGGACAGCTTTCCAGAAGCTAGATCCTGAACTAGTTCAGTGGCTGACGATTCAGTGATGTTGAGCTCTTCTAGCGTTAGGATTCCACTCCTCCCGGGGAATGACATAACCGAGTCGTCAGTGGGAAGAGTCTTGATGCGCCATTCTGGAGGGATAGACGCCTCAAGCTGACTCTTCTTCTCTGCTGCCAGAGTTTTCCAGTCCATGTTGGAGATGTAGAAGTTCCGAAAGTAGGTAGACAGATGCGACTACACCAAGGTTTGCTGAGAATGAGGGCAGGAGATCTATAGATTAATAAAGTGGCCGATACCAAACGTGTGGAGTATACCCCGCAACCGACCGGTTCGTCCTTATCTAAGGATTGTTTAACAATTCACACGATGGAGTTTGAGTTTCAAGAGTTATTTGAAGATTTAAGGAAACACTAGTCAAGGCGCTGTGGCCGACGCCCTCTACTATTCAGATGCAGGCCCCTACATTACCCTACACTGCATGCCTTGCTTCAGAGATCTGTGTAGGGCCACACCACAGTTCCCTAATTCAGTACACTTGATACTCATCACTTAGGCGAGTGTTGTACGACGAATCGATCAGACATCACTTTGACATTCATACGTGTCACAGTAATCCCACTCAACATATCTGAGCGCACTCACTCGGTATATGATTTCCTTGTCTTGTGATATCCCCCAGCCAGTCTAACGTTTTGCAATCTATCAAACTTAGGGGGGTGAGAGGGAGTCTACCAAATGATGATGACCTTTGTATTGGATTTAATCATACTGGCCAGCTATTCCAAATCAAGAGACCACCCGTCACCCTCTTTCAAGCCCCAAAGGCTAACGTCGACACCGCTTTATTTCTGCTAGAGATAAGAGGTCCGAATGTCGGATACTGGCAGATGATATGGCCACCTAGACCAACACGAGGTGGTTGGCCATGCTATCTAGAACCTAGAGTGATGACAACATTGGCTGTGGTTAGCTCCACTCGGGGAAGAGTGAAGATTAGTAATTCGTTCTCGAAGACGTACAGAGCCCAAGGTTGTACCGTAACTGAGCGTCAGGTCTGGATCCAGGAGAGTAGCATTGGCGTTCGGAGCGACTTTTTGCAACTCGTTCAACGATAGCGCCGATGCATACTTACTTAGATATAGAAAATTTGACTCTGTGTACATGATTCCGTCTCCCATACAATGGTTGCATGTGACCCGATGTGGCCTCAGCCCTAGCCATGACCGAGTACGAGCCGCTCGGTAGAGCCCACTCTATCTTCCATATCTGCCAGCTAAAGTCTTTTCTGGTTTCAACCTCAGTTGCAATCCAAGTTTCACCTTCATCGAAAGAAATGCAAACACTTTTTACCGGTTCAAAACACCACGCCCAACCCTCTATCGCGATAGTTGAGCCCACCAGCACGGCGTCAGGTTCAGGGTGCACAATGATTGAGTTTACTTCGATGTTCCACACTGGTCGTTTCTTGATCCCCTTGGAGTCCCCGGGATCGATTTCGTTGTAAAAGGTTGTGGTATATGGCCCTTCAGCTCTCCTATCCTCCAGCGTCAACCGGCAAAGCCATTTGGTAGAATTCGTGCCGAACCACCCAGGAACAACGAGCCTGACCGGACCTCCCCTCTCTTTTGTTAGGGGCTCCCCGTTCATCTTGTAAGCTACCAGAACTTCTGGGCTTTGGGCTTTATCCATTGGTAGGTCTTTTTGGTAACGATCTGCTGAGACACCCGCAAATGTTCCATGATCAAGCCCGTCTGACCACACATAACGAGCTTCAGGGAGTGGTGATGCAAGAGATAAAATATATGAGAGAGGGACGCCAGTCCAGACAACGTTCCCTATGCGCCACACTGCCTCCGTAGGAGGTTTAAGTGGACTGCCGTAGCACTCGTGAAAAGAGGTGACCGATTTATGGGGTAGGCGTTTGAGCTGATCCAGTGAAAGAGAGACGGGCCTTTTCACCAGTCCAGTGACAACAAGCATCCATTTGACAGGGTCTACGACCGCCGCTCCCATGTGAATAGTATGAAAGAGGAGGTCGTCCGGTGTGATGAAATCATTTAATATATGAGGCTTTGGAGGATGCCGTATGTAAAACCCACGAGGGTTAACATCAACAAGGGAATTGCGCTCGTCCCCATCTGGCGGCGCCGAAGATAGGCCGTCATTTTCTAGGGGGAGCGTGTTTGAGTCGTATGTGGAAGGATTGCGTAACATTGTAAATGTCTTTGTATAAGAAAAGCAATCTCAAGCTTGTTCCTCTCAGCCTGAGAGAGATTGAGAGACGAAACCTATTATATGCGCTTGTTATTGGAGGGCGGAAACCCACTGACTAAAAAAGCGCCGATTCTAGAACCCAACTCTCCAATTTTTACGCAATTATGGTGCGTTGACGTGCTTGCCGGGGTAGAAAAGTAGCACCGAACCTAACCCTTGACCAAGTGGCTCCGGACATCATCTGCTCCAGATCGAAACAGTCAAATATTGTGGACGTCTCTTTCTTACAAACTACATCCCCCTCAACCGACAACGGCTTCTTAACGCCGCCCTCGTCAACATGAAGCTCTCCAATCGCGGACAAGCAACAGCCGACAACAAAGGCGGATCGCTCTTGTGGGACGTCACAGCAAACCTTTGGGATCCTACGACCAACCCTTCAGGCTTCGTGAGCTTAGGAATGGCAGAGAATATCCTCATGCAAGATGAGCTATTAAAACACATCACTGATAACATCTCCCTCCAACCCCGAGCTTTGACTTATGGCGACGGTACAACTGGATCAAAACGGTTAAAGCTTGCGCTCGGACGCTTTTTCACGAAATATCTACACCCTCATAAAAACATCGAATGGGACCACATCACCATTACCAACGGCTGTAGCGCTGCTATTGAACATATCGCCTGGGCAGTTGGAGATCAAGGGGATAGCTTCCTCATCACTAGACCTCTCTTTCGCGCCTTCATACCAACCTTTGGCCTTCGCGTTGATACAGAGGTGATACAGGTGCCATGCCATGGCGTTGATCCTTTCTGCGTGAGCGTCGTCCACAAGTACGAAGCCAAGTTTAAAGAAGCCAAAGCCCAAGGAAAGAAGATTGCTGGCATTCTTCTCTGCAACCCGCACAACCCCCTGGGGCGCTGTTATTCCAAAGATGCATTGATCGGACTCATGCAATTTTGTCAGAAACATCAAATTCACCTGATTAGCGATGAAGTCTACGCCTTATCGACATGGACAAGCGAGGATGCACAAGCCGTACCTTTTACCTCCTGTCTATCTATAGATCCTACAGGCATCATTGACCCGTCCCTAATTCACGTTGTATGGGGTGTCTCAAAAGATTTTGGGTCCAACGGCATTCGGATTGGATGCGTCGTTTCCCAGAGCAACTCTTTATTACATAAAGCACTTGTTCCAGGTGGATTGTACAGTATGAGCTCTTCTCTCGCTGACCACGCCTTTGCGAACGTACTCGAAGACGAGGCTTGGGTTGATGACTATTTGGGCAAGAACAGGACAAAACTCGCAGAGCATTACAGGTTGATAACATCCTGGGCAACTGAGCATGGTATCCGCTATGCGAGGGGGACAAATGCAGGCTTCTTCTTGTGGGCTTGTCTTGGAGAGGCTTACTGTCAGAACCATGCTGAACAGGATCCTGCACACAGTGAGGATCGAGTGATGCAGCTACTGCTCGAGCGAAAGGTCTTTGTAGCTCCTGGGTCAAGCTTCAGAGCTGAGGATAGTGGCTGGTTTAGACTTGTGTTTTCAGTTGATAAGGTGACACTAATGGAAGGGCTAAGTAGGATCATCGATGTCTTAAAGTAGGATGTACAGTACATCAGAAAACGAACAAAAATTAAATCGAACTAACGTGAGCCATTCTACAAGATTTCGTACTACTGATTCTGCTTTAGAACAAACTATGAGTTAGTGATGACAGTATTCAAATGGCTTTTAATACCAGGTTTACTGCCAGTCCAGGATTCTGACTAGCCGGTTTACCTTGATTTTGAACATAAACCAATGAAGGATGCAACTTAGATTTTAACGTCCAAAGTAACTCAGGGCGTGAGCCCATCAGAAAGAGAGTCTAGCTTGAAGATGTGAAAGACGGTACTAATTTCGGAGTTCCAGAAAACCTGGGGCCAACGATCTCCGATTGAATACCGGTTTTATCTTCAAGTTCCGTGCAAACTTTGTCATCAACGGAAATCCGTGCTGTGACCTGTCCCACAGAAAAGTCCCAGACTAAAGTGACTAACGATCCACTCCTTCGGCACCTCGACCTTCTGTCAGATGTTCAGGTGGAAAGAATTATTGTATATGTCCTCCTCTCTTGTAATTGAAGGACCTTTTAGATCTTATGTCCTTGAGTGGTCCCTTTTAGGACTTGAGTTCTAGGAATTCCTAGATGAAATTCCTACGATCCAAGTTCAGGACTTCAAACCTTAATTTGAATCCTGAAGTTGAGTGGGGAACCGTCGGTTCTCCCATTGTGCCGTTTCTGCCGCTACTCCCGTTACTGCCGTTCCCTGTCGCCTCGCTCGATCCCTTGAGTTGGGGTCAACATAGATTTATCTCCTTATTTTTTATTATGTAACTCTATGAACCTCAAACAGGAGTTATAAAGCTGATGTAGGGACCCTCACAGATGAAGCACTAGGTCTGCTGGTGAACTCGTGGAACTGCATATTAGTTCAGCACGGCAAGACTACCGCCATTAGATCCAATAGGAATATAGCACATAGTATTAAAGATCTATGATCTACATAATATTCAAAATAACAACCTGTTTAAAAAAGTAAATCTCCATTCATATACTTAAGTCCCGTGTCACAGGCAATAGTAACAACTGTTTTGCCAGGGCCTAGCTCTTTCGCCAGTCTTAATGCACCGATAACATTCAGGCCAGTCGAGGTTCCTACTAAAATCCCCTCTTCCTTGGCCAATCGACGACACATTGCTCGGGCTTCTTCTTCTTCGATCGCCAAAACCTGATCGTATAAGTTTCTGTTTAAAAGTGGCGGGACAATCCCGATACCAATGCCCTCAATATGGTGCTCCCCGGCTTGACCAGTCGAAATCGGCGACGAGGACAAAGGTTCAAGAACGGCGATATGACAGTTCGAGAATTTATCTTTTAGGGCCTGCGCAACACCCATTGCCATGCCAGCAGTCCCAACAGCGGCGCAAAAGGCGTCCACACCGTCTGGAAACTGTTGTATTAGTTCTGAGCCTAAGACCTGGTATCCGGCAACTGCGTCTTTATTCTCGAACTGGTTCGTCCAGTATATCTGAGAGTCCTTTGCATGCTCGGTAACGCGTCGGATCATCGACGGAATGAGATCAGCGTGAATTTTGCCGGAAGGGCTATGTATTATGTCGACCTGAGTTCCGAGAGCGCTCATAGTCCGAAGCTTTTCGATCGCAAATGCATTCGAGGACACTACAATGCTCTTGTACCCCTTAGCTGCACAGACAAGCGCGAGTGATGAACCAGTGCTGCCGCCACTTGCTTCCACTACTGTCATTCCTTGTCTGAGGCTGCCTCTCTTCTCTGCTTCTTCGATAATTGACTTGGCCATGCGATCTTTATACGAGCCGGTCGGATTAAAATATTCAAGCTTGAGGTACACTTGCGCGCATGCTTTAGGGACGACATTGTTCAAGCGAACGCAGGGCGTGTTGCCAATGGTGTCTAGCACATTGCTAGTAGGCACTGAGACCATTGTGAATTTAAAGATAAAAATAATTCTAAGAGAAAGGGAAGGTATAGATGGTTTGCTGAATTGGATGAGCTTCTTCCTGTAATACTGTAGATAGAAGTGTATTAGACTTGGTGAATATTATACAAGGAGCGAAAGTGACACATGGATTGTAACGGAGGATATGTTAAAATCTTTGACTAAGTTTTCCGAGCTGCTTATAGCTATGATCAACAAGTCTAGACTGTGGCCCGGAAAAGTTATATAATATAGCCCGCGATTTGACTTTTATGGGGCAGGCCTGAGCAAGCTAATTAAACAAGCTTACTTAGCCGACCTAACAATTACAGTCACTAGCATAAGCTGTTCCCAGCAAGATCAATAACTGCTAACGCGACACCAAAGAATAATAGAACTGTTAAGTCTAAGCAACGGTAGTACTTAAATATGCCGAGTAATAGATGCACTTAGAACATGAGGTAGGTCTTTCCTCCAACTCCCCCTCCACTTGAGCCGATGATACCGGAAGAGATGCCACCATATGATAGCGAAACCTTTGAAGCAGCATCTCCATTTCCAGAACCCTTGGGATATGACATAGAGGACATTGATTGAATAGCTGTAGCCGGCGACGCAGAAGCCTCATCGCATACAAATACAGTCCATAAAGGTCGAGTGGAACGTCCTGGACGGCAATTGGCGGCGGATCAGCTGATCAGATTTCGAGGATGTTGTACCATGCAAGACCACTGAGTGGGCACCCCCACCTAATGGACCACCAAGATTTCAATTTTCCCATACAAACTCCGAATTTCCAAGTACATCGCATTCAGCCAAGAACGTAGATTTTTGCAAACCTATACTAATATTGTATAGCGGTTTTCATGAAATTTTAATATCGGCTTAACTTTTCCCCGTTCCGCCTCGTGGCCTATTTTTCTAGCACTTTGAATTCTTTCGCATTTCTCCTCATCTACCCTACGCGACTTCATCAACTTGAGCCGAATTTTCATCGAACTTAATAGACGGAACTCCTTCCGTAATGGTTCGCTGTGTTTATCCTGAAGATAACGTAGCTGAGGCTATACTCGATACTACTGATAGAGGCCTGTCACAGACGGGGGCGGCCCAGAAACGTTGAGTACCTCGGTCGACACTTTCTGGGTAAGCACTGGACTACGAGATTCGTCAAACGTCACCTAGAGCTATCTACCAAGCTTAGAAAACGTCAGGAAGCGGCCAGATCTGACGGGTTTACTCCGAGGGCGGTCAATTGGTATTTCGATATCAGGGAGAACGAATACGGCTGGATCAAGCCTGAGAACACAATTAACGCACACAAAGGCGGCATAATGGTAGGTTTCGGTAAGTCTTCTACAAGTACTCTATGGGCTTTTATAGAGCATAGCTAATTGATTGACTATGAGGCCTGGATAGCCTCGTAATCAGGAACTCTGACCCGAAGAAGAAGGCAATGTTAAAATGCGCTTAGTTATGTACGTGGACGTCATTTATTAAGGCTGTCACTACAACTAGACGCTCTTTAAAATCGGTAATCATCTTTAAAGGAAAAGAGCTACAGAAGCAGTGGTTTCTTAACGAATCCGAATTGATAGCAGACTGGCACTATATCACATCCCCGAACGACTGGACTGACAACCATATAGCTCTCGAATGGTTAAAAGCCGTCTATCTACCCCGAACGGAGCCTCGTGATGCATCGGATGCGTGACTTATTATCCTTGGCGGCTACGGGACCTATGCGCAGGTAAGAGTTACCCGCTATATGGCGATTAATAAGCAGTCAGGACGAGTGGATGGCGACGTGCTTTCTAAACAACGTCTACTACTATTACTTAATAATACATTGTTCCCATGGTCTGCAGCCATTAGGTAATGGGATTCTTAATGTCATTTAAGGTGCATACCGGAAAGAACTCCACATGCTGGCTAGTTTGACCGATTCTGCGCCGGTTGATAAAATCAACCTTATCCGGACATACGCGAAAGCCAGGGAGGTGGGCAGGAGGAAAGATAGTATCTTGTTTTGCTGGAGGTTTACTGGAAATTGAGCAATAAATCGTCATAAGGCTCTAACACATTCTGAAATTTAACCGGACAAAGAAAAAGTGGTGGAACGGTTCAAGACGCCGAGCCCTCCTCAGTTGTACTCAGGTGATACTCAGGTATAATATTCCATCATGTTAACACAAGTAAACTGGTTAATTTATTCAGATAAATTGGCCTAGAATTCATAGACTAGAATGACTCTTTTTGCACAGCTTCGTCAAGACGACGAAGCCAAGAGGCTCTCTCTGGCGCATATAACTCGGCGTCAAGTTTTGCATCTAATTTCTTCGCATCCGATAATGTTCCCGCCTGAACCAATTTCATACCCTTGAACTGTGGTGCAGTAGCCTCCTTCCACAAAGTGGTCCCGCACTCCGAGCAGAAAAAAACGGTAAGCGTCATTCCATATTCATGTTCTTTCGAGAATGACCTTGGTTTCCCCTTGGTGAGCGTAAAGTTTGCTTCAGGAATAGCAAAGTTAACGGTGTTAGTGCCGCCGGAAATATTGCGACAAAGGCTGCAATAGCAGATGGCCTGCCGATGTAGGGTTAGATTGATCGAAGTAATGGAGTTGTGTGAGATTCTTACCCTCATGGCGGGCTCATCCGTATATGAGTAGGCAACGGCGCCACATAGACATGCCCCAGAGCTCGTGGTAGTCATCTTTTTTTATCGGTTCAAATGGAGATAAATCTGGTGAATTATCGTGGAATCGAAATCGATAGACTTCATGTTATACTTATAATTATTAGTGAGTCTATGTGATAGAACTAATCCAGCTCGTACTTTTTTAAGCAGTATTTTGTATTGCGCAGTAGCTCTTAGTTTACTAATCTGGTTAGCTTTCCAAAGCGCCGTAGAAATCAGTATGCTGCTTATTCCTTTGTGCAGGTATCTCTTTCTGCCGCTTTGCTCGTTCGTCAACCCGTAATGTTTTGTCATAGTTACGAAGTTATGTCGCTTTCTGTACCACCCATCATTTCAAAGTCCAATAAAGTTTGTGATCCGCTACTAATTGGGTTGTCAGCCTAATCCACCTGACCTCAGTAAACTTTAGTGGTGTTCTGCCACAAACACAGTGCATTCATTCAGCCAACAACATATATCACATGGAAATATCCAACTGAGGCAAGACATAGCATTTGCCTAATGACGATTAAAGCCAGTCAAAGGACCCTCGGCACACTCCAACGAACCCTTAGCAACAGCAGCTAACACGCCACCATCTTCCATCCCTCCCTCTGTCTTGTGATTTGGTTCTAAAAGTGTTATCAAGAATAGGCCTTTCCTATAAAGGGCTCACTCACGGAATATAAAGACAACAACAGCCTGACTTCCATGCCCACCCAAAGCATGCACCGTGAAATCGGGGATGGCAGAAGCAGCGCTAAACTTATTCACACCAATATATGGCACGCTCCACATAAATTTCACTTCGTTCCTTGGGCCGAATCCGACGATACGGTATGTAATTGAACCTTCGATCCCTCCACCTAAGTGGTCCGATTTGCAGCGTAACATGCCGCTCTCACCAGCAAGTATTGTTTGTGGTGGTGGAATTTCTGGGTCTTTTATGAAGTGGCCATGGGTGACGGTTGGCCATTCGGGTTCAGTGTTGAGTTCTTCGTTAGTATGGTTTAGAATCACCACGAGGAGCTCGCGAGTGGTCATGTTGCTTAGGAATTTCAGAGTAGGATGATAATAGGAGCCTTGTTGAAGAGTATGCCAAAGCCGTTGGCAGTTCCATATGTTCTATTAAAATGATAACCGCAGAAGAAAAGAGGGGTTTAATATAGTTTGTCGTATTGCGCTTGAAGATACTGAGATTGACTTTGAGAGGTTTGTAATCTCCCCAAGTATAAATACGTACCCTTTTTGTTGCAGCCTTTGGATAACAATACATCGGATAACCAGGGATGCTTTGTGGTCCAGACCCTGGCTGCGATTTAAGCCAATCGGCTCACCTGCCCACTTTGATAAAGAAGTGTCAGATCATGCTACTAATGGAGGTCACCACAAACATTTGGTGGGCAGCCACTTAAAGTAGAGTGAGGGTTACGTATGAGGGATACGTACCAGTGGCTAACTTGGGCTCCTAGACAATTTTCGGTTGGATTTTCAAAGCTTGAATAAATAACATCCTATCAGCTGCATTGTGCCAACCAAGCCATGACAGTGTTATGACTCTCCAAGACAGGAACATGACTTCTTACAGCAAGTGTAACTATGCGCTACAGCACCGTGTCCGTCGGAAAAAGGAGGTATTTCGAATTCAAAATAACAACAGAAACTTGGGTTGGGGCCTACATTCACAGGGGAACTTTTGTCCTAACGGTAGATCATCACTATCCCTCAATGTTTACATATTAACCTGTATTCAATCTTTCATGGAATTAGTCTTAGTATTTGTCGACAAGCTCGAGGACCTGAGTTGCGAATATTGCTGTCCCCAGGCAGTCTCATGACTGACACATAACCCCATGCCACACTGGTTTTTCTCGCTATGAAGGGAAGACTACGTGTTAGTGTGAAAGTTTGATGAATTGGGTGGCCTATTGGTTACAGGTTTTATAAACTAATAGAGTTTATATACCATCTGTTGTAAAATGGTGAGCTCACCAAGTGCAACTCCAATAGCACCAAGTCTACTTGTGTCTTTAGGGAAGCTAACAGTGAAAACCTCAGTATCCGACCCATTAGTGAATCTACTCAGCTTCAAGATTTAGAGCCGAGATCGTCTTTTTGTGCTGAAATGCTCGCGAAGTGACGATTCACCATGGCGCTCTTCGACGAGGAAAATTCCAGTCAACATTTCAATTTCAGCACAGGCAATATAACAAATACGGAAAAGTTGCGCAATGACGACGTTTCACAGGAGCTCAGGTAAGCCCCTAGTATAAATGAACAGCATATAGTACAAAGACTGCCACTAACACAGGCCTTTTATCCGGTCCAGTCGATGGTGGTTCCTCTCGACTGCATTTCCTATGATCGCTGGCACTTTGGGCCCAGTTGCTTCAGCATTTAGTATTTGTTCATTAGCTGAGCCATGGCGACAGAGCCGCGTCCCTGCGGGAGAAATTCAAAATGCCGTGCCTGTTCCGGATCCCTCATGGTAATTTTTCATGACATCAGATACCGACTCTTTTCTAATACTCTCATCTAGGCTATTGATCATTGAGGCTATCCAGCTCTTAGTCGGTATCATTGCCAATCTCTTCCTTCTTCTGAACATGGCTAGACGGGTCCGTTTTGGTATAGCTCTGCCTACTACGATAGTTGGATGGTATGAGAAACAACTTAATCTCTGGTTTATTGCTAATATTTTATAAATAGGTATGCCTCGTCAATTTGTCGCATTGTTCTATGCGCTACTGCCGCTCGGCCTTTCAAAGACAAAGGATTATCCAACGAAGACATTATATGGTCTCAGTCCTTCTACTACGGCATGTTTGCAGCCATTCTCTATTTCGCCGATGCGTCACTTCTTACTATTACTTTCTGGGGCGCTTATACGCATCGCTATCGCAAGGATCTGGTACTAACCATGAGTCAACGCACCCTCATGCTTCAGAGCATCTTACTCCTCATATATCTTCTCCTTGGTGCCTATGTCTTCTCTGAGATTGAGTCCTGGAACTACCTCGATGCTGTATATTGGACAGTTGTTACACTTTTCACGGTTGGCTTTGGGGACTATTACCCTACGACTGACCTTGGGAGAGGACTCTTGATACCGTTTGGCTTAGCCGGGATTATATCTCTGGGCTTGGTAATCAGCTCAGTCAGAAGCTTGCTCCTTGAGTATGGGAGACGATGCGTTGGGGCAAGGATACACAATAGGAAGCGTGACATGATTATCAGGAAGATGCTCCGCAACGGTGACAGCAAAACCTTGGACCCCGTTTATCAAGACTTGCAGCCACCTCATGCAAATTTGGCTGAATTGCAGAGACGCGAGTTTGAGCGCCGCAAAGCTGAATTTCAACTAATGCGGAGAATCCAGGCCAAGACCTCCACGCGCAGAAGATGGGTAGCAATGGCCATTTCGACGTTCTTATGGCTCCTCCTATGGCTGGTAGGCGCTCTCATCTTCCACAAAGCCGAAGAGGTCTACCAAGGCTGGACATACTTTGATGCGGTTTATTTCTGCTTCGTGGCTTGGACGACTATTGGATACGGGGATTTCGCTCCAGTGTCTAATGCAGGAAGATCGTTCTATGTGTTTTGGTCTCTCCTTGCTCTGCCAACCATGACTATCCTTATCTCAAATGCGAGTGATACTGTGGTTAGGATTGTGCGGAATGGCACTATTCTCGTAGGGAGTATTACAATTTTGCCGAACGGTCAGGGGTTTGTTGGAAATGTGAAGACACTTGGCAACAAAATTACATTTGGCAGGGTGTTCAGAGACCACAGCATGGGACCTGATGATACAGAAGCATCTTCGAAAGCCGATAATCAACAATTACCTGCCGATCAACCTTCTTTTGCGACTACAAACTCACGGAGCACTGAACCTCCTCCGCCTTTCACCTCCTGTCTGCAGAATAATCTTGGCAAACTTCCCACAGGGACCGATTTACAATTCCTCCTGATGTCCGAGATCCGTGTTATCATCAAAGACTTGAAAGAATCCAAGCCTCATCGCTATACTTTCGATCAGTGGGCCTGGTATCTCAAGCTTGTTGGAGAAGATGAGCATAACCCAAGAACACATTGTAGATTTGACCTACAGAAGGATGACCACAATGTCTCAGAAAAATGGTCGTGGATTGAGAATCAGAGCCCTTTGGTCAGTACCCAGGGTGAGAGTGAATGGATTCTGGAAAGGTTGATGGATAAGCTTCAGTTATCATTGATGGAAGAGGGCAGAGGGCACAGGATTAGTTCGATTGCCGAGGTGTAGCGTGTTCAAAAAGCTAACAGAGAGGGCTATAATGTAAAGCTAGCAACAATACAATGAGAAAAGTAATATAATGGTTACAGTCTTAACCTACGAGACCCAATGTCATGTTAGCCATTTAAACACCGGTATGGCATCCACTCCGCCGAAACATTTCCTTGACCTTCTTAACCTCTGTACCCTAAAGGGCCAATCTGAACAATGTGTAAGACATAAACGCAAAATCCATATTAAAGAAAATACGAGTAAATCCAAGCCCTTGGTTTCTCTATCTACCGCTATAATATGTACTAGAATGAACTAAGATCTGATTAGTATGTCAAAGGGGATAATAAGAATAATTAGCCGTAATACTACGATTAAGCAGCGTTCCTAATGCACCTTGCCTGATGTATTGTTGCATGAATGATCTATAGGCCTTACTTGTTGGAGGCCGAAAGATAGTAAGCTTAGAGTTGAAGTAAATAATTGTATTACCTGCGAGCCCTGTAATAGAAATACCACTGATAAGATAAGTTATACGAGAAATATAATATATGAATATATAGAAACCTGGTTGAGCAGTAGGAGGTTGAAAAATACCCGTGAAAAGAATTATTATAGAGAATAGGACTATTATTAATTAGAGACATCCAAAGGAACGGAGGGTCTAGCAGACTGAATCAAGTATGTAACGAACGAAGGTCAGTAGGACATGTACCTCTAATGGATCAGATTCAATCTTGCGTATCAGAGATCATAGAGTCCATCAGAGACATCGTGGCAGTATTCATCAATCATTCCATCTCTAGCTACTCAAATCACATGTACAGCAGCATGAAAATGACCAACACAGTAGCTCTTATCGCACTCACAAACGGTGCCGGGCGCCCTACGCCATTGGTGATGATCTGCTCCGGCTCATATGTTCTTGGCATCGTCGAGTTTGTCGTGCCGTTCCAACAGTACCTCGCGAAGCAGTCTACGCATTTGGATGGCATATCCGTACCTGTGCGGACCAAGCTTCGTGCCAACACCGCGCAGCCTACGCAGGCGGGCCAGTCGGAGTCTATTGTGCCATTTCCCATGGTTGCGACGTTGTATCCGTTACGAATGATCTCGTTCCGCTCAGTATCACTGTATTCGAGGTCGAAGGTTGTGAAGTTGGACTGATATGTATACGGCGCGTTGGGGAGGTAAATAACCAGTGGTCCTGACGAGTTTTTGGAGTCAGTCACGCACCCGAAGAAGGTTGGACGGTTGTTGAGGCCAAAATTGATAAACGTATTTTGATCTGGGACCTTTGGGAACTCGCTATTTTGTGTCGAGGTGCCCTCCTTGGACCTCTGATACGTTGCCACGAGGGCCGTGCCGTTCGGCCATCGGGTCATAGTGTCAGCGGAGCCGTCAACGGCAAAGATGACATCGACCTGCCGGTCAGATAAGAGCAATGGATGAAAAGGAATGTTTTGTAAGTCTTCACCGCCATCGACGAGCGTGAGTATCGTGCTGTCCGCGTTTGAGTTGCTCTTGGGGTTGTATTTATAGAATGGGTTGGGCCAGTTGGCGATGTCCCTGTTTTCATCGCCAATATCCGCCAAAGTGTTGTTTATGGCGTCAAGTAAGAACTTTGGCACATTTTCAGCCTTGCCGATCTGTAAGAATGCCTGGTTAAACAATGACGATGAGGTCCCCATGACAAACCCAGCATTATCAACCCCAGCGATGCAGTCTCCACCCCGTTTGATAGTACCGTTGTCGAAGTCAGAGCCGACATATTTCAGAGGCGCAAAGGCAGCAAGCCCCGGATCGTAGGATCCCATTTCCCATGGGTTGAACTCCACAATAGTGGAATTGTCTGCTATCTGAAGCTGTCCCGATGTCCGTTCCACTGCAACTATGATGGGCATAGGTGCCCTCGCGACGGCGAATTCGGTGTCATTCGCCACCGATGAGAAGGTATAAGCTAAGGCAACTGTTACCCTTTTATTCCGATAATGGCCAAAGAGTTCATACCTGGCCCTCCATCGCTTGCATTGATGAGCTGGTACGACAAGGCCCTTCCCCAATAATCGGTTATAGTCTTATTGTAGCCCGCATCGACTTTATCCTTTACATCTTGGTACAGCTCGCGGTAATACTTTGTTACAGATAAGTCTGCCGGTCCTAGATTTTATCAAAGTGAGCAAATGCCATTCGGAATTTCTCCATCAGGATTTTGGCCCTAACAAACCTTCAATGATTGACTCATCAAACTGCCAAAGGCTATCTAAGAAGCCACTGGTTGCGTGAATAATGGACTCTACCGTCGTGAAGTTCTGCATGTAGAGACTTCCCACAACCCAACTGCCCCCAGATAGTCCACTGAGGTATGTTGCAGCCTGGAGAATACCGCCCAATTGGCCTTCACTTGTCGACCCTGTGGTTCGGTTGTCGAATGCGGCGATGGCACCGGCACCGTTCATCATGGCCCGATACCCCCCGCCAGAGATGGCAATGCCGATCCGCGGCAACACGCCGTCATCACTCACGATGCCATTCACATACGCGTCAATGTCAATGTCGCCAATGTTGGCTCGAGTGAGGACGTCTTTTAATGCTGAGATGGTATTATTGGCGCGAAGCTCCAGCCATGACGTTTCGTTAGATGACAGTGTCGTTGCCTTGCGGATGACCGGCCGACTCTCTGGGCATGAGATTTGGCCAGGGGCGTAGCCATCAGGGGCATCTGGAACGGCCCTCGGCTCAGAAAATGAAAAGGTTTCCCTATTCGTGATGCCATACTGCGCTACTGAGTTACAGATTCAATCGAGGCTCACTCTTGATGCTTAAAATTGAACATACCGGTGGATGAGGCCAGCAGCACTGCCAATTGGATCAACCGACCGCATGCCGGCATCGTGTAATTTTAAGTCAGCCTGGTGCTGTATAATATAATGGTGTTGTACAATCAGTCAACTGAGTTAACAGCAACAGGAGAATTGACAAGGCAACAAATTGATCAATTTGAGGGTGAGAGCGGCTCTCAAGTCCTCTCCTTTGCTAAATTGGTGTTTACATCCGAGGCATGCTACCCAGGGCCAAGGTTTATGTCCCATGATAGCCAACGGTACTTTTGTCATAGCTACGTAATCATCTTTGTGGACTTGCATTCCGCATCCCTTTAAGATTGATACCACACACACTACTTCGTGAACGTTGCAGGGTCATGCACCATTCGAAAGGCGAGAGATCGCACTGTCCAATGAAATAATGGCAGTTAGGGCAAGCCGTTTAAATCCCCCCACTGCTTTGAGCTTATGGTCCCGTAGGTTCATAAGGGATGATCATATGGCACATGAATTTTCAGCTGACACATTCGTGGCTGCATCTTGTATTCATCTAACTTTGGGGGAACCCACCTCCTGGAGCCTTAGCGCACTCTAGGGGATACATGATGACAGCTGCGAACACACCACCATCCAACCTAGAATCTGTCATTCGAGCTTGTTTCTATTGGAGATGTCAGACTCTCAGATAGAAGGCTATTACCATTGGTGGTCAATTGACCAAATACGAAGACAACGACAGCCTGAATTTCCCACCCACCCAGGACTTTGACGGTGAAAGCATCCGGCGCACGAAGGCAGTCGAATTTGTTTGGCCCGACATAGGGTACGTTCCACAGAAACGCCATCTTGTTGTTCGCTTCGAATCCAACGACTCAATATGTAAGAGTCCTCAATCCCCCAGCCTATGTGGCGCGACTTGCAGCGCAACATGCCGCTTTCCCCTGCCAATATCGTCTACGGCGGCCCTGTATCTGGCGTGTCCATCCACGGCCCATGGTCAAGACTGGGGGACTGGGACTCGGGATCAAGTTCCTCATTAGTATGGTTCAGAAATACGACTAAGAGCTCCCTCGTGCCCATATTGCTGCTGATTTGGGGGGCATAACACGACTGGTAGTCTAATAGTGAACAGAGGAGAAGAGGCCAACTTTGTAAATGGCTTAGTTTAGCAAATGTCGTAGAGAGATAAATATATTAGCCTAATATAATGTCTATTGCTTTGCTTGAGGATTTATAGGCCAGCATTGGCAGCTTGTAACTTAGTTGCGGGCATTACGCATTGCTCTTCTTTCATCTAACAGATCCCTACAGTGGTAAACTTCCACGCGCAAACACATGTCAGTCTCCTGAAAAGTCTTGTCACTTTGGCACCATACTACCAGCTAGGTCAGGTATGAGTCAACCAGCTGCGCTCAGCATCAGCGAACATCTTTAGCCAACCTGAGTTGCAATCAGGACCTATAAATAAGTCCGCGCCTTCCAAGGTCTTGCTTCTTTCACGGTCTTACTTCTTCCAAGGTCTTGCAACAAAACTATCAACATGGATTGCCTCGATCATCAACAAGGCCGGAGTCGACGCTTCAAGCAAGGGCGGCGATATCATCACCCTCCCGATGATAAAGATGAGTCAGATCATCATACTTATGGCAAGCCGCTGTATGACTCTGTGAGGGGTAGACACCAACGGCCAAGGGGGTGTGAACATGTCAACGGTCGACCGAGTTTGGAGACCTTGATTAGCGAGGCGCATTCACAAACTAAATCGTCCCACTATCAACGATTGCACAATAGCGCATCAGCTAGGTCGAGTCAAACGAGCGGCCACAGGGCTGTGTCGACTGCAAAGAAGCGCAGCAAGAGCGAGCACGCCGTGGGAAAGGGTATCCGTACGGGAGCGGAGGTGGCTTTTCGAATTCGAAATGATAGAGGATCCTGGGTTGGCGAGAAGGGGATCAAAGTTGCGAGTGCGGCCATAGCGTCAGCAACCATCGACTTTATGCTGGGTGCTGATCCAAAGAAACATTCTCTAGCGCACATTGCGGTTTCGATGGTTGAAGGAGTTGTTACAGACGGTATTACGAATGGCTAAGAATAACCATCTGCGGTTGTATCTCTTTGAGCGGCACAAGCCATCAACAAGGTCACGACAAGGGTCGGGAGCCAATTAAAATGAGCGCTACTGGAGGTACTTTCCTCTGCACTTATTCTTGGTGGTGATAAAAGTACCAGCAGTCAGCCGTATTACAAATAGGTACATCACACACTTTACAGCCGTATCGAGTCATGACCTTCTGCTGATTTCCTGATATCGGCTGCAAAAGACCTTCTTTTTCCTTCCTTTTTTTAAATGGTCGAGGTTGACCCTGCCGGCAGCCTTTACAAGCAAGGCAGTCGGAATATTTGCCTGTATAGACATGATTGATATCTCTTTGTAGGTGATTTTGCCGTGCTTCCGTATCTTCAGTGTCTTCTTCCTTCCCGGTTCGACCTCTCTTCCTTACGTTGCTCTCAGTTGCGTATCTGTTAAAAATAGCGTTATAAATGCATTCCTTCCAAGCTCGAAGTGTGGTATAGGGCTTCCAACGGGGCTGTATCGTCTTTTTCTGCAAAATAAAGCTATTCGCAAGGGCGACTTCAAGAAGGAAGGACCACAGCAGAGCCTGCCAAGGGCCACGGCGAAAACGATGCTCATATGTTGTATATGACCTTATCTGATCACCGCGGTCAACGTGATTCATTTCATCGTTATACTGAGCAGCAACAGTAGGAATAGGGATCATCTTGAAGGTCTCACCGTTGAAGACCTGCTGTAGGCGTTGTGACTCTGCCTTTGTGCCTCTTTTGGTGGGCAATTTCCTCTTTTTTAGTGTGCGCTCGTGAGGCCCGCTGCCTAGCACAGTTGAAAGGAAGAGCACGATGCTGCTATCTTTCCAAGCGATCTGGATGACCTAGAAAGGACAAGGAGAGACAGATTAGTAAGGGAAATAGATAGAAAAATGTCCATAACTATTGATCAGGCGTCGGGATGAGGATTATCTCATTATATTTAAGCAAGCTGCCGTTTGGAGTCTTTCCCGTATCTTTAATGTGCTTTATCTCAGTGGAGATGCCGCAGTTAGGGCGTGCGGTGCCTGTAGCACCAAAGCCATGCTGCCGAAGTAGGCGAAATAGCTGTGGTGAGGAGAAAAGGTTATCTGTGAATACGTGATGTGTCTGTGGTTGTAGCCTTTCTAATAGATAAAATATGACACTTTGTGTATTGCTAAGAGGAACTTCGGCCTGTAGCTTTCCCTTCTTGCCGGAGGATTTTGGTGTAGGTAGCTCGACTGTGATAGCTTGATACGGCGATGCCTTTATATGCCAAAGCCACTGCAGAAAGTAGCCCTGTTGCGCAATAACCCAGACTTTAAACCTCACAGGCGTAGGTTTATTCTTGACGACTGTTGTCTCTTTTGATCTGCCTGTAAAAGGGACTATACACTTATCTACAGTGAGGTTAATCCCGGGAATATAGAGCTCAATAGATACCTTTTGTATGTGGCTAGACTACTTTTCAGCCGCTTGAAAGGTCTTTGGAAGATCGCTCTCATCCCTCACATCGAGCTTAGTGTAGTCAAAAGTGCGGAAATACCTCGTAATCAGCTCGAACTTCCGTAACGGCATGAATTTAATGATCGAGTAAAGAGGGCGTTGATTTCCTAGGCTAGGGGACTTCTAATGGTCCTTAATCGATATTTCCCTATGAATTCCTATATAAATAAGGATACCGAGCCACATATACGCAGTTGCGGTGGAGATGCCCTCCCATTTGAGAATTCGTGACTGTTTGGAAAGGGGGGTATTCCAGTTGTCAATAACGCCATTTTCGAGCAGGTAAGCGACCCATTCATTAGTATATTCGATCCATGACTATACTAGGGAAATAGGCACAAAAAGCTGGAATAGTTCAAGTGGTTCCTGGGGAAGAGGGTTGATCTTGAAATCACGATATTTGATGTTGAAAGGTTGAAAATCATCACCGCGGCCCTCTTCGGGAGGGAAATTCGGCACACCCGTTGGGTCGTTAGCTGCCCTCAAAGGCGGGTTATCAAAGCTGTGATCATCTATGAAATCAGGTATCTTTTGAGAGCTCATTGTTCTATTCAAGACTCTCTATGGGCAATTTGTATGAGGACTTCGTTGTGTTGAAGGAAAGAGTTGTCTGACGAGAACTTCATGTACCCCGCAGGTACTAGTGGAGCTAGTGAGCTATAGTGGGGCGAGTGACCTGTTGATGGCTTGTGCCGCTCAAAGAGATAGCTATGCAACCACCGACGGTAAATGCGAAGCGGGCTGTGGAGGGCGTCATGTTATATGGCCAGGCAAACTCGAAATTTCTTACTCGCTATGCATTGACATTTGCCACAAGTCATACGTTTAACGCGGTAGGGCCCAGAAGCTCTTACAAAATGCCATACGGCTGTATCGTCTATAGGATCGGTCCGACTTCAAACTGGCGCCAGTACAATAGCTGGCCTGATTAACCTTTCAACATGTTGGAGCCGTGAACCCGCAACATCAGTCACCCCTCTCGTTAACTTCAGCTCGTTGAACTTCCGGACTCCGTTCCGGTCGTGTCACACATTCTGACTTACACAACGGAAAACTGAAATGCTGCCGTTGAGACCAAGGGTCAATGCATTGTCTGTGATAGACATGTGCGCATTTCAAACGTCAAACGTTAACCAAATCCCTCAAGACTTCGAGGCATATGGCACTAAATAATTTAAATAGTTAGCATGTAAAAGCAAAAAGAGAAAAAAAAGGAAAGAGAAAAAAAACAGGAACGTACCAGAGTTCTAACGAATGGGATGTGTGTGAAGCCAAGAATGACTGTGATTTGGACGCCTGGGGAAATCTGTAGTTTTGAGCTGGACTTGTGGTGTCGAGAGTTTGGAGACCAATTGTACCCTTCGGGGCGTCCTCCCGACTCTCAATATCCACCTGTGTTACTGAGTGTTGTCTTCTCCGATTTGATATGCATCTTGATCGTCAGTGTCGAGACACAAGCTGCTATAGAAAAAAAAGGCACTGCCGGCCAAGGGCCATTAGGGCCACCACGGTTACTAAGAGTGCAGCAATCACGCCCACCATGGACGAAATCGATAGCTCGGATCGAATCCGTTTGCAGTAGTTGAATTTGAGTAGCTGGTTCCGTCCATGGCGTATGCAAAGCCTCGGGTATGCGAATAATTCCAGCGATTAGGGTCGAGAATACAGCATCCGTGTCAAAGTTAGAGTTAGGCAAAGTGTCAGGTTTTTCCCACAAATTACGATTTAAATATAGGCTTTATAAGAATAACTCATCTTGTCACAGTGTTTCGCTAAGCGCCGGGTTAATTGAGCATACCTTTTTTGACGAGGATAGTGAGAAGGCTAGGCGAATTTCATGCTACGGAACCATAGGGTTTAATAGGCCGAGGAGTGCAATTACTGGTTAACCCGTATGCAGAAATTGATCTGTATTCTGATTGTGTTCTGTCTTTATTGCGCTGCGGCTTTGCAATTTCCCCTCTTTTTAGGTAAATATATTATACTATTCCTAATTAAGCTTCTTCTTAGTTATTTAACTTAGCTTTTACCAATTCGAGGTTCCTTTGGCCAAAACTGGCTGCTAATAGCCTTGTATAGGGTAGCTCCGGTTTAACAAGTGTAACCATCATAAATAGTTACTATAAGTAAGTATAGTATTTATAGGTAATTATAGTAAAGTAATTACTAAGGATTTAAATATATATAAAAGTAATTATATTTAATAGCGTGAAATTTATAAGGTATATATATAAGATAACTAAGGAGATTATAATATAAATTTTACTTACCGGATTATCTGCGACACAATTAGTACTATGGATTAAACGTAGAGGGACTAAGATTGAATGACTGTCATGTTGGTATTGGCAGATTTTGGCGGATCGATGATTGCAGGAGGAAGAAACAGCTGCTATGCATACAGCTCGGAAGATTCTTCTTAACAACCCTCACTATAAAGTTGAGTTATTGCCCTATGTTACGATCCCAGTTCTCACGTCACGTGTACCCCACATTTTTCACCAATTAGATAGAGTCACCACGCGCTACTAGATTGAACCAATAAGCGCCAAGGACGGATCACCGCCAAGATTGAGTGATCACCAGCGACTCTTAGGAATCACTGGCGACTATCAGAATCACTCGGTGATCCTGATATAATTCAAGCGACCACCTCTAGTATATATACATTCACTTAGCATTAGTTAGTACACTTAGCTCGACAGCTATCAATAAAACATCTTTACCTGAATACGCCTGACCCGCTCTATTCACTATTAAGAGACGTGACACTTCGCACCGCTCAGTATCACACGCCCTACGACTCTGCCAACATAAACTTAGAACGGACTAGTTTATCCCTTGGAAAACCCAACCGTCACACCCTAATATATATATTGGTGGGAAAGTAAGTTATTGGGAGAACCTTGATTTAATATAATGAGTTTTTGATACATATGGGTATTTTATTGAAGATTGGAGTTATTAAGAGGCTTAGACTTGCATTTATTAGTAAAGTACAGAAATAGATAAATAAACTCTACTTAGCTATAAAACTTGAGGTTAATAATAAGGTTAGTAATACCTAAGATAAATATAATAATAATAATACATAAAAGCTACTTATAGAAATAGAAATAAAGTACACTTTAAGGCCTATTTATATCCCTTTATATAATATTAATAAGTTTTATATTATATTCTATATCTAGTTTAAGTCAGTAAGTATATAATATTTAGTTTTTAACTTATAACTTTCTGATTTTTAGTTTAACCTTAAAATCCTTTGGTTTAACAAACCAGTGATTCAGAGTATTCCATGATGTAATACCATCCTGCATCTCAAAGTCAAAGTCCCGCAAGATTCTTGGAATTAGTTTTGAAATTTCCAAATGAGAGACATGCCTTCCTATACAAGTTCGCGCACCCATACCAAACTACACCCAACAGGGTTTGTCAACAATCAGTTCTTTGAGGAATTATATTCAGCCTTTTACTCACAGGAATCCAATGGCGGTTTAAAAAAGCGAGCTTGTTTTTGTCCTGGTCTAACCATCGTTCTGGTCGAAAATCTGTTGCATCCGGGCCAAAGATCAGCTGGCTATAGTGCTCCACCCAAGTGTTGACACCAACGACGGTCTAAATAAAAGTCAGTCAATTATCCAACAACGCTGTGAATAGAATGGACATGAGCACTTACCCCTGCTGGGAAGAATTGGTCACATATAGTGGCACCACCCTCAGGCACTATCCTTTCCAGAGGCAGTCCTGTTGCAGGGTGCATTCGTAATATCTCTTTAATGACGGCCTGTAAATACGGCATGTCCTGAGTCTGCTTAAAGCTAAAACACTTTGATGAGTTGGTGCGATCTTGACGATCAATTTCTTGTCTGAGCTTTTCCATTGCTTGTGGATATTTAAGCAAATAATATAGTGTGGCAGTCAAGGTGACTCCTGTTGTGTCTGAGCCAGCGGCGATGTTCTGCAAACAACCTAACCAAGCGTATAGTTTGGTGTATTTTACTGGGTCCTTATGATGGCGTGCCATGAGCTTGGTCATGAAGTCCGTTCGCTCTTCATTGTTATCTCCTTCTGTTGACATAGCTTTGGGTACTGCTTGGTGCTCGGCCATACATTGTGTGGCGAAATCGGAAATTGCTTGAAATTTTGAGAATTGTAATTGTGGTAGAACGCCTTGGACGGCAAGCATGGCTTTATAAAGACCCGGAAAGATACCGGTCAGACTCCCAAATTTGACACTGCTGTCCAGAGTGGACATCATATTGTCTATATCGCGACCAGCGTCGAGAAAGCCCAAACTTTTCGAAAAGGTTATCATAGAAATAACATCGAAGGCATAGCATTGGAACCAGTGGCCCATGTCCGCGTCTATGCCGACCTTCTGTGTTTTGTCGTCACTCGCCATCTCCCAAAGCCGCTGATCGAATAATTCGGCGCATTCATCGACAAACGCTTCGTAGGATACCATAGAAGATAAAGAGTATGCACTTTGGTATAGTCGTCTCTTCTGAGCATGGGCTTGGATATTTGACTCTGAGAATAGGTCCCTCGAAATGAGGGGGTTGCCAAATGCGCTATACCAGGGTGACTTGGCGTATTTAGCTCCAGAAGTAATGCTGTAAATCCCTTGGGTGGCATCCATGTGGCTCAAGCTATATCGATTCGGACCCAAACGAACGATAAGGCCAAACTTTTCATGAAGAGCGATATTGACCTTTTCAAAGTCGCCGCGTTTGACTTGCAGGAAGTACCAAATGTCTGAAAAACGGGCTAGGAATGGCCCAGGGATCTTCCGCAGCGGTGATGAGATGGTGCGATAAAGATACAACATAATAGATACGCCTAGAAACACTGTAAGGACAGACTGAAGGGTATTTTCAAGATGATAAAGAGCCATGCTGCCAGAGTCTGCGGATTGAAGGCGGATAGATAATAATCAACTTTTCAATAATGGAAAGCAGGGTTTGATTGTCAAAATCCCCTCACTCCTGACAGCCGGATGTTAATTATATATAGTAATTATTCGTGTGATTCAGGTGCTTTTATTTAGCTCCACATATACAAACAATCCTAGACTGGTATTGACTCTCAACTCCAGGCTTTACAGCTGGTAAGGATATGAAATAATGTAATCGTACAGACTTGGTATCTCGCATAGACCAATCGGCCTTTGCTAACTTCTATTTAGACCCGAGATTCCATAAAATTCCGAACTAAGCCTATGTATTTAGGAGAGAGTTTTCTACCAACCGGACGGTCATGTTGTCTATGCTACGAATACCCAAGTTCGGGCGGCAGTTCATCATCTGAAACGAGATCGATATACCAAGACAGGTGTCCCGACTGATGTCCGCTATTTTCCAGGGGTGTGGGTCGTAATTGTAAAGAGCGGTCACATATTCAGGCATAGCGATTGAAAGGTATTCCGCGTTAGCTCAAGCCCCGGCCGTCTATTACGCCGCAAGGCGTTGTATTTAGTTCGGACATTGGAGAAAGCCCGACACGTCCTGACTAGTGTGTGACAAAGACTTGGGCTCGGTGTCACTGAAGATACGTCACAATACGGGAGGCCAAGTAGAGACAGAAAGGAAAAAGGGGTTAGGCCAGCCCCCCGAAAGCGAGGATACTAGCACCGATACCATTGTTTTCTTGTCCGTTTTGTCATTGCCTTCGTCGTCACTCACGGCTCAACGATACCGAATTCACCAGCACCGGCTTTGTATATCCGGACTATTATAGACTAGGTGTACAAGACTATAATCAAAGGAGTAAATATTTGAAGGTAATAGTAGTTACTACTTACTGAAAATTTATTACTTTGAAAAGTCTTTCTAATGCTATTATCTAGGCGATATATTAGCGCTTCGGAGACCCATGAGTTATAGATTAAGTAGGCAGCCTATGTTCATAAAACGCTAAATATAGGAAGGATAACGTATGCGATAAGCGAGCGGGACAGACAAGCGAGCGGGACAAAAATCCCTCACCTTACATTAATACTATCAGATCAATTAATTCTCAACCAAATAACATGTCACAATCTACTATTGAGGCTCATATTATTCTTGCACTTCAGGCCTATCAGGGAGACCCAAAACTAAGTCTGCGACGAGCTGCATTTCTCTATAATGTCCCCTTCCAGACCCTCCACTACCGATCTCAGGGTCGTCAGGCTCGCGTCGATTGTATTCCTAATGGTCGGAAACTATCTGATCAGGAGGAACAGATTATAGTCGAGTATATTCTGAATCTAGATTCGCGAGGATTTCCCTCTCGGCATCGCGACGTTGAAGAAATGGCGAATCGACTGCTTACTGAACGCGACGCATCACCAGTTGGCAAGCGCTGGGCTATCAATTTTATTAAACGGCAACCACAGCTCAAGACGCGTTCTTTTCGTAAATATGACTATCGGAGAGCTCAATGCGAAGATCCAACCACTATTCGCAACTGGTTCAGGCTAGTAGAGAACACAATCGCAAAGTATGGTATTAGATCAGATAATATCTGGAACTTTGACGAGACTGGCTTTATGATGGGCGTCATATCAAGCGGTATAGTCATCACCAGCTCGGAAAGGCGTGGAAACCCAAAGTCAGTTCAGCCTGGAAACCGTGAATAGGTTACTGTGATTCAAGCGATCAATGCAGAAGGCCGAGCGATCGATCCATACATAGTGGTTGCAGGCCAATATCACCTTGCCAACTGGTACCAAGACAGCAACCTCCCGGGCACTTGGGCTATCGCCACGACCGCAAATGGCTAGACAGATAACGAGACGGGTCTCGACTGGCTGAAGCACTTTAATCGATGCACAAGTAACCGATCAGTTAGTCCCTATCGTCTTCTAATCCTCGATGGTCACGAAAGTCATCAATCCGTCGAATTCCAGCTATATTGTGAGGTTAACAACATTATCACCCTCTGCATGCCTCCTCATTCGTCGCACCTGCTTCA